AGTTTTTTCAAGAAAAATCGGCCCGAGTTTTTTCAAGAAAAATCGGCCCGAGTTTTTCAAAAAAATCGGCCCGAGTTTTTTCAAGAAAAAATCGGCCCGAGTTTTTTCAAAAAAAAATCGGCCCGAGTTTTTTCAAGAAAAATCGGCCCGAGTTTTTTCAAAAAATCGGCCCGAGTTTTTTCAAGAAAAATCGGCCCGAGTTTTTCAAAAAAATCGGCCCGAGTTTTTTCAAGAAAAATCGGCCCGAGTTTTTTCAAAAAAAAATCGGCCCGAGTTTTTTCAAGAAAAATCGGCCCGAGTTTTTCAAAAAAAATCGGCCCGAGTTTTTTCAAGAAAAATCGGCCCGAGTTTTTCAAAAAAATCGGCCCGAGTTTTTTCAAGAAAAATCGGCCCGAGTTTTTTCAAAAAAAAATCGGCCCGAGTTTTTTCAAGAAAAATCGGCCCGAGTTTTTTCAAAAAAAAATCGGCCCGAGTTTTTTCAAGAAAAATCGGCCCGAGTTTTTTCAAAAAATCGGCCCGAGTTTTTTCAAGAAAAATCGGCCCGAGTTTTTCAAGAAAAATCGGCCCGAGTTTTTCAAGAAAAAATCGGCCCGAGTTTTTCAAAAAAATCGGCCCGAGTTTTTTCAAGAAAAAATCGGCCCGAGTTTTTTCAAGAAAAAATCGGCCCGAGTTTTTCAAAAAAAATCGGCCCGAGTTTTTCAAGAAAAATCGGCCCGAGTTTTTTCAAAAAAAAATCGGCCCGAGTTTTTTCAAGAAAAATCGGCCCGAGTTTTTTCAAAAAAAATCGGCCCGAGTTTTTTCAAGAAAAAATCGGCCCGAGTTTTTCAAAAAAATCGGCCCGAGTTTTTTCAAGAAAAATCGGCCCGAGTTTTTTCAAAAAAAAATCGGCCCGAGTTTTTTCAAGAAAAATCGGCCCGAGTTTTTCAAAAAAAATCGGCCCGAGTTTTTTCAAGAAAAATCGGCCCGAGTTTTTCAAAAAAAATCGGCCCGAGTTTTTTCAAGAAAAAATCGGCCCGAGTTTTTCAAAAAAAAATCGGCCCGAGTTTTTTCAAGAAAAAATCGGCCCGAGTTTTTTCAAAAAAAATCGGCCCGAGTTTTTTCAAGAAAAATCGGCCCGAGTTTTTTCAAAAAAAAATCGGCCCGAGTTTTTTCAAGAAAAATCGGCCCGAGTTTTTTCAAGAAAAATCGGCCCGAGTTTTTCAAAAAAAAATCGGCCCGAGTTTTTTCAAGAAAAATCGGCCCGAGTTTTTTCAAAAAATCGGCCCGAGTTTTTCAAAAAAATCGGCCCGAGTTTTTCAAAAAAATCGGCCCGAGTTTTTTCAAGAAAAAATCGGCCCGAGTTTTTTCAAAAAAATCGGCCCGAGTTTTTTCAAGAAAAATCGGCCCGAGTTTTTCAAAAAAAATCGGCCCGAGTTTTTTCAAGAAAAAATCGGCCCGAGTTTTTTCAAAAAAAAATCGGCCCGAGTTTTTTCAAGAAAAATCGGCCCGAGTTTTTCAAAAAAAATCGGCCCGAGTTTTTTCAAGAAAAATCGGCCCGAGTTTTTTCAAAAAAAAAATCGGCCCGAGTTTTTTCAAGAAAAAATCGGCCCGAGTTTTTTCAAAAAAAAAAAATCGGCCCGAGTTTTTCAAAAAAAAATCGGCCCGAGTTTTTTCAAAAAAAATCGGCCCGAGTTTTTTCAAGAAAAAATCGGCCCGAGTTTTTCAAAAAATCGGCCCGAGTTTTTTCAAGAAAAATCGGCCCGAGTTTTTTCAAGAAAAAATCGGCCCGAGTTTTTTCAAGAAAAATCGGCCCGAGTTTTTCAAAAAATCGGCCCGAGTTTTTTCAAGAAAAATCGGCCCGAGTTTTTCAAGAAAATCGGCCCGAGTTTTTTCAAGAAAAATCGGCCCGAGTTTTTCAAGAAAAAATCGGCCCGAGTTTTTTCAAGAAAAATCGGCCCGAGTTTTTTCAAAAAAAAATCGGCCCGAGTTTTTTCAAGAAAAATCGGCCCGAGTTTTTTCAAGAAAAATCGGCCCGAGTTTTTCAAGAAAAATCGGCCCGAGTTTTTCAAAAAAATCGGCCCGAGTTTTTTCAAAAAAAATCGGCCCGAGTTTTTCAAAAAAAAATCGGCCCGAGTTTTTCAAGAAAAATCGGCCCGAGTTTTTTCAAGAAAAATCGGCCCGAGTTTTTTCAAGAAAAATCGGCCCGAGTTTTTCAAAAAAAATCGGCCCGAGTTTTTTCAAGAAAAAATCGGCCCGAGTTTTTTCAAGAAAAATCGGCCCGAGTTTTTCAAAAAAATCGGCCCGAGTTTTTCAAAAAAAATCGGCCCGAGTTTTTCAAAAAAAAATCGGCCCGAGTTTTTCAAAAAAATCGGCCCGAGTTTTTCAAAAAAAATCGGCCCGAGTTTTTCAAAAAAAATCGGCCCGAGTTTTTCAAAAAAAATCGGCCCGAGTTTTTTCAAGAAAAATCGGCCCGAGTTTTTTCAAGAAAAATCGGCCCGAGTTTTTTCAAGAAAAATCGGCCCGAGTTTTTTTTCAAGAAAAAATCGGCCCGAGTTTTTTCAAGAAAAATCGGCCCGAGTTTTTTCAAGAAAAATCGGCCCGAGTTTTTCAAGAAAAAATCGGCCCGAGTTTTTCAAAAAAAATCGGCCCGAGTTTTTCAAAAAAATCGGCCCGAGTTTTTTCAAGAAAAATCGGCCCGAGTTTTTTCAAAAAAAAATCGGCCCGAGTTTTTCAAAAAAAATCGGCCCGAGTTTTTTCAAGAAAAATCGGCCCGAGTTTTTTCAAAAAAATCGGCCCGAGTTTTTTCAAGAAAAATCGGCCCGAGTTTTTCAAAAAAAATCGGCCCGAGTTTTTCAAAAAAATCGGCCCGAGTTTTTTCAAGAAAAATCGGCCCGAGTTTTTTCAAAAAAATCGGCCCGAGTTTTTCAAAAAAATCGGCCCGAGTTTTTCAAGAAAAATCGGCCCGAGTTTTTTCAAGAAAAAATCGGCCCGAGTTTTTTCAAGAAAAAATCGGCCCGAGTTTTTTTCAAGAAAAATCGGCCCGAGTTTTTCAAAAAAATCGGCCCGAGTTTTTTCAAGAAAAATCGGCCCGAGTTTTTTCAAAAAAAAATCGGCCCGAGTTTTTTCAAGAAAAAATCGGCCCGAGTTTTTTCAAAAAAAATCGGCCCGAGTTTTTCAAAAAAATCGGCCCGAGTTTTTTCAAGAAAAATCGGCCCGAGTTTTTTCAAAAAAAAATCGGCCCGAGTTTTTTCAAAAAAAAATCGGCCCGAGTTTTTTCAAGAAAAATCGGCCCGAGTTTTTTCAAGAAAAATCGGCCCGAGTTTTTTCAAAAAAAAATCGGCCCGAGTTTTTCAAAAAATCGGCCCGAGTTTTTTCAAGAAAAATCGGCCCGAGTTTTTTCAAAAAAAAGGTTAAAGATTTGGAATAATCCAAAAATATTTTTAAAAAATCGGCCCGAGATTGAAGAAGTTTTTTTTTTTCGGAAAATTGATCGATGACGTCATCCATGGCAAAATTAGGAAGCCTTCCAGATTTTGCCACGAATCATTTTTTGATAAAAAAATTTGAAATTTTCTATAAATTTGATTGTAAGTCAATGTTCTGTGGACAATAATCACAGAAAAAAGTGAAACGGAAATAAATGAGAAGACTGTTACGCCTGGGGGCTAACAGCCCCTAGTCGAATTGAATTAAATTATTTTGGGGGGGGGGGGGAGGATGACACAAGCTAAATTAAAATGACTAATCGGAGGTGAGGAGACCAGAATCAGTGGAGATAGCACGAAATTTATAGTTTTTATGGTTTTTATGTATTAAACATAATTATAAATGAAACTCATAGACATAACCGTAAGTTTTAGTTTGATTTGTAATGTGTACACCAATGTCAGATCAATCGCAAGCATTTCTAATAATTACATCTAGGAAATCATCCGAGTAGGATTTGATGTTTTTCAAAAAATTCAGGAATCACTCGCACTGAGAAAAAATTTCCACGGATTTTCTTTTTTGGAATTTTGTAAGAAAAATTAATACGGGATCGCGTTGTAGATTTCTGGATTTGAAATAAGGATTTGAGTTTAATTTTGGATTTACCAGAAAGGATGTCCTCAAGGAATTTTAGATCACATTTCTTCCTCCTGTCACTCAACTTCTCCAATTCAAACATATCTAGCCTTTCCTCATATGATAAATAGTTAGGGTCAGTAATACTGATCATTCTCCCAGAAATTCTACCAACTAATTTTCTCGTAAAGTTGCGCTGAACCCTCTCAATCAAATCTGAAGTAGATTTGTCTGGAGGAGATGTGACGATGCAACCATATTCGAGAACAGATCTAATATGAGTTTTATAAAGAGACAAATAGAGCTTAGGATTTTTGGTGGAAAATGTTTTGAATAAAATATAGAGAAGAGAATTGGCTTTTTTGGTGAAGATTTCCCAATGTTCAGAGAAATCAAGATTTTGTGAGATATGAAAACCGAGATCGCGAATCAGAGAGGTTCTAGAGATGTCCGATTGATTTATGTGATAGGAGAATTCAGAAGGTTTTGGATGTATCGAGATAACTTTTGTTTTATTACTGTTGAGAATTAGTTTGTTAATGGTAGCCCACTCATGAACTTTATTGATTGAATTTTGGAGAATTTCCGAGTCATTCCGACTTCTTACTTTTGAGAATATTTTCACATCGTCCGCGAATTGTGCAACCGAAACTCCCGGATTTGAAACGAAATTTGGGAGATCGTTTGCGAAAATTGCAAAAAGAAGGGGAGATAGTACTCCTCCTTGCGGAACGCCAGAAAAAATTGGACGGGGATTTGAAAATAAATATGGGTATGTTAGAGAAGCAGAGAGGCTAGACAGCTAGAGAATATGAATATGTTAGAGACGCAGAGAGGCCGGACAGCTAGAGAATATTGGATGTGTTAGAGACGCAAAGAGAGTAGCCGCTACGCGGAAGATACCACCGCTTCGCGGTAGCTTCCGGTTTACACTCGCTCCACTCGAGCTAGACATGTCAGAGACGCAGAGAGACGCAGACAGCGAGAGCAGATCTCTTCAAACTCACATAATTATGACACCATCTACATCCTTTCCCCTGAAACACGCCTACAGTAGTCCGGCACTTTACACATTTCGCAGTCGCGTTGGCATCCTGCCAATGATGATATAATTTGTCCTGCTGACGTGACGAGTACGTGCGGATACAATTATTGGAAGCCGAACGAACGCAACGCTCATGTACCGTATACTTGCATACTGTAAGGAAACAAAATTTGGGAAAATCAATATTTCCAGCATTTTCAGCACAAAATTTGAGTCTAGAAACTCTTCAAAGGGTACTGTAGAAAATTGTGCCAAAAATTCCACAAAAAATGGATCAACCGGGTTACTGTAGAAAAACACTTTTCTAGGCTCAAATTTTGTGCTGAAACCTGTGGAAATGCTGAAAATATCTGAAAATCAATAATTCCAGCTTTTTCAGCACAACATTTGAGTCTAAAAACTCTTCAAAAGGTACTGTAGAAAATTGTGCCAAAAATTCCAAAAAAAAATGGATCAACCGGATTACTGTAGAAAAATACTTTTCTAGGCTCAAATTTTGTGCTGAAACCTGTGAAAATGCTGAAAACATCTGAAAATCAACATTTTCATGATTTCCAGCACAAAATTTGGGTCTAGAAACACTTTAAAAGGTACTGTAGAAAATTGTGCCAAAAATTCCAAAAAAAATGGATCAACCGGATTACTGTAGAAAAATACCTGTCTAGGCTCAAATTTTGTGCTGAAACCTGTGGAAATGCTGAAAACATCTGAAAATCAATATTTCCACAATTTTCAGCACAAAATTTGAGTCTAGAAACTCTTCAAAAGGTACTGTAGAAAATTGTGCCGAAAATTCCAAAAAAAATGGATCAACCGGATTACTGTAGAAAAATACTTTTCTAGGCTCAAATTTTGTGCTGAAACCCGTGAAAACGCTGAAAATTCTCGAAAAACCAAACTAACATGAGCAACTCAATCCCTGTTTTCCACCCCATCCCACCAAAATACTACAACACGCGTTACAATAAGTCGGCTTGGAGAAATGTCGCAATTTCCAGACGTGCGATCCGTCCTCCTTCATCTCCTGCAAAAAATCAATAATAATTTCCGTGGAGTACTGTAGGTACTGTGGGTTACTGTATCGAATCCGAGCAGGACCAAAAGCGGTATGTTTGTTAGACCGCCACGTCGCCACTCGTCAAACGAGACGATTCCGTCGTTATCGTAGTCGATGTCGACCATCATTTGGCGGATGATCTGCAAAGGGTACTGTAGTTTGGGGGGGGGGGGTACTGTAGATCGAGAGTACTGTAGATACGGTAGGCAGTGAAAATTTGCGATTTTTTGAGTCCAAATTTGATGAAAAATGGGTTTTTTTCAAGAATTACTGTAAGTTTTGGCGCCAAAAATCCACAGAATCTGAAAATTTCAGGGGGTACTGTAGCAGAGGATTCTACAGTACCCATTTAGGCATGTCTAAAAATGCGGCGCCATTAAATAATCTACAGTAATCCAGGTGAATATTGGAAAATCCACGTGGCTTTCTACAGTAACCCTAGACAAATTTGGTGTCAAAAGATGCGCCTTTAAATCTACAGTACCCCAGAACTTTGAAAAATGCTCCCAGGCTTGTTTGGTGTCAAAAAATCCCCGGCATTTTCCAACCTGTTCCAATTCGATCGTATCCCATTGCTGATATCTCGCCACATTCATCATTTGCTCAATAATCCCGTCAATTTCACTTTTATCCAAATATCCATTGCCATCCGAATCGTAAATATGAAAAACGACATCCAATTTATTTTCGGGAGTGTCGGCTTCCAGCAAAGACAACGTGCAGATCAGAGGTTTCAGCGGAATTCGGGGTTCGGTTGAATTTGTGGCCGAAGATGAGGAATGTGCTGGAGAGGGTGGAGATATTGCGACCACATCTGGAAATCAATATTTCCAGCTTTTTCAGCACAAGATTTGGGTCTAGAAACACTTTAAAGGGTACTGTAGAAAATTGTGCCGGAAATTCCGAAAAAATGGATCAACCAGAATACTGTAGAAAAATATGTTTTTAGGTTAAATTTTGTGCTGAAACCTGTGAAAATGCTGAAAATATCTGAAAATCAATATTTCCATGAGTCTCAGCACAAAATTTGGGTCTAGAAACACTTGAAAAGGTACCGTAGAAAAATATGTTTCTAGGTTAAATTTTGTGCTGAAACCTGTGGAAATGCTGAAAATATCTGAAAATCAATATTTCCAGCGTTTTCAGCACAGAATTTGGGTCTAGAAACACTTGAAAAGGTACTGTAGAAAATTGTGCCAGAAATTCCGAAAAAATGGATCAACCAGGGGTTACTGTAGAAAAATAGGTATCTAGGCTGAAATTTTGTGCTGAAACCTGTGGAAATGCTGAAAATATCTGAAAATCAATACTTCCAGCATTTTCAGCACAAAATTTGGGTCTAGAAAATTGTGCCAGAAATTCCGAAAAAATGGATCAACCAGAATACTATAGAAAAATACATTTCTGGGCTGAAATTTTGCGCTGAAACCTTTTAGAGTGGTGAAAATGTCTGAAAATCAATATTTCCAGCGTTTTCAGCACAGAATTTGGGTCTAGAAACACTTGAAAAGGTACTGTAGAAAATTGTGCCAGAAATTCCGAAAAAATGGATCAACCAGGGGTTACTGTAGAAAAATAGGTATCTAGGCTGAAATTTTGTGCTGAAACCTGTGGAAATGCTGAAAATATCTGAAAATCAATACTTCCAGCATTTTCAGCACAAAATTTGGGTCTAGAAAATTGTGCCAGAAATTCCGAAAAAATGGATCAACCAGAATACTGTAGAAAAATACCTTTCTAGGCTGAAATTTTGTGCTGAAACCTGTGAAAATGCTGAAATTATCTGAAAATCAATATTTCCAGCTTTTTCAGCACAAAATTTGGGTCTAGAAACACTTGAAAAGGTACTGTAGAAATTTGTGCCAGAAATTCCGAAAAAATGGATCAACCGGATTACTGTAGAAAAATATGTTTCTAGGTTAAATTTTGTGCTGAAATCTGTGAAAATGCTGAAAATATCTGAAAATCAATATTTCCAGCTTTTTCAGCACAAATTTTGGGTCTAGAAACACTTGAAAAGGTACTGTAGAAAATTGTGCCAGAAATTCCGAAAAAAATGGATCAACCAGAATACTGTAGAAAAATACCTTTCTGGGCTGAAATTTTGTGCTGAAACCCTCACCTGGAAACAAAAAAGTTCCCTGATGCAGCGAATTCTCGACCAATGTCAATGTTCCATCTTCCGGAATACACACCAATTGCTCGTTTCCGCATCCGTTTTGATGTCCGCTTCTGTCGGAATTTTGCGCTCCGGAAGAACTTGATGGCGGACAACTTGAGAGATTTAGACGTTCCATTCGACCCGACAAAGATTCGCTGAATTTCGCTTTGACTGTATGAATCGCATCTTCGAAGAGGGAGGTTCGACGTTCTGTGAAAAATTTTTGGTTTTCCGCAAGCTTCCGCGAGCTTCCGCGAAGCGGAAGCTTTTAGGAAGCTCGAAAAGGCATCGTCGCTTGGCATATGTACCCTCAAGCGGCCAGCCCTTGACAACGCTGTCAAGGCTTCGCTGGTTGAGGTGCATATTGCTCTCAAGCATCCAACCCTTGACAACTAAAACTAGCTGTCAAGGCATCGCTGCTTGAGGTGCATATTGCTCTCAAGCAGCCAACCCTTGACAACTAGCTGACAAGGCTTCGCTGCTTGAGGTGCATATTGCTCTCAAGCAGCCAACCCTTGAAAACTAGCTGTCAAGGCGTCGCTGCTTGAGGTGCATCTTGTTTCCAAGCAGCCAACCCTTGATAACTCAAACTAGCTGTCAAGGCATCGCTGCTTGAGGTGCATCTTGTTTCCAAGCAGCCAACCCTTGATAACTCAAACTAGCTGTCAAGGCGTCGCTGCTTGAGGTGCATCTTGTTTCCAAGCAGCCAACCCTTGATAACTCAAACTAGCTGTCAAGGCATCGCTGCTTGAGGTGCATCTTGTTTCCAAGCAGCCAACCCTTGATAACTCAAACTAGCTGTCAAGGCATCGCTGCTTGAGGTGCATCTTGTTTCCAAGCAGCCAACCCTTGACAACTAATACTAGCTGTCAAGGCTTCGCTGCTTGAGGTGCATATCGCTCTCAAGCAGCCAACCCTTGATAACTCAAACTAGCTGTCAAGGCATCGCTGCTTGAGGTGCATCTTGTTTCCAAGCAGCCAACCCTTGACAACTAATACTAGCTGTCAAGGCTTCGCTGCTTGAGGTGCATATCGCTCTCAAGCAGCCAACCCTTGATAACTCAAACTAGCTGTCAAGGCATCGCTGCTTGAGGTGCATCTTGTTTCCAAGCAGCCGACCCTTGACAACTAATACTAGCTGTCAAGGCGTCGCTGCTTGAGGTGCATATCGCTCTCAAGCATCCAACCCTTGACATCTAGATTTTCTCACCTTTCGTCGGCGGTTTTGAAAACGACAAAAACAATTGATCAACCAAATCTGACGGCAAATCAGTTCCAAACAAATCCAAAATAAAAGCTCGAAATCCATCGAAGTTAATAGTCTGCAAAAAAAAATCGCTGTCCCTTTAAAATTTTTTTTTTCAAAAAAAAATATTAGATTAGTTACGGATTAGTGGAGAAAAATCGCAAAAAAAAAAGTTTGACGTCAGTCAATTTTGAGCTGAAAGTGCAATAGACTAGAAATCATTCAAAATTTTCGCGCCAAAAAATCTACAGTAATCTACAGTAATCTTTTTTTGACCTACCTGTCCGTCATTCGATAAATACGCATAAAATTTGCCGTCCGCTTGAAAATCGCTCAACATATCCTTCAATTTTCGGCGCGAATCTGTGAAAATTCAAATTTTTTGCATATTTTCAGACGGAAAATCTGAAAATTTGGGAAAATGAACTTACAGGCCGCATATTCGCTGAGTCTTGAAAATTGATCCGGTGAGAGCAGCATTTTTCTGGAAAATTTTTGAATTTTCAAATTTTCGCGCCAAAAACTCTACAGTACTCAAAGGCGCGAAAATTTTGAATTCAAATTTTTTGAAAAAATTTTTAAATTTTCAAAATTTCGCGGCACAAACTCTACAGTACTCAAAGGCGCGAAAATTTTGAATTCAAATTTTTCTGGAAAATTTTTTGAATTTCAAATTTTCGCGGCAAAAAACTCTACAGTACTCAAAGGCGCGAAAATTTTGAATTCAAATTTTTCTGGAAAATTTTTTTGAATTTCAAATTTTCGCGGCACAAACTCTACAGTACTCAAAGGCGCGAAAATTTTGAATTCAAATTAAAAAAAAAATTTTTTTTGAATTTCAAATTTTCGCGGCAAAAACTCTACAGTATTCAAAGGCGCGAAATTTTTTAATTGAAATTTTTTGAAAAATTTTTTGAATTTTCAAATTTTCGCGGCACAAACTGTACAGTACTCAAAGGCGCGAAAATTTTGAATTCAAATTTTTAAAAAAATTTTTTTGAATTTTCAAATTTTCGCTGCACAAACTCTACAGTATTCAAAGGCGCGAAAATTTTGAATTCAAATTTGTTGAAAAATTTTTTGAATTTTCAAATTTTCACGGCAAAAACTCTACAGTACTCAAAGACGCAAAAATTTTGAATTCAAATTTTTCTGAAATTTTTTTGAAATTTGGGATTTTCGCGCCAAAAACTCTACAGTACTCAAAGGCGCGAAAATTTGAAATTCAAAAAATTTTTCAAAAAATTTGAAAAAAAAAATCGAAAGTCGCGAAAAAATCCAATTTTGTGTGTGTTTCAAAAAAAATTCGAAATTCAATTTTTCGGCGCGCGGCTAATCAAATTCAAATTAAATTTGAAACAAAAATTTGGCGCGGCCAAATAGATCAAAATTTCGCGGATTACTGTAGTTTTTCGCGCCAAAAAACTATATACATTCATTGAAAAATCGATAAAAAGGACCCGGTTGGGGATTAGGAAAAAAGAATATAAAAAAGATAAAAAAAATGAGGGCAGAGCTCTCAAATCCGATGAAAAAATGAGCAAAAAAAATTATTTTTTCGCGTGCTTCTTAACATTTTGATGAAAAAAAAAACGGGGGAAATTATGAAAAATGTCTAATTTTTTTTTATGAGCTTAAAATAGAGAAAAAAATTTCAGCGAAAAAGTTGAAAATAATTGAAAATAATCAAATTTTGCTCGAAAAATTTGATTATTTTTCGAAAAAAAATTTGGTTACAACATTATTCATCGAACCGTGATTTTTTTTGAGCTGCGAGAAAAAAAGGGGTTACTGTAGGTTTTGACTACTGTAGATCAAATTTTCGGCTTTTAAAGGATGTAGATCAAAAAGGGTTATTGTAGCTGCCACGTGTCTGAAATTTTACCTGAAAATTTGGGTTACTGTAGTTGTTGCCACGTTTCAGCAAAAAAAATCGATTTATGACAAATTCCGGTATACAATTTTGCACAACTCTTTGACTTGCTCTTTCCGCAAAAAATTTCCGTTCAGGAATTTTTTGTAGGCGCCAAATTGCGGAATCCTGGAGGCGGAATGGCTGAAAAATTCGGGATTTTTGACTGAAAATCTGGGATTTTCAGCAAATTTAGGTCAAAAATTTCAGATTTTCAGCCAAAAATTTCAGATTTTCAGCCAAAAATCTGAAAATTACCTGTAATGACACGACAGCAATTGTTCGAATGCCTAAAAACACAAAAATGTCTTCGGAGCACAGTGTGTAGAACATTTTTTCGACGCCTTTTTCGAGGTGCACTGAGCCACGTGGCGAACAGGAGAATGTTTGCGAGGAGTGGTCTGGAACCGTACTATAGGTCTACTGTAAGATGACCGAAGCTTGCTCCGCTTCACAAGCGGCACCGCTGCTTGATAGATGTATCCTCAAGCAGCCAACCCTTGACAACTAAAACTAGCGTCAAGGCACCGCTGCTTGACAGGTGTATCCTCAAGCAGCCAACCCTTGACAACTAGCTGTCAAGGCGTCGCTGCTTGAGGTGCATCTTGTTTCCAAGCAGCCAACCCTTGACAACTAGCTGTCAAGGCGTCGCTGCTTGAGGTTATCATGCTCTCAAGCAGCCAACCCTTGACAACTAGCTGTCAAGGCACCGCTGCTTGAGGTGCATCTTGTTTTCAAGCAGCCAACTCTTGACAGCTAGCTCTCAAGGCGTCGCTGCTTGAGGTTATCCTGCTCTCAAGCAGCCAACCCTTGACAACTAGCTGTCAAGGCGTCGCTGCTTGTGGTGCATCTTGTTTCCAAGCAGCCAACCCTTGACAACTAGCTGTCAAGGCATCGCTGCTTGAGGTGCATCTTGTTTTCAAGCAGCCAAACCTTGACAACTAGCTGTCAAGGCGTCGCTGCTTGAGGTTATCATGCTCTCAAGCAGCCAACCCTTGACAACTAGCTGTCAAGGCACCGCTGCTTGAGGTGCATCTTGTTTTCAAGCAGCCAACTCTTGACAGCTAGCTCTCAAGGCGTCGCTGCTTGAGGTTATCCTGCTCTCAAGCAGCCAACCCTTGACAACTAGCTGTCAAGGCGTCGCTGCTTGTGGTGCATCTTGTTTCCAAGCAGCCAACCCTTGACAACTAGCTGTCAAGGGATGGATGCTTGAGGTTGACATGCTCTCAAGCAGCCAACCCTTGACAACTGAAAACTAGCTGTCAAGGGGTCGCTGCTTGTGGTGCACATTGCTCTCAAGCAGCCAACCCTTGAAATTAGCTGTCAAGGCGTCGCTGCTTGAGGTTATCATGCTCACAAGCAGCCAACCCTTGACATCTAGATTCTGAAGCTTCCGCGTCCCTTCCGCAACCCACCCAATTGCATTCGATAAAAATAGTGTCTATGATCATTTTTAACCAGCTTCACAATACAAATTCCGTTGGAATCGGGATGAAAAGTGAGCGGCGATTCGACGGCTCCAACGCGCCGCCCATTTCTACCGTATGACTCGCGTAGTCCGCGTACTGTAGTTGGCGGTAGATCAAATGTCGACGAGTTTTCGAGCGAGTACTGTAGCCATTTTTCGAGCTGAGCATTGTAGATCATCATTGAACCATCGTCCTGGAATTTTGGGGGGAGTACTGTAGATTACTGTAGTTACAGTACTATTCTAAGTTACTGTAGCCACAATTTCAGGGCACTACAGTAATCCTGGGTTACTGTAGCTCTGAATTCACTTTGAAAGCCAATAAAAATCTACAGTAGTCTAGGGATTACTGTAGTTTTTGAAAATTTCCAAAAAAATTTCAAAGCCCTACAGTAATCCTTGGGCTACTGTAGTTCGGAAGCTCACAAATGGTGGGCTCTAGGTATACAGTAACTTTTAGAATTTCCTGGATTACTGTAGCTACAGTATCTCTCTAGGTTCCTGTATCACAACTAAATGTACAGTAACCCTCTCAGGGTACTGTAAAAATTTCGGTAGATCAAAATTCAGAGCCCTACAGTAATTCTCCAAACCTGTAGTCTTCCAAAAATCCTCCCAGGTGCATCAAAAGCAATCGAAAACCGGCTACACTGTAGTCTGTCTGTCTCGCTGTCTGCGTCTCTCACATCTCTCGCCTTGATGTCATCTCTCTCGAACCAGAACACGTCATTTTGCTCGTCGAAATCGAGGCGCCAATAGGGAATGGGTCCCTGCACGATACTACGGTCGAACAAGCAACACTGCATTTTGGCGCCAATTCGAAGCGACACCGTTTCGAGCGGTAGATCAAATGTGTTGTTGGCGGGCAAACATCGCGATGGGTCTAGTCTGGAAAAAGGATACTGTAGTTAGAGACGCAGAGGGGGGGGTACTGTAGGCACCAATAATTATTGATTTTTACCTTGATCTACCAGATTTAATAAAAAATTACTGTAGTTTTCAGGGGTACTGTAGTTTTGCCACGTTGCATAATCAGACACTGTAGACAAGAACTACAGTAATGAAAGGGGTTACTGTAGAAAATTGTTTTGATCTACCAAATTTTCGTTTAAAAAAGTTGGAATATTTTTTGGAAGATTAGACATTACAGTAACCCTCAGCTTCTACAGTAACCCAGATGATTTTCAAAATCTACAGTACTCCTACCGTACCTGAACTTCTTGACCTCTTTCGTCTCATAATTCAATCGATAAATCAAAATCTCGAAATTGTCTTCCTCCTCCAAAACGCCGCCAAAAAACACCAAAATATACGGTAGATCGTAGGAGAACGCGGGAATACTGTAGATTACTGTAGCCGCCGGTAGATTCAGCAAACATTGCCACGAGTCGGGAAAAATCGAGTCGACCTGCCAGATTTCGATGGAGGTGTCGGAATTCGGGTGGACGAACAATTGACGGCCGACGATTCCGACGCGATTGAGACGACGATGGAGGAGGCGGGCAGGGATCGAGAGGTAGCGAGTGGACATTTGGCTGGAAATGTAGAGGTTAGAGACGCAGAGGGAGTAGCCGCTACGCGGAAGATTCCACCGCTTCGCGGAAGCTTCCGGTTTACACTCGCTCCGCTCGAGAAGAGAAGCCAGACAGCTAGAGAATATGGGTATGTTAGAGACGCAGAGAAGCTAGACAACTTGAGAATATGGGTATGTTAGAGACGCAGAGAGACTAGACAACTAGAGAATATGGAGAGACGCAGAGAGGCTTGACAGCTAGAGAATATGGAGAGACGCAGAGAGGCTAGACAGCTAGAGAACATGGGTTTGTTAGAGACGCAGAGAGGCTGGACAGGCAGAGAATATGGAAAGACGCAGAGAAGCGAGACAGATAGAGAATATGAACATGTTAGAGACGCAGAGAGGCTCGACAGCTAGAGAACATGGGTATGTTAGAGACGCAGAAAGGCTAGACAGGCAGAGAATATGGAAAGACGCAGAGAAGCGAGACAGATAGAGAATATGAACATGTTAGAGACGCAGAGAGGCTAGAGAGCTAGAGAATATGAATATGTTAGACACGCAGAGAGGCTAGACAGCTAGAGAACATGGGTATGTTAGAGACGCAGAGAAGCCAAACAGCTAGAGAATATGGAGAGACGCAGAGAGGCTAGACAAACAAACAACTATATGGATATGTTAGAGACGCAGGGGGAGTAGTCGCTACGCGGAAGATACCACCGCTTCGCGGAAGCTTCCGGTTTACACTCGCTCCGCTCGAGAAGAGAAGCTAGACAACTAGAGAACATGGGTGAGTTAGAGACGCAGAGAGAGGCTAGACAGCTAGAGAATATGAAGAGACGCAGAGAGGCTAGACAACTAGAGAACATGGGTTGGTTAGAGACGCAGAGAGGCTAGACAGATAGAGAATATGGGGAGACGCAGAGAAGCTAGACAACTAGAGAATATTGGATATGTTAGAGACGCAGAGAGGCTAGACAGTTAGAGAACATGGATATGTTAGAGACAGAGAGGCTAGACAGCTAGAGAATATGGAGAGACGCAGAGAGGCTAGACAGCTATAGAATATGGATATGTTAGAGACGCAGAGAGCGTGAATTTTTGTTCTGCTGTAAATCCACGTGGCAAGAGAACTAGACTCTAGTTTGAATCAGAAATTTTAAAATCGATTTTTTCTGAAAATGCCACGTGGCATTCGAAATTTAGCGCTAAATCCAGGAAAAAATCAATAAAAACAAAAATTTTCGGGAGAAAAAAAAAAGAAAAGAGTGAAAAATTTTCTCTCAAAGCAAATAAAATGAAAAAAATATTACAACACCCGAGATTTCGGCGGGAAATTCAAAAAATTCAACAAAAACGGTTTTCTCAAATTCTAAAATTTTTATTTTTTCAAACAAATATTAGAAGAAGAGGAGGAATTCAAAGAGAGTTATCATAAATACATTGAAAACAAATTCAAAAAAAAAAGAAGAAAAAGGTCTCGCGGCGATTTCAAAAAGGGGTACGGTATAATAGGTAAATGCAAATTTTTGTGTGTGAATTTTGATGAAAAAATTGGAAAAATTACGTGGAAATTGGAGAAAAATCACCCGGATTCGAAAAAAAAACGAAAAAATACAAAAAAAAATGGTTTTGGGGGCACACAAGAGGATTTTTAAAGGAACATGGGGCGGGGTACTGTAGATTACTGTAGAATTTTTGCGCTAAAAAAATTATACAGTTACTGTAGCTGGGAGAAAAATCAATATTTTTTTCAAATTCAAAAAAAATCTGGTATTACTGTAGCTTGAGTTCTAGAGTACTGTAGATCAAATTTTCGCGTCAAAAACATAGGCTTATTACTGTATGCTCCTTTAAAAATCCCCGCAAAAAAATACGAAAATTTAGAAAAATTAGTGAGGTAAATGAACGTGTGTTTGGGGTAAAATCAGGCCGTTTCGGGCCAAAAACAGGCCTATTTGGCTGCGGAAGGCGTCGCGGAAGGTGGCGGATTTTGAGACGCGGAACTCTGCGAACTGTTGACCAGAGCTGCAAATTGTCCATTGCCTTGTTGTTGCAAAATTCGCGAGAATAGTTGAGAATTCGACAATTGTTGAGCCGCCGAATTTTGCACAGACTGTTGATTTTGCAAATAATTTTGATTCATCACCAATTGCGTCAAAATTGCGGGATCCTGGAAATTCTGAGAGAAATTAGAGGGAATTCCATGGATTTGGATACTGTAGACAACAAATTGTGCCAAAAATTCAGAAAAAATCAGGGTTTCAGTCATTTTAGATGTTTGTTAGCTTAAAATTATCAGAAAAATTTGAATTTTCAGCTAGAAACTCTAGATTTTCAGTCCAAAAACTTGAATTTTCAGCAATTTTCACGATTTCCAGCTTAAAATTTCGCAAAAATCACAATTTTTGGGTTTAAAACTTTGAAATCTCAAATTTTCAGCTAGAAACTCGAGATTTTCAGCCAAAAATCAAGCTTTTCAGTCCAAAAACCTGAAAATTTCAGAAAATCTCAAATTTTCACAATTTTTCATGTTTTCTAGCTAAAAATTTCGCAAAAATCTCAAATTTTCAGCTAGAAATTCCCCGATTTTCAGCCCGAAATTCAAAATTTCAGAAAAAATCAGGGTTTCAGTCATTTTAGATGTTTGTTAGCTCAAAATTTCCAGCTAGAAACTCGAGAATTTCAGCCAAAAATCTAAAATTTTTCAGTCCAAAAACCTGAAAATTTCAGAAAATCTCAAATTTTCACAATTTTTCACGATTTCTAGCTCAAAATTTCCCAAAAATCTCAAATTTTCAGCTAGAAATCAAATTTTTCAGTCCAAAAACCTGAAAATTTCAGAAAATCTCAAATTTTCACAATTTTTCACGATTTCTAGCTCAAAATTTCCCAAAAATCTCAAATTTTCAGCTAGAAATCAAATTTTTCAGTCCAAAAACCTGAAAATTTTAGAAAAACTTGAATTTTCAGCCATTTTTCACAATTTCCAGCTCAAAATTATCAGAAAAACTTGAATTTTTCAGCCCGAAATCCAAAAATTTCAATAAAACTTGATATTTCAGCATTTTTCATGTTTTCTAGCTCAAAATTTGCAGATAATCACAATTTTTGGGTTAAAAACTTTGTAATTTCAGATTTTCAGCTCGAAATTCAAAATTTCAGAAAAAATCAAGATTTCAGCCATTTTAGATGTTTGTTAGCTTGAAATTATCAGAAAAACTTGAATTTTCAGCAAGAAACCTTTAGATTTTCAGCCAAAAATCAAGTTTTCAGTCCAAAAACCTGAAAATTTCAGAAAAACTTGGTATTTCAGCATTTTTCATGTTTTCTAGCTCAAAATTTGCAGATAATCACAATTTTGGGTTAAAAACTTTAAAATCTCAGATTTTCAGCCCGAATATCAAAATTTCAGAAAAAATCAAGATTTCAGCCATTTTAGATGTTTCTTAGCTTAAAATTATCAGAAACTCTCAAATTTTCAGCTAGAAACTCTAGATTTTCAGCCAAAAATCAAGTTTTCAGTCCAAAAACCTGAAAATTTCTTGAATTTCCAGAATTTTTCATGTTTTCTAGCTCAAAATTTCGCAAAAATCTCAAATTTTCAGCTAGAAATTCCAGATTTTCAGTCCAAATTTCAAAAATTTCAGAAAAACTTGAATTTTCATGTTTTCTAGCTCAAAATTTCGCAAAAATCTCAAATTTTCAGCCAGAAATTCCAGATTTTCATTCCAAAAACCTGAAAATTTCAGAAAAACTTGAATTTTCACGTTTTCTAGCTCAAAATTTCGCAAAAATCTCAATTTTTCAGCCAGAAATTCCAGATTTTCAGCCCAAATCCCCCCAAAACTCACAATAATCGAATTCCTATACATACTATTAATCGCAGTGGCGCTGGCATTCAATTGCGCAAGTCGTTCGGGCGACAAATTCGCCGCAAATTCCACCAAATTCGTCGCGGGAACCGTGGCGGCGGCCGCAGGCGTCGCACGTTGCGCCGCAAGCGAATTGGGTTGCGGTGTGGCGACGGGCGGATGAGTGGCTATTGGTCGAGACAATTGTGGCGGGGCCGGTGGGGCCTGGGCCTGGGCCTGGGCCACTTCCGGGCTTCCCAATGGGCCGAGGGGTTGTGCAAGCCTCGAGTTGAGCGCCGACAAATGTCCCAGTCGTTTGGTGAGTTGTCCAAATTGCTCTTCCAGTCGAACATTTTCAGTTTTGAGTTGATGAAGGCAGGTTAGAAGTTGTGCCACGTCAAAATGTGCCTGTGACATCAGAAGTTGCGAACCCTGTTCCCATTGTCGCTCCAATAGTTGTTCCATAGACGAGGGAAGCGTCGGATGCGATTTCGTTACGCTCGCGGAAGGCGTCGCGGAAGAGGTTGCGGAAGAAATGCCATTCGTCGCGGTCGCAACAATTTCCGCAGCTGCCGCCGACGTCGACGGCGCTGACATTGCTGCGGCGGCTCTTCTTTCCGCAGCGGTTCGATCCGCTATCCGATCACGTTGAAAATCGCTGACAGTTTCGCTGACAACTGGCGCCACCAGGCTGATGAGTCGTTGCATTGAGGCGGATTTGCCGACGATTTGCGGCGAGGTTGCGGACGGGTTGGCGGCGGAAGATGCGGAAGCGGAAGCGGCTGCTGCGCGAGCTGCCGCGTTGAGGCGGGCACGTTTTGTTGACGTTTTTTCCAGCATATCCGGTCGGTTTCTTTTGGCTGTAAAAATTTTTTTTATTCATATTCTCTAGCTGTCTAGCCTCTCTGCGTCTCTAACATATTCTCTAGCTGTCTAGCCTCTCTGCGTCTCTCCATATTCTCTAGCTGTCTAGCCTCTCTGCGTCTCTCCATATTCTCTAGCTGTCTAGCCTCTCTGCGTCTCTCCATATTCTCTAGATGTCTAGCCTCTCTGCGTCTCTCCATATTCTCTAGCTGTCTAGCCTCTCTGAGTCTCTACCATATTCATATTCTCTGGTTGTCTAGCCTCTCTCAATATTCTCTAGCTGTCTAGCCTCTCTGCGTCTCTAGCATATCCATATTCCCTAGCTGTCTAGCCTCTCTGCGTCTCTAACATATTCTCTAGCTGTCTAGCCTCTCTGCCTCTCTAACATATCCATATTCTCTAGCTGTCTAGCCTCTCTGCGTCTCTAACACATTCTCTAGCTGTCTAGCCTCTCTGCGTCTCTAACATATCCATATTCTCTAGCTGTCTAGCCTCTCTGCGTCTCTAACATATTCTCTAGCTGTCTAGCCTCTCTGCGTCTCTCCATATTCTCTAGCTGTCTAGCCTCTCTGCGTCTCTCCATATTCTCTAGCTGTCTAGCCTCTCTGCGTCTCTCCATATTCTCTAGATGTCTAGCCTCTCTGCGTCTCTCCATATTCTCTAGCTGTCTAGCCTCTCTGAGTCTCTACCATATTCATATTCTCTGGTTGTCTAGCCTCTCTCAATATTCTCTAGCTGTCTAGCCTCTCTGCGTCTCTAGCATATCCATATTCCCTAGCTGTCTAGCCTCTCTGCGTCTCTAACATATTCTCTAGCTGTCTAGCCTCTCTGCCTCTCTAACATATCCATATTCTCTAGCTGTCTAGCCTCTCTGCGTCTCTAACACATTCTCTAGCTGTCTAGCCTCTCTGCGTCTCTAACATATCCATATTCTCTAGCTGTCTAGCCTCTCTGCGTCTCTAACATTCTCATATTCTTTAGTTGTCTATCCTTTCTGCGTCTCTCCATATTCTCTAGCTGTCTAGCCTCTCTGCGTCTCTAGCATATCCATATTCCCTAGCTGTCTAGCCTCTCTAACATATTCATATTCTCTAGCTGTCTGCACTCTCTGCGTCTCTAACATATCCATATTCTCTAGCTGTCTAGCCTCTCTCCATATTCTCTAGCTGTCTAGCCTCTCTGCATCTCTCCATATTCTCTAGCTGTCTAGCCTCTCTAACATATCCATATTCTCTAGTTCTCTAGCCTCTCTGCGTCTCTCCATATTCTCTAGCTGTCTAGAGTCTCTGCGTCTCTAACACATCCATATTCCCTAGCTGTCTAGCCTCTCTGCGTCTCTACATATTCTCTAGCTGTCTAGCCTCTCTGCATCTCTCCATATGCTCTATCTGTCTAGTCTCTCTGTGTCTCTCCATATCCTCTAGCTGTCTAGCCTCTCTAACATATCCATATTCTCTATCTGTCTAGCCTCTCTGCGTCTCTCCATATTCTCTAGCTGTCTAGCCTCTCTGCGTCTCTAACATGTCATATTCGGGCTCAAAATTCATCATTTTCAACGATTTTCGGCTCAAAATTGAGCATTTTTCATGAAATTTTCAAAAATTTTCCCGAAAACTAGTTACCTTTAGCCAATGGTGCAGTCAAAACAGCTTTCACAGTCTTTTCCTCCAAATCATTGGTTCCATTGAGGTGAAAATCGCCGTTTGGCAGGAAATTGGCGGGAATTCGGCTGGCCAATTCGTTCTGCGAAAATTGCTTTGATTTTGGGTTAAAAATCATGATTTTCAGCCAATTTCAGGTCAAAATTTCGAAAAAACTCACCGAAAAATAGGAATTCAAATGCTGACTGTTGTTGCTATAAATCGAATTTCCGTTCAAATTTTCCGAAGTCGATTGGGAAATTGCAGCAAGTTGTGCAGCTGCAGCGGCTGCATTTTGGGCTGAAAATTTTGGGAATTTTTGGGTGAAATTCCAGTTTTTCTGATAATTTTTCAAAAATTTTGAGCTGACTGTAGTTTCTAGAGCCCAAAAAATTGAATTAAGGCTCAATTTTTGCTCAAAACCAGGTTTCTGGGCTCAAAATCCATGAAATTTCTCAATTTTCAGCCTAAATTCAAGATTCTAGGCTCAAAATAATCCAAATTTCATGATTTCTGGCTCGAAACCAGGTTTCTGGGCTCAAAATCATTCAAAATGCTCAATTTTTGCTCAAAACCAGGTTTCTGAGCACAAAATGATCCAAATTTCTTGATTTCTGGTTCAAAACCAGGTTTCTGAGCTCAAAATCCATGAAATTTCTCAATTTTCAGCCAAAATTCAAGTTTCGCGACTGAAAATCATCAAATTTTCAAGATTTCTGGCTCAAAAATCATCCAAAATGCTCAATTTTTGCTCAAAACCAGGTTTCTAGGCTCAAAATCCATCAAATTTCTCAATTTTCAGCCTAAATTCAAGTTTCTAGGCTCAAAATCATCCAAATTTCATGATTTCTAGCTCAAAATCATCCAAAATGCCCAATTTTCAGCCTAAATTCAAGTTTCTAGGCTCGAAATCATCAAATTTTCAATATTTTTGGCTCAAAATCAAGTTTCCAGCCTCAAAATCATCCAATTTTCTTGATTTCTGGCTCAAAAATCACCCTCACCTTGCTGAATTTGTTGCAAATGTGCTCCAACCGATTGCTCAACCCCATTTGCTGTTCCATTTCCATTTCCATTCAATAAATGCGTCATATTATTCAAAGGCGGTGTAATATCCAACGCCACCGATGATCGGCTCGAAGTTGTTAATGGCGGTGAGAAATTCGTGGATGCTCCGAAAATCGACGAGGTGCCACCAGAATTCGAGGGTGCAATTATTGGAGTTCGCACAAGTCCACTTTCGACAAGCATATGCGAATTTGCAGTTTGTGATGATGGCGTGACTACTGTAGATGGGTGGCCACGTGTCACCGGACACGCTGGTATCACTTTTATTAGCGGATCGTTTTGCTGGAATGAAAAATTGAGTTGAAGTGGGAAAATGAGCATGTGCGCTCTATTAATAACAGGGCGGGAAAAAAAGGAAATTCAAATTTTTTGAGAGAAAATGAGCAAAGTGCGCTCTATTGATAACAAGGTGGTATAAATTGAAATTCAAATTTTTAGAGAGAATTTGCGCTCGATTGATAACAGGGCGGGAAAAAAGGAAAATCAAATTTTTTGAGAGAAAATGAGCAAGTGCGCTCTATTGATAACAAGGCGGGAAGGGAGGAAATTCAAATTTTTAAGAAAGAAAAGTGCAAATGCGCTCGATTGATAACAAGGCCTGGAAAAAAGAGGAAATTCAAATTTTTGAGAGAAAATGGCAAGTGCGCTCTTTTGATAATGAGGTGGTATAATTTGAAATTCAAATTTTCAGAGGGAATCTGCGTTCTATTGAAAACAAGGCGGGAAAGGAGGAAATTCAAATTTTTAAGAGAAAAGTGCAAATGCGCTCTATTGAAAACAAGGCGGGAAAAGGGGAAATTCGAATTTTTCAAGAAAGAAAAGAGCAAATGCGCTCTATTGAACACAAGGCGGGAAAAGAGGAAATTCAAATTTTCAAGAGAAAATGAGCAAATGCGCTCTATCGCACAATCTTGGCGGGAAACTTGCATAATTCCGAACAAATGCACTCCAATGAGAATCTTGAAAAATCACAATAAAATGCGCTCCATTGCAAAATTGCCAGAAAAATGCAAAATTCAAATTTTCAGCGATAAAATGCCCAATTTTTCAGGCGAGACGTTGAAAAAAAAGGAAAATAAACTTAGAAATCCAAATTTTTCGCGGGGAGATCAAAAAAATTTGAAAATTCAAAACTAGAGAGAGAGTACAATAATCCAGAAGAGACGCAGACAACCAAAGAAAAAACCATCTGGCAACATTCCAACAGAAAAAAAATGAAAAAGGGAATATAATAGTGTTCTTCTTCTTCTTCTTCCCCTCTACTTTCTATTTACATACGAGAGAGAGAGAGAGAGACGCAGAGAAACAAAGAAGAAATTGTGTTGTGTTTGTTTCTCTGCGTCTCTTCTGACGAGAGAGAGAGAAAATTGGCGCGCCGAAATTTTTTGAATTATATATATATGTATATATAACATAGAAAAGAGGAGAAGACGAATAATCAATCGATATTGGAAAAGTGCCAAAAAGGAGGGGGGGGGGGTCAAACTAGAGTCTAGTTTCGAGGAGGGTGGGGAAACTAGAGTATAGTTGGGGGCGGGTAGAAAATGACGAGGAGCTTGAATTTTTGAGTTTCAGAGTGGGAAAGTGCGGGATTTCAGCTTCTGGATGATGAAAAATCCAAAATTTTCGGTTTCAGACAGAAATTTCAGCTTCTAGAGTCGAAAATTCATGAAAAATCGCGAATTTTTGGGTTTCGGAGTGGAAAAATGCGGAATTTCAGCTTCTGGACTAAAAAAATCCAAAATTTTCGGTTTCAGACAAAAATTTCAGTTTCTAGAGTCAAAATTTCATGAAAAATACAATATTTCATCGAATTCGAAGGTTTCAGATTCAAAATATCACAAAAATCTAGAATTCCATAGCTTCTATGTGAAAAAACAAGAAATTTTCAAAAAATCTGGGTTTCAGGGAGGAAATTTCAGCTTCTGGAGTCGAAATTTCATGAAAAATCCGAATTTTCCTGTTTCAGAGAGAAATTCCAGATTCTAGAGTCGGAATTTCATGAAAAATCCGAATTTCCAGGTTTCAGACCATAATTTCAGCTTCCAGACTCAAAAATTCATGAAAAATCCGATTTTTTAAACTTTCCGGACCCCAAAATCACTAAAAATCGTACAAAAACAGCCTGCCTGTATGATTCATCAATCAATTCAACAATGAAAATATATGTGATTCTTCTTTTTCTCCCGCTTTTCCCTTTCCTTTTCACCTTCACACAAAAAAAAAGAAAGCGGGTGAAGAGAGAGTATGGAAAAACGAGAGAGTGTGGTAGAGAAACATACAGAAAGTGGCGAGGAGGCAAGAAATTTCGGAAAATCGGAGGGAAATGTGATCGAATCGAACCGAAAATCAATTTTTCGCGAAAATCAGAAGAGGTACTGTAGACAAAAAAAACTATCGGGTTACTGTAGAAAAATTACGCGAGAATCTTGATCTACAGGAATGAAACAAGGCAGATTTTTGGAGCCAAAATGCTCCCAGGATTACTGTAGGGAAGAGGAGCAAAAATACAATATTTCTTGTTTCAGAAGCTACAGTAGGTCACAGATTACTGTAGGAAACCATGATCTACCATGCTTAAAAAACAGGATTTTCGCGCGAAAAGGTATACTGTAGATTTTGTACAAAATCAAGTGGAAACCCTAGGATTACTGTAGAAAATCCTGGCTCAACCAAAAAATTGCGAAAAAAAAACTAAGGTGAACCACACACGAGACACACACACACACACAAAAAATTCGTATTCAACCGAAACACAAGGCGAAGTGAGAGACTAGAGAGCGGAGAGAGTTTAGAGAAAAAAAGCAGCGACGAAAAGCAACACACTAAGGAGAAAAAAAGTCGTGTTGTACATAGTAGTAGTAGTAAAACGAAACCCGCAACCGAGGCACACAGGGCGAGAGAGTGTAGAGATGCGAGAGACGGGTAGAGAAAAAGCATGCGAGATAGCATGGCGATCGAGGAGAGAGTGCAGAGACATCAAGTGTGTCTCTGTCTAACCGTCTCGCCACTCTCTCACTCTCTCGCGCCTCTCCGCCGGTCATCATCAACACAGAGAGTGTGGAGAGAGAGAGAATGGAGATTGTGGAGAGTGTGCGAGACGGTTAGACAGTGTGTGTGTAAATGTCATGTGAGAAGAAGAAGAAGAATAGCGCACGGCTCTTTCAATGTCATTATTATATGTAGAGGTGAGAGAGTGTGCGGAATGGAGAGAGTGGCGAGAGATGCAGACAAATGAAAACTTCCTCTTTTTCGCGTTTTCGAAATGTATTTTTCTTGCGAGGGGAGGGGGGAGTACTGTAGTTTTCTGCGGAGAGGCTTGTGCCTTTAAAAAAAGTTGGGCTACTGTAAGTGACCAAAGCTCATGTGCCTTTGAAATGTGATTACTGTAGGAGGCCTTAAAGGCACATACACATCTTTCTTCAAAAAAAAAAACTACTGTAGGGTGGTGTTAAAGGAACATACTCTTGTTAAATTTGAAATTACTGTAGTTTTCAGAGCCTCGGGGTTACTGTAGGTCATTTTTAAAGGGACACAAACCAAAATTTCTCAAAAAATCGTATTTTTAAGGTCTTGCACCTTTAAAACCATCCTAGGATTACTGTAGGATGTTTTTAAAGGCACAGAACCCAAATTTTTTCAAAAAATCGAATTTTTAAGGTCTTGCGCCTTTAAAAATGACCTAGGATTACTGTAGGTTATTCTTAAAGGTAGAGAACCCAAATCTTCTCAAAAAATTTAATTTTTAAGGTCTTGCGCCTTTAAAACCACCTTAGGAGTACTGTAGGATATTTTCAAAGGCACAGAACCCAATTTTTGTCAAAAAAATCGAATTTTTAATGTCTTGCGCCTTTAAATTACAGTATTCTCTGAAAAACTCACCGCTTTCCTCAAATGATTCTCACAATATCCACAATATTTGACATTTTTCGCAATTCCGCCCTCCTCGCATAAAAGTCCTTTCTGTTGTGCGCAAGTTACGTGAAATCCACGCTGGAAAATTTCAGATTTAGGGTGAAAAATCACAATTTTCAGCCGAAATTCGGGCTCAAAAACTCACTTTACAGCCAATTTTGTTGCACGACATACAGGCGCCAAATTTCGCATCCTGATTTTTGCCCGAATTCTCACAGATGTAGCAAATTTTATCGTATCGATCGTTGGGAACATCGGCCAGAATAACGGGTTCCATACTGTGAACATCGCCGAAACGAACTTCGGGAATGTAGAGGGCACATATTACATGGGACCAGCCTAGAAATCGGGCTTTTTAGGCCGGAAATTGTGAAAAAACGTGGATTTTCACCCCAGGAACTTTGAAAATCGACGTGTAAGTGCGGAGCATCGTTTGACAACGAAAAAACAGCTTTTTCAATGATTATACGATGCTCCGCGTTTACACATAGGTTCTTAGCTAGGAGAACACTTGAAAATTCGATTTTTCCCGCAAAAATTGCATGTGTAAACGCGGAGTATCGTATAAAACTAGATTTTGAAGGTTTTTGGTCGAAAACTATTTTGAAAATGTGAAATATCCTCCAGTTTTCTAGGTGTAAACGCGGAGCATCGTTTGAAACTAGATTTCGGAGGTTTTTCGCGAAACCAAATTTGAAAATTTGAAAAATTCTCGAATTCTTGAGGTGTAAACGCGGAGCAACGTTTGAAACTGCATTTCGAAGGTTTTTTGTAAAACCAAATTTGAAAATTTGAAATATCCCCCAATTTTCTAGGTGTAAACGCGGAGCATCGTTTAAAACTAGATTAAGAAGGTTTTTGGACAAAAATCGTTTTGAAAATGTGAAAAATTCTCGAATTTTTGAGGTGTAAACGCGGAGCAACGTTTAAAACTGCATTTTGAAGGTTTTTGGTCGAAAACTATTCTGAAAATTTGAAATATCCTCCAATTCTTGAGGTGTAAACGCGGAGCATCGTTTAAAACTAGATTTCGAAGGTTTTTGGTCGAAAACTATTTCAAAAATGTGAAATATCCTCCAATTTTCGAGATGTAAACGCGGAGCAACGTTTGAAAACCCCAAAAACCCCACTCACCATTAGTATCAGTCCTCTTCAACGCTCCAAAAGTCGACGGGCACAATTCGCAACGAAATCGCTTCTTCAACGGGCTTCCTCCATTCAGCGGAACACCTTGCGCCGCGGCGGCTGCGGAAACTTGCGGAAGCGTCGTCGACGACGACGCACTGCACTTTGCGCACAGCCACTCGCCCTCCGGCACCACCTGAATTCCGTAGCAACCCTGATGCACAGCAACTTCGCAATTCGGACCATCGCAGTAGATGAGGGGATTGTCGGTCCAGCCGTTCTCGTCTGCACAAACGCAGCATCCGCCCAACATCTCTTTCATTACGGCCGGAATTTTGGAGGCGGTGGGAATTAGTGGTGGCACATTTTGAAGATGAATTCTGGAAAAATCAGGGAGGTTAGAGAGTATGGGAAATGAAGAGACGCGGAGAAAAAGGATAAGAAAAAATTGGGCATAGCTTCCGCATCTCAGCAAAATGCGGAAAATTTGAATTTTCATAGAAAACTCCAGGAAAATTCAAATTTTTCGCAAATTGCAATAGAAATTGGCTAAAATTCTGGATTCTGAGCTGAAAATCACAAATTTTCAGCTAAAAATCACCACAAATTTTCAGAGAAGAATTGGGCATAGCTTCCGCATCCCAGCAAATTGCGGAAAATTTGGATTTTCATGAAATTTTCATAAAAAAGTTCAGGAAAATTCAAATTTTTCGCAAATTGCAATAGAAATTGGCTAAAATTCTGGATTCTGCGCTGAAAATCAGAAATTTTCAGCTAAAAATCACCACAAATTTTCAGAGAAGAATTGGGCATAGCTTCCGCATCCCAGCAAATTGCGGAAAATTTGGATTTTCATGAAATTTTCATAAAAAAGTTCAGGAAAATTCAAATTTTTCGCAAATTGCAATAGAAATTGGCTAAAATTCTGGATTCTGCGCTGAAAATCAGAAATTTTCAGCTAAAAATCACCACAAATTTTCAGAGAAGAATTGGGCATAGCTTCCGCATCCCAGCAAATTGTGGAAAATTTGGATTTTCCTGAAATTTTCATGGAAAAGTTCAAGAAAACCCAAATTTTTCGCAAATTGCAATAGAAATTATGCATCGTGCAAAGTGAAAAAAATGCGAAAAATCAAAAAAATATCGTGCAAACAGACGCATTTTTTCGCAGAATTCGCATTTTTTCGCGCATTATTTTTGCATTTTCTGGTGTTTTTCGACCCAAAATGGACAGAAATTGAAAGAATTTGTCTGAAATAGTCTTTTTATTGATAATGGAGGAAAAATCAGTGGTGAATCAAGACAATTTAGATGGTCGAAAAAATGTCGAAAAAGTCGAAAAAATTTTAAATTTTCAAAATCATTTTTTTTCTTGATTCACCACTGATTTTTCCTCCATTATCAATAAAAAGACTATTTCAGACAAATTCTTTCAATTTCTGTCCATTTTGGCTCGAAAAACACCAGAAAATGCAAAAATAATGCGCGAAAAAATGCGAATTCTGCGAAAAATGCGTCTGTTTGCACGTTATTTTTTTGATTTTTCGCATTTTTTCACTTTGCACGATGCATTAGCTAAAATTCTGGATTCTGAGCTCAAAGTTTCAATTTTCAGCTAAAAATTACACATTTTCAGAGAAAAATTGGGCATAGCTTCCGCATCCCAGCAAATTGTGGAAAATTTGGATTTTCATAGAAAACTCCAGGAAAATCCAAATTTTTCGCAAATTGCAATAAAAAAGTTCATTTCATTCCGAAAAGCACGAAAATCTTGAATTTCACAAGGAAAATTCAAGATTTTCATCAAAAATCCCCAATTTTCGCGCAACAAAAAATCAATAACACCCCCCAGCAAACCAGTAATAATCATATTCACAATAACAACCAAAAAAAATGGCCAAAAAAATATCCCCGCCACAAAAAACTTGTATATATCATCACAAAAAGGCGTACGAAAATGTGGGGAAAGGAAATAAAAATCGATTTATTTATTTGGTTAGGATAAGATAACAAAAACACACAGAGAAAACAGGTCAGCGACACGATTTTTGCGAATGAGAAGAGAGAAATCGATTGAAAATTAAAATGAAAAGCAGCAAGAACCGGCCAAAAAATCGATAATTTTTGCGAGAAAAACAACTTTAGCACTAAAAAAAAGAGTAGAGTAGCGTCCCTCGTTTTTCTGTCGATTTTTTGGCCTGTCCCCCAGCTGTCTATCTATCTATCCATTCCCAAAGAGAGAGAGAGCGAGAGAGTGAGAGGGTGCTAGAGATAAACACGGCGTGTCCAAACAAATATAGAACACTTCGATATGTCTGCGTCTCTCTATTCATCGCATACTCTCTCTCGCCATGTTTTATATTTATTGATTTTTGTTTGTCATTGAGGGGGGGGGGAGAATGTTCGTCTTTTCTTTTCGAAATTTCTTTTTTTGTTGGGAAAATATGGGGTGAGAGAGTGGAGACGCAGATGGTTAGAGAGAGAGAAAGTTTTCGGGGATTTTTGTGGAATTTTTTCGAAAATTCAAATGAATTTCGAAATGCCACGTCATAGTTCACGTTTAAAATTTAGGATTTCGGCTAAAAAATTTTCATCAAGCTCGACAAGTCTTCAAACTATTCTCATCCGCCTCATCCGCCGTTTTCACATCACAAGTCTCATACAATTTACACTTCGATTCACGAATTCGAACTCGTCCCGTTGAGAAAAGCGGTGCCTCTTCTTCTTTTTCACCCGAAATGTGATTTAGATCGATTTCCAGACGTTGTTCCAGTGGATTTTGCTGAAAACCCGATGAAAAATCGAAATTGTGTGTGAAAAATTCAAATTTCCGCAAACACCGTCACGCAGAATTGCACACAAAATAAATTACAGTATGCAACATTTTGAGAAAAAATACCTTTCGATCGATATTCTTCACGTATTTCACGTTCTTCGGGTCCAGAATCAAACCTTCGGCCACAGCTTCATTGATAGGTTTATGAACCTCGTCTGAAAATCAAATTCTTGCTGAAAATCGCGCGGAAAAATCGCCTGAAACATACTTGGCAAAAGAGGCTGTTCAGCAGAAATCCAAGAAAACAGCTTTTTCCGGGTTTTCAGCACCTTCTTCGTGCCATTTTCAGCTGTTTTCTCGTTTTTCGCACAAAATGTGATGGCTGTGAATGACAAAAATAGAAGAATGTGTGCAATTGACACGAAAATATTTGAAAATAAAGAGATTGAAATACAATTCAGCATTTTTCAGGGATTTCGAATATAAAAATGGGGGGAAATTGAGGGAAACGTGGAAAATTGGGGAAGAAATGACGTGGTTGTGACGTGGCAATTCAAATGCGTCTTTTTTCGGTTAAAAAAAAACCGAAATTTTCAAAAATTCCAAATAACCTCCAATTTACCCGGTGTAAACGCGGAGTATCGTTTAAAATCAAATTTTCAGAGTTAAAATCGGAATTTCGGAGTCAAAACAGTTTGAAACTTTCAAAAAAACCTCCAATTTACCCGGTGTAAACGCGGAGCATCGTTTAAAATCAGTATTTCCCTGTAACTTTTTAAAAATCAATGAAAATCTTTATAAATACATAAAAAAATATACAAAAACCACAAAAATCCCATAATTCGATCCTGAGCTATCATTTTCCAAATCCACCATTGGCAAACTCTCGAAATTCTCTTCGCCATAACATTTCACACCATAAAAATACATATCACATCGTGAATCGGGCATTTCTGGGCTCAAATCCGGCGTATAACCTGAGCAACACTCCAAAATAGTGTTGTTCAAAAATTCGGCGCTCGCCAAATTTCCCAAATTCGCGGCCGCCTCGAAAATCATCGAATTTTCCAAGCGGAGCATCGTTGTCAGCTCGAAAATCCTCCTGGATTCCTCGAGAAAACTTCCGAAAATCGTGAGATTTCGGATTTTTCCCTCGAAACTTCCTTTGGGAAATCTGGGAATCTTGGAATTTTCAATCAAAAAATCGCGGATTCCGATGGAATTTTGATGGATTTTGGGTGAGATTTGAGAGGAAGACACCTCAAAAACATCCAAAAAATTTGAAAAATTCGAAGAAATTTTGAAATTTGTGTGGAAAATCTTGAGAACTTTAAGAGCCTTTGGGAGATTTTTCAGCTCCAAATTCTGAATTCGAAAAAAATAGATCTGCTTGATATTGGAATCCGAAGCATCTCGAGTTTCCAGATTTTCACAGTCTCCTATAATAACCATCGAAATATCCTTGGAAAATCTCGAAAAATCCAAAACCGCCGCATTTTTCGCGCAAAAACACTCGGCAATTTGCCACGTAAATCGACACGTGATACCGTACTCCTCATGCGCCTTTGAATTCGTCTCGAGACACAAATTCCTCGCGGGCGGCCGACATTTATTGTTGGCGATTTGCCAGAGAAGTGGTTTGTGTTGGGGTGGATTCAGAAGGAATGCGTTACAGTTTGCTGCCACGTGGCAATCGATGGTGTTGTTGGCGATGGTGACGTGGATTGGTGGATGCGAGGGTGAGAGAAGTTTTGGTGACGTGGATGTTGGGGTGGAGAGATCGCTGGCGGTGAGAGTGAAGGTGTCAATCTGGAAGATTTTGGGGTGGTGTAAACGCGGAGCGTCGTTTGAAAATGAAAAATTCCGATTTTTGTCTGAAACTTTTATGGAAATGTCACAAAATTGCAGTTTCTGCTGAAAATCTGGAAATTTCAGATGTTTTGGAACAAAATATGGATTTTCTGATTAGAAAAATTGGAAATTTGTCATTTTTAGTCCGTTTTGAGCTGATTAAAATATTGAAAATGAGAGAAAAAATGAAAATTTCAGATTTTTTGATCCAAAAAACTGGAAATCTTCAAATTTTCAAGAAAAAACAGTGTTTTTCCGGATTTTTGAGCTAAAATCTCTTGAAAATGCTCACCAAATTCTCTCCAAAAAACGCCAAATCATCCAATTTATGAATTCTGGATCCATCAATTCTCAACTCTCCAATTCTCACATTCTTCATAATATTATTCGAAATCCGATCGATTTTTGAATTTTCAAAATTCATTTTCGAAATCCACATCGAATCAAAAGCTTCCGCTTCAATTTCAGAAATATCCATTGATTGAAACTCGATTTTTTGAATATTTGATTTTTTAAAAGCTGATGATTCCATGGCGCCAATTATTGAATTTTCAAAAATTAATTCGTTGATTTTTGATTTTTGAAATCCTAGGCTGGATATTCGAGAAATCCGAACTTTTTCGAAAATCATGGTGTTTAGCGATAGATTTGAGAAGGCAAATTGATCCAAAACATCTATTGTAGAGTTCGAAAATTCGATTTTTTCCACATGGATTTGCACGGAGTCCTGTGAGAAAAATATATGATAATTTTTATTTTCAAAAAAAAATTTCTGAAAACCTTACATTTCTCCCAGCAATTCTACTGATTTTCGACGAATCTATCTCAATTTTCAGACATCCGAAACTCGAAAAATCGATAAAATTCATTTTGGCTCTTGAAATCGCGCAATTTTCGACATTATTTATCGATTTTTCGCGGGGATCTTCGATTTCCGGGGAGTTTTCAAGGAAAATTGAAGAGTTTTCGATTTTCAGAGTTCGGGAATAGATGTTTTTCAAAAATGAAGGATTGGTGTTGGCGATTTCGGTGTCGTCTAGGATGATTTCATCGATTTGAGAGTCGCTAAAAAATTTATTTTATTTTTTATGTTGTGTGCATTTTTGCGTCGCCGTGTTTGTGCGCCAATTCAAACTTTCATTTTTTTTTGTTTTTCGCTTCCTCGTGCCTGGCTCACCTGAACGCAAAACCTTCCACATTATCAATCTCAATTGCTTGCTTAAAATACAAATTTCGAATCTGATACATTTTGCTGAAACCTCTTCTCCTGATTCTCTCAATTTTCGTCTTGTGAAAATAGATATATTCAAGATTTGTCAATTTGTGAAAAGCTTCCGGCATTATCTCTCCAATTTTTGAATTCCGGAACCAGAAATGATCAATGTTTGAGAGGCCGGTGAACGCATTTGGCGAAATTGTTGGAATTTCACACTGAAAAATCAAGTTTTATTTATTAAAAATTATTTTTTTCACGAAACACATATAAGAACGCTTTAAGGCTGTTCAAACAATTATATTTGCTCAATCACAATTTTGGTTAACCGCAAAAATGTGTAATTTTTTGGTTTAAAAAAATAATTTTTCTCGAAAAAAAAAACACAATTTTTCAAACCGCCTCCAATAATCTGTCCGCAATTGTGCGTCAAATCGCGTGTGTCGCCCCCCGCGAAAACAGAATTTCAAATATTTCTTTTTGTTTTTTCTCTTTTTTTCTTTGTTTTTCGCGCGGTTTTCCATTTTGAAGTTCAAAACCAACCTCATCAATGACAAATTGTTTGGGACTTTGTAGAATATCTTGAAAAGCAGATGTTTCAAAGTGTAGTTTTGCGATTCCGATGAAAGATAGTCGTTCAACTAGAACAACACCGGCAAAACTGCCATTCAGAATTGTGACCTGAAAAACGGTTTTTATTGATTTTGTGCTGTAAATGCTTGGGATCTAGATGATTTTAGACCATTGAGGCCATATTTTCTCACAAAAACTTCTAGTTTTTGTTCAAAAAAGACGATTTTACATCAAAAACCCACTTTTTCACAAGAATGCACAATTAGTGAGGTGATATAAGAGCTTCCAAGCGATGCAATAATCAATTCTGGATTTTCAGCACCATCGCATCTGAAAATACCATGTTTTTTTCAAGTTTTCCCCCTCCCCTTTCCAGGGAGCCACTTTTTCCCATATATTTACCAAAACAAACGAAATAATTGTATATGTTTTGTGTTTAAACGAATTATTATTTCTCTGTCGGTATATTATTTATATTTTGTTTTAAAAGCGCTTATAAGTACTTACTCACTGACCGACAGAAACACGAAAAGATAGAAAATTGAGAGAAATATTTATACGTTTTGTATTTTTCTTTGCCAAAAGTTCACGTTTGAACAAAAATTAGGTGTTATTTTCAAAATTCTGAAATTTTAAAAACTGAAAACCCAACAATTATTGAAGTATGAACCTAATTTGCTGGAAAACTGGTTTTCTAGCAAATTAGGTTCATATTTTGATAATTGTTGGGTTTTTGGTTTTGAAAAAAAAAAAGAATTTTCTCTAAAATTTATGTTGGAAGCTTCAGAGATTTCAGAAAAATATCCAGAATCTGGCTGAAAAATGTTGAAAAATTAAAGTTTTCAGGAAACTCTGAAGCTTGCAGAAGCCTAGAAATTTTCCCCATTGAGAACATTTCTAGATTTCTGCTAGCTTTGGAGTTTCCTGAAAACTTTGATTTTTCAAATTTTTCAGCCAAATTCTGGATATTTATCTGAAATTGCAAAAAGTTTCGATTTTCTTCGTATTTCATAAGAAAATCCAATTTTTTGTCCAATTTTCGCCCCAAAAATTCTAATGATTCATAATTTCTCCTCTTCCCGCGGAACAATTTTTCTTTTCTTTTTTTCCCCCCCCCCCCCCCCCAAAAAACATTCATTTTTCCTCACACTTTCGCCCTTTCTCCGTTTTTGTCGAAAAAATTTCGAAACACACCATCGTTTTTTGGCTGCGCACTACATACTTGTCCTCCCTCCTCCCCCTTCCATTTTTGAAGGTTTTTTTTTGAAATGGGCAAAAAATTGTCAGTGGAGCGAAGTTGCTCGCGCGCGCGCGCGCGCTATTTGCGTTTGGCGTTTTTCCAAAGAAGAAAACGCTGTGTTGTGTTTTTTTTGTTTGAATTCATATATATGCAATGAAAAAGAGACTATTTTTGGCGCTATGTGCGCAGACCGCGTTTCTGAGAGGTTTTGCACTACGTTTTTCGCCTTTGTTGGCAATTTTTGTTGGTTTTTTGAGTCATTTTTGGGGTTTTTGTGAAAAATCACATATTTTTGGGACTCTTCCGACACTTTTCAATTAGAAACCTCTAAAAATTTTGGCCTTAAAGGTTTTAGGCTTAGTCCCAATTAGGACCAGTTGCGGTCTGGTCCTAGAAGTTTTCAAACCGAGAAATCTGCGTTTTCTTTTGAAGTTTGGGAATTTTCGTGATTTTCCTTTGAAAAAACGAAATTTTCTGAATTCCATCCAGCATTCACGATTTTTCGAAGTTTTATCTGTTTTCTGAATTTTCCAGCTGAAAATTCATGTAATTTTCAAAATTGTATCCAAATTTCCACATTTGGACTGAAAATATCGTCAGAAAGATTGAGCTTTGACGAAAATTTCAATTTTCCAACTGATTTTACCCATTTTTCGAATTTTGTCCAAAAATTTCAACATATTTCGAAACAAAATTATGATTTCTAAGTGACCTATGACGTGGCAAATCATTTCGATTTTTTAAAACAAAAATAAAGTCCGTTTTCTCGAATTTTCAAACGTGAACTTCTTTTTTCTCCCGTACAATCAAGATTTCCCTCCAAAAAAATCAGTTATTTCTGATTTTCCACCTATTCACTATCTAACAAGTTCCAGGAATTTGGTACGTTTCTGAAAATTCCACCAAATTCTTCTTTACACTAAAAACATCTGGTCAAGCAAATATTTTTCGATTCGAAAAAAAATTTTTCTAATGAAAGAACAAAACAATATAATTGTTGTTGTTTTTCTTTGAAAAATAGTAATCCAACATGTTTTTGCTGGGTTTAGAAATCAAAAAAACATAGTTTTTTGCAAAATTTCACCCCAAGTCATTTTGAACCTCTTGACACATTTCGAAATAACTAACTAACTGCATCTAATTTAGTTTGGAAAAGGTTGAAGTGTATGTGTGTTCACCCTTTTTGTTTCTCATTTAATATAAAAAGTACAAGAAAACCGAAATGGTTTTTTTGTGTCTTTTGGTTAGTTATTTTCAATTTTCCCACCACCAGACAAAGGTCGGAAAGAAGATGCAAGTCTATATAATTTATTTGATTTTTTTCGCGGTTTTACAACTTTTCGTTTTGACGAAAGACGTTCTTTTAAGTTGAATTAGGTTTGAAAATGACGAAAAGTTAGTTTAGACTTGGTTTAGTATTCGAATTCTGACTTTTTGACATGAAAAACTCGATTTTCTTGTGAAAATTCTGGTTTTAGTCCTAAATTTAGCTTTTTTTGTCCTTAAAACGATTTGGCATGGTTTTCTGGGATGGTCTTCGAATTTCACCCAAAATTCGTAAATTTTTGACTTTTTCTGAGCACGGCTAAACTTTTGATTCTAAAAATCCGAAGACCAAATTCACCTGCATCCGATAAATTAGCCCCGCCTCCTAAACCATGCCCAAAGTAACAATTTCCGGTGTCACAAACTTGTCAATGGCAATTGACCAACAAAAAAAAAGAACACATAGATTCGTTTTCACATATAAATTGGTATTGTTTGTGTTGTTATCGATAAAATAATACATTGTATTTCTGTCTCCTTCTCTCTATTTTCCACTACTTTTTCGCCCCGTTTTCGTGTCATGACTCACTATTTTTGTTTCGTCAAAAAGTTGTCTTTTTTCGCCTCCTTTCACAAAATACATAGAATTTTGTGGAAATTATGTGTCATCATTTAAATATTAAAAAGCACACCGGAACGTTTTAGTACATATATTTGATGTATCAGACAAAATTTAGTATTGTTAGCGATTTTTTGTTGTTGCTTTATCATGTTTGTTTTTGGCTTGCCTTGTTCGTTGATGTTTTAGAAGAGATCTGAGAAAATTAGGTCTGGTTTTGATCAGAGGCTTTTTTGGGATAAATTGACTCAGGATGTCTTGCGAAATTTCATATGAACAGGAAATTTGTGAGTCATCAAAAGGTTTTCTTTCTTTTGACCTATGATCTACCTTTTGGATTTTTGCCAAAAAATTTCCGATTTGTCATCAGAATTTTTATCAGACCTCATTTTTGGTTTGGTTATCAAATTTTACTACGGAACTATGAAACTTTTACTATAAAGCTTTTTCTGGGCGGAGTTTTAGGAAATTATTCGGGAACTTTGATAAATTTTCAGATGAAAAATCTGGGTTACCTTAGTTTTGGCTGGAAATAATTAGGTACGAAGTTTCATTAGAATTTTGTCAAATTCGAAATTCAATTTTGAAATAGAAGCGAAAAATTGTTCTTCCGGGGAATTGTTTTGAAACCCTGAAAAGATGTCGGTTTCCTTCTAATTTCGGTTCAAAATTCGTTCATCCGACTAATTTTTACGGAAAACCCAAGTTTACATAGATTAGATTTTAGTTTTTGTACTGAAAATCTTGAAATACCTCAGTTAAAATTCGTATCCTGAACGATTTTTTCAGTAGTCGAGCTCTAAATTCAGCTGAAAATGCGGATTTTGGTCTATAATTCATCCCAAATTAGTTAGCCCAAGTCCCAATATTCCTCAATCCCATGCTCTCGAAAAAATCCACGAAAAAAGTTTCAAATTTGGCTGTTTTTGTGTGGACATTGTCTCGAATTACAAATGTCCCTTTTGCCTCGGGTTTTTCCTCTCGTTTTTATTCTTCTTTTTCTCATATTCCACCTCTTGTCCATCATAGTCAAATCACAATAAAAAAAATAATATAGAATTTATGCAAATTCTATCGATTTTCTATCTATCAACAAAATTGACACATTTTTTTACTTTTTACTGATAAAATTATCATTTTTCTGTACTTTTTTCTGGCTATTTAGTTTTATGAGGAGGAAATTGACCATAATTGGATAGAAATCGAAAAATTTGTGGCTCAATTTCATTTCAAGTGCTCTCAACTTAATTTATGTTGTTTATTATTGTTGTTTTCGGTTGGGTTTAGATTTAGCGAGCACTTGAGAAATGGATATATTTGATTTGTGCATAGAGCCCGCGATATTGAAAATTAGGCCAAAAAGCTGGAATTGAGTACGAAATTTGATGGAAAATCCGTTTTTCGCTAGCAAATATCTGGGAGTTAAGGTAAACTCCTTCTTAGCAAATTAGTAACCTAAATTTAAATAACGGTTTTTTTGGGATTTTCTGAATTTTTCTTCGGTAATTTGTGCCACTTTTGTAAATTCGGCTTCTGTTCCAAGAAAACTCCGTCAAAGTTAGCCTAACTCTAGGCTCCCTCCCTTCCAAAAAATTCGTCAGTTTAATGTTTTTCTTTCTAAATGTCCGTCCTAAACACCCACACGTCATTTCATCAGAACAGTTTCCTTTCATTTTTTTTGTTTTATTTTTTTTTCCGCTGCTGTCATGATTCACCGTGTTTTTATCATCATATTATGAATTGTCAAATAAAAAATGAACTCACGAGCATGCAATACTGTGTTCGTGACAAATGCATTGTCTTGGACATGTTGCCAATGTTGCCGCTGACGCATTCATCAAAAATAATGAAGAAGTGATGAAAAGAAGAAGGAAATATGATGAAGGAATCATTTTTTTTTTGTCGGGCGTTCTTCGATTTTTATTGCTGAAATTCGCGAGTTTTTGACTGGAAAACTTGGGATTTTCTGAGATTTTGCTTGATTTAGGTAGTAGGAAGCTTTGTGGTAATTATTGAAAAGTTCTACCTTGAACCTTGATTTTTCTAGTAGTTTCTCTCGATTTCCTAGCTTCTGAAATTGAAGTTTCATCCGAGTTTCAGCGAAATTTTAGAATCTCGCTAATTTTCTAAGCATTGTGAGCCTCTGTTAGTTAAAAATGAGTAAAAGTTAAATAACAAATAAATTTTAACGAAAATGGGCGGAGCCTAATATACATGCATACATGCATGGGTAGACAACAGATATATACACGAAAGATGCGTTTCTCTGCGCTCTACCTATACCTGTATATTAGGATTTCGTTAAAATTTATTTGTTCTGTAAAAGCGTGTTAAAAATGCTCCAAATTCCACGTGGAATTCAGGTTTTTGAGCATTTTCAGACTTACGTCAAAATGTTCTCTGAAATTTGAGATCTTGAAAAATTTTCCTACGTGAACTTTTTTTTGTTTTATAAAAAAACTACGTGAAAATCGTCATTTTTCAAAAATTATTTTCTACAAAACGCAGTTTTTTTCGAAAGTAAGAGAATTTCCAAGAAAACTTACATTTTAAACTCGATTTTTTGTTGAATTTTGAAATTCCATTGCCAAATTAGTAGTAGTAGTAGTAGTAGTGTACTAAAATTAAAAAGTTTTTCGAAAAAAAAGAAGAAAGAGGATAAAAGGATATATTCATATTACCATGACGAGAAAACAACATAAAAGAGGTAATTTGTGAGCAAGGAAAAGCTCACTAATTATGTTTTTTTGGGAGCCAAAAAATTGCGGGAGAAAGAAATCTGACGGAAAATAAATGATGTATCGAAATGAATTGCTCTCAAGTAGGATAGACCTAGTTAACTTTTCCTTCCTTCCTTCCTTTTTACCCCATTGGATGGTCCTTCGTAATTTGGGTGCCCGCCCTGCTTTCTTCATCTTATTCATATTTCGCGGCTCTTCTTGAGTACGGACTAAGTAGTTCATCTAATTTTGAAAGAAGAAAAGGGGAAAAGGTAGCCCTCTCTTTTGGAATTGCGTAATGCGTTTTACAAACGCGACATTTTTGATTGTTAAAAGAGGAGAAGGGGGAATTTTGAACTTTGGGAAAGGTTGTAGGGATTTTTGGTTGGAATTTGAGGCTTGAAGTTGTTTTTCTTGGTTTCCTAGTTAAAAATTGGTCAAAAGCTTGGATTTTCAAGATTTGCGGCTTAAAATCGGGTAGGAAATTTTGGTTTTCTGAGAACTTTGAGTCGTAATTTTAAAAGTTTTCGTGAGAATTTGAAAAATTCAGTTTTTACACAATAACCTTATGAATTTGTGATTTTATTGGGTTCTGGTAGAGACTTCGGACTTTGAGAATCGAATTTTTCAACCTGAAAATTTGGTCTTCAACTCAAAAGTTATGATTTTCTTTATAAAACTTCGATTTTTAGCCAAAAAATTTGTCTGAAACTGACAATTTTGAGCTATAAATGCTATGCTAATATTTAGTTTTGGCTCTTTTTTTTTCAAAACCCTGAAATCTAAGTTTTGGAATTTTATAAAATATACTCAACAAAAAAAAAACAAAAATTCAAAAAAGTGTGAAAAATTTCTACGAAAAGTGTCACTGAAAATTGGATAAAACAAGAAAAGTTCTTATTTTAGTCGTTTTTTTTTCGCTACATGAAAAAATACGAAAAAATCAAATTTCTTTCAACTTTTTCCTGCAAAATGTTCTGTTTTTCTCGAATCGAAGAACCTGCCTTCATGAATAAATGAAAAAGATGAGGTTTTTCGAGAATTTTGGAGCATTTTCATGTTTTTTTTCGGATGATTTGTAGTTTTTGTTATTCACTTTGCACATTTTGAAAGTGGGGAAACAAAAAACAAATGATTTTATATTAGTCGAGTCTGGCACGGTTTTTTGGTGGATTTTAGGCTGGAAAATGAATGCCGCACGGTTTTGTGGGCGGAGCTTCGAGCAATATCGAAAACTCAGCAATTTTGTGATTTTTCTCACCATCAATGTTTGCGGCACGTTTTTGTGGGCGGAGCTTTGGAAAATCTTGCATCTTGGTGATCTATTTTCTTTCCTCTGTACTGAATTTAGTATCGTACGCTTTTCTGGACGGATCTTCTGAAAATTCAGAAGTTTTGTTGGTTTCTCTTCCATTTTCCGAGTTCCTTCAACTTTGTTCTGAAATTTTCTACAAAATTCTAACTTTTTTTATCTAAAAATCCCTCCAAAAAGTATCAATTTCCCTCCGTTGTCTCACTAATTTCAATCCAAAAATAATTTATTCATATCATATGTACATATAAAATGTATTATACAATTTCTACCCGGTTCTATTCTATTTTCCTTCCTTTTCCGCTTGCTTCTCCTCATTATTCTCTCTTTCTTTATTTCTTTCTCCAATTTTGGGCAAAAAGTATATAAGATTGGCCAGATGTTCCCTTTTCTTCCCGCAAAAATTATTGAGCAGAATGTCAATTGTTTGGCTTTGGCTCATTTTCCTCTTGCTCTTCTTGTTTTGGAGCTATCTAAATTGGATGAGTTAAGCTATGTTGGTAGTATAATATATATGTATATGTTCCCTTTCTGCCAGATTTCTCTCTCTCGCTTTTGGTGGATTTTGATTGATATATCTTTGTTTGGCTGGGTTGTTTATTATTCATTGGATTTTTGGGCGAACTTTTTTTTTTCGTTTGGTTGAACGCCTTTTGGCTGGAAAATTGGCTGAAATCTGGATTTTTCTGTGCATTTTCGAATAGGTTTCGAGCATTTTAAGCTTTTTCTCGGGTTTTCCAAGCTGTGGATCATGAATTTTCGTCACTTTTCGTACTAAATGATTTTTCTTTGAAAATCTGACGGTTTTTGAGCATGTTCATGTGATTTTTGAGGTTCTTCGGTATCGTATGGTTCTCTATGCAATTTTTGAAGTTTTTCATGCTCTCTACGTTTCGGATCATGAGTTTTTGTGAATTTTCGTACTAAATTCACAAAAAAATCGATTTTTATGGTTTTCGAAGTTTTGAGCTCTGATTTGGTCTTGTATTGGAAAAAGTCGGAATTTTCGTCAGACGGTCCTTTTTTACATTTTTTCAGTCGAAGTTTTCCTTAGAAAAATTGGATTTTCTAAGCTATTTCTAAGCTTTTCTTGAAATTTTCAAGTTTAATATCTGAAAATACACTTTTTCCATGTCATTTTTGGGTTTAAAACCGAAAATTTCATTTTACAGTGATTTTTCTGATGAAAAGTTGATGTTTTCAAGCAGAAAACTTCAAAATTTTCAATATTTTTTCTCAATAAAATTCCAAAAAACACCCTTCTTCAAGTGAGGTTAAAGAAGTTTTGCAAATATTGATATAAAAGTTATTTCCTACCTCTTCATTTTTTTTTCTCGAAAAAGTCTAGATTTTTCTCAATTTTCTCGCTCTCTGAATTCAATTTCTTCACCCAATAATCCCATAAATTTCTTAATTTTCAGAAAATTGATTAAAACGAGGCAAGAGGAGAAAAAAAATGGCGTGGCGATTTGCAGCCTCGAAGTTCAAGAATACTACACCAAAATTGCCGAAAAAAGAGGTGGGTTGGGATTTTTGGGCGGAAATTTTGCATGTTTTTTTTGGTTTTGTTAGCTGAAAATGTCGATTTTCAGCCAGAAATTTCAATGAAAATTGACCTTTTTTCATATCCCCAGAAATTATCAGATTTTGATGAAAAATTATCTAGAAATTGTCAAATTTCAAGTTTTTCAACCAGAAAATCATGAAATTTATCAAATTTTGTCCCAAAAATGTCCTGTCCCTGCCTTAACCCTGTGCTTATTATTTTTGTCCATTTTTTTTGTTATGTGCTGTTTTTTTTCGCCACAAACAGAATGAAATGGAGCAGCACCAGCAATTTTTGGCTCAACAATTGACGAAAAACGAAAATGAGGAAATTTGTCAAATGATCACTTGTAAATTGAAGATTTCGACGGTTTGTTTTTGGCTTCTTTTTTTCGTGTGTTTTTGTACATGTTTTGTGTTGGAAAATGTGGGATTTTGATAGAAAAATTGAGTTTTTCAGTGGTTTTTGACCTGAAATTGATTTTGAGTGGCTCCGGAAAATGAAATTTCAAATTTTCCAAATTTTTGTTCAATTGTTCAAACTGTGATGCGCGAAATCCACGTGGCAGAAGTTGAATTTTGATGAAAAAATGTGGCCGACGTAGAAATAAAATTTAGTTCGTCAGTCGCGTGCGGCTGTGCGTCGCGGTCGGGACAACAACCAATACGACCGCGACGCACAGCCGCACGCGACTGACGAACTGAATTTCTTTTTTTTACGCCACCCACGTTTTCAACTTCGATAATATAGGAAACATTTTCAAATTCAAATTTTTCAACGTCAAAATTCAGCTTTTGCCACGTGGAATTTTCGGCACAAAATTATCAATGTTTATTTTTTCCGCCAGAAATTTTTGAAATCGAAAATCCCACATTTTCCCTCCTCCAAAAGTTTCCCACTGAAAATTGCATGTTTTTTACCTCTACCGTTCTATTTTCTTTCAAATCCTCCCAATTTTTAATCCAATATTCAAATTTTCAGGACACAATATTCGACGTGCCAGTCGGCAATCTCTCATGTACAAATAACGGAATTCAAGTCAGCGCCGACTTTTTGGCGTTTCACATCGAAGGCGAAGGCGGAAAATTGGGCATTTTGCCGACGGGTGTAAAAGGCAGACGCACAAGAAATGATATTTGGATTGTTGCAGCGCATGGAGGTAATTTTGAGAGCCGGAAAAGTGGATTTTTCATCAAAAATAACCTAAAATTCATCATTTTTAAAGAAAAATGACCTAGAATTGATGATTTCCAAGCAAATTTGAGATTTTTGAGGTATTTCAACCTGAAGTTCATGAAAAATGACCTAAAAATTATGATTTTTGTGTTGAAAATCATGAAAAATGACCTGGAATTGATTATCCCGGAATTTTTAGGTTTCAAATTTTTTAAAAGAATTTTTGATTTGTTTCACAGTTAATATAAATACGATATTGTTTTTTCAAAAATCATCAAATTTCACCCCTCAAATTTAAATGTTTCTTGCAGAACAAGTGTCGGACTTTCAATTTATGACATATGCCGATAATTATCTGGCGACTTGTAGTCGAGACGAATCGGTCAAATTATGGAAGCTGTCGCGCGACTCATCTCCCACTCTTGCCACACAAATTGATATTGGAGCTGGTGTTGTTGTTGAAACTATGAAGTGAGTGGGGATTTTTGAGCCAAAAATCGTCAAAAATGGTGGATTTGAAGGTGAAATTCATGAAAAATGGACATTTTTGACCTGAAATCATGGTTTCCACATCAAAATTGAGGTTTTTAGCCGAAAATTGATAATTTATCAATGGAGCGCGTTTGCTTGTCCGAATTCAAACATAGAATTATTAAAAAACTCTTTTTTCAATGAAAATTATGAATATTTAGTCAAATTTTTATGATTTTCTTCAAGTTCGACTGGTCAATTTCAAGCTTTTTCCAGCCTAACCTGAAGTTCCCCATTTTCCAGATCACATTCTACGGCCTCCAATATTTTAGCCATGGGCTCATATGCTAGTGTATTTATTGCTGATGTTTCTACTCAAAAAATTGCGATTGGTGAGTGTTTTTCGGTGCTGAAATTGAAAAAATTGCTGAAAATTTGGTTTTTGCCTCAAAAATGATGAAAAATGAGTCTAAATTTGGGTTTCAACTAACAATCCAAAAAACGCGCTTTGGGCCGGGCTCGATCCAGGACCTTTTGATCAATAATTTGTTACTAAAATTTCAAGATGAACAGCCTGAAATTCGAATAGTTTCTATAAAAATTAAATAAAAAATTTCGCATTGGGCCGGGCTCGATCCAGGACCTTTTGATCAATAATTTCCCCCTATTTCCAGCACTCGATGGAATTGTGGACAAAAGTCAAAGTTTGGATTGGTCAGAAGATGGTCGACTTTTGGCTGTCAGCGGAGACAAAGGCCGTCAAATTGTTGTTTTTGATCCGAGAACTGGCGGACAGCCAATTTATTCGCTAGAAGGACATGCTGGAATGGGAAGAGAGGCGAGAGTGCTTTTTGCTGGAAATCGACTCATCTCAACTGGTTTTACTAATGTGAGTTGGTTTTGGAAGGGATTTTGGAGCATCTTGAGCTCGAAATCATGAAATTCTGATGATTTTGAGCCTAGATTCATTAGCAGAGGCTGAAAATCACATTTTTCTATTGAAAAATGGATGAATTCTGGGATTGTTGAGCCTAATTTGAAAATTGTGAGCTTCTGAATCTCAAGTTTTGAAATTTTTGCTTTTTGGAGCATTTTTGGTGCCATTATTGATTTAAAATTAATTTCAGGTCAAAATTTATGAGCTTAGGCTTAAATTTGACGAAAAATCATGGTTCTAGGCTTATTTTTCATCGTTTTTCATGAATTTTGGTTCAAAATCCATAATTTTCCAACAAAAATTTTTTTTTTTTTTTGCAGAAACGCGTTCAAGAAGTTCGTGTTTTCGATGCGCAAAAATGGGGTTCACCAATTCACACCCAAGAATTTGTATCAACAACCGGCGTCTTGATTCCACACTACGATGCGGATACTCGATTGGTGTTTTTGTCCGGAAAAGGAACCAATAAGCTATTTATGATGGAATTGCAAGATAGACAACCTTATATGTCTTCTGGTGAGTGTTTTGGGCCCAAATTTGTGATTTTTGACCAAAAATTGGTATTTTTAGCATGTTTTCTATCAAAAATTGATGATTTTTGACCTGAAAATCCTCAAAACCTGATTTTAATTTTTACAGTCTTCGAACTCACTTTACCCGAACAAACTCTCGGAGCAGCAATTGGCTCAAAAAGAAGAATCAATGTGATGGACGGTGAAGTTGATACCTACTATCAACTCACAAAATCCACAATCGTCCCAACTCCTTGTATTGTTCCACGTCGAAGTTATCGCGATTTCCACGCGGATTTGTATCCGGAAACACGTGGCGCAGAAGCGGGATGTGATGGATATGAATGGTTGGCTGGCAACAATTCGGCACCGCAGAAGATTAGCCTTGCACCCAACACGAATTCATCGCCGCCACCACAGGAACCAACACCGCCGGCGGCGAAAGTCAAACCAATGACACAGCAGACGCAGAATTATCCGCCGGAAATTGTGAAGAAGGAGATTGAGAAGGCGAAAGTTGAGGAATTGGATTATCGAAAATATGAGAAGGAGAATGGGCATGGAGTGGTGCATACACCAATCACACCGCCGACTAATAGTACACAGGGGTGAGGATTTTGGGGGGGGGGGGAGGGAGGGGGGTTTGGGAGAAAAAATGGGAAAATTTAAGCCCGGAAAGTTGGAATTTGAGAATTTTATCACAAAAATAGTTAACAAAAAACAGGCTGAAAAACTTTTTCAGCAGTTTAACCTTGATAATCTATAGTTTTGATACATTTTAAGCTCAAAATTGCTTCATTTCTGCAAAAATGCTCATTTTCACCACTTTTGTGTTAAAAAATTCCTATTTTTCAAAAACAAAAAAAAATACGTTTCAAAATTTTGATATAATTTATTATCAATTTTTTTTTTTCAATTTATTGTTTTTAGATTTTATCCCTGCGAAAAGCGAAATTTTTTGATGAATCTTGATCCTGAATTTTAGCCTAGAATTAATTTCTGGTAAAATTTTAGATTTTTCACCCTCGGAACTCTCGACATTTGTGAAAATTTGAGAAATTTGGGTTTGAAATATCATTTTTGAAGAATTTCGAGGTTTTTATGGAAAAATTGGGATTTTTTGCCAGGGAAATTGAAAAATAGAGCTTTTTAGACTAAAATTTAGGATTTTTCGGGTTTAAACTTGAATTTTTCACACAAAATTGGGCTCCAAAGTTGGTTGGGCGATTTTTGGGCTCTAATTGAGTTTTGGGAAAAAATCTGAGGTTTTTAGGTGAAAATTGAGATTTTTGAGCCTGGAAAGCAAGAAAATGCTCGAAATTTCTGTTTTCTAGACGAAAATTCTGAATTTTTGATGAATCTTGTAATATTAATTTCTGGAATCCATTCCAGAATAAATTTTAGGTATAATTTTTCAATTTTTGACCTTTTCTCACTGAAAATTTGATGAAAATCGGAAATTTTCAAGTTTTCCGAAGGGCTCCGAAGTTTTATTAGAATCGTAAAGAAATCTGTGGTTTTTATGTCAAAAATTGGATTTTCAAACTAAAATTGGGGATTTTTTTTTAATTTTTGAGTTTCTAAAATTCTCATATTTTTTTGCAGAAATTCTCCATCTTCTGCATCTCCACTAACAATAACATCACCAGATCCAATAACAATAATCCAACCACCATCTTCAAATAATTCATCGGAAAATCAACGAATTTCGGCGTCTGTTTCGACACCATCTTCAGTTGGAACCGGAGGAGGAGGAACACAATCAATTATTGAAAAATCGACTGAAAATGCGTCGACATCGAATGGAACTGAACCTGTCACGTTTCGAAAGACGATTGGAGCTAGTAGTGAGTTTTTGAGGGGAGCATTTTGAGCCGGGAATCGTGAAAAATAAGCCTAAGCTCATAATTTTTGACCTGAAATTAATTTTGAATCAAAATTCAAGAAAAATGAGCCATAAACTATGATTTTCGGTCAAATTTTGACCTGGATTTTGTGTAAAATTGAATTTTCATCTACATTTTCACGATTTTCAGCCCGATTTCCAAATTTTTGAACCTAAAATTACTCCAGATCTTCTCAATTCAACCAATTTTTAATTTCAGGTCGTTCACATCCACTTTCACAACGAGTTCGTCCAAAATCTTGCGTCGTCGGCCAAATCACCTCGAAATTCCGCCACGTCGAAACTTTGGCTGGAATTAAAGCCAACAATGCGGTGTTTTCGAATTTGCGAAATGTGAATACGAGATTGCCGCAAGAAACGAATGGATGTTGTTGTAGTGGAAAGGTATCGAGGGTTTCTGGTGAAAATTTGGTGAAAATTGAGCCTGGAGCGGATTTTGAGCAGAATTTTTGAGATTTCATCTATTTTTCACCCAAAAATCACATTTTCTAGTACCAAAACCATAATTTTTGCTTCTTTGCAGTTTGTCGCTGTTCCACTAGCCGGACCCGCTGGAATAATTGGTATCTATGACGTGGATTCGCCTGGCAAATTGGCAGATGGTGTAATGGATGGAATCTATAACAAAGCCGCAATCACTGATCTCCAATGGAATCCATTTGATGATGAACAATTGGCAGTTGGAACTGATTGTGGACAAATTAATTTGTGGAAATTGAGAAGATCAGATGGAACGAGAAGTGAAATGGAACCGGAAAAAGTGTTGAAGATTGGAGGAGAGAAGATTACTTGTTTGAGGTGAGGATTTGGAGGGTTTTGAGCCAAAATTCGTACCTAGAAGTCGAAAATTCGAAATTTTACGAAAAAATCGCTGTGGGGGCTTAAATTAAGGGATTTTTGACCCGAAATTCGTGAAAATTGACCAAAAATTGAGGTTTCTGGCAAATTTTGATTCAAAATTCCATCGGAAGTTAGAAAATTCAAAAATTTCATGATATTTATGCTTGAAAATTCTCATTTGATCAGAAATTGTAAGCAAAAGCTTGAAAATTCTCGTTTGCTGTTCAAAATTGCTCAGAAATTTGAGAAAAAAATTGATTTTTGAACGAAAATGGTCTGAAAATGCGTATTTTCCCACAGATTACTAAAAAGTTGTATAAAAATTGCTCAAAAACTATTTTTATCTGAAATTCACCCAAAATGCTCGTATTTTTCCAGATGGCACCCACTGGCCTCAAATCTTCTAGCAGTTGCTCTTTCAAATTGCACAATCGAAATTTGGGATGTTGCCGAATCGAAATTGTATCATCGATTCTCGAATCACACTGGAGCGATTCTGGGAATCGCATGGTCAGCTGGTGGAAGACGTTTGGCATCGGTTGGAAAAGATTCGATGTTGTATGTGCATTTGCCAGCCGAACAAGGAGAATCGAGGATTTATGAGAGAAAAGTGAGCCAAAAATTGGGAAAATTGCGAAATTTTGAGCTTTTTGTTGATTTTTGGACACCAATTTTTAACTTTAGATCTTGAAATGAGCTAGAGAACTGGATTTTTATTTTAAAAAATGAACAAAAATCATTTCAAGCTTGATTTTTGATTCAAAAAAAATTGGGAAATTCATCAAATTTTGACCAAAAATTGGGATTTCTGATCAAAACCAACTGGAAGTGGTGAAATGTTGATCTGAAAATTATTTCTGGATGAATTCTTAATTTTCGGATCTCAGAAAATCCCATTTTCTAGGTTTTCGAGCCGAAAACCTAGAGATTTTTTGATGAATGTCAAATTTGTTCTAAAAATCTAGAGAAATTACGGTTTTTTATCGGAGAAAATCAAATTTTCATCAAAATCTGAAGAAATCCCTATTTTTCATATCGAAATTCTATTATTCCTAGTGAATTTCAGCCAGAAAATGCAATTTTATGGTTTCCCACTCAAAATTTTATGGTTTTTTCTGATTTCTGGACCAAAAATCAGGTCCAGGATGATTTTTTGCTCAAAATTTTGATTCTTTCAGGTTCTCGAATCGACACGTGCCGCCCGTGTTTTATTCGCGTGCGATGATCGAATTGTGATTGTAATTGGGCTAACTCGAAGCAGTCAACGACAAGTTCAAATGTACGATGCGACAACCGTCGATTTGCGACCAATCTATAATCAAGTCATCGATTCGGCCACACAACCATTGATTCCGCACTATGACTATGATACGAATGTGTTGTTTTTGACGGGAAAAGTGAGGATTTTGGGGGGGGGGGGAGATTTTGAGACGGAAAACGTGAAAATCTCATGAAAAATTCATTTTTCGCAGAATTTTGAGCCAAAATATATGAAAATTGGCAAAACTTGAGCTAGTTTATTCCCAAAATTATCGAAAATTAATTTTTGAACCAAAAAAACGTGAGAAAAAAGCCTTTAGTCAAAAATTGATGAAAAAATCATTTTAGGTTAAATGTTGAGTAAAAATTCAAATTTCAGACCATTTTCAGTTTGATTCCGTGTCGAAAAATTTCAAAATGTTCACTAAAACCTCTCATATTTTCTATACAGGGTGATCGAATTGTGAATATGTTTGAAGTGGTCTACGATTCTCCATATCTACTACCACTCACACCATATATGTCACCAATTGGCGGACAAACAATCGCATTCCACAATAAATTGCGATGTAATGTGATGGCTGTCGAATTTCAAGTTGGATGGAGATTAACGGAAAAAAGCCTGGAACAAGTTATCTTCCGCGTTCCGCGCATCAAAAAAGACGTATTCCAAGATGATTTGTTCCCCGATGCGATTGTCACTTGGGAACCCGTCACAACTGCACGAGAATGGATGAGTGGAGTGGAAGTGACACCGGTGTTTAGAAGTTTGAAACCGGAAGGAGTTTATTCGTCGGGTAAGCATTTTGGGGAAGGATTTTGAGCTGGAAAACGCGAAAAATGACGAAATTTGGAGCATTTTGACACCTGACACGGTGTATTTTGAAGACTGTGCCGCAAAATTGCGAAATCCCCAAGCTCCGCCCACTTTTTTGTGCCCTATGGGGAAATTCTTCGTTTTTTGATACCCAACACGGTGTATTTTTAAGCCACGCCCATTTTTTGCAATTTTGCGGCACGATCTTTGAAATAAACCGTGTTTGATGTCAAAAAATGAAGAATTTCGCATAAGGCATAGAAAAAAGGGCGGAGCTTAGAAATTTTGCAAAAAAATCCCAAATTTTCCAGAAAACCCTTTTTTTTGCAGTTCCCCGTCCCGTAATTAGCTCAACTCAACCAATTCCATCAGTTCGTCACTCGGAAATGCCAAGCTCATATTCAAATGAAAAATCACAAGTTGCGCGAACTCCGCAAAGTTGTGCAGTCGAAAGTCAACAAAATACGCCGCCGGATTTACAGCAGGTAACATTTTCCGGCTTTTTCTCGAAATTTTCAGCCCAAAAATTGCATTAATAGGTGGATTCTGAGCCGGAGGAGCCGTATTTTGAGCCAAATTTGAAAGTTCCGAAATGCGTTTTTCCTGAAGGAAATTTTGAGGATTTTGAAGATGAAGAGGAGGATGTAAGCTGGAAAAAATTGACTGAAAATCTGAAATTTTTCATTTTTTTTCTAGATTATTGAAACGTATTTGTAAAAATTGCCCATTTATAGTTTTGGTGAGCATTTCGAGCCCCTTTGTGCTTTTTTCTCCTGACTGGCTTTTTTATGGGTTTTTTCGGCTGGAAATGTTGGGTTTTGGGCTGAAAATTGAGTTTTTTCGTGAAAACCTGGAATTGTCAGCATTTTTTGGCCTAAAGTGATCAAATCCAGAAAAAGCATGAAAAAAATGGATTTTTAACTTGAAATTTTGAATTTTTAAGCTTTTTTCACCTAAATTTGAGAAATCCAGGTTTCTTGGCTGAAAAAATCTGAAAATTGACCTGAAATTAATTTTTATTAGAAATTTAACAAAAAAAAATTACAAATTTTCAGCATTTTAAACTCAAAATCAGGAAATCTAGGTTTCTTTGTTGAAAAAATCTGAAAATTTCGGTGAAAAATTGATTTTTACGTGAAAAATAGCACTTTCAACCTAAATTTTTTCAAAAAATCGAAAAATGTTCGCTTTCTTCTGCCTTCTATCCTTCTTCGTTGTCCAAAAATTCCCCGAATTTTGAGCCAAAAAAATGTGCTCAACCTGAAATTAATTTCAGGTCGCCGCTGCCTGGTCAACCAAAATCAACGTAGATACTCGCCTTGAACAAGATCGTATGGAAGGAGTTGATGAAAGTGAATGGAAATAGAAACATTTGCCTGCTGCTACCGTAGTATTTTCTATCGCCACGTGGCTCTACCGTACTCTTATTTTTCGCGATTTTTTGACCCCTTTTTCTTGATTATTATTATTATTGCCTTTTATTCGTATTCGTATTATTTTTTAGCACAATTATCGATTTTTTTTTGTTGTAAATTCGACTAGTCTCCCCTATGTTTTTGGCCCCGAAAAATTTGAATTTTTGCCATTTTTTCTCAATGTGTTTTAGCATTGTATTGATTTTGGGCCCGAAAATTGGAGATTTTCAATCTCCTTTTCCTCCCCCAAAAATATCGATTTTTTAGCCCCGCCCCCTCATTTTTTCTTGTGTATTTTTTTCTAGCCCCGCCCCTCTCATTTTTTTTACCCACACACGTATTTTTTTTTTGATTTATTTATGAACACATCGAATTCGCCACAAATGAATGATTTTGGAGCACATTTTTCGAATTTTTGAGCACAAATTTGGAAAAAGTTTGAATTCTTGTGTGTATTTTCGAGTTCTCCGCGAAATTTGGAGCAGTTTGACCCCAAACAAGATATATATCAAAGTGCATGCCGCAAAATTGCAGAATTCTCCAAGCTCCGCCCAATTTTCTGTGCCCTATGGGAAATTCTGCGCTTTTTGATACCAGATATGGTGTATTTCGAAGCCACGCCCCTTTTTTTGCAATTTTGCGGCATTGGGTGTCAAAAAATGCAGAATTTCGCCATAGGGCACAGAAAAGTGGGCGGAGCTTAGGGGATTTTGCAATTTTGCGGCATGCACTTTGAAACATATCATGTTTGGTGTCAAAATTTGGCAAATTTCGAGAGAAATGTGGATTTTGACATCAAAATGCTCTGAAAATTTCAGATTTTCAGCCAAAAATGACGACAGCAAAAATCCAGAGGCTTCCGCGAGATGTGATAAATCGAATGGCGGCCGGCGAAGTGCTGGCGAGGCCCGGAAATGCGATCAAAGAGTTGGTGGAGAATTCGTTGGATGCCGGCGCCACTGAGATTATGGTTCATGTTCAGGTACAGTAATCTTGGGGGGTACTGTAGGTTTTGGCGGGAGAAACTTTGGAGCATTTTGACACCGAATATGAATATTAAAAAAACTACAGTAACCTGAGCATGTTTGGGCTCAAAATGCTCCAAATTATCTCGCGCAAAAAACTACAGTAATCTTGAGTACTGTAGGTTTTGTCGCGCGAAAATTTGACGCATTTTGACACCAAGTATGAATATTAAAAAAGCTACAGTAACCCAGGCAAATTCGGGCTCAAAATCCTACAAATTATCTCGCGTCAAAAACTACAGTAATCTTGGGGGTACTGTAGGTTTTGGCGCGCGTGAAAATTTGACGCATTTTGACACCAAATATGAATATTTTGAAAACTACAGTAACCCAGGCAAATTTGGGCTCAAAATGCTCCAAATTTTCTCGCGTCAAAAACTACAGTAACCCAGGCTCAAAATGCTCCAAATTTTCAGAATTGCGGCCTAAAAATGCTGCAAGTGTGCGACAATGGAAAAGGCATAAATCGCGAGGATTTCGAGCTGGTCTGCGAGCGATTTGCCACGTCAAAACTCGCCACGTTCGAAGATCTCCAACACATGCGCACCTACGGTTTTCGAGGCGAAGCGTTGGCGAGTTTGAGCCACGTGGCACGCGTCAATATTGTGTCGCGACAAATTGAGCAGAGTTGCGCGTATCAGGCCGATTTTTTGGGTGAGTTCGGCGAATTTGGAGCATTTTGACACCAAACACGGTGTATTTTGAAGACTGTGCCGCAAAATTGCAAAATTCTCCAAGCTCCGCCCCTTTTTCTGTGTCCTATCCGAAATTCTGCATTTTTTGACACCCGACACGGTGTATTTTGAAGCCACGCCCATTTTTGCAAAATTCTCCAAGCTCCGCCCCTTTTTCTGTGCCCTATCCGAAATTCTGCATTTTTTGACACCCAACACGCTTTTTTGCAATTTTGCGGCACGGAAAAAGGGGCGTGGCTTGAAATTTACCAAGTTTAGTATCAAGAAACCGCAACTTTTCGCCAGGGCACAGAAAAGTGGGCGTGGCTTGCAATTTTGCGGCACACTCTTCAAAACATACCGTGTTGGGTGTCAAAATGCTCCAAATTTTCTGAAAATCTCGAAATTTTCAGATGGAAAAATGCTGGCCACCTCAAAACCGGCCGCTGGAAAAACTGGAACCTGCATAACCGCTCACGATTTGTTCCACAATTTACCGCAACGAAAAAACAAGATTTTGTCGCATTCCGAAGAGTCGCGGTTCATTTTCGAGATTTTGATGAAATTCGCCGTGCATCGACCGTGAGTTTGGCTGAAAATCTGAAAATTTTGAGCAAAAATGATGAATTTTGAGCTATTTTTGAGGAAAAATGACTGAAAATCGCAAATTTTCAGCCTGAAATTAATCTCAGATTGAAAATGCTGAAAATCTGAAAATTTTAAGCAAAAATGATGAATTTTAAGCCATTTTGAGCCATTCCGAGCTATTTTTGAGCAAAAATTAATTTCAGGTTGAAAATCTGAAAATTTTTGAGCAAAAACTAAGAATTTTGAGCTTTTTTTGAGGAAAAATGACTGAAAATCGCAAATTATCAGCTTGAAATTAATTTCAGATTGAAAATGCTGAAAATCTGATAAATTTTAAGCAAAAATGATGAATTTTGAGCCATTTCGAGCTATTTTTGAGCAAAAAAAGCCTGAAATTAATTCTAGGTCAAAAAATGCTGGAAATTCCTAATTTTCAGCTTGAAATAAATTTCAGATTGAAAATGCTGAAAATCTGATAAATTTTGATCAAAAACTAAGAATTTTGAGCCATTTCGAGCTATTTTTGAGAAAAAATTAATTTCAGGTTGAAAATTTGAAAATTTCAAGCAAAACCCAAGAATTTTAAGCCATTTTGAGCCATTTTTGAGCAAAAAAAAAACAAAAAATGCTGAAAATCTGAAAATTTTCAGCCAATTTTTTTTCCAGAGATGTCTCATTTGCTCTCCGTCAAAATCATTCGACCGATTTTCGCACCAAAGGCGACGGCAACTTTCAAAACGTCGTGAATTTGCTCGTTGGCAATGACGTGGCAAACAATCTGATCGGCCTGAATTTGGATTCTCAACGCTTGAAATTCCAGTTTTCCGGATGTATGGCGATGCCGATTTCAGCGGCCACAGCGAAAATGAGCCAGGCTAGAAAGGTACGGGAGCCTACAGTTTTGGAGCTTAAAAATAAATATGAAGATTTTCTTTCAGATTCGCCAGAATTTCTTCAGTGTTTTCGTCAATGGTCGAAGTGTCAGATGTGATATTCTGAAGCAGCCGATGGACGAAGTTTTGGCGCCGAAAAATTTGATTTGCCAATTTTGCGCGGTTGATTTGAAGGTATTTGGAAAAAAATGTCTGATCTCGGGCGGGCTCGAACCGCCGGCCTTCTGTGTGTTAGACAGATGTAATAACCACTACACCACGAGATCGCCTGGGAAAGCGTGGCGGAAATTGCCATGATATTTTTGGAAAATGTTTTTTTTTGCAGATCGATGAAACTCGAGTTGATGTAAATGTTCATCCCACCAAAGATTCGGTGCTGTTTTTGGAAAAAGAGGAAATTGTGGAGGAGATTAAAGAGGTACTGTAGATCAATTTTTGGCGCTAAAAATCGTGAAAATTCGGTGTTTTTTAGTCTAGAAAGCTTTAAAAAGTGCCACGTGGCACCAAGACTACGGTAGATCAAATTTTGGCGCGCATTTTTCTCTTTTTTTCAGTACCTTCAAAGAATCGTTGATGACTATTTCAAAGAATCGACTGAAAATCAAAATCCAGCTGAAAATCTGGAAATTTCAGCAAAAACCATGAAATCCATCGAGGCGGTGAGAAGGCAAAGTTCGAGTAACTCGGAAAATTTTCGAGTGGAAAAAATTGGAGCAGAGCGGAAAAGAGTGGATTATATGGTGAGCCTTTTTGCCTGCCACGTGGCTTTTTTCGAATTTTTTTTTCAGGAAATTCGAAACGATTCAAAAGAGCGAAAATTGGATGAATTTATCATAAAATGCCCGAAAAATGCGGAAAAATCCGAAATTTTGACGGATTCTCACATTTTGACGGAAAATTCGACTGAAAATGCAGAAAATCTGGATTTTACACTGAATTTCAGCCAGGAATCCACGATTTTTGATGAAAATGAAAGTTTGGAGGATTTTGAAGAGGAAGACGAGGATTTGGATGAAAATGTGAGATTTTGAATGAAAATTTCAGGATTTTCAGCATTTTTTGAGATAGAAGAATGAAAAATCATGAAAATCTGAAAATTTTGACCTAAAATTAATGTTTGAACCAAATTTTCAAGAATTTTCTGTTTTCGTTTCAATTTCAGCTCAAAATTTTCTGATTTTCATGATTTTTCCCGAATTTTCAGCCAAAAATCTGAAATTTTGAATTTTCAGCGTCGAATTTTCGACTTCACTTCTTTGGTCGAATTGAAGCAACAAATTGAGGATGAGAAATGTTTGAGCTTGAGGTAATTTTTGAATTTTTCAAATTTCGCGCTAAAAAATCCACGTTTTTTTCGCGCGAAAACCCAAAAATGTGAATTTTTCAGCGAAATGTTCAAAACCTTCAATTTCGTTGGATTTTTGGACCCCGAAAATCTACTAATTCAATTTGGAACCAGCCTATATTTGCTGAAATTCGCTGAAATTCTGAAATCCTATTTTTATCAATCGATAATCGAAAATTTCGGCAATTTTGCCAGTTTTCGCCTCGAAAATCCGCTTGAAATCGGCGAGATTTTGTCTGAAAATGAGCTGGAAACGATTCTCGAAGAGAATTGTGAACTTCTCGAGGACTATTTCGCGTTGAAATTCGAAAAATCCGCTGAAAATCGCTGGATTTTGACTGAAATTCCGGAAATCTGCGCGAATTTTGTGCCACAACTCGAAAAATTGCCGGAATTTCTCAAAAATCTCGCCGAAAATGTCGATTTTCACGCGGAAATGCCGTGTTTTCGCGATTTGGCCCGCGTTTTCGCGCAGTTTTTTGTGGTGGAGACGAGATTTTTGGCAGAGGATGGAAATGGTGTTTCGGGATTTTGTGAGCTTGGATGGCGAGAGCAAATGAGGAGGATTTTGGGGAAAATTAAGAGGAATTTGGTGCCCAATGAGCAGATGAAAGAGGTGAGTTTTTGGCTGGAAATTTGGGTTTCTGGGCTGAAAATCTGAAAATTTCAGCTATTTTTGAACTAGGAACTTTGAAAAAAAAACATGAAAACCTGAAACTTTTTTTTCAAGTTCTGAAAAATTTTCAGAACTTTAATATGAGCAATCCAAAAGAATCTAGACATTTTCAACCAAATTTAGTATGACATGAGCAATTTTTTGAAAAAGACTCCAATTTTCCATGTATGTAGTTTCACATGAGCAATCCTCTAAAATCGATTTTTCAAAATTTTTGAAGCTTGCTCATATTATATTCTGAATTCTAAGGATTGCTCATGTTAAGCAGAATTTTAAGTTTAATATGAGCAATCTGATTTTCAAACATTTAGTTAGCATGAGCAATCCTCAAAATTTTGAAAAATCGGTTTTTTATCAAAATTTCGAATTGCCACGTCATAGCTCAATTTTTCAAAATTTTCAAATTTTTTTTGCAGCACATAATTCAATTGGCCGACTCACACGATTTGTACAAAGTTTTCGAGAGATGTGGTGGATAAAATTTTGAAAAATCTTTTTTTCCTGAAAAAAAATGAAAAATTTCTCCCCCACTTTTTGTTTTGTTCTGACAATGATTGATAAGTTTTTTAGCGCCAAAAATGGCGCGCAAGATTTTGCAAAAAGATTGCGTGGATTGTGTGATTTATGAGGACCACCAAAATGTACAGGAGAGAGAGCAAAAATAAATAAATATGGGTGCAAAAATTGGGAAATTTCTCAAGTGAAAGTCGACATTCGTCGTTTGGACATTGGTTTTCGCGACATTTCGACATCTCGCTGCTGATTTTGTGGCGGAGCCGAATCCGAGATTCCGAGCCATTTTAGGAGGCGAGTTGTGTTTGAGATCGAGTGCTTTTTGTCGGCACGACAGTAGTCTGAGGATGTGGAGCGTTGTGGGCCGAGGTCCTGCGACGAAAATTTGGGGTTAGAGACGCAGACAGTGGAAGTTTGCGGATTACACTCGCTCCGCTCGACTAGAGAAAGTCAGAGACGCAGAGAAGTTGGACAACCAGGGTTACCAAAAGGTTAAAGACGCAGTGCTTCTGCGTCTCTAACTAGTTCTCTTCAGCTGTTTGGTTTCTCTGCGTATCTAGATTTCCCATGATCTCTAGCTCTATCACACTAAAGATCATATAGATGCAGAGAAGCTAGACACGAGTCTTTCCGCTACGCGGAAGCTTGCGCATTTCCGCGCTCGAAAAAAAACAAAACTCACATTTGGCTCAAGTGGCTCGAATCCCTCGCGACTTCCATTCGTACTATTTCTGTGCTGCGTCAATCGCACCTGAAGATGTGGAGTCGCACCGCTGTGCACACTGTGACGATGTTTTGTGGTCACCTGTCATGAAATCTGCGTTTTTTTCTCACGAAAATGGATGATTTTCAGCTATTTTTGGGCCGAAATTGCACCAAAACTCAAAAAAAAAAAAAACACAAAAGCTCACGAGATACATTTGCTCAGCACTACCGTTTTTACAAACACTTAGGCTACGAACTTTCATCGGCGGATTCGCGGTGATTTCGACGAATTGGGCGGCTGATTCTTCGCTGAAAATTGAGAAATCACGATTTTGTGCGAAAATCCCGAGTTTTCAGGCCGAAATCTCATGATTTTTAGGTTCCGCATGGTTTTGTGGGCGGGGTTTGAGAAAAACCATGTGGGAATTGCATTCAAGCTCCGCCCACTTCCCACCAAAATCGAAAAAATTCGAAAAACTCGATTTTTGGTCCCATTATCTCTCAAGTATTTCCTCTTTCCCCTGTTTTTACTCATTTTTTTTGTTATTTGTTTTTTCAGTTTTTATGGTGGTTTCAGCCAGTTTTCAGTAAACACACTTTTTTTCTCATTTTCAGAGATCTGAATGAATGAATGACCAAAAAAAAATGTGGAAACTGAAAAACAAAGAGAAGAGAAAATTGGTTCCCTTGTAATAGCGAAAGAGGAATTTTGAGGGGAGGAAAAATGAAAAATTTTTCATTTTCCCCCCGGGATTCTTCTGGAGAAGGCGGAAAAATGACGAGTTTCTTCTTGTCGAGAATTTTTAAGACAAGAAACATCAGAAATCACGGGTGAAATTCAATTTTTTTCGTCGTGCTTCGAAAAGAAAAAGAAAAGACAAAGCTTTTCGCAACATTTTTATTGAAATGTCGAATTTGAGTAAAGTTCAGAGATGGTTAAGCTCGCGTCTTCCAATCTACATTCAAAAAATTTAGCTCAGGTTCGATTCCTGATACCCGCCAATTTTTCAAAACAGCAGAAAAAATTTAATCAAACAGATGCGTTTTCGTAATAAAAAGAAAAAAGACATCAATCTTTTTCACACTGCCTTTTCTTTATTTTTATTTTCGAGATTCGAATTTTTGAAATTGAAAATTTCTCCGAGAGAACTACACAGGAAACTTCTTGAACTCACCATGCCGCTTTGTGAATTTGATTTCGTTGCATTTCAATACTTCGAAGTCGCTCACGATGACGTTTTTCCTTTTCTTTACGTTCAGCCTTCTGGAAAACTCGGGGATTTTTCTCCTAAAATTGCCACGTGGCAAGTTTAGTCCCTTCAAGCTCAAAGTCTACTGGCTCATTTTAGTGTCAAAAATCAGAGCCACCCAAGCCGGATACGCCAAAACTTCCGACAAAAAGCAAAGTCACGTCATTTTTCCCGTTGGCCTCGAAAATCTACTCTACTATACTATACTATAAACAATTTTTTTTCTGGAAAAAAAATCTATTTTCAGCGAGTTAGTCTAAATGAGCGTCATCTGTCTTTTTCTCATAAAACCTATAGGTATTTTTTTCTGTTTTCTCATATTATTTTCTTTGGAACGGCGCCAGCCAGAATGGATGAAAAATTGGCGAAAGGAAGATATAAATCAACAGGATTTACGTGCATTCCGCTTTTTGTCGAGCTATTTTTAGATGATGGGAAAAGGCGTCAACAAGGGGTTTGATTGGCGCGAATTTCGTAGTTTGGAGGTCAAAAATTGAATCTACAAAAGGTGCGTCAACAGGTTTAGTTGACGTAAAAGGTTTGCTGACGCATATTTTGTAAATCAAGATAGTGCATTTTCGTACAATATTTGACCTACACAAAACACGTCAGCAAACACACCTCTTGACACAATTTTCATAGCAAAATTCCAAATAACTAACCTGTTTGGTACGTAAAGCCTGTGCTCCCAACATAATTTGCCTCTTTGCTTTTCTTCAGAAAAAATCTCTGGCCAAAAATAGTTAGCTTTTAGTATAACAAGTAGTGGCTCTTGGGAAAATAAGAAAAAAAAGCGGCAAGCAAAAAATAGAGGCGTGGTCTATTTGAAAATGGGCGGAGCTTGAGCCCATGAAGAAGTGAGAAAGAAGAAGAAGAAGAAAAAAGAGGGAAATTTGAGATTTGAACTTTTCTCGTGTTAAGTTAAGGAGAGCAAAAGAAAGAATGTGTGAAAATTACACACATTTTATTTTGCGAAACATCAGGAAGTTTCGAACTTTTTTGCGAAATGACGAGAAAAGTTCATTTTTAAAGGGCAAGAAAAGAAGAAGAACAAAAAGTTTTATGAGGGTAATTAGAGCACGGGTCATTTTGTGCATTTTGAGCCGAGAAAATGACTTTTGAGCCAGGATTGGCAGGGGAAATTTGAGCTTCACACGGAAAAATACAGAACTCCGCCATTTTCCGGTTAAAATTGAAAACATGACCTCAAAATCGTTTTTCTGACGTAAACCACGATTTCTGGCTCATTTTCAATCAAAAATAATCTGGAAACCCGCTGAAAACATGGAAAATCCAAATTTTCAGGTTAGTTTCAGGCAAATTTACAGAAAAATTAATTGAAACTCGAAATTTCATAGAAATTAGGAATTTCTCGGTTTTCAAGCTCAATTACTGAGCGAAAACTCGAAAAAGTCTAGTTTCTGTGGAAAAACAAAGAAACTTCAAAAAAAAAATGTTCAAAACCAAAATTAAATTCAAAATGAAATCAAAAAATTAAAAATTCCACGCGAAATTCGAAAACCACGTATTTTCCAGCCCATTTTCATTATTTTCATTTCAAAAAATCTGAGAAAAATGACGAAATTCCTATTTTCAGGTAAATCACCCCGGATTTCAGCCAAAAACACAGGGTGTAATTCACTACCTCAAATCGCTAGACCTCAAATTTTTCATTAATTTTTGGGTAGATCAAAAATAATTTTTCTCTAAATCTCTCGTTTTTGCGTTGAATTTCGTCGATTTTAGTCCCACCCCTAAGATCGTGTCAGGTCTCAAAAAATGCGCGAAATTTTTCGGGTAGTAAATTACACTCTGTGAAAAACCGCGATTTTCGGCATAGACGCCCTCCCCCAGAACAAATTTTATCCAGATATCCGATTTTTCCAGTCAATATTCCAAAGATTCATGAATTTCAGCGATTTTTACTGAAAATCTCCAAAATAACACAGAAAATCTTAGAATTTAACAGAAATTAAGGATTTCTCGGTTTCAAGCTCAATTTCTGAGCGAAAACTCGAAAAAGTCTAGTTTTCTGTGAAAAAAACGAGGTTTTTCTATCAAAAACAAAGAAAAATGTTCAAAACCAAAAAAAAAAATCAAAGAAAAATGACGAAATTCGCATTTCCAGGGATTCTTCTCGAATTTCAGCCAAAAAACCGCGATTTTCAGTTGAGACACCCTCCCCAGACCAAATTTTATCCAGATATCCGATTTTTCCAGTCAATATTCCAAAGATTCATGAATTTCAGCGATTTTTAGCTGAAAATCCCCAAAATTTGCGCTTCCCAATCAAAGGCGCATGCACAAATGGGCAAGTTCGTCGCGAGACCCGCCGTATTCCAACATGCACCTTGAAACAGCGCCACGTTCAAATTTTCCAACTCTATTTCCATTTTTCTTGTTTTCCTCGCAAAATAGCCAAATTGTCGTCAAATGCGTTAAAAGAGAGAGAGACAAACAAATGGGACGGACGAAATAGTGTGAGAAGTGGAGAGAGCGCAGAGAAAAGTGTGCAGTTGCGCGTGGCGGTGTTTGCAGAAATTGGCAGGGTGGGAGTTACAACGGTCTGAAAAAGAGACGCGATTATTGGTTTTTTCATTCGATTGCATGCAGTGCAGCTTATAGATTTTTGCGTGTTTTCAGGTTGAAAAATGTCTGAAAGAGTTACACGAACTCGAAATGCAAGTGTTGCGCGAAAACGATATGGAGATGAATTTGAACAAGTTCCACTGAAAAGGCCGTATAATAAAAGTGAAGTGAGTTGGATTTTTAATGGTTAGGAGAGGTTTTCTGGTGAAAATTTGATATTTTCAAGCTTAAAAACCTGAAATAGCTCAATTTTCAGTGTTTTTCTGGTAAAATTCACAGAAAAATGCTTCCAGGGTTGAAAAATCCTGAAATTTAACTAGAAATGCGTCTGAAAACTTGAAAAACTCGAATTTCCATGAAAATTGATTAAAATTTCACTGAAAAATTGAATTTTTAGGCAAAAAATAGCATTTCTCATGAAAACTCGTATTCTAGGGTTGGAAATTCTTGAAATTTCACTGAAAAATAGGATTTTTGGTCATAAATTAGCATTTTTCATGAAAAATCGTATTCTAGGGTTGAAAATCCTTAAAATTTCACTGAAAAATTGAATTTTTGGTCAAAAATTAGCATTTTTCATGAAAAATCGTATTCTAGGGTTGAAAATCCCTGAAATTTCACTGAAAAAAAGCATTTTCGGTGAAAAATTAGCATTTCCTGTGAAAAATCGTATTCTAGAGTTAAAAATCCTTGAAATTTCACTGAAAAATTGAATTTTTCATGAAAAATCGTATTCTAGGGTTGAAAATTCTTGAAATTTCACTGAAAAATTGAATTTTTGGTCAAAAATTAGCATTTTTCATGAAAAATCGTATTCTAGGGCTGAAAATCCCTGAAATTTCACTGAAAAATTGAATTTTGCAAACTCAAAAGCATTTTTCATGAAAAATCTTATCTTAGGGTTGAAAATCCCTGAAATTTCACTGAAAAATTGAATTTTTCATTTAAAAATCACATCATAGACTTCAAAAATCCCCAAATTTCTTTCAGCCCTCCACAATCAAAGTAAAAGTTCCTCCCTCCTCTTCTTCAACCAAAAAAGACACTCCAAAATTCGTCAAAAATCTCTCGCAAAAATCCGGTGCCAAAGAGTTCACAACAAGTTCGGAAGACTCGGAAATCGATGTGACTGGAGACTGTGTTCTGCCAAAAATCACTGCGTCGGGCGAGGAAATAGTGTGCAAAAATGAGAGAACACCGACGAAAAATGAGGATTTTGGACAAGAAGATGATGAAGATGAAGAAGAGGAACAGCAGGATGGTGGACATATGGATACAGAAATGGTTTTTAGCAGTTTTCCTTGTCATGTTATTCCGGATACACTTGTTAGATTGACAAAGACACCGGTTGATGGAGAACATTTGGAGGTATATTTGAAAAGCTGAAAATTTGCGAAATTTCGAGCCCAAAATCGTGATTTTTGATGGATTTTGAGCTCAGCTACCAAAAATGCGCCAGCAAGAGTCTAGATTGACCTGTTGTAGCTAGAAATCGTATTATTTTGACCTACAAAATATACGTCAACAAAAGCTTGTGTTGACGCATGTTTTGTAGGTCATAATCTTGTAATTATGAGCTACCAAAAATGCGTCAGCAAAGATCTCGATTGACGTGTTTTATGCAGCTCAAAATCGTATTATTTTGACCTACGAAATATACGTCAGCAAAAGCTTGTGTTGACGCATGTTTTGTAGGCCAAAATCTTGTAATTATGAGCTACAAAAAATGCGTCAGCAAGAGGCGCGTCTTTTGCAGCTCAAAATCCCACGATTTTTACCTACCAAAAATGCGTCAGCAACATACTCTACTGGCACACTTTTTGTAGACCAACATTGAATTTCAGGTCAGAAAAATGGCGAATGGTCGACTTCGAATTCTTGTAGCTGGTATGAAAACCTACACGGTAAGTCATTTTTTTTTTCAAAAAATTTGCCACGTGTCTCACATTTTTTGTGATCTCTGGCGCCATGTTATTTTTGGCACCCCAACAAAAAATTGTGTTCCTTGGGTGGTCCCGTGGGTCACATTTCAACATTTTCTTCACATTTTTCACAAAAAAGTTTTTTTCAAACTTTTTTTGAGGGAAAAAATTTGTGAAAAAATTTGCGAAGGCGAAAATTTATGCTGAAAGTGTGAATTTTGTAGCTAAAATTGAGCAGGGACCATTTTTCCGGCTGAAATTCGAGAAAAATCGGATTTTTCATGAATCTAGTTCAAAAAAACCTGTAAAATTCATTTTTTCATGAATTTAGGCTTGAAATTCACCGAAAAGCTTAATTTTCAGCTCAAAAAAACCTGAAAAGTTCATTTTTTCATGAATCTTGGCTTAAAATTTGCCATTTTCATAATTTTCAGCCTGAAATTCGTTAAAAACCATATTTTCAGCTCAAAAAACCTGTAAAATTCATTTTTTCATGAATCTTGGCTTAAAATTGGCCATTTTCATGATTTTTATTTCAAAAACCCTGGAAATTCACAAAAAATACTATAAAAGCTCAATTTTCATGATTTTCAGTCTGAAATCACTCCAAAATTTAATTTTAAGCCCAAAAATCCCCCCTAGGCTTAAAATTGGCCATTTTTCATGATTTTTACCTCTAAATCACCCAAAAGTCCATCCCAAATCCAAAAATCTCAAAATCTGTTCCAGCCCTACTCCACAATGACTCATCGTCCTTGCATCGTTTGTAATCGTCAAATGACATGCGGTGAAATGCACCTCAATTTTCCCGCCGATTTGGATCGCCGTCGAATTTGGGCAAATCTCCTGGGCTTCAAATACAAGGATATTTTACGGTCGAAAATCGGCCCCGTCACTTTATCTGTAGCCGGCGGACCGATTTGTACCGAACATTTTTCCGAGGAATGTTTCCGGAATCACAATTTCAACAAGGCTGCCATTGAGGCTTTTGGTGTGCCGGTTGCGATTTCGCCCGATGTTAAGACGACGCCGAGTAAGAAGAGGTGAGGTTTTGGGGGAAAAAGAGCCTGACTAGGCCTAAAATGAGCCTAGATATGCTAAAATCCATGAAAATTGAGCCTAAATAGGCTTAGAATGCCTCTAAAAATGTTTTGAAGAGCCTAAAATGAGCCTAGATCAGGCCTAACCTGAGAAAGCTCAATATGGGCCCAAATATGCTAAAATTCATGCAAATTGGGCCTAGAAACGGTGAACATGAGCCCCAATAGGCCTAGGATGAATTTCAAGCTGAAAATGTCCAAAAATTGCTGAAATCTTGAATTTTCACCTAAAATTCACTGAAAATGATGAATTTTGACCCAATTTCCATTCAAAAATGGTCCGAAAATTCTTTAATCTTTTTGGGATTATATTTTGTGTTTCCAAAAAAAAAATCTAATAATAAACACTTGTGTCTTTCTTTCTTTCTTTTTTGTGCCCTTATTAGATGTATTTATTTATTTTATTTTAAGTAAACTTTGGTCTCTTTTGGAGAAAATGGGGGTTGAAAATGGCCTACAAAATATGCGTCAGCGAAATTGCTTGTTGACGCGTTTTTTGTAGACCGAAAACAAAGAAAACTGACCTACAAAATATGCGCCAGCGAAATTGCTTGTTGACGCGTTTTTTGTAGACCAGAAACAAAGAAAATTGGGCTACAAAATTTGCGTCAGCAAAATTGCTTGTTGACTCGTTTTTTGTAGACCAAAAACAAGGAAAATTGGCCTACAAAATATGCGTCATCGGAATGCTTGTTGACGCGTTTTTTGAAGCTCTTAAAACCTGATCTACAACCTGCAAAATATGCGTCAACTAAGAGTTTCACTGACGTGTTTCTTGTACCTTGAAAACCTGCAAAAATTGTTTCAGAAAAGCTTTGAATTGACGCATAATTTGTAGCTAGATGATTGTTACAAATTTCGCGTCAACTAAGAGTTATACTGGCGTGTTTCTTGTAACTTGAAAATCTCATAAAAAATCAACACTGACGCATTTTCTTCCAGAGTCCCATGGGTTTGCACAATCTGTCCATTCAACACGTGTGACGTCACCGAACTCCGTGATCATTTAGTTGAACACACTGACGAAATGATGAAAGATCAATTGAACTCTCTGCATGCTCCACCAGCCGGTTTCATGTGTCCATTCTGCCGTAAATGCACCTACGGCTATCGCACAGTTTCCGGATTCCGCCGACATTTGCTAACTCCACCAGTTCAACATTGTCACCTGCGCAGGATCTATGAATTCGCCAAAATGAATTGTCGCGCGTCGGAATTGGAGCCGATTGATTCGTGGGAGAAGTGGACGAGACGCAATGTTTATGTGGCTTATCATGGATGTGAACCGCCGGTTGATGAGATTGTATTGACACCGTCGCCAACGAAGAAATCCGGGGGAAAGGTTGGTGTTTTTGCTGGATTTTAGGCGAGATTTGGAGCATTTTGATACCAAACACTCTACAAAATTCGCGCCAGCAGGAATATAGATTGACGTGTTTTTTGTAGCCCAAAATCCCAATATTTTGACCTACAGAAAATGCGTCAACAAGAATGTGGACTGACGTGTTTTTATCCCCTGCAAACATCGACGTTGACACGATTTTTGTAGCCCAGAAGAAGCTATTTCTCGACCCACACAATTCGCGCCAGCAGGAATATAGATTGACGTATTTTTTGTAGCCCAAAATCCCATTATTTTGACCTACAGAAAATGCGTCAACAAGAATGTGGATTGACGTGTTTTTTCCCCTGCAAACATCGACGTTGACACGATTTTTGTAGCCCAGAAGAAGCTATCTCTCGACCTACAAAATTTGCGTCAACAAGAATGTAGATTGACGTGTTTTTTGTAGTAGAAAAACATCTGCAAAATTAGCGTCAACAAAGCCTGAAATCTCATCATTTTGAGCTACAAAATCTACGTCAACAAAGCAACATTGACGCATTTTTTGTAGACCTACAAAAAATACGCCAACCCAAACTCTTCACTGACGCATTATTTTCAGCAACGCTTCGACCCGAAACGTCAAGCCGGTCAATCAACATCCGGTGCAGTTCGATCACTCTCATTTGGCAATGAGCCAACTTCAGCTGGTGGAGCAAGTGCGCTCCAACGCAAATCCCATCTCCTTCCCAACAATCCACCCAAAAATGAGCCAATTCAAGAGGAATTGGATGAAAAACCATTGCTCATGTTAGTTTTTCACCCAAAAAAATGTGTTAAAATGCTCAAAAATCTCTGAATTTTCAGCCCGCCACCACCAATTTCCACAGATGGTTCACAAACTTCAACATCCACATCTTCGCCCACAAAAAAACCACAAAATGAGCCGAAAAAAGAGCCGAAAGTCGATGACGTGGCATTTGCGCAAATGATTGAGAAACGGGCCAAAAATCTGCAACGATTGATGAATGCCAAAAAGCCCACAACTCAACAGGCTGTCAAGCCCAGAAAGCCCAATTTTACGCTGAAAATGGGAGCAGCTGCTGGAACGGTACGGGGGGAAATGAGCGAAATTTTGAGATTTTTAGTGAATTTTGATGGTTTTTAGTCAAAAAATCTGAAAATTTAGCTGGAAATCATTGATTTTCACTCAATTTTATGCTGAAATTTGAGATTTTCAGTGAAAATTTGACCCAGAATGTGAATTTTGAAGGTTTTCAGCCAAAAAATATGAAAATTTAGCTGGAAATCACTGATTTTCAATCACTTTTATTGAGATTTTCAGCAAAACATCGGCAATTTTTTATCCCGGAAAAATTAGGTTTCAAAAATTTTAGAAATTTTTTTGAGATTTTTGGAAATTGTTATTCATGGGAATTAGCTTTTCTATAAAATTATTGAAAATTTAGCTGAAAATCCTGACAGTTTCATGCTGAAATTTGGTTTTAGATCTAAAAATGCTTAAAAATTGATTTCTGGGTAAAAACTTGTAGAAAATCCCGATTTCCAGCCAAAAATCCCGATTTTCAGAGCGAAATCAAGCCAAAAATCGAAGGAATTGTGAAAGAAGAAGTTGTTTTGGAAGACGAAAGACCGTTGAAATCGGTTTTGGCTCGAAGTTTTGCGGCCGGCGAAAAACCATCGATGGAAAAATACAAATTGACACCACAAATAATGGCTGAAGAGATGAAAAAACAACAACAATACGCGATGCCGCCGCAACCGCAACCGAAAATTGTCAAAAAATCCGAGATTATTGTGCGAAGATTTGGTGGCGGTGGTGGGGTTTTGGGCGGAAAACGACCAATGATTTTGTCGTCGCCGAGAAGTGAGTGATTTTGGGCGGGAAATGAGCCAAATTTCGAGATTTTTGAGCAAAAATGAGCCAGGAAGCGTGGATTTTTGACCTACAAAATTTGCGTCAACAAATAACCTTATTGACGTGTTTTTTGTAGCTCGAGAAACTCCTTTATTTGACCTACAAAATTTGCGCCAGCAAATACCCTTATTGACGTGTTTTTTACCCTGAAAACCTTCTTATTTGACCTACAAAATATGCGTCAACAAATACCCTTATTGACGTGTTTTTCGTAGCTCGAAAACCAACCTTATTTGACCTACAAAATATGCGTCAGCAAATACCCGTATGGACGTGTTTTTTGTAGCCTAAACGCCCCTTTATTTGACCTGCAAAATATGCGCAAGCAGATACTCTTATTGACGTGTTTTTTGTAGCTCAAAAACCTTTGTATTTAATCTACAAAACTTACGTCAGCAAATATCCTTATTGACGTGTTTTTGTAGCTCGAAAACCTTCTTATTTGACCTACAAAATTTGCGCAAACAAAATCTAGATTGACGCAAATTTAGCAGGTTTTGGTTTTCCCATTTGAAGTCAAATTTTATTTTTTTGTTTGTTTACAAAACTTGGGTTCCCTTATCTTATCATTGCACTTTTTTTGCAAAAAAAAATTATTTTTCTAAATTTTTTCAAAACAAAAATTGATTTTCAGCTAAAAATCTCAAATTTTCAGCAAAAATCGTGCCAAAACCCGAAGCTGCGCGTGAAAAATCGATAACTCCGCCCACACAACAACTTGCACAAACTCCCAAAAATGAGCCGGTGCCTGAGCCAACTACTCAACCCGAGCCCGAAATTCAAGCGGAGCCCGAAAAATCGACGGCTGCTCCACCAATGATGACATTGGCGGATGCGTTGGCGAAACAAGGAGAATCGGAAGAGGATCCGAATTTGGATGCGAATTTGGAGGAATTGTTGAAAGATGTGAGGTTTTGGGGGGTTTAAAATGAGCTCTGGAGCATTTTCTGAGTGAAAATTTGGATTCTGGAGTGATTTTTGACCCTGGAATCGATTTTTGAGCTGAAAATGAGCTTTGGAGCATTTTCTAACTGAAAAATTGGATTCTGGAGTGATTTTTGACCCCGGAATCGATTTTTGAGCAGAAAATGAGCTTTGGAGCATTTTCTGAAGGAAAAATTGGATTCTGGAGTCAAAAATGAGCCCAGAATCGATATTTGAGCTAAAACTGAGCTCTGGAGCATTTTTTTGAAGGAAAATTTGGATTCTGGGGTCAATTTTGATCCCAGAATCGATTTTTGAGCCAAAAATGAGCTCTGGAGCATTTTTTGAAGGAAAAATTGGATTCTGGAGTCAAAAATGAGCTCTGGAGCATTTTCCGAGTGAAAAATTGGATTCTGGAGTGATTTTTGACCCCGGAATCGATTTTTGAGCTAAAAATGAGCTCTGGAGCATTTTCTGAATGAAAAATTGGATTCTGGAGTGATTTTTGACTCCGGAATCGATTTTTGAGCCAAAAATGAGCTCTGGAGCATTTTTTGAAGGAAAATTTGGATTCTGGAGTAAAAAATGAGCTCTGGAGCATTTTCCGAGTGAAAAATTGGATTCTGGAGTGATTTTTGACCCCGGAATCGATTTTTGAGCTAAAAATGAGCTCTGGAGCATTTTCTGAATGAAAAATTGGATTCTGGAGTGATTTTTGACTCCGGAATCGATTTTTGAGCCAAAAATGAGCTCTGGAGCATTTTTTGAAGGAAAATTTGGATTCTGGAGTAAAAAATGAGCTCTAGAGCATTTTTGAGCTAAAAAACTTGGATTTCTAATTATTTTCAGTTGAAAGCCTAATTTCGGCCTAAAATCAGTCTAAGCTTTTTTGGGCTCAAAATTTCCCAATTTTCATGCTGAAAATCAATTTCTGTCTGAAATTTTCAGATTTTTTTTCTGAATTTACATCTAATTTTGCAGCCATCATATTCAACATTGGAATTTCAACAAAATGCTCAAGCTCAACAAAAGAACAGCTATAAAATGAAGCAAGAAATGCGAATGTCAAAACAATGTATTCGACAATTGGAAGCGGCTCGAGCAAGAGCACGTTTATTTGGAGAAGGAAATGAGCAAGAAGAAACATTTGATATTGTTAATACCGAAGAAGGACCACAAGTGGTATGAGCAATTTGTGGGGTTGAAAAATGAGCCAAAAAACGGTGAAAATGCTCAATTTTGAGCCTAAATATGTTGAAATTCATGAAAATTGAGCCTGGATAGGCCTAAAAGTGTTTTGGAGGGCCTAAAAGTACCTAGAATTCTGACGAGCCTGAAATAAAGGGTTTTCACCTGAGCAAGCCTAATTTGAGCCTAAAATTCATGAAAATGAGCCTGAACAGGTCTAAAAGTGTTTTGAAAGGCCTGAAAGTACCTAGAATTTCGACAAGCCTAAATATAGGTATTTTTAACATGAGCAAGCCTAAATTTTATGAAAAATGAGCCTGAGCAGGCCTAAGAATCTTTTGAAGGGCCTAAAAGTACCTAGAATTTTGACAAGCCTGAGCAAACCAAATTAGCTTCTATTTTTGCCAGGCCTAAAATGAGCCTAAAAGATTTTAGTAGGGTCTAAGATTCAGCCTAAATCTAAGGCCTAGAACGGGCCTGAGGCCTAAATTTCCCCCAAAAATCCAAATTTTTTTGCAGATTGCTCGAAATGATCCAGAATGGAAAATTCGAAATCAAAATTTGGAAGGAGCTGAAGCGGAGCCAAAAAATGATGAAATTTAAGAATTTTCAGCCAAAAATCCAATTTTCTTCACTGTTTTTACTAAACCAACTCAGGTTTTCCCCCTTTTTTTCAAATTTTTTTTTTGAAAAATTCAAATTTTTTAATGTTTTTTCACACAATTTACCGAATCCCCCAAAGATTTTTTTTTTGAATTTTTAATTTTTTAATAATTAATTTTAGTTTTTTTCTAGCCCCGCCCCCTTTTTTTCCCCGTTTTTTTCTTGAAATTTTGAATTTTTGTGCTATTATGAAGTGTTTTTCTCCAAAATTTAGAATTTTTGCGATTTCTCACCGTTTTTTCGGAATTTTTATCGATTTCAAGGGATTTTCAGATGAAATCCACACATTTTCAGCATATTTTATGGCTGAAAATTTGCAAATTGATGAGATTTTGAACCAGAAACGAATTGGAGATGTGATAACTAAAGCTTTTGCGATTTTTTTCTTTCCACTTGGTGAGTCTGAAAATTTCAGTCAAATATTGATTTTCAGCATGAAAATTGGGAAATTTTGAGCCTAAAAAAGCCTAGGCTGTTTTTAGGCCCGGTTTCAGGCCTTAATTAGGCTTCCAACGGAAAACGATCAAAAATTAAAGTTTTATAGCTCAAAACGCTCCGAATTTTCTGAAAAATCGGAAATTTTCAGTCAAAAATTGATTTTCAGCATGAAAATCTGAAAATTTTGAGCCTAGGCTGTTTTTAGGCCCGCTTTCAGGCCGTAATTAGGCTTTCAAATGAAAATGATCAAGAATTCAAGTTTTTTAGCTCAAAATGCTGAATTTTCTGAAAAATCTGAATTTTCCAGCCAAATCTTGATTTTCAGCATTAAAATCTGGAAATTTTGAGCCTAAGGACACCTAGGCTGTTTTTAGGCCCGCTTTCAGGCCGTAATTAGGCTTTCAAATGAAAATGATCAAAAATTAAAGTTTTATAACTCAAAATGCTCCGAATTTTCTGAAAAATCTGAAATTCTGAGCCTAAAGACGCCTAGGCTGTTTTTAGGCCCGGTTTCAGGCCGAAATCAGGCTTTCAGCTGGAAATAATCAAGAATTCAAGTTTTTTAGCTCAAAATGCTGAATTTTCTGAAAAATCTGAATTTTCCAGCCAAATCTTGATTTTCAGCATTAAAATCTGGAAATTTTGAGCCTAAGGACACCTAGGCTGTTTTTAGGCCCGGTTTCAGGCCTTAATTAGGCTTCCAACGGAAAAAATCAAAAATTCAAGTTTTATAGCTCAAAATGTTCCGAATTTACTGAAAAATCTGAAATTTTCAGCCAAATATTGATTTTTGCAGGCCTAATTCTTCTAATTATTCGATGTTTCATCGGTGTCCACGCGTTTCTCATAGCTTGCCTACTTCGAAAATCGAATCGAATTCGATCGATTGTGATGCGATTCATGTGTTGTGTTTTGGGAATTGTGGTGCGGAAATTTGGTGAGAGGTGGGTGATTTTTGGGCTGTTTTGAGCCAAAAATCATGAAAAATGCTCAATTTTGAGCCGAAATTCGTGAAAAATGAGCATTTTGAGCCTATTTTTCAGTTTTTTAGCTCAAATTTAAAGATTTTCAGCCAAAAATCCCGAAATTTCCAGAGACGAATCAGCTCAAGTGCTCGTCTCAAATCACATTTCAATTTTGGATCATTTGGCAATCGACCTGATTTCTCCTTGCTTTTTACCTTCTATTTGGGATATTCCAACAGTCATTAGATGGTGAGTTTTGATACCAAATAGTACGGTAGTTTTAAAGGAGCATGCGCGAAAATTTGAATTTTTCCGTGATTCATATATATAAATTAGCCATTCAACAGTGGCGAGCAAAAGACGCTCGTAGCTCAGGCGGTTAGCGCACACTGTTTTGATCTAGAGGTCACGGGTTCGATCCCAGGTGCTGGCAAACTTTTTTTTCTTTTTCTTGAATTTCTCAAATTCCCACTAGAAATTCCAGATTTCTGCTGAAAATTATTGATTTTGCAGGTGCTTCGGATACGTGGATTTGGGTGCATCACGTGGTCGCTCGGAATTGGTTCAAAATGCCAAAAAATTGTTGGCCGAAACACGCGGACAACCGATTTTGGCATTTCCGGAAGGCGAAATTACGAACGGCAAAAGAGCGCTGCTCAAATTTAGGTACAATCTTTGAAGAAGGCCCGAAAAAGCCTGAAATAGCCCAGAAAGCCTGGAAAGGCCTGAAAATCTCGAATTTTCACTCAAAAAAGCCCCCAAAAGCCCCCTATTTTCAGCACGTGGGCTTTCGAAATATCAGACGTGGTTCAACCGATTTCCATCACAGTATCTCGGCCGGTTCCATGGAATTTCTCAGTTTCCCGAATCGCTGCTTCTTGGTTGGCTGATTTGGTTTTGTTCTTTGCAATTCCCGCCACATTTATCAATGTTGAATATTTGCCGAAATTGACGAGGAATGAGGATGTAAGCATGATTTTCAGCCGAAATCTGAAATTCGAATTCAAGAGCTTCAAAATGAGTCTAAACATGATTTTCAAAAATTTCAGATTTTGGCTGAAAATCGCCCTGAAACCTGAAATTCAATAAATCAGGTTTAGGCTCATTTTGAAGTTCTTGAAATTCTCTACAAAATGAATTCCAACATGATTTTTCAGATTTTAGCTGAAAATTTCAAATTTCCAGGAATCAATCGATGAATTCGCCCTTCGTACCGCTCAAACCATCGCCACGCATTTGAAAATCGAAGTTTCGAATTTCGAACCTCGAGATGTTGCAGAAGCGACCAAAAGATGGAAAAGAGATCAATTCGAGAGAAGAAATCAGGCTGGAAATAGTGTGAGTCTGGAATTTTTGGGCTGAAAATGTGGAAATGGTCCAAAATTCATGATTTTTACATGAAAATGACCCTGAAATCCTCAAATTTTGAAAATAATTTCAGTTGTCATCTGGTTCGTCTGGAAATCGTCTTCAAAACGATCGTCAATTGGATGAATGTGCAATGAGAATCAAACAATCACATCCATCATTCCATTTGTCGTTGATTCGAGAGGATTTGCAAAAAACTCGAAATCAGGCGGCAACTATTACAAATTTGAAATTGGGAAAAATTCCCAAGGATTTGAATCCGAATTTGGATGGAAAGGTAGGGGAAATTTGGGGGTTTTTGGGGTAGAAGCTTAAAAATTCTGAAAATACGGAATTTTTTGAGCTTCTGTTCTGAAATATCTAAATTTCAAGCTTCTGGATCTGAAAATTCGAAATTTTCAGGTTTTTTTGGTCTAGAAGCTTAAAAATTCTGAAAATTAGGAATTTTTTGAGCGTCTGTTCTGAAATATCTGAATTTCAAGGTCCAGCATCTGAAAATTTGAAATTCCCACGTTTTTTTGGTCTTGAAGCTTAAAAATTCTGAAAATAAGGAATTTTTCAAGCTTCAGCATCTGAAAATTAGCAATTTTCAGGTTTTTTTGGTCTAGAAGCTTAAAAATTCTGAAAATAAGGAATTTTTTGAGCTTCTGTTCTGAAATATCTAAATTTCAAGCTTCAGCGTCTGAAAATTTGGATTTTTCAGGGTTTTTTGGTCTAGAAGCTTAAAATTTGAAAAACTCGGAAAATTGAGCTTGTAGATCAGAAAATTTCAGGATTTTCAGCTTTTTTCTCCTAGTAAAAATTTTTCCCAATTTTCAGATAAATCTCGATCCATCTTCGTGGAAATCGATTTTCTCCTCAAGAAAATGGCAAATGATTGAAGAGAATCGTAGTAAATATTTGCAAAAGGATGGGTAAAATTTAATTTTGGTTTTTTTTCGCTTTTATGTATGTCAGTATTATTTTTCGGTGATTTTTTGTTTGGAAACTGCTGCTAATAAATAAATAAATTTCGAAGAACTTCCGTGAGAATTCAAAAATTATAGTCGATTTTCCGTATTTGATTAGAAAATAAGTACTTGATGATAAATAACTTGTTCATTCAGTTCCCGAGAAAACGACTTTATGAGCCATTAACGCAAAAATTGCAACATAAAGATAATTTTAATTACTTTTAGCGAAAAATGCAGAACTCAAGTGAATAAGGTCCATTTTTATTGAGAGGAGTTGGAAAATGATAAGAAAAACCCGAATAAAAGGCCGGTTGCAGTAACAAAAATTTGATTTTAGTCATAATTTTTGTACAGAGAAATGAATTCATTGATGTTATATAATCAAAATATTTATATAAATATATTTTTATATTTAATGTATTTATTTTTTGATTTATCTATCAGAGCTTTCGTAGCCACTTATTTATATGATCTTTACCATTCTTACGTAAATCGTAATTACGATTTTGAGGTGAGTCGAGTTCATTATTTTTTCGGTAGAGCACGTTTGCTATTAATTTAAAAAATCTCAACCTCAACATTTTTCAGAATTTCGTTGAGCAATTGGTCAATATTGATTGGGAGAAAATCATACGAAGGAGCGTATTTTCGGGGAAATGTTTAATTGATTTGTTAAAAATTATTATTAAAATTCGAAAAGGGGTCGAATAATATGAATTTTTGATATTTCATATTATTTTCTCCCGTATTTGATTATTGAAAGGTAGTTTTTTTCTAACCTATGTGGTTATTTTCTACTAATTAATAAAAAATCAAATCGATGTCTTTGTTCTACAAAAAACACGGAATTTGCTAACAGAATGAAAACAGTATCACAAGAACTTCCATCCAAATTAAGCTGAACATGAAAAGAATCTCGAATTTTTCTAATAAAAATTCCAACCTTCCGATGTCAAAAATTGTCCATGTACATGTTTTCATCAAATTAAAAACATTCATATTATATTCAGAGAAAAGCTTTAAAAAATTATTAAGAATAAAAATCAAACTCGCACTGGAATCTTGACACGGAAATGTCGCTCGAATTTCTGGATTGCCGATTTTCGGCACATTTCGTTGATTGTTAGAGTGTCTATTACTGCGGCGATTTTGGAGAGACTCAAATGTTGACCATATCGCGGCTCGAATTTTCTGTAGAGATTGCTGAGGAAGTCGAAGATTTCGGCGGTTCGCATTTCGAGCTCGTTCTGCAAAAAAAATGGGTTTGGCCGTTTTTTTATTAGATCTAAATTCAGAATTTTCTAGGGTTGTTCTAAAAAAAATACCTCAATAAGTTCTCGGCAAAACGCATTCTTCCAATTATAAAATTCCGTCGATTTCACCTCCAAATCGCCCGTAAAACACCATGACTGGAACTTCCTTGGGTCCTCTTTCTTCTCGACTTTTTCAGTCTTCGAAATTTTTTCAACAAAACCGTTTACGAAGTCACAGAATTCGTCGACCAATTGCTCAGCCATCGCTTCATTTTTAGCTTTTTGTTTTTCAAGCGATTCCACGTGTTTTTCGAGAATCTTGCAGCGTTTGAAGAATAATTCGCGGTTTTTCGATTCTGGACGCCAGACTTCCTGAAAAAAGTTTTATTATGATAAATCTTAGGACAAAAATTGACTCACCGGAACCTCCAAATCTTCTTTATCTTTAATTAAACCATCAATAGATGTTTTATATTCGGCAGAAGATGAAGGTTCAGCTGAAGTGATGAGCTCTCGAGGAGAGTTCGAGTCTTTTTGAGAAGTTGAAGCTTCTTCAGAGGTTTCTTTATTTTCCAGCTCGGTTTCGATGTTTTCAGATTCAAGACAAGCTTCTTGAGCAACCTCCAAATTTTCGTTTTCAAATTGATCCGAGCTTTCTGGGTTTTCCAGCTTCGATGCGATTTCAACATCTACTATTATATTTTCAAGAACATCCAAAACTTGTTCAGCTTGATCTTCTACAGAAATTTCCATTTCAACAATCATATTTCCAAGAGTTTCAGTAACTTCGAGATTTTCAGCTGGATCTTCTTGTTCAGAATTCGAAATTTCTCCAGATTCTTCTCTATTTTCCAACTCAATCTTCATATTTTCAGAATTCGCAGAAACTTCGAGTTTTGCGGTGATAATTTCTCCAGAATTCGAATCCCCAGGAGTTTCCACTTCAACAATCGTATCAGAACTCGAACCTGCTTCACAAATCGTTTTGTTTTCCAATTCGATCTTCATATTTCCAGCCATCTCCGCCTCCTTCTTCGCAATTTCTTCCAGAACATCAGGCTTCAATTTCCAGCGCTCCTCTTCTTCTACAGAACTTCCACTCGAAGTTTCCCATTCATCCTTCTCTCCAGTTCCGTGATAAGACATGCATTTCTGGTTGTTTTTCTTCATTTTCGCAAATTTCGGGTTTTTCGAAAGAACCCGAAAAAAAAATTTCGGGTTTTTCGAAAAAAAAAATCAATAAATAATTTCAACGTGTAAACGTTGAGTACTCAGTAAAGGTCTCGACGCGAGCAGCGAATTTATTATGTGTGCCTTTGAAATTACAGATTTTTTTTGTTTTTTCGCGATTTTCACCAAAGTTTCTCAAATAAAAACCAAAAAAAATTTATTACAAAGACAAACAAAAAATGAGTAAGATTTTCTAGCAAAAAATACACCATAAGTTACTATTACACAGATAAGGAGAAAGAGCAAAGAACCCAAAATATCTGGGTGAAAAAATCACAAAAATTCTCGGAAAAATACCTGTCAATTACAGCACAGCGTATTTACAGATAAAAAAAAAACAAACAAAGATACGGGTTTACAACACTAGTTTTCTGAAAGAGCAAAGAGATCATGAAAGAATAGAATAATATTATATAAAAAAAGAATAGTGGAGAAATAGTGTGATAAAATGAGAGATTTGGAGAATTTCTATACTATAAATGATATTTTTTTGTATTTTCACTGGGGGATCATTCGAGCTCACCATCTTCTAGATCCATGTCTGATGAAGAATGTGATAATGGTGGAGGGATTGGTGGTGGAGTTAGAGTTGAAGAAATATCGAATCTGCTGAAAATTTGCAGTTTTTTGACACCACTTGAGGCATGGTTTTGTGGGCGGAGCTTGCTGCAGCTCCGCCTACAAAACTATGCCGCAGGATTGCAGAAATCGGTTATGCCTCCTTTTTTTGTAAAGGGGTTTTTGATTTAGATAAGCCCCGCCCACAAAACAGTGCCGCAAATGCAGAATTTTCATTTTCTTCTGGAAATAAACCATTCACTACAATAATCAAAGATTTTCATCGGCTCCGCCCATAAAACTGCGCCAGGCTTGCAAAAATCTAGAACTCTGCAAGACGGACACAGTTTTATGGGCGGGGCCGATGAAAATCTTTGATTATTGTAGTGAAATAGTGAAAATGGTTTATTTTCAGAAGAAAATGAAAATTCTGCATTTGCGGCACTGTATTGTGGGCGGGGCTTATCCAAAAAAGGAGGCGTGACCGATTTCTGCAATCCTCGCACAGTTTTTCGCCATTTTTCAGTGCTAAACATGATTTACCTTGAAAAATCAACCTAACTCACTTTGGCAAAACCACCGGCGACAAGGGTTTTTCAACTTTGCGCAACTGTTGATACGGTTTCATTGAATTATTCGAAGAGTTCGCCGAACTCCCCGAATTTCTTACAAAATTCGACGAAAGCGGGTCGATTTTCGGACGCTTGTCCAAATTTCCCATCACAACAATTCCGGCCATTTGATCATGGACTCGTTTGCGTCTCTCGTCTTCCTGATTTCGTTCCTTGTCCATTTTGTCGAGTTGCGCTAACTCCTCTTTTTGCCTGCGTCTTTGTTCGTCAAATCTTCGCGATGTGTTGTTTTCCGATGTTTCCGATCTTTTGTTGTGATTATTATGATTGTTGAAATCGTTGTAGTTATGACGTGGCGACGGTTTTAGGCGATCCTGCAAATTTTGAGATTGCCGCATGGTTTTGGGGGCGTGGCTTGTGAATTCAGATATTTGGTAGGGACTTTGTCCTATAAAATGCAATCCTGGCACAGTTTTTTTTTTCAAAATTAATAATGGAAAATTCAATTTTCAAAATTGTCAATGAGAAAAAACTGTGCCAGGATTGCATTTTATAGGTAAAACTGTGCCAGGATTGCATTTCTTATCTACAAAATTAGAAAAATGCAACCCTGGCACAATTTTTTCTCAATTTTGCAACCCTGGCACAGTTTGTTCTTGATGAAAATTTTGATTTATTGTTTGAAAAAAACCGTGCCAGGATTGTAGAAATTTGAAAAAATCAAGAAAATTGTGCCAGGATTGCATTTTTATTTACAAAATTAGAAAAATGCAACCCTGGCACAGTTTTTTCTTTATGAAAATTTTGATTTTTTGTTTGAAAAAAAACCGTGCCAGGATTGTAGAAATTCGAAAAAATCAAGAAAACTGTGCCAGGATTTCATTTTTATTTACAAAATTAGAAAAATGCAACCCTGGCACAGTTTTTTCTTTATGAAAATTTTGATTTTTTGTTTGAAAAAAAACCGTGCCAGGATTGTAGAAATTCGAAAAAATCAAGAAAACTGTGCCAGGATTTCATTTTTATCTACAAAATTAGAAAAATGCAACCCTGGCACAGTTTTCCCTCAATTTTGCAATCCTGGCACAGTTTTTCCTCAATTTTGCAACCCTGACATAGTTTTCCCTATAAAATGCAATCCTGACATAGTTTTCCCTCAATTTTGCAATCCTGGCACAGTTTTTTCTCAATTTTGCAATCCTGGCACACTTTTCCCAATTTCCCACCTTATTATATTCGCCAGTTCTTCCTTTTGCACCCATTGGCGAAGTCGAGTCGCGGAATGCGATTTTTGAAGCATAGTGCATATTTGAGCAAGAATTATAGACACGCATGAATTCCTCTTCCATTTCTGCGAGAAAAATCGATTTTTGGGTGAAAATTCATGAAATTTGGCACATTTTAAGCCTCACCTTTAAGCCTTTCATCAGTCATTTCGCTGTCAAATTGAAGATACCATTTTTTATCGTTGAAAACGGATTCCATCTGAAACTAGGTGATTTTTGGCGGCAAAAACAATCTACCGTACCTTGACATCGGAATGTATTGAGACCAGGTGAACAACAGCCACAGCAATGGCTTTGGGTGAATATCTGATGGCCCAATCCATAACGCAGAGCCTGAAACATTTGATTTTAGGTAAAAAATCATGAATTTTAGGTAAAAAATCATGATTTTTCACCCAAAATTGATATTTTTCTACCAAAACTCACACATCAGTTGCAAAATAATAGGCACAGGTTTTGATTTTTTGTCGGATATAATTGTTGGAATTGTCGAATTTATGAATAATGCGGATTACATATGAGTGTGGTAGATCGACATTGAGATCGAATGCTGGAGAGAAAAAAATATATAAAAATTGTGCATTTTCACGTGGAATTTGGTGTTTCGGGAGTACTGTAGGTGATTTGAAGAGAATCTGTGCATTTTTACGTGGAATTTGGTGTTTCGACAATGTTTTAGTGATTTTTTTGAAAGGCTTTCGAGATTACTCTGCATTTTCGCGTGAAATTTGGTGTTTAGGGGGTACTGTAGGTGATTTAGAGGATTCTGTGCATTTTTGCGTGAAATTTTGTGTTTGGACGAAGTTTCTAGTGATTTTTTAAAAGGCTTTTGAGATTATTCTGCATTTTTGCGTGGAATTTGGTGTTTAGGGGGTACTGTAGGTGATTTGAAGAGAATCTGTGCATTTTTACGTGAAATATGGTGTTTAGGAGGTACTGTAAGTGACTTAGAGGATTCTGTGCATTTTTCCGTGAAATTTGGTGTTTAGGGAGTACTGTAGGTGATTTGAAGAGAATCTGTGCATTTTTACGTGAAATTTGGTGTTTAGGGGGTACTGTAGGTGATTTGAAGAGAATCGGTGCATTTTTACGTGGAATTTAGTGTTTAGGGGGTACTGTAGGTGATTTGAAGAGAATCTGTGCATTTTTTTGTGGAATTTGGTGTTTAGAGGGTACTGTAGGTGATTTAGAGGATTCTGTGCATTTTTACGTGGAATTTAGTGTTTAGGGAGTACTGTAGGTGATTTGAAGAGAATCTGTGCATTTTTGCGTGAAATTTGGTGTTTAGGAGGTACTGTAGGTGATTTGAAGAGAATCTGTGCATTTTTACGTGGAATTTGGTGTTTAGGGGGTACTGTAAGTGATTTAGAAGATTCTGTGCATTTTTACGTGGAATATGACGTTTTACGACACTAATTCCGATAAAATTGTCAATTTCTGTGCATTTTTTTGTGGAATTTGGTGTTTAGGGGGTACTGTAGGTGATTTAGAGGATTCTGTGCATTTTCGCGTGAAATTTGGTGTTTAGGAGGTACTGTAGGTGATTTGAAGAGAATCTGTGCATTTTTGCGTAAAATTTGGTGTTTTGACGAAGTTACTAGTGATTTTTTAAAAGGCATTCGAGATTACTCTGCATTTTTACGTGGAATTTGGTATTTAGGGGGTACTGTAGGTGATTTAGAGGATTCTGTGCATTTTTGCGTGAAATTTGATGTATCTAGGGTAATTTTTGAATTCTGTCCATTTTTACGTGAAATTTGGTGCTTTTCAGCATTTTCTATCGAAAAATGTGAAAATTTCGGAATTCTGTGCATTTTTCAGGTGAATCTAGTGAAATTTTGTGTTTTTATGGGATTTACTGAGTTTTCAATGCATTTTAACCAAGAAAAATAGCGAATTTTCTTGAAAAACCCCAAATTTCCAAAAAACTCACCAATAGTTTGTAACACTAAACTCTCTAACATGACTAGCAGCTGACAAGCCTCATTTCGATTCGCCTCGTTCAACTTCAAGCCCTTCTTCTCCCACCAAACCTGTGTGATATGCGACAGTTTTCGCGGCGACTCTTCGGTTTTGCCGGCCAAAAACAAGCAGGCGGCTGCAATGTCACGAAAATCGAACGTTTTGAACGAATGACAGTAGAAGAATCGATGCATATGCACATTGGCAACACACATTCCGAGTTGAGAGCTAAATTTTTGAGAATTTCAAGATTTTCTGAGAAGAATGAGTATAAATAAGCTATTTACAATTTTAATCGATTGTCTTTGACATTATAATTCAATTTTTCGCCCATCTCTTGGATAAAACATGCCGCTTGTTGTCTATACGATAATTCTTCTTCGAAACTTAACCCGTCGCGATGATTTGCACTTTGTTTTAACTGAAAAACCATCTAATTTCATTAATTTTCCATTCTCCTATGGGAAACCCACTTCTTCGCGTGTAAAAGTCCATTTTGGTGGCGCGGGTCGATCGGCGATATTACCCGCGCCTTGTTTTGATATGGACATGGCATATATGTCTGCAAATTTTCAGATTTTACCCCTTAAAACTTCGCGGAAACCGAAAAAAAATGATTGTTGGTTTGGCTAAACGGGCTAATACGCTCTAGCGATACACACGCGACGCGTGAGTCACCGCGTTGCGGCTTCGCCAATATTTCGCAATCGATAGCGTTTTTCAGCGTTTTCTCTGTTTTTCGTAGGTTTTACGTGTTTTTAGTGGTTTTTGACGTATTCCTTGGGTTTTAAATGGTATATTCATCTAGGGGTTATGCCCAAAAATTTGGGGAATTTCCAGAAAATTCGAGAAATTTGAAAAAATCGATTTTCCTCAATTCTAGAACAATTTCTCATAAAATGAGAGATGCTTTGCTTTTTGAATAATCTAATTTTATGGAATTGTTTCTAAACGATCTTCTGATATTCAAATTCTTCCCAAAACAAAAATAACTTCCCAAAAACCCGCGTCCCTGTGCAAAAAAGACAAAGACCACCTGTTTTAGTTTCCCAGAATCGCACATTTTTGGGAAAATGTGCGAAACACGCCCATTTTTTCCCCCAGATTTTGAAAAATATATCATTCTAGCTCTCTCTTTCTAGTCGAAACTAAGCTATACCCGGTAATTTTCCAACCAACAAACCCTGTGATTATTTTCAATGTCTTCTTATTCTTCTTCTTCTTCGTCAATTTCTAAGTCATTCTCCTCATCTTTTACTAAATCCAGTGGGTTTTTTGTTGCCAATGGTATGTCGTCCACAAATAATGAATCGTGTGGTTCTTCTTCTTCGTCCTACATGTTCGAGAAAAAGAATCCGCACACGGAGAACGGACGTCAAATCGGAAGATCGTTGTGCGCTTGGCATTATACCAAGGATGATGTGAGTTAAATATAGAAATTCATATTGTCATTCCGAAAAAATAAGAACTTGGAAGAGAACCGAAATGGCCTAGGAAACCAAGAGTACAGTAGACTTCGCAAAATTTTGGAGTCTATTTGAAAAATAAAATGCGAAATTTACACGTTGACTATTTGCCAACCAGTTTGATGTGCATGTGTCACGTCATTTTTAGTCTACTGTACGTGACCGCCAATTCAAACGGGGGTTCTTTTATTTTCGGAATGACAATATATTATCTGAAAATAATGCTGAAAATTGTTCAGATAATGCGAATCACGGCGAGCCGAAAAGATGGAATTTCCTATCAACAAGAGCTCACATTACGCCAGAAATGTTGTCGATTTTTGCACGAAATGGTCAATAATTTGACGCAATCCAAAGGAGATCAGTGAGTTTTTTTTTGTTTTGCTAAAAAACGTGACCTACGTGGAAAATTTTTTTATTGAATAAATTTTTTTGTTTATTTTTGATTTTGAAAAATTGAGAAAATGATTTTTTTGAAAATGTCAAGAAACCTCAGGGTTCATTCAAAACTGTGAAATCTACTGAAAATGAGCTATTTTTGACTAAAATTCAAAAAAAAGCTGAAAATTGAGCTTTAGGGCATTTTTCTAGTGAAAATCGAGCTCTGGTGCATTTTTTGAGTGAAAATTGAGCTCTGGAGCATTTTTTGAGTCAAAATTGAGCTCTGGGGAATTTTTCATTCAAAAATGGTAGAAAATACTAAATTTTAAGCTTCCTACCACTATTTTTCACAAAAATCCTAAATTTTCACCCAATTTGTTTGCAGTTTGGCTACGGGAGTCGCCGCCGTCATAATAAACCGCTTCTACAAATTCCACTCGTTCAAAATGTTCGATTATCGTGACATAGCGGCCGCCTGTCTATTTTTGGCCGGCAAAAACGAGGATAGCCCCAGAAAGCTCAAATATATTGTGACGTGTTGGTGGAATCTGAAATTCCCCCATACAAAAACGTTCTCTTCGGAATCGCAATTTTTGAGCGCCTGTGATTTGATTGTGAATTTGGAGAATATTGTGCTGATGACGATTTGTAAGTCTGAGTTTTTGGGGGGAAAATGCTGGTTTTTGACCCAAAATTTATGATTTTCACCCAAAAATGCCCAAATTTTCAGCTTTCGATATGAATATCGATCTTCCACATCATTTGGTTTTGAAGATTATGTCGATTGCGGAAAGAACTAATAAATATCGAGATATCACAAGAACTGCCTATTTTATGACTACTGAAATGTGAGTTTTTTGAGCGGGAGTACTGTAGGGGTTCTTGGGACGAAATTTAAGGTTTTGGCATTAAAATGCGTGGAGTTTTGAATTTTTGAAAATTCAGATTTACCGCCTCAAATCATACGGGTTACTGTAGGGAATTTTGCCGCGAAATTTGAATTTTTTAAAAATTTAACAGAAAATGTGATTTCTAGTTTTCAAACTAAACTACACTTTTTTCCCGCCAAAATTGTTGAAAATTCAAATTTTTGCAGTTTGATGGTCACTGATTGGAGTATTCGATATCCGTGTGCTTTCATTGCTGCGGCTTGCATCAATATTGCTGCATATTTCCAGAATGTTGAGGTTTGTCTGAAAATCTGGAATTTTTCACCTGAAACTCTGATTTTTCCTGTTCTAGATGGATCGAATCGTGAATCCAGACATGCAAAATCGTTGGTTTCAAATCGAGGATCCGGAAATGTCATCGCAGGATTTAAGAGGTTTGATTCGTCAAAAATTCCCCTTAGTTTTCGCAATTAATTTGTGTAAAATCTATAGAAATGACCAGCGAATTCTTGGAAATCTTCCGAAATCCCGATATTCGATATGGTTCGTTGAGAAAATTGGATGTTCATAATAAGATTGAAAGTGAGTGCTTTTTGGGGGTGAAAATTGACTTCTGGAGCATTTTTTAAGTGAAAATTGAGATCTGGTGAATTTTTTGAGTGAAAATTGAATTCTGGAGCATTTTTTGAGTGAAAATTGAGCTCTGGAGCATTTTTGAGGTGAAAATTGACTTCTGGAGCATTTTTGAGTGAAAATTGACTTCTGGAGCTTTTTTTGAGTGAAAATTGAGCTCTGGAGCATTTTTTGGCTGAAAATTGACTTCTGGAGCATTTTTTGAGTGAAAATTGAGCTCTGGAGCATTTTTTGAGTGAAAATTGAGGTTTTAGGTCATTTTTTCTTCGAAAATTCTGTCGAAATTCAATTTCACCATGAAATTCTGAAATTTCTGAGCCTAAACGAGGATTTTTAGAGTTCCTAGCTCAAATTTCAAGAATTTCAATTCGAACTTCCTAACCCTTCAATTTTTTCAGTCAAAATTTCAAGTCCATCCGAAATTCCCGAAAGTCCAGGTCAATCGACTGAAAATCTTGGCGAATGTCCAGCTCCGCCGCCAGCACCAATTTTGAACCCGAAAAAAATCGCGATGGACGATTACAAGGAGCGAAATCGCACGAATTTGTCGAGTTCCGGTGGAAGTTCATCGAATTTGGCTGCAAGTTCAGCGAACTCGGGACGTGCCAGCTTTTTACCGGATATGAGCAAAGAGTTGGCGAAAAATCCGCAGATTAATGATTTGTTCCGCGTGAAGAAGGAATCGCCGAGCTCGTCGTCGCATAATGGAGATGGAGATCGAAATGGACATCAACATCATCATAAGGAGCATCGGAAAGAGCATAAACATCATAATTGTAGGTTTTTGACTTGGAAAATGGGGAAAATTGGGTCTAGAAGCTTTGAAAACGTCAGAAAAGCCGAAAAATGGGTCTAGAAGCTCAAAAACCTCCTAAATTGCTAGAAAACTCTGAAAATCATCAAAACTAGTTGAAGATTGAGAAAATAAGCATTGAAAATATTATTTGAAGATTTTTTTCAATATCTGGTTCTCAAATATTGAGAAAATATCAAATTAAAGTTCAAAAATCATTAAATATTATTTTTTTTTGATTTTCAACTAGTTCCGATGATTCTCAGTGTTTTCTAGCGATTTAGATGGTTTTCGAGCTTCTATGTTGATTTTTGAGGATTCTAGGCCTATTTTCAACGTTTTCAAAGCATTTTTCAATGTTTTTGGTCAATTTTCACCCTAAAACCTTCGCCAAATATCCTATTTTTCCAGCCAATCACCATTCTCATCGAAATCACACAAATGGTCATAATCATAACCACAATTCCTCCTCAAACAATGGAATTGGTCATAATGAGAAAAGAGCGCAACTTGGATATTCCAACGAGTTTGAACCGCAAGAAAAACGCATCAAAACTGAGCAAAATGCTGTGTTTTATAGTGAGTTTTGGGCTAAAATTTGAGTCTGGAAATTTGGGAATTTGGGAATTTTGAGCTAAAAATCAGCGTTTTCCTATCAAAATTCAGTAGAACCTAGCTGAAATTAAATATTTCCAACTTCAGAATCCTCAACCACAACAACTTCTTCGGATTCTTCATCAACAACAACAAAAACAGTTCAAATGTCGGCGTATGCAATGGCGGCGACTTCGTTGAAAAATGGAAGTAGTAGTTTGATGAGAAAAACGCCGATCGCTGACAAACCACAACAATCGGCCTATCAACAAATGGTGGCGGAAATGGAGAAAAAGTGAGCGGTTTTGCATTGAAATTTGGGAAAATTTGAGCTGAACATGTGAATTTTACTGAAAATTTTCAAGAAATCTGAAATTTTGACCCAAAATTGTTGAAAAATGAGAATTTTTCTGAAAATAACCAAGATTTGAAATAAATTTGAATTTTCGGAAAACTCTTGAAATTTTACTGAAAATTATAAAATTTCTGATTTTCACTGAAAAAACGCAGAGTGCAATTACATTTTCTGAGAATTCCTTTTTTTTTTGAAAATTATCAAAGAAAATCAGAATTTTTCAAAAAACCTCGAATTTTAGCCGAAATTCTTGAAGTTCTATTGAAAATCATCAAAAATTATAAATTTTCAAAAAAAAATCTCAAACTTCTCTGAATTTCTGAAAACTCTTGAAATTTTACTGAAAATTATCAAAATTCTGATTTTCACTGAAAATCCTGAATTTTTTTTTGAAAATTATCAAAAATGCTAAATTTTCAGTATTTTTCACAAAACCCTTGAAATTTTATTGAAAATTATAAATTTTCAAAAAAAAATCCCAAACTTCTTCCAAAATACCGTGAAACCCCAAATTTTGCAGTAAATCTCGTCGATCAGTCGATCCATCTCCACCAACAATTTCTCCACCATTTTCATCACATCCACCATTTCCACCAACTTTTCCACCAATCTCAAACGACGAAATGGAAGATGGCGAAGTTTTGTAAGACTTCTCTGGAGAAAATCCCGATTTTCTGAGTGAAAAATCAATAATCAATCTCACCTCTCATTATTGGACGTATGTTCTTTTAAATTATTTATTTTCGTTTTTTTTATTTTTCGCTAGGTACTAGAATATTTTTCCCCCAATTTTACGGTTTAAGCAATTTTTCAACAAAAAAATCTCGTTTTTCTTTGCGAGACCCAAAAATATATCAATTTGGCTGCAAATTCGGGTTTTCCCTTCCTCTCCCCACTATATTTTTTCTTATTTTTGTGATCTCCTTTTTTCTCTATGAAAATCCCCCAAAAAAAACTGAAAAACGAGGTAAAATCCCAAAAAAAATCGATGATTTTGTACATTTTTGTTTTGTTTTTTGTTTCTATCATTTTTTATTTTTTCTCCCCATTTTTATACATTTTTTTGGCCTGTGTTAAATAGTTTGTCTCTTTTTTTTTCGTTGTTTTCGCCCCTTTTTTTTGTGTATTTCTTTTGATATTTTTTATTGAAAAAATAATAAATTTATATTTTTGAGTTGTCCGAGAGAAGTACATGGAATTTAAAGGAACATGGATTTTTCAAAGCTTGTCCGAGAGAACTACACAAAATAGTGCACTTTCCAGGCGAGACCCAGAATTTCATGCGAAATTTAAAGGAACATGAATTTTCATAATCTTGTCCTCGAGAACTACACAAAAAATAAGCTAGAACAAGATTTTCCAGGCGAGACCCGGATTTTTGTACTAAATTTAAAGAAACATGGATTTTTCAAAGCTTGTCCGAGAGAACTACACAAAATTCAAATTTTATTGCGAAAATTTAAAGAAACACGGTTTTTTTATAATCTTGTCCGAGAGAACTACACAAAATTCTCATTTTTCGCTCAAAACTCATTTGCTCCGCCCATTTTTGCGCAAAAATTGCATCATCCTCCTTTTTACTATATAAAAAGTGCTTTTCCCTTCTTTTTTCAGAATGATGCAATTTTTGGGATTTCGTAAGCCAAAAAAACATTTTATACTTCATTTTTAGAAGAAAAATGTGTGATTTTTAAAGGCGCATGCGGTTTTCCCATGCGCCTTTAATGAAAGATCGAACAATCATCATATTATTACACATGTGCACAATCTTTTGTCATTTTGCACTTTTATTTCATTTTTTTCTAATCCTTCCTCTCCGCTCAAAACAAATTCAATTGAAAACTCACAGAATGTCTGAAAAATCACGTATTTTCTGCTGCTGCCTTTTGCCCCAATCGATTTTCTCTGCCCGCTCTCTCCTGCTCACACACTATTTCTCTCATGTTGGAGCTCGAGAGAGGAGCAGCAGCCCTTTTTTCTTTTTCTTCTTGTTTTTGAGCAGTTTTCGGGCGGTGTGAAGTTGTTTTTAGAGAGAGTTTTGGCCGGGAAATCGTTGATTTTCACGGAGAAACGTGGCAAATTCAAATTCCGGTGGGATTTTGAGAGAATTTTAAATCGCCGCGAGATTTGCCACGTTTTGATATCGAATTTGGCGGGAAAGCTCGCGATTTCAAAATTTCCCTATTTAAAATGCAAAATTTTCGAAAAGGTACCACGCGCTCCACCGAAATAAACACGCAACGCAGACCGCGCCGCGCAACAACACACACAAAAAAGGGAGGGAATTTGAATCGTTCTCGTATTTGTGTGTGTTGTGGCGCGACGCGGTCTGCGTTGCGTGTTTATTTCGGTGGAGCGCGTGGAGATTTTCGATAATAACACCCAATCCAATTTTCCACGCAAAAAATCGCCACGTCATGACCCCACGTAAATTTCCCCAAATTTTCCGCCGAAAATCTCATTTCCTCGTCTTTTCGTTCATAGTAAGTCCGCAAAATTTTTATTATTTTTTTATTTTCGAAAAAAAAACAATTTGATCTACCCGCGTGCAAAATATCCCATCATTTTTTTGCAGTCTCGAAGGCTCCGCCTCTTCACTTCTCTTGTTTACACATTTTCAACATAACTCTTTGTCGACCAAATTTTGCGGTCCTAACATCATCAAAATCGATTTTTTGCAGAACTTATCGAAAAACTATGGCTTCCTACTCTCAATATTTGAGCAAGGCGCAAGAAGACGAGTTGCGCGCCATCGCCAACGCCATCGTTGCACCAGGAAAAGGAATTTTGGGTGAGTTGTGCCGCGCGTTGCGAGACCAAACAGCAGCAAACTTGTGTTGTGCGCCTTTAAATGCAGTGATATTTTCATGTGAAAAGCTTGTTTTTCGGGTGGTTTCCTGACCCCGTCAGTTGTTGTTTAGAATGATGAATGAGAGATATTGATAGGCCTTTGGCAGAAGAAATAATTTTGATGACGTGGCACTTGAAAATAGGAAAGATGGGCGGTTTGCTAAGGGTCTTGAAGGGAAATTTGACAATTAGTGTCGTGTGCCTTTAAAAATCGATAATTTGGGGTTTTGCCACGTTGAATTCGAACAAAATCGCGCCGTTTCGATTTTTTGCAAGCCTGGCACGGTTTTTTTCAATTTTCAATCGCGAACGCGTATTATCGAATATCTCATCGATACCACGCGCTCCACCGAAATGAACACGCAACGCAGACCGCGTCGCGCCACAACGCACACAAATAAGGGAACGATTCAAATTCCCTCCCTTTTTGTGTGTGTTGTGGCGCGACGCGGTCTGCGTTGCGTGTTTATTTCGGTGGAGCGCGTGGTACCGATAAGATTTTCGATAATAAGCCATAGGCTTCTCTGCGTCTCAACCCAAAAATTCGAATTTTCAGCCGCCGATGAATCGACCGGCTCGATGGAGAAACGTCTCACCAGCATCGGACTCGAGAACAACGAGGAGAACCGTCGCAAATACCGTCAATTGCTCTTCACCGCCTCCGCCGACCTCAACAAGCACATTTCCGGTGTCATCATGTTCCACGAGACATTCTACCAAAAAACCGACGACGGAAAACCATTTGTGCAATTGTTGCAAGAGCAAAACATCATCCCGGGAATCAAAGTCGACAAGGGTGTTATTCCATTGGCTGGAACTATTGGCGAGGGAACCACTCAAGGATTGGATGATTTGAACGCAAGATGTGCGCAATACAAGAAGGTTCGCGCTCTATTGACAATTCTCTAATTATTGATTATAATATTTCAGGACGGAGCTCAATTCGCCAAATGGCGTTGTGTCCACAAGATTTCGTCGACCACACCATCGGTCACTGCTCTCAAAGAAATTGCTCAAGTTTTGGCTCGCTACGCGTCGATTTGTCAACAAAATGGATTGGTTCCAATTGTTGAGCCAGAGGTACTTTATGGGTCTTGCAGCGAAATTTGAGAAAATACGATGTGCGCCTTTAAAAATCTGATTTTCTATGAGTATTGGAGCGAAATTATGACGTGCGCCTTTAAAAATCTGACTTTCTGTGAGAAAATGTGGGTCTTGTAGGGAAATTTGTGGAAAATACGATGTGCGCCTTTAAAAATCTGATTTTCTATGAGTTTTGGAGCGAAAATATGACATGCGCCTTTAAAAATCTCATTTTTATTCAGAAAATGTGGGTCTTGTAGGGAAATTTGTGAAAAATACGATGTGCGCCTTTAAAAACCACTTTTCTGTGAGAAAATGTGGGTCTTGTAGGGAAATTTGTGGAAAATACGATGTGCGCCTTTAGAAATCTGATTTTCTATGAGTTTTGGAGCGAAAATCTTTGGTCTTGTAACGAAATTATGACGTGCGCCTTTAAAAATCTAATTTTTATTTAGAAAAAGTGGGTCTTGTAGGGAAAACGATGTGCGCCTTTAAAAATTTGAATTTCTCGCATTTCGAGCGCGGAAGCGCGAGTGTAAACCGCAAGCTTCCGCGAAGCGGCGAATTATTATCGAAAATCTCATCGGTACCACGCGCTCCACCGAAATAAACACGCAACGCAGACCGCGTCGCGCCACAACACACACAAATAAGGGAACGATTCAAATTCCCTCCTTTTTTTATGTGTTGTGGCGCGACGCGGTCTGCGTTGCGTGTTTATTTCGGTGGAGCGCGTGGTACCGATGAGATTTTCGATAATACATGCAATGCGTGTGCGTTGCGGTCGCACCCCGTTGTCTGCGTCTCTTCTAACCTTCGTGCTTCTCTCTCGCTCTCCTCAACCCCTCCACAATTTCCAGATCTTGCCCGACGGTGAACACGACTTGGCACGCGGCCAAAAAATCACCGAAACCGTTCTCTCCTACGTCTACCACGCTCTCAACGAGCATCACGTCTACTTGGAAGGAACACTCTTGAAACCAAACATGGTGACCGCCGGACAATCGAACACTGGCGCCAAGCCAACCAACGCCGAAATTGGATTGGCCACCGTCACCGCCCTTCAACGCGGAGTTCCATCCGCTGTGCCAGGAGTCGTCTTCTTGTCTGGCGGACAATCGGAAGAAGAGGCCACCAAGAATTTGAATGCTATCAATCAAGTGGGTTTTTTCAGCTGACATTTGACTGAAAATGAGCCATTTTTCATCAATTTTGAACAAAAAATCAATCTAAAATTAATTTCAGGTCCAAGGAAAGAAGCCATGGGCTCTCACCTTCTCGTATGGTCGTGCTCTTCAAGCATCGTGCTTGGCTAAATGGGCCGGAAAAGACGAGAATATTGCTGATGCCAAGGTGAGCTATCTATGAAAAAATTGGAGCTTTTCCATTTGTAGGACATGAAAATCGCTTAATTTTAAGCTGGAAATCATGAATTTTGCAATTTTTCGAATTTATTGCATTTTTTGCAACCTGAAATTACGAGAAATTCAAAAATTTTGAATTTTATACAAAATTTGGAGCTTTTTGAGCTGTAGTTCATGAAATCGCTTAATTTTAAGCTGAAAATCATGAATTTGGCAAATTTTTGTATTTATTGCATTTTTTGCAACCTGAAATTACGAGAAATTCAGAAATTTTGAATTTTATACAAAGTTTGGAGCTTTTCATGAAAATCACTTAATTTTAATCTGGAAATCATAAATTTGGCAATTTTTTGTATTTCGTACATTTTTTGCAACCTGAAATTACGAGAAATTCTGAAAATGATGAAGTAAAATACAAAATTCATTAATTTTTATGATTTTTTGTTAAAAATGGCAGATTTCCGAAATTCTGAGTTCTAGAATCAGGAAATATGAGAATCTCTCACTTTTTAGCTTATTTTCATCTTTTTTTGAATTTCTTGTAATTTCAGCACACCTGAGGAGACGTGTCCAAAAGGGACACTGTACAAAAATTTTCAAAGGTCACACTGTACATTTTTTCACGAAAAAAGTGTAGTTTTCATTGATTTTCAGCAGATTTTGATGAAAATTTTGAAAAATTCAAAATTTCACGCTGCACAATTTTTTTTTGCAAAAAATTTCCACGCTGCACAAAAATTTTGGGACACTCTCTCGTCAGGTGTGAATTTCAGGTTGCAAGAAAATACAAAAATTGCAAATTTTGAATTTTTTGTCTTCCCGCCTCAAAATGCATCAATTTTTATGATTTTTTGGGCCAAAATCCTCAAATTTGAATATTTTCAGGCAGTTTTGTTGCACCGCGCGCAAGTCAACTCATTGGCCTCTGTCGGAAAATACACTGGAGACGCGAACGCTGACGCAGCCGCCTCGCAATCGCTTTTCGTCGCCAACCACGCTTATTAATTGGAATAATTGGCCATTTTTGATCTCTTTTGATGTAATGTAATGTAATGTATGTAGTTTGAACTCGGCTTGAAACAAAAAACTTTAACTTTCCTTTTTATTTTACCCTAACCCCCCGAATTTGAATTGAATAAAGTTTATTTAGATATATGATAACAAATACAGTCTAGTCTAGTCTATTATTATTGTTGTTGTGTTCCCAAATATTCGCTTCTTCGCTTTTTCACATCGTCCTCGAGAATTCCGAGATTTTCGTGCGAAGATTCGAGATAGCAAAGACGACGGCGACCACGGATTATTATTTGAGCGGTTTTCTGGAAATTTTGCGGAGAATTTATCACTATGACGTGGCAATTTGGAAAAAAACTCACCCCAAACATTTCCGCATACCAAGTCGATGCCAAAATACAGAAAACTGTGCCGATTATCTGCAAAAAAGAAGGGGGCGTGGTTTGGGGATTTTTTTGCAAATCTGGCACATTTTTTCTAAAATAAAAGGGGCGCGGTTTAAATTCTGCAAGTCTGGCACAGTTTTATTGGAAAATGCAAGCCTGGCACAGTTTTTTCTCGAATAAAAAGGGCATGGTCTAAATTCTGCAAGCCTGGCACATTTTTATTTGAAGATAAAAGGGGCGTGGTCTAAATTCTGCAAGCCTGGCACACTTTTTTCTCGAATAAAAGGGGCGTGGTCTCAATTTTGCAAGTCTGGCACACTTTTTTCTCTCGAATAAAAGGGGCGTGGTTTGGGATTTTGCAAGCCTGGCACGGTTTTATTTGAAAATGCAAGCCTGGCACACTTTTTTTTCAAATAAAAGGGGCTTGGTTTGAAACTTGCAAGTCTGGCACAGTTTTATTTGAAAATTGCAAGCCTGGCACACTTTTTTCTCGAATAAAATGGGCGTGGTTGGGGATTCTGCAAGTCTGGCACAGTTTTATTTGAAAATGCAAGTCTGGCACAGTTTTTTCTCGAATAAAAGGGGCGTGGTTTGGGATTTTGCAAGTCTGGCACAGTTTTATTTGAAAATGCAAGTCTGGCACACTTTTTTCTCGAATAAAAGGGGCGTGGCCTCAATTTTGCAAGTCTGGCACACCTTTTCCCTTCAAAACCTCACCATTAAAAAGAACCAAACAGCAATACTCCACATTTCCATTTTCGAAAACACGGCATGTCCACTTTTGACACAAATCGCCACTTCCAAAATCGAAATAAGCACAAAAATCCAGGCTTGCATTCCGACACGTTTTGTTAAAGGATCCGTCATAAACACGTAGAATTGGCTGCAACAAAATACAGTAGTATTTTTTTGGCGGGAAATGTTGACCTACCGTATACTCGGCGCCGCAATCACTGCAATCAAAATGATTCGCCAAAAAACGACGGGATGTTGAGTGTCAATGGCGAAAATGTGCTTGATGAAAAATGTGTTCAATTCGGCGATCTGAAAATGAATTTTGACTGGAAATATGAGATTTTCAGCTGAAAATGGATGAAATTCCAAGTTTTCTAATCAAAATTATGAGAATTTTATGGATTTTGGGGTGAAAAATCTTGAAATTTTCAGCTAAAATCATGAAAATTAATTATTTTTGGAGAAAAGTCATAATTTTAGGGACTTTGAAAGGTTCTACGTTCAAATTTCTGAAAATCGTCCAAATTTCATGATTTTTGAATGCAAAATTGAAAATATTATGAAAATTCACGATTTTTAGGTTAAATTCGAGTCTAAACAAGTCTATGTTCCTTTAAAAAGGTCTCGCCACGAAAAATTAATTTTTAAAGGAACATGGGTATATTTATACTCAAAATTGCCGTATTTTCGTGGTGAGACCCAAAAAATCAAAGTTTTCCTGAAATTTCGGGAATTTTGTATATAAAGAAGCTTATGTTCCTTTAAAAAGGTCTCGCCACGAAAATTCAGGGACATGGGCATATTTATACTCAAAATTGTAGTATTTTCGTAGTGAGACCCAAAAACTCAAAATTTTCATGAAATTTCGGGAATTTTTAGTATAAACAAGGATATGTTCCTTTAAAAGGTCTCGCCACGAAAAATCACGGACATGGGCATATTTATACTCAAAATGACCGTATTTTCGTGGTGAGACCCAAAAATTCGGGAATTTTGAGTATAAACAAGGATATGTTCCTTTAAAAAGGTCTCGCCACGAAAAATCACGGACATGGGCATATTTATACTCAAAATGACCGTGTTTTCGTGGTGAGACCCAAAAAATCAAAATTTTCCTGAAATTTCGGGAATTTCGTATATAAAGAAGCCTATGTTCCTTTAAAAAGGTCTCGCCATGAAAAATCAGGAACATGGGCATATTTATACTCAAAATGACCGTGTTTTCGTGGTGAGACCCAAAAAACCAAAATTTTCTGAAATTTTGAGTATAAACAAGGGTATGTTCCTTTAAAAAGGTCTCGCCACGAAACAAGCAGTTTTTAAAGGAACATGGGCATATTTATACTCAAAATGACCGTATTTTCGTGGTGAGACCCAAAAATTCAAAATTTTCATGAAATTTCGGGAATTTTTAGTATAAACAAGGATATGTTCCTTTAAAAAGGTCTCGCCACGAAAAATCACGGACATGGGCATATTTATACTCAAAATGACCGTATTTTCGTGGTGAGACCCAAAAATTCGGGAATTTTGAGTATAAACAAGGATATGTTCCTTTAAAAAGGTCTCGCCACGAAAAATCAGGAACATGGGCATATTTATACTCAAAATGACCGTGTTTTCGTGGTGAGACCCGAAAATTCAAAATTTTCCTGAAATTTCGGGAATTTTGTATATAAAGAAGCTTATGTTCCTTTAAAAAGGTCTCGCCACGAAAATTCAGGGACATGGGCATATTTATACTCAAAATGACCGTATTTTCGTGGTGAGACCCAAAAATTCGAAATTTCCCTGAAAATTCGAGAATTTTCAGCATAAACAAGCCGATGTTCCTTTAACAAGGTCTCGCCACGAAAAATTAATTTTTAAAGGAACATAGGCATATTTATACTTAAAATGACCGTATTTTCGTGGTGAGACCCAAAAAATCAAAATTTTCCTGAAATTTCTGGAATTTTCAGCATAAACAAGCCTATGTTCCTTTAAAAAGGTCTCGCCACGAAACAAGCAAAATCCAAAATTTTTACCATCCAAACAGCCACAAAAATCGTCAACAACCCAGTTCTTCTCAACGAATTCGACATTCCCTTGTTATAAAACGTGCTCCACCAATCCAAAGTATTCCAACTGGCCGGCGTGAATTGCAACGCAAATCGCTTCATTTTTCCCTTCCTCGATTTAATATTTCGAATACTTTCCCAATGATATTGTCGCATTTGCAAGAATTGCGACAATTTCATTCCCACATAAATTCCCAATCCATTACAAATCAACACATCTAAAATCAATGAATCCCACCAACATTCGGCGAAATTTGGCAGCATATTCATGAACATTATTTCAGTTATCTCCCAGATTATCGAAATATACCAGCATAGAATCCAATGACGTAAAAGCAACGTTTTCATGACCCATCCGGTGAAATGGGCAAACGCGAAATAATCGATATTTTCTTGAAAGTTAGCCCAAGTCAGATTCCAACAGCCGACTGCGTAATTCTTCTCGCGAAGTTTTTGTTGACCCAAACCGACGGGATCTAGCCAGGTTAGCATTTTTTTGAGATCTTCGTGCGATTGAAAAAGAGCGAATTGAAGGAGGATTACGTAGGCTACGGAGAGGCCGAAGATTAGACGCCAGATTATTGGATGTGGACGGATAAATGGGCCTGGAAACATTTTATGTGTCAAAAAAGCTATATCTCCTGTTGTCAGGTGAAAGTTTGTATTTACAAACATGAAAAATAAACTGGAAGTTTCAGAAAATCGAAAATTTGATAAGAAATTGCAAATTTCTCTGGATTCAGCCCAAATTTTCGGGTTCAGACCGAAAAAAAGCAGAAACTGTGTAAAACCTCTGAAAATCCCTGATTTTTCACGAAAGAGCTCGAGATTCTTGCAATTTATGTGAAAAAAAAACAAAAAAATCACCGATTTTTCACAAAAATGCAAGAATCTCGAGCTCTTTCGTGAAAAATCAGGGATTTTCAGAGGTTTTACACAGTTTCGGCTTTTTCCCGGTCTAAACCCAAAAATTTGGGCTAAATCCAGAGAAATTTGCAATTTCTTATCAAAGTTTCGATTTTCTAAAACTTCCAGTTCATTTTTCATGTTTTTAATACAAACGTTCACCTGAAAACATGGGATTTAGCTTGTTTAAAGCATAAAAAATAAGAAAATGTTACCATTTGGGAAAGTCAACGCTCCAATAATCAAAAAGAGCGCAACCGCTCCAATAAATCCATCAAAATAATTCTGCTCCGAACTATTGACACTTCCCTGCCACGCGGCTTTATACACCAAAAATGCGGCAATCGCCACCAAAACCGTCACACTATGCGGTTTATAGAGGAAATCCAGGGTGACGTCATCAACAATTCGCTCATTTATCATATCGAAATGCTTCTTCTCCAATTCTCGTCTTCCGAATGGACTGTTTCGTTTGTTTTTCAGTGGCGAATGTCGATTTAGATCTCCATCTGTTGTGAAGCCATTATCTTCGAAATCGGTTTTTGCAGACGTTTTTACTTCGCTGTCACTGATTGATGTTGTTCTTCCATCGAAATATGGAACATCTGGCTCTTCGTCGGTTTTCATTCCTGGAATTTCATATGGGTTTTCGCGAGAAACACAAAAAGAAAAAAATCCCAATTTTTTTTCAGAAAAAAAAACGAAAATGAAAAATCAAGGCACACAAGAAACGCTACGAGACCCGATAAATTTGTATGTGCGCCTTTGAATGAGGTACTGTATTCTTATTGATTTTTTCAAAATAAATATTTTTATTTTTTTCAAGTGACAAAAAAACAGACGTGTTGTCCTAATTTCCCGCTATAAAAGCGAGGTTCCACGAAAAATGCTTCATTTTACGAAGTAACTGAACCAGTCATTTTTATTTATCACAAGAAATATCGAGAGAGCAGAAAAACTAGAAAATGGCCTCGAAAAATGTAAATAATAATGGACTTGTTGATGCTGGAATATCCGAAATGTTGAACAAACCAAATGAGCCCGCATTCAAACTTGGTATCACAATTAATAAAGTCGTTTTCAAATGCAAAAATGACAAAAAACCTGTGAATGTTCCGCTGGTTTTATTCAACAATACAAATGATATCATTAGTTATAAGGTTTGTCTTTTTTTTTGCTTTTGTTTCACTATTTTCAGTTTTATTTTCAGGTTCGCTGCACATCAGCTGATATTTTCCGTGTTCAACCACCGCTTGGAATCATCAAACCAAATTCAAATGTTGATATCACAATTTGGTATCAAAATCAAGTTAAACCGGATGCAATTCAACAAAAACATTATTTCGCATTTTATCATACAAAAGGTGATGGAAGAACTGTTAAGGAAATTTGGGCAAATGCGAAAATCGAGGGAGTTAGACGAATTCCAGCTACTTTTGAAGCGATTCCTTGATTGAATGAAGAAGTTACAATTTTATTACCGATAAAATCAATAAGGCACGTAGATTAAGGCAAGATGTGAAACAAAATAAATACAATAAAAAATATATACAAAAAGTTATTCATCACCGGAATCATAACCATCATCGTCTCCTGAACCAGAAAGATCATCCAAAAGATGTGCAATCATATTTTGATAATATTCCGCATCCTTATTAGCACTTGCATATTTTTCCGCATCATATTCTCCAGTCGAATCATGAATTCTAACAGAAATCGTTTGAAGACCAATTCTTCGCGCAAAATCAGCAGAAGCAATTTGAAGATTTGGAGTTGTATTGGTAATTGGAAACTTTTTCAAATGCTCTTCCCATCCTCCGGTATTTTTGAAACATGTTGAGATTGTTTGTTTTCCTTCGTGTTCCATTACAACACACATTTCATCATTTGGTGTGAAATAGGTTTTGCGAGTTAGATTTGAAGTTGTTCCATCCTGAAAAGAAAAAGCTAGATTTTTTCAATTTTGTCTGTTATTTTTCGATTTTTTTCCTTACAAGGGAACCTTTTTTTACTCTTGAGCAGCTTTTGGGGCCATAAGAACACCCTAAAAATTTAAGTTACCCAATGGAGCTCTGAGCCAAGTTCTGGGCTCTCAAAAGTTCAAAAATTGCCAAAATTAGCTCATAAAACACATCATAACTCAATTCTCGATCAATTTTATGAAAAACTGAGTAGCAGATGATGATCAGCGTGGTCGATTTACCCAAAAACCATCAATAAATTGAATTTTCGGAAAAAATTTTGATTTTGGGAAAATGAACGAATTTTCAGCCCAAAAATAAAAAACTTCAAAATTTTTCGAAAATATATTTTTTATTGATCTACTTTTAGATAATCGACTATGCCGATTAATATCTGAAACTTTATTTCTCTTGAAAATTATTTTTGAAACAATTTTTGGAACTTTTGAGAGCCCAGAACTTGGCTCAGAGCTCCATTGGGTAACTTAAATTTTTAGCGTGTTCTTATGACCCCAAAATCTATCTCTGAACAAAAGTGTTGAGTAGAAAAATGTTAAAAAATTTCCCCAAAAACCAACCGGTTGAACAGTTTCAATATTACAAACTTCAGTCAATTTTCCAGTTTTAATAATTCTCTCCGGCACTTTGCCAACATAAAATTCAAGTTTACAATTCCTTATAAAATCTTCTCCATGTTTTCGATAATGATAAGTGGCTAAATAAGGATCAGCAAATGTTCGATTCTTTTTCGCTGCCAAACTTGTCGCCTTCTGCAAATCCTTCCGAATTCCATCAACAAATTTCGAATAATCATTTCCATTGAATCTGGCTCCAGGATTCTTTTGTTTTTCAGCTGAAACAATTTCAACAACTGACATATATTCATCAGCATTTCGAACTTTTAAATCATCTGCGATTCTTGTTGCAACATCAACAATATCTTTATCATATTTTGCTGATCCTCCAAATACTTTTGAAACTCTTCCTTTTTGTCGATCTGTCATATTTTTCAAATATTTATGTTTCTCGTGTTCGATTCCAAGACATTTTTTGAGTTTTCCTGGTTTTTGAATCCTCGGAGTTCCTTCTTGACGTTGAGTTGTGTAAGTAATCCTGAAAAAAAACTTTTTCCGGAATTTTTTTGATAAAAAAGATAGCGCAGTGTATTAAAACTACAGTCTAGTTTCATAATTTTCCACGTCGATTTTCAACCATTTTTGAAAAAAATAAACTAGAGTCTAGTAAGATTTGTTTTGAAATTTCTGAATGAAAATTGAATTTTGAGAAAAAAAAAATTTTTTCAGATTTTTTTTGATAAAAATCAGAGCGCAAAAAATCCACGTGGCATTTTTTTTTGAAAAAACGCCAACTAGAGTATAGTTGCCACGTGGAAATTCTACGAATTTTAAATAGAGTCTAGAAAGATTCCTCAATTCCTTTTTGAAAATTCAAAAAAAAAACAAACTTTTCATTTGGATTAACTCTTCTCGTATTATTCTGCGCATCAGTCACAAATACAGTTCTCCCTTTTCTTCCTCCAATTTTGATATCATTTCCAGCATTATTTTTGAAAAATGTATTGGGATTTTCGATTTTATTCAAAGATCGAATAATTTTCGAATTCGTTTGCATATTCTTTCCATGATCATTGTTTTTCAAAAATTTATCAAATGCAACTTTTGCCTGCTCATCACTTATTCCACTCGCAATCGTATTAATTCTTTGTTGTTGCGCTTTTTCAATAACTCCTTTCGCAGTCTTCGGTTGAATCAAAGTATTCGCAAAAAACAAACAACTTATCGAAAATTGTAGAATATCAAGTTTAGTTAGTTGATCTTTCTTAGCTTTATCAATCAAGTTTGCAATATTGACAATAAGGAAAAATGAGTCGAGTGAGAAAGTGGTGATAAATAGAACAGTCGCTAGAACTCGTGTACTTTGCGAAAATATTCTTCCCTGAGCTGCACCAGCTGCAAGTTTTGCATTGACCAAACAAGAGACAAATGAGAGAGGAGCGGCGATGATTGAGGCGATTAATACAATACTTTCCAAATCTGACATACTTTCACCGTGTGTTGCTTTGTCATATAATCTCTGACCTGCAAAAACGCTTTTTTTTGAATTTGTAGAGAAAAATGTGTTGAAAACTGTATATTTAACCTGAAATTCGACAGGAAAACTTATTTACCTGCTCTTCCACAACCATACAAAGCAGTTCCTCCAATAGTTGTCAACATCGCAGGTCCAGTAAACATTCCAGCCGGAGTTAGCATCGATAAAAGTCCCAAAGTAATCCCAACAGTTGTGATAACAGCATCAGCTGATCTTAGAATTCTCGCCGATAAATCGCAAGCCGGTGATGTTCCATATGAAATATCCGGATCTTTATCAGCATCAAATTCAAATGCCGTGTCATGCGAACATGTATAATAACCCCTTTCTGGATAACAATATTTCAACATTGGCATCATATTATTCTCCTTCCAATCATCCCAACTTTCATAAACACGGCATGTTGTATCAATATATCGAGAATGATGGACAATACCTTTTATCTTGTATAATAGTCGAAAAATCGGCAAAGTGTACTCGTTTTTCTCTTGCTTACAACAAATAAAAATGACGCCAACACTGAAATTTGGCCGATTTTTCGATGGACTTTCCCGCCAAACTTCTTTGATCTTATCCAAAATCTTTTTCGATTCCTCTCTTTGCTCTTTTGTATAAGCACTTTCGATATCATCGGCTTCTTTTTGAGGCGGACCGTAGATTGCACAGCATATTTTCGAGATCTGCTGGCCTTCGGTCAACTCGTGATATTCATCGAAGTGTGAGCCATTGAATAAAGTGTAGAAGAGTTTTTGCATGTGAGCGGCTTCTTTCATCCATTTTCGAACATCTTCTTCTTCCCAGCTACTCGGATATTCTCCAGTTAAGGTGTTTCCCATTTTGTGACTGAGAAATATGAAATAAGCACGCAACGCAGACCGCGTCGCGCCACAACACACGATTCAAATTCCCTCCCTTTTTTGTGTGTGCTGTGGCGCGACGCGGTCTGCGTTGCGTGTTTATTTCGGTGGAGCGCGGGGTACCGATGATATTTTCGCTAATATGACGTGGCAAAAACAACAAGAGGGAAAAAATATAAAAATCAGTTTTAAAACTGTTTTTTTTACTTCAATTAAAAAAAAATAACACAAAATTTATTCATCCTCATCATTTTCTTCAAAAAACCACCAAACATGAGATTTTGGGATTTTCGAGAAATCAATTATCTCATCTTTGAAAGGCGCACAAAATTCGGGCTCAATTCCAGTTGTATTATCGATATATTCAATTATTGATTGAATATAGTTGGATTTTCGAATTTGATCAAATTTCGAGTATAAATCTGGATAGATTTTTGATAATTCATCAGTTATAAAATACAATCCAGAAATCGACATTTGTGCAGTTTTTCGTTTTTCTGGTTCCATACTTATTGAATATTGTTGATAAGCTGAATTGAATATATCCAAACATTTTTCCAAATTCTCCTTTTTTGGCTGATCTGCGCTGAAGAGCGGTTTTTCGGCGCGGAATGCGTTGATTGTCAATTTTATAACCTGAGCAATGTGTTCAGGGGTGGATGACGCAGACAATTGTGACAATCGAATTATTTCAGAAGTTATACGATTCATTCTAAAAAAAATTATAAGAAATTGAGAATGAAGGAGAAAATAAATAAATAGTTTTTTTGCGAACCGAAAAAAAAACAAAACAGAAATATTTCGAAACAAGAAAAAACATGTGACCTGGAAGAAGATAGGGAGAAAAAAGAGCGGGAGAATGAAAAAGAGTGTAGTTTGGTGTGAAAGGAATCTCTCCCTTATAAAACGAAATCACTGAAAACTTGGCGTCACATTAAATGTTTCTTTTTGTTCAAACAACGCTTCGTTTTTTGAAAAATCAACGCGCGTTGCGAGACACCGGAGAAAAATTGTGTGCGCCTTTGATGGGGTACGGTAGAAGTATTCGTGAATTTTTATTTATTTTTTTCTTTTTTTGAGGGTTTGAGCGCTGCACAGCTGCAAAAACTGAATGATCGCGCGAAACGCGCCAGCACTTGACGCGTTTTCGGTTTTTGCACGAGAAAAAAATTTCTTTTTTTTTTGTTTTTTTCCATCAGAAAATTAATTTTTTCTTCTTTTTTATTTTTTTGTGAGTTTTTCAGGAAGTTTCACATATTCGGACAGACTATCGTTTGTAGAGAATTTAAAGGAGAATTTTATTATGTTTGGATCGAGTGATGAAAATGGGGCTGACGGATGCTAAAGTTGTTTTTATGAAGCCCATTTTTTTCGAAGAAAATTTTTTATTCTGGAATTGATCGAGTTTGAATTTTTGTGAGTTGGAATGAATATACAATTGGTTGGAGATGAATTTCCGATGATTTTGAGTGAGATGCGATGCATTAGAGAAGCATTTTTCGAGGTCGGCGAATCAATATTTTTCTTGTTGAAAAGTGAGTTATTCGTATCTAAATTTATCAAAAAATCATGATTTTATATTTAGATGAGCGTGATACGAGTTGACGGAAACATGAAGATGTCGGAGAGTGCCAAATAAAAATTATTTCGATGAACGAATCCAATTGATTGCCAACCTGACCAGAAATTCACAAAGGAATTCACGTGGAGAGCCTCACGAAAAGAGTTTTAGGATTCTATGGAAGATTTTATTGAAGGTAATTCCAATTTTTGATTGATTTTTATAAAATAGTAAAATCACTTGAAGAAATAATAAAAATTCAATGTTTCCGTCATTTTGACGTTATTTCACCATGATAGAGGCACGGGGGAGTATGAAGACTTAGTCTATCTTTCTCAGCAGCAAAAACTATATCAAGATACATGTTCAAATAACATTTCTACCGTTCATTTTCGAAAAGTAAAATTATATTTTCATTTTCATCGCATTTTATTTTAATAAGAACTAATATTTCATATGTCCGTGATTCAAAACTGTTGAATTCAAACAAACAATGTTGTTTTCAGGTATTGCGAACGTCAACCAAGTGGAATCAGCGGTTTCGATCATGAACGAAGTGGAGTTAATAATACTATTCAAATAACAGATTTTTAATAAATTTTTGCTGCTTTCAACTTGAGCTTTGTTGATTTTCTTCAAATTTCGATCAAAAAGTGCCGCAAAATTAGGAGCTGTGGGATAGAACTTCAAATTTCGATGATTAATGTGGTATTCTGATTGTTAGAAGAGATCCTGCTTCAAAAGCTTCAGAAACATCTCAGCGAAAATAAAACATGATTTTATCATGAAATTGTAAGCCATATTTGTAATTATTCAAATCACTGTTGAAATTTTTCCCGAAAAACATCGGTTCTTTGAAATTTTTGAGACAAAGGCTGGTTATTCTCTCGTCTAACAGTACAAATTCATTGTCCGGTAAGAAGTTCTTCTTTTTTTTTTCAACATAAGTATATTAAACATCTTATTTCATACAAAAAATTTGAAAGTTTTGCTTCAATATTTCAAAAATATCTTTTTTGTGAGGGTACTTCAAAATCTCACGTTTTTCACGCCTAATAAATTTTTTCACTCAGCAAATTATATTTCTCTGTCTTCGTCTCATTCTCCTCTATCTTCTCATGTACGATTCATTTGTTGAAACTTCCGCTAACTTCAGCTTTTTTTAAAAAAATTCGAGAAAAAATTAAAAAAAAAAATTTTTCGGCGAGAGAGTGTGTGCGCCTATAGAGACGCCGACAAACACACACGCCCGTGGCGGGCGAGAGAGAAGAGTGCAGGAGACATTGCTGGCGCACAATCGGTTTTTGCAGCTGTGCGCTGCAATTTTTGGAACATCCGCCTATTGTAACTTCAGGGGATTATTTTCAAAATGGGAACCCCCCCCCCCCATTTTCTGACTTTGAGAATAGATTACATCAAAAGTATAACAGTTGGGAACCCTGAGATTCTCTCTAATAAATAAATAAATCAAACCCCGCGAAAAATTAAAAAAAAAATTTTACTACGGTTTGCAATTTGTGCATTTGTGCGTCGCGGTGTTTGCAGACTAGAAGTGCTTCCAAAGTTTCAAGTTTGAAAATGTTTTTTTTTCAGTGTGTTCTGGGGTGATTCAGGTCGAAAAAAAATTTGAAGTTGTTCCATCCTGAAAATGCTAGATGTTTTCATTTTCGTCTGTAATTTTTTAATTTTTTTTTCAATGATTTGTTTTTTACGCACTGAGCTTTCATATATGAACTTTTTCATTTTTCAATTCAAAATAAAAAATAAAATACACGAATGAGATCAAAAAACACGTAAAATGGGCATTTTTTTGAAAAATAATTAAGAAACCTGAATTTTGTATGAATTCAATAACATTTGAGTGTTTTTCGACATTTTTCGATCAATATTGTTGTTATTCATCAAAAAATCATGATTTCCTCGAGAATTTCGCCGCCAAAATGAGCAAATTATTGATCGGACTGTAGCTCGATAGGTTGTGCTCATACAACAATAAACAATAAATGAAGTTAGGCAATTGATAAGGCTAAGTAAATCTAAAACTTCACCAACATTCACATAAATCATTGTATGAACTTGGGTGGGATAAATTGCTGATAGAATTGCAAGAAGTCCTTGGGGAAGTTCAGTGAAAAGAAATACAACCATCATTATAATGAGCATTAGGGTAGTTCGATCAATTGACATATTTTGCGACATTTTTCGAACGCGGCTGGAAATTTTCAGTGGGTTTTTTTTTAAAAATTAGATTGGGGACTTACTGTTCTTCTCTAGTCGTCGAACTTGGCGTGGCACTCGCCAAAAGTTGAAAATTCCCCCGATTCGTCGTATCGCCTCTCAAAATCCGTCGTTTTTCCGACATTTCACACAATTTATATATCAGCGCAATTGTAAACCACAAAATCAAAAGACACGGCAAGGCTTTGAACATTATTCCGGTTAGCCAGAGATTTAGACGAAATAATGCGCAACCCTGTATTGAACTATCGTCCAAAATCACAGTGTATAGGTTTTCGTAGTAGATGGTGGAGTTTGGCTGGAGATTGGAGGATTTTTGGAGTTTCAGAGTGAAATTTTTCACTTACCTCACTGAAATTACCCACATCTCCACCTAATGCCTCATTAACCGTCACAATTTTATGCACCATAATCGTCGGAATCGAAATAACCGTCACAATCAGCGCGGTAAACAACAATATCTGTTTCAGCGCTCCATGATTTATCCATTTCGCATCCAATCGATCTAAAGCCGTCCATCGTATATACGCCATAATTACCGATAAATAAAGTGAAGTTGTGTGAAGTGCAATTGAACTTGTGACATGAGCAATGAGGAAAATGAGCCAGATATATGGATATCCCCAGGTTTGGGATGAATTGTCGTCGAGAAGTTTGAAACGGATTATATAGATGAAGTATGAGAACATTGTGATGATATCACAAATTGACATTGCGCAGAGAAGAGCATTTATTATGTAGACACGCATTGCTTTACGGCTGAAAATTGGATAATTATTTAAAGCATGAGGATAGAGGGAGAGGTAAAAAAATGTGGTCAAACTCCCGGAAAATGAAAAATATAATTTATCTTCAAAAGACTTGAGCTACCGTGTAATTCGCAAAGAAGGAAAGCCGATGTTTCTTGTTGTCAGCTACTCGACTTCAAATATGTTTGCGCATTTTAATTTCAGGCCTTACGTAAGAGTTCTAGATGTATCTGAATTCCGTATATTTTCCTATGCTGCAAAAATTGCCTCGACAAATTTTGAAAGTTGTTGAAGTTGAAAAATCCCATAAAGATTTTTGATAAATCTAAAATGCAATGCTTGGTTCTCTGACTACAAAATTCCTGTTCCAAATTCGTTTTCTGATTTTTTATTTTTAAATGAATCACAAGACTAATTTCGCCGAAAATGCATTTTATACAACAAAATTTGCTTTAAAAGCCCCTTCCATTTTTCATTTTTCACCAAAAAATGAGCAAACTTCTAATTTTCTTGATTATTCCTGCTGTTCTTTCAAGAGGTTTAAGATTCTCCGATTTCTCAACCACAACTCAACCTTTTCAACAACAACAAGATGCTTTGATTACTGTATATAAATTTTTGAGCGCACTGGTGAATGCAGCAAGATCAGACGATTATTCAATCTTTGATCAACGTTTCCTCGTTCTTATTCATGAAGATATTCATACTGTCAGAACTGGAACAAAAGAAGATATATTCCAAATTTTCAAAACATTTCCTCAAAATGACAATATTGAACAAGTGTTTCCAAGAAATGAATTGAAATTCATACATGCAACTGTGATCGACGGATATAAAATCTTTGACTTTACAGTAACTAAAAATGGAGTTCCGATATACGCTTCTGTTAAAGTTTTGGCCGAAAATCAATTCAGTTTGAGATTCATTACGATTTCAATTCCACCTAAATTTGAATAATGCATATTTTGATGTGAAATAATAAAGTTTTAAAAAGTTAATTCAATCCTGATTTGAAAAATTCGAAAATTGATGTCATCAAGTTGTTTACTGCAAAGAATATGTAGAACAGCAGAGCAACTATGGAGTAAACTTTTATATTGTGAGTTCGAGTTATAGTAATTTAATTTGCTAAGAAAAACAGATAGGTCAAAATGAGATGTCTGGTGACTTTGTTCACAAACAGGCTCCAAGCTCCTAGTCTTGGTTTTCTCGAAAAAAAATTGCTGTTGCCAGATTAAAGGAACACACTGCAAACAACCGTACCACCTGCGTATCTAACTCGTGTACACCTTGAGCATTTTTGTTATGTTCATGTCCAATTTCTTCTCGAGTTAGATATGCATGTTCTACCGTACTTCAGCATGCGTCTTGAATCTTTTAGAAAAAATTAAAAACAATAATATTTCAGCAGAGAAAAATAAATTCTATTTATAATTTAAAAAACATTAGCAGAATATTTCTATTCTCAAACTACAAAATTTCCATTCCGAAAATTCGTTCTCTGAATTTTTTGTTTTCAAATAAATCACAAGACCCTTGACTAATTTTTGCCGAAAATGAATTTTATACAACAAAATTCGCTTTAAAAGCCACAATCATCTTCATTTTTTCAACAACTCATCGAAAAATGAGCAAACTTCTAATTTTCCTGATCATTCCTGCTGTTCTTTCGAGAGATTTGAGATTTTCCGATTTATCAACCACAGTTCAACCTTCTCCTCAACAACAACAAAATGCTTCAATAATTGGATATCAATTTTTGAACACATTGCTAAATGCAGCAAGATCAAACAATTATTCCATCTTTGATCCAGAATTCTTCGCTCCAATTCTTGATAAAAATGGAACTTCAATTGGAGAAGCATCAAAAGAATCTTTATTCCGAATTTTAGGAGGAGTTCCTCCAAATCTCGATATTGAACAAGTTTTTCCAAGAAATTACTTGGAATTTGGCTTATTCGAATCATATGGAGAGCAATATTTGAGCATTGACAAAACCGAAGATGATGTTCATGTTTACTTTACTGTTAAAATTTTGGGCGAAAATCAATTCAGATTTATATCTCTTATATTTGTCGGTGTAACTGCTGATACTTCATCTGGATTAATTCAAAAACTTATTTGAACAATTTTTGTTTTGATGTGAAATAATAAAGTTTTTAAAATGCAAAATTGGTTAAAAATATTTGAAAATAAAAAAAAGCCTGTGCCGGAAATTTTCCGAATTTTCCGATTTGTCCGGAAAATGAGTAGTAATATCTTCAATATTGCCTAAATTTTGGGAAATTTTTCAAATTTTCCGATTTTTTTCGTCTCAAATAGTTACTAACGTAAATTACCTGCGAATAGAAGAATTGTAGCTAAATATAAGTTTTAGTGCCAACTTAAGAGTGAAAATCGAAATTTCAGACCTTGAAATTTTCCGAAATCCGAAAATTTTCTGCCAGAGGCCTGAAGTGAATTCCTATGTTTTAGATCAAGAAAATGTTTCGAATTCGTTGTATAAATTGTTGTTTTCAAATGAATCACAAGACTAATTTTTGCCGAAAATGCATTTTATACAACAAAATTTGCTTTAAAAGCCACCGCCATATTTCATTTTTCATCGAAAAATGAGCAAACTTCTAATTTTCTTGATTATTCCTGCTGTTCTTTCAACAACAACAATTGAATCTGACTATCCTGAATATACAACTCAATCTTCTCAACAACAACAAGATGTTGAAAATGGTCCAAGAGGTTTGAGATTCTCCGATTTCTCAACAACAATTCAACCTTCTCAAGATGCTTCAATTCTTGGTTATCAATTTCTCACCGCATTTTTGAATGCAGTAAGAGCAGACGATTATTCAATTTTTGCTCAAAACTTCACTGCTCCAATTTTTGATAAAAATGGAACTGTAATCGCAGAAGCATCAAAAGAAGCGTTGTTCCGAGGTTTTCAAGAAGCTCACCAAGAAGGTAGTGTTGAAGAAGTTTTTCCAAGAAACGAATTGGAATTTGGCTTGGTCAATGCGTCTGATGGAAATCAATATTTGAAAATTGCAAAAGCTGAAGATGAGGTTCTTATCATCTTTACTGTTCAAGTTTCGAGCGAAAAACAATTCAGTTTGTTATCTCTTGAGTTAATTGGTGTAACTGTTGATTCTTCAGCTGGATTAATTCAAAAACTTATTTGAAAAATGTATATTTTGATGTGAATTAATAAAGTTTTAAAATTCAAATTGTTTGGGATCAAACGCTAAAGAAATTTTGATTCTTCTAGAATCATCACCTTGAAAGTTCCAGCGCAAATTCAAATTCATTTGCAAAAAAAAAAATGATTTTCATGATTTCTATGTAGAAACTGGAATGTATTAATCAGAATTTCAGAATTAGTCACGAATTTTGAATGTGATTCTCTGATTGTTTCATTTTGAATAGATAGGTCTGACTAATTTTCGCTGAATATGAAATTTATAAAACAAAATTTGCTTTAAAAGAAACTGTCATATTTCATTTTTCATCGAAAAATGAGCAAAATTCTGATTTTCTTGATTATTCCTGCTGTTCTTTCAAGAGGTTTGGGATTCTCCGATTTCTCAACCACAACTCAACCTTCTCAAGATGCTTCAATTCTTGGTTATCAATTTCTGACAGCATTCCTGAACGCAGCAAGAGCAGAAGATTATTCAATTTTCGCTCAAAATTTCACTGAAAGCGGAATAATAACGAAAGAATTGTTATTGCGAGTTTTTAGAAGTGTTCCAAAAGATGACAGTGTTGAGGAAGTTTTTCCAAGAAACGAAGTCAAATGTCAGTTAGAAGATATTGATGGACAACAATATGTGGTGATCGAGATAACCGAGGATCGTAAATTATTTGTTTTTGTTGCTCAAATTTTGGGCGAAAATCAATTCGTTTTGCAAGAAATCTTTTGGGATTTGACAAACAATATTACTTCATCTGGATTGTTGAAAAAACTAATTTGAAAAATGTGAAATAATAAAGTTTTAAAATGCAAAGTTTACAATATAATTGTCTTGTTAAAGGATTTTTGATCTTCAGGCCTGATCGGAATCGGAATGTCGGAATTCTGAAATTCCGAAACCGACAGGTTTTTCGGAATGAGACAAACGTGTCTCGGAATCGGAATCATTCCGATGTTACTTCCGAAACTTTTTGGAATTTCGGAATGTGTTTCTCTTCCGAATTTCGGAATTTTTCGGAATGTTTGAGCTGAAATTAGTGAAAAATTCAACAAAAAAACTGGAAAAATTGATGAATTTTACCTGTCATTTTCAAAAAATCTCTTTTTCTCTTGTGATTCTCGAAAACTGTAACTTTTGAAGACAAACTTTAAAAGTTTTATATCATTCCGAATTTCCGAAATTCCGAGGTAAAAATGTCGGAATGGAAGTTCGGAATTCGAATTACAATCTGACCACTCGGAATGAGTGTGCTCATTCCGAACCTTCCGACATTTCGACCAGGCCTGATGATCTTATCTTCAAAAATTCCAAAATGAATAGCTTTAAACATTTTTTCCTAGATGAATCACTTGATAACACATTTTTTTAATTATTAGGAAGTTATTTTAAGATTCAGAATGACTCAAACATTTTCAATTGTTCATTTTCCCAAAAAGGCTGACTAATTTCTCTCGAAGAATCGTTTTATCAAACAAAAATTTTCTTTAAAAGACCCCCTCATTTCTCAATTTCTTCACTCCGAAGTCGAAACATGTCCAAACTTCTAATTCTCTTGATTATTCCTGCTGTTCTTTCAAGATCAATTCCAACTCAACAAGACGAGAATGTTGTTCTTGCAGAACAATTTGGTGAAGCATTTTTAAAAGCAGTGCAAACCAATGACTATTCTATTTTTGCTCCAAACTTCGAGGGAAACGTCTATGATCAAAATGGAAATCTAGTCGGAAAATTTTCAAAGGAACAATTATTCCAAATTATCCAAGCAAGTGTCAATGGTGGAAATGGAGTTATTCCAAAAGGTGATCAAAAATACGATGTTGTACGAAACAATGACAAACTCACTATCACCATCATCTCAGAAGGTATTACAAATGTCGCCACTGTTACTATTTTGGGCCAAAATCGATTCATTTTGAATAGCCTTTACTACTACGCTCCGGCTTCTTTGACAAATAACCTCATTTGAAAAATGTATAAATAATAAAGATTCATTGCAAAAAAGTTTTTTTTCACCTCCGGTCAGGGATAACGAGAGAGTAAGTTAGCGTGTGCGTGCAGAAGAGAGGCGAGACGAAAAAGGGATATGGAAGACTCCGCCCACTTTTTTGAATTTCTGTAGCTAAAAACATAAAAAATGAAAAAATTTTACTTTTCTTGATCTCGAGGCAACAATTCAATGAAGATGAGGAGACTTTCAGCGGAACTTTTTTTTCAATGAAGATTTATTGAATTCAGAAAAACTTCAAATACGTTAAATCAATTTTGCAATCAAGTTAGCAACATTGACAACAGTTTTTGGTTAGAATAATCAATAGGAGCTCTATCAATATATTGAATTTTGAATGCGTCAAGTCTATAACGGTTTTCAGCCAAAATAGTGACTCTGAAACTTGTATAGCCTTTCGAATTTCGATTTTTGATATGCAATCCCTCAGCTCTTCCATTTCTATGAAATACTATGAAACGTGTTTCTGGAGTACGAAATATTTCTTGAACTGTTTTTTTAATCTTTGAAATTAATCGAAGAGCTTTAAAGATTTTTTCTCTGCTCAAAGTTCTTATAAAATCCTTATTCCGATAGACTGTGCCTTCGAAGGTTTGGTTGAAAATTGAATAATCATCTGTTCTTGATGAATTCAAAAGAGTATTCAAGAATTGATAGCCAATTATTGAATTATCTTGAGAAGGTTGAATTGGAGATGAAAAAACAATAGGAATAACGATCAAGAAAATCGAAAGTTTGATCATTTTCTTTGAAATTTCGAGAAAAGGAGGCTTTTAATGCAAAATATTATTTGGAAAACATTAATTTCGAGCGGAAAATTGCGGGAACAAAACATTTTCTAAATTAGAAGCCTTCTAGAAGTGATTCATTAGGGCTGATTCACGAACGAAAAAAATGTTAAAAAATGTTTTTTTAACATCGAAAGATCAATTCACGAAAAGTCAAAAAATGTCGAAAAAACATTGTAGGTCAAAATTAGTTTTTCGAGTTTTTCAGCCAAAAATGATGACAATTCGATATTTTTTAAGCTTCTGGAGTAATTTCTAATTAAAATTGACCTTGGAATTCACTTTCCAGAAGTTTTTGCTGATTTTTCGTAAAATAAAATTTTTTTAAATTTTTATGAATTTCGAAAAATTTCATAAAATAAAGCAAAATAGGGTTCTCGAAGCTTATTTTCATCAGAAATTACTCCAGAAGCTTAAAAAATATCGATTTGTCATCATTTTTGGCTGAAAAAACTCGAAAAACTAATTTTGACCTACAATGTTTTTTCGACATTTTTTGACTTTTCGTGAATTGATCTTTCGATGTTAAAAAAACATTTTTTAACATTTTTTTCGTTCGTGAATCAGCCCTATTTCAACACCGAACCACACGGAAAGAAAACAAAAAAAAATAATTTGTTTTGCTGTTGTACTACGGTAGAACAAAATGTGTGCATTGCACACAACACATTTTAATTGACGCGCACGTATTTTTATTTTCCGCCCATTTTTTGGGTTTGTGTTTTTGCGGTGTAAACTTTGTTTTTATAGGCGGAACTTGATATCGAGCCAACGATTCAATGAAGATGGAGAGGTTTTAAGCGAAATTGTGAAAATCGAGATTTATTGAATTCAGAAAAACTTGAAATGCGTTTAAATCAACTTTTCAATCAAATCAGAAATAGGTTGAGGTGTAGTCGAGGAACCAACTGGAAATACGGTCAATTGAAGTTTAAAAGCATCAAATCGATAACTATTTTCAGCCAAAATAGTTGCTCTCAAATACAAATAACCATTTTCCAGTTTTTTGTTTATTTCCCACAGGGAAATCTTGACTGATCCATAATGGATATAAAAAAATATTGCATACTAATAGCAAACAATTTGTATCCCTTAAAATTAAACGCGAGAAAAAATGCATTCTTTATGAGAATAAAAATGCATCCATTATTTTTCTTTGAGAATTTTGAGAAGTATAATGCATCCATTTTTAGATGGCCGTGGAAGAGAAATCCACATGGGCGTCTTCTTCCAATTAATTTTTCATTTTCGAAATTATTGTGTTTTTTCGGCGTTTTTCTATGTTTTTCATGTTTTATTTTGTTTTTTGTGCCTCAGAGATTCGCTGGCCAGCTGGCTACTAGGTGGGATCGACTACCAATCTAAAATTGACATGGACAACCACATGGCCCGGGTTTTTTTGCAAGACGACGTGGCCGTAAGTTCGGACAGTTCATACAGCCCACATCGCCCAGGTTGTCCACCTCGAGCCGACCTCGCGTGAGAGAAAAATTCCGAAAAACTTGTGATTTGGAGCATTTTTTAAAAATATGACTTATTTTCTGTTTTTCATGAGTATTTCAAACCATTAGATGAGAAAAAACAGAAAAAATGACTGTTGTGAATTCAAGCAGCCTTTCTGGGTGACAAAGATTTGAGACCACGTCGCCTGAAAATGCAAGGCGACCTGGTTGCCGAATCGTATTGATCAATCAAATTCAGTCCTTTTTGAACTTTCTGGCCACGTGATCTTGATCTAGTGGTGAGCTGGCCAGCGAATCTCTGAGGCATGATAAAACTGCGTAATATTGAGTGTTTTGATTTGAGCTGTAGATATTGGTTCACTCCGCTTTCGTTTTTTCTTGTTTTGACCTTTCTCTCTAGTAATCTATTTTTGTTGTGAATGTCTGTGGCCACAGGTGGAGGGAGATTGCCCAATCTTTGGTCAAACTCGTACCAATCGGGTTTTTGGTCAAAAATTGACCAATTTCTAAACAAAAATTATTCAAGTTTGGGCCAAATTTTGACCAAAAACCTCTCTCCACCTGTGGGTGTGTTCAATTGAGTTTTCGTGATTGTGTGATTTGTTCATTGTTGCGTTCTTATTTTCTTTCGCTTTTTTCACTATATTTCTACGATCCCTTCAGCTCTGCTACGCTATTAATTTTGATTTTTCAGCATCAGGTTTGAACATAAATGCCTCCAAAAACTCGTGGGTCTGCCGCGAAGCAACGATGGTACATTTTTTTCAAAAAAGCGGTTCGTTTCAAAATCTAAACCCAATTTCAATTTATTTGATTTCAGTCTTCTCGAAATCCTGAACCCCCGCCGCATGACTTACTGGATGTCAGTCATCAGAATGGTGAGCCACTACCAAGGAAGCCACCGACGAAGTCAATCAATGTGCGCACTTACTAGAGTGAGTTTTTTGCTCCCTGGAGGTTTTCAATTATACATATATGTTGCTGTACAGTTTTTGTTTTTGCTGCGGGACTCTCCAAAGAGCTTTTTCAGAAATTCTCAAATTTGGCTCATTTTTGTACTGTCAGAGAGTCCTGCAGCAAAGACTTAAAGCGGAATCTTTCTCCGCGTGAAAAACTCTGGAGACTGCTCACACATCCCCCTGTGAGAAATTGAAAATTTTAAATAAAAAAATTGAAACCTGTAGTGTATCATTTTTTATTTACAGGGATCAAAAAAGAGGACAAGTCCAAAATGAGCCAGGAGGCCATGCGCTTTTGGAATCAAGGAAACTGCTCAAAAATTCTACCTCAACAATCTAATTGGACCCCATCCTGCAACTTCACGAGCAATTTGTTTTTTTCATTTTTGTTTTTTGAAAATAAATGAATTAATCGCAGCTTTCCACCAATTCAAACGAAAAAAAACTACGCAAAAATGATTCATTTTGCATACTTATTTTTTAGAAAAATGTATGCTTTTTGAATTCAAAAAGGATCCATTTTTACCCCATAGAATTTATGGATCCATTATGGATCCTTTTTGTTATGGTTTTGAGGTACATAATGGCTCCCATTTTTCTGAAGTTAATGGATGCATTATTATACCATTTTGGATCACTTTTGATTCGTGTGTGTCCAATCGCTCATATTTTTGGCAGTTTTTGAATCGGACCTGAGGAATCGGACCAGGTCCGATTAATCGGACCCGATTTTGAAGGTATTTTGAATCGGACCAGGGACACAATTTTTCAATAGGAATCGGACCACAAAAAAGAAATCGGACCACCTTGCCTTTTTTGAATCGGGCCAGGTAAAATCGGACCAGGTGAAAAAAAATCGGGCCAGGTAAAATCGGACCAGGTGGAAAAAATCGGGCCAGGTGAAAAAAAATCGGACCGCGTAAAATCGGACCAGGTGACAAAAAATCGGGCCAGGTGAAAAAAAATCGGGCCAGGTAAAATCGGACCAGGTGGAAAAAATCGGGCCAGGTGAAAAAATCGGACCGCGTAAAATCGGACCAGGTGACAAAAAATCGGGCCAGGTGAAAAAAAATCGGGCCAGGTAAAATCGGACCAGGTGACAAAAAATCGGACCAGGTAAAATCGGACCAGGCAAAAATCGGACCAGGCAAAAATCGGACCAGGCAAAATCGGACCAGGTGGAATCGGACCAGACAAAATCGGACCAGGCAAAAAAATCGGACCAGGTAAAATCGGACTAGGCAAAAATCGGACCAGGCAAAAATCGGACCAGGCAAAATCGGACCAGGTGGAATCGGACCAGACAAAATCGGACCAGGCAAAAAAATCGGACCAGGCAAAAATCGGACCAGGTGAAATTGGACCAGGTGGAATCGGACCAGACAAAATCGGACCAGGCAAAAAAATCGGACCAGTTTTTCTGGGCGTTCACTAAGCCTAAGCCTTGAAAAACAGAAAAGTTAAACCTTTTTGGGCTTTACTGGCCCGGATATTAGGCTTAGGCTTAGTAAGCGCCCAGAAAAACTGGTCCGATTTTTGCCTGGTCCGATTTTTTGTTACCTGGTCCGATTCCACCTGGTCCGATTTTGCCTGGTCCGATTTTTGCCTGGTCCGATTTTTTGTTACCTGGTCCGATTCCACCTGGTCCGATTTTGCCTGGTCCGATTTTGCCTGGTCCGATTTTTGCCTGGTCCGATTTTACCTGGTCCGATTTTTTGTTACCTGGTTCGATTCCACCTGGTCCGATTTCGCCTGGTCCGATTTTTGCCTGGTCCGATTTTTTCTTACATGGTCCGATTCCACCTGGTCCGATTTTTGCCTGGTCCGATTTTTGCCTGGTCCGATTTTTTCTTACATGGTCCGATTCCACCTGGTCCGATTTTGCCTGGTCCGATTTTTGCCTGGTCCGATTTTTTGCCTGGTCCGATTCAAAAAACACAAGATGGTCCGCCTTTTTTGTGGTCCGATTCCTATTGGAAAATTGTGTCCCTGGTCCGATTCCAACAACCTTCAAAATCGGGTCCGATTAATCGGACCTGGTCCGATTCCTCAGGTCCGATTCAAAAACTGCCCATATTTTTGACTTGAACCGTATACTCCGAACGTTGTGTTTAAAGGTGGAAAGGAATCCTCAATCGTCGAGTTACTTTGTGGAATGTAAAGGAAACTTTGGAAAAATTCTTCTTTGCTCAATGTATAGTCAAGTTCATTGTTCACATAGATGTTGCCTTGGAAGTTTACGTTGAAAATCGAATAATCATTCGATTTTGCTGCGTTCAGAAGAGAATGCAAGAATCGATAACAGATTGTTCTAGGTTTCTCAATTTCTTGAAATATTGAAGGTTCTGTTGTGGTAGAAGAATCAGTTAGATGTTGAATTGGTGAGGAAAATACAACAGGAATAATCAAGAAAATCGAAAGGTTGATCATTTTTTTTCGAAATTGTGATGAAATGAGAAATGATGAGGCTTTTTAAACAACATTTTGTTTTGTAAAAATTAATCTCGGAAGAAAATTTGCGGAACAACATACATTTCTAAATTTAGAATGATGGGGAAATTCATGGATAGTGCTGTCTGAGTTAAATTATTTCTTCTGGAGCACACTTGCTCTGTGAATTCTGCTTTTCAAAAAAAATTTATTGAAAAATAATTTAATGATATTTGCCGGTTTGCACAGGTTTTGATGTAGCCATAGAATGATGTTGATCTTTCATAATAAAAACATTGTTGAAAACATCAAGTTTATAACTATTTTCCGACAAAATCGTGGCCTTCCAACTCATATACCCAAATTTATTCGTTTGATAAATTTCCAATTTCTCAGCTCTTCCATTATTTCGAATAACGATAAATCTTGTTTGTGGAAGAGGAAACGCCTTTTCAAATGTTCTGCCTCTCCGTGAAAGATCTAATTCTTTGAGAACATATTCTTTCGGTATATTTATAACAAATTCTTCATTCATATACATTTTTCCCTCAAAAGTTTCGCTGAAAATTGAATAATCTTTTGTTTCTGCCGCCTTCGTAAGAACCTTCAAAAAATTGATATCCGATGATTTGATCTGGAGTATAAACTGGCGGAATAGTCGAGGAATGTGGAATATGTTGCTTTTTCATTGCGTCAAGTCGATATTTGTTTTCAGCCAAAATAGTTACATCAAAACTCAAAAAAGCCTTCTGAAATTTGATGTTTGATATGCAAACCCTGAATTGTTCCATTTAGCCCATATATAATCTTGAATTGTGTTTGTGGGCGAGGAAATACTTCCTCAGCTGTGCTATTGATTAATGAAAACCGTGCGAATTCCTTGAAGGTAGATTCTTTGCTAACCTTAAGATTTCTGATAAGTTCATCATTCACATAATATGTTCCTTCAAATGTTTCGTTAAAAATTGAATAATCATCTGTTTTTGCTGCATTCAAAAGAGTGTTCAAGAACTGATAGCCGATTATTGAATTATTTTGAGAAGGTTGAATTGGTGATGAAAATACAATAGGAATAATGATCAAGAAAATTGATAGTTTGATCATTTTCTTTGAAATTTCGAGAAAAAAGAGGCTTTTTATGCAAAATATTATTTGGAAAACATTAATTTCGGGCAGAAAAGGAACAAAATGTTCTAAATTTAGAATGATGACTCAGGAAAAATCAGGAGCACTGAAAACACTCATTGAAAATCACTAAAGCAAGAATCAGGAAGTTAGAGAACAGGTGTAAGAGACGCAGAGACCCTAGACAACTTTAGAGTAGTATGTAGTATAGGCAGACATCTAGAGAATATCAAATGCGATAGACGCAGAGAAGCTAGACCACCAGACATGAGAAGAGTGGGAGAGACGCAGAGGAGTTAGACGGCTAGAGACAAGGATGAAGGTAACATTTCTTTTCAAGATGAATTTCGAATACTTTGCCACGTCATACTTAGTTTACGAAGGCACTCAGATCTTTCGAATAAATTTTTTACCACAAATATTTGAAATAGAGCGCACGTGCAAAAAAATACCCCCAAAAAACTCACGTCAACACATAAAAATGAAGCGAGTTCAAAATGACACCAATAAAACACACAAAAAGACAAAGGTATCGATGAATCACCGTGTAGACTCTAGAAAAATGTTGATTTTTGAGGGACTAGGAATCCAAGTTAGTCCCCGACTTCAAATCAATAGCTCCTGATGGCCTAGAAACCCAAAAAAAAGAACTCACTGTTGAAAAGCTATCAATTGATCGAAAAAATAGATGGTCGCATTGTCATTGACATCAAAAAAGCGGCAAATCTTCGGTGCACATATTTTCAGACTATTCTCATTTTCAGCTCGAAATTTTTTCAGCGCTGAAAAAAATATATTTTTTTTTTGGAACATGTATATGGCTCTAAAAAAGGAGCAAAAGTAATGCAATCAAAAAAAAAATAAAAAAGGAAACTCATTTTGACATTTGATGGGTCCTGGCACGCTCAAAGAATATTTATTTTATTTTTAAATGTTTTTTTTTTTGAGTCTAGCCCTAAAAAGTCCAAAAGTTTGAGAAGAATAAAATAAACAGAAAAAAAAAGAAAAAAAGAGATTAGTTCTGAGAATTTTGTGTCAAATAATTATGGGTTAAATTATTTTTTTTATACAACAAAAAATTTGATTTTGGGAACATTTTCAAGAACTTCCGGGCTCAAAAATTACAGTATCTAAAAGAAATTTGTAATTTTTAGTGCAAAGTTTCTCTGCGTCTCTCAGGTTTCCACACTCTCTCGTTTGTTTTCGATGAAAGTGCTTGTTTATGAGAAATGTCGGAAAAATCGGAAACTTGAGGCCCGAAAACGGGCCTGAAATTGGATAAGCCTAGATTCTAGGCTTACCCAATTTTAGGCCGGGTAAAAATTAGGTCTGGTGGAAATCTAGGCTTATCGAATTTAGGCTCAGCAAGCCATGCCTAAATTTTAAAGTCTGCTAGAAATTAAGGCTTATCAAAATTTGAGGCCCGTCCAGAAATCTGGGCTTATCAGATATTTGAGGCCTCGTAAAAAGTTAGGCCCTTGCAAATACTTTAGGCTTAGCGAAAATATAGGCAAGGCAAAATCTAGGCCTGACAAAATTAAATAGGCTCATATAGATTTGATGCCTGGAAGAAAATTAGGCCTAGCAAAAAACTAGGCTCTTCAAATATTTTAGGCCTGTTCTAGATTTAGGCCTGCCAAAAACATAGGCTCATCTAAATTTAAGGCCCGGCAAAAAATTAGGCTTAGTAAGTTTAGATGAATTTGAGGCCTATCAAAACCCCTCAAAATGTTTTAGGCTTATCCAAAACTCAGGCCTTTTCGGCCTAGAAAAATCAGATTTTTTCAAAACTTTTAAAAGTTCATTTCGAAAAAAATCTTCTCATAAATAAAACAATAAAAATTATGATGAGTTTTGAGGCCCGTCAGGTGTGAAAAATATCAGATTTCAAAAAAAAATATGGATTTTTGAAAGTAGAGAAAAACTAGAAAAAATTTCCAATAATTTTTGAAAAAAAATATAACAATTTTGTGCGCGGTCAAAGAGTATATTGCACAAATTAAAAAAAATTGTGCTCTTTTGGAGCACAAAAAAAGGAGAAAGTGAAAGTGAAATTAGTTTTCATAGACATGGCGAGAACACTTTTTCGTTTGGTTTTTTGAAAATTTGGCGCGAAAAATTTGAATTTGAAAATTCAAAAAAATTTCAGCTCAAAATAAGTAAACCTCTTAAAATTCCCTCCCCATTTTCCAAAAAAAAAAAAAAATAAATTTAGCTCAAAAATACGTAAGCAATCCGAGCAAAATCCTGGATTTACTATAACTCCGGAAAAAAAATTCAGAAAAAAATAAAATATTTTTTGGAAAATGGAAAATGGAGCAGAAAAAAAATCAAAAATTCATGGAAAAAATTTTTTTTTTGTTAATGGAAAAAAACTTTCAACCGAAAACTTTTTTTTTGAAAAAAAAATTGAAAGCAGGTGAAACATTGTTCCGGGAAATAATCTGGAAATTCCAGATTTTTTTGAAAATGAGATGCAAAAAAAAATAACATAAAAATAATGCTAATTTGACACCTCTCGATAAAAAAACAATTTTTTCTGGAAAAAATTTTGAAAATTTTGATTTTTTGAAAAATGTGCATCATTTTTGGAGCAGAAAAAGAGCTCTTAAAAATTCATGGCAAAAAATTTTGAGATGATTTTTGACACCGCAGAAAAAAAGAGTTTTGGATTACGGTAGAGTTCAAGATTTAGAGATCAAAGATCAAAGATCAAATGATTACCTGATTTTCGAATTTTGAAATTTTTGAAATAAAAAAAAATTGAAAATTTTGGGAATTTCGAAAAAAATGGGTCACGTTTTTTTTTCAAAAAAAAAAACTGGATTTCGATTACTGTAGCCTAAGCCTAGGCCTAAAAGCTAAGGTTATAAGCTAAGCCTAAGATTTAAGCCTAAGCCTAAAGCCTAGGCCTAAAGCCCCCCAAAAAAAGCATCAAAAATCCACCAAACATCACGCGGTGTGCCTTTTTCTCCTTCCTATTCCGTTTTTTTTTTTCGAAAAAAGGTCGAAACAAATAAAACACGGTGTGTCCTTGGAGAATTGCTCCAGGAGCCTCCGAAAAAAAAACTAAAAATAAAAAATGAGACGAAAAAAAAAATATGGCAGATAAGTGGAATTCTCAGGGGATCATTTTATTTTTTCTCATTTTTCCTTTGGTAGAAGAACAAAATTGCGTGGTTCGGAGATCGAAAAAAAAGGTGTTTGGAGGATTTTTTGAGGGGAGAAGGGGCCCGAAATTGGGCCTGAATGGCCTGAATAAGCCTAAGATTAGCCTAAGTTAATTTGAGGGCCTATGTCTAAAAGAAATTCAAAAATTCAAATTTCCCGCTCAATTTTTCAAGGCGCGAAATTCAAAAATTCAAATTTCCCGCTCAATCTTTCGAGGCGCGAAATTCAAAATTCAAAAAAAAATGCCACGTAGAGTTTTCACGCGAAAATTCAAAAATAAAAATTTCCCGCTCAATTTTTCAAGGCGCGAAATTTGAAAATTCAACAAAAATTCCACGTGGGACTTTCCCGCGAAAATTTAAAAATTCAAATTTCGCGCTCAATTTTTCAAGGCACGAAATTCAAAATTTCAAATTTCCCGCGTGATTTTTCGAGGCGAGAAATTCAAAATTTCGAATTTCCCGCTCAATTTTTCAATGCGCGAAATTCAAAAATTCAAATTTCAGAATCCAGGGTTTTCTGAATTATCAAAACACATTAAAAAATATCCTGAACTTTTCCGATCATTAAAAATTCCTTCCGGAATTTCAAATTTCCAAAAAAAAAACATTTTTTTGTGTTTTGAAAGCAGATGTGATTTTCTTCATTAAAAATATGTACAACCAAAAGAAAAATCTGAAAAATTTTCTGCTGAAAAAATAATTTCCGGGTTTTCCCCCGAAGCAAAAAAAAAAAACAATGTTAACATGTGTCCTTTTCAATTACCATTAACTAGAGTAGATTTTAATTTTTCTATTGGGAGATTTTTGAGCAGCTTGAAATTTGGAACTCAAAAATGAGCCTAACGTTTGACCTCCAGGCTCTCATCAATCAAAAATCCTCTAAAAATGCTGGAAAAAATCATAAGTGGAGCAAAAAAATATTCCTATGTCGTTCTCAAATTCAATTTTCTCCTCAAAAAAATGGAATTCTTTTCATAAATATAAAAAAAAGTCCCCACCGAGAAAAAAAAAGAAAAGAAAAAATGCAAAAAAATAAAAAGAAAACAACGAGACTCCGCGTTGGCGGCAACGCGCAAAATTTATCAATAGAGCGAACATGCATTCTTACTTTTATTTCCAGGCTGTTTTTTGTCATTTTTTGCTGAAATTTTGATTTTCGTGTGAAGAAATCCACAAAAAAAAATAATGAAAATTTTGAATTTTTTGTGAAGTATCACTTTTTACAGGGAAATTTTAGAAGTATAATATATCGTCGGAATCGTCTCGACAAGAGGAGCAAAACTATGTTTCCAGTTTTCGATTTCGTTTCCTGTGAGATGTGCCAAATGCGAAAAACACAATTAATCCGATTAAAGGCGCACAGGATGGTCTCACAGCGCAACACACATTTTATTTATTTTTTTTTCGCGTGTTCTTGTTTTCTTTAGTACACGTGTACTTGAATGCTTTATAAGCTCGCAAAATTTGTAAAAAAGTGACAATTATGTATGGAATATTGTTGAGACTATTTCTAATTGGTGTTGTTTACTCGAGCACTGATTTGGAGCTGGGAAACGCGTTTCTGGCGAAGGTTGGTTTACATGAATTATCAGAGTTTGTGAATCAAAAATTGGTTTTTAGGGTCAACTTTCTGATGCATTATCTTATTTTCATGAGGCAATCAACTCGGATCCGAAAAATTATCAAGCTATTTATCGGCGCGCTTTGACATACTTGGCACTTTCACGACCATCTTCTGCATTTGCTGATTTTCAAAAAGTTCTTGCTCTCAAACCCGATTTTGTCGCAGCTGAACAACAAAAAGCTGATATTTTATTGAAGCAGGGAAAACTGAAAGAAGCGGAACAAATATATCAAGCATCTAGCAATACTGAAAAGCTTGATGAGATTAGACGAATTCAAAATCATCTTGATGAAGTTGAACACGCTTTTGAGAACGGAGATTATGAAGTGGCTGAAGAAATGATTGCTGGAATTATCGAAAATCAAAAATGGAATGCGGAGTTATTCAAGAAGCGAGCGAAATGCGCGGAGATGGTTGGCGATTTCAAAAAAACTGTCAGAAATCTCAAGCAGCTTATAAAATTGTCGCCAGATAGTACAGATGTGATGTATGAAGTTTCGCAAATTTTATACAAAATCGGAAATTTTGATGATTCTTTGAAAATGATTCGCGAATGCTTGAAATTGAATCCAGATCACAAAGAATGTTTCGCATTTTATAAAACTATCAAAAAACTTGTGAAAGGAGTTGGTGAGTTGTAATTTAAAAGTTCTCCCGAAGAAAAATCATTTTTCCAGACTCTGTCAAATCGTCAATCGAATCGCAAAACTGGGAAGAATGTTTGAAAACCGCTGCAAAAACTGTCAAATCGTTCGAAAATGCAAAATCTGCATTGCAAATCCTCACTCTGAAATGTCATAGAGAATCTGGAAATAATCAACAAACAATTCTCGACGCCACAGAACTTCTCACTTCTGAAAATCCTTCGGAAATCGAGACTGAAATTCTTCATCATCGCGCATTGGCTTATCTAGAAGAATCTGAATTCGATGATGCGATTCAAGATGTGAAGAAGATTCTAGAAAATGATCCGGATGATCGAGAATTTAAAGAACTTTTGAGAAAAGCTGAAAATGCCAAGGTTCAAGCTGGAAAACGAGATTATTATAAGATTTTGGGTGTAAAAAGAAATGCGAAGAAAAAAGAAATTGTGAAAGCCTATAGGCAATTAGCGCAAAAATGGCATCCGGATAATTTCAAGAGTGAGGAGGAGAAGAAGAAGGCGGAAAAGATGTTCATCGATATTGCGGCGGCGAAAGAAGTATTGACTGATGAAGGTGAGTTAGCTTAAGTAAAAGCTTGGGATAGTATATAAAGTTTTTCCGAATAATTTCAGAGAAACGTGAGCAATTCGACAATGGGATCGATCCATTGGACCCTGAAGCAGCTCAAAATCAACAACATCGCGGGCATCACGGCGGATTTCCACACGGTTTCAATCCATTTGGCGGTGGTGGAAATTTCCATTTTTTCTACAACTAGTCCTGTTTTTTGTTTCATAATAATTATAAATTTTTATCTTTTTTTAATTTTTGCTGAATGGTTTAATGAGCCAGATATCTGAAATTTTGTAGAACAGACATCTGAAATACCGTGTAAAATATTCTAGGCTTTGATTTCTATGGATTTCCATAAAAAACAATGATTTTCTGAATATTTTACAGGGATTTCAGCGGAGATGCGGAAGCTATGCTCAACACGTATTTTGTTGCTGAACAAAAAATCTCGGTTCGCTGTTTAAAGGGACATGCTTTAATTTTCCACCAAAATCTTAAGAACGGCTGCATCAAATGAAAATCTGAGTACACCATCTTGATCGCCGTGAAAAACTGCATGGAAATAAGCTTTGGTGGAGCGAACGGGTGCCGTTTTAGCGTTTCGGGGTTCGTGGCGAGACCAATTTCGAAAAATAGCGCGCAAAATGGAGAGACGCGAGACATTTTTGTGCATTTATGCGTCACCGTGTTTGCACAAGTCAGTACAGTATACCAACCGCGAACCGAGGGCCAAAAAAATACGTGTCAAAATTCGATATTTTTACAGATCCTTTTCAAAAAATGGAGGAACAATTGGCGAATTTGGATTTGAATTCGAATCCGAATCCAGAACCTGAAAGCCAATATGAAATTGGGTGGTACGATATACCACTGGAACTTCGCGAAATCGTCCTAGAAGATATGACAACTGATGCAAAACGACGATTCTCAATGTGCTCCAAAGATTGTTTGAAAAAGGTTAGAAGGTCGAAGAACTTTTTCAAGAAGATCTCATTGTTCTGGACCGAATCGATTGTTGAGATGGAAGTTTCGATTGGCGATGATTTTTATGTTATATTCCAGTTTTCTCAGGATAATGAGCAAGTGACAGAATGTTCGATCATTGGGCCGATTTATCACAAAACTTTCAAAGTTGTTGGGGATTTTCATAGTGTTGGTCTTGAATATTTTCAAAAATTTGTTGAAGATGCGATTCATCTTGAAAATCTTGAATTGGAAGTGGTGAGCGAATATTTTCAGGATTGATTTTTGATTTTCAATAATAATATATTCAATTCAGAAAAACTTTCCATTCGATAAAGTCAACATTCATCATCTGAAGAAGCTCAAGGATCTGCGAATCAAGAAAGCTGAAATTGCTGAAGAGGATTTTATTAATCCGTTCGAATCTGGTTTCTTGGATTTCGCGCAAGTTTCCACAGTTGAAAACAGTATTCGAATGGAGAATTTGAATTTGGCGCAAGTTTGTGAATTGAAAGCGCGTCATATTTTCTTGAAAAATGTCGGTTTGTCAACAGAAAATATTGAAGAATACTTGAAATTGTGGAAAAATGGAGAACTTGGGGAGAATATTCAAAAAGTATTCATGAAAACAACAGAAGAAATCAATTGCGAAGAGATTTTGAGAGATTTGGAAACTATTGGAAGTTATGAAATGTGAGTTTTTTATTTTTGAATCTTTAATTAAATAAATTTATAGCTACGATGGAAAGATCTGGTTTAAACTTCGAAATTTGACTGGAGAATTTGCGGAAGTTTCGGTGTCTAGCAATTCGGTGTCAATGAATTTGACAATATTGGATGACGAGGACGATTTTGAGTATGAGAATCTGGAAGATTCTGAAGACGAAGTCGATTTGGAAAATTCCGAGTTTCTTGAAGCCGAAATGTATCGCGATTTTTTGAATGACAATGGTTTCGAATTCGGTGATGAAGACGATGACGATTTCGATGATTATATTGATCCTTTGTATAATTATTGATTGGAAAAAAGGTCAGAAATAATTATTTTTACATCTGAAACATCGAATTTTGTTGAAAAAAACATTTTTCTTGGGCGTTCACTAAGCCTAAGCTTTATAGAGAGAAATGAAGTTTTTTTTCCGAAAAAAATCATTTCGAAAATGAAAAAATTAATTTTTGAAATGACGAGGGTTGTACAAAATGACGAGGGTAAAACATTGACCGTTTTTTTTCAAATTTTCCCCCAGCTTTTTCCCTTTTCCTCCCAAACTCTACATTTTTCACGAACAATAGGTCCAAGATGACCCCCAAAACCAATCAAAAAAAAATTACATGACATTTTTTTTTGCTTGATGACAAACAATACTTTTACCGCAAGAGAATCTAATCAACATGAGGCGAATATTACTACAATTTTTCTCGATTTTTTCTCTTCAGCAGAGAGAGGAAATTACACAACAATGGCTATCTGCTATTGTTTGCGCGCGCTAGAAAAAAATTGGGCGAAAAAAATTGAGAAAGTTTTGACCGACAATTAGTTTTTGGTTTACGGTGTTCTTTTTGTTTGGAAGCTGGAAATTTTGAAAAAAGAAGAGAGGAAGTTGAACTTTTGACCTTGAGAGTGGAATTAGGCTAGATAAAAAAATCGTTCTGACTGGGGTTCGAACCAGCGACCTCTAGATTGACAATCTGAGGATTTACCATTGTACCACATTCTCGAAAATGTGAAAAATAAGTTCGCCCTGACTGGGAGTCGAACTCGGGACCTTTTGGATAGAAGATGGAAGCTTAACTACTTGACCACACCTCCATGTTGAAAAAAAAATGTTCGCCCTGACTGGGGATCGAACCAGCCACCTCTAGATTGACAATCTGAGGATTTACCAATACACCAAGCGTTCAAACATTTGAAAAAAATGTTCGCCCTGACTGGGGATCGAACCAGCGACCTCTAGATTGACAATCTGAGGATTTACCATTGTACCACATTCTCGAAAATGTGAAAAATAAGTTCGCCCTGACTGGGAGTCGAACTCGGGACCTTTTGGATAGAAGATGGAAGCTTAACTACTTGACCACACCTCCATGTTGAAAAAAAAATGTTCGCCCTGACTGGGGATCGAACCAGCCACCTCTAGATTGACAATCTGAGGATTTACCAATACACCAAGCGTTCAAACATTTGAAAAAAATGTTCGCCCTGACTGGGGATCGAACCAGCGACCTCTAGATTGACAATCTGAGGATTTACCATTGTACCACATTCTCGAAAATGTGAAAAATAAGTTCGCCCTGACTGGGAGTCGAACTCGGGACCTTTTGGATAGAAGATGGAAGCTTAACTACTTGACCACACCTCCATGTTGAAAAAAAAATGTTCGCCCTGACTGGGGATCGAACCAGCCACCTCTAGATTGACAATCTGAGGATTTACCAATACACCAAGCGTTCAAACATTTGAAAAAAATGTTCGCCCTGACTGGGGATCGAACCAGGGACCTTTTGGTTGGAATATTGAAGCTTAACCACTTGACCACACCTCCATATTGAGAAAAAATGTTCGCCCTGACTGGGGATCGAACTCGGGACCTTTTGGCTGGAAAATTGAAGCTTAACCACTTGACCATACCTCCATATTGAAAAAGAAAACTGAAAAAATGTTCGCCCTGACTGAGCTTCGAACCAGCCACCTCTAGATTGACAATCTGAGGATTTACCAATACACCAAACGTCCAAACATTTGAAAAAAATGTTCGCCCTGACTGGGGATCGAACCAGGGACCTTTTGGTTGGAATATTGAAGCTTAACCACTTGACCACACCTCCATATTGAGAAAAAATGTTCGCCCTGACTGGGGATCGAACTCGGGACCTTTTGGCTGGAAAATTGAAGCTTAACCACTTGACCATACCTCCATATTGAAAAAGAAAACTGAAAAAATGTTCGCCCTGACTGAGCTTCGAACCAGCCACCTCTAGATTGACAATCTGAGGATTTACCAATACACCAAACGTCCAAACATTTGAAAAAATGTTCGCCATGACTGGGGATCGAACTGGGGACCTTTTGAGCAGAAAACAATAGCCTTACCACTACACCAAGCGTTCAAAACATGTTAGATTTTTTTCGAAAAAATGTGTAGTTTGATCGATCAAATTTCAAATTCAAATTTTTAAATTCTATCAGGCGGGATTTTTTTCTTCTTTTGTTGCCAAATGTATTTTTGAAGTGACCTTGTCACAAATATTTACCATAAAAAATTTTATGCGATTTTTTTCCTTCTCGACTTGAAACAACTTATTTCATTTTTGAAACAACTAGAAGAAGAGGTTTTCAAGTGCCAAATTCTGGAATTTTCTGAAAATTTCAAATTTTTCTCGAAATGAAAAAAAACCGTTCTCTTGTTTACACAACCCACAGAGATTGTTCGACATGATAAATTGTAATTACAAAAAAAAGTTTTCACTTTTTTTCACTCGGCGAAAACGAAAAAAGAGAACTTTTGAACTTTGGGAGGCGGCAGATCTGGCAGGTTAAGCAATGTTGACTCGAGTTAGTCGCGAGTTCGAATCCGGGAGCTGAAGAGTTTTTGGGAAGCGTTAAGGAGCTTCTAAAATATTTTTAGAATTCTAAGGAATGCCCTTAAGGTCCTCTAAAAGCCCTTAGGGTCCTCTGAAAGCCTTTATGGTCCTCTAAAAGCCCTTAAGGCCATCTGAAAGCCCTTAAGGTCATCTGAAAGCCCTTAAGTTTATCTAAATGCCCTTAAGGCCATTCAAAAGCCTTTAAAATTGTCTAAAAGCCCTTAGAGTCACCTCAAAGCCCTTAAGGCTACCTCAAAGCCTTTAAGGTCCTTTAAAAGCCCTTAAGGTCCTCTAAAAGCCCTTAAGGCTACCTCAAAGCCTTTAAGATTGTCTAAAAGCCCCTAAGGCCATTTAAAAGCCCTGAAAGTCATTTTAAAGCCCTTAAGGTCATCTAAAAGCCCCTAAACTTTCCCTAAAGCCCCTTACGTTCCCAATAGTGACCTTAAAGCCCCTTAGACCTCCCACAAAACCTTAAGGTCCTAAAAATTTCGAAACTACACAGATTTACGACTATGTGTAATTTTTTTTGCTAGAATTGGTCATCGCTTTTCAAATTTTCTCGAAAAAAAAACACTATTACACCGTATTTTATTATTTTGGGGAAGTTAGGCGAAATTGAGAGGTCAAAACCAGAATTTTCGAGAAAAAAAATAAATAATAATAATATGTTACGAAATGTATTTAGATAAAATCTGAAATTAAAATTTAAAATTTAAAATTTTAATTTTGAATTAAAAGTTCAAGCGGGCAGAATGGTGTATTGGTAAAGCTTTGGAGTTTCAAGAAAAAGGTCATGGGTTCGAGCCCCAGTGGGAACTATTTTGAATGGTGTATTGGTAAAGCTATAGATTAATAATCTCAAGGTCCTGGATCAAACCCCAGTCGGCCCTACTGCTTTTGAACATCTGGTGTATTGGTAATGCTGCTCAAAAGGTCCTGGATCGAACCCCAGTGGGAACTATTTTCCAATTTTTTCCAGCTTCTCGTCGAATTTCAGTTTTACGTGCCAACAACGGTAAAACTACAAGACAATAGCATGAAGAAGAAGAAAAGGTGTAACATTTTTTGGCCGCCGAGAAAAAAGTGGGAGGGACAGTGGACATCGAGAGAAAAAAAGTGAAAACCATCTATAAAAGTGACACCGGTTCGGTCATTTTCAGCACAGTATTTTGGTGGTTTTTTCGAGTTTTCGGGGCCTGGGGAACTTTTCAGCTTGAAAAATTGTTTTTTTTTGGAACTTTTTGAGGTCTTGAACAGATTTTTTAGCATGGTTACTGTAGTTTTTGTTCGGATTTTTTTTTGATCTACAAAATATTACTGTACTTTGAATTCTTTCGAACTTTTTGAGGTTATGACTTCTGATACTGTAGTTTCTGATAATTTTTGATCTACAATTTTTTTTAGAACTTTTTGAGGTATCAAACAGAGAAGTTACCGTAGTTTTTTTGGGTACTGTAATTTTTTTCAATCATTTTTTGATCTACGACATTTCAGAAGGTTACTGTAGATTTTTTCTACAATTTTCTAGGTACTGTAGTCTAAATTCTGAATTTTTCACCTTACAACCTTTCATGTTCCTTTAAAATTTCGACAGTAACTCAATTTTGAAAATTCTGAAAAAATCCATTTTTTCGAACCAAAAATGTTTATGTTCCTATAAAATTACTACAGTAACCCAATTACGCCAAACCTCAAAGTTCAAACTAAATTTGAACTTTGAAATTTGGCGCGCCAAAAATAAACCCAACTTTGTTTGACCCTCTTGACCCCCAAAAATGTCATTTTCAACACACAAAAATTTTTTTTTTGTCATTTTCACTTTCAAATTTTTCTCACACACAAACAAAAAAGGTCAAAAAGTGGGCGGAGCGAAATTTTCAGAAAAATGAAATTTTTTTTTCTGAAAAAAAAAACACACGAACATTCCAAAGTGTATTTGTCATCAAACTTATTGTTGTTGGGAAAAAGTTCGTGATTTTTTCGAAAAAAAAATTTTTGGGAATTTTTTTTCGGAGGGCGGAGCCAAGGTTGTCCTTAAGAGCGGATTATTTTTGTGACTTGACCTGAATTTATTTTTTTTTTTTGTAATTCGAAATTTTAAATTTTCCAGAATATGCGTTTAACACTACTATTATTGGTGACGACTGGCGCAGTTTTTTGCGCCGGCTCCAAAAAAGTTGAGAGCACCGCGAAAATTGCGGCGGCCGCCGCGCCGGTAGATCGAAATTTGGAGCGGATGAAGTATAAGAGATGGCGAGAGCCGCCAAGGGATTGTTCGGATGCGCCGAAACATTTGAAAGCCACGTGTTTGATGGTGGGTTTTGGGATGAGTTCGGTGGAGCGCACTTGATTTATTTGGCGGAAATGAAATTTTTCGATTTTCCATGGAAGCAAGTGCGCTCTAATGAACTTTTGGAAAAAAAATTGAAAATTCAAATTTTCTATGTTTTTTCGAGAGCGCAAATGCCTTTTTGACAGATTTTCTATTGAAAAAATTTATGTGTGATCTACCGAACTTCAGGAGTAAAATTTGAAAATTCAAATTTTCTATAATTTTTCAAAATTTGCAATAGAGCGCAAATGCTTTGAAACCACCGCTTAAATGAACAATTTTGGCTTGAAGAAGCAAGTGAGCTCCAGCAAACTTCAGAAATAAATTTTGAAAATTCAAATTTTCTATGTTTTTTCGAGGTGTTCAATAGAGCGCAAATGATTTTTCAACCCTAAAAAGCCAAATGCGCTCTAATGCAAATATATAATTATTTCTATATTTTCAAAAAATTCCACCTAGTGAACCAAATGCGCTCCAATGCAAATTCAAAAAATGTTCTAGATCCGCCGAATGGACACCGCAACTCGCCGTCGTCTAGCCCGCCAAGCCGTCCGTCAAACTCGCCCCAACCAAGTGCCCAACTGGCTTCAACCAATCCCAGTTCCAGCAAATGCGCGAGGTCAAGCCGCTTATCATCCATACGATTGTATGACACTAACATGTCTCTGCCCATTTTTCAATGTAAGTTCAGACATTTTTTATTTATTGAAAATAGGAAAAAATTCCGAATTTTACTACTCCAGGACGACAAAAATAAATAAACATAACCCCTTTTCAAGGTCGGGGGAAAAAAATGAGATTTTGTTGTTGTTCAGGGTCGAGTCAACAATGGTCAATGCATTTTGGCAAATGGTGTGCCTTTGAATATGTCGTGGCGAAAAGAGTATCGAATGATGACGGAGGCAGAGAGACAGAGGTGGGTAGAGATGGAGAGGAGTTAGACAGCTAGAGATAATGGTTATAGACGCAGATGACCTAGATATCTAGAGAAAAAAATATTTGAGATACACAGAGAAGCTATACTGAAGACGAGTGTGAGAGACGCAGAGGAGTTAGACAGCTAAAGTAGAAGATATATACCAGGGACACATAAGAGCTGGACAGCGAGAGATGAAGGCTAGAGAAGCAGAGGAGTTAGACAGCTAGCACCAGGCACATGGGAGCTAGACATAGATAATGGTTAGAGACGTAGTACATTTAGACGGCTAGAGAAAAAATGCAGAGAAATTTTGAGGTTAGAGACGAAGAGACGCAGATCGTCTAGATAGCTAGAATTGGCCTGAGAGCCACAGAGAAGCTAGACGGCCAGAAAATGAGAGATACAGAGAAGCTAGAAGGTTAGAGAGCCCGAAAATCCACGTGGCATTTTTCGAGCGGAACGGTCATGTTCTCTAGCTGTCTAACTCTCTTAGGTTAGAAATCAGGCAGCTAGAGAATATACGGATGTGAGAGACGCAGAGAAACCATAAACCAATAAGCTAGATGTCTAACCTGTGTTGGAGGCAGAGGCAGGCAGCTAGAGAACATGTGAGAACGACACCAGATATATGTTAGAGACGCAGAAAAAAAAAGACAGCAATAACTAATTTTCAGATGGCACAACGCATTGAACACTCTCAAACGAAACGGTGAATACGACAGAATCTCGCGTCAACATTTAGAAGTGGGAGTTGGCTCCGGAGCTCACTCAGGTCCAGGTTTCCTCCCATGGCATCGTGAATATTTGAAACGTTTCGAAATCGCCCTCCGAATGGTCGACCCATTGGTTTCTATTCCATATTGGGATTCAGTCATGGATTCATATCTCCCTGATCCAAGAGATTCGATCATGTTCACTGATTTATTTGTTGGTGGAACTGATGGATATGGAAACGTCGTGACAGGACCATTTGCCTATTGGCGAACAATCGAGGGAAGATCGACAATTCTGCGAAATCTCGGAGCCGAAGGACAACTCTTCAACGAGAATCAAGTGAATAGTATTGTTGCGCAGAACACGATTGAAAACACCATGGCGTTCACTGCACCACAACCAGGTAGGGGGCGCCAAAAGACAAAAGTTCAAAAATTCCTTTGTTTTGTGACCACAAATAGTTATCATCAATTAATCAATCACTAGACAATAGTGAAAGTTTTTTCTTGTGTTTATTTGTTTGTTACTTTTTTTTGAGAGAGTTAAAAATAGTAATGACAATAGGTTAGGGGGTTTGCAACAAGTGCGCTCCACGGATAATATTCATAACTCGAAATTCGATAAAAATGGGCAAGAGCGCTTTACGGATAACTTAAATAATTTAAATTTCAATAGAATTTTGCAAGTGCGCTCCATGGATAACTTAAATAATTCAAATTTCGATAGATTTTTGCAAGTACGCTCTACGGATAATTTTCATAACTCGAAATTGGATAAAAATGGGCAAGAGCGCTTTACGGATAGCTTAAATAAATTAAATTTCGATAGATTTTTGCAAGTGCGCTCTACGGATAATTTTATAACTCGAAATTCGATAAAAATGGGCAAGAGCGCTTTACGGATAGCTTAAATAAATTAAATTTCAATAGAATTTTGCAAGTGCGCTCCATGGATAACTTAAATAATTCAAATTTCGATAGATTTTTTGACAAAAAGTTTAAATTTTGAAGAGGAATATTTCATTATAGCTTATTTGATACTTTCGAATAGCTAGAAATCGAAAAAACCACGTGTCAAGTGCGCTCCAATGATAAATAGTCCATTAGAGCGAATTTGCTATTTCAACGTGGCAAAACTGACTTCAACTTATCCATTCCAGGCTGTCCCTACCCCAACAACTACCAAGCCATCGAATACTCCCACTCAAACATCCATCTCTGGGTCGGCGGAGACATGAAACCGCCAAGCACCTCAGCCAACGAGCCAATCTTCTTCATGCATCACTCATACGTCGACTACTTATGGGAACTCTGGCGACAAATTCAACAACCCAGATGGCTCCGCGAGCAAGCCTATTCCGCCGATCATCCACAATGCGCCAATTGGCAACACTTCAGCTACGCACCAATGAGACCTTTCCCATATTTGGTGAATCGCGATGGATTGTCGAATTCGTATACCGATCAGATGTATCGATATGCTCCAAGAGCTACTTGCAGTCATCAGAATACGAATTGTGGAAGTCCTTATTTGTTCTGTGATACTAGAGGGTAAGGATTTACCTGGGTATCTCAATTTTATTTTTAAAAAAAACCCCCCACTACTTTTCAAATATTCCCATTAAAAACTCACATTATCCAAAGAGCGCACTTGCAAAAACCCGGTCATTTTCAGCTACCCACATTGCGTCGCCAAAATTCGTATGAATGGAAATTGTCGTGGTTTCGAGCAATTGGACTCGTGCTACGCTGGAAGATGTTGGTGGGGACGATGCGTCAATGGGGTATGGTTTAGCGCAGGGGGTTTGCGGGGCGGTCGAGCGGAGCGTGTGTAGATCACGAGATTCCGCGTAGGGCGAATAGAGGGCTACAGGAGGACATTTCAGAATTTTCAGTACCAAGCTTCGTACGTTTTTCAGAAATTTTAGCTTTGCTGAAAATTGTAGCCTACCTTATGTTGAAAATCGTAATTTTGCTTTTTGAAACCATCCAAACAATGATAAAATATAAAAATAAAACAAAAAAAAATAATTTTCAAACAAAAAAAAAAGTTTTTTCACACCCTGCGTCTCTAACTTTCCCTAGACGCAGACAACAAAAGGCTATACACGACCATACAAGGCGCCCATTGAGTCAGACGCGAGACGACGAGAGTATTTTGCAAAAATATCCAGAAAATTAATTTCGCTTCGAGATATTTTCAATAAAACATGTGTTCCTTGAAACAAAGTGCGGTGTTTTTTCAAAGGGACACATATTTTCTCAAAAATATCTCGAAGCGATGTCGTTCTCTGTCGACGTCATCATACTCTCGTCGTCTGACCCGAGGGGCAATTGGAGTAAATGGTCGTGTATATCCTCTGCGTCTCTAACCAATAACCCCTTCTTGCAGAACTTTGCCGCTCGAATGAAAGGTACCAAAACATCACAAAATCAAACAACCCTAGCCATCGAAAAAGCGCACATCGTGCTAAACGGCACAAAAACCGAAAGAACACCGCTAGTCAAAAGAATCTCGGTAAAAATGACAGCCCCACTATTCATCGATTGCTACAACCGAAATCCTTGCTGTCAATCATGGTCCGAAAACGGGGGATGCGAAAAAGAGCCCGAATATATGTCACAATATTGTCAGGCTAGTTGTGGAGTATGTCAACCGGCTTATAATTCATCGAAAACCGTTTGCGAAGATCGACATGTGAATTGTGGAGCGTGGAAGAAGGATGAGATGTGTAAGGGGAAGAGTGCTGATTTTATGAGTGAGAATTGTCGAAAAAGTTGTGGAAAGTGTGATTTACAAAGGGAATCACAATGTTTTGTAGGCGGAAAGGTATGGTTTTTTTTAAATCATCAATAGAGCGCATTTACACATTTTAGATCATCCCAATCCCCGCTGAATCGCACCTTAAAGAATCAATCTCCGAAGCTTTGGAATCTGAAGTGACTGATCGAATCAAAAAAGTCAAATCGCACTCAAAATCCCATCTTGCTGCACAACTTCAACACGCCAAAAAACAACATTGAAATCGAAATTTCTTCGAAACCTCCCCCCATTATTATTGTGTAAATATAGGCAACAATATACTTTTTTTCTGGAAAACTTCTACTTTTTGGCTGATCTCAATACGTGTATTTCATTTTTTTTTCTTTGACTTCTCACATTAATAAATTTTTACTGGGTTTAAACGCTTGAAATTTCCCGAAAACCAAAAAAAACGAAAAAAAAATCACCAGAAATAAAAGTAAAAATGGAATGTCGCTCTACCGCACACCTCGTTTTCTCACGCACTCTCTCACTTTCGCACACTCTTTTCATTTCGAAATGAAAATTTTTCGATTTTCCGCTCAAACGTGACGCCCCAATTATTCCCCAGCGTCGAAAAAACCCGAATGTCAACACTATTTGAAATTTTATTCGTATCAACTCGTTCTCTCGTGATTTTCAATGGAAACTGACAATAAATCGTGAGTTTACACTTTGAAATTTGAATTTAACACCAAAAACTAATTTTTTAATGGTTTTCAGTTACACTGGCGAACTTTGTCGCAGTCCCCCAACTAATCAATCAAAGGAGAAGGAAAAAGAGTCGAAATCTGCAACAAAATCGGAAATCTCCTCAAAATCCACGAAATCCAGCTCAAAATCCACGAAAACCTCAAATTCAAAAGGTTCGGATCGTTGCGCAGTGATTCGACTTATCGGAAATCGAAGTGTTTATCATGTGTCAGTCGACGATTTCGTGAAAGTCTCAAAACTCATCAAACAACAACAGAATAGTGGGAATTTGATGACGTCGATTGATTTGAATCGATTTTCGGATCAATCGATATTGGCGTTTGTGAATTTTATTCAAAATGGCGAGATTAGGACGAGTTTGACGTATTATGCGTTGACTGAGTTGATTACGTTGGCAAAGACTTTTTGGATGAAAGAGTTGAAGATTAGCTTGGAAGATGTGGGTTGGATTAGAGAAACGGGGGGAGTTAGAGACGTAGAGAAGATAGACAACTAGAGAAATCATGAAGAAGTTAGAGACGCAGAGAAGCTAGACAACTAGAGAAATCATGGAGAAGATGGAGACGCAGAAACATGATGTTTCCGCTGAATCAATGTTTTTTCTTGAAAAATGACCTAGAAATCCAAATTTCCCAATTCTAGGCCACGTTTTTGATTTTCTAGGCTATTTTCAACTTCAGGATCCCGAAAAAAATAAAATTTTCCATTTTTTGGTCAAAAATCACGAATTTTGGATATTTTTCAACAAAATATCAATTTCCTCCGTGAAAATGAGCTGAAAATGATTTTTTAAAGCCATTTTTCACTATTTTCGGCTCAAAGCTAGACAACTAGAGAGCACGGGGAAGTCAGAGACGCAGAGAAGCTAGAGGACTAGAGAAAATCAATGTTTTTTTTTCGAAAAATCGCAAAAAATACTCGAAAAATGTCTAAAATTCTTGAATTTGAAGAGATAAAACCTGAAAAAATAGAATTTTTCCTCTGCGTCTCTAACATGCAAGCTGTCTGACCTCTCTGCGTCTCTAACATCCCCATGCTCTCGAGCGAAGCGAGTGTAGACCGCAATCTTCCGCGTCAGCGGCACTGTCTTCCGCTTCAGCGGCCGGGTTCTCTGCGTCTCTAACTCTCTGGCTATTCTGTATCTCTAGCTGTCTGTCTTCTCGAGCGAAGCGAGTGTAAACCGCAAGCTTCCGCGTCAGCGGCACTGTCTTCCGCTTCAGCGGCCAGTTTCTCTGCATCTCTAACATTCAGGTGGTCTCTAGCTGTCTGACCTCTCTGCGTCTCTAACATCCCCATGCTCTCGAGCGGAGCGAGTGTAGACCGCAAGTTTCCGCGGCAGCGGCACTGTCTTCCGCGTCAGCGGCCAGCTTCTCTGCGTCTCTGACCTTCTAACTCTAGCCGATATGTTTTGCAGTGTCTCGTCGAAGCTTCCCGAAACTCCGAAGCCGATCTCCTCCAATCGCTCATCATCTGTGACGTCACTCACATCTCACCCGACACCGAACGCCAAATCCAACTCGCCGCCATGGAATCGTTTGAAAAAATGGTGGCCCTTCCCGATTTTCACCGTCTACCCTATCATCAATTGTGTCAAATCTTGTCGAGTTGCGAATTGACCGTGACTCAACACGAGATGTTCATAGTGGATGTGATTTTGTTGTGGCTTTCCGGACAGAGAAATGTGAATTCCTATGCACCGGGCCTATTTTTGTGTGTTCGAACGAAATTGCTGAGCCCTGTGGATAAGACGTTGATCATCGAACGAATCAATATTTTGGGAATGCCCGAAAAAGTTGTGCGATTGGTCCGGAATATTCTGGAATCCACCAACGGGTTGAGATGTTGTGTTGATGCCGCGCACATTGCCAAGAAGAATTTTACGCGTTGCGGACAGGCGGCAACACTTGCCGCGTTTGGCACACAATATTCCGCGTTGCCGCTCAGTCGCCCTAATTTCAAGATTAAGATTAAGAAGACGAAGGAGACGAAAGCGAAGCCGGTTTTTCATGTGAGAACTAGAAAATTGGGGTTTTTGGTTTTCTAGGCCACGGGTTTTTTGTTGGAGAGTCTGAGATTTTTTTTATTCAAAACACATTTAAATTCTAGATTTTCCCGCCAATTTTTTGATTGAATAAAAATCAAATTCAATTTTTTCCCACCAATTTTTCTCATGGCCGAGAAACCCTGAAATTTGAATTTCTAGGCCACGAGATAATTTTTAAAGAACAAATTTTTAATTCTAGATTTTCCCGCCAAATTTTTTTATCAAAAAAAAAAAAAAATCAAATTCAATTTTTTTCCCGCCAATTTTTCTCATGGCCGAGAAATTCAAAAAATTGGTTTTCTAGGCCATCTGCAAAAATTCTCAATTTTTTTTCAGCCTGACGAAAATCCAAAAGTGATGGACCTAATTCAAAATCACCCGAAATCCACGCAAAAATCTCAAAATTCACGCAAAAAATTTGCGAATTCGAAAAAAAGGAAAAAAATGTGCATGTATTGATTTTATCAAGAAGAAGCTTGTCAATCAAAAATCGAAGAAATCCCAAAAAAATGCGACGAAAAAGACGGAAATTTCGAAATCCAAGTCGAAAAGTGCGATTTCAGCGAGTTCGAAGAAATCGAAATCCGCGTCGAAAGATCGAAGAGCTGAAAAACGCGAAAAAATTCAAAAGGCTGTGAAAATTGAATCGGAAAAAGCGAAAAAATCGGGAAAGAAGGCGAAAAAATTGACAAAATGAAGTGATTTTTAGCGATTTTTGTGGGAAATTAGGCCTGGTTTTAGGCTTGAATCTAGGCTTGTCAAAATATAGGCTGAAATTCAGGCTAGTCAAAAGTTAGGCTGAAATTCAGGCTTGTCAAAAATAGGCCTAGTTTTAGGATCATCAATAAGTAGGCCTGAATCTAGGCTTGTCAAAAAAATAGGCCTGGTTTTTAGGCTTCTCAAAAAATAGGCCCGAAATTTTTAGGCTCTTCAAAACAAGCCTTAGTTTTAGGATCATCAATAAGTAGGCCTGAATCTAGGCTTGTCAAAAATTAGGCCTGAATCTAGGCTAGTCAAAAGTTAGGCCTGGTTTTTAGGCTTGTCCAAAACAGGCCTAGTTTTTAGGCTTGTCAAAAATTGACCTGGTTTTCAGGCATGACACAAGCGAGGCCTGGTTTTAGGCTTCTCAAAAAATAGGCCCGAAATTTTTAGGCTCTTCAAAACAAGCCTTAGTTTTAGGATCATCAATAAGTAGGCCTGAATCTAGGCTTGTCAAAAAAATAGGCTTGAATCTAGGCTTTTCAAAATTAAGTCTGAATCTAGGCTTGTCCAAAATAGGCCTGGTTTTTAGGCTTGTTCAAAATAGGTCACATTTCGGGACTATTTTGGACAAGCCTAAAAACCTTTAGGCTACTCAAAAAATAGGCCCGAAATTGTTAGGCTCATCAAAAACCGTATCAAAATAAACATTCCTGAACCCGATTTGATTGCTCAGCTTGTTTTTGTATATAAAAATGTAAATAGTATCCATTTTGACCAAAATCAACACACAAAAAAATGACCAGAATTTGGATTTTTATAGTATTTTTGATGATTGGTGAGTTTTTTAGGCTTTAGGCCTGAAGTTTGGGCCTAACTCTGAAAATTTATCTCAAATTCAGGCCCGTTTTCAGGCTCATCTATTTCAATCCCAAATCTGAGCACAATTCTGATGAGCCCACGCCAAAATGCTCCAAGTTTGCCGCAAAATTGCTCCGAGCCTAGAAAATGTGTGTGGCCTGGGAAGAAAATCGATTTTTTGGCGACCACTGAAGCTTCCGAAGAAGTTAGAACAACTCAAATCACATTGCCACGTGGATTTACAGCCAGGAGGAATTTGAGCACTTCTACATCAGCTCCTCAAAAAATCAAGTTAGAGGAACTTCTGGCATCCTCATCTACAATTGACACACTTCCAAGAATCGCCACGGCTGAACCGAGTCAATTGACGACTTCGATGACGAAAACTGTTATACAGGGTGGGGTTTTGGGCTGAAAATGCTGGAAATTCGAGATTTTCAGCGAAAAATTCAGAAAAATTTAGCTGAAACTGAATTTTCGCTGAAAATTTGAGATTTTCAGCTAAAAATTGAAATTTTGGGCTGAAAACGCAGAAAATTTGAGATTTTCAGCGAAAAATTCAGAAAAATTGAGCTGAAACTGAATTTTCTATGAAAATTTGAGATTTTCAGCTAAAAATTGAAATTTTGGGCTGAAAACGCAGAAAATTTGAGATTTTCAGCGAAAAATTCAGAAAAATTGAGCTGAAACTGAATTTTCGCTGAAAATTTGAGATTTTGAGCTGAAAATGCTGGAAATTTGAGATTTTCAGCGAAAAATTCAGAAAAATTGAGCTGAAACTGAATTTTCCCTGAAAATTTGAGATTTTGGGCTGAAAATGTTGGAAATTTGAGATTTTCAGCGAAAAATTGAGCTTAAACTGAATTTTAGCTGAAACTTTGAAATTTTCAGCGAGAAATTCAGAAAAATTGAGCTGAAACTGAAAATTTCGTTCTTTGGGCTGAAAATGCTGAAAATTTCAAATTTTCAGCGAAAAATTCAGAAAAATTGAGCTGAAACTGAATTTTTCCTGAAAATTTGAGATTTTCAGCTAAAAATTGAGCTGAAACTGAATTTTAGCTGAAAATTTTGGTTTCTGAAGCTGAAATTGTTGAAAATTTGAGATTTTCAGCGAAAAAATCAGAAAAATTGAGCTGAAAATTTCGGTTTTTGGAGCTAAAATGCTGGAAATTTGAGATTTTCAGCTAAAAATTGAGCTGAAACTGAATTTTCGCTGAAAATTTTGGTTTCTGAAGCTGAAATTGTTGAAAATTTGAGATTTTCAGCGAAAAAATCAGAAAAATTGAGCTGAAAATGAATTTTCATTGAAAATTTCGATTTTAGGAGCTGAAAATTCTGGAAATTGGAAATTCTACAAACAATTCTGCGTCTCTAACTCTCTATAGGACTCTAGTTGTCTGATTCTAACCTTTCATGTTGAGTTTCTCTGCGTCTCTAACCTTCTCGAGCGAAGCGAGTGTAAACCGCAAGCTTCCGCAAAGCGGCAAGTTCCTCTGCGTCTCTAGCTGTCTGACCTCTCTGCATCTCTAACCAACCCGTGCTCTCAACTCGAGCGAAGCGAGTGTAGACCAGCTAGTTCCTCTGCCTCTCTAACCTTCTGATATCATAGACGGTTAGAGACGCAGAGTGGGCAAACATCTAGAGACACACTCTAGCTGTCTGCCCACTCTGCGTCTCTAACCTCCCCCCTCTTCCAGGTCAATGTTTCGACGAATACATCTACTGCCGCGAATTCATTTCTCTCTGCTCTCACCCCTCCTTCTCTGACGTCATGGCCACCCATTGTTCTCTAACCTGTCAACGATGCGACGACATCGAAACCGCCGCCGAACTCGGCTCCGACGATTGCCACGATTCCACAGATCATTGCTCAGCTTACACAGATCTATGCCACGTGTCGACTTATGCGCCTTTAATGCGCAAACATTGCTCCAAATCGTGCGGATACTGTATTTCCACGTGTCGTGATCGACATTTGAAGTAGGTCAAATTCTGAAATTTGAATTTCCCGCCAAATTTGAATTTTTCGCAGCTGCCCACAATTCAAATCCGACGGTTTTTGCCACGACGAAATGTACACGGATGCGGAGATCAAATTTTTGTGCGGTGACACGTGTCAAATGTGCTGACGTGGCAGCGAAATCGGATTTTTATGTGTATATTTGAAATGAAATTTTGCATTTTTCAAGTCTAAACACGGTGTATTTTGAAGCCACGCCCATTTTTCTGTGCCCTGGGGAAAATTTTGCATTTTTTGACACCAAACACGGTGTATTTTGAAGCCCCGCCCCTTTTTCTGTGCCTTCTGCGCAATTTTGCATTTTTTGACACCAAACACGGTGTATTTTGAAGCCCCGCCCATTTTTCTGTGCCCTCTGCGAAATTTTGCATTTTTTGACACCAAACACGGTGTATTTTGAAGCCCCGCCCATTTTTCTGTGCCCTCTGCGAAATTTTGCATTTTTTGACACCAAACACGGTGTATTTTGAAGCCCCGCCCATTTTTCTGTGCCCTCTGCGAAATTTTGCATTTTTTGACACCAAACACGGTGTATTTTGAAGCCCCGCCCATTTTTCTGTGCCCTCTGCGAAATTTTGCATTTTTTTGACACCAAACACGGTGTATTTTGAAGCCACGCCCATTTTTCTGTGCCCTGGGGAAAATTTTGCATTTTTTGACACCAAACACGGTGTATTTTGAAGCCCCGCCCCTTTTTCTGTGCCTTCTGCGCAATTTTGCATTTTTTGACACCAAACACGGTGTATTTTGAAGCCCCGCCCATTTTTCTGTGCCCTCTGCGAAATTTTGCATTTTTTGACACCAAACACGGTGTATTTTGAAGCCCCGCCCATTTTTCTGTGCCCTCTGCGAAATTTTGCATTTTCTGACACCAAACACGGTGTATTTTGAAGCCACGCCCATTTTTCTGTGCCCTCTGCGAAATTCCGCATTTTTTGACGTCAAACATGTCCAGGACAGATAAAAATTTGAATTTCTGATTTTTGCCGCCTAAAATAGTACTGCGTTATTGCGGAGCTTCGTAGTTTTTGAGAAATTTAGAGGTTTTTCAGCATTGCTCATATTATTAAAGGATATCACAGAAGGTAATCTGAGCAATGCTGAAAAACCTCTAAATTTCTCAAAAACTACGAAGCTCCGCAATAACGTAGCGGCAAAAAATCAGAAATTCAAATTTTTATCTGTCCTGGGCATGTTTGGTGTCAAAAAATGCAAAATTTCGCAGAGGGCACAGAAAAATGGGCGTGGCTTCAAAATACACCGTGTTCGGTGTCAAAATACTCCAAAAAGTGAAAAATTTATGTACAACTTCAAATCAAATTCGACAAACACTTAGCACAACTTTGCCGGCCTCTCTCAATCCCGACATATAGGCTCCAGTCATAGTTTGTGGCTCGGAGGCGATTGTGTGCTCGCCGGCGAAAAACAATTTATCCGAAATTGATTCCTTCAACTTATTGTAAGTCTGATCGCCGGCGGTGTTGAAGGGAACAAATGTGTAGGACATTCCAATGTAGGGATCTGCGCCCCAATGAGAAACCATATGGCCAAGTGGCACGATTTTCTGTGAGGAAAAGGAAATTTTGAGGGTTTTGGGGTGAAAATTCGGTGTTTTCGAGTCAAAAATCGAGTTTTTCAGGGAAAAATAGCCTAGAAATGTGCAAAAATCGAAAATTATTCAGAAAATTTGAAAAATTTTGGCGCCAAAATTTCCCAAATTCCCCCCAGAACTCAAAAAATCTCATATTTCATATGAAAATGCTCCAAATTCCCTCCAGAACTCAAAAATTCACTCAAAATTCAAAAACCTATCAAATTTGATGTTAAAATGCTCCAAATTCCCTCCAGAACTCAAAAATTCACTCAAAAAATTCAAAAACCTATCGAATTTGATGTCAAAATGCTCCAAATTACCTCCAGAACTCAGAAATTCACTAAAAATTCATAAACCTATCAAATTCGATGTCAAAATTCCCCAAATTTCACCCAAAATCCAAAAATTCACTAAAAAATTCAAAAACCTATCAAATTTGATGTTAAAATGCTCCAAATTACCTCCAGAACTCAAAAAAATGCTCAAAATTCAAAAAACCTATCAAATTTGATGTCAAAATGCTCCAAATTACCTGCAGAACTCGACAATTCACTCAAAATTCCCCGAAATTTCACCCAAAACCCGCCAAATCTCACCTCCTTGGGAAACATCCTTCTCAAACATTCGACAAACATCCCAGCAACTTCTTCATCCGTTTTTTCGTTGACCAAATTCACGTGTTCCGCCGTCACATAGCTCATTAGCACAAAACTCTCCTCCTCTTCGCCCGCCCCATTTTTTCCGGTAAAATCGTAGAAAATATTGAAGAGACTACGGTCTTGTTTTCGTGTCGAGACCTTTCCGAAATATTCCGTTTTTTTGTCGCCAACATCGATTGATGACCAGAAACGACGATCAAAACGGACGGCGACCTGAAAGTAACAATTTAGGCATTGCTCATGTTAAACTATAGTGTTCCTTTAAATTGAAATTTTCGAAAGGCATTGCTCATGTTAAACTATACGAGGAGTGTTCCTTTAAATTGAAATTTTCAAAAGGCATTGCTCATGTTAAACTATACGAGGGGTGTTCCTTTAAATTGAAATATTTTGAGCATTACTCATGTTAAAGTACCGTATTCAGTAAATAGATCTGTTCCTTTAAAAACCCATATCAAATTTCGATTAAAAATCCGGATTTTTGATGATTGCTCATGTTAAACTCTCATTTTCCCGAAATTTTTGAGGATTGCTCATGTTAGATTTGAAAAAATGATTAAATCCTTTGGAAAATTATATTGCTCATGTTAAACTCTAATTTTCTAGAATTGCTCATATCAAACTGAAAAAAATTTCCAATTTTCAAACTTTTGAAGATTGCTCATGTTAAACTTCATTTCTTAGAACTTTTTAGATTATATTGAAATTAGTGGATTTTCAGGATTGCTCATATTAACTCGAAAATTATTAAATTTTTCAAGCATTGCTCAGATCAATTTTTGTCTAAAAATACCGAATTTCAGCTCAAAATTCGTCAAAAAACTCGATTTTCAGCCCAAAAATCTCACTTTTTCAATCAAACCAGCTCCCAAATCCAAAATAGCTTTGCGTTTTTCCTTGGGCAATGGCGGATGAAACATTTTCATCATATTCATTTTCAACACCGCCAAACTGCAAGTTACGATAACTTTATCGAATTCTTCGACTTCTCCCGTCTCCAAATGAATCTGAATCTTCTTTTTCGAATAATCGATCAGCTTGACAGGCGAATTTAGCCTAACTTCCAAATTTTTCGACAATTTCTCGATGATCATTTGCGCTCCATCGATAATCACGGCATGTTCGCCAGCAAAATTGCCATATTTCTCATTGTGATCAAATTCCTTGGCGGACAATTGGCCAACTTTGGCGCCACACGAGAATTCAAGATTTCCGAGGTGAAAATCGATGAGTTTCCTGAAGTCCTTGATCTTTTGCAGATCTTTCAAATTGGCAGCTTCGAGAAGATTTTTCGAAATCTCCTCGAACATTTCTTCGAGCGATTTGTCTTGCGCGTTTTTTTCCGTCGAAAATTTGTTGCGGATTGTGTCGAGCACGAAATTGTAGTGCAAATCGACTTGATCGTCCAGATTTTTTTGCGATTTTGTGAAGCATTTTCCGGTGGTTTCGTCGATTAATGGACAGAAGAAGTTCGAGTTACGGTATTTGATGTCGAGCTGCAAAAATCGCGCTTTTTTTTAGTCTAAACATGGAATATTTTGAGGCCACGCCCCTTTTTCTGTGCCCTCTGGGAAATTCTGCATTTTTTGACACCAAACACGGTGTATTCTGAAGCTCCGCCCATTTTTCTGTGCCCCCTGGGGAAATTCTGCATTTTTTGACACCAAACATGCCCAGGACACATAAAAATTTGAATTTCTGATTTTTGGTGCCAAAAATGGTACTGCGTTATTGCGGAGCTTCGTAGTTTTTGAAAAATTTAGGGATTTTCCAGGATTGCTCAGATTAACTTGAAAATTAGAGGATTTTTCAGGATTGCTCAGGTTAACTTGAAAATTAGAGGATTTTTCAAGATTTCTCAGATTAACTTGAAATTAGAGGATTTCTCAGCATTGCTCAGGTTAACTTGAAAATTAGAGGATTGCTCAGATTAACTCGAAAATTAGAGGATTGCTCAGATTAACTTGAAAATTAGAGGATTGCTCAGGTTAACTTGAAAAATAGAGGATTTCTCAGGATTGCTCAGGTTAACTTGAAAATCAGAGGATTTTTCAGCATTGCTCAGATTAACTTGAAAATTAGAGGATTTCTCAGGATTGCTCATATTAACTTGAAAATTAGAGGATTGCTCAGGTTAACTTGAAATTATAGGATTTTTAGCATTGCTCAGATTAACTTGAAATTAGAGGATTGCTCAGATTAATTTGAAAATTAGAGGTTTGCTCAGATTAACTTAAAAATTAGAGGATTTCTCAGCATTGCTCAGATTAACTTCAAAATACACCGTGTTTGGTGTCAAAAAATGCAGAATTTTTGGCTGCCGCATAGAAAAGTGGGCGTGGCTTCAAATTTCCCGCCCAAAAAATCTCACCTGCTCACAGAGCAACGTGATGGGATTATTGATATTTCCGACAATAATCTGGGCACCTCTTCCAACAGCGACTCCCAATGTTTTATCGTCGTTCATTCGGCCGCCACATCGATTTTGAGCCTCGAAAATTATTGGATCGATGCCAAGGTGTTGGAGGTGACGGGCGGCGCTGATTCCCGACAAACCGGCTCCGATTATGGCGACTTTCTGGAAGAAGAAGACTGATGTCTGCGTCTCTAACCTTCTGTTAGAGTCTAGAAGACTCTAGATGTCTGGTGTCTCTAACTTTCTCGTGATCTATAGTCGAGTTAGAGAAACCAGACAGCTAGAGCATTTTCTAAGGTTAGAGACGCAGAGAGGTCAGACAGCCTCTCTAGCTCGAGCGTAGCGAGTGTGAATCGCAACTCTCTGCGTCTCTAACATTCTGATAGTCTCTAGCTGTCTGACCCGCCCCTCTGCGTCTCTGACTTTAGAACATACTCTGGCCGTCTAATCTCTATGCGTCTCTAGCTCAGCAGTCTCTAGAAGGCTCTAGTAGTTTTCCCTCTCTGCGAATCAAAACTTTGTAGCCAGAGAGGGAAGTTATAGACACAGAGAGATCAGACAGCTAGAGATTACTAGAGTGTTAGAGACGCAGAGGGACGTCAGAAGAACTCAAAATTCGAGCGGAGCGAGTGTAAACCGCAAGCTTCCGCGTCAGCGGCCAAATTCTCTGCGTCTCTAACCTTCTAGTAGACTCTAGCTGTCTGACCTCTCTGCGTCTCTAACCTCCCGGGTTTTCATCCTAATATTGCATTTTTTCAGATATTTCGAGTCTAGAACCAAACTTTCAGACTTTTCTATTAAAATTTACCGATTTTCAGCCATTTTTAACTGAAAATCACAAAAATGTGATATTTTTATGTTTTTCTGAACATTTTCCATCAAAAAATCATGAAAATTTCGAATTTTCAGAGCTTTTGAATGAAATTCTGATACTTCCAGGAACTTTCGATGGTTTTCAGCATGAAATTCGAGATTTTCAGATTTTCGAGGTCTAGAAACACATTTTCAGACTTTTTTCATATTGTGCAGGCTGAAATTAGAGTTTTGCTGATATTTCAAGTCTAAAATCAAATTTTCAGCAATTTCAAAGGTATTTCCAAGGTTTTTCAGCTTATTTTCAGATTTTTGAGCTCTAGAACCAAATTTTCAGCAATTTTTCAGATTTTTGAGCTCTAGAATCAAATTTTCAGCAATTTTTAAGGCATTTCCAAGGTTTTTCAGCCTGATTTCAGATTTTTGAGGTCTAGAATCAAATTTTCAGCAATTTTAACGGTATTTTCAATGTTTTTCAGCGTATTTTTAGAATTTTGAGGTCTTTAATTGAATTTTCAGCAATTTTCAGATTTTTGAGGTCTAGAATCAAATTTTCAGCAATTTTCAAGGTATTTTCAAAGGTTTTCAGCATTTTTCAGATTTTTGAGGTCTAGAATTGAATTTTCAGCAATTTTAAAGGTTTTTCAGCCTATTTTTAGAATTTTGAGGTCTAGAATTGAATTTTCAGCATTTTTCAGATTTTTGAGGTCTAGAATCACATTTTCAGCAATTTTTAAGGTATTCCCAAGGTTTTTCAGCCTATTTTTAGAATTTTGAGGTCTAGAATTGAATTTTCAGCAATTTTTTCAGGGATCAAAATTTAAAAAAACCCACCATCGGTTTCAAATCCAAATTCTTCAATCGAAAATCAAAAGCTCCATAATTAACAACTCCTTTCACCGTCAAAAATCGCAAAACCCTTCCAATTAAATATTCCAAAATAAAAATCCTTGCATGTCCTCTAACAATAATTTGCATCTCAACCATTTTCTCCGTAATTTCTTCAAACGGATTCAAAATCCACATGGCAATAATTGTATTTCTGACTTGTAAATAATATATCGATTTTTTATCCACCGCCTCATTTTCATCAGCAAATTGTGAGAATGCGAGTTTTTCATCGGCTTCCATAAATTCCGGATGAACAATATTTGCAATCACATCAGTGTAGGGAACATAGAACATATTCATCACATTTTTCGCGCATTTTCGCGGAGTTTTTAGGAGATCTGGTGACATTTGACACGTCACATCGAATCCCGCACTTCTTGTCACGTAGTTTTGAGCCAGGAGTGCGTGAGCCACGGAATTTTGGAGTAATGGCGGGTAGCCGTTGTTTTTTTGATACCATTTGGCGTCGGAGCGGATTTGAGATATGGCCTGTGAAAAAATGGGGGATTTTTCAGGTTTTGGGGAAAAATGAGGGGTTTTAGCCAAATATTTGATTTTTTCAGATTTTTCTTCGAATTTTCAGGCTATTTTTAGCAAGTTTTAAGAATTTTGACTAAAAATCAGCATTTTCAGCAAATTTCCATTTTTCTAGTCAAAAAATCATGAAAATCCCGAATTTTCAAGGCTTTTGACTGAAATTCTGATACTTCCAGGAACTTTCAAGGGTTTTCAGCATGAAATTCGAGATTTTCAGATTTTTGAAGTCTAGAACCAAATTTTCAGGTTTTTTCATTCAAATTCAACGATATTCAGTAATTTTCAACTGAAAATCACAAAAATGTGATATTTTCATGTTTTTCTGAACATTTTCCATTAAAAAATCATTAAAATTTCGAATTTTCAGAGCTTTCAAATGAAATTTTGATATTTCCAGGAACTTTCAAGGGTTTTCAGCATGAAATTCGAGATTTTCAGATTTTTGAGGTCTAGAAACACATTTTCAGACTTTTTTTCATATTTTTAGGCTGAAATTAGAGTTTTGCTGATATTTCAAGTCTAGAATCAAATTTTCAGCAATTTTCAAGGTATTTTCAAGGTTTTTCAGCATATTTTTAGAATTTTAAGGTCTAAAATTACATTTTCAGACTTTTCTATTAAAATTTTCTGATTTTCAGCAATTTTTAACTGAAAAATGGAAAAATTTGAACTAAAACCCGCATTTCCAGCAAATTTTCATTTTTCTAGTCAAAAAAATCATGAAAATTCCGAATTTTCAAGGATTTTGATTGAAATTCTGATACTTCCAGGAACTTTCAAAGGTTTTCAGCATGAAATTCGAGATTTTCAGATTTTTGAGGTCTAGAACCAAATTTTCAGACTTTATTTGAGGAAAATCTGAAAATTTTCAGCAATTTTAAGAAGGATTCAAGGTTTTTAAGCCTGAAATAAGACATTTTCAGCATTTCCAGTCAAAAAAACTCACACTCCACTCAATAAAACTCTCACAACCATTCGGACAACAATAATCAGCGATTTGTCTCGCTGTCAAAGTCTCTGTCGTCTCCAATCTCTCGTATTTTTCGCATTTTTGACATCGGATATAGTAAGGCAAAAATTGGCTCTGAAATGAAAAATTATCGATTTTTCAGCCGGATTTTCTTACATTAATAAATCTCTTGACATATTGATCACTTCTCGCTGCAAATTGTCCATCAATCGACTTCTTTTTCCACTCAAAAAACTGATTTTCGTAGTCTTTTCCGCGAAATAACAGATGAAAACAGGATATACAACAAGCCTCGGTGGAGCTAATCGAATGCCCATTTTCGACAGTTTTTCGACAATTATCCGATAAATTCAGCACACAACAATCGAATAGTGTTCCGAGTAAACTCGAAGAAACCGATCTGCTTCGCGCTTTTTGTCGTTTACGCGGTGAATTTTCGGGGTTTTCTGAGGAATTTGCTGCGGCTGCTGCTGCTGCTCGAATTGGTCGAGTTCGCGTAAATACTTGCTCCTCTTCTTCTTCTTCTTCATCTATTGGCTCGATTTTCGGTTTCAGCAACCCCAAATGCCCTCGTTTCATCCTGTTTTACTGGAAAAACACGTTTAAAAGTGTGAAATCGAAAAAAAATAAAAATTTTTGAAAACGCCGCGAGAGAGAGTGTGCGAAACGAGGAGACGCAGAGTGTGCGGTGGGGCGAACTTGCATTCTTACTTTTGTTTTTTTGGGGGGGGGGTTGAAATTTTGGGTTTTTAAGCAAAGGGGGGGGGGGTAAAAGATTGAATAGTTTTCAAATTGATACAAAGGTTTACTATTTGAAATTTGCATTAGAGCGCACTAGCAGCAAGCACGCTCTATTGAGAATTTTTGAAAATTGTTAAAATTTAAAATTTTCAGAACAGCATCTTTGCTAGTTCTCAATCTCAATCTCCAAAACTGCAAGCATCTGAATCGTCTGAAAATCTCGAATACAATGCGCCAAATCGATTTGTTCGAATCGGGAATTCTGAATTTTTTTTCTGAAGAGCAAGATAATAAATTGTTTTTATGTAAAGAAAATTCTTGATAATTTGGACTTAAACACAACCAGCCAAACCATAATCTTGCATATTTTGCACATCAAAATATGTCATATGATCATTGGGCTCCGCGTCCAAATTCCGGCTGCTGCAATACAATCCGTCGGCTTCCGCGCACAATTTGTAACTCGAGCCAACAGTCATATTGTTGTTGTACCTGAAACGGTTAACGTAACTTTTCCGCGACGCGGAAGCTGTCCGCGCGGAACTCACCAGACTTCAGTGCGATGATGGAACAGCTCGTCTTTTCCCTCCATCGGCGGAATGTGCGGAACCGGATCGCGATGATGAACGACGCGGAACGAGTAGGGGAAGGTGGCGTCGTGCCACGTGGCATACGCATAGTCGCCGGTTCGCGGTTGACCCAATGTGACTAATTTGATGTTTTCCGGTTTGAAGAGACCGATTTGGACGAGATGCGAGGCGGCGATTGAGGCCATTGAACCGCCCAATGAGTGACCGGTTATCTGGAGGAAAATCATGACTAGGCATTGCTCCTTGACAGCTAAATGCAGAAGTCAAGGGTCGGCTGCTTGACTAAAATAAGAGCCCTCAAGCAGCCAACCCTTCGCAATTAAACCTAGATGTCTAGGCGTCGCTCTTTGACAGCTAAATGCAGGAGTCAAGGGTCGGCTGCTTGACTAGAATGAGAGCCCCCAAGCAGCAAACCCTTGACAACCTGGTTGTCAAGGCACCGCTCCTAGACAGCCTAAGCTGTCTCAAAGGTCGGCTGCTTGACTAGAATAAGAGCCCTCTAGCAGCCAACCCTTAACAACTAAACCTGGATGTCTAGGCACCACTCCTCGACAGCCTAATATATCTCAAGGGTCGGCTGCTTGACTAAAATGAGAGCCCTCTAGCAGCCAACCCTTGGCAATTAAACCTAGATGTCTAGGCACCGCTCCTTTACTGCTAAATGCAGGTGCCAAGGGTCGGCTGCTTGACTAAAATGAGAGCCCTCAAGCAGCCAACCCTTCGCAATTAAACCTGGATGTCTAGGCGTCGCTCCTTGACAGCCTAAGATGTCTCAAGGGTCCGCAAGCTTCCTCTACTCACCCACAACTCAAAATCCCCATACATATACTTCAATTTCCGCATCTCCTGTTGCAATCCGCCATTCCAAACAAAAAAGAAGGCATCGTAAAAATAGCCAAAAATATTGCCAGCCGCTCCCAAACTCTTTTTCCCGCCAAAAAAGTCGAGAATCTCATCGGTCATTTGAATGGCGCCTTCGGTTCCGCGAAAAGTCAAAACCAGAACTTTTTGAGTGACGTCAAAGGCGGTGAAGGCGAAACAATTGGATTGTGGGCCGATTGCTGAGCAGTTGACGGAAAATGTCGAGGAGACGCGCATTGTTGACATTTTATTGCTGGAAAGGGTTGGCTACTTGACAGCTATGCAGGGGGGGTCAAGGGTTGGCTCCTTGAGAAGTCTCAGAGTCCTCTAGCAGCCGCCCCTTGACAACTTACTCAAAACACTTCTGCGGATCGTCCCTGAAAGCAGCACACGTCGTCAAAAACACCTTTTCCCTCACAAATCCATCATCATAGGCGTGCGATTTGTCGGGTAAAGTGGGGCAGTTTAGCGATTTTTTGATGACGGTTAGACAGGGTGAAAATGCGCACATTTTGACATCGGCACACCAACTGGAAAGATTTTTGAGTTTTCCTAACTTCAGGTGCATTCAAAAATCTTTTTCCTATGTTTTAGGGCTTTAGCAACATTTTAAGGGACTTCAGGTAGGATTTAAATAAGCTCTTAAGGATTTTAAGAAGATTTAGGGCTTTAAAACCTTAAATAAACTTTTAAGAACGCCTTAAAAATCCCATTTCTTAGAGAAGTTATCCTTAAACTTCCCTAAAGCCCCTTAAGGTCTCCCCAATTCCCCCCAAATCACTCACTGTTTCCCACTATCCAAACATTTTTCGCACGACGTTTCGCAGTTAGCCAAACTCAAAACCCCGGCAAAAATTGCCCAGAAAATCATTTTCTTCATTTTTCGAAGGAAACACGTGTATTTTCCTTTTATCAAAAACATAAAAAATTTTGCTGATAAACTTTGAAAAAAAAATTCAGGGTACGAAATACGAAGTTATGCCGCGTGCGGCTGTGCGTCGCGGTTTTTCAACGTGGCTCGAAAATTCGAAAAAACCAATTTATGGAAATTCAAGCAGTCGCAGACATTGGAATAGTAACAGTTCCAGCTGGTTGAACAGCAGCAAATGCAGCTTGCGCATCAGTTGCGTCAGCTGGAGCCGGAGCAAAATGAATCACCAATTTATCCTCTTTTGGTGCACCGGCTGTACGTGTTATAACAATATCTTTCGAGCCGGATGGATCGACGAAACCAAACACTGGTGTGATACGATATTCATTATTATTCGATGATTTGATCTGGGTGAATCAAGTTAGACTAACTAAGTAAAGTCCTTCTATCTCACCTTGAAGATCAATTTGTCGGCTCCACCATTCACCAATTTGTGGGTGGATGCGCCTCCGGCAGCTGGAACTGTACATGCTGGTGGATCGGCAGTCAACGACATTCTCTAGAGCAAAATATACCGTGATGGTGAAACACAACTCACTCAGCCCCCTCATTTTATACCAGTTGCCACGTCACACTCAATGCTACGTCATAGATTTTCACGTGAGATAAGGGGCGTCTCTCATCTTCACAGTGTATAATATTTTTCTCTGCATGTACAGTCCCAGCTTGGTGAATGGTGGAGCCGACTAATTGATCTTCAAGGTGAGTTAGAAGCAGTATAGGCTATACTGTAGTCTAACTATGCAGATCTGCTTGAATTTCATCCAAAAACATTCTGTTTTTCATTCGAAAAAACACTTTGGAAGAAGCCAAAAATCACAGAAATATAGTTTTTTTTAAATGAAAAATTAAACTTTTATCAAATTTTTCTCTAGTATTTAAGAGAGCCTCAAAATAACACAATAGAACAAGCAAAAATGAAGATTCTATTGTTGTTCGCATGCTGTATCACGGTATCCTGCTATACTGGATCAGATAGTGATGAAGAGTGTCGAGATGAAGAAGCACGAGAGCACAGAAAACATGAACATCCACGTGAATATGAATGTCCGGCTGGATTCACATTGTTCAACAGAGCTGTTCCATGGTGTTTGCAGGTAATCAATACGACCGCGACGCACAGCCGCACGCGGCTAAAATGCGGGAAAGCGGAGTGTTGTAGTACCTTAGCCACATGTTTTTGCAACCGATGTGATTATCGATCCATTGTACTCACAAATCAATGGTTTTTCATTGACTGTTGGTGGACGAAGAAAACATCGATGTATGGGAATTCCGGACTACTCTCATGATAGTCCATGCACAGTTGAGGCAGTGAGTCAAAGAATTGTTGTTGTCAACGCGGAGTCTCGTTGTTTAATTTGCAGACATTCCGATTCCCAGACAATCACACAAATCCGGCTTTCACCATTGCTAGTTATCACGATGGTCAACCAGATTCACGACAAACAAAAATCAAGTAACTTGTGTTTTGTAAAGTTTTAACTTCCACACTTTTAATTCATTTTCAGCGGAAAATTCTACATTGAGGATTGTCTGACGATTTACGTCACCAAGGGAACTGCATGGGATAAAAGATATAATGATATTTTTGGCGATTTTGCGGTTTCGCCGCTTGACGCTAGTGAAATGTTTCAAAGTCGCGGGGCACTTTGTGGAGTTGCTGCCACGTGGAAATTTTTGTGACTTTGTTTAACAAAGTTGGTTATTTTTAAATGAAATATTTGCAATCGAATTTTGAGCTTCTTCAACAATAATATTTTTTTTTTTCAAAAAAAAAATATCAAATTTTTTCACGACACACTCTTTTCGCTGGAACTTCTTCTAATGAAAGTTGTCGTAAAAGTGTCTGAATATTTCCCGAAATATGCGAAATTTCGTTAGTCATTAAGTGTTGCATGCGATATCGTGCATTTTTTGACTGAAAATTCAAAAAATTTTGAGATGAAAAAGCCCCCAAAAAACCAACATTTTCGATGTGTTTCTCAAGATTTTCGAATATTTTCCTTTGCTCAACCGAATCTCCACAATATTCCAGATGTTCCGTGTATTTCTCGATCAACTGATTTTGCATATTCACAAAACTTTCAAATCTCGCAAAATCAATAATCTTCAAATTTTCCTCGTTTTTCTGGCGAATCACATTTTGCATGGATAAACTTTGCATTTTGACGAGAATCGGCGAAAAATCGATAATCTCATGCGACATTTTCGAATGTTTTCGCAATGCACAAGTTGAGCATAAAGCTGATGAGATAAGCTGCTCCAAACCTTCCAGGGTTTTAGGTGGAGTGCAAGTTGAGCAAATGTTCAGACTGAAAAATCAATTTTACTTTGTTAGGTAAGAAATTTTGCAATAAAAACCAACTTTTTCTCAACATCCATCACTTCACAATTTTCTTCTGAACATTTGTATTGTTTCGTGGTAATTTGTGGCTGAAAATTTCAGATTTTCATCGGTATTTAAAAAATGCTCACCTTGCAAACTGCACAGGATTCCAATCCATCTAGAAATCTGAAAATACTTGAAGGTAAACTTTTGTTTTTGAAAATCAAAAACTAACCTTTCCAATATACAAGCGGAACAGACAAAATGACCGCATTCGATTGATTGCAAACTGTTTTTACCGCAAGTTACACAAGGTTTGATGTTTTCTGGAACAACGGCGGTTGAAGTACAAGGCGTCGGTAGAGGAAGAATGCGAGCGGAGAATATTGACTCCGCATCCGCGACGATTTGTTCCCAAGAAGACACAACGGCGGTTGGAGTACAAGGCGTCGGTAGAGGAAGAACGCGAGCGGAGAACATTGACTCCGCATCCGCAACGATTTGTTCCCAAGAAGACATGAATATCTGAAGTTTTTACTGGAAAAAACACGTTTGAAAACGAAAAAAAAACAAAAATTGAATTTTTTTTTGGTGGCGTGGCCGAGGAACCGATTCGGCCATGTAGTTCTCGCGGAGTGTTGTTGTCGCAAAAATCATTATTTTTTTTCGTTTTTGGCTGGAAAAAGCGGGTTCCGATGCTCCGGACTCCTGCAGCAACCACAAATTCGCCAGAAATAACAATTTTACGCACCGTGCGTGAAACATGCGGAGATTGCAGTGAGTTTTCCACATTTTTTTCAAAAATATTTTAAAAAATGTATTTTTTCAGACAGCCACGTGGCAGAATCTCAATTATCATTGCTTGGATGTGGTCATTCGGTCTGTCATAATTGCATAAATATCAGGTAAATTTCTCCCGCGAAAAATTTTGAATTTAAATTTCAAATTTCAAATTTTTCGCAGAGCTCGCGCAGGTTTGCTTCTCTGTGATATTTGTGTGTTGCGGCCGAAAGTTGAGAAAAATCGATATAAATGTTCGGAAGAGAATTGCGAATCAATGGATATTAAGCAAAAGTTGGTTGAAATTTTGAAAGCTCAATGAAAATCTGGTTTAAATTTGATTTCAGCCTGAACATTTGCTCAACTTGCACGCCATCAAAAACCTTGGAAGGTTTCGATCAACTTTTTGCCGCAGCAATTTGCTCAACTTGCGCAATGCGAAAACATTTGAAAAATTCGCACGAAATTATTGATTTCTGTGCGGTTTATGCGAAATTCCAAAGTTTTTCAATGCGAAAAATTTTGGAGGAAAAAACCGATGAAAATTTGCAAATTTGCAATGTTGATTTCGATAATTTTGAAGATCTCAAAAATCGCGAACGTCGTGTGAGTTTTGAAGACTAATATGAGCAATACCTGAAATTTTTTCAGCTCCTCGAGAAATGCGTGGAAAATCTGGAAAACTGCGAATGCCCCACACAACAGCAGAATTTCTTCTTGAAAATGGAGGAATTTTTCGAAAGCGTAGGTTCCCCCAGTCTATAAAATCTTTAAAAAAAACAAATTTTCAGTCGCGAATTGCGCGAACTCGAATGCATCAAGTTATGTCGAAGGCGAATGAGAAGATCTCGCAGAATATCCACAAGTTTTGGCGGGAAAATTTCCAGGAAGGCGCTTGATGGAAAAAAAAATTCAAAGAAAAATGTGATATTTGTATAGAGAATAAGTAGATGTATAATATTTTTAATGATAAAGTTTTACCGAATTGAAAAATTCAATTTTCAACGTGAAAAAATTCGTGAACCCAATTTTTTTCGATTTCATTTCATTTCCCTCCCTAAAAATCACTCATTCCTAATTCAAAAATGAAGCTGATTCTAATATTCATATTCCTAATTTCATCAATGATTTTTCAAATCCAATCAATGCCAGAATGTTCGCCACAACCAAGAAATGTTCAATTGAAAAAAGAGCCTGTTTTGTATCTTTTCCATATTGGCTTCAAAGATATGACTAATAATAAGGCAAAAATATTAAAATTATTGGCTGTAATTAAGCAAATCGCATGTGAATTACCCAAAAATGATGCAATTTTCTATGGAGTTTCGTATTATTTATTCGACTATCTAAATAATGATAAAAATAATGGATATACCTTCGACGAGTTTCAAAAAGGATTAAATGACATTGAATCCAAAGCTAAGGGTGAAGGAACAATTGAACATAACTATTTCTATTGGGGGACATGTGGATATAAACCTTTTATCGAGAAAATATCATTATTTGATAGATATAAAAGGGTTGAACTTATTTGGAATTTGGATCCTGAATTTGGTCTTGATTGTTATCAAGAATTCAAAAATTTGGGCCTTGACAAGAATAAATATGGATTCAATGCTGTTTCATTGGCTGCAGCGAAACCGGATGGGATTGATAATGTTTTTTGGGTGAAAAATGGAGAAGGGATTGATGTTCAGAGTGAGTTTGAGCAATTTTGAAATCCTCTGTGTCGAGCGGAGCGAGTGTAAACCGCAAGCTTCCGCGTAGCGGCGCTATCTTCCGCTTCAGCGGCCAAGTTAGACTAACTCTTCACGTTAGCCCAACGTGGCCGCTAAAGCGGAAGATAGTGCCGCTGACGCGGAAGCTTGCGGTTAACACTAGCTAGAAGTCAACGCACCGCTGCTTGACAGGCTTGTAAACCGCAAGCTTCCGCGTAGCGGCGCTATCTTCCGCTTCAGCGGCCAAGTTAGACTAACTCTTCAGGTTAGCCCAACGTGACCGCTAAAACGGAAGATAGTGCCGCTGCGCGGAAGCTTGCGGTTAACAGAAGTCAAGGGACCGCTGCTTGACAGGCTTGTAAACCGCAAGCTTCCGCGTAGCGGCACTATCTTCCGCTTCAGCGGCCAAGTTAGACTAACACTTCACATTAGCCCAACGTGGCCGCTAAAGCGGTAGATAGTGCCGCTGACGCGGAAGCTTGCGGTTAACACTAGCTAGAAGTCAAGGCACCGCTGCTTAACAGGGTTGTAAACCGCAAGCTTCCGCGTAGCGGCACTATCTTCCGCTTCAGCGGCCAAGTTAGACTAACACTTCACATTAGCCCAACGTGGCCGCTAAAGCGGTAGATAGTGCCGCTGACGCGGAAGCTTGCGGTTAACACTAGCTAGAAGTCAAGGCACCGCTGCTTGACAGGCTTGTAAACCGCAAGCTTCCGCGTAGCGGCACTATCTTCCGCTTCAGCGGCCAAGTTAGACTAACTCTTCACATTAGCCCAACGTGACCGCTAAAGCGGAAGATAGTGCCGCTGACGCGGAAGCTTGCGGTTAACACTAGCTAGAAGTCAAGGCACCGCTGCTTGACAGGCTTGTAAACCGCAAGCTTCCGCGTAGCGGCACTATCTTTCGCTTCAGCGGCCCTAGTTAGACTAACTCTTCACGTTAGCCCAAGGTAGCCGCTAAAGCGGAAGATAGTGCCGCTGACGCGGAAGCTTGCGGTTAACACTAGCTAGAAGTCAAGGCACCGCTGCTTGACAGGCTTGTAAACCGCAAGCTTCCGCGTAGCGGCACTATCTTCCGCTTCAGCGGCCAACTTAGCCCAATGTGGCCGCTACGCGGAATTTTCCGGTTCACACTCGCAAAAATAATTTCATGCCTGCAGATCCCAACAAAACTGAAACTATTTCAAAATTGGCCATAAAATTTGTGGATAAAATGGATGTTTATTCCTTACCAACAACTTCTACACTTCCACCTTCAACTCCACCTCCACCTACAGAATCAGAATTCGAACTAGTTCAAGCTGTCCGAATTCGAAATGATCTACTCCCAGAAATTCCCGAACAACCCTATCCAACCTATATTTTCCTAGTTCATTTGTCACTTGCAATCGTCATTTTTCATATAATCGTAACTTTTCCGGTGCATTGTTATTATCATTATGGAAATCTTCGACGTTATATTAATCCGGATTATCGACCAGCTGATTTTTTTGGATGGAGAAATTATTGATTTTTATAATAAAATTGTTTTTGGCGTAAACTACAAGCTTCCCAAGTATTTTTTATGTATTACAAAACAAAAAGAAAGTTATTTTCTTCTTTTTCTCGAACTTTTCGGTTCAAGCATCGATCTTTCCTCTTTTCCACCTCCACTTCCCGTAATTTCTTCCTTCGATTTTCTTGGCTTATTCTTTCTTCTCGTGCTCTTCTGCTCAGCCATCGATCGTTCCTCTCTCCCACCCGTCAATTCTTCAGGCACACCGCGATTCGGCAAACGCGGGCCGCGTTTTCGCGTGCTCTTCTGCTCGGCAAACGACAAATCTTCGCGAGATCGCAAGTCTCGCGCAAATTTTTGTTGATGCGGTAAGAGTGTGGATCGACGCGTCTTGTTTTGATTGACTTTTTCGAATGACAGACTTTTTTCGCAGGCTGGCAGGATTAGGAGTTGTTTTGGTGTGGTGGCGGGTTTGGTGCAGAGGGTGAGGAGAGCGAAACGGCGGGAATTCGATTCGGCGACTCTGGAAAATTGGAGAAGTTAGACAGCTAGAGAGCCAGAGAGTGTTAGAGACGCAGGGGGAACTACACTTGAGCCGCAAACCCGGAAGACAGCTAGAGAGTATAGGATTTTGAGAGAACGCAGAGATACTAGAAGACTAGAGACGCAGAGAGTTACACACTTAGTGAGAGAATATAGGGTTTTTGGAGAGTGCAGAGAAGCTAGACGGTTAGAGACGCATAGGGTTTTGGGAGAGTGCAGAGAAGCTAGAAGGATAGAGACGCAGAGAGTTACACACTTAGTGAGAGAATATAGGGTTTTGGGAGAGCGCAGAGAGTCTAGAAGGCTAGAGACGTAGAGGGAGCAAACAGTGTCAGACAGCCAGAGAGCATAAGGGTAGAGACGCAGAGGAATTTACACTCGCTCCGCTCGAGCCGCTAACGCGGAAGATTCCGGGGCGCTTCGCGCAAGACAGCTAGAGAGCATAGGATTTTGGAGAGTGCATAGAAGCTAGAAGGCTACAAATAATTGTTCTTAAAGGTGCACAGGACATATTTTTTGGGTCTCACCACGATGTCCCTTTAAACTCATTGGGCTATCTTTGTGCCCAGAATTTTGAGCTCTACAAGATGAAACAATATGAAATTTTGACTCACTCAATGGCATTTCGATAATCTTCCGGCGATATACTTTTGCTGACAAGTTGATCGTTTGAGCGGCAAACTTGAGGGCTGCAAAAATTTTTTTGAAATTAGTTGAAAAATCCGTCCCCCCAAAAAAACTAGCAGCAAAAATATCATGGCAATTTCTCCACTGATTTCACAGGCGATCTCGTGGTGTAGTGGTTATCACATCTGTCTAACACACAGAAGGCCGGCGGTTCGAGCCCGCCCGAGATCATCGACTTTTTTTTTGTTTTTCTCGAGCGAAGCGAGGGTAAGTCCCTTAAGGTAAATCCCTTAACTCACACAAAAAGTGGTTGGAAATAGTCATCCTTTAGTGCTTCAATTCCCCGAAATCTCTTCTCCGGTGCAAATTGAAAGACACGTTTCAAAAATCCCAATTGATCTTCTTTTGCGCCAGGCAACAGTTTCAAGAGTCCCGAACCTTTTGAATATCTCATACAATCCGGCGGCAATCGGCAACTCTCCGGAGTTTTCATCGCTTTGAAGTCCGCCTCCGACGGACAACCAAAACATCGACAATAGAGCTTGAATTGATGTGCCGAGCATTTTCCGGGAAACAAGATCTGCCCCTTTTTGATCATCTCACCCACACAACATCCAGCCGACCAAACATCTACAGTCGAATCGTAGTCGGTGGATTTCAAGCACATCTCGGGCGGTCTGTAGAAGCGTGGAATTTGATACGATTCGCTTGGCTTGTTTTTGATGAAACATTTTGATGAGCCGAAATCGTTGATCTTAAGAGTTCCAGCGTCATGATCTACGAGGATGTTGGCGGGTTTCAAATCTCGATGGATGATCAGATGCTCTTCGAGATACTTGAGCCCGGCGAAGATTTGCCACGTGTATAATCGAATGTCCATTTCGTCTAGACCGGGGCCGATTGCGTTGGTGGGATTCAACGTTTTCAACACATCGGCTAGGGTTGTTGGCATGAAATCGAAGACATACGATTCGCAGACTTTCGAACCGTAATCGTGGCTGAACGCATATAGCATTTGAATGATATTCTTGTGTGGGGCACGTTCGCGACCGGTGAGAAAGATGAATTCGAAGTTGCGGTCGAATTTTTTGCGATCCACGTCGGGCCACGTTTTTTTGATTGCGATCTTCTTTTCGACGGGTTCTTTGAGAAGACCGCTGGAGAAAATTTCGAATTTTTTTCAAAGAAAATAATAATATTTTGTGAACAAAATATACAGTTTACTATTTTTGTGTAGAGACAATGGGAAATTGAGAGAGTGCAGACAGTTTTTTGTATTTTTTTGTGCGAAAAAACCTTCTAATTAAAAATTTGAATTTCATCAAAAATCGCGCAAAGTGCAGTGGAGCGCATTTGCCATTTTTGAGCAAAAATTTTGGATTTTCGGGGTTTTTAGATGTTTCCGGGGTCAAAAATTCACGTGGAATATGAATTTTGGGTCAGAAATTGGGATTTTCCTAGTCCCGGGCTCAAAATTCGTCAAAAATAAGCTCCTGGGCTCATTTTCGACGTATTTTAGCTCAAAATCCATCAAATTTCACGTCTGAAATTGCGGATTCTAAAAATTGTGCGAAAAAAATACAAAAAACTGTCTGCACTCTCTCAATTTCACATTGTCTCTACTCAAAAATAGTAAACTGTATATTTTTTTCGACGTTTTTCTTCTGCATAGGAAAAATATGTTTTTTTTTATCACAAAATATTATTCTGCATAAGCCTAGAATAACTTTTAGCGTTAAAAACACGGGATTTTTGCCTAATTTCCGGCCCGAAAATCCACCGTACTCACCGATAAACATTACTAAACACACCCGACGAATACAGTGAAATGTCCTCGATTTTCAACATCACTTTTTTCGAATCTGACGGCATCTCATAAGCCTCTTGTTCCACGTTTACACAATAAATGTTCATTTTTTCCATTTTGCGGTTTTTTAGTTTTTCAATCAATAAATACAAAAAATTTTCAAAAAGTGAGGGATTTTTGGTTTTCGCGGGCTTTTTATACAGGAGGCCGTGGCCTAGTTTTTTTGGTCACGTCACGCGCGAAAATTGAATTTTTGAATTTTAGATTTTTTTTTTCGAAAAAAAAAATTTCGAAAAATATTAAAAACGTGAACTTCACGTGACCAAAAAATAAAATTTAATTTTCGAAAATTTTTTCTCATTTCATTTCTAAATTTAGAATGGATGAGGAACCCGAGGGGCAATATGAATTGGTTGGACCAAGTGTGGTGAGTGCAGAGAAGCTAGACGGTTAGAGACGCAGAGGGGACTACACAGATGTAGCTAGAGGATATAGGCAAAGTGCAGTAGTTGCCATTTATAAGGCAAAAATTTTGGTTTCTAGAGGTTTCCACGGTGAAAAATCCACATGGATCATGAATTTTGGGTCAAAAATCGTGATTTTCTAGCTAATCGACCATTTCGGCTCATATTTTTCCTACAATAAGTAAAAAACCACCTAATTAAAAATTTGAATTTCATCAAAAATCGCGCAAAGTGCAATGGAGCGCATTTGCCACTTTTGAGCAAAAATTTGCGGATTTTCGGGGTTTTTAGAGGTTTCCGGGGTCAAAATTTGACGTGGAATATGAATTTTAGGTCAGAAATTGGGATTTTTCTAGTCCCGCGCTCAAAATTCGTCAAAAATAAGCTCCTGGGCCCATTTTCGACGTATTTTAGCTCAAAATCCATTAAATTTCACGTCTGAAATTGCGGATTCTGAAAATTTGCAGGCCAAACCACCGCCTCCACCACCACCAGCTCGCCTTCCATCAAAATCCACAATAACACCAGCCTACAGTACCACAAATTTCATCGCCGCCGCCGACGAAAAAACTTTCGTGTTGGCCTCGCCGATTTGGTTGAAAGTTCAACTCTTCGCCGCAATTCTCATGTTTGTCATCAGCGTTATTTTGACCGTCTTGGTGAGATTAAACTGAGCAATGTTTCGAAAATTTGGAAAAAATTCATTTTCAGGTTGTGATTGCCAACAATACACCAACTCATAAGAAACATTGAGAAAATGAATAATTTTTCTAGCCTTCTAGCTTCTCTGCACTCTCTCAAAACTCTATGCTCTCTAGCCTTCAATTTTTGATCAGAAAATCAGTTTTTTTTCAGATAACCCATCTTTTTTAGCTGGAAATTGGGATTGTTTGAGTCTAAGTAGGCTCCTGGACTCAAAAAACCCCGATTTTCAGCCAAAATTCAAAATTTGGGCATAGCTTCCGCTGAAATTCCAATCAAAAATTGATAAATCTCAAGTTTTTCAAGATTTTTGTCTTGAGAAACCTGAATTTTATCAATTTTTGGTTGGAAAATCAGAATTTTTTCGAATAAATTGATTTTTGGCTGAAATTTGGGATTTTTTGAGTCTAAGTAGGCTCCTGGACTCAAAAAACCCCAATTTTTAGCCAATTCAAATTTTTCAAATTTTGGGCATAGCTTCTGCATCTCCGCTGAAATTCCAATCAAAAATTAAAAAAATTCAAGTTTTTCAAGATTTTCGTCTCGAGAAATCTGAATTTTATCAATTTTTGATTCTCTGGCTGGAAACTAGAGAAAAATTTACAAAATTTTTTTAAATTCAAAAAATCCACGTGGATTTTGTCTCCTGAATTTCGCTCAATTTTTTAGAATTAAAATTGTCCCAAATCTTTTTGTGCATCAAAAATCCGAAATCCAATTGATCCCAAACCGGAGCTAAACTAAAAAAGAGCCCAAGAGCAAAAAAGTGACAGTTTTTTGACAGGCCGGCAGGAGAAAAATCGGGAGAAAAACACAAACAAATCTTGTTTTTTTCCGGCGAGCCCTATAAAATGAGCCGCCACTGAGAAAATATAATATATCACTTTTGAGATTTGTTTATTTTAATCTGGGATATTTTCGAGAATATTTTGGATTCATTTTGAATTATGAGATTGAGGTGAGTTTAGGGGAGATTTCGCAACATTTTTTGATTTTTCTTCAATTTTCGTTCAAAATTTTGAAAATCAAATTTTCGCGCCAAATTCTTGATTTTGATACTTTTGAAATCGCAGAAGAAGAATCCACGTGGCATTTAGAGATTAGCAAAATCAACTGGAAAATTTGGCAAAAAAGTAGATCAAAAATCCACGTGGCTTTTTGCTTCACAAATCCACGTGGAAACTTCTAGAGTCCTAAAATCCACGTGGCAAATGAATCTAGATTTCGAATTCGAAAAATCAGAAATTTCGAGAGCACTAACAAGATCCACGTGGCAAATGTAGAGCTCACATTTTAGGGTTCAAAAATCCACGTGGCAAATCGATTAGACCAAATTTCGAGAGCATTAAGATCCACGTGGAAACTTCTAGAGTCCTAAAATCCACGTGGCAAATGAATATAGATTTCGGAACCTAAAAATCAGAAATTTCGAGAGCACTAACAAGATCCACGTGGCAAATTCTAGACTTCCTGAAAAAACCCGAACATTTTGCAGATCCCCCACAAAAGCCCTAGTTACTGTGGCCCTTTTGGGTTCTCTAACATTCGCCGACGATTCTTCAACATCCACTGAATCCTCATCAACACCATCGGAACTCGAGCTCGCACCACAAAACGATGACGTCATCTCGCCGCCCATAGTTTTGGCGAAGGATATGCGATCGCGAGCCTCTCGACTCGGCGCCTTCCAATCGATGGGTGGCGGCTATGGAAGTTATGGTCGAGGAGGTGGAGGTGGAGGTCCATTCGGTGGCTTCCAAGGTGGATACGGTCAAGGTGGATTCGGAGGCGGCGGAGATGGTGGATATGGCGGAGGTGGATACGGCGGGGGAGACGGCGGCTATGGCGGAGGATACGGAGGTGGAGGTGGTGGATATGGCGGGAACGGAGGCGATGGATATGGCGGATACGGAGGCGGTGGTTATGGGGGAATGGGCGGCGGACCAGGAGGCTACGGTATGGGAGGATATGGCGGAGGAGGTGGAGATGGTGGCTTCGGAGGCGGAGGTTATGGCGGAAACATGGGAGGAGGATATGGTGGAGGTGGATACGGTGGAATGGGCGGAGGTGGAGGATACGGAGGAGGTGGTTATGGAGGAGGAGGAGGAGATGGTGGATATGGACCTGGAGGCGGTTACGGAGGTGGTGGATATGGACCAGGAGGAGGATATGGAATGGGTGGAGGAGGTGGAGGAGGATGTCCGAATGGAGAATGTCGGGGAAGGAAGTGAGGAGAAGAAGAAGAAGCTCGTGATAATTGATTATTTATTTATTTATTGTTTTTTAGGGAGAATAAATCTTTCATGCAAACGAGAATTTTCCGGAAATATTTTTTCAGATAACCCAAATTTTAAGCTGAAAATTGGGATTGTTTGAGTCTAATTAGGCTCCTGAACTCAAAAAATCCCGATTTCCAGCCAAAATTCAAAATTTGGGCATAGCTTCCGCTGAAATTCCAATCAAAAATTGATAACACTCAAGTTTTTCAAGATTTCTGTCTCGAGAAACCTGAATTTTATCAATTTTTGGTTGGAAAATCAGAATTTTTTCAAATAAAATTTATTTTTGGCTAAAAGTTGTGATTTTTTGAGTCTAGGTAGGCTCCGGGACTCGAAAAATCCTAATTTTCAGCCAAAATTCAAAATTTTTTATTTATTGTTCCTGTGTTTTTTTTAGGGAGAATAAATCTTTCATGCAAACGAGAATTTTCCGGGAAAAATTGAAATTCAAATTCAAATTCAAATTCGCTACCAAAAAAAACCCTAGAGAAATTTTTGCAAAAAAAATCTTTCTGCAGGCCTGCTGCAGATCTGCAAAATTTTCAAAATCCCCCCCCCCAAAAAAAAAATTCCCATAAACACTCACAACTCTTCTTTCATACATATTTTCCACACTTCTCTTGTCGCAAATTCCTTTTCCAGCTTCATTTAATCCGAAAGATTGACGACGCCAATCCACCCAATAACATTGCGATTCCGTTTTTAGAGTAATTCGGGGAGTAAAACGAAAACTTTTGCCAACAAATTTGAAAAAAAAATAAAAATACATGCGCGGCAAATAAAATGCATTGTGTGCAATAGGAGAGTGTGTTTGCACACTTGTTGTCAACAACAGTACCTCTTGACGTCAATTTTTTTTTTGTCGTCCCAAAAGACAGCTTTTTGCAAAATTGACATTATTCCAGATGGTTTCGACTACTCGAAAACGAAGAAGAGAAAAAGTGCGAGGAATTTACGAAAAGAGAACTAAATTTGAAAATGAGGTAGCATTAAAATCAACGTTTTCCCATAATTTTTTGTTTTGCAGCCATCCACATCTTGGTTCAATCTTCCATTTGAAATGCGTGAGATGGTAATCGATGAAATGGATCCAAAAACACGATGTTTATTCTCACAATGTTCAAAAATCTGCGAAAATGAGGCGAAGAAATCGAGAAACTATATTTATGGCATTTATTTCTTTGAAATCGATAACCGCGCTTTTTTGTGCTTCAAATTCGACGCGGAAAATCATGGATGTCCAGATTATGGATATGAATTTCGAAGAAATGGAAGTCGTTCAACGATTATTACTTATAAAACATGTGTGATTGATGCGGAATCGAAAAATAATCGAGAATTATTGGAAGATATTAAAAGACCTGATGGATATTTTATAGAATTTGGAAAAGAGAAATGGACCAAAAAAGAGGCGGGGAAAATGGAGAATGTTGTTTTGAAATATTTGAAAGATACGCTTGAAACCTATAAAAATGCCATCAAAAGTTTCTCATTTAATGTAAGATTTTCAATTATTTTTTCTAATTTTATTTAAAATATTAAATTGCAGAATAAGAATACCTCTATCCACTCATTCAATGTCAAAAATCTCCGAAGACTTGAGTTTCTCTACGTGGATTGTATGGAGAAACAAGATTTGATTAAAGTCGGATTCATAAATATCGAGCAAGTCCTTCGAATTCATAAAATTCATGCAAGTTACACCAACTTGACATTTGATCAAATTCGAAATTTCAAAGGATATATGGCATGTGTGGCATGTGATGAATGCGATCCAAAAACCATCAAAAAATACTTTGAAATGTGGAAAAAGGGAGAAATTAATGATAATGTTGGTGGAATATTTATTCGAACTCCACATAACAACAATTTGAACGAAGATTATTATACGGAGAATTTGAATATTGGACAATTGAATAAGAAATTGACGATTGAACTTTTTGCACTTCTCAAAAATAACAATGTTTCGGAAAGTGCCTCATTTTTTCGTTATCCATCCAAAAAACACTTGGGAATTGCTCAATGTTATGTGATTTCCAATAGTTTTTGTATTTTTGTCATTTGATTTTTCTTGTTGTTTTTGTCATTTTGTTTTTGTCACTGAAGTTAAGAGATTTTCATTTTATTTTATTTCTGCACTGATTATTATACGCTGGAAATTTGCGGATTGAAATATTTACTTGTTTAAAATTTGAAATTATGAAAAATTCTGATTTTCTAATCAAAAATTGATAAAATTCAGGTTTCTCAAGACGAAAATCTTGAAAAACTTGAGTTTTATCAATTTTTGATTGGAAATTCAGCGGAGATGCGGAAGCTATGCCCAAATTTTGAATTTTGGCTGAAATTGGGATTTTTCAGATCTAAATGAGGATAGACTAAAAATCCCGCTTTTCGGCTAAAAATTCTGATTTTCCAATCAAAAATTGATAAAATTCAGGTTTTTCAAGACGAAATTCTTGAAAAACTTGAATTTTATCAATTTTTGATTGGAAATTCAGCGGAAGCTATGCCCAAATTTTGAATTTTGGCTAAAATTGGGATTTTTCAGATCTAAATGAGGTTAGGCTCAAAAAATTTTCAATTTTCAGCCAAAAATTAATTTATTTAAAAAAAAAATTGATCGAACAATGTGCTCAAAAATTCTGTCTCGACATAAAAAAATTTCTGAGAATAATAATCAAAAATGAACATTTTTCACAGGAAACACATATATTTTCCTCTGAAATTCCAGATTTCAAGGCTCAAAATTGATTTTTTCCAGTTGAAAATCCTGAACCCGATCCACAAAAATCAATAAAAAAAATGGAAAAAATCTCGTTTTTCAAACAAAAAAAAAGCATATTTGATCTACGCCACGAGCGCGTCAAAAATAAAAAAGAAAACCAGAAAAAATCAATTTTTTTTCGGAAATTTTCATTTTTCACGTGAAATTTCGATTTGTCATGTTGGCAAAAACGAATTCGACGTGGAATCTGGTTATTTTTGAATTTTTCAACGAGTGGAACTGATGAAAAGCTAAGTTTTCAAGGGTTTCCCACTAAAATCTCTAAAAATTCCACAAAATTCACCCAAAAATTCAAGAAGACTAGAGAAAGTCTGCGCTCATTTCCGCTGAGCAAAGTACCGCCTACCAGTCGTAAGAAACTTGCGATCATTCAAAATCAGAGATGATTTTGGGTGGGGATTTCTAGGAATCCCTTTGCTGAGGCCTGGGAAACGCCGTGATCCGGAATGATTTGGGTTTTGCGCATCGTTTATGATGTTTTCTTGGGTTGGCGGGTTGAAAATGTGGATTTTCCAGCCTTTTCAGAGCATTTTGGTGCATTTTCCATGATTTTTTTGCAGAGAGAGAGGATCTTTATTGGAATGTGCATGCGATTTTTGGACACACGTGGAGGAATCGACGAAAATTGGTATGATTTTAGTATTTTTCGAAAAATTTGAGGTCTTCTAGCGATTTGACAGGGAAATTAGGTGTGCCTTTAAGAATATTCTCGTTCAGCTTCCCTTTTTGAATGGAAATCGTGGAAAGTAACTAATTTTCAACGATTTTTCTGATTTTCCAATTAAAAATTGATAAAATTCAGGTTTCTCAAGACGAAACTCTTGAAAACCTTGAATTTTATCAATTTTTGATTGGAATTTCAGCGGAGATGCGGAAGCTATGCCCAAATTTTGAATTTCGGCTGAAAATTGGGGGTTTTCAGATCTAAATGAGGATAGACTAAAAATCCCGCTTTTCGGCTAAAAATTCTGATTTTCCAATCACAATTTGATAAAATTCAGGTTTTTCAAGACAAAAAACTTGAAAAACTTGAGTTTTATCAATTTTTGATTGGAATTTCAGCGGAAGCTATGCCAAAATTTTGAATTTCGGCTGAAAATTGGGATTTTTCAGATCTAAATGAGGATAGACTAAAAATCCCGCTTTTCGGCTAAAAATTCTGATTTTCCAATCAAAAATTGATAAAATTCAGGTTTTTCAAGACAAAAAACTTGAAAAACTTGAGTTTTATCAATTTTTGATTGGAATTTCAGCGGAAGCTATGCCCAAATTTTGAATTTTTGATTGAAAATTGGGATTTTCACTTTTGCTCCCTTCCCCAAAAAAAGTTGCTCTACAAAAATTGTCCTCCCTAATTTGTCTTTGTCCTCCTCCTCCTAATTACACATAATCCATCATTTTTGTCTCAAAAAATACATGCGCCTTTAAGAAATCGCACCGACAGACAGACAGGTGCCATCATCCTCCCGCTTTTTTCTTCGGTCAAGTATTAGAGACTTCTACCGCACATCTTTCTTATGTTTACCCTCCTCCTAATAAATATGTATGTGTTATTGTCAAGTGGATTGGGTACTTGAGTAAATTGTTGCAAAAACGGTTATTAAAAAAAAGAATACGGTATTCAAGGCGCAACTCAGAAAATGCACTGACAGCTAGCACGCGAGCCGGCAGACGGCCGTCCAATTCTGATACTAATTTGCCAGTTTGCTAGCTCGCAGACAGCGCCTGCTAGGTTCTGCCAGCTAGCAACCTCGCGGCGACCTGACAGAAACTAGCGGGTGCTGTCTGCGAGCTAGCAAATTGGCAAATTAGTATCAGAATTCGACGGCCGTCTGCCGGCTCGCGTGCTAGCTGTCAGGGCATTTTCCGAGAATACACTTCGCGTGGGTCTCGCAGCGCGCGTGTACTTCTCTCGGACAATTGCAATTTTTTTTGTTTTTTCCCCTTCGAAACAACAAAAACGTTGTTTAAAACATGAAAAACGATGATTTCGAGGATGAATGCAACGATTTAACGAAGCGGAAGATGATTCAATGTTGTGTTCGCCACTTTGGTGTGAAAATTTGGATGTTTTTGGTGTTAGAAGTGGAATTTCGGCTCCCATGACAGTTTGACTGCAAATATTTGTTGTTGATAAACTTTGGATGACCCAGAAAAAGTGATTTGTGTATTTCTCGAGGACAATAAAAATGCATTTTTTTGGGAAAAACGCCGCGAAACCAGTTTAATTAATCACGGAAGCAGGAACATTCATGAATATTCGATTTTTTGAATTTTGCAAAAATGTGTAGGTGCACTTTTGGCGAAAAATTTCCAAGAGATTTCGAACGAAAAATTAGTATAACAATACGTTTTGTCAAGTATGTGTTTCCTTTCGAAATCAATTGAATTTAACTTTTTGCATCTCTCATTTTATTTCTCAAGAGGTCAAAATGGCTTAATTGATGGGGAAGAGGCAAAGTTTTGAAGCACTTTGTTTGTAAATTTCGAAATTTTGACATTTTCTGCAAGTCTGGCACAGTTTTTTGTTCAAAAATCTGAATTATGCCATTCTGGCATACTTTTCAACAAAAATGTCTAGATTTTTGAACCACAATGTGGGCGGAGCCTAATTTTGCAAGTCTGACACAGTTTTTTGTTCAAAAATCTGAATTATGCAAGTCTGGCACAGTTTTTTGTTCAAAAATCTGAATTTTGCAATTCTGGCATACTTTTCATCAGAATGTCTAGATTTTTGAACCACAATGTGGGCGGAGCCTAATTTTGCAAGTCTGGCACAGTTTTTTGTTCGAAAATCTGAATTTTGCAAGTTTGGCACAGTTTTTTGTTCAAAAATCTGAATTTTGCAAGTCTGGCACAGTTTTTTTTATTAAAAAATCTGATTTTTGCAATTCTGCCACAGTTTTCTATCAAAGTTTTTCATATTTTTGTCCAAAAGTGGGCGGAGCTTAATTTTGCAAGCCTGGCACAGTTTTTTGTTCGAAAATCTGAATTTTGCAAGTTTGGCACAGTTTTTTGTTCAAAAATCTGATTTTTGCAAGTCTGGCACAGTTTTTTGTTCAAAAATCTGAATTTTGCAAGTCTGGCACAGTTTTTTGTTCAAAAATCTGAATTTTGCAAGCCTGGCACAGTTTTTTGTTCAAAAATCTAAAATCTTGCAAGCCTGGCACACTTTTCAACAAAATTCTTCAGATTTTTCATTAAAAAGTGGGCGGAGCCAAATTTTTCTGCAAGCCTGGCACACAATTTCCCCCCTTCCTATCCTATTTTATTTATCCCCCAACTAGTAGTACTAGTTATCCTAACTCCTTTTTCTCCGCGCTAAGCTCCGCCCCTTTTTTTCACCAAGAATAAGAAGAAGAAGACATTATAATGATGGTTGCCATCTTCCCGTTAACCCTTTTTTTTGTGACAAAAAAGAAAGAGACGTTCCTTTTTCTCTAACAAAATTTGTCCTTGACTTGATCTTTTTTCTCAATAGGATTGGATTGAAGAAGAAGAAGAAGAAGAACCTTGGGTTTTAACTATTTTTATATAAATTTATATAGTAATTTTGGTTTTTCCGCAAGAAATTTGAAATTTGCTCTATTTTTGTGCTCATTTTGTGCTCGAAGAGCTCTCTCTGTGCAAATAAACACTACCTTTTAGTATATGCTAATTGACAGCCAATTTCTTGGCAAATAAATGGACCTTTTTTTCTTCACATAGAGAAAAATATGGTCATTTTTTTTCTTTTCGCCAAACAAACAATTTGGCCAAAATTCCCTGGGGTGAAATAATTTCGAATTTTTCGACACTTGAAACTTTTTAGTTTTCGCCAGTGTAGATGTGGCGCAACTGGTTAGCGTGTGAACTAGCGATCTAAAAGCCCTGGTTCGAGTCCCCATGCGCGCTGTCATTTTTTCTAGTTTTTTTCTCATACCTAATCCATAATTCTGACCCAAAAGGAAACAAAAAACAAGAAAAAGGGTCGACGAAAATCGAATTTGCGCGCTTCGGCAAAAAATTTTCTTTTTTTTTTTTTTTTGAAAAAAAATTTGTCACACTTTTTCTCTACTAAAAATTTTTTTCGCAGGCATGGGGAATCGAACCCGCGCTTTCCACTCCAAAGGTTCCCCTCTAACCAGCTGCGCCTCATAGACAAGTTCACATCGTAAATGTACATTTATGTATTTATTTTTGTGTTAATTACCTAATTATCATTCCGATTTCTCTCTTCTTGTTCCTTTTTTCTTAACAAACTTGATTTATCCGACCGTAAAATTTTTATTTGTTTTTTTTTTCTTCCCCCAAAAAAAATTCCATTTTTTTCAGACAAATCTTCAAAAAATCATGTCAAAAACAACAAAAATTCTTCTATAATGCCAAAAATCCCTATGCTATTCTATATTTTTCAGATTTTCAGCCTCACTATTTTGGCTGAAAATCTGAAATTCGAGGTCGAAGAATCGGCCGAAGTGGGGCGGGTGATTGGATGGATTTCGGGCAAACCTGAGCAATCCCACACACCCACGTTTTTCGTCGTTTTCCCCGATGAACAGATTAGTAAGGTGAGCGATTTTTGGGAAATTTTTTGAATTTGGCGCGAAAAAATTGATCTATTTTCACACTAATATGAGCAATGTATAAAAAAACATCTGCATATTAGTTAGCCCTTTTGTCTTGTCCAAAAGAACTACACACACACATCATTGAACAACTATACTATCAATCAAAAAGCAAACAAAGCTGCTCTGGCAACACAATGTTTTTAGGAGGCCGTGTAATTTGCATATGAAAACACCTTGCACCATCTGTTTTGGGGAGGGTGTCAATAAGTGCAAAAAATTGAGGAGAGAGAGAGACGCAGGGGAAATCCACGTGGATATTTTGGCGCGAAATTCAAATTATTTTTTATTTCTAACATGAGCAATGTTTTTCAAAATTTTTCAAGAACAAAATGGACAATGAGATTCTAACATGAGCAATGCAATATTTTCAAATTCAACACCAAAAATGACACGTGTGTAGTTCTTTTGGACAAGAAAAAAATCAAAAAATTTCGAAAATTTTTCGAAAAATTATCAAACGACACTCCGCTTGCCCGTTGTTTAATTTTTTTCATTTTTTTGAGCGTCATCATTTTTTTTCAAAACTTTTATTCTTCCTCTAATGCTAATATGAGCAATGTTTTTCAAAATTTTTAAGAAAACAAAATTAATTGTTCAATTTTTGTATGTAGTTCTTTTGGACAATGAGCTTCTAACATGAGCAATGCAATATTTTCAAATTTAACACCAAAAATGACACGTGTAGTTCTTTTGGACAATAAAAAATCATAAACTAATATGAGCAATGCACCAATTTCAACGAATTTCCCAATTAAAATTAAACATTTTTCGAAAAATTTTCAAAAATTTTAAAATCAACAACGACACTCCGCTTGCCTGTTGTTTAATTTTTTTCATTTTTTTTTTCAAAACTTTCATTCCTCCTCTAATGCTAATATGAGCAATGTATATGCAAATTCGGGAGAAAAGCCAATTTCTGAGGAGGCGAGGGGGGATGAACCCGGCCATTAGTAGTAGCACACCCTTTTATTAGATGAGAGATGGAAATGAGCACATTGTTGTGCTCAATTATTTGAATTAGGCTAACTTAGCACTTTGGACGAACTTTCGGAGATTTTATTTTTAGTTAGAGATAGGAGGGGGGCTAGAGAGGTTAGAGACGCAGAGGCTACTAGAGAACCAGGGAATGTTAGAGACGCAGAGGCTACTAGAGAACCAGGGAATGCTAGAGACGCAGAGGCTACTAGAGAACCAGGGAATGTTAGAGACGCAGAGGCTACTAGAAAACCAGGGAATGTTAGAGACGCAGAGGCTAGTAGAGAACCAGTGAATGTTAGAAACGCAGAGGCTAGTAGAGAACCAGGGAATGTTAAAGGCGCAGAGGCTACTAGAGAACCAGGGAATGTTAGAGACGCAGAGGCTATTAGAGAACCAGGGAATGTTAGAGACGCAGAGGCTACTAGAGAACCAGAGACGCAGAGAAACCGATTATTTTTTGCAGTTCCTAAAAGTCGACGAAAAATCGGGACAAATCTCAACAATCGCTCAATTGGACTATGAAAAACGCGGGAAATTCGATTTTGTCGCGGTTCGAGTTGAGCAAAATGCGCAGACCACTGATATCACTGTCGAAGTTGTTGATGAAAATGATAATGAGCCGAGATTTGCGGATCAACATGTGAGGGTGAGTGAAATTGGGGGATTTTTGAAGAGAAATTTCTGAAATTCTGAAAAATCTGAAATTTTTTGATTTAATTATTTTCAATTTTCAAAAAAAAATCTTCATAATTAGTGGGATAATCAAGTTAATTAGACACCCTTCTCAACATATGGCACATTAAAAATATTCACATGAAAACAAGGTCAGATGGCTCACTTGTTGACTTGGGGGGGGGACTTATCCTAACTCCAAAATTTTTGAAATCAAATTTTTTTTAAAATAGCGATTTCCTAACTTCCCAGCTTTTTAAAAACTGAAAAAATTTGAAAATTAAAAAAATAATAAAAATATTTTTTTCACGTTTTTTAATTTTCACAAAAATTTTGGCCATTTTTGAATTCATGAAAATTGGTTTGCAAAAAAATATTTGAAATTTGTCATATTTGGGCTCGAAATGCTCCAAATCCCCATCTGAAATTGAAATTTTCAGATTCCACGTGGAATTTGGAGCATTTCAAGCCCAAATATAAGCATGTTTGGGCTCAAAATGCTCCAAATTTTGAGCTAAATTGGGAAATTTCAGATTCCACGTGGAATTTGGAGCATTTCAAGCCCAAATATCATCATGTTTGGGCTCAAAATGCTCCAAATTTTGAGCAGAAATTTGAAATTTTCAGATTCCACGTGGAGTTTGGAGCATTTTAAGCCCAAATATTAGCATGTTTGGGCTTAAAATGCTCCAAATTTTGAGCTAAATTTGAAAATTTCAGATTCCACGTGGAATTTGGAGCATTTCAAGCCCAAATATCATCATGTTTGGGCTTAAAATGCTCCAAATCCTCATCTGAAATTGAAATTTTCAGCTAAAAATCTCGGAATTCGCTCAACTCGGCTCCTCATTTGCCCTGCCAACTGTCACCGATCTCGATGGTCCGAATTTCAACGTGAAAAAATTCGAAATCCTCCAAGGAAACGTCAATAATGTGTTCAAAATCAGCACACGCGCCGCTGCCGAAAAATCCGATCAATTGCAGGCGGATCTGGTGATAAATGGACAATTGGATCGAGAATTTCGAGATTCCTATGAATTGCTGATTGAGGCGGAAGACGGCGGAAAACCGGCGAAATGCGGGCAGATTCGTGTGTCAATCGATATTTTGGATGCGAATGATATGGCTCCGATATTCACGCGAACTCGATATTCCGCAACAATCTCACCGAATATCACGATTGGCGCGAAGATTATTGAAGTGCACGCGGAAGACGGCGACATTGCGGAGAATGCGCGAGTTTCGTATGAGATTCGCAAGACTGCCGCACCTTCTAATGGACTTTTTGAGATTGATGAGCGCGGTTGGATTTCGGTGCGCGGAGAGTTGTTGGCGGCGTCGACGCATGATTTGATTGTGGTGGCGAGGGATCATGGTGAGTTGGAGAGGGGGTGCAGACAGCTAGAGAAAGTTAGAGATGCAGAGAGCTAGAGAAAATCTAGCGAGTGTTAGAGATGCAGAGTGGTCAGACAGCTAGAGACAATGTAGATAGTGTTAGAGACGCAGAGATTGCAGACAGCTAGAGAAAGTTAGAGACGCAGAGAGTCTAGACAGCTAGAGAATGTTAGAGATGCAGAGAGTGTAGACAGCTAGAGAATGTTAGAGATGCAGAGTGGTCAGACAGCTGGAGAAAGTTAGAGATGCAGAGAGTCTAGACAGCTGGAGACACTTTAGAGAGTGTTAAAGACGCGGAGAGTGTAGACAACTAGTGAAAGTTAGAGACGCAGAGGGTGTAGACAACTAGAGAACGTGGATATGTTAGAGACGCAGAGGGTGAGCAGACAATCTAGAGAGTGTTAGAGATGCAGAGAGTGTAGACAGCTAGAGAATGTTAGAGATGCAGAGATTAAAGAGAGCTAGAGACTAGAAAGCAGTTGGAGACGCAGAGGGTGAGCAGACAGCTAAAGAAAGTTAGAGACGCAGAGAGATTAGACAACTAGAAAAAGTTAGAGACGCAGAGATTGCAAACAGCTAAAGAACATGGATTTGTTAGAGACGCAGAGGGTGAGCAGACATCTAGAGAGTGTTAGAGACGCAGAGCTAGAGACAATTTGAAGAGTGTGAGACGCAGAGTAAACAAACGACTAGAGTTTGGAAAACAGTTAGAGACGCAGAGAGGCTAGACAGCTAGAGAAAGTTAGAGATGCAGAGAGTGTAGACAGCTAGAGAACGGTAGAGACGCAGAGGGTGAGCAGACAATCTAGATGCCAACAAAGCTAGTTAGAGACGCAGAGAGAGAGAGAGCAGAAAATCTAGAGAAAGTTAGAGACGCAGAGAGTGCAGACAATCTAGAGAGTGTTAGAGACGCGGAGTGGCTAGAGACTAGAGAAAGTTAGAGACGCAGAGTGGGCAGGCAGCTAGATACAATCTAGAGAGTGTTAGAGATGCAGAGAGTGTAGACAACTAGAGCAAATCTAGAGAAAGTTAGAGATGCAGAGTGGGCAGACAGCTAGAGACAATCTAGAGAGTGTTAGAGATGCAGAGAGCTTGAGACTATGAAGCAGTTGGAGACGCAGAGAGGCTAGAGAACATGGGTATGTTAGAGACGCAGAGAGTGTAGACAATTAGAGAGTGTTAGAGACGCAGAGTAAACATACCTCAATTTTCAGGAAGTCCAAGCCTGTCAACCTCATCAGTCGTCACCATCACTGTGCTCGGATCGAGCCTCTCGGCTCCACCTCTTGACGTCATCTGGCTCGTCGAATCCAACTCGGCACATCTCATGGAAAACTCGACACTCGGCTCAATCGTCGCTCGAGTTAGCCTATCTCCCGAATACCGCGCAACCAAACTCAAACTCATTGGCTGTCAAGCGTTGTGTCCCCAACAAACTGACATTGCTCATGTTTATCTATTGCTGCTATGCGGCGTTTTGGACAGAGAATCACAACCCGAGTATCATCTGAAGTTCTTGCTGGAAACATCGGATGGGCAGATTGCGGTCGAACATCCGATTCTGTTGACGATCGGTGATGTGAATGATAATTGGCCGAGTTGGCATAGTTCACCGATTCATATTTCGCTGAATCGAAGTGTTGGTGGAGCCAGAAGTTTGACTGCGCAAGATCCGGATGCTGGGCAAAATGGATTCATCAAATATTCGATTCTGGACACTGAACTAGTTTCGATTGACCCCGAAACTGGCAGGATTTTTGTGCCAAAGCCGATTGATTGTAGCATTGGGCCGGAGTTGAGATTTCGAGTTCGGGCCGAGGATAACGGACAGCCCGTGCTGTTCAATGATTTGCAAGTGGTTGCGGATTTGTTGGACGCGGAAAGTCGACCGCCGCAATTTCAGAAATCACTTTGGCAGGTGGAGGTGGCGGAGGATTTGGCTATTGGGACTTGTTTGATTAAGGTGGGTGAAGGGTTAGAGACGCAGAGTACACAGACGGCTAGAGAACTTGGATATGTTAGAGACGCAGAGTGGCTAGACAGCTAGAGATTTAGAAGAGGTTAGAGACGCAGAGTACACAGACAGCTAGAGATCTAGAAGAGTTTAGAGACGCAGAGGGTGAGCAGAAAACTAGAGATTAGACGTTAGGAAATTTTTGAGGTTGTCAAAAATCACACCATACTTTTCCTACTTCAGAGATTTTCTAGGCTGTCAAAAATCCTGACATAATTTCACTACTTCAAGAATTTTCCGGGCTCAAAATGCTCCAAATCCTCAGCTGAAAATGAAATTTTCAAATTCCACGTGGAATTTGGAGCATTTTAAGACCAAAAATGCATGATATTTGGGCTCGAAATGCTCCAAATCCTGAAAAATTTTGACATTTTCAAATTCCACGTGGAATTTTGGGCATTTTAAGCCCAAATACCCCCATGTTTGGGCTCAAAATGCTCGAAATTTTGAGCTGAAAATGAAATTTTCAGATTCCACATGGAACTTGAAGTATTTTAGGCCCAAAAATCAAGAAAATTTTGATTTTTAAAAAATCCCATAAAATGTACGTTTCAAATGAATGATGAAAAAACTTTTCAAAATCTGATTTAATTTTTTTTTGCTGAAAATTATGAATTTTTAATAATTTTTGAGCGGTGTAATTTTTTTTGCCACAAAATTTTTTGATCAAAATTTTTTCCCAGGATCTTGAGGCTAGCGGGAAGTTCAAAAAATTTTTTTCGAAAATATTCCCAAGGGTCCTGTAAATCATATCAAGTGTTTGTGTATGTGGGGAAAATGTATTAGCCATCTTTTTTCCCCAAAATTTGAATAAAGGGATCTTTTTTGACGCCAAATCTTTGAAATTTGAAAAATGTACTGTAGCTCGTAGCCAAATCACATGAAAAACAAAAGTTCAAAGTACATACGTAAAATAATATTACGAAAATCCAATTAGTTACCGTAACCCTGGTAAACAACAGGAAGTTTAACATGAGCAATGAACTAATTTTGCAAAAAAAAAACATTGCTCATGTTAGACTAATATGAGCAATGATTTAGGGAAGTTTGAGCCGAAATCTATAATATGAGCAATCATAAAACATTGCTCATGTTAGGTCAATAATCATCACAATAACTTTATCACATTATCTCTCTTCAAAATAAAATTTTTTCTCAAAAATCCAAAAATGTTTTTCAATTAGCCGCCGCCTTCTTCTTCGCCGATCCAGCTCTTTTTGGAGCACTCGCACTCGGAGCCCGTTCCTTTGGCCTACTTCCAGACCTGGATTTCGGCTTAACACTCGATGATTCAGTAGATGTTCCTCTTCTAGGCTTTGCTGTAGGTGGTCGTGCAGCAGCTTCATCCATAAGTTCTAACAATCCAGCTCCCTTTGATTTCTTAGTCGCCCCCTTTTTATCCGCACTCGATGGTCGACTTCCACCGGTCTTCTCCTCGATCGTGGATTTCAGTGATTTTCGATTCTTAGTCGCATCGATCTTCATAATCTTTCCATACCATTCCTCACTCTCTTTGATATAATTCTTCTCCTCAGTTGGATCATCGAATAAAGACATTGCCATGATTTCCGAATCGAGATCTTTGTTGGTGGAAAGATCGCGAGACATGAGTGACTCGAGGAATTTCATCTCGTTGCCCGCTTTATAGCCCACCTCGTTTTTTCCGATTCCACCGCCGCCTTGGATTCGAAGTGAGCCGTGTTTTTTGTACCAGTTTTCACCCATGTCTGTCGATCTTTCCGGCACGTTCAGTTGATCGGGCTGCAAAATTTCAGATGAGCAATCAAGTTTATTTTGATTCTCAGAGAAAACAATTGCTCATGTTATCTAGATTTGAAAATTCATTTTGGTTGTTTTTAAAAAATCATTGCTCATTTTTGAGACTAGTATGAGCAATGACTTTGATTTTTGAAATATAATTGCTCTTGAAAATCTCGGCCGCATTCTAGAATTTGAAGTTTAATATGAGCAATGATAAGAAAATCGTTGTTTTATTAGAAAAAACATTGCTCATATTAATTTTTGAACACTTTCAACTTATTTTTGAGTTTAACATGAACAATCAGGTGAAAATTCAGAATTGCTCATATTAAGCTCGCATTGCTCATGTTAACCTGAAAATTACACAAAAATGAGCAATGATTTTTTGGGCCGAAATCTATAATATGAGCAATAAGGATTGCTCATGTTAATGGTGAAGCTAATATGAGCAATCATCGTGAATAAAGCATTGCTCATACCTGGCACATTTTGGAGACTAATATGAGCAATCAAAAACATTGCTCATATTAGGTTCCAAGTGGCGCAAAGCATAGCTAATATGAGCAATCATAAATAAGGATTGCTCATGTTAGTGTGTAGCTAATATGAGCAATCAAAAAAGCATTGCTCATATTAGCCCTGAAGCTTTTCAAATTCGCCCAACTCACCAAATTCTTATAAGGTTCATACTTGAACTTGACCTCAAAATGCTCATCCTTCTCCTCAACCCTCTTGCCATTCTGATAATAAATAACAGTTCCAATCGGAACCTGATCCATATCCGGCGCCAATTGAACCGCAACATCTTCGCGATTCAACACAAACACACCCTCCGGACTTTGTCGATCGTCTCGAAGTAGCAGCGAGATCTTGATATGAACCCCGGCCAAATATTGCAAGATCGAAGTTCGCACCAGATGCCAATGCTGAACGCTTAGAGGTCGATACAATGAGCAATACATTGTGAAGGCGTGTTCGATGGCGTTTCTCACATCCAAATCCGTCGGAAGAATGTCCTGAATTCCCTGCAAATGATTGATGCTAACTGTCAGAATCTGCTCGGCCATCGTCACTTTAACCATCGAATATTTGACGGCCATTATCATCAGATCGAATAATTTATCCATACTATTCTCGTTGAGTCGCATAATACTAGCATGAGCAAGCTTTTCGAAGACGATTTTGAGGTTTTTTTTGGGGGGAATCATTTTGGTTTTGAAGATTTCGTCGAGCGTTGATTTACCGAGAACGAGTAGGATTATGTCTTTGAGAACTTTTTCCGATTTTGATTTTTCGTCGCCGGCTGTGAACTGGAAATTGATTCAAGGTTTTGAGAAGCCTAGAGTCTAGCCTGGACTAGAGCCTAGCCTTGAGCCTTTAAGAAGCCTAGACTCTAGCCTGGACTAGAGCCTAGCCTTGAGCCTTCAAGAAGCCTAGAGTCTAGCCTTGAGCCTTCAAGAAGCCCTCTGCAACCTTTTTTAGTTTGTCTGGCACTTGAACATTATCAGAACAATTTCTCGAAAACCCTCCAAGGTTCTTGGAAAGCCCTCTATCACTTTAAACGCGCCTTAAGCATTTTTTAAGGTTCTTAAGAGCCCTCTATAACCTTAAAAACGTATCTGAAGCCTTAAGAATATTTTTAAGGATCTCAAAAGCCCTCTATGACCTTAAAATCCTATGTAAAGTCTTAAGAAGATCCGAACAGTCTCCTAAAAGCCCTTCGTAGTTCTGTAAAGCCCTCTGGAATCTTTTCAGGTTTTTTAAGGCTCTATAGAACCTTAAGAGCATTATAAGGCTCTAAAAACCGTTTTCCGGTTCTCAAAAAGCCCTCTATGACCTTAAAAACTTATGTAAAGCCTTAAGAAGCTTTTCAAGGTTCCTAAAAGCTCTAGGCATACTTTAAGGCCTATTTTAAGCCTTAAGCACTTTTAAGAGTTATTTAAGACCTTCTTAAAGTCTTCTGAGACCTAAAGAAACCCTAAAGGTATTTAAAAGAGGTTTTAGGAGTCCTAAGAATTTTAGAAGGTTCTTAAGAACTTCCCCCAAACTCACCTCAGCCGATACTTTCAAGCGCTGATCCAAAATGTACATCATCTCCCCAGCCATATTCAAATACAAAAGAGGCAACGCTTTTTCGGTCATTTTTTGCGGAGTTAGCTCAACTCAACTCGAAAAGTTATGAATAATAAATAATAAAGTGAGAGAATTTGAAGAACGCAAAAATGAGAGAAGAAGAAGTTGCTATGGAAACCTGCAGGTGTTTGTGTATAAATTTTTGGCTGATTAAGAAAATTTTGAGTTTGGATAAGTTTGTTGTCAGGACAACAGGCTTTTTTGAGGCAAAAAAAAATAATAATAAATCTAGAATTAAAAAAAAAGTTTAATATGAGCAATCACGTGAAAATTTGGATAACCCTTAAAATTACGCAAAACTTTTTTGACACTAATATGAGCAATCATAAATAAACTTGAAATTCAACAACATTGCTCAGGTTAGTCTTCAAAATGATGAAGCAAATATGAGCAATGATTTTGAGAATTTAGGGCGGGAATCTTTAATATGAGCAATCATAAATTGCTCATGTTAGGCCGCAATTTTTAAAAGTTAAAATTTTCAACATTTTGCCACGTGTACGTGTCACATCGGAGCATCGTTTGACCAAAAATACAGCGGGAAATTATGAGATTCAAAATTTGCTTTAAATTTTAATCTCTAGAAAAGTCTGAAAATTTAGTACAAAAAATGAAAACTTATCCAAACTTAAAATTAAAAATCTGAAAATTTCAAAAAAAAATCCCGGAATATGAAAAATGCTTGAAAATTGAAGAAAATTTCAAAAATTTCGATGCCAAGTTCCAAAATCCAAATTTTCCAGGTTGTCGCCAACAATTCTCAATGTGGAAATTCGAAACGAATTCGCTATTCGATGAAAGATCCAAAACTCTCAATCGACTCGATTTCTGGAACAATTTGTCTCATTCAAAAATTGGATTATGAAGCGTCGAAAACCTATCAGGCTACAGTAACCGCCACGAATTCTAGTCAGTTTTTTAGTGGAAATTTGGATATCTAGGCCATTTTTGATAGTTTTTCTTGGTTTTCTAGGCTGTGGCCGAATTTTTGAGTTAAAATTTGGATTTCTAGGCCATTTTTAATAGTTTTTCTTGGTTTTCTAGGCCGTGGCCGAATTTTTTAGTTGAAAATTGGATTTCTAGGCCATTTTTGATAGTTTTTCTTGGTTTTCTAGGCCGTGGCCGAATTTTTTGAGTGGAAATTTGGATTTCTAGACCATTTTTCATAGTTTTTCTTGGTTTTCTAGGCCGTGGCCGAATTTTTTAGTTGAAAATTGGATTTCTAGGCCATTTTTGATAGTTTTTCTTGGTTTTCTAGGCCGTGGCCGAATTTTTGAGTGGAAATTTGGATTTCTAGACCATTTTTCATAGTTTTTCTTGGTTTTCTAGGCCGTGGCCGAATTTTTTAGTTGAAAATTGGATTTCTAGGCCATATTGTCAATTTCCAGCTCGAAATAATTCAAAAATCACGAATTTGGGTGAAAAAAATCCACGTTTCAAAATTCAAATAACAATTTTGGCGCCAAATCGAATTCAAATTTTCGAAAAAAAAAATTATTTGAATTTTTTTTTTTGAAAATTTTTATTGAATGAATTTTTGACAAAAAAATTCGATTTTTTTCCAGATTCCGAATCCTCAACCTCACAAATCTCAATAACTCTTCAAGACGTCAATGACAATTGGCCAATTTTTTATCCCAACGAATATCAGCTAACAATCCGCGAAGGCCTTCTCGATTCCAATTCGCCACTTCTCCGAGTTAGCGCAACTGACGCAGACGAGGCAAAGTTCGGCGAAGTCGCCTATCAAATTCTCAGCGATTCCAAATCCTTCACAATCAACACAACTTCAGGCGATGTTTTCGCCAAAAAACCGCTGACACGTGGCAAATATCACCTGATTATCGGTGCCAAAGATGGCTCTGGACAGACTTCGGAACATCCGGCAAATGTCTATATCAATGTGATAGATCAGGAGACATTGGTCCCGATGTTTAGTCAATCTAGATATGAGATCAGGACAACTGAGGATATTCTACCTGGAATTGCGATTGGAAACATTGCAGCGGTATCGGATGGAAAAATCAAGTATAGTATCTATTCTGGAGATCCACAGAAGTTTTTTGCGATCGATGAGAATTCGGGGAAAATCTATGTGACACGATATCTAGATGCTGATATTGATGACAAAGTTCTACTCAACATCGAAGCTCGATTAGAGGGTAGTGAGATGAGCAATCAAACACAAGTTCTTATCGAGATCGAAGATCATAATGATAACCCACCGATGTTTGAAGCGGATGTTCTAGAGATCTCAATTCGTGAAGATCAAGAGATCAATGAACCATTTTATATGATTCATGCGATAGACAAGGATAAAAAAGAGAATGGAAAAGTTTTCTATTCGATCTTAGCTATACATCCTCCGAATAATTATATCGAAATAAATCGGAACAGCGGGCAGATCTTAACATCAAGAATTTTCGATTATGAACAAGTTCGAGACTATAAATTGAAGCTAAAGGCGACTGACGGTGGAATTCCTGCAAAATCATCAAATATCACACTCTTTATTCATATTCTGGATGTTAATGATAATCCTCCGATCTTCTCAGATTCTCCTGAGATCCTCGAAGTTGTTGAGATGTCGCCAGCGAAGACGATCATTGGACGGATTCGAGCCACTGATCGGGATTCAGGGGAGAATGGCGAGATCAAATATCGGGTCACCAATGGTTCGGAGTTTTTTGGCGTCGATGAGAAGCTTGGGGATATTTATACGAAGCGACCGATTGATCGAGAGGTGATGGGTTTCATTGATGTGACAGTTCTGGCGGAAGATCAGGGTTCGCCGAGGAAATCGAGCACGAAGAATTTTCGAATTAATGTTCTAGATGTGAATGATAATCCGCCAAGTTGTCATACGATCTCGCCAATTGTTGTGGCGTCGGATTCCGGAGCTTCAAGTTCGATTGGCACGATTGTCGCCACTGATCCCGATAAAGGTTTGAATGGCAGTGTTCTATATCGCGCACAACTTCAATCGAATATTTTTGTGGTGAAGGCGAATGGTGAGGTGTACCTGAAGCGTGCGCTCGATTCTTCAGACTCGCCGAATCAGAGGTTATCTGTGATTGTGTCGGATCAGGGAACACCTCGGAAATCGACGGTGTGTCACGTGTCGATTCAAATATCCTCCTCTTCTAGCTCTTCTATTGTGCTCTTCGAGCCACTTCAGAAGTTCATAGAGATTCCGGAATCTTGCGTTCTCGCGTGCAGATTGACATACTTCAATTCCAGCGGTGTTCATCAATGGCAAATCCAAAGTTCGGAGATATCGAATCATTTTCAGATTCGAGATGGAGTTTTAAGTATGCTGAGCAATCCACAACATCCAGCACCGTATTCGTTGACGATTATCATGAGCGATGTGAATGGCAGGCAGAAGAGTTTGATGGTGAAGTTGAGCTCGAGCAAAAATCGAAAAAATCAGGAGGTGATTCGGATCAATGAGAGGAATTGGGCGATTGGAAGTCGGGTGGGGAAGTTGGGCGGCGAGAGAGATCCGAGTGTGTTCTACTACTCATCGAATTCAACTTGGTGTCCGCTGGAAGTTGATCAAACATCAGGACAATTATATCTTGCTGAGAAGATCCAGGAGAACATCCGATGCAGTTTCGAGAAGTTCAACACAAGTTCGGGAACTTCAGTGAAACTAGATGTGGATCTAGAGATCTCCAGAAGTCACCGAAGTTCTTATCGCCCCAAATTCGAGCGCGATCATTTTATAGTCAATGTCAGGGAGGATGTTGCGATTGGCACAATCATCGCCTCGATTTCGGTGGCTAATATGAGCAATGTGGAAGCTGAAGATCAAGATGGGGAAGTGGCTTATCGATTTGGAGCGGCGAGTTTGGGAGAGGAGAAATTTGCGATTGATCAGTTTACGGGAGATGTTAGTGTGGTGGAGCAATTGGAATGGCATGTGGTAGGTTTTTAAACGATGCTCCACGTTTACACCGTGAATTCTTTGCGGGAGAAATGAATTTTCAAATTTTAAACGAAGCTCCACGTTTACACCGTGAATTCTTTGCGCGCGAAAAATTAATTTTCAAACATTTTCAAATTTCAAACGATGCTCCACGTTTACACCGTTAATTCTCTGCGGGAAGAATGAATTTTCAAATTTTAAACGAAGCTCCACAGTGACTTCTTTGCGGGAAAAATTAATTTTCAAATTTTAAACGAAGCTCCACTTTAACACCGTGAATTCTTTGTGGGAAAAATGGATTTTCAAATTTTAAACGAAGCTCCACTTTTACACCGTGACTTCTTTGCGCGCGAAAAATGAATTTTCAAATTTTAAACGATGCTCCACGTTTACACAGTGAATTCTTTGCGGGAAGAATGAATTTTCAAATTTTAAACGATGCTCCACGTTTACACCGTGACTTCTTTGCGGGAAAAATGGATTTTCAAATTTTAAACGAAGCTCCACTTTTACACCGTGACTTCTTTGCGCGCGAAAAATGAATTTTCAAATTTTAAACGAAGCTCCACGTTTACATAGTGACTTCTTTGCGCGCGAAAAATTAATTTTCAAATTTTAAACGAAGCTCCACTTTTACACAGTGACTTCTTTGCGCGCGAAAAATGAATTTTCAAAATTTAAACGAAGCTCCACTTTTACACCGTGAATTCTTTGCGGGAAAAATTAATTTTCAAATTTTAAACGAAGCTCCGCGTTTACACAGTGACTTCTTTGCGCGCGAAAAATGAATTTTCAAATTTTAAACGATGCTCCGCGTTTACACCGTGAATTCTTTGCGGGAAAAATTAATTTTCAAATTTTAAAATTTGAAAATTTCAAAATTGAAAAAAATTCTAAACAAAATTTCTACATTTAAATTTTGAAAATTTCCCGCAAAGAATTCACGGTGTAAACGTGGAGCATCGTTTGAAATTGAAAAATGTTTGAAAATACATTTTTCCCGCAAAGATTTCACGGCGTAAACGTGGAGCATCGTTTAAAATTGAAAAATGTTTGAAAATAAATTTTTCCCGCAAAGATTTCACGGTGTAAACGCGGAGCATCGTTTAAAATTCAACTCCTAAACTGAACCTTTTTTGCAGAAGTCCATCTACCACCTCTCAATCGAAGCATTCACCCAAAAAACCACGTCAACCCTTCTAACAATCAACATCAACGACATCGACAATCATCCACCGATCTTCATTTCTCAACCAACAATCTACGTGCCCTCGATTCTCCGCAAAGGTTCAGTGATTCATCGCGTCATTGCTAAAGATCTAGACAAACATCCCAAGATCACCTATACCTTCAAGAATCCATCAAAGATTCTGAAGATCAATGAAACATCGGGAGAGATCAGTATCCGAACTTCAACATCAGTAGAAAAAGAGCAGACTGTTCGAGTTATCGCAAATAGTTCTGGAAAACTTGCGGAACAATTAATTTCCATCAAATATTCGACTAAAAATCAGAGTTGGAACTATTTTGATGAGCAAAAGCTCAGAATAAACTCGAAAAAATTCGATCTACCAACAAGTTCAGTGGAGCATGTTAGGCTAACTGTAGTTAGCGCGGAGGATTTTGAGCTAAATGGTCTGCAAGTTAGTGTAAATCAATCGAGCCGGCTGACAATTCTCGCAGAATCGGAGAATCATCTAGACTACACTGTAGTTCAAGCTGACATCGACAACGACGACGAAATCACTGAAATCCCATTATTGAAAATCACATCAACATCCTGTGGAGTGCTGAACATTCCGGAAAATCAAGCTTTTGTCAATTTCCGACGGATTATGGTTCAAGGAACATCTCAGAATCCACTGAAGTTCAGGTTTCAGGGTGGAAATGATGCTGGATTTCGGATCAATGAGACGAGTGGCGAGATGAGTTGTGGGGAATTGGATCGAGAATTGCGACAGGAACATTTGCTGGTGGTTTTGGTCGAGGATGAGCAGAAGCGGAGAAGTGTGAGTGATTGGGGGATCAGATTCGAAATCTGGAATCTACAGATTTCCGAAGTTCTGAAGATCAGTGGATCTCTGATTGAAATTTCGAAACCAAAAAGTGTGCCAGGTTTGCATTTTCCTTGTGATATTATCAAAAAAAATATCAAAAAGGGGCGGGGCCTGATTTTGTGCAAGCCTGGCATGGTTTTTTCCGGGTTGGGATTTGGGGATTTTTGAAATTCAGCTAATTTTTCAAGGCTTTTTTTAGACAAGCCTTAATTTCAGGCCTATTTCTCCAAAGCCTAATTCAAGGCTTTTTTAGACGAGCCTGAAGTTCAGGCCTATTTCTCCAAAGCTTAATTTAAGGCTTTTTTTAGACGAGCCTTAATTTCAGGCCCTGATTTTTGAAAGCCTAAATTTCAGGCCTATTTCTCCAAAGCCTGAAATTTCAGGCCTATTACTCCAAAGCCTAATTGAAGACTTTTTTAGACGAGCCTAAATTTCAGGGCCCTGATTTTCGAAAGCCTGAAATTTCAGGGCCTTAATTTTCCAAAGCCTAATTTAAGGCTTTTTTAGACGGGCCTGAAGCTCAGGCCTTGATTTTCCAAAGCCTGAAATTTCAGGGCCTTAATTTTCCAAAGCCTGAAGTTCAGGCCTATTTCTCCAAAGCCTAATTGAAGACGTTTTTAGACGAGCCTGAACATCATGCCTTTATTTTCGAAAGCCTAATTTAAGGCTTTTTTTAGACGAGCCTGAACTTCAGGCCTTGATTTTCGAAAGCCTAAATTTCAGGCCCTGATTTTCCAAAGCCTGAAGTTCAGGCCTATTTCTCCAAAGCCTAATTTCAGGCCCTGATTTTCGAAAGCCTAAATTTGAGGTCTTTTTTTGACAAGTCTAAATGTCAGGCAAAAAAACCGTGCCAGGGTTGCATTTTTCAAAAAAAAAAAAAAAGGGGGCGTGGCCTAAATTTGCAAGCCTGGCACGGTTTTCTCTCAAATATCAAAAAGGGGCGTGGCCTGATTTTGCAAGCCTGGCACGGTTATTTTTTTGAATTCCCCAACCCCTTGATTCTTCCAGGACTCATGCACCGTCCGCATCATCGTCACCGACATCAACGACAATGCTCCGCAATTCCACCCCTCCACTCCAGATCTTCTCGAAATCAACCGGACCTCCAACATCGGTGATATTCTGTTCAACTTCGACGCCACTGATGCCGATATCGGAATCAATGGAAAGATCTCGTTCGATCTTCTCAAGGATGAATCGAAGAGTCTCGATTTGATACCGGAGACTGGAAGTTTGGTGCTGAGAAGATTCGCGAACTTGAAAACGTGGCAAATTGTTTGTCGAGTTTTTGATCAGGGATATCCGAGGAGGCTTTATAGAGATGTCACAATTCAAATCGTGAATGGTGCTGAAGTTGAAGCTTCGGAAAAAGATCAAGATCAAGATCAAGAGCTCTCATTCCTGAAGCAAAGTTATTTGTCAAGTGTCGATGAGAGTTTGCCACGTGGCCAATTCGTCGGAAAAATCGAAGTCATCCCCGAAGACATCGGAATCACCTTTAGTATCGTTGAAGGCAACATCGATTCGGCATTCCTGATCGATGGCGATGGAGTTATCCGAACTAATTTGGAGCTGGATAAGGAGATCGTAGAGATGTATCATCTGAAGATCATCGGGATTCCGGTGCAGAATTCTAGACATCAGATTTCGACGCGATTCGACATCCGGGTGAATAATCTGAACGATAATTTGCCCTATTTTTCGATCTCAAATGCGGTGAAGAAGATCAGTGAATCTATCGAAGTTGGGAGTTATATTTCAACAGTTCAGGCGAAGGATGTGGATCAGTTGGAGCAACTTCAGTACTTTCTGGATTCTGAGGAGGACGCTTTTAATATTGATCGATTTACGGGGACGATTCATCTAGCGAAAGGGTTGGACTTCGAGACAAGATCTAGATTTGATTTGAAGATCAAGGTGACTGATGGGGAATTCGAGGCATTCTCGAATTTGACGCTGATTGTTCTGGACACCAATGATAATCCGCCACAGTTCGCTAAACCCATCTATAGTCTCTGCACGAATTCATTGACTGGAATTGATGTTTCGGCTATAGATCTAGACTCAGGATCAGCTCTAACTTACACGATCTCGCCCAACTATTTAGCCGAGATTCCAGACGTGTCGCGAGGATTTGTGGAGCTGAAAATGCTGCCGCCAAACGGGGAGCGTCATATTTTGAAGGTTGTGGCGAGCGATGGCAAATTTCGAACCGCTGTTCCTATTGTGATCAGTGTGGGTGAGGAGAAGATCGAGAAGAAGATCAGGCGGATGAATCGGGAGTTCGAAGTTGATGAGAGTTTGGAGCCTGGGATGATTGTTGGGGAACTCTCAGAGACGCCAGAAGAGCAGGAGTATCGCATGAGCAATGATTTCTTTGAGGTGGATGCTTTTGGAAGAATCTACACAAGGAGAGACCTTCGAAGTTCTATGGTGAATTTTGAAGTTACTTGCGATGATCTAGATCTTAAGATCAATGTGACCATTAAGATCAAGCCTGTGAATTTGAATCCTCCTGTTTTCACAAATCCGATTTATAACATCGCACTCAGGGATAGTATGCAGCACGGGCAGATCATCGGAAAGATTCAGGCTTCGGATAAAGATCGGGATAGTCAGCTAAGTTATCATATCTTAAGTGGAAATGATTTGAATGTGATCACGATAAATCAGCAGAATGGAAATGTTTTGTTCAATCAGTGGAATGATGAGACACCGGAGAGGATCTACATTGAAGTTCGGGAGGCATCTAGATCTAGTATCTGCGAGCTCTTGCTGAATTTGAAAATGTCGGGAGCAACTGCGCCATTCTTTGTGCTGCCTAGTTATGATGTTCATGTTCTAGAGGGTACGCCGATTAATTCGGTGATTTTTAGAGTGAGGAGTTCGAATCGGCTTGGAACATCGAGCTCAGGATCTCAAAAAGCCCTGATCTATTCTCTCAAAGACACTAAAGCCTTCTCGATTGATGTGTTAAGCGGAGAGATTCGAAATAAAATCCACCTTGATTGGGAATCGGAGCCGAACTATTCGATGTTGTTAAGTGTCGCAGATGGAAATGGAAGATCAGCAGTTGTGCCGCTGAAAATCATCGTTGAACCCGTCGACGAATTCGCGCCAATCTTCCCCGTCAAATCCTATACCTTCCAAGTTCCCCTAACTTCGCAGATTGGAGATGTTATAGGTGAAGTTAGAGCTGTTGATGAGGATGCGGGAATTCATGGAATTGTCAGATATTCGATATTGGATAAACAGAATACTGTGCAAGTTGATGAGAAGGGAAATGTGAGATTTTTTGAAACGTAACATTTTTAGGAAATTTTTTTTGTTTTTTTTTTTTTTGAAAAAAAAATCTAGGATCCTGAAATTCAGGTTTTTCGAAAAAAAATCTTTAGAAATCCTGAATTTTCAAGAATTTATAGCAAATTTTAGAGAAAACGTGAAATTTTCTTTGAATTTTTGAAATTAATTTTGAAACTTTGAAACTTTTTTGCAAAATTAACGGAATTTTTGAATTTTCATTTATTGATTTTTAATTTAATTTATTCAGGAAATTTATTTTATATAGAAAATAAGAACCTTTTTTTTGAAAAAAAATCTTCGGAAATCCTGAATTTTCAAGAATTTATAGAAAATTTTAGAGAAAACTCGAAATTTAAAAAAAATCTAGGGACCTTCCAAAAATCCTGAAATTCAGGTTTTTCGAAAAAAATCTTTAGAAATCCTGAATTTTCAAAAATTTATAGAAAATTTTAGAGAAAACTCGAAATTTTCTTTGAATTTTCGAAATTAATTTTGAAACTTTGAAACTTTTTTCCAAAATTAACGGAATTTTTGAATTTTCTTATCAAAATTTTGAAGATCTGCTTTAAAATTTTTATTTAATTTATTTTTAATTTAATTTATTCAGGAAATTTATTTTATATGGAAAATAAAAACCTTTTTTTTTCGAAAAAAATCTTCGGAAATCCTGAATTTTCAAAAATTTATAGAAAATTTTAGAGAAAACTTGAAATTTTCTTTGAATTTTTGAAATTAATTTTGAAACTTTGAAACTTTTTTCCAAAATTAACGGAATTTTTGAATTTTCCTATCAAAATTTTGAAGATCTGCTTTAAAATTTTTATTTATTGATTTTTAATTTAATTTATTCAGGAAATTTATTTTATATGGAAAATAAGAACCTTTTTTTTGAAAAAAAAATCTTTAGAAATCCTGAATTTTCAAAAATTTATAGCAAATTTTAGAGAAAACTTGAAATTTTCTTTGAAATTTTGAAATTAATTTTGAAACTTTGAAACTTTTTTCCAAAATTAACGGAATTTTTGAATTTTCTTATCAAAATTTTGAAGATCTTCTTGTTTTTTTATTTTAAAAAAATCCCCAGCTTCTTTCCCAAACCAAAAAATCCTTTCAAAACCTCATGTTCTTCCAGATCTTGCTCCTCAAATCGCTCTCAACGCGCAAAAATCTAACCATCGAAAAATTCGACATTCTCGCCTACAGTTCCCCCGAAAAATCCAGCAAATCCACAGTTTTTCTGGAAATTGGCCAATTTCCAACAAATCCAACAACCAACCTTCTGCACGCCAAAACCATTCAAATCGCTGGATTTGTTTTGCTGATCTTGATGCTCACACTGATCATCCTGATTTGTGTTTGTATGTGTCGGGGAAGATCGGGAGGGACATCTAAGGAAGATCAGAAGTCTGCAATGCCAAGTTCAACATCCATGTCTCTTCAAAAACAAGTTTATAGTGTTCAAACTGGCGAGATTCGAAATCTCAGTTCGGATTTAGTTATCGGAAGTTCATCGCTAAAATATAAATATCCTTCAAAGTTTCAAGAATCGATAAGTTCATCAGCATCTTCCGAAGTTTTACGAGCCAAATCTCGAAGTCAAATCGATTCTGGAATCATGGATGCGGAGGGAAGTGTGAATTCATCAGTCACTGATTATTTGGTGTCGATAGGTGTGAATGGCAATCCGATTCCGCCAAGGATTAGGTGAGTTTTGATTTTATGTAAAAAAAAAAAATAAAAAAAGTTGCGCGCCCGGTGGGGGTCGAACCCTGGTTATGCGAATGATCGGCACGCGTGTTTACCACTTGGCCATGCTGCTCTTTTCTTCTGCAACATAAAATGTCGCATAAAAAATGCGGGACCTTTTTTTCCTTTTTTCAGCCACAAGGAAAGTTTTGGTGTAAGTTTTTGAAACGTAGAAAATCCTGTAGAATATTTTCAAAAAAAAATTTTTAATTTATTTAATTTTCAGCTCACAATCAAAAAATTGAAGAAAAAAAATTTTATTTCAGCTGAAAATTCATGAAATTCTTTTTTCAAAAAAATTTTAAATTTTCAGCTGAAAAACTTGAAAAAAAAATTTTGGAGCATTTTTCTGAAAAAAAAAATTTCAGCTAAAAATTCATCATTAAATAAATTTTTTTTAATTTTCAGCTCAAAAAATTGAAAAAAAAAATTTAGGAGCATTTTTCTGAAAAAAATATTTCAGCTAAAAATTCATCATTAAAAAAATTTTTTTTTTTTTTTTTTTTTTAATTTTCAGCTGAAAATTTTGAAAAAAAAATTATTTCAGCTGAAAATTCATGAAATTCTTCTTTCAAAAAAATTTTAAATTTTCAGCTGAAAAAATTGAAAAAAAAAATTTGGAGCATTTTTCTGAAAAAAATTATTTCAGCTAAAAATTCATCATTTAAAAATTTTTTTTTTTTTAATTTTCAGCTCAAAAAAAAAAAGAAAAAAATTATTTCAGCTGAAAATTCATCAATTTTTTCCCTTTAGAAGCCTAGCCAAGTTAGCTTAACTCAAAAATCCCCAAAAATTCCAGGACCACCACCACCTACGACTCACTAATGAACGACTATATTTACGCAAGAGTGGACGATGTGTTGCCGCCTGGTCCGATCAATTTACAAACACAAAATCAGCACGCAATGTTGCGTCAACCAATCACCGTAAGCTTGTGCTAACTCCCAAAAAAAACAACAACACTCCGCTTGTTTACAGACTCGAAAACCGCCCATCAGCATTCCGTCATTCGAGCCGCTCACTGAGATTTTCAACGAGCTTTGCGAACAGAAAGAATATTGTCAAGTTGAGATCTGAACTTAGGCTAACTTTCCCCAAATTACGGTTATTTTCACCCAGGAGCTTTCATTTTTCTTGCCAAAACCCTTTTTATGATATAAACGTGTATTATTTTAGAGTGCAGAGAAGCTAGACAGTTAGAGACGCAGAGTTTTGAGAGCCAAAAATCCAAATTTCAAAAAAAAAAATTCATTTTCACCTCTAGCTACGCTTTCTCATATTTGTCAGCAATCTGATCGTAATCATCGCGGAATTTCTTGAGCAAATCCTTCGAATAATTCGGGCACATATTTTTGAGCACCAAATATTCGATTAAACAACGATGCACATACAAATATTGGATTTCGGTTTGAACACATTTGAAACGTTCTTCGCGCATTTTTGCCAACACTTTTGGGACGCCGGGAAAATCGGCTGATTTGATGCTTTCGAGAATTGTGGCGATTAGAACCAGCGTTCCGGTTCGACCAACTCCAGCTGAGCAATGCACAAGAATCGGGCGTCTGAAAATAGAAAAATTGAGCGGACTACGAAGCTCCGCAATGACGCATCGAGATTTTTTGTAGGACCTAATTTAGCCACGAATCATTTTTCGATCAAAAAACTTGAAATTTTTAATGAATTTGATTGTAATCCTTATTCTTAACATTTTTGCTTGAAATTTGGAGCATTTTGAGCCCTGATATTCACTCAGAATCTGAAATTTTCAAAAATCATGTTTGGGCTCATTTTGAAGCTCTTGAAATTCTCTACAAAATCATGTTTGGGCTCATTTTGTAGAGAATTTCAAGAGCAACAAACGAAATTTTTGAAAATTTCAGATTCTGGCTGAAAATCCTCGATTTCAGGCAGGATTTTCAGCGAAAATCTGAAATTCTCAAAAATCATGTTTGGGCTCATTTTGTAGCTCTTGAAATTCTCTACAAAATGAGTTTCAGCATGATTTTTGAAAATTACAGATTTTTGGCTGAAAATCATCGGTTTCAGGCGGGATTTTCAGCAAAAATCTGAAATTTTCAAAAATCATGTTTGGGCTCATTTTGTAGCTCTTGAAATTCTCTACAAAATGAGTTTCAGCATGATTTTTGAAAATTACAGATTTTTGGCTGAAAATCATCGGTTTCAGGCGGGATTTTCAGCAAAAATCTGAAATTTTCAAAAATCATGTTTGGGCTCATTTTGTAGAGAATTTCAAGAGCTACAAAATGAGCCTAAACAAGATTTTTGAAAATTTCAGATTTTGGCTGAAAATCATCGATTTCAGGCAGGATTTTCAGCAAAAATCTGAAATTTTCAAAAATCATGTTTGGGCTCATTTTGTAGCACTTGAAATTCTCTACAAAATGAGTTTCAGCATGATTTTTGAAAATTTCAGATTTTTGGCTGAAAATGCTCAAAAATAGTCATGTTCGGTGTCAAAATGCTCCAAATTTCCTTGGCAAAATTAGGAAATTGAAAATCTCGATGCGTAATCGCGGAGCTTCGTAATTTCTTCCCCCAAAACCCCTACCTGCTTCTCCTGACTTGCATAATAACTCGAAACGGCGAGACAAAACTATCAGGTGCACCATGATCCGGCCAATTGTGCCAATGTAAATGTTTCAGCGTTGAAACGGCGCCGGTTTCAGTCAGTGTGACGCGAAATTTCGAACTTGTTACAGTTTTATCGAGCTGGAAATGGAGAGAGAATTTCAAGGGCTACAAAATGAGCCCAAACATGATTTTTCAAAATTTCAGATTCAGGCTGAAAATCAGAGTTTTTTGAGCCAAATCTGAAAATGTCAAAAACCACGTTTAGGCTCATTTTGTTCAGAATTTGAAGAGCTACAAAATGAGCCCAAATATGTTTCTTGAAATTTTCAGATTCTGGTTGGAAATCCGAGTTTCTTGAGCTCTGATTTTCAGCCAAATTCTGAAATTTTCAAAAATCATATTTAGGCTCATTTTGCACAGAATTTCAAGGGGTTCAAAATGAGCCCAAACATGATTTTCGAAATTTTCAGATTCTGGTTGAATTTAGAGTTGTTTGAGCTCTGATTTTCAGCCAAATTTTAAATTTGAAAAAACCATGTTTAGGCTCATTCTGTAGAGAATTTGAAGAGCTTCAGGATGAGCCCAAATATGTTTCTTGAAATTTTCAGATTCTGGTTGAAAATTAGAGTTTTTTGAGCTCTGACTTTCAGCCAAAATCTGAAATTTAAGCACATTTTGTTCAGAATTTGAAGAGCTTCAAAATGAGCCCAAACATGATTTTTCAAAATTTCAGATTCTGGTTGGAAATCCGAGTTTTTTGAGCCAAATCTGAAATTTTCAAAAACCATGTTTAAGCTCATTTTGTAGAGAATTTCAAGAGCTACAAAATGAGCCCAAACATGATTTTTCCAAATTTCAGATTCTGGTTGAAAATTAGAGTTTTTTGAGCTCTGATTTTCAGCCAAAATCTGAAATTTGGGCTCATTTTGCACAGAATTTAAAGGGCTTCAAAATGAGCCTAAACATGATTTTTCAAAATTTTCAGATCCTGGCTGAAAATCTGAAATTTTCAAAAACCATGTTTAGGCTCATTTTGCACAGAATTTGAAGAGCTACATAATGAGCCCAAACATGATTTTCGAAAATTTCAGATTCTGGTTGAAAATCAGAGTTTTTTGAGCTCTGATTTTCAGCCAAAATCTGAAATTTAGGCTCATTCTATAGAGAATTTCAAGACCTACAAAATGAGCCCAAACATGATTTTCGAAAATTTCAAATTCTGGCCGAAAATCTGAGTTTTTTGAGGCAAATCTGAAATTTTCAAAAACCATGGTTAGGCTCATTTTGTTCAGAATTTGAAGAGCTACAAAATGAGCCCAAACATGATTTTTCAAATTTTCAGATTCTGGTTGAAAATTAGAGATTTTTGAGCTCTGATTTTCAGCCAAAATCTGAAATTTGGGCTCATTATGTTCAGAATTTGAAGAGCTACAAAATGAGCCCAAACATGATTTTTTGAAAATTTCAGATTCTGGCTGAAAATCTGAGTTTTTTACCTCCTGAAAATGCTCCTTAACAACACTACAATACATGCCAATATTCATAGTCTCGCCAATTTTCTGCGGAAAATATTCGGCACTCTTCTGTTTGCCCTTCTCCACCAAATCGCACAACATCACAATGAATTCGGTGCCCGACACAATCACCATTCGCCAAAAATCCTCGACCGTAGCCACAAGCGGCGCTTGCGCGCACAAAAATCGACGCGGATTCGACAGCGCCGAGCCGACGTAGTTCGCATGAATATAGTAGGTGGGCTGGTCGGCGAGGCGGAATCGCGTAGCATCGTTGCACGCAATATTCCAATATCGATTTTTTGTCGGATTTTCTTTGAAGGTTGCCGCTTTTTCGATTGGTGCCTCGTTTGGCGTTTCCCAATATTCTTTTTTGAGTGCCGAAATTCCATTTTCCAACGTTTTTTTCACCCAATTTGGCACTAGTTGAGATCTGAAAACAAAAAATCAAAAGAAATCTGGAAATTTCGAGCATTTTGACACCAAACATGGCTATTTTCAGCAAAAATCTGAAATTTTTAAAAATCATGTTTGGGCTCATTTTGTAGCTCTTGAAATTCTCTACAAAATGAACCTAAACAAGATTTTTGAAAATTTCAGATTTTTGGCTGAAAATCTGAAATTTTCAAAAACCATGCTGGAACTCATTTTGTAGAGAATTTGAAGAGCTACAAAATGAGTTCCAGCATGATTTTTGAAAATTTCAGATTTTCGCTGAAAATCATCAGTTACAGGCCGGATTTTCAGCGAAAATTTGAAATTTTCAAAAATCATGTTTGGGCTCATTTTGTAGCTCTTAAAATTCTCTACAAAATGAACCTAAACATGATTTTTGAAAATTTCAGATTTTTGCTGAAAATCATCGGTTTCAGACAGGGTTTTCAGCGAAAATTTGAAATTATCAAAAATCATGTTTGGGCTCATTTTGTAGCTCTCGAAATTCTCTACAAAATGAGCCTAAACATGATTCTTGAAAATTTCAGATTTTTGCTGAAAATCATCGATTTCAGGCGGGATTTTCAGCAAACATTTGAAATTTTCAAAAATCATATTTGGACTCATTTTGTAGCTCTCGAAATTCTCTACAAAATGAGTCCCAACAAGATTTGTGGAAAATTTCAGATTTTTGCTGAAAATAGTCATGTTCGGTGTCAAAATGCTCCCAAAACTGCGCACCTATCGACCTCCTCATTCGTCGACGATTGTTCCTCTTGCAATTCGGCTCTCTCCAATTTTCGCGCATTTCCGCCTTTTTCAGCCGCTTTTTCAGCCGGTTTATCGTGATTAATGATTGGCTGGAAGGCTTGAACAACAGCTCGCATTCCAGGCAAAATTACCTGAAAAGATTATTGATTTTTTTTTGCCACGTGGATTTATCTCACCGCATTATTAAAATTGGCCATAGCTCCGGGTTCACTGTGTTGTTTTCGTGGCGGCAAAGGCGGTTGGGGCGCGGAAGCGCCGCCAGCATGCGGATTCGGAATTGGTGCGGGCGGTGGTGTGAATAGTGGGACAGGCGATGGTGGAACCGGTTGCGGTGTTGCTTGCGGAAGAAGTGGGGGAGGCGGAAGCGGAGCAGGTTGTTGCGCGGCCAAAACTTGTGGCGGCGGGTGTGGGGCAGGTGGAAGAGCCGCTGGCGGATGAGGCGCAGGTGGTAATGGGACTGGAATTGGTGGCGGTGGCAAACGTGGTGGGTCAGGTACCTGAAAATCATATAGATTTGTTATTTTTCCATAGAAAAACATGGAAAAACACAAAAAATCGCTGCGAGACCTGGTCAATGCGCCTTTAATTTACAAACTTTTGTTTTTCAGCGCTAAATTCTCTGAAACTGCATATTTCAAGAAACGGTTTAGTTCCCCGGGTTCCTCTCAACAAGACGAATTCAATGGTATATCAAAAAACGATGGGAAATGCAGAAAAACACAAAATCGCTGCGAGACCTGGTCAATGCGCCTTTAATTTGCGAGACCTGGTCAATGCGCCTTTAAATGTGTTTCTTCTACTTCAATGTATTGTTTTTCATACCCAGAAATCAGTTTTTTCCATGAAAATTTAACATTTTTCGAAAAAATGCAAAAAATAAAAAAGAAAACAACAAGACTCCGCGTTGACGCTATCCCGCGTGCTTTGAATTTGTGTGTTTTTCTTTCTGTGAATACACCGCGACGCACAATTGCACACAAATCAACGATACCTACCGTAATAATCACAGGCGGTGCAATTTTCGGAGGAGGAGGTTGGGGCGCCGGAAGTGCTGGCGGATCAGGAGGCATCGGCGGAGGCGGTGCAGTGAGTTGCGTGTAATACGACGCATCTTTCTGCGGAGCTGGTGGTGGTGCACTTGGTGGCTGAGCAGGAGGTGCAGGAGGTTTGGGTGGAGGTGGAAGAGCCGCCGCCGGTTGTTTGACTGGTGACGTGGCGTGTGGAGCTGGTGGCGGGGGTGGCGGTTTATATTGCGATTCAATTCTTGCTGGAGGTGCGGGTGGTGGTGCAGGTTTTGCTCGCGGAGCCAAATTATTCTGAGTTGGCTGCTCGATGTCCACAGTTCGATCATTGTTCGATTTTGTCGCTGTACTTCGCATATCTCGACTGACTTGATCTTGAAACTGCAAAAAATCGGGGTTTTCGCGCGTCAAAATTTACAGTAATCTTCTCAAAATGTCTAATCTATTATCTAAAATATTATCGACACCACGCGCTCCACCGAAATAAACACGCAACGCAGACCGCGTCGCGCCACAGCACACACAAATAAGGGAACGATTCAAATTCCCTCCAGTTTTTGTGTGTGTTGTGACGCGGCGCGGTCTGCGTTGCGTGTTTATTTCGGTAGAGCGCGTGGTACCGATGATATTTTAGATAATAAAGCCAAAAAAACCTACAGTACCCCCACGGGTTACTGTACCTTTCGATTGATTCCACCCGCCGATTTGTTCTTCTTCATTTGACTCGCCTTGGCTTTCGAAACGCTATTTTGTTGTTCTGCAAAAAAATGGGTTACTGTAAATACCTACAGTACTCCCCAGACTACTGTAGAAAACCTACTCAATTTAATTTTCGTTGGCATTTTTGGCTACAGTTTAGTTGTTTTCGGTTTTTTTATAGAAAATTTGGTAAAAATAAGAGGATCTGAATTTTTTGGCGCAATTTTTGATGAAGAAAAAAAATTGGAACACGTTTTTTTATTAAAAAGGTAGAAAATTTTTGAGATACAATAAAGCAAGAAAAAAATTTGAATTTAGCGCCAATTTCCTTGATTTCTTGGTGTCGAATAGCGTTGGTTACTGTAGTTTCTGGAAAAAAATCAATTGAATGCAAAATTTTGAGAAGATACTGTAGTTTTGAGCGCGAAAAATCCGAAATTTGAAAATTCAGATAAATTTTGAGAAGGTACTGTAACTTTTAGCGCGAAAAATCCAGAATTTTCGAAAATTTGAAAATCATCAGATTACTGTAACTTTTAGCGCGAAAAAATCCAGTATTTTTAAAAATTTGAAAATCATAGGATTACTGTACATTTTGGCGCGAAAACCTCGAAATTATTACAATTTTCAAAAAAAGATTTAAATTTTAAATTTCGCGCCAAAATTCAACCATTTAGGTCAAATTTTCGCGCCAAAACCCGATATTTCAACTTAAAAATTCAAATTTTCTCCCGCCAAAAATCGCTCACCTATCAGGTCCACCTCCACTTTGTCGTCTATCCTCATAATTTCTACCATTTCCACTTCCACTATTATAATTCTGTTGATTTTGATGTGATCTTCTGGGTGTATATTCTTGAGATTGTTGATGATAACTATTCGAATGTCCAGCCTGATGATGATAATTTGTAGGCGCTGATTGTTGATGATGATAATTTTGTGAGGAATGTTGGTAGGAAGATTGAGGAGTTGAATATTGTTGATATTCTGGAACATTGGAGATTTTTAGACTAAAAATGTGCACAGATTTTTTTGAATTTTTGGCCCAAAATATCCTAAGAAACCCGATTTTCAGGTCAAAGATGTGAAATTTTCAGTTTTTAGGTCCAAAATTCACTAAAAATTGAAGATTTTCAAAATGCAATCGAGATTTTTATCAAAATATATATTTTCTAGTATTTTCCAACCCGCTGATCACAATTACATTGTCAAAAATTGCAAATCTCAAATCCTAAGTGACTTTGGGAGGTCAGAACTAGATTTCGAGATGATTTTCATGAAAATCTGATAGCATAGGGTTGTTCAGAAGAAGAAATACATATATTTTTGGGTCTCACAGCGAAAAATTGATTTTGCCTGGGATTTTTGGTGATTTTCTGGGTCATGGAGCAAAATTCGATGATTTTCTAGGTCCTGGGTGGAATTTTCACTGTTTTCTGGGTCCTGAAGCGAAAAAAGCCTTAGTTTTCTCTTCAAGATCCGGAAAACAATGAAAATTCCACCCAGTACCTAGAAAATCACCAAAAATCCCAGGCAAAATCAATTTTTCGCTGCGAGACCCAAAAATATATGTATTTTTTCTTCTGAACAACCCTATGCTATCAGATTTTCATGAAAATCATCTCGAAATCTGAAATCTAGTTCTGACCTCCCAAATCCACTTAGGATTTGAGATTTGCAATTTTTGACAATGGAATTGTGATCAGCGGCTTGGAAAATACTAGAAAATATATATTTTGATAAAAATCTCGACACAGTTCCTTTTTCAGGCCGAAAATTCGCAAATTTTCGGGGCTAGACAAAAAATCTTACGAGATCGAGTTCTGTTTCTGTCCGGAATTGCATATGGTTGCGGTGCGGCTCTTTGTTGTTGTTGTTGTTGTTGTTGATTTTGATGTGATGTTCGATGCGAGCTGCAAAAATCAAAAAATCAAAAAAACATTCTATGTTTTAAAAACAATTTTCCACGGCATATTTTCTAAACATTTTCCCCCCATAAAAACAAATTTCCTTCCCAAAATTTCAAGAGAAAATGCGAGTTTTTCTATTGATTTTGGTGATTTTCGCCGTTGTCTTTGCTCAAAATTGTCAATTTAGTGGGTTTCTTCAAAATAAAACTCTAAGATCCTTTTCAAAATTTTCTTTAATTTCAGGTTGCTCAACTCGAGCCACTTTCACCGCTTCAATTGATGGAACCCGGACCACCGCGCAATGCACAGATTCACAAGCAAATCCAGTCACAAGATGTCCAGGATGCTGTGCAGCTGTAGCTTTGGCTTCTGGTTTGAGTACCGCGCAATCTTCAGGATTTCCATCAAATGATGGGAGAAGTTGTGTTTGTTGTATCAGAAGATGTTGATTTTTTGAATGATAAAGCTTTTTAAATTTCATTTATTTTTAAAAATTACCTTGTATTTGGTTGAGGAACTGGATTTGATCTTTGACGTCTATCGATAGCTCCTCTGGCTTTTTTCCAAATCTCCTCTTGATTTGTTCCATTTCTTGGTTTCACAGTCAAACTTTGATCGAATAGCTTGATCCCATCCAAAGTCTCAATTGCAAAAATCACACTTTCTTCGTCTTCAAATTCAACGAGCGCGTAGCGTTGATCATTTTTCGGCAAAGTTTTCATTAAAACTCTCGAAACCGGGCCAACTTGGGTGAATAATTCCTCGATGAGATCTTCGGTGACGTCATCCTTGAAGCTTGCCACATAACAACTACGTTCTCCATCGACGACAGCCATTTCTTTTTCGACGCGGCGACGACAGCGAAAAAAAAGAAAATTTTTTTGAAATGTGTTTGTAAATCGACACAGCCACGCGGCGCGGTACCGTAGTTTGTGTGTCGATAAGAAACATCGCTGCGAGACGCGTTTCTATTTTCCCATTTTTTCCTGCAGTTTTGGCTCGGCCTAAAATATTTTTCCTTTTCTTTTTGGTTTTTGGCTGGTTTTTGACGGTTTCTGTGAGATTTTTGTGTTTTTCGACAGATTAAAGGTTGAATTTTTGTAGAAAAACACGGTTGCTGCCTGTTTTGTTACTAGGTTCAACGGGAAAATTGAGAAAAACCTAGTTTACGTTAATTTCAAATTATTCAATTTTCGTGAAAATTTCCATGAAGCCATTCTTCTCTAACACTCGAATATTCATCGGAAAGTTCAGAAGGATGAACTAAATCAATATCTGTCTTGTTTTCTGGTAAAGTCCACGAATGTCTTGCCAATTTCAAAATTGTTTTTCTTTTCTCCCCAATCAATATTTTCGTGTCTCCGTCTCTTTTCTTTCTCACATTGTATCATTTCTTATTCTTTCACAAATCAAACTATTTTTCAGTCATGCAAATCTTCGTCAAGACTCTGACGGGTAAGACAATTACCCTCGAAGTCGAGGCCTCGGACACCATCGAAAATGTCAAAGCCAAGATCCAAGACAAGGAAGGAATCCCACCAGATCAACAAAGATTGATCTTCGCCGGAAAAACAACTCGAGGATGGACGTACTCTTTCCGACTACAACATCCAAAAGGAGTCGACCCTTCACTTGGTTCTCCGTCTTCGTGGAGGTTAGTAATTCTTCGAAAATGCATTGATTCAAATCTATCGCCGTTTTCTCTTTCAGGAATCATCGAGCCATCGCTCCGTCAACTTGCCGCCAAGTACAACTGCGACAAGCAAATCTGCCGCAAGTGCTACGCTCGTCTCCCACCACGTGCGTCCAACTGCAGAAAGAAGAAGTGCGGTCACTCAAATGACCTCCGCATCAAGAAGAAGCTGAAGTAAATGTTTTCGCGCTGTTTCTCAATAAATCGTTGATTTTTAAAAACTCATCGATTTTCTTTTATCCAAATTATAAATGCATGAATCATGAATCACTGAAAAAACCTACGTTCGTGTCGTTCACTATTTTCGTTGTTTTCTTTTTGAGCATCTATTGAGTCTGATTCAGATAAAATGTTGAAATCAGTCATTCGAACACTGGTAAGATCTCGCCAGTTCTCAGTTTCAATGTGCGCTCGAAGTGAACCTGTAGCCACACACGAAACAATAGATCAACTCGAGAGAACACACGTCAGAAAACTTCGCAAACGTCGACCATTGGCAGATCCAGTTGTCAAAATAATCAGGGAACCTTCTGTGGTCTCAATGGCACTTGCAGAAAGTCTTCAACTTCAAGATGTGATGTTAGATGGTGGATTGAATAGCATGTACGAAATCACGTGCATTGATGATGGTAAATGACTGAGAACTGTTTTTTCTTGATAGGTGGGATTTTCAGACGTTGACGAAACGCTTCACTTTGTCAAAAAGCTGGAATACACCATAAATCCGGGCGAACTCAGTGAAATCTACGTTTTCCGCGATGGCGTCGTCGTATTCTGGAACGTCGAATCCAGCCAAAGATCACAAGTTCTACGAGAACTCGAAAGATATGCCGAATCGCCTTACGATTCAATGATTGTTATGGATGAACAAGATCGAATGTTCTATAAATTTTCAGAACAATCGACAGTGTCCAGTATTCGTCAGGATCGATTTTATTTGGCTGCACGGCATTTGGACGCGTTTACACCGAAGAAAGAGGCGATTTTGGAGAGATTTGCGTTGAGTCAGGCTTTTGCAGCTTCTGGTGAGCTTTTGGGTGCAAAATTCACTAAAAATTGAAGATTTTTTGAACTGCATTCGATATTTTTATCAAAATATATATTTTCTAGTATTTTCCAACCCGCTGATCACAATTCCATTGTCAAAAATTGCAAATCTCAAATCCTAAGTGGCTTTGGGAGGTTAGAACTAAATTTCGAGATGGTTTTCATGAAAATCTGATAGCATAGGGTTGTTCAGAAGAAAAAAAAAATTACATTGGGTCTCGCAGCGAAAAATTAATTTTTCCTGGGATTTTTGATGATTTTCTAGGTCCTGTGTGGAATTTTCACTGTTTTCTGGGTCCTGAAGCGAAAAAAATCTTAATTTTCTCTTCAAGATCCGGAAAACAGTCAAAATTCCACACAGGACCTAGAAAATCACCAAAAATCCCAGGCAAAATCAATTTTTCGCTGCAAGACCCAAAAATATATGTAATTTTTTCTTCTGAACAACCCTATGCTATCAGATTTTCATGAAAATCATTTTGAAATCTAGTCCTGACCTCCCAAATCCACTTAGGATTTGAGATTTGCAATTTTTGACAATGGAATTGTGATCAGCGGCTTGGAAAATACTAGAAAATATATTTTTTGATAAAAATATCGATTGCAGTTCGAAAATCTTCAATTTTTAGTGAATTTCGGACCCAAAATCTGAAAATTTCCAAAAAACTCACATTTTTCGCCAATCAGAAATGGAGATTTCCATCGTTTTTGATACAATTTTTTTTGAATAAATAAATCCAAAAAAAAAGGCAATGACGTGGATGATTTTACACGTCACGTTTTTTTTGCAGTAAAAATCGGCGTTTGGGAAAGTCTTCTGAATAATTTGGCCGAACCGCTGTCAACCACAACAAAATCGTTGCGTCAGGGAAAAATTCCGTGGAGTCGAAAAGAGGCGCTGATGAATGCGGGAGAATTTGCGGCTTTGCGGTGAGCTGGAGATGATTTTGGCGCGAAAATTTGAAATTTTCAAGGAATTTCGGGTCTGGGGCTGAAAATTCTGGAAATTTTCATGAAAAATTGAATATTTTCAAATTTTCATCCAAAATTCAAATTTTCAGACATTCAATCAATTTGGATTGTACACTTTTGAACAAGGATTTCTATTGGGAACGACCGGAATTGGAGAAATATTATATGATGGCTGGAAGACATTTTTCATTAGATAGAAGGATTGGGTAAGGAAATTTGGAGCAAAATGAGCTCAGAAAATTGAAAATTCAAGTTTCTCATGAAATTTGGAGCAAAATGAGCCTACACATGCTTGAAATCGAATTTTTCTGATTTTCCCAAGCTCCGCCCTTTGCAATGCTTTTCTGATATACAAAAAGTGTGCCAGGCTTGCAGAATAAGCCACGCCCACAGTTATGATCAGAATTGTGGGCGTGGCCTAGTCTGCAAGCTCGGCACACTTTTTGTATATCAGAAAAGCATGCCGCAAATTGCAAAAATGGGCGGAGCTTTGAAAATTCGATTTCAAGCATGTTTGGGTTCAATTTGCTCCAAATTTGATGAAAAATTTGAATTTTTGTTATTTCTGAGCATGTTTGGGCTCATTTTGCTCAAAAATTAATTTCAGTATGCTCAACAAACGTCTGGATTATTGTGAAGAGTTGGTGAAAATGGTGGATAATACAATTGCGCTGAGACATGTGAGTAGATCAAAAAAAATTGTTTTTTTTCTCTGCGTCTCTCACTTTCCAGTTGCCACGTCATAGGTCACTTTTCCCCCAAAATCACAAAAAATCTTCTTTTCTCAACAATATTATTTCATCTTATCTATCATTTCTCTAACCCACTCTCCACAATATCCATACTCTCTCGCCTTGCAGGTTTTGTTCGAAAATCAAAAGTTCTCTTTTCTCTCTTTTCTTATTTTGTTTTATTGACACACGTGGTCTTTTTCGAGACAATTTTTGAGTTTTGGAGCATTTTCTCAAATTTTTCGAGCTCTTCGGATTCATTTTTGGATCACTCTAGGCTTTTTCGGACTTCTTTAGGCTTTCTCGGGCCTTTCTAGGCTTTTCCTGACTTCTTCAGGCTTTTCCGGGCCTCTCTAGGCCTTTCCTGACTTCTTTAGGCTTTTACTGGGCTTTCTAGGCCTTTCTAGGCTTTTCCAGGCTCTTCAAACCTTTTTGAGCCAAAATTTGTGCTCTTTTTGGTCCCTTGGGAAATTTCGATAATTAGAAAGATTCCTTTTTTTGTTTTCCTCTTTTATTTTTCGTATTTTCTCCATTTTGTCACGCGATTTCTCATTATTTTTGCTGAAAATTTCGGAATTTTCATGAAATTTAAGCAAAAAGAGCACTATTTTTGCTCAAAAACCCCCTAAAAATGCTCATTTTTGCTCATTTTTTGCTCAAAAACCCCTAAAAATGCTCAAAATTGGCTCAAAATCCCCCCGATTTTTCAGGCTTCCCATCTCGAATGGATGATCATTGTTCTCATCGTCATCGAAGTCATCTTCGACATTTTTCACTTTGCCGACAAAACGCCCAAAACTGTCCAAATTTTGGCTGAAAATCCCGAAAAATCCAGCTGAAATTCTGATTTTTTACGTGTATTTACATATTTTTTAGTTTTTGTTAGAAAAAATTCCAAAATTTTATCGATTTTTTTTGCTTCTTTTTTTTGAAATGGTTTCTTAAGCCTTATCGATTTTTCTAAAAAAATTTTTTTTCGAAAATTTTCAAAATTAAATTTAGGATGAATCGATTGATTCAAATTTCGCGCCGGAATTTTGGATTGGCTCGAAAATGTTTGGCTGTTGAAGGAGACGCTTTTCGGCTTGATGAATATAGTGGGAAGTATTTGGGACATCGAAAAGTGGGTTTTTGATCAAATTTGGAGCAAAATGAGCCTAAACATGCTCAGGAAATTCAAAATTCAAATTTTTCATCAAATTTGGAGCAAAATGAGCCTAAACATGCTCAGGAAATTGAAAATTCAATTTTTTCATGAAATTTGGAGCAAAAATGAGCCTAAACATGCTCAGGAAATTGAAAATTCAAATTTTTCATCAAATTTGGAGCAAAATGAGCCTAAACATGCTCGAAATCAGAGAATTTTGAATTTTTCTGATTTTCCCAAGCTCCGCCCATTTTTGCAATTTGCCGCATGCTTTTCTGATATACAAAAGGTGTGCCAGGCTTGCAAAATAAGCCACGCCCACAGTTATGATCAGAATTGTGGGCGTGGCTTATTCTGCAAGCCTGGCACACACTTTTTGTATATCAGAAAAGCATTGCAAAGGGCGGAGCTTGGGAAAATCAGAAAATTTCTGATTTCAAGCATGTTTGGGCTCATTTTGCTCCAAATTTGATGGAAAATTTGAATTTTGAATTTTCTGAGCAAGTTTAGGCTCATTTTGCTCCAAATTTTCACCCGAAAATTTGCCACGTCATAACTCAATTTGTTTTCAGGTAAACTTCACCGAAAAACTCGAAATCATCGATGCCAACAAGACGGCCGCGATTCCAATTTACCGTGTCACAAATGCGGTCGGCGATGTGATAGATCAAAGTCAGGATCCGAAATTCGACAAAGATCAGGCGCTGAAAATGTACAAGACGATGACGAAATTGAACATTTTGGACAAGATTTTGTACGATTCGCAAAGACAGGGCCGAATTTCGTTTTATATGACCAGTTTTGGAGAGGAGGTGAGAAATTTTCGAGCAAAATGAGCTCAAACATGCTCAGAAAAGACAAAATTCAAGTTTTTCATGAAATTTGGAGAAAAATGAGCCCAAACTTGCTCTAGATCTCTCAATTTTCGCTTCCAGGCAAACCACGTTGGCTCAGCTTCAGCTCTCGAACCTCAAGATCTAATCTATGGTCAATATCGTGAAGCTGGTGTTCTTTTATGGCGTGGATTTAGTCTATCTCAATTTATGAATCAGTGTTATGGAAATTCGGAAGATATCAGTAAAGGTAATGAAATTTCGCTAAAAATTTGAATTTTTCGTGAAATTTGGAGCAAAATGAGCACAAAAATGCTCAGAAAATTAAAAATTCAAGTTTGTCTTCAAATTTGGAGCAAAATGAGCCCACACATGCTTGAAATCAGAAAATTTTGAATTTTCAAAGCTCCGCCTATTTTTGCAATTTGCGGCATGCTTTTCTGATGTACAAAAAGTGTGCCGAGCTTGCAAAAATGGGCGGAGCTTTGAAAATTCGATTAAAATTCAAAATTTTCTGATTTCAAGCATGTTTGGGCTCATTTTGCTCCAAATTTGATGAAAAACTGGAATTTTGCAGAAATTAATTAGCCTAATTAATAAATTTTCGCAGGCCGTCAAATGCCAATTCATTTCGGATCAAATGAGCTGAACTTTGTCACAATCTCATCACCTCTAACAACACAACTTCCACAAGCTGTCGGTTCAGCTTATGCATTCAAAAGACAACCAAACAATAATCGAATTGCTGTTGTGTATTTTGGAGATGGAGCTGCTTCCGAAGGTGATGCACATGCTGCATTCAATTTTGCTGCCACTTTGGTGCGTCACAGATTTTTAATCAAAATATATGTTTTCTGGCAGTTTTCGGCCCAAAATATGTGAAATTTTCAGTTTTTAGGTCCAAAATTCACTAAAAATTGAAGATTTTCAAACTGCAATCGATATTTTTTATCAAAATATATGTTTTCTAGTATTTTCCAACCCACTGATCACAATTCCATTGTTAAAAATTGCAAATCTCAAATCCTAATATGAGTTATTGGGAGATTAGAACTGATTTCAGATTTCGAAATGATTTTAATGAAAATCTAATAGCACAGGGTTGTTCAGAAGAAAAAATAACATATATTTTTGGGTCTCGCAGCGAAAAATTGATTTTTCCTGGGATTTTTGATGATTTTCTAGGTCCTGTGTGGAATTTTCACTATTTTCTGGGTCCTGAAGCGAAAAAAGCCTTAATTTGCTCTTCAAGACCCGGAGAACAGTGAAAATTCCACACAGGACCTAGAAAATCATCAAATTTTGCTCCAAGACTTAGAAAATCACCAAAAATCCAAGGCAAAATTAATTTTTCGCTGCAAGACCCAAAAATATATGTAATTATTTCTTCCGAACAACCCTATGCTATCAAATTTTCATGAAAATCATTTTGAAATCTAGTTCTGACCTCCCAAAGCCATTTAGGATTTGAGATTTGCAATTTTTGACAATGGAATTGGGATCAGAGGGTTGGAAACTACTAGAAAATATATATTTTGATAAAAATCTCTTTTTAGTGAATTTTGGACCTGAAAATCGAGTTTCTTATGATATTTTGTGCCGAAAATCCACCTTGAAAACCGATTTTTCAAGTTGAAAAACGTTTTATTGAGCTATGACGTGACAATTTTTGCAGACTTGCCCCATCATTTTCTTCTGCCGTAACAATGGTTATGCAATTTCTACACCAACCAGTGAACAATATGGTGGAGATGGTATTGCTGGAAAAGGTCCAGCCTATGGTTTGCACACTATTAGGTAGGTCTGAAATTTTCAGCCAAAAATATCTGAAATTTAAAAAAAAATGTTTGTAGAGTCGATGGAAATGATCTTCTCGCAGTTTACAATGCAACTAAAGAAGCCCGTAAATTGGCGCTTCAAAATAAGCCGGTTTTGATTGAAGTTATGACATATCGATTGGGACATCATTCAACTTCTGATGATTCTACTGCATATAGGTAATTTGAATTTTTTGAATTTGAAAAATTTGGCGCGAAAATGTCCACGTGGAAGAATTTTGAGCGCGAAATTTTGAAAATTTGCCAGCAAAAATCCACGCGGAAGAATTTTGAGCGCGAAAATTTGAAATTCAAAAATTTGAAAATTTGCCAGCAAAAATCCACGTGGAAGAATTTTGAGCGCGAAATTTTGAAATTCAAAAATTTGAAAATTTGCCAACAAAAATCCACGTGGAAGAATTTTGAGCGCGAAAATTTGAAATTCAAAAATTTGAAAATTTGCCAGCAAAAATCCACGTGGAAGAATTTTGATCGCGAAATTTTGAAATTCAAAAAATTTGAAAATTTGCCAGAAAAAATCCACGTGGAAGAATTTTGAACGCGAACATTTGAAATTAAAAAATTTGAAAATTTGCCAGCAAAAATCCACGTGGCCGAATTTTAAGCGCGAAAATTTGAAATTCAAAAATTTGAAAATTTGCCATCAAAAATCCACGTGGAAGAATTTTTAGCGCGAAAATTTGAAATTCAAAAATTTGAAAATTTACCAGCAAAAATCCACGTGGAAGAATTTTGAGCGCGAAAATTTGAAATTCAAAAATTTGAAAATTTACCAGCAAAAATCCACGTGGAAGAATTTTGAGCGCGAAAATTTGAAATTCAAAAATTTGAAAATTTACCAGCAAAAATCCACTTGGAAGAATTTTGAGCGCGAAAATTTGAAATTTGAAATTTAGGTTAAAAATGCCATTTTTCAACCGAAATTTTTTGAAAAATCGGTAATTTTATTTTGATTTAAAAAATCCACGTGGAAGAATTTTGAGCGCGAAAGTTTGAAATTCAAAAATAAAAATTGCATTTTTCAACCAAAAATCTCTGAAAAATCGGAAATTTCTACTGAAATTAAAAAACCCACGTGGCCGAATTTTTGAGCGCGAAAATTTGAAAATTTGAAATTTGTTTTCTTGAAATTAATTTTAGGTCCAAAAATTTTCGATATAAAAGTGCGTTTTTCAACCGAAAATCTTTGAAAAAATCACATTTCATCGTGAAAAATCCGAATTTTTTCCTGAAATCAAATCCAGATCTCAAAAATTTTCAGATCAGCTGAAGAAGTCGAATCATGGGGTGACAAAGATCATCCAATAACTCGTTTCAAAAAATACATCAGCGAAAATGGCTGGTGGAATGAGGAAGACGAAAAAACGTGGCAAAATGAGGTGAAAAAAGATGTGTTGCGTGAATTTGGAGCCGCCGAAAAACGAAAACTTGCACATTATCATGAGCTTTTCGATGATGTTTATGATGTTTTGCCGGAAAGATTGAGAAGACAACGAGATGAATTGGATAAACATATTGAGGAATATAAGGAACATTATCCGGTTGATCGCATTTTGGAGAAGAAATTGTAGATTTAGTGTAAGTTTTTGGTGGGAAATTTGGGGAAAATTTCGAATTTTTAATCGAAAAATTGAGATTTTTGAGATTTTGTACCTTTAAATACCTGAAAAGTTGTGGCAGGACCCAAAAAATCTTTAAAAAATTGTTCAATAGCGGGATCGAACCCGTGACCTTTTGATTGGAAAATAAAGCTTCAAGACTTCAAGATTGAGCTTTTTCCCCCAGAAATCACGAAATTTTGAGCCCTGAGCACTTTTTGACTGGAAAATCGAGAATTTTGAAAATAAAAAAAAAACATTTTCACTAGGGGATCGAACCCGCGACCTTTTGATTGGAAAATAAAGCTTTAACCAGCTGAGCCAAGACTTCAAAATTCAGCCTTTTTTCTCCAGAAATCACGAAATTTTGAGCCCTGAGCACTGAAATCTAGATTTTTTCAAAAAAAATGTTCAGTGGGGGGATTGAACCCCTGACCTTTTGATTGGAAAATAAAGCTTTAACCAGCTGAGCCAAGACTTCAAGATTGAGTTTTTTTCCCCCAGAAATCACGAAATTTTGAACCCTGAGCACTTTTTGACTAGAAAATTGAGAATTTTGGAAATTAAAAAAAAATGTTCAATAGCGGGATCGAACCCGCGACCTTTTGATTGGAAAAAAAAGCTTTAACCAGCTGAGCCAAGACTTCAAAATTGAGTTTTTTCCCCCAGAAATCACGAAATTTTGAGCCCTGAGCACTTTTTGACTAGAAAATCGAGAATTTTCAGAAAATAAAAAAAAATTGTTCAGTAGCGGGATCGAACCCCTGACCTTCTGACCGCCAAATAAAGCTTTAACCAGCTGAGCCAAAAAAAAACATTCATTTCCCTTTTCCTCTCGATTTCGTCTCACATTTTCTCGTCTTTCCTTTTTCAGGCCCAAGCCCATTTCTAGGCCTAGGCTTAGGCTTAGGCTTAACTGGTTCACCGACAATTTCAGCTGATGGATTTTCCTTGCTTCCAGATTCTTTCGAATTTTTGATTGGCTCCTCTTTCTGCAAAATTTGGCGATTTTCGGGAAAAATTGGGAAATTTGGCTCAGCTGGTTAAAGCTTTGTTTTCCAATCAGAAGGTCACGGGTTCAATCCCGTTACTGAACAATTTTTTGAAATTTCTAGATTTAACTGCTCAGGACCCAAAATTTCGTGATCTACGCGAAAAATAAGCTCAATTTTGAAGTTTTGGCTCAGCTGGTTAAAGCTTTGTTTTCCAATCAGAAGGTCACAGGTTCGATCCCCCTACTGAACAATTTTTTGAAAATGTGTCAGATTTTCTAGTCAAAAAGTGCTGTAGACTCAATATAGCTGGCAAAAGGCTCAATTTCTAATCAGAAGGTCCCGGGTTCGATCCCGCTACTGAACAATTTTTTTTTGATTTTAAAACCTACATCACATCCATCATCTCCATCCAATGTGATCGAATATTCAAGCGTCGATTTTTCGGGCAAAGTTTTCTCCATTTTCCTCACCTCAATCTCCATATGATCTACCGATTCAGTCGATCCACTTTTCGATTTTTTCGTCGCGATTTTTGGTGACATTTTTCCGCCAGGACTTCCACTTCCACAATCTTCATCCGACCCGATTTTGCTCTTTTTCGCCGTCTTCTTTTTCTTCTTTTTTGAGCACTTGCAGCAACATACCGTGCATATGATAATTATGATTAAAATGATAATTAGGGCGATAATTGCTAGAACTATAATTAGCCAAATGTCCATTTTTATTTGATTTTTCGGTTTTTTTGGTGATTTGAGTGGATTTGGTGGTGGAATCATTCGGGAAACGCTGAAAATTCGTGATCTACGTGAAAAATAGGTCTAGGGTTCGATCCCGCTACTGAACATGCGTTTTTTTTCGGATTTTTGACAAAAATCAAAAAATGTTCAGTGGCGGGATCGAACCCGCGACCTTTAGATTGCTAAATAAAGCTTTAACCAGCTGAGCCAAACAAAAACATTCATTTCCCTTTTCCTCTCGATTTCGCCTCACATTTTCTCGTCTTTTCTTTTTTCAGGCCCAGGCCCAGGCCCTTTTCCGGGCCTAGGCTTAGGCTTAGGCTTAACTGGTTCAACGACAATTTCAGCTGATGGATTTTCCTTGCTTCCAGATTCTTTCGAATTTTTGATTGGCTCCTCTTTCTGCAAAATATTTTGCGATTTTCGGGAAAATTGGGAAATTTAGTTCAGCTGGTTAAAGCTTTGTTTTCCAATCAGAAGGTCACGGGTTCAATCCCGCTACTGAACAATTTTTTTGAAATTTCTAGATTTAAGTGCTCAGGATCCAAAATTTCGTGATCTACGCGAAAAATAAGCTCAGTTTTGAAATTTTGGCTCAGCTGGTTAAAGCTTTGTTTTCTGATCAGAAGGTCCCGGGTTCGATCCCCTACTGAACAATTATTTGTGAATGTGTCAGATTTTCTACTCAAAATTTCATGATTTTTGCTAGCAAAAGCCTCAATTTCTAATCAGAAGGTCCCGGGTTCGATCCCGCTACTGACATTTTTTTTGTTTTAAAACCTACATCACATCCATCATCTCCATCCAACGTGATCGAATATTCAAGCGTCGATTTTTCGGGCAAAGTTTTCTCCATTTTCCTCACCTCAATTTCCATATGATCTACCGATTCAGTCGATCCACTTTTCGATTTTTTCGTCGCGATTTTTGGTGACATTTTTCCGCCAGGACTTCCACTTCCAACATCTTCATCCGACCCGATTTTGCTCTTTTTTGCCGTCTTCTTTTTCTTCTTTTTTGAGCATTTGCAGCAACATACCGTGCATATGATAATTATGACTAAAATGATAATTAGGGCGATAATTGCTAGAACTATAATTAGCCAAATGTCCATTTTTTGATTTTTCGGTTTTTTTGGTGATTTGAGTGGATTTGGTGGTGGAATCATTCGGGAAACGCTGAAAATTCCTTCGTTTTGTACTCAGAAGGTCACAGGTTCGATCCCGCTACTGAACATGCGTTTTTTTCGGATTTTTGACAAAAATCAAAAAATGTTCAGTGGCGGGATCGAACCCTTGACCCTCTGACCGCTAAACAAACTCACAATTCCTTCGTATCCTTCACCAAATTTTCGGGAAAATCCAATTTTTTTGAAAAATCCTCTCGAATCAAAAGTGTATTCTCCGTTCCATTCTCCGGTTTCTCACCATTCCTCACAAATTCGATAATATTCAAATCCTTTCGAGTTCCATTAACTCCTCCCTTCAAATATTTGGCAAGAAATCTTCGAACTGAACAAATCAAATGTTTGTCAACGCATCTTTGATGATTCAAGATGACAATCTGAATATTCGAATGATCCCGCATCTCATTGATTTTTTCGAGATGTTTTGACAGTGTCGCCGTCCATTGATCTGGATCTGGATTTGCAATTGGTTTGCTCGAAAGACTGTGATTTATCGATTGCTCCAGGTTGTGAATCAGCACTTTTTGAGGCTTCTCATTTTCCGCCATATCGATTAGAAGGTATTCGAAGTTAGGCGAACTTGGAATATTGCAAGCGATTAGTTTTAGCAGATATTTTGTGTTTTCTTTCTGCAAAATTTTGGTTCAAAAGAATTGCGGCCTCTTTCTCAGCCTATTCTGACTTACAATAACTTGCTCCACCACTCGATCCACTATAAAAATGAATCTAGTTTGATTATACACATTATTCTCTTTCTGATATTCACATTTTGGCGGACTTATCGTAACTACAAATCCCGTTAAAAAATAGAGAATAATTCCGGTTTTCATACTTTTTCCCACATTAAAAATGACTTAGTTCTACCTTCGGAAATCTATCTACAGAACCCAAAATTAGAACAGAACACGCAACAATTTTATTCCGAACATCAATGTTTTTTCGATTTACTTCGCTTCTTTTTCGGCATCGATTTTTTGTGGCGCGCAAGCTCTGCGGATCCGGAAGCGGAACTCGGAAGCGGTTTCGAGGGCGCAATTTCGGTCGGTGGTGGATTTCGGATTGGTTTCTGCTCGGTTTCGTCGTGAGTGATGAATTCTTGCGATTTTCCATTTTCCTGGAAATTTTTGGGTTAACGTTTTGCCTAAAGCTTAGGCTTAACTAAGGTTAACTTTGATTTTTAGTTCATCGTTTTGCCTAAAACTTAGGCTAACTTCGATTTTTAGTTCATCGTTTGGCCTAAAGCTTTGGCTTAACTTAGGCTAACTTCGATTTTCTGTTCCAAAATCATAGTTATGACGTGGCTTTTGAGGGGCCTAAAGCTTAGGCTTAACTTAGGCTAACTTTGATTTTCGCTTCATCGTTTTAACACGGAAATTTTGGTTATGACGTGGCTTTTAAGGGCCTAAAGCTTAGGCTTAACAATTTTCTGTCCATTGTTTAGCCTAACTTCGATTTTCTGTTCCAAAATCATAGTTATGACGTGGCAAACCTAAGGCCTACACAGTTTGATTTTCAAACTTTCTAGATAGGCCCGACTTATCGTAAGTTACATAGGTCTAGATCTATCTGGAAGCGTCTTTAGCCTTGAACTATCAGTCTAGATCTAGGCTAGACATCTTGGCCTTACTCACATTCTCATCATCCAGTGTAATCGAATAATCCAACGTCGATTTATCGGGCACCGATTTCTCCACCTTCATCATCTTCTCCGCCGATGCTGTCGAAGATCCCGTCGACTCTTTCGAACCTTTCGATTCGACTCCCGATTTTTTGCCATTTGTTGTTGTCTTTTTCTTCGCCGTCTCTCGTTTTCGATTTGTCTCCTTCTTCTCCTTTTTCATCTTCTCCATCTCAATTTGCTTCTTCTTCTTTTTCCGATTTTTCGACGATCTCACACAACAGAATACTGTGCAGCAAATCGCGATCAATAGAATTAGGGTTATCACGGCTACGATCACAATTATCATCCATAATTTGAGTGCGAAGGCTGAGCTCGTTTGAGCCGCTTTGGATGTTGTGGTGTCTGTCGTTGAATTTGAACTTGGTGCTGAAGTTGGAGCTGCAGATGTAGATGTTGCGACTTCAGAACTCGCTGAAGTCTGTGGTTGGGTAGAACTCGGATGAATTGCAGTTGTAGGTGGATCGGTTGAAGTTGTCGGCAAGGTTGTTGTGGTTGGAACTGAAATTGTTATAGACAATTTTATATTCCACCTGACAGTTCTGGAGAAATTTGAGATCTACTTACCTGTTGTAGTTGTAGGCAAGGTTGTTGTGGTTGGAACTTGAGTAGTTGTCGGAACTGTAATGTATAGGGGTTTTTCCGTATTTTTTTTCACGGTGGAACGAAACTTTCCCTCTTTCTAGTGGTTTTCGACCTGCTGATTTTTTTTTTTTTAAATCTGATAGTACAGCGTTGTTCAGTAGCGTCAATTACGTAAGTAAGCTGCTTATTTCCATCAAAATCGATTTTTCAAAATTTCTGATTTTTGCCACGTCATAACTCATGTTGAGGTACGCAGAATTTGACTGCGGAATCGTGATCAGCAGGTCGAATAGGTTCCCGTTGTGAGATCTACTTACCAGTTGTGGTAGTGGCTACAGTGGATGTGGTTGGAATTTGTGTAGTTGTCGGAACTGTAAGGTAAATTATACAAGTGTAATATACTACCGCAGGGTTTTTTCCGCATTTTTTTGACCTCTCACAATGTCCAAAGTGAAATCGTCTAAAGTCGAACTGTCTGATTCTCTCGAATATAAACACTATTTCTCTGTTCGTCGTGAGACCCTTCAGAATATATTCTCGCATTTTTTTTGCTATATTTTCACTTTGGACATCGCATTAGAGAAAAATATGTTTGATCTATGTACAAGAAGCTTTGATCTACTTACCTGTTGTAGTTGTAAGCAAGGTTGTCGTAGTTGGAACTGTCGTCGTGGTCGGGGGTTTAGTTGTTGTGGTTGGAACTTGAGTCGTAGTCCGAACTGTTGTAGGCAAAGTCGTAGTTGTCGGTGGAAATGTTGGTTTTGGTGTAGTCGCAACTGCTGTTGTGGTTTTCGGCTTCCTTCCAATCATCACATCCACACTGTGAAAAAAATTTTTAGGGATTTATCTGGGCAAGTTCTGAAATTGACTAGAATTCCGATTTTCGCCTTTGGAATCGAGTTGAGTTGTGGTTTTGTGCTAGAATTTGACATCGGTCCGAAACTTGAAATTCAAGTTATTTGCCACGTGGCATAGTCGAAGTTTGACTTCAGAGAATTATAGATCAACCTATGACGTGGCATTTTGAAACTCACAATTTCTGTGTCTTTTCCAACAACCATTGTGGAGAATTTTGATTCTGTGAAACCTGATCCGGAACATGAATTCGATTAAAATCTCCAGTCTCCGCAACCTTATTAAAATCGACAAAGCTGACGTTGAACACATGATTTTTGTTCATAAATTTCGCAACAACTTCTTGCGATGAGCACGACACACTTGTTGAATTGACACAATCCTTGATAACCAACGTCGGAATAATAATTGTTTGCATCTTCATATTCTTGATACTCGCTATAATAGTTATAAGTCGTTTGAGACGAATCAGAGAATTGGCTAGTTTTGAATGTGTTGTGAGTGGCTTGTTGTAGATTTCATCAACGGCTGCTTCGAGATTTTCGATTTTGAAAGGGGTGGGAAATTGGAGGGATTCGTCGGAAAGATCACCAAGTGCGAAACGGAATAATTTGTTGTTTTTGAATGGTATTTGACACGTGATTTGTTTCAGCATAAAAATTGTGTTGAGTTTCTGCGAAAATTGTTTTTTTTTAATGAAATATATATTTTTCTAGCAGATCACAATTACATTGTCAAAAATTGCAAATCTCAAATCCTAAGTGGAAATTTGGGTGGTTAGAACTAGATTTCGAGATGATTTTCATGAAAATTTGATAGTATAGGGAAAAAATTACATATATTTTTAGGTCTCGCAGCGAAAAATTGATTTTGCCTTGGATTTTTGGTGATTTTCTAGGTTCTGGATGGAATTTTCACTGTTTTCTGGGTCCTGAAGCGAAAAAAGCCTTAATTTTCTCTTCAAGACCCGGAAAACAGTGAAAATTTCACACAGGACCTAGAAAATCACCAAAAATCCAAGGCAAAATCAATTTTTCGCCGCGAGACCCAAAAATATATGTGATTTGTTCTTCTGAACAACCCTATGCTATCAGATTTTCATCTGAAATCAGTTCTGACCTCCCAAATTTCCACTTAGGATTTGAGATTTGCAATTTTTGACAATGGAATTGTGATCAGCTGGTCGGAAATTGCTAGAAAATATATATTTTGATAAAAATCCAAGTTCCTCTAACTCACATATTCCGGAATACATCGATCAATTAAAAACACAAACATTGTTCTCTCAAATGTCTCCCCGTCATGTTTTTGAATAAATTTGCAGTCCGGATTGTAGCTGCTGATTACTGTAGTTGCCGTCAAAATGAGGATGATGATGATGAATAATTTTGAAATTGATAGAATCATTTTTGGTTTCATTTTTGGGGAATATTGAAAAATGGCGGGATTTTTGCGGGGGTTTTTTTTCGGGCGGCGGGAAATTGGAACACGTGGAAAATATTTGGGAAATTTTTAAAAATTTGAAAAAAATTTGTGAATTTTAGCTGAAAATTCAAGATTTCAAAGCTCATTTGAATTCTGAAACTCTGAAAATCCAAAGTTTCAGCTAGAAGAAGAAAATGAGCTGAAATTTCAGATTTTCAGCCGAAAATTTTGAATTTCAGCTGAAAATTTAAGATTTCAAAGCTTATTTGAATTCTGAAACTCTAAAAATCCACAGTTTCAGCTAAAAAATGAGCTGAAATTTCAGATTTTCAGCCGAAAATTTTGAATTTCAGCTGAAAATTTAAGATTTCAAAGCTCATTTGAATTCTGAAACTCTAAAAATCCACAGTTTCAGCTATAAAATGAGCTGAAATTTCAGATTTTCAGCTTGAAAGAAATTTCAAAGCTCAGCTGGAGTCTGAAACTCTGAAAATCCAGATTTTCAGCATTTTCAAGCCAAAAATTAGGAAAATTTCAAATTTTCATCTAAAATCCTCAGAAATTCAGATTTTTAGCCAAAAAATCTGAAAATTCTGAATTACAAGTTTACATCTATGAATTTCAGCTGAAAATTTAAGATTTCAAAGCTCATCTGAATTCTGAAACTCTGGAAATCCCGATTTTCAGCTAGAAGAAGAAAATGAGCTGAAATTTGAGAGCCAAAAAATCTTCCAAAATTCCATCAGAAGCTCTGATTTTCGGGCGAAAAATCTGAAAATTCTTAATTTCAAGTCCAAAATTCTGAAAATTTAAAATTTTTCTTTCAAAATTCCATCAGAAATTTCAGATTTTCAGCCAAAAAATGCCCAATTTTTCAGATTTCCCGCGAATTCTGCCAGCCATAACACAACACACATTTTAATGCCATATTTTAACTGTGATTTTCAAAAAAATTTTCTTTTTTTCTTCTTTTTTTTTCTAGGTAACAATCAATTTTCTGTGAATTTTTCCTCCTTTTTTTTCAAAAAAATAAACCTATTGCATGTCCAAATTTTTTTTTGATCACCAAAAAAATTTTTTTTGACCTTTTTTTTGCCCAAAGTTTGACGCTTTTCGTATCGTTATCTTCTTTTTTTGCGAAAAATTATCGATTTTTTTTTTTCGTTTTTTTTTGGCAGAAGAATAAAATTCAAGAGAAATGGCTGAAAATTTGGGATTTTTGACTGAAAATGAAGAGCTGGATTTTGTTGGTGAGTTTTTTTGGGGGGGGGGGAATCTGAAAATTCAAAAATAATTTTAAAATAATTTTCACGTGACCCAAATTTTTATTTTCCAAAAAAAAAAATCGAAATTTCTCATTTTCTATCAAAAATGATTCAAAATTTTGTGACAACTTGTGAGTTTCTGAAAAAAAAAGTTAGGCGCGAGTGGGGGTCGAACCTGGGTTGTGAAAACCGTCGGCAGGCGTGTAGACCACTCGGCCATTAGTGAAAATCAAAGTACACACAAAAATGACCTTAAAAAATCGATTTTTTTTTCATTTTCTCTCAATTTTTTTTATCAATTTCATCAATTTTCAGCCAATTCTTCAACAAATCATCGTGAAATCTCCAGTAGTGAAAATAATAGTTCCGAAGAATTTCGGCGAATTGAGCAAATCCGCCGAACACATTGTCATATTTGGGAAAATATGGATGATTCCGAGATGCCACGTCATGAAAATTCCGGCGAGGAAATTAACGACGAGCAAGAAGAAATCGATGATTCAATGAGACACGTGAGTTTTTTGGGGTGAAAAAAGTGTGTCAGGCTTGCATTTTCCAAGCTCCGCCCATTTTTCATCTTCTCCGTGAGAAGTACACGAAAATTGGGTCATTTTGATATCTCACAAGCCTAGGGTTTGGTGAAAAAGTGTGCCAGGCTTGCATTTTCCAAGCTCCGCCCACATTTTTTTGAAATTTTCATCTGTTTTTTGTCCGAGAGAAGTACACGAGCAAAATGTGGTGAAAAAAGTGTGTCAGACTTGCATTTTCTAGGCTCCGCCCACATTTCTTTGAAATTTTCATCTTTTTTTTGTCCGAGAGAAGTACACGAGCAAAATTTGGTGAAAAAAGTGTGCCAGGCTTGCATTTTCCAAGCTCCGCCCACATTTCTTTGAAATTTTCATCTGTTTTTTGTCCGAGAGAAGTACACGAGCAAAATTTGGTGGAAAAAGTGTGCCAGGCTTGCATTTTCCAAGCTCCGCCCACATTTCTTTGAAATTTTCATATGTTTTTTGTCCGAGAGAAGTACACGAGCAAAATTTGGTGAAAAAAGTGTGCCAGGCTTGCATTTTCCAAGCTCCGCCCATATTTCTTTGAAATTTTCATCTGTTTTTTGTCCGAGAGAAGTACACGAGCAAAATTTGGTGAAAAAAGTGTGCCAGGCTTGCATTTTTCAAGCTCCGCCCACATTTCTTTGAAATTTTCATCTGTTTTTTGTCCGAGAGAAGTACACGAGTAAAATTTGGTGGAAAAAAGCGTGCCAGGCTTGCATTTTCCAAGCTCCGCCCATTTTTTATCTTCTCCGAGAGAAGTACACGGTCATTTTGATACCTCACAAGCCTATGTTTTGTGAAAAAGTGTGTCAGGCTTGCAATTTCCAAGCTCCGCCCACATTTTTTTGAAATTTTCATATGTTTTTTGTCCGAGAGAAGTACACGAGCAAAATTTGGGGAAAAAGTGTGCCAGGCTTGCATTTTCCAAGCTCCGCTCACATTTCATTGAAATTTTCATCTGTTTTTTTGTCCGAGAGAAGTACACGAGCAAAATTTGGTGAAAAAAGTGTGCCAGGCTTGCAATTTCCAAGCTCCGCCCATATTTCTTTGAAATTTTCATCTGTTTTTTTGTCCGAGAGAAGTACACGAGCAAAATTTGGTGAAAAAGTGTGCCAGGCTTGCAATTTCCAAGCTCCGCCCACATTTCTTTGAAATTTTCATGTTTTTTTGTCCGAGAGAAGTACACGAGCAAAAATTTGGTGAAAAAAGTGTGCCAGGCTTGCAATTTCCAAGCTCCGCCCACATTTCTTTGAAATTTTCATCCGTTTTTTGTCCGAGAGAAGTACACGAGCAAAATTTGGTGAAAAAAGCGTGCCAGGCTTGCATTTTCTAAGCTCCGCCCATTTTTATTTGAAATTCTCATATGTTTTTTGTCCGAGAGAAGTACACGAGAAAAATTTGGTGAAAAAAGTGTGCCAGGCTTGCAATTTCCAAGCTCGGCCCACATTTTTTGAAATTTTCATCTGTTTTTTGTCCGAGAGAAGTACACGAGCAAAATTTGGTGAAAAAAGTGTGCCAGGCTTGCAATTTCCAAGCTCGGCCCACATTTTTTTGAAATTTTCATCTGTTTTTTGTCCGAGAGAAGTACACGAGCAAAAAAAAAAGTTTTTTTTTCAAATTTTTGATTAAAAAAATGTTTTGCTAATCAAATCATCGTGTAAAAAAGACATTTTCAGCTTTTCCTTTTTTTTTTGCCCCAAAAAAAATTGGGCGCGAAAATTTGATCTACCAATTTATTTTTTGGTTGATCCTGTTCTTTGAAAACCAGTTTTGGGGATTGAAAAAGATAAAAAAATTATTGATTTTTCAGTGTTAGTTAGGCTAAATTCTGTTTTTTTTTTTTGAAAAATCATCAAAACAAGTTAGAATAAGTTCAAAATAACAAGAAATTTCTGTTTTTTTTCACTTTTTTTTTGAAAAGAAACTGACCATGACTGAAAATCGCATTATTTATGTATTTTTTCGAAAAAAAGTTTTTAAAAGCGAAAAAAAAATTGGTTTTTTCATAGATTTTTTGCAGTTTCATCAAAAAATTTCCCAATTTTCATTGAAAATTTCACATTTTTTTGTTTATTTACCCATGTTTCTGCATTTTTCTTCTAGTTTGTGACACTGATTATTTTTTCATTTAAAAGCGGTTTTGAAATCGCAAAAAAAAAAATTTGATAAGCGCATTTTTGCCGCATTTTTTCGAGACTTTTTTAAAGGCGCATGCCTTTTTTTAAAACTCTTTTCCTTTTAATTTTAAGCTACAGTACCTTGATACATTTTAAAGGGACAATTAGTCTTCTGGCGAGCTACAGTAATCTTGAAAATAGACTTTTTAAAGGCACATACCTTTTTTTGAAAATCTTTTCCTCTTAATTTTAAGCTACAGTAGGATTTCTGAGGTTTTTAAAGGTATATACATCGGAATTTTGAGCTACAGTACCTTGATACATTTTAAAGAAACATAGTTTTGTGTTGATGCTACAGTACTCCTATTTGGCACTTTTAAAGGTACATGTCGTTTTTCTGGCTAGAAAAATGGAGCTACAGTAACCTTGTGAGCTCTCAAAGGGACAAGTAAGTCTTCTGGCTAAAATTTAGGCTACAGTAATCTTGAAAAAATTAAAGGGACATTATATTTTTCCAAGTTTCGAAACCTACAGTAATATGTATCCTTAAAGGAACATGCGCACTTTCAAAATTCAAAAATTTCAAAAATTTTGTCCCGCCCATTTTTTTATTCGATCATCAATCATCATCCCACATTCTTCTTGTTGTTTTGATTTTGTCCAAAAAAATTTTTGACATTTTCCCCAATTTTTTCTTATATTTATAGGCTTCTTTAGGAAAGACTTCAAATTATTTTTCAAAAAAAAAAAAATTTAAAGTTTTCCCGAGTTCAAATATTATAAATCTACAGTAATCTTAAAGGTACATAACTCCATTTTTTTTTGATTTCCCGCCAAAATTCAAGGACTTCCTATTTATTTTTTATTATTATCAAAAAAAAATATGAAATCATGCGCTTCGCTTTTTTCTTTTTTGACTCATTTTTCACTCTCATATGACGTTTGAGGTTTCGTTTTTGCTTAGAACCAGGAAAAAATTGATAACAGGTTCATTTTTAATGTCAAAATTTTGTGTATGAACTCTTATTTTTCTGAGTCAACATGTTCCTTTAAAAATGGGCTACTGTAAGTTAAGCAGAATTCTCAATGTTCCTTTAAATGTGTGCAGACTACTGTAGTTGGGTTACTGTATGATGTTCCTTTGAAAATAGAGATTACTGTAGTTGCTCTATGCTCCTTTAAAATTTCTTTAAAAATACGTTTTCTCCCGAATTCTCAATGTTCCTTTAAATGTGTGCAGACTACTGTAGTTGGGTATGATGTTCCTTTGAAAATAGAGATTACTGTAGTTTCGGGATGCTATGCTCCTTTAAAATTCGTTTCTGATGGGATACTGTACCTTGGAATTAAGCTGAAGAAAATCTACATTAATACTGTAGATTATACTGTATGTTCCTTTAAATTACTGTAGTCTATCATGTTTTTTTTTTGAAAAAATTTTTGATCAAATTTATTTTTTTTTGTCAAAAATCATCGTCTTTTTCGAATTTTGACCCTGATTAAATCAATTTTTTCTTATCAAAAAAAAATGAAAAAATTTCGCGAGAAAAAGTGGCATTTCCATAATTTATGTGATTTTGCGAATAATTAATTTTTTGGCGGGAAAATCAGGGAGTACTGTAGTGCACAAACTGTTTTTGATTTTTTTGATGATGATGTTTTTTTGTCGGAGAAAATTAATTAATTAATTAACCAGAAGGCCTCCGCCGGCTAACGCCGGCTCCTCCTTCTGGATTGTCCCGGCTTCGCGTATAGTTTTCTTTAGGTATAACGTTTTAAACGGTTTTATTCTTGAGAACTGTGCCCTTTGAAAAAAGATGAAATGGTGGTTCCTGGGACGTTCAAACTTGAACTAAATCTCCCCTCCGTATTTTTTACCTATAAAAATAAATTGCAGACATAGCTCATTCTGAGATCTATTGCAGAAAAATGTTTCCCTGAAATCGTCTAAAAATGCGACAAACTTGTCATTTTTGAAAATTTTAAAAAGATTTCCATTAAGTTTTAATTTCTCTTATTAGGAATCATTTTCTCAAGTGTTCAATTTTCGACTCTAAAAGTGGACTAACAAATTCCTTGGTGTTTAGGGATTATAGATTTTAGATTTTCGAAATTCAAAATTCGAGCTCGAAAACTATCTCTTTAAAAACTGCTTTATTTTCTTGAAATTCTTTTTTCAATGCCTCTCATTTTTTTCCTATGTTTTGTTTAGAACTGATTTTTCTAATTTTGAAGTTCAGAAAACAAAAAACACAGAGTCTACGGAACCCATACAGAAATTTCATAGAAAAATATCTGGATCTGAACTGAAGGTTTTAGGGGGAAAAGATGGGGTTCAGAACCTGAAGGCTTAAATTTAAGAAAAAGTAAGGAATTGAACATCTAATTATATAATTCTCAAAATCTCTTTATTCCGTCAATACTCCTCATTTCTTCTGAAAAACGCTCTTTTGTTCCAAAACCATTATTCTGATCGAAAAGTCACAGAGTAATTTACTATTCAAAATATTTCACGCATTTTTCGAGACCTGACACGAATTTAGGGGTGGGACTACAAATCGATGGAATCAACGCAAGAAATGAAAGATTTAGTGAAATATTTGAAGTCTAGTGATTTGGAGCAGCGAATTACATAATGTGAAATCCATTTTGCTGTACAATCCCATTTTCTTATTCAAATCCAAATTTTCTACGTCTCAAAAACTAAACCACATTTGGAGAAACTGCTCTAAAAATCTATATCCAGAGAGCAAAGAAATGCTGCCTTATTTTCTGAGTAAGCTTCTATTCCATCTGAAATTTTCAGAGCCGTGGAAGATAAAACCAAAGTACAGTAAACTCCGCCGCCATTTGATTATTTTCATTGAGAAGAAATGATTGGTTTTCTCGGCCATGTCGGTTCTCTTCCAAGGCTCACAAAATTTTGGATTGATAATAATTCAATTCTATTATTATAATTGTTTGGGCTTAACTATTGGGATTCCCAAACACATCAAAACTCACTATCAAACATTCACATTAAAGTATTTGTTTTTCTTTTTGAAAAAGAAATTATCCAATATCTGAAAGTTCGAACAAATTATGAATTTATCCACAGTAATATAACTCACTTTTTTCTATTTATTTTCAAACCGATTAGGAATAGAGTAATAGCGAGAAATGATTAAAAATGTCCCGCTATGACTGAGCAATAAAAAGATCAGATAAGAGACGTGACCTAGCCATTTTTCCCGATTAAAAACGTGTTCATTCTTTTCTACACGAAAAAAGTTTTGATTTTTCACGTGAAAACTTGCGCACTTTTGAAATATTTCGAATGTCGTGCATCATCTACAAAGAATTTGGAGCATCTAGGTCTAAGTCTCATTCAAAACGGTCTTCTAGAAATTGAGTTACGGTCGGCGACACATTTTTATTTTCAAAAATACATTGAATTTCAGGAGATTTTTCAGTTAAAAGTTTCCCCGCGCACTACATGAAATTATTTTTGAACTTGGTAAAGCTCCCCACCATGCTGCCAAAATTTGGAATCTTTTCATTTTTTAACCAAAACTTTTCATGCAGTGGGAGTTGAGAACGGGCTCCGGACATACGCACCTCTTAAAAAGCAGTTTCCAATTAGTATATAGTAGATTAGGATTTGTGACCATGATTTTTCGATTTATCACAAATCGAAAATAAAAAGTGACGTTTTGTGTTTTGAGTGCGAAAATAGGGCTACAGTACTCTAGGGGGTACTGTGGATTTTGTAGTGTAAAATAGCTACAGTACCCGGAAAATTTTTAGAAGGTACAGTAATTTGAGGGTTACTGTACCTCTTTAGAACCTTCAGTACCTCTCAAAGGATCATGGTGATCTCAAAAACCTACAGTAGCCCTGGGGTACTGTAGAATCCTCGGAGAAAATTTTGAAATTTAGCCACTAAATCCCCTAGAGTTTAGATCTACAGTACCTACAGTACCTCTAGATGTTTTAAAGGAACATTGTGATCTCTGAAACCTACAGTAATCTTGTTGAAAATCTTCATATAAACCATGTTAATTTTAACCCCCTACAGTACTCCTCTGTTTTTGAAGGAACATGGGTGAAATTGTGATCTCTGAAATCTACAGTAATCGCAGCATTTTTGATCTCTATTACAATTATGAATATAAGTTACAGTAACCTTTCTACAGTACCCCCTAGATTTTTTAAAGGAACATTGTGATCTCTGATCAGAAATTCACGTTTTTTTCACCTCATTCTATTTTTATTGTAATTTTCTTGCAAGAATGACATCAAAATTCCGCCTTCTCCTCTTTTTTTATTTTCTGTCGCCGGCCGCCAAAAAAAAACACACATAAAAGTTGATTTGATTAGCAAATCTTTGTGTTTTTCGCGTCGGGTTCCAGTGTACGAAATACTGGAACATCTTCTTCTACCAATTTTCAGTTGTGTTTTTTTGGCGCCAGAAAATTTTTTGAACTTTTTTTCCCCCGAAAAAAATTGTGCCATTTTTTCTGAAAATTTTTCCTGATGTTCCTTTAGGGTACTGTAGGTTTCAGAAATGTTGCTTTTCAAATTTCCATTTTTTTTTGGTATCTCTAATTTTCTGGGGCTACTGTAGTTTAGTGGAATTACTGTATCGATATTTTATTGGACTACAGTACCCTTGGATTACTGTAGATTAAAATTTTGGATTTTGAATTTTCGATCCATTTTTTTTCTTGGATTTCTGAATTTTTCCGGCTTACTGTAGTTTTAGAGGTGGTACTGTAGTTATGTTTCATCAGACTACAGTACCCCATGGATTACTGTAGATTAAAATTTTTGATCCATTTTTTTTTGGATTTCTGAAATTTTCTAAGGCACTGTAGTTTCGGAAGATTTACTGTAGCAATTCTGATTACTGTAGAGCTACAGTACCCTCAGATTACTGTAGGTTCACCATTTCTAGCCTACAGTATCCCATGGATTACTGTAGATTTGAATTTCGAATTTTTGATCCATTTTTTTGGATTTCTGAAATTTTCTGGGGTACTGTATCTACATTTTTTTCGCGCCAAAAAAATTCAAAAAAAAAATTTTGTCTTGTTACAAAAAATGTTACAAAAAGATTTATCGGAATTTGATTTTTTCAAAAAAAAACCAGATTTTTTCTTCGTTTTTATTGATAATATTCATGAATAGAGATGAATTATTTATTTATTTGCATTTTTTTTCGAAAAATTTTTCTTTTCTTTGATTTTCTTTTGTCCAAAACAAACTTTATTGAAAATTGCAAAATATTTACCGTTTTAAGACCCCGCAAAAATGACAGTTTCGATAATTTCCAACGAAAAACGCGATTCTTCAACTACACATTTGGAAGATTCGCTGTCTGAAAATTCGTCGACGAATTCTGAAAATATGACTGGACACGGACATTCGCACGATCATAAACATGATAAGGTTTGAAATTTGGAGCATTTTGAGACCAAATGAGCCTAGGGTTACTGTGGATTTCGGCCTGGTTTTTCGGCCTTAGATTTCTGAGCATTTTGAGACCCCACAAGCCGAGGGTTACTGTAGATTTCGGCTCTCTACAGTAACCCAAAATATTTTTTGATCTACAAAAATTTGCGGTCATTTTGAGACCCCACAAGCCTAGGGTTACTGTAGATTTCGGCTCTCTACAGTAACCCAAAATAGTTTTTGATCTACAAAAATTTGCGGTCATTTTGAGACCAAATGAGCCTAGGGTTACTGTAGATTTTTGTTCTCTACAGTAACCCAAAATATTTTTTGATCTACAAAAATTTGCGGTCATTTTGAGACCCCACAAGCCTAGGGTTACTGTAGATTTCGGCTCTCTACAGTAACCCAAAATATTTTTGATCTACAAAAATTTGCGGTCATTTTGAGACCCCACAAGCCTAGGGTTACTGTGGATTTTTGCTCTCTACAGTATTTTCTGATCTACAAAAATTTGCGGTCATTTTGAGACCAAATGAGCCTAGGGTTACTGTGGATTTTTGCTCTCTACAGTAACCCAAAATATTTTTTGATCTACCAAAAATTTGCGGTCATTTTGAGACCCCACAAGGCTAGGGTTACTGTGGATTTCGGCTCTCTACAGTAACCCAAAATATTTTTTGATCTTCAAAAATTTGCGGTCATTTTGAGACCCCACAAGCCTAGGGTTACTGTAGATTTCGGCTCTCTTGGGTTACTGTAGACCAACACAAACTACTCGTGTACTTCTCTCGGACAACTGGTTTTTTTGTGAACTTTTGTTTTTGCAAAACTAATTAATTAATTAATTTGGGGAAAAAATCTGAAAATGGGGAATTTCCAGCCAAAAAAAGGCCCAAAAAAAATCCTTCCAGGGTCGTCGGGCCGAAAAAGTCCTATGGGCCGTGGCGGCCCTCTCGGCCGTCTTCATCGCCGCCGAATTTGTCGGCGGGTTCTGGGCCGAAAGCCTGGCGATCATGACCGACGCCGGTCATATGCTATCCGATTTGTTGAGCTTCATCATCTCGATTTTTGCGATCAGATGTGCCAGAATGCCTGGTGAGTACTGTAGCTGGAAGCATTGCTCATATTAGAGAAAAACATTTGCAGCTTCGAAGCGTCTAAGTTTTGGTTATGAGAGAGCCGAAGTTTTGGGAGCTCTGACTTCGGTGATTATTTTGTGGGTGCTCACGACGATTTTGGTGGTGATGGCGATTCAGAGAATCGCTAAAAATGAGCATGGTAAGATTGGGTAATTAATTAATTAGCTAATTACTTAAGTCACTTAATGATTCAGATAGCCTTAATTACTTTAATTAGCTAATCAGGTAATTAATTTCCTAGTTAATTAGTAGTATAATTAGCTAACAACATAATTGACTAGCTAATTAGTTACCTTATTATCTAGGTAATTAATTAATGCTCTTCTTAACTAGACTTTTATAATTAGTTAATTAACTGATAGCTAACTAACTAAGGTAACTAACTAATTAATAAATACGATAAGTAGGTAACCTTAATTGCTAATTAATTAATTATCTCATTAATTAACCACCTAGGCTAGAAAATTTTGAATTTTTGAATTTGGCGCGCTCGGGTCTCGACGCGATTTTCACCTCGATTCTCAAAAGATCGGATTTTTTCTGGAAAATTTCAGATTTTTAAGCGATGTTTAATTAGCTAACAACATAATTGACTAGCTAATTAACTGATAAAGTAATTAAGTAACCCTACCCTAATTGCTAATTAATTAATTATCCAATTAATTGCAGACGTTGATGCTGACATAATGCTGATCACAGCTGGAGTCGGAGTACTATTCAACATAATCATGGGCCTAGTTCTACACTTTGGCACCGGTGGACACGGTCATTCACACGGCGGACATTCGGGACACTCGCACGGCCCCAATCCAGATGGTAAAAATGTGAATGTTCGCGCCGCGCTAATCCACGTCATTGGTGATTTGGTGCAATCGATTGGTGTACTAATCGCGGCGATTGTCATCAAATTCACCGGATGGACATTGGCCGATCCGATTTGCACGTTCTTTTTTTCGATAATTGTACTATTTACCACTTGTCATGTGATGAGGGATATTATTTTTGTGCTCATGGAAGCCACGCCGAGTCATTTTGATTTGAATGACATTAAGAAGGTGTTGAGTGGCTTGGAGGGTGTGAAAGGTGTGCATGATATGCATTTGTGGTCGATTGGTATGGATAAGACGGCGTTTAGTGTGCATTTGGCGTTGGGTGAGTGGGATTTGGAGCATTTTGAGACCACACAAGCCTAGGGGCCCTTGAAATCGGAGCATTTTGAGACCCCACAAGCCTAGGGGTACTGTAGTTTTTGGCGCGAAAATTTCTGATCCACACATTTTTAAGATTTGGAACATTTTGAAATCCCACAAGCCTAGGGGTACTGTAGTTTTTGGCGCGAGAAATGTTTGATCTACACATTTTTAAGATTTGGAGCATTTTGAGACCCCACAAGCCTAGGGGTACTGTAGATTTCAAGTTCAAAGGTTTGATCTACAGATTTTCAGACAATTTTAGAGGTACTGTAACTTTTTGAGCTTCTGCTCAGTGTTACTGTAATTAAAAAAAATTTGAGACCACACTGGGTTACTGTAGGCGCGAAAATTTTTGATCTACATATTCTAAAGCTGATCTGGATGCCTTCTCCTACAGTAATCCAACATTTTTGGCGGGATCCTTTGATCTACCTACAATTTCTCAAGCCTACAGTACCCCGAACTACAGTAATCCAAAAAAATCCCGATCAGTATTTTTTCATCTACAGTAACCCTTAGCTACAGTATCCCTATCATATTTGGTCTCAAAATGATGCAAATTTTGATCTACAGTATTTTCTCATCTACAGTATCCCTTAGCTACAGTAACCCTATCATATTTGGTCTCAAAATGATCGAAATTTTGATCTACAGTATTTCGTGACCTACAGTATCCCTTAGCTACAGTAACCCTATCATATTTGGTCTCAAAATGATGCAAATTTTGATCTACAGTATTTTCTGACCTACAGTAACCCTTAGCTACAGTAACCCTATCATATTTGGTCTCAAAATGATCCTAATTTTTTTTCCCGAATTTCAGAATCCGCTGATCGAGCCATGGAAACTGTTGCCGACGCTCGCCGACTCATCAAACGACAATTCGGAATTACGGTGGCCACAATTCAAGTCGAACCTTTTGACTCGCAAATTGACTCGTGTGATAAATGCCAAACCGATGAGCCTGAAGCCTAAAACTAGGCCTGGGCCGATTAGGCCTGGGCTTGAGCCTAGGCCCTTTTTTTCCTTGTTGTTACGGATTTTTTGCGGGTTCCTCTTGTTGTATTTTTTTTCTTGCCCTACTAACTTTTTGAATAAATTTATTACCCAATTTCCGGAGTTCGCCTAACTTTTTTCTAATGAAAATAGAGGCGAATAAAGCAATAGATTAAGGCGAGTTGAAGACAGATTGAGATGCAAATTGGAAAAATGATGAGAAGACCGATGGAGAGAGTGACGATTTGAATTAGATCCACGATTACCAGGATTGTCTGGAAGTTGACAAAGTGTGCCAGGGTTGCAGAAAAAGGGGCGGGGCTTATTTTATCCACAGCATTTTTAATTTGAAAATTCACATTTTCCCGGTAAAATTTTTGAATTTCAAAATAATTTGAGTTTCAAAAATAATTTGAATTTTGAAAATTCCCGCCAAAAATTTTGAGTTTCAAAAATAATTTGAATTTCAAAAAAATTTGAATTTTGAAAATTCCCGCTAAAAATTTTGAAATTCAAAAATAATTTGAATTTTGAAAATTCCCGCTAAAATTTTCGAATTTCAAAATTTTTTTTGAATTTTAAAAATAATTTGAATTTTCAAAAATAATTTGAATTTGAAAATTCACATTTTCCCGCTTAAAATTAGAAATTTGAAAATTCGAATATTCCCGCTAAAAATTTTGAATTTCAAAAATAATTTGAATTTTGAAACTTCCCGCTAAAAATTTTGAATTTCAAAAATAATTTGAATTTTCAAAATTTTTTTGAATTTTGAAAATTCCCGTCGAAAATTTTTGAAGTTTCAAAAATAATTTGAATTTTCAGAATTCCCGCTAAAATTTTTGAATTTAAAAATTTTTTTTTGAATTTCAAAAATAATTTGAATTTTGAAAATTCCCGCCGAAAATTTTTGAATTTCAGAAATAATTTGAATTTGAAAAATTCCCACCGAAAATTTTTGAATTTTGAAAATTCCCGCCAAAAATTTTGAACTTGAAATTTTTTTTGAAATTCAAAATTTTTTTGTTCCCGCCGAAAAATTTTGAATTTAAAAATTCACATTTTCCCGCTTAAAATTTGAAATTTTGAAAATTCCAGCTGAAAATTTTGAGTTTCAAAAATAATTTGAATTTTGACAATTCCCGCTAAAAATATTGAATTTCAAAAATAATTTGAATTTGGAAAATTCCCGCCAAAAATTTTGACAAAAAAAAATCCACGTGGCAAAGATAGCCTAAGTCTAGGCTTGTTTGGTCTCAAAATGATCACCTCAGAAAACTGTGCCCTAAAATTGCAAAAAGTGGGCGGAGCCTAGGCTTATTCGGTCTCAAAATGATCGCAAGATCTTACCCAAAAAATCGCGGCCGCAGCACTGCCAAATCTCGTTCGCCAACAACAAAACACCAAAACACCATAGACACCCAACAGAATTTTAAAAATGCACGGTATACCAAAACCACCCACACAACACTGAACAATATTCAATAGAATCACCAGAATCGACAAAATCAGCACGGCGGTCTGCAAAAAATTTTGAATTTTTTGAATTTTTTGAATTTCGCGCGCGCGCCAAAAACCTACAGTACCTCGGGTCTCAACGCGATTTTCACCTCGATTCTTTTCGGTTTTTCCACAGCGATCTCTTGATCTTGATCTTTTTCGTTGTTGGAAGAATCCGATTTGGAAGGATCTGGATTTTTCTGGAAAATTTAAAAATTTCAGATTTTTTTTTCTGAAAAAAAAAATTTCTGAAAAAAAACCCACTTCGATTTCAATTTTTGTACATTTCGACATTTTTTATCAAATAGAAAATGAGCGGGAAAATTTTGAATTTCAAAAAAAATTGTTTTTTTTTTTTGGATTACACGTGGATTTCACGCGGGAAATTTTTGAATTTCATTTTTTGAAAATTTTGCGGCGCAGTTTTGTGGGCGTGGCTTAGAAAAATGCAATTTTATCGCACAGTTTTTCTTCCAATATTTATTTTTCAAAAAAAAACTGTGCCAGGCTTGCAAAACACAATAAATTGATTTGAAAAATGCAATTTCACCGCACAGTTTTTTATATTTAACAAAAACTGTGCCAGGCTTGCAAAACTCAATAAATTAATTTGAAAATTGCAATTTCACCGCACAGTTTTTCTTCCAATATTTATTTTTCAAAAAAAAAACTGTGCCAGGCTTGCAAGGTTTTTAAAAATTAATTCAGAATTGCAATTTCACCGCACAGTTTTTTTCTACTTAACAAAAACTGTGCCAGACTTGCAAAATTTTTTAAAATTAATTCAGAATTGCAATTTCACCGCACAGTTTTTCTTCCACTTCACTATGACGTCATCATTTCCACGTCATATATTACTTTTTTTTGTTTTGTTTTGCGTCCAAAAAATCTTAAGATGTTTTTAAATCCTTTCAAATAACAAATGAGTGAGGACCCTTTTTTTGAATGACGAAAAAAAAAGGAAAAATGGGCAAAACTTCAATCATTTCTGGGGGGATTATTAGAAAAACGAAAGAGTTTTCCCCCTTTTTTGGAGCACGAAAAGTACCGTAGTCTAAAGGGGCGTGGCTTGAGTGAGAATAGAAAAAGCTGAGATTTTTTGCTTATTTTCATTTTTTGGAGGTTCAAAAAAAAAACATGTCGAAAAATTTGGATCAATTGATTGCGAAGGGTGAGTTTGTTTGGCGGGAAATTTGAAAATTTAAATTTTTTTCTGAAATTCTGAGAAATTGCCACGTGGTTTTCGGAATTTTTGAAAAAAAAAAATGTTTTTTTGAAATTTAATTTTTTTTCTGAAATTCGGGAAAAATTGCCACGTGGTTTTCGGAATTTTCGAAAAAAATGTTTTTTTTTTGAAATTTTGAAATTTAATTTTTTTTTTCTGAAATTCTGAGAAATAGCCACGTGGCTTCTGAAATTTGGGAAAAATTTTTTTGAGCAGAATTTTTTCCGGCTCAAAATTTGGGAGCTCTGAAAATGCCACGTGGATTTTCAGGTCTGAAATTTTTGGATTTTGAATTTTTTATAAGCTCAAAAATTTTGACACGTGGTTTTTCGGAATTTTTGAAAATTTAAAATATTTCTGAAATTCGGGAAAAATTTTAGAGCTCTGAAAATGCCACGTCGATTTTCAGGATTCGGAAAAAATTTGATTTCGCGCGAAAATTTAATTTTTGAATTTTTTTCCAAAACTTTCCACGTGGAATTTAAGATTGAAAAAATCAAATTTGAATTTTCAAACCCAAAAAAAATTTCAGAAATCCTTCCCCAAACCGACAACTGGGAAGCGACTCAAGAATTCATCGGAAGAATTGTGGAGGTCAGTTTTTTTCGCTCTGAAAATTCCAAATCTGAAAATTTGCAGGTTTTGCTGAAATACATTCGCGATCAAAATGATCGCGGTCAAAAAATTCTCGAATTTCATCATCCCGACAAAATGCAAAAATTGATCGATTTATCGATTCCAGAAGAGGCTGAAAATCTGGAAAAATTGGTGAAGGTGAGCGCGAAAAAAAAACTTTCAAAAAAATTTTTTTTTTTTTTTTTTTTTTTTTGAATAACCAAAAAATCTCAAGTATTTTCCACTCATTTCATCATAAAAATTTTTCATTTCCAAAAAAAAACACATTTTTTTTGGAGTAGGAGAGTGGTTTTGAATGTGTGCCCTAAGGGCGTCTTAATGGGCCCCCAAAAAATTTTATATGAAAAAAAATTGGAAAAAATTTTTTTTTTGGAGTGCGGAATAGGAAGAGAGGGATTTTTAGCGAAAAAATTAAAAAAAATTCAGAAAAAAATTTAAAAAAAATTTAAAAATTCAAATCACGCGGGGTGCTCGTCAACGCGGAGTGTCGTTGTTTTCCTTTCATTACACAATTTTTCAATTATCTTCTCTATCTTACAATTAGGCAAAAAAAAGAAAAAAAAATTGAAAAAAGACAAAAAAAAAAATGCAAATTTAAACCACGCGCGTTGCCGTCAACGCGGAGTCTCGTAGTTTTATTTTTTTTTTTCACTTTTTCACATTTTCTTCCTCCCAAACCCGCGTGTTTCTTGCAGAGTTGCGAAGATGTGCTTCGGTTGGGCGTCAAAACCGGCCACCCGCGCTTCTTCAATCAAATCTCGTGCGGTTTGGATTTGGTGGCGATGGCGGGCGAATGGTTGACGGCCACCGCCAACACCAACATGTTCACCTACGAAATCGCGCCCGTCTTCATTTTGATGGAGAAGGCGGTGATGACGAGAATGTGGGAGGCGATTGGATGGGACGCCGAGAAGGCGGACGGCATTTTTGCGCCCGGTGGCGCTATTGCCAATTTGTATGCGTTGAATGCGGCGAGACATCATTATTTTCCGCGTGCCAAACATTTGGGAATGAAGGATATTCCGACGTTGTGCTGTTTTACCAGTGAAGATGTGAGTTTGAAGCATTTTGATGTCTCATAAGCGATGATGCAACTACGCTCTACAGCTAACACCGCGCATTTTTGAAAAATTCGAATTTTTGATAGATTGAGTACGCTCTATTGCTAATTTGTTTGAATCGCGCAAATTCGCTCCACTGCAAATAGCGTGAATTTTTGAGAGAAGCGAAAAATGTGCCTTATTCAAAAATACCGATCTGCAAGTGCGCTCCACTGCAAACAAGGTGCATTTATTGAAAAATTTGAAAAATCCTATTGCTAATTTATTTGAAACCAAACCAATTTTGCAACTACGCTCCACTGCTAATAGTGCGTAAAATTCAAAAAACTACTAGGTCAACCCATAGAGCGCACTTATACTAATTTTCCAGAGTCACTACTCGATCAAAAGCGCAGCTTCCGTATGCGGAATCGGCGCCGATCACTGTTTCAACATTCCAACCGACGCAGTGGGTAAAATGATCCCCGAAGCGCTCGAGCAAAAAATCATCGAATGCAAAAAAGAGGGGCTGACTCCGTTCTTCGTGTGCTGCACAGCCGGCACAACTGTGTACGGCGCGTTCGATCCGTTGACACGTGTCGCCGACATTTGCGAGCGACACAAATTGTGGTTCCACGTGGATGGCGCGTGGGGTGGTGGAATGTTGTTGTCGCCGGAGCAACGACACAAGTTGGCTGGGATTGAGAGAGCGAATTCGGTGACGTGGAATCCGCATAAGTTGATGGGAGCCTTGTTGCAATGCAGTGCTTGTTTGTTTAGACAGGATGTGAGTTATGACGTGGCAACAAAATGTGTTTTTGTAAGAAAAAAATTTGATATTAAAAATAACACGAACCGCAACGCATCTCCCACGCGTCGCGGTCACTACAAACCTAATTTCCAACCGAAACACCTCAAAGCCATTTTGTTTTCCAACCGCAACGCATCTCCCACGCGTCGCGGTCACTACAAACCTAATTTTCAACCGAAACACTTCAAATCCATCTTGTTTTCCAACCGCAACGCATCTCCCACGCGTCGCGGTCACTACAAACCTAATTTCCAACCGAAACACCTCAAAGCCATTTTGTTTTCCAACCGCAACGCATCTCCCACGCGTCGCGGTCACTACAAACCTAATTTCCAACCGAAACACCTCAAAACCATCTTGTTTCCCGACCGCAACGCATCTCCCACGCATCGCGGTCACTACAAACCTAATTTTCAACCGAAACACCTCAAAGCCATTTTGTTTTCCAACCGCAACGCATCTCCCACGCGTCGCGGTCACTACAAACCTAACTTTCAACCGAAACACCTCAAATCCATTTTGTTTCCCAACCGCAACGCATCTCCCACGCGTCGCGGTCACTACAAACCTAATTTTCAACCGAAACACCTCAAAACCATCTTGTTTTTCAACCGCAACGCATCTCCCATGCGTCGCGGCTCCCACAAACTTTTGTTTTTGCAGGGTTTGCTCTTCCAATGCAATCAAATGTCGGCTGATTACCTATTCCAACAAGACAAACCCTATGATTGCAGTTTCGATACCGGAGATAAGGCAATTCAATGCGGAAGACATAATGACGTGTTCAAATTGTGGTTGATGTGGAAGAGTAAGGTCAGTATCAGTTGAGCGCGTTTGCTAAAAATAAATTTTTTAACTTTTCTGGGGTACCCTCCTTTAAATTAACAAAAAAAACCTTTTTTGTGCAGGGAATGGAGGGATATCGTCAACAAATCAATAGATTAATGGATTTGGCGCATTACTTCACTGCAAGAATCAGTGAGACTGAAGGATTCGAGTTGATCATCAAGAAGCCCGAATTCCTCAACATCTGTTTCTGGTATGTTCCATCGAAGATCCGCCACCTGGAACCGGCTGAGAAAATGGCACGATTGGAGAAGATCGCACCGAAGATCAAGGCTGGTATGATGCAGAGAGGTACAACTATGGTTGGATATCAACCAGACAAGCAACGACCAAACTTTTTCCGAATGATTATTTCGAATCAGGTGAGAAGCCGCGGACGAGGCGGATCCTAGGCCATATATATATATATTTTTTAGGCCATTACACGAGACGATTTGGATTTCTTGATTCAGGAAATTGTCGACATTGGAGAATCGCTTTAAACTCATTTATTCATTAACAAAGACTAACTTAATTAACTCGCTTAACAAGCTTTTTCTATTTATTCCGCAAGCAAAATAAATCTACTAGTTGCAAATATATATTGACAATTTAAAGTGTTACTTCCAGGCGATCTCGTGGTGTAGTGGTTATCACATCTGTCTAACACACAGAAGGCCGGCGGTTCGAGCCCGCCCGAGATCATCGAATTTTTTTGTATTTTTAGCATACCCAGGGGTGGGATTGGCCTCATGTTGGCTTTGGTGGTGAGAACATAAGCCATGACAGGTCCAAGTAAAAACCTGGCTGCCTCCTAGACAGGTTCTAAATATTTCATGGTTTGTTTTTCAATAAAATCTGGAAGCTGATCCTATAGCTTCAAGCTTTATCTAATCTTAATAATTTATAAACAACTTTCCTTTAACATCATTAGTAATTAAAAAAAAACTTTTTCAATGAAGCTCAAATCTCACCTTTTAGTTTTGTTCCCCCCCCCCCCAAACCTCAAAATAAACTAACTTGATTGGTCCTTTCCGTGAAAAGTTGTTTATCTCTTTGAATGTCCTGTCCAAACGAAACATCTTCTTGTTCGGAAGCCTGAAACTTCTACATTCTTTTTCTCAAAATGTTTGCCTATTCTTAAACTTACATCAGAAAATGACAATTGTGAATTTGCTGAAGCCCCTGCTTTCTGTGACGGTTGTTTCTGAAAAAAAAGAAAATTAAAAAATGTACCTTTCTGCTCTGAAAAAAAACAAGAAAAAAGATTCAGTTCTAAAAAACGTTCAATCAATAATTTCTTCACAAATAAAAAACATCTCTCTCTCTCTCTCTCTCTAACCCTCTCTCCATTTCCCACACTCTCTCATCTACCCTGCAAAAAAAACAACAACAAAACAAATACGCTAAACAACGCGCACGCGGAGTATCGTTATTTTTTTAAATTTTTTTTTTGCTTTTTTCTGGTTTTTGAGAGGTTTTTTTCCAGCTTTTTGAAAGAAAGAATGTAGAAGTTTCAGGCTTCCGAACAAGAAGATGTTTCGTTTCGACAGGACATTCAAAGATATAAACAACTTTTCACGGAACGGGCCAGTCAAGTTAGTTTTTTTTGAGGATTGGGGGGGACAAAACTGAGAGGTGAGATTTGAGCTTCATTGAAAAATATTGGGTAAAGTTTTTAATTAATAATTATTATTGATGTTAAAGGAAAATTGTTTAAATTATTATTATTATGATTAGATGAAGCTTGAAGATATAGGATCAGCTTCCAGATTTTATTGAAAAACAAACCATGAAATATTTCATAGGTAGATTAATTTTTTCATAGTTTTATGCACGCGATTTCCAGTTTGTTTTGAATTTATTTTTATTTTTTTTTTATAATCTATTTTCACAAATTCTATTCCCAGGCGTGAAAGTCTCCTTTTTTAAAAGAAATATTTTTTTTCTCACGTCCAAATCATACATGAACTGGGACTCGGAATTCGGAGGGAGGAGGGTTAACTTCTGGTGAATTTTTAGAGGTAGGAGGCTTAACTTTTGAACATTTTAGGGTTTTTTATGCTTTTTGTGATAAAAAATCAGAAAAAAATGGGTTAGGGGGGTTAACTTTTCGAAAATTCCCCCTGGAAGGGGTGAGGGGGTCAACTCGAGAGTCCCCGGAGCGACTAGTTCATGTATGTGTCAATTTCCCCACCCCTGAGCATACCGCAAGATCTTGCAAAAAATAGAGTATCTGCTTGCTTTAATTAATCTTGTGCTGCTCTGAATTGAGCTCGCCGCTCAATTTCAGAAAATTAATTTTTAATTTTCTCTTTCCTCATTGTTTCGTCATGCTTTGCTGCGTCTGACCTAATTGAAAAGAAGAAAAACCGCCGCCACACAACAAAAACAAAATTAAAACTGAACTTTACTTTTTCCCCAAAGAGCCGGCTCACATCATTTTTAAATTTATTTCTGTCTATCTACTTTTCCACCCAAATATAATATTTATATGAATTTATTGAGTTTCAAATTCATTTTTTTGTTCTATTCTTGTCTAATTTTTTCAATTATTCCTTTTTCTTAACAAAAAAAACTTTAAAAGTACATTTTTCCCACCAACAATTATTTTTTTCGAAAAAAAAAACATCAAACACCTCTTGACAATTCGCCCAGCGGTTTCCCATGCGATCTCGTGGTGTAGTGGTTATCACATCTGTCTAACACACAGAAGGCCGGCGGTTCGAGCCCGCCCGAGATCATCAGTTTTTTTTCTTTTTTTTTTTTTTTGGTTTTTTTTTCAGACCTGGGAGTTTTTCCACCTACTTACTCATGAAAAATTCCCGATATTTTTAATGAGAAAGTTTAAATAATTTTTTTTCCAGAAGAAGAGAAAAAAGAGAGCATTTTTTAATGCTTAGAGTTCACTAATCCTATAATGATGTGAATGTTTTTCCCCAGTTTTTTCAATGAATTGAAAAAAAATGAGATCATTCATGTGTTTTTTTTTCTATATAGCATGTCTCGAATATTTTTTGTATTTTGAATTTTCGCGCGCGCGCGAAAAATGTGACACGCCCTTTTGCAGCTGATTTTTTCAGTTGGAAATCGCGTGGGTTCTCTGGAATTTTTTTTTAATTTTTTTTTCTCTGCCTCTCTCAGTTTTCTATACTCTCTCTCTCTCCTTTGTCACGGGATTTTGAAAATAAATTTTTATTTTTGGCGCGAAAATATTTGAATTCAAATTTTCTTCCAGATTTTTCAAATCACTCCAAAAAATTTATGTTTTTCCTGTTTTCCACGTCAAAAAATGTCAATTCACCTGTCTAAAGAAAAAAAAAAAAAAAAAAATTAATCCTTGTTTTTTTTTTCATGACCACCCATATATTATTGTCTGCGGAAAAATCTTGTGAAAATAATTTTTTGCGGCGCGAAAACGAAGCTCCGCAATTCCGCCGCACACTTTTTGTTTTCTAGGCAAATGTCCACTCAACTTGGCCCCATTTTCGCATTTCTTCTGCTTCTTCTCCTATTTTTCGATGTTCAGGCAAAAAGTTTTGTGTATTTTGTGAGAGTTGGGAGGAACGATCATCCGGAGGTTGGTTTTTTCGCAATCGGGTTTTTGAGCTGATCATTTTGAAACCAAACAAGCCTAGACTCCGCCCATTTTTGCAATTTTAGCGCACAGTTTTTGAGCTGATCATTTTGAGACCCAATAAGCCTAGGCTCCGCCCACTTTTTGCAATTTTAGCGCACAGTTTTCTGAGCTGATCATTTTTAGACCAAACAAGCCTAGGCTCCGCCCACTTTTTGCAATTTTAGGGCACAGTTTTGAGCTGATCATTTTGACACCAAACAAGCCTAGGCTCCGCCCACTTTTTGCAATTTCAAGGCACAGTTTTCTGAGCTGATCATTTTGACATCAAACAAGCCTAGGCTCCGCCCACTTTTTGCAATTTTAGGGCACAGTTTTCTGAGCTGATCATTTTGACACCAAACAAGCCTAGGCTCCGCCCACTTTTTGCAATTTCAAGGCACAGTTTTCTGAGCTGATCATTTTGACACCAAACAAGCCTAGGCTCCGCCCACTTTTGCAATTTTAGGGCACAGTTTTCTGAGCTGATCATTTTGACATCAAACAAGCCTAGGCTCCGCCCATTTTTGCAATTTCAAGGCACAGTTTTTGAGCTGATCATTTTGAGATCAAACAAGCCTAGGCTCCGCCCACTTTTTGCAATTTTAGGGCACAATTTTCTGAGCTGATCATTTTGACATCAAACAAGCCTAGGCTCCGCCCACTTTTTGCAATTTTAGGGCACAGTTTTTGAGCTTATCATTTTGAGACCAAACAAGCCTAGGCTCCGCCCATTTTTGCAATTTCAAGGCACAGTTTTTGAGCTGATCATTTTGAGATCAAACAAGCCTAGGCTCCGCCCACTTTTTGCAATTTTAGGGCACAGTTTTTGAGCTGATCATTTTGAGATCAAACAAGCCTAGGCTCCGCCCACTTTTTGCAATTTTAGGGCACAGTTTTTGAGCTGATCATTTTGAGACACAATAAGCCTAGGCTCCGCCCACTTTTTGCAATTTTAGGGCTCAGTTTTTGAGCTGATCATTTTGAAACCAAACAAGCCTAGGCTCCGCCCACTTTTTGCAATTTTAGGGCACAGTTTTTGAGCTGATCATTTTGAGACCAAACAAGCCTAGGCTCCGCCCACTTTTGCAATTTTAGGGCACAGTTTTCTGAGCTGATCATTTTGACATCAAACAAGCCTAGGCTCCGCCCACTTTTTGCAATTTTAGGGCACAGTTTTTGAGCTGATCATTTTGAGATCAAACAAGCCTAGGCTCCGCCCACTTTTTGCAATTTTAGGGCACAGTTTTTGAGCTGATCATTTTGAGACCAAACAAGCCTAGGCTCCGCCCACTTTTGCAATTTTAGGGCACAGTTTTCTGAGCTGATCATTTTGACATCAAACAAGCCTAGGCTCCGCCCATTTTTGCAATTTCAAGGCACAGTTTTTGAGCTGATCATTTTGAGATCAAACAAGCCTAGGCTCCGCCCACTTTTTGCAATTTTAGGGCACAATTTTCTGAGCTGATCATTTTGACATCAAACAAGCCTAGGCTCCGCCCACTTTTTGCAATTTTAGGGCACAGTTTTTGAGCTTATCATTTTGAGACCAAACAAGCCTAGGCTCCGCCCATTTTTGCAATTTCAAGGCACAGTTTTTGAGCTGATCATTTTGAGATCAAACAAGCCTAGGCTCCGCCCACTTTTTGCAATTTTAGGGCACAGTTTTTGAGCTGATCATTTTGAGATCAAACAAGCCTAGGCTCCGCCCACTTTTTGCAATTTTAGGGCACAGTTTTTGAGCTGATCATTTTGAGACACAATAAGCCTAGGCTCCGCCCACTTTTTGCAATTTTAGGGCTCAGTTTTTGAGCTGATCATTTTGAAACCAAACAAGCCTAGGCTCCGCCCACTTTTTGCAATTTTAGGGCACAGTTTTTGAGCTGATCATTTTGAGACCAAACAAGCCTAGGCTCCGCCCACTTTTGCAATTTTAGGGCACAGTTTTCTGAGCTGATCATTTTGACATCAAACAAGCCTAGGCTCCGCCCACTTTTTGCAATTTTAGGGCACAGTTTTTGAGCTGATCATTTTGAGATCAAACAAGCCTAGGCTCCGCCCACTTTTTGCAATTTTAGGGCACAGTTTTTGAGCTGATCATTTTGAGATCAAACAAGCCTAGGCTCCGCCCACTTTTTGCAATTTTAGGGCACAGTTTTTGAGCTGATCATTTTGAGACCAAACAAGCCTAGGCTCCGCCCACTTTTGCAATTTTAGGGCACAGTTTTCTGAGCTGATCATTTTGACATCAAACAAGCCTAGGCTCCGCCCATTTTTGCAATTTCAAGGCACAGTTTTTGAGCTGATCATTTTGAGATCAAACAAGCCTAGGCTCCGCCCACTTTTTGCAATTTTAGGGCACAATTTTCTGAGCTGATCATTTTGAGATCAAACAAGCCTAGGCTCCGCCCATTTTTTGCAATTTCAGGGCACAGTTTTTTTTTCAGAATCATTTCAACATGTTCGATCAATCGCGATTTTTCCAATACGAACTTCTAGTCCCCGAATCTTCATCCACACAAACAACATCGGAAATTGTGGTGAAGCCGATTGTAGAAGATCATAGAGAAAGTCCGCAACAGGAAAGACATACCTATCAGATAATGGGAGCTCCGGTTAGTTCGCGCGCCAAAAATTTTGATTTCAAAAATTGTATTTTCCAGGTCTCGCTATCCAATCCGCTCTTCAATATGGTCACAAAAGTTCACGACATTTTTCGATGGGCCCAAAATTTGGATGATGATAATGGTCCCGATGAGGAACGATAATGTTTTTTAAAGGAACATACAGTAACCCACACTGGTGGGAAATATATTTATTTGAAAAAAAATTAATTATAAATACATACTGGTAAGATCTCTGTAATGAATAAATTTGATCAAGTTAAAAAATTTTGGGAAAGTTTCAGCGTCAACGTGGAGTCTCGTTGTTTTCTTTCCATTTTTTTGCATTTTTTTTTTGAAAAAAAAACTATTTTACGTGAAAAACGTGAAATTTTTTGCATTTCCCGTTTTTTTTTACCAAAAAACATGAAAATTTGGATATTTCTACCAATTTTTGTGGTTTCCGCCGTGAAATTCAACTACACCAGTTTGATTCGAGGAACCCTGAGTTGTGAATCGAAAAGAGCTGGAAATTTGGAGTTGGAATTGATGGAAAGTGATCCTGGTGGGTGATTTTTGGCTGAAAATATCTGAAATTCTCCGAATTTCCTAGCCTTGTTTGGTCTCATTTTGTAGCCCTTGAAATTCTATGAGTTAGGCTAACCCCCATTTTTCTAGTCACCGGCGATGACAAATTGAATCAAACAAAAACCGACAAAAATGGCGAATTCGAGATTTTTGGCTTCGAAGAAGAGTCGAAATATGATCCATATTTGCTCATAAAACACAAATGCAATGTGAAAGACGTGAAAAACAAGGTATTTTCGGCTGAAAATCACATTTTCAGCCACAAAAACCCTCTGAAATTTCGAATTCTTCAGAAATGCTATCGAAAATCACGATACGACATTTACCAGAAGGAAATTCATCAGGAATTTGAACTGCCCTTTTTATCATTGGATATTTATACGAAAAAAGATGAGGAGATTTGTGATTAATTAAATGAAATCTTAATTTTTTTTTAAATCAAAGTGCGCTCCATTGACAACCAAAGTTTTTATTTCAAAAAAAAAAACAAATCAAATATTCGCACACCTCAAGCCATTTAAAATCTCCCTTGCCGCCATCGGATACATCCTCAAACCATCTCCAATATTCTGAGCAATCTTCACACTTTCACCATACGATTTGTCCGCAATTGCACCAATCGATCCACCAATTTGTTCACCAATCCTTCCCACATTTTCACCAATCGCCGAACTTATGCCATTAAACGATTTGCCCATTTGGTTGGAAAATTCGCCGAAATGCGCGGTTTTTGGGGGGATTTTTGGGGAAGTTACTGAAAATCCACTGAATTCTTGACAATTCGCAAGGAAAACCATGAAAAACACGATAAAAATCAACATTTTCATTTTAAAAAATCACGAAAAAAAGTGACTTTTTATAATAAGTATGACATGTTTGCGCAGCTTGAAAATTCAAAAAATTTCAACAAAAATATTTTTGAGAGCAAGAAAAACAAGTTTTTTGATCGGAATTTGAATTTTTCCAGTGTTTCGGGGAAATTTGCGATGGGGCGCGTTTGCTATTTCAAACTTGTTTGATCTCATTTTGTAGCTCTTGATGAAATTCTCTACAAAATGTTCATTTCACCGATTTTTCACGAACAATACTCCTGATCTTCTCCAAAATTCAAATCCAAACTAATAAATCGCATATCATAAACCTTGTCGCCTTTCGCAGTGATAAAATGCTGTGGAATTCGAAAAATCGATTTTCTTCGGCAACCCAACTTTTTCAGATTACAAGTATGAATTATTTTCAGATATGGTTCAATACTTCCAACTTCTGAATATTCGCCTTTCAAATCAAATTCTCCTTGGAGCGAACTTGTTGCTTCAGACAATAATGCATCACTTGTCACTGCAAAAAAGAATTGTCTAGAATTTGCTTCTGAAAATCCCCACCTTCCTCTTCAAATAGCTGAATTTTCAGCGAAATTCGACGATTTTCACACAAAGTTGTGCCTTTTATTGAGACTTTTTGAAGGTCTGATGTGATTTTGGCAATTAGGAATGAGAATATAATGAAAAAATGGGATTTTTGCATTTTTTAGGAATTTAGAAATGAAATTTGGAATTAATCAGGAGAAAGAGAGATGGGTCACGTTGAAATTTTAAACTAAATTATTTTAATCTGATGCAACAAGTTCGCTCTAATGAGAATTTTATTTGAAAAGCCAGAGTTCAAAATTTGGGCATAGCTTCCTTCAAAAATTGATAAAATTCAAGTTTTTCAAGATTTTCGTCTTGAGAAAGCTGAATTTTATCAATTTTTGATTGGAAAATCAGAAATTTTTAGATAAAATGAAATTTTGGCTGAAAATTGGGATTTTTTGAGTTTAGATAAGCCTAGGCTTGTCTAGATTCAAAAAATCCCGATTTTTTGTTTTCTAGACGGAAATATACCAATTTTCATGCAAAATAACCATCAAAAATCCAATTTGTTCACAAAATATCATTCAATCCTCGTCTTCTTTGCATATCAATCGCCACTTGTTCGAGTTCTTGTTTGGCCGCTGCAAATTTCATCAAAACCCACGAGCAGCACATCATCAAACAGTGGGCTGTAAAATTTTCAAAATAAAAAAAATCGATGTTTTGTCGCAAAACTCACTGTGAATGGTGAAAATGCAGAAAGCATAAATCCAGGGAAAATTGAGTTTCGATCCGAAATCTTCGAAAATGTCCGACATTCTTTTGCAACGATTGATATGGCAGACTGCAAAAAATTGATTTTTTTTCCTCTAATTCAAAAAAATACACCCACCAACAATATCCAACTCAATAAGTGCAACAAAAACCGCCAATAAGACTAGATAAACCAAATTCATCATATGATGAAAAAGAATGTCTACAAACTTCATTCCTCGATAAACCTGCAGAAATCCGAGATTCCAACCCACTGCGAACAGCAAGAAATACGACAAGTAACCAATTGTATTCAACCAAAAGATCAAAAATCCAAGATTATCCAGGAGAAGCAGTAAAAATGCGATATTCTACAAGAATTTTGGGGATTTCGGGTAACTAGAGTGTAGTTTAAGACGTACCCTAACTTCCAAACCGAAAACTATTGGTGGAACAACTTCATAATAACCTTGCTCGCTGAGCAAAATCATTTTTGGAGTCGAAAATGAAATTTTTTTTTTTGAAAAAAAAAGATGACAATTGAGCGTTGCGCTTCAAGACCCTGTTGTTCTTTGTTGTGCGCCTTTGAAACACTACGGTATTTTTTTATATTTTTTATTGAATTTTTTTTCTCTGTTTTCAGCTTTTTCCACCTGAAAACCTGGCATTACCCAGACTCATTTTACACCATTTTGTAACCCGCAAAATTCTCTACAAAGCGAGCACACTGGCATTCAGGCAAACTCTGAAATACTAGCTAAAAAGGAGCCTAGAAGCTGAAATTTTCCTGGAAAAAATTTCTAGGCTTATTCGGTTTCATTCTGAAGCTATTTAAATCGCCTACAAGATGTTCAAAAGTAAAATATTTATTAATCAAGATATCCGGAGCACGAAGCGTACCAAAGTTGACAAAAATACTCATTCCTGGGGCTTGGTCGAGAACACCATTTTTTCGTCCGCTTCGCCTCGTATTCGCACTGAAAAAAAGTTTTCAGGTCTGAAATTTATAGATTTTTGGCTGAAAATCGGGATTTTTTGAGTCTAAACAAGCCTAGGCTTATCTAGACTCAAAAAATCCCAAATTTCCCAAATCAACTCACCTTACACCGCCTTGTACAATGCGGATGATTTCTGACGTCACAATTCGGGCGGCACGGCACAATTTCCTCCAATTTCTCCAGAACCTCCTCAAAAACCATCTCACCGGCCCGATTTTCCACGCCTTTTCGATGCTCCGCTTTTTCCTCTGGAGTTAGCTCATCTTCCTCGCTGCTCTCTCCATTTTTGATGCAAGCCTTCTTGTAACTCGGACAGAATTTGTTGATTTCGTCGAGTTTTCGCTGATTTCGCCGGATTTTTTCGATTGACCAGATTCCACGACAAAAATAGTTGTATTGCGCGTGGACTGCTGCACAGTATTCGGCGACTTCGAGGCCGTCAGCCTGCAAAAATTTGAAAATTTTGGTTAAAAACTGGGTTATCAATAGAGCGCACTTGCAAAAATTTCAAGTTTGGGCTCAAAAATCGCAAATTCCCCCAATTCTCAATATGCCAGGTCATAGCCCTCACTAACCGTCGAAATCTCCTCAGTTTCCTCATCCTCCTCATCCCGCAAAAATCGTGTACAAAAAATAATGGGTAAAATAAGTGAAATCAGCAGTAATTTCTTCATTAAACCTCCCGTTTTTTTGTTTAAAAGACAAAGACAAAGATGATGATATTTGATAACCTTTTTATACTTCTCATGTCACGAGAAGGCGTGGTTTTGCAAGAAAATTGATGATTTTTAAAGGTTTTTTGAAAAAAAAAATAAAAAAAAATTAATAAATACCGTACTATTTTCAAAGGCGCACAACAAACAACAATTGGGTCTCGCAGCGCGCAAACGCGCGTCTCCCGTTTTTCAAAAAAAAAATATTTTAATTTTCCCTCCCAAAAAATGATTTTATACAGCGATCAGGGTGTTTACACGGTTATTCCACCAACAATATGTGGTTTAGAAGTTAAGGTAAGTCTCAAACTACACTCTAGTCACCCGAAATCTCCCTAATTCTTTCAGATTTTTGCGATTTGCCTTCTTCTCCTGGACACTTTTGGATTTTTGACATTTTGGTGCAATTCAAATGGGGTTTTGGCCTATATTTTTGCGGTTTTGATGATTTTGAACTTGGGTCCCTTGGGATTTGTGTTGGTTTATTGGAAGCAGAAGTTTCCTGCAATTTTTATGCATTTCATGGAGACCTTATTGTATTTGATTTTGGTGGCGATTGTTTTCGCGTTTGTCGAGTTTGATGTACATGGTGAGATTTTGAAGCTGAAATTCCACGTTTTTGAGCAAAAATCTGAAAATTTCAAGCTTAGTCTCAAAAAATCCCAATTTTTTTGCAGTTTGCCCACATAATCGTTGTCAACGGATCTCGGAAATGCTCGAAATCTACGGAGAAAAAATCAATTATGGCTGGTTCTACACATTTTGCATTTTCACAGTGATAAGTAGGTTTCGCGCGCAAAAAAATCGATTTTTACCTCAAAAACGTTTCAGCTCATTGTTCGATGCTGTTGTGCTCTTGGAAATTGATGAAATTTGCGGCCGCCAAAACCGAACTTCGAAAAATATCCAGAGATATGGAAAGACGACGATTGAATGATATTTTGTGAACAAAATTTGAAGAGAAATAATAAATTTTTATTAAATTTTTGGTTGAAAATTGCGATTTTTTGAGTCTAGATAAGGTTAGGCTCGGAAAATTTCAGATTTCTGGTTTCAGTCAGTCAAAAATCTGAAATTTATCAAGCCTAGGCTTATCTAGACTCAAAAAATCCCAATTTTCAGCCAAAATTTCATATTTCATGGGAAAAATCTGATTTTCCAATCAAAAATGGATAAAATTCAGGTTTCTCAAGACGAAAATCTTGAATTTTATCAATTTTTGAAGGAAGCTATGCCCAAAATTTGAATTTTCGGCTTTAAAAATCTCAAGTGCGCTCCATTCTAAACATTTTCATTCAATAACATCATAAATAACAAAATCTCTTTTCTTCGGCCAAAAAATGGCGGGAATAATCGACTCATGTTCCTTTAAACCATAATATTTCCTCCTGCGATTTTTGAAAATCGCAAAATTTATCGATTTTTCCGGCTTTCTCGGTGTCAATAAAAATCGATTCGTTGAAATGCGCCAAATTTGAATCACCAAAAACACGAAAAACATGCAAAAAACCAGAAAAATCATGAAAAACATTGAAGTTACATCAAATTCGCGTTGAAAAATCACAAAATTTGCGGGATTTTCAATGAAAATCGCATATTCTTCAAGAATTTCCCGATGGCATCGAGTAAAATGAGCAATCCAAAATTGATTGGGGAGAATTAGGGAAAACAAGGAGCCGGATGTCATGAGAATGAGGAAATTTGTGAAATTTTGACGATTTTGCGCGCCGACACATTGACCAATCCATGGACAATGATGATCTAGTTGATAAATGCATCTGAAATTTAAAAATTTGCCTGAAAATTGGAATTTTTTGAGTCTAGATAAGCCTAGGCTTGAAAAAATGCAAGTGCGCTCTATTGATAATCCCTCATTTTCTGAGAAAATTCAAATTTTCTCACCTATCACAAACACTACAATGATGAGTTTGCCAACATTTCCAAATCCGACATTTCTCACAAAATCGTCCTTTTTTCTCTGCGTCTCTCGACTCTCCACACTCTCTAGCCTCCAATTTCCAACAATAATAATAATTAAATAGCACCGCGTAAAAATTCCAGCCAAAAATCGCGATTCGCGCCCAAAACCACAACATTGTCCATAGAGCGCATTTGCTGTATTCATAGGGAATGATTTTGAAAATGGAAATATAGGAAAACCAGATGAAAAGAGCGAGAAATATGCGGAAAAATACACGGGATAATAGTTTTGAGGCAATTTTGTCGGATTCCTGGTGATTTGACAGGGTTTTTATGAGATTTTTGCATTTTTCGTTGAAAAATTCCATTTTGGCGCGAAAAATGAAGGGTTTTTGAGAGAAAATGGGTTAAAATAATGTAGGTCACGGGTTTTTTCGAGAAAATTTCCGAATTTTCTTTATTTTCAAATTCCCTCATTTCCCGCGTTTTTTCAAGGTTTTTTAGTGTAAAAATGTGATGGCGAAAAATGAATTTCTCTCACACAAACGACTACGGTACGCAACTCGCCACACATACACGGCGACGCACAACTACACATATCGTACTCGAATTTATTCTAGAAGACTTTTTCAAGTTTTGCTCATTTTCAGCGCCATTTCACCGCGTTTTTGGGGTTTTCGTGGATTCCGAGTGAAATTTGGAGGGTTTCAGATGAATTTAGTCGAAAACCGCTGGAAATTTGATGAAAATTGGGGGATTTTAGGAGTTTCGAAATTTTCGCAGTTCTAGAAGCGGCTTGGTGTCATTAATTTTTGAATAGCCTTTGCAGCTGTGGTTTCTTTGTAAGACTTTTCAAGAATAGAAATAGGTTTCCTAGAGAAAATATTGATTTTTACGTGAACTTTTGATAAAACGTGAAGAAATCTTGGGATTTTGGTTATTTTTGTGTTTTGCTTTTTTGAAAACTGGTTTTTTTGGCGGGAGAAAATTTTTTTTTTAATTCGCAAATGTGAGTCTGGCGGGAAACTTCAGTGCGCGAAATTGTTGAATTTTAGCACCAAACATCAGTTTTCATGAAAACTTGTGGATTTTTTGGGTTTTTTCATGATTTTGTTGAGTTTTCAATGATGATTTACCAAATACTAGAATTATTGAGAGTTTTCACTGATATTTAGCTTTACTTGGTTTGAGAACCAGCTTATTACGTGAAAATGAGCTCAGAACGGTCTTTTCAAGGTATTTTCAATGAAAAATCCAAGTTTTAATCAATTTTTCACTAATTTTTGATCCAGAATCGTGTTTTTCTAGAATTTTAACTTGAAAATTAGCTTATTTTTACCCAAAACGATTTTTTTTCACCTTGCTAACTCGAAATTCCCACAGAAATACCATTTTTCACCGAATTTCTTCAATTTCTCACTTTTTCTCTCATTTTCCCCATCAAAATTCCAATTTTCAGGTACACAAAACCGAAAAACTCGAAATGGCGCAAGCTGCGCAACTACTTTTCGACGAAAACGGGCAACCGTTTATCGTGATGCGAGAACAAGAAAACCAGAAGCGTATAACTGGTGTGGAAGCGGTGAAAAGTCATATTTTGGCTGCCAGAGCCGTTGCCAACACTTTGAAAACATCGCTTGGACCAAGAGGATTGGATAAGATGCTTGTGAGTTTGCTGAAATCTATGGAAATGAAAAAATTCGAGATTTTCATTGAAAAATTGGCTAGAAAATCGAATTTAGACACCAGGAGCTGGATTTTTGATAAAAATCGCAGTTTTGCCTCTGAATTCTGGTAATTTCAGTGTTTTCCATTTGCATTTTTGAACAATTTTTATGAAAAATTCGACAAAAATTGATAGGAATCTGAAATTTTCAGTGTTTTTGCTCAAATTATTGATTTTTGAGCTCTAGAAATCATATAATTATCTACTGGAGCTCACAAATCAAACATTAGAGCAAAAACACTGAAAGTTTCAGATTTCTATCAATTTTTGTCGAATTTTTCATAAAAATTGGGTAAACTTCAACTAGAGTCAGTGAAAAACACTGAAGTTTTCAAAATTCAGAGCTTCTGGTGTCTAAATTCGATTTTCTAGCCAATTTTTCAATGAAAATCTCGAATTTTGGGTTATTTCATGTGAAAACTGCAATTTTCATTAAAAACCAGGTTTCTTGACTCAAAATAGCGCATTTTTAGCGAAAATTCCCCTAGAATCATGATTTTCCCTCCAAAAATCACCGCAAATTTAATTTCAGGTCTCTCCAGATGGTGAAGTGACCATTACAAATGATGGTGCCACAATTATGGAAAAAATGGACGTTCAACACCATGTTGCCAAATTGATGGTCGAATTGTCGAAATCGCAAGATCACGAGATTGGAGATGGAACAACTGGAGTTGTTGGTGCGTTTTGGGATGGAAATGGGGAATTTTGGCTGAAATATAGCTGGAAATGATGATTATTGGGTGAAAAATCATCGAAAATACTGATTTTTGAACTATAAATGGTCAAAAATGCTAGTTTTTGGCTGAAAATCTGGAATTTTCTCAAGTTCTGGGACCTGAATTTGAGAAATTTCTGAATTTTTCATCCGAAAATAGTCTACAAGTCCGAAAAATGGACAAAACTGTCAGAAAATGACCCCAGAATTCATATTATGGCCTAGAAATCCCGTTTTCCACATTTTCCTTATCTTTTTTCCCTCCCAAGTCCAGTCGTTTTTTCCTCACTCCGTTTCCCGTCATTTTTTCGTCACCCACCCTCTTTTTTCTCGTTTTTCGTTTTTTTTGCTACAAAAATCATCTAAGACAAGACGAAGAACCCCAAGTGTGTTTATATTTGTATTTGTTCAGTTTATGACGTGGTTTCTTCGTTCTTTATCAAGAAAACGAGAGCAAGCAGGACTTTTTTGCTCTTTTCGTTTTACGGCCATTTTTTGGACGGTTTATTGATCTTTTCGTTTTTGGAGATTGAAAATTCCGGTGATTTTTGAGCTGGAAAATTGGGATTTTCAAGGGTTTTCAGGAATATTCACTGAAAAGTACGATTTTTAGGCTGTAAATCCGAAATTTCAACTCAAACTTGAGCTGGAACTCAAATATCTCGATTTTTCAACAAATACTCATAAAAATGTGTACATTGTTTGATCAGTCGTCAAATTTTTTGATGAAAAATGTTTTGTTTTCGATTCCTCCCCAAAAATCAACAAATATACGTCATTTTTTGCCATTTCTCCTGAAAATTCGGCTTTTCCTCGCTTTTTTTTGATTATGACGTCAATCGATAACTTTTTGGGGTTATCACGAAAAATGCATGATTTTTCCAAAAATTTTGTGAAAAAATGCACATCACCCTATTTTTTGGGTTATTTTTTGTGATAAGAATGACTTTTGTACGAAGGGGTTTTGTTTGAACAAGTCTTGTGAGGTTCTTTGAGTTTTTGACTATTTGCACTATGTATTAGAAGCGAATTGTCTGAAAATTTGTTAATTTCAGCCGAAATTACCCGAAGATGAGTTTTTCCCAGATTTTTGATAAAAATCTGGCTTTTTGAAGGTTTTGGCTGAAAATTTAGGATTTTCAGCCAAAATTACTATTGACTATGTTTTTTCCAAGATTTTTGAGAAAAATCTGGTATTTCTGATGGTCCCGGCTGAAAATTTGAATTTTCCATGAAATTGTGAAGGTTTAAATTTCCAGCCTTGATTGCTGGCTGAAAATTTGAGAAAAACATGGATTTCTCATGAAATTTTGAAGTTTCTAACTCCTAGCTATGAATTATACCTGAAAATTTTCAGAAAATCTGATTTTCCCCCTGAAAAATTCAAATTTTGTACACATATTTACACAATTTTCACATATTTCCCTCACACTACAAAAAGAGCTCCAAAAATTGCGTTTTTCTGCTCAAAAAACACTTTTTCCTGCTTCTAATCCCCCCTATTTTCTAGTCACATGATATCTCATTTTTTTCGAAAAAAAAAAAGAATTTTCGGATATTTAATTCATAATAATTATTATTTGTGTTTCGCACATTTTTTGAGCGCAAAAAAAAAATTTGCGCGGAAATTTTTTATGTTTCTTCTCGGCCCCGCCGGAGAATGGAGAAGAGATAATTAAATTTTCCTTCTCAGTGAGCATTTTTTTGTGTTGCTCAACTAAAGTGGAGCAGAAACTAGGAAATTAATAAGCGGCTCAAAGTTCTTGAGCCAATTTATTTGTATTTTTGCTATTTTCAGTGGAAAGTTGGGATTTTTGAACCTTGGAAACTGAAAAATTCCGAAATTTTGAGCTGAAATTCAGGTCTTGTCCTGATTTTGGCTAGAATCCCAATTTTCGACCCAAAAAATCGATTTTTAATGAAAAAATCGTGTTTCCCGATTGAATTTCCGCCCAAATTAGCCGAAAAAATCGAAATCGACTCCCATAAATCGAAAAAAACGCAACTAATCGTCTTTTTTTTCGTACAAGGTCATTCGGTTTCAATTTTTTCTATATTTGGAAAGAATTCGTCATAATCCTGTGCAAAATGGCAATTTTTAGGGTTTTTGTACGAAAAATTGCGAAACTTTCTATCAGAAACCGAGAAAATCGCTTTTTTCACCCCAAAACACATTTTTGGGCCCAATTTTCCGAAAAATTGCGAAATTTTGTTGTTTTGAGCCCGCAGTTGACTCAATTCTTCTCGTTTTGCTCATTTTTTGTTTCCCCAACACGATAAAATTGCGAAAAAGTAGAATAGACCGAATTTGTTATTGATGAATTACCTCAATTTGCACTCTATTCATGTTTCTTTCAATTTCTCATTTTTTGAATAGAAACTGGATTAGAAATTGTGAGTCAGCTGAAAATTAGATTAGATTAGAAGAATTATCAGCTTTTTCGCGCACCTGAGAAGAAAATGTCATTTTTTGGGGGGAACAGGTGAAAATTTGAGCTATTTTTGACCGGATTCGAGGATTTTTGATTGAATCCGGAAATTCTAGAAATTCTGACCAAAAATCTGGAAAATTAGGCTAGGAGACCACAAATGCAATCCAATTTTTACCAAGACATTCTGGATCTGTGCTGAAAATCTAGAGTTCCAGTTCAATTTTGCTCGAAATTCCCAGGTGGAATTGTCTGGAAAGCTGAAAATTTTATAATTTCATCGAAAATCGATTCTGGAACTGGAAAATTTCAACCAGAATTCAGTTTTTCATGAAATTTTGAGCTGAAGTTGTGCTGAAAATCCCGAAAATGCACATAAATTCGAGAATTTATCGCTTTTTTCTTTTGAAATATCGAAATCCCCAAGATTAACATTAGAAAATCGAGAATTTCCATAAAAAATGTGATAAAATCTCCCAGATTATCAATTTTTCTCAAATTTCTGGTGATAATCCCTTCTTTTCCCCCGTCTAAAGTACTTTTTCCCACTTTTTTCGCATCTAATTTGTGCCACTGAAAAGAAGTCTTATATATATTCATTAAAATGTATGACTAGTGCCCCTTTTTTTCTGTGCCAGCTTATTCTTTTTTTATTTTATGTTTTTTTTTTGCTTCTAGTTGTTTTCTACTTCTTTTTTTTTCGCTCGCTTTTCTCTACGCACTCCTTTTCTATCGATCTTTTCCTTTTTTCGAAGCAGAAAATGGAGAAAAAGAGCATTTCTCCCTCTTTCCACCTTCAGCTCTTTTTTTTGCGCTTGTTTCACTTGCTTTTTGAGCCAGGTTTTCTTTGCTGGTTGAATAGTGCAAGTTTGGAGGCTGCCAGGCAGGAAATGTGCTAATTGAAGGCGGTTTGAGGTTTGGAGCGACTGAAAATTGATTTTTCTGGAATTTTATCATCGAAAATTGCTCCTGGAAGTCATTTTCGATGGATTTTTCGTGTTTCTTGGCTAAAAATTGATCTAGATTTGATTTTGGAACCGATTCTTGGCTATTTTCATCTGTAAACATCTTTTTCACTGAATTTTTCGTTTCTTGCTGCATTTGGTTGGTCAAAATCGAGATGGAAACGATTTTTCTCGACTTTTCAGCTTTTTCTAACTAAAAAATTGATCAATTTCCGGTTCTGACTGATAAAAATTGAGTTGCACTGCTTTTCCCCGTTTTTTCCTCGAATTTTTATGGAATTTCAAGTTTTCCGGATCAAAATTGGATTCTAGATCAATTTTCCACCATTTTTCGCTCAAGACCATGTTTTCGTGATTTTTAGCTAATTTTTAGTTCGAAATCACGAGTTTCCACCAAAAACCTGTTTTCCCTCAAATTTCTGACCAAAAATCAGAAAAATGTTGTTGATTAGATTTTTCGAGAAAGTTAAACCTATAATTTTTGTCACCAAGCGTTTTTTGGCTGAAAAGTACATTTTCAGCCTTGTCAATTTGAATTAGCTTTTCCTATCTCTTCTCGCTGAAAAAGCTGTCAGGTCATCGTTTTTTTTCAGTAAACAGTTGTTCTTCTGAAATTTTCAGCCCCCTAGGAAAAATCGATTTTTTTTTCGTGCGCTCGAAAAATGCACCTGCTCCAAAACTCTACTTAAAAATTAATCGCGTTTTCCTTTTTTTTCCAATTTTGCCTAAAATGTTTCGTTTTTTTTTTTGCCTCGTCACACAGAAAATGTCTCGAATTTCTCCCATTGACACAATGCCAAAAACATTTTTTTTTGCCTCCGTTTTTTTTTTGAACAGAGAGCATCTCGCTTTTTGTTTCTTCTTCTTCGTCGCGTTTTTTATTGTTTGGTTTTACGTCACTGGCGATTTTGTTTCGGGAGCGAAAAGGTGAATGTGTATTTTGATGGAGGCGTTTTGTTTTTGGCTGGAAATTGGACGATTTTTGATCTGGGAAGCTGAAAATTTGAGTATGGAACTGTGTCTGATGTGGAAAATTCGGTTTTTGACCAGAAAATCTGTCTTTTCGTTCTGATATTGACTAGAAAGCTGAATATCAGGTTTTTAGACTTGAAATTCGAAGTTCTCATAAAATTTTGGGCCTCGAACTCATTTTTAACCAACCTATGAGAATTTTTAGTGGAAAATTAGGTTTTGAAGCTAAAAATGGTTCATTTTTCTTGAAATTTAGGTTTTGACACGACTTTCTGAGCTTAAATGGTCTCGGAAGCTGAAAATTGTGTTTTTCGTCTAGAAATGGGAAATTTTGTTTGGTTCTCTGACGAAAAATGGTATTTGCAACCTTGGGAATTTGGAAATTTTGCTCAAAATTCATTTTTTGACACAAATTTTCAGCAATCCCGGCTGAAAATTAGGGTTTCTAGCTCAATGGAACTTGAAAATGTGGGAATTTTCACCTGAAATAGTCTAAGTCTGAAAGTGAAAAATCCAGTTTTCAAATTTGTCTGAAAATCCATCTGAAACCATGTTTTGGCTGAAATTCCAGCACTCTTCTGCTATTTGTCTCTTTTTTCTTCTTCCTCTTGTTTTTTGTTTCGATTTGTTTTGTTATTGTGTTTTTTAGCTGTCTTTTTTCTCTAATTTCTCTCCCATTTTTCGTCTTTTTTTCCGCAAAATTTCAAGTTTCTATTCTATTCTTCTTCTTGTTTTTTCCCCTTGTTTTTTGACCGAAAATTGCCGTTTTTTATCATTTTGTGTACATTTCCCTTCATTTACACCAAAACACATAATTTTGTTGTTTTTTTTCTGAAGTTTGTCACGAAATTTTGCGATTTTTCACCTGGAATTTGCCACGATTCATCCTGAGACTTTGGCTAAGTCCAAGACCTGAAAAACTTGCCAAAAACAAGATTTTTAATGTCTCTTTTTGTTCTTATCTTGTCTTCTGAAGAGAATTGTTCGATTTTCCCCCCGGTTTTATCTGATTTTTTTCCCCTCGAGCGAAAAAATTGGGCCTTTTTTCGGTTTTTGAGGTGAAATTGAGGTTTTTGGAGCGTGAAAATTGGTCTAGGTTGGGAAATTTGAGGATTTTTGGTCTCTAGGAGGTTTTTGAGCTCTTTTGGATGAAATTAGGCTTCTGTGAGACCTGGAATTAATTTTAGCTGGAAATTTCGGATATTTCAGCTGATTTCGGGGAAATTTTGAGTTCCGGACTTTTTTTTATCAGAAAAATCTGAAAATTTGACGTTTTCTGAAATTTTTGGCTAAAATTAGGCTTCTAGTAGTCTCTTTGAGCCAAAATTCGAGATTTTTTGGCTGAAAGACGATTTTTGGGACGAAAAATTAATATTTTTGCAAAATTTCCAGCTTTTAGGCTATTTTGAAGCTGAAAGTCTCCAATTTCTTCCCGAAAATCTCTATTTTCTCTGCGTCTCTCACTATCTCTCACTCTCTCACCTATATATGCATAATTTTTTGATCTCTTGATCAATCAATAGAATACAAGTGTTGTGCCTGTCTGGCATCCTGTTGCCTGTCTATTTCTCTGCGTCTCTCATTTCTCCACACTCTCTCGCTCGTTCTAGTTTTTCTTGGTGTATTATGTAATAGCAGATGGTGTAGCGTTTTTTTTTGTGGTAATTTTGCTGTGTTGGGAACTTTTATTGTGGGAAATTTGGAATTTCAGCCCCACCCCCAAAATTTTCCAATTTCTATGCTGAAAATCTGAAATTTTCCCGAATTTTAGATTTTCAGCCCCGGAAATCCGATTATTCATCTATTTTTCCTCTCAAATAAATCCCTCCGAAATTTTCTTATTTTTTTCTCCGATTTTTTTTCGCCCCCCCCCCCCGAAAAATGCCCTTTTTGTAGCTATACTAGGCTTAAGGCTATGAAAAATCGGATTAATTTTCTTACTGTACGAAAATCTCCCAAAAAATCGGATTTTTCACGAATTTCCATTTCCGAAACCCTCAAAATTATGGATTTTTCTCAAAATTTGACTCAAAAATCGCATTTCCCCACCCGAAACCCTCAAAATTATCGATTTTTTGCAGTTCTTGCTGGAGCTCTCTTGGAAGAAGCCGAAAAATTGATTGATCGTGGAATTCACCCGATCAAGATTGCCGATGGATTCGATTTGGCGTGCAAAAAAGCCCTGGAGACTTTGGACTCGATTTCCGACCGTTTCCCTGTTGAAAATCGCGAACGATTGGTTGAGACTGCGCAAACTAGTTTGGGAAGTAAAATGTAAGTTGTTTGGAGCATTTTGAGCCAAAATTCATGAAATTTAAGCCGAGAAACTTGAAAAATTGTGAAAAATTATGAATTTTGACCCAAAAATTGTAAAAATCACGAAATTTCGCGATTTGTGACCTAATGTTGATAAATTCGCTTTTTCTTATCATTTTCAGATTTTTCTGAAATTCCAGGCTCCGCCCACTTTTTTCCAGCTTTTTTTTCATTTTCTCGAAAAATAATTCCCATTTCTTTTATCTCTTTGAGAAAATCTCGGCTTATTTTTCCTTCTTTTTTTTTTGAAAAAAAGGAACATTTTTTATCAAGATGATCTAGATGATTTTTTTGGCTTGACACGTGGATTCTTGGGCCTAGACAACCTTGAAAAATTGGTGGTTTTGGGGTGAAAATGACCCTAAAATTGAGTTGGTAGGGCCTTATATAGCCTAGAGTTAGGCCTGAAAGTAGGCTAAAAACTTGCCTAGAACGTGGCCTATAAAAAGCCTAAAAGGCCTGTAATAGTATTAAACCAGGTTTATTTGGTAGCTTAAGTTAGGGCCTAAAATGACACAGAAATAGCTCTTATAATAGCCTAAAACTAGGCCTAGTTTCAGCCTGAGAGTACCTCAAAACAGGCCTTGAAATAAGCCTAAAATAGTCCTGAACCATACTCATTTGGTACCTATAAATTTACCTAAGCCTTATCTACCTTAAAATGTGTCTAAAATACCTTAGGATTACCCAAAACCCATGATTTCTACCTTAAAATGACACTAATTGCATCTCTTATCAATATATTTGCAGCGTCAACCGTGCTCTTCGTCAATTTGCCGAAATCGCAGTCGACGCCGTGTTGTCGGTGGCCGATTTGGAGACAAAAGATGTCAATTTTGAGATGATCAAAATGGAGGGAAAAGTTGGCGGAAGATTGGAGGATTCGATTTTGGTGAAAGGAATTGTTATCGACAAGACGATGTCACATCCACAAATGGTTAAGGAGATTAAAAATGCGAAGGTGAGGATTTTTGGGGCTGGAAATGGGGTAAAATTTGACCCTAGAACCTTAAATTCATCATTTTCACGTTAAAAACACGCTAAACCCTGGAATTTGGGTGAAAATTGACCTTAGAACCTTAATTTTACCCTAAAGTTATCTTAACTTTATTATTCCTCATTTTGTTACCTTAAAAATGCCCTATTTCTTATCACAAAACTAATAACTAATAATAAAATAGTATAAGTTGGTAAATAATCCCAAAAGTGATTATTTTTTGCTATGGAAGCGCACTTTTTCTCTTTTTTGTTTGTAGTTCTATTTGCTCTATTTTTACCTCCAAAAATGGAGTACTGTACCTTTTTTCCGTCAAAAAATGCTCTTTTTGGCTAAAAATCATCCCAGAAACACACTTTTGGCAGGAAATTGGAAGGATTTCCGGCTTTTTCTGGGTTTGACTAGGGAAAATTTGATTTTGGTAAGTGTAGATCAAAATTTTGGCACCAAAAACAGCCACGTGGCAAATTTTTGAGATTTTCTAATTTCTATTTTTTTTGGTTAAAACATGCCACGTGGCAAATTTTCAACCAAAAATTGTCGAAAAATGTCATTTTTCCATCAATAGTCCAGAAACTGATGCCACGTGGCAAAAATTTTTGAAAATAATTTGAAAATTCCGAATTTACACTTCAAAATGCAAAAATTTTCAAGAAAAATCACCGAAAAATGCCATTTTCCCCTAATTTTCAAATTTTTTCCAAAAAACTTGTGAATTAACCACATCTCCACCAAGCCGTTGCTGGCCAGAGTACAAATTTTGGAAAAATCTGAATTTCAGATTTTAGAGGACAAAAATTGAAAAATTCACAATTTTTAGAGCACAAAAACTGAAAAATTCACAATTTTTGTACTGTAAAAAGTTAGCGTACAACTTTTTTTATGGTGGAAACCACGATTTTGGCCGAGTTGTGGAATTAATTTCAGATCACAAAAATCTCTCACAAAATATTTTTTTGCAGATCGCAATCCTCACCTGTCCATTCGAGCCACCAAAGCCAAAAACCAAGCATAAGCTCGATGTTACCTCCACCGAAGATTTCGCCGCTCTCCGACAATACGAAAAGGAGACATTCGAGACGATGATTCGACAAGTCAAAGAATCCGGAGCCACTTTGGCAATCTGTCAATGGGGTTTCGATGATGAGGCGAATCATTTGTTGCAGGCCAATGATTTGCCAGCTGTCAGATGGGTTGGAGGACCGGAAATTGAATTGCTAGCAATTGCGACAAATTCGAGAATTGTTCCGAGATTTGCTGAACTCAATGAGAAGAAATTGGGAAGTGCTGGATTGGTCAGAGAGATCACTTTTGGAACTGCCAAAGATCGAATGTTGTCGATTGAACAATGCCCGAATAATAAGGCGATTACGGTGTTTGTGCGAGGTGGCAATAAAATGGTATGTTTTTCGGGGTGAAAATTGGAAAATTGTGAATTTTGACCTAGAATTATTGAAAATTGTGAAATTTGGAGCATTTTGAGCCCGAAAATCGATAATTTATGTTTTGAAAAGCCCTGAAAATCTATTTCGGACCGAAAATTGTGAATTTTGAGCCTATAAAGCCTACAAATTGAATATTTATGGTATTGTTGAGCTCTGAAGTTTTAAAAAACCTCCAGAACTCATTTTGGATCGGGAACTCGATTTTCAACCTGAAATTGAGATTCTGGATAGTTTTCGGACGAAATTGCGAAATTTGGAGCATTTTGAGCTCGAAAATTGTGAAGTTTGAGGATTTTGTGCTCGAAAATTGTGAAGTTTGATGAATTTTGAGCCTATAAAGCCTACAAATTGAAAATTGATGATATTGTTGAGCTCAGAACTCATTTTTGGATCAAAATTGTGAAAAATACAATTTTTTGAGCCTTGGGGGCCTCTAGAACCCATATTGAACCGAAATTCTGAAAATTTGGAGCATTTTGAGCTCGAAATGTGATTTTTCAGCCAAAAATCATGCAATTTCCTCTTTTTCCCTAGAAAAACGAATAGTTTTGGGCCACATAAATCTCTCATCTGTCACCCTTGGCAATTCACATTATTTTTCGCATCTTTGAGCCAGAAAATGGAGATTTTGAGCATTTTTCAGCGATTTTTGACTGAAAAATTCGAAAAATCTTGAATTTTTCATTGAAAACCTCAAAAAATGAGCTATTTTCAGATCATTGATGAAGCGAAACGTGCTCTTCACGACGCACTCTGCGTCATTCGCAATCTCGTTCGCGACTCGCGCATCATTTACGGAGGCGGTTCCGCCGAACTCGCCGCCGCCATTCAAGTCGCCAAAGAAGCCGATAAAATCGACGGAATTGAACAATACGCGTTCCGCGCGTTTGCCGACGCTTTGGAATCGATTCCGATGGCTTTGGCTGAGAATTCGGGATTGTCGCCGATCGATGCGTTGTCGGATTTGAAGGTGCGTGAAATTTGGAGCATTTTGAGCCAAAAATGATGAAATTTGGAGCATTTTGAGCCAAAAAATTGTGCAATTTGACCTGAAATTGATCAAGAATGAGCAATTTTTGAGTTTTCCACGTCATAACTCACATTTTTTGCAGGCCAAACAAATTGAAACCGGAAACTCGTTCCTTGGAATCGATGCACTCTATACTGGAACCAATGATATGAAAGAGCAAAAAGTGATTGAGACATTGTTGAGCAAACGGGAACAGATCTCATTGGCAACACAGGTACGCTTTTTTGAGCCAAATTTTTGGATTTCTGGTGAAAAATGAGCCCGGAAAAGTGAATTTTGAGTCAAAAATCGAATTCTCCGTGAAAATCTGAAGATTCTGATGTAAAATTTGACCTAAAATCAAAAAATTGATCATTTTCAGCCAAATTCGGCCTGAAAATCGTATTTTTCAACCAAAAATCCAATTTTTGCAGGTTGTTCGTATGATTCTCAAAATCGATGATGTTCGTGTTCCAGACGATGAAAAAATGGGAGGATATTAAAATTTTTCTGAAATTTTCAGCCCAATTTTTGTTATTTTCACCCTATTCTAAGCCCCGCCCATTTTTTATTGATTTTCTCCAATTTTTCTTAATTTTTATTGAATGATCTTGTTTTTTCTACAGCTTTCTCCCGATTTTTGAATTTTTCAAGTTTTTCCCCAATTTTGTTATGAAATTGTTGCTTTTCTCTCAATTTTCATTGATTTTTGCTGAAAATCTGTAACATCTTGACTGAAAAGGTGTCCAGTTTTGAATTTCTGTGATTTTCTCCCAAAATTTTCATTCCAGCCTTGTTTTCTCCCCAAAAAATCCGATTTTTTTGCAGAAATTTGCGTCGTTTTGAGCTATGGAACTGTGATGCATTTTTTGAGCTGAAAGCTGTTTGGATTCTGGCTTTTTGAAGGTAAATTTGAATTTTGAGCCAAAAATCTTGAAAATTCTGAAAATCCCATAAATTTTAAGCCAAAAATTGGAAAATCCCATAAATTTTAAGCCCATGACTCATATTAATCCAAATCCCCGCGGATTTTCTGAAAATTTCAGATTTTTCTGAAATTTTCTGCAAAAAGTGCATTTTCTACTCTGATTTTTGACATTTGCTGTTAATTTTTCCGGAAATTTTGACATTTTTCAAAAAAAATTATGATAGGATTAAAAATCTGAGAAAAATGTTGCCATTTTTATTTTTCGCGAGAAAAAATCAAATTTTTTCATCCGATTTGATAAAAGCCGGATTTTTGAGATTATTTTTCGTATTTTCGGCTGAAAATATTGATTTTCAGTCATTTTCAGCCAAAAAATTCATATTTTCAATCTGAAATTAATTTCAGATAGTACAACAACAACAACAACAAAATGTCGATTGTTTCAACAAGTACAACAACCAATGTTCAATCAGTTATTGATCCGACGAAAAAAGTGAGTTTTTTGCCACGTCATAGCTTGAAAATTTGGATTTTTGATGAAAAATGGAAGATTTTGATATGAAATTTGAGAAAATTGGGAAAATTTGACCTTTGCCACGTCATAGCTGTAAATTTGGCTGAAAATGAGCAACTTCGTTCAAATTTTGAGCTAAAATGAGCAATGTTCAATTTTGCCACGTCATAGCTCAATTTTTGACTGAAAACCTGAAAATTTAACTGAAAATGAGCAATTTCGTTCAAATTTTGATTTGCCACGTCATAGCTCACAATACAGTACCACTATGTACATATTTTTCCTATCTATCTACCTTTTTTTGTTGGCTCCGCCCATTTTTAGTACAACATTTTTTATTTTGATGATAAGATCCTCATACTATTTTTAAATTGTTTTGTTTTTTTTCTGATGTCATCATCATCATTTTTTTTTCGGCTGAAAATTTCAGATTTTCAGCCAGAAAATCTGAAAATTGCCACGTCATAGCGTATTTTTGACTGAAAACCCGAGAAAAATCGGATATTTCTGCCCAAAATTCTTGATTTTTGATAAATCAAACTGTGACGTCATCACTGGTGAAATGATAAAAAGATGATGATTTTTGTGAAGGTCAAAATACTGTGTGTGATTTTTTTCTTGACGCCGCAAAAATCGCGTGGCTTTGGTTTTTTTTTGTGAAATTTTGTACCCGCGGTGGTGGAAAATCCGATTTTCCTCGGTTTTTGCCACGTGGCATTGGTTTTTCGGCCGAAAATTTGAATTTTTGACGTTTTTTCGATCTGGAAATGTGATTTTTCACGATTCCACGTGGATTTTGTTGATCTCCCCCCACACATCATTAAAAACTGTGATCTTTTTTTGTTCTCGGTCGATTTTCATGTGTCATTTTTTTTTCAATTTCTACCTACCTACACACACATTTTTTTGGTCGTATTACGTCAGGTTTTTCGTACACTGTGTACTGTGTGTGTTTTTTTTTAATACAAAAATCGTCTTTTGTTTGTACTTTTCTCTCATTTTTCGTCATCTTTGAAAAACAATCGGGTTTTCAAGGTTGGAAATTATGTATTTTTGAGTCATGGACGAGGTTTTTGAGGTTTTCTAGGCCATATAGGTAATTTTGGACGATTTTCTAGGCCGCGGACGAGGTTTTTCGGTTAGATTTGGTTTTCTAGGCCATTTTTCATCATTTAGACCCTGGTACTGTGTTTATAAGCAATTTTTTGGCTTTTTGAGGACTAATTTGGTTTTCTAGGCCGTGGACGAGATTTTTCTTGCTAAATTTGGTTTTCTAGGCCATTCCTAAGATTTTTGGTGGTTTCTAGACCATTTTCCGAGATTTTTCTGGTTTTCTAGGCCGCGGACGAGATTTTCCAATAGGATTTGGGTTTCTAGGTCATCTCTAACCTTTAAAGCTTTCAAATTGGGTTTTCTAGACCATTCCTAAGATTTTTGGTGGTTTCTAGACCATTTTCCGAGATTTTTCAGGTTTTCTAGGTCGTGGACGAGGTTTTCCAATAGGATTTGGGTTTCTAGGCCGTCTCTAACCTTTAAGGCTTTCAAATTGGGTTTTCTAGGCCACATAGGTGATTTTGGACTATTTTCTAGGCTGCGGACGAGGTTTTTTGGTTTTCTAGGTCATCTCTAACCTTTAAGGCTTTCAAATTGGGTTTTCTAGGCCATATAGGTAATTTTGGACGATTTTCTAGGCTGTGGACTGTTTTTGACAAGTTTCTGTGGTTTTCTAGGTCGTGGACGAGGTTTTCTAATAGGATTTGGGTTTCTAGGCCATCTCTAACCTTTAAGGCTTTCAAATTGGGTTTTCTAGGCCACATAGGTGATTTTGGACTATTTTCTAGGCTTTGGACTGTTTTTGACGAGTTTCTGTGGTTTTCTAGGTCGTGGACGAGTTTTTCCCATTGTTTTTGGTTTTTTGGGTCATTTTCCACTACGATACTCCGCAATTCCGCATTTTTGAACCCATTGAACCCGATCTTTTTTGTTATCGATTTGTTTTATTGTCGTCGTCGCATTTTAATAGTATTTGTGTTGCCTGATTTTGAAGAGAGAATTACGTGCCTTTTCTCCTTATCACATCATTTTCGCAAATGATCTTGAAAGGCAACGAACGAAAAAATTGGGAGGCGAGATAGTGAGAGAGCGCAGAGAAATTGGGTGGCTTGCGTCATGTGATTCTGAGTTTCTCTAGCTACTCTCCGTCTCTTACCAGGTTGTCTGGTATCTCTAGCTTCTCTGGGTCTCTAGCTACGTTTTTGAAAAGTTTCTCTAGCTTCTATGCGTCTCTAACCATAGAATTTCTGGTTGTCTAGTCTATCGCAGTTCCTAACCTGGTTATATAGCTTCTCTAACCCTAACTTCTATAGTTGTCTACGTCTCTGACCAGTTCTCTAGATTCTCTGCATCTCTAACCTGATGTTCTCTAGTTGTCTCGTTTCTCTACGTCTCTAACCATGTTGTCTAGCTTCTCTAACTCTCCCCCTATCTCATATTACTGTAAAAATAGCATTTCTTTCATCACATTCATTTTTTTTTCGCCAATTATTTTTTCCTCCATTCCAAAAATTGTGTCTCTCGTCCTTTCACATTTTTTTCTCTTATCAGACAATTTTTGTTCGACGCAATTCTTTTTTCTTTTCTTCACCGCATGTCATTTCAGGAAATGATACCACCACCCCAAAACTTTCGGTTTTTATCAGGCGAATTTTGCGGTGTGTGTGTGTGTCTGCGTCTCTCGGTTTTCGCGTGATCTCTCGTCGAAAATTCGCGAATTTTTGACGGTTTTCACCTGAAAATAGTTGGCTCTCTGCGTCTCTAACCTTGTGATTTTCTCTAATTCTAGCCAGCTCTCTAAAGGCACTCGTCGTCTGCACTCTATTCCATGCTTTTTGAGATTTTCTCTGCGTCTCTACCTCAAGTATCTAACTGTCTGCATCCTTCCTCTCACTTCTCAAATTTCTCTGCGTCTCTACCTCTCTCTAATTCTAGCTTCTATAGCCTTGTTTTTCTCTGCGTCTCTAACCGGTTCCTCGTCATTTTTTCTAGTTTCTCTGCGTCTCTCGCACCCTCTCCGTCTCTACCTCTCTAATTCTAGCCTCTCTCAAATGTCAAACACATTGGGTGGCGTGGCCGTCGTCCCATCCGAATGTTGTCATTTCGCCACGCCGACAACATCGGCGGCCGTGGCCGAGATTTCGCCGGCCGGCTATTCGGCCACCTCGAAGTCCGGAGTCAATTCGAAAGCTCTCAGCGAGTATTTTATGGAAATGATGGTAAATTTGTGAATTTCATTGAAAATGGGGCTAAAATTGCCTTAAAATTGACCTTAAATTAGGGTTTTTGATTAAAATAAACCTAAACTTGGTCTAAATGACCTAAATTTAATTTTTGTTGCAGCGCGTCCAAATCCAAAATGATCACACAAACATCTCACCAACCTTCTCACTCGAAACTCCCAATCCAAAAATGATCTACTGCGGCGGACCGTTGGATCTTCCCACCACCGCCGAATTAATGCAACGATGTTTGACGATGAATCCGTTCGAAGCCAAATTCAAAGAGGCCAACGAGAAGATCAACAATGGAATCGGAATGCCGCCGTCGCAAAACTCGGCGGCTAGTTATGAGGCGATGGAGGCGAATGGATTGGTTCCGATGGCTGGAACGAGTGGATGTTTACCGACTAGTGCTAGTGGTGAGAGAAATTGAGCCCTGGGACCATGAAAATCATGTTTTTCAACCCAAAATTCATATTCCACGTGGATTTTTGACCCCGGAAACCTCTAAAAAGCCCGAAAATCCCGATTTTTCGCTCAAAAATAGCATGTGCGCTCCACTGCACTTTTGCCGTTTTTTGATGAAATTCAAATTTTTAGTTACGGAAAAATCATGTTTTTCATCGTTTCTCTCGAATATTGGCCCATGGACCTTCAAAATCTCAATTTTTATCCCAAAATTCATATTACACGTGGATTTTTGACCGTGGGACATTGAACATTATGATTTTTGGTTCAAAATGACTCTAGAAGCTCGAAATGTGCAATTTTGAGCCCTGGAGCTTGTTTTTGACGATTTTTGAGCCCCGGGACCTTGAAAATCATGTTTTTCAACTCGAAATTCATATTCCACGTGGATTTTTGACCCCGGGAACCTCTAAAAAGCCCGAAAATCCCGATTTTTTGCTCAAAAATAGCATGTGCGCTCCACTGCACTTTTGCCGTTTTCTGATGAAATTCAAATTTTTAGTGAGGAAAAATCATGTTTTTCATCCCAAAAATCAATTTCCACGTGGATTTTTGACCCCGGAAACCTCTAAAAACCACGAAAATCCAAAATTTCTGCTCAAAAATGGCATGTGCGCTCCACTGCACATTGCGTATTTTTGGTGGAAATTTGAATTTTTATTTTTTTTTTTGCTTGAATGAAAGATGGATTTTTGGGCTGAAAATGATCCAAAAATCCACGTGGCAATAGAAAATTCAAAAAATCGATGATTTTCACGATTCTTGGATGAAAAGTGCTGAAAAATCCAAATTTTCCATCCAAAAATTCAAAATGTTTTTCAGTCTCCGATTTTCTGCTCAAAATCCCTCCACCAACAACAATCAATCAACAATCACCCAACATTTTTGCCAACATTCAAATGTTGTCAGCGGATGCAACAACTCGTGAGAATCTCAAAACCGCTGATATTTCGAAACTGTTCGGTTCGGCCGTAAATCCGGGAGACAATTCTGTACAAGCCCCGCGAACTGCTGATGTTTTGAATGCGGTTTTGGATATGCACTCGGATCGTCTCGCCACAATCAATTATCTGAATAAGCCCGATTTTTCGGCCCTTTTAAGATCGCCCGCAAATTCGGCCCCCAACTCGGCGTCCGTTCTAGGCATACCATCGACTTCGGCCTATCAACAGGTCTCTTCGGCCCAGGCCCAGGCCCAGAAAAGCCCGAATTTGGGTGGAATTGGGAATAGTGGACAGTGGGACGGGATGAAGATTGTGAAGAAGGAGGATTTCTATGGTGGTGCGAATAATCAAGGAGAACTTGAGCTGAATTTGATGCACACGGTGAATGGAGTGGGAGTGTGAGTTTTTGGGCGGAAAAATGAGCCTAGGCATGATTTTTGAGCCAAAAATTGAGAAAATTGAGCAATTTTGAGCCAAGGAGCTGGTTTTTGACGATTTTCTATTGTAAATTAGCCCTGGGGTATGTTTTTCACCTAAAAATCGATAAAAATGAGCAATTTTGAGCCAAGGAGAGTGATTTTAACGTTTTTCGGGCTCTAAAGCTCGAAAATCACGATTTTCAACCCAAAATTCATTTTCCACGTGGATTTTTGACCCCGGAAACCTCGAAAATCCCGAATTTTCGCTGAAAAATAGCATGTGCGCTCCACTGCACTTTTGGCTTGTTTTGTTGAAAATTCAAATTTTTAAGTAGGCTGAAATAGTCGAAATTGAGCCTAGAACCTTGAAAATGACAATTTTCGACCCAAAATTCACATTCGCCGTGGATTTTTGACCCCGGGATCATGAAAATCCCGAATTTTAACCTTAAAATGGCATGTGCGCTCCACTGAACTTTTGGCGTTTTTGTTGAAAATTCAAATTTTTAAGTAGGCTGAAATAGTCGAAATTGAGCCTAGAACCTTGAAAATGACAATTTTCGACCCAAAATTCACATTCGCCGTGGATTTTTGACCCCGGGATCATGAAAATCCCGAATTTTAACCTTAAAATGGCATGTGCGCTCCACTGAACTTTTGGCGTTTTTGTTGAAAATTCAAATTTTTAGTTACGGAAAATATGAAAATTTACCGAAAATGATCAAATTTGGGCTCAAAATGCTCCAAATTTCCCCCAAAACCCGAATTTTTTGCAGTCAATCCACGTCGGAATCTGACCGTGAAGTGACACCGCTCTCAACTCCCGGTGGAAACGGTTCAAATCCAGTTGGCCGCCCGCCAAATTCCAATGGAACACCGGGAAGAGGACGTGGCAGAGGTCGAAGTACAACAGCCGATATGCAACCGGATGAACGAAGGAATACAATATTGGAGAGAAATAAGGCGGCTGCTGTTAGATATCGAAAAAGGAAGAAGGAGGAACATGATGATATGATTGGAAGGGTTCATGGATTGGAGACCGAGAAAAATCAGCTTTTTGTGAGTTTTTTGAGCCAAAATACGTTAAAAATGAGCCCGGGACCTTGAAAATCACGATTTTCGACCCAAAATTCACATTCCACGTGGATTTTCGACCCCGGAAACCTCTAGGAACTTTGAAAATCCCGAATTTTAACCTTAAAATGGCAAACGCGCCCCACTGCACTTTTCGCAATTTTTGAGGAAATTCAAATTTTTAGTTTTTTTTTACTTATATAATATGTGCTGAAATAATCGAAAAATGAGCCGAGGACCTTTTTTCGACCTAAAATTCACATTCCACGTGGATTTTTGACCCCGGGACCTTGAAAATCCCGAATTTTAACCCTAAAATGACAAATGCGCCCCACTGCACTTTTCGCAATTTTTGAGGAAATTCAAATTTTTAGTTACGGAAATTATTGATTTTTGAGCGGGAAACCATGGATTTTTATTGATTTCTGAATTTTCAGACGCAAAATCAAGTTTTGCGGAGAGAATTGGATCGAGTGACGGCTTTGTTGCGAGAACGAGAACAACGATGTGTTTGTCTGAAAGGAATGCCATTAAGTAGTGATGGTGCACCTGGAATTGATGTTGTAAGTTTTGGCTGAAATTTGGCTGAAAATCTGAAAATTTTCACTGAAAATGAGCCCAAAATCGTTGAATTTGGAGCATTTTGAGCCCGGATTCGCTGAAAATCCCCAAAATCTGTAATTTTCAGCTCGGAATGTACAATACTTCGAATTCCACCGAAATCCCTCACAATTCCAGCCATAAACGTCAAAAAATGTGAAAATTCTCGAATTTTTCGATTTTTTCTCATCAAAACAAAATTTCCAGAATATCTCGTGAAAATATGTGTATTTTTCCCATTTTTTTTTGTATTTTTCAAATTTTCATCAATTTTTGTGTTGTGAATTTCAGAATTTTCAGGATTTTTTTTGTAAATCGAATGTTTTTCGGCCCCCTGTAGAAATTTGTGTGTAGATTTTTCAAAACTTCTATTTTTCCCCCGCCATTTTTTTGTTTTGTGTACAATTTTCCCGGTTTCATTTTTTCAAAAAATTCAAAATTTAGGCCTAAAATTCCACTAGTTTTTCCCTTTTTTACCATTTTTTGATCTACTTATTTTATTTTTGACCCAAAATTAAAATTTAAAATTTTATCTAATTATTAATTAATAATATATATTTTTATATGCACCCCCCAAATAAATTAATTTTTGCACTGAAAAATGTTTTTGCCACGTCATAGCTCTTTTTTTTCGGCTGAAAAATTCAAAAAAAATTTGAATTTCAAATTTTTCGCGCGCGAATTTTAAATTTTTTTTTTTGGTTTTTTTTTTTGAAATTTGATATTTTTTGCTTTTCTCGTGAGACTTTCTGCTTTTTTTTGGGAACAATTTTTATATAATTTTTGAATATCGATTTTCGCTCTGAAAATTGTCTGATTCGAATTTCCGCTGAAATTTTTTGAACTCAAAAAATTCTCCCTTCAAATGTTTTTTCATCAAATGAAAGAGGAAAAAAAATGGTGAAAACAATTGTTTTTCCAAGCGTGAAAATTAGAATTTTCTAATTTTTTTCTTGGGAAAATTACGAGAAGCGAAAAAAGAAAGAATTAATTAAATTCCTGTATTTTTGACGTTTGTGGCCACGTGGCGAAAAAATTTCAGACACGATTTTATATCGACAATTCGCCTCACGTTTCCCAGCGTACACCTTAGCTTAGTGGTTAGCACGCGCGCCTACGAATCTAGCAGGTTCGTTTTGCTCGGGTTCGATCCCGGGTGCCCGCATAATTTTTTTTGTCAAATTTTATATCCTGAAATTAAAATTAGATTAGTCATGAGCTGAAAATTGGGCGGAGCCAATCCTCTTCAAGCTCCGCCCCCTTTTTTGCTCATTTTTTGCCCAAGATTAGTGAAATCCTCATTTTTTAGTGCGCAAATTGGATTTTTCTTCATTTTTTGCCTAATCCCAACTAGCATTTTGAGCTCCGGGTTACTGTAGGTTTTATTTGAAAAAAAAAAAGAATTTCATTAAAAATAATTGCGAATTTCCTGATTCGAGCGCGCACAATTTTTTGTTTGAGAAAAATTGAAAAAAACATTTTTTTTTTCGAAATTTTTTTTTTGAAAAAAAAATGATGTCATGGATTTTGGAGGCCCAAATTTGAATTTGAATTTTGAAACTTTGTTTCGCATATCTAATTCCGTAAAGAAAAAAAAATAAATTGTTTTGCGCGCAACCGGGATCGAACTCGAGCAAAACGAGCCTGCTAGATTCATAGGCGCGCGTGCTAACCACTAAGCTACGGGGTACGCTGGGAAACGTGAAGCGAATTGTCGATATAAAATCACGTCTGAAATATATGCTACGTGGAAAACTTTTCAAAATTTCTAATTTTTCGCACAAAAATTTTGCCACGTTTCATTTTTCTTCGAACCAAAGAAAAAAATGATGTCAGAATTTTTTAGCGCAAAAAAATTTTTTTTGTGAGTTAGGCTAAATTGGCGGATGCGCCAAGCGCATCCGCTTAGACAATTAGCCTAACTCTTTTTTTTCTGTGCTCACAGCGGCTCGATTTTTAAAAAAAGATTCTCTGAGTCACTCTCAGGGGTACTGTAGGGTCTTATTTTATTTTCAATTCCACGTGGATTTTTTTGTTGGCGCGAAAATTGCGAATTCAAAATTGCGAATTTAAAAATTCGTAATTTTCTTAGAAAATTTTTTTTACTGATTAATAATTTATTCAATTTTTTTTGCTGCTCATTATTTTTAGTTCCATTTTCTCCAAATTTTTTTTGAAAAATTCAGAATTTTTTCCACGTGGCAGTCGTGGCTATATAAATTTGGCGCGAAAATTTTTGAATTTGAATTCTCCCACTAATCTCCTTAAAAAATTCCCCGGAAAACTCTGAAATCCGGATTTTCAGCTGAAAATTTGAAAATTTACGTAATTTCTGGAATTTTCATGCCAAAAATAGAAAATTTGAATTTCGAAAATTTTGGCGGGAAATTTCAAAATTCAAATTTTTCTTCAAAATTTCAAATATTTAAAATTTTGCGCGAAATTATTCAAATTTTCCAAAAAAATTTGAATTTTCGCTTTTGTTTTCAAATTTTATTTTTCTCTCTTCTGAATAATTCATTTCTTCATTTTATTAATGGCTTGTTTTCAGGAACTTTTTTTTTTCATTTTCAAAAAAAATTGTTTTTTTTGTTGTTTTTTGAGCCAGAAAACAAGCCACGTCACTTTTTTTCCCCGAAAAAAAGTCAAAAATTAGGGCGTATTGAAAAATCAGAATGTTTGAACTTTTTACTTCCTGGCTCCAAAATTCTTCAATTTTCATCATTTCTAGCTCAAAATCCATCATTTTTCTTGAAATTTTCAAATTTTTGCAGCATGTTATCACGAGGGGTTCTACTTTTACTATTCGGATTTGTTGGTTTTTTGACGGCGTTCAGCTTTTTCTCCTCTTCTTCTTCTTCTTCTTCAAGCAGAAATTCGGGAAATTTGCCAATCGCGCCAAAAAATGAGGCGAAAGAGAAACAGGCGAGAAATGGAAACAAATCGACCGGATCGTTGAAATTGTGCCCGCCAGGTGAGCGAAATTTGAATTTTTCAAGAAATTTTGAAGAAAATTGGTGGTTTTCTAGAAACTTTGTGATGAAATGAGTGCCACGTGGCATTTTTTGCTCTGAAAATTTGTTCATTTTCAGGTTCAAAAAATAAGCCACGTGGCATTTTTAAATGAATTTCGAGAATTTTCAAGAATTTCTTTTTTGCCACGTGGCTAAATTTAAATTTTCAATAAATTTTTGAAACTTTTCTTATTTTCAATTCCAAAAATCCGAAATTTCTCAAAAAAATACCTTTTTTCCATTTTCCAGGCGGTCAATCATTCCTCGACGCAATGAGTCTGATTTGCACAATGCGTCGTCGCAAGCGCAGCATTTCAATGGATTACGGAAACATTGGCGATTTAGAAGAAGTGATGAAGACTTGCTGCTACACTGGTTGCGATTTCAGTGATCTCTTCTCGATTTGTCGTGATCCATTCGGATAATAATCTTTATTGATTTTCTCTCTCCCATCCAACACAATTTATTGTATGTACACACTTCTCTCTTCCCGAAAATTCATGCTTTTTGTTGGGTTCTTCTTCTAGATCTTCATCATCATCATCATAAATAATTCGTTAACATTCTTTGTTTCCCCCCTAAACTTTCTCTGAAAATCCCCCAACCAGCTATTTTTTAAAATATTGTCGAATTTGAAAAATGTGGCAGCCGTAAAACATGAAAAACAGTGCAGAGCTGAATGAATGGCAAAGTCATTACTTCGTCAGTCGCGTGCGGCTGTGCGTCGCGGCCGAAAAACAAAGGAAAAAATAAATAATTGATTGTTTTTCGACCGCGACGCACAGCCGCACGCGACTGACGAAATAATGACTTTGTCATTCATTCAGCTCTGCACTGTTTTTCATTTTTTACGGCTGCCACATTTTTCAACTTTGACAATAACATTTATCGCATTGCGACAATAACAATGAAAACATTTAAACTTCTTGCAAGACTGGTGGCTCGTACTCGTCTGGACGGTCGATTTTCTCTCCGTCAGCTCCGATGGCAGCGGTGTCTCCGTGCAAGTCTTGAAGTCTTCCGAGATCGATCTTTGGCTTCTTGATGATCTTGACCTTGCGGATGTAGACTTCTTGAAGTGGGTACAATTTGGAGCAGGTCTTTTCGATGTCTTTTCCAATGGAGTCTGGGATCAATTTGGAGCAGACGGCCTTCAAGTCGCAACCGGTGACTTCGTTTTCGATGCATTCGATCATCTTAGCGCGGATCTTGCGGATCTTGGAGGTCTTTGTGTAGGAAGTCTTCTTGATTTGGTTTGGTGACTTCTTGGTGAAGGCGATGACGAAGACACGGAGGGTGTATCCATCGGTGGTCTTGACGGCGGTGTTAGCCTCGATCAAAGTCTAGAAAAAATATTTTTATAGGAAAGTTCTGTAGGTGTAATGTTAACTTACATGCCACTTCTTGACAATTGAGCACAATTTATCGTGGGTCATTGACATGGCGTGGAAGTTGGTGAGAACGTTCTTTCCTTGAACATCTTCGGCGATGAGTTTGAATTTTCTGAAGTCGGCTTCAGAGTCGTTCAAATCTCCGAGTGACACTTCGAAGACACGTCCCTTCAATCCTTCGGAAGCGATCTTGGTTCCTTGGGTTCTGTTGATCAATGTCTTTCCGACTTGACGGTTGATGAACATTCCTGGGGCCTTGATGTCGTACCATTCTTTGCGGGAGAATGGATCAACCACCTTCTTCTTTCCTCCCTTCTTTCCCATTTTGTTGTTGTTTTTTCCGACAGCCATTGTTGCGGAGTTATGCCAAGCTGTGTCTGAAAATCGGGAATTTGAGGAATGAGAATGGAATAGAGAAGAAAACGAAGAATTTCAAAATGTAGAAGCAAAAGTTGGCTAAAATTTTATACACATTTCTTACAGATCTAGAGGAATAGGAAATGTCTTATGGGGCTATTCAAGTTATTTTCTCAGCGCTGAGAAAACAGGAGAAAACCTATTCAGGTAGGCTGAGAAAATACGAAAAAAGTGAAGAAAATGCATTTTCTCCCCATTTCTCCTGTTTTCTCAGCGTGTTGAGAAAATACTTGAATAGCCCCATTAATAAAAAGCCTTAAGCCACCTAAATAGCTTTTAATTCAAGGTTCATAACTTATAAACTTTTCCAAACGAATTTTCGAAAATTAGATTTTCTACACAAAATCCTCTCTTAACTCACTTAAACAATCCCCAAACTACGCTAATTTAACCTTACGATATTCCTAAACCCCTTAAATAATTTTGAAAACCCAAAAAACGTCCCAAAAATCCCAACACACTGCACACTTCAAAAAAGAAAAACTGAAAAGTCCCAAAAATAAAAATATGCGGCGTGTCGGAGTGTACGCCATACACTCCTCCCCGACGCTGCAAAATGTGTGTTACCGTAGTTTGTGGGGCGTGAGGCAGCCATCACTTTCAATTTTTGTCGATTTTCTCTGTTTTTTGTCACGTTTTGACGAGTTGCGATGAAAGTTGCGCGGTTTTTTGAAATTTTGAAATTTAGGCCACACTTTGGAATAGGCTTTACATTGGTTTAACGGGCTTTTTGGGCCGAAATTGGCTCGCAAAAATTGCGTTTTGGATAATTGATTTTTTGCAAAACTTTGTTTTTCTGAATGTTTTTGCGGGTTTTGAGGTTTTAGGTAGCTTTAAAGTGTTTAAAATTGATAGAAAAGCAATGTAGAACACAAGTTTCACCATAGTTTCACGTAATTTTATCGTTTTTGCTAGTTTTTTAATGTTGATGGGTTGTACCGTTTGAATACCGATTTTTACAAGTTTTCGAGGGGTTTAGGTATCTAACATGTTTCAAATTTGATAGTAAACTATAGTAGAAATTGTATTTTATGAAACTCAATGGTTATTTGATAAATTTTCTTAATTTCTGGCTTGCAAGGCCTGAAAATATATGGATTTTTATACGAAATGCAATTTAGCGTGAACTAAAAATAGTTAACGCGTGTTTAACTGACAAATTTTCATTTTTAATTTCTACCAGCCTGCTATTTTCACACTTATTTGATAGGTATTCATCAATTCTCAAAGTTTGTTTGTTTTTCGTTTGCCTCAAACCCCAAACAGTCCCATGACAACAAACCTCGATGATTTCCAGTGTAAATATGACTAGTCGACTAGACGAAGAAGAGTTACATCCGCTCGTTTCGAGCCTCCTTGAAGGTCGCCTTCTCCCAACCGCCACAACAGCCAATGTGCCTGTAAAACGATACGCACGCGAACAAATGATCACGTTAAGAACGACGAAACTCAGCACAACACGGCCCGATAATCTATCAGTTGATTTTAATGGGTTCGTGGATTTTTGTTTGGAAAATTTCAATGTAACATATACCCTTTGATAGATTTTTTACGCTGAAAAATATCCTTTTTTGATAAATACCTCAAGTGGGTATTGGAAATTGAGCTAATATTCGATAAATTGATTTTTGAGAGGTCCATAACTCAATTTTATCAAAATCAGATAACATGGAGTTGTTCAGGATAGCTGATGAAATAATTCGATTATCCTGAACAACTCCATGTTATCTGATTTTGATAAAATTGAGTTATGGACCTCTCAAAATGTAATTTATTGAAAATTAGCTCAATTTCCAGTACCTCCTTGAGGTATTTAGCAAAAAAGGATATTTTTCATCGTAAAAAATCTATCAAATGGTATATGTCTCATTGAAATTTTCCAGAAACTTCTGGCAAAGTATTTTGTTTTTTGCGAAATACCTCAAGGAGATGCTGTGAAAATTGAGCTCAAATTCAAAAATGTTCGAAAAAATTGTGTTTTATGGGCCCATGCAGAATAATATTTTGTAATAAAAAAACAAATTTTTCCTATGCAGAAAAACGTCGAAAAAACAAAATATACAGTTTATTATTTTTGAGTAGAGACAATGTGAAATTGAGAGAGTGCAGACAGTTTTTTGTATTTTTTGGGCGAAAACTCTCTCAATTTCACATTGTCTCTACTCAAAAATAGTAAACTGTATATTTTGTTTTTTCGACGTTTTTCTGCATTGGAAAAATATTTTTTAAAATTACAAAATATTGTTCTGCATAGGCCCATAAAACACAATTTTTTAAAACATTTTTTGAGTTTGAGTTCAATTTTCATCACCTCCCGGAGGTATTTTTATCAAGGAAAATCCATTTCTTGATAAAAATGCGGTTTTTTTGCAGAGATGATGGCAAATTTTCGCCGTTCAAATGGTTGGAATATCGTTGGGAGATCGAGGGCATCAAGAATCGGCCGATTTCCAACAAAAAAATCGATTCACTTTGCGCTGGCGCTGACGACAATACGGGTTTGTCTCCACAACGGAGAGCATTTTCAAGCGGGTGCCGGGCACCGGGTGATGGCGAAAAATCGAAAGACGGCGAAAAAGACGATCGATTGGGTGGACACGGCAAAAATTGGCGAAATGGAAGTAGCGGTGGATCGGGAGGCGGTGCTGCTGGGGCTGGTGACAAATTTATGCCGAAATATGTGAAAGCCGCGTATGGACAAGCTGTGCCAAGAAATGAGTGGAAGAGAAGTGATAATAAGAATGAGGCGAGAGGAGCTAATCGATTCCAAACCAATTCAAGAAGGTGCTTGATTTTTCGAATCACTGGGATTTTTGACCTCAAAATTCCTAATTTTTGACAAAAATTGAATTTTGTGATTTTTCAAACGAGCCCGAAGGTTTTCTGATCTGAAAATTGCTCAAAATTTGATATTTATCCAATTTTCAGCCAATCAGTTGTTTTATCAGAAATTTACCATCAATATTTCAAATTTTTGATGAAAAATTGATTTCTAGCAATTTCCGATGAGCTGAGCATGATCTCTATCTCAAAAACGACTTATCTCAACTCTGACCATGAGTTATGACGTGGCAAAATCAGAAAATTTAAAAAAAAACCTGTTATTTTCAAGGAAAACATGATTTTCGCGTCTTGGAAATAGCAGGTTTTTTGAAACTTTCTAATTTTGCCACGTCATAACTCATGGTCAGAGTTGAGATAAGCAGTTTATTGATTAAAGGATCATGTTCAGATCATCTGAAACTGCTAGAAATCATTTTTTCGGTCAAATATCTGAAATTTAGATATTTTGTGATTTTTCAAACGAGCCCCAAGGTTTTCTGATCTGAAAATTGCTCAAAATTTGATATTTATTCAGTTTTCAGCCAATCAGTTGCAAAATTTGATGAAAATCCCCCAGAAAAATGTTTTCTGGTTTAAAATTCGCCAAAATTTGATGGGAATCTTCAAAAACCATATTTTAGTCAAAAAATCAAGGTTTTTGACCTAAAATATAGCTAAATGAATCAAAAATCAAGATCTTCTGGCCCTAATAGATCAAAATCTAGGCTTTCTGACCTAAAATTAGGCTAAATTGATTAAAATCACCCAACAGTTCAAAAATCTCACTTTTTGCAGAGATGACCGTGCTGGAAGTGTTAGTGGAAGTGAAAAACTGCCAGAATGGGCAGATGGACCAACCACAATGGACGATATGATTGAATTGCGTGGATTTGACGAGCCAAAGAAGGGAAAAAAGGCGAAAGCACAGAAGAAGGAGAAGCTGACTGCGATTCCGGATCCGAATTCAGCCAGCGGTTCTCGTCCACCATCTGCCGATTTATCAAAAAATAAGGGAAATGTTGAGAGTTTGGAGGATAGTGCAATTCAATCAGCGGAAACTGCGTATTCTGGAAGTTCGACTGGTGCGTTACCAGATTCTGATCATGAATTGGCTGCGTTGCTCGGTGTTTTGGATACGAATATAAGTAAGCCGAAGAAGGAATCAGATGAAGTTGCGCCAATTGTTGGTGGAAGTCGTTTGAGTCGATTCTTCAAAAAGCCCACTGATCCCGCTGTCGCAACTGAAGGTCTCGCTGGAAACGATGAGAATGTGGCGAATCCGATGATCGCAAAATTGCTTGGACAAGAAACGCCTGTGGAGATTAAAGGGGGAATGAGATTGGAGGACATTGAGAAGGCGATTCCCAATGGAAATCCGTTGCAAGATCCATCGCAGCAAGCGGAATTCTTGAAGAATTTGCAAAAATTGGCCAAAGAACGTCAACCATCGCCACCAGTTTCGCAAATTCCACCACCACAACCACCACAAATGGTTCCACAACAACAGATCCAATTGGTCGCTGATCCGGCTTTGTTGGCGAGTTTTGTGGCGAATCCGCATTTGTTGGGAGCGCATGTTGAGAATCAATTGCATCAGGCTGTTGCGGCGGCGATGCGAGCTAACAATGGACAACAGATTCCGGTTCAACTTCGTGAGTTTTTGGGGTTTTGTGCTGAAAATATGTCAAAAATCCGGATTTTTTGCTCTAAAAATGACTAAATTTGAGATTTTTTGATGAAAACCGTGGAAATTTGGTGAAAATCCCATGTTTTTTGTTATAAATATGGAAAATTAACACAAATTCAAGTTCTTATGCTTTCCTGGAATTTCTGACTTAATTCGAATTTTTGATTTGAAATTTAGCGCCGAAACCTTGAAATTTCAAATTTGGGCAATTTTAACCTATTTTTGATAGAAAAATCAGAAAATTCTAGATTTTCCATTAAAAATTGTGATTTTCAAGACAAAAACGATGATTTTTCTCACGAAACTCGAAAATTTGCTTCAACTTCTGGGTTTTGAGCATTTTTAGAAGTTTCAGGCAAATGCTTATCACCTGAACCTATTTTCGACCAAAAATCATCATTTTCTAGTCCAGAACATCAAAAATCCTCACGATTTTGTTGTTTCAGAGCAACAATTGAAAATGGCGGCGATGCGCAACAAAATCTTCCTCCAACAACAAACTGTGGCCTTCGCCCACTTCACCCAAAACATGAACGGAGCAGCAGCCGGAGCAGCAGTTCAGGCCGCCGCGCAAGCTCAAGCTCAGGCTCATCAGGCCCAGCAAAAAGTTGCGCGCGGAATTCCGCCGTCAATGATTCCGGCGTCAGTTCAACGACAATTGCACAAGAAAAACGAGAAACCAAGTAGTTCGAGCCCTTCAGATGAGCAACAACAACAACAAGGAAATGCTGAAAATGATATGGCGATGCACATGAAGAAATTGCAAATGCAACACAATTATACACAAATGGTGAGTGCGATGAATAATGGATTGGGAATGGCGGCTTGGCGACCAAACGGTGGAGCTCCTCAAGGAGGAGCACAAGGAGGAATCCCGCAAAATGTGCAAATGTTGTTGGCTCAACAAGCCGCGCATCAACAACAACAACAACAACAAATTCGAATGATGATGGGACAAAAACAGGCGCAACAGGAATTGATGATGAATAAATTGATGCAAATGCAGGCGATGGCTCAGGCACAACATGCTCAACAGATTCATCACCAGAATGTGCATAATTTGGCACCGGGTGCTGAAAGAGCCCATGCTCATGCTCAACAACAACAATCGCATGGGGATATTAATCAGGTACGCATTTTGATGGGTTTTTGGGGTAAAATTGCGATTTTTGACTGAAAATATGAGTTTTTTGAGCTTGAAAACCCGAAATTACAGCTTGGAATCGATTTTTGACTGAAAATATGGGATTCTGGGCTCGAAAAGTGAGAAAATTGAGTTTGGAATCGATTTTTCAGCCTACCAATGGGTTTTCAGGCTTTAAAACCCCGAAATTCCAGTATTTTATCGATTTTTGACTGAAAATGGAGTTTTCGAGATTGGAACGATTTTTCAACCAACCAATGGGTTTTTGAGCTTGAAAACCCCAAAATTCCAGCTTGGAATCGAATTTTTGAACCGGAAATCACTTTTTCCCATAGATTTTCCTGTAAAACTTGTCAAAATCCCTAGCAAACTTCATTGTTAATGTGGAAATTGAGATTGTGGGTCTTTAAAATTGGGTTTTCATTGTCAAAGTCAGGTTTTCCATCAAAATTCCCAGCCCAGATAAAAAATTCCCTCTCCAGAAGCGCAAAATTAGTTTTCGGCTGAAATTTTTACGATTTTTGAGTCTAGAAAATCACTTTATATCGATTTTCTGCCAAAACCACCCTAATTCCAAATTTTCATTCCAGGTCGGTCCAATGCAAACACCATTGGAGAAACTTTTGGCTTCTGTCGGAGTCGAGGCTTCCCAATTCACAGGTAAGATTTTTTTTTCTTGTCAAAAACACCATTGAAAAACCAGTTTTATCTTCTCACAAAAATCGGCCATCAATCATTTTCACTGAAAGTTGCAATTTTTGGCTGGAAATGGGAATATTGATTTTTGGCTGGAAATTCATGAATTTTTATCTAAAATTCAGAAAAATGCTGAAAATTTAGTATGAAATTGCTCAAAATTTCATTTAGTACCTAGAATTTTCTCGAAAATCTCATATTTGATATGAAAATGCTCCAAATTACCTCCAAAAATCAGAAATTCACTCAAAATTCATCAAATTTGGTAACAAAATGCTCCAAATTACCTCCAAAAATCAGAAATTCACTCAAAATTCATCAAATTTGGTAACAAAATGCTCCAAATTACCTCCAAAAATCAGAAATTCACTCAAAATTCATCAAATTTGGTAACAAAATGCTCCAAATTACCTCTAGAACCCAAAAATCCATCATATTTGATATCAAAATGCTCCAAAACCCTTCAAATGCAATATTTTCAGGTTCCTCATCAGCTTCCGACTCTATTCCCCGCCAAATTCCCCACTCAATTCGCCCAATGACTTTGGAGGACATTGAGAAGGAAATGACGGCCACAGCAGCTCCACAAAAATAATGACCTCTTCCTTGTTTTTTTTGTTCTAATCACTCTTTTTCTTTTGCCTCATATTCACCTATCTCTCCACATTTTCCACACTATTTCCATATTTTTGGCCCCCAAAAAACCTGAAATCAAAAAATGTTGTATTTTGCGGGTTTCTTATTTTCCCCCCTCTATTTCATGTGCTTTTCACCTCCTGTTCATATTTTTTCGAAAAATCGCCACCCCCCAAGATTTCTATTATCAAGCCCCGCCCATTTTTCTATGCCCCCAATTGCAAATTGCAAAAAGCCCCGCCCCTTTTTTGTTATATTGACGCACGTGTTTATATTATATTATAGATTTTTTTCTTCTTCTTCTTCGTTTTTTGTATTTTTTGCGTTTGTTTGAAGGGTTGTACAGTGTTGTTTTTTTCGAGTTTTGATCTACCCGCCCAACATTTTCCCCCCGCATTTTTTCACCCACTTTTTTTCCCGATTTCCCGGTCCACCCCCTTTTAATTACTCTCTTTTTGTAATCTTTTTTTTGATGGAAAATGAAAAGAATGTGAGTGAAGACATTGGAATTGGTAATTGGATTTTACGCGCGATTTGGTAAGGTTTTTGGGGTGGGAAAATATAAAAATTTAAAAAAAATTGCGAAAATTTGAGATTTTGTTGGAAATTCAGCAAAAATTTGAAATTTGGATCAAAATTTTAAGAAAATTGACTGAATTTCGAAATTTTCTGAAACATTGGCTGAAAAATTGAAAAATTATGAAATTTTTTGAAAATCGATAACTTTTCGAAATTTTCTGAAAAAAAAGTTGATTTTTGTCTGAAAATCCACGTTTTTCTGTGTGAATTTTGGTTGAAAATTCAAATTTCCCGCCCAATTTCCTCCCACCTAATTGCTAATTATAAAACCATTCAATAAACAGACACAAAACAGTCTGTTTTTCTCTGCACTCTCTCACCTTCTCACACTCTCTCGCCTCTTTTCTCTCTAAAAATGACCTCTCTTTCCCCCTGTCTTCCATTATTTTTCTTCCATTCCTTTTTCCAAAAGTGTTCCGTTTTTTGTCCAAAAAATCCACGTTTTTGCCAAATTTTCACGTGTTTTCCACGTTTTTCCCAAGCTCCGCCCATTTTTCTGTGCCCTATGCAAAAATTCGCGTTTTTCGACACCAAATTTGAATATTTTTGCAATTTTCTAAGCTCCGCCCATTTTTCTGTGCCGCAAAATTGCAAAAATTCAAATTCCAATTCATTTTCTGCAATTTTTTCGCGCGAAAATTTCAAATTTGAATATTTTTGTGTGAAATTTGAAGAAAAATAGGCTCCGCCCACTTTTGTGTGCCGCAAAATTGCAAAAAATTTGAATTTTTTCTTATCAAAATTTTTTTTGATATGAAATTAAAAGTGTCAATTTTGAGAGGTGATAAAAATTTTTGCTATTTTTATTTTTTTTCAAAATTTTTTTAAATTTAGATTTTTTGGCGCGAAAAAACCATGCGGCAAAATTGCAAAAGAATTTAGAAATCAATCAAATTTGCGCGGGAAAAATTCAATTTTTGAAAATTTTCGCTCTCAGCAAAAACCATGCCGCAAAATTGCAGATTTTTATTTCAAATGCAATTTTGCGGCACGGTTTTTTTTACCTTGAATTTTAATTTTTTTCAAAAAAAATTTTTTTTTGATTGACACTTTCACGTTTTCCACCATATTTCTTATCAATTTTCATCGATTTTCGGTGCAAAAAAATTTTTTTTTCAAAAAAAAAGCGCGCACCGTGTCTCGATCCCCCGACCTATTTCTTCGCAAATTTTCAGATGATACAAATTGTGCAGCTGCTTCTGCTCCTGCTCATTTCCGCTCCGGAATTCGCCACGTCATGCACGCTGTGTCATTTCCGCACGCCGCCGCGTCCGCGTCCGCTCGATCAATACAAGCTGCCGACGATTTTCGGCGGCGCCGCCAAAAATCGATTGGATTTGGAGCGAATGCCCAAGTTTTGTGAGTCAACGGGGGTACTGTAGGTTACTGTAGCTCAAAATTTGGAGCATTTTGAAACCAAACATGACTGGGGTACTGTAGCTCTGAAATTCGGTAGATCAAAATTTGGAATTTTTTGGATTACTGTAGATTACTGTATTGTATCTTTGCTCCAAATTTCATAATCTACAGTAATTTCCCATCTACAGTACCCCCTCAAACTACAGTAATCGATATTTCGGGGTACAATTTGAAAGATTCCAAATTTTGATCTACAGAATTTCAGAGCTACAGTAACCCAATCATGTTTGGTCTCAAAATGCTCCAAATTTTGGGCTACAGTACCCTCCGGTGATCTACAGTAACCCAAAATGTTGCAGGCAACGCTTCCCGCCAACTTCCCATCCACTCAGAATGCCGTGAACAATTCGAGAAGATTTTCTGCTCCACAGATTTGCTCACAGGTTTGAAATTTTGAATTTTTCGGAGTACTGTAGAGTACTGTAGGCGCCAAATTCGAAAATTTTTCAGATTCGTTTTCCGGATGCGGCGCGGCTACTACGGTAGCCACCAAAGAACAACAATGCTCCGCGTGCGCTAAACAGAAGGCAGAAAATATGTGGGTGCTGAAATGTGAGTTTTTTTCGGGGTACTGTAGGTGCGAAATTACTGTAGATTTTGAAATTTGGAGCATTTTGAGACCAAACATGACTGGGGTACTGTAGCTCTGAAATTCTCTAGATCAAAATTTGGAATCTTTCAAATTGTACCCGGTTTTTTTGGATTACTGTAGTTTTAGGGGGTACTGTAGGTAAGAAATTACTGTAGATTATCAAATTTGGAGCATTTTGAGACCAAACATGACTGGGGTACTGTAGCTTTGAAATTCTCTAGATCGAAATTTGGAATCTTTCAAATTTTACCCGGTTTTTTGGATTACTGTAGTTTTAGGGGGTACTGTAGGTAAGAAATTACTGTAAATTATCAAATTTGGAGCATTTTGAGACCAAACATGACTGGGGTACTGTAGATCCCGAGCGCCAGAGGCGCGAGTGTAAAGGAAGCTTCCGCGAAGCGGCCACGCCTACAGTACCTCTCTGAGGTACTGTAGCTTGTCTACAGTACCCCGCAGTTCATGATCTACAGTACCCCTGGGTTACTGTAGGTCCCGAGCGCCAGAGGCGCGAGTGTATAGGAAGCTTCCGCGTAGCGGCCACGCCTACAGTACCTCTTGAAGGTACTGTAGCTTGATCTACAATACCCCGGGTTACTGTAGATCCCGAGCGCCAGAGGCGCGAGTGTAAAGGAAGCTTCCGCGTAGCGGCCACGCCTACAATACCCCGTAGCTCAAGATCTACAGTACCCCCGGGTTACTGTAGGTCCCGAGCGCCAACGGCGCGAGTGTAAAGGAAGCTTCCGCGAAGCGGCCATCCCATACAGTACCCCCTCTGGGATACTGTAGCTTGATCTACAGTAACCTACTCTATTTTTTTGTTGCAGGGTTCGACTCACTCGGCAAACCCGCCGCCGGCATCACCGAAGGCAACTACTATTGGCTGGGCGACTACGAGATGTGCGCAGAGCTGCGCTCCACCCGCACCTTCTCCGGCCAATACTGCCGCATCGAAATGGTGATTCCGGACGCGGGCGTCGAATCCGGCTGTCCGCAAACCGATCCGCTCGAAATTGTGTTGGGCGTGTGTTTTCCGCAAACGTGCTCCGTCGCGGATTTGACGCGTGTCGCGCAAGCGTATCTACCGTACTCGCTGAAGGTGCAGTGCGAATCGGAGAGCTCCTGGTCACTCGTCACGTATTTTTTGTTGTGAGTTGTTTTTTTTTTGAATTTTCGAATGTTCACGCTGAAAAACAATGTGGCCTAGTTTTTCCAAAAGTTCGGCCACGTGGTTTTATCAGCGCGAAAATTGAGATTTTTGAATTTCTAATTTTTCCCGCAGAAAAACCACGTGGCCTAGGATTTTCGAAAGTTAGGCCACATGAATTATGAGCGGGAAAATTGAGATTTTTGAATTTCTAATTTTTCCCACCGAAAAACCATGTGGCCTAGTTTTTCCAAAAGTTCGGCCACGTGGTTTTATCAGCGCGAAAATTGTGATTTTTGAATTTTCAAATGTTCCCGCTGAAAAAAACACGTGGCCTAGGATTTTCAAAAGTTCGGCCACATGGTTTATATGCGCGAAAATTGGAAATTCAAAAATCCAATTTTTCCCGAAAAAAAACAACACGTGGCCTAGTTATCCCAAAAGTTCCACGTGGATTTTATGGCGGGAAAATTGTGATTTTTGAATTTTCAAATGTTCCCGCTGAAAAACTATGTGGCCTAGGTTTTCCAAAAGTTCGGCCATGTGGATTATGAGCGGGAAAATTTGGATTTTTGAATTTTCTGGAAGAAAATTTTGAATTTTCAAATTTTCCCACCGAAAAACCACATGGCCTAGTTTTTCCAAAAGTTCGGCCACATGGATTATGAGCCGGAAAATTGAGATTTTTGAATTTTCTGGAAGAAAAATTTGAATTTTCGATTGTTCCCGCTGAAAAAACACGTGGCCTAGGATTTCCAAAAGTTCTTCCACGTGAATTTTCTGGCGGCAAACCTTCGATTTTTGATTTTCCCCGCAGGCTCTGCGCCTTTCTCTGGCTCCTCCCACAAATCTACTCAACCGCCTTCGAAAATCATCAAATCGACTCGATTTTGGGCTGTTTTTCGATCGCCGAAAATGCGAAACGAACATTTTCGACGCGCCGACAAACGGCAGAATTGCACACTGTGCACGGACTCGAATTTCTCATCAATTTCACAATTATTTCCGGAATGGTCTATAATATTATGATGCCCTATATTGAGAATGTCGCATTTTCCTATGAGGGAATTTCGGATTTTGGTAGGTACCGTAGGCCTGGGGTACTGTAGGTTTACTGTAGCTCGAAATTTGCAACATTTTGAGACCAAACATGACGGGGGTACTGTAATTTTGTAGATCAAAATTTGGAAGAGGGGTACTGTAGGCTCCAAATTTGATAATCTACAGTAATTTCCAACCTACAGTACCCCTACAGTAATCCAAAAAAACCGGGTACAATTTGAAAGATTCCAAATTTTGATCTAGAGAATTTCAGAGCTACAGTAACCCAATCATGTTTGGTCTCAAAATGCTCCAAATTTAGAGCTACAGTAACCTACAGTACCCTTTTTTGCAGCCATGCACATTGTCAACAACTACTCATATCAAATCGACGGTCTTCTCGCACTCTCCGCCTTCTACACAACATATTTGCTTTTTGGAGTTATCCAAACTCCACGGCATGTTTTGGAGTATATTGGGATGCGGTTTATCAGGTGAATTTTGAAAGTTGGAGCAGAATGACACCAAACACGCCCTACAGTAGTTTAAAGGGACATACAGTAACCCTGAGGAGTACTGTACTCATGAGGAGTACTGTAGGCTTGGCCGCTTTGCAGAAGCTTCCTTTACACTCGCGCCTCTGGCGCTCGAGGCCTACAGTACCCCTCAAACTACAGTAATCCAAAGAATTCCAAATTTTGATCTAGAGAATTTCAGAGCTACAGTAACCCAGTCATGTTTAGTCTCAAAATGATCCAAATTTTGAGCTACAGTACCCCCGAGATCTACAGTAATCCCAAAACTATTTTTTTTCGCAGATTCTGGCCAGCCTACGTCACCTGCGTCCTCTTTATGTACATAATTTTCCCGGGCATCTCCTCAGGTCCCATGTGGATTCACACGGATACTGTAGATCGTTGCGAGACCGGATGGTGGAAAAATCTGCTGTTCATCAACAATTGGTATAATGTGACGGAGACGTGTGTGGATTTTGGATATGTGATTTCGATTGAGGCACAATTCTATGTGATTTTGTTGGTGGTTATTATGTTGTCAGCGAAGTTGCCGCTTCTTATGCAGGTACGGTGGGTTACTGTAGATTTTTTGGCGCGAAATTTGGCGCAGAATGACACCAAACACGCCCTACAGTAGCTTGAAAATTCAAAAATCCAAGTTTCGCGCCTAGAAAACACATGGCCTAGTTTTTGCAAAAGTTCGGCCACGTGGATTATGAGTGGGAAAATTTGGAAATTCAAAAATTGTAACCCTGAGGAGTACTGTAGGCGTGGCCGCTTCGCGGAAGCTTCCGGGAAAAAATTTACACTCGGCACTCGGGACCTACAGTAACCCAGGGTACTGTGGATCATGAGCGGCAGGATACTATAGACAAGCTACAGTACTCAAGAGAGGTACTGTAGGCGTGACCGCTTCGCGGAAGCTTCCTATACACTCGCGCCTCTGGCGCTCGGAAATTTAAATTTTCAAATTTCCCTGCTCAAAAACCACATGGCCGAGGATTTTCAAAAATTCGGCCACGTGGATTATGAGCGGGAAAATTTTGATTTTTGAATTTCCCCCCTGAAAAAAAACAGGTGGCCGAACTTTTGAAAATTCTAGGCCACGTGGATTTTGAGCGGACTCAGAGATTCGCTGGCCAGCTCGCCACCAGATCGCTGCGGCCACCTGGAAACCGCATGGCCGCCAGGTCGCCTCGAGTTTTCCGGCGACGTGGCCTGTGTGTTTGAAATTCTGGGAAGCTGGCAAGACAGTGGTTTGTACTAAAAACACTGCATTTTCTTCTGTTTTTTTCACTTCCTAAGGTTTCAAGTGCTGCGAAAAAACAGAAAATGAGCCAAATTTTTCGAAAATGCCTCAATTCACAAGTTTTTCAGACATTTTCATGAAAATTCATTTTGACGCGGCGAAGTGGCCACCACATGGTAGCCATGTGGCCGTGACCTAGCCAGAGCCTGGCCACCTTGCCAGCGAAAAAAACCGGGCGACATGGTTTCCATGTGGTTCCCAGGTCAGCCAGCCTCCCCACCTGGTGGCGAGCTGGCCAGCGAATCTCTGAGGAAAATTTCAAAAATTCAAAAAACAAAAAAAAAAAAGGTGGCCGAACTTTTGAAAATTCTAGGCCACGTGGCTAATTTTGCACGTAGATCACGAAAAACCGCCCCATTTTTTTGCAGATTTTCGCCTATCTCGGTCTAATCGCCTCAATTGCTCTCTCATTTTATCGTGCTCATTTCTTGGCTCTTCCACCTGCTCCAATGCTCACTTTGGAGCCCGTCGAGCTCTCCAAAACCCACCAACTTTTCGATCAACTTTTGCTATCGCCTGCCACGCGCATTTCCACGTATTGTATTGGATTTATTTTCGGAATTGGTTGCGCTAGCGCGTCGGAAGACTTGCGGCAACGCGGATTGGCTTATGTGAGTGGAAATTTGCGATTTTTTGACACCAAACATGACATTTTTTGGATTACTGTAGTCTGAGGGGTACTGTAGGTGCAAAATTACTGTAGATTATCAAATTTGGAGCATTTTGAGACCAAAAATGACTGGGTTACTGTAGCTCTAAAATTCTCTAGTTCAAAATTTGGTATCTTTCAAATTGTACCCCCAAAAATTGAATTTTTTGGATTACTCTGGATCTAGGGGTACTGTGGGTGCGAAATTACTGTAGATTATGAAATTTGAAGCATTTTGAGACCTAACATGACTGGGTTACTGTAGGTCTGAAATTCTGTAGATCAAAATTTGATATCTTTCAAATTGTATCCCAAAAAATCGATGTTTTCTGGATTACTCTGGATCTAGGGGTACTGTAGGTGCGAAATTACTGTAGATTATCGAATTTGGAGCATTTTGAGACCAAACATGACTGGGTTACTGTAGCTCTGAAATTCTCTAGATCAAAATTTGGATCCCCGAAAATATTGGATTACTGTGGATCTAGGGGTACTGTAGGTGGGAAGTTACGCTGATCTACACAACAGTAACCCTGAGGAGAGTACTGTAGGCGTGACCGCTTTTGCGAAAAAAATTTACAGTACCCCAGTCATGTTTGGTCTCAAAATGCTCCAAATTTCATAATCTACAGTGATTTCCCACCTACAGTACCCCTTAAACTACAGTATTTCAAAAAAAATTGATTTTTTTCGGGGTACAATTTGAAAGATTCCCAACTTTGATCTACAGAATTTTGGAGCTACAGTAACCTTATCGTGTTTGGTCTCAAAATGCTCCAAATTATGGCGGGAATTCAAAAAATTTTGCAGAACCCCCACAAAATTCTGGCTCTCCTCTGCCTTTTGACCGGAATCTATCCATTCATCGGCGCCTTTCATTTCGCCAACACCAACGTCTACAGCAGCCCGATTTTTGACACAATTTACGCATCGATTCACAGGCCGTTTTGGGCTTTTTCACTACTTTCTTTCGTCTATTTGTGTCATCATGGAGCTTTTGGTGAGTTTTGCTGGCGAAATTTGAAAATTGCGCGAGATTTGGTGCAGAATGACACCAAATATGACTATTTTTGTGAAAAAATTCAAAAATCGGTATTTTCCCGCCCAAAAACCATGTGGCCGAACTTTTGGAAATCCTAGGCCACGTGGATTTTTCATTTGAAAATTCAAATTTTCAGAATGGCTCAACGCATTGCTCAGCTGGCGCGTGTTTGCTCCCCTTTCAAAGGTGACGTGGATTACCCTGGTTATCGCGGAGCCCGTCATTCTCTACTTCTTCTCCTCACTCAACAAACCAGCCCATGCAACACATTGGAGTACGGTAGGTGTCTTTCGTGGTGGGACCTGAAACTTGATTTGCGAACGAGGAGCAGCGCATTTAAATATGACGATTTCCTCAAATTTCCCAGAAGCGCGCGTGTGCGAGTGGTTAGCAGTTTTGCCTGCGAAGCAGAGGGTCGCGGGTTCTAGCCCACCCCAACGCACAACTTTTTTTTCAGATGTACACCTCAATCTCGGCCGCATTTTTATCCTATTTTGTCGCCATGTGCCTTGATATTTTCGTGACGAGACCAATTCGATATTTGATCTACCGAGAGCAGAAACATCGTTATGCTCAAGCTCACATTTCAGATGACAACAAACACTAATTAATTAACTAATTAGGGAAAAAACAAACGAATTTATATTGCCTTAATTAATAAAAAGAAAATTGAATAGAAGTTGTCCTAACTCGGTTTTTTCCTTTGCAAAGGAGCTTTGAATGAAAAACAAAAAAAAACAAAAATTCAAAAAAATCGCGCTGTTCGCTTCGAGATATTCTGCACACAATTGCATGCGCCTTTGAAAAAACCGTAATTGGTCTCGCGACGCTACCGCCTGTCTCGCAATTGTTTTCATTTTTTTTCATTTTTTCGGCCTAAATTTCAGTTTTTCGCGAGAAAAGGTGGATTTTTCATATTTTGCTGGTACGACAAATGAAAATGGGGAGAGGTAAGGGTTTTGGGAAGGGTTTACTCTCCGAAAAAGCTGTTTTTGGAGTGGAATTTTGAGAAAAACGGGAAAAATCGAATTTTCCAGCTAGCCAAATCGAAGAGATGCACAGATTATTTCGAGAACGAGCGAAATACCTGCCAGATGTAAATGGACCAGTTCTGCTAAATGGAGAAACATTGAATTTCTATATGGATTGGCTTCATTCAATGAATCAAATGAATCAGGAAGGTCTATCGGTTCATTATTTCCTCACGGATATGTATCATCATGTGGAGAAGAAATTGAAAACACATATTCAAATTCCATTCCAAAAAGCACAAATCTATGCAGTTCGTCGAAAACTTTACAAGCGATTCGATTCGTCGATTCTTGATAAAGATATGATTGTTTTTCCGATTCATCTTCCCGATATTCAACATTGGTTTCTTGCAATTATTCATCGACCAGCTGACGCGATTCGAAAGAAAATCACACCTTCGGCGGCACAGCAAGAAGAAGAAGGAGCTGCAAGCCAAGATTTCAATAATAATCTTGATGATTTTGATGTGACAGTTGGTGGCGGATGTCGAATTGTGATTTTGGATAGTTTATATGGAACGAAGAATTATGGAGAGGAATTGAAGGTGGAATATGCGAAGGTTTTCGAGAATTTAAAAGTTTGGATTCAATTGACGGCTGATTTTGAGAGTAATATTGTTATGACAAGTCGAATCAAGTGAGTGAATTCAAAAATTGCAGAAAATACTTGCTATGACGTGGCGAACTTCGGAAATTCAGGAAAAATCGTGACTTTGCGCGAAAATTTCGCTCTGAAGGGAACATTTTGTCTACAATTCAATTTTCGGAGTGAAATTTTTCAAAAATACCATATTTTGAACTTTTTCAACTTGCAATAGTAGTTTTCGACCCACTGATCACGATCCCGCTGTCTAAAATTGCAAATCTCAACTTCTAACATGAGTTATGACGTGGCAAAGATGGAAAATTGGGACTTTAGGAGGACAGAACTTGCTTTCAAAGTTATTTTCATAAAAATCTGACAGCATAGGGTTGTTCAGGAAACAAATTTTTTAAATCGAGCCTCCTGAAGGATGCCATGCTATCAGATTTTTATGAAAATAGTTATGAAGGCGATTTCTGACCCTCCAAAGTTCCAATTTTCCAACTTTGCCACGTCATAACTCATGTTAGGAGTTGAGCTTTGCAGTTTTAGACAACGCGATCGTGATCAGTGGGTCGAAAACTACTAGAAAATATATTTTTCCTTAAAATTTCTCGATTGCAAGTAGAAAAGTTCAAAATATAGTATTTTTGATAAATTTCGCTCTGAAAATTGAACTGTAGACAAAATGTCCCCCTTCAGAGCGAAATTCTCGCGAAATGTCACGATTTTTCCTGAATTTCTAGAGTTTGCCACGTCATAGATCGAAAAATCATGATTTTCGAGTTTTGAAACGGAATTTTCAACAGCAAAATGTCATATTTCAGAACAGTCGTCTGCAAAAACCTGCCAATTCAAAAGACCAACTTCGAATGCGGTATTTATATGCTCGTCTTCGCCGAATATTTCACCGTCTACAACACTGAATGGATCGATTGGGAAACTGAAGAAATCGAGAATTTGATGATCGATGAAACAGTCCAAGAACATCTTGAAAGTGGCGAATCGCGAAAACGATTGAATGCTGAAATTCAGCGATGGAAATGGAAATAATTCGATTTTGTAAGTTTTTTACTTGTAATATATAATTTTTCAACATTTTCAATTTTATTTCACTTGTTACTTGTTAAATATTCATTAAGATTAGATATAAATTTTGCTTTTTAAACAAGAGCTTCTTGAGATTTCGAAGTAAAAATTGAAAATAATGATTGCAAACTTTCCATAGAAGCCAAGGCGCCGAAATCGATAAATCTGAAATTTTTTGATTTTTCAAAAAAAAAATCAATATTTAATTACCGTATTCTGCTCAAATCCTTTGGGGCATATGCGCCTTTAACAATAATTGTGTCATGCGTTTTACGCTGCCCATATTTTTGTTGGAGCACACTTGCATATCTCATCAAATCTGGAACATGCACCATTTTTCCGCCAACGTTGACCAGAGCAAAACGGGCGTCCTGAAATTTTGAATTTTTGGTAGAGAAACTTCAAAAAAAACCAGATTTTTTGCATAAAAATCTTGAAAAATCCCTGAATTTCAGCCCACAAACCTTGATAGCTCTACCGAAATAGTGAATTTTTCGGATATATTGAATTCCAACCAAATCGATACACATCGTGCTGAAAAATTTTGGAAATTTGAATTTTGGCGCCAAAAAACACCCACGTAATCGCTAATCCAATAATAATATAGCACAAATCCACAATATAGTATTCTCGTTGTAAAGGAACAATATCACCAAATCCGACCTGAAATTAAAGGAACATACAGTACTCTAGACCTGAAATTTGTTGAAAAATACAAATGTTTAAAGGAACATACCGTAGTCATAGTGATGAAGCTGAAATAGAAACCTCGGAAAAAATCCCAATTTTCCCAAGTTCCGATCAAAATCGCGCCAATCGCAATGTAGCCAAGCAAAATTGAGACGATTAATGAGATTGGAATTGAAATGTAGTGATCCAGACCCTGTAAAGAGGAGTACTGTAGGAGTACTGTAAGAATTCAGAAATGCATGATTTCCAGTGCTTTTTTGGTCAAAAATGTGCAGTTTTCAAGCTCCAGAGCTCCATTTTCATCAAAAATCCCATATTTCGGCTTAAAAATCATGAATTCTGGGACCTACAGTATCCTACCGTACCTGCATAATCTGTTCTCCGCTTTCCGCTCCTCTTTCCGCTCCTTTTTCTTCTTTATTCGAAATCGCTTGATATTTCGCGTGTTTTTTGTCGATTTTCTCTCGCAATTTCGTGTATCTCGTATACAGCCAAATAATATTTTCCGACAAAAATTTTCCGATATCAGCTACAGTAATCAAGATTAAAGGCACACCGAATAGTGCGTAGGCGATACAGAACATTTTTCCGTGCCAAGTTACCGGAACTAGATTACCGTAACCGATTGTGGTCAACAATGTGGCGGTGAAAAAGAGGGCGGTGATGAAGGTCCAATTGTTCTGCAAATTTTTGGAGTTACTGTAGTTTGAGTGGTACTGTAGCTCGAAATTTGGAACATTTTGAGATCAAACATGACTGGGTTACTGTAGCTCTGAAATTCTGTAGATCAAAATTTAGAACTTTTCCGAACCTGGGCATGTTTGGTGTCTAAAAACGTGGATTTTCGAGGGTAGATCAAAATTTCCCGCCAAAAGTACTGTAGGGCCCTACCGTACCTCAACCGAATGTCCATCTTTGCCCAAATGTTTAGCTGCAATATAATGTGTGTCGAAAGCATCAAAAAGGATGCGCGTCAAATTGTGCACATGCTCCAACGCGAGCTCTTCCAATCCGCGCGGATCCGCCGCCTCCGATTTTTTGAGTTCCGCCAACTCGCCGATCATCCGCTGCTTGTAGGCGTGGAATTTCGCAATGTTGTGTGTGCGCACGTGGATCTCGTGCGCACGTTCCATGTGATAGAACACCATTGCACCGCCTATCACGTAGAACAACGAGAGAAGAATGAGACCGACGTGCGGAAGGATTATCCGCGCGTATTTCTTCCAGGGAGGCATGGGGCGGACGGTGATCTGCAAAAACAAAATGGGGGATTTAAAGGGACATACACTCGCGCTGTCGCGCTCGGGCCGCTTCGCGGAAGCTTGCGGAACAGTAATACGTGTGGCCGCTACGCGGAAGCTTCCGGCCTACACTCGCTACGCTCGAGAACTACAGTAACCCTAGGTACTGTAGCTTGGTACAGGACAAAAATTTAAAGGGACATACACTCGCGCCAAAGGCGCTCGGGGTACTGTACTTACAGTAACCCAGGATCCCTCGGGTCCCGATACGATCTACAGTAACCCAAGCTTACTGTAGGATAAGAATTACAGTAATCCGCGTGGCCGCTACGCGGAAGACAGTGCCGCTACGCGGAAGGTTGCGGTTTACACTCGCTACGCTCGGGATCTACAGTAATCTGGGATTACTGTAGATACTCTCAGTACAGTAACCCGAAGGGACACACACTCGCTCCGCTCGAGCCGCTCCGCTGAATTTTCCACTTACACTCGCGCTAGAGACGCTCGGGGTACTGTACTTACAGTAACCCCTCGGGTCCCGACACGAACTACAGTAACCCTAGGTACTGTAGCTTGGTATAGTAACCCGAATTCAAAGGGACATACACTCGCTCTGCTCGAGCCGCTTCGCGGAATTTTGATCTACACTCGCGCCTAGGGCGCTCGGGGGTACTGTAGATCCCAAACTACATTAACCCATAATCCTTTCGGGTCCCGACACGATCTACAGTAGCCCAGGTGTACTGTAGTTACAGTAACCCGAATTTAAAGGGACACACACTCGCTCCGCTCGAGCCGCTTTGCGGAATTTTCCACTCACACTCGCGCCAACGGCGCTCGGGGTACTGTACTTACAGTAACCCCTCGGGTCCCGACACGATCTACAGTAGCCCAGGTGTACTGTAGCTTGGTACTGTAACTCAAATTTAAAGGGACATACACTCGCTCCGCTCGAAACCGCTTTTCGGAATTTTGATCTACACTCGCGCCAAAGGCGCTCGGGGTACTGTACTTACAGTAACCCCTCGGGTCCCGACACGATCTACAGTAACCCAAGCTTACTGTAGGTACAGTAACCCGATTTCAAAGGAACACATTAAGGCCAAAATTGTGGGGTTTTAAAGGTGCATTGAGATTTTCAAAGGGATATACAGTAATGCTCTAAAAATTCACAAAATTTTCAAGAAAAACTACAGTAATTTTCAATCTACAGTACTTAGACAAAAAATTGTGGAATTTTCAAAGGCGCATACAGTAATCCCTAGTGATTTTTCACATATTTTTAAAGGTACATACAGTAATCTATATCGAAATCAAGTTGAAAATCGACAATTTTAAAGGAACATACAGTAGCCCTATTAAATTTAGCTTTAAAAATCGCACTTTTAAAGGTGCATACAGTAATCTGTGTTAAAAAATTCGAATTTTTCATAAAACATTACATTATTATTGTCATTTTTGGCGGGAAAATGTGATTTTCTTCTGTGATTTTGTTGATTTGCAGATGAGAAAAGGCCGATTCGACGTGGCGTGGAGTACGGTAGGTGTGACGTCACAAATGGCATCTGAAAATTTTGAAAATTTTGAATTTGGCGCCGAAAATTCGTCCAAAACAACAGAAAATAATACATTTTTTAAAAAATTTTTCTCTTTTTGTTGAAATGTCAATGATTTTTTTTCGCGCGCCAAAAATTTTGACCCAAGGGAAAAATCATTTTTTTTTTCAAAAAAAAAAAGACGAGTTCAAAAAAAGAAGGAAATACATAAATCTCTTTTTTTTGTTTCACAAAACAAAAAAATTTTTCATTTTTTTTTTTTGAAAAAAAAATGGAAATGTGAAAAAAGATGTTTTTCTAGTGGGAATTATTTGGAAATCGAGCGGAAAATTGGATTTTTTATGAGAAAAAAGCGGGAGATTTGAAAATCACATGGCCTAGTTTTCTGCAAAATTCGGCCACGCGTTTTTTCGAGCGCTAAAATGAATATTTTTGAATTTTCTTTAAAAAAAATTTGAATTTTTGGAATTTCCCGCTGAAAAATCCAGGTGGCCTAGTTTTCTGCAAAATTCGGCCACGGGTTTTATGAGCGCTAAAATTTCAATTTTTGAATTTTCAAGATTTTCCATCAGAAAAAAGACGTGGCCGAGGTTTCCCAAAAGTTAGGCCACGTGGATTTCTGGCGGGAAACTTGGAAATTCTATTTTTTTTCAGAAAAAAAGTAGTACAAATGAGGCTAAGCCTCAAAGACAAACAAAAAAAAGGCGAGAAAAGTCATCAAATTTTTTTTGCTCCAAAAAAACGACATTTTTTGCTCCAATTTTCTTTTCCCTTTTTTTCAAACAAATTGAATAAGGTAATTTTTTTTTGTTTTTTTTTTGAAAAAAAAAATCCAGTGGCCTAGTTTTTGCAAAACTTCGGCCATGTTTATTTTCCTATAAACCAGATGGCCGAACTTTTCAAAAAACTAGGCCACATGAATTCCGAAAAATTCAAATTTTTTTCAAACTCACATGCATTTTTCTCTAGTTTTCTAGCTAAAATATAGTCAAAAAATGAAGCGAAAATTTTTTTTTGAAATTTTTTTTTTCAAATTCTCAAGAGACACATTATTTGATGTTTAGAGATAGTGTACTTTTAGCGCCAAAAATTCCACATGGCCGAACTTTTGGAAAACCTCGGCCATGCGGTTTTTGGCGGGAAATCTTAGAAATTCAAATTTTCCTATTTTTCGCGCCTGTGGCCGAACTTTTCAAAAAACCTAGGCCACGTGCATTTTCTAGAGCCTATAAACCACGTGGCCGAACTTTTGGAAAACCTCGGCCATGCGGTTTTTGGCGGGAAATCTTAGAAATTCAAATTTTCCACCTGAAAAACTTTGAAATTTCCATATTTTCTGACAAAATTCTGCTTACCTCATCCAAAACTTTGGTCGAAAATGCAAATTTCCACGAAAAATCGATTTTCCACATGACTAATCCTAGAATTTTGTGTTAAAAATGTGTTGAAAACACCAAAAATCAGTCAGAAACTCACAAATTCTACCTCAAAAATCGCGAATTTCGCGATTTTTTCGCGAAAATGATCGATATTTCCGCGCTTAACCTGAGCAATGCCGCTCAAAAATCGGCGCTCTACTCGAATCTGAGCCGCATCCACTGCCGTGTTGCCGAGCCAATTGAGCCATTTTCCGAATCCATGACGTGTCTTCAATGCGCCAGCTTTTTGACCTATCTTACCGTATTCGCCGCAATTTTTTCGGCCCCAAAATTATTCAAAACATATCGTGTTTTGCTATTTTTGCACAGTTTTATGTGAGTTTTGGGCGGGAAAAACAAAAAAAAACAAAAAATTTGAATTTCGCGCATTTTTTCGCAACACAATTTTCAAAATTGAGATTAGATTACTGTATGTGCCTTTGAAAAGTGCGATTTTTTGGCTAATTTTAATAGGGCTACTGTATGTACCTTTAAAATTATCGATTTTCAACTTAATTTCAATATAGATTACTGTATGTGCCTTTGAAAAAATTCCACAATTTTGGGTCTGAATTTAGATTGAGTACTGTAGATTACTGTAGTTTTTCTTGAAAATTTTGTAAATGTGAAGAGGATTACTGTTGATGTCCCTTTAAAAGTCCACAATTTTGGCCTAAATGTGTACCTTTAGTACACCTGGGCTACTGTAGATCGTGTCGGGGGACCAGAGGGGATGCTGGGGTACTGTAAGTACAGTACCCCGAGCGCCTTTGGCGCGAGTGTAGATCAAAATTCCCCTCGAGCGGAGCGAGTGTGTGTCCCTTTGAATTTGGGTTCCTGGGTACCTACAGTACACCTGGGCTACTGTAGATCGTATCGGGATTCGAGGGGATGCTGGGTTACTGTAAGTACAGTACCCCGAGCGCCTTTGGCGCGAGTACACCTGGATGCTGGGTTACTGTAAGTACAGTAGTCCGAGCGCCCTAGGCGCGAGTGTAGATCAAAATTCCGCGAAGCGGTTCGAGCGGAGCGAGTGTGTGTCCCTTTGAATTCGGGTTACTGTATAACCCAGGGCTACTGTAGGTACAGTAGCCCGAGCGCCTTTGGCGCGAGTGTAGATCAAAATTCCGCGAAGCGGCTCGAGCGGAGCGAGTGTGTGTCCCTTTGGATTCGGGTTACTGGGTACCTACAGTACACCTGGATGCTGGGTTACTGTAAGTACAGTAGCCCGAGCGCCTTTGGCGCGAGTGTAGATCAAAATTCCACAAAAAATTGGGGAAAAATTTGAATTTCGCGCATGAAAATGAGCCAGAAAGCCTAGAAACAGCCCAAATTTCAATCCTAAGCCTGAAAACAGGCCTAAAAAGCCCCCAAAAAATCCCATTCTCCCAGCAACCTCGCCCTCGAATGTTTCCTCATCAACATCTACCGTCCACAAACCGCCCTTCCCCATCTAACCCTCAAATCAACCGGCAAACTAGCAAACTCTCTTCAAATTTCGGGCCTCAACCTGATGATCATAGCAATTGCCGGCGCAATTCTCAACCTCTTCATTCAAATGCTCCTCTTCCACTATCGCCTACATCAAATCTCCAGATCCCGCCATTCACTTTTGATCTACACCTTCATATTTTTCATCGTCATAACTTTGCTCGCCCTCATTTTCCTCTACGGTCACCTCAACCATCTGGAAATCGATCGAAAATTCGAGAAGATCCTCGAAAATCCCAAAGACTACACAATGTTTTGCGAATCCACGTGGATCGCTCCCGAATTCACGTCATTCTTCGCGTGTTTTTGCGTGGCATTGGCGCTTATTCTGTGCACATGGTCGATATTTGTGTGGCAGACGTGCCGCAGGATTTTGGCGAATGTCGCGAGGGTTTTGAGGACGCGTGAGCAGTCGCCGGCGAATTTGCGGCGACACCGCGTTTTGGCGTGCGGTTTGGTGAGTCAGACTGCTGTGCATTTTGGATTTTTGGTGTTGCCAGGCATTTTTTCGTGTCTCATTGTGCATTTTGCGGTTTTTATTAATAATGGTGAGTTTTTTGGCTCGAAAAATCGCAAGTGCGCTCTATTGATAACCTGGTTTCGGTTGAAAAATGCAAAAATTCCATAAAATCAGCAATTTTGCTCTCGAAAATCGATAAATCAACAAGTGTGCTCTACTGAGACGCTCGAAAAATTCAAATTTTAATACAAAATCAAACGCGCTCTATCGAACAACCCGTTTTCTTATGAAACATTCATAATTTTCACTAAAAGTGAAAGAGCGCCCTATTGATAACACTGCTTTTCATCAAAATTTTTGAATTTTCGAAAATTTCAATGAAAATGCAAGCACGCCCCACTGAACTGTTGGTTTTTGGTAAAAATTCAAACGCGCTCTACTGAACAACCCGTTTTCTGATGAAAAATTCAAAAAACAATTGCGCCGCGGGTTTCCCTAAAAAATCGATAATTTAGCAAGCGCGCCCCATTGAACTCCCCGAATTTTCCCCCAAAATTTCGAAATTTGCAGCACAAGCCCTCGGAATTCTCTTCATTTTCATTTTTCACGGATTTTTTTCGACAATAATCTCGATTTTGCAACATTCCTCACTCTATGTACCTTTGTTCAAATCGGTTTTCAAAAAATTTTCGTCGAAAAATAATCAAATTATTCCAGTTAGTATTATTATCAGTTAATAAGGTTAGGCCTGAAATTTAGGCCTGAAACTTAGGCTTGAAGCTAGGCCCAAAAAAAATAAATGAATAAAGTTTGTTGAAAAAAATTTTTGTTTAGTTTACACATTTTTTTGATGGACACATTTTCAATTAATCCTTTTTTTTCGTGCAAAAAATTTGCAATAGAGCATATTTGCTCCAAAAAAGCGCGCGAAAAAAGTGATTTTCAAAATGTTACCTGTTCACCGCTCAAAAGTTGATCCAAATCCCAAGGATCGGCTTCGGCCAGTGGAGAATAATCACCGGTCACAATTCCATCAATCAACATTTTTCTGCAAGAAAATTGAAGGGTTTAAAGGCGCATACAGTGAAAAATAAGGAGAAAAAGCAAGTGCGCTCTATCGAAATTCACATTTTTCATCGAAATTTTTGAATTTTTCATTGAAAATTGCGATTTTTAAGCACGGGACCTTGAAAAACGAATTTTTCACAGTATTTTGATTACAAGAGCAAGTACGCTCTATTGAAATACCCCTTATTAAACTGAAATTTGAATTTTTCATGAAAATGATGATTTTAAAGGCGCATACAGCAAAAATTGATGAAAAATAACATTTTCACAGTATTTTGAGCTCAGAAGCAAGTGCGCTCTATCGATATTCACATTTTTCATCGAAATTTTTGAAATTTTCATTGAAAATTGCGAAAAAATGATGAGAATTTCGTATTTTCGCCGTGAAAACATATAAAAATGGTCCCCAGGGGATTATTTTCAATTTTTTTTTCGAAAATTCGCTGCGCAAAGCACCTGGTCGAAAACAAGAAAAACTTCCTTTTTTGCCCAAAAGAAAGCGAAAAAAAGGAGAAGTACATACAATTTTATTTAGTTAGGCTAACTCTCAAATTGAAATTGGGAAAAAAAACCCGAAAAAAGAAAAAAGGCCGGCGCATTTGGTTTATTTAATTGAAAAAGGGAAGAGTTTTCGGTTACAAAATGATGGGATTTTTCTCTGGTGCACTCTCTTCAAAAGGTGTACTATTTCTCTTTTTTTTCCGAAAATTTGAAATTTTCAGCATTTTCAGCACATAATTTCAGTCTAGAACAATGAAAATTTGAAAAATCAGCAAAAAATAGTTTAGAAGACAAAAAAAGGAAAAAAAAATGAAAATAATAATTTTCCAAATAATGAAAAAATTAAAAAATTTGGGCGGGTAGATCAAAAAACACATATTTCGACGTATAACTTAGAGAGTGTGAAATAGTGAGATAGTGAGAGACGCAGACAGTGAGAGCAAACAGCCAGCGGGCGACCGCAACGCACACGCATCGCGCGGGAGAGAAAAGTGAAATTTTTTAATTTTTTAAAGCCATTTTCACACTGAGACCTTGAAAAAAAGCGGTAGACTTTGAGAAAAAGAAGGTTTTTATATTTAAATATTGCAATTTTGATCAAAAAACATTATATATACAAAAATCAACAAGAAAATCCAATTAATCATAATCATCAGGAATATTGAGAAAACTTCCAATTGTTGGGAAATGCACAGCACTCATTCCAGCAGTTCCTCCAACTCCAGCAGCTGGAACTGCCCAATGTCCTCCCCATTGCAGCTGAAAAACAGGAATTTTGAGAAAAAATGAAAAAAAAACACACAAAAATGACTACGGTATTTTCAAGGCGCAGCGTGTGTGGCGCGCGGGTCTCGAAGCGATTGGTTTTTTTATTTTCGAAAAAAAAGAATTTTTCAGCCTAAATTTCTGGTTTTCTGGGTAAATCGAGCACGCTGAGCACGAATTTTGTGCTTAAATTGTTGGAGAGTACGGTATTCTCAAGGCGCATAATGTACGGCTTACAGGTCACGCCACGAACTTGAAAAAAACAGGTTTTTTTGTAAATTTTTATTTTTTGTCCTAAAATTTGATATTTCCGGGTAAATCGAGCACGCTGAGCACGAATTTTGTGCTCAAAATGTTGGAAAATACAGTATTTTAAAGGCGCAGCGTGCGGCTCTCACCACAAAAGTGTTTTTTTGTAATTTTTAATTTTTTTGTCCTAAAATTTGAATTTTTCATATTTCCCGGGAAATTCGAGCACGCTGAGCTCGAATTTTACGGTATTATTATTGTAAAATGTGATATTTCTCGTCAAAAATTCAAAATTTTCATATTTCCCCCGCTGAGCGCGAATTGCGCGCTCAAAACACCCCCAAAATTCGCTGCTCACCTGTCCATTGAGCCAATCAACACCGACAGATTCGGGATGATACCAATATTTATTGGGTGGATCTCTGCTGTGCGGATCGGCCGGATTCGGCTCCCACAATCCGGGTTTTGTGAACGGCGAACGACTTCGAACCTGGTGAACCAGACCACGACTGTCGGATAGCGCGTTGAAGTCGTTGGGAGAATTGGCGGCGAATTGAGCGAACTCGGAATCGGCTGGCAGAATTGGAACTTGATGCGTTCTGAAGGTTAGGGAATTTGTGGAAAATTCGACTAACAGGCTGAAATTTTGTGCTGAAAACGATGGAATCACTGATTTTCAGTGATTCCATCGTTTTCAGCACGAGATTGCAGCCGATGAGCTTTTTTAACTGAAATTTTGTGCGAAAGGCTTTTTCTGAAGCTTATTAGCTTTGCAAAAGTGTTCTAAACCTATATTTCAGGCTGAAAATGATAAAATTGGTGATTTTCAGCACAAAATTTCAGTGAAACCAGAAGCTTGAAATTTTGTGCTGAAAACACTAGAATTACTAATTTTCCAGCATTTTCAGCAAAAAATTTTAGCCAAAAAGCAACTTTTTTTGGGTAATCTTTTTCTAGGCTGAAATTTTGTGCTGAAAATCAAAAATGCGCAAAATTCCCCAGTGTTACCTAGCTTTTCCGGTTGATTTTTGCTCCGATGGCTCTTGGGCAACGGTGGCAGTTCGTAATCCAGGCGAAATTATTCGAGTTTTCATCTCTGTTGCTGGAAAATTCCAGAATTTTGCTGAAAATCTCCGAAAAACTCACTTTTTTCCTCGGGTTTCAAGTTTTCCACCAATTCTTTGGTGAAAGTTCGTGGATCTGCGGCTAAAAATTTGATTTTTTTTTCAAACAACGATGCTCCGCGTTTACACATACATTTAGTTCAGCGCGAAAAATTTGAAATTCAAAATTTTCGTTGACACACAGTGTATTACAAAAAGCTTTATTAAAGGCACACGGGGTTAAATATTAAAGGGACATAGACACATATGAACATTATGGGTTACTGTAGTACCCACCAACGCCTTGCCACGTGGCAGTATTCGGATTTTGTTGGTTTTCGCCTAGAGACTCCAAAAATCCATCGAGACCTCCTTTCTCGGTCTGTCCCTTTAAAGTGGCCGGCGAGGATTTGACGCCAATCGCGTCGGGACCCGATGTGATTCCGTTGATTTTCCTGGAGTGGGGGGTACTGTGGGTTTTGGCGGGAAAAATGAGGGGTTTTGAGTGTTTTTTGGCGGGAAAGCTCTAAAATGCAGTTTTTCACGGTGTAAGCACGCAGCATCGTTGTTTTCCTATTCAAAAACAATTTTTGACTGAAAACAACGACGCTCCGCGTTTACACGTGGCTTTTCTGGCGGGTAATGTTGAAATTTGAATTTTTTCAGCGCTAAGAATGTTCCTAGGCTTATTTAGACTCAAAAATCAGGCTTTTCACAGGCCTAGGATTGTTTAGGCTTAAAAATAGGGTTTTATTCAGGCCTAGGATTGTTTAGACTCAAAAAATAGGCCTTTTTCAAGCCTAGGCTTGTTTGGACTCAAAAAATAGGGCTTTTTCAGGCCTAGGCTTGTTTGGACTCAAAAAATCGGCCTTTTTCAGACCTAGGCTTGTTTGGACTCAAAAATAGGCCTTTCTCAGGCCTGCTGGTCCCCTTGGCCCCCCACTCACTTCAACGCCCTCCACAATTCCCTTGGTGTCAATGGTCTTGGTGTAGTTGGTGTCGAATAATAATTGTTGCGATGTCGTCGAAGTCGCCGTCGTCGATGCGACGAAGATCTTCGCGATTTTCTGACGCGTCGCGATTTTCGCGGGCTGAAAATTCGGGGGGATTTTCAGCGATGTTCGAGCTGACAAACCGTACCTTTCCAGCTGTTTCTCTTCGGCGCGTCTTAAAAATGCTTCTGGAACTGGAGGCGGAATGATTAGCTCGAGTTTTTCCGCTTCCGGAGCTTCCGCGTCACGTTTTTGACGGCGCAAAATTGGAGCCAGGGCCATTGCGCGGTTTTTGTGACGGCCGAGAGGCATTGGAGCTGGGATGTTGTAGGGATTGCTTTGATCTGGTGCTCCGGCTGAAAATTTGGGGGTTTTAGATCAGTTTTTTGTGCTGAAAATGCTGGAATTGTTGATTTTCAGCGATTCCAGCGTTTTCAGCACAAAATTTCAGCCAGAAAAGTTGTGATTTCACTGAAATTTGGGGAATTTTTCTGAAATTTTGTGCTGAAAACGCTGGAATTCGTGAAAATCGCTGAAAATCAATAATTTCAGCCGAACTCACGCAAAACTTTTCCCTTATTGGCTTTCGAGTAGATGAATTGTGAAGCATAGTGATATCTTTCATACTGTGGACATCCATGATACCATAATCTGAAGATTACGGTATTTAGGGGGGAATACTGTAGATTTTGGCGCGAAAATCATGAAAATTGGTCGAAATTGACCCAAAAATATCGATTTTTATATCAAAATGATCAGATTTTCGCGCCAAATTCAACTAGGAGTACTGTAGCTACCGTACCTGCATGTATTCAGGAATAATGGCATTGGAGGTGGATTACAGAATCGCTGTACAACCGGATAAATGTAGTCACATTTGCATTTTGTTGTGCAATGCGGGAAGATGCGTTGATCACAATCGGGTTTGCAGGGGTAACGACGCTGCAAAAAGGGTACTGTAGGAGTACTGTAGGTGGGAAATGGAGAATTCCAGCGTTTTCAGCACGAAATTTGGGTCTAGAAAAGTTTTGGCTGAAAAAACATGGATTTTCAGCCAAAAACAGTTTGGATAGCTCAATTTTTGCTGAAAAATTTTTCTAGGTCAAAATTTTACGCTGAAACTGCTAGAATCACTGAAAATCGCTGAAATTGAGGTATTCCATGATTTTCAGCGAAAAATTCTGATTTAGAAATCTGAAAATCTGGATTTTCAGCCAAAAACAGTTTGGATAGCTTTTTCCAGCCCAATTTTTTGGTGAAAAAATTTTCTAGATCAAAATTTTGTGCTGAAAATGCTGGAAGCACTGAAAATTGCTGAAAATCACCAATTCCAACGTTTTAAACACAAAAATTCAGACTTTGGATAACTTTTTCTAGCTTTTATTTAGCTGGAAGAAAGTTTCCTGGCTGAAATTTTGCGCTGAAAACGCTGAAATCACTGAAAATTGCTGAAAATCAACGATTTCAGTGTTTTCAGCACGAAAATCTTGTCTAGAATTCTGAAAATCAGGATTTTCAGCCCCAAAAGTTGCACTAACTCTCAATTCCTCATAATAAACACTCTCATCCTCTTCCGAATCTCGATCTTCTCGAAATTTCCTAGATCTTCCTCCAGATTTTCTCGAACTTCCAACAATTTCCGCCGAGTTCCCCACAGTAGTAATCCTCTTCTCAAACGGATTTTCTGGCCACGACGTCAGACTTTGTGTAACTTCCTTCTTCGTCGCACACACTTTTTTGTAGCTCGGACAAAAATCCTTGCTCATATTATTAGTAGTGTCTGTGCTCTCCGATCCGGTACAATAATATGAGTAATGTTTCTCGAATTTGTTACAGTACTCATCGACGGAGCCCGAAAATGTCTCTTTTTCGGTGGACGAATCGGCGTCTTGCTCATCCTGAAATTGAATTTGGGATTTTTTGGAGCCGCGCGGAAGCCTACCGTCTTCTGCCGCAAGTCCGCATCCACACCTTCCGCACGAATTTCAGCCAAAAATATGGCTGAAATTATTAGGAGACACGTGAGACGCATCTGAAAATTCCTGGTTTTGACGTGAGAATCAAGGGTTACTGTAGATCTTGACCCAAATTTCGCGCTAAAATTCAAGGATTACTGTAGCTCAACAACTTTTCTGAATAAAATACTGTAGACATCGAGGAGTACTGTAGTTCAAGAGGGCACTACAGTACCTCTTGAAAAGTGTACTGTAGATAAAGTAACTCTTATAATTACTGTAGATATATATATATAAATTGATCGAAAAATGTCAGCTACAGTAATCCATAGAAGTACTGTAGCTCAATATTTTTTTGAAGAGAATTTTTCAAAAAAAAAATGAAAATTACAAATTAGTCAACCAGATGAATACGAAAAAACGTAAATGATACACACACTTTCAATTAATTTTGGCGGGTAACAAAAAACGGGTTTTGTTTCTAGCCGCTAAAAAAGTTAGGCTAAGTCGGTGAAGGATGAAAAAATTATTTATGATAAAATTAGAGAGGAAATTGATATGAGAAAAAAAAGAGAAATGATAAGGTTACGTAATTTTGTGTGTATGTTTTGAGGTACAACCTATAAAAGTGGGCGGGGCTTGGGTGGAAAAGGGGCGGAGCTTGGGTTTTTTCCCCGGAAAAAAAATTGGAAAATTTTGATCTTTTTGGGATAAAGTTGCTTGGCTGAAATTTTGCTCTGAAAACGCTGGAATCGCTGAAAATCAATGATTTCAGCATTTTCAGCGCAAAATTTCAGCCGTGAAACTTTTCAGTTTCACTGAAAAAAAAAACTCACCAAAAATCCACATTTTTCACCAGCTTCCGTGTTCAAAATTTGAAATTCGACATGAAAATTCTGAAATTTTCGTGAAAATTTGACTGAAAAATGCTGAAATTCAAAAATGAGCGGCTCTTTATTCAATTTTTTTTTTCTTTGAAACCAAAAAATGAATTAGGTCACGTCAAAAATTTCCAAATGTTCACGTTTTTGGCTGAAATTTTGTGCTGAAAATGCTGGAATTAGTGAAAATCGCTGAAAATCAATAATTCCAGAATTTTCAGCACAAAATTTCAGTCAATACTGATCAAACTACAGTACCCTTCCCTTTAAAAGATCAAACGATTTTCGAAAAATCATTTTTTTTCTTTTAATTTTTTCCCAAAAATCAATCATTTTGTGTAAAAATTGGGTTGTGTTCTTTAAAGAAAAGAAAAAATGTTGCGGCGCGCGCGCAAAATCGCAAAACTTGATATTTTTGTAACACTTTATGCAATTTTTCTATTCCTATTTTTAGGTACTTTTTGAGGGTACTGTAGCGTTTTTTAAATAAATTTTTTGAGATAAAATCTGATGTGAACTATTTTTGGACCTAGATTTTATCTAAAAATCGGGAATTTTGCGCTGAAAATGCTGGATTTTCAGCGATTTTCACTAATTCCAGCGTTTTCAGCGCAAAATTTCAGATTAAAAACATTTATCCAAAAAATGTTCCATATTTTTTATGGTCCATCAGAAAATCCCAGGAATTTCAGTGAAACTGGAAGTTTCTTGGCTGAAATTTTGCGCTGAAAATGCTGGAATTATTGATTTTCAGCGATTTTCACTAATTCCAGCGTTTTCAGCGGAAAATTTCAGCCTAGAAACATTTATCGAAAAAATTTTATGGTTCATAAGAAAATCTCAGGAATTTCAGTGAAACTGGAAGTTTCTTGGCTGAAATTTTGCGCTGAAAATGCTGGAATTGCTGAATTTCAGCGATTTCCAGTAACTCCAGCGTTTTCAGCACAAAATATCAGATTTTTCGCGCTGAAAACCATGGTTTTCAGCATTTTTGCAGCACAAAAAAAAACAAACAGGGTTTAAGCCCATAATTTCGCAAAACTTCTCCAAAAATGTTCATATTTATTATTAAAAAGTTAGTAAAAAAAGAGAATAATTACATAATTAACAGATTATTTTCAGATAAAAAAGAGCACCAAATTAAAGCACAATAAAGAGGGGGAAAAAAGGTCAGAAACCGTAAAAAATTGGAGATTTTTCAGCATTTTGAGCAGGGGGGCCAAATTTATAGGCCTTTTTTCGAGTTTCCAGCATACATTGGATTTCTGACTGTTGTTGTGGCTTGTTTGTAAATCGGATTTTCGTTCTGCAAAAAAAAATATTGGCGATTTTGCGGTGAAAATAGGCTTTTCGGGCTGTTTTCAGGCCATTTTTCGGGCTTTCCGGGGCCATTTTTCCCGCCAAAAATTACTGTTTCCCAATTGGCAATCAATTTGTCTTTCATAAAATTGGCATATTCCGCGCGATCGTGTAAAACAGCAATCAATTTCCAGAGCAACAACAAAATGATGCCAAGAATTACGATTCCGGCAATTACACCCAAAACAATCGCCAAAACTGGAACTGGTGGTGGACAGTCTGTAAGAAAATAATTTTTTTTTCAAATTCGGACAAGCAAGTGCGCTCTATTGATAAATTAACGAATTTTCGTGTTTTTTGGGTGTAAAATGGTCAATTTTCGAGTATTTTGAAGCAAACTTCGAAATATTTTTGAATGTGGACAAGAAAGTGCGCTCCAAAGCAAAAATATCGATTTTTCACGTTTTTCTGGTCAAAAACAATCAATTTCCACCTAAATTACATCATTTTACAAGAAAATTCGAGATTTTTTCAAAAATTAACGAATTTCAGCTCGAAAAACACAGTTTCTAGCCCAAAAACCATCAAAAATAGATAATTTTTCAAATTCGGACAAGCAATTGCGCTCTAGTGATGAATTATCGATTTTTTCAAGTATTTTTGGTCAAAAACGATCAATTTTCACCTGAATTGCATCATTTTACGAGAAAATTCGAGATTTTTTTCAAATTCGGAGACGAAAGTGCGCTCCAATGCAAAAATCCCAATTTTTCACGTTAAAACCACGATTTAGGCTCATTTTTCGCGAGAATTTCGAATTTTATCATGAAAAATCCTGAAAATTCACCAACCTTTATGTTTTTTCACCCAAACTTTGGCACTATCCATAGTTTCATCATAGGCATACAAATAATAAAATGTGCAATCATCGTAGGGATCAACGAATTGGCAAGGTGTTGTGTCGTTCAAAACTGAAATTCAATTTTTTTTTTGGATTTTCAGCATTTTTTGCAGGAAAAATGATGGAAAAACCGTGATTTTTGAGCAATTTTGACCCAAATTTGCTCCAAAAACACCGTACCTGGCAATTCATCGACTGGAATTACTGTAAATGGACATTGATCGCATCGCGTTTCATTGTAGGGTCCAGTTTTCCATTGTTGACACATTACACACGGTTTGTATTCGATGCATTTTGTGGGGCAAGTCTGGAAGAGGAATAAATTGGTTTTCTAGGCCACCAAAATGGATTCTAGGCCATACTTCATGTTTTTTCGGTACAAAACTGCAAAAATTTCGAATTTTTGGATTTCTAGGCCACCAGAAACAAGAATTTGGATTTCTAGGCCACCAAAAACGGATTCTAGGCCATATTTCTTGATTTTCAGCTCAAAATTGCCAGATTTCATGTTTTTCCGGTACAAAACTTCAAAAATTTGATGAATTTGGATTTCTAGGCCATCAGAAACAAGAATTTGGATTTCTAGGCCACTAAAACGGATTCTAGGCCATATTTCATGTTTTTTCGGTACAAATTTGCGAAAATTTCATGAATTTGAATTTCTAGGCCACCAGAAACAAGAATTTGGATTTCTAGGCCACCGAAACGGATTCTAGGCCATATTTCATGATTTTCCGCTCAAAATTGCCAGATTTCATGTTTTTTTGGTGAAAAACTGCAAAATTTCGAATTTTGCGGATTTCTAGGCCACCCGAAATAAGAATTTGGATTTCTAGGCCACCAAATCGGATTATAGGCCATATTTCATGATTTTCAGTACAAAACTGCAAAAATATCACGAATTTGGATTTCTAGGCCACCAGAAACAAGAATTTGGATTTCTAGGCCACCAAAATGGTTTCTAGGTCATTTTTGACCAATTTTCACGATTTTTAGCTAAAAATTTCGCTCAAAAACTCACCGGACACAGTTCACACTTGGCTCCCGAATATCGATTTCCATCGGGTCCATCGAAACATCGACATCTTCCACACACACATTCGCCTTTTCCATTACAGATTTTTCCGTTGGCCGAAAGGCAAGAATCGGTGGAAATCGGACATTCGCACGCTCTTCCGGTGAATCCGGGTTTACAAATGCATTTTCCGCAATTGCATTCACCGTGATCCGCACAGATTTTACGATCGTGTCTGGGGCAATTGAAGTTGTCGCATTCGCAGAATTCGCCAGAGATTAGCTCTTCGGGGTTCTGCAAATATTCGGGTTTTGCAACGATGCTCCGCGTTTACGGGGCGAAATTCCATCAATTTTGATGGTTTTTAGGCTAGATATGGTCAAAAATAGGGTTTACTACGATGCTCCGCGTTTACGGGGTGAAATCTCATTAATTTCGGTGGGTTTTAGGTTGAAAATGATCAAAATTAGGTTTTGCAACGATGTTCCGCGTTAAAGGGGTAAAATTTCATTAATTTTGATGGTTTTTAGGCTAGATATGGTGAAAATTAGGTTTTTCCAACGATGCTCCGCGTTTACGGGGTGAAATTTCATCAATTTTGGTGGGTTTCACGTTGAAAATTATCAAAATTAGGTTTTGCAACGATGTTCCGCGTTTACGGGGTGAAATTTCATTAATTTTGGTGTTTTTTGGGGTGAAAAAGATAAAAAACCATTAAAATCGGAATTTTCAAACGATGCTCCGCGTTTACGGGCTCAAAATTTGATGGATTTCAGCGGTTTTTTTTTTTTTTTTTTTTTTTTTTTTGAGGTGAAAAAGGTAAAGAATCAAAAAAATTAGGTTTTGCAACGATGCTCCGCGTTTACGCGGTGAAATTTCATTAATTTTAGTGGTTTTTAGGTTGAAAATGATCAAAATTAGGTTTTGTAACGATGCTCCGCGTTTACGGGGTCAATGTTCACCCCGTAAACGCGGAGCGTCGTTCGAGACTTCAAACCTCCCAGAAAACGCTCATATTTTCGCCGCGTAAACGCGTATCATCGTAGTTTCACTCACATTTCTCGGATTACACTGACACCGTCCACAATTACAAACTCCTCGTCCCTCACAAATCGCCGACTCGTTGGTCCGCTTGCATTTTTCATTGAGAGCAGCCGTGCTCATTCCGGGTCGATTACATTCGCAATATTTTCCCACATTTCCATTTTTGCACCGACAAACTCCACAAACTTGATCGCCGTTGTTGCATTCGGCCGCGTTTCGGACGATTAGTTCCTAGAAAATGAAAAATGGTGGATTTTAGTGGAAAAATCATAAGAAATGGAGCATTTCGAGCCAAGATATGATAATTTTGCATTAGAGCGCATTTGCTCGTCCTAATTTAATAAAAATCAATTTTTTCCATGGTTTTTGGGTCAAAAATTATGAAAAATCGATATTTTCTCATTAGAGCGCATTTGCTTCTCCTATTATTGATTTTTCAATGGTTTTTGGGTGAAAATGGTGAATTTCAAGCCAAAAATCGATATTTTCTCATTAGAGCGCATTTGCCTCTCCGAATTCAAAAAAATCGGTTTTTCAATGGTTTTTTGGGTTGAAAATCATTAAAAATCGATTTTTTCTCATTAGAGCGCATTTGCTTCTCTGAATTCAAACAAAAAATCGATTTTTCAATGGTTTTTGGGTGAAAATGGTGCATTTCAAGCCAAAATTCGATATTTTCTCATTGGAGCGTATTTGCTTGTCCCAATTTAAAATTTTTTGGTTTTTGCGCGGAAAAATTTGAATTTTCGTGTGTAAAAATGCACAAAAACCTCATTTTCCCATACAAAACATTGAAATCTACGCAAAAATGCACAGAAATCATATATAGCCTCAAAATTACCCAAAAAACCCCATTTTTTCACCAAAAACCCTGTCTAGACTCAAAAAATCCCAAATCACCAACCTCCTTCTCACAATCACAATCACACAACACTTTAACATTCACATGAAGTGCTTCGTCCAAACCGGAAGGTCCAATTCTGAGCACAAAATCGCGTTTATCAACACAATGGGTGTTTTCGAGAGTGACTTCGAATTGAACTTCATCGCCCACTTTGATTCCTTCGCACACATTTGTGTCTTTTAGGGTTGTTCCGCTGGAAAAAATGATTTTTTGGGTGGAAATTTGGGATTTTTGGTGAAAAATGGTGAATTTTGAGCGAAAGATCAAGTAATTTGGCCAAAAATTGCTTTTTCTATGAAAAAAATCAAATTTTCATTATTCTTGACCCCAAAAACATAGAATTTGATCAAAAATCAATGAAAAATTTGAATTCGGAGAGGTAAATGCGCTCCAATGATAAAAACACGAATCTAGGCTCAAAATTCATCATTTCCAACGATTTTTTCACCAAAATGCACCATTTTTCAGCGCAAAAACCTACGTCAAACACCGTGATCTATAGGTGATTTTGAGTCCATCAGTTGCGTTGGCATTATCGGTCATAATGATTTTCTCGCTGATTTTCTCATAGTTATCGGTGATCAATTTGACGACATTGCTTGAATCGTTGGCCAAAACACCAACGGTCGCTGAGACATCGGGAAGGGCTTCCTGGAAGAAAAATGGGGCTTTTAGGGGGCTTTCTTAGGCCGGGTAGGCTTTTTGGGTCAATGGACGGTCAATATAAGCTAAATTTGGTTTTCTAGGCCATTTTCTATCAAAATTCATGAATTTTGGCTGAAAATGCTCCAAATCTCACCTTCAATTGTTGATAAAGCATCTCATTATTCTGTGTGACCGCAAAAATCACATTAGCCTTGCGATCTTTGATCATTTGATGCAACAATGCAATTGAGGGATAATCCTGATTCAATGTTTCCGTATAATATCCGTGTCTGTCCAAATGACAACTTCCATCGTTGGGTTCGACAACACCGGCCAATCTGCCGTCGCCGGCGAAATGGAAACCGGCATCGGTGGAGAAGACCAACATTTTACGGGCTCGTTCACGCCATCCAATTGTTTGCTGCAAAAATTTTGGTGGAAAATGACGTTTTTGATTCAAAAATTCGAATTTGTCATAAAAATTTGCATTAGAGCGCGTTTGCAACTTGGAAACATCAAATTTTCGGTGAAAAATGAGGAAAAATATTTGAAAATTCTTCTTTTTCGCAAGAATTCGCATTGGAGCGCACTTGCGTGCTTGGCCTAAGTTACCAAAGCAAATTTTCTAGTCTCCCTTCATTTTATGATCAAAATTCGCATTGGAGCACACTTGCAGCTTCTTAAAATCAAATTTTCAGTGAAAAATGAGGAAAAATATTTGAAAATTCTTCTTTTCACTGTATTTTTTTTTGCAATTCGAGGGAGACGCAGACTTTAACGTGTGCAGACAAATCTCTCGTCGAAAAAGGGAGAGAAATAGTGTGTGGCAGACACACAGCGTGTCGAGACCAGCGAGTGTCTGCGTCTCCTCGAAATTGCATTTTTCTATTAGAAAAAAACACAGTGTTTTTCGCAAGAATTCGCATTGAAGCGCACTTGCGTGCTTGGCCTAAGTTACCAAAGCAAATTTTCTAGTCCTCCTTCATTTTATGATCAAAATTCGCATTAGAGCGCGTTTGCAGCTTCGAAACATCAAATTTTCGGTGAAAAATGAGGAAAAATATTTGAAAATTCTTCTTTTTCGCAAGAATTCGCATTGGAGCGCACTTGCGTGCTTGGCCTAAGTTACCAAAGCAAATTTTCTAGTCCCTCTTCATTTTATGATCAAAATTCGCATTGGAGCACACTTGCAGCTTCGTAAAATCAAATTTTGGTGAAAAATGAGGAAAAATATTTGAAAATTCTTCGTTTTCGCTAGAATTAGCAATAGAGCGTGTTTTTTCGCTTGGCCTAGCTTTTTGTAGAGAGAATTCTAGTCCATGGTGCGTTTTTCACCAAAATTCGCATTTGGGTGCACTTGCAGATTTGAAAAATCAAATTTTTAAATGGAAACTGACGTTTTTTATACAAAAATTTGAGATTTTCGTTAAAATTAGCAATAGAGCGTATTTGTTGAAGTGGACTAGGTTTTAAAGCGAAATTTCTAGTCCCTCGCTTGGTTTCTCGTTAAACTGAATATTTCTGGCTTGGCCTAACTTTCGCGCGAAAAATTCCTCGTCCCCCCGCGGGCCCAACTCACATTACACGCCAAAGCCTGCACCACAGCATCAAATCCACCTTCTGGTGCATCCAAGTTACCCGAAATCTCGGCCTTGTCAACTTCAGCCTTGAATTTCTCGGTGTTCGTGGTGAGCGACATTTGATGTTTGAAGCCATAGGGTTCGGCGCAAGGTGTTGGACACGGTGATTTTTGTCTGAAAAAAAAAATTTGAAAAAATTATTACGGTATTGTCAAAGGCACACAATGGTTTGTGTGTGGGTCTCGCAGCGATTTGCACGCGCGTTTTTTTTATTTTTAAAACACAAAACAAAATTTTTTTTTGTTTTCACCCCCTAAAAACGTACTTATCAAGTCTTGGATCGATAAAAGGCATCAATTTTTTGTCGATAAAACTTCCGAATCCCAATCTAAAGTTCTTGGTCATAGTTCGCATACGTTGAGCGATCAAATCTCCCAATTCTGACAATTTTTGCTTGTCATCTTTCATCGAATACGACAAATCCATCAAATAATACAAATCGACGGGATAATCGACGGCTTGACGGTAAGTTACGTTAAATCGGATGCGCGATTCTGTAGAAATCGAGTTTTCGGGTGAAAATTGATGGATTTTGATGGATTTTCGCCGAAAATCCATCATTTTTGATGAATTTCAGGTCTTTTAAACTTACTCGGTCGAATTTCCACGTCCATTTCTTGCGGTTTGATTTGCACGGCCTCATCTTCCGTCTCTACCTCGCCCTGATCCGACAATTTGTTATCCTCGACCACCGTCAGCTGTGTTTTCGGATCTTCGATTTTGTATTCGGGACATCCGTGATCTAGTAGTTTTTGACGATTGTCGCAGCGGGCGTAGGGTTTTTCACGGTCGAAAGACTGCAAAATTTGGTGGTTTCGGGCTGCTTATAAGCAGGAAGTTCCCGCAACTCAAAAATTCAGAAATGGGGCTGGGAGTCCCATTTTTTAAATGATTTTGAAGGAACTGTGTCACGTTTACGTATTCAAAATAAAATAAATTATCGAAAAATGCATTTTTAATAATATTTGCACCAAAAAATGGTCTAATTTTTGCGGGAAAACGTGGATTTTTTGGCGCCAAAATTTAAAATTCTTTTCCGCGCCCCTCCCTCAAAACTTACCGGTTCACCGCACCACGCGCACGATTCATGCAATTGAATACACGCGGAACACGTGTAATTATCCCTCGACAACGAATAACACGGAAAATCGTTCTTCTCCAAAACTTCGCCGGTTGCGTCGCCGGACTGCCGCCAGTCTGCGGCATACGCGGAACGCGCTATGACGCATAGTAGGAGGAGGAGGATCTTCATGGCTCAGTAACCCTCTGAAAATTTTGGGAGTTTTGTGGGACCGCAATCTTCCGCGAAGCGGCCACGTGGGTTACTATGATATGGCAAACGTCATAGTAATCCACGTGGCAGCGCTACGCGCGGAAGCTTGCGGATCAATCAATAATCGAGTAAACGTTAGGCTTTGGAAGTTTTGTGGGACCGCAAGCTTCCGCGCAGCGGCCACGTGGATTACTATGATATGGCAAACGTCATAGTAATCCACGTGGCCGCGGTACGCGCGGAAGCTTGCGGAAAATTCACCCAAAACCATGAAAATCGAACTCGAAAACAAAAACAAAACGAGTGGGAGTTAGGCTAAATCGAAAAGCAAAAGATATATACTTTTTTTCGGGGTTTTCTGTCTGTTGTAATAATATGTCCACAGCAGAAGCCTTTGAGAGGGGACATCTGCTCTCTTTTTGTGAATTGCGAAATCGGTGGGGACGAGTAAAAGATGAGAGGGAAAGGTGATATTAGTTTAGTATTCGATTGACTGATCAATGATGAGAATTTAAAGGGACATTGGGGGATTTTTTGATTAAAATTTGTTAATTTTGGTGGGAAAATGTGATTTCTAGTGATATAGAGATCTTGAAACGGAATTTCGAGGTTTTCAAATACACATTAGTGATTTTAATCAAGTTTTCCGAGGTTTCTGGTGATTTTTAAAGGAACATGAGGTTTCCCTGATTTTTGAGGCTCGATGTACCTTAAAAATCACTCGAGATACCAAAAATAGGGTTTTCTACTGAATTTAAAGGATCCCGGGATTCTTGAAGCGAATTTTGAAGGAAAATTGAAGGAACTTGAGAAAAATACAATACAAAATACAATTTCACGAAAAACAAGTACGCATAAAATTAATGTGAACATCTGGCGGCAAAAAGTGGCCTTGTTTTTAGCCCCGCGACTAAGAAAATCGATAATTTTGTGTAAAAATGGGGGGAAAATTATCATAGATAATTCAATTTATCATCAAAAAATTTTGTTTAAAAACAAAAAATATCTATGAATCATCAGTAGAAAATTGATTGATTTTCGCAATTTTTGATGAAAAAACCGCCCGAAATTGTGGAAAAAATGAAAAGAAAAAAATCCCATGGGAGTTAGGCTAACTTTTGGTGCAACCACACCCTTTTTGCCAAAAGAAACTATAGGAGAGAAAAGGCGAGAGAGTGTGGGAAGAGAGGAGAGTGGGGTAGAGAAAGAGAGCGACAATTTTTGGCTTGGGTTGTGGTTTTTATTGACATTGTTGTTGTAAGAACAGAATGGGGGAGAATGGGGTGGGTTATTAAATATTTATTGACATTTTTGATGAGGGAAAATTTAAAGGAGCATGGGAATTTTGGCTGAAAATCGCTGGAAATGCGGATTTCCACGATTTTCAGCATCGAATTTGGGTCTGGAAATGTAGAAAAAAATAATTATGATTTTCAGCACAACTTTTCAGGCCAGAAACATTTCTAGCTTAAAAATCACTGATTTTTGGCAAGATTTTCAGACAATACGTGACCTATTGAAAAACATTTTTTTAAATAAAAAAAAACAAATTCGCGCCATTTTCTAATTTACTTTGCAATTTGCTTTCTAAAATGGAGCCTCGTTGCTTTTGTTTATCTCTAAAAATATTCTTCATACTATTTTCAGTATTTATCGCAACTTGTAATTATTTGTTATTTTTTTTGAGCGTATGTTAATTTGGCGAGTTAGGCTAACTTAACTGCATTTTTCCAGGGTGTAAGCATACCTCTAATTTTTACTTCTGTAATTATTACAATTCAATTGATTTTTTCGTGTTTGGCCGTGTGGTTTTATAACAAAATGATGCTTTTGGTGGCGAAAATTTGGATTGTGAGTTTAAAGGAACATCGAAATTCTCTTTTGTCCCTTTAAAATTACATAGTTTTCTTCAAACAAGCCTTATGCACCTTTAAATTCATGTTAAGACCTTCATGTCCCTTTAAAATCACTAGAAACATCAATTGAAGGTGAAAAACAGGTGTTTTGGCCAAAATTCAACCAATTTTTCACAGATAATCGATATCACAATCACCCTAATCTTCCTGCTCCTTGTTTTCATAGCCGGCTCATTTTTCGAGCTAGAAGTCGATGAAAGTTATAGCTCCCAAGACGAATATGTTCGAGACACTGTCACCATGTTTTCCGTGTTCTTATACATCAATTTTTTGCAGTATTTTTTGCTGAATCGAGCCAGGCATTTTGCAAAACATCCGGAATTGTATTCGGGAGAGGCTACTGAGAATGAAAATGTTGTGGAAAATGAGAAATGAAACCTTTATTGAACTACTTATGTAATAATAAATGAAGAATCGACTAATTCATCAGCTTCATCAATCTGAGTATCCTCTCCGATTCTGATTATCTCAAGTTCTCCAGTTGTTGGTGGTTTGGATATCTCAGGACATCCGATATATGCAGTATAGAATTTAGCCAAAACGCCATGCTGTATAGAAAAAGGTTAGAAAACTACTAACACTTATGTAACTTACATCAACAACCTGAAAAGACATAAAAATCCTCATGCCCAAATCATCTGGAAAATACAACTCTAGATTCAGATGACGTTTAATGAATTCGCTATAAACGTGCAATCTTCCTACGAATTTAGGCAATCTGACTTTCAAATATCGATTTTGTGGATGTGGATGTGGCAAAAGTGCAGGGCAAACTTTCACATAAGTGCTGTTATTCTCAAAAACCTCAACCTGAAATCCAACTTCATCCAAATTACCATGATCGACTGTGGATTTCCGCGTTTTCCCGGAAATTTGAGAAATGATATCGGCCTTCAAAACACCGCCAAAATATCTGGCTTCTCTCTCGAAAACAAATTGATTTGTTATGAAGCGGTGACCTAGAAATACTTTGGCCAAATGCCATTGCGAGTTGTTGCGATAGATGGCTTCGATGTCGAAAGTCCAGAATTCCGCATGGGGTTCATCTCGAAATTTGAGTGCGACTTCACATTGAAAAACCATATGATCATTGTCTTTGGTCATGATGTACTCATTATAATTTCCGGTTTTATGATATTTCGTGAAGAAAATGGTGAGGTATCTGGAAAAGCTGGGTTTTTATCGCTGAAAATGAGGATTCGCATGATTTTCAGCACAAAATTTCAGTCTAGAAACATTTTGCTATGGAAAATACCAGATTTTCATCAAATAGCAAAAAATCCCGAAAAATTTCAGAAATTCAAGTTTCTAGACTGAAATTTGGTGCTGAAAACGTTGGAAATGCCCAAAATTGCTGAAAATGAGAATTTCCATGATTTTCAGCACAGAAATGCAGTAATTTTTCACCTGAATCACATTTTTCTGAAATTCTCTATTTCAGCACAAAATTTCAACTTTTATAGTTTCTCTTTGCTTTCCGACCGCGACGCATAGCCGCTCGCGACTGACGAACTAATGTTTTGGTTTTTATTTTTACGCCGCCAGCCACCTTTTTCAACTTTATTTATTGTCCGTGAGAACTACACGGATATGTTTAGCCCATAACCCGGCGGATTTAACGGCCAAGCCGTGGCTGGCCAGAGTATAATTCTGAAAAAATCTGAATTTCAGGTCAAAAACTGACGAATTCAGAGGTTTCAGAGGTCAAAAACAGGAAAATCCAAAGTTTTCACAATTTTACCCGAGGTGTGGGTAAAAACCGTAAATAAAAATGTATTGTCCAGGAGAACTACACGAGGAAACTGCTATATAACTGCTATAGAAGTCTATAGATAGTCCCCTCGTATTTTCAGAGTGAATTTAGAAAAATGCGGCTCTGTGGGTCCAACCAACTCACTCTTTAAATTCCGGCAAACCAAATTTATAGTAAGTGTCAGTTTCAGCAATCCCAACAAACTCATCCTCATCGTGGAAATGCTCGAAAAAGTTCAATTTCCCGCAAAATTCTTTGGCGAATTCACGATGTTCTGGAATTGGTGTTGAACTGTTTTGCGATTTCCAAGTCGATGTATATTTGCGAGTAGTTTTTTTGAACGAGACATCAAGAATTTCGTATCTACGGAAATCAATCACGAGTTTTGAGATTATTGTATAAGTAAACCGCCTCGTGCAATTAGTAATGTATTTGATATTAATCGTGAATGTTGATGTTATATTTTCTTTATGCATAGTTGTTGTCATATCCTCAATATCTACTATAATATCTTCATGTTTCGATCTTTCAACTTCTAAAAAATACATCAAAACCGATTCATCCCATGATTCTTGATTACTATATACGAACGCTCGAAAATTCTTCTGATGAAGTCTATGAGTAAATTCAATTTTATAAGTTCGCAAGTGCTTTCCAGCCAAATTGATGCCAATTATCGTTTCTCTCAAATGCTCTGTCACTTCTTCTTTGCTTATCTCGCCTTTCTTCTCGCATATTCCACATTTGTAAATTGCAGTAGGTGATTGTAGAATATCCGAACTCGTCTTGAAGGCGATGACTATTTTCAGAGTTAGAAAAATGAAAGGGAATGTTTTAAGCATGATTGCTGCGTTCAAGAATGACAGATGAAAATTTTGAAGCGGGCTTATGTCGCAGACTAATAAAATACTGTGAGACATCGAGGAAATTTTGGGAAAATCAATTTTTTAATTGTTTTTTTCCACACTTCAACATTTTTTTTGGAGAAAAATACTGTATGTCCCTTTGAAAATGAATCGATGTTTCTAGTGAAGGGTTTAATTGAGAAAAAACTCTGAAACCTTTATTCATTCATACATAAATTGCTCATATCAGAAGAACTGTACAACAACGATGCTCCGCGTTTACAGGCGGCCTATTTTTTGGGGGGAAAAACAATAAATTATGCGTAGGTTTTTTGAAAATAGTCCCTTTTTGGGGAAATGTTTGCAATTTTTTTTGATAATATAGAAGGAAAAGGTGTTAAAAATCCGATAAAATGTACGAAAAATTGAAATTTTCTCGGATGATAAGAAATTATTGTACTACTAATGGCCCTGAAAATGATAAAAATTGAGGGGAATTTTTCGAAAAATTCGGGAGTTTTGAGCAGGAAAAATAGTCGATTTTTAGACACTTGATTGCACAAAGTTCGATGGGTTTTGGATGGTGTATTCCACTGGTTGTTGTTGAGAGTATGAAGATGGTCCCTGTAAGAAAAATTGATGATTTTGCGAACTTTGGGGCTGAAAATGAGCATTTTTATGATTTTCAGCGCAAAATTTCAGTCTAGAAGTGCTTCTAGCTCAAAAATTACGGATATTCGGCTGAATTGAAATAAAAATTGTGAAATTTTCAGAAAAAAATGTTTCCTGGCTGAAATTTTGTGCTGAAAACGATTAAACAGCTGAAAATCGCGGATTTTTCCGCAACTACTCACCTGTTGATAAATAATATCAGGTTGATATTGTGGAATTTGTTGTTGTTGAATATATTGTTGTGTAGTTGGTGTAGCCACCGGTTGATAATTTTGATTTGGTGCATAATTTTGGGGTGTAGTCGATGGAACCGGTGTATAACTCTGATTATTCAATCCGACTGATCGGATTGGATTCGGATTGAAATCGTAGTTTTGAATCGATGGTGCTGGATTGTAGGTGGATTGTGGGATTTGTTGTTGTTGAGGAGCCCAATTGGTGGCCGAGTTTCGACCAGAGTTTAGACGCTTTTTGTCGTCGTCGCGCATCTGGAAATTATTGATTGAAATTTTGGGCTGAAAATTACTGAAAATCAATAATTCCATGATTTTCAGCAAAAATTTTGAGTCTAGAAACATTTTGCTATGAAAAATAGCAGATTTTTGTCAAAAACCAAAAAATTTCAGAAAATCAAGTTTCTAGACTGAAATTTCGCGCTGAAAATGATGTAAACATTCAAAATAGCTGAAAATCAAGAATTCCATGATTTTCAGCACAAAATTTCAGTCTAGAAACTTCCAGTTTCAATGAAATTCATGGGATTTTCTGATGAACCATAAAATTTGGAACATTTTGAGGATGAATGTTTCTAGGCTGAAATTTTCCGCTGAAAACGCTGGAATTAGCATTTTCTTATGAAAAATACCAGATTTTTGTCAAATACCAAAAAATCACGAAAAATTTCAGATATTCAAGTTTCTAGACTGAAATTTCGCGCTGAAAATGATGTAATCATTCAAAATAGCTGAAAATCAAAAATTCCATGACTTTCAGCTCGAAAATTGAGTCTAGAAACATTTTGCTATGAAAAATACCTGATTTTTGTCAAATACCAAAAAAAATCTCGAAAAATTTCAAAAATTCAAGTTTCTAGACTGAAATTTGGTGCTGAAAATGATGTGAACATTCAAAATAGCTGAAAATCAAGAATTCCATGATTTTCAGCACAAAATTTCAGTCTAGAAAGATTTTGCTATGAAAAATACCAGATTTTTGTCAAATACCAAAAAATCCCGAAAAATTTCAGAAATTCAAGTTTCTAGACTGAAATTTGGTGCTGAAAATGATGTAAACATTGAAAATAGCTGAAAATCAAGAAAATTCTCTATTCTTGCACCATTTTTTTGCGCCAAAAATCAAGAAAACACATTTTTCCCGCAATTTTCTTCCCATTTTCGTCTCTTCTTTTGTTGTTGAAGAAACATACACACACACAAACGTTAAACAAATAATACAAAATTTCTCGGGGATGGATGGCTTCCCATGTTTGCATTGAATTTTAAAAAATCGTAAAATTTATCGATTTTTTACTACATATGATTGAAATTTCGTGTTGAAAATCCAATAATTTCCCGATTTTCAGCACAAAATTTCAGTCAAAGCTTACATTATTCACACAGACGAAATAGATTGCTGCAATAACTGCGGCCAAAAACAGACATCCTCCGATCAAAATCGCAAAAACCACAGCGATCTGGAATGAGAATTTGAATTTTTTGGAGTTGGAGGGGAGAAATTTGAAGTTTTCAGGGTATTTTGAGTAGAACTTGGGCCTTGAAGCGAAAATTCAAGTTTTTGGCGCGAAAATTCGAATTTTTAATCAATTTTCATGAAAATTAATGGTCTCGAAGCGGAAATTTGAACTTTTGAAGGTACTTTTCACTAAAAATGGGTACTGGCACGATATTTGTCCTGAAATCAATTTTGGCGCGAAATTTAAAGTTTTCCGTGTATTTTTGAGTTTAATATACGTTTTAAAGCCCAAATTTCACAGTATTTTGAGTAGAAATGCAAATTTTTGCGGCCAAAAATTGATCTACCTGTCCACCCGATGACAAAGTCGGATCATCCAAAACATAGCCACGAATATGAGCCATTTTCTACTTAGCGGCTCGGGAAAAATGAGAAATTTCGGGGACCACCCAGCTTGGAAATCAATATTTATTCACCTGGGTGAAGGCAGATCAAATTTCTCGCGCCCAAAATTTTTTTTTTTTTTCGAAAAAAATCCAACTCACCTGATAATTGTAGTGATTATTTGTGTAGGACATTGTTTCGGGGGCTGAAAAAAATCGAATTTTAGGTTAAATTAGAGGAATTTATGGTAAAATGTACGAAATTTGCCTGAATTTTGGGGGCCAAATGTCAATAAATGAGAACAAATAGTGGAAAAGAAGAAGAAGAAGAAGAAGAAGAAGAAGTTAGACGAACTCGACTCGACCCCCCCCCCCCAAGGCTTTTGTTTGTTTTTTCATGCGAAGACGAAGAAATGTATTATTTTTGTACATATAACAATAATACAGAAATAAGGAGAGAGAGAGTGAGAGACGCAGAGAAATCATAGCAATAGGATTTTTTCCGGTCAAGCGGAACAGCTGGTCGAGCGGAGCGGAGACCGCAAGCATCCGCGCAGCGGCAAGTACGAAAATTTTTAATATTAAAAAGTTTAACATGAGCAATTAGCCACTACGCGGAAGCTTCCGGAATAAAAATAAATAAAACGTTTAACCTGAGCAATCAGCTGTCTTTAACCTCTACAGTTTCTAGATCAGAATTTAGTGCTGAAAGTGATGAAAATACTCAAATTCGCTGAAAATCAAGAATTCCATGATTTCCAGCTCGAAAATTGAGTCTACAAAAGTTTTCGAATTTCAGAGTCAAAAAGTCAGACATTCTAAGGTAAAATTTTGTGCTGAAAATGATTTATACGCTGAAAATCAAGAATTCCATGATTTCCAGCTCAAAAATTGAATCTAGAAACATTTTCTGTTGAAAAATACCAGGTTTTTGTCAAATACCGAACAATTTCAAAAATTCAAGTTTCTAGACTGAAATTTCGCGCTGAAAATGATGTAAACATTCAAAATAGCTGAAAATCAAGAATTCCATGATTTTCAGCTCAAAATTTAGGTCAAGAAAAATTTTTCAACAAAAAAACCAGTGACGTGGCATTTCAAAACTCATTTTCAGTCAAAAATCAGAGTTTCCGGGCTGAAATTTTGTGGTAAAAGTCATGAAAAATTTTTCTGATCAAATCGAGGTCAAAAAATGCTCTTATCGCCGCCAAAAATACCCCGAAAATCGGGCTATTTTTGGTCGAAATTGTTTTCTTGATAAGAAAAACGAGGAAAAAACTATGTAAGGAAAAATGGAGAAAAATTCAATTAGTGACTCACAGAGAGTTTAACATGAGTCATGCTAGAGGGGAAAAAAATTGGAGAAGGAAACCTCACATAAAACCGGAAAATGAATACATATATGCATGTACCTTTAAACAAACACACAAACCAGCAGAGACTTACGCTAAGTAAACTCCCAGAAAACAAGAAATTATTAGTGTTTTTCTGGTGCTCCAAAGAGAGTTCGCCTAAGTCAAGTTCTTGTGTCAAGAAGAAGAAGCCGGCAAATATACAAAGAGACACACAAAAATATAGATTATCAATATTATTATGTAAATATGTATGCACAACATTCTTGATAAGAAGAATCGTAGTTTTTGTGGGCGGGGCTTATTAGGCCACGCCCACAAATCTATGCGGCACAGTTTTTGAATTCTGTACAAACTAAAATTGAAAATATCAAAAAGTCAAAACCAAACAAAATTTTTGAAATTGAAAAATAAAAGTTGATAAGGCCTGTGATTGATATGCTCAAAAAAAGTGGGCGGAGCCTATTTTTAGTCATGTTTTGTTTGGCTAGATTTTGGCCTCATTTTCGGGGTAGATCAAATTCTATTTTTAATCGAATTATATCAGAAAATTATCAGAAAATGCCTAAAAATAGGTCGAAAATCGCATAAAACCTTTATCAATTTATTTTCCTCCCAAAAAAATTAATTGACCAGTAGCTACTATTTTTGAAGCCAAAAATAGAAAAAAACATTTTTTTTCGAAAATTTCAGAATTTTCGCCCCAAAAAAAACCGATTTCCCCAATTTTCGACACGCGAAAATTTGATAAATGGTTGTAAAATTCGCCAACTTTTTATCAAAATCAATTTTCTTCTTCATTTTTGGTCAGGAAAAAAGATGGGGCGGAAAAATTGTACAGTTTTTGGACGAAAATATTAAAAATGACTCATTTTTCGACTTTTATTTGCACACACACACACACACACAAAACACCGTGTTACTCATCTCCGTTTTGGAATTTCTTAAAATGTTTTTTGAGAAAAAAAAACAGGACTTTAAAGGGACATACAGTAGTTTTTCCGGAATTTTTTTGAAAAAAATATCAGAAAAAAGGTGTTGAAGTGTGAATTTGATGTTTTTATGGGACGATAAAAAATGATAACAACGAAAAAATGACTGAAGCCGAAAATTGGAATTTTCAGAAGGTTTTCAGGAATTTCACCAATTTCAGCGTAAAATTTTAGCCAAAAAATTCTTCTTACAAAGAAACTTTGCGGGTGTAATCACGGAGTATTGTTGCAAAACTGCTTAGTCGAGCGGAGCGAGTGTAAACCGCTATCTTACGCTTCAGCGGCCACGTGGATTACTATGACGTGGCAAACATACAGGTCTAGAATTACTAGACGCCCAAAAATCAGCGATTTCATAATTGTCAGCGCAAGAAACCGGGTGTAAACACGGAGTATTGTTGCAAAACTGTTTATTCAAAGCGAAACAATATATGAAGTACACAATTTTCGCTTATAATTTATCACAATCCTCCCATTTTCGTCAAATTTTCCCCGAACAGTTTGAATCAACGATTCGCTACCATTTTTCCCATTTCTCCAAATCCGTTCATTAATTTGATATTCAACTTGAGTATTCTCCTTGATTTCGTCTAATTTGGTATCAAGACACCGAATTCGGACAGTTCTACTTATGATATCTTTGGTCGAGTTAAGATAACTCTCCCGATCGATATTTCTGGAATATTTTGGTCTGTCTTGAGAGCAATGTTTGTAGACAAAGTTGGGGCTCAAAAATTGGCCAATAGCAATATTATTTTCCAAGTTTGAATTGTTGAAGACTTTTGAGATTTCTTGCTCAGCTTCAAGCAATTTTTGTTTGATTTCCGGATTTTGTGGAATACCAGGAATACATGATAGAGAAATTTGGACAAGAACGAGAAAAATTAAAAGATTTTTCATGATTTGTTCTAACTTCATTGATTTTTGTGCTGTTTTTTATATTGTGAAACTTTTTAAACGTCGCAGACTCATAAAAATAAAGAAATTCGAACGGGATTCTGATTTTTTGAACACATTTGCAACGATACTCCGTGTTTACACTGGTTTTTCAAAGAAAATCGATTTTCACCCAAAATTCTAAAAACTCACCTTTTCAGCGTCATCTCCTTGCCATTTTCCACGAGTTCCAGCACGAAAAATGAGCCTGAAACACAATTTCTCATTAAAAACGTGACCCAAATATTTTTGTTCAGAAAAATTCAAATTCTCACCATTTCTAGCTAACATTTGGTGCTGAAAACACGCGAAAATTTGAAAAAATAAAAATACGCGAGACAAAAGTGTTTGCACAACACCAGACCTGACGCGCAATAATTTTTTTAAAAATTTTTTTCGCGCACCTCGCAAATCTTGAAAAATGTCTGAAAATCAAAGGTAAAACTATCTAGCAGAAAAATATAGAAATTATCGATTTTCCAGCACAACATCTGAAACAACGGATAAAAAAGAGCTGCTAGAAGAAGAAGAGGAAGATGGGCGGTCGAATAAAGGAGTTAGCGAATATTATCAAAAGCAAAATGAGATGTTGGAGAATTTTAAGAATGATAGTGAACAAATCGAAGCGTTTAATCGGATGAAATCGCGGAAAAATGAAGAAAATTCGGTGAAAACACAGGATTCTTTGATGTAAATGCTGAAAAATCTCGGATTTTAATGCAATTTTTTGCAGAAATCGACATCAGGATAATCTAAAAGAAGAGGAGAAGCTGAATAAAGCTGCAAAACGTCTAGCAAACATCACACTAGGTGTTAATTTCACTTTGATGATTGCAAAAATCATGGCATCGGTGTTATCCGGATCAATGTCGATTATTTCGTCGATGGTGGATTCGGTGGTTGATTTGACGTCAGGCTTGATTTTGTCGATTTCGAATCGAATGATTCGAAAGAGGGATCCGTATTTGTATCCGAGGGGCAGGACGAGATTGGAGCCATTGGCTCTTGTAAGGGATTTTGGGGAATTCGGTCAAAACTTGGTCTAGAAACCAGATTTTTGCTGAAAATTAGCTTGATAATGGAATTTTTGGTCAAAACTTGGTCTAGAAACCAGATTTTTGGTGAAAATTAGCTTGGAAATTGAATTTTTGGTCAAAACCAGGTCTAGAAACCAGATTTTTGGTAACAATTAGCTTGGAAATTGAATTTCTGACCAAAAAAGGCTTAGAAACCAGATTTTTGGTGAAAAATAGCCACATACAGTGATTTTTGACCAAAACCACGTCTGGAAACCAGATATTGCGTCAAAATTAGCCCTAAAATCGAATTTCTGGTCAAAAAAAGCTCAGAAACTAGATTTCTTGTGGAAATTAGCATCAGACAGTGCTTTTGGGTCAAAACCATGTCTAGAGGCCAAATTTTACTTGAAAAACCCGTTTTTTGGACGATTTTCAGTGTAGAACAGCTGGAAATTCGGATTTTTGGTTAAAATTAAGCCTAGAAATCGATTTTCTGGTGAAAATGACTCTGAAAATCGGAAATTTGGTCAAAATTTCGATTTGAAGCTATTTCTCCCGGATTTTCTATCACGAAAAGGCAAAAATTTATCCCCTGAGCTTAAAAAAATCTTGATTTTCAGATCCTAATTAGTGTAATTATGGGAATGGCAAGTGTTCAATTGATTATTTCGTCAGCCAATCGAATTAGTGATAAATGTGAGTATTTCGCGTGGAAATTATCGATTTTTTGGTCATTTTTCATCAAAAATTCACAAATTTTCAGTGAATAACATTGCCGATCCTTTGGATGTCACCTACATAACCGTCGGAATTATGCTGACCACAGTCTGCACCAAATTCTTGCTGTTCATGATATGCCAAAAGTACAAATCCAACCCGTCGATCAAGGTTTTGGCGATGGATCATCGAAATGATTGCATTTCGAATTTGATGACATTGGGATGCGCGTGGATGGGCAAAAAGTGGGTGAATTTACGATGCTCCGCGTTTACTCTTCGCTGCGGAATCGCGGAGTATCGTAAAAATCATCAAAATCAACAGATTTTCATCATTTCTTCACCAAAAAATCGCATTTTTCAGCTATTGGTACTATATGGATCCAATCGGCGCAATTCTCGTCTCATTTTACATTCTATACACATGGATTCGAACAGGACGAACTCACGCCCTGATGTTATCCGGAAAATCGGCAGCTCCTGAATTTATCAATCGAATTATTAAAGTTGGAATTGATCATGATAAGAGAATTACGCATATTGATACGGTCTATGTCTATCATTTTGGATTGAAGTTTTTGGTTGAGGTGAGGATTTTGGGAGGGGTTTTGGAACGAACAACTGAATGTTTCGCACGCTTTGAGTGTTTTTAGCACGAAAATTCGGATTTTTGAGCAATTTTTAAACAGAAATCTCGATTTTTGAAGGTGCGATGCGTTTAAACACGAATTTTGCTCAAAACTTTGTTTTCTCCCATTTTTATTTTTGTTTTTCCCCCAAAATTTTCAATTTTCCACCCAAATTTTCAGATGCACATAGTTTTGGATCAGAAAATGCCACTAAAAGAAGCGCACGATATTGCGGAATCGCTTCAAACCAATATCGAATCACTACCAGAAGTCGAAAGAGCATTTGTGCATACAGATTATGATTTTACTCATCATCCACATGATGAACACAAAAATGTATAGAAGAATGTGAAGAATATTAGAAGTTTTATCGAAAATGTTTAATGTTTATGTGATTTTTTTGCTGAAAATAGAGAAATAAATTTGTTTTTATCGCTGGTTTTGGTTGTTGCATTGAAAAATATTGAAAAAACATAGAAACTATGGGGAAATTTTGAATTTTTAGCTGAAAATTTGGTTTTTGGATTGAAAGTTGTGTACTTTTCAGTTAAAGATATCACGAATTTCATATTTTTTGGTGACAAAGCATGCAAAAATGAGAATTTTGCGGATTGAAACATACACTAACTTCTAGAATGAATTAGGACAAATTAACTAGATATTTACGATTTTCTGAATCAATTGTTGGGACCACATAACTCTAAAAAAATCAAATTTTTACTAAATTTAGTTAACAAACTTTTTTTCACCCTCAAAACCAAGTGCTGAACATAGTTGCAGTCAAAAATTTGATGAAAATTCAAAATTTCCAGCTATTTTTCAGCCAAAAACCGTTCAAATAACACATTTCCAACAAAAATACCAAAAGTTTTATTCTTCTTCCGAATTAAAAATCATTGTTACACGACAAATTGTAACAATCATAGGCAAATCCAACTCTTTCGAGTTCACATTGCATCCAACCAGTATAGCTATTGCATTCGGTTGTGAAGAAATCCTTGATGCAACCTATGAACGTTTCGGTGGCTCTGCAAAATTGAGATTTTGAAATTTTGGTGGGAAATTCAAGCCAGAAATCTCGAAATTTCATGAAAAATCCGATTTTTCGGATTGAAAAATCAAGAATTTTCTGTTTAGACAAAATTCTCACCCGCAGAAATTATTAGGATTAGCATTGACTGTAGCATTGAACTTGTAGAAACAAGCCTTATACAAATTTCCATCAGTGGTTTCGCCTTTTCTAATACAATCCACATTTTGTTGATAAACATCGAAACCTGTGCTACAAATGAATTCCAAATGTTTCATTAAATGTGTATAAACCATCACATTCCACCAATCTGTGTTGCCTGCAAGGATTTTTAGTGAATTTAGGGTGAAATTTGAGGCTAGAAGTGTGTAGGTGAAAGTTTTATATCCCTTAAAAATAAAAAATAAAGAAGAAGAGAATTTGAAACTTTTAGACTATAATTAAAATGAAAAATTGAAAATTATAGGGTTTGCGAAAAAGAAAAAAATTGGCTTGAAAATTTCCAAATTGCCACGTCATAAATCAATGATTTTAATTTTCCAGTTCAAAATTTGAACCAAAAAATTTTATGAAAAGTTTTGAAATTTGTGAAGATATGTTTTTTTTTTTGAGTTTTTTTTCTAAATTGACACTTCATCTATCCGATCTAAATTTTAGGCTGAAAATCATGAATTTTTAAATCGCCACGTTACAAACAGGTCACGCCTAGATTTTTGATTTTTTTTTCAAAAAATAAAAATTGATAAACATTTTTATGACTCATAAAAAAGTTCAACACCTAAAAAACTCTGAGCTATAATTATTTTTTCGAAATCACAAATTTTTATAATTCTCAGCACGTCCTTTTAGTTTCAGTAATGTCATAACTAGAGTACGAATTTTTTTTTGAAATCAAAAAATCAACCTAACGAGATCAAATAGAATCGATTGATACACGTGTCATAGGAAAAGCCCAAAGTTGCGGCAAATTGTTGACGAACTGAGCAAACTTGAGCCAAACCATCAATTCCACTATCAATCATTGTGATTGTGGCGTTGGTTAGAAGTGAGGCTTGTCTCCAGGAAACTGTGGAATCCAAACCGACTGCTGAAGCAAAACCGGCTTGAGCAGATTGGAATGGGATGGAATTGCAGACTCCTAGGGCGGCTTCGGATTTTCCAGCGAAGAAATATCTGAAAATTTAGAAATTTTGGAGGCTCTAGATCAAATTTCGGACTCTGTGGAACGATTTCAACCAAATTTTTAACCCGACAAACCTTTGAGCTTGCTCATTATTCAATGAATAATCCATAAAACTCGGCAAAAATGGGCTGTAACTGCTTGATGCGCAAAGCGCAACAAATACTGAAATTACAGCCAAAATCGAGCGAAGCATCCTGAAATTTATTCAAAAATTTGAGCAAAACATAAAAGAATCACAGTAAAACGTGGTTTTCTTCATTCTCCCTAGGAAAAACTGATAAGAGAAAAAGTATCAAATAAAATTACGTGTTGTGTCAACATTATGAGTTTGGGTTATAAAAAAGTTGTTAAATTTTTCTCAAAAATAATGTTTTTTGGCACTTTTCGCTAAAAGTAATCGAAAAATATACAATTTATTCAAAATAGATCAATATTTTAGAATTAATAATTATAATAACTTCGAAAAGCTCAAAGTTTAGCTGGAAAACTTGGAATAGATTTTAATTGAATCCTTGTATCTGTAGTTTTTTGAGATGGGAACATATGAGCACGTAATTGCTTATTTATAATTACCATAACGATTGGAGTCCTAGAAAAATGTGATTTTCACGACACTCCGCGTTTACACCTCACCCAACATTGAGAAAATCATAGGTTAGGAATTGAAACATGTATAAAGAAGGATAGGTTTCTGAACAAGTCCAGCAGAATACCCAGACAAATTGAAAACAGGCTACGAAAATGAAGCCGAAGGTTAGGAAAAATGTGACGATGCATAGGATTTTTTCAAAGTATTTTACACGTTTTGCCAGTTTCCGTAAGCCATAGAAAGTTAAAATTGTGAAGATTATAGTGAAAAACATAGAGATGACTAGATATAGGGACTGAAATCTTGAAATAGTCGCCCAATCGATAGCTCGATTGTAGTTTGATGAGAATCCACCATATGTAGGATTCGGATAAACCTCACTGATCATTATGATCCAGATAGCACCAAATGGTAGAAAAATATTCAAAATAATAACTAGATTTATATTTTTGCTCCAATAGGTTGGATGAGAAGTAGGGAAGATTACACAAGTCATACGATTTAGAGTGAGGAAGAATTGAGTTACTGATTTTGAGGCTCGGACATAGTTCAGGGAAACCATTTGGAATTTGAGAAGAGCTGGGTTTTGTTTGAAATATGGGCCGAGAATTGGGCAAAAAGGTGTGATGTACATTGTGAGACGACCGAAGAAAATGTCTTGGATTATTAGGAATAGGCTCTGGAAACATGGGATTGTTTGAGCGCGGAAGCGCGAGCGGTCGGGATTATTAGTAGTTCTCTACGAATTGACGTGGCCGCTAAAGCGGAAGACAGCGGTTTACACTCGCTCCGCTCGAATAACTTAGTCTAACTCACCGTGATCAATTCAAAAACAAAAATTCGAATATAATAATTATCTGTATAGAACTTCCATTGCTTAACAGTTAACACATATAACATATCAGCGATGAAAATCGCACCAGGAACTAAATATATCAATTGAAAAATGTATTTTGAAATTTCCCAAGTGGAATCGAATTCTAGATTGCATTTGAAACTCGAATTATCGGACATTTTTAGAAATTCTAAAATGAGTTTTTTAGGTGAAAATTGCAGATAAAGATCTATAATTATAGGCAACCTGGCACAGCTATGAACTTTTTTGTTTCTTGAAAATTATAGACGCTGGAAAATTTCATATATAATTATGCACTTTCAGATTCTTGCTTGAACTGAGGTGAACGTTTTCAATTCACGGTTATCTGCAGTTCTGTGAGATGGGAACATATGAAAACGTAATTGTTTGTTAATTATAACCATAACTATCGGAGTCCTAGAAAAATATGGATTTTTCAAACGATGCTCCGGGTTTACACCTCACCCAACATTGAGAAAATCGTAGGTTAGGAATTGAATCATGTATAAAGAGGGATAGTTTTCTGAACATGTCCAGCAGAATACCCAGACAAATTGCAAACAGGCTACGAAAATGAAACCGAAAGTTATGAAAAATGTGACAATGCATAGGATTTTTTCGAGATAATGCACACGTTTTGCCAGTTTCCGTAAGCCATAGAAGGTTAAGATTGTGAAGATTAAAGTGAAAAACATTGAGATGACTAGATATAATGATTGAAATCTTGAAATAGTCGCCCAATCAATAGCTCGATTGTAGTTTGATGAGAATCCACCATAGGTTGGATTCGGATAAACTTCACTGATTATTAGAATCCAGATTGCACCAAATGGTAGGAAGATATTCAAAATAATGACTAGATTTATGTATTTGCTCCAATATGCTAAATGAGTTATTGGGAAGATTACACAAGTCATACGATTTAGGGTGAGGAATATTTGGGTTACTGATTTTGAGGCGCGGACATAGTTCAGGGATACCATTTGGAATTTGAGGAGAGCTGGGTTTTGTTTGAAATATGGGCCGAGAATTGGGCAAAGGGGAGGGATGTACATTGTGAGACGACCGAAGAAAATGTCTTGGATTATTAGGAATAGGCTCTGGAAGAATGGGATTGCTCAGAGTAGAATTTGGTATTTTTTGTGATCTCATATGAAAATTATCTTAAAAATTATAGGGTGAACAAGTACTAGAAAAAAAGTTATGACGTGACTTGTTGAAAAATTTTTTTTTCGAAAGCTACAATTGTTTATTACATACGACTAGGAGCTGTTAGCTCCCAGGCGTAACGGTCTCCTTTGATATGGCAACATTCTTATAAAAATCCTCAAAAAATTCTGTACAATTTGATGTTAATTTTGGCACAAATTAGCAAAAAGATTCCTTTTCCCAATCTCTTCTCCTTTTTTCTCTGCCTTCAATCTTTCTCTGCGCCCTCTCTCTTTTCAACAGAAATGTTGACGCTTTTTTGGGACATTTTCGAATGAAGATTTTCGATCGAAAATTACATTAGAGGATATAGGAACGAAAACAGCTTGCGGTGGGACTCGAACCCACCAAAATGACCACACACATTGATTGGCAGTCCATCCCCTACCCGACTGCGCTAAGGATGCAGACATAAAACAATGCGCATATTGTCAGGATATGAAAGGAGGAGGCAGAGAAAAGGGGGAGAGGAGTGAATATCGGGAGAAATGTGTTGCATTGTGGGATTTTTAGAAAAAGTTGATTCTTAAGACTAAAAATTGTACTCCAAGATATGTGAGCTATGACGTGGCAGATATACGTTGTTGAAGCAAAGCTTCAGTGAAAAGATATGATAACTTTTAATAAAAGTCATGAAATTAGTTCATGACTATCATAACTAGGCTGGAATTTTTCCTACTCACCGTTGCCAATTCAAAAATAAAGATACGAATATAGAAATTATCCGCATAGAACTTCCATTGCTTAAAAGTTAACACATATAACATATCAGCGATGAAAATCGCGCCAGGAACCAAATATATCAATTGAAAAATGTATTTGGTGATTTCCCAATTCACTTCAAATTGCAAATTGCATTTAAAAGTCGAATTATCAGACATTTTTGGCTGGAAATTATCGAAAAAAGTGAGTTTTTGTGCAAATGAAAAAAGTCTATGATTATAGTTTGGACTAGCGAAAATGATAGACGCTGATAAATTTCGATATCTTAACCTGAAATTAAAATTAGTACCCGGAATTATGCAGACACTACAGAAAACGATTTATTTTATTTTTACGAGAGAATTGGAGTAGGCAAGAATTTTGACGGAATCGCTGAAACTGGTGTAATTCGCACATTTCCAGCCATTTTCAGCCAATGGAACATATGAGCACGTAATTGATTGTTGATTGTAACCATAACTATTGGAGTCCTAAAAAAAACTGGGATTTTCAAACGATACTCCGCGCTTACACTAACCCAACATTAAGAAAATCGTAGGTCAGGAATTGAAACATATAAATTGAGGGATAGGTTACACCGCAAGTGTAACAAAACACCCAGACAAATTGAAAACAGGCTACGAAGATGAAGCCGAAAGTTATGAAAAATGTGACGATGCATAGGGTTTTTTCGGTGTTTTTCACACGGTTCTCTAATTTTCGTAAACCATAGAAGGTTAAGATTGTGAAGATTATAGTGAAAAACATAGAGATGACTAGATATAATGATTGAAATCGTGATAAACTTGCCCAATCAATAGCTCGCTTGTAAATTGATGAAAATCCACCGTAAGTAGGATTTGGATAAACATCGCTGATTATTAGAATCCAGATTGCACCAAAAGGTAGAAAGATATTCAAAATAATGACTAGATTTATATATTTACTCCAATATGCTAAATGAGTTATTGGAAAGATCACACAAGTCATACGATTGAGGGTGAGGAATATTTGGGTTACTGATTTTGAGGCGCGGACATAGTTCAGGGAAACCATTTGGAATTTGAGAAGAGATGGGTTTTGTTTGAAATATGGGCCGAGAATTGGGCAAAGGGGAGGAATGTACATTGTGAGACGACCGAAGAAAATGTCTTGGATTATTAGGAATAGGCTCTGGAAACATGGGATTGCTCAGGGTGAACTTCGAGCGCGGAAGCGCGAGTGTAAACCGGAAGCTTCCGCGAAGCGGCACTGTCTATTACGCTTTAGCGGACAGTCAAGCTAACTTTCTAAATTAGCCTAACTGGCTTCTACTCACCGTGATCAATTCAAAAATAAAGATACGAATATAGAAATTATCCGCATAGAACTTCCATTGCTTAACAGTTAACACATATAACATGTAAGCTATAAAAATCGTACCAGGAACCAAATATATCAATTGAAAAATGTATTTGGTGATTTCCAAAGCTGTGTCAAATCCTAAATTACACTCAAAAGTCGAATTTTCGGACATGTTTTTCGGTAAATCAAACAAATAGTAGTATTTGATCGAAAAATTCAGTTAATTATAGTAGATGGATGACATTTTGACGCGGAAATTATTGAAAAAAAAATGATATTTTCAACTCAAGATCAGAAACAAATACCAAACTAAATACTTTATGAAAGTTCAGAAAAAGAATGAATGACTTAAAATTGTGATTGAGCCATTGAAATTGCTGTAACTTGCACACTTCCAGCAGTTTTCAGCCAAGGGAACATATGAGAAAGTAATTGCTTGTTAATTGTAACCATTACTATTGGAGTCCTAGAAAAACATAGGTTTACAACGATACTCCGGGTTTACGTAAACGCGGAGTGTTGTTCGTAACTGCAGGACTCACCCAACATTCAAGAAATCGTAGGTTAGGAATTGAATCATGTATAAAGAGGGGATGTTATATTGACAAGTGTAGCAGAATACCCAGACAAATTGAAAGCAGGCTACAAAAATGAAACCGAAAGTTATGAAAAATGTGACGATGCATAGGATTTTTTCAAGATAATGCACACGTTTTGCCAGTTTCCGTAAGCCATAGAAAGTTAAGATTGTAAAGATTATAGTGAAAAACATAGAGATAACTAGATATAGGGATTGAAATCTTGAAATAGTCGCCCAATCGATAGCTCGATTGTAATTTGATGAGAATCCACCATAGGTTGGATTCGGATAAACTTCACTGATTATTAGAATCCAGATTGCACCAAATGGTAGAAAGATATTCAAAATAATCACTAGATTTATATATTTGCTCCAATATGATATATGAGTTATTGGAAAGATTACACAAGTCATACGATTTAGGGTGAGGAAGAATTGAGAAACTGATTTTGAGGCTCGGACATAGTTCAGGGATACCATTTGGAATTTGAGGAGAGATGGGTTTTGTTTGAAATATGGACCGAGAATTGGGCAAAGAGGAGGAATGTACATTGTGAGACGACCGAAGAAAATGTCTTGGATTATTAGGAATAGGCTCTGGAAGATAGGACTCAGGGTGAACTTCGAGCGCGGAAGCGCGAGTGTAAACCGGAAGCTTCCGCGTAGCGGTCGGGATTATTAGTAGTTCTTTACGAATTGGCTTGGCCGCTAAAGTGGAAGACAGTGCCGCTACGCGGAAGATAGCGGTTCACACTCGCTCCGCTCGAATAACTCAGGGTATACCCTCGAGCGCGGAAGCGCGAGTGTAAACCGGAAGCTTCCGCGGAGCGGCACTGTCTTCCGCTTTAGCGGCCAGTTAGGCTAACTTTCTAAGTTAGCCTAACTGGCTTCTACTCACCGTGATCAATTCAAAAACAAAAATCCGAATATAATAATTATCCGCATAGAATCTCCAATACTTAAAAGTTAACACATATAACATGTAAGCTATAAAAATCGCACCAGGAACCAAATATATCAATTGACAAATATATTTGGATATTTCCAAAGCTGTGTCATACTGCTGCAAATTGCACTGGAAAGTCGAATTTTCATTTTCAGACATGGTTTTTGGTGGAGAATTCGAATTTTTAGAGAATACTTAGAAATGTGCAGTATAATTATCTATAGTTTCAGTGAAATTTGATATTTTTCCAACCTGAAATTAAGGTATAATTAAAAATTATAAGTTATTAAAGTATAAGGAACCTTTGTGAATATTCTAGATTTTTGAGTGAGCCATGGACACAACTGTAATTTGCTCGCTTCCAGCGATTTTCAGCCATGGGAACATGTGAGCACGTAATTGTTTGTTGATTATAACCATAACTATGGGAGCCCTGGAAGAATATGGGTTTTTTACGTAAACGCGGAGTGTTGTTCGTAACTGCAAGACTCACCCAACATTGAGAAAATCGTAGGTTAGGAATTGAATCATGTATAAAGAGGGATAAGTTTTTGAGCAAATTGAGCAAAACACCCAGATATATTGAGAAATGGCTACCAAAATAAAAGCGAAAGTTATGAAAAATGTGGCAATACATAGCATTTTTTCCAAAGTTTTGACACGTGTCACAAGATTCTGGAGACCATAGAATGTCAGAATTGTGAAGAATATAGTGGCGATTAGGGAAATTGTTAGATATATCGATTGAAAGCGGGATAAGCTTGCCCAATCGATAGCTCGAATATAATTCGATGAGAATCCACCGTAGGTTGCTGACGCGTATACCCGGCTTAATATTAGGCTCCAAATTGCGCCGAATGGTAGAGAGAAGTTGAGGAAAATCACTAGATTTATACATTTTCGCCAATGTTTTTGGTGGGAGATGGGAAATAGGACGCAAGTCATACGATTTAGGGTGAGGAATATTTGGGATACTGATTTTGAGGCTCGGACATAGTTCAGGGAGACCATTTGGAATTTGAGGAGGAATGAGTAGTCGTAGAAGTATGGGGCTAGAATGGGACAGAGAGGTGTGATGTACATTGTGAGACGACCGAAGAAAATGTCTTGAATGATTAGGAATAGGCTCTGGAAACAAGGGATTACTCAGGGTAGACCCTCGAGCGCGGAAGCTTCCGCGTAGCAGTCGGGATTATTAGTAGTTCTCTACGCATTGGCGTGGCCGCTAAAGCGGAAGACAGTGCCGCTACGCGGAAAATAGCGGTTTACACTCGCTCCGCTCGAATAACTCGAGCGCGGAAGCGCGAGTGTAAAGCGGAAGCTTCCGCGTAGCGGTCGGGATTATTAGTAGTTCTCTACGATTTTCATAATTGGGGTTGCCGCTAAAGCGGAAGACAGTGCCGCTACGCGGAAGATAGCGGTTTACACTCGCTCATTTCGAATACCTCAGGGTATACCCTCGAGCGCGGAAGCGCGAGTGTAAAGCGGAAGCTTCCGCGTAGCGGTCGGGATTATTAGTAGTTCTCTACGTGGCCGCTAAAGCGGAAGACAGTGCCGCTACGCGGAAGATAGCGGTTTACACTCGCTCCGCTCGAATAACTCAGGGTATACTTCGAGCGCGGAAGCGCGAGTGTTAAGCGGAAGCTTCCGCGTAGCGGTCGGGAATATAAGTAGTTCTCTATGATTTTCATAATTGACGTGGCCACTAATGCGGAAGACAGTGCCGCTACGCGGAAGATAGCGGTTTACACTCGCTCCGCTCGAATAGCTTCCGCGTAGCGGCACTGTCTTCCGCTTTAGCGGAAAGTTATCACAGTTTTACATCCCCAGAAAATTAAAAAAAAAACCTTCTAAAGGTGTGACTATTTAAAGTCAACGCAAAAGTGAGAGATTTAGAGAAAAATATTTTTTGCCACGTCATAGTGCTATTTTTTAAAATCACTTCCTATGACCTTTGGAATATTCCAGCTGCCAAAAAAAGTGTTAGATTTCTCTGCATCTCTCATTTTCCCATGCTCTCTAGGCGAGCGAAGCGAGTGTAAACCGCAAGCTTCCGCGGAGCGGCACTGTCTTCCGCTTCAGCGGCCACTTCGCAGAAGCTTCCGCATGGGATAAAGAGAGACACAGAGATTTTCAAAGTTTCCGAGCGCGGAAGCGCGAGTGTAAACCGCAAGCTTCCGCGGAGCGGCACTGTCTTCCGCTTTAGCGGCCACGTGGAGTATTATCGAAGGTACCACGCGCCCCACCGAAATAAGAGTATTATCGAAGGTACCACGCGCCCCACCGAAATAATAAGCGACGCAGACCGCGCCGCGCCACAACACACACAAAAAACGGGAGGGAATTTGAATCGTTCCCTTTTTTGTGTGTTGTGGCGCGACGCGGTCTGCGTTGCGTGTTTATTTCGGTGGAGCGCGTGGTACCAATGAGACGGATATTCCACGTCATGGCTAGTTAGGCTAACTTTCTATGGTTAGCCTAACTAGTTAGCCTAAATTGCTTCTATTTACTCACCGTGATTAATTCAAAAACAAAAATTCGAAAAAAATAATTATCCGCATACAATTTTCTATGCTTAACAGTTAACACATATAACATATAAGCTATAAAAATCGCACCAGGAACCAAATATATCAATTGAAAAATATATTTAGTGATTTCCAAAGCTGTGTCAAATTCCAAATTGCACGTGAAAGGATAGGATTTATAGTAGGAATTGGTGGAATTTTCAGACATTTTTGGCTGAAAATGCGGCTCTGGGGAATTTGTTGGCAAAAAAAAACTATGACAAAAATTTTTTTGGCTCGAAAATGAGGTAGACTTGTACGAAATCAGCTGCCTGATGATAATTTTGATGTTTGATTTTGAAAAATTCATGTTTTCGAGGAAAAAATTTTAATCTTGGGAATTTTCTGAAAATTTGTCTGGAAATTCGATATTTTTCGAGGGAAATCTGTGAAATTAAATTCATTGTCAGATAGATTTCAAGCTAAAAACCAGCATTGCTCATATTAAACTTCGCTTCTTCTTTTTCGTATAATGTACATCTTGCATATTTCTCAGTGTTTCAGCTGCGATTTCGGGCGAAATATCGCGTTGTTTTTCAGCGAAAACTTCGTAGCCAGCCAGAAATTTGGGGATTTTTGAGGATCTGAAAAAAATATTTTGAAATTTGGAGCATTTTGAGCTTAGAAATCATGAAAATTATGAATTTTGATGTGAAATTTGAGATGAAAATGGTTTAAAATGACCTAGAAAATCTATAGGTGGCCTAGAAATCCAAAAATCCAAATTTCTCGTCCCCCAGCTCATTTCGTATCAAAAATCATGATTTTTCAACTGAAACTCGCCAGGTGCGGACTAGAAATTCAAATATGGCCTAGAAATCCAAATTTCTCATCCGCGGCCTCAAAATCCATCAAAAATCATGATTTTTCAACCGAAACTCGCTAGATGTGGACTAGAAATTCAAATATGGCCTAGAAATCCAAATTTCTCGTCCACAGCCTCAAAATCCATCAAAAATCATGATTTTTCAACTGAAACTCGCCAGGTGCGGACTAGAAATTCAAATATGGCCTAGAAATCCAAATTTCTTGTCCCCGCTCTCCAAAATCCATCAAAAAAACATGATTTTTCAACCTAAACTCTCCAGGTGCGGACTAGAAATTCAAATATGGCCTAGAAATCCAAATTTCTCGTCCCCCAGCTCATTTCGTATCAAAAATCATGATTTTTCAACTGAAACTCGCCAGGTGCGGACTAGAAATTCAAATATGGCCTAGAAATCCAAATTTCTCGTCCACGGCCTCAAAATCCATCAAAAATCATGATTTTTCAACTGAAACTCGCCAGGTGCGGACTAGAAATTCAAATATGGCCTAGAAATCCAAATTTCTCGTCCACAGCCTCAAAATCCATCAAAAATCATGATTTTTCAACTGAAACTCGCCAGGTGCGGACTAGAAATTCAAATATGGCCTAGAAATCCAAATTTCTCGTCCCCGCTCTCCAAAATCCATCAAAAAAACATGATTTTTCAACCTAAACTCTCCAGGTGCGGACTAGAAATTCAAATATGGCCTAGAAATCCAAATTTCTCGTCCCCGCTCTCCAAAATCCATCAAAAATCATGATTTTTCAACCGAAACTCGCTAGATGTGGACTAGAAATCCAAATATGGCCTAGAAATTCAAATTTATCGTCCCCCCGACGATTTTTGTACCAAAATGCTCCAAATTTTCACCTTAACAACGGCGGATAAAAACTACAGTGTAGTTGCCAAAAATGCTCCGCTCCCGGCTCATTTTCCGGCGCCGACATCCATCCCATCATATAAGGAAAAGAGCACTCGAATATATTGTCGTATTTTATCAGCAATTTTTGCACGACTTCCGCTAACTCCAATTTTTCCGCAGCGGATAAATCCACAAATTTCGAGCATTTTCGATTGGGTAGAATCATGATTTCATAGGGCCAAAATGCCCAGAAGGGCACCAAAACTGTCCAGAATTGGGTGCGGAAAACGATCCGCGTCTTTTCCGCGACTTCTGAATCCAGATAGGAGAGTAGCATTGATTTTTGATGTTTTTCGTGGAATTTCTGCAATTTTTGGGATACTGTGCGGCGGAATTGCAAAAATGGGCGGAGCTTGCAATTTTGCGGCATGGTTTTTCTTCGATTTTAAGCTCCGCCCATTTTTGCAATCCTGCGGCATGTTTTATATCAAAATTTCGCAAATTTCCCCCATTTTCCCTCTCAAAAATCCACCAACTTTTTGCGATTTCATCATTTTTTCGGGAATCGTCGGCAAATAATCGGAGGCCCAAACCTGTCCGTGTGGATGTGCATTGGAGCATCCGACGATGGCTCCGCGATTCTCGAAAATTTGAACCCACGTGTATTTCGAGCCCAAATCTGGAAAGAAAAATGATTTAAGGCCTTTTTAAGGTGGTTAAGGTCTCTAAGGTCCTTAAAGCTTTAAGGACCTTAGAGATTAAGGTCCTTAAGGCTTTAAGGTCTTTAAGATTCTTCTGAAGGGCCTAAAAATCTTCTTCAGGCCCTTAAGGAGTTAAAGAGCTTTAGGGTCATTTTCAAAAATCTTTAAGACAATTTTGCGAACCATAAGGTCATTTTTTAGGAGCCTAAAGTCCTTAAGGCTTTAGGGATCTTAGATACTAAGGTCCTTAAGGCTTTAAGGTCTCTAAGGTCTTTAAGATTCTTTTGAAGGGTCTAAAAATCTTCTTCAGGCCCTTAAGGATAGCTAAAGAGCTTTAGGGTCATTTTCAAAAGTCTTTAGGACAATTTAGAAAGTGCTAGAGAACCCTAAGGTCAATTTTTAGGTGAAATTTTCGAATTTCAGCTCAAAATTCATCATTTTTGACGAATTTTGGCTCAAAATTCATCATTTTTGGCGAATTTTGGCTCAAAATGCTCCAAAATGCTCACCCAAATACAATTCGGTCCACAATTGCACCACTTTCCGCACACTTTCCACCGGCATTGTTGCCAACGTCAAATCGCTATTCGGATGATAGCAAATCACTTTGCAAGTTCCTCTAACTTCTTGTTGCTTGTACAAATCCGAGTTTACTGGAAAAATTCGACGTTTTCGCGAAAAATGATGGATTTTGATATGAAACATGCCGCAGGGTTGCAAAAATGGGCGGGGCTTGCAATTTTGCGGCATGCTTTCCTAAAATACATCAAAATGCGTCATTTTTCGCGCCGAAAAAAGTGGGCGCCGCAAAATTGCAAAAAAAACTCACTCTCCTCCGCGGCACACTTTTCAAACTCGGTGAAACTTGGAAAATCATTGTCAAAAACATAGGTCTCCAGATATCCGTCATTTTTTCGGCCTGAAGTCCTTAGGGCTCCGGGAGCTAAGGGATTTTGGGCCATAGGGGCCTTAGGCTCCTCCTTGAGGTCCTTAACGCCCTTTTCAGGCTGCCACGGTCGATTTATCCGATTTACAGCCACAATAATCCACTCTTCCGTCAGAATGTTGAAGCGTCGAAAATTATTGCTCATCTTAACATTCACCTTAAGCTTAAGGTTCCTAGGGGTGAAAAAATACCTTAGGGTCGTTAAAAAACCGCTAAAATCCCGCTAGATCGCTTTAAACAACAGAATTTATTAAAAATAAGCGAAATAACTTATTATATATGATAGAAATAAATAATAAATTAACCTAGAAAATAAAATCAAGTTTTTGGGGCCGAAAAAAATCGAGTTTTGAGAGCAAAAAATACTGAAATCTTGGGAATTTTAAGGGAAAATTGGAAAAAATTGGTCTATTTCATCTTCAATTGCTTCATTTTTGGTTGTTTCGCTTTGGCTTCACGCTTCAATTCTTTGGCCTGCAAAAATTGAGTTGTTAAGGTCTTTAAGGTCACTATTAGGTAGATAAGATACTTTCAGAGCCCATTTTAGGGTCGTTAAGGTCATCAAGGTACTTGTAGATACCTTACAAGGAATGGTTTTCAATGTTCCCCCCTGAAAAAAATCGAGAGTATGTGGAATGTTGAGGGTTCCCGTGGGTAAGAAAAACCCTAACGGGAATAAGGAGAAAAATGCCTTATTCTCGAGAAAAAATGTATTTTAGGTCGATTTTTACACCATTTTTTGATTTTTAGAGCATCTGTAACTCGATTTTGAATCTATTTCATGAACTTTTGAGTCGTGGAAGTTGTTCAGAATGGTCGATTACGTGTTTGTGAAACTTTTTATCAAAAAATTAGACATTTTTTGAAATTTGGTTTTTTCAGTCGGGGTTTTTCTGATCAAATGGTCACCAAAAAAACACAAAAAATAATTTTTTCCATTTTCAAATGAACGGAACTTGAAATATTTATGACGGTCAACAGACGTAATTTGGTCCGTAGAATCCGAAAATCATAGTCTCGATTCACACAAACTTCTCCTTCACAACGGAAACGTTGATTTTCTATGAATTTTTCAAACTGGATTTTTGATTTAGTGGACTTTTGGGACCAAAATTATTTTATTCCTAATTTTAGTCGAAGTAATACTGAAGTACGCCGTTTGCGCTACAAATGGATTTTTAGACTGACATTTTTCATCAATTTTGAAAAAAAGTTTCGATTTTTCTAAAAAATTTCATAGCAAAAATCAATAACACCAAAAATTTCTAAAACAAGGCATTTTTCTCCTTATTCCCGTTAGGGTTTTTCTTACCCATGGGAACCCTCAACATTCCACATACTCTCGATTTTTTCCTTGGGGGAACATTGAAAACCTTTCCTTGTTAAACTCAATTTTAGAGACCTTAAGGTTAATTTTGAAATCTCTAAGGGGTTTAGGGTATTAGGAGGTCTTTTATAAGCTTTAGGTAATTTTTACGGTCGTTAAAATCATTTTAGGACCAAATTTCGTGGAAATTTTCGCGTCTAGGGTCAAAATTAACCGTTTTCCATGATTTTTGGCTCAAAATTAACCGTTTTCCATGATTTTTGGCTCAAAATTAACCGTTTTCCATGATTTTTGTCTCAAAATTTATCATTTTTCGTGAAAAATCCCAAATTTCTCCTCCTCCTCACCTCCAATCGTCTCTGTCTATCCGGATCACTTTCATCCAACAACTTCTGTTTTCGTTCTCTCGTCTTCTCCTCTTTTCGTTGTTGCGCCGCTTCTTGTCGATATTGATGTGTGTTGCGCATAAAAGCCTCTTCGAACTCTTTTCGACGTTTTTCCGCTTTGAATTTCGCTTCTCGACTCAATTTGAACTTTTTGACCTGAAAATTGGGGGAATTTTAGCTCATTTTCATCCAAAATTCAATGATTTTCAGCCCAAACCCCACTACCTTCTCAATCAAATAAAACACCAAATTCAACAATTCCTCCATGGTTTCTTGATCTTGAATTTCTCTCAAATTCAACGAAATCGACAAATATCTTTGAGCTTCTGGCAGGCGGGTATACGTTTCACCACTGCAAAAAATTTGGGATTCTTTAATGCAAAATTTGAAAAATTGTGCAGAAAACTACAATGCTCCACGTTTACACCTGACTCGTAAACGCGGAGTTTTGTAGTTTTTGACCTAAAACATGTCTTTCCAAAGAATTTGGTGAATTTTGGGTGAAAAATCATGAAAACTACGATGCTCCGCGTTTACTCCTCGGAAAATCAGGAAAATTGATGGATTTCAAGCTAAAACTGATGTAAATCATGAAAACTACGATGCTCCACGTTCACACCTTAAAAAATCCGAATTTTCAAGGTGTCAACGTGGAGTATCGTTGGAAATACATGTTTTAGGTGAAAATTACGTGATTTTCATGAATTTTGTGTCAAAAAATCTGATTTTCGACTTACTCAGGCGGTTTTGGTCCTGTAAATTGATCAGAAATATGAATAAATTCAATAGCTTTCTCATGTTTCTTCAACAATCCAATAATTCCGGGTTCCAAAATCGAGAAAACAATCTCATTCTGATCGGCATATAGATTATAATTGGCTGGCAAATTGATTTGTTGAGCAGTCTGTTTTCGTTCGGTGGTAAATGTAGATAAATCCAATTGTTCTTTGAATTGTTTCGATGTTGTCTTCTTATCTCCAACTAATAGAACAAGTGGATCTGTTTCATTTGTTGATTCGAGATGTGATTTGATTGTTAGACGATCGGTTTGAGGATCGAAGAAATCGAGAACTCTGCTCACGAGATCTTGACGTTTTACCATACGCATCTGGAGAATTTTGGAGATCAAATTTGATTTTTCTAGATAATTTTTCAGTGAAAATCATAAATTTTGGTTAATTTTTGACAAGTTCCAACTATTTAAAGGTGATTTTTCATATTAAAACTATTATCTCACCACGCGCTCCACCGAAATAAACACGCAACGCAGACCGCGCCGCGCCGCGCCACAACACACACAAAAAAGGAGGGAATTTGAATCGTTCCCTTATTTGTGTGTGTTGTGGCGCGACGCGGTCTGCGTTGCGTGTTTATTTCGGTGAACCTGCATATTAAAATAATGCAAATTAATGCGTCCGAAAAGGGGGCGGAGCTTCGGACTTTTCGGACTTCGGACTATTTTTCTTGAAAACCTATGAAAAATTCACATTTTTAGATCAATTTTTCGTATTTTTGCATATTTTCCAAGTTCAAGTACCTGTAGATTAAAATAATGCAAATTAATTCGTCCACTACACCAAGCACTAAACGTATAATCCGTATCTCTGCGCAAAATCGGCGCAATTTGTTCCAACTCCGTAATTCCATCGTCGCCCACCACAGCGAATTGCTCTTCCAAAATTTCACGGCAATTTTCAAAGGCCGCGTTGGCTATCGATTGATTTGTGGCTCTTCCGATGAGATAATTGATGACGTAGATGAGAATGATGGCAAGAACAATGGCTTCCACTTGATACGATGCCCAATTTGAGCGGAAATGCGCGGGAACCTGTGGAAAATTTGGAAATCATGTTTTTGACGTTGTAAAACTACGATGCTCCGCTTTTACGCTATGGGGAAGTGAAACTACGATGGTTCCTCGAAATTCCCATGTTTTTTATTATCGCAAATCTCATCGGTACCACGCGCTCCACCGAAATAAACACGCAACGCAGACCGCGTCGCGCCACAACACACACAAATAAGGGAACGATTCAAATTCCCTCCCTTTATCGTGTGTGTTGTGGCGCGGCGCGGTCTGCGTTGCGTGTTTATTTCGGTGGAGCGCGTGTTACCGATGAGATTTTCGATAATAGGGTGTAAAAGCGGAGTATTGTAGTTTCGAACGAAAAAAAACCCAAAATCCTCACATCAGCAAATTTAAGCGGTTGTGGTGGTGGCGGAGCATCGTCCGAGCCCAAATCCTTCTCAACTTCCTCATCCACAACTCCAAAATCATCGTCGTCGGCGAATTTTTCGTCTTTCGCCGCCGCTTTTTCGTGCTCTTTCACAGGTTGTTTGGTGACAATCGGATCGCTGACAATTTCAGCAAAGTCGTCCTGAAATTCTGGGTTGTTAGCTCAAAATTGGCTGAAAATCATGGATTTTGGGTCGAAAAATCGGGATTTTCAGCTCACCTCAAACTCGGCAAACTCATTATCGTCATGATTATTATTATTCGAATTTCCCGCCAACAAATACCCAATCAGCAAAAAACTCGAAAACAAAATCACGAAAAATCCCCGCATTTTCCTTTCAATTACCTAAAGAAAATATGGATTTTTATTATTTATTGGACAAAAAAACAAAAAAAAAAGAAAAACTAGTATTATAGGCAGCAAAAAGGGAACACAGAAAACCAATGTGTTGCCACGCCCCTTTTGCATGCCGCACACTTTTTATGCAATCTTGCGGCGTGGTTTGTGTGGGGTGTGTTTGAAATATCGTGTGAATTTGTTTTTGCTGGGAATTTTTGATTTTCTAATGAAAAATCTTGAAATGATGGATTTCTAGACTAAAATTTCCACGTTTCAAAGGGGTTTCACATATTTTTAACCCAAAAAAAGGTTTTTCCATAAAATTTCGGTCATTTCTATGTTTCTAAACATGGAAATCACAATTTCCCAAGGTTTTTTGAGCAAAAAGGTGATTTTTGAAAAAAATAGCTTTAGAAACCCATGAATTTTTGCTGAGTACCTAAATCTATCATTTCAAACCCGTAAAACCCTCGAAATCCCCACGAAAACCCTGATTTTTGGTTCGAAAATCGAAAAAAAATAAAAACACGTTTTCAAGGCGCACAGAATTTTCAATTTGGGTCTCGCAGCGCGCGTGTACTTCTCCCGGACTTCTTTTTGATTTTTTTTTCGAAAACCGTCAAAATCTCTATTTTCCAGCCAAAATGGATCGAAAATTCAACGCCGACAATCAATGGTTCAGCTCTCCACTCATAGATTTATCAAAATTCAAGGCGGAAGGCGTCGCACTCCAAAACTCCATGCAAAACGTGGTGCCAGTGGAAAAATTCGAAGATCTCGCCGATATCATCGAAGCCCGCGCGGGTTGTTCGAAAGAAACTGTGGGCGATGTGCTGGCGGATGTGTTGGCCACCGAGCAATTTCTAACAGATCCGAGTTTTGCCGGAAAATCGTTGGATGAGTGGAAGATGGAGATGGGAGATTTGAATGATTGTTTATTTACACATAAGAATCTAAGACAAAGAAATCAATATATGGAAGCTTCGAGGCAACGAAAAGCCGCATATGTTGCGAATTTGAAATATGATAAATACGATTTCGAGGTCTCGCGGCGAAAAATCGATTTAGAAATGGATTTAGAGCCGGAGGAAACCGGTGAAAATGGTGATATTCTGATAACTTGTGATATACTATGTCCCTACAATCGCGCTCTATCAGCAAGTGAACTTCGAACATCGCGGCTTTTAAAGGCGCAGACGAAAGTTTTGCTGCGCGGCGAGACCAATTTAAATGAATTACGGCAGTGTTTGGTGTGTTTGAGTGATGTTGTTGTGCCGCTGGAAGATGGGAAAGAGCTAGAAGCGCCGGATTATTCGAGAGCGACTGCGGAAATATATCCGAGCTCTTTTATTTTTATCGATGACACGTTTTATTTGGATTTGTCGCATGATAATGCTATTGATATTTCAGAGTAAGCTTTTTGGGTGAAAATTTGGTGGATTTTGGGTGAAAAATCATGAAAAATGAAAGATTTTGAGCTAAAACTGATGGAAGTCATGAAAACTACGATGCTCCGTGTTTACATCTTTGAAATTGCTTGAAAAATGATAGATTTTGAGCTAAAAATGATTTAAATCATGAAAACTACGATGCTCCGTTTTTACACCTCTAAAATTTCTTAAAAATGCTTCATTTTGATTCAAAATTGATGGAAATCATGAAAACTACGATGCTCCGCGTTTACTTCTTCAAAAACATGATTTTTGACGGTGTGAACACGGAGTATCGTAGTTTCTAGATTGTCTAACGATACTCCGTGTTTACACCTCCAAAATCTCGGAAAATCATGTTTTTTAAAGATGTAAATACGAAGCATCGTTTGAAAATTGATGAATCAACGAAGCTCCACGTTTAAACGATGATTTTTGACGGTGTAAACGCGGAGTGTTGTTTAAAAACCCCCATTTTCCAGACCAATTCGCAATTTTATGTCAAAAAAAGCGATTTTCAATCCGACAAAAACGAAAAATATAAGAAATACGAAAATAATTGATCTAAAATTGCGTCTCGGACAACCATATATATTCCAACATTCCGGAAATTGCGAACATTTATTGATTTTTCACGATTTGAGAATGTTGCACCCGTCAGATGCTCAAAATCTCGACGAATATCCGATTGTTGTGTATGAAAAAGCGACGGAAAAACGATGTGATGCGTGTCATAAGGAAAATTCGGCGTTAGTTTGGGGATTTTCTGGATTTGGCGTGAAATTTGGAGGAGAATGATAGCAATTTTTGGATTTTTTTGAATTCCCTGTGAAATTCTGAGTTTTTAGACACCCATATTCATATGGGTGTGAAGAATTTTTACCTTAAGGTCCCTAAGGTACTTAGGGTCAAACTTGATTTTTGACTAGTTCTGAGTGGAAATTTGAATTTACCAGGAAATTTGGTGAAGTTTTTAGACACCCATACTCATAGGGGTTTGAAGAATTTTTACCTTAAGGTACCTAAGGTACTTAGGGTCAAATTTAATTTTTGACCAGTTTTGAGTTGCATATCGAGTTTAGCAGGAAATTTGGAGTTTTTAGACACCCATAACTTTATGGTTTTAGGGAATGTTTACCTTAAGGTCCTTAATTACCTTAATAATTTTTTCACTTAAAAATAAGGTTCTCGTATATCAAACGATGGGGATTTTTATGCTGAATTCGACTATACTCGAGAAAATTCTTAAAATTTAACCCTAAGGTCACTAAGAGACCTTAGGGACCTTAAAAGTTTAAAATATTGTTAATGTATATCAATCGATTCCAAATTTCACGCTGAATTCAAAGAATTCCGAGAAAAAATGTTGTTTTCCAGATTTGTCGTCGAAAAATCCGAAATTCTCCCCAACACCTTCCAATATTTCTGCGAAGATTGTTTCCGCGAATTCAATTTCACCAACGGCCTCAAAAATCATAATTTCAGAGCGTGGCCTGTTTTTGGGCTCAACAGATTGAGAGAATGAAGCATTTTCATTGATTTTTAGCTGAAAATACCTGAAAATTTGTGTTTTTTACACTAAAATACCTTAATTTTACCCTAATTTACTCTTAAATTTAAGGATTTTTAGCGAGAAGCCATGAATTTCAATGATATTTTGATGGGAGGACCGCCGGAAGAGCGAAAAAAGCTGATTTTGATCAAATATCCGGGAATTGTGAAGAATTTGGATAAAGCACTTAACACCATGGGTGGTCTTCCACAAATTATCAATAATCATCTGAATAATCATGCCATTGAGCTATCACACACTCCACAAAATCCATTTACCAGCAAATTGATGTCGGAACGAAAAAATGAGGATGCGGTGAGTGTTTTGGGCGAAAATTCGGGAAATTTGGAGCATTTTGAGCCCGAAAATGAGATTTTTGAATGGAAATTCGAATTCAGCGTGAAATTTGGAGTTTTTTGACACCCATATTCATATGGTTTTAGGGAATTTTTACCTTAAGGTCCTTAGTGACCTTAACAATTTGTTTTCCTAAAAATAGAGTGTTGTATATCAAACGATAAAGAATCTCATGCCGAATTCAAATTTCGCTATGAAATTCTTCGCATACTCAAATAGTATCTGATATTCACGGATTTTTAGTGAAAATTTTCCGAAAATCCAGATTTTGAGTTGAAATTGATTGAAAACTTGATTTTTACAATCCTGGACCTAATTTTTCGAATTCAGCGTGAAATTTGGAGTTTTTAGACACCCATAACTTTATGGTTTTAGGGAATTTTTACCTTAAGGTCCTTAGTGACCTTAATAGTTTTTGTTACCTGAAAAATATTGTTGTATATCAAACGATAGGGAATTCCATGCTGAATCCGAATTTCAATGAGAAATTCATAAAATTCTGGAAGAAAATCTCAAATTTCCTCAAAATCTATTGCAAACTACCAGATATCAAGGTTTTTGAGTTGGAAACCAGCTTTTCAGAGTCCGGGAACCAGTTTTTCGAATTCAGCGTGAAATTTGGAGTTTTTAGACACCCATATTCGTAGGGTTTTGAGGAATTACCTTAAGGTCCTTATTGACCTTAATAGATTTTTTTCCTAAAAAATAGAGTTTTGTATATCAAACGATGCAGAACTTTATGCTGAATTCGAATTTCACCAAGAAAATTTGATTAAAAATTGAAATCAAAATGAAAATCCCCCTTTCAATGTCTATAATTATCCCCCCATCGCAAAACCTTCAAATTCCGATTTTCGACAATTTTATCCGTCAAATATTCGCCATCATTGAATTCCTCATCAAAAAACCATTGATCTTCAACTTTTACCAAACGATAGTGATAAACAATTGAAGTTCGATTAAGTGTATGTTGTCTCATACTAAATCGAGCTGATTTTTCGCTCCACACAAAATTAAAACACGTTCTTATTGTTATTATGAAATTGGGAATTGTGTTGACGAATTTGAGATGTTCAGCTAGTTCAAGATTTGTTGGTTTGATTGTTCCACCAATTCCATTTATTCTGAAATCTGGTGTGGTTATAGCGAAGCCTTGTAGATATTGCTTCAATCGATATTGCAGAATTCTGGCTAACAATTCTTTACTCTCTAATCTTGGTATCAATTCGGTCAAATATTTTCTCTCCAATTCGATATCCTTTACTCGTTTTTCTGCGAAAATGGGAATTAATGTCAAAAAACTATATTTTTTCCTATTTTTTGACATTTTTTCATTGAAACATGCGGAACAGGCCTGTGCCAGAAATCAAAACCCGGAAAACGGAAATTCGGAAAATTTTTCGTAGTCTGAAATTTCGATTTTCACCCTTAAGTTGGTACTTAAACTTATTTTTATCTACAATTCTTCTATTCACAGGTAATTCAGTAACTATTTGAGACGTTTTACGTTCAAAAAATATGGGGCTATTCATGTATTTTCTCAGCATGTTGAGAAAACAGGAGAAATGCGGAGGAAATACATTTTCTCCGCTTTTTTCGTATTTTCTCAGCCTACCTGAATAGGTTTTCTCCGCTTTTCTCCCGTTTTCTCAGCGTTGAAAAATAACATGAATAGCCCCAATAGTAAATTTGAAAAATTGAAAAAAAATTCCAAAAATTTCATTTTTTCTCTCATAAACTGAGAAAATTTCCTAAAATTTAGGCAAAATTGTAAATATTACTAGTAAAGATCATTTTTCCGGATTTTCCGAGCACATTTTCCGGAAAATCGGAAAATTGATTTTTCCGTGAAAAAACCGGAAAATCCGGAAATTCGGAAAATTCGGAAAATTTTCCGGCACAGGCCTGATGTGGAAAAAATGTAAAAAAAATATAGTTTTATTTTTTTTTCGACTTGAATTACCTGCAAGAATCAACCAATTGTCATCTTGATTCAAGTCAACTATAGTGTAGTGCATAATAATTGCTGAATAATAACTAGCCACTCGAAATTCTACAATTTTCGAATTTTTCTCTACGGTGATATTGATTCCATAAATATGTCGTGGTTCCAACAATACTTTCATTGTTCTCGCATGTTCCCATCGATTTTCCACGGAAATATTCACGGCATTTTGATCGATTCCTGATGTTGTGAAATTGGATGCTAATATAGTTGAGGCATCATTGTTTTTCGTCAAATTCATGTATTTATCCAGCACTTTTGTTGCGATAATATGATAGTTTTTGAGGGGAAATATAGGATTTTGAAATGAGTATAAGAGAAGAACTAGAAACAACATTTTTTTTTGACCGATGAAAAATATGTGATGTGAATGTTGGAGAAGAGAAACATTGTGTCTAGACATGATTAATTTTGAGAATTTTTGCCCTAATATTGATTTTCGCTGACTTTGAGCATGAAAATCGAATTCAGCGTGAAATTTGGAGTTTTTAGACACCCATATTTATAGGGTTTCATAGGAATTTTTTCTTAAGGTACTTAAGGACCTTAACAATTTTTTCACTTAAAAATATCGTTCTCGTATATCAAACGATAGGGAATTTCATGCTGAATCCGAATTTCAACGAAAAATTCATAGAATTCATGAAGAAAATCTCAAATTTCCTCAAAATCTATTGCAAACTACCAGATATCAAGGGTTTTGAGTTGAAAACTTGATTTTCACAATCCTGGACCTAGTTTTTTGAATTTAGCGTGAAATTTGGAGTTTTTAGACACCCATATTTATAGGGTTTCATAGGAATTTTTCCTTGAGGTCCTTAGAGACCTTAATAATTTTTTCTCTTAAAAATAAGGTTCTCGTATATCAAACGATAGGGAATTCCATGCTGAGTTCGAATTTCAACGAGAAATTCATAAAATTCCTGAAGAAAATCTCAAATTTCCTCGAAATCTATTGCAAACTACCAGATATCAAGGTTTTTGAGGTGAAAACTTGATTTTTACAATCCTGAACCTAGTTTTTTGAATTCAGCGTGAAATTTGGAGTTTTTAGACACCCATATTCTCATGGTTTTTGGGAATTTCCCTTAAGGTACTTAAGGACCTTAATAATTTTTGTTACCTGAAAAATATGATGTTGTATATGAAACGATAGGGAATTCCATGCTGAATCCGAATCCACCACAGTAAATCCCTAATTTTTGCCCAAATTTTCCAGGTCTCATCTGGAACTCTCCATCTCGTGATGAAAGTTCGACGAAAGAAGAAAGATCCGAAAATAATGAGCACAAAAATCATTGGAATGGTCAACACAATCTACACTTTTGACATGATGTGCGATTTTCAATATTTACCCATCAAAAAACGCATTCATACAACCAATTTTGATGATATGATGTCGAATTTGATACCAACCGATATGGCGTCAGCGTTGAGTTGGTGAGTTTTTTGAGAGGTGAATTTGGAATCAGCGTGGAATTTGCGACAGAATGATACCCATTTTTATAAGGTTTTCGGGGATTTTTACCCTAAGGTACTTAAGGTACTTAAGGTTTTGGTGGATTTTTTGAAGTTTTAAAGTATTATTTTTTGATTCAGCCTGGAATTTGGGACAGAATGATACCCATTTTTATAAGGTTTTCGGGGATTTTTACCTTAAGCTTCTTAAGGTCCTTAAGGCACTTAGGGTCAATTTAGAACTGTTTAGCTCGAAAATAAGCCTAGATTTCACGATTTTCGAGTCCGGAGTTTTAAGACACCCATATTTGTGTTTTTTAATGAATTTTTACCTTAAGGACCTTAAAGACCTTAGGGACGTTAATAATTTTTTAAACCTAAAATATCGAGTATTGTATATCAAACAGTAGGGAATTCGATGCTGATCAAGATTCCATCAGAAAAATTTAACGCTTAAGGTCCTTAAGGTCCCTAAGGTCATTTTTTCCCGAAACATAGTGTTGTATATCAATCGATAGAGAATTTCACGCATTTTTGTTTGCAGGTGGACTCGAAAAGACATTGCACCCACCTCACTCTTCCTCCCGCCATATCAATTCAGTCGATATCTGACGCCAAGCACCAAAATATTGGCGAGAGAAACCGATTTCAGTATGGAGAAGACGAAACGGGTCAATAAATTGGGACATGGACAAAGTTAGTGGGGGATTTTCAGCCTGAAAATTTCAGATTTTACCGATTTTCAGATCTTCGAATCGAAAGAAAAGCGCTGTCGCTGACTGTACAAGCCGGTGATGAATTTCCTAAAGCGCCGAGTGAAGAAGCTATTGAGGATGCTGATTTTAGGTGAGTTTTTTGAAATTTTCTGATGAAAAATGACCTAAAATTCGAATTTTTCATGATTTTTTCCACTAAAAATCACCTTTTCTCGATAATTCTAATTAAAATTGAGCTAAAATTCAAAAATGTTTTGCATATTTTTCCGAATTTTCACGTCATAACTCAATTTTTGACAAAAATGCCCAAATTTTCACTAAAAATCTTCAATTTTTCTGATTTTTCCCCCAAAATCTCGAATTTTTTGCAATTTTCAGATGCAAAAACGAAGAACCCCACCGCCTAATCTCAGAATTATTCAAAGAACGTCCAATGTGGACTCGAGTTGCAATAAGTTATAGAACTGGTTTAGATGAATCAATGCTCAAAGGCCTGTTGCAAAAATATGCGTTTTATATTCAAAGTGGACCTTGGGGAAGATTATGGTGTAAATTTGGATATGATCCAAGAGAACATCGAGAATCTGGACAATTTCAGACACTTATGGTGTCTTTTAGGTGAGATTTTTGGATTCAGCGTGAAATTTGGGGAATTTTGATACCCATATTCATAGGGTTTTGGGAAATTTTTACCTTAAGGTTCTTAAGGACCTTAACAAATTTTCTAAAGTTTTTAATATCAAAACACTTAAAATTAAGCATATCGAATTCAGCGGGAAATTTGGAGATTTTTGATACCCATATTCATAGGGTTTTGAGAAAATTTTTACCTTAAGGTTCTTAACGACCTTAAAAAATGTTCTAATTTTTTTATATCAAAACAGTTAAAATTAAGCGCAGATTTTGCGATGATCGAATTCAGCGTGAAATTTGGAGATTTTTGATACCTATATTCATAGGGTTTTGAGAAATTTTTACCTTAAGGTTCTTAACGACCTTAAAAAATTTTCTAATGTTTTTTATATCAAAACACTAAGCATAGATTTTGCGATGATCGAATTAAGCGTGAAATTTGAAGATTTTTGATACCCTTAAGATTTTGGGAAATTTTTACCTTAATGTCTTTAACGACCTTAGGTAACTTAAAAATTTTAAGTCAAAAAATATTGGTGTTGTATATCAAACGATAGGTATTTTTGTGCTGATAACGAATTCTCTGTTGAAAATCTCTAAATTTTTAAAATTAAGGACCTTAAGGTCATTTTAACGGAAGTAATGGGGAAAATCCTGTTTTTCATTATAAATTCACATATTTTTTAACATGAAAAATAATAACAATTAATTTGAAATTCTGCACTTTTATGGGAAAATCTGAAATTTTCAGACAAAACGGACGAATTCCGGAGAAACAACGGCTAAAAGTGTCTGCCGATCGAAGTCAGGCGCAAACAATTCCAAATATTCTGACAGAAGTTGAAGAAGGTCCCGTGAAATATGTCTATGAGGCTGGAAAATTGCCAAAAGTTCGACAAATGTGGTATTGTATTGTTGATGTGCATATGGAAGAGGCTAGACAACTTTATAATTCGAGTGTGGGTTTTTGGGAGGAGATTAAGCTAAAATGCGAATTCAGCGTGAAATTTGGAGCTTTTTGATACCCATATTGATATGTTTTGGAGGAATTTTTACCTTAAGGCCCTTAAGGGCCTTAAAAATTACTTTATCTAAAATATAGTGTGTTATATATCAAACGATGCAGAATTTCATGCTGATCATGAAAATCTTAATTAAAATCGATGAAGCACCAGATTTACTTCAGAAACACCAAAAAACCTAGAAAAATTGATCTCAAATTCAAAAATTTCAGTTTTCCGGTCTAAATTAAGCCTAGATTTGAGAAAATTCGAATTCAGCGTGAAATTTGGAGCTTTTTGATACCCATATTGATATGTTTTGGGGGAATTTTTACCTTAAGGCCCTTAAGGGCCTTAAAAAATTACTTTATCTAAAATATAGTGTGTTATATATCAAACGATGCAGAATTCCATGCTGAACACGAATATTTCACTTAAAATTCTGAAAAATTGAAATTTTCAGAGCAATTACGAGCCGACAAGTGTTGCATTAAGTGGATGGGTCTCGCCGGTCAGTTTTTTGCTGGAATTTTCCCTAGAAAATTTTTGTTTTGCAGGATGTTGTGAATAAGATTCGAGATATTGTCAAAAATGATGTGAATCGGACTTCGAATGAATTGGAAACTATATTGAATCACTCGATTCCAGATGAAGATTTTTGACTGAAATTTTCAGAAAATTTTGTTATTGTTATCGTATTTTTTGTGAGTTAATTGTTGAAATAAAAGTGTGCAAAACTTCATTTTTTTAATTATCGAAAAACGTTTTTTAATTAATTAATAACGCACGAAAAAATTGACCAATTTAGTGCGTTTTGGTCCCGAGGAGCAGTCTTCGTATAATAATTGACAATCGCGAGACGATGATACACTTTGTTCTGCAAAATTATGGAATTTGGCTGGAAATTGTGGATTTTCAGCGTGATTTTTAGACTCAGCAGGGAATTTGGAGCATTTTGAGTGTACTTAGAGAAATTTTTGAAAAAAAAATTTGCTTAGGGGGGTCCTTTAAGGAAAAAATAAAAATTTCGGCTCATTTTGCTGGAAATTTCACGGGGAATCTGGAAAACCTAATTTCACTTTTTGAAAGTTGCTGTAACTCCAGAAAAATGCTGAAAATTGCAGCATGACGGGGTCCTTTAAGACGAAAAATCTAAATTTTCAGAATCCTATGAATATGGGGCTCATTTTGCTGGAAATTTCACGGGGGATCTGAAAAACTCAATTTCACTTTTCGAAAGTTGCTGTAACTCCAGAAAAATGCTGAAAATTGCAGCATGACGGGGTCCTTTAAGACGAAAAATCTAAATTTTCAGAATCCTATGAATATGGGGCTCATTTTGCTGGAAATTTCACGGGGGATCTGAAAAACTCAATTTCACTTTTCGAAAGTTGCTGTAACTCCAGAAAAATGCTGAAAATTCCAGCATGAGGGGGTCCTTTAACGAAAAAATAAAATTTTCAGAAACCTATGAATATGGGGCTCATTTTGCTGGAATTTCCATAGAGATTACGAAAATCTAAGTGAAATTGGCTGAAATTTCAGAATTTTGCAAAAACTATCGCCTTATGCATTTTCCAGAGAACAAAAAAAAATTAATTTCGTCTCCCCCAAAAAATTTTTCGCAACACATTTAATACTCCAATTTTTTCTAGCCATGACCAATGTAATTTGATCAACGAGGGAAAATTTAATTTTTTTTTTCGAAATTTTTTTCGCCTGACATCAGAAATTATATATTTTCGCAGGGAAAACTGGAAAACTACAAAAATTCGTCATTTTACCTAATTTTTCCAAATGTTTTTGTACGAAAATAAAAAATAAAAAAAATAGATTTTCTTGGGATAATCCCAAAGTTCTTTAAACTTTGCGCGTTAAAAAAATACGCCCAAAAAAATAGAAATCTTCTTGGATTTCACTCAAATATGTACACATGTTTTTGGCTGGGCTTATGGACTACAAAGATATATAATTACACATTTTTTTCGGTCTGCGCGGGGGTTTTTTTTAGAATAATAAATAATACTGATGTTAGTTAGTGACCAGCAAAATAAATAGATATTTAATTTCAGGAAGCTTTATATTCGAAAATTTCATATTTTCAGCTTTTTCCCGGGCTCCTAGCCAGTTTCCAGGGTTCTAACTAGATTTTTCAGATTCCCCGTAAAATTTCCAGCAAAATGAGCCCCATATTCATAGGCTTCTGAAAATTTTGATTTTTCGTCTTAAAGGACCCCCTCATGCTGGAATTTTCAGCATTTTTCTGGAGTTACAGCAACTTTCAAAAAGTGAGATTAGGTTTTCCAGATTCCCCGTAAAATTTCCAGCAAAATGAGCCCCATATTCATAGGTTTCTGAAAATTTTGGTTTTTCATCTTAAAGGACCCCCTCATGCTGGAATTTTCAGCATTTTTCTGGAGTTACAGCAATTTTCAAAAAGTGAAACTAGGTTTTCCAGATTCCCCGTGAAAATTGGAGCAAAATGAGCCCCATATTCATAGGTTTCCGAAAATTTTGGTTTTTCGTCTTAAAGGACCCCCTCATGCTGGAATTTTCAGCGTTTTTCTGGAGTTACAGCAACTTTCAAAAGGTGAAATTAGGTTTTTCAGATTCCCCGTGAAAATTGGAGCAAAATGAGCCCCATATTCATAGGTTTCTGAAAATTTTGATTTTTCGTCTTAAAGGACCCTCTCATGCTGGAATTTTCAGCATTTTTCTGGAGTTACAGCAATTTTCAAAAAGTGAGATTAGGTTTTCCAGATTCCCCGTGAAATTTGGAGCAAAATGAGCCCCATATTCAAAATTTTCAGATTTTTCGTCTTAAAGGACCCCCCAGGGCTCCAAAAATTTTTTTTTCAAATTTTGCACAAAAACCACTCAAAATGCTCCAAATTCCGTGCTGATTCTGAAAATCTGGCTGAAAATCGCACTCACCCCTATGTTTGGCCATCATTTGTTGAAAAAGTTCGGCAAACTTATTCTCGCCCTCCTCATTTTCACCCACATTGCCGCCTTCGTCACCAAAATTTCCTGAAAAATTGTGCCTTGGGGAAATGCCGTGTGCCTACGCAAAATGTTTGAAAAAATTTGAAAAAAAATTTTTTTTTCTGAAAAATAGACCCACCTTTCACCAAAACCACCATAAAAAATCCAAAAATCAGCCAAATTTTGTGCATTTTTTTCAATCGCAAAAAAAACTGAAAAAGAAAAATGAGCTAGAAAAGAGCAACAAAAAAAGTGGGCGGAGCTTGAGCCAAAATGGGCGGAGCTTCAGCGAAAAATTTGAAAAAAAACTACAGTAACCCGTAAATCATTTATTTTGTCTCAGGGTTCATGGAATAAATGATACTAAAATTTCGAATTTTTGGCGCGAAATTCAAAAAATCTATGCGCTTGGATGCTCCAATTTCGATTTTTGAGCCATCAATTTTTTGTGGACCGGATCTTCGATGATGTGAAGATAGTTGTGATTGACGAATCGGGCCAACTGTAAAAAATATCGATTTTTAGCTGAAAATTTGAGATTTGCAAGGAAATTTGAGATTTTTTGATACCAAATAAGCCCAAAATCAAATCACATCATAATTTTTTCGAAATTAATTAGGGCTTTTGCTGAAATTATAGCCTAAAGTACTAATTTTCAGCTGTTTTCAGAGAACAGCTGAAATAATGCGCTTTTTGTTGAAAAAATGAGTCATTTTTGAGCAAAATCAGTCCAATCTGTCAGGTTAAGCAACGTTGAGTCGAGTTAGTCGCAAGTTCGAACCCCACCCGGAACTTTTTTGACCTTCGGAAGATCGGAAATATCGATTTTTGTAGATTTTCTGAAGCCCAAAATTCAAGAAAACTACAATGCTCCGTGTTTACACCTCTAATGAAAATCATGCATTTTTGGTGGTGTAAACACGGAGTATCGTTGATTTTTAGCTCAAAATGATGTTTGGAAGACCGAAAAAGTTCCAGATGGGGTTCGAACTTGCGACTAACCCGAGTCAACATTGCTTAACCTGCCAGATCGGTCAAAAATCCTCGTTTTTGGCTCATTTTAGCTCAAAATTTGTGATTTTTCGAGCTCCATTCGATTTTTTGGCTCACCTGTGTAGATTGTGCAGTACAATTGCTCAAATGGCACGCAAAAAGTAGCAAATTTCTTGGGTTAACATGCCAGGCGAAACGCATAAAAATGGCCGAATAGAACATGAGAGCAGTTGTCATTGGACCACTAATCATATCCGGATTTTTCTGAAAATTTGAATTTGGCGCGAAAATGAGCACTTTTTGTTTTTTGTATTTTCTTTTTGGGTACAAATTTTTCGCGCCAAAAATAGCATTTTTTTCAAAAAATTTCCAATTAAAAATGTGTGGAATTGACAGGAAAAATTGAAATTTGTGAAAAAAAAATGGAAAAAAAAAGTTTTTTGGAGCAAAATTTTAAAAATTGAAAAAAATCGAGATTTTTGAAGGTTCTGGAGTGATTTCTAATGAAAATTGACCTTTTCAGAAGTTTTTGCTGAAATTTTTGATGAAAATAAGCTTCGGAAACTAAAAATCACAAATTTTGAGCTAAAATGAGCCAAAAACGAGAATTTTAGACCGATCTGGCAGGTTAAGCAATGTTGACTCGGGTTAGTCGCAAGTTCGAACCCCACCCGAACTTTTTTTTTCTGAAAATTGAATTCCAAGGTCAATTTTCATCAGAAATCCCTCCAAAACCTTCAAAATTCTCGATTTCTCATCATTTTTGCCTCGAAAAAACTAATTTCTCACCTTCAAATCACCAATAGCAGCCAGTGGCAATCCCCAATTGGCAACAGGTCCCCAAAAATGTGTGGACATGAAATAGGAACGCCATTCGGCTGCCGAATATTGTTTGAAGTAGCCAGTTACACGACGAATTGCTAGTGACATGTGTGTTCCTTTAAAAATGAGGGTACGGTAGATCGAGAAAAAACCGATTGAAATGAGCAATTCTGAAGGTATGTTCCTTTAAAAAACAACTACAGTAATCTTTTAAAATTTTTATGCTACAGTAACCAAAAAACTGCTTAAATTCGATTTTTCAGGTTAAAAATTCAGATTTCTAGATATGTTCCTTTAAGACATCTACAGTAATCCAGAAAATGGATACTGTAGATCAGAAAATTCCAGAAAATCAATACAAATACAGTAATCCATCTATAGTAGAAAAAATGGTATGTTCCTTTAAAAATGAGTACGGTAGATCAAAAATGTGCAGAAAATCGATTGAAATGAGACATTTTGAAGGTATGTTCCTTTAAAAAAACACCTACAGTAATCTTGTAAAATTTCAGTTTTCTAGATATGTTCCTTTAAGATATCTACAGTAATCCAGAAAATACCAGAAAATCAATTCAAATACAGTAATCCATCTACAGTACCCAAAAAAAACCCGGGAAATCGATTTTTCAAGGTATGTTCCTTTAAAAATCGAAAAATGGCGAAAAAAATCGATTAAAAATAAGAAATTCTGAAGGTATGTTCCTTTAAAAAACAACTACAGTAACCCCGTCCGAAAAACTACAGTAATCTTGTAAAATCTCAAGCCACAGTAATCCAACAACTACAGTAACCAAAAAACTGCATGAATTCGATTTTTCAGGTTAAAAATTCAGATTTCTAGATATGTTCCTTTAAGACATCTACAGTAATCCAGAAAATGGATACTGTAGATCAGAAAATTCCAGGAAATCAATACAAATACAGTAATCCATCTATAGTAGAAAAAATGGTATGTGTTCCTTTAAAAATGAGAGTACGGTAGATCGAAAAATGGCGAAAAAAATGAGAAATTCTGAAGTTATGTTCCTTTAAAAAACAACTACAGTAATCTTGTAAAATTTCAGACTTTAAGATATCTACAGTAATCCAGAAAATTCCAGAAAATCAATAAAAATACAGTAATCCATCTACAGTACCCAAAAACCCCGGAAAATCGATTTTTCATGCTAAAAATTCCAGATTTTTTGAATTCCTAGCTGAAAAATGATGAAAATCAATAATTTTTCACTCATGTTCCTTTAAATTCCCCTACAGTACCCCGAAAAATTTTGAAAATTTCACTAAAAATCACCGAAAAATGAAAGGAAAGCAGTTGTTTTTGAAGTGTTTCGCGAAAAAAAAATTTTTTGAGAGAAAAATAGAGAAAATCTATGAGAGACGCAGAGAAAAAAGGGTTTCACAGAGGGCAAAAAAATTGTTAGAGAAAAAAAAGAAGACAAATATTTGAACCCAGAGGATTTTAAGCCATTTTTAAGCTCAAAATCTGGAAAATTGTCCAATCTGGCAGGTTAAGCAACGTTGAGTCGAGTTAGTCGCAAGTTCGAACCCCACCCGGAACTTTTTTGACCTTCGGAAGATCGGAAATATCGATTTTTCTAGATTTCAGATCTTCTGAAGCCCAAAAATCAAGAAAACTACAATGCTCCGTGTTTACACCTCTAATTTTGATGAAAATGCATTTTTGGTGGTGTAAACACGGAGTATCGTTGATTTTTAGCTCAAAATGACCTTTGGAAGACCGAAAAAGTTCCGGATGGGGTTCGAACTTGCGACTAACCCGAGTCAACATTGCTTAACTTGCCAGATCGGTCAAAAATCCTCGTTTTTGGCTCATTTTACATCAAAATTTGTGATTTTTCGAGCTCCAGAGCTCAAAAATGGCTGAAAATACAAAAAAAGCACAAAAAATATATTCCAAGGTTCAAAAACCTTTCAAAAATCAGAAAAACTTCAAAAAAATCTCAAAAATCTTCATTTTTTCCTCCCAAGAATCCTCACTTTCGCTCGAATTTCTCGACGATTTTTTCACTTTTTTCGACTTTTTTTCCTTCTTCTTTTTGGATTTCTTCGATTTTTTCGGTTTTTTTCGATTTTTCAAATCGGCTTCCAAATATTTCAGCGCTGAAAATGCTGAAATTTTGGGAATTTCTGGCAAATTTGCGGGAATTTCTGGACCATATTGTTGATTTGAAGAAGAAGATGTTGAAGGCTTCGATGAGGACTGCAAAAATCGGGATTTTTGAGCAAAAATGAGCTCGGGAGCTTGAAAAATTCGTAAATTTCAGAAAATTTAGACTAAAAACTTCAAATTTTCGCGCAAAAACCAAAAAATCATGCGATTTTCGATTTTCAAAAAAAAAATCAACAAAATTACAATTCTTGTTATCAACCAAACAAGAAAAATGGTTCCATTGATCATTTTTTTCGGAGAGAAAAATGACCGAAAAAAAATAATCACATGAGAAAATGAGAGAACTGTTATCTTTGGTTCAATAAAACTTGAAAAAATCGGAAAATCATCAAAAATTCGAGAAAATTGATGAAAACTCGAAAATTTCTTGAAAAATCCGATTTTTCAACTCAAAAATCACATTTTTTTGAGCACGAGACTTGGAAAAAATGCACTTCTCAAAATTTGAGAGAAAAAAAAGAAGATAGATATTTTTTTCTGGTCAAAAATCAATATTTTCACGATTTTCAAGCTCCTGATCTCATTTTTGCTCAAAAATTTCAGCATTTTCATAAAATTTTAGGTCTAGAACCATTTTCAAGCAAAAATACAACACTCCGCGTTTACACCTCATTTTTCAGGCGGGAAACTCAAAATTTCAAATTTTTTTAGCAGTGTAAACGCGGAGTATCGTTGTTTTTCATGAATTTTGGCTCCAGGGCTCATTTTCAGTCAAATTTCCAGATTTTTGGCTCAAAATTCATCATTTTTCAGCATTGCTCATGTTAAACCTTCCAAAAATCTCACCAAAATCTGTATCTCATCCTCCTCGCTATCTGTGCTCTCTCGTCTCTCCCTTCTTTCTCGTCTCTTCCCATCCTTCTCCTCTACGTCTCTACCCTTCTCAATCTCCTTCTCTCTACGTCTCATCTCCTCTCGTCGTCTCGCCTCTCTGCGTCTCTCCCTTTCCTCTTCTTTTTCCGAATCTGACGAACTTTCTTCCGAATCCGACGAATTTCCACCGAAAATTGCGTCGAAAAATGATTTTGGCGCTTTTTCTGGTGGATTTTCAGCCAAATTTTCAGCATCAGAATCTCGAGAATCTTCAAAATTTTCAGATTTTTCCGGATTTTCAGCCAAATTTTCAGTCGGAATTGTTGGTTCTTGTGGAATTCGAGACGATTTTTGTTGTTGGCGAGATCTGAAGAAAATGAATTAGAAAAACAACGACACTCCGCATTTACACCCCCTCGGCGGGGAATTCAAATTTTTGAATATTATTATTCAAGTGTAAACGCGCGGAGCATCGTTGTTTTTCGTCGAAAATGGGAAAACTACAACACTCCGCATTTACACCCCATAATTTTCGGCGGGGAATTCAAATTTTTGATTATTTTTCGCTCCTGGGGTTAAAATAGGCAATTTTCAATGAATTCAGGGTCAAAAAATGTGATTTTTTGCTGAAATTTTCAGATTACCTTTGCTCCAATTCATTAGCCGTATTCGGCATTCCCAATCCTCCGAAAACATCAAAATCTCTCATTGCAGATTTCGCACAACTTCCAGAAGTCTTCTTAAAAAGTGCAGGAACTCCCGAAATTCCTTCAGAATCTGGATATGGATTGGGAACATTGAATCGTTTGGCCAAAATCGAATCCGGATACCAATCGAATTTTTGCCGCGTTTTTTCGCCAAACATCTCCATTTTTACAGCCGCCAACTTGTCTTCGTCTTTTTGACCAGTCTGAAAATCAGAAAAAATAAAAATTTGATGGTGTAAACGCGGAGTATCGTTGGAATATTCGAATTTATAATCAAAAACTATATGGTGTAAAAGCGGAACATCGTTTGAAATTCAACGTTTCGGAAAACTACGACGCTCCGCTTTAACACCAGGTATTAATGATAGAAAATTTGAAATTTCGTGGAGAATTCGCCGAAATTGACTTCGTAAACACGGAGCATCGTTTGAAAATAGATTTTTTAGAAAACTACGACACTCCACATTTACACCCCAATTTTGTAAGCGGGAAATTCAAATTTTTGAATATTTTCCAAGCCCTGGGGTTAAAATAGTCCATTTTTATGATTTCTGGTGGTGTAAACGCGGAGCATCGTTGTTTTTCCAATTTTTATCGTTCTAAATAGGAAAACTACGATAATCCACATTTACACCTCAATTTCTGTGCGGGAAATTCAAATTTGTGAATATTTTCAAGGTCCTGGGGGCAAAATAGACCGTTTTGCGCGGTGTAAACGCGGAGCATCGTTGTTTTTCAATTTTTATCGTTCTAAATAGGAAAACTACGACACTCCACATTTACACCTCAATTTTTAGGCGGAAATTCAAAATTTTCAGATTTCAACAATTTCTAGCTCATTTTTCCGCAAATTTCGCTCACCTTCAGCTCTCCACCCTTTTCCTTCACAAATTTATTTTGCAAAATCTCAAAAATCGGCGCCGCAATTGCCATTTTCACCAGCGGAACTGCTCGATTCCGCATTTCCGGCAACATTTTCCGCTCTTCCGCCGTCAATCTCTCCTCGAATTCTTTTTTTTCCGTTTCCCATTCCCAAATCGATAAATCAGTGGGTTGCGGGAAATTCAAACCTCTTCTCAGATATTGGAGGAATTCTTTGAATCGCTGTTGTTTTTGAGGTTCGGAAGGGAATTCGATGCGATTTCGAAGTTTTCGATCATTTTCCTCGTCGATTTCACCGCCTGAAATCTCGATTTTTGACGGAAAATTCGAGAAAATCTCGATTCTGGATCAATTTTCGATGAAAAACCCGAATTTCCCTACCTCTTTCCTGTTTTCCCTCATTTTCCAGCTCTTTTTCAGCTTTCAAATCCCATCTGCTCCGTCTTTCCAGCCTTTTTCGATCTTTTGACGGGATCAATTCCATCACTGATATTCGATCTTCGCCCAAAAATCTGGAAAAATTCGGATTTTTCGGTAAACAATTTCATATGTGAAAATAATTATGAAAGTGTAAAAGCGGAGTGTCGTTTGAATTTCAGACTACGACACTCCGCATTTACACCTACTTAATTTTCGAACTCAAATTATTATTGAAAAATGAAATTTAAGGACAAAAAATGGGAAAACAACGATACTCCGCGTTTACACCAGTATTTTTGAGGCGGGAAATCTTGAAAATTCAAATTTTCATGGTTTTTGGAGTGAAAAATGCTGAATTTCACGATTTTCGGCCCAAAAATCTGGAAAAATTGAGATTTTTGGGTCAAAAATCTCCGTAAAAGCGGAGTGTCGTTTGAATTTCACCTTTACAATCGCGAAAATCATTTAAAAATCGTATTTTCACGAAAACAACGATACTCCGCGTTTACACCAGTATTTTTGAGGCGGGAAATCGCGAAAATTCAAATTTTAGGACGAAAAATTGGGGAAAACAACGATACTCCGCGTTTACACCAGTATTTTTGAGGCGGGAAATCTTGAAAATTCAAATTTTCATGGTTTTTGGAGTGAAAAATGCTGAATTTCACGATTTTCGGCCCAAAACTCTGGAAAAATTGGGATTTTTGGGTCAAAAATCTTCGTAAAAGCGGAGTGTCGTTTGAATTTCACCTTTACAATCGCGAAAATCATTTAAAAATCGTATTTTCACGAAAACAACGATACTCCGCGTTTACACCAGTATTTTTGAGGCGGGAAATCGTGAAAATTCAAATTTTAGGACGAAAAATTGGGGAAAACAACGATACTCCGCGTTTACACCAGTATTTTTGAGGCGGGAAATCTTGAAAATTCAAATTTTCATGGTTTTTGGAGTGAAAAATGCTGAATTTCACGATTTTCGGCCCAAAACTCTGGAAAAATTAGGATTTTTGGGTCAAAAATCTTCGTAAAAGCGGAGTGTCGTTTGAATTTCACCTTTACAACCGCGAAAATCATTTAAAAATCGTATTTTCGCGAAAACAACGATACTCCGCGTTTAAACCAGTATTTTTGAGGCGGGAAATCGTGAAAATTCAAATTTTCACGATTTTCGGCCCAAACTCACGTGGCTCTTTGCATTGGTGTCATTTCTCCAAGCTCTTCTCTCATTCCACGTGGCAAATGTTTCAGATCCATCGAAACGGGTCGATGTTCGGCGCGAAAATTGGGCGGAAGTCTCGGCGGGCCGTAGAACTTTCGCGAATTCAATTTTTTCGGCTGCAATTCGAATGCGGTATCGATTTTTGGCAAATTTCCCGAAATTTCCAGATTTGACGATGATGGATCGAGTGAATAATCGAATTGCGATAGGTCATAGTTGGAATATATATTATCGTCGTCTTCTTCAAAAACACCAACTCCAAAAGCCTGGCCACGGATGCTTTTTTTGGATTTCGGATCGGATTTTAGGGCCGAGTAGGCTCGACCAAACTTCTCATCGAGCACCGAAGTTTGGGCTGAAAATTTGGAATTTTTTCAGTCTAGAATTGAATTTCTAGCTTAAAATGTACATTTTAAGCCAGATTTTTATGAATTTCAGGTCCTCACCCAATCCCTGATATCCCAATCCATGCTGCCCGGAAATCGTCACCAATTCCTTCACCAAAACATCTTCAGTGGAAAATTCGTGCGTCGGCGCCACTTTTTCCGCCTGTTTTCGATCGAAATCATCGGCAATTCGAGTGTTTTTCGATTTCACATTCGACAATCCGATTCCTTTTCCCTGTCGCCAACCCATTTGACGAAGCATTCGAATTCCGATCGAATCACTGCAAAAATCGGATTTTTCGTGGGATTTGGGGGGTTTTTACGTATTTCTTTTTTTTGTGAAAATCTAGATTTTTCGAATAAAAAACACAAAATTCAAATGAAAAACAAATTTATTGACTTTGCAAATCAGTATCTTTAAAATTGTCTGCAGTCGACAAATTATCATAAAGTTTGATTGATCCAGTTGACGTAAGCGACAATTTTGATCCTGAAATTATTAATTACAAGATTTTTGATGGAAAATTATCGGAAAACGGGATTTTTCACTGAAGGACTATGATTTTCGGTCAAAACTTTGCCTAGAATCTGTTTTTGATGAAATATAGCCAGAAATTGATGATTTTCGCTCAAAAATCGTTCAGATCTTCAAATTTCATAGATTTTCACATAAATTTATGAAAAAACTCATGATTTTGTACGCAAATCAAGTCCAAAATCATGCAAAAACTCACTTTTTCGTTCAAACCTCGATCCCGATTTCGGTTTCGATTTCGGTTTCATAAAAACCGGCCTAGGTTTGCTCGATAAAATTTTTAGAGGTTTCTTCTTCTTTCTCGAATCGCGAATACAACAAAAACTTCCAATAATTATAATAAATACGATAAAAAGCAAGAAAACACCCAATAAAATCGAGCAAATCATTAGATCATACTTGCGATCAATCAAAAACATCGGAGGTTTGAATTTCGCTTTTTCCTTCAAATTTCCAACTCTAATTCCACCTTCAATCTTTCCCGCCAAAATCGAATTCCTAAATCCATTTCGAAAACAAATCACTTGAGCAATTAGATCCTTATTAAAATCATAAACAATAAGTTTGCTCGAATTCTCCAACTGCGCGTCTAAAATCTCGATTATTTTCGCATACAGTACATCATCTTCAACACACGTCATTTTACAATAAATCACAAGTTGTGAATTTTTGATTTGCAATGCAATACTTCCCAATTTTTCCACTTCAAAATAATCAATGTTTCCACTATGAGATGGTACAGCTGGATCCGAAGTTATATCATCACATGTATTATCGATCTGAAAGTGGTATTTTCAGCAACGCCACGTGGCAACTATGGTTTTTTTGTTAAATTTTCTTATCAGCAACCTTTTTGCCACGTGAAATCGATTATAAGTCATATTTTCTCAATTTTTTTTCGAATTTTCGCCACGTGGAATCAAAAAATTCCTATTTTTCATTATTTTTTGATCAGAAAAAAACCTAACCTCGAATACTCGATAACAATAAACATCCGATTCAAAAGGATTACATCGATCTAATTTCCCCTGACTTATAGGCCCATAATATTCAATCAATTCGGCTGGAAAATCTATTCTAAAACTCGCCAATTCCTCCAACAATTTTCCAGACACTTCCAGATTTGCGGTGGAATTTCCAGCCCTTCTCATCAAATAAATCGCCTCGATGAAATAATCGAAAGAAGTGCATAGTGAATTGTGGATGTGGCAAATACAAAACATCTCATTTTTCCGAATATCACAAGTGTATGGGTGGGTTTTGAACGATTTTTCATGCTGAAAATCGAGTTTTATCAAAAAATAGGGGAGTTTTTCGGGTTACTTTGGGAATTTCCTCGGGGCTCATTTGAAATGTTTCACTTTTGAGCATAAATATCGATTTGTTGGTGTAGAACACAGAAATTCGAAGATGTGTATGTTCTGCAAGATGGAGAATGCTGATTTTCTGGTTTTAGAGTCAGAATACATCATTTTCGCTCAAAAATGATGTATTCTAGACAAAAAAACTCGAAATTTCACATTTACTCACGTAAACCCGGATCTCCCGATAAACTTTGACCAGTTTGACTATTAAAAACCGAAGGATACGGTATAACTCTATTTCCAGTATATCGATAACTTCTCAAATCATTCACCACTTTTCTCATAACCGCTTTTCCACCATAACACTTCCGCCAATATCTCAAATCATCCGATCTAGTTAACCATCCAACTTTATCCATCCATGGAAATCCGTCAACATCGCTAAACCTGCTGAAAAGTTCCGTAACGAATTTTTCGTCAAAAATCTCGTTCTTGTAGGGTTGAAGATATTCTCGAAGGTAACATCTGATTCGAGATTTGGAATCATGCGGATCCACGTGGTAGAAGCATTGAAGCCCGCCAGTTCGATCAATCTGAAAGGTAAACGATGCTCCGCAATTACGCAGGGTAGGCTCACCTCCTCCTTCTCAATCTCACTAATCACACTAGCTTTCGCCACAGTTCCACTAATAATCATGCATTCCACAACTTCCAACACCAAATAGCAATCCTGGAAATTCAATTTGCGAATTTCAAAAAAAAAAAAACTCACATCCGGGTATTGACACTGATTTTGAATTGGAAATGCCGCGATTTTCGGGGCGGAGAAAAAATAAAATATGAAAATTATTCGAAATATGTTCATTTTTTGATTCATTGATAGATAAATAATAAGAAATGAGAGGGAAAACGTGGAAAAATTGAAATTTTCAAAAAAAAAAAACAAAACAAAAATGAGGTCACGCGGGGAAAATGAAAAATGTTGAAAAAATGCGATTTTTTCTGAATTTTCGAATGAATATTCAAAATTTTCAGCGAAAAATGCTGTTTTTAAGCAATTTTCAGGCTTCTTAAGCAAAAATCAATGTTTTCAGCACATTTCAAACATTTCGGAGATTTTTATATCAAATTTTGCAATGTGAAAATTTTTATCGACAATTTCAGGCTGTCAATTCTGATTTTCAGTCAAATTTTCACACGTTTTTAGGTCCGTAACCTAATTTTTCATAATTTTTATTGATTTTTTCACACCTCGGCCAAGCCGTGGCTGGCCAGAGTACAATTTTGGGAAAAATTTGAATTTCAGTTTTTAGAGGACAAAAGTTGAAAAATCACAATTTTTAGAGGACAAAAACTGAAAAATTCACATTTTTTGTACTGTAAAAATTTAGCGTACAATTTTTTATTGTGGAAACCACGATTCTGGCCGAGGTGTGGATTTTTTCTACAATTTCATGTGAAACTAATGAATTTTGATCAATTTTTGGTAGAAAAATTGCAATTTTTGCGAAATTTGGCTTTAAATACCCAATTTTCAGCCAAATTTTCCCAATTTTCAACTAAAAATCCGAATTTTGATGAATTTGAGGTCAAAAATTTGCAATTTTCATCATTTTCATCAAGTTTTATATGAAAATTGTTCATTTTTCATCAATTTTCTCGAAATTTGCCTTAAAATTCCCCATTTTTCAGTCTTACCTCACAGGTTTCACAATTTCTCCAAACAAATCATCAAGCGCATTTTTCGAGCCCAAATTCGGTCCTTCTTCCCTTTCCCACGGCATTTTCCGCTTCCCGTGTGCTCCAAACTCCGCAGTTCTTTGAATTCTCCGATTTCCGATGCCAAATTCGCCCAAATCTTCCGAATCCATAAAATCTTCAGCTTTTTGCTGGATTTTTTCGCTTCGAGAATCTCGAGAACTCGAATATTCTTTAGGAATCCAACCGATTTTTGAGCCTACTGTATTCCAATAACCGGCTGAGAAGCCGCCAGTGAAAGCACCGTGAAATCTGCAAAAATTTATGAGTTTTGAGCTGAAATTTGAGGTTACAGGGCAAAAATGATGAATTTTTGGCTCAAAATGCTCCAAGAGTGCTCCTGAGCTCAAAAAATCCCAAATTTTGGCTCAAAAAGTTCCCTAAGCTTATCTGGGCTCAGAAAATCCCGAATTTTTGCTTAAAATGCTCCCTGAGCTTATCTGAGCTCAGAAAATCCCAAATTTTGGCTCAAAAAGCTCCCCGAGCTTATCTGGGCTCAAAAAATCCCAAATTTTTGCTCAAAAAGCTCCCTAAGCTTATCTGAGCTCAGAAAATCCCAAATTTTGGCTTAAAATGCTCCAAGAGTGCTCCTGGGCTCAAAAATCCCGAATTTTGGCTCAAAAATCTCCCTGAGCTTATCTGGTCCCAGAAAATCCCAAATTTTTGCTTAAAAAGCTCCCTGACCTTATCTGGGCTCAGAAAATCCCAGATTTTGGCTCAAAAAGCTCCCTGAGCTTATCTGGGCTCAAAAAATCCCAAATTTTTGCTTAAAAATCCCAAATTTTGGCTCAAAATGCTCCAAATTTCATGAAATTACCTGCGCTTCCCATTTTCATCCGTCACAATTTGATCCTGAATCGCTGTGGGCTTTTTCGACACCAGCGTTCCTTCTTCTTCCTCTTCAAATTCCTCACCATAAGCCGCCAATTTATTCCTTCTCATTCTGCGAAAATTTCGGCTGAAATTCGTGTTGAAATCTTTAGAAATTCAGCAAAATGGTGAAAATCGACCAATTTTTGTCAAAAAAAAAAATTGGGGGGAAAAAATACAAACTTTATGGGAATTTTCTATAATAATTCTAGAAATTTTCAGATTTTTTGGCTGAAATTGAAAAATTTCAGATCTATTTGTTGACTTTGTTGAAATATTCTTTGCTGGAAGTGACTCCTGGTTTGATTGTTGGTGAATCCTCGTGCCAATCAGCTGGGCAGACCTAAAATTAATTTCAGCGATTTTTTGGCTGGAAAATTTCGGATTTTCAGCCAAATTTTGCTGAAAAACTTGAAAATTTCAGGTTTTTTTAACTGAAATTCAGGAAAATTTCGAATTTTTCAAATTTTTAGCCATAAAATGGCCTCGAAAATCAAAAATTTTCAGATTTTCAGCTAATTTTCAAATTTATAGGTTAAATTTAACTGAAACGATGCATTTTCAGCTCAAAATTCATGGAAATCTGAATATTTTGAGCCAGATTTTAAGAATTTCATCAATTTTAGCTCAAAAATCTGGAATTTCAGCTCCCCGAGCTTATCTGGGCTCAGAAAATCCCAAATTTTGGCTCAAAAAAGCTCCCTGAGCTTATCCGGGCTCAAAATCCACCATTTTTTCCCAAATTTGTGCTCAAAATGCTCCAAAAATGCTCACTTCTCCATGTTTATCCGAAAATTGGAATGCCTTCAACACTCTCAAAGCTTCATCAACACTTCTTCCGACTGGCAAATCATTGCAAGTTGTGTGGCGAATTTGACCGTTTGGATCGATCAAGAACAAACCGCGGAACGCCAAACCGGATTCCTGAAATTCGGAATTTTGGGCTTTTTCGGGCCGAAAATAAGGCTTAGGGTTAAATTTTTAAATTTTTGTCATTAAAAATCAATTTTCTCGAGCAAATTTTGATCTGGAGCTTTTTGGGGCTCAAAAAACTCAAATTCTAGCTCAAAATTCGAAATTTTTGCTCAAAAATCTCGAATTTTTGCTCAAAAAGTTCCCTGAGCTTATTTGGGCTCAGAAAATCCCGAATTTTTGCTCAAAAAGTTCCCCGAGCACATCTGGGCTCAGAAAATCCCGAATTTTTGCTCAAAAATCCCCAAATTTGGCTCAAAATGCTCCAAATTTTGGTCTGGAGCTTTTTGGGGCTCAAAAAACTCAAATTCTAGCTCAAAATTCGTAATTTTTGCTCAAAAATCTTTAATTTTTGCTCAAAATGCTCCCTGAGCATATCTGGGCTCAGAAAATCTCGAAATTTGGCTCAAAATGCTCCCTGAGCTTATCTGGGCTCAGAAAATCCCGAATTTTTGCTCAAAATGCTCCCTGAGCTTATCTGGGCTCAGAAAATCCCAAAATTTGGCTCAAAATGCTCCAAAAACCACCAACCGTATCCAAAACTCCAAAGCTCTCCGCAATTTTCTTATTAAAATCGGCCAAAATCGGAATGTCCATTTCGCCCAATCCTCCATCTTTTCTCGGTGTATTAATCCATGCCAAATGCGAGAAATGCGAATCACAAGAGCACGCGACAACTTCGGCTCCGAGAGCTCGAAATTCTTTTGCGCGATCGCCGAATGCAATGATTTCGGTGGGGCAGACGAAGGTGAAATCGAGTGGGTAGAAGAAGAGGAGAAGCCATTTGCCTTTGTAGTCGGATTGTTGAATGACCTTGAATGAATTTGGATGAATTTAGGCTAACTTGGGAGGAAAATTTGGATTTCTAGGCCATTTTTAGGCTCAGAAGCTTAAAAATGGCCTAGAAATCCAAATTTCACCATTTCTAGGTCATTTTTAGGCTCAGAAGCTTAAATATGGCCTAGAAATCCAAATTTCATCATTTCTAGGTCATTTTTAGGCTCAGAAGCTTAAATATGGCCTAGAAATCCAAATTCCACCATTTCCAGGTCATTTTTGGGTTCAGAAGCTCAAATATGGCCTAGAAATCGAAAAATTTGGATTTTTAGGTCATTTTTGGGCTCAGAAGCTTAACTATGGCCTAGAAATCCAAATTTCACCATTTCTAGGCCATTTTTGGGCTGAGAAATCTTAAAAAATGGCCTAGAAATCCAAATTTTCCCCATTTCTAGGTCATTTTTAGGCTCAAAAGCTTCAATATGGCCTAGAAATCCAAATTTCACCATTTCTAGGTCATTTTTGAGCTCAGAAGCTTAAATATGAGCTAGAAATCCAAATTTCACCATTTCTAGGTCATTTTTGAGCTCAGAAGCTTAAATATGGCCTAGAAATCCAAATTTCACTATTTCTAGGCCATTTTTGGACTCAGAAGCTAAAATATGGCCTAGAAATCCAAATTTCACCATTTCTAGGTCATTTTTGGGCTCAGAAGCTTAAATATGGCCTAGAAATCCAAATTTCACCATTTCTAGGCCATTTTTGGGCTCAGAAGCTTAACTATGACCTAGAAATCCAAATTTCACCATTTCTAGGCCATTTTTGGTTCAGAAGCTTAACTATGACCTAGAAATCCAAATTTTAACATTTCTAGGTCATTTTTAGGCTCAGAAGCTTAAAAAACAGCCTATAAATCCAAATTTCACCATTTCTAGGTCATTTTTAGGCTCAGAAGCTTAAAAATGGCCTAGAAATCCAAATTTAACCATTTCTAGGTCATTTTTGAGCTCAGAAGCTTAACCATGGCCTAGAAATCCAAATTTCACCATTTCTAGGTCATTTTTAGGCTCAGAAGCTTAAATATGGCCTAGAAATCCAAATTTCACCATTTCTAGGTCATTTTTAGGCTCAGAAGCTTAAATATGGCCTAGAAATCCAAATTTCACCATTTCTAGGTCATTTTTGCTCAAAAATCATGAATTTTTCAAATTTTCAGCTTCTCACCTTAAAATCTCCATCAACAACAGCTGTTCCTTTAAATTCGGGCACTTGATTTTTGGGTCCCAATGGTCTCAAAGCCATTGCCAATGTCGAGGTTTGGAATTGACGGATTTGTCCGGAAGCGGACAATTTTTGGAGGGCGGAAGCCGCGCGGAAAACGTTGCGGAACATGGCTGAAAATTGAGCTTAGAATTAGATTTTGGATCAAATTTTGTAATTTTCAGAGATTTGACTAGAAAATCTGAAAATTTCAACCCAGAATTCAAATTTCGGCTCAAAATTTTCAGAAAACTGATTTTTCAACCTGAAATTTTCAGATTTTCAGTCAAAAGATATATCCGGGCTCAGATTTCAGCCTAGAATTCGAATTTTAACTCAAATCTCTTCAAAAATTAAATCCAGGAAAAAATACGCTGAAAATTCCAGATTTTCAGTCAAAAAACTCAAATTTTTACAAAAAAAATCTGAAATTTTCAGTCCAAACCCAAAAAAGATAGAAAATGTCTCGGAAATTCAACGAGAAATCAGGAAAAAATCCAAAAAAAATTAAAAAATAAATATTTTTTTTGTCTCGTGGCAAAAAAACAAACAAATAAAACGTGTCAAAAAAAAGGTCACGTGAAAAATTCCAAAAAAATTTTTTTCAAAATTTAATTTTCACGTGAAAAAGATCAAAATTGGGATAAAATAAAATAACAAAATTTAGACGAATTTTGGGCTGAAAATCTGAAATTTTCAGCCAAAAATCATGATTTTCAGCTCATTTTTTTGCTCCTCGAATAAAACACCAATCAACATTGATGTTTTGGCCCAAAAGATCGGTTCCGTTGCATTTTTCAATGGCTTCTGTCGCTTCCTGAAATTAATTTCAGATTGAAAATTTGGGAAATTTCCAGATTTTCTAGTCAAAAATTTAAATTTTGATACAAATTTCACGAATTTTGGGCTATTTTTTGGGGGAAAAATCAATAAAAACTGAGAAATTCTGATATCTTATCTTATTTTTGGTGAAACAAAATTTCAGGGTCAGAAAATGGCCTAGAAATCCAAATTTTCCAGTTTCTAAGCCATTTTTTGTCAAAAATCACGAATTTCGGGTCAAAATTCACCAAATTTCATGAATTTCAGGTTATTTTTACTGAAATTTTTCAAATTTTGGCCCCAAAACCCCTTACCTTCTGTGTTCCATACTCAACCAACGCATATCCCTTCAAAAAATCCAGTTCTTCTGTCCAAATTCAAATGAATATTCTTAATTTCTCCAAAATCCGCAAATTTATCATTGACATCATCTTCGGTGGCTTCCTCGTGGATGTTGGTCACAAAAACGATCCAACCTTCGACTGATCTTTGTGGTCCGCCAACATTTCCCGATTTTTCAGCCGATCCTGTGCTTTGATCTTCATCGACAACATCGTAGACGATTTTTTCACGATTTCTTGACTGGAAAATTGAGATTTTAGGCTCAGTAGCTTAAATATGGCCTAGAAAACCAAATTTCACCATTTCTAGGCCATTTTTGGGCTCATAAGCTTAACTATGGTCTAGGAATCCAAATTTCACCATTTCTAGGCCATTTTTAGGCTCAGAAGCTTAACTATGGCCTAGAAGTCTAAATTTCACCATTTTTAGGCTCAGAAGCTCAAATATGGCCTAGAAATCCAAATTTCACCATTTCCAGGTCATTTTTGGGCTTAGGAGCTTAACTATGGCCTAGAAATCCAAATTTCACCATTTCTAGGCCATTTCTGGGCTCAGAAGCTTAACTATGGCCTAGAAATCCAAATTTCACCATTTCTAGGCCATTTTTTGGGCTCAGAAGCTTAACTATGGCCTGGAAATCCAAATTTCACCATTTCTAGGCCATTTTTAGGTTCAGAAGCTTTCCTATGGCCTAGAAATCCAAATTTCACCATTTCTAGACCATTTTTGGGCTCAGTAGCTTAACTATGACCTAGAAATCCAAATTTCACCATTTCTAGGCCATTTTTAGGCTCAGAAGCTTGAATATGGCCTAGAAAACCAAATTTCACCATTTCTAGGCCACCTTTCTTGAATTTTTCCAAATTTCCCGCCCAAAAATCGCGCGCCCCTACCGTAGTCAATCCACGTCCCTTCGATTTTCCGGCACTCGCTCCAATATCCTCCATATCCACATCATTTTCAGCCATTTTTTCGACGATCTGAAAATTATTTATTTTCAGCAAATTTTCAGATGGACAAGGGATTTCAGCCGCCACATTTTTTTCAAAAAGGGCGAGTCTGAGAGAATAAGAATAAATAAATAAATACATAAAAAAACGATAAGAGATCCAAAAAAAATTTAAGAAAATGGGGGGTAAAAAACGCTGAAAATCCACAATTTTCAGTCAAAAATCTGAAATTTTCAGCCAGAATTTCAGTATGGGAATGATCCTCCGACCAATCGTCGCATTCTTCTCGTATTTCTGTCTTGATCTCGCATTTTCTTCTCAATTTCAGCGTCGGTCAACGTCTCCAAAAATGGTCCCCATGATTCGACGTCCGATGTGTTTCTGAAATTTGATTTTCAGGGTTTTTTGGGGTTGAAACTGTGGATTTTGGGCTAATTTTGGGTCAAAAACGGGAATTTTCAGCATTTTTCGTCAAAATTTCATGATTTTCAGCCTGAAATCGTCCTCTTCAGGTCCAAAATCGATCAAATTTCATGATTTTTAGTGAAAATGTGGGGATTTTCACGTTTTCAGACCACATTGGGTCAAAATTCATGATTTCTCGCTAAAAAACCGCAATTCACAGGGTTTTAGACCAAATGTAGGTCAAAAATCCAGTTTTTCAGCATTTTTTGGCCTAGAAACCCTAATTTTCAATTTCTAGGCTATTTCTAGTCAAAATTTCATGCTTTTCAGCCTGAAATCGTCAGTTTCAGGTCAAATTTCATTATTTCTGGATCAAAAACCGCAAAATTAAGGGCTCAGGACCAAATTTAGGTCAAAAATCCGAATTTTCAAGGTTTCCAGCTCAAAATTCATCAAATTTCATGATTTCTAAAGGAAAAACTGCAAAATTTAGGGCTCTGGACCAAATTTAGGTCAAAAATCCTGAATTTCAAGGTTTCTAGGTCAAAATTCATCAAATTTCATGATTTCTGAAGAAAAAACTGCAAAATTTAGGGCTCAGGACCAAAAATAGGTCAAAAATCTCAATTTTCAAGGTTTCCAGGTCAAAATTCATCGAATTTCATGATTTCTGGCTCAAAAACCACAATTCACAGTGTTTTAGACCAAATTCAGGTCAAAAACCCCAATTTTAAAGGTTTCCAGGTCAAAATTCATCGAATTTCATGATTTCTGGCTCGAAAACCGCTGTTTGAAGGGTTCTGGACCAAAAATAGGTCAAAAATCCCAATTTTTAAGGTTCCAGAATCAAAATTCATCAAATTTCATGATTTCTGAAGGAAAAACCACAATTCACAGGGTTTTAGACCAAATTCATGTCAAAAATTCCAATTTTCAAGGTTTCTGGGTCAAAAATCTCAAATTTGACACATTTTTCAGGTTCTATACCAAATTTAAGTCAAATTTCATGATTTTTAGCGTATTTTTCGTCTTTCCGGTAAAACCCTTACCTAAACGGACATTCGACAGTCGCCAACGGACTCTCACTAAACGCATAAGTCCTCTGATTCCACTGCAACTGTCCCCGTATCGAATACGCGATTCCCGACGCAAATTCGCCGCCCAACCCGAGTTCCTTACAAATGCTTCGCGAAAATTCCTCAGGCGAATTCATCGGTTCACTCATATCCCACTCGAATTGATCAACCAGACTCTGATTGCCAACATTGATGTTCAATTTCATGACAGCTCGTTGATCCAGCGTATTCTGATCCAAAGGCGGTGCTTCAGTGGCGGCTTCGAGTTGATTGTGTATAACCTGAGCAATGGCTAATTGAAAGGTGTTGTGTGGCAATTCCAAATCATCACACATCATTTCGGCGACCAATTCAGGGGTGATTAATTTTTCGTTTTTATTATAGCAAAATGTATCGCGCAACTTATGACCATCCAATTCCATATCTAGACGAATTGGAACTAAATCTTCCGGTTGTTCCGCATTTTCCATCACTTTTTGGGCCATTTCAAGGTCTTCGGCTGGAAAAATTGAGATTTTCATCATTTTTCGTGTGATTTTTAACCCAAAAACTTGAAAAATCGTTAATTTCTAGCCTTCGGAGCTCAAAATTATTCGATTTTTGACCCCAGAAACTTGAAAATTGATCAATTTGGAGCCCTGGAGCATTTCTTTAGGTTTTTATAATTGTAAAAATTTGATTTCAGGTTGAAAAACTGGTTTTCCATCATTTTCGAGAGTATTTTAGGTTGAAAATTGTGATTTTTGAGCTTCCGGGCTCGAAAAATTGGTTTTTGGCCATTTTCTAGGCTTCCGGGCTTGAAAAATTGGTTTTTGGCCATTTTCTAGGCTTCCGGGCTCGAAAAATTGGTTTTTGGCCATTTTCTAGGCTTCCGGGCTCGAAAAATTGGTTTTTGGCCATTTTCTAGGCTTCCGGGCTCGAAAAATTGGTTTTTGGCCATTTTCTAGGCTTCCGGGCTCGAAAAATTGGTTTTTGGCCATTTTCTAGGCTTCCGGGCTCGAAAAATTGGTTTTTGGCCATTTTCTAGGCTTCCGGGCTCGAAAAATTGGTTTTTGGCCATTTTCTAGGCTTCCGGGCTCGAAAAATTGGTTTTTGGCCATTTTCTAGGCTTCCGGGCTCGAAAAATTGGTTTTTGGCCATTTCCTAGGCTTCCGGGCTCGAACAACTGGTTTTTGGCCATTTTCTAGGCTTCCGAGCTCAAAAAATTGGTTTTTTGGCCATTTTCTAAGCTTCCGGGCTCGAAAAATTGGTTTTTGGTCATTTTCTAGGCTTCCGGCCTCGAAAAATTGATTTTTGGCCAGTTTCTAGGCTTCCGGGTTCGAAAAATTGAATTTCGGCTATATTTTCAAGCTCCACAGCTCGAAACAACCCGATTTTCATGAAATTTGAATCTAGAAACTTGAAATTTGGTCAATTTTCAGTATTTTCTTCAAAAAATCCTCAATTTTTTCATTTTTTTAAACGTGAAATTTGTTGCTCATAGGAAAAATGAGCATTTCTCAGTTATTTCGCTAGAAAATCCAGTTTTTTCTGGTGGGGAAATTCAAAATTTTTTGCAACCCGCTGAAAAGTGCGATGGAGCGCAGTTGCTAATAGTAAGAGTAATTTTAAACGGTTTTTGTTGGAAAAATCAATTCTACACCTTTAAAAAAGGGTTTCGGACGATTTTCAGTCAATTTTTCAGATTTTCACATAATTTCCAACCAAAAACTCACCAGAAAACACCAATTCCTTATTCTTAATTCGTCCTCTTCCTTGAGAAATCGGACAAGAACACGGAACCGATTCCAAATGATGTGATCCTGAGGTGACTTGTTGAGTCGCCCAATTTCCACCAGTTGCTCCGCGAGTTTTAACACTTGATTCGATGCGCGGAGTTGCGGAAGACGAAGAGGAAGCGCCAGCTGCACGGTATTTCTCGTCATTTCCATCGAGCAATTCGTTGACCTCTTCGGCGCGCAAAAGCCTGCAAAGATAGCTCATTTTCAGCCGCGAGTTCGGCTAACTCACATAATATTCGTATGCAAAAACGCGTTAGACATGGCGATTTGCTTCAATTTATCCTTGACTTCCGAAGTGGCGACTTTTCGCCACAAAAGTGGATATTTTTTGTAGAGTGTTCCGCGGTGCAGGCGCAAATATGCGCCGATTTCCGAACCGATGTAGTATTTTTCGCCGGAACCATCGATGGCGAAACATTGCGGACGTGGTCCGTAGGTTTGGGCGAGCGTTTTTGTTGAGGACATCTTGGAGAGGCTGGAATTTGGGGTGAAGATTATGTTTTTTTCTATTTTTACATCGTTCAGAAGCTAGTAAATCTCAAAAAGATTACAAAAAATTATAATTTTCGTACGAAAAAACACTAATTATCATTGCAACCCCGAGATTTTCAGTATAAATCTGGAATTTTCAGGTGAAACGATGTATTTTCAGTTTATCTATCGTTTAGAAGGAGAAATTCAGGGAAAATTAAGCTTGGAGGAAGAAATATTGGAAAACATTGATTTTAGTACGAAAAATCACTAATTTTCAGAGTGGAACCGAGATTTTCAGTATAAATTTGGAATTTTTAGGTTAAACGATGTATTTTCAGTTTATCTATCGTTTAGAAGGAGAAATTCAGGGAAAATTAACCTAGGGGATTGAAGTAATGGGAAATATTGGTTTTCGTACGAAAAATCACTAATTTTCAGAGTAGAACCGAGATTTTCAGCAATGAAACTGGAATTTTCGAGCTAAACGACACATTTTCATGATATCTATGGTTTAAAAGTGAAAATTAATAGAAAATTGAGCTTGGAGCAAAAAATATTGGAAAAAATTGGTTTTAGTACGAAAAAACACTAATTTTCAGAGTAGAACCGAGATTTTCAGCGATGAAACTGTAATTTGCCAGCTAAACGACACATTTTCATGATAGTTATGGTTTAAAAGTGAAAATTCTTGGAAAATTAAGCTTGGAGCAAAAAATATTGGAAAACATTGATTTTCGCACGAAAAATCACAAATTTACACTGTAAAATTTCAGAAAAATCAATTATTTCTAGTCGGAAACATACAGCTTTTACTTCTTCTTATTGAAAACAGAATTTTCAAATCCAGGAATTTAGCCTAACTCAGAAATCTACATTTTGTCTTACAAAAAAACCAATTATTTTTGATTTTAAGCTAAAAATCAAGGTTTTTAGGTAAATATCTGCTCAAAATCATCTTCCCAATGCTAAATTTTATTGAAAACCTTCAAAAATCCCTCAAAAACAAAAAAAAACACTTCGAAAAAAATAGAAATTCGAACGCCGCGTTCAAGCAACGCGTCGCGGTCGAAAATTCTCAATAGAGCGCACTTTCCCCCCAATCTCCCCTTTATTTCTTTTTTTAAAACACCGTGAACCGCTTTGAAAATCACCATGGAAACCCAAATTTTCACCATCAATAAATATGCAATTCACATTTTTAAGCTGTATATTTCTAGCAATTTTGACTGCCTACTATTTGCCAAGCTTCAGAATCCCCTGCAAAATTCCCATAGACTTGCTGAAAATCACCGGAGGTTTTCCAACATTAATCGAGCAATTTTATGAGGATTTATCGAATTTCACAGCTTTTCAGCCTGAAAATGCTCAAAATTTCGTGAAATTTATCAAAAACGAGGAGTTTTCCGGAATTTTCACCATACTTTGCAATTCAAAATCCTCCTATAAAACCTATAACATCACGGAGTGTTATTATAAATCTTCCCAAAACTTCTCTTCGTGTCAAGACCCAATTTTAATCGGTAACACTTGTCAAAACGTCGTGACTCATGTTAAAGGAACAATCGGCGAATTAGACAATGTCCCTTTAAATTCACAAATTTTCCTGGAAATCGAGGAAAAACCGGAGTATAATGAGACAACTTGCAATAACTATACGATTGGAGATTTTGTGAAAACTTCGAATTTTTTGCTGAAATTCGAAAATTCTTCAGAAATTCTTGAAATTTGTGAAGAAGAAGAAGATTTTTTTGATCTTGTGATGAATTTTTGCAATAATTGCGAAGAGGAATGTGATGTGCCTTTAATGTGAGTTTAGAAATTTGGGCATAGGTTCGCCGTGCGCGGGCACCCAAATCCCCGCAATATTCCCGCGCATTTTCCCATCCCCGAAATATGGAAATGTCCACTTTTTCGGGAATTTTTGAAAATGCGAAGGAATATGGGGGAATTGGGTGCCGGCATTTTACAAATTTGCAGTTTCTAACACCAAAATCACGTGATCAGCGGCTCAAAATCTCCTATATTTCAGAAATCTGACATCAATCTCCTGTTCCCAAGGAGATTTGGACATCTCAATTTATCACACAAAAGGCTACATTTTCTCCGCAACAATTTCGCAGCAAATCTCAAATCTTCACGAAATCAGCAAAAAAACCTGGAAAAAATCGATAAATTTCTATGAATCTACGCAGAATGAGGAGAAATCCAGGTAATTTTGTAGTTTTCTATTCGATTTTCATAATGAAACCTAGGAAATCCCTTTAAAACTCGAAGAAACCGCCCAAAAACAAGAAAAACGAGAAATAAAAAAACGTGCGCGTCAATTAAAATGCCAATGCACACATTTCAAACTACCGTACCCCTAATTATTCAAAAAAAAGTTTCCCGCGCTACTTCTTTATAAAAACCCTTCAAATTTCAGATACGAGCTAAAACACGGGCGGTTCCATTGTCCATCAGAGCGCACTTGCCTTCTCGAGCTTCTCTACCCTCTCCAACTCCTCAAATCTCTCGACGTCTTTCCAACGCAAATAACATTGCTCATATTAGCCGCACTACTGTATTTTGCGATGATTTTTAAAGGAACATAATAAAAAAATAACTTATTTTGAGCAAAAAAAAATACAAAAATTAGATAGTTAAAATTCGCCTGAGAAATCGATTTTTGAGGCTGAAAATTGAAGATTTCGGGGGGTTTTCAGCAAAAATCGGTATTTTCGCAAAGTTTCGTTTCGACCGGATAACTTCTATCGAAAAATACACCATTTACATACATTGTTGGCCAAATCTGCAAAAAATTGGGATTTTTTGGGATACCCGGGGGGCCCTGGGGACCCCAAGGACCCTAAATAGGGGGGGGTTACTTTAGGCTGAAAATTTAGGATTTTCAGGTTCCCAGGCTCAAAAATTGCTGAAAATCTCGAAAAATTGGTCTAGAAATTCGGAAAATCCTTGAGAAGCCTTAAAAATCACTGAAAATCTGACATTTTCAGCGGGAAATGTTCCGAAAAAGTTTTCAGGGAAATTTTAGGCTGAAAATTTCAGATTTTCAGGTTCCCAGGCTCAAAAATTGCTGAAAATCTCGAAAATCTGGTCTGAAAATCCCTTAGGAACCCCAAAAAAACTTTCCTGACTCAATTTTCGCTCGCCATCCCAAATTTCCCACTCAAAACCCCCCCAAACCGCTTCCCAAACCCCCCAAAAGTTACCTTAACTCCAGCTCGATGTGTGTTAACCATCGAATAATAGTTCAATAGTTCCCCGGTTTGTGTTGTGGCACATTCGATCAATTTTCGTTGCGTATTTGCTGATAATCGACTAAGGCACTTAGAGAAGGCCTCTCTTAAGGTCTTAAGGCCTTGAATACACGTGACGAGACCCAAATGACGACGTGGAAAGTACTGTAATTGGCTAGGGTTACTGTAGATTTCAAAAAAATCGCGAAAATCCGGCGATTTCTGGTAAAAAATGAGGATTTTTGAGCCAAATTTTCAGGGTAGATCAAATTTTTCCCCCTAAAAAACTACAGTAACCCACCGAAATGGCGCAATTCTGAAGTCGATTCAAATCACATTCCGTAGCGCCGTGCATACAAGTACAATGGAAATTGCGATTATAGTCGTAGGTACAGTCGCCTTTGCCAAATGGGATAACCTGCAAAATCAGGGGGAGTACTGTAGGGCCCAAATTATCGATTTTTCATGGTTTTCAATGAAAAATTCGTGATTTTTTGATCCAGAAACCATAGTTTTCGATATTTTCTCATTGGAGCGCATTTTCTCAGCCGACTTTGAAAAAATTGTTCAAAAATCCCTGATTTTTCCATGAATTTTCAATTTATTCTTTGAATTCGGCTGAGCAAACGCGCTCCAATGAGAAAAATTCGTTTTTTGCGTTGAAAATCAAGAAAAATCGATAATTTCAAGCTCTTGGTTCAAAAAACCACAGAATTAAATTAATTTTTTTTGAATTCGGCTGAGCAAACGCGCTCCAATGAGAAAAATTCGTTTTTTGCGTTGAAAATCATGAAAAATCGATAATTTCAAGCTGAAATTGCATTTTTCGGCTAACAAACCATGAATTTTCAATTAATTTTTTGAATTCGGCTGAGCAAACGCGCTCCAATGAGAAAACTTCGTTTTTTGCGTTGAAAATCAAGAAAAATCGATAATTTCAAGCTGAAATTGCATTTTTCGGCTAACAAACCATGAATTTTCAATTAATTTTTTGAATTCGGCTGAGCAAACGCGCTCCAATGAGAAAACTTCGTTTTTTGCGTTGAAAATCAAGAAAAATCGATAATTTCAAGCTGAAATTGCATTTTTCGGCTAACAAACCATGAATTTTCAATTAATTTTTTGAATTCGGCTGAGCAAGCGCGCTCCAATGAGAAAACTTCGTTTTTCGCGTTGAAAATCATGAAAAATCGATAATTTCAAGCTGAAAATGCATTTCTTGGTTCAAAAAACCACAAAATTAAATTTTTTTTTCAAAGTCGGCAGAGCAATCGCGCTCCTATGAGAAAAATTCGTTTTTTGCGTTGAAACATGCGGAAATTTGTGAAATATTCACCTGTAAATTCATAATTCCGGGTCGATTCACATAAAATGGCCAAATTTGCTCGCGGAGCAACTTTGTGCAATACGGACATTGAGATTCGGTGAAAATTGTCACATTTACTTGTTGGCATTGTGCCAAAATGGGTAGAATCAGGGCCAGGAGGACGTAGCGCACCATTTTTGGCTGAAAATTTTGGAATTGCGGCTGAAAATCTGGAATTTTCATACAAAAACACGTCAGCAAGTACATTTACTGACACATTTTTGTAGCTAATACAACTGATCTTTGAGCTGCAAAATTTGCGTCAATAAAACATTTTACTGACGCATTTTTTGTAGCTCAAAAAGCCAGCATTTATAAACTACAAAAAACACGTCAACAAGTACATTTACTGACGCATTTCTTATAGCTAATACAACTGATCTTTGAGCTGCAAATTTTGCGTCAACAAAATATTCTACTGACGCATTTTTTGTGGCTCAAAAAGCCAGCATTTATGAACTACAAAAAACACGTCAACAAGTACATTTACTGACGCATTTCTTGTAGCTCATACAGCTGATCTTTGAGCTGCAAAATTTGCGTCAACAAAATATTTTATTGACACATTTTTTGTAGCTCAAAAAGCCAGCATTTATAAACTACAAAAAACACGTCAACAGGTACATTTACTGACGCTTTTTCGCCCCATGTTATTACGTAATAATAATGTTCTAAACATCTTTTTTCTTCTTATTTATTTTTATGAGATATCTTCTCATTTTCTCACATAAAATCTCCAAAAAACCAGATTTTCCATTCGCTGTCACAAAAAAAATGTATGTTTTTTTTCTAGACTTAGCCTAACTTCACTTCACTTCTTCTATGTACAGTTAGTTACATAACAAAAACTAATAAGGCAGTACCGAAAACCGGTTTCTACAAAAATTGCGTCAACAAATGTGTTTGCTGACGCGTTTTTTGTAGCTTAGCTTATCATAAATGAACTTTTTTTTGGCCAGGAAACTTGATTTATTTCTCATCAAATCGAATTTTTTGATGAGTTGATGATTTATTACCCAAAAAATTCCTTAAGTTTTCCTGAAAATCTAGAATTTTCAGATGATCAGAGATTACTGTAGCTACAGTAACCCAGCAGAACATTTTTGTTTCCAAAAATTTCTGTAGATCAAAATGTTCTACAGTAACCCTAGACTTCTGTAGATCAAAAATATCTTTCGAATTTAGCTACAGTAACCTAAAATCTTACTGTATCAATCTACAGTAACCCAGAAAAAATTGTGCCAAACAAGATTCCATGTAGATCACAATTTCGCGCCTACAGTACCCCACAACATTTTCATATAGTAAAAAAGTTGCAAATTTCACGTAGATCACGAATTTCGCGCTAAAAACAGAGCTACAGTACTCCAAAACGCCAAATGTTGATCTACAAAGAAATTACGTAACACAAGGCAAGGAAAAACAAGAAGAAGAAGAAGAAGCAAATGTGGCGACCAAAAGCCGCGCGCAGGCTCCGCCCATTTTCGCTCCGCCCACTTTTTAGCCATAGGACTTATCTGATCTCACAAGAAGTTAGCCTAAGTTTGTTACATTATGAGATAAGAAACATTTTTGGATTTGGTAAACAAAAAAATCTGGTTTTTGGTGGCAAAAACTTCGTCCCAGCTACACAAAAAAAGCGTCAGCAAACATGCCTTGACGCTTTTTCAGTAGGTATATATGTAGATCAACTCTGAAGCTACAAAAAATGCGTCAAGAAAAAGTGCTGGCGTGTTTTTTGTAGCTGGAAGTTTTGAACAAGACAGAAAACTGGATAATCAAGGATTAGATCATCAAGAAAAACAACTACACATTGTACGTCAACCTACCGGAAACGCGTCAGTGAACATTTAGCTTGCGCATAACTTGTAGCCTTCTGAAAAACTCACTGTTATTCAAAGAAAAACCTACCAAAAACACGCCAGTAAATGTTTTGCTGGCACATAACTTGTAGCGTTTCCCCGTAACTCATCAAAAAACCGTTGTATTACGGTTAATCTTTAAGCTTCATCTAATCTCCTTTCGATTTTTTTGCCATTCTTCTTCTTCACACACTTTCACCCAATACAAATACAACACTTTCTCCTTTTTTTTTGCGTCTCAAAAACGCCCAAAATGTATCATTTCTCATAAACTTTCACTATGCGGAAATTCGGAAAATGCTAATTTTAAAAAAATTTATCTATCTTCTATAACTGGTTCCTTTTTTAACCCATGATATCCCCTTTTTTGAAAAAAAAAGTGTTTTCTTCTTCTTCTTACACAAAAAAAACCAAATTCGTCCAAAAGAACTACACAGACCAGATTTCTGTTCTACGGTGAACAATAATTATCTCATAATTAGTGTATGTACACGGTGTTCAAGAGGTTTTCACCCTGGATTAGCCGAAAAAAGCGAAAAAAATGAAAAAAAAATTACGGTTTAAAGGGACACACGCAAAAATGTTTCGATGGTCTCGCAGCGAATACAGTAACCCGAACACACGCGTCACGGAAAAATCGATTTTTCGGCATTTTCGCATGAAAATCGTCGAAAATTCCACGTGGAATGGCCAACACGGCGATTTTGACTTATGAACCGGAAAATAGTGCAGAACGACTTGCGGTAACTCGGATTTTTGGGGGAAATTGGGGGTTTTGAGCATAAATTTTGCATTTTTCCAAGTTTTTGATGAAAATTTGAGGATTTTCAGGGTTCTAGAGCTGAAAATCAGGGGTTTCCTGGTTTTTGAACGAAATTTTTTGATTTTTGAGTTTCCAGAGCAAAATTACATGGTTTTTCCGGTTCCTGGAGCGAAAATTGCCAATTTTTATGTTCCGGAGCTAGAAAATCCGAAATTTCAGCTTCAAAAGCAAAAATTCATATTTTTCTGGCTCCCGGAGCAAAAATATATTCGTTTTGAAGTACTGAAGCTGAAAAATCTGATTTCCCAGCTCTAGGAACCGAAAATTGTCAATTCTCAACTTCTGGAGCAAAAATTCATGCTACTGGAGCTGAAAAATCTGATTTCCCAGCTCTAGGAACTGGAAATTGTCAATTCTCAACTTCTGGCGCTAAAAATTCAAGTTTTTCTGGCTCCTGGAGCAAATTTTCATAGTTTTTAGGTTCTGGTGCTAAAAAACTTAATTTTCAGCTTCCTGACTCGAAATTTCATGATTTTTCACTTTCCAGACCGGAAAAATCCTAGTTTTCTGCTCCAAGTCCGAAAAAACTCGATTTTTCACTCCCAAAACTCAAAGGTTCATGAATTTCTGGTTCCAGAGCTGAAAATGACTATTTTCCAGCTCCTGGAGCAAAACTTCATATTTTTCTGGCTCCTGGAGCAAAAATTCATATTTTTCTGGCTACTGGAGCAAAATTATATTCGTTTTGAAGTACTGAAGCTGAAAAATCTGAAAATCCAGCTCCTAGACTAAAAATTCGTGAATTTTCACCTTCAACACCGGAAAAACTCGATTTTTCCTCCCCAGATCCCAAAAATCGCCGAAATTTCCAGAAAACCTGCTTCTTCTTCATAGTCATCGACATTTTCCTGACCATCATTCTATTCAGTTTCTGTTTTTCGGGAATCGCTTCGTATTTGCTGATTTTTTGGCTGATTTTTCAAAGTATTCGACTGGTTTCGTTGATGAATCAATCGATTTTCGGAATTATTTTGCATTTATTCGCTAGTTTATTGTATACGAGTGGAGTTGGAGTTGTTGTAACTTTGTATGAGTGCGGAGTGATTCGAAGTGAGTTTTTTGAACGAAATTTAAATCCTGAGATGAAAAAAAGTGAACTAAGAGCTCGAAAATCGAAAATTTTCAGTCTAGGAGCTGGAAATTTGTATTTTCCTGCTCTGGAACCTGAAAAATCATCAAATTTAGCCCCTGGGGTGAAAAAAGTGAAAATTTAGCACGAGAAGCTTGAAAATCTCGAATTTTCAGCCTAGGAGCTGAAAATCTCTGAAATTTCACTCGAGAAGCTTGAAAATCATGCAATTTTTGCTCCAAGACTCGAGAAATCCTGAAATTTCGCTCCAAAAAACTAAAAATCTCTGAAATTTTGCTCCGAATGCTCAAAAATCCCCAATTTTTGCTCCAAAAGCTGAAAATCTCTGAAATTTTGCTCCAAGACTCGAGAAATCCTGAAATTTCGCTCCAAAAGCTGAAAATCTCTGAATTTTTGCTCCGAATGCTCAAAATTCCTCAATTTTTGATCCAAGACTTGGAAACCCTGAATTTTTGCTCCAAAAGCTAAAAATCTCTGAAATTTTGCTCCCAAAGCTAAAAATTTCTGAAGTTTTGCTCCAGAAGCTCAAAAAACCTGAAAAACACTCACTTTTCGCAAATTTGAAGCTTCAAAACCTCAAACTAGTCAATTTCCAGGTAAAAATAATTGAAAAATGGCAAATTTTCTTTCGAAACCGTGGAAATTTGAAAGTTCACGTTGAAATTCGAAAAAAAAAACGATAATTTTTGACATAAAAATCTGGAATTTCCAGATTTCTTCCCAAAAATCCCGAGATTTTTACAGAATGCTTCCACACTTTGTGCAAAACTGTTCAAAAATCGCTGGCCGACACATACGACAAAACTACCCTAATTTTCTACGCAGCATATGTGTTTTTAAGTGAGTTTCCTAGTTTTCTAATTAAAAACAACCTTAATTAATTAAATAATTAACTTGATTAATTAACTAACTAACTAATTATCTAATTAAATCTTAATTAATTAATTTCCAGTCCAATCAATAATTCTGCTAATTTCCTCTGAATTATTGCAAAATTTGGTGGTCAAAAAAGAGTTTACGAAAATCAATGTACAAATGGCAGTGGCTTCAAAAAGACGGTAATTTTTATCTGTTTTACTTGTAAATAAATCAAATTTTAATTTAATTTAAATTCCAAAATTGCTCAATTGGCAGAAGTGATTTTTGCATTTGATCCCGTGAAATTCCTGGAAAAATTTAAAAATATTTTCAGCTCAAAATTGTGGAAAAATTCACCTTTCCCCTTCATTTTTTCCTCAAAAATCGTTAAAATCCTCCTAGCCTCTTCCAAATCCCTCATAAATATTCGCGTTTCAATCAATACTCCAAAAATTCTGGCTGAAACATCTAAATCTTCTGGAATTTTCGAAAAATCATCGAAATTTTCATTGGAAAAAATTGGCTGGTAAATTCCGGGTCGCATTTCAGCGGCAAATAGGTCGAGTTCCAGGAATTCGGGGGATTCCAGGGAGTTTTGAGAAGTTGAAGGTTCGCTGATAGATTTTGACTGGAAAATTCGAATTCAGCGTGGAATTCCGAGCTTTTAGACACCCATATTGATATGGTTTAGGGCATTTTCACCTTAAGGTCCCTAAGGTCATTTTTAGGGTAAATCTGGAATATAGGGCGTGTTGTATGTCAAAATGTTGGAAATTTTACGGTGAATTTGAATCCGCCAAAAATAATTCCTAATTTTTTAAACCCTAAGGCCCTTAGGGACCTTAAAGACACGTAGAAAACTAGAAATGTGTGTTCGTAATCTTCAAAATTTGAACGCACGCCTTTTTTCAAAGTTGTGTGTTGTTCGTTTGAAAAAAGAAAAAAACGAATAAAAAATGGTGGTACGGTATGCTAAGAATGCACACATGTGCGGCAAATCACGAACATTTGTGCAAACACCGAATTTTGCGTCGGCTGAGCGATTTCAAAAAAGGCAATTTCTTTTTTTGACTTTGGCTAAACTCAATATTTTTCAATTTCGTTTATGTACTTCCACTATTTGAAGGATGATAAAAAACATGCAAATAATGATTTTTGAACGATTTCTAGTTTTCTACGTGTCTTTAATATTTTTTCAATTAAAATATAGGTTTTGTATATCAATCGATAGGAAATTTTGAGCTTAATCCAAAAATCAAACTCACTTCCAGATATTCCTCAATTTTCGGCATAAAATGTGGATTTTTCGCTTTGATCAAATCCTTCCAATTCGCAAACATTTTCACCGGAAAAATTTCGAGAATAGCAGCGTATAAATCAGTCTGAAAACTCAGGAATTTCAGCTAAAAATAAAAAAACGAGGCTGAAAACCCACATTTTCTCTCAATTTTTGTACATCAATTTCTCCCGGCTGTTGTTTTTCGTCCAAAAATTGTAAAATGTCAGGAGTTGGTGCAATTGGAGCATTTAAATCCAGATTTGTATCATATTCGTCGGTTCGATCAAAAGGATCCGAATCCTGGAATTTGAATTTGGGATGAAAATTGCCACGTGGCAAAATTTTGACACCAAATTCAAAAATTTCGAAATTTTTAATGAAAACATGGGATTTTCAGCCAGAAATTTGATTCCAGGCTTAAAAATTCAGTATTTTTGAGCTGAAAATTCAAATTTTCTGAATTTCTATCAAAAATTTCGATTTTCAGCCTGAAAACATACAGTTCTCGGCTGAAAAATCCAAATTTTCAGATTATTTTTCGAATTTTGGGTGAAAATCCGATTTTCAGCCTGAAAACATGGTTCTAGGCTTTAAAAAATCCAAATTTTCAGATTATTTTTCGAATTTTGGATGAAAAATCCGATTTTCAGCCAGAAATTTGATTCCAGGCCTAAAAATTCGGTATTTTTTGAATTTTTTAATAAAAATTCTGATTTTTGAGCTGAAAATTCAAATTTTCTGAATTTCTATAAAATTTTTCGATTTTCAGCCTGAAAACATGGTTCTAGGCGGAAAAATCCAAAATTTCATAATTTTCAGATTATTTTTCGAATTTTGGGTGAAAAATCCCATTTTCAGCCTGAAAACATGATTCTAGCCTTAAAAAATACAAAATTTCGAAATTTTTAATGAAAAAATGGGATTTTCAGCCAGAAATTTGATTCCAGGCTTAAAAATTCGGTATTTTTTAATTTTTAAATAAAAAATTCTGATTTTTGAGCTGTAAATTCAAATTTTTTGAATTTCTATCAAAAATTCCAATTTTCAGCCTGAAAACATGGTTCTAGGCTGAAAAATCTAAATTTTCAAAATTTTCAGATTATTTTTCGAATTTTGAAAGAAAAATCCGATTTTCAGCCTGAAAACATACAGTTCTGGGCTGAAAATTCAAATTTTCAGATTATTTTTCGAATTTTGGGTGAAAAATCCGATTTTCAGCCAGAAATTTGATTCCAGGCTTAAAAATTCAGTATTTTTGAGCTGAAAATTCAAATTTTCTAAATTTCTACCAAAAATTTCGATTTTCAGCTTGAAAACATGGTTCTAGCCTTAAAAAATCCAAAATTTCATAATTTTCAGATTATTTTTCGAATTTTAGGTGAAAAACGCTATTTTCAGCCTGAAAAATCCAAATTTTCTCAATTTCCCGCCCCAAAAAACTCACAAATCCTCCCGATTTCGCCTGATTCTCCTCAATTTCAATCATCGATTCGAGCAGCAAATCGGAATCCGAGAAATCCTCCAATTCCAGCTCATTTTCCTCTGAATTCATCTGAAAATCGCTGAAAATCTCGAAATTTTCACTGTAAAAATTAAAAATATTTACAAAAAATGGAGAATTTCTCTACATTTTCAACCAAAAAAAAAATTCCGGGAAAATCGATTTTTTTATGCGAAAAAAAAAGTGCAAAACAAACAACAGGTTAGAAGAAAACGAAAACAAATAACAAGGAAAAAAAACGAAAATTCAAAAATCAATCAATAAAATCTTGTTTGGTGACAAATTCTTTGGCGTATCCATCATTGGGAATTTGACACGTGGCAGAACACGTGTAAATATAAACTGAAGCCCAATCGATTGATTGACCTGAAAATTTTGATCAAAATTACGGATTTTCAACAGGAAATTCGAATTCAGCGTAAAATTCTGAGCTTTTAGACACCCATATTGATATGCTTTTGAAGAATTTTTACCTTAAGGTTCTTAAGGTCCCTAAGGACCATAAGGTAAATTTTATCTCAAAAATATGATTTCTATATGTCAATCGATAGATTTTTTCATTCTGAATTCGAATATCTTGAAAAAATGCTTAAATTTTAATATTTCCATCGAATAGTTCAGAAAATTCAAAAATTTTAGGTTGATTTTTTGAGCTTCTTGCTGAGAATCAGAATCAGCAGGAAAGCTCTGAATTTTTGAAATCCACGTAAAATTCTGAGCTTTTAGACACCCATAATGATATGCTTTTGAAAATTTTTTACCTTAAGGTTCTTAAGGTCGCAAAGGACAACAAGATAAATTTTTATGATTTCTATATGTCAATCGATAGCGTTTTTCATGCTGAATTCGAATATCTTGAAAAAAATGCTTAAATTTAAGGTCTTAGAGAATTTTCACTTTAAGGTCTCTAAGGTCATAGTTAGGGTAAATTTGGAGAATATTTCGTGTTGTATGTTAAACTGTGGGAAATTTTAATTTTACGCTGGATTCGAATTCAAATTCTTCAAGTATAATCCCTAATTTGTTACCTTAGGGTCATTAATGACCTTAACGATTTTTTTTTTGAAAATATGTAGGGCATGTTGTATGTCTTTCGACGCAGAATTTCACGCAGATTTCAAATTTTCAGTCAAAAACTAGAAAAAAAACCTACCAATCGCATCAACATCAATCAAGCTTAATAAATGAGGCATTAATTGAAGCTCAAATCGTCTCGGTTTTCCGCACAAATCACAACAAGCAATTTCTTCAGGTTGATTTTCAGCCAAATTTCCAGATTTCGATGTGGCTTTTAGTGGTTCTCCATTTCTTTTATATCTGATGATTTGATCGGGATTTAGGCTAACTAATCGATTGAATTTCTCGAAATCTTGATCTTTTTTCTGTTCTGCGACTGCTTGATCCAAATCTTCTTTGGTTAAATCCACGTTTTTCTGGAAATTAAAAAAAATTAGGGTACTTAGGGTGAAAATTAGAGAGCTTACGGTCAATTTTAAGGTTCCTAACGTAATTTCTGAGGTTTTGAGCTCTAAATTCATATTTGAAGCTTGATATGGTTTGGGTCAAAAATTAAGGTACCTAAGGTAAATATTAAGGTACTTGGGATGAAAATTAGAGAGCTTAAGGTCAATTTTAAGGTTCCTAACGTAATTTTCGAGGTTTTGAGCTCTAAATTCATATTTGAAGCTTGATATGGTTTGGGTCAAAAATTAAGGTACCTAAAGTAAATATTAAGGAACTTAGGATGAAAATTAGAGAGCTTAAGGTCATTTTCAAGGTTCCTGACGTAATTTTTGAGGTTTAGAGCTCTAAATTCATATTTGAAGCTTGATAAAATTAAGGATAAAAATTAAGGTACTTAAGGTGAATTTTAGGGTCTTTAGGATAAAAATTAAGGTTCCTAAGGACATTTTCAAGGTCCTAACGTAATTTTTGAGGTTTTGCGCTCTAAATTGTTATTTTGAGCTTGATAAAATTTAGGTTGAAAATTAAGGTTTTTAAGGTCATTTTTGGGGGTTCCTAAGGTGATTTGGGCTCAAATTTCCGATTTTTCAGCTAAAAATCAATGATTTTCAGCCAAAACCCTTGAAAAATCACTTACATCCTTATTTTGCTGCACAAATTTGTTGAATTCCTTCATCCGAGCTTGTCGATCTTCTTCGGTTTCATCGTCAGAATCCTGGAAAATTTGATATTCGAATTCGGGTGAGCAAATGCGCTCTAATGAGAAAATATCGATTTTTTGAGCAAAAAACATGGTTCTGGGCTCAAAATTGAGCATTTTTCACGATTTTTGGCTTAAAATTCATTATTTTCAGCCAAAAAACCTTGTTTTAGGCATTTTCCAGTGGCTCTTGACTCGAAATCCATGAAAATCGATAAATTTTTTGAATTCGGACGAGCAGATGCGCTCTAATGAGAAAATATTGAAAAATTGTGGATTTTGAGCTAAAAACATGGTTCTGGGCTCAAAATTGAGCATTTTTCATGATTTTCAGCTTAAAATGTACGATTTTCAGCCAAAAAACCTCGCTTTAGGCATTTTTCAGTGGCTATTGACTCAAAAACCATGAAAATCGATAAATTTTTCGAATTCGGACGAGCAAATGCGCTCTAATGAGAAAATATTGATTTTTGTGGGATTTTGAGCAAAAAACATGATTTTTAGCTTAAAATGTACGATTTTCAGCCGAAATTTTCAAAAATTCCCTGAAAAACGCACCTCTCCCTCTTCATCCTCCTCATCATCACTAATTCCATCAAACAAATTGCTGGGCACATATTCCTGATCGATTTCCATGCCAAATTCCTTGAAAACGAACGGATTTGCGGGGTTTTTGGGCTCATTTTCAGCCGGATTTTCAGCGATTTCCGGTGCACAGCATGTTGTTTTATGAATTTTCCAATCAATCGCCTGATGCTCTTTCGAACAATACCAAACAGCTTGACATTTCGCGCACTTTTTGCTCGCCGAGCATCCGCATATTGCACAGCATTTTGCGTAGATTTTCGCGTCGAAATGTGGATCTTCGACGTCACCATCGAAATCCGGATCGATCGGACCATCGTGGCCGAAAAACGCGTTTTTTCGCGGTAAACCGCAGCGGAGAGCTATGAGATTCGAGGAATCGTTGATTTTTGAGCATGTCGGGTTGCGGCACACGAAAAAATAGAGAAATCGATGAAAACTGTATTCGGGATCTTGTGGAGAATTTGCTGAAAATGATTGATTTTGAGCCGATATCGGAATTTTCAGAATCCACGTGGAATTTGGAGCATTTTGAGCACAAATATAGTTGTGTTTGGGCTCGAAATGCTCCAAATTCCACGTGGATTCTGAAAATCCCGAACTTTTAGTGAAAACATGAGTTTTGAGCTAGAAATCATGAAAAATCGATATTTTTCGGCCTAGATCAAATTTAGGCTTCTTAAATTCAGAATTTCAGCCGGAAATTGCCATTTTCAGAATCCACGTGGAATTTGGAGCATTTTGAGCCCAAACACCTTCATGTTTAGGCTTGAAATGCCTCAAATTCCACGTGGATTCTGAAAATCCCGAAATTTTAGCTTGAAATGATGAAAAATCGATATTTTTCGGCCTAGATCAAATTTAGGCTTCTTAAATTCAGAATTTCAGCCGGAAATTGCCATTTTCAGAATCCACGTGGAATTTGGAGCATTTTGAGCCCAAACACCTTCATGTTTAGGCTTGAAATGCCTCAAATTCCACGTGGATTCTGAAAATCCCGAAATTTTAGCTTGAAATGATGAAAAATCGATATTTTTCGGCCTAGATCAAATTTAGGCTTCTTAAATTCAGAATTTCAGCCGGAAATTGCCATTTTCAGAATCCACGTGGAATTTGGAGCATTTTGAGCCCAAACACCTTCATGTTTAGGCTTGAAATGCCTCAAATTCCACGTGGATTCTGAAAATCCCGAAATTTTAGCTAGAAATAATGAAAAATCGATATTTTTCGGCCTAGATCAAATTTAGGCTTCTCAAATTCAGAATTTCAGCCGGAAATTGCCATTTTCAGAATCCACGTGGAATTTGGAGCATTTTAAGCTCAAACACCTTCATATTTAAGCTTGAAATGCTCCAAATCCCACGTGGATTCTGAAAATCTCTGAAATTCTGAATTTCGAGGAGGAAAACACGAATTTTCTTTATTTTCTCATTAGAGCGCATTTGCTCGTCCGAATTCAAAAAAAAATAATTGAAAACCATGAAAATCAATTAATTTTTCGAATTCGGACGAGCAAATGCGCTCCAATGAGAAAATGCATGGATTTTGAGCTAGAAACATGGTTCTGGGCTCAAAATTGAGCATTTTTCATGATTTTTGGGTCAAAATTTACTATTTTCAGCCAAAAAACCTCGTTTTAGGCATTTTCCAGTGGCTCTTGACCCAAAATCCATGAAAATCGATACATTTTTTGAATTCGGGTGAGCAAATGCGCTCTAATGAGAAAATATCGATTTTTGAGCAAAAAACATGGTTCTGGGCTGAAAATTAACCATTTTTCATGAAATTTTCACTAGAAAACGTGGATTTTCAAGATTTTCAGTCAAATTTTCAGCGTTACCTGTAATTTGGGCTAGAAATGCGCACGGTTTTTGGCACGTTTTGCACAGTAAATCGTCGGGTTTCGGCAAATGTTGCGGGTTGAGCCACGCCGGTTTTCCGCCGATTTTTCCCAGTGGAAGATAGTGCGATTTGAGGCGGTAGAGATCGGAGGGTTGAAGTTCGAGACCGAATCCAAGGTGGACTGGCGTGTCTGGAAAAAATGGGATAGGGATTTTCAGATGCCACGTGGAATTTGGAGCATTTTGAGCCTAAATATGAGGGTGTTTGGGCTCAAAATGCTCCAAATTCCACGTGGAATCTGAAAATCTCAAATTCAGGCTGAAATTTTGAATTTAATAACCCTAAAATCAGGGAAAAGTCCGAAATTTGATCAAGACCTAAGAATATCGATTTTTTATCATTTCGAGCTCAAAATTCATCATTTTCAGTCAAATTTTGGGATTTTCAGATTCCACGTGGGATTTGGAGCATTTTGAGCCTAAATATGAGGGTTTTTGGGCTTAAAATGCTCCAAATTCCACGTGGATTCTGAAAATGGCAATTTCCGGCTGAAATTTTGGATTTAAGAAGCTTAAAATCAGGGAAAAGCTTGAAATTTGATCTAGGCTGAAAAATATCGATTTCTTATCATTTTCAGCTCAAAATTCATCATTTTCAGTCAAATTTCAGCCCAAAACACTCACCATGCGGGTCAACTTGCATTTTATCCCTAAATCCTGCAAAAATCGATTTTCTGTAGGGAAATCTGGCAAAAACACGGTATTTTAAAGCTTTCAGACTTTTTCGGACAAAAATCAAAGTAAGTAATTAATTTCAGACAAAAATATACATTTTCATTTTCAGCCACCAAAATTCAAAAATTAGTCAAATTTATTCTCGCTCTTCTTTTTGTCCTCTTTTGTGGCGGCGAAAAGCCAGAAGGCCAAAACGACGTGCACCAAAATGACTGCAATTATGGCTGAATATGTGAGAGCATCATTTGGTTGGTAGCCGAGCAGAGCTGAAATTAAAATTAGGCTGAAAATCTTGAAAATTCCGGATTTTTAGGTTAATTTTGAGCCAAAAACCATGTTTTTAGCTCGAAAAACGGAAATTTTCGAGTTTTTCTCATTGGAGCGCGTTTGCTCGTCCGAATTCAAAAAAATAATTGATTTCGATCATTTTTCCTGGTTTTCAGCTCAATATTCAAGGTTTTTGGCTGAAAATCATGAAAAACGGTCAATTTCGAGCCCAGAACGATGTTTTTATCTCAAAAATCGATATTTTCTCATTGGAGCGCATTTGCTTGTCCGAATTCAAAAAAATATCGATTTTTCTGAATTTTGGGTTGAAAATCATGAATTCTGATGATTTTCGAGCTGAAAATCGATTTTCTTGATGAAAAATTGAAGTTTTGACCTGAAAACCATGAAAAATTCGAATTCGGGTGAGCAAATGCGCTCTAATGAGAAAATTCATGATTTTTAGCTTAAAATTCATCATTTTCAGCCAAAAACCTCGTTTTATGCATTTTTCAATGGCTCTTTACTCAAAATCCATGAAAATCGATAAATTTTTTGAATTCGGGTGAGCAAATGCGCTCTAATGAGAAAATATCGATTTTTGTGGGATTTTGAGTCAAAAACATGGTTCTGGGCTCAAAATTGACCATTTTTCATGATTTTTAGCTTAAAATTCATCATTTTCAGCAAATTTTCAGCCAAAAATCCCACCTTCAAAAAAGAACTGCTTCAATAAAAACATGGAGGCGAGCGGTACAAGCAAAATCACCAAACTATACGTCAACAAATTCTTCACAGCTCCCTGAACTTTTTGATCGCGAAAATTTGGAATCAAATCCTGCATTGTTGTGGACGCCGCCGCCGGCTGATTTTCAGACATTTTTGGCTGAAAATTGTGAAATTTTAGGTCAAAATTGAGCAAAAATGCTCAATTTTAAGATATTTTCAGCGAAAAAACGCTAGGAAATCGAAAAAAAAACTGGAAATTTCAACAAAAAAAATTCACAAGCAAGAAAAATGTACACAAAAATTTTCAAAAAAAAAAAAATATCACGAACTTATTTTTGGGGAAAAGGCGGAATGTGTAAAAATATCGGGAAAATTCGGGGAAATCTGGAAATTTGGCTGAAAATTTGGGATTTTTGGCTGGAAATTTGAGATTTTCAGACAATTTCAAGCTGAAAATCAAGATTACTGTACCTTTAAAGGAACATAGCGATTTCCACGTGGATTTTTCCACCATTTTTCGCTTGAAAATCCTCATGTTCCTTTAAAGGCACAGTAACCCTTTGATACAAAGGGTTACTGTACTTTTAAAGGAACATGACGATTGTCAAGCGAAAAATGAGGGTTACTGTAGGGGTTTTAAAGGCGCGTGGTGGAAAAATCCACGTGGAATTACAGTAACTTTGAGAATTTCAGCTAGAAACCTGGAAATTTAGCTAAAAATCTAGTTTTCAGCTAGAAAACTGTGATTTCCAGCCGGAAATCTCTAAAAATCAAGTTTTCCAGATAGAAATCTCGAAATTTCTTGAATTTTAGCCAGAAATCTAGATTTTAAGTGAAAAATTCTCAAAAATCGGCTAAAAATTCGAAATTTTCATGGAAAACCCTGAATTTTCAGCTAGAAATCTCGGATTTTCGCTCAAAAACCCAAATTTTCAGCCAAAATCTCAATTTCCCACCCAAAAACCCAAATTTTCAGCCAAAATCTCAATCTGCAAATTATTTCAGTTTCTTCAGCTTCTCCTCCGCCTCCTTCTCCTCTTTCCACGCAATCCACGCAAACGCCGCACAAATCGCCACAACAACACAAGCCGCACAAATTCCAGCATAAAGCATAGCTCGATCCGCCGGCAAATGGAAATAATCGATAAAAACCCAATAATACAGTGTGAACATGACTAATAATGGAAGAGTGAACATCATTGCCGAGAATAATATGAGCAATGTTATGGCTCTTCTATTGTCCTCGGGGCTATAAAATTGCTCCTGATCTGCGCGGATTGGTTGAGTTAGCGCATCTTGCACCAATTGTTCACCATCTTTTTCCGCCGGCTTTTCCGCGTCGTCTTTTATTGATTGATCAACGAAGGGGAGCTTGAGCTCTTCTTCTGGCTCTGGCTCATTTTCAGCTTGATTTTCAGCTTTTTTTGGGGCTTCTAGAGTCTCTTCGGCTTCATCTGCACTGCTGATTTCTTCTGGAAGAATTTGGGGATTTTTCATTAATTTTATGACTGGGAAACCAAATTTTTAATGAAATTTTGATTTTCTCCAACAAAAAACTAGAATTTCGAGCTAATTTTTGGTAGATTCTCATGAAAATTCGAGATTTCCAGCTGGAAAATGAAGTTTTCTTGGAAAATCTATGGATTTTCAGCCGAAAATCCTGCTATTTTTGCTGAAAATATGGATTTCCCTCAAAAACCCCTCCCAAATTCACCAACCCTTATTCTCGTCAACATTTTCGAAACTTTCCGAAGTGCTCGATTTGCGTTCCGACTCTTCAACCAGCTCGAAATCCGTTTCAGTCGACATTTCGCGTGTTTTTCAGCCTGGAAAAACGGGTTGGGCTGAAAATCGAAAATCAGTGTGTGCAATTGTGCGTCGCCGTGTTCGCACACATTGTGAGAGTGCGGTGGAGCGCGTTTGTGTGTTTTGTATACCGTAGTGCTTTTTTTGAAAAAAACATTTTATTTTGTTTCCTGAAGTTTTTACACTTTCCTCTTAAAATTCGAATTTTTATAAAATCGCAATCGAAAAATAAATTAATAAATAAAAATTTGAGCCTATTTACAAAAAAAAACACAAGAAAATTACACGTATAAACCGATTTGGTAAAAAAAAAACATGAAAAAGTGAAATTTCGCTTCTAGACATCTAGAATCCCGTATCAGCCCATTCTTCTCTTTCGTGACGCAATTGAGCTGTATAAAGTGAGGGTTGGTCCAATTTGTTGCGTTTGAAGAATCCGCATTTCCAGAGGGCTAGCGAGATTAGGAGAAGTATGAAGAGACCGGCGAGAATGGCACAGATTAGAATCCATAGGGGAAGGGGACGGGTTTCTCCTGCAAAATTTGAAGGGTTTTGAGAGTTGTTCTGCTTCTAGCTGCCACGCGGATTACTATGATATGGTAAACGTCATAGTAATCCACGTGGCAGCTGGAGCGCGTGTAATCCGCAAGCTTCCGCTTCAGCAGCCACGTGGATTCCTATGATATGGCAAACGTCTTAGTAATCCACGTGGCAGCTAGATTTCTCTCGAGAGGAGCGAGTGTAATCCGCAAGCTTCCGCTTCAGCTGCCACGTCGATTATTATGATATGGCAAACGTCCTAGTAATCCACGTGGCAGCTAGATTTCTCTCGAGCGTAGCGAGTGTAAACCGCAAGCTTCCGCGTAGCAGCCACGTGAATTGCTATGACACGTTATAGTGATCCACGTGGCCGCTACGCGGAAGCTAGCGGCTCACACTCGCAAGCTTCCGCTTCAGCTGCCACGCGGATTACTATGATATGGCAAACGTCCTAGTAATCCACGTGGCAGCTAGATTTCTCTCGAGCGTAGCGAGTGTAAACCGCAAGCTTCCGCGTAGCAGCCACGTGAATTGCTATGACACGTTATAGTGATCCACGTGGCCGCTACGCGGAAGCTAGCGGCTCACACTCGCAAGCTTCCGCTTCAGCTGCCACGCGGATTACTATGATATGGCAAACGTCCTAGTAATCCACGTGGCAGCTAGATTTCTCTCGAGCGTAGCGAGTGTAAACCGCAAGCTTCCGCGTAGCAGCCACGTGAATTGCTATGACACGTTATAGTGATCCACGTGGCCGCTACGCGGAAGCTAGCGGCTCACACTCGCAAGCTTCCGCTTCAGCTGCCACGCGGATTACTATGATATGGCAAACGTCTTAGTAATCCACGTGGCAGCTAGATTTCTCTCGAGCGTAGCGAGTGTAAACCGCAAGCTTCCGCGTAGCAGCCACGTGAATTGCTATGACACGTTATAGTGATCCACGTGGCCGCTACGCGGAAGCTAGCGGCTCACACTCGCAAGCTTCCGCTTCAGCTGCCACGCGGATTACTATGATATGGCAAACGTCCTAGTAATCCACGTGGCAGCTAGATTTCTCTCGAGCGTAGCGAGTGTAAACCGCAAGCTTCCGCGTAGCAGCCACGTGAATTGCTATGACACGTTATAGTGATCCACGTGGCCGCTACGCGGAAGCTAGCGGCTCACACTCGCAAGCTTCCGCTTCAGCTGCCACGTCGATTATTATGATATGGCAAACGTCCTAGTAATCCACGTGGCAGCTAGATTTCTCTCGAGCGTAGCGAGTGTAAACCGCAAGCTTCCGCGTAGCAGCCACGTGAATTGCTATGACACGTTATAGTGATCCACGTGGCCGCTACGCGGAAGCTAGCGGCTCACACTCGCAAGCTTCCGCTTCAGCTGCCACGTCGATTATTATGATATGGCAAACGTCCTAGTAATCCACGTGGCAGCTAGATTTCTCTCGAGAGGAGCGAGTGTAAACCGCAAGCTTCCGCTTCAGCGGCCACGTGGATTACTATGACGTGGATATCGTACTAGTAATCCACGTGGCAGCTAGATTTCTCTCGAGCGGAGCGAGTGTAAACCGCAAGCTTCCGCGTAGCGGCCACGTGGATTACTATGACACGTAATAGTGATTCACTTGGCCGCTACGCGGAAGCTAGCGGCTCACACTCGCAAGCTTCCGCTTCAGCGGCCACGCGGATTACTATGATATGGTAAACGTCCTAGTAATCCATGTGGCAGCTAGATTTCTCTCGAGCGTAGCGAGTGTAAACCGCAAGCTTCCGCGTAGCGGCCAAGTGAATTGCTATGACATGGTATAGTAATCCACGTGGCCGCTACGCGGAAGCTAGCGGCTAATCCGCAAGCTTCCGCTTCAGCGGCCACGCGGATTACTATGATATGGCAAACGTCATAGTAATCCACGTGGCAGCTAAAGCCCAGTAAGTTAGGCTAACTTTCTGTGAACTCACCAATCGCCGGTTTATCCGGATAGGCAAAAGTGGTGATCGATAGTACATTATTGTCCGGATCGTCCTCGATTCCTTGTCCCGCGTCGATTTCCAATCGTCCGAACGATTTCACCTCAACATACTCAACATCTGTATAATCGTCGATGAAGGTGGAATTCCAGAGTCGAGCTCGAAAATCGACGACCGGCGCCGAATTCGCATCGATGAAATCAAAGTGGCAGGAGACTGTGAAGCAGTTGGCGGTTTTTTCGGTGCAACTCTAGAAAAATTTGAGAGGATTATTGATTGATTCGATAATTTCCACTTGAAAAATGGGCGGGGCTTGGTTTATGCAAGCCTGGCACGTTTTTCTTCGTGAAAAGTACTGATTTCGACCAGGAATTGTTATTTTTGCTCAATTTTCACTGTAAAAAACGTGCCAGGCTTGCAGAAATCGAGCCCCGCCCATTTTTTATGAAAATCTTGGTTTACTGCATGAATTTTCAAAGAAAAATGGGCGGTGCTTGGGTTATGCAAGCCTGGCACGTTTTTCCTTGGTAAATTCATGATTTTCCACGGTGAGATTTTCTTTACGTCGCTTGAACAAAAAGACCGTCGTGAAATTTCTGCTGAAGAGGGCTAAGTGCGCTCTGATGAGAGAAAAAATTTCGCTGCGCAGCGACACATTGCGTGGTGAGCGCGCTCGGTATCGTTCGGCCCCGCCCACTTTCTCACTTTTTTTTCGCAACGGGTCTTCGCGTAAAGGAAAGCGCACCGTGTTTCATCGCGGTTAGGCTAAAAATCATGAATTTTCACCGGGAAAAAGCGTGCCAGGCTTGCAAAAAGCTAGCCCCGCCCATTTTTCATGAAAATCTTGGGTTATGCAAGCCTGGCACGCTTTTTCTTGGGAAATTCATTCGTGGTTAGGCCCAAATACCCCAAATTTTCAACTTTTCGTGTAATTTTCACTCACAATAGTCACCACTTTAACATCAATGCCATTTTCGGTACGCGTATGCGGTGAGACGCGGAACAATCCGCCCGTCGACACTTTTTCCACGCCCGTTTCTCGTTTCGCTCTTCTCGAAGTCTCCTGCGTCGAATACTTGGTATTCAGTTTGATATCTGCCGGATTCACAAACTCATATTTCTGCTCAACCAAACATTTGCGAACTTCGATAGTTCCATCATTATTAATCTGAGTAATGGTTGGAACATCGAGCAAATAAAGAGCCCATTTGCCAGCGCCGAAATTCGATCTGATTTGATATGGCCAATCGAATTTCGCAACAACATTTCTGACAGTCCACGGACCTTTATTATGAATCGTATAATTGTGTCGGACCATAATCCCAATATCCTCTTCTAATTCAATCGCTGATTCACCCTTCGATATTCCTCCAAAATGAATTAGATGTGGGTCAGAGATTCCGATGAGTTCAAGCTCAGCTTTTTTTATAATCTGAACTTCGCTACTCCACGAATTGTCCACTTTCAAACCTTCATCTTCCTGTGAAGTTGAGTTAACTTTCGCCGAAAACCTCAATTTCTTTCCAATTCCCTCAGTTCTTCCTCGAGTTAGCTTAAATCGCACTTCGAAATTGATCTTACTATTCGATTCCATTGGATTTCCCAGGTTCAAATGAACAATATTGTTATCAACGATTTCAATCGATAATTTTTTGGATGATCCGATGATTTGCGGTAACTCCAATTCTTCATTGTTGAAGTCTAGGTAGAAATTTGCTCGGTAGGCTTTTTCTTTTTTGTTTTCGATGGAGAATGTGATGTCGAGATGGTCTTTTTCGCCGACGTTTGAAACGTATCCTTGTGGGGTTCTGGAAATTCAGGTTCTCGATGCTTTTAGCTAAAAATCGCAGTTTTCCATAAGTTTTGAGTCAAAAAATCGTCGAAATTGTGATTTTTCATGAATTTTAGGCTGAAAATCATGTTCCAGACTGAAATTTTGTGAATTTTCAGTTAAAATCAGGTTTTTCGGCTCAAAATGATCGTTTGGAGATGAAAATTGGGATTTCTGAGCTTCAAAATCGATTCTAGCTCAAAAACTCATGAATTTCAGCATTTTTAGGCTGAAAATCATGTTCTAGACTGAAATTTTGTGATTTTCATCATTTAACTGCCCAAAACTCACAGCGGAATATCCTTAAAAGCAGCTTTCAGCTCCAAATCCGTCTGACAAGTGTGATCTTCACCGCAAAGTGTGTTGAAGGGAACTTCAAACTCATAACTTGCTCCATATTTGTTGAGCACCGGATATTTTTTGAGATCCACGATTGGTTGACCAATGGACGGTTGTTCGGGCTTCTTTTCGTTTCTGAAAATCGAAAATTCACAATGCTCCGGGTTTACACTGTGTTTTAGGGCGGTATTTGTGAAAATTTTGAATTTTTTACGATGCCCCGGGTTTACGCTGTTTTTTAGGGCGGTTTTTGTGAAAATTTGAAGATTTCTAGAGAAAACTCAGACAAGTTGGACGATTAATCGCCGAGTAAAGTGAACTTACGATTAATCGCCTGAACTAAATTAACACAGGCGATTAATCGGTTAGCCAGCAGCTAATTCAAGTTACTCGGCGATTAATCGTCCAACTTCTCTGAGAAATATGACTTTCAACGATGCTCCGGCTTTACACCACGTTTTTACCGCGCAAAAAGTTGAATTTGAAAATTTCTCATAGTGTAAACCCAGATTATCGTAGTTTCGCTCAAAACCGCTCATTTTTCGCCGTGTAAACGCGGAGCATCGTAGTTTTTCTCAAATTTCGGCTAGAATTTCCGAAAATCATTCATTTTCCGCCCCGTAAACGAGGAGCATCGTATTTTCTTCCACCAACCTGATGCTAACAGAAAACTTGAACTTCAACGGTGTAATCCAATCCTCTTGTTGCTCCTCGCCAGCTCCCAAATATATAACCTGTTTATAAGTGCGCTTCTGCAAATGCGAATTACTTCCACACGGCCAACTATAATTACTCGAATGACTATTCTCAATCAAACCCCGTGACAACACATCAACTCGATATGGAATAACTTCCAAGTTACACGTGAAAACATCGGAGGTGAAATCGACGAGTTCAGCCGATCTTCGAGTTTCCTCATCGACAAAAATGATCAAATCTAGATTGAAACATGTTCGAGAACCTCTGGGACAATTCGATCCCTTGTAAATATCTATCATAGATTTCTCCAGCTTATGATTCGCATTAATACTGATCACCGGTCTAGATCTCAGTAGAACTGCAAAATCTCGACTCGGCGATCCGATAAGAAGATCAGGATAGCCATTTTCGTCCAAATCCGAGCCTCCGGAGAGGGAAAATCCGAAACTTCGCATATTAAACGGCAAGTTTGGCAGGGAATTTCCTCTAATGATCTGCGCCGGCTTCTTCCGGAATTTGTCGATGTTCTTGGTGCCTAGATAGATGTATACAGCTCCGGCGCCATCATTGGCAAATGGTGCACCAACGGCGAAATCTTGAAGGTTATTCTTATCGCCATCGAGATTTCCGAGCTTGGCAATCGATAGTCCGAATTGCGAGTAGAATTCGGGATGTTTGAGGATTTTTGGCGGGTGGAAGACGAGATGCGATTCGTGTTTGGCTCGTTGAATTCCTTGCGAGAAGTAGACGTAGACGATGCCACCGTAGTTTCCGTCGATTCCGGTGCGATGTTCGAATGGCGCGCCGATTATTAGATCGTCGAAGCTGGAAAAGAACGTTGCTCATGTTAAGCTTTTTCGATTTTCCACGTGACCGCTACGCGGGAGCTTGCGGTATAGACTCGGAGAAGATTGCTCAGGTTAAATTTCAAATTTTCGATCATTTTTAGCCAAAAAATCGTTTAAATTGGGATTTTTCATGAAATTTTGAGCTTCCAGGCTGAAACTTGGGAATTTTCCAGTTCAAATAAGGTTTTTGGGCTGAAAATCGTTGTCTAGACTGAAATTTCGCGAATTTTCATGAATTTTGAGCTGAAAATCATGCTCCAGACTGAAATTTCGAGATTTTTCGATTAAAATCAGGTTTCAGAGCTAATGATCATGTTCTAATCTGAAATTTCGCTATATTTCATAAATTTTTCGCTCAAAATCAGGTTTCTGAGCTGAAAATCATGTTCTAGACTAAAATTTTGTGTTTTTTCAATTAAAATCAGGTTTTTGAGCTGAAAATCGTGTTACAGACTGAAATTTCGTGAATTTTCGGTTAAAATCAGGTTTTAGAGCTGAAAATCGTGTTCCAGACTAAAATTTCATGAATTTTCATAAATTTTGAGCTGAAAATCATGTTTCAAACTGAAAATTCGTGAATTTTCGGTTAAAATCAGGTTTTTGAGCTAATAATCATGTTCTAATCTGAAATTTGAACTGAAAATAACATTTTAGATCTGAAAATCATGTTCCAGTCTGACATTTCGCGAATTTTCATGAATTTTGAGCTGAAAATCGTGTTCCAGACTGAAGTTTCATGAATTTTGAGCTAAAAATGTTATTTCAGAGCTGAAAATCGTGTTCCAGACTGAAATTTCGCGAATTTTCATGAATTTCGAGCTAAAAATCATGTTCCAGACTGAAATTTCGCGAATTTTCATGAATTTTGAGCTAACAATGTTATTTCAAAGCTGAAAATCAAGTTCCAGTCTGAAATTTTGTGTTTTTTCAATCAAAATCAGGTTTTTGAGCTGAAAATCATGTTCCAGACTGAAATTTCGCGAATTTTCATTAATTTTGAGCTAAAAATGTTATTTCAGAGCTGAAAATCACGTATCAGACTGAAACTTTGTGATTTTTCGGTTAAAATAGGGTTTTAGAGCTAAAAATGATCGTTTGAAGCTGAAAATCGGGGATTTTCTGAGCTTATCTCCTCGAAAACCACTTCTAGCTCAAAATCCCATCATTTTGAGGCTCTAGGAATATTTAACCTGAGCAATCTTTCAACGTTCACGGCGACTAATTCTGCGTCTCTAACATCCTTGTGGTCTCTAGCTGTCTGGCTTCTCTGCGTCTCTAACACACTTTGTAATCTCTAATCGAGCGCCTTTGGCGCGAGTGTAAACCGCAAGCTTCCGCGTCAGCGGCACTATCTTCCGCTTTAGCGGCCACATGGATTACTAGATAATCCGCGTGGCCACTGAAACGAAAGCTACGCGGAAACCTTCCGCCTCGCCCCGTAACTCACCCATCATTATTCAAATCAACAACTTCAATCGAATACCCAAATGCACTTCCCATACTAGTTCCATTAATCATAAAATGATCCTCATTCAACGCCAACTTCGTCGAACTATCTTGAAAAAACGGCAAAAACACGACGGCTCCATGCTCACCGAATCTCGTGGCTCCAGAGACAACTGTGATCTTCTTGGCGGCCGCTTTTCCCGATTGCTCATACCAAAATCCGAATCTTCCGATATCCACTGAATATCCTAGATAATCATGAGCAACTAGTCGATTTCGAATCGATTCTCCAGCCTGATTCATTGTGTATTTTTCGACGACCGAGTCGAAAATGTTGGCAGAGGATTTTTTGGCGAAAACTCCTCCGGTCCATTTTACAGCTCCGATTAGGCCCGTTACTATTGTGTCGTCTGAAATTTGCGATTTTTTGATACCAAATAAGGCTAGACTGTATTCTGGAGCTAAAATTTGGAAAATTTAAAGTTGTAAACGCGGAGTGTCGTTGTAAACCCGCTCATTTTCCCTCAAAAATCAACACCTACCAGTAATGGCCGCCGAAAATCCCTCCATACAACTTCCATATTCATTATGTCGATCTGTGGTCGGCAGATTCTTCTGGGCACACGTGGAATAGGTGGAGGTGAGTCGTAGATTTGTGCCAAGTTCATAGCAGGCTCCTTGTGGGTAGGCGGCGGTTTGATGGAAACGGATTAGAGGGGCGCAGACCTGAAATTTTTGAAAATTCAATTTTTCGCGCAAAATTCGAGGGTGTAAACGCGGAGTGTCGTAGTTTTGCCGAAAATCTGGATTTTTCGGGTTAAAAAACATGAAAATTAGTTAAATTTGAAGGTGTAAACGCGGAGTGTCGTAGTTTCATCGATTTTAGATCGAAAAACATGTTTTTAGTCGAAAAATGACGGCGTAAGCGCGGAGCATCGTTGTCAATTCATTTTTAGGTTCAAAAACATGTTTCTAGGTCAAAATTTGATGAAAAATCCAAATTTCGGGTCCGAAAAACTCACCAAAGCACTTCCATTCTTGGTTCCTTTCGAAACAATGGTTGAAGCCAATAATTGATCATTTTTTCCCAAAAAATGCACATTTCTTCCGGTTCTCGTCTCATTCGGCCTTTTTTCATAATCTTCTGGGTTTTCGTATTCGAATTTCACCAAGTCGCAATTTTCCTGGTGCGAAATTTGACAGGAAAACATTGCTCCGGCTTTTTTGGTGGATAATTGGCCGGATTCACCTTTGGGCGCTCCGATTAGCATTCTGGAATTGGGATTTTTGAAAAATTTGAGCTTGAATAATGTTTTTGGGCTCATTTTGCTCCAAAATACGAGATTTCTCAGAAAATTTGAGCCTTGGAACATTTTTGAGCTCAAAAATCTGAAATTCCGAGCCCAGAAACCTTTCCATAGCAAATTTGGGCTCATTATGCTCCAAAAACCCTCAAAAATCCAAATTTCCCAAGATTTTGAGCTCCAAATTTCAGATTTTTTGAAAATTTAGGTCCAGGAGCATTTTCGGGCTCAGAAACTTTAAAAATCTCAAATTTCGAGCCCAGAAACCTTTCCAGAGCAAATTTGGGCTCATTTTGTTCAGAAAAACCTCAAAAATCCAATTTTTCAAGATTTTCAGCTCTAAATTTCAGATTTATGGAAAATTCAAGTGCAGGAGCATTTTTGAGCTCAAAAACTTGAAAAATCTGAGATTTCGAGCCCAGAAACCTTTCCAGAACAAATTTGGGCTCATTGTGCTCCAAAAACCCTCAAAAATCCAAATTTCCCAATTTTTTCAAACTCACATTGGTTTTTCGCCATTAAAATGCTGTGCAACAGCAAATCCGAAATTTGTTCCATTTTTGCCGAATCGATAAATCGGTGCATAAACATCTAGATTAAAACAATTGCAAAATTCGACTAATATGAGCAATGCTATTGAAAATTGCGATATCCTTCGATCTTTTGGCATTTTTGGTATAAAAACTGCAAAAATACTGTATGTTCCTTTAAAAAAAGATTTTTTTTCGAAAAAAAAAATTTTTTTTACACTTTGAAACACAAGATAAATTGAAAAAGCTCAACATTTTTCGAAAAATGAGAAAAAAATCGATGAAAATTGGGGGAAAATGATAAGGGAGATGAGTCATAGGAGAACATTTTGAGGGGGAGGAAAAAAATTTGATAAATTTTTTTTTCTGGGGTACTGTAGGTGTACTGTAGCTCACAATTTTGGCAAATTATTCCACGTGGCAGATGATTTTTGGCGCGAAAATCAAAAATTTCAAAAAAAAAATTAGTTCCAATGAGGAATCGAACCCCGGACCTTTTTCTTGCAAAAATTTCTGGGGATTCTAGAGGATTACTGTAGCTACCAGAAAATTGTACCAAAAAAATTTTTTGGCGCCAAAAAATGTGTCAAAACCAGATGTTTTTTGACACGTCCTTTTGAACAGCTGCCAAGAAAAAAAATTTTTTTTTTTTTTGAAAAGAAAAAAAATTTAGGGTACTGTAGTTTTTGGCGTCAAAAAATTGAATATGCAAGAAAAAGTTGTCGAACATGAAAAATATGAATAATGAAATTTTTTGGGGGGAGCAAAATTCCCTATGGATTTTTTTTCGCGCCAAAAAAATGTATTTGGGGCCGAAAATCAAGTGAAAATAGTGGAAAATTTGAATTTCCCGCGAAAAAATGGCCTAGAAATCCAAATTTAACTTTTCTAGGCCATCTAGACCTAAATTTTGATCTAAACTCGAAAAAATTGGCCTAGAAATCCAAATTTAACTTTTCTAGGCCATCTAGACCTAAATTTTGATCTAAACTCGAAAAAATGGCCTAGAAATCCAAATTTAACTATTCTAGGCCATCTAGACCTAAATTTTGATCTAAACTCGAAAATAATGGCCTAGAAAATGCAAATTGTGGTTTTCTAGGCCAAAATTTCGTAAAAATGCGCGAAAATTTCGAAAAAAAGGGAGAAAAATGAGATGAATGTTTCAATTAAGCAGAATAAGCTGGGGAGTACTTAAGAGAGGCTCAGCTGTACGAAAAATTGGAAAAAAAATTGGTTTTTTGGGGGAAAATGAGCCTGAAAAGCCTGAAAACAGGCCTAAAAACCCTTTAAAAAAGTATATAGCAATAAAAAAAAGTAAAATTGTCCTACATTTATTTTTCCTCAAGAAACATAATAGCCTCATAAAAATCCTTTTTTTTTCAAAAAAAAAAAAAAATTTCGCGTCCACCGGGGTTCGAACCCCCGACCTTCTGCTTGTCAATTTATTGCGCGCGAAGCATCAAAATTCAAATTTTCCGGAGCGAAATTTCATGAAAAATTCGAATTTCGCCGTCAAAAATAAGAAAAAATGCGCAAAACCAAAGAATTGTCAAAGCAAAAGCAGAAAGCAGGGGGATTTTTGAGTAAACAATGGGAGGAAAAACGACGGTGAGAGAGTGTGGGAAATTGAGAGAGTGTTAGAGAGAGAACACAATGGAATATTTGCATATTTTAGTAGAAGGGCGAAAAGGACACCAGGAAAAATAGAAATTTGGGAAAAATTTTGAATTTCGCGCCGAAATCGTGGATTTTTGGCGGGAAATTTGAATTTTTCAGTGAAAAATGATGAGAAAATCGCGAAATTTTAAGTTTTTTGAGATTTTCAGGCCAAATTTTGAGGCTGGGCCTAGATTTTTAGGCTTTTCTTAGGCCCATTTCAGGCTTGGGGTTACCTAGATTTTATTTTTCGAAATTCGGAAAAAAACAAGGTCATGGCTTATTTTCCGCCCCATCAAATCGAATTCGACAAAAAAAGTTTGACTGGGCCCAAAATCCACGTTTTTTGCGCTAAAAATAAGGCCTAAAGGACCTTAGGCTAAGGCCCTAAGATTTAGGCCTTAGGGCTTATTTGGTCTCAAAAAATCGCAAATTTTCGTCCAAAACAATTCAAATTTGAATTTTCCCGCCAAAATCCACGTAATCCACGTGTTTTGGCGCTAAAAAATAATTATTTTTAAAAAAAATTATTATAAAATAAATTATTAATCAAATCAAAACCACAGCAAAAAAGGACGCGAATCAAAAAAAAAAAGAAACGAGAGAGTGAGAGAGTGCAGACAGTTAGAGACAGACAAAAACACAACATCCTATTATAATACAAAAAAAAGGAGACACCATCCAAAAATGGACACTGGGTGTACAAATCAATCGATCTCTCTGCACTCTCTCTCATTTTCCCATGCTCTCTCGCTTTGAAAGAGAGAGAGAGAGAGAGAGAGAGAGAGAGAGAGAGAGAGAGAAGAGAGAGCGCAGAGAAAATTAATACAGTACACTTTTTTTAGGAGAAAAGAAGCTGAGCTACAGTAATTTTCAAGGAGCATGATGGAAATTGATTTGAATTCAAAAATGATCTACAGTAACCTAGAGATTTTTGGGAGGGAAACTTGAATTTTCAAAAATTTTTGAAATATCGATTTTCGCGCTGGAAACTGAGCTACAGTAACCCTGAGATTTTTGGGAGGGAAACTTGAATTTTCAAAAATTAGATTTTCGCGCCAAAATTTCGCTCCAAGACCCAAAAATTTCGCAACAACAAAATTTTCGAAAAAAAAAATTTTTCGCAAAATTTTGCGCGACTACTATATGACAATGATAAATTATGGCAGGGGGGACCCATCATTTTTATTATTCTTCCGACTTTTTCTCTTTGTGCTCATCTTGCTAATTTTATGAGCACAAAAAGAGCACAAAACAACATGTGTAAATATAATATATACGAGTTAGGCTAAGTAAAGCCAAAAAGTAGAAGGGGACAGGAACAAGTGGGTAAATATAATGAAGTGGGGGAGCATATGCTCCTACCGTAGTTTTTTGACCCACTTTTTAAAGGGACATGCGAGTTTTGATAGGTGATTTGTCTGGAAAAATCGAGTTTTGACTGAAATTTTGTGCTGAAAATCGCAAAATTTCAGCCAAAAACCATTTTTCCCTCAAAAAACTCACTGAAATCCTCATCCAAATCCAAAAAATCAGCCATTTTCGAGTTCTAGAAAAATAAAAACTGATAGAAATCCGAAAAAAAATGAAATGTCACGTTTTTTTCCAAAAAAACACAAGAAATTCATTAAAAATTCGATAAAACATGAAAAAAATCTCACAAATTCAGGCAAAAATCACAAAAATAATAGGAAAAACTAGAAAATTTTAGACTATAAATAAAAAATTTTGAAAAAAAATTTCAGATAATGCTAAAAACTTTGGAAAAATCCGGATCATCGTTGAGAAGATCTGCAAAAATTTTTGAATTTCAAATAATTTTTGCGTCAAAAGGGGGTACTGTATCAAAATGCTCAATTTTTCGCTCATTTTTCGCGCGCCAAAAACTACAGTAACCCAAATTTTCCCCAAAGCTCACCAATTCCAAAATCATCACAATCGGACGGCATTCCGAATTCACTCAAACACGGCATCACAAGTCCTTTTGTTGGCTGGTCTTGGGAAGAAATTGAAGTAGAAGGTTCTGGAGAAAAATCGATAATTTTTGGGGGGTACTGTAGGTCGAAAGGAGCATTTTGAGCCCAAATTCGACTAGATTTTGGGTCCTGGTGCGAAATGGGTACTGTAGATCAAATATACGTCATGTTTGGTGTCAAAAAACGTGGATTTTTGACGCGTCAAGAGTACTGTAGCTCACCTTTTTGCACCAAATATGACGGTGCGGGTGGTGTATGGGTGGGTGTCAAAAACGGATGTTTTGTGGGCGGCGCAGCTCCGGCGGGTACGAATAAAAATGTGGGTGAAATTGGTGCGGCGTGTTGTGATGACGTGGCAGCAGTGGTGGCGGTGGCGAAAAATTGAGGAGCCGGCGGCGAGTTTGGAGCAAAAAATTGTGGAGCATGATAGAAGTAGGCCTGGAAATTCGGGATTTTTGGTGGAAATGGGGATTTTGAGCCTAAAAATAGGCCTGAAATAAGAAGTTCAGGTCCTCAAAATAGGCCTTAAAATAAGCAGTTTAGGGCCTTTAAAACGAGCCTAAAAATAGGCCTAAAATGAGCCTTCAAGGCCTTAAAAATTGCATGTTCATGATTCTAGGCTCATTTTGGGCCGATTTTCACGATTTCAGGCTCATTTTCACCCAAAAATTCAAAACTCACCCCATTTTGAGCCATATAAACCGGAGTTCCGCTATATAATTGAGGCTGAGCGCCTGCGCCGCCTCCAAAATTCGGCATTTTTTCACCCATTTCCATGGTTGGAAGAGCGTGAAAGTAGAAATTGTCGGATTTGTTGTTGGTTGGTGAAATTGGAGCTGGCTGCAAAAGGGTTACTGTAGGTTTTGGCGGGAAATTTGGAGCATTTTTGGGTACTGTAACTCACTTTTTGCAGCTCCAGAAAACATTTTTCGCCTTTTTTCATTTTGTACCATCGTCTTGGCAATTGGGACCATCAATTTTTCGGGGTCCGCATTTTCCAGCATTTTTTTTCGCATCAAATTTTGCTGGCGTTGTTGATCGACCAATTCTGGAGGAAAAAATTGTGATTTTGGAGGGATACTGTAGATTTTGGGTCTCGCCACGAAATTTGGAACATTTTGAGCCCGAACTCGACAGGGGTACTGTAGATTTTGGGTCTCGCCACGAAATTTGGAGCATTTTGAGTCCAAATTCGACAGGGGTACCGTAGATTTTGGGTCTCGCCACGAAATTTGGAGCATTTTGTGTCCAAATTCGACAGGGGTACCGTAGATTTTGGGTCTCGCCACGAAATTTGGAGCATTTTGAGTCCAAATTCGATGGGGTACTGTAGATTTTGGGTCTCGCCACGAAATTTGGAGCATTTTGAGTCCAAACATGAGTACTGTAGCTCAAAAATTACTGTAGATCAAAACCTAGTCATATTTGGTGTCAAAAAACGTGGATTTTTCGCGCGCGCTAAAAATCTACAGTACCCAAACTCACGTTGCGTAATTCCATCAATGATTACTGTATCTGGCAACTCGCCAAAATACACGTCCTGAGTCATATCCGATTGTTTGCAGCCTGAAAAATCACAGGATTACTGTAGGTGGCTAGGTTTTTGGCGCGAAATTTTTCAAATTCAAATTTTTCCACGTGGAATTTCGCCGAGCATAGGCTTATTTAGTATCAAAATTCATCATTTTTCGCGCCAAAACCTACAGTTAACTACAGTAACCGCACCTGTTCGATTCAAAACCTTCCAATGTTGTTGAAACGCTTGAAATGACGTGTATTGTTTGGCACACTTTGCACATTTATAAACACGAACGGCATCTTTTTGGTGCTTTTTCACGTTGTGCATTTGAACGTCGAGAGCTCCATTTCGAATACTTCCACAATAATAACACGATTCGGGAGCTTTGCTGGAAAAATTTCAGATTTTTCTGATAAAAATGATGGTTTTTGATGCAAATTTGGTTAAAAATGAAGAATTTTGAGCCTAAAACGGTCCGGGCTCGGGCTTAGGCCCAATTTTCACGAATTTTGGATTTTTCATCATTTTAAAGCCTAGAATGGTCCGGGCTCGGGCTTAGGCCCAATTTTCACGAATTTTGGATTTTTCATCATTTTTAAGCCTGAAATGGTCCGGGCTCGGGCTTAGGCCTAGAAAGGCCCAATTTTCACAAATTTTGGATCAGAAACTCGGATTTTTCATCATTTTTAGGCCTGAAATGGTCCGGGCTCGGGCTTAGGCCTAGAAAGGCCCAATTTTCACAAATTTTGGATCAGAAACTTGGATTTTTCATCATTTTTAGGCCTGAAATGGTCCGGGCTCGGGCTTAGGCCTAGAAAGGCCCAATTTTCATAAATTTTGGTGCAGAACCTTGGATTTTTCATCATTTTTAAGCCTGAAATGGTCCGGGATCGGACCTAGGCCCAGAAAGGCCCAATTTTCACGAATTTTGGATCAGAATCTTGGATTTTTCATCATTTTTAAGCCTTAGGCCTGAAAAAGCCTGCTTTCAACGATTTTTGGGCCTGAAATGGCCCTGGGCCTAAAAAACCCAATTTTCCAAAATGCTCGGAAAATCTGGAAAAACATCTGGAGAAATCGCACAATTTCAGCGATTTTCAGCTCGAAAATCGGGTTTTTGAGAATTTCACGGTATTTTCAGGTGAGTACTGTAGATCTGGGTTACTGTAGGTCGAAATTTGGAGCATTTTGATACCAAATTTGATAGAGGGGGTACTGTAGAAGATCTAGGATTACTGTAGATTCAATAAACAATACAGTAATTTCTACAGTAACCCTAGATTACTGTATTAGAGAAAAAACTACAGTACTTCTACGAGAGCTACAGTAATCCCGCTTGTTTGGTGTCAAAAAACGTGGAATTTTCGCGTTTTTCACGATTTTCAGATGAAAAATCTTCAAAATCTTCAATTTCAGCCAAATTTTCAGAATTTCAGCTGAAAACTCACTTATGACATTCGACATGTTTGGCGGCATGAAATGGATGATGAAAATTGTGTGCACAAACTTGGCACGTGTACATCACTTTTGACTTTTCCACGTCGAAACTCTTGAACATTCCTTGAATTTCTTTGTTGTTTTGTTGAAGCGTGTCGGGGAAAAGTTGGGATTTCTGTAAGGAAAATTGGGGATTTTGGGCTGAAAATCGCGATTTTCATCAAATTTTGAGCTGAAAATCAAGAAAAATGGCCAAAAATGATGAATTTTGATATAAATTAAGCCTAAGATAAATTTTATATCAAAATTCATGATTTTTGACCAAATTTCTTGTTTTTCAGCTGGAAATTCGTGATTTTCAGCTAAAAATCGCAATTTTCAGCCAATTTTAAGCTGAAAATCAAGAAAAATGGCCAAAAATCATGAATTTTGATATAAAATTGATTCTAGGGTTATTTTATATCAAAATTCATCAATTTTGACGAAATTTCTTGATTTTCAGCTCATTTTCAGCCAAAAATCCATGATTTTCAGCATACTCACAATCATCGGAACCTCCATCAAACTTCGATCTTTTTCCATTTGTTTTTGCAGCATTTTTTGATATCGCTCATTGTCGTGGATTTTTTGGTGACGTTGGCGTTCGCTACGTGTCATTGCGTGGCTGAAAATTCGGTGATTTTCAGATTTTCAGATCGAAAAATTGGAAATTTTCATGAAAAACTGTGCCAGGCTTGCATTTGTCATGATTTTGCAAGTCTGGCACAGGTTTTCCCATAGAAAACCGTGCCAGACTTGCAAAAATCGCATTTTTTATGATTTTGCAAGCCTGGCACAGTTTTTCCCATAGAAAACCGTGCCAGGATTGCAAAAATCGCTATTTTTCATGATTTTGCAAGTCTGGCACAGGTTTTCCCATAGAAAACCGTGGCAGACTTGCAAAAATCGCAATTTTCATGATTTTGCAAGCCCGGCACAGTTTTTCCCATAGAAAACCGTGCCAGGATTGCAAAAATCGCTATTTTTCATGATTTTGCAAGTCTGGCACAGTTTTTCCCATAGAAAACCGTGGCAGACTTGCAAAAATCGCATTTTTCATGATTTTGCAAGCCTGGCACAGTTTTTCCCATAGAAAACCGTGCCAGACTTGCAAAAATCGCTATTTTTCATGATTTTGCAAGTCTGGCACAGTTTTTCCCATAGAAAACCGTGCCAGACTTGCAAAAATCGCATTTTTTATGATTTTGCAAGCCTGGCACAGTTTTTCCCATAGAAAACCGTGCCAGGATTGCAAAAATCGCTATTTTTCATGATTTTGCAAGTCTGGCACAGGTTTTCCCATAGAAAACCGTGGCAGACTTGCAAAAATCGCAATTTTCATGATTTTGCAAGCCCGGCACAGTTTTTCCCATAGAAAACCGTGCCAGGATTGCAAAAATCGCTATTTTTCATGATTTTGCAAGTCTGGCACAGTTTTTCCCATAGAAAACCGTGGCAGACTTGCAAACATCGCATTTTTCATGATTTTGCAAGCCTCGCACAGTTTTTCCCATAGAAAACCGTGCCAGACTTGCAAAAATCGCATTTTTCATGATTTCGCAAGCCTGACACAGTTTTTCTCGTAGAAAACCGTGCCAGACTTGCAAAAATCGCATTTTTCACCGAAAAACTCGGATTTTGCATGATTTTTTGCGAAATTCTCACTGATCACATCCCGGTTCCTGACAAATCGATTCGGATTTCAAATGAATTTGTCGTAGATGTGCCACCAATGTCGCCACAGTCTTGTACGTCGAACTGCAGATTCGACAATAGAAACGACCGTCGATGAGCGCGTCCTGAAGTTAAATTCTGGGTTTTTGAGTAAAAAAATTGGGGTTTTTGATGGAAAATGGATGATTTTGAGTGTAAATTTGGGTATTTTCAGCTAAAAATCATTATTTTTGCTGAAAACCTTGATTTCCAGCTGAAAATTTGTGAATTACAGCAAGCTGTAGCTGAAAATCAGCTTATCCAGCCAAAATTTAACATTTCCAGCTAGAAAAACAGGATTTACAGCCAGAAAGCTCTATTTTTGCTGAAAACCTTGATTTCCAGCTCGAAATTGTGAATTACAGCAAGCTGCAGCTGAAAATCAGCTTTTCCGGCCAAAATGTAACATTTTCAGCTAGAAAAACAGGATTTTCAGCCAGAAAGCTCTATTTTTGCTGAAAACCTTGATTTCCAGCTCGAAATTGTGAATTACAGCGAGCTGCAGCTGAAAATCAGCGTTTCCAGCTAGAATCCTTCATTTTCAGCTAGGAAAACTGAATTTTCAGCCAAAATCATCAAATCTCCCATATTTCCAGCCAATTTCCCTCACCACATTCTCAAACATCATTCGCGAGTTGGGAACAATCAAATTGCGGCCCTTGGGTCGCACTTTTTTCACCGCCACCTCTTTCCTCGCATTTTTTCGCGGAGCCTTGACGATTTTCGGTTCCTCTTGTGGCTCTGGTTGCTCGGCTGGCTCCATTCTTCGAAAAATTTCATGATTTTTCACAGGAAAATCTGGAAATCCAGGTTTTCCTGCGAAAAACCCGAAAAACAAAAACGAAAAATGAAAATGCGCGCGTGAAATTTCGAAAAACACACAATGTGTGCATTTTTGCGTCGCCGTGTTTGCACACAATTTGAATTTTGTTTTTTTTTCTGCAAAACTTTCGTTTTTCTCGAAATTTCGCGCTGAAAACGATGGATTCGATGATTTCATCGTTTTCAGAATGAAATTTGGATCTGAAACTGTGTGTTGCTGAAATTTTTGCGCTGAAAACGTCCATTTTTCGTCAAAAAAAGCGTTCCCCAGCTTATTTGGTATCAAAATGCTCGAAATTTTGCGCTAAAAACTCCTACAGTAGCCAAATATTTATCACAAAATATATATATATATACAAATGATGTGAGGTAGGTCAAAAAGTCCGAATATCCACCGCCAATTCCGCCAAAACTTTCGTCAATCGCTTCAATTTGTCAGCGGTGGTGTCGAGTCTTTGGGAGATTTGTGAATTTATTGAGCAAATCTGCAAAAATTGAGGGTTACTGTAGATTTTGGCGCGAAATTTGGAGCATTTTGACACCAAATATGCTAGGGTTTGGGTTACTGTAGGGTCCCGCAACGAAAGGGGTACTGTAGATACCGTACCTTGTTATTATTGTTGACTTCCTCAGCTTCAGCCTCGTCTTCCTCCTCCATCATAATCTCGTCCTGTGACGTGGCAGGTGAGCCACGTTTCAGATTTTCTCTGAAATTGGATTACTGTAGGGTACTGTAGGCTAGGCTACCGTACCTCTTGCGATTTTCAGTCAAATTTTCAGCACACGAATGTTCCAGGCAGAAAACTACAGTAACCCGCCCGTCCACGTGTTCCAAAACGTGCACAAAAGCGGTGCAGGATACGGTAGTGAGCTGGCTGAAATTCGGCTGAAATTCTTCTGAAAGTCGGCGTCGCTTTGAAGTTGATGACGTGGCATTTTTCGGGCGACGGCACAGTAGATAGTATTCCTGAAGAAGGGGTACTGTAGTTTTTGGCGCGCGAAATTTGAGACCTACAGTACTCACATTTTCCGTGGCGGGACCCTCGCCAGAACCCACGTAACCGCTTCCATCACTCCGTGAGTCTTCAATCATTGCCAACCAGATCTGAAACGACAATTGATCTACAGTACTCTCCTGGGGTACTGTAGGCGCGAAAATTCCACGTTTTTTGACACCAAACAAGCCTTTTAGGGATTACTGTAGCTCTCGTAGATGTACTGTAGTTTTTTCTCTACTACAGTAATCTAGGGTTACTGTAGAAATTATTGTTTATCTGAGATACAGTTTCCACAGTAACCCAGATCTACAGTACCCCTGAAAAATTTGAATTCCTACAGTAATCCTAGATCTTCTACAGTACCCCCTATCAAATTTGGTATCAAAATGCTCCAAATGTTGAGCTACAGTAACCCAGATCTACAGTACTCACCTGAAAATGCGTAAAATTCTCAAAAATCCGATTTTCGAGCTGAAAATCGCTGAAATTGTGCGATTTCTCCAGATGTTTGCAGAGGAATTCGGGAGTTTCCAGATTTTCCGAGCATTTTGGACACTGGATTCGAATTTCGGAAGACATCTTCTGAAAATCTGAAAATTACAGCTGAAAATTCTGAATTTTCAGATAGAAATTTGAAAATTTCAGACAATTTGGAGAATTTTAAGCCTAAGATCATTATTTTCTGAAAATTTCAGATTTTCAGCCAAATTTCAAGTCTAGGTTCATTTTTTCCAGAATTTTCTGAAACTCTCAAAATTACAGCTGAAAATTCTGAATTTTCAGGCAGAAATCTGAAATTTTCAGATTTTTTGGAGAAAAAATGATTAGAAAAAAAATCATGTGATATTATTTTTGAAAAATTTGAAAACGTGACAAATTTTTCGGAAAAACAAGATTTTTTGAGATTTGGCTGAAATTTCAGAATTTTCAGTTGAAAATTTTGAAATTTCAGATTTTTCGGGGAATTTTGAGCCCGAGATCATTTTTTGGCTGAAAATCTGAAATTTTCAGCCAAATTTCAAGTCTAGACTTATTTTTTTCAGAATTTTCTGAAAATTCCAAATTTCCCACTGAAAATCTTCTCGAATTTTCAGCCGCAAATCTGAAATTCCCGCAAAAATTTCAGTCAAAAAAATTTTGCAACAAAAAAATTCCAAAAAAAAAATTGAGAGATAGAAAAAAAAAGTGAAATTTCTCTCTCATTTTTTTGCAGCCGCAAAAAAAGCGAGAGAGTGTAGGGAAATGAGAGAGTGCGGCGAGAGAAGCACAGATATTGATTATAAAAAACAAACGAAAATGGAGAAGGGGGGGGGGGGCGGCTGGAAATTTTCAGACTTGCTGGAATTTTCAGACTTGGTTTTGGCGCCTACAAAAATTTGCGGAAATTTGAACTCAGCTCGAAATTCTGAGTTTTTAGACACCCATATTGATAAGGTTTTGGGGAAATTTTACCTTAAGGTTCTTAGGGACCTTAATAATTTCTTAACTCAAAAATAAGGCTTCTGTATATCAAACGACTCAGAACTTCATGCTGAACGCGAATTTCACCATGAAATTCGTTAAATTCGTGAAAGATGTCAGAAATATGCAGATTTTCGGGGAAAAATGAAGGTTTTTGGGTTGAAATTGGTTGAAAACTTGATTTTTAAGGTCTTACTCCTACATTTTTGAATTCAGCGTGAAATTTGGAGTTTTTAGACACCCATATTCATAAGGTTTTGGGGAAGTTTTATCTTAAGGTCCTTAGGGACCTTAATAATTTTTTATCTACAAAATAATAGTTTTGTATATCAAACGATAGGGAATTTCGAGCTAAATTCGGAATAGCGTGAGAAAATCCTTAATTTTGACCTTAAGGTACTTAGGGACCTTAATAATCTCTTAGCGCGAAAATATGAGTTTTGTATATCAAACGACTCAGAATTTCATGCTGATTTCAAATTTATTAGAGAAAATCTGTGAAATTTGGAATTAGTATCCGATTCCGCCCAATTTTTCAGATGGCATTGGAGCAGTTCCTGGATTGATTGATCCCGGATTGTGAGGTTCCGGTGCCATTGAAATTCCAGCTGAAAATCTGGAATTTTCAGCCAAAAGCAAATTTTTCTGAGATAAACTCACCAATCAAGAAAATTAGAGCGAAAAGTGTGGAGAATTTGAGCATTTTTGATATGAAAAATAATTTTTCGGACCGATTTTTTAAAACAAAATTTAGTCTCACGAATTATTTTCCTAGATTTATTAGTCTGGAAAAATCTGGATGGTTCGGTTGAATTTTTGGACAACATTCGTGTGAAAATCGGGATTTTTAAAGTATGAAATGCGATTTTTTTTGGGCGAAAATTCAAATTTCAAGAATTTTCTGCAGGAAAAACAGAATCAGCATGAAATTCCCTATCGTTTGATATACAAAACTCATATTTCCAAGTTTAAAAAATATTAAGGTCCCTAAGGTATTTAAGGGCCTTTAGGTCAAAATTAACGATTTTCTTCGTGTCATCCAATTTCAGCATGAAATTCCCTATCGTTTGATATACAAAACATATTTTCAAATTTAAAAATTATTAAGGTCCCTAAGTACCTTAAGGTAAAATTTCCCCCAAACCTTATCAATATGGGTGTCAAAAAGCTCCAAATTTCACAGAGATTCCGAATTCGCGCTTGAAAATCCACAATTTTTCGAGTATAGATTCATTCAGCAAGAAAAAGGGAAGGGAAAGAAAAGTAGTACGGTAATTACAGTAAGTAATTTAAAGGGGGAAAAGGAGCAAAAAAGGGGGAGGGGATATATTTTAAATACAAAAAAAAATCACATTTTTATGGAATTCTTGGGGGATTTTTGGGTTAAAAATCGGAAAAAAAATCGATTTCTGGGTAAAAAACCGCGATTTTTTCAATTTTCAAGCCCAAAATCCGCAATTTTTTTTGCAAAAAACAAAATGTTACTTCCAAAGCGACGCAGCCTTCATCATAAATCCAACTTTAGTCGAAGTATCCACACTGGGAGTCATAGATTCTAGTGTAGTTTGTTGATTTTCAGTAGAAGTTCCACCCAAAATCGCTTGCATTTGTTTATCTTGATTTCTGACAATCGCATCATTTCTATCGGCTTTATTATGGATTCTTTCGAGCATTTCATTTTGAGAATCCACTTCTTTTCCGAGATCGAGGCCGAGTTTTTGGAGATTTCGCAGGTTTGATGACATTGCGTCTGCAAAAATCGAGATCAGCGTGAAATTTGGAGAATTTTGATATACATTTTAAATGGGAACAATTTTTGACCTTAGGGTCGTTAAGGTAGTTAAGGTGTTTAAGGTTATAATGCAAATTTAAAATGATAATTGGGATTTTTCGAAATCAGCGTGAAATTTGGAGATTTTTAATATCCCTTTTTAAATGGAAACAATTTTTGACCTTAGGGTCGTTAAGGTAGTTAAGGTATTTTTGAGGAAAAATAAGATGTTTTGTATGTACATTTTTCAGATCTACATGAAATTTGGAGATTTTTGATATCCATTTTTATATGGGAATAATTTTTGACCTTAGGGTCGTTAAGGTATTTAAGGTTATAATGAAAATTTTCGAAACTATTGAGATATTTTTTGAGATCAGCGTGAAATTTGGAGTTTTTAGACACCCATATTCCTAGGGTTTTAAGGGATTTTTACCTTAAGGTTCTTAGGGACCTTAATAATTTTTAACCTTAAGAATAAGGTTTTTTGTATATCATGTAGGTTTTGTATATCAAACGATAGGGAATTTCATGCTGAAATTAGATTAAACGAAGAAAATCGTTAATTTCGACCTAAAGGTCCTTAAATACCTTAGGGACCTTATAATTTTTTTAAATTTGAAAATATGAGTTTTGTATATCAAACGATAGGGAATTTCATGCTGATTTCAAAAATTCCAGAATTTTTTCCCAAATTTTCCAAATGCTCACCCAAATTCTCATCAATTTGATTATCCATCGCTTCCCAACGTGTTCCTTTAATCGCATTTCGACTCGATTCATTCAAAGTTCTTCCGGAAGGTCCGGAAAATGATGCGGAAGAGTTTCCGGATGATAAATTGGCGGCGGTTTCCGAGAGACGGGAAGCGGATTTTGATTGGGGGACCTGGAATTCATTTTTGGGTGTAATTTGGCTGAAAATATGATTTTCAGGTGGAAATTTTCAGAATTTTTCAAATTTTCAGTCAGAAATGACTGAAAATAGCAATTCTGAGCTCAAAATTCTTGAAATTTTCAGAATTTTCTAATTTCAGGTTTTTGTATCAAAATTTTGGCTGAAAATTGGAATTTTTGACAGTTTTAGGTTGAAAAATTGCTTTTTTCTTTAAAAAAAATCTTCAAATTATCAGAAATTTTCAAAAATCTGATTTTTAGGCTCAAAATGCTCCAAATTTTCAGATTTTTCTCAAAAACCTTCATTTTTCATCAAATTTCCAGTTTCCGGGCTCAAAATGCTCCAAATTTTCAGATTTTGCTCAAAACCTTCATTTTTCATCAAATTTCCAGTTTCTGGGCTCAAAATGCTCCAAATTTTCAGATTTTTAGCTCAAAAACCTTCATTTTTAATCAAATTTCCAGTTTCTGGGCTCAAAATGCTCCAAATTTTCAGATTTTGCTCAAAACCCTTCATTTTTCATCAAATTTCCAGTTTCCGGGCTCAAAATGCTCCAAATTTTCAGTTTTTTCCAAAAAACCTTCATTTTTCATCAAATTTCCAGTTTCTGGGCTCAAAATGCTCCAAATTTTCAGATTTTTAGCTCAAAATCACTCATTTTTCATCAAATTTCCAGTTTCTGAGCTCAAAATGCTCCAAATTTTCAGATTTTTAGCCCAAAATCACTCACATTAGCAACTTCGGTCGGTTCAACCGGTTTCTTCGTGAATTTATTCTTGAAAAACCCGCCAAACACCGATTTCAAGCTATTCAAATTGCGTTGAGTCATTTGTGTAGTTCGATGGATTTCGTCCAAATTCTTCTCGGTTCTCTCCAATTTTTCACGTTGTTCGAGCAATTCTTGCGCAGTGGCCACACCGATTTTCTCGGAATTATCCAAGTGTCGGCGTGATCTTTCGGTACTGTCCAAGGATTCCTGAAAATTCGGAATTTTCGGGGAATTTGGAGCATTTTGAGCACAAATTTGACTGGGTTTGGGATACGGTAGCTTTTTCGGGTCTCGACGCGAAATTTGGAACTTTCTGACACTAAATTGACACTGATGCGGGTACTGTAGCTCGTCAAAAGTTACTGAAGGGGTACTGTAGATTTCCGGTCTCGGGAGGAAATTTGGAATTTTTTTTGACTAGGTTACTGTAAGTTTTTGTGTCCTGCAATGAAATGAGAAATTTTTGGCGCCAAAATTTCTACTGTAGGAAAAATTTCCCCAATTTTTTCGAATTTTGGCTTATTTGATATCAAAAAACGCGAAATTCTCAAATTTTCGCGCCAAAAACTACAGTACCTGCAGATATTTCTCAATTTCCTTCTCATAATAATCCGCCTCGTCTTCTACAGATTGATTAGCCATTGTTGAGTAGCTTTTGACGGGATCTGGAAAGATTTTGATTTTTTTCTGAATTTCAAGTTGGAAATGGGGATTTTCATGAATTCTGGGTTAAAAAACTCGAAATTTCAAGATTTTTCAGCCTAAAATCAATTTCAGATCAATTTTAGCTCAAAAAACTCGAAAAATCACGATTTTTGCACAAAAAAACTGGATTTTCAGCAAATTTTCGAAATTTTCAGCCAAAAAAAAAAAACTCACTAGTCGAACTTGCACTGCTTCCTCGATAATCATCATCAAACGGGTTTCGGGACATCTGCAAATCGAATTTCAGCCTAAAAATCCGGAATTTCAGCTCAAAAATATCAAAAATTTCGGAGAAAAAACCGAAAAATGCACAAAAAAATTGGGAAAATTCAACATAAATCATCTATTTTGCATATAAATATATACATTTTTCGAAAAAAAAAAACAAAAAAATCTACGTGGCAATTAGAAAAATTCAAAATTTTTTTGGCAAAATTCCAAAAAATCTGAAAAATTATTGAAGTTGCGAGAATTCGTTGGGTGTCAGGATTTTCGATTGCATTTTTTTGATGAGTGGAACTGGAAGAGAAAAATGATTATTGATTTTTGCAGGGGGTACTGTAGTGTCCAGGGGTACTGTAGTTGTTTGGGGCGAAAAATTTGGAGCATTTTGATACCAAATGGGTTACTGTAGATTTTTCCACGTGGAAAAATATTTCTAGATCGAAATTGAGCTCAAAATGCTCTAAAAATCATAAAATTTCAGATTTTCAGATAAAATTTGTGCTCAAAATGCTCCAAAAATTCAGAATTTAAAGATTTTCCCATCAAATTCGGGCTCAAAATGCTCCAAAAATTCAGAATTTCAACATTTTCCCATCGAATTCGGGCTCAAAATGCTCCAAAAATCATGAAATTTTAGATTTTCCCATCAAATTTGAGCTCAAAATGCTCCAAAAATTCAGAATTTCAACATTTTCCCATCAAATTCGGGCTCAAAATGCTCCAAAAATTCAGAATTTCAACATTTTCCCATCAAATTTGAGCTCAAAATGCTCCAAAAATTCAGAATTTCAACATTTTCCCATCAAATTCGGGCTCAAAATGCTCCAAAAATTCAGAATTTCAACATTTTCCCATCGAATTCGGGCTCAAAATGCTCCAAAAATTCAGAATTTCAACATTTTCCCATCAAATTCGGGCTCAAAATGCTCCAAAAATTCAGAATTTCAACATTTTCCCATCGAATTCGGGCTCAAAATGCTCCAAAAATTCAGAATTTCAACATTTTCCCATCAAATTCGGGCTCAAAATGCTCCAAAAATTCAGAATTTCAACATTTTCCCATCGAATTCGGGCTCAAAATGCTCCAAAAATCATGAAATTTTAGATTTTCCCATCAAATTTGAGCTCAAAATGCTCCAAAAATTCAGAATTTCAACGATTTTCCATCGAATTTGAGCTCAAAATGCTCCAAAAATCATGAAATTTCAGATTTTCCCATTAAATTCAGGCTCAAAATGCTCTAAAAATTCAGAATTTCAAGATTTTCCCATCGAATTCGGGCTCAAAATGCTCCAAAAATTCAGAATTTCAAGATTTTCCATCAAATTTGAGCTTAAAATGCTCCAAAAATTGTGAATTTTGAGATTTTCAGATAAAATTTGGGCTCAAAAATTCAGAATTTCAATATTTTCCCATCAAATTCGGGCTCAAAATGCTCCAAATGTTCCAATTTTCAACATTTTCCCATCGAATTCGGGCTCAAAATGCTCCAAAAATTGAGAATTTTTCAGATTTTCAGGTCAAAATGCTCCAAATTTTCCAATTTTCAACATTTTCCCATCAAATTCGGGCTCAAAATGCTCCAAATCAACTCACCAGTATAAGCAACAGTAGCATCCCATCCAGGTTTCGCCCAAGTCGAAGTTCTCGTATCATTTCTCGCCGACATTGTTGGATATGCCCAAATATGATAAACCACATAGAGTTGTCCGACTTGCGCGAAAAATCCTCCAACATCCTGATTGTGTTCGCGACGATAATTGATTCCTTTTGCCCAAGCGGAAGCCCATTCAATCATGGTTCCTGGCTGGAAATTTCGAGATTTTTGGGCTGAAAATGGGCTGAAAATCGTGAATTTTCACGATTTTTGATGAATTTTGAACCAAAAATCGTGTTTTTTGATGAAAATTGAGCATTTTTCAGTGATTTTCAGTCAAATTCTCAAATTTTCAGTCAAAAATCATGATTTCTAGCTCATTTTCAGTCAAAAATCATTATTTTCAGCTCATTTTCAGTCAAAAATCATGATTTTCAGCTCATTTTCAGTCAAATTTTCAGCCACCAACCTGCAAAACATAACTTCTCAAATCGTAAACATGCGATGGCGGCCGATTTTCGGGCTCTTTCCAGTAGCTGAACGATTTGACGATGATGTTTTTGCGGCGACCGCACAATTTTGCCACGTCATTGTCGGCTGCGCGGATGGCGGCATCTTTGGTGTGAAGAGCAATGTTTCTGGAGAGAAAATTTGGAGCATTTTGAGCCCGAATTTGACATACTTTTGGGGGTACTGTAGCTTTTGAAACAATTTTTATGCAGAAAAATTGAGCCTAGGCTCAAAATGCTCCAAATTTCACGCTCAAAAATTATCCAAGGCTCATTTTCAGCCCAGAAAACTTGAAATTCAATTTTTTTCGCTGCGAAATTGAACCTAAGCATATCTAGACTCAAAATACGTGGATTTTCGCTCTAAAATCATCCAAGGCTCATTTTCAGCCAAAAATCTTGAAAATTGAGTGCGAAAATCAGATTTTCATGGAAAAATCGAGTCTGAGCTCGAAATGCTCCAAATTTTCAGATTTTGCTCAAAAGCCTTCATTTTTCATCAAATTTCCAGTTTCAGGGCTCAAAATGCTCCAAATTTTCAGAATTTTGCTCAAAAACCTTCATTTTTCATCAAATTTCCAGTTTCTGGGCTAAAAATGCTCAAAATTTTCAGATTTTGCTCAAAAACCTTCATTTTTCATCAAATTTCCCGTTTCTGAGCTCAAAATGCTCCACATTTCAAGATTTTGCTCAAAAACCTTCATTTTTCATCAAATTTCCAGTTTCTGGGCTCAAAATGCTCCAAATTTCACGTTTCAAACTCATTTTCAGCTCAAAAATCTCAATTTTCAGCCCAAAAAAAAACTCACAAATCCACATCCTCATGCGATTTATTGTGTCTCCACAAATGAATCGCCTGATCTCTAGTCCGTCCATAAGCAACAGTCCAACTTCCCACCAATTCAACACTTGGCGCTTTTGAGTTGAGCTCATTTTTGTAGTTGGCAAATGCTTTCAGATAAGTCTCCTGCTCTCCGGGCCGATAATTGTGGGCTGTAGGAAAAAATCGGGCTTTCTGGGGCTTTTTTAGGCCAAAAATAGCGTTTTTTGGGTCATTTTTCACCCAAAAAAAGGGATTTTCCCGAAAAAAAACTCAAAACTCACTTTGAAATTCATACATATATTCGGAATTCGAGAGCAATGATGAATGTGATTGTTTTTGCCATGCTGATGGATCTTGACCTTTCTGGAATGAAAAATTTGGGATTTTTCGACATCAAACAAGCCTGGGTTCGATTTTTGGAGCGAAAAATTTAAATTCAAATTTTTTTCGAATTTTTTGACACCAAACAAGCCTGGGTTCGATTTTTGGAGCGAAAAATTTAAATTCAAATTTTTTTTCCAATTTTTTGACACCAAACAAGCCTGGGTTCGATTTTTGGAGCGAAAATTTTGAATTCAAATTTTTTTTCGAATTTTTTGACACCAAACAAGCCTGGGTTCGATTTTTTGGAGCGAAAATTCTGAATTCAAATTTTTTTTCGAATTTTTTGACACCAAACAAGCCTAGGCTCATCTAGTTTCAAAAAATTACAAATTTTTCGTTCAAAATTCTTCTCTGCTCTAATTTTTGCTCAAAAAACCCACCAAAAGTTTGCTAATCCACCCTCTTTTCTCCTCATTTTCACCAGATTGTTGACATTTTGAAGTGGCCGACAATTGTCTGAAAAATCGCTTTTATAGAGAAAATCGGAAATTTCGGGGCAAAAACACGTAAAATCAAAGCTGCGCAACAAAAAAAACCAAAAAAATAGAGTTTAGATGGAAAATTGATGAGTAAATTGGGGAATTCGATCGTTTTGCCCATTTTTTCGAGCATTTTCAATATCTTCCAATGTGTGAACTCCAGTTGGCATCCAAATGCTGGTAAATCTGCAAAAAAAAGTTTTTTTGATGAAATTCTTGATCAGCATCAAATTCCCTATCGTTTGATATACAAAATCCATATATTTAGGGGAAAAAATTATTAAGGTACCTAAGGTCTTTAAGGTCAAAATTAACGATTTTCTTCGTTTAATCCAATTTCAGCATGAAATTCCCTATTGTTTGATATACAAAACTCATATTTTCAAATTTAAAAAATTATTAGGTTCCCTAAGGTCTTTAGGGACCTTTAGGTCAAAATTAACGATTTTCTTCGTTTAATCCAATTTCAGCATCAAATTCCCTATTGTTTGATATACAAAACTCATATTTTTGAGAGAAACATTATTAAGGTATCTAAGGTCTTTAAGGACCTTAAGGTAAAAAAAATCCCCAAGCTATATCAATATGGGTGTCTAAAAACTCCAAATTTCACGCTGAATTCAAATTTTCAGTCAAAAATATGAATTTTTCAGCCCAAATCCTTACCCATTCAAATTGCCGAACATAATATCGGTATCCAATCGATCTCCAAACATACACGTCCTCTTCGCCTCCACTTTTGCTCTTCTCAACAAAAAATCGGCAATCGGTTGATGCGGTTTCCCGAACACTTTTGGCTGTCTTCCAGTCACAGCTGACACGGCAGCCGATGTGATTCCGGAACCCGGAATTATTATTGCCGGATTTGGACCGGGGAATGTGTAGTCTTGATTTGTGACGAGATATTCTACGGTGGGGTCCTAGAAATTTGAGATTTTTTGGGAGAAATCAAGGGTTTTAGGTGGAAAATTGAGATTTTCGTACGATTTTTCGTCCGAAATTCGATTTTCGTTCGATTTTTCGTTCGGAATTCTCTTTTCGTACGATTTTTGGTCCGGAATTCGATTTTCGTACGATTTTTCGTCCGGAATTCGATTTTTCGTGCGAAATTCGATTTTCGTTCGATTTTTCGTTCGGAATTCTCTTTTCGTACGATTTTTGGTCCGGAATTCGATTTTCGTACGATTTTTCGTCCGGAATTCGATTTTTCGTGCGAAATTCGATTTTCGTACGATTTTTCGTTCGGAATTCGATTTTCCTACGATTTTTCGTCCGAAATTCGATTTTCGAGCAAATTTTCAGCTAGTCTAGTGGGTTTTCATCTCTAGAGTTCAAAAATTGATGATTTTCAGAGAAAAGAGCTTTGAGAGCAGATTTTGGGCTCAAAATCATGATTTTCAGCTCAAAAATCGAAAATTCACGATTTCTGATAACTCTTCAGCTGATTTTCTAGTCAGAAGCTCAATTTTTAGCTCAAAATTCGAGTTCTGGCCTGAAAAAGAGCCTGTGGCTCAGAAATCGAAAAATCATGATTTCTAGTTGAAAATGAGCCGCAAATGCACAATTTCAGAGCTCAAAAACCAAATTTTCTGAGCATTATCATGTTCCAAACCCAGAATTGCCACAAAAACCATGTTTTTAGGTCAGAAAGAGCTTTACAATCTCAATTTCCACAGGAAAACCACGATTTTCCATCAAAACCCTTACCTTCAAATAATTTGCGGCCTTCATAATTTTCGGATAGCTAAAATGTGCATCATAGCTACAAATCACGGCCTTTGGTCGTTTCTCCAAATCCAAATCATGTATAAAATCACCCTGTGTATAATTTCGAATCGAATCCTCACCCGTCCCAAAAACCCGCACATTTCCCTCATTTTCCAGGGTATTTTTCAAATTTTCGGTTCCAATCAGGTAAATCCATTGATCCGCGTAGGTTTCCGCGCGGCTTTTCAGATAATCCGCGAGAACTATCGCCGGACTTATCACATTTTCTTTTCCGATTTTAACAAATCCTAATTTCTCGATCTTTTTCATGTATTGTTCGAGGGTTTTTGTGGAATTGTTAGTTAGGACAAATACGGTTTTTTGGGGATTTTCGATAAGTTCGTTGATAAATTCGATTGCTCCAGGGATCGGAATATCACCAGTCCATAAAACACCATCGGCATCGAAGAGATAGGTGTCGAAGTTTGAGAGAAGTTCGGATTTTGAGATGTTTCGGAGGGACATCTGGAGAATTGCGGGGGAAAAATTCGAATTCAAATTTTTCTTGGCACGAAAAATCCGCGCAAAAAATTAAAATTCAAATTTTTGGCGGGAAAATGAAAAGAAAAAAATTAAAATTAAAAAAAAATAGAAAAAAAAATGAAAAGTTCACGTTTTGATTTGAAAATTGGATTGTTATTGATTTTTCAGGGGATTTTCAGAGATTTTCAAATTTTCCACTGATTTTCAGATAATTCTGAGCTCAAATTTGCTCTGAAAATCAAGCATTTTAACTGGAAATTGCTCAAAAACCATAATTTTAGAGCAATTTTCAGTCAAAATCCAATTTTCTACTGATTTTCAGATAATTTTCAGCGCGAAAAATTCAAATTCAAAATTTTTGGCGGGAAAAATAATTGAAAATGAAAAAAAAAATGAAAATTTTGATTAAAAAATGCTCTGAAAATCAAGATTCAGAGCAATTTTCAGTCAAAAATCCAATTTTCAGCCCTTTTGAAGCTAAAAATGTGAAAAATCAATAAAATCCGTATATTTCTTCAACACACTAAAAAAACGAGAAAAGAAATATGCTTGTCTCTGACTGTCTGCCGTCTCTTCTACACATTTCTATCTCTCGCCTATTTCGTCATAAACTGGAATTTCGCTTCTTTTCTTTCATAACATGTACTTTTTTATGAAATATAGGATTCTGTGCTGAAAAAATCGATTTCCGGGCTGAAAATGCAAGATTTTCAGCGAAAAAATCGATTTTTTGAGGTTTTATCAATCAAAAAAATATATGAAAATGATAAAAATCACATTTTCTCTTTTTCTTTTTCAAACAAAAAGCAAAAAAACAGGGAAAATATAATAATGATAATAAATTATGGAAAAAATAAAATAAATAAAGCAAATTTTTATTTGGGAAAAATATCGAATGACAATTTGAATATAAACAAAGCGATGGGGGCAAAAATGGCGCGAAATTCAAAAATTCTTCTCACCTTGTGGCTATCAATTGTGAGCGTGGGAAAATTGAGGAGATTAGCAGATTTCCAGCACGGTTCATTATCTGGAAATTTGAAAATGTTGAGGTTTTTCTGGGTTCTGGAGCTGAAAAACAGGATTTTTCAGGTCCTGGAGCGAAATTTAGAGGTTCATAGATCGCATCGCTCCCCCTGCAGGGGCCATTAGGGTCTATCACTTTGCTATTTTTTTTAATTGAGGGGGTCTATCACTGAGGTTCAATTTTTGTATGGAAGGCGCGAGCCTTCCATCAAAAAAAAAAATTTTTTTTGTTCTCAAAAAAAATTTAAAAATTTTGCAACACCATTGCTCTTGGCAGGAATCGATCCAGCGACTTTCAGCATTATAAGCTCGCGCCTTAACGACTGCGCCAAGCTTGCACTTTTCTTCCCATTCTTCTTTTTTAAAGATATGATTGGTGAGATGAGAGATAGAAAAGAGAAGAGATCATCAGCTTGAAGAAAATTTGCATATTTTCTGTCTGACAATTGTCAAAATAATACTTGAACGAGTAAAAGTTGAAACATGAAACTTGGCACACATAAAATTAAGCGTAGTCTGAAGGGTATTGAACAATAAAATCGGAGGGGAGACCCTAGAACTCAAGGTGCACACCCGGTCCACTGAAGAGGCCTTTTTTGACTAGTTTAGGGGACCGGGTATGCACCTCACTTCTGAGTCATTATTTCGGGTAGAACTGTTTAGAACTTTATATTAGAGGAAATTTGCTAACTTTCTATTCAAAAATATTTTAGAAAACCATACTAAAATGGTATTTCCTTGAGGGGTGAAAATGTGCATTTTTTACAAAAAAAAATTTTTTTTGAAATCGAGGGAAATCCAAGATTTGATTTTCGTTTTTTCTTTAAATCAAACTAATGACTTAATTTGAGTCACTGAACTACGTGGTGACCTCAAATACTACCAGAAACTTTTCCAAAACGAGTTACAGTAATTGCCAAAAAGATACTAACTTTTGATTTTTGCTATTAATCACTTTATCTTTTTCAAATCAGGCACAAATTTTTTCTGAGCTATTTGGGTCACTAGTGCATATAGCCTATCAATTCCAACTCTGATACTACAATTTCATTCATTATGAGATCTATTCCGATGGTTTCAGTGAGACCATCTAGAAAAATTGTTATGACCCAATAAATCGATTTTCATGGCATATTATTATTGCATTTTCGATAAAACACTTCCATTTGAGCATTCTAAATCCTAAACATCATTATTGAAACGAAAAGCAATGTATTTTGTATGATTTTGACATTGATGGAATTCGGATGTTTCTCTCGATCTTCGTGTCGGGATCATCGAGGAAATTAAAAATTTATGGTCACCACGTAGTTCAGTGACTCAAATTAAGTCATTAGTTTGATTTAAAGAAAAAACGAAAATCAAATCTTGGATTTCCCTCGATTTCAAAAAAATTTTTTTTTGTAAAAAATGCACATTTTCACCCCTCAAGGAAATACCATTTTAGTATGGTTTTCTAAAATATTTTTGAATAGAAAGTTAGCAAATTTCCTCTAATATAAAGTTCTAAACAGTTCTACCCGAAATAATGACTCAGAAGTGAGGTGCATACCCGGTCCCCTAAACTAGTCAAAAAAGGCCTCTTCAGTGGACCGGGTGTGCACCTTGAGTTCTAGGGTCTCCCCCTCCGATTTTATTGTTCAATACCCTTCAGACTACGCTTAATTTTATGTGTGCCAAGTTTCATGTTTCAACTTTTACTCGTTCAAGTATTATTTTGACAATTGTCAGACAGAAAATATGCAAATTTTCTTCAAGCTGATGATCTCTTCTCTTTTCTATCTCTCATCTCACCAATTATATCTTTAAAAAAGAAGAATGGGAAGAAAAGTGCAAGCTTGGCGCAGTCGTTAAGGCGCGAGCTTATAATGCTGAAAGTCGCTGGATCGATTCCTGCCAAGAGCAATGGTGTTGCAAAATTTTTAAATTTTTTTTTGAGAACAAAAAAATTTTTTTTTGATGGAAGGCTCGCGCCTTCCATACAAAAATTAGGGTGTATCACTCGCGATTAATTTTTTTTAATAGGGTGTATCACTTTGAGGTTCAGAGGGGAAGATTGCGATGTATGTAGAGGTTTCTCGGGTTCTGGAGCGAAAATTAGAGGTTTTTGGGTTTCTGGAGCTGAAAAACAGGATTTTTCAGGTCCTGGAGCGGAATTTCAAGGTTTTTTGAGCTCTTGGAGCCAAATTTGGAGGTTTTTCGGTTTCTGGAGCTGAAAAACAGGATTTTTCAGGTCCTGGAGCGAAATTTAGAGGTTTTTCAGCTTCTGGAGCTGAAAAACAGGATTTTTCAGGTCCTGGAGCGAAATTTTGAGGTTTTTCGGCTTCTGGAGCTGAAAAACAGGATTTTTCAGGTCCTGGAGCGGAATTTAGAGGTTTTTCGGTTTCTCGAGGTGAAAAACAGGATTTTTAAGGTCCTGGAGCGAAAATTAGACGTTTTTCGGTTTCTGGAGCTGGAAAACAGGATTTTTCAGGTCCTGGAGCGAAATTTAGAGGTTTTTTCGGTTTCTGGGGCTGAAAAACAGGATCTTTCAGGTCCTGGAGCGAAAATGAAGGATTTTTCAGGTCCTGGAGCGGAATTTCAAGGTTTTTCGGGTTCTGGAGCTGAAAAACAGGATTTTTCAGGTCCTGGGGCCGAATTTACTAAAGTGGTATACCAAAAATTAATGAAGAAAAAATTGGGCGTACCAAAAATTGCTGAACAAATTTTTTTGGTACACCAAATTTTTCTTCATTAATTTTTGGTATACCACTTTAGTAAATTCGGCCCCTGGAGCGAAAATAATGAATTTTACGGGGCCTGGAGCGGAATTTAGAGGTTTTTAGGTTTCTGGAGCTGAAAAACAGGATTTTTCTGATCCTGGAGCGAAATTTCAAGATTTTTGAGCTCTTTGAGCCAAATTTGGTGATTTTTAGAGTAAAAATTCAAAGATTTTTGAGCTTTTCCTGATTTCTTGCTATTTTTATAACCAAAAATGTGTTTTTTCAATGCCACGTGAAATTTGTGGCGAAAAAATTCACGTCAAAACCAAAATTTCTCAAAATCAGTCATTTCTCAAAAATTTTCATTTCAAAAATGCTGCCAATTCAATTTTTGGTGAGTTTTTGAGCGAAAAAATCAAAAATTTGGTACAAAAAAAAACTTTTTTTGGGTCAAAAGACAAGAAATGAGTGAGAAATTGACAGAGAAAAAATAAACAAGTGTTTGTTTTTTCCCTGGTTTTTTTTACACACACACACATAGAGACAATCGATAATGAAAGATCACGTGTTCGGTTTGATTTGCTTCAAAACACACAGAAAAATGTGGCCTAGAAAACCAAGGAATTGATTTTCTAGGTCATGGACTAGATTTCTGTCTGAAAAACTAGGTTTTTTGGCGGTAAAACTAGTCCATGACTTATTTTTCAAGAAAAATTCGATTTTTATTGGTTTTCTAGGTCGCGGACTAGGTTTTGATGGCCTAGAAAGCCAAATTGATTTAGGAATTGGTTTTCTAGGTCATGGACTAGAAACTATATTTAAAAAACTAGTCCATCACTTGTTTTTCAAGAAAAATTCGATTTTTTTGGTTTTCTAGGCCAGGGACGAGTTTCAGAAGGTCTAGAAACCCAAAATTCAGAGAAAATCGATTTTGGACCTATAGAAACAGTGTTTCTCAGGGAAATAGCGAATAATTTGGTTTTCTAGGCCGCGGACTAGCTTATAAACTAGTCCGCATCCCAGAAGATGGTATTTTTCATGAAAACAGGTATTTTTCATGGTTTCGAACCATTTTTCATCCAGAAAATTTCCGCTTTTGAATAAAAACTTGAGATTCTTCATTAAAGGTATGAAACAACAGAAACAACAACTATACTATCAAAATTATCGGGATTTCTATTCCGATTTATTCTCCGAAACCGGTCTTGTAACATGCTCAACATGATTGGCAATAATATAAGTGTTTCTTTGCGTACGATTTCCCGCCTCATCCTTTTGACCGCCCGAATAATGCAATCTTCCTTGAACATTCAATCGATTGCCCTTTTTGATCGATTTGAACAATTCTTCGGCACGATTACCGAACACTGTCACTGTATGTCTCTCAGTTTGATCCACATAATTACCATCGTGTGTTTTGAAGCTGTGATTTGTGATAAGATTGAAGAGCAAGTAGGATTTGTTGTTCTTTCCAGTTCTGTAGATTGGATCAACAGCGACACCGCCAACTAATTCGACTTTATTGATACTGAAAGCGTGTCGTCTTTTCTCTTCCGGTTGCTCAGAGAACAAATCGTTTACCTAGAAAAAGAAAAAACCATGAAATCTCGTTAAAAATCAATTCCTACCGCTTTCTGCGTCTTGATCTCCGATGCAACTAATCTCGAGGTCGAGAACAATCGTGTAGAAACACTTCGCAACATCTGAAATTGATAGAATCTGTGAAAAACCCTCTGAATTCAAAAGCGCACGCGAAAAAAAATAAAAATAAGGGGCGTGGCCTATTCTCGCAACACCTCGCACACTTTTCTTGCCAACGCGCCGCACAGTTTCTCCATTTTCATCATTTTTTTTTATTGCAGGTCACATCTGTTCATTCTGTTTGCCCACACTTTGTTGTATTTCTCACCAAAAAGCAAGGACAACACACATTTCAAGGTAAGTGGTTTGTAGTTAAAAATAGCTTGAATTGCTGAAAAACTCGTTTTTTTTCCCATCAAAAAATTTTAAAACACGAAAAATTGAGGTCAAGTGACTTTACAGCCATTTATTATATCATTTTGCCTCATTTTTGCGCGCGAAAAATCGATATTTTGGTGGATTTTCGTGAGGTTTCTTGAATTTTCAGTGAAAAACTTATTCACTTAGGATTTTTAGCTGAAAAATTCGTTTTTTCGACGAAAAAGCTGACATTCGGCTAGAAATCATGATTTTCAGCCAAAAACTTTGATTTTTTTTGAAATTCAAGTCGAAAATCAGGATTTTTATCAATTTTTGATTCAAAATTCTGAAAAACAGCCAATTTTCAGTCTAGAACTCTGAAAATGATGAGTTTTTGCTTGAAAACATCAATTTTCAGCCAAATTTTGCTCTGAAACTCTAAAAATCGTGAAAATTTCGCATTTTCCAGTCAAAACTTGTGAAAAGTGCTGAAAAACATGAATTTTCAGCCAGAAAATCTGAAGTTTGAGTCGTTTATTTCTCTGCGCTCTCTAATCAGCAGACCAAATGGTCTGCTCGTTTATTTCTCTGCGCTCTCTAATCAGCAGACCAAATGGTCTGCTCGTATATTTCTCTGCGCTCTCTAATCAGCAGACCAAATGGTCTGCTCGTTTATTTCTCTGCGCTCTCCAATCAGCAGACCAAATGGTCTGCTCGTATATTTCTCTGCGCTCTCTAATCAGCAGACCAAATGGTCTGCTCGTTTGTTTCTCTGCGCTCTCTAATCAGCAGACCAAATGGTCTGCTCGTTTATTTCTCTGCGCTCTCCAATCAGCAGACCAAATGGTCTGCTCGTATATTTCTCTGCGCTCTCTAATCAGCAGACCAAATGGTCTGCTCGTTTATTTCTCTGCGCTCTCCAATCAGCAGACCAAATGGTCTGCTCGTTTATTTCTCTGCGCTCTCCAATCAGCAGACCAAATGGTCTGCTCGTCTATTTCTCTGCGTTCTCCAATCAGCAGACCAAATGGTCTGCTCGTTTATTTCTCTGCGCTCTCCAATCAGCAGACCAAATGGTCTGCTCGTTTATTTCTCTGTGCTCTAACTGTTTGACTGAAAATCGTTGAAAACCCAAAAAATATGTGAAAATTCGTGATTTTCAGCCAAATCGCTCAAAATGGTTGGCGGAAGTCGAACCGGCGTCCATTTGGTGCTGGGCTTCCTCATCGGCTGCATTCTGGCTCTTTTTTTCATGTCAAATCAGCCGGCCACTGAAATTATGGCCGCTTTTTCATCGGACTGTCGAAAATCTGTGGACGATTTGAGAAATGTGGAAGCGCTAGAAGCCACGTGGCAAGAAGGAAGGGAATATAAGGATGTTAGCGAACATTGGGAGGTTTGTGCAAATTTTGGGGGAAAATGACCTAAAATTCATGATTTTTGGTCAAAAATGACCCTATTTTCACCCTAAAGGACCCTATTTTTACCCTAAAATGACCTAAAATCAATTCCAGGTTCACCAAGACACAATGCCTTCTTCACCACCCAACCAAGACGCTACACCAAAAGTGGTTAGGTCTAGATTTGCCGCGACTGAATTGGGAACTCGCGAACGACTTATGGTAACTGTTATGGCTGAATCTGCGTTGGCTTTATCGATTAATACGACGCTGGGAAGGTGAATTTTGAATTTTTTTGAATTCGGCGGGAAATTTGGAGCAGAATGATACCCATTTTTATGGGTTTTTGGGGATTTTTGACCTTAAGGTACTTAAGGTCCTTAGGACACTTAAGTGCGTTTAGAGAATTTCGCTCGATTTTGGTTCTATGTGTGTGTAATTCTGAGCCTTTAGACACCCATATTCATAGGGTTATGGTGAATTTTTACCTTAAGGCTCTTAAGGACCTTAATAATTGTTTATCTGAAAAATATTGATTCTGTATATCAAACGATGGGGAATTTCACTCTGATCACGAATTCACCAAAGGAAGTCGCTAAAAAATTGGATTTAAGGCACTTTTAACGTGAAATTTTAATTTCAGACATGTTCCACGAGTTCACCTTTTTGCTGATAGTTCTCGAATCGATAATGATATGGCACAACTCACAAATTTGAGCCCTTATAAGCTAAATGGCCAGAAAACGCATACAATGGTCCTTGGATTGCTTTTTAATATGGTAAGAACTTAATTTTTACGAAATTTTCATTAAAAATGGTCAAAAAACCCTAAAAATTACAGAATTTTCACCAAAAAATGCGTAAGTTTCAATGTTGTTCTAGTTCCTTTGTATTCCCTGCTGAAAAATTGTCTGAAAATTCCAAACCTGAAATTAATTTCAGACAGTTCACGAGAATTACGATTGGTTCCTTTTGGTCAAAGATTCCACGTATATTAATCCGTTTGTATTGTTGAGAATGATTGAAACGGTGAGATTTTGTTCAAATTCGGGAAATTTGGTTGAAAATGAGCTATTTCCAGCCAGAAAACGTGGATTTTCAGCCAAAAAATCGATATTTTCAGATGAATTGGAATGAGCCGGTTGTAATGGGCGAAGAAGCTGAAGATGGATCCGGGCGATGTCGATTGGACACTGGAGTTTTGCTAAGTAACCCGGCTATGCAAACGCTGATACAGTAGGTTTTTGGGTGGGAAAAAATGGATTTTTAAAGCTCTGAAACTAATTTTTCGAATTCCGCGGGAAATTTGGAGTTTTTAGACACCTCTAATGATATGGTTTGGAGGAATTTTTACCTTAGAGTCCTTAGGGACCTTAATAATGACCGAGTCGTATATTTCTCTGCGTTCTCCAATCAGCAGACCAAATGGTCTGCTCGTCTATTTCTCTGCGCTCTCTAATCAGCAGACCAAATGGTCTGCTCGTCTATTTCTCTGCGTTCTCCAATCAGCAGACCAAATGGTCTGCTCGTCTATTTCTCTGCGTTCTCCAATCAGCAGACCAAATGGTCTGCTCGTCTATTTCTCTGCGTTCTCCAATCAGCAGACCAAATGGTCTGCTCGTTTATTTCTCTGCGCTCTCTCTAATCAGCAGACCAAATGGTCTGCTCGTTTATTTCTCTGCGCTCTCTCCAATCAGCAGACCAAATGGTCTGCTCGTCTATTTCTGTGCGCTCTCTCCAATCAGCAGACCAAATGGTCTGCTGACTGAATTTCCAAAAAATCAAACATTTTCCAGACAACGTCACACTTGTAACATGCTAGCCCCAGAATCCGACAATGATCAATTAGCCTTCGAAAAATGCATTCAAATTGCCACCAATTTGACGTGTCGACCAATTCATCAAGGAGTACGGTATGAGGTTTGGAGAGGAGCTGAAAGAGCTGATAGTCCAGCTGCACATGATTCGATTGATGAATGGAGACATTCGAAACAATTTAGTCGAGCGCTTGCTGTGCCCAGATTGCTCAGGTTAGCCGAAATTCAGGATTTTTAGTGAAGGAGGAATTTGGTCTAAAATCACATTTTTTGTATCCAAACCCCAATTTTTCGGCTTCAGCGTGAAATTTGCAGTTTTTAGACACCCATATTCGTAGGGTTTGGGTGATTTTTTACCTTAAGGTCCTTAAATTTTTTCATCTGAAAATATAAGTGTTGTATATCAAACGATAGGGAATTTTACGGCGAAAACGGATTAAGCTAGGAAAATCCTTAAATTTGACCCTAAGGTCCTTAGCGACTCTAATAATTGGAAAATATAGGTGTTGTATATCAAACGATAGAGAAATTTATATTTTTCCAGCGACGCGGACGCCGCCGCTCTCCACGACTATTTCGTCCGCGTCGAAATGGCGCGAACCGACCGCGAAATCGCCAAAATGGAAGCGGAACTGGTGCGCCTCGCTGAAGAAGAGTCGCAAGAAACCGGCGAACCGATAAGTTGGCCGCCAGCCCTTCCACCATACGCCAAACCACCAAATCGCTATCAAGTGCCAACTTGGGAATATTTTACGATGACCGAGATTTTTAAGGTGAAAATTTGGTGGAAACGCTAAATTTTGAGCTAAAATTCATGAAAAATTGAGATTTTCGTCGATTTTTGGCTCAAAATGCTCCAAAATTCGTGTTTTCATCTAAAAATTCCGGATTTTCAGAGTGAAACCAATCAAAATGTAAGAAGACTAGAAGGAAATGATTTTGATGACGTGGCAGAAGTTGTTGTCGCCGCGAGACAACAAGTTGAATCTGAAGAGCCCGAGCTCGAATTTGTGCAACTCAGAAATGGATATAGGTGCGAATTTTGCTCAAAAATCATCATTTTCAGCCCTGAAAAATGCTGAAAATCCTTTTTTTGCAGAGTTTTCGATCCTCGCCGTGGAATGGATTATATGATTGATTTGATCTACCGAAAAACCATCCAAGAATCACCAGAAAATCCACAGGAAAATCAAGAATCGCAAGAAAATTTGAAAGAACTCACAATCGAGAAACGAGTTCATGTTAGTCGAATGATTGCAAATACACAGCTTATGAATCAGGTTCCATATGTCAAAGAGGATACCGATGTGACTATTGTTGTACCTGTGGCTAATGAGAATGAGGTATTTGGGGATTTTGGTGAAAAATGCGTTTTTCTGAGTGAAAATTGACCAAAAAATGCTCCAAAATGAGCTATCCTGGGTGATTTTTGGTGAAAAATTCGTTTTTCTGGCTGAAAATTGACCTGAAATTAATTTTTGACCACATTTTTGGCTTAAAGCGAGCTATAATGGTCCCTAGTGGAAATTAAATCAAAAATGTGAAAAGTGGGGAAAATTTAGTTGAAAATAAGCCGTTTTGGGTGATTTTTGGTGACCTAAAATTAATTTTAGATGAAAAATTAGTTTTTCGTTTTTCTGGGTGAAAATTGACCTGAAAATCAATTTTTGGCCAAATTTTTTCATTTTTAATGGTCCCTAGAGCAAAAATGCTCCAAAATGAGCTGTCCTAGGTGATTTTTGGCTCATTTTCCCCGCCAAAAACTACAGTAACCCTACAGTAACCCTAATTTTTCAGGTTCTCCCGGCTCGAAAATTGCTCGCCCGACAAGCCAGATTATGCCTTTCGCCAAGTGAAGAAGCGAGAAAGGTGAGTTTCTTTTTTTTTGGGGCGGAAATTGCTCATGTTAAGCTTGAAAATCCGAAAAATTGATGAATTTTGTATCGAAAAATTGCGCATTGCTCATTTTAAGCCAAAAAATCACGAATTTCATGAATTTCAGATCAAAAACCATTGAATTTAGGTTTTAAAAACCCAAAATTTTCAAATTTTCCTTCAAAAAATCACGAATTTGATGAATTTCTGATCACATTGCTCATGTTAAGCTTAAAAATTCAAAAATTGATGAATTTCTGGCCAAAACAATATCTAGAATGCGGAATTTTTGGTTAAAAATTTCCAAATTGCTCATTTTAAGCTTAAAATTATGAAAATTTAGCGTAACTTTGCTCAGAATTATTCAAAATTAATGAATTTTATATCAAAAAATCCCCATTTTTTTTCGCAGACTCGAGTTGTAATCGCAGTCTTCCCAGAAGTCGATATTCGATCTATAACCTATATGTCAAATGATATGGAAGAACTCAAAAGGCGGTGTAAAAGATCGGCCCTTGAAACTGATATTCTATCAGTTCGAAAAGAATGGTCGAATTTCCATGAAATTGGACAAGGAACCATATCAGCTGCTGCTTTGGATGATGCTGTTGATCGATATGGAACTAACACGATTTATTTGCTATTATCACCGCATTCTGATGTGCAAAAGGAGTTTTTTGATCGGATTAGAATTAATACGATTAAACATTATCAGGTGGGAGTTTTGGGATGAAAATGAGACAAAAATCGGGGAATTTGATGAATTTTGAGCCTAGAAGCTTTGAAATTGCTCAATTTTACTCTGAAATTCATGAAAACCTTGAAAAATCCCAAAATTTGCTCAATGTTTACCCCAGGACTTGGAAAACGGTGAAATTTTTACCTAAATTTGTCCAGGCCCCACAAAATTCAAATTTGAAATCTGAAAAATTGAAAATTCATCAAATCTGCTCGATATTGATGTGAATTAAGCCTAGAAGCTTGAAAATTGTTCTGAAATTCATTAGAATTGCTGAATTTTGAGCTGAAAATCATTGAAAATGATGAATTTTAGCCCTAGAAACTTAAATTTTTGTTAATTTTGCTCATTTTGAGTGAAAATCTCGAATTTCCAAGCTCCCTGGCTAATTTTTCATCAAAATTTCAAATTTCCAAGCTCCCTGGCTAATTTTTCATCAAAATTTCAAATTTTCAAGCTCTCTGGCTAATTTTTCATCAAAATTTTAAATTTTCAAGCTCCCTGGCTAATTTTTCATCAAAATTTCAAATTTTCAAGCTCCCTGGCTAATTTTTCATCAAAATTTCGAATTTTCGAGTTCCCTGGCTAATTTTTCATCAAAATTTCAAATTTTCGAGCTCCAGGCTAATTTTTCATCAAACTTTCAAATTTCTAAGCTCCCTGGCTAATTTTTCATCAAAATTTCAAATTTTCGAGGCTCCCTGGCTAATTTTTCATCAAAATTTCAAATTTTCGAGCTCCAGGCTAATTTTTCATAAAACTTTCAAATTTTCAAGCTTCCTGGCTAATTTTTTATCAAATTTTCGAGGCTCCCTGGCTAATTTTTCATCAAAATTTCAAATTTTCGAGCTCCAGGCTAATTTTTCATAAAACTTTCAAATTTTCAAGCTTCCTGGCTAATTTTTCATCAAAATTTCAAATTTTCAATCTCCCTGGCTAATTTTTCATCTAAATTTCAAAATTTCAATCTCCCTGGCTAATTTTTCGAATAATTTTGTTTAAATTATCGATTTTCATGATTTTTAGAGCTTCCAGGCTTAAAAAACACATTTTTCATCATTTTTGGGTTCAAAATTTCAAAAATCCAAGTTTCCAGACTTGAAATTCACCATTTTTCCTCCGATTTTCACCAAAAAATCCCAAATTTCCCCTTAATTTCAGGTGTTTTTCCCAGTTCCATTTGTCGAATATCATCCAACAATATCTGGAATGGAAATGTCTGAAAAAAGAAGCACAAGAGAAATCGGCATCCGAAACTCGTGAATCTCAACTCTCAAAACTTCGAGATGGAGTTGAACCAAAAAGAAAACGGCCACTTATTGTGCAAAAAGATCATGGTCGATTTGATTCGCAAGATTTTTCGTGTTTTTCGATTTATGGAATGGATTATGTGAATGCGAGAGCGAAAATTGCGGAAAATTTGAGGAATTCGAGAAGAAATGATATGATTTCGATGTTTTTGGGAGATGAAAATGTGCATGTGCTCAGAGCGGTTGAACCGACGTTGAGAATCAGGTGAGCGCGTGTTTTTGAGCCAGGGAGCCTCGAAAATTTGAAATTTTGATGAAAAATTAGCCAGGAAGCTTCGAAATTTGAAATTTTGAGCAAAAATTAGCCAGGGAGCCTCGAAAACCCGAAATTTTGATACAAAATTAGCCAGGGAGCTTGGAAATTTGAAATTTTGATGAAAAATTGAGCCAGGGAGCTTGGAAAATTGAAATTTTGATGAAAAATTAGCCAGGGAGCTTGGAAATTCGAAATTTTGATGAAAAATTAGCCAGGGAGCTTGGAAATTTGAAATTTTGATGAAAAATTAGCCAGGGAGCTTGAATATTTGAAATTTTGATGAAAAATTAGCCAGGGAGCCTCGGAAAATTGAAATTTTGATGAAAATTAGCCAGGGAGCCTCGAAAATTTGAATTTTTGATGAAAAATTAGCCAGGGAGCCTCGAAAATTTGAAATTTTGATAAAAATTAGCCAGGGAGCTTGGAAATTTGAAATTTTGATGAAAAATTAGCCAGGGAGCCTCGAAAATTTGAATTTTTGATGAAAAATTAGCCAAAATTTGAAATTTTGATGAAGAATTAGCCAGGGAGCCTCGAAAATTTGAAATTTTGATGAAAAATTAGCCAGGGAGCTTGGAAATTTGATGAAAAATCAATAATTATTGTTGCAGATATCACAAAAGACATTGTGATATGGAAAGTGTTGACACCGATGATATTGCCAGATGTTTGGAGCGAAAACGGGATAATGTGGCGGCCAAAGATCAATTGGCCAAGTTATTATTCCACGAAAAATGATTTCAGCGCGAAAATGTCACTTTTTACCGCGAAAACTACGGTTTTAATGTATTTTATTGCATTTTTTCATCACTTTTCTTGCCCAAATGAGTTTTAATTTATTATTTTTGCATAATTTTGACTATATTGCATGAATTTTTCCAAAAATCTTGTCTAAAATCCATATTTTTTGCTAATTTTCACCCCAAACTACGCAAATCTTGATTTATTTAACCTTCTGCCTAACATTATATAAGTGAGAGGAAAAATCTGGTGAATGAATAAGGAAACGGTCGGGCGACCGAGACGATCCGCCGCGCAAAACTTTCGATTTTTTTGCCGCGCGGCTGAGGAAAAAAATGAAATGTTTGTTATTATTTTATGGTGATCGTTGAAACTTTGGAAGAGGAAATAGGGAAAAAAAATTTTTTCTGAAATTTTGGGATTTTTCAGATGAAAATTTATGGTTTTTGAAGCAAAAATTAGTCTGAATTTTGAAAATTTCAGCTGATTTTTGAGAATTTTGGAATTTTTTTTCGAAACAAATTAATGGATTTTCAAAACTTTGATCTATTTTTCTCTAAGTCTCCTTCTCTCTCTCTCACCGATTCGTGAAATAGTTACTCAAACTCCTCTAGGCTCCGCCCCTCTTTCAGACTCCGCCCACTTTTTTTTCTTCCTCACACACATTTTTACAATGAAAATTTGTGTGGCAAATATATAAGTGGCGTGTGTTTCAGACAATTTATCAGTTTCTTTTTGACTTTTTGATTTGGGAGTACTGTAGGGAGTACGGTAGCTTTGGACTTTTATTACAGTAGTGAAGAGTACTGTAGCTCAATTTAATTTTTTTTTGCTTCATTTTGCACTATAGTATGTCAGTTTTAAAAAATCGTGAAATTTTTGAATTTCGAAGTTTCGCGCGCTCAAAAATGGCCTAGAAACCCAAAAAAAAATGGCCTAGAAATCCAATTTTCGCATTTTTTACTCTAAAAACTCATTTTTCCAGTCTCAAAAAAATGGAAGAAGATTCACGGGAGAAGGCATTCCGTTTCGTCGCCTATTCGGCCGTCTCATTTTCACTAATTGCACTAATTAGCGTGTTCGTCACACTGCCTTTGGTCAACAATTATATTCATTCGGTGCATTTGCGTGTGCATGATGAGATGCAATTTTGCAAGGTGAGAACGCTGTTTTCTGCGATTTTCAGCGATTCCATGAGTTTCAGCACAAAATTGTGCTCCAGAAACTTTGAAAGCGACTTTTCAAAAAAAATTGTGCCAGAAATTCCAAAAAAAAAATGGATCAACCTTAGGTTACTGTAGAAAAATTGTTGCTCATGTTAAGGGGTTTTTCATTTTCTGACAATCATTGCTCATATTATATTCTTCAAAACATCGTTTTTTTCATTGCTCATATTTAGAGTTAGACTAATTTTTAGGGTTGCTCAGATTAGCTTTGAACTAGAGAAATTACAAATTTTGTTCTAATGAGTGATACATTGCTCAGATTAAGCTTAGACTTTCAAGCCTGGGCTTTGAAGCATACATTGCTCATATTAAGCTAGAATTTAGTCTGTAAAGTTCCTGAAAGTTAGTAGATTCTCTAGAAAATCCTAAAAAAAATTTTGTTGAAAATCAGACTTTCAGGAATTTTAAAAATTGAAATTTTTCAAAAAAAATATAGATTGCTCAGGTTATACTTGAAATAGGGTCAAGATTTTCAACTGAAAGTTCTAATTTGCCACGTCATTGCTAAGGTTAAGGTTAAGGCTCAGATCTCTAAGCCTAAGCCTAAAAGCTCAGATCTCTAAGCCTAAGCCTAAGCTCAGATCTCTAAGCCTAAGCCTAAGTCTAGCCCAATTTTGCTACAGGGTGACAACAAATTATTTTTGCAGCTCTCCGCACGTGACGTCATGATGGAGATGCACAATTTCCGTGCCACACCCCAAAAGAATCTCCCCTTCTTCCTCCGTCGCTCCTCCAACGAGACCGCGCATCGCCAGAAGCGTCAAGCCACGTGCCAGGGTTGCTGTCTGCCGGGCCTCCCAGGCCCCGACGGGCCACCGGGTAAAAACGGTTCGCCAGGTCGCCCGGGAGCTCCGGGCGCTCCCGGCTTCCCGGGACGCCCACCAGCGGTTTGTGAGGAGGTCACGGAGCCGCCGTGCACACCGTGTCCACCGGGAGAGCCAGGACCACCAGGTCCACCGGGAGACGCCGGAAATCCAGGGCAGACTGGACATCCGGGAAGAAATGGAAATGACGGAGGTGTGGGACCACAAGGACCACCCGGACAGCCTGGAAACAATGGGGAATCTGGAAGAGATGGGCCACGCGGAGAACCGGGAAGACCAGCCATCTCCACACCAGCACTACCAGGAGACCCGGGAGCACCAGGAGAGCCAGGACCACCAGGCCTACCAGGAGATGGCGGACAAGCCGGGCGACCTGGAAACGACGGAGCACCCGGGCCACAAGGACCACCGGGACCCGCAGGACTTCAAGGACAAGCCGGACAAGCTGGGCCACAAGGGCCGCCCGGACAACCGGGACCACAAGGAGAACGCGGAATTTGCCCCAAGTATTGCGCGCTGGATGGCGGTGTTTTCTTTGAGGATGGAACTCGGCGATAATTTCTTTGAGAGCTCTCTCCACCATTTTTTTGTATAAATTATCTATTTTGTCTTGTGTCGGGTTAAAAAGGTCCGCAAAATAAATCACTAATTTTTCGCAAAAAAAAACTTATTAATTTAATTTACTCGTAAGATGTTAAGAATAAGCAAATTTATAGAAAATTTCAAGTTTTTTAATCAAAAAATGAGTCGATTTCTGGCCAAAAATCAATTGAAAACTGCAAATGCGCTCCATTGAACTTTCACCGTTTTGTTGAAAAATTCAAATTTTCATTTTTTTTTATTTCGGAAGAATTTCGATGAAATTTCAGCTAAAAACTAATTTTTGCTAGAATATTCAGGAAGGCTTCCTAATTTTGCCATGGATGACGTCATCAATCAATTTTTTAATTTTTGCTCGGCTAATAACTTTATTGATTCAATAAAAAGACCAACATTCTTAACGTTGTTTAAAACTTCCATCATCGAAGAAAACTCCGCCATCAATGGCACAATATTTCGGACAAATCCCGCGTTCTCCCAATCCACCAGCTCCACCCGGTTGTCCCGGTGCTCCTGGATTTCCATCAGCTCCTGGCAACCCTGGTGCTCCCGATGGTCCCTTTTGTCCAGGTGCTCCTGGATATCCGGCTGCTCCTGGTCTCCCTGGTGCTCCATTAGGCCCTGGTGGCCCTTGCGGTCCAGCTGGTCCTGGCAAACCTGGCGTAGATTGTCCCTGTGCAGATTGTCCTGGTTGTCCTGGCGCTCCAGCCAATCCTGGTCTTCCCGGTGCTCCCGAAGGTCCCTTTGGTCCTGCAGGCCCTGCGGCACCTCGACCTCCACCAAATCCAGGTTGCCCAGCGCTTCCAGCATCACCCTGTGGTCCAGGAGATCCCGGAGCTCCAGGTGGTCCCTGAGGGCAAGGTCGACAAGGTGGTGGAGTGATCGGGTCGCAAGGTGTTGCTGGTGGACGACCCGGGTTTCCTGGATGACCCGCTGCACCTGGACGACCTGGACGTCCAGGTTTTCCAGCTGGACCCGCTGGACCAGCTGGACCTGGTTGACAACAATGATCGCATGAACCGTAGGCTTGACGTTTTTCACGAGAAGCTTGCGTGAGGTTTTTGGGGGCTTCGCGGATATGATGAATCTCGTTGAAGATATCCTTGGCAGAATGTTTGCAGAATGCGATTTGATGATCGATTTGCGATTTGATGTTGTGAACATAGTTGTAGACCATTGGAAGGGTGATGCACAACTAAATTTGGCTCATTTTAAGCTTTCAGCTACCCCCGAAACTCACTGAAATTACAGCAACCACTGAAAAAGTGACAGCCGAATAGGCCACAAATCGATAGGCATTTCGTCTCGAAATATCGTCCATTTTTCGAGATTTCTGAATTTACCCCCGGGTAACCGCAAGTTTTTATACAGCGAACACGGAAACAGTTTTTTGTTTTCGATTTTTGTAATCTTGAAGGTCACTTTAACTATATATGAACTATGAGGAAGTGTTTCGAGAAAAATTTAACTTTTCATTTTTACCCGGCCAACTTTCAATACACAAATTATCCTCCATGAAGTGTTGAGACAAAAGTTATTCGATCTCCAGCTTCAATAATTGTATCGTATTCGGAAAGCAACGCAAAATCGGTGTCGTTGATCAGAATTATCACGCCTGGGGGGAAAATTCATAAATTTCATAATTTTTCATCTACTCACCATGTGCAACCTCTGTGACGTCATCATTAAACAGCATATTTATCCTGTCAAAATCGACTACCAAGTTGTCTTTGACGAATTTTAGGACTTGAAGGAGGGTGGACTCTGGAAGGGGAAAATCTTGATTTTAAGCTTTTTCAGAAAAAATTACCTGCAGGAATTTTGACTTTTTGCTCTTTGGATTTCACAAGAAACTCGGAACCACCCGAAAAATCGATAGTTACAGGAATTTCAGTCATTTTTGTGGAATTTTCGAAAAAAAAATAATCGTGGCTGGGGGACTAGAAATTGTGTCGGCTACTAGGCCAGACGCGTGTTTTTCTTTTTTTTCTCGCCACCCTTTTTTCCCCGCCACAAAAAACGCATTTTCAGATGGAAGATTTGTTTGGTGGTTTAAGTGAGAGTAGTAGCGATGAAGGAGAAGATGTTGCGCAAAAAAATCCGACAAAAATCGATGAAGATTTAGCGCTAAGCGATGACGAAGAGGAGGAAACCATTGAAAATCCGGGAAATCAAGTTATAAATGATTTGGAATTAAGTGAGGATGATGAGGAGCAGGAAATTGATACGAAGCAAGTTATTGATGATTTAGCGCTCAGTGAAGATGATGACGAACCGGAAGCCGGTCCGGCTCCAAAACCACCCGCCAAAGTGGTATTTTCAATATCTGGAGATGAAGATTCAATGGATATGCCAGATATTGATCAATTACGCAATATTCAACAGAATCGCAAGAGGAAAGCGAGTACACCGCCTGAAAATGTGAAAAAAGCGAAAATTGAGGAGGAGGAAAATGTGCAGGAGGAGATTAGTGCTAGCAGTCATTTTCATGCGGTAAGTTGGGAGTTTTAAGGGGAAATTTGGGGAAAATCAGGTTTTCTTGTGCAAAAGTTGGATTTCTAATGATTTTCATAAGGAAATCATGAATTTTCACTTAAATTTCATAGAAAATTCAAATCATTGGATTTTAGAGAATTCTTTAGCCAAACATCCAATTTTATGCAGAAATCCAAGAATTACAATTGAAAATTGGTGAAAAAATCAATTTTTAAATCGAAATTCTATGAGAAATCGGCCAAAATTGATTTAAAAATCCACAATCAAGCTAAATTCAGGTCAAAATTTAAGCCTAATTTCGATTTCAGCCCTAAAAGCCCCACGAATCTCTAATTCTTCTAGGCTATGAGTATGCTAATGGACCCAGATTCTCCACCGCCAGCTGCCGGACCATCAACATCAACAGCAGTCCCAACAATCTCACCTTCAAAAATCATACCACCTGAGGAATCCACGAATTCTGAGCCAAAACAACATTTTGTAGCGCCAAAGAAGCCGAAATCCAAGCCGAAAACGCCTGAAAAACCGGCAGAAGAAGAGGTTGAACCTGAACCATTAGATGAGGAAAGTGAAATCGCTCGATTGAAGATGCAAATTCTCATCTCCAATTTCTCACAAGAGCAACTAAATCGATACGAGGCTTATAGACGTAGCTCATTTGCGAAATCATCCATTCGAAAGCTGATACATCAATATACGGGACTGAATGTGGGACAGAATGTGGTGATTGCGGTGGCGGGATTGGCGAAAGTGTTTGTTGGTGAAGTTATTGAGGAGGCGTTGGATTTGAGGGATGCGCAGAAGCAGACGGATGAACCGTTGAAGCCGCATCATATTAAACAGGCGCATATGGAATTGGCGAGACAGGGGAAATTGTATCCACCCGTTGGACCACGACCTGATAATTCGATGATTTGGTGAGGGGCATTTTGGGGGTGGAATAAGGATCAGAATGAGCCTAAACTTGACTGGGTACTGTATGTACCTTTAAAATTTTGCCTAAATTCGACTAGATTTATGTGGGATACTGTATGTGCCTTTAAGAATCTCAGAAGTTGCTCACGATTACAATGAGCCTAAATTCAACTACTGTATGTACCTTTAAAATGTTGATCAGGATCAGAATAAGTCTAAACTTGACTGGAATTTGTTTGGGTACTGTATGTACCTTTAAAATTTTGCCTAAATTCGACTAGATTTATGTGGGATACGATGTGTGCCTTTAAGAATCTCAGAAATGCTCATGTTTTTCTCACGATTACAATGAGCCTACTGTATGCTCCTTTAAAATGTCTAGTGTTCGCAGTACCCAAAATTTCACAGGATTACTGTATGTTCCTTTGAAACCCCTTTCAAAAAATCTAATTAATTGCGATAAAAACAACTAGATTACTGTATGTTCCTTTAAAATATCATATTTTTTCCAGATTCTCCTCTGTTCTCTTCTCAACCAATTCAAATTTTTTGCGCCATAATCTACAGTACCCCCTCCTCCTTTTTCCTTGTAAATTATTTTGAAAAAATAAAAAAATAAAATTTTTCCTTCACGTGAAAATTCAAATTACACGTTGCTTTCCACGTGAAAAATATCTCATTTCTGCAAATTTTTTTTCATCGAAAATGCTGTGTTTTTGCAAGATGTCCACACAAGATTCCACGTCACCTACAGTAATCCAGGCGCCAAAACCATTACCCGCTCAATTTGTGACCGCCAAACATCCGGATGAGGAGACGACCGCGACGCAAGCCGCGCCGCAACAACTTGAGCGCGTACCGTATCCTGTTGCTACTACACCTACAGTACCTCAGGAGGTGATTGTGGCGCCCAAAAAAATGGCTTTGGCACCATCGGCCAATAAGAATTATAAACAGAAGAGGACGTTTAAGGTGAGTGGGATTTTTGGATTACTGTAGAGGTTTTTGGCGCCAAATTAATTAGATTCAAAAAATTATCTGAAAAGTTTATCATTTTATACAAAAAAAAATTTCACTAGTTACAAGATAATGAAAAATCCAAATCTTTTCAAATGTTTTTTTTTTTGAAAATCAGAAAAATATCGGAAAACACATTGCAATAAGCAAGATAAGAGAATATAAAACAAACGCAACTGTAATTATAATTTTTGCCAAAGTTTTCAAAAATTCCACAATCACATTTTGAGGAGATACGAAATTTTGAGTAGAGTTGGACGAAGTCGAAATCTGCAAATTCGAAAAAAAACTAGAAAGCTATCCTCTCAAAAATTTACCTCATTTTCGAAAATTGGAGCAGCCGAAATTCCCAGAATTATTAGAAAAATAATAGGAAAAATGTTCATTTTTCGAATTTTCTTCGTTGAAGAAAACAAGGGGAATAATAGTTCAAATGAACGATATTTATAGTATAAAATGAGTCATGAGTTAGAGATTTGGAGGGAGCAGAGAAATCATATCTCTGCGTCTCTTAAATTTATCTCTCGTCGTGTTGAATTTTGAGAGACGCAGAGAAAAATGGAGGATTTTCAGCACCGAAAATCCCAATTTTTGCAGGTTATAATTGTGGGAGACGCTGGAGTTGGCAAAACTTGTCTATCTTTTCGGTTTTGTTGCGGCAAATTTCCCGAACACACAGAAGCCACAATTGGAGTCGATTTTCGCGAAAGAAGTTGTGTTATTGAAAATGAGCTGTTAAAAGTGGGTGGTTTTGAGGAACTGGGAAGGTTGGGTGGGAAATTTGGGTTTTTTTTTTGTTATTTGGTGAATTGTGACCTAAAATTTATGAAATTTTTATATTCGCGGGGTGAATCTCATTTCCAAACGGACAATACCGGATTTTGTGAAAAAAGCTTGTGAAAAATGAACAATTTTGACCTAAAATTTGAAAACAATCATGAAAAAAAATCGATTTTTCTTTCGAAAATCAAAGAAAATCGATATTTTTGATGGAAAATTTACCCGAAATTGGCAAAAATTGGATTTTGTGAGATCATAAAAGCCTAGGCGAAAATTAGACCACTCCCACTTTTTTGAAGCCAAACAGACTTTTTTTTGGAATCTAAAGTTTACAGTAAACCTGAATTTTTAGCTTAAAATGTCAGAATTTCAGAAATTTTGGGCTAAAAAAATCTAGACTCCAAAAACCGATATTTTTTGGTTTCTAGGTAAAAAAATCACAAATTTTCCAAATCTTACATCAAAAAATTCCCGAAATTAATTCCAGGTTCAACTTTGGGATACAGCAGGCCAAGAGAGATATCGTCAATCAATAGTTGCACATTATTATCGAAACGTAAATGCGACAGTTTTTGTCTATGACGTCACAAATCGTGAATCATTTCAAAGTTTAAATGCATGGATTCGTGAATGTGAAAAACACGGACTAACTTCGGATTCCAATTCGCCGCGAATTTTAATCGGAAATAAATGCGATTTGGAAAATGGCCAAGAGAAAGTGTCAATGGATGAAGCGCAGATATTTGCCGATCAAAATAATATGGCACTTTTTGAGACATCAGCCAAATCGCAAAGTGAAGCCGATCATGTTGAATCGATTTTTTTGACACTTTTGCACAAATTACAACAGAGTAAACCGATGCATGTGCAAACTGTTGATGAAAGACAGAAAAGTGTGAGTTTTTGACGGGGATTTTTTGGGAAATTTTGAACACTGAGCTTTTTTTGAGCCAAAACTGGGATTTTTGAGCTCTGGAGCTCTATTTTGAGCCGAAAAATGTACATTTCGAGCAGTTTTTGAGCTCAGGAACTCAAAAATTAACAGTTTTAGCTTAAAAAATCAGCAGTGGAGCAAAAAAAAGCTCATTTTTGGGATTTCACATTGAAATTTGAAAGTTTGAGCATTTTTCAACTGAAAATCTGAATTTTTGAATCCTGAGCTCTTTTCGGAGCCAAAACTGGGATTTTTGAGCCAAAAATGTGAAATTTTGAGCAGTTTTTAGCCCAGCTGCTCAAAAGATACAAAATTTTCGTGAAAAATGCTAATTTTTGAGCCTTGGAACTGAAAAATTACGAAATCAACATAAAAATGCACATTTTTGACTGAAAATAGAGGCCCTGGAGCTTAAGTGAGGCTTTCTTTAAAACTAGACCTTTTTTGAGCTATAAATATGAAATTTGGAGAATTTTTGAGCTCTAAAGCCCCAAATTTTATTAATTTTTCACCCGAAAAACCTCTCATTTTCCTCTAGGAACAAGATCGTCTAATTCTGAAAGCCAGTGAAGCTGCAAAACTTGAAGAAGAAGGATTTTGCTGCTGAAAATGTGTGTGTATTTTGTCTGAAAATGTGATGTATTGCCACTAACACCATGGGTTTTGTATTCAAATTATTGTATGTATTTTTTTTGGAAAAATGTGATGTAGAAAAATTTGGTTTTATAATTTATTGTAAGTGAATATTTAATTTGCAAAAATAAATTTTAAAAAAATAAAAAAGAAAGAAAGAACTGTAGTGTCACGGAATATTTTTTAAAAAATTGGTCCCTGAGAACGTAATTAGCGCCAAAAATTAATTGATCAATTAATTAGGTAATTAAGAAACTACCTTAATAAGTAGTTACCTTAATTAGCCTAATTAATTAATCTAGCGACGTGTTTGCCCATAAGCTGCACCACCTCCCGGATAATACATTTGATATGGTGATGGCTGAATATAGGGGCGCCATTGTGGTGCACCCTCTTCATAATGATAGGCTTGAGGGCGGGAAGCTTGACGGGAATCGTAGGTTGGGCGATGGGGGTGACGGGGAGAGTTTGAACGGGAGGAGGTTGTCGCGGGACGCTGGAAATTTGACACGTGGAATTTTGGCTTCGAAGATTTTCTAAATTTTTGAAAAAAAATGACACGTGGAAATTTTGGCTCCAAAGATTTTCTAATTTTTTGGAGAAAGAATGCCACGTGGATTTTGAGAAGTCAATTTTTTCTCCAAATAAAAAAATTGACACGTGGAATTTTTCGCCCCAAAGATTTTCTAAATTTTCGAAATAAAAATGCCACGTGGATTTTTGGCTTCGAAGTTTTCAAGAAAAAATTCACATAGATTTTCGTGGCTTGAAGATTTTAAAGAAAAATGCCACGTGGATTTTCTTGGTCCCAGAGAGTTCAATTTTTTGGAAAAAAAATCCACATATATTTTTGTGGCTTGAAGAATTTAAAGAAAAATGACACGTGGATTTACTTGGTCCCAAAGATTTTCTAAATTTTCGAAAAAAAAAATTGACACGTGGATTTTTTTTGGGAAAATTTTTCAAGTGAACTTACTTAGCTCTGATATTTTTAATTTTCTGAAAAAAATGCCACGTGGATTTTTTTGGTAAAAAAAAGTTAAATTTTTTGAAAAAAAAATCCACATAGATTTTTGTGGCTTGAACGAATTTAAAGAAAAATGCCACGTGGATTTTCTTGGTCCCAGAGATTTAAATTTTTTGAAAAAAAATGCCACGTGGAATTTTTCGCCCCAAAGATTTTCTAAATTTTCGAAAAAAAATGCCACGTGGATTTTTGGCTTCGAAGTTTTCAATTTTCTCCGGAAAAAAAAATGCCACGTGGATTTTTGGCTTCGAAGTTTTCAATTTTCTCCGGAAAAAAAAATTCCACGTGGATTTTTTCTCCCCAAAGATTTTCTAAATTTTTGAAAAAAAATTCCACGTGGATTTTTCGGTGCAAAAAATTCCTCAAAAATGCCACGTGGAGCTCCAAAAAAAGTCCGCTTTTCAAAATTTGCCCAAAACTAACCGGACTCGGCAAATCCTCATAAATCTCACTGTCTCGACTGACAGCTCGTCGATGTCGCCGACGTCGCGAATCGCGATCGCGTCGCGGTGTCGCACCAACATCACCACCTTGCGACGATTCGCTGTGTCGACGCGGACGACGCGATGATTCGCGCACCGCATATTGCCCGTAGATCTCGCCAACGCGATTCGCCGATGGTGTTGGCGGAGCGCCGATCGCCAAATAATGCGGTGGTGGTGCGTTGATCTTCGGCACCGAGTAGGCATAGGCTGCGTGTTGTGTATAAATACCGTCTGGGTGAATGGGTCTACCGCCAGTTGGAATATAATATATCGATGATTCATCATCCATATCACAACAACACTCGGCACAATTCAAAGATGAGCAACCAAAACTGAAATGCTCCGAGAACAAGAGCATTAGGCTGAAAGAAGAAAAAAGAGTTATGACGTGGAAAATGGTACATTTCTACTTACTTTGGTAAAAATAATAGATAATGGATCAATGAAGCGGTGGCATTGAGGACAATTATTTTGAAGATATGATAGACTAGTGGAACATCGACGCTTAGAATTGGAATAAATGTCAGAACTGGGATAATACAGGCGAATAACACAGGGATCAATGTAGCCTGGAATGTGTATTGAATCCGGATTCCAGCGCGGATTTGTGATTTCCCGCTCATCAAGTAACTATAGCAAAATGCGATGACTATCACACAAGTCAACGCATTTCCGGCTAACGCCATTGTCAATGTAACCATATTGATTGGAACTGTCCAGAAATACGAGTAGCCGATGGTTTCGACGAGGACTGCGATTGAGGTGAAGAGGAGGAGGAATGTGAGAGCGGGTTGGCCGAGGAGTAGGAGAGAGGCGATGAAGAGGGAGACGAGAGCGATGCCGAAGGCGTAGAGGCCGGAGGAGAGGACGGTGATGTCGTGGCGGAGAGACATTGTGGAGGGGAGAGAGACGGAGAGGGGGAGGTGGGTGGAGGAGGCTTTGGTGAGAAGGGTTTCGATGAGAGATACTCTGCAAAATTGGGAGTTATGGTAACTTTCCGTTGCGTGGAAGCTTCCTGTCTACACTTGAAATGGGCCCCGCGGTGTCTCATCGGTACCACGCGCTCCACACGCAACGCAGACCGCGTCGCGCCGCGCCACACACAAAAAGGGAGGGAATTTGAATTTGTGTGTGTTGTGGCGCGACGCGGTCTGCGTTGCGTGTTTGTTTCGGTGGAGCGTGTGGTACCTTAGTCCAGTCAGCTAGAGTTAGGCTTAGGCTTAGTCCAGTCAGCTAGAGTTAAGCTTAGGCTTAGCTAGAGTTAGACTTAGGCTTAGCTAGAGTTAAGCTTAGGCTTAGTCCAGTCAGCTAGAGTTAAGCTTAGGCTTAGCTAGAGTTAAGCTTAGGCTTAGTTAGGCTTAGGCTTAGCTAGAGTTAAGCTTAGGCTTAGTTAGAGTTAAGCTTAGGCTTATGCTAAGGTTTGGATTGGGTTAGGCTTAGCTATGGTTTTTAAGGCTTAGGCTTAGTCCAGTCAGCTAGAGTTAAGCTTAGGCTTAGCTAGAGTTAGACTTAGGCTTAGCTAGAGTTAAGCTTAGGCTTAGTCCAGTCAGCTAGAGTAAAGCTTAGGCTTAGCTAGAGTTAAGCTTAGGCTTAGTAAAAGGCTTAGGCTTAGTTAAGAATTTAGACTTAGCTATGGGTTTTAAGGCTTAGGCTTAGTTAGGCTTAGGCTTAGCTAGAGTAAAGCTTAGGCTTACATTAGTTAAGCATTTAGACTATGTTAGCTATGGTTTTTAAAGGCTTAGGCTTAGTTAGGGCCTAAGCCTAAAGCGCAGGTCCTAAGACAATTCGATTCCACTCACCTCTCATTGAATCCCTTCGGCGTCAACTCCAAAAACATTCTCGATTTCACAATTTGCGTCTGAAATCGATCCATAACAACATCCGAAGCGAATTTACGATAAGGTTCCGATGGAAGGAAAACTAGATTGACAACTGGCACAAAGGTATCCGGATTCACATCGTAGATCGAGCCTTTTTCGAATTTTGTGAATTCGCTGAGCCAGTTTGCCGAGCGAGTGGCGAAGCCTTCGTTCTGCAATAGAATTTTTCAGTCTGGAAAAGATTGCGGAATCTAGGACTCACAATTGCGTAATCCAAAATTTCGAAAATCGAATTCTGAACATCTCGATCATGATATTCGACACTTCCATCAATAACAAGTTCCAAAAATCGTGTAGTTTTTCCGAATTGCTCGCGATAGTTCTCAATAAATGCGGCCTCTGCACTTTTTTGTGGTAAAAAGTATTCCTCTTTGATATCCACTGATGTTTGACTACATCCAAACGCGGCAAAGATCAAATAGGCTGTGCAGAAGAAGACGATCGGATATCGAACAGTTCTGCCGATCAAAAATGCTCCGATCGCTCGAGTTGCTCTTGGCCGTGTGTCAATCAAACGATCGTGTAGTCCAAACAATGCCGAGCTATCGAATGATGCCAATTGTGGAGCGGTGAATTGGGTATCGCCGGTTTTGAAGATTTGATACCATTTCACACCGCGGGCCTCTCTTCGACCACCGAAGAAGATGAAGATTGAGATGAAGAGAATGGCAAAGATCACGAGGATTGCGATCGAGGAGGCGATTCCGATGAATGAGGATACCATGTGGGAATTTGTCATTAGGAGACCCATCAATACTGGAATGTAGAGGATTAAACGACACTCCGCATTTACACAGAGATGGTTAGACATACAGAGAAGCCATAGAGAGTTAGAGACGCAGAAGCTATTTCAGGAAGGTGCAGAGAAGCTAGATGGGAGAGTTAGACATACAGAGAAGTCAGAGACGCAGAGAAACTAGACAGCTAGAGATAACTAGAAAATCAGAGTGGCAGAGAAGCTAGAGAGTGAGAACCACAGAGAGGTTAGGCGGTTAGAAAAGCTAGAGATGCAGAGGGCAGCACGAGGGCTCCAGAGAAGCTAGACATCTAGAAAATCAGAGTGGTAGAGAATCTAGATAGTAAGAGACGCAGAGAAGTTAGGCGGCTAGAAAAGCAGAGTGATAGAGAAGCTAGAGAGTAAGAGACGCAGAGAAGCCAGGCGGATAGAGAGTTAGAGACGCAGAGAAGCTAAAGAGTAAGAGACACAGAGTAGTGAGGTGGCTAGGTAGTGTAGAAAGGTTAGAGACGCAGAGGGCAGCACGGGAACCCCAGAGACGCAGAGAAGCTAGAGGCGGCTAGAAGAGCTAGAGATGCAGAAGGCGGCACGGGAACCCCAGAGAAGCTAGACATCTAGAAGGTGGTGTAGAAAGGTTAGAGACGCAGAGGGTGGGGACGTTGGACAGCTAGAGATGACTAGAAAATCAGAGAGAAGCTTCAAGCCCCGCCCCTTTTTCTGCAAGCCTGGCACACTTACAAAATGTGACAACAACAACAGCGGCACTTGCGACAATTCCCGGCGCATCATGTGCCAAAATGAACGCAATTTTTTCGGTCGGATGAACGGCGGCCGATGAATAGCGAGACCAACTATAGTGTAGTTGGAAGAGCCACAGGATTCCGACGCCTGCAGAAATTTTGTTTAGAAAAATTTGCATTGCTCATATTATAAAGAAGCAAAAAATCCATCATTTTCTCTAATTGGCTTCAAATTTCAAGAGAAAACAAAATTTTTTGTTGCGAAAATTTAAAATTAGTGTGTAACCTTGGAGATTTGAGCCTCAAATTTTGAGGAGCCCCCAAAAAAAAAGACTTGCCTGTGCTCACAAAACAAATTGGATAAATCAGAGGGTCGATGGGTAGATTACGGTAGAATTGCATCGAGAATCCTGGAACAAAAAAGGAAAAATTGGAAAAAAAAGGATTTTTAGAAAAAAAATTGAATTTTTTTCGAAAAAAAATTTTTTTTTCGAAAAACTCTAGGGTTTCTTACCAGTTAATGAGGAGATGACAAGTGTGACGAAAATCATCAATCCGATGCATGGCTTTGACTGAAAATAGAAAAGGATTAAAATTTTTGACGCCGGGTTACTGTAGGCTCAGAAAATTTGATCTACAGTGTTTTTCAGTGAGTTTTGAAGCTTTGAAAAAAAGATTCTGAAGCTTGAAATTCAAAAATTTTTGAGCTTGAATCATCTACAGTAACCCTCGAGATTACTGTAGCTAGAAAGGATTAAAATTTTTTGTGTGTTTTTTTGGCGCCAAATGTCTCGGGTTACTGTAGGAGCAGAAAATGATTTTTTTTGACTTTGCAAAATAATTTGCTGTGGAAAATTCTGATTCCAAAAATTCAAAAATTTTTGAGCTTGAATCATCTACAGTAACCCTCGAGATTACTGTAGCTCTCAATTTGAAGATATTATCGAAAATCTCATATCGGTACCACGCGCTCCACACGCAACGCAGACCGCGCCGCGCCGCGCCACAACACACACAAAAAAGGGAGGGAATTCGAATCGTTCCCTTATTTGTGTGTGTTGTGGCGCGGCGCGGTCTGCGTTGCGTGTTTATTTCGGGTATTGATCTACAGTAATCAGAAAATCCCTGGCTACTGTATTTTCAAAACTGATTGTCAAGTTTTGAGAGTTACACTAAGTTTTTTCAAAAATCCCCCCACAAACCTCATAAGAATTCAAACCAAACGAAAAAACGACACAAAATCCGAGTAAAATAGCAGCACAAATGGGAATTTGCCAATATTCCAGCTCAATAGTTTCGATAACTCTCGCTCGAAAATTCTCGGGCGACCAAGACATGATTGAAATATTCGGAGCGGTTGTCAACAAAATCTGATCATCAAAATGTCGAAACCACGCATCGTGCTCTTTTCCTCCCAACTCCTGTTTCAACTCGAAATTCATGAAAAGCGAAGTGGCACTTGAAATTGCACCATCTGTATCGATTTCCACTCCTCCAATTGTGGCTCCCAAATAGACTCTAGTTAGATTCGTCGAATCCTTGCTCATACTAACAAATGTTTCCGGGTAAGTTAGCGCAACTTGTGGGGATTTTTTGACAATTCTATCGACCATATCTTTATCGATTTCACATTCTGTGGAACATTGTTGGAGGTACTGTAATTTTATAGGATTGCTCATATTAGAAATTATTAGGAGAAATTGCTCGAAGGATTGCTCATGTTAAGATTTCCCTGGTATTGCTCATGGTAATCCAAAATGTTGAAAATTTCATAGGATTGCTTTAAAAACTAGATATTGCTCACATTATACAATATACTTAACATGAGCAATGTTTGGTCTCAAAAATTGCTCAGCTTAGATTAAGCTAGGAAAATGTTACTAGGGGATTGCTCATATTATAAAAGATTGCTCATATTTGGATTTTTAAAAAGGAACTGCTATAGAATCCTGGATTCATTGCTCATGTTAAAATTTCCCTGGTATTGCTCATGCTAATCTAAAATGTTGAAAATTGAATAAATTCCTTCAGAACTCGACATTGCTCATGTTAACTCACAAATGTGCCTTTAAAAACTAGACATTGCTCACATTAAACAATATACTTAACATGAGCAATGTTTGGTCTCAAAAATTGCTCAGATTAGGATTAAGCTAAGAAAAAATGTTTCTATAGGGATTGCTCATATTATAAAAGATTGCTCATATTAGGATTTTTAAAAAGGAACTTCTATAGAATCCTGTATACATTGCTCATGTTAAGATTTCCCTGGTATTGCTCATGGTAATCCAAAATATTGAAAATTGAATAAATTCATAGGATTCCTTTAAAAACTAGACATTGCTCATGTTAACTCACAAATGTGCCTTGACATTGCTCACATTATACAATATATTTAACATGAGCAATGTTTGGTTGAAGTTCTCAAAAATGGCTCAGATTAGGATTTTTGTAGGAGTTGCTCATATTATAAATTTTACTTAACATGAGCAATGTTATGCACTCACCTCTCGTTTTTCCACAGGAAAATGATCGAGCTTCTTCTTGAGAGCCGTATACGCCAAAACCGCATCCTTCCGTAAAATTGTGTCTCTGAGTGAGCTGGAAAATTCGGATTGCTCATGTTAACAAGATTGCTCATGTTTAACTCCTACCTGGTCCTCAAAAGCACCGCAAAATGATTGGGATCACGCCAATTCATGCACGAAAACATGGGATTCGTCGAGTTGAACTCCTGTGCCTTTAATCCACCAAGACCATTTGTGACAATTTCGGATTTGGCGCCAAAAATATGCGCGAAAGGCATGTCAACAAATATCAAATTTCTAGATAGAATCGGGAGAGATAGTGCAGATAGAAAGCATAAAATTGGCAAAATTGCCGCGAAAATCGGGCGATTTGCTAGGAACTTCCCGAGTGCCCAAAGGGTCCGACGGAGTGCGGCTTCAACGAATCGCAGGCTACGAATCCGATAAACACCCGGTGTATAGGCACCAACTGGGTGTTTTTGATGGATTGCAATCGGATGCATGAATGCGCCAGTTGTCGCCAATTGCATCTCATTTGTAATTCGTCTCACGAGCGCTTTTTCAGCCTTTCTTTCGAGTGTTGTTTGTGCTGAAATTGGCTCTTCTACATAACTCGTTCGTTCGCCTAGTGTTATGTGTTGTTCTTGTGATTCTTTTTGTGGTGCTGCTGATGTTCTTTGCTCTTCGAGCTCTTGACGTTCGCGTTCCATACGTTCTTGGCGCAGTTTTTTCGATTTTTCTTCGCGCTGCAAATTAAATGGATTGCTCAGGTTAATTAAGACAGGGTTTTTTGGAGGTTCCTCTGATTATTGCTCAGGTTAAGCTAGTCCTAATTTATTGAAAAATTATGAGATTGCTCATGTTAAAAGGGTTCTTTTTTATATAGTTGTTCAAATATAATAACATTGCTCATATCAGTATGAAATTGCTCAGGTTAAGCTCCTTTAAAGCAAAAAAATATAGATTGCTCATGTTAAGTAAGGAAGGGTTTTCTGAAGGGTTCCTGTGATTATTGCTCAGGTTAAGCTAGTCCCAATTAATTGAGATTGCTCATACTAGATAGGAGCTGGTCAGGTTTTTATTACTAAAATTTTGAGATTGCTCATGTTAAGTGAGGAAGGGTTTTTTGAAGGGTTCCTGGGATTATTGCTCAGGTTAAGCTAGTCCCAATTAATTGAGATTACTCATGTTAAAAGAGATTGCTCATGATAATATAATGGGTTAAATATAGGATTGCTCATATCAGTATGAAATTGCTCAGGTTAAGCTCCTTTAAAACCAAAGATTGCTCAGATTAAGTTCAGGTCGTCTTTCAACAGAAAATGATTAGATTGCTCAGGTTAAACTAGCTTTAGCTTTAGTTCTTCTTTAGCAACAAAACATTGTGATTGCTCATGTTAAACCTACAGTACCCCCCCCCCCCATCTACAGTACTCACTTTCAAAGTTGAAACTCTCGTCGGTTCTCTAGCCAACGGTGTTACGGAAGCTACAGTAGTCGTCGAAGTCGATGAGACACTTCCGAATGTCTTCTGTTTTTGCAGACTAGAGTCTAGTCTTGGTGTGGTTGGAGTCGGCGCTTCAGCCTCGTCACCACTTGATTCTGGTGGTGGGACAGCTGGTGGAGGAACGGGCTGCAAAAAAAAAATTTTGATCTACAGTAATCTGAAAACTTAAAGGTACAGTAACCTTCTGAAGATTTCAAAAAAACTTGAGCTATCTCTGAGCTACAGTAACCTAATGACAGTACTTCTCCGCAAAAAACTATACGAGAACAATGCGAAAATGTTCGAATAATGTTTCCCGGCGGGATATCGGCCAAAAAATAATTAGGCTAACTTGTGACAGCAAAAAAAAATGAATGAATGACTATACAGATTTTTTATCAGCAAATGTAACACGGTGTCTAAAAAAATCAAGCATAAATCAAAAAAAAATCGGATTTTTGACGCTAGAAAAAATATCTGCGCGGGGGAAGGAAATTTTTAATTAGAGGTAATTAATCAAAAAAAATTTCATATGAACTAGATAGATTTGGCGCGAAAACAGGGCAAAAATTGAAATGAATTTGGATTACTGTAGATCAAATTTGGGTAGATCAAATTACTGTAGATTTTAAAAAATTTCTAATAAAATTCCACATACTGTAGATCAAAATTTCGCGCCAAAACCAATTTTTTCTGATCTACAAACGAAAAAAAAAACTATAATAAAAAGATAAATGAAATTTTTTACAAAAAAAACCAGAAAAAATGATTTATTAATCCCATTTTTGTATGTTTTTGTTGTATATTTGGATAAGATTTGTCTTATCAAAAATGTACTTTTTTTGGCGCTAAAAAATGACCAAAAAGGTCGAATTTTATGAGAGAAAAAGGCGGTGTAGATGTTTTTTTTTCTGTGGGAAAATTGTGATAAAATTTCTTAATTACTTGTGTAAAATAATGTGAAAATCACCAATTTCCGGGTTAAAAATCACGATTTTTCTCAGAAATTCCAGTTTTTAACTCACCGGCGCAGATCCGGTCGACGCTTTCCTTTGAAATCGAATCGGCGCGGGGCTCGGTGTTGTTGAGCCCTCGGATGTTGTGCCCAGAAATTGGGCACCGTAGTAGGAGGACATCTGAAATCAAAAAAGTTATCTGGGGGGGGGGTACTGTAGGTACACTGAGATTTTAAAGGGACATCACAGAAAATATTGAAGATTCATAATGTTCCTTTAACAAAAACAAGCTACAGTACTCTCGCTATTTTTGAAAGAAGGAGAATATTTTGAGAAGTAATCATGTTCCTTTAAAAATTCTACAGTACTTCTTGAATTTCAAAGGGTGCTGATTGTGAGAATAAGTTTCTCCAAAAAAAAATTGGCATGTTCCTTTAAAATTCTACAGTAACCTTCTGAATTCCAAATAACTACAGTATACGAAACTTTAAAGGAACATGCCTAAAAAATTGATGTTCCTTCTACAGTACCCTAATGAATTTTTAAAGGAGCATGTATATAAAAATTATCTAGAGATCCTTTAAAATTTTACAGTACCCTCCTCAAGACTTAAAGGAACATAATATAAGGAAATAAATTCCAAAAATCTGTGATTTTTTTGATAAGAGACAAATAAATAAATAAATAAAAGATATATCTTTTCAAAAATTCATTGGCCCAAAGACAAGGTCACAAAATGTATCTTCTTCTCCCGCAATTTTTCCCGCGAACGCACACAAAATACTATATTTTTTGTTTTTCGCCAGGAGGTTTTGATAATTGATAAGAGAATTACAAAAGAAGAAGATTGAATAATTGACCTAAATTTTGGCGGTGAGGAGAAAAAAAGAAAAGGTTGTATAATACTGTATAGATATTTACAATATTTTTTGAGAGGGGATAGTTAGGCTAACTCTCTGAATTGAGTAGAAAAAAAAACATCAGTGATGATCCTTTAAGGTTTCGCATACTGTAGTTATAGAAGGTTACTGTAGACATTTTAAAGGAACATGCCACGTAAAATAATTTTTAAAAAATTCAAAATTTTTGGCGCGAACTTGACCCAACTAAATAACACCAATCAAAACTTAATTAATCAACCAAAAACAGTGATTTTGACATCAAGATAACCATCAAATTTACACCCAAAAGATGGTGAAAAACGATTAGAAACTCTCAAATTTTGGTGAAAAATCGCAAAAATACAGTATTCACAAATAACAACAACAAGATTATAATAATTGTGATAAAAAGAGGTCATTTCGCGGATCATATAATTGTGGATTACTTTCTCTTTTATCCAAGAAACATATGCAAATTGGTGGAAAAATTGGAAAACAAAAAGGAAGAAAAAAAAAGAAAAAGGTATACTGTATTTTCAAGGCGCATGGGATTGTGTGTTTGGGTCTTGAGGCGATGAGCCGCGTGCAATATTTTTTTGGGATTCTTTTTTTTGCTTTTATTGGAGGGTTTTTGGAGGTTTTTAAGCTGAAAGCCGAAATTTTCAGATGATAAAAGTTGAATTTTGAAAGGCTACCGTATTTTCAAGGCGCATGAAGGTCTAGAGGCACTAAAAATCTAAAATATTCAGAAATTCTTCTGCTATAGCAGATTTCTTTGTATCTCGAGGTTTCAGGGGATTTTCAAGTGAAAACGATGATTTTTTTTATGATGAATGTTGCATTTTGAGGTCAATTGTCACTTTTGTTTTCATTTTCCTTCGAAAAATCAGCAAATTTATTGATTTTTCTGAGCTTTTCCCAGGTTTTCCAGCATTCTATTCATCTTCCAGACAGTTTCATTTCCAATTTTTCCCCAGCAAAAAATTCCGCTTTCCCTGCGTCTCCTTTAAGTTAGCCAATCTCTCGCAAAAAAAACCCTGCCGCAAATCTGCAAATATCGCACGCCGCACTCGGCTAACCAATGGGCGTGGCACAACAACGAATTGTTTGTGTGTGTCTGCGTCTCCACGTTGTGCACACTCTCTTTCTTGTTACAAATCGGCGTCGCTTTTTTCGCGCATCACGCTGGATTGCACCATTTGGTGTGCATTTTTTTTGGGCGGGCTGTGAGTAGTGATTTATTTTTTGTTTGAACTCACAGTTTTTTAAATTATTTTTTGTTTTGATTTAACATAACTATGAATCATAGCTTTTAACTATCGACATTTTCATGTTTTTTAAGCAAATGAGTTGAAATATTGGGTTTTAATGTTATTCATATGATAGAATGGTCTAAGACGAACAGAATCATAGAAATTTTGATGACTTTACGTTATCCTTAAGTGATTTAGCGATTTTTAGTCGATAAGCCGCTAAATCACTTATGGATAACGTAAAGTCATCAAAATTTATATCATTCTGTTGGTCTTATGTTAGACCATTCTATCATATGAATAACATTAGAACCCAATATTTCAACTCATTTGCTTAAAAAACCTTTAAAAAATGTCGATTTAATCGACGACCAACTATAGATACTATTAACCCCTGTTTGTTGAGCTTGTGAAGTTTTTTGTTTTAATTAAAAGTTTTGGAATGATTTCTGCTAATTAAAAGTTGTCATCACCTTGAGCATGTGCTGCTAAGCTTTGCCCTTTTTATTGATTTTTGGTGAGAAATTTGAGGTTTGTGTGGCAAAAAATGGAATTCTTGCGTGAACTAGAAAAAATACGTGGTAAATTTTATTTCTGGCATATTTCAGTTTGAAAAATGGTCGGATGAGGCTCGTGAAAACCAATTTTGAACCATGTAGGCTTTGGTTGTGATTTAGATACTAGAAAATCAGATTTCGGCCATCAAGACGTAAAATTTGGCTTTTTTCAGCTCTGCGGGGTCTCTAGGGTTTCGTTTGGGCTTTCGGACCAATTTTTGGCATTTCAGACATGAATTTTGGTTTTCCAGGCCTGATTTTCGATTTTTAGCTCATTATAAGACAAAATTTCATGTTTTTCATATCTCTAAAACCTTTCGATTGTGTTTTGGTTATTTTGATGCTATTCCAGCTGAATTTTTCGTTTCTAGGCCACCAAAACCATAAATAACTCTAAATTTGGATTTCTAGGCCTCCAAAACTCGTCCCTCGGCTGAATTCGGCTTCCTAGGCCACGATCGTCCTATGATTCAAATTCTAGGTCACTAAAACCCTAACTGATCTTTCACTAACCTAAAACTAACCAAAATTACAATTTCCATTCGATTTTTCGTGAATTTTCCATCGCAAACCTCAAATTTCTCCAAAAAATCCCCGATTTTTTGCAGAAACAGGCAGACTTTTCACGTCGAGCCACCTGTAAATCTCGAAACTTCTTCTTCATCATCTAATTTATTCTTGTGTTCTGACAGGACTTTTACTGCAAAATCACGAAAAAAAAATGTCGACACTTTTCCAACACTCAAATGAAACTCTTCTCTTGATCATTGCCGATATGTTGGGCAAAGATGTCACATTGACATTGGTCGGAAATGTCAAATACTCGGGAATTCTGTCGGCTTGTAGTCAGGATTTGGCACTTGGCTTGAGATATGCTTATAAGGTGACGGAGGCCAATCGACACAATTTGTTGCCGGTTAAAAGTCAAGTGCACGATAAGATGATCTTTCCGTTTAAGGTAGGCATATTTTGGGTGCAGACTAAATCGACATTTTTATGTTTTTTAAGCAAGTGAGTTGAAATATTGGGTTTTAATTTTATTCATAAGATAGAATGGTCTAAGACGAACAGAATCATATAAATTTTGATGAATTTATGTTATACATACGTGATTTAGCGGCTTATCGTCTAAACATCGCTAAATCACTTATGGATAACGTAAATTCATCAAAATTTATATGATTCTGTTTGTCTTAGACCATTCTATCATATGAATAACATTAGAACCCAATATTTCAACTCATTTGCTTAAAAAACATGGAAATTTCATTTAGTTTATAGTCCAGAGCTCAAAAATCGACGAAAGCGTGGTTTTTGAGATTCCAGAGTTGGAAAATCGAGGTTAGCCATGATTTTCGAGCTCTGGAACATGAAAATCTAGATAATTATGGTTTTTCAAGTCAGCATGGGGATTTAGACGTTTTTGAGTTCTGAAACTTTCAAGATCTGTAATTTTCAGTGCTCCTAATGCTAGAAATATTGAATTTCCAGGTTTCTATGCTGAAAAATTGAGGCTTGAGCGATTTTTCAACTCGAAAAAATGCTGTAAATCCGACATTTTGAGCTCTCCAGAGCTGAAAATGCGATTTTCTCACGATTTTTCAGTCTGGAACCTTGAAACATGAAAAATTTTTCGCTCAAAAACCTGCAGTTCACGGAAATTTTGCAGGACATTGTCGATGTAACAACTTACATAACCGAACCAAAAGTTGGTACAAAAGCAATGAGTTTTGCAACGGATCGAGATTATCACGGTGGTGTTCGAAATGGTGCAAGTTCAGGAAGTAGTGCACCCAAAAATCATAATGATGATCGATTGGAAGAATGGACGGGAGAGGATGATGAGGGACTTGGTTCGATTGATGATCATGATAATATTGCTCATGTTAGTTTGAGGAGAATTTGGATGATTTTGAGCTAGAATTCATGAAAATAGGCCTTTTTTCATGATTTTCAGCTTGTTTTCAAGCTAAAACATGCCATTTTCCAGGATTTACCGGACCAACGAAATCGTTGTGGACCAGGATGGTCGGTTGAGGAAATGTTTGCGGCAAATAAGGAAAAGGTCGTTTCGACTTTTAAGGATGATTTGACACAGTACACAACGTAAGTTCCCTATTTTTTGGCTGAAAATTCACGAAAAATGATGAAAATTGAAGTTTTTCATCGAAAAGTTCAAGTTTCCAGTTGTTTCCTTCCAAAAATTTATGAAAAATCATATTTTCTGACCAAAAACCATAATATTTTTCAGCGTTGCTGTTGAAGGAACTGAAGAAGATCGAGCACGTGCCGATCGTTTGGCTCGTGAAATTGAACAAAATCAATCGTCCAAATTCTATGCTCGTTTGGAAAATGATGATATTGAAAGAGATTTGGATAAAGAGACGGGAGAGGATGATTTTGAAACTGTTGGAAATCGACGAAAAGGGTTGGTTTTTTGGGGATTTTGAAGGGAAATTTGATGAATTTGTGATTTTTTATTGAAATTTATCAAAAAACACCCGAAAAATCATCAGAAATCCACGATCTTTGGCCTGAAATTTATCAGAATCCTCATTTTCAGATTCCAAAACAAATCCAACAATCATCAACGTTCAAATAACAATTCCTCAAACTTGAACACATCCACAAATCGACGAGCTGAAGCATTGAAAGGTGGAAATAATAGTGATAATCGAAGAAATAGTGGAGGAGGAGCAAATAACAATCAACAACAGAGATATTCGGGAAATAATAATTCCAGACGAAATGATGAAAGTTTTGGTGGGTTTTTGGTGGTTCGGGGGCGAAAATGCGAGTTTTTAAGCCAAAAATTGGAAAATTCATGGAATTTTCAATCAAAATATTGCTCATATTAATTTTTACACATACAAATGATGTAATCCTGTTGTTTTCCCATTTAAAAAAATTTGAAATATTTCAAGTTATTGCTCATTTTAAACTTTATCGCCAAAAAAAAATGTTTTTTTTTTTGAAATTACAAGTTTTGGCGACAAAAAATCTACGATCTTTTTTCGCGCCAAAACTGCATTGCTCATATTAGCACCATAAACGGCACACAAAACGTGCATTTTCTAGTTTTTGTACTGTTTTCTCTCTGTTTCTCTGCGTCTCTTATCTTTCTCTCACTCTTCAAAACTTTTCTGTGTTCAAAAAACGATTTTTTTTGTTCTCGAAAAAAAGTTGTATCTTTTTTTTTTGGACAAAAATCGATGGTTTTTCCGAGAATTATTGATTTTTTTTTGATTGACAGGAGAATTGATGAGTTTTTGGAGATAAAAATAATAAAAATACGGTTTTTTTCTGGTTTTTGGCCGGAATTTAAATTTTACTATAATTTGCGCGGGAAAATTTCAAATTCTCAGCCTAAAACTAGAATTTTTGCAGCCGACAAATCTTCCACTCAACAAAAATCCCAAAATTATCCACAAAAACAAATGTTGGACTCACGCCAAAATCAATCAATCAATAAACCATCGGAAGAGGAGCGAAGAGCCGGAAAGAATTCGATAATCACAAGTCTCAAGAATTTCGGAAATGAATTTGAGCTGAAAGGCGGTGAACAACAAGCGGTAACTCAAGCAGCTGGAGCATGGAATAGTGGACCACCAAAATCATTATTGGCTAAAGGAAATGAGCAATTGGGAGGAGGAGGAGGAGCATCGACTAGTGAACATCAAGAGAAACGAGGTGATTTTTGGAGCGTTTTAAGCTAAAAATTATGATTTTTGAGCCTAGGAGCATGTTTTTGGACACTTTTGAGCTTAATTTCATAATTTTCAAGAAAAAGCTGGCTGAAAATCATTAAAAATACGCTCAGGACCATTAAAATGAGCCTAAAACCAAGAATAGCTGATTTGGAGCATTTAAAGCTGAAAATTATGATTTTTGAGCCCGGAAATGTGCTTTTTGGACAATTTTGAGCCCAGAAACTTGATTTTCCGACAAATTTCATCTAAAAATCAATATTTCCAGAACCAATTGAGAATTCGGCATCGACAAGTGCACCAATTGAAACCGCCAATACCAATAATTATAATAAGAATAATAATACGAAATTGAATGATAGTGCAGAGCAAGGAAGTGAAAAGTGAGTTGTTTTTTGAGGAAAATGAGCCGAAATACGTGATTTTTGAGAAAATTTGGGTCTTGGAGCGATTTTTTAAAGGAACATGGCAGTTTTTGGTCTTGAAGCGATTTTTGAAGTTTTTTTCACTAGAAATTAAAAAATTATTTGATGAAATTGGTCTTGAAGCGATTTTTAAAGGGACATTAGCTAGAAATTGGTCTTGAAGCGACTTTTTATAGCTATGCTCCTTTAAATTCGCTTCTGGACTTTAAAAATCACTTAAAAGTCAATGAACCTTTAAAAATCGGGTTTTTGAATCGTCTCAGGACACATTTAAAGGAGCATGTCCCTTTAAATTGGTTTTGAAGCGATTTTTATAGCTATGCTCCTTTAAATTCCTGAAAATTTGCTTCAAAACGGTTTTTTTTGGTTTTTAATTTGAATTTTTAAAGGGACATTAGCTAGAAATTAGGATTTTCTTTGCTGAAATTGGTTTTGAAGCGATTTTTATAGCTATGCTCCTTTAAATTCTTGAAAATTTGCTTCAAAACGGTTTTTTTTGGTTTTTAATTTGAATCGTCTCAGGACACATTTAAAGGAACATGTCCCTTTAAATTCTTATTTAAAATCCACAAATGTTTGGGTTTCTGATCAATTTTCAACAGAATGTTCCTTTAAAATTCCACATTTGCGAATTTTTTGAGCCTAAATTCGAGATTTTAGGGCTCAAAATTTGGATTTTCCTCAATTTGATGTTTTATTCAAAAAATTGGAGTTTTTTGAGGAAAAATACATGATTTCTCATGAAATTGGTCTTGAAGCGATTTTTTATAGCTATGCTCTTTTAAATTCCTGAAAATTTGCTTCAAAACGGTTTTTTTGGTTTTTAATTTGAAAATCGTCTCAGGACACATTTAAAGGAACATGTCCCTTTAAATTCTTGTTCAAAATCCACAAATGTTTGGATTTCTGAAGCATGTTCCTTTAAAAACCCCGAATTTTTTCCAGCGAATCGAATACAATGACACCATCAACAGCCGATGTCTCAGATGCATCTTCAACCACTGGCGGTGTCTCCAAATCCACCTCCTCCTTCAAATTCAATGTAAACGCCCCTGAATTTGTGCCAACTGGCGCCGCAAAATCAACAACTCCCCAACCACCAGGCACACCGACTGGAAGTGTTGGCGGCGGATACTCGACCACCTCCTACGGCCCACAATTCGGCGGCCCGCAAGACTATCCACAAGGTGGGCCACCGATGATGCAAGGACAACCGATGATGGTTTGGCAGGGTGGAAATGGGCCGCAACAAGGAGCAGGCCCGCAAGGAGGTCCACAACAATACGGACCACAATATCAATATGTGCAATTGCAGGCGCAACCTGGTGCGCAAAGAGCGCAAGGTCAAGGGCAGATTTATGCGCAGCCACCGCAACCAGGGGCACGGAATCCGCAACAAAACGCGCAACAACGAATGTATTGGCCGCAACCGGTCATCATGCCGCAACCGATTGGGTATTTCAATCCGCAAGCTGCCGCAGCTACACAAAATGCACCGCAAGGTTTTACGCAAGGATATCCGCAAGGTGGTGGTGGATATGCTGGAAATGGTGCGAGCGGCGGAAGAGGTGGAAATTATCAGCAACAAATGTATATGATGCAGAATCAAAGAGGAGGTTATCCACAACAACAACAACAAGAGCAAGGTGGAGCTCCTTATCAGGTAGGATTTTTGGATGAAATTCGGGAAATTTTGGAATTTTTTGAGCCTAAATTCGAGATTTTAGGCTGAAAATTAGGGTTTCTCTTATTTCTGACGTGAATTTTATATTTTCTGATGAAAATTGGAAGTTTTTTGAGCTCAAATACAGGATTTTTGATGAAATTTGGAGCATTTTGGGCTGAAAATTGGAATTTTTCCTCATTTTTATGTTTTCTGAAGAAAATTAGGGTTTTTTGAACCCAAAATACATGATTTTTATGAAATTTCTAGCTTTCAAGTCTCAAAATTGGGATTTTCCTCAATTTTATGTTTTTTTGATGAAAATTGGAGTTTTTTGAACCCAAAATACATGCTTTTTATGAAATTTCTAGCTTTCAAGGCTCAAAATTGGGATTTTCCTCAATTTTATGTTTTTTTGATGAAAATTGGAGTTTTTTGAACCCAAAATACATGCTTTTTATGAAATTTCTAGCTTTCAAGGCTCAAAATTGGGATTTTCCTCAATTTTATATTTTTTAATGAAAATTTGAGTTTTTGAGCTCAAATACAGGATTTTTGATGAAATTTGGAGCATTTTGGGCTGAAAATTGGATTTTTCCTTAATTTTATATTTTTTAAATAAAAATTGGCAGTTTTTGAGCTGAAATTCGTCATTTTTATGAAATTTCTAGCTTTCAAAGCTCAAAATTGGATTTTTCATCAATTTTATGTTTTTTAAATGAAAATTGAAGTTTTGAGCCAAAAAAAACATGATTTTTATGAAATTTCTAGCTTATAAGGCTCAAAATTGGGTTTTTTCTCAATTTTATGTTTTTTTAAGCCAAAACACATGATTTTTGGAGCATTTTGACCTAAAAATGCTCATTTGTCGTGAATCTTGATGAGCGTTGCCCAAATTTCTGAGCGCCCATTGTAAAGGCCGACATATACTAAACAAAATGTCTGAAAATCCCTTCTGTAGCTCGAAAAAACACGTTTTTCTTGCTGAAAATTTCAGATTTTTCACATAAATTTGTTTTGCAGAGCGGACCACAATCGCATCCGAATAGTCAACCGACAACTCCTGGACCACAACAACAACAAGGAAATAATAATAATGGGCAAGGTGGTGGACAACAAGGAAATCAACAACAACAACATCCACAGCCAGTGCCTTCTCCGGGACAGGTAAGAATTGGAAATTTTTGGATTTTTCATGGGAAATTGAGCCTGGAAGCTGAAAATTTGGATTTTTTTGGTCTAGGGACCTAAAAATTGCATTTTTCATCGAAAATTGAGCCAGGGAGCTGAAAATTTGGATTTTTTTGGTCTAGGGACCGAAAAATTGCATTTTAAATCGAAAATTTGGTCCTGAAACGAACATTAAAGGATCATACAGTAGTCCCCAAAATTTGCACGATTTTTTTATGTTGTAATTGTGGAATATTCAAAGGAACATACAGTATCCAATTTTTGGGTCTTGAAACGTTTGAATACCCAAAGTACAGTACTTATAATCAAAGGGACATACAGTAGTCGCACGATTTCCCTTTATTTCGTTTTTGTTGTTGTACTGTAGTCGGTGAATATTTCAGAGTATAACTGGTTCAAACTTGCGTCACGGCGGTGCGGAATCCGGAAGCCAAGGTAGTCTTGCGGGAAGCGGATCGCAAACCCGATCCGGCTCTCCACAACCCAACAATGCTCCGCCAATTCCGCCACAACATCAAATGCCGCCTCCACAAATTGCACCGCAACAATTTGCGGCGGCCGCAGCAGCAGCGATGCACGTTCCGCCGCCACATCCGGCACAAATTCATCCGGGACATCATCCGATGCAACATCATCCCGGAGCTCCGCAACCTTATTATCATCATCATCCACAACAGGCATGTTATTTTGTTGCGTTTTTTGTAGTTTTGTGCTGGTTTTTTGGGTAAAATGAGCCAAAAATTGTGAAATTTGAGCATTTTTAACATGAGCAATGCTTTTTTTGAGTCAAAATTAGCTAAAATTCGGAAATTCTCGAAATTTTTAGGTTAAAATGAGCAATCCTGAATTTTTCTTTAAAAAATTCGGATCTTTGAGCTTAAAATGAGCAATCTTCCGCTTGCCTTTCCAGCTGTAGTTTAACATGAGCAATGCTAAAAAATTTGAAATTGTTGTTCACAAAATTAATAAAAGGTTAATATGAGCAATCACTTATTTTTCCAAAAATTAAGATTAACATGAGAAATTCTAGAATTTTATGAAAATTCAGATTTTTTCTTTTCTTCATTAACATGAGCAATGCCTAACTTATTGATTTCTTCCAGCCAATCTATTATCAACAAGTTTATCCACAACAACCACACGGAATTCCAATGCAACAAGGACCACATGGAGGTTAGTTTTTTCTGGAAATTTTTTCCTCACCCTGTCTGCATGATTTTTTTTTCTGGAAATCCTCGATTTTTGGCTGAAAATCTGGAATTTTTTGGCTTAAATTGAGGGTTTTTGCATGATCTTGAGCCTGATTGCATGTTTTTACAAAATAATTTTTCAAATATGGGCTCCGTAGCTTCTAATTAACTAATTGATGCAATTTTCCGCTTCTAACCTTTTTCCTGCTTGAAAATCACGAATTTTGGCTCGAAAATGAGATTTTCCTACAATTTTTTTTGTTTTTCACCCTTTCCTAACCTTTTCCCAGCTTCTTAACCCCAAAAATCTCGAATTCCTGCGTGAAATTGCATTCTAACCTGAGCATTTTCCACCCAAAAGCTTCTACTTAATTACCCTTGTTAATTGGTCCCTTCCTAATTAGTTTTCCATTATTTAGTTGGTCCACATCATCCAGGACAAATGATGGTAGATCAACAACATATGATGGAACAACAACATCAACAACATCATCACCAATCAATGCAACATCCACAACAACAACAACAACAACCATTTGTTGTTGATCAATATAATATGTATCAAAATGGTGAGAAAATGGGCTGAAAATGACTGAAAATTTGGGAAAATTGAGAAATTTTGACCTGAAATTCGTTATTTTGGGCCTAGAATTGACCTAGAATTAAATTTAGGATGAAATTTAAACCTGAAAAGCATGATTTTGCACTGAAATTGTCGGATTTTTACTGAAAATTTGAATTTTGAGCATGGAATTTGTAAAAATTCCAAATTTCATGAAAAATTGATCTAAATTTAAATTTTGACTGAAAATTTCCAAATTTCATGAAAAATTGATCTAAATTTAAATTTAGGCTGAAAATTTCCAAATTTCATGAAAAATTGATCTAAATTTAAATTTAGGCTGAAAATTTCCAAATTTCATGAAAAATTGATCTAAATTTAAATTTAGGCTGAAAATTTCAATATTTCATGAAAAATTGATCTAAATTTAAATTTAGGCTGAAAATTTCCAAATTTCATGAAAAATTGATCTAAATTTGAATTTAGGCTGAAAATTTCAAAATTTCATGAAAAATTGATCTAAATTTAAATTTAGGCTGAAAATTTCCAAATTTCATGAAAAATTGATCTAAATTTGAATTTAGGCTGAAAATTTCATGAAAAATTGATATAAATTTAAATTTAGGCTGAAAATTTCCAAATTTCATGAAAAATTGATCTAAATTTGAATTTAGGCTGAAAATTTCCAAATTTCATGAAAAATGGATCTAAATTTGAATTTAGGCTGAAAATTTCATGAAAAATTAATCTAAATTTAAATTTAGGCTGAAAATTTCAAAAAAATTTGGCATGAAAATTGTATTTTTCTTTATGTTTAATGTTGTCCCTAGCACTATTTTGTTTGATTTTTTTGGAAAAAATCTGGAATTTTCAAATTTTTGAAGAAAATATTTGAGAATTACATCAAAATCACCAGAAAAAGTTGGATTTTGGCCCCAAAATTTGCAACGTGGATTTTTTTTGTTGGAAATATTTGAATTTGCAATTTTTTAATCCACGTGGCATTTTTTGCCCCAAAATGATCTAAAAATCATCAAAAACCGATTATTTTGCACTAAAATGCTCCAAATTTCCTTTTTTTGCAGGTCCAACATATTATCAACCACCACACGGACCATCAATGTCGCGCCAAAATTCAATGCCCCATCAACAATTCGCCGGAAACAACAGAAATAACGAAGGAGGAAGTGGCGGCTCGCAAGCCGGATCACAATCCGGCTCAGCAGGTCCACAAAATTAGGCCCGATTTCTAGGGCCCGATTCGTCTTCCAGAGCCTCATGAGGCTCACAGCCTAATTTATTTGAATCCCCCCAATTTTTTATATGAAATTCCCCCTGAACATCAATTTTTTGTGTAAAATATCCCCCAGATTTCTTTTTTTTTTCTAAATCTTTATTATAATATAAATTTATTTGCTCAATGACACTGTAGTTTTTGGAGTACTGTAGTCACGTCGTTTTGCGAAAAATCGCCGGAAATTTGCAGTTTTGGATACATTGTTGTGAACGGCGAATTGGCCAATGTTACAACGATGACGTCATCGAAATTTGGAGCCGGATAATCGAAAGATGGGACGATTGGTGGGTTTTGACTGGAAATTTTGGATTTGGCGCGAAATTTGGAGCATTTTGACAACAAACATGATTACTGTAGCTCAAAATGTGTCAAATTTCGCGCTCTACAGTACTAATCTACAGTACTCCTCACCTGGCTGTCAAAAAAACGAGCGTCGAATATCCGAAATCTTTGATGGAAGGTTGCCATTCGAAAGTTTTTGAGCCAATTATAGCGCTGGAAAAAAGGGGCGTGGCCTATTTTTTTGCAATTTTGCGGCACACTTTTTTGGCTCAACTTACTCGGAAATATTGTAGTTTAATGTGGTTGTGTGGTCCCATGTGACTTCTTGAATTGAATTCAAGAATTGTTGAAGATTGTAAGGAAAAGCGTGGTCGAAATTCATCTGTGAATCGCCTGGAAAAAATATTGGCATTGGAGCGCATTTGGGTATTTTCGGATTTTTAAGAGAAAATTTGGATTGCTCATGTTAAGAGCTTCAATTTGACACCCCACAAGCCATACTTTCAATAAATGTTTTTTTTTCGATTCTTAAAGGACCCTCCCTAGTTGTCAATGGGGCGCATTTGAGTTTTCACTGCGAAATTTGGATTGCTCATGTTAAGGGCATCAGTTTGACACCCCACAAGCCATATGTTCAATAATATTTTTTTTCGATTCTTAAAGGACCCTCCCTAGTTGTCAATGGGGCGCACTTGGATATTTTCGGATTTTTGAGATGAAATTCAGATTGCTCATGTTAAGAGCTTCAATTTGACACCCCACAAGCCATATTTTCAATAAAAAAAATTTTCTTCGATTCTTAAAGGACCCTTCCTAGTTGTCAATGGAGCGCACTTGGATATTTTCGGATTTTTGAAGTGAAATTTGGATTGCTCATGTTAAGAACTTCAATTTGACACCTCACAAGCCATATTTTCAACAAACGTGGTTCTTAAAGGACCCTCCCTAGTTGTCAATGGAGCGCATTTGGATATTTTCGGATTTTTGAGATGAAATTTGGATTGCTCATGTTAAGAGCTTCAATTTGACACCACACAAGCCATATTTTCAATAAATGTTATTTTCTCGATGCTTAAAGGACCCTTCCTAGTTATCAATGGGGCGCACTTGGATATTTTCGGATTTTTGAGATGAAATTTGGATTGCTCATGTTAAGAGCTTCAATTTGACACCACACAAGCCATATTTTCAATAAACATTTTTTCTCGATGCTTAAAGGACCCTCCCTAGTTGTCAATGGGGCGCACATGCTCACCATATCCATAAAACGCATAATTGGTCAAATATGAGCAATTGGTTTGGGCATTCGGTGCATTCGGATAGGTGATAATTGCCTGAATAATTTGCATCACAAAATCTCTTTCTCTAACATAGAAATTATAAGCGTCCTGATTTGTGTTCGGATTTCCCAAGCTCTCTGCATCGATCATAAAGAATAGGCCCTCGGTTTCTTCGCGAATTGGTTTTGGTGGAGTTGTTGGTGGGAAAAGAGCTGGAAATTTGGTTTTTTCATGATTTTCAGCGCAAAATTTGGCTCAGGAAACCTATTTTCCTTCGAAAAACAAGAAAAATCGCAATTTTCTCATTGGAGCGCATTTGCTTCTCCGACTTCAAATATTTTTCGCTTACTTGGTATATCAGTTGGTGCATTTGGTGCTTGTCCATAACAAATAAATTGATATTGTAAATTACACGGTGTCTGTTTCCATTTTCCAGTATTTCCATCAATTATTACACAGTCTCCTGGAATTGCACCAGAATTTGATGCCCAATTTGAATATGACAAAGAAGATCCATCTAACCATCGAAAACTTCCATCGCTTGAAAAATCGGATAAACCAATGTAGAATTGCGAGCCGGAAGATCTAATGAGGTCTGAAATGTGGAATGTGAATGTGGAAGTGGCTCAGCTGGTTAGAGTTGTGGGTATGAGGTGGGAGGTGATAAGTTCGATTCCCACTGCCTGCAGTCTTTTTTATTTTTCCACTGAAGTAGCCGGTTAGAGGTCACATTCCCAATCTAAATAGCTACCCAAGTTCAATCCCCCCGTCAAAACTCACTCCAAACAAAACTATTATCAATTGCTGTGGGAATTTTGGCCAAACTATAACCACCATAATTATAGCAGGCTTTTTCAGCATCATGAAAACTGGCATATTTTTTTGAATTTATAGCATAGCAATATTTCCCACTTGGATCCAGATATTCTTCTTCGTGACACGAATTTGCGACGGTGGAGCCGCAAAAAATCGATGAAAATAAAATTAGGAGAGAAAAAGAAAACGTGGATGATTTTTTGGAGCCCGAGGAACATTTTTTTGATTAAAATTTTCTTATCGCAAAAATTTAATTTTAGTGTGTTTGATTTTTTGAACTTTTTTTCGAAAATAATTCCGGAAAGTGGGCAGGGAAAATTGTGGCTCAAAATTGCAGAAAAAACACGAGGCTTTTGCGAAAATTCTAATTTTCTGGGATTTTCCGCAAGTTTTTGCCACCTGCTTTTTCTAACTAAGCTCCGCCCATTTTCGCCCTCACTACAAACTCCGATTTCCCTCCAGCTCAAAGTTCAAGTTCAAAATTTTAAAATCATCAAATGTTTTATCATTTTATCATCATTTCCTATATATAAAACCACATTTTAACCGCAAAATCACCCCAAAAAATCATGATTTTCCCAATTTTTTTCATAATTCTCTCATTTTTCCCCGCCAAAATTTCTGGAAAATGTCACGAATCGGAATTTTTGGATCCCAGCGGCAAATATTGTTATATTTAAGCGGATCGGAAATATGCGAATTTTCACGATGCTGAAAAAACCTGCTATAATTATGGTGGATATAGTTTGGCCAAAATTCCCACAGCAATTGATAATAGTTTTGTTTGGAGTGAGTTTTGAGGGGGGATTGAACTTGGGTAGCTATTTAGATTGGGAATGTGACCTCTAACCGGCTGAGCCACAAAGTAGGCAGGCAGGGGAATCGAACCTATCACCTCCCACCTCATATCCACAACTCTAACCACCTGAGCCACTTCCAGACCTCATAAAATCCGCCGGTAAACCATTCTACATTGGCCTGCTAGATTTGAATCTCGATGGAAGTTTTCGATGGTTAGATGGAACCTCTTTGCTATATTCAAATTGGGCTTCAAATTCTGCTGCAATTCCAGGAGACTGTGTAATAATTGATGGAAATACTGGAAAATGGAAACAGACACCGTGTAATTTAGAATATCAATTTATTTGTTATGGACAAGCACCAAATGCACCAACTGATATACCAAGTAAGCGAAAAAATATTTGAAGTCGGAGAAACAAGTGCGCTCCAATGAGAAACTCGCGATTTTTTGTGTTTTTCGAAGGAAAATAGGTTTCCTGACTGAAATTCTGTGCTGAAAATCATGTAATTATTGATTTCCAGTGGTTTTCAGCATTTTCAGCGCGAAAATCGGATCTCGAAGTATTTTTAAAGCTATAGAATAGCGTTTTCAAATGCAAATATTTGAAGTCGGAGAAGCATATGCGCTCCAATGAGAAAATTGCGATTTTTCTTGTTTTTCGAAGGAAAATAGGTTTCCTGAGCCAATTTTCGTGCTGAAAATCATGAAATTATTGATTTTCAGTGGTTTTCAGCATTTTCAGCACAAAATTCTGATCTAGAAGTATTTTTAAAGCTATAGAATAGCGTTCTCAAAAAAAATATTTGAAGTCGGAGAAGCAAATGCGCTCCAATGAGAAAATCGCGATTTTTCTTGTTTTTCGAAGGAAAATAGGTTTCCTGAGCCAAATTTTGTGCTGAAAATCATGAAAAACCTCATTTTTCAGCCGTTTCCCCACCAACAACCCCACCAAAACCGCTTCGCCAAGAAACCGAATCGCTGTTTTTTGTGATGGACGCAGAGAGTTTGGGAAATCCGAATAGTATTCAAGAAGCGGCGGATTTCTATACAAAACAGAGAGATTTTACGATTTCTGTCATGAAATCAATCATTGCTCAGCCTAACAATGGAAATAATCAATGTACTTATTTGGCTGATTATGCTTTTTATGGATATAGTGAGTTATTTGGGAAAGGGGAGGGGGTCCTTTAAGGAATTGCAAAAAAATCATGAAAATATAGCTTGTTTGGTGTCAAAATGATCGGATTAACATGAGCAATCTATATTTTTCCTTGAAAATTCAAAATTCTGAAATTTTCAGCCAAATTCTCGATGAACTTCAACGTCGGATTCGCAATGAAACCCCAACAATTTCTCGATGCAATTGGTGCCAATGAATGGGAAGATCGAACAAATCACAACTATTATATGGATGTGTGAGTTGATCTACAGTAGTCCGCGGGGGGTACTGTAGCATACAGTAATCTTGCAGAGCTATCGATCAATTGAAATATTTCGTTTGGCGACCGGCTCCGGTGGATTTTGGATACTCGACTCTAGTTTTCCTGACTGCCAGGTAAATTCAAATTTTGCCGCCAAAAATTTCGCGCCATTTTCCAGACAAGACCTAACCGATCTTCCATCGTTCGATTCTCCGCCTCCAAATTTCGATGACGTCATTGTTGTGCCGTTGAAGGGCTCGAAATTCGAGACGAATTACACAAAAATTGCGATTTCGGATGATTTGAATGCGGATGATGTTAAGACAATTCTACCGTATTTGAGGTGTCATTAATGAAGATTTTCTTATTTTTGGTAGAAAAAATGGATTGCTCATGTTAAGAGCATCATTTTGATATATCATAAGTATGGTGTATTTTGGAAAAGAAAAAGTTTTTCAGAGTCTGGCAAAAAATCTGAATTTTCAAAATTAATTTCTGAATTTTTTCCAAATTTTTCTGGTTTTCGGAACTGAAAACGTTTAAAATTACTACTAAATCATCTGTAAATGGAAAAATTTCGAACCAATCAAAAGACCCTGTTGAGAAATCCTTCTGAACAATATTTTTAAAAATAAAATCGAAACGTGACCCAGTTTTTTTTGTTGTGACGTGTTCCTCTTTTTCAAAAATTCAGCTATTTTCTAATAAATTCAATAATGAAAGTGAATTCTAGTTATTTTCTGGAATAACTTGTATCACAATCATTTTCAATATAATTTCTGGAATTCTCATATTTCTATTTATTTATATCGATGCACAAAACTATATTGATGAAAATGTTATGACCGAAATTCACATCAGTAATTGCTTGGATTTTCAAAGATCAGAAAATTTCTCGATTTCTTGACATAATAAAGGTTTTGTAGAGTTTGTTTTGCATCGCAGTTTGGAAGAACAAATCTGTTTATTGAGTTTTCAAAAGTTAAAAATGAGCCGTTCCTCTAAAAAAAACCTCTGAAAATGAAAAAAAAAGTTTTTATTATTTTACAATTGAAAATTACACCCTTCCTCTCTCTCAAAAATGCAATTTTGCGGCGCACTTTTCATTTTCCATTGAAAAATTTTCTAGAACAATCTTCTGCGTCTCTAACATTTTCTCCACCTGGTCTGCTGCACACCCTAATAGATAAAGAAAAAAAAATTAGGGCGAGGGTGGGCACGAACTCACTACCCTCAGATTGGTAAGCGCTGCACCTCCCTGCTGAGCTGCCAACCATGTTTTTGAAGCCATCCAAATTTCAAAGACAATAAAATTGTTGCGCGCGCTCTCGAAAAAGTCGAAATTTCGGAGCTCATTTTCTTGTGCTCAAAGGGTTCTTTGGCAGCTGAATTTTTTATATGTTTATCAGTGCACCTTAAAGTACCCCTAAAAAAATTTTGAGTCAAAAACTCAATGGTGGCCTGAAGAGGTTCCCTTGTTAAAATTATATTTATCATTTTTCATCACACTCAATTTCCTACAAAAACTACGAATCTTTTTGTCTTATTATCATCATTTTCCATGATGATAATTTTCGAATTTATCATGTTTTTCGAGTACAAAAAATCATATAAAAGCACACAGTTTGATAATTTTTCGAATCAAAAAATGATTAAAATCGTGCTTCTATTTTCGGTGGTATTTAGCCTAACTCAAGCGAAATCCTGTCATGAAGGTGAATATTTGGATCCCAGTGGAGAATTGTGAGTTTACCCTGGAAAGAGCTATTTTTCACCCAGTGAGTTTTCAGATGTTACATTGTGAATAGTCAATATGCTCAATTCGGGAGTGCCGAAAAAATGTGTCAAAATTACGCGGGCTACAATCTAGCCAAAATCCCCACCGCCATCGACAACAATTTCCTGACGCAACTCACTTCAAAACTCGGAAAAACGTTCTGGATCGGATTGCAGAAGGATGTGTCGAGCGACAAATTTCAGTGGATCGATGGAACACCGTTGACGTTTCAGAATTGGGCTGGAAATGCGGATGCGGATCCGAGTACGTGTGGATTCTTTAATTCGACTGATGGGAAGTGGAGACAGGCGAGATGCTCTTATCAGGCACATGTTATTTGTTCGGGACCAGCGAGAGATGATGGACCAAGTGAGTTTTGATTGGAAAAAGCTTAGGCTTAGCTAAGGTGTTAGGCTTAGGGTTAGCTAGGATTTTAGGATTAGGCTTGGCTAGGACTTTAGGCTTAGGCTTAGCTAGGATTTTAGGCTTAGACTCAGCTAGAGTTAGGCTTAGGCTTAGGCTTAGCTAAGGTGTTAGGCTTAGGCCTAGCTAAGGTCTTAGGCTTAGGCTTAGCTAGGACTTCAGGCTTAGGCCCCTAATCTTCTCCAAATTTGCAGCTGTATCTCCACCAACACCACGAAAAGAAACCGAATCGCTATTCTTCGTATTAGACGCCGAAAGTCTCGGAGATCCAAACAGCAATCAAATCGCCAAAAACTTCTATGGAAAACAGCGCGATTTCGTGGTCTCCTTGATCAAAACCCTCCTGGCTAACCCAAATTCAGGCTCAAATACATGCTCATATTTGGCCGGATATTCGATGTATGGATATAGTTTGAGTAAATATGATTTCAATATTGGATATGCTAATGATCCATATGGCGTGATTTATGGACTTGGGACTACAAATTGGGATTCGACTACTAAACTTTTCTCCACAATTTCTGAGTAAGGATGGGTTACTTGGGAAAAAGGATGACAAGGGGTGGCCGCTTGAAATTAGTTCTATCAAGGAGTGGCTGCTTGATATTAGTTCTATCAAGAGGTGGCTGCTTGATATGTGTTTTGTCAAGCAACTGCTCCTTTATAGAGATTTGCAAGGCACGGATGCTTGTCATAACCATCTCTAAAGAGTTAGTTCCTTCACAACAACAAGATTTTCAAGCCGTGGCTGCTTTGGAACCTTTCTCTCAAGCATCTATCCCTCGATACAAGGTCTCTCAAGCACCCACTCCTTGACAACACGCTTTCCAAAGCGCGGCTCCTTGCCACAACCACCTCTCAAGCATCCAACCCTTGAGACTCCTCTTTTTTTTCCAGCGCAATAACTGGTGTCAAAACTTTCACCTGGAATCAAACCCCATCAGATTTCGGATACTCAACTCTGATTTTCCTAACGGCTAGGTAACTTCATTTTTTTTTATTTTCCGAATTCCCTCCAAAAAAACCCCTAAGCTTTTGCAGACAAGACTTATCAAATCTCCCAATTTTCGACTCTCCACCACCACAATTTGATGACGTGATTGTGTTGACTTTGAATAACTCGCAATTCAAAACCAGCTATCAAAAATTGGCGATTTCTTCCAGTTTTTCGAATAATGATATTAATTTAGTTTTGCCATATTTGCAGTGTCATTGATTATTCATTTTTTGATAAAAAATTTGATAAGAAATTATTCGAATCTGAAAAAAAATTTTTTTTTTCATATGTATGTAAATGTTTATATTTGCACACAATACATTTTATTTCACGCGCAAATTTTATTTTTTTCCAGAGAAACCCATGAATCTTCTAGAATCCTTTGAAGATATCGAGCTAATTTCAATCTACCGATCCTATGTAAATCAGAATGTGATATCAATCGATGTGAAATCAAAAGATTTTTCGAGTGCGAGGCAAATCAAGTTCTCCCAGAAGAGCTCTTCAAGAATCGATGTTCAGTGTGAAAATCTAACTTCGAATCGTATTGTTTGGAAAATCGAGGAAACTGGGAAGTTACTCGATGTTTTTCTCAAGTATTTTGATTATTTCATGGGGAATCCAGCAAAAATCAAAGAATTTTCGATTGTTGAGAATTGCTTTGATTTTATTGCTAATGTTCGAATCATTTTCAACGAGGAATTACCGATTTATAAACATCGGAGCATTAAACATCTGGAGAATTTGGAGAACCTCAAATTGACTTATGATCTATCAGATCTTGGGGGGTTCTGCGATTTCCAACAAATCTGTGAGATCAAAAAGAGTGTGATTCTTCGAATTTCGAAATTCAGTGTCAATCAAATTTTTCAAATCAAAGCTAAACATATCGAAATATCTGGACTGAAATGGGCAAATCCGGAAATCAATGTATTTTTGAAACGATGTATTCAAGGAGAATTTGAGGAAACTGTGGGAAATTTGAGATTGGATTTTGAATCGATGTTGGATGAGAAAAAGGTTTTGGAAGGTGTGAAGATTTTTGAAAAAAGAAAGTATGGTTTTTTTTTATTTTTATATTTTTGATAATATTTTAGAAGACAAATTTTCAGCAATTATTATATTTTTGAATATGCCAACAACAAATCTCGTCTTTCTGTCACATTTTATAAAAAATCAAATTCTTTGGTTGTTGAAACACGTGTATGAATTGGAATCAATAAATTATTGAGATTAGAAGTTCAAATTTTCCGGTAATAAATTTTTTTATTTATTTTTTAAATTTTTTTTCAAATAAAAAAAATTAAAAAAATTTTTTTTTTAAATTTAAAAACAAAATTTTTTTTTAATTCTTAAATTTTTTTATTTACAAAGCCTATGTTAAGCCTAAGCCTGAGTCTTATTACCTAAAACAAGCCTAATGGCCTGAATTTGTGTACTATTAAAAATCATTTTCCCGATTTTTTCCGGAAACCCGGAAAACCTGGTTTGTCGGTATTCTCCCTCTCCCATCACAAAAATGCAGATCTCCCTATCTCTGTCCCGCTCTCTCTCTGACCCATAAGTACACTATTTCTCAAAAATCAATAATATCCCCTGCACTCGGCGTTTTTTTCTCATTTATTTTGTCATTTCAATTTTTTTTAATTGAAAAAAGAGTTTTTATTATTACTGTATCTAAACTACAGTACTCCTCTATTATCTACAAACGCTCGAATTTCCAAGATTCTGTGAGGCCCTCAGGCTCCGCCCATCGCCTCGACACACTATAAAAGGGCCACAGGACGCCGCCCACTTCAGTCTATCTTTCCCCGCTATGTAATTTCTCATAGATGTTTTCTTCTCAATAAATAGTTACTCTTATTCATTTCATACCAATATCCACTTCATGTAATAACCGAGGGATCAGGGACTAGTTAGAGAAGGGAGGTTAACATACCTCTACAATTCACAGAAAATATGAAATAGAAGTCGACTGGAGTCTTTCAAAAGTGAGTTAACAAGTATTTTTCCAGAAAAATGTAGTTTTATTATTTAAGAAACACCTTACTGCAAAAAAAAATTAAAATTTACAAAAGATCCGAGAATATTGGCTAGAAGAAGGCTATTTTTGGGATAAAAAAGTAAGCGGATAATATAACCTTTTCTACCAAAAAATGTAATTTTTTCAGAAAAACTGCTTCAAAACATCTTACTGTATCTAAACTACAGTACTCCGAATATTCTACAATTCGAAAAATTTTCGTGACGCGGGTTACATTATAACCAAGCCCCATTTACTATTGGGCAAGATTTCTGAGATGCAATAGGACCATTGCCCAATAAATTTTTGTAAAAATGAATGAATTTGAATTGAGATTGAGTAAAAAATGTTTTTTTTGTGTCACGTTTTCAATTTTTCTGGAAAATTTGGATTTTTTGGGTCAAAAAAGCTGTGACGTGGCAAAATTAAGGTAAGATTTTTTGAAATTCTCAAGTTTCCCACAGTTGTGCTAACTCTAAATGAGCTATGACGTGGCAATTTTTTTCGCAGCCGCAGGAAAAACGTGTCAATTATCAATGTTATCAATTCTCTTCTGTTCACACACAAAACAAAACAAAAAGTGTCAAATTATATTTTGGCTGTCCTTTTTCCCATATCACACCATATAGAAAGTAGCCAGAAGAAGAAGAAGAAGATCCCTCGTTTTCTCTCGCCACCCTCCTCATTCTCCACACTCTCTCCTATTTCTTCTCATTTTCTCTCTATGAGCATTTTTTTAGGCGTTCTTGATGCTGTTTTTTGTCTTAGCCGATTTTTTCGGATCAAAAATTCAATTTTTGTATAGTTTTTAGTGTACTTTTTTTTTCATAAATCACTTCCTTTCTTCCTTTTTTTGTTGAGAAAAAAACCGGTTCAAAAAAATAGTTTTTTTTACCCTTTTTTTGCATTGTGTTAGGTATAAAAGTTAGTTTTTGTTATCATTTTTTCAACCAAAAAAAAAAAAATTGAAAATGACTATTCCAACTACAAAAATCCGCCAGAAAAAAGTGAGTTAATTTTTTTTTTCAAAAAATTTTTGATTCAAATCCATTTTGACAATGAAAATTGATACTTTTTTTCGCCCCTAAAAAAAAAGAAAAAGGAAAAATAAATATTTGTGGGAAAGTGATTTTTGGCGCGAAAAATCAAACGATTTTTTTTTGTGTAATAAAATTTTTTGAAACATTAAAAATGAACTTTTTGAAGCCATTTTTTGAGCTAAAATTTAAAAATTCAAATTTCGCGCAATTTTTTCTCTGTCTTCTCTGCGTCTCTTATAAGTCTAGATTATCTAGACAGTTATTTTCCTCTGCGTCTCTAACACGTTCTCTTTCTCTAACCTATGCTATTGCTCTGCGTCTCTAACCTAAAAGTTATCTTTATTTCTCTGCGTCTCTAACACGCCGAGATTTTTTGGCCCCATAATTTTTATTCAAATTTTTCCCACGTCCTCTTTTTTTGCTTCGAAATTGCCTTCGTCACGAAAAAAACTCTATCTTTTTCATTTTTTTTCGCAAGAAAAAGCTGGCCGAAATTCGATTTTCCCCCAAGAGACGAGACTTCGATTCTTTTTTGTTTTTTCAGAAAAAAAATTGTGTGATTCATTTTTTGATTGGAAAAAAAATGAGAAATGAGGAATTTAATAAAAAAAATATTTTCTATCACGTTAGAAAAACACATTTTTTCTCATTTCCAAAATTTTTTGACTCAAAAACCACGTAATTTTTTTTTGAAAAAGCTCTCTAGGCTCGGCTACTTGACAACTAGGATTTCTAGGCTCGGCTACTTGACAACTAGGATTTCTAGGCTCGGCTACTTGGCATAGATGATCTCAAGGTGTGGTGCCTTGCCAGAAAAGGATTCTAGATGCGGGTACTTAAGAACCATGCTCTCTAGGCGCGGCTACTTGACAACTAGGATTTCTAGGCTCGGCTACTTGACAACTAGGATTTCTAGGCTCGTCTACTTGACAACTAGGATTTCTAGGCTCGGCTACTAGACAACTAGGATTTCTAGGATCGGCTACTTGACAACTAGGATTGGTAGGCGCGGCTACTTGAAAACTAGGATTTCTAGGCTCGGCTACTTGACAACTAGGATTTCTAGGCTCGGCTACTAGACAACTAGGATTTCTAGGATCGGCTACTTGACAACTAGGATTTCTAGGCTCGGCTACTAGACAACTAGGATTTCTAGGCTCGTCTACTTGACAACTAGGATATCTAGGCTCGGCTACTTGACAACTAGGATTTCTAGGCTCGGCTACTAGACAACTAGGATTTCTAGGATCGGCTACTTGACAACTAGGATTGGTAGGCGCGGCTACTTGAAAACTAGAATTTCTAGGCGCGGCTACTTGACAACTAGGATTTCTAGGCTCGGCTACTTGACAACTAGGATTTCTAGACTCGGCTACTTGACAACTAGGATTTCTAGGCTCGGCTACTAGACAACTAGGATTTCTAGGATCGGCTACTTGACAACTAGGATTTCTAGGATCGGCTACTTGACAACTAGGATTTCTAGGATCGGCTACTTGACAACTAGGATTTCTAGGGTCGGCTACTTGACAACTAGGATTTCTAGGCTCGGCTACTTGGCATAGATGATCTCAAGGTGTGGTGCCTTGCCAGATAGGATTTCTAGGCTCGGCTACTTGACAACTAGGATTTCTAGGCGCGGCTACTAGACAACTAGGATGTCTAGGATCGGCTACTTGACAACTAGGATTGGTAGGCTCGGCTACTTGACAACTAGAATTTCTAGGCTCGGCTACTTGTCATAGGAATTTTCAAGGTGTGGTGCCTTGCCAGAAAAGGGTTCTAGATGCGGGTACTTAAGAACCATGCTGTCTAGGCTCGGCTACTTGACAACTAGGATTTCTAGGCGCGGCTCCTTGAAAACTAGAATTTCTAGGCTCGGCTACTTGACAACTAGGATTTCTAGGCTCGGCTACTTGGCATAGATGATCTCAAGGTGTGGTGCCTTGCCAGAAAAGGATTCTAGATGCGGGTACTTAAGAACCATGCTCTCTAGGCTCGGCTACTTGACAACTAGGATTTCTAGGCTCGGCTACTTGGCATAGATGATCTCAAGGTGTGGTGCCTTGCCAGAAAAGGATTCTAGATGCGGGTACTTAAGAACCATGCTCTCTAGGCTCCGCTACTTGACAACTAGGATTTCTAGGCTCGGCTACTAGGCATAGATGATCTCAAGGTGTGGTGCCTTGACAACTAGAATTTCTAGGATCGGATACTTGGCATAGATGATCTCAAGGTGTGGTGCCTTGCCAGAAAAGGCCTCTAGATGCGGGTACTTAAGAACCATGCTCTCTAGGCTCGGCTACTTGACAACTAGGATTTCTAGGCTCGGCTTCTTGACATTAAAGCTCTCTAGATGCAGCTCCTTACAATTTTAGCCAACTTGTGACTCAAAAAATTCCAAATTCCAATATTTTCAGATGAAATTCGACGAATTCCTCTTCACCTATTTGGGTGAAATGGGAAAATACCAAAAAATCCAATTTCTACTGGTTTGTCTTCCAACAATTGTTGTCTCAATGCATGCATTAAGTTGGACTTTTGCCTCAGTTGACACGCCATTTCGATGTAAACTTGAATTCGATAAAAATCTGGAGTATTTTACGCCAAACTTGAAATTCTCGAAATGTTTGGATAGCAGTGATAAGGAAGTTAGTATCAAGGATTATAAGAAGGATGGAGTTTCGGTAAGTTGGGGGAATCTATAGGTCTAGAACAACATCCCATTCTTCCAGTGCTACTACAATGAAAAATGTCAAGATCAAAAAAATCGCACATGTTCCGAACACGTTTTCGATCACAGTAAAGTCAAATACACGGCAACTGAAAGATGGGAAATCACATGTGATCGAGGATGGATCAAGGCAACAATTCAAGCCGCTTATTATGTCGGACAAATGGCCGGTTCGATGACATTTGGTGTACTTGGTGATAAAATCGGACGAAAAAAAGTGTTCTTTTTGGCGATTATCATTCAAATCATCAGTGCCTATACCATTGCTTTGGCACCATTTTGGTGGTTGTATGCTCTAGCGAGAGCTGGAACCGGATTTTCGCATCCAGGAATATTTGTGATTGCTGTTGTTATTGGAATGGAATTGGTTGGACCGCAATATCGGAAATTGGCGTCGGTTATAACGGGATTGTTTTTTGCGTTGGGGCAGGTGTTTTTGGCGATTGAGGCCATATTTTTTACCGATTATCGCATTTTACATGTTGTTATTGCGACGCCGGCACTTTTGTTTTTGTCGTATTGGTGGTGAGTTAGCGGAAGTCTCATTTGCAAGCCTCATTTTGCTAGAGAGATTAGGGAATCAGAGAAACTAGAAGGTTAGAGAGTGTACGATGTTAAGAGACGCAGAAAGGTAGCGAAACTACAACACTCCGCAATTACGCTCTGTATAGATAGGGTGACGAAGTTAGAGACGCAGAGGGTGGAACCATATGTAGATAACATGATAAAGTGAGAGACGCAGAGAAACTAGAAGGTTAGAGAGTGTACGATGTCAAGAGACGCAGAGAGGTAGACAAACTATTTATAAATTTACGAGAGCTCGCGAAACTACAACACTCCGCATTTACGATCTGTATAGCTAGGGTGGCGAAGTTAGAGACGCAGAGGGTAGAACCATAGAGAGCTAAACATATAAGATAGTATGGGGAACTGAGAGACGCAGAGAAGTAAGATGGTTAGAGAAGAGACGGAAATCAATTTAGACAGTGCAGAAATTGACGAGACGCAGAGAGGACAGTCAAAACAAGAACTCTCGCTTCTCTCGGTCATAGAAAGATGAGAGACGCAGAGAAACTAGACAGACTAGAGACGCTGAGTGTTGAGCCCCATGTAGATAGTACAAGAGACGCAGAGAAGACAGACAAAACAAGGCTTCTCTCGCTCAAAATATCACAGAAAGAGAAGCAGAGAAACTAGAGAGAGTACACCAGAGACGCAGAGACGTAGATAAGTGTAGAGAGTACAAGAGAGGCGCAGAATCAACGAGACCCAGAGAAACCAGGCAAGACAAGCTAGAGACGCAGAGAAATCGACAAGCTAGAGACGCAGAGTGTCCTATTTCCAGGCTAGTGCCCGAATCAGCCCGCTGGCTCGTCTCCCAAAAACGCTACACCGAAGCGGATCAAGTGCTCCAAAAAGCGGCCAAAGTGAACGGCGCAACTTTGCCCGATCAATGGTGGGAACAATTGGATGATAATCAACCAGCTACAACAAGTTCTGCTGAAGAAGCAGAAGAGATTCCGAAGAAGGCGTTGAGCGGCGCGGATTTGTTCAAAACTCCCGAATTGCGAAAGAGAACGTTGGTGGTCTTTTTCTTATGGTAAGTTAACTGTTTAATCTGAGCAATCATCTCAACCCTTTTCCTAGGCCCGTCATCTCAATGGTCTACTACGGTATGGCAATGAAGGCCAATGTTTTGGGTGGCGACATCTACACTTCTTCGATTTTCGCAGCTCTCGTTGAAATCCCCGCCCTCTTTGTTGTCTATTTACTCATCGATCGAATCGGTCGCCGATTGCTTTTAGCTGGCGGATTATTTATCGCTGGAGCGTGTTTGATTCTGAATTGGTTGATGGGAACAAATGTGCCGTTGGCTGTTGCGATTGCACAAATGATGGTGACGAAAGGAGCTATTACTGGGGTTTATGCGGCCATTTATACGTATTCACCGGAACTTTTTCCAACGGTTGGTGAACCGGGGGGGGGCACGCGCTCCACCGAAATAAACACGCAACGCAGACCGCGTCGCGCCACAACACACACGGGAGGGAATTTGAATCGTTTCCTTATTTGTGTGTGTTGTGGTGCGACGCGGTCTGCGTTGCGTGTGGAGCGCGTGGCGCCGATGAGATATTCGATAATAGTTTTTGTTTGGTGCCACGTGGCAAATTGAAATTTTTTTTGTTCGAAAAAATACGATTTTCATACGTAGAAATACGCACTTTTCAAAAATAAAAAAAACAAAAATTGAAAAATTGAAAAATTAATTTTTGCAAATTTAGATTCTGCAGGTTTTCAACGGAATTTTCCAGAAAAATTCAAATTTTCAATGAAAATACCAGATTATCTTGGTAATTTAAAGTTGCCACGTGGCAGTTTAAAATTCGTCAGTTTTAAATCAATTTTCATATAACTTTGTGCTGATGCCACGTGGAAAACTCAGATTTTTCAAGCTTTCTGAATTTAAAACCACATTTTCTAGAATAATTTTAGATGCCACGTGACAAATTGAAAATTTCTCATTAAAAATCGATATTCAAAGTCACTGCTACGTCACTGCCCAAAAGTCTAGACTTGCAAATTTCGAATTTCCCTGCCTCTCTCACTTTCCCACACTATTTCCCACTAATTCTTGCAGACAATCCGCAACACCGCAATGGGTTTCTGCTCAACAATCGCAAGAGTCGGCGCAATTGCCGCCAGCTACGTTTCAATGTGGATTGCCGAGCGTTTCGGCAAAGTGTTCATGATAATTCCATTCGGCAGTTTGGCGGTGATCGCCGCACTTTTAACCCTATTCTTCTTGCCCGAGACAATGGGAAAACCATTGCCGGAATCGGTTGAGGAAATTGAAGCTGGTGATGGATATCAATCCGGGCAGGAATTACAACCACTTTCCGGGAAGACTGAGGAAACTGCATAATTTATTGATTTTTTTGTACAGGGAACTGTTTCAAAATCCTGTTGACTATCTATTATCGAAAATCTCACGCGCTCCACACGCAACGCAGACCGCGCCGCGCCACAACACACACAAAAAGGGAGGGAATTTGAACCGTTCCCTTATTTGTGTGTGTTGTGGCGCGACGCGGTCTGCGTTGCGTGTTGAGATTTTCGATAATAAACTACACGTTTTTCTAGTTACGCTAACTCTGAAGCAGTTCCCTTTTCTGTTAATAGACCAAAATTAAATTTCCCCTTTTTTTTCGATTTTCCAACCAACCCTCAGGGTTTTTTTTGCATTTGCATAAAGCTTTCAAGAAAATTTTCCAAATGTTCATTTAAATTTCTCACCCGTATCATTCGAAATCGCCATTTCCATCAAATTCAATTGATTCAGCGACAAACTCGCATCTCTTTGCGACAAAATTCCAGTTTTTCGCAAAACCTCGACGAGTTTCGGATATTCGGCGGCGGCGATTTCGCGACGTTGCGACATTCGCTGCGATGTTGAATGCCACGTCGGCAATTGATGATAGCGCACGTGGAAGTGACGTGGAAACGGGTGCGATTCGAAGAGATAGTGTAGATTATCGAGAGAGTTTTGAGATGGTTGAGGGATGTAGGGAATTACTTCGATGGTTATTCGATGGGATTTGATTGGACGTGGAAGACGCTCGATCTGGAGAAATAGAGAGGAAAATTGAGAGACGCAGAGATTTTAGGGTCCTTACAACAAGTTGACAACCTTCCCCAGGCTGCAAAACAAACGAATTATTTGCGATTCGAAAAAATGTGGCTGAAGTTGCGCGAACTCGACAAACTATTGCGAATGGGGACGCATTGGTGACCAAATGCTGCAAAAATTATATATATAATCTCATCGGTATCACGCGCTCCACACGCAACGCAGACCGCGTCGCGCCACAACACACAAAAAGGGGGGATTCCCTCCCTTTTTTGTGTGTGTTGTGGCGCGGTGCGGTCTGCGTTGCGTGTGGAGCGCGTGGTACCAATAAGATCCATACCTCATAAAAACATTGACTTGAAGTTGAGATGAGATAATCGTGTGGAAATATATTCACCTTGATTGCATCGTATTTTCTGAAAATAAAAATAGTTTTTTTTTCTAGAATTTATGTAGATAAGATCTGAAAAAAACTGACTTATTACAATCCTCGACTTCTTTTTGGATAGCTTTCGAAAAATCTCTTGAAGCTGTTGTTGAGACAGTTTTGGTTAATTCCAAGGTTGTTGTGGACATTTTTGATAAAAATGACGGGAATTTGGAAATTTGGGCAAGAGGTCACGGAAAATTATTTTCATGTCTTTTTGACTTTTCATTTGAGTTTGAATCCAAGGAATTCCCCCGGAAACCAGCAAAAAAAAATTTTTCGCAAAAAGTATACGGTATGCAATTGCACACAATGCATTTGATTTGACGCGCATTTATTTTTATTTTTTCCGTTTTTTTCCTTTTGAACAGTTTTTCTTGAAAACCTGCGAGAAATTTCACTTTAATTCATTAAATTTTGAATTCAGAGCATGGATCTCGAACTTGAGAAGATGTCAACATCGGATGAAGCTAACAACCAAAAACCAAAACCAAAACCAAAAAAATATGACGTGGCAATTAAAAATTCAAATTTTTCAACATACATAAATAAATAATTTTTATCATCACAATCACAACTATTACACAAAAAAAAGCCCAAAAAATACACACACACACATTTAAAATATAAATTTTTTTACATAAAATTATTGGAATTCGGAATAAAACTAGGTTGAGGTATTTGAATCGAATTGAGGTCTCGAACCGATTTTTCGAGCAATTTCGCATTTCCCGAATAATAGGCGGCTAAGGCGGTTTGGAGTTTTTCGAGTTGAGAGGCGACGACCGAAATTCGATTCTCTTCCAATAATCGCATTTTGATTCGCACATCTTTTTTGAGATTTTCGTATTTTTCACGTTTTTCTTGACATTTTTCGGTGGCGCCGGCTGGAAGAGTTTTCGAGTTTGGCGATTCTTGAGCTGATGAGATCTCGTTGCGATCCACGTCGTATTCGATGCGAGCCTAGGAGAAAGAGCATTTTTCAAGAAGAAAAGGTAAAATGTTCAAGGAGCTAGTAAAAAACCTAAATTTGGCGCATTTTGAGTCTCAAGACCAGAATTTAAAGGAACATGTGCTAATTTCTGCTCAAAATGCTCCATGTTCCTTTAAATTCCGGTCTCAATGCGACATTTGATGCATTTTAAATGTAAATATGTTCCTTTCATTCCATTTCTCGTTACAAGACCAAAAATTAAAGGAACATAGGCTTTTTTACATTCAAAATGCATCAAATTTCGCATCGAGACCGGAATTTAAAGGAACATAGCTTGAATATAAATATGGCTATGTTCCTTTAAACTCTCGTTACAAGACCCAAAATTAAAGGAACATAGTCATATTTACACTCAAAATGCTCCAAATTTCGTGTCAACCCCGAAAATCCCCAAAATCTCACCGATTCTGTCGAATAAATCGTGTGCAACGTGTCAGTAATCGTCTGATTATACACCGTCTCCATAGAAGAGATGAAAAATCGAAGACACGTGTCCAAAGAGCTCGCCTGTTCTCCAACTCCGCGCATTGTCTCGGATGTTGTTGTGCATTGAGCCTGTGAGTTATGACGTGGCAAAAATGGTTTCCGACTATTTTTAAATAAAATACTCACCTTCAATGCTTCTTCTTTCAGCGATAATTGATAGAACGATTCGGAGAGTTGTTTTTCAGCTTCAGCCATTTGCGCTAAAATATTGCTGAAATTCTTGGAAGCCACCACAATTTGACCATATCTTCTATGAATATCCTTTAATTGTTCACATTGTGCCTCGAATTCGGGATCTTGAGTTTTCTCGATTTTTCCCATTTGCTCCAAAAGTTGTTGTTTCGAATTTTTGAACGTGCCAATTGTCCATTTTTTGAATTTATCCACTTTGGCGGCAACTTGCGCGGTATCGATGCTGGAAGAAGAAAATTTGAATTTGGCGGGGAAAAATACTTCGGGGTGAGACCCAAGTAAATTTAAAGGAACATAGGCTTATTTACATTCAAATTACGTCTCGAGACCCAAATTTAAAGGAACATAGGCTTATTTATTTTCAAATTACGTCTCGAGACCCGAATTTAAAGGAACATAGGCTTATTTATTTTCAAATTTCGCCTCGAGACCCGAATTTAAAGGAACATAACCTTATTTGATCGAATTTCGTCCTTAGATTCGAATTTAAAGGAACATAGGCTTATTTATATTCAAATTTCGCCTCGAGACCCAAAATTAAAGGAACATAGCCTTATTTGATATAAATTTAGTCCCTAGACCCGAATTTAAAGGAACATAGGCTTGTTTACATTCTACGTCTCGAGACCCAAACTTAAAGGAACATAGGCTTATTTGATCTAAATTTCGTCCCTAGACCCGAATTTAAAGGAACATGGCCTTATTTGATATAAATTTCGTTCCTAGACCCGAATTTAAAGGAACATAGGCTTATTTGATCAAAATTTCGTCCCTAGACCGGAATTTAAAGGAACATAGGCTTATTTATATTCAAATTTCGTCCCTAGACCGGAATTTAAAGGAACATAGGCTTATTTATATTCAAATTTCGTCCCTAGACCCGAATTTAAAGGAACATAGCCTTGTTTACATTCAAATTACGTCTCGAGGCCCGAATTTAAAGGAACATGGGCTTATTTGATCAAAATTTCGTCCCTAGACCCGATTTTAAAGGAACATAGCCTTATTTGATCAAAATTTCATCCCTAGACTGGAATTTAAAGGAACATAGGATTGTTTATATTCAAATTTCGCCTCGAGACCCAAATTTAAAGGAACACAGCCTTGTTTCCACTCAAAATGAAGCTCTCACCGCGGACATTCGACAAATTTTCGCGAATTCGAATTTCTGACTCGAAAAAATCGCAAACTCTTGCGATACGACTCCGATCTGTCCGGCATTTTTCTGCGCAAAATTTCCGGAGACGATTTTAGCGAAATGAGCATGAAATGAGAGAGAGAAAAAACTGTTAACAAGTTACATAGTTAGCTACTTCTTATTTTTTTTCTTGTTAAACAAATATTTGTGTTTGTTAATTGTCAAGTGGATTATGTCAAACACGTTTTTTTTGTGCTGTACTTTTCTCCATGGATTTTTGGCGCGAAAAATCCACACTCACTTTGACACGGCTTCTGCGACTTTCGGTAGACCTGGAATTCGACTCATCACATCTGCACTGTCAGAATTTCGAATTTGACCAGCTGGCGGGTCTGAAATATCGATTTTTGGGAATTTGAATATAAAAAAGCCTATGTTCCTTTAAATTCGGGTATAGGGACGAAATTTAGTTCTAACAAGTTTGTGTTCCTTTAAATTTGGGTCTCGACGCGAAATTTAGATCAAATAAGGCTATGTTCCTTTAAATTCGGGTCTAGGAACGAAATTTAGATCAAATAAGGCTATGTTCCTTTAAATTTGGATCTCGAGGGGAAATTTGAATATGAACAAGCCTATGTTCCTTTAAATTTGAGTCTCGAGGCGAAATTTGAATATAAATAAGCCTATGTTCCTTTAAATTCGGGTCTAGCGACGAAATTTAGATCAAATAAGGCTATGTTCCTTTAAATTCCGGTCTAGGGACGAAATTTCGATCAAATAAGCCCATGTTCCTTTAAATTTGGGTCTCGAGACGTAATTTGAATGTAAATAAGCCTATGTTCCTTTAAATTCGGGTTTAGGGCGTCAAAAATTCAAAAAAAAAACTCACCAACAATTCCAAATGGCGGTGGTGTGGAAGCCGAAGTTGGAAATGAATCGGACATCATTTTTGTGTGACTGGAAAAAAATTCGAAATGAAAAATACGTGGTGACGTGGAAGTTCACGTGAAAAATGAAGGAAATTTTGAGCTTTCACACAAAAAATACCGTACACATTTTCAAGGCGCACATGCAATCTCTTGGGTCTCGCCACGATTCACACGTGTGCGCCTTGAAAACAGTAGTCGTTCTATTATTTTTTTTTTCTGAAAAACAGCAATTTTCTTCCAACACACAGAAAATGAACGAAAAAATCGATTTTCCTTTCATTTTCCACATAATTTTTTGCGCTGTCGATTTTCCTTGTTGATAAAAAATTTCATAATAGAAGAAATATAAAAATCTGGAAATTTCAAAAAAAGACCAGTGGAGGAATTCAGTGTAAACGGGGCGAAACAAATTTATAAAGCTAACCGAAAAACAAAAAAAAATCCATATTTACAAGAAACCGGGATAAAACGTGTCAAAAATAGGAATTGTACAGGAAAAAAAATATATAAAACACAACCAGAAAAAGGCACTTCTTATAAGTTGTTTGTGATAGATAAAAAAGGATCGATCTGGCAAGCGTATAATCTGAGCAATTTGTAATATTGAAATATACAGGGCTTAAAAGAAAGGGGATAAAACTGGGCTTGAGCCTAACATATGGTACAAGAATCTTTGTCGTTTTGATTTTGATTATTGTTATTATTGATCTGGTTTTGATTATTATTTGGGCTATTTTGGGAGGAATTATTGATGATTTGCGGATTTTTTGGAGGAGAACGCACGATATTTCCACGAGAGATTTCGATTTCACGAAGAATTAATTCGAAGAGAGCTGACACTTGGTCCTGAAAACAATTTTTGACTGAAAATTAACAATTTTCGAGCATTTTCATGGATTTCCAGCGAATAGAAATCGAAAAATCATAATTTTTCGTGAAAAATCACTCACCACATTCTTCGCCGATATTTCAACAAACTGCGCTCCCCAAAATCTCGCCAATTCTTGTCCTTCTCGTTTTTCAACACTTCGATTCACACATAAATCCGATTTATTGCCAACAATAACCAAAGGAATACTTGTATCACCATAAGTATCCACAATTTTATCGTAAATATAAGAAAGCATGTCAAAAGAACGGCGATCATCTATAGAATACATTAAAATGAATCCAGAAATGTCGAATGAACAACTTCGCGGGAAAACACTGTATTCTTCTTGGCCAGCTGTGTCTGAAATGGTTTTTGGGATAAAAATTCGCATAAAATCAATAAAATACCTGTAACTTTCAAGGAAACATGTCGATTATTAAATTCCATTCGTTTCGTCAATTGATCTTCAATCGTAGATTCATATTTCTCCACAAATTCTCCATAGACAAAACGATAAACGACTGTGGATTTTCCGACGTATGGCGAGCCCATAACTGCGATTTTTCGATTGATGTACGATATACTTTGCGAGTTGCGCGACATTTTCACCTAAAAATTCGCACAGTTTTATCAAAATTTGACGAGAAATGGGAGAAAGCACGTGAAAAAAACAAAAATAAAAAAATGCGAATGACGAGAGAGCGAGCAAAACCGGGAGACACAGAGTTGATGGCAAATAGCCAACAACGAAAATCGGGCTACCGTACTCCTGCCCGCCTGCACATCTTAGAAAATAAATCGATATTTGGCGCAAAACCCTTATTCATCAATACAAATTTTCACATTTCGCTCCCGGAAATTCGGATTTTTGTGTGAATTTTGGTGATTTTCAGGGTTTTTGTGTGAAAATCGTGTGATTTTGGCTGAAAATGGGCGGTCCGGCGGCCGAGAAAAATGTAATGCCACCATGTGTGCAAAATAAGAAGAAGAAGAAAAAGAACAACAAGAAGAAGGTGAGATTTTGTTTTGAAATTCTGAGAAAAACTTTTTTTTTTTTGAAGAAAAAGCGGCTGAAATTCCATATAATCCGGTTTTTCCTGAAAATTTATAGTCGAGTACAAATTTTCAGATTTTCTTTCTCGCCCAGTTTTTCTCACAAAATGTTTTATTTTGAAATTTTCACGAAATGAAATTTCTTGGCATTTCTAATTTGTTTTGCTTGGAAAAATGCCGAGGTGACTCATTTCCCAAAAAAAAATCAATATTTTTTGGATTTTCGTGGGAAATTCAGAAAATTGAAGGTTTTTAGGTTAAAAATTTGATGAATCACTACTATAAAATCGATATTTTCAAGAGAATACTTGGATTTTCAGATAAAAATTGAAAAATCTTCCAGAAAATCAACATTTTCCCGGAAAAAGCTAGATTTTCGCAAAAAATCATTGAAAATTTTGCTGGAAATTCATGTTTTCTATTGAAATTTCCTGAAAATCTCGAATTTTCACTCAAAAAACGCCCGATTTCTTTGCAGAACCAAGGAAACGCTCCATTATCCCCTTCTCAACCACAATCTCCTCAATCTGGTGAAGCGAAACCAATTCATTTGAATAATGGAAAGCAACAGCAGCAGCAGCAAGAAGACGAATTTGCGGCTGACGCACAAAATCAAAATCAACCCATCAATGGATCGACACTTTTGTCACAAAGGTGAGTGTTTTCGGGCTGAAAATCGCGTGAAATTAGGTTGATTTTCACCTAAAATTCATCAAAATCCACAAATTTTGACCTAAAAACTTCAATTTTCTTTCCGTTTTTCATGGTTTCCATGAGAACCTTAAATTATTCATTTCCGAAAAATGTCCTTTTTTCGTTGGTTCCCACAGTAATCCCCTTGTTAATCTTCTTTTTCCTTTTTTTTTGAAGAAAGGAGTTTGGCTAAATTAATTTTGGCCCTTGGGGCGGAATTCGGGAATTTTTGGGGATTGAAAATATTTGGAAAATTTTCAAAATTTATGGGGAAATCCTGAAAATTATAAAATTTCGAGATTTTCAAAAAAAAAAACCCTAGATTTGAGAATAAATATTGAATTTTCAAATTTAATTTCGCCCCAAAATCTGCCACGTGGCACGATTTTCATCGAATTTTTAAAAATTCATCCAAAAATAGTGTTTGGTGTGCTTTTTAACGAAATGTTAATTTTCAGCGATTTTCAATGAAAAAAAGTTGAAATTTCACACTGCACCAAATTTTTCAAGCAAAAATCTATTTAAAAACTGAAAATCTAGAATTTGACTGATCAAAAATTCTATTGGAAATTCTGAAATTCAGAATTTCCAACCAATTTTTTTGTTGAAAAATCTGGAAAAATCTCCAGATCAGGCCGGATTTTCCGAAATTCCGGTTTTTTCAAGGAAAAATCAAGTTTTCCAAAAAAAAATTGCCTAAATTTTGGAAAATTTTACGATTTTTTGAACGTGGAACGTCTCAAATACCTACTAATTGTAAGGTTTAGTGCTGAAAATCGAAATTTCAGACCTTGAAAAATTTTGCGTTTTCCGGCACATGCCTGAATCCAGATGTCCTTCCCGGAAGCACCTTATTATTTTTCTTTTTTTTTCCATTTCGAAAAACACAACCCGCAATATGTTTTAACCAATTGTTATATACATTTCAATCATCAATCTCTTTTCATCTTCTTCCCAATTTTTATCGTCAGCTGCTGCTACTTTCTTCTTCTTATTGTGTTGTGTTGTGTGTGAAAAATCAATAAGAAAAGAAGAAGAAAGGGCCTCGCAATCACTAGTATCACTTGAACACCTTACACTCTTCACATTTTTTTTGTCGCTCTTTTTTTCGCCCGCCGCAAAAAACAAGCTGGCAGTTTTCGAGGCTTTCGGTGAGCAACACAAAAATGAGCATTTGGACTTGACAGATATTGCTATCACTATTTGCACCATGTTTGTTGTTTTGCTATGCAAATGGTTGAATTTTTATAAGCCGACACCTGAAGATGGGCCTGAAAGGCCTAGGCTACGAAGAAAAATCGAGATTCCGGTGGAACGCGTCGAATTTTCGACACAAGCCTATATTCAAAGTGATGTTTCCACGCAAATGTCCGCTTTGGGCGCCAAAGTCGAATGTAATATTGAAATTGCGGAAATCGAGGAGAAAAAGAGGTTTAGCTTCTTCGTCCGGGAACCTGTGAAGTCACCCGAGCCCCCAAAATTCGTCCCAGTTTCCCATATCCCGAAAACGCATTTGGCACACTCGAAGGAGCTGAGAAGGTCCAAATCGCCGGATATTTCGATAAATGAGCCGGAGCATTTTGTGGAAGAAGTGGAAGTTATGGAAACTTTGGTTGAAGAGGAGACGAGTCTCGCGGAAGATTTGGAGAAATTTGAGGAAGATGATAATTTGGAGGAAACTGCTGGCTCGCCGATGATTGTTATTACTGAAGCGGAAGTTGAAAAATCAATTTTGGAAGGTTTGGAGACTGAAAATTTGGAAAATTTGGACCAAGGAGCTGAGAAATCGCACGATTCTGGTCAGGTTTTGAGCGAAGAAGCTGAAAATTCCACCGAAAATGCGTCCGAAATTCTACTGGAGGCGGCTCAGAACCTCCCAGAACTCTCAGAATCCGAAAAACCCTCCCAAGGGACCATTCTAAACCAATTAGAAGCCCAAACGGAGCTCTCCCAACCTGAAAGCTCTCAAAAATCCCCAATTCTTTCGCGATCTCGATCTCCAACAATTATAATAACATCCGCGGAACCTGAAAAAATCGAAAACGATGATGAAATTAGCGATTTGGTGGTTAGTAGAGCGGAAACAACATCGAGCGAACAACAAGAAAATTGTGAAGAAGAAGAGGAAAAGATGTCTTCGTGTTATTCTGACGAAGCATCGTGTTCCATTTCGAGCTCGACAACTTCTGAATCTAGATCAGAAGTGGTCGAAGAATGGAATTCGCAAGTGGATGAAGAAGAAGAGGAGGTGACGTCGTGTAGATCTGAAGAAGAATCGGTGAGAATTTCTGTAGAAGAAGAAGAAGAAGAGGAACCTTCGATTTATGAGAACTTGCCTGGAACTTCTAGAGAATCTGCAACTGAGGAAGAACTTGGTTCTGATGTTATGGATGAGGAGGAAGATTCTGAAGATCTAGAGGAATCTGAATTCGGATCAACTGATTTGGAAATTGAGATGTTTGATCATCGAATCGATATTCCGTCGACGTCACTGACGATTCCGAGGCCGAAATTGTTGAAGAGACCGTTAGTTTTTCTAGGATTTCTGTAGAGAAAATCCATGTGGAATTCAGAAAATCTAAAAAAAAATGGAATTTTTCTGTTGCTATAATCTTGGAATTTTCCATTCCAAAAACTGAAAAATCTCGATTTGTTCATGGAATTTTCGAATTTCGAGCTCTGAAAATTCCACGTGGATTTTCACCACAACAAATCCGAAAATTTTTCGATCTCTGAAAATTCCACGTGGATTTTCACCAAAACAAATCTGAAAATTTCGCGATCTGTGAAAATATCCCGAAAATTTTAGGTTTCAAAAAATTTCCTAATATTTTCAATTTAATTTTTTTAATTAGTACCTGTGTTTTCCCTTTTTAAAAAAATTAATCAATATTTTTCTGTTTCTTCTTGGTCTACATAAAACTCTTTCGGAAATCAGAAGATTTTATGAATCCACGTGGAAAATTGAATTTAATTCTGAAATTTTCTTATCTTCAAAAATAAGGAATCAATATTTTTCTTTGTTTTTTTTCCTGTCAGAAAAAGAGAAGAAAAATGATGGATTGTTGTTGTTTTGGGTCAAAATTTGTGGTCAGAAAAAAAGTTTTTTGTTTAAAAAAAAAACTTGGAGGATAAAAACTTGGAGGTTTTCTTTAATTTCAGAAATGAGGTGAATGCGAACAATTTCAACAAAAGTCTGAGCCCGGGAAGAAGCGATTCACCTGGCGCCGCAATGCCATTGGATAGATCGGAATCTGGAGATGAGATTGTGAGTTTTTGGCTGGAAATCTGACTGAAATTAGTCATGAATTGACCGAAAATAGAAAAAAAATCGATTTTCTCCTTTAAAAAATGATCCTGAATATATATAATTTATTCAATATAAAAATTTTGAATGCCGAAAATTCAACAATTTCTTGAAACGTAAAAAATTCGGGATTATTTTTTTTTGATGGAAAAATAGATTTTCTGCTGAAAATTGCGAATTTTTGGTCATTTATGCTGAATTTTTCAGAAAAAAATTTATAAAATACATTTAAAAAATCAGGAAAATCTCGAAAAATTTTCAGAAAAACTAACAATTTTAATACCAAAATTACACCCTATTTTCCCCCGAAAAAATCCAGAAAAAATACAATTATTTCCAAAACTCCTCCATTTTCCTCTTCAAAACCCCAAATTTCTGATTTTCCTGCAGAAATCCGAAGAAGAAGTGCTTGGTTCAGACGACGAAGAACAAGAAGATCCACACGATTATAAAAAAGGAGGATATCATCCAGTCAACATTGGCGACGTCTTCAATAATCGATATCATGTGATTCGAAAACTTGGCTGGGGACACTTCTCAACAGTTTGGCTATGTTGGGACACGCAAACCAAACGATTTGTCGCCATGAAAATCGTCAAATCCGCCGAACATTATACAGAGGCCGCACTTGATGAGATCAAATTGTTGTTGGCTGTAAGAGATGCGGATAGAGAGGATCCGGGTTGTGAGAAGATTGTGCAGCTGTTGGATGAGTTTACGGTGCATGGCATTAATGGAGTACATGTTGCTATGGTTTTTGAGGTGAGGAGAGGGGTTTTTTATTCGAAATTTGAGGTTTCGAGCTGGAAAATCGAAAAATGTCTAAAATCGAGACATTTGGCCTGCAAAATTATGAATTTCAGTAGAATTTTTTGCTCAAAATAATTTTGAAAAATTAGAAGTTTTGAAGTAAAATTGAAAAATATTTGATCTTCGAGCTCTAAATTGAAAAATTTTGGGGTTTTTTACATGGAAACCTTGAATTTTAGACAAAATGGTCCTAATTTTATGACAGAAATCCTGATTTTCACTTCTAAATTTGAGATTTCAGGTAAAAATTGGAAAAACTAGCGTTTCGAGCCTGAAATTATCTGAAAATTCAAGATTTTTCAGCCTGGTTTCAGGCCTAAAGATCTGAAGAAGGCTAGAAAACGTGGATTTTCGAGTTCTAAATTGAAAATTTTGGGTTTTTTATCTGGAAACCTTGAATTTGAGCAAATTGCCTGATTTTCATCATAGAAACTCGATTTTTGGACTAATTTTTAGACAAAATGACCCAAATTTTAGGCTAGAAATCCTGATTTTTACTTGAAAATATGGCTTTTTTGGTGAATTTTGAACTGAAATCTTCAAAATTCGCAAATTTTCCGACAAAAAATTGCACCCAAGAGAAAATGACTAGTTTTTACCCGAGAAAGAAGGAAAATCTAGGTTTTGCGCTGAAATATCGAAAAATGTCTGAAATCGAGACATTTGGCCTGCAAAATTGTGAATTTCTGTAGAATTTTTTGAACTAAAATCAAAAAATGTTTGATCTTCGAGCTCTAAATTGAAAAATTTGGGGTTTTTCACATGGAAACCTTGAATTTGAGCTTTGAAACCCCTATTTTTGAGCTGGAATTCAATAAAAGTGTTTGATTTTTTCAACCTGGAAACATTTTATTTTGGACTAATTTTTAGACAAAATGGCCCAAATTTTAAGCTAGAAATTCTGATTTTCACTTCTAAATTTCGAATTTCAATGAAAATCTGGCGTTTTTTGGTGAATTTCGAACTGAAATCTTCAAAATTCCCAAATTTTCCGCCAAAAATGCCACCCAAGAGAAAATACCTAGTTTTTTACCCAGGAAAGAAGGAAATTCTAGGTTTTGAACTGAAAAATTGGTTTTTTAAACCAAAAATCGGAAAAGGTCTGAAAATTATGAATTTCAGTAGAATTTTCGCTCAAAATAATTTTGAAAATCAGAAGTTTTGAACTAGGAATTATGAAAAATGTTGGGCTAGAATCTTGAAGTTTCGAACTAAAATTGAAAAATGTTTCACCTGAAGAAGGCTAGAAAACGTGGATTTTCGAGCTCTAAATTGAAAAATTTGGGGTTTTTTTTATATGGAAACCTTGAATTTGAGCTAAAATTCATTTGAGACAAAATGGCCCAAATTTTATGACAGAAATCCTGATTTTTACTGAAAAATTCGAATTTCAATGAAAATCTGACTTTTTTGGTGAATTTTGAACTGAAATCTAGTAATATCCCTGGTAAAACTCCGTATTCAAATAGCCGCGGTGCACACAAAACGCGCCAACGTCAAAGCACTGACGTGTTTGTGTTGCGCATTTCTGGTTTTGCTTTGTTTTTCAAGGTTTCAAACCGAGTTGAGCTTTTACTTGTTTTTCTAGGGTTTTAGTAGGTTTTGTGTCTCGGGACGGTCCTAAACCGTCCCCCTTCTTGTCATAAAATGATTTGCGATCAATAAATGATTGCATTTCAACCTGTTCGTGTATTTATCGTTTGCACAGGGGTGCGAACACGACATGCGCCAGCAAAATGCGCGAGGTGTATGGTTTTGTGTGTGTTTGTCTGCGTCTCTTCATACAAACACACTCTCTCGCCACTGAAATTTTTTTTTGTTTTTTTTCTGAGAATCCGATTCAAAACCGACTTTTTCGAAGTAGTTCTATATGTGAGGAGATAGAGGAAGGCAATACAAACAAAATTATATATTTTTAGTTTGATTTTAAAAAATACTGGAGCGAGAAATTGAAGTTTTTGAACCATGACCTCGAAAACAAAGTTTCGGGGCTTTCAGAGTGTGAATACTGCTATTTTCCAACAGTTTTGTATGTATTCTGTGATTTTCGACCGATATTATACAAGATCTTATGAAACTATTCTTACATTTTTCCAGTAAAAGAAGGTACCCATCTTTTATGAGGGGTTTCTCTGATAACAGCTCATTAGTAGTATATTATTTTTACTCAAAATCATTCAGAACAATGTTAAATATCGAATACTATGACATTTTTCGAAATTCTAGATCGAGAAGTCCAATTGTTCAACGTTTCTTCTAAGTGAATTTTTCCTGTTCTAGCGCTGTTACCTTACTTTCAAAAATCAAGAAACCTATCGAAAATAGCATTGGATTCATTGTGATTACATCCCACCCTCCTTCTGACATGAAAAATTGAAATTAAACCAAAATTAAGCAAAAACAGATTTTTCATTGAAAAAATGGTCTGTCTTCAAATGGCATCAGCACCTTTCATTCAGCACCGATCTTCATCATTGAGGTCTCAAAAGAATGCTAATGTGATTTTCTATCTCGAATACTCCTTAAGAAGTTGTGAAAAACACCCATCAACTCGTAAATCTCTTCGAAACTCGAAAAAACGATTTTTTGCAAAAGAAAAAAAAGTCGATGTTGAAAGTGCGCTCTATTGATAAAAATTGAAATGCGCCAGCGCCCGCGCGATTCAAAATTATGTAGTGTGCGCACCCCTGTGGTTTGTGTAAAGTGGTTGTGATCCACTTCAATCTTTGTTGCTGGAAAGGAGTTCAAGGGAACCAAACCTTGAACTGCCTACTTGGGGGCCGAACTAAAACCGATCGAGGAACCAGATGGACTTGGCGAATCGAGAGGAAATATGGATTGTTGGATTTTCGTCGCAACTCAAAGAAATCTTTGAGCGAATGAAGATTTATTTGATTTATTGATCGATATGCTGCTTATTCGTTTATTTTGTTCGTGCTGGGGGGTTCGACGCGACATTTGTCGGAATCCGGCAAACGTAACTGTCTGAATCAGATAGTTTATGTCGTCGTTGACCTAAAATCGTCAATTTATTCGTATTTTTGCAGTCCGACAACTCCATATCAACAAAACTGGCAATATTGAGACATCCGATTGAAATATTATGGATTGGAATGACAATGGATGGGGTTTTGCGAGATGAAAATCGAAAAAATCGAGAATTCGATATCAGGAGTTTGTGGAAGATGGTGAATCGGAAGAAATGTAGCTGGAAGTGGAGCAGAAGGTCGATTGGTGAAATCGAGATGATTTGGATGCCAGAGGAAGCTCCAAAACCTGTTCGCATGGAGGATATGTTGTCTGAAGATTGTTGGAAGCAAATGGAAAAAGAGTCAGAATTTGGAAGAGGAGGAAGCTACTCGAAGGGTCGAGGGATAGGTGCGAAGTAAAAGGGTAGGAAATCCTGCACCGAAGTCCGAAAATAGCAACTCCATGGATAATGGAAGCGATCGAACGTCATTTAATGGTTATTTGGCGCCAAGGTGGACACCCAGGTGAACGTGTTTCGATGCGCTGAAGTTTGGTTATACTTCCGAAGGATGAAATTTGGCTGAATGGTGCAAGATATTGGTGTGGTGTATGGCCAAAGCATCGGAACCAAGCACAAAATTATTGGAAAAATGGCGCTGGAGACGCTGGAAATTGGAAGAAAATGAATGGTGAAGATGAAAGAAATCATGGTGAAGATTCAATTGGATGCGCGTCGTGGAGTCTGGATGTTCGGAGGTCGAAAGTAGATAGGGATCGAAATCGATGAGAAATAGGATTCCGATGGCATGGATTGATGATTTATGAATTTGTTGAACAGAAAGTTGATGTGGATTGAATGGTTGATGGAAAGATTGGTATGATGGGATGAGTTCAAAATCGATATCAAACGGTGTTGATGATCGACAACAATTGGATAAATAAATGAGGTGTAATTTGTTTATTTTTTGTTAACTCATGCCCTAAGCTCTGCCAACTCTACGGTTTTGTAGTAAAGCCGGGACGGCTTTTTTGAAGGAGGGGGAAGTAATATCCCTGGTAAAACTCCGTATTCAAATAGCCGCGGTGCACACAAAACGCGCCAACGTCAAAGCACTGACGTGTTTGTGTTGCGCATTTCTGGTTTTGCTTTGTTTTTCAAGGTTTCAAACCGAGTTGAGCTTTTACTTGTTTTTCTAGGGTTTTAGTAGGTTTTGTGTCTCGGGACGGTCCTAAACCGTCCCCCTTCTTGTCATAAAATGATTTGCGATCAATAAATGATTGCATTTCAACCTGTTCGTGTATTTATCGTTTGTGTAAAGTGGTTGTGATCCACTTCAATCTTTGTTGCTGGAAAGGAGTTCAAGGGAACCAAACCTTGAACTGCCTACTATCTTCAAAATTCCCAAATTTGCCACCCAAGAGAAAATGACTAGTTTTTTACCCGGAAAAGAAGGAAAATCTAGGTTTTGAGCTGAAAAATCGAAAAATGTCTGAAATCGAGACAATTGGCCTGCAAAATTATGAATTTCAGTAGAATTTTCGAACTAAAATTGAAAAATGTTTGATCTTGGAGCTCTAAATTGAAAATTTGGGGTTTTTTACATGGAAACCTTGAATTTTAGACAAAATGGCCTAAATTTTAAGCTGGAAATCCTGATTTTTACTGAAAAATTCGAATTTTAATGAAAATCTGGCATTTTTTAGTGAATTTTTAACTGAAATTTTCAAAATTCCCAAATTTCCCGGAAAAATTCCACCCAAGAGAAAATGACTAGTTTTTACCCGAGAAAGTAGGAAAATTTAGGTTTTGAGCTGAAAAATCGGAAAATGTCTGCAAAATTATGAATTTCAGTAGGATTTTTTGAACCAAAATTGAAAAATATTTGATCTTCGAGCTCTAAATTGAAAAATTTGGGGTTTTTTTTTACATGGAAACCGTGAATTTTGAACTAAAATCTTCAAAATTCCCAAATTTTTCGGCAAAAATTCCATCCCACATTCCATTTTTCCAGGTTCTTGGCTACAATTTGCTGAAACTCATAATCCGCTCAAATTATCGTGGTTTGCATCTGGAACAGGTTCGAAAAATTTGTCGACAAATCTTGGAAGCCTTGGCCTATATGCACGAAAAATGCCAAATTATTCATACGGATATCAAACCCGAAAATGTGTTGATTACAATGAGTCGAGAGGAGGTTAAGGTTGGTAATTTTAGGAGATTTTGGGACTGAAAAATGTAAAAATTGGTTGAAAATGTGAAATTTTGACCTAAAATCAACCCCAAAAGTCTAAAATTCACTAAAAATCCCATTTTCCAAACTGAAATTAACCTCAAATTCTTCCAGATCATGGCTCAACACGCAGTTGTTGCTCGAAAAATGAACATGAAATTGAGCGGTTCGGCTGTATCGACAGCTCCAATGCATATGCAGAAAAAGGTGAGATTTTGACTAGAAATTTGGATTTTTCATCGAATTTTGATCGAAAATTGTGAAATTTCGTGATTTTTCACCCTGAACCTACAAATCTTTGAATTTTCATTTCGCAGATCCAGGAAAATATTTCGAAAAACAAAAAGAAGAAGCTGAAAAAGAAGGCGAAAAAGCAACGCGAGAAATTGGAGGCCGAATTGGCCGGATTAGAGGGATTGAAAATGGATGCGAATGGGCTGCAAGAGGCTTATCAGAATGCGCCGGTTAGTTTTGGGAATTTTGAAAATTTTGGGAAATTTGGAGAAAAATGAACTAGAATTCAGGAAATTTGGAGCATTTTGAGCTAGAATTCTGAATTTTTGAAAAAAAAAGATTTTTTGAATTTTCAAAATTGGCGCTCAGTAGTCCGGTAGTCCTTCTGGAAAATATAAAAATTTGAAAAATGTACTTACAGTAGTCCTTTTGAAAAATTTTAAATTTGAAAAATTTACTTACACTCCTTTTGAAAAATGTAAAAATTTGAAAAATTTACTTACAGTAGTCCTTTTGGAAAATTTAAAATTTGAAAAATGTACTTACAGTAGTCCTTACAGTAGTCCTTTTGAAAAATTTATCACAATTTTCTTGGGATACTGTATGCGCTGAATTTGAATTTGAAAACCTCATATTTTTGCGCTAGATTTCTGAAAATTTGGTAAGTTCAGCAAATTTACAAAGAATTTAAGCTAGAATTCATGAAAATTGAGATTTTTCAAATTTTTTCCGCAAAAAACCCGAAACCCAAAAAAAATCTGTAGCAAAGTGCGCGTATGATCCGTCCTCCTTCATTGATTTTCAACAATTCTGCTCCAAAATCGGCTCCGCCCACTTCTTCTGGCTCAATGCCAAATTTTCAACAACAACCTCAACAACTCGGTCAAATTCCGCAACTTGTTCAAGGCGCCGCCCGATTTTCTCAACCACAAATTGGTGGAATTTGTAATCAGACTTATCATTTGATACAGGTTCGAATTGAGAATGTGTTGTGATTTTGTTGAGAGCATGCCAATCCTTTTTTTCTGTGGTTTTCGTTGGGAAAATTGGGATTTTTTCATTCAGAAGCATGAATTTAAGCCTGAAATATGGGATTTTTGAGGTTTTTTGGGCTGAAAATTGGATGGAAGTTGAATTTTTGGACCTGAAAGCCTGGAATCATGATTTTTAGCTCGTTTTGAGCCCAGAATATTCGAAAATTTGAATTTTCGAACCTAAAGCTTCTAAAATTCAGGATTTTCAGCTGGAAATTTGAGATTTTCAAGATTTTTTGAGCTAAAAATCGTCCAGAAGCTGAATTTTTGCTGAAAGCCTGAAATCATGATTTTTAGCTCGTTTTGAGCCCAGAATATTCGAAAATTTGAATTTTCAAACGAAGCTTCTGAAATTCAGGATTTTCAGCTGGAAATTCGAGATTTTCGAGGTTTTTTGAGCTAAAAATCGTTCAGAAGCTGAATTTTTGGACCTGAAAGCCTGAAATCATGATTTTTAGCTCGTTTTGAGCCCAGAAAATTCGAAAATTTGAATTTTTGAACCTAAAGCTTCTGAAATTCTGGATTTTCAAGATTTTTTGAGCTAAAACTCATCCAGAAGCTGAATTTTTGCTAAAAGCCTGAAATATCAATATGTGAACCTGAAATCATGATTTTTAGCTCGTTTTGAGCCCAGAATATTCAAAAATTTGAATTTTCGAACCTAAAGCTTCTGAAATTCAGGATTTTCAGCTGGAAATTCCAGTTTCTCATTATTTTTTACCATTGGATTTTTTGAGCCTAAAATTTGAAAAATTTAGGTTTTCTAATCCTGAAAATTAAACTTTTTCTGGAAAAATTTGAAAATTTCAAGATTTTTGAAAATATAAGATCTTAAAAATTCTGAAAATTGATTTTTTACTACCAAAAAAACAGCACGCAGTCTAAAATTTTCTTCGTTGTAACTCTATTTTTTTTTGCACACAAAAATATTTGAGTTCCCTATTTTTCACCCTATTTTTTCATTTCCCTCACCCTGTTTTTCCACCCATAATCCAATTTTTTACAGGAAGACGGAGGTGCAAGTTTGGAGGCGACACGTGTCGAAGATTTGTCGGAAAATGAGGAGGAGGATTTGAATAATGGCAATAATCAGCAGCAACAAATCAAGAGTCCCGCACAAATTGGAAGAGGAACTGCTTCGCCGTTGTCGGAATCGGAATGTGGTGTGAAGAGTCCAGGTGAGGGGGTCAAAATGAGCCGGAATTTGGGATTTTTGAAGACATTTGAGCTGAAATTCGAGATTTTTGATGAAATTTGAGCTGAGCAACAGGTTTTTAGTTCAGAATGATCTAAAATTCGGGATTTTTGAGCGAAAATAGGCCTAGAAAAAAGCAGGGGCCTGAAATCAGCCTATTCAGGCTTCTAGATTTTTGTGTTCTGAACATGCCTATAAATTTTGTGATTTTTGAGATGAACTTCAGGTTTTTAGTCCAGAATACCCTCATATTCGAGATTTTTGAAGAAATTCAGGCCTAGAAAAATGCAGGGGTCTTAAAATAGCCTAGAATTGGGAGACAGGACTGAAAAAAGCCCAAAACTGTGAAATTTGAATGAAAAATTTTTTCCTGAAATAAAGGGGCCTGAAACGAGCTTATTCAGACATATAAGGCTAAATCACAGTTTTTCCAAAAAAAAATTTCAGAAATTTTGTGATTTTTGAGCAAATTTTAGCGGAAATGACCCAAAATTCCAGATTCTTGAAGAAATTTAGGTCTAGAAAAAAGAGGCCTTAAAATAGCCTAGAATTGGAGGACAGAGCTCAAAACTGAAAAATGGCCTGAAATGTTTGGAATTTTTGAGCAATTTGACCTAAAATAAGCTAGAGTTTGAGATTTTTGAGCAAAAATAGGCCTTAAATTTCGCCTAGAATTCGTCAGCCCAGCCTAAAATAAGCCTGAATCGCAGTTTTTTGAATAATTTGAATTTTCGGCTGGAAATCTTGAAAGCCTACATAGCCTTAGATTTTTGTGTAGTGATTTTTGAGCTGAGCATCAGGTTTTTGGTCCAGAATACTCTTATTTTCGAGATTTTTGAAGAAATTTGGGAAAAACAGTGAAACACCGTGTAAAATGGATTGAGAAAATGCAGTTTTTTGAAGAATTTTATTTAAATTTCCCGAAAAATAGTGAATTTATATTAATTTTGAGCGAAAAATGTTCAAAAACTTTCAGAATTTCCCCAAATTTCCCCCTATTTTCAGTCGAAATTCAATCACCATCCCATCCATTTTCTGCATCATCTCTAACTGGAATATTGCCAGCTCCACCCGTTGGCCCCGATCTCTCAGATCCATATTGTGATATCGAGGTGAAAATTGCGGATTTGGGCAACGCCTGCTGGACTTATCATCATTTCACCGAAGATATTCAAACACGACAATATCGAGCATTGGAAGTGTTGATTGGAGCCGGTTATGGAACTCCAGCTGATATTTGGAGCACTGCTTGTATGGTGAGTGGATTGGGAAACGGTTTTGGAGCATTTTGATAGAAAATTCGACGATTTTTGGGTCTTGAAACGATTTTTGGGCCCTCTCAGGGTTACTGTAGATGATTTTTGGCGGTTTCTTTGAAAAAATCAAATTGCTCATGTTAATTCTGCAAAATCTCCCTATTTCTATCAAAAATTCACCATTGCTCATATTAGTTTTCTCGGGGTTTTCAAATGCATTGCTCATATTAGCTTTGAGAATTGAAAAAAACCCTAAAAATTATAAGATTACTCATATCAATCTTTGAAAATTCTCCAATTTTCAAGACATTGCTCATATTAGCAAAAAATAAAATTGTTCAATCTAAAAGCAACCATTGCTCATATTAGCCATGAAAAATTAAAAAAGAATTCTGACTCCAAGAATTAAGGCATTGCTCATATTAATCTAGATTTTTCAAACTATTGCTCATATTAACGTGATTTTCGACCAAAAAAAGTATAGCATTGCTCATATTACCTGTTTTTAAAGCATTCAAGACCGAATCATTGCTCATATTAGCCATGAAAAATTAAAAATAAAATTCTGACTCCAAGAATTAAGGCATTGCTCATATTAGCCCAGAATTTCCAAAAATTCTAGATTTTTCAAACTATATTGCTCATATTACCCTCTTTCTAGGCGTTCGAATTGGCAACCGGTGATTATTTATTCGAACCACATCAAGGTGATAACTATTCTCGCGACGAAGATCATTTGGCTCATATTTCCGAATTACTTGGCCGAGTTCCCGAATCGGTCTATAAAAAAGGCAAACATTGGCGTGATTTCTTCACAAAAAACGGACAATTATTGCATATTCGTGTGCTGAAACCGTGGACTTTGTACGATGTATTACGACAAAAATATGAGTGGTCACACGAGGATGCTGCACAATTTTCGAGCTTTTTGGTGCCAATGTTGACGTTTGATACGGTATGTTTTGATTTGGGGAGCATTTTGATATCAAATTCGAGTGGTTTTGGTGAAAATTGAGGGGTTATAGCAAAAATGCTGAAAAATTGGACTACTGTAGTCGTGGAATTTTGGGTTACTGTAGTTCTCTAAACTTTAGCCCCCAAAAAATCCGAATTTTCGCTGCCACGTGGATTTTCCACCAAAATTGTTGATTTTTTGTGTCAAAATTCCTTGGAAAAAATGTGGATTGCATTTCGAAAAATTTTGAAACATACTTTTTCCGGGTGGAAAAATTTGGGTGTATTTGGTCTCAAAATGAAGCAATTTCGGCATCAAAAATTCCACGTGGCTTTTTTTTCGCCGCCTGGTTATTTTTGATGTCAAAAAGTTGCCCGAAATTCTCCTCCTCTCCTCAAACATCCTCATTTTTCTTTGCAGGAACAACGAGCCACCGCAAGCAGCGCTCTAAAACATCCATTCCTTTTGCCATTCGGCGGCGGACCACCGAAAGCAGATTGTCCACCGGATGTATTGGCCAGACTATATCCGGATGGAAATATTCCGACTCAGCGATATTTTTCGAGATCGAATACAGACACCGAACCGATGGAACAAGAACAAGAACAGAATAATGATGATGGAAGAGAAGAGGAAATGATATCTGAAAGGTTGGTGGGCAGAAATTTGGGATTTATGGAGACTAGATATGAGTAGGGCTGAAAAATTGGGGTTTTTTGACACCAAAAACTCTAGCTGAAATTTTTTTTTCCGAAAATTTCCACGTGGATTTTTTGACACCAAAAAATCCTATATTTTTGCACCCGGTAAATGTAGGTTTCAACATTTTTTGAAGTAATTTTCAGACTTTTTTAAAATGATCTCATGTTTGATCTCATCAAGATCCATAAAAATTGGAATTTTTGAACGTTTTGACACCAAATATGCTTGGGTGATTTTTGGTGACGAAAAAATTGGGGTTTTCTATACTGAAAATGACTAGATGCGATTTTTGACACCAAAAAATCCTATATTTTTCCACCCGGTAAATGTAGGTTTCAAATAATTTTTTTTTGAACCTGTCCATAATTCGTGAAAATTAACATTTTGTCAGATGTAGGCCCCCAGAAATTACAGTAATCTCAGTGCGAAATTCGAGTTTTTGCAGCGATTCTGAAGATGATCGACAAAGTAGCCGAACACCCGAAGAAATGCGAAGAATTGGTGAAGAATTTGCAAAAGCCGAAGAAAATTCGATAGTTCTACCCGAAATCGCCTCAATTCCATCAACATCTTCAAGTTTCCAACAACAACCACCACAAAAATCATCGAACAAAAAGAAGAATAAGAAAAAGTAGCAGCAGCTCGATCTTATTTCAGAAAACATAGGTCAAAAATACCCGACGGGTTATTTCCATCTATCTACTCGTTTCTCCCCCCGTTTTCCTTCCCACCGCTCCCCAAAAAAATCAAATTTATATTTATTTTTTTTTTTCGTTTGTTGAGATCTTCTTTAGTGCTACTGGTATAATAAAATTGACCCCGCGAAACAACAACAAAAACGTCAGCTTCTTCTCCTATAAAAGTGTGTGCTTTTGTTTCTCCCCCAAGATTATCTCGGTTTTTTTTCTTTCTCATATTATTTTCATTGTAGACATAAATATTTCAATTTTTTTATTTGAAAAAAAAAATTTCGACAATTTTTGGAGCAACATCTCGGATTTAGTTTTGTTTTCTACTAGTTCAGAGAAAAATTCGGAACTATGGAAGCTCATTGAAAAAAATAAATTAAAATCACACGGGCTGTCGTCAACGCGGAGTCTCGTTGTTTTTTTTGCAATTTTTTTGGAAAATGCATGGATTTTGAAGAAATATAAACACAAATATTCAATACGAGGGTGTTTCTTACACGGCCCATTGGATTTACCATACAATTTTCTCGAATTTTCAGTGTGCTGGACATAAAAATTCACAGCTTGTAATTTACCCACAAAAAAACTCACGATTTTTTTGAGACTTGACACGGTCTTAGGAGTGGGGCTGAAAATCGACGAAAAACTTGAATTGTGGAATTTTTTAGAAAAAGTTAACACAAGTATATCAATTTTTTAATTAGCCTAACTTCTTGACCTAAACAATAATTTATAAAAAGAGGAAAACAAGACAACAATAAAAACTCTAGCAAAAAAACATCTAAACTACCGGATTCAACAATGAAAAAAAAAACAAATTTTGAAAAAAAGGGGAGATACATGAAATTTTGAGAAAAAACGGGAAAATTCAACAAAAAGACCTGTTTGATGAGTGCAAAAAAGACATACATATATAGTGAGAAGGGGAAAATGGAGGGGAATTTGAAAAAGCGGGGCGTGAAATTAATTTAGAATCCCATGCCTCCCATTCCACCCATTCCTCCCATACCGCCCATTCCACCGGCGGCTGGAACTGGATCTTCCTTTGGCAATTCGGTGACGACACATTCGGTGGTGGCGAGAAGTGAGGCGACTCCCGAGGCGTCTTGGAGAGCAGTTCGGACGACCTGAAAATTAGAAGTTATTTTCTGAAATTCCACGTCATGGATGTGAAAATCCACGTTTTTGGACACCAAATAAAGCATATTTCTGATGATTTTCTTTTCAGAATAAGAATTCCGACATTTTACAGATTTTTTACATAAATTTTTAAAGTTTTTTGAATCAGAACAAACAATTCTAAAAATTGGAATTTCAGAATTTGTTGTCAAAATTCGGTTAGAAAAACAAAATTTCAGTCGTTCTTACCTTGGTTGGATCAATAATTCCAGCTTCAAACATATTAACGAATTTCGAGTTCAAAGCATCATAACCATAAGCTGGGTTGGTGTTCGAAAGAACTTCATCAACAATCGATGATGGTTCCAAGCCAGCATTTCTAACAATAGTCGAGATTGGTTGAACAAGAGCCTTCTTAACAATGTTGATACCGATTTGTTGATCCTCGTTAGCAGCCTTGTGGGCTTTAAGAGCATTCAATGATCTCAAAAGAGCAACACCTCCTCCTGGAACAATTCCTTCTTCAACAGCGGCACGAGTAGCGCAAAGAGCATCAGTTACACGATCTTTCTTCTCTCCAACTTCGACTTCTGAAGCTCCTCCGATTTTGAGAACAGCAACACCTCGCGAAAGCTTGGCAAGTCGCTCATTCAATTTCTCCTTTTCATAATCGCTGGTTGATTGTTCGATCTCGTCACCAATTTGTTCGATTCTCTTCTCAACTTCTTTTGGATCTCCACGTCCGCGCAACAAAAGTGTGTCGTCCTTGGTGATTGAAACCTCGTCAACTTCTCCCAAATCGTTGGCAGAGATATCTTCGATTTTAATGAGGTTTGAATCATCACCAAAGATTGTGGCTCCGGTGGAAATGGCCATATCCTTCAAGGTGTTTTTGCGGTTATCTCCGAATCCTGGAGCCTTGACAGCAACAACTTGGAGTCCAACCTAGAAATGTTTATTTTTAAAATGTTGCTCAATAGTTTGTTTCCCTTTTTTCTCAGTGAATTTTTTATCAACATAACCACGAGGTTATTCTATTTTATTATTACTACTATTGCGACCTTTGATAAGATAGCATCGTTTTTTGTTCGAATAACAAGTTTATCAATTTTTTTCACTGGTCCTGGGAGGTTGACCAAAAATTGACCAAATTTTGGCCAAAAACGAAAATTGGTCGAATTTTGACCAAAAATTGATCAAAAAAATTTATTGGCCAAAATATGGTCAGAAATTGGCCAAAAAATTGGTAGAAATTTGGCCAAAAATCAGTGAAAATTTTAATTGTGAAAAATTTCGAAAATCTTAATGTTGTTGGGCAGACATGTCGTTTTGCGGCTTTTGGTGAAGTTAGGTTGATGAATTTTGTTGTTTTTCTACTGATGAATCAATAAATAGGAGTAAAATACTTCGTTTGGTGAATTTTGGCGCCACTCACACCAATTTCACCATTGGCGCAAATTTCAGCCCCAAATCTTCAAATAAAATCAGTTTTGACTTATCTTGGAGCTATTTTTACCAAGCAGAGACCTATCTCGAATCTATCAGTTGTATTGATCGATCCTTAATTTATCAAGAACAAGGGCTCAGAGAAATCAGAAGTATTGTGTTCAGGGGCAATAATTTCCATTATTTTTCGAAAGAATATTGTTGTGATAGCCATCAGCTTCGAAAGAAATAACACCAGTGTTCCAAAAATCGTGCATTTTTTCCCAAAAACGTGAACTCAAAAACTTCCACGCATAGAGATGATTTTTATATCATTTTACTCAGCGTGAAATTCTGAATCGAATGGTGCAAACTATTTATCACCAAACACTACTAATTGGTGCGCGAAAACAATAGATTAAAGGCGCACATATTTATGCAATGTGGTCCTGCAGCGAAATGTGTGTGCGTACTTCTCTCGGACGAAATGCACGCCACCAAATTTTTTCTTTTTTTTCGTTTTTTTGTGTGTTGCCCTACTTATAGAGAAATTGATTGTTCACGACTGCTAATAAGATATAAAACTTGTTCCCCGACTAGGATCTAGCAGCAAGTTTTACCAGAACTTTGAAATTCACATATTAAACTTGAATTTAGGCCAAAAACAAAAATTGGTTTTTGAGTTTTAGATTTTTATCAGAACGGGGCTGTTTCTCAATTTGACAAGTTTCCAGCAACATTTGCATGAGTTTCTATGTTACAATCAGAAGTGTCTCAACAGCCGGTAGACGGCCGTCGGGGTTTTAAAATTCGATTCTTATCGATCTTATTTCGCAGTATTGATATTTCTGCTGTTTTTAGAAACTACTAACCAAGAAAGAATGACTACTGCTCTTGCTGAGACTACCAACACAATGACCGGAGAAACCACTGTTCCAGTTGAAAATGTCAAGACCACCACTACTGAAGAAGCAACTCGAGTCCAACTACTGATAAAACTTCCACCGCTGCCACCAAAGAGCTCACTGCCGAGGAAAAGTCAGTTTTTTCTTCTGAAGAATTTTAATCAAAGTTGGTTCTTATTTCCAGGACTACATAATTGAAGAACAACTTGACATCTGGAAAGCGATATTTGTTGACAAGCGAATTCAGCATGGCTGCTGATCTCTTGAGTTTGGCTTCTCAACTTGTGTAAGTTTTGAAATTTTCATACATTTTCTATTTCTATGCATTTCAGTGGTAAACTCTTCGGAGACGACAGCGAACAATCATTTGAACCTTACTTCTACTATGGACAAGCCCTTTGGATAACTTGAAGATCAAGTTTTCTCAAATGCAGTGACTAATTGCCAACCGTAGAAGAAGGTGATGCCAACAACGATTCAATCGACGAGGAACAATATGGTAATCCGGATAAATTGTCAGAAAAAGGACGTGAGCAAATCAAGGAACAAGTTGACACTGCTCTTTCTGCTGGTGCAGAGAAAGCAGAAGTATTAGTCGAAACTGATGCAATTTTTATTGTTTGTAAGGTTCACAAACTGTTAGGAGTCTGCGATTGCTCTAAAATTGACTTTCTTAGGGCAAAATTTACATTCTTCCGAGCACAAGCCTCCAACTCTTTTCTCTAATTAGCTAAAAATGTTTTTCAATGAAAATTAAAGTTCATAATATAAGCAGATTCCTAACAGTTAGAACCATTTTTTGTTTCTTTTTTGTTCTTTTCAATAAATTTTTGTGAAAAAAATGTGTTTTTGATTTGAAAAAAGTTGGGAAAAATGATCAAAAAATGGTGAAAAATTGGTGGGAAAAAGTTGAAAAATTGACCAAAAAATGGTGAAAATTTTTTTGGTGCATTTTTGGTCAATTTTTGTTCAAAATTTTTTTGACCAAAAATTGACCAATTTTTGGTCAAACTCCCAGGACCAGTGTTCTAGAAAACACATCATAGAACAGAAAACGTACCTTGAGTCTATTGAGAACCAAAGTTGTGAGGGCTTCTCCATCAACATCTTCAGCAATGATAACAAGTGGTCTACGAAGTTTGTTGGCGAGTTCAAGAGCTGGAACAATATCTTGAACTTGGCTGATCTTCTTCTCGCTCAATAAAACGAGCGCTTTCTCGTATTCGACTTTAGCTCCTTTAGCAGAAGTGATAAAGTATGGGGAAATGTATCCACGATCGAATTTCATTCCTTCGATAAGTTCCAACTCGTCAGTCAAAGTTTTTCCATCCTTGACAGTGATGACTCCCTTGTTTCCGACTTTCTTCATGGCGTCAGAGATAAGAGTTCCAACAACAGTATCACCATTGGCGGAGATTGTGGCGACTTGAGCAATCTCTTCTGGAGTGGTGACTGGTTTGCTGAGACTTTTCAATTCAGCAACAACGATTTCGACAGCGGTCAAAACTCCACGACGAATCTCAACAGCGTTTCCACCTTGACGAATGCTTTCGAATCCTTCTTTGGCGATAGCTCTTGCGAGAACTGTTGCACAAGTTGTTCCATCTCCAGCCTCCTCGTTGGCTTTGTTGGCAACATCTTGAATCAGCTTAGCTCCCAAGTTTTGATATTTGTCTTTAAGATCAATCGATTTGGCAACAGTGACTCCGTCTTTTGTGATTTTTGGCGATCCCCAAGATTGCTCAATGATCACGTTTCTTCCCTGAAAAAGATTAGAATTTTTTTGAGAAATTATTTCACGTTTTAGAGAATTTTTGCAGAAAAAAATCATTTAGAGCTCAAAACATATGCCCAAAGAAGAAAACTACTCACTTTTGGTCCCATGGTGACCGAAACGGCATCAGCCAAAAGGTTAACTCCAACGAGCATTGCTTGCCGTCCTTCTCCACCGAATTTCACATCTTTTGCGTATGCTCGAAGAGCACTTTGTGTAAGTCCTTTTCTAGCGAGGCGAAGCATTTTATCTGCAAATTTTCAGGTTTTTAGGATGAAAACCACGAAATTTCATCGAAAACACGGGAAGAACGATGGAAAACGGGTGAAAATGAGAGAAATTTTGCATCATTCCTAAGCGCCGCCCATTTTTTAAACTTGTGCAAGACGGGCGCGACTTTCAAATTGCGGCGAAGTTTCTCGAAACCGCCACTGATTGACTGACCCCGCCCCTCAGGCGCCTCTGATTGGCTGATTTGAAATACGCGCCGCCTATTGCAAAAGATGGGCGTAGTTTTTCGCCACATTATTTTTCGAATTTTATTTTTCGCCCTGCCCATTTTTTCGCTATCACACTGAAATTGCATCATTTTCTCGGGTTTTGGGGAGAAATTTGGATGATAATAGAGAAAATTGCTGATTTTGTTGTTTGTTTGCTGCAAAATTTAGTGCTAAAACAAATATTTTTGATGGAAAATGAGAAATATTGTTGGTTTTAGGCTTTTGAGGCGGAAAATTGATAAAACGTGTTTTTATTGATAAAAATTAGTTGCTCTAGATGTTGAAATTTTGAGGTTTTCTGTAGAAATAGCAAGATTTTTATTATTTTTGCCGAAATGTTGATGAAAATCATGAATTTTATCATTTTCTCAATTAAAACATACATATTTTGCGGCGGATTTTCGTTGAAATTCCAATTCTTCGTTGATTTTTTCCATAATTTCATTTAAAAAATCTCTTTTTCCATCCAGAATGTTCCTATCCGCCGTCCGCCGATCAAGCGCTCTTCTCCAATCCTTCAAGCCACTCTACGATCGAGTTTTGGTTGAACGAGTCGCCGCTGAAACCAAAACCAAGGGAGGAATTATGCTCCCAGAGAAATCGCAGGGAAAAGTTCTTGAAGCGACCGTTGTTTCGGCTGGACCAGGAGCTCGTAACGAGAAGGGAGAACTTGTTCCACTTTCTGTTCGACCAGGAGATCGTGTTCTTCTTCCAGAATATGGAGGAACCAAGGTAAATCATTTGGAAATTGGGTTTTTGGGTAGATGACGATTTCCAGGAAACAAATCTTATTGAAAATCCAATTTTTGCAGGTCGTTGTTGATCAAAAAGAATACTCAATCTTCCGCGAGTCGGATTTGCTCGGCGTTTTCCAATAAGCCAACAACAACTCATGTTTTGCGTCAATTCGGTCTCATTTTCCTTTCCTTCCCCTTTTCCTAAATATTTATATGTTATGTTTTTTTCTGTTGTTTCAAATTAGGAAGAAAATATGAGTAGATTAGCTATTTGTTGAATTTTTTATATTTAATTGTTTTCTCTCTCCGTCAAAAAAAAAATTTACCGGTCTTTGGATAAATAATTCTTCATTTCAATTATCTAATTCCCCTTTTTCGGCTGAAGGGAACGGGAAAAATGAAGGTCAATCAATTTAATCTTTTTATTCTTCTTCTTCATTTTATTCGCATACTTTTGGTATTTGGATGGATGAAAGTTTGGAGAAAATCGTGCAAGAAGCTGGTGAGTTTTAAAAATAAAAAATCTTAATTTAAGTAAATATTTTTCAGGAACCGCTTATTCGGAAGGTCGCTTTGAAGATGCGAAAAATTTATATGAATCAGCTATCCTGAGCAATGAGAATAATGGAATTCTCCATGCCAACTTATCAGCTATTCTTGTAAAATTGAAAAATCCCCAAAAATCGCTAGAACATTCGAAAAAAGCCGTTGAATTGTGTCCGAATTGGCCAAAAGCATATTATAGATTAGGAGAAGCTTATAGACATATCAAAGGAAAAGAGATTGACGCTATTTTGCAGTATTGTAATGGATTGAAATTGGATTCGAGCAATTTCCAGATTCTTCGAAGTCTTGAAGATGTGATAAATCAAAAATTTACTGGAAAATTTCCATGGAAGCAGTTGGAAATTCTGAAAATTGATAAATCTGCGGCTATTTTGCTATCTACAATTGGCCAATTTCTTCTAGAAACTCGCGATTTTCAAGAAGCCGAAAGAATTCTAGAAATTTCTGTGGAGATTTTTGAGAATCAAAAGAATGTCTTCCCAATAAAAAATAATGGAAAGCTACAAAAATCAATAATTGAATCTTTGGCGACGGCGTATTGTGGGAATTTGAAATATGAAAAGGCGATTGGGTGCTATTTGAGATTGTTAGCGCTGTTTGAGCATAATGGTATGAGATTTGCCATTTAGTGAGAAATGGCCTAGAAAACATTGTTTTGGATTTCTAGGCCGCAATTTGAAATCGCCCCGAAAAAAACAGATTTTGCAGACCTACAAGAAACGCAAAAAATTCGCGAAAAATTAGCTGGAATTGCCGAAAATTGTGATGATTTCCTGCAACTCGCCGCAGTTCAGCGAACTTTTCGCATCGATTCTGGATCGCTGAAAAACGACGAGATTTTTGCGGAAAACCTGAAAATCGCTGAAATTTATCTGAAAATGGCAAAACCCGATGATGCAATTTCAATTTTAGAAAAAGAAAAGTGTAAATGCGGAGCATCGTACCAAGATTTGGGAGCAAAACGAGAAGAGCTTCTGGGAGTTGCGCTAACTCAAAAACTCGAATTCAAAAATGCGCTGAAAATCTTGATTCCAGTTTCGAGAAATGTGAAAAATTTGAATTTTCAACTTATCGATACTATAAATCGATGTTTTATTGAATTAGATGATCTGAATTCCTCTATCGAATTTCTGAACAAGATTTTGAAAGATTTGGAGAAAAATCAAGATCAAGACTTAGGCTTAGGTCTAGATCTAACTCTTCACATTTACTCGCTTCTCTGCCAAACTCAAATCGCTGCTGCAAATCTCGAAATTGCGCTGAAAATCGCGAAAAATGTGCTGAGAATTGCGAAAAACTGCAATTTGTATCATGAATCGAAAGCTTATCGATTATTGGCAATGATTTATGAACATCAAAAAGATGGAGGATCGGCGATTGTTTTGTGGAAAAAATATTTGGAATTTGAAGAGGTTGAAAACTAGAAAGTTTGAATTTATCCCCCGATTTTTCTTATAGATTCTCCAAAACATGGAAATAATTCAAGCACAAATCGAGTTGGGCAAACTCGCCGAAGATTCTGGAAATTCTGAAAATCCCGAAAATTTCTACGAAAACGCCGTGAAAATTGCGAAAAAACCAGAGGAAATTGCAATCTCGAACTCGGCAAAATTCCGATTTTTGCTGAAAAATCGTCGATTTTCCGACGCTCAAAAATGTCTGGAAATCACGAAAAACCTCCTTGAAACCGCGCAATTTTTGGCGCCAAAATTCAAAAGTTTGATACTGGAAGATGTGGCGGGTCTCGAGGCGGAGAATCGCGAGAAGTTTCGAATTTTGGAGGCGAGTTTGACGGAAGCGCAAGATGATGGAGATTTGTATAGAGAGGCGATGGTGTTGGAGAGAATTGCTAGGATGTTAGAGACGCAGGGGAAAATCAGGTAGGTCAGGTTTTTGGGCGCATGCCACGTGGAATTTTTGAAGAGAAATTTGAACGAAAATAAAATGAAATCCCGCCAAATTTGGTGTCAAAATGCGCGCCAAAACCTGGATTTTTAAATTTTCAAACTTCGCGCCCATAAAATTGCCACGTGGAATAACAAAAAAATCAATTTTTTATTCCAGATCCGCCGAAAAATACTACAATCAACAGCTGGAAGTAGGCCGCGAGTTGCGAAATGCAAAACTGATGGGCGAATCGCACGCGAATATCGCGCGACTCAAATTCGCCGCCGCCAATTTCGCAGCAGCCAGCGAACACGCGAGAAGTTCGCTGACAATCGCAAAATTGACCAAGGAAAATGCGCTGAAAATCGAGATGTTGATTTTGTTGGCGAAAGCGGAGAGCAAGGCCAATTTTGGCGCGAAAAGCGGCGAAATTTCGATGAGCGCTATTGAAAAAGCGATTGGATTGGCTGAAGAATGTGAGGAATTGGTTTGGTTGGCTAAGGCTTATCGAATTTCGGCCGATATTTTCAAGACATTTGGAAAGGAAAAGGAAATGGTAGGGGTTTTTGACACGTGGAATTTTCATTTCCATTTTTCTGCAGATCCTCGAAATGGTCCAAAATCACATTGAACTCTTCGAGCACGAAAAATCGGCGCGATCCAAATTTCAAAGTTTGATCGATTTTCTCGAATTCTCCTCCTCCACTTCCCACGAACCCCAAAATTTGCTGAAAATGATTGAGGAAATGGCTGAAAATGAGCGAGACGTTGAAATGTCGCAAATTCTCGAAGTTATCCGGATTTTTGAGCAACGTGGCAATTTGGATATGAAATTGAGGTTTACGAGGATTTTGGTGGACAGATTTGGAGAGGATTAGAGAATTTTTTTGTGGAAAAATAAATTTGAAAGATTTTTTTAGGTGAATTATTTGAAAATTTTGAAAATTCAAAATTTACCGCCAAAAGCGAAAAAATTTTATTCAAAAATCAAGTTTTCGCCTCAAATGGATCAATAATCTCTTCTTCCTCTGTGCTCTCTGACTCACTCTCGTCGTCTGTCGTCTCCTCTTTCTCTGTGCTCTCTCGTCTTTCTTTAGATGTTGGATCCTCTTCTTTCTCTCGTTTTTCTCTAACCGTCTGCGTCTCTTCCCTTCTCCTATCTCTAACCATCTCCATCTTCCTGGCAATCGCAATTCGTTTCTCTAATTCTCTCAAAATCTCCGATTTTTCATCAATTAATTGATCCAATTGTTTTAACTGTGTCCAACGTGGCAAAAAATTGTAGGAATTTGTTGGAATTTCAGGTTTTCGAAGATTTTCAGCATGAGGCTTCGGATCTTCCACGTGGCAATCTTGATTCGGAGCTGTCAAATTCAAATTCTGGAGCCGCTGAGCAACTTTCGCCTCGAGCACTTTTTCAACGTCTTCCAGATTTATGAAATCGCCAGAAGTTTCGGTGGATTTGGAAGAACATGAGGATGGGGAGGTCTGAAAATTTCAGCAAATTCTGGATTTCAAGAGGGGTTTGGGAGTGGGATTTTTGAATTTCCCGCAAGTTTTTTACCCGGGAAGTTTGAAAATTCAAACTTATCGCAAAAAATTTGAATTTTCAATTTTCCCGCGCTAAAATTTTCGGCGCGAAATTCAAAAATTTGCCTCTCAATCTCACCTGACACCCGAAATCCCTCAAAACACCAATTTTCGTCTGCGTCTCCACATTTCTCCCACTATTTCTCATCCTCCTCCTCCAATCTTCCGTCAAATTTTCGACCAAAATCGCACATTTGAAACTGATCACATTTTTCGGATTGCGAAACTCGAAAACTTGACCAATTCCAGATATTTGAAGGGTTTTCTGGAAATTTGCGATTTTTTTGACATCGACGTGGGATTTTTTTCACCTCATTTTGGTCCAAATTCAGCACTCCAAAATAATCCAGCTCATCTTTCTGGAATTTCAATTCAATTTCTGCACCCTGCCACGTGTCAGCCACCAAAACACCGAAATCCACGCCAATCGGAAGATCGGAACCCCCCAAAAAATCTCCGATTTTCAGCCATTCATAATTCTCGATTTTCAGATAGACTTGAATTTTTTGATGATTTTCAGGAGGGAAATCGATTGATTCCAGGATGAAGCTTACTTTTTTTGGGACAAGCATTTCAACAATAAAAAAAAATAATTTTTGGGCTCAAAAAGAACCTAGGTTACCATGGAAACATGGACAATTGAGGAGAAATAGTGGGGGAATGAGGAGACGCAGGGCAAAAAAATTTTTCAAAAAAAATATTTATTGATGTTTTGTTGAAAATTCATAAAAAATACAAAACATCAATTAATTAGCCGGATCTCCAGTACAATTTCTTCTTCCATAAAATGACATATACATTCCAAAATATCGATGATGATCTGAAATCATATAATCCAAATGTCCATCAGAGCAGAATATACTTTCTTGCGAATCACATTCCTTATATTTCGCTCCATCTTCCATATCATTATCATACCAAATCTCATTTCGATGATGTCGATAACCTTCCTCATTCTTATATGGAATATGTGAGACTATATCACGTTTATGGATGACTCGATATGAATATTTGATCATTTGATCGTGAGCATCGGCGAATTGTTGATCCCCGGTTCGCGGTTCACCGAATGTGATTAATTTGATTTTGGAGGCATCGGTGACTAATTGATTGGCCACAATGAAATTGGTGGCGAGTGCTGCCATTGAACCACCCAACGAGTGACCACCAACCTGCAATTTGATATGGTTAAAACCAGAAAACTTATTATCGAAAATCTCATCGACACCACGCGCTCCACACGCAACGCAGACCGCGCCGCGCCACAACACACACAAAAAGGGAGGGAATTTGAATCGTTCCGGAACGAGGGCCCTTATTTGTGTGGATGTTGTGGTGCGACGCGGTCTGCGTTGCGTGTGGAGCGCGTGGTACCGATAAGATTTTCGATAATGGACAAGTTACGTTCTCTCGGAAAAATCCCCTCACCCAAATATCATAATCCGGATATTGATGAATCAATTGCGCAAAATCGCTCTTCATTCCATTATTCCACACCAAATTGAAAGCGCGTGCAAAGTAGAAGCTAACACTTCCACCGCCAACCCACGCAGTTTTATTGCGGAAAAGCGTCTCGTCACCTTCAACAAGAAGTTGGAGTTTGCCTTTTGTTCCGCGGAATGCAAGAACTATCGATTTATCAGTGTGGGAGATGAAGGTGAGGCCAGAACATGTATCGAGAACTTCAGTCTCATCGCAGATCACATTGATGTGACGTTTGAGCTGCAAACAATACGTTTTTTTGAAAATCATGTGTGCAAACACCGTGACGCAAAAACGCACTCACCTCAAAATTATCATAAACTTTGTTCAAGCAATTCGTCGCATTCTTCGCCTCGGTCGCCGCAAAAACAATTGGGAAGAATTTGCGCGCGAAAGCATCTGAATATTGCGATTTTGTCGCGACTTGCGACAAGAAAATCGCAAAAAAGAGAAAAGGAATTTTCATCTTTGATAACTTCAAATTTTTTATCAGTTTTTATGCGAAATTTTCCTGAGGAGACCAAACACATTTTATCACGATGTGTTGTGGTTGGGTTGGCATTGAAATCAATTCGAATGACGGCGGGAGGGAAAATGAAATTAACAGTTCAAAGGTGTATTTTGAACGGGACAGACAGGGAAGTGAATTTGATCGACATTACTTCGTCACTTGCGTGCGGCTGTGCGTCGCGGTCGGGAAAGCTCCACTCATCACTGTAATTTCCAAAACTTCCTTTCTCATGCATATGCTAATTAATGCTAATTTCAAACTTCCTACCATTTAAAACCCCCTAGTTTCCCATGATCACAAAAATGTTTTTCAACAAACTAATATTCCTCGCCACCTACGTCACAGCCCAATATTCCGATGCATTTACCCGCCACGCAAGCCAACAACACCGAAATGTGTCTGGATTTGATATTCGCGAATTATAGTGTCGCAACGCATTCAGTAGTGGCTTGCGATCAGACGGATGGCACAACGTCTTGCGGTAGTTTGGTGGTTGTGGCGCATGATGTGAAGGCGGTAGTGGTGGCGTTTAGGTGGGTGTACGACCATACAAGGCGCCCGTTGAGTCAGACGCGAGAGTATTTTGCAAAAATATTCCGAAAATGAATTTCGCTTCGAGATATTTTCAATAAAACATGTGTTCCTTGAAACAAAATACCGTATCTTGTTTCAAAGAACACATATTTTCTCAAAAATATCTCGAAGCGATGTCGTTCTCTGTCTTAGATGACGTCATCAGACCCCCGTCGTCTCTCGTCTGACCCGAGGGGCAATTTTTTATTGGAGTAAATGGTCGTGCCCTAGGGTCAGGCGGTAGTCTAATGACATCGCTTCGAGATATTTTTGAGAAAAATACCGTATCTTGTTTCAAGGAACACGAAAATATCTCGAAGCGAAATTCATTTTCGGGGGATATTTTTGCAAAATACTCTGACTGTTAGGCTAACTTTAAAGATCCCACTCAGAAGTCAGAGTAACTATCCTAGCCCCCTTTTTTTACAGAGGAACCAAGGGTAAAACTCAATTCCTAGTCGAGACCAATGTGTTAGCCTTCATCGACCCAGTTTCATGGCCCCCTGGCGGAAAAGTCGGTGCATATTTCTTCCGAGCCTTCAACGATCTATGGGATTCAGGAGTTGGGGAAATTCTTGAAAAGGTTCTAGAGGACTATCCAGATTATGAACTTTGGGTAAGTCGCTACTTATTATCTGAGGCTAGTAGAGTTCATTAAAGATCGGTGGACACTCATTGGGTGGTTCATTGGGAACTCTTACCGCAAGTCATTTTTTGGTGAGCCACGAACTGGAGATCGGGAATTTGCAGATCTTATCGATTCGGAGATCGAGTATTCCTTTAGAATTGTGAATAAGCGGGATGTTATTGTGCATTTACCACCGAAAGGGTATAGGGGAGCGAGGTGAGAAGTTAGGGTAACTTTGGTAGATAGTGCAGCTTGCAGGCACCACGGTCGTGAAATCTGGTATAAAAACGGTATGCTTGCCTCCACAAGCTCCAATTTCCTCCAATGCAACAATCAAGAGTCGAAAAACTGTTCCGAAGGTCTCAAAGTATTCTACAGATATAAAGATCATCACAAATATTTTGGAATTTATATGACAACTTGGGGAAGACGAAATTGTCAAGGAGACTAAAAAACAAACAAAATTAATTGACACTTTTAGTCATTTCATCAATCAACACAGCCGAAATTAATCATTTCTTATTTTTTCAACAAATTCTCGTCAAGTTGCAGCATATTTATCGCATTTTTCCACAAAATCTTCGATCTTTTCTCATCGTTTTTCCAAAAATCAACAACAACTTTGCCAACTTCCAATTCTCCCAGTGGAAATGGATAATCAGTTCCTAGAACTATATGATCTTCTCCGATTGTTGAGATCAGAAGATCAAGACATTTCGGATCGTGGACAAGGGAATCAGTCCAGATTAGATGATCGAGTTGATTTGGAGGGGTAGAACAAGCAGTGGCGCAGAGATCAGGGCGAACCTGCGAATCTTATTTCAGATTCTATGTAGATTCAGAGTAGACATCTCAAAAACCCACCTTATAACCATGCGCAACTCTTCCGCGAATAATCGGATAACTCCCTCCGCCATGCGCAAAGCAAAACCGGAGCCGCGGAAAATCGCAGAGCACATTTCCCATCAGCACAGAGCACACAGCTTGCGCGGTTTCAGACGGCATTCCGACCAACCAAGGCATCCAATATTTGTCGAGACGACCATTCCACATATGCATATCCCAAGGGTGAACGAAGAGGAGCAGTTGGAGATCTTCGCAGACCTGAGGTTCAGTTGACGTTTCTGGCTTTCAAGATCCCAAAAGTTAGTGTAACTTGCAGCAGTCTACACTCGCGCTCCCGCGCTCGGAACTCACCTTATACAATGGCCAAAAATCCCTATGATCCAAACTTTTTTCCCCAACATGCGAACCGATTTCGAAGCCTTTGAAGCCCAATTGAGCACAGCGTTTGAGCTCCTGGAAAAATAATTTAGGCTAACTCGATTGATTTGAGCAAAACTGATCTATGACATAGCATTATATGTAGGTCCTGAAAACCTATATTAGCTTAAACACAACCTTGACCACTAGAAAAGAAAGTTCGCTCTATCGCATATATAATTTATTTGTGTGTACTTCTTTCGGAGTAGTGACGCATAACTTTCCGCGTTCGCGGAAGATAGTGCCGCTGCGCGGAAGCTTGCGGTTTAGACTCGCTTCGCTCGAAAAATTCCCCAAAAATCCACATTTTCCCATGTATTTCTTGCTTCCATCATCATCAAATATTCATTCACATTCATTTTTCCCCGCTCCTTTTTCCCATCCACATTTTTTTTTTGCGTTTCGAAAAAAATCACCTTGGATACCTTCTAGACTTTTTTATTATTTTTTTTCAGAAAATTTTTGATTTTTAGTTTTTATTCTACACATAGTTAGGCTATCTATCTATTCACAGAAAGAAAAGGGAAAATTCCTGATTTATAATTCTTTTGAAACTCTTTTTTTCAGTGAAACTGGAAAAAGTACGAATAAATAATTCGGAGGATGATGATGGCAGAAAAAAAAGTTTTTTTTTTTGGGTTTGGGGTGAAAAGCCACGTGGCACAGTTTTGAGATTTCGAAAAATTTCAATTCTGAAAATCCACGTGGAAATCTAGAAAATGTTGATCTTCAAAAATGAGATTATAAATTCCAATATCTGAAAATCCACGTGGCAAAATTTTCATATGAAAAGTTCGGATTCTCGGAAATATTCCTAATTTTTGAGCCCGAGAATCCACGTGTCCGGGAGTTAGGCAAACTTTTCGTGTCTGATGTTTGACAGATCAAAAAAAGTTCCACTTTTTCTAGATACACCACTCAAAAGCTGGCTCCACCCAAAAAAAAATTTTCTCCGCGCGGGGCGTGGCTCAAAATTCCGCCGGGGTGCTCTTCTGTTTTTTTTGTGTGCATCTATCCCTGCCGCTCTTTTTTTTTGCTTTTTCTTTTTTTTTTCAAAAAAAAAAAGTCGAGTACGACGAAGAAGGAATAGAAGAAGAAGACGATCAATGTATACATCTTTTTTTTCGTTTTTTTTTCTTCTTCGCTTCTATATAGATAGATAGATAGATAGAAGAGGAAAAGAAGAGCAAAAAAACGAGGAGAAAAAAGGAAGGGATGGCTAGAAAAATTGGAAACGAAACGAAACGAAGAAGAAAAAGAAGAAGAAGCAAACATATATACTACAATTAGTTGAGGAGCGAAAAAAAACGAAGACACTGCTTTACTTTTCGCGCCGCGCAGCTGCAAATTTGGAACTTTTCTTGGATGGTTTTGAAGTTTCAGTAGATCTTGGTGAAACATTTGATCTTAGGAATTTTCTACTTATGTTCCTTTAAATTTGGAATAATTTTTGAGCTGCAGAATTTTTTTTTTGATTTTTTTTGCAGTTCTAATTTTCCAATGTCCAGCATTTTTGAGATTTTTCCCTACTTTTTTCAAATATTTTTTCTCAAGCTTCCTTTTTTGCCACGTGGATGTTCCTTTAATTTTTAATTCAATTTTTTTTTCAGATTCTCCCCACTAATTTATTCATTATTTTCCTAAATTAAATTTTCCACAAGCTATGTATTATATTCAATTTCTCCTCGTCGCCGTGTTAATGGTCATGTGTACAGAGCCCAGGTATTTTTTTCACCGCGGAACCCGCGGAGCATCGTTGTTTTTGATGTTTTCTAGCTGAAATAATCCTCTCTCTCTCTCTCTCTCTAAACTAAACCCCAAAAACGAAATAATCCCAGCGAAAAAAAATTTTTGACAAAAAAAGTACAAACAAAATTGAATTTACTTTGTTTGCGCTGACGAAATTTGAAACTTTTTTGGGTGTCAGGAAAATTATGCAACAACGATGCTCCGCACTTACGCCGTTTTTTTGAGGGGGAAAACTTTAGAAAAAAAAACAACGATGCTCCGCACTTACAACAAATGTTCCGCGAAAAATTCAAAATTTAAATTCTCGAGCCAAAAACAACGATGCTCCGCAATTACAACAAATGTTCCGCGAAAAATTCAAAATTTAAATTCTCGAGCCAAAAACAACGATGCTCCGCAATTACAACAAATGTTCCGCGAAAAATTCAAAATTTAAACTCTCGAGTCAAAAACAACGATGCTCCGTAATTACGACATGTGTAGTTCTCTCGGAAAACAGAAAAATTCAAATAATGAGCAAAAAACAACGATGCTCCGCACTTACAAAATTTTTTTTTCGCGAAAAATTCAAAATTTAAATTCTCGAGTCGAAAACAACGATGCTCCGCACTAACAAAAATTTTTTTTTTCGCGAAAAATTCAAAATTTAAATTCTCGAGCCAAAAACAACGATGCTCCGCACTTACAACAAATGTTCCGCGAAAAATTCAAAATTTAAATTCTCGAGCCAAAAACAACGATGCTCCGCACTTACAACAAATGTTCCGCGAAAAATTCAAAATTTAAACTCTCAAGTCAAAAACAACGATGCTCCGCAATTACGACATGTGTAGTTCTCTCGGAAAACAGAAAAATTCAAATAATGAGCAAAAACCAACGATGCTCCGCACTAACAACAATTTTTTTTCGTGAAAAATTCAAAATTTAAATTCTCGAGTCAAAAACAACGATGCTCCGCACTAACAACAATTTTTTTTCGTGAAAAATTCAAAATTTAAATTCTCGAGTCAAAAACAACGATGCTCCGCACTAACAACAATTTTTTTCGTGAAAAATTCAAAATTTAAATTCTCGAGTCAAAAACAACGATGCTCCGCACTAACAACAATTTTTTTTCGTGAAAAATTCAAAATTTAAATTCTCGAGCCAAAAACAACGATGCTCCGCAATTACACCAATTTTCTTACAGAAAAGCAGTTTATCGTCGAAATTCGCCGACGCTACGAAGAATGGCTAGGAATTATGATTGGGAAGAGGATGATCACGGCGGCCTAAGGCCTGTGATTCGGCCAGCAAAAGTGAGTTTTGTTTGCCCCGAAAAAATCCTCACCTAGAATTGATTTCAGGTCGAAAGATCGACTAAAAATTGTGCAAACGATTCACACATCCTTAACACAATTATGCAGAATTATAATAGGCACAAGATTCCAGGCGGACAAGTTTCAGTGGAAGTTGAAGTTTGGGTTCAGGAGATCACGACGATTTCAGATATCACTAGTGATTTTCAGGTGAGCGCGCGGAAGCGGAGCCTCGTAATCTTCTCAAAGTTTCTAGCTCGACATCTACATCTATGAAACGTGGCATGATCCAGCTCTAGATTACGCCGCTTTGGCTCCATGTAAATATAATTTATCACTGAATTCGGTGCTCTTGGAGAAACTTTGGACACCGAATTCGTGTTTTATTAATTCAAAAACTGCGGATATTCACAAATCACCATTTCCCAATATATTTTTGATGATTTATGCGAATGGAACAGGTAGGTCTTTCGCGAGTGTATTCCGCAAGCTTCCGCGAAGCGGCATAGCTTGCGGAAAATGCTGTCTTCCAAAGACCACCACGTTCATACATCAAATTCCTATCAAACACGCAAATCTCTTGGTTTTTTCCCATCAATCTCCCCCTTCTCACAAAAAAATTCCCACAGGACAATTTTTGATAATTTTTTTCCTCGCATCCACAAAATGAAAAAAACAAGAGAACTACCAAAAAGCCTCGAGTGGCTAAGTGGTAGCGTTTTGGATTTTGAGGCTAGAGGTCACGGGTTCGTGCCACGATGCCTCCTACTATAATTTTTTTATTTTTCGGCGGAATCCATGGGCGGGAAATTCAATTTTCGATCATCATCATCATCATCGGCCAAAATCTAATCGTGCTCTTCCTTCCTTTTTTCTCGGGCCGCGCCGCCGTTTTCCACCAAAAACACGAGAAAAGGAGGAGAATTTATTGAATTTGTGTGCTTTTTTCTCGCGAGATACGAAAATTTGCATATTTTTTGGGGGGAAGCGCAAAACACAGATACAGTAATCTTGGGAGAAAATCTGTTAGGAGGAATTTTAATTGAATCAAGTCATGCGAAAAATTAGAAATTCGAGATTTTTTTTTGCAGTTTGGACAAATTATCGACTCAAACTTCAGGGACCATGTATTATGGATTTGACGAAGTGAGTTTAATATGAGCAATGCTCAACTAGGTTGCATGTTCCTTTAAATTCTCCAAATTGTTTTTTTTTCCAGATTCCCATTTGACAATGTGACGTGTTCTTTAACTTTTGAGAGTTTCAAGTGAGTTTTTTTCCAAATTCCTAAAGATTTCAGTTTCAAAAATGTTTGCAGCTACAACACAGACGAGGTAAAAATGGACTGGTCGGAGAAAGGTGTGCAAAAAATGAGGGATAAAATGGAGCTGGCTGATTATGAATTGGTGGATATTAATAAAATTCGAAAAGAGGAGGTTGGTAGAGATTTTTGCGCGCGAAAAATTGATCTAGAAAAGTTTTGATTTGGCTTCGTACTTAATTGATTGAGTATCTAATGTCTTGATTTGGCTGCGTACCTCAACTGAGTATCAAACGTAATTTTATTCCAGGAATACCCCGCTGGTTATTGGCACGAATTAACAATGAGTTTTGAGTTCAAAAGACGAGCCGGTTGGTATATTTTACAAGCTTATTTGCCGACTTATTTAACAATTTGTATTTGTAAGTTTTTTTAAATTTAGCCAATTATAATTGCAAATGAGACTAATCATTTTATTTTTAGCTTGGATCTCATTTGCACTTGGCACAAAAGCAATTCCGGCTCGAACAATGTTAGGGGTCAATTCATTGCTGGCTATGACTTTTCAATTCGGAAATATTATTCGAAATTTGCCGAGGGTTTCGTATGTTAAGGTGAGAATTAAGTATACGCCAACAAGTAATTGACTGACGTAAATTTTGTAGGCTATCGATGTTTGGATGCTCTCCTGCATGACATTCGTCTTCTGCTCATTACTCGAACTCGCCTGGGTCGGTTATCTCTCGCGCGAAGAAGAGCCCCTCACCATCCGTCACCCGCCACCCGCTCAAGTTGCCCCAACTTCCCAACACGTCCATCATCAAACACAATCACAAACCCTTCACCATCGTCGAAACCACCATCAGAAACAGCCGAAAAACGAGGAGGAATCGGCGTTGCTCAGTTTGAGAGACAATGATTATGGTTATATTCCGCCGGGTTTTGGTTTGCATAATGGGCATGGGGGAAGTAGCGGGAATGTTATCAAGAGTTTTTCGTCGACGTGTTCGTGTGAACAGGCGGCGAATGTGGTGACGATGATGAGTTTGGATGAGGCTGAGCAGATTCCGCCGAGTCAATCGGCTTATTTGTCGAGGTGAGGACCCCGCACTGAGGGGGGGGGGGGCGAGTGTAAACCGCAAGCTTCCGCGTAGCGGCACTATCTTCCGCTTCAGCGGCCACGTCGTGCCACCACATAAATCCGAGGAGATGCAGAGAAAAAAAGACACCGTACTCCTCCCCGGTTCCTTAGGTGCATCGCTGCGAGACCACACAAAATCTCTGCGTCTCTACGAAATTATCTTTTCCCATTTTTCTGGCACGACGTGGCGTCACTACTCCGAGAGAAGTACACACAGATATATATAATGTGTGCTATAGAGCGAATTTTCTTTCCTAGTGGTCAAGGTTGTGTTTAAGCCGCTTACAAAATTCGAGCGCTCCGCGCGAGTCTAAACCGCAAGCTTCCGCGTAGCGGCACTATCTTCCGCTTCGGTGGCCAGTTATGCGTCACTACTCCGAGAGAAGTACACACAAATAAATTATATGTGCGATAGAGCGAACTTTCCTACCTAGTGGTCCAGGTTGTGTTTAAGCATCTACACAATTCGAGCGCTCCGCGCGAGTCTAAACCGCAAGCTTCCGCATAGCGGCACTATCTTCCGCTTCAGCGGCCAGTTATGCGTCACTACTCCGAGAGAAGTACACACAAATATATATATAATGTGTGCGATAGAGCGAACTTTCTTTCGTAGTGGTCAAGGTTGTGTTTAAGCCGCTTACAAAATTCGATGGCTCCGCGCGAGTCTAAACCGCAAGCTTCCGCGTAGCGGCACTGTCTTCCGCTTCAGCGGCCAGTTATGCGTCACTACTCCGAGAGAAGTACACACAGACAAATTATATGTGCGATAGAGCGAACTTTCTTTCCTAGTGGTCAAGGTTGTGTTTAAGCCGCTTACAAAATTCGAGCGCTCAGCGCGAGTCTAAACCGCAAGCTTCCGCGTAGCGGTACTATCTTCCGCTTCAGCGGCCAGTTATGCGTCACTACTCCGAGAGAAGTACACACAAATAAACTATGTGTGCGATAGAGCGAACTTTCCTTCCTAGTGGTCAAAGCTGTGTTTAAGATAATATAGCCTCTCTTACACAATTCGAGCGCTCCGCGCGAGTCTAAACCGCAAGCTTCCGCGTAGCGGCACTATCTTCCGCTTCAGCGGCCAGTTATGCGTCACTACTCCGAGAGAAGTACACACAAATAAACTATATGTGCGATAGAGCGAACTTTCTTTCTTAGTTTTAAGGTTTTAAAGGTTGTGTTTAAGCTAATATAGGCTCTCTTACACAATTCGAGCGCTCCGCGCGAGTCTAAACCGCAAGCTTCCGCGTAGCGGCACTTTCTTCCGCTTCAGCGGCCAGTTACGAAATTGAAAAATGTGGCCGCCGTAAAAATGAAAACTAACCTTCGTCAGCCGCGTGCGGCTGTGCGGCGCGGTCGGAAAACAATCAATAATTCATTTTCTTTTCCGACCGCGCCGCACAGCCGCACGCGAGTGACGAAGTTTAGTTGTTTTCATACGTTAACAGCACTTCCGCTCTCAAAAAATCCAATTTTTCTTCAGAAAACAACGTCGCGAAATGCTAGCCCACAAAATCGACTCCGTATCCGTGTTCATGTTCCCATTCCTCTTTGTTTTATTCAACATTGCCTATTGGCAACATTATCTACGTGTATAATCTTTTTGTTTCAATCATCCCTGCCCCCGGAAAAATCGATAGACAACGAAACAAATCTTGAAACCTTCCTTTAATAATAATTCTTACTGGTATAACCCTCCAAAAATCCTCCAAATTTTTTCATTTTTTTTTTAAATTTTTCTCATTAATTGCTCGATTTGTACATGTTTTGCTCATAAATAAGTTATTTTAAGGCATCCCAAAAAAAAGAACTAACCTTAATAGCTCTCACGATATCATTCATTGGCAATGTGCCAAGTGGAATAAGCCTATCCGGAAATTTTTGGCATTCGGCCAGCAAATCATCATTGATAAATCTTGCGGTTTTCTCGGTGTCCTCAGGTTTTGCCCAATAATTGAATAGAACTGGCACTGTACTCAAACATTGAACATTCACTCCAGATTTATCCATTTCCCGGATTCGAGTTTCAGTGTCGAAACAATTTTTATCGATTTTTCTGGAATTTTTGGAGTAAAATGACACCAAACACCCTTATTTTTGGTTAAAAACTCACCTAAAAAGCTGGCCATTTTTCATCATATTCGTTGTTCCATCCTCTTTATGATCGAGTCTCACAAATCCGGGATAACCAAAAATCTCCTGCCAATCCGGTATATTTTTCGGTAAAACATGAGCATGAACGTCGATTTTTGGTAAATCGCAAGTTTTTACAAAGTCGCAAATGTTGCCTGACATTTTTTATATATAGTAATGATCGATAAACACGAAATGACAATTGATAAGATCTAATCTCACGCGAAAACCCCCCGAAAACAAACATTATTTTTTGAAAATCCCTCCCATTTCTACAATTCATGCGCACACAACAAACGCGTCAGCTTCGCTCGCCTTGACCCATTTCGCACCAATTTTTTTTTTGAAAAACGTGGAATTTCCTCATTTTCAGTGGATTTCAGCGCGAATCGAGTAAAATGGAGAGTGTTCGAACACGACAAATTGTCGCTCTCCGTAGCATGATAAATTTGAATGAGCCAGTGGTGAATTCCGGTGTGAAGGAGCCGGTTTGGAAGATTTTGATATTGGACAAAGCGGGACAGGATATTATTTCGCCACTTTTGCCTGTGAAACAATTGAGAGATTTGGGAGTCACTTTGCATTTGTGAGTTTTTTGAATGGGCAGGGATTTGGGCTAAAATTTGAGAAAATCCGGGTTTTCCAAGAAAAAAATGGTTTTTTTGCGAAAAAATTGAGTTTTGAGCTTGAAAAAACACAAATTTTTATGAAAAAATCTTAAAATTGGATATTTAATCTAAAATCACGATTTTTGGCTAAAAATTCTCTGAAAAAATTTAAAAAAAAATCAGTTCTCATCAAATTTTGTTCATATTAGTATTTGGTATCATTTTAATCCGATTTTCGCGCCAAAATGTACCGTATTTTTTGCAGGCTTCTCGGGTCTCGCCGCGAACCTCTCACCGATGTTCCAGCTGTGTATTTCGTGTCTCCAACCGATGAAAATGTCGATTTACTCAGCGAAGACTTGAAAAAAGCAATGTACGATTCATTTTTCTGCAATTTCATCTCTCCCATTTCCCGCCCTCGATTAGAATCGCTGGCTTCAGCCGCAGTTCATGGGGGCGCACTTGGTCAAGTTCAAAAAGTCATCGATCAATATTTGAATTTCATTTCATTGGAAGACGATTTGTTCGTTTTGAAGAGATACAATGAGAATGGACATTTTTCGTATTTTTCAATGAATAATCCATCGACTTCGGATTCGGCTATGAATTTGATGTTGGATCAAGTGGCTGATGGTTTATTTGCAGTTTGTGCGACGATGGGAATTGTTCCGATTATTCGATGTGCGAAAGGAAATGCGGCGGAAATGGTGGCTAAGGTTGGGATTTTGGGATTTTGCGGGGAAAGCAAAAATCTACAAAAATTGCGTCAATCAACCTTGATGCTGGCGCAATTTTTGTGCCTAAAACTTCATCAAAAGGCACGAAAAATATATGTCCCTCGTAAATATTTTTCGAAAATTAATGAATGTTGGTGTGTGCGCGCGCGGTCGCGATGCGGTTTTCCTCGAAAATTTTGTTTTTTTTTTTATTTTTTCAGCAAAATAGGTGAAAAATTTCACATTTTTAAACAAAAAATAGGGTTTTCAAATTGAAAACTGAAATTAATGCATTGAAAATGAATTTTTAGGCAAAAAATAAGCGTTTTGTGTAAAAAACCAGCATTTTCGAGGAAAACCGCATCGCGACCGCGCGCGCACACACCGACATTCATTCTAGAGCTAGAAAATTGACTAAAATGTCTATTTTCTAGCTCTAGAGCTACTTTTTGAGCTCTGGAGCTAGAAAATATGGTCTAGAGCTGGAAATAGAGCTGGAAATCATGTTTTTGACCTCTGCAGCTAGAAAAATTGACTAGAATTTGTGTTCTGGAGCTCAGAAAATAACTGAAAATCAAGTTTAGCTAAAATTTTTTGCAGCGTCTCGATCAAAAACTTCGCGAAAATCTCCGCGACTCTCGCAACAATCTCTTCACAATGGACGGTGTTCGCGTCGGTTTTATGCAAACAACTCGACCAGTTTTGGTGATCGGCGATCGTGGAGCTGATCTCGCCACAATGTTGCATCACACATGGACATATCAAGCATTGATGCACGATGTTTTGGATTTGGATCAGAATCGAGTTCAGCTAAATAGTTCTGGTGGAGGAACGAAAAAGAAGGAATATGATATGGGAACTGGGGGAACTGATAAATTATGGAATCAACATAAGGGAAGTGCTTTTCCAGCGGTGGCTGAAGCTGTTCAAGAAGATTTGGATGCGTATAGAAGTAGTGAAGAGGAGATCAAGAGATTGAAACAGGCTATGGGTCTCGATGGATCTTCTGATGCGGCAGATGAAGCAATGACGTCATTATTAGCTGATACGACAGCAAAACTTGGATCTACAGTAACCAGTCTACCACAATTGTTAGAAGCTAAAAGATTGATCGATTTGCACACAAATGTTGCTACAACTTTGCTTGATGTTATAAAAGATCGAAAACTTGATCAACTTTTTGAGCTCGAACAGAAATTATTGCAGCATTCGCAATTGGATCAATCGATTTTGAATATTTTGGAAGGTTTTGAGAATCATGAGGATTTGTTGAGAGTTTTGATTATTGCCTTTTTATGTCAGGAAACTGTGACCAAGGTGAGAGAAATTTTGAGCCTAGAATCATAGAAATCTGCGATTTTTGAACTGAAATCTTAAATTTTTGCAAAAAAAAAATAGAAAAATTGATGATTTTTAAGCCTAGAATCATAGAAATCTGAAAATTTCATTGGAATAAGGCATTTTTGATGATAAGCTCTTGGAAAGTTCAATTTTTGAACTGAAATCTTGAATTTTTGCCAAAAAAATTGAAAAATGTATGGTTTTTAAGCCTGGAATCATAGAAATCTGAAAATTCCACTGAAATCAGGCATTTTCGATGATAAGCTCTTGGAAAGTTCAATTTTTGAACTGAAATCTTGAATTTTTGCCAAAAAAATTGAAAAATTGATGATTTTTAAGCCTGGAATCATAGAAATCTGAAAATTTTACTGAAATCAGGCATTTTTGATGATAAGCTCTTGGAAAATTCAATTTTTGAACTGAAATTTCGAAGTTTTGCAAAAATTGATGATTTTTAAGCCTAGAATCATAGAAATCTGAAAATTTCACTGAAATCAGGCATTTTTTATGATTTCTGATCCTAAGCTCTCGGAAAATTCAATTTTTGAAAATCAATTTCAAAATTCTGAATTTTCTGATAAATTTGCCACGTGGAATTAAAAAAAATTGAAAAATTTATGATTTTTAAGCCTGGAATCATAGAAATCTGAAAATTTTACTGAAATCAGGCATTTTTGATGATAAGCTCTTGGAAAATTCAATTTTTGAACTGAATTCTTGAATTTTTGCAAAAAAATTAAAAAATTGATGATTTTTAAGCCTGGAATCATAGAAATCTGAAAATTTCACTGAAATCAGGCATTTTTGATGATAAGCTCTTGGAAAGTTCAATTTTTGAACTGAAATCTTGAATTTTTGCCAAAAAAATTGAAAAATGTATGGTTTTTAAGCCTGGAATCATAGAAATCTGAAAATTTCACTGAAATCAGGCATTTTTGATGATAAGCTCTTGGAAAGTTCAATTTTTGAACTGAAATCTTGAATTTTTGCCAAAAAAATTGAAAAATTGATGATTTTTAAGCCTGGAATCATAGAAATCTGAAAATTTTACTGAAATCAGGCATTTTTGATGATAAGCTCTTGGAAAATTCAATTTTTGAACTGAAATTTCGAATTTTTGCAAAAATTGATGATTTTTAAGCATAGAATCATAGAAGTCTGAAAATTTCACTGAAATAATTTATTTTCGAAGATAAGCTCTCGGAAAATTCAATTTTTGAACTGGATTGAATTTTTGCAAAAATTGATGATTTTTAAGCCTGGAATCATAGAAATCTGAAAATTTCACTGAAATTAGGCATTTTCGATGATAAACTCTCGGAAAAGTCAATTTTTCAACTGAAATCTTGAATTTTTGCAAAAAATTGATGATTTTTGAGCCTGGAATCATAGAAATCTGAAAATTTCACTGAAATCAGGCATTTTTGATGATAAGCTCTTGGAAAATTCAATTTTTGAACTGAAATTTTGAATTTTTGCAAAAAATTGATGATTTTCAAGCCTGGAATCATAGAAATCTGAAAATTTCACTGAAATCAGGCATTTTTGATGATAAGCTCTCGGAAAATGCGATTTTTGAACTTAAATCTTGAATTTTTGCAAAAATTGATGATTTTTAAGCCTGGAATCATAGAAATCTGAAATTTTCACTGAAATGAAGCATTTTCGATGATAAACTCTCGGAAAATTCAATTTTTGAACTGAAATCTTGAATTTTCTGAAAAGTTTGCCACGTGGAATTGAAAAAATTGAAAAATTGATGATTTTTAAGCTTAGAATCATAGAAATCTGAAAATTTCACTGAAATCAGGCATTTTCGATGATTTCTGGTCATAAGCTCTTGGAAAATTCAATTTTTGAACTGACTTCTTGAATTTTTGTAGAAAAAATTGAAAAATTGATGATTTTTAAGCTTAGAATCATAGAAATCTGAAAATTTCACTGAAATCAGGCATTTTTGATGATTTCTGATCCTAAGCCTTCGGAAAATTCAATTTTTGAAAAACAATTTCAAAATTCTGGATTTTCTGATAAATTTGTCACGTGGAATTGAAAAAAATTGAAAAATTGATGATTTTTAAGCCTGGAATCATAGAAATCTGAAAATTTTACTGAAATCAGGCATTTTTGATGATAAGCTCTTGGAAAATTCAATTTTTGAACTGAAATTTCGAAGTTTTGCAAAAATTGATGATTTTTAAGCCTAGAATCATAGAAATCTGAAAATTTCACTGAAATCAGGCATTTTTTATGATTTCTGATCCTAAGCTCTCGGAAAATTCAATTTTTGAAAATCAATTTCAAAATTCTGAATTTTCTGATAAATTTGCCACGTGGAATTAAAAAAAATTGAAAAATTTATGATTTTTAAGCCTGGAATCATAGAAATCTGAAAATTTTACTGAAATCAGGCATTTTTGATGATAAGCTCTTGGAAAATTCAATTTTTGAACTGAATTCTTGAATTTTTGCAAAAAAAATTAAAAAATTGATGATTTTTAAGCCTGGAATCATAGAAATCTGAAAATTTCACTGAAATCAGGCATTTTTGATGATAAGCTCTTGGAAAGTTCAATTTTTGAACTGAAATCTTGAATTTTTGCCAAAAAAATTGAAAAATGTATGGTTTTTAAGCCTGGAATCATAGAAATCTGAAAATTTCACTGAAATCAGGCATTTTTGATGATAAGCTCTTGGAAAGTTCAATTTTTGAACTGAAATCTTGAATTTTTGCCAAAAAAATTGAAAAATTGATGATTTTTAAGCCTGGAATCATAGAAATCTGAAAATTTTACTGAAATCAGGCATTTTTGATGATAAGCTCTTGGAAAATTCAATTTTTGAACTGAAATTTTGAATTTTCTGAAAAATTTGCCACGTGGAATTGAAAAAAATCAAAAATTGATGATTTTTAAGCCTGGAATCATAGAAATCTGAAAATTTCATTGAAATCGCGCATTTTCGATGATAAGCTCTCGGAAAATTCAATTTTTGAACTGAAATTTCGAATTTTTGCAAAAATTGATGATTTTTAAGCATAGAATCATAGAAGTCTGAAAATTTCACTGAAATAATTTATTTTCGAAGATAAGCTCTCGGAAAATTCAATTTTTGAACTGGATTGAATTTTTGCAAAAATTGATGATTTTTAAGCCTGGAATCATAGAAATCTGAAAATTTCACTGAAATTAGGCATTTTCGATGATAAACTCTCGGAAAAGTCAATTTTTCAACTGAAATCTTGAATTTTTGCAAAAAATTGATGATTTTTGAGCCTGGAATCATAGAAATCTGAAAATTTCACTGAAATCAGGCATTTTTGATGATAAGCTCTTGGAAAATTCAATTTTTGAACTGAAATTTTGAATTTTTGCAAAAAATTGATGATTTTCAAGCCTGGAATCATAGAAATCTGAAAATTTCACTGAAATCAGGCATTTTTGATGATAAGCTCTCGGAAAATGCGATTTTTGAACTTAAATCTTGAATTTTTGCAAAAATTGATGATTTTTAAGCCTGGAATCATAGAAATCTGAAATTTTCACTGAAATGAAGCATTTTCGATGATAAACTCTCGGAAAATTCAATTTTTGAACTGAAATCTTGAATTTTCTGAAAAGTTTGCCACGTGGAATTGAAAAAATTGAAAAATTGATGATTTTTAAGCTTAGAATCATAGAAATCTGAAAATTTCACTGAAATCAGGCATTTTCGATGATTTCTGGTCATAAGCTCTTGGAAAATTCAATTTTTGAACTGACTTCTTGAATTTTTGTAGAAAAAATTGAAAAATTGATGATTTTTAAGCTTAGAATCATAGAAATCTGAAAATTTCACTGAAATCAGGCATTTTTGATGATTTCTGATCCTAAGCCTTCGGAAAATTCAATTTTTGAAAAACAATTTCAAAATTCTGGATTTTCTGATAAATTTGTCACGTGGAATTGAAAAAAATTGAAAAATTGATGATTTTTGAGCCTGGAATCATAGAAATCTGAAAATTTCACAAAAATCAGGCATTTTTTATGATTTTTGATCCTAAGCTCTTGGAAAATTCAATTTTTAAAAAATAATTTCAAAATTCTGGATTTTCTGATAAATTTGCTACGTAAAATTGAAAAAAAAAATGAAAAATTTATGATTTTTAAGCCTGGAATCATAGAAATCTGAAAATTCCACTGAAATCAGGCATTTTCGATGATAAGCTCTTGGAAAATGCGATTTTTTAACTGAAATCTTGAATTTTGTCAAAATTTCGCTGAAATTTCAGTGATTTTTTAATTCTAGGTCAAATCTAGGTTCAAAAATTCACAAAAAATCCCACATTTTTTCAGAACAGCTACGATGAAATGATAAATTTCCTAACTCAAAGAAACATCGAACAATCGGCCCTGAAATTCGTCCAAAAATTAAAATCAATAAATGAACTTGGCTCAAAAACTGCTCCATCATCACACATCGAAGAGCATCAAGGAGCCGGCACAAAAACAATCAATATGTTTGGAAAATTGTTGAGTCACAGCTCGAAATTCGTCATGGAAGGTGTCAAAAACCTGGTGCCAAAAGAGCACAATTTACCGCTCACCAAAATGGTGGATTCATTAATTTGTGGTGCACAAAATAATATTGGTGGAAATATTAATCAAATGATTGGGGGAAGTGGAAATATGGTGGATTTGGATGAGAGTTTTGCATTTTTTGATCCCAAATTGATGCATCAACCGACTAAAGAGTAGGGATTTTTTGGGGAATTTTTGAACTAAAATTTGGGAAAAATGATGGAAAATAAGCCTAAAATACTGAAAAAATCCAATTTAGATTTGACCTGAAATTAATTTGAAGTTAGAGAAAATTCGGGAGATTTTTGAGCTAAAATTTTGGAAAAATGATGGATTTTCAGTCTAGAAACCAGGAAAATAAGCCTAAAATACTGAAAAAATCCAGTTTAGATTTGACATGAAATTAAATTTAGGTTGATTTGAAGTTAGGAGATTTTTGAGCTAAAATTCGAGAAAATGATGGATTTTCAGCCTAGAAACCAGGAAAAATGAGCCTAAAATACTGAAAAAATCAGATTTAGATTTGACCTGAAATTTAATTTAGGTTAATTTGAAGTTAGAGAAAATTCAGGAGATTTTTGAACTAAAATTTGGGAAAAATGATGGATTTTCAGGCTAGAAACCAGGAAAAAATCCCTAAAAAACTTGAGGATTTGAAAAAATCCAGTTTAGATTTGACCTGAAATTGAATTCAGGTTCATTGGAAGTTAGTGAAAATTCAGGAGATTTTGAGCTAAAATTTGGGAAAAATGATGGATTTTGAGCCCATAACTCTAAAATAATGAACAAATCCCGAAATTTTGACCTTAATTTAATTCTAGGTTGAATTTTCAAAGATTTTATAAGCCTGGAATTTCATGCCTAGATTTTTTAGTCTAAATTTTCAAGCCCAGATTTGACCTGACATGAAATTTAGGTTCATTGGAAGTTAGAGAAAATTCGGGAGATTTTTGAACTAAAATTTAGGGAAAAAATGATGGCCTAGAAACCAGGAAAATAAGCTTAAAATACTGAAAAATCCAGTTTAGATTTGACCTGAAATTAAATTTAGGTTGATTTGAAGTTAGAGAAAATTCGGGAGATTTTTGAGCTAAAATTTGGGAAAAATGATGGATTTTGAGCCTAGAAATCAGGAAAATGAGCCTGAATTTAATTACAGGTTGAATTTCCTAGGCTTTGAAAAAATCAAATTTAAATTTGATCTGAAATTAAATTTGGGTTAATTTGAAGTTAGCGAAAATTCGGGAGATTTTTGAGCTAAAATTTGGGAAAAATGATGGATTTTCAGCCTAGAAAACAGGAAAATAAGCCTAAAATACTGAAAAAATTATAATTTAGATTTGACCTGAAATTAATTTGAAGTTAGAGAAAATTCAGGAGATTTTTGAACTAAAATTTAGGAAAAAATGATGGATTTTCAGTCTAGAAACCAGGAAAATAAGCCTGAATTTATTTTCAGGTTGAATTTCCTAGCCTAGACTTGAGGCTGTGAAAAAATCCTGTCTAAATTTGACCTGAAATTAATTTGAAGTTAGAGAAAAATCAGAAGATTTTTGAACTAAAATTTGGGAAAAATGATGGATTTTGAGCCTAGAAACCAGGAAAATGAGCCTAAAATACTGAAAAAATCAGATTTAGATTTGACCTGAAATTAAATTTAGGTTGATTTGAAGTTAGAGAAAATTCGGGAGATTTTTGAGCTAAAATTTGGGAAAAATGATGGATTTTGAGCCTAGAAATCAGGAAAATGAGCCTGAATTTAATTACAGGTTGAATTTCCTAGGCTTTTGAAAAAATCAAATTTAAATTTGATCTGAAATTAAATTTGGGTTAATTTGAAGTTAGCGAAAATTTGGGAGATTTTTGAGCTAAAATTTGGGAAAAATGATGGATTTTCAGCCTAGAACCCTAAATCCATGAAAATTCCCGAAATTTTGACCTAAATTTAATTTCAGGTGGAATTTTCGAAGGTTTTATAAGCCTGGAATTTCATGCCTAGATTTTTTAGTCTAAATTTTCAAGCCTAGATTTACCCTGACATTAAATTTAGGTTCATTTGGAAGTTAGAGAAAATTCAGTGCCTAAATTACCCAAATTCAAATTTAGTATTAAAAAATCCAGTTTTTCCCGATTCTAACCTCAAAAATCATGAAAACTGCGATTTTTGAGGCCTAGAATCAGGGTTTTTGACCCAGAATTAATTTCAGGTCAAATTTAGACCCAATTTCAGCCTAAATTCCATTTTTTCAATTTTTTTCAGAAGTATCGTTCGATCTCGCCAACAACCGGCACAAGATGTGATTTTATTCGTCGTCGGCGGCGGAAATTATGTGGAATATCAAAATTTGGTGGACTACGGTAGGTTTTCGCGCCTAAATTCTACCGTATTCTCCAAAAATACCCATTTTTTTGCAGGAAAACGTAAGAATTTGAAACGTGTCACGTATGGATGCTCGGAATTGGTGAATCCTGCGCAGTTTTGTGAACAAGTGAGTTTTTTTGGGGCGAAATTGCCACGTGGCAAGATTTTCGGCGCGAAATTTGAATTTTTCAATAAAAAGATACCCCATGAGCCTAGATTTAGGAAAAAATTGAATTTCGCATTTTTCGCGCCAAAAAATGTACATGGAATTCAAAAAAACGTGGCGCCAAAACTTGAAAATTTGAATTTTTCCCCCGAAAAATGCTTGCTCATTTTTCCTTTTTTGATTTAGTTAATTTTGTTTTCTCGAGCAAAAAACAACAGGAAAATAGGGAGTTTTTTATCTGATTTCAGTTTTTTTTTTCTGTTTTTTCTCCGAAGAAAAACAATTTTAATGTGATGTTTTTTTTTGGCGAAAATTTGATTTTTGAAGTTTTTACGCCGTTAGATTTGATATACTGTAGAGATTACTGTAGGCTGGATTTTTGGCGCGAAAAAATTAGAATTTTGATTTAAAAAATTTTTTGATATTCTATTTTTTGGTGCCGGAATTTGAAGCTACAGTACTCTCAAGTTTTCGCGCCGAAAATGTTTTTTTTGCAAAATTTTGGACTTGTCATAACCCGCCCACAGTTTTTCTGCAATTTTTATGACACCCAAAAAATTCCCAAGTGTAGCTTCTCAATCAAAAAAAATTGTCACACACAAAAAAGTGTTCTGAAAAAAACTTTTTTCCTTTTTTTTTCCAAAAAAAAAGTTGAAAAATCTCATTCCAATTGAAAATTTGATTTTCTCTCAGCGCGATTTTTTCTATTTTGAATAGAACTAGGCTTTTTTTTGTTACTTTTCGTATGCGAAAAAGTGATTTTTGCCACAAAATTTGGAGCATTTTGCACAAAAATTCATCATTTTCTGAACCCCGCGAAAAAAAAGTAAAAAAAAATTGTTGAAAATTGCCCCTTGGGAGAGATTTTTTGGGTCAAAAGACTCTTTGATCTTTTTAGTTTGGTGTAAAATGTAAACATGAGCTTTTGATCTACTTGTAGATCTGTTTTGGCGCCAAAAAAGTCTGTTTTTGAAGCTAGAAAGTAATATAACTATAGTCTAGTTTGGTTTAGTTGTGAAGCCAAAAATGGTGGAATTTTGGCGCCTTCTTTTGATCTACAAAAAATCTAAAATACAGTAATCCAATTTGGTCTACCAGTAGATCAATTTTTCCCGCCAAAATGCAAAGGTCAAACTACAGTAATCCAAATTCTTCTTTTTTTATTACTCATTAATATTTATATTATTATAATAAAAAATGGAACTTGTTCCATTTTTTCTCCAAGACCTAGACTAATCAAAAAAAAGTTTTTGTACTTTTTTGCAGAAAATTCTGGAAGAGCTGAAAATTTCAGCTCTGAAAACCAAACTAAGAAAATTTAGTGAAAATTCATGATTTTTCCAAATTTCTGGAATTTTCATTAGAAAAAGACCTAGAGTAATCAGAGAATTCTGGAAGAGCTGAAAATTTGACTGAAAATTTAGAAATTCTGGAAATTTCAGCTCTGAAAACCACGTGGATTTCTTAAATTTAGTGAAAATTCATGATTTTTTCCAAATTTTTGGAATTTTCATTGGAATAACTCTAGGATTTTGGCCCCAAAATTCATTTTTTTAAAAATGTTTGACACGTGGCACAGTATGACTCATATTATTCTGTAGTTCGCCTAACTCCTCCCACATATTTCTTATTTTTCCGTTCTGCTCTGACTCTCATGCTTTTTGATGGACACCACAACATATATCCATCAGCAGCTTCTCCTCGCCCACTTTTCCCTCCGGGACCCGTCTTTTTTGGCGCCAAGAAATTTTTGGAGGAGGAACATATGTTGTTATATGTTTCACATGCTAGTAGCTATGCATGTTTTTGGGTTGGCGATTTTTGCATAAATTTTGCGAGTTCTGCGGGATTTTTGAGAAAATTGGGGTTTTCAAATTCGCGCTGAAAATTACTCAAAATTTGCCACGTGGAATTTTTGACACTTGAAAATTTTGAAATTTTGATTTTCCCGCTGAAAATTTGCCACGTGGCATTTTTTGACTTTTGAAAATTTCGAAATTTGTTAAATTTTGATTTTCCCGCTGGAAATTTGCCACGTGGCATTTTTTGACTTTTGAAAATTTCAAATTTTTGTTAAATTTTGATTCTCCCGCTGAAAATTTGCCACGTGGCAAAATAATTTTCGAAATGTAATTATTTTTCTGCGAGATTTGAGTTTTCCGCGATTTTTTCTGGAGCTCAAAAATATATTTTTTCATTTTTTGCAAGATTCTGGCAACTTGAGCCTTAGAAAAATAGATAGCTCTCTAAGAACCTTAAGAACCTTTAAAACCTTAAGAACCTTTAAAAGAGGTCCCTAAGGTCCTTAAGAACTTGAGGGAAATCTTCTAAACCTCTATGAAAATTTTAAAAATAAATTTTGATCCATCTGAAATATTTTTTGTATCAAAAATTCAGAAAATTGGTGAATTTTCTAAATTTTCTCCAATTTTCCACACAAAAATCGAACTTTTTGAACTTGTCTCTGCAAATTTTTCTCGCCCACTTTTTCCTTTTTTTTTTTATTCATTTTCTCCTCCAAGACGAAAAAATTTCCTCTTTTCTTTCTTTTCATTTTTTTCTCCTAATTATCACTACTACTACTATAAAAAAAGCTCTTCTTCCTCTGCAAAAATGGGTGAAAACCTCGAGAAAAAACACATAATTCAATTTTTCTCTCGCGCCTTTTTTTGACCCGAAAATGGGGTGGTCCTTTTTGAGAGAGATGGTGAGAAAATTGGATTTATTAGACCTAGAAGCCCGCTGAAAAATATACATTTTTCATGTTTTTGAGAGAGGTTTTGATTATGTTCCTTTAATTTTTTTCGTCTACAGTAATCCAGGAAATTTTCAGAAATCCCAGATTTTCAGCCAAAATTCGAGAAAAATCATGAAGTTTTCTGAAAATCTAGGTCAAACTAAAGTTTAGTTTTTTTTACTCGTTATGCAAAATAATATAGTTTCTCAATTTTATTTATCAACCCCCTTCCTTTTCAAAAAAAAATTTTTTTTTTGAAAAAACTATTTTTCCTCCCATTTTTTCTTCTGGTGAAAAAAGAAGAGTTTAAGTGAAGGAGGTACTTGAAATATTTGAAAAAAGAAGGACCTCCGGGATTATTATTATTATTTCTTCTTTTTTTTTTTTGAGGAGGAAATATGAATAATGATGTCATTTTGGGGAAAAATTGCAAAATTTTGGTCCAAAAATCGTGTTTTTGTTGGAAAATGTTTCAATTTGAACCCCCCAAGAATTCAGGATTCTTAACCTGAAATTAAGAAGCTAACAATAAGTTATGCTAACTTCCCTTAAGCACTTTTTCTTCCTGAGTTCATTTCCACGTGGCAATTTCAGCCCTAAATTCCTTCTTCCTAATTTTTCTCGAAAAAAAGTCAACAAAACTTTATTTTATTCAATTTCGATATTTTTTTTTTCTGTCTGCTTCTCAAAAAATTGAATTTCCCGCTCCCTTTTTTCTATATGTTTATTTCTTCGGTTTTCCCCCCCAAGCAACCTCGAAATGAGCAAAAATAATAAAAAAGTTCAAAGATTTCGCCAAAAATTTTACGATCTGTCATGATTCATGTTTGAGAAGAGCAAAAGAGTGGTTTTGGGGCTGAAATTTGGCTGAAAATGGGATTTTTTAGTCCAAAAATTTTGAAAATTCAAAAATTCAAATTTTCGCGCTCAAAAATCCACATTCCTATTGATTTTGGGGCCAAATTTTGAGAATTCCTGAAATTTTCACAATTAATCTTCAATGCTCTGAAAATTGAGCTCAAAAAATCCACGTGGCATAATTGTTTCCTGAATTCAAATTTTTTTCAAAAGTATTTGAAAAATGGCTCAATTTTTGAGAAATTTTGAGAAATTTAAATTTTCGCGCCAAAAAATCCACGTGGAATTGAATCCACGTGGAATAATTGTTTCCTGAATTTTTAAATTTAAAAGAAAAATTTGAAAAATGGCTCAATTTTTGAGAAAATTGAGGAATTTTTCATGTTTTCCCCAAAAAATTTTGAAAAAATCTCGAAAATTTATTACCTAGCAACCTTCATAAAATGTTTAGTTCAAAAATTCGCACGAATTTTGAGCTATAAAATTACTGTCACATGTTCCTTTAAATGTTTCCCTTCTCTGAAAAATCTGATAATTTTCAGCTAACTCGTCTTGGACGATCATTGGAATAAAATTCTCAAATTTTCTCCCGAAAATCGATAATTTTTTTTGGTCTGGGTTGGTTTTTGTATTTTTTAATGTGATATTTATTTTTTTTCTTCTGAATAATTTATTGATTGATTTATAAAATAACTGGAATTTTTTCAAAAACATTTTTGCGAGTTAGCTTAACTAGAAAATTTCAAAAACCAGGAACTTTTCGACCTACAGTAACCGCTAAGCTTCTTAAGCACTCGAAAAACCCCTTGAAAAAAATGTTGCTCAAATTTTGTGAGAAAATTTTGGGCTCCGCCGAAAAAAATTTGTGAGCAAAAAATATCCATCTATCTATTCTATAAGGGTTCGTTTTCAAATTCAATTTTTTTTTGCTGCCCAATTTATTTTCTTCTTTCCATATCAACCCAATATTTTTTTCATTATTTTTGTCTGACAGAAAAAAATGGAACATGGAAAAATATTCCGAGTTATGCTAACTTTTTGGGCTGCTCAAAATTTCCAGAATTATAGATTTTTCAAACTTGGAACCTTTTGAATTTAATATAATTCTGAAACACTAGATTTTTAAACTGAAATCTAAAATTTCAAAGTTACACTAACTTCAGAATTCAATTATTTTTGGCCATAAAATCTAGAGCACTTCTATTTTAGAATTCTTAGCAACCCTAAGCTTCTGATTCTTCCAGAGTTAGTCTAACTCGCCTTTGGCTCTCCTGTGTTCCACTCCATTACCCACTTCTTCACGTCTCCCACGGTGATCCTCTTCCTTTTTTTTTCATTTTTTTCCTTCTCCCCCAAAAAAAGCAAATAAAAAACAATACATCAGTCACGGCCTCTTCTTTCCCTTTTTTTTTTTTTTTTTTTTTTTTGCGAAATGAATCATAGATTCTTAAGAGTTAAGAATGGGTTTATGTGTACTACTCTGCTTTTTTTTCGAAATTTTTGAAGTTCGCCCAACTCACCGCGCAGACAGCTAGAGATATTCGAAAAAGTTAGAGACGCAGAACAGTAATAGGTACTGTAGATGGTCTCAGAGCAAATTACAGTGTCTGAAATTTCTGAAGTTGCCGCTATTTTTTCAAAGGTTCAGTAGAATTCAAGGATTACTGTAGATGAATTTTCTATCTACAGTAATCCTCTATAGGATCCAGGGTTACTGTAGATATGTATATTTTCGAATTTCTACAGTAATCATCAGACTTTTTGGGCGGGAAATTCGAAGAGACCTTTTGCCACGTCATAGGAAACTTCTCTCTGCGTCTCTACCCCTCTCTACCTGTCTGACTCTGGCCTAGCCTAGCTAGGGAGAGCCTAGAGATAGTGAGAGACGCAGAGTAGAGGGTTTGCTCGAAAAGCATAAATGCTAGAGTGAAATGCCGTATCTCTCTTCTCTGCGTCCCTACCCCCCTCTACCTGTCTGACTCTAGCCTAGTCTAGCTAGAGAGCCTAGAGATAGTGAGAGACGCAGAGTACAAGATCCGCTCGAAAATCATAAATGCTAGAGTGAAATACCGTATCTCTCTGCATCCCTACCCTCCCTCTACCTGTCTGACTCTAGCCTAGTCTAGCTAGAGAGCGAGAGAGCCTAGAGAGCCTAGAGATAGTGAGAGACGCAGAGTATAAGATCCGCTCGAAAAGCATAAATGCTAGAGGGAAATACCGTATCTCTCTGCGTCCCTACCCCCCTCCCTCCCTCTACCTGTCTGACTCTAGCCTAGCACTTAGAGAGCCTAGAGCCTAGAGAAACCAGAGAAAATCAGAGACGCAGAGAAAAATGCTCTCCAGAGCTTTTTAGATTTTAGACTCGGAATCAGTTTCTCTACCTGTCTGACTCTAGCCTAGCATCTAGAGACGCAGAGAAGAAAACCCTCCAGAACTTAGTTACCGTATCTCGCAATCAGTTTCTCTACCTTTCTCTTCCCTAACCCTTCTCTACCTGTCTGACTCTAGCCTAGCATCTAGAGACGCAGAGTAAAAGCATCTTCATAATGATGAAGTAAGTATATGTTTTTTTTTTCCACTCCCAAATTTTTTGGAGGAGGGGAAAAGTGCTTAGGGCCAGGCAATCTTTTTTTTTTCGCTTTTTCTTAAATCTTGGTCCCTCCTCCCAGTTTTTTTACTCTTCATTTCTATCTTTTTTTTGGCCGAAGAAGAAGAAGAAGAAGCTCTTCTCCAATTTTTACATCATTTTTTTCATTTTTTTTTTGGCTGCTTCCAATTCATTTGAGAGAGATGAGAAGAGGGTGTTTATTATTATTATTTGTATTTTTATTTTGCGTGTTTTTTTTCGGGGGGGGATGAATAAGAATTGCTGAAATGGCAGATGTGACCGCGTTTTTGGAGGAGGAGAAAAAATAAATATGACCTTTCCGAAGGCGCAAGCTTCCGCGCAGCGGCACGCGAACGCGGAAAGTTACGGTACTTAATTGGCCGCTGCGCGGAAGCTTGCGGAAGGTTACGGTAACTTCAGAAACCTGGCTATTCCCTCCGAAGTTGTTTTGCGATTTAGACAAGTTAGGGTAACTACAGAAATTTCAATTTTTCCGGAAAATGTGCTCGGAAAATCCGGAAAATGATCTTTAGTAGTAATATTTTCAAAATTGCCTAAATTTTAGGAAATTTTTTCAGTTTATGATAGAAAAAATGAAATTTTTGGAATTTTTTTTCAATTTTTCAAATTTTACTTCTTTTTGAAAATCTTACTATTTTTTTTTAATTTTTGAAAATCAGGATTTTTGCGAGACTCAAGGAAAATCAAAGCTTTTCCAACATTTCGAAATTTCCAGTTTCAAACAAAACATTCTTCAAGTTATTCTAACTCACAAGAAAAAAAAAAAAAAATTTTTTTTGAAATTTTTTTTTTTTCAAAAAATAAATTACTTCAAATTATCCTAAAATATTTCAGAAAAAAAAAAATTTTTTTTTTTTTTTTTGAAGATTTCAGAAATTTCTCGCAAAAATCCAGCTATTTTGAACCAAGACTTTCAAAATTCCAGAAAATTCTCAAAAATCCAACCAAATTTCAAATTTCATGACTCATTTTCACCCCAGAAAAAAAACCAAAAAAAAAAAAAAAAATTCTGGTTTTGACCTACCAATCCGAACAAATGCTCCAATTTTTGCCCCAGCTCCAGCTCCACGAAAAAAAAATTATTACATTGTAAAGTGTCGTCTTGATCTCATGACGCCATAAGTTCTCTCTCCACGAAAATATTTCCTGACAAATTGAGATCGTGTAATAAAAATCGAAATTTTCGCGACAACTGCTCTTTTTTCTTTTTGAAAAATTTTGAAATTCAATTTTTTCTTGCAGTTTTGCAAAGTATAATCTTAATTTCAGAAATTTTTTGGAGAAAACGAAAGTTTTTACGTCACATCAAATCAGAAAAAATGGGCCCGCGGGCCATTTTTTGTCATATTTTTTATTACAGGGTGGATTTTTTTTAACTGGGCGATTATTTTTCAAAACATCTGGTTTAAAATTAGATTGAGAAGATTGAGAAGATATTTTTGTGATTTCCGATTCATTTTTGATCATTTAGCTTTAAAAAAGCGGGGAGTTACCTTAACTTCTCTTTTAAAAAATAAAAAATGAAGGTTTTTCTAGTTTCACGTGAACATTTTGCGAGAGAAACTAGAGAATTCAAAAAAAAAATTAAAAAAAAAAACAACGACACTCCGCTCGTTAAACAACTGGCAAGCGCAACTGGCAAGCGGAGTGTCGTTGTTTTTTTTATTTTTTTGTTTTTTTCTTCTCATTTTGTTTTTTTTGCATTTTTCACTCTTAAAATGTTGAAAAATGTTGTTTTTTTTTAAAATCAGTTATGACGTGGCAATTCAATTTTCCACACTTTAACCGACTAAAAATCCATGTCCTTCTCATTTTCATATCCACAATTTTTGTCACTTTTTTCCTCTCACCGCGAAAAAATCTCAAATTTCTGTGTGTTATAAGATACGCTCACGAAATTTCGCTTTTACAACAGGCAGCCAGCCAGCCAGGAGGCACAGCGAGAAAAAAATTCAAGAAAATTTTGAAATTTTTTGGTGGCCACACGTGTTTCTTGTTAGTTTGAAACAAAAAATTCCGAAATTTTTCGAGAAAACAAAAAAAAATTTTTTTTTTTTGTCATTTGATTTTTTGATTTTTTTCGCAAGCTTGTCGATTTTTGCCACGTCATAACTCATTTGAAATATATTTATTTTGAAGTTAGCGTAAATATCGAGGAAAAAGTTCCTCTGCGTCTCTAACCTTTTTCTTTCTTGTATCTCTCTGCGTCTCTTAAAAATACTTTATGACTTTAGTTTCTCTGCGTCTCTGATTTTTATACACTGTCTAGTTGTCTCTATAAACTCTAGATGTCTAGATTCTCTGCTCTCTAACACTCTCTAGCCTCTCTGCGTCTCTATCTTCTCTAGCTGTCTGGTCTCTCTGTGTTTCTTCATCATATCTGCATTCTCTTCTACCCCTTCCTCTGCGTCTCTAACCTTTTTCTTGTCTCTGACTCTTCCTGTAGTCTTCTCGAGTTTCTCTGCGTCTCTAAAATATTCATGCTCTCTAGCTGTCTGGTCTCTTCGCTCTCTAACACTCTCTAGCCTAGCTAGCTTCTCTGCGTCTCTAACCTTCCCTTACCGTCTAACCTAGCTAGCTTCTCTGCGTCTCTAATACTGACATACTCTCTATCTGCCTAGGTTCTCTACACTCTAACACTCTCTAGCATATCTAGCTTCTCTGCGTCTCTCTCTTTTCTCTAGCTGTCTGGTCTCTATGCTCTCTGTCATCTCTTCTACCCCCCCCCCCCTCTTCCTCTGCGTCTTCAACTTTTTTCTTGTCTCTGACTCTTCCTGTAGTCTGCTCGAGTTTCTCTGCGTCTCTAAAACAATCATGCTCTCTCTAGCTGTGTAGTTTCTCTGCGTCTCTGATTTTTAAACACTGTCTAGTTGTCTCTATAAACTCTAGCTGCCTAGATTCTCTGCTCTCTAACACTCTCCAGCCTATCTAGCTTCTCTGCGTCTCTAACCTTCCCTTACCGTCTAGCCTAGCTAGCTTCTCTGCGTCTCTAATTAGACTATGAACTCTAGCTGCCTAGGTTCTCTGCTCTCTAACATTTTCTGCATCTCTCACCTCCCTCACACTCTCTAGCCTATCTAGCTTCTCTGCGTCTCTGCGTCTCTCACCTCCCCTTACCGTCTAGCCTAGCTAGCTTCTCTGCGTCTCTAATACTGACATACTCTCTAGCTGCCTAGATTCTCTGCGCTCTTACACTCTCTAGCCTATCGAGCTTCTCTCCGTCTCTTACTGTCTAGCTTCTCTGCGTCTCTCTTTTCTCTTGCTGTCTAGCTTCTCTGCGTCTCTCTCTTTTCTCTAGCTGTCTGGTCTCTATGCTCTCTGTCATCTCTTCTACCCCCTTCCTCTGCGTCGCAAACAAGTCTGCTCGAGTTTCTCTGCGTCTCTCACCTCCCCTTACCGTCTAAGCTAGCTTCTCTGCGTCTCTAATACCTACATACTCTCTAGCTGCCTAGATTATCTGCTCTCTAACACTCTCTAGCCTATCTAGCCTCGCTCCGTCTCTTACCGTCTAGCTTCTCTGCGTCTCTCTTTTCTCTTGCCGTGTGCGTGTCTCTGACTTCTCATGCTCTCTGTCATCTCTTCCACCCCTTCCTCTGCGTCTCTAACCTTTTTCTTGTCTCTGACTCTCCCTGTAGTCTGCTCGAGTTTCTCTGCGTCTCTGAAACAGTCATGCTCTCTAGCTGTGTAGTTTCTCTGCCTCTCTATTTTCTCTGTCATCTCTTCCTCTGCATCTCTAACCCCTCTAGCTTCTCTGCGTCTCTCTCTTCTCTAGCTGTCTGGTCTCTCTGCATCTCTTCATCATAAATTCATTCCATCTAACTTCTCTAGCTTCTCCGCGTCTCTCTCTTCTCTAGCTGTCTGCTCCCTCTTCCTCATATCTGTCCTCTGCATTCTCTTCATCTACCCCTTCCTCTCCGTCTCTAACCCCTCTAGCTTCTCTAACCTAACCCAGATTTTTTCCAGACCGTTTGTGCTCTTCTCGCCTCAAACAACTGTTGTGTCCACCCGTGTTCGCTCTTCTTCTTCTTCTGGCCACGCCCACTTTTTTGTTGGCTCAACTCGACCGTGTTTTACATCATCACATCTTTTTTTTTTGCTCGTCTCCCTGTTCATCTCACAAAACAACAAGCCTAACTTTTTATCGATTATTTTCTTTGGATGGCACAATTTGGGTCTTGACACGAAGTCAACACTATGATTATTAGGAACAACTTTTTTGTGCTAGTGCTGGTTTTGGTAGATTTTGTGGTGTCGCAGAGGAGGTGAGTTTGGGGGAGGCTATTTGAAATGCGCCAAGGGTGCTGGAAATGCGTCAGCAAACCTCTGGGCTTTTAGAAATGCGTCAGCAAACCTCTGGGTTTCTAGAAATGCGTCAGCAAACCTCTGGGCTTCTAGAAACGCGTCAGCAAACCTCTGGGCTTCTAGAAATGCGTCAGCAAACCTCTGGGCTTCTAGAAATGCGTCAGCAAACCTCTGGGCTTCTAGAAATGCGTCAGCAAACCTCTGGCCTTCTAGAAATGCGTCAACAAACCTCTGGGCTTCTCGAAATGCGTCAGCAAACCTCTGGGCTTTTAGAAATGCGTCAGCAAACCTCTGAGCTTTTAGAAATGCGTCAGCAAATTTTCAAGTTACTAGAAAAGCGCTAGCAACGTCATCCACCTACCAAAATTGCGCCAACGATTTTTGATCTACCAAAAAAAGTGAAATTGCTCTTCACCGCTCGTTTCGCCTAATCCAACCTGACGTGGCGGAGCCCATAAAACTTTGATCTACCCCTAGTTTTCTGCACATCACATCCTCCCTAAAAATCTGACTAACTCAATTTGCCGAAAAAGTTTGGAGGAACTTTTTTAGGAAAAAAAAAAGAAGCGGGAGCGAGAGAGAGAGAGAGAGAGAGAGAGAGAGAGAGAGAGAGAGAGAGAGAGAGAGAGAGAGAGAGAGAGAGAGAGAGAGAGAGAGAGAGAGAGAGAGAGAGAGAGAGAGAGAGAGAGAGAGAGAGAGAGAGAGAGAGAGAGAGAGAACAGAGAGAGAGAGAGAACAGAGAGGTGATTCAATTTACAGCCATTCATTTCTGGAGGTGGAATTTTTTATTTTGCAAAAAAAAAGGAAGGGGCCTAAAATCGTGGAAATTTTTAGATACCCAAAATTCACAGGGCCTGAATTATCGGGCCTAAAAATCTAGAGCCTTTTATGCCAAGCCTATCATAAGCTTGTAAAAAAAGCTGAACCTGAAAAGCCTGAATTTTAGCGAGGCCTGAAATTTCAGCGAGGCCTTAAATTTCAGATGAGCCTGAATTTTAGACCAGCCTGATTTTTACATGAACCTAAATTTCAGATCAGCCTGAGTTTTGAACCAGCCTGAATTTTAGCGAGGCCTTAAATTTCAGCTAAGCCTGAATTTTAGATGAGCCTAAATTTCAGATGAGCCTAAATTTCAGATGAGCCTGAATTTTAGCGAGGCCTTGATTTTTTGACTAGGCCTTGAATTTAGACCTGCCTGATTTTTAGACCAGCCTGAATTTTAGACGAGCCTAAATTTCAGATGAGCCTGAATTTTAGACCAGCCTGATTTTTAGATGAGCCTAAATTTCAGATGAGCCTGAATTTTAGCGAGGCCTTGATTTTTTGACTAGGCCTTGAATTTAGACCTGCCTGATTTTTAGACCAGCCTGAATTTTAGACGAGCCTAAATTTCAGATGAGCCTGAATTTTAGACCAGCCTGATTTTTAGATGAGCCTAAATTTCAGATGAGCCTGAATTTTAGCGAGGCCTTGATTTTTTGACTAGGCCTTGAATTTAGACCTGCCTGATTTTTAGACCAGCCTGATTTTTAGATAAGCCTGAATTTTAGATGAGCCTAAATTTTAGACCAGTCTTAAAGGTACCTAAATCTGATATGTTGAAAATTTTTGTCTAGAAAATTGAAAGGGCCTAATAAATAGCGAGGCCTTAAAGTTTGGATTGAAAATTTTAGGATACCTAAGATTACCAGGCCCCCTAAAAGGCCTTTATTTTTTCAGGCCTATATTTAGAGGGGCCTGAATTATGAACATTTTGAGATGCCTAAACTATGTTAGGCCTTAACAATCGGGCCTAAAGTACCCTCATTTTTGTCGGGCCTAAATTTAGATGGGCCTGAATTTTAAATCAGCCTTAAAGGGGGGGGCCTAAATCCTTAAAGGTACCTAAATTTTTGTCTAGAAAATTGGAAGGGCCTAATATGATAAGCCTGAAAAGGCCTTAAGGTTTGGGTTAAAAATTTTAGGATACCTAAGATTACCAGGACTGGTAATGCCTAAAAGGCCTTTATTTTTTCAGGCCTATATCTAGAGGGGCCTGAATTGAACCTGAATTTTTTTAGACATGCCTAAAGGTGCCTAGCCTGAGCTAGATCTCAAAATGGGGGCCTCAAGATCCAAATGTTTCCTTTCAGATCCACTCACACGCTCACCGAACTCCTCGATCGTCTCACCAACTCCTCCACCTACGACAAACGACTTCGACCCAAATACGGTTCGGCGCCGGTAGATGTTGGCATCACGATCCACGTGTCGTCGATTTCGGCAGTGTCGGAAGTCGACATGGATTTCACGTTGGATTTTTATTTGCGACAAACGTGGCAGGATCCAAGGCTCGCTTTTGATGGAGTGGATATTGGAAACGGGTCGATCAATTCGTTGACGGTGAGTTGGGGGAGCGGAAGGGAAGCGGAAGGGAAGCGGAAGGGGGCGGAAGGAGTAGGTTAGGTTAGGGTGAGCCTAAGGTTAGCCTGAGGTACGCGTAGGGTAAGCCTAAGGTAGACCTAAGGTAATCCTAATGTAAGCCTGAGGTAAGCCTAAGGTTAGCCTAAGGTAATCCTAATGTAAGCCTGAGGTAAGCCTAAGGTTAGCCTAAGCTAAGCCTAAGCTAAGCCTAAGCTAAGCCTAAGCTAAGCCTAAGCTAAGCCTAAGCTAAGCCTAAGCTAAGCCTAAGCTAAGCCTAAGCTAAGCCTAAGCTAAGCCTAAGCTAAGCCTAAGCTAAGCCTAAGCTAAGCCTAAGCTAAGCCTAAGCTAAGCCTAAGCTAAGCCTAAGCTAAGCCTAAGCTAAGCCTAAGCTAAGCCTAAGCTAAGCCTAAGCTAAGCCTAAGCTAAGCCTAAGCTAAGCCTAAGCTAAGCCTAAGCTAAGCCTAAGCTAAGCCTAAGCTAAGCCTAAGCTAAGCCTAAGCTAAGCCTAAGCTAAGCCTAAGCTAAGCCTAAGCTAAGCCTAAGCTAAGCCTAAGCTAAGCCTAAGCTAAGCCTAAGCTAAGCCTAAGCTAAGCCTAAGCTAAGCCTAAGCTAAGCCTAAGCTAAGCCTAAGCTAAGCCTAAGCTAAGCCTAAGCTAAGCCTAAGCTAAGCCTAAGCTAAGCCTAAGCTAAGCCTAAGCTAAGCCTAAGCTAAGCCTAAGCTAAGCCTAAGCTAAGCCTAAGCTAAGCCTAAGCTAAGCCTAAGCTAAGCCTAAGCTAAGCCTAAGCTAAGCCTAAGCTAAGCCTAAGCTAAGCCTAAGCTAAGCCTAAGCTAAGCCTAAGCTAAGCCTAAGCTAAGCCTAAGCTAAGCCTAAGCTAAGCCTAAGCTAAGCCTAAGCTAAGCCTAAGCTAAGCCTAAGCTAAGCCTAAGCTAAGCCTAAGCTAAGCCTAAGCTAAGCCTAAGCTAAGCCTAAGCTAAGCCTAAGCTAAGCCTAAGCTAAGCCTAAGCTAAGCCTAAGCTAAGCCTAAGCTAAGCCTAAGCTAAGCCTAAGCTAAGCCTAAGCTAAGCCTAAGGTAAACCTAGGACAAGCCTAAGCTAAGCCTAAGCTAAGCCTAAGGTAAACCTAGGACAAGCCTAGATAAGCCTGAAGTTAGCCTAAGATAAGCCTAAGCTAAGCCTATGATAAGCCTAAGCTAAGTCTAAGGTAAGCCTAAGCTAAGCCTGAGCTAAGCCTAAGCTAAGCCTAAGCTAAGCCTAAGCTAAGCCTAAGCTAAGCCTAAGCTAAGCCTAAGCTAAGCCTAAGCTAAGCCTAAGCTAAGCCTAAGCTAAGCCTAGAAGTTTAGGCTTACGAACCACTTTTTTTAGGCTTAGGCTTAAGGAAAACCGTAACCTTAAGGATTACCCTAAAGCTTCTGAGCCTTTTCCCAGGCTTAAATCTAGTCCCGTAACTACCTTAAGTACCCTAACCCCTAAAAATCCACGTCATAACTACGTTTTCCTATTTTGCAGGTCGGCGTTGATTATCTGGAAAAACTGTGGAAACCCGACACATTTTTCCCCAACGAGAAAAAATCCTATTTCCATTTGGCCACCACTCACAACTCATTTCTGCGAATCGAAAGCAACGGAACCGTCTTCACCAGTCAGAGGTTGGTTTTCAGCCGATTTTCAGCCGCATTTTCAGATTCAGCGTGAAATTTCAGCCCGGAAAAGTGCAAAAAAAAAAATTTTTCAAAAAAGTTCCCACCGGGCATCGATCCCTCGACCTTTTTCCTCGAAATTTTGTGCATTTCAAGCTCCGCCCCCACTTTTTGAAAAAAAGTAAAAATTTTACGAGCGCGCTGAGGATCAGTTGAGGATTATAATATGAGCAATAAATGTTTCATTTTTCGGAAAAATATAAAGGGACCTGCGGCAGGGTTTTGTGGGCGGAGCTTGGAATTTTTTTTTTTGCAATTTTGTGGCACAGATTTGTGGGCGGAGCAAAGTTATATTTGGCAGTGAGAAAAATTGCAAATTTTCAGCTACCGCAGGGTTTTGTGGGCGGAGCTTAGGCTTTGTCATTTTTGGTTTCGAAAAATTGCAAATTTTCAGCTGCCGCAGGGTTTTGTGGGCGGAGCTTAGGCTTAGTCATGTTTGGTATCAAAAAATTGCAAGTTTCAAGCTGCCGCAGGGTTTTGTGGGCGGAGCTTGGAATTTTTTTTTGCAATTTTGCCGCAGGGTTTTGTGGGCGGAGCCTACCTTAGTCATGTTTGGTATCGAAAAATTGCAAATTGTTTAGCTGCCGCAAGGTTTTGTGGGCGGAGCTTAGCCTAGTCATGTTTGGTATCAAAAAATAGCAAATTTTCAGCTGCCGCAGGGTTTTGTGGGCGGAGCTTAGCCTAGTCATGTTTGGTATCAAAAAATAGCAAATTTTCAGCTGCCGCAGGGTTTTGTGGGCGGAGCTTAGTAAGAAAAATTGCAAATTTTTAGCTGCCGCAGGGTTTTGTGGGCGGAGCTTGGAATTTTTTTTGCAATTTTGTGGCACAGATTTGTGGGCGGGGTTTAGCCTAGTCATGTTTGGTATCAAAAAATAGCAAATTTCCAGCTGCCGCAGGGTTTTGTGGGCGGAGCTTAGCCTAGTCATGTTTGGTATCAAAAAATTGCAAATTTCCAGCTGCCGCAGGGTTTTGTGGGCGGAGCCTACCTTTGTCATGTTTGGTATCAAAAAATTGCGAATTTTCAGCTGCCGCAGGGTTTTGTGGGCGGAGCTTAGTAAGAAAAATTGCAAATTTTCAGCTGCGGCAGGGTTTTGTGGGCGGAGCTTAGTAAGAAAAATTGCAAATTTTCAGCTGCCGCAGGGTTTTGTGGGCGGAGCTTAGTAAGAAAAATTGCAAATTTTCAGCTACCGCAGGGTTTTGTGGGCGGAGCCTACCTTAGTCATGTTTGGTATCAAAAAATTGCAAATTTTCAGCTGCGGCAGGGTTTTGTGGGCGGAGCCTACCTTAGTCATGTTTGGTATCAAAAAATTGGCAAATTTTCAGCTGCGGCAGGGTTTTGTGGGCGGAGCTTAGTAAGAAAAATTGCAAATTTTCAGCTACCGCAGGGTTTTGTGGGCGGAGCCTACCTTAGTCATGTTTGGTATCAAAAAATTGCAAATTTTCAGCTGCCGCAGGGTTTTGTGGGCGGAGCTTAGTAAGAAAAATTGCAAATTTTCAGCTGCGGCAGGGTTTTGTGGGCGGAGCTTAGTAAGAAAAATTGCAAATTTTCAGCTGCCGCAGGGTTTTGTGGGCGGAGCTTAGTAAGAAAAATTGCAAATTTTCAGCTACCGCAGGGTTTTGTGGGCGGAGCCTACCTTAGTCATGTTTGGTATCAAAAAATTGCAAATTTTCAGCTGCGGCAGGGTTTTGTGGGCGGAGCCTACCTTAGTCATGTTTGGTATCAAAAAATTGGCAAATTTTCAGCTGCGGCAGGGTTTTGTGGGCGGAGCTTAGTAAGAAAAATTGCAAATTTTCAGCTACCGCAGGGTTTTGTGGGCGGAGCCTACCTTAGTCATGTTTGGTATCAAAAAATTGCAAATTTTCTGCTGCGGCAGGGTTTTGTGGGCGGAGCTTAGTAAGAAAAATTGCAACTTTCAAGCTGCCGCAGGGTTTTGTGGGCGGAGCCTACCTTAGTCATGTTTGATATCAAAAAATTGCAAATTTTCTGCTGCGGCAGGGTTTTGTGGGCGGAGCTTAGTAAGAAAAATTGCAAATTTTCAGCTACCGCAGGGTTTTGTGGGCGGAGCCTACCTTAGTCATGTTTGGTATCAAAAAATTGCAAATTTTCTGCTGCGGCAGGGTTTTGTGGGCGGAGCTTAGTAAGAAAAATTGCAACTTTCAAGCTGCCGCAGGGTTTTGTGGGCGGAGCCTACCTTAGTCATGTTTGATATCAAAAAATTGCAAATTTCAGACTTACCGTAACTGCCACGTGTCCCATGGATCTGCAACTCTTCCCAATGGATTCTCAACACTGTAAACTCGAAATTGAAAGCTGTAAGTCACCTGAAAATTTCAGATTTTTTGTCTGAAAATCTGTGTGAAATTAGTCGTGGGGTAGGCGTGCCGTTTTATTGATTTTTCTTTGAAAAAACCACAAAAAAATGAGAATTAACATGAGCAATGTTGTTGGAAAAATGAGAAATATCGATTTTATTTTTTCGCCCCGCCCCTTTCTTTTTTTTCTTGTATTCAATTTTTTTGTACCATGTATACTGTATTTTTTTTTTTTTGAATTTTTTTATTTTGCCGCCAAAATTTTTTTTTTTTTTTTTTTGAAAAACGGTGAGTCGGGGATTTTTCGGTGTTGTGATTGGCGATTTTTGCATGATTCGATATTTTTTGTTACACGTCACACACACGGGGTACTGTAGATTTTGGCGCGCAAAAATTTGATCTACAAATTTCCCGGATTCTACAGTAGTCCCGGATACTGTAGCTTTGAAATCCACGTGGCACTTTTTTTATTTCAAAAATTGTTGATCTACTAAATTCTAGAATTCTACAGTAGTCATGGATACTGTATCCACGTGGCACTTTTTTTATTTCAAAAATTGTTGATCTACAAATTTGCTGGATTCTACAGTAATCCTGGATACTGTAGCTTTGAAATCCACGTGGCACTTTTTTCAACGCAAAAAATTGATCTACACAAAATTCCAGAGCGCTTCACTACAGTAACCTCAGAGGTACTGTAGATTTTAACTTTCGGAAAATAGGATTACTGTAGCTTTTGGCGCCACGTGGCACTACAGTAATCTATCCAAGAAGTTACAGAAAGTGTGATCTACTAACTTTTCCAATATTTGATCTACTACAGTACTTCTCTAACAATATACAGTAATTCAACTAACATTCTCTCTTGATCTACAAATTTTCTACAGTAACCCAAATCAAGTTTTTGATCTACCACTAAATGCGTGCGTGTGTGTGACGTGTCGCTTTGCGTGTTTTCAGACGGCTACAATATTCTCGACATTGTCTACGTGTCGCATCAAAAAGGCGACAAATTCGACTATCAAATCGAGTTGCCGCAATTTGTGCTCCAAAAAATGGATGTGATTAGTTATACGAAAAAGTTGAGCTCAGGTTTGTGCGGGGAGAAAATTTGCGATTTTTTGAGACCAAATATGAGGGGGTTGGCCTAGGAAATTGTGTTTTTGGATTTCTAGGCCATGTGGAATTTTCCTGGCCTAGAATTCCACCATTTTTTCTAGGCCATATGGCGAATTTGATGTCAAAATATCCCAAATTTCCTAGCTGGCCTAGAAATCCAAATCCAAATCCTAGGCCACCTCAATTTTCAAATTCAAATTTCAAAAATGGCCTAGAAATCCACCATTTTTCTAGGCCATATGGCAAATTTGATTTCAAAATATCCCAAATTTCCTAGCTGGCCTAGAAATCCAAATCCAAATCCTAGGCCACCTCAATTTTAGGGGTTCTAGGCCACCTGAAAGTGCATTAGGTAATTTAAATATTCAAATTTAGTTCTCGTGGCCTAGAAATCCAAATCCTAGGCCACCTCAATTTTCAAATCCAAATTTCAAAAATGGCCTAGAATTCCACCATTTTTTCTAGGCCATATGGCAAATTTGATTTCAAAATATCCCGAATTTCCTAGCTGGCCTAGAAAACCAAATCCAAATCCGAATCCTAGGCCACCTCAATTTTTTAATTCAAATATCCAAATTTCAAAAATGGCCTAGAAATCCACCATTTTTTCTAGGCCATATGGCAAATTTTGTTTCAAAATATCCCTAATTTCCCACTTTCCCATGGCCTAGAAATCCAAATCCTAGGCCACCTCAATTTTAGGGGTTCTAGGCCACCTGAAAGAGCATTAGGTAATTTAAATATTCAAATTTAGTTCTCGTGGCCTAGAATTCCACCATTTTTCTAGGCCATACGGCAAATTTGGTATCAAAATATCCCGAATTTCCCACTTTCCCATGGCCTAGAAATCCAAATCAAAATCCTAGGCCACCTCAATTTTAGGGGTTCTAGGCCACCTGAAAGAGCATTATGTAATCTATCCAAATTCAGTTCTCGTGGCCTAGAATTCCACCATTTTTTCTAGGCCATATTGCAAATTTGATTTCAAAATATCCCAAATTTCCCACTTTCCCATGGCCTAGAAATCCAAATCCAAAAATTCTTCCAGGCGAATACTCGCGTCTAATTTGGTATTTCCTTTTCCGCCGTAACATCGGCTTCTACATAATTCAAATTTATTTGCCCTCAATTCTGATTGTCGTCATTTCGTGGGTCTCGTTTTGGTTGAATCGCGAAGCAACGCCGGCGAGAGTGGCGCTGGGTGTGACTACGGTATTGACGATGACTACTTTGATGACCATGACTAATGTTAGTTTTTTTTGGGGGGCTTTGGGAACAGAGAGCTTCAGAAGGCTCCAGAAGGCTCCAGAGGGCTTCAGAAGGCTTCAGAAGGCTCTAGAAGGCTTCAGAAGGGTCCAGAAGGCTTCAGAGAGCTCCAGAGAGCTCCAGAGAGCTCCAGAAGGCTCCAAAAGGCTTTAGAGAGCTCCAGAAGACTCTAGACGGCTCCAGAGAGCTCCAAAAGGCTTCAGAGAGCTCTAGAAGGCTTTAGAGAGCTCCAGAGAGCTCCAGAAGGCTTTAGAAGGCTTCAGAGAGCTCTAGAAGGCTTCAGAGAGCTTCAGAAGGCTTTAGAGAGCTCCAGAAGGCTCCAGAAGGCTCAGAAGGCTTTAGGGAGCCTCAGAAGGCTCCACAGAGCTCCAGAAGGCTCCAGAAGGCTCCAGAAGGCTCCAGAGAGCTCCAGAAGGCTCTAGAAGGCTTCAGAGAGCTCCAGAAGACTTCAGAAGGCTCCAGAAGGCTTCAGAAGGCTTCAGAAGGCTCCAGAAGGCTTCAGAAGGCTTCAGAGAGCTCCAGAAGGCTCTAGAAGGCTCCAGAAGGCTCCGGAAGGCTTCAGAAGGCTTTAGAGAGCTCCAAAAGGCTCCAGAAGGCTTCTAAGGGTCCGCTAAAGGTCCTCAAATCTAATTTTTTTCCAGAGCTCCATGCCAAAAGTGTCGTATGTGAAAAGTATCGATATATTTTTGGGTGAGTCTGTTTTTTTTCTACAAAAAAAAATTTGCGTCAACCTAAATTTGATTGGCGCATTTTTTGTAGTTTTTTAGAAGCTACAGAAAATGTGCCAATAAAACATGAAATCTGTAGCCTACAAAATACGCGTCAGCATCGAGTGTATATATTTTTGCACCAAGATTGCGTCAATCTAGAATTTTCTTGACGCAAATTTTGTAGCTAACTTGAATTGAATTGTGTCAATCAAGATCAAGCTGACCTAAAAAAATTTTCCCTACAAAAAATGCGTCAGCACGATATTCCTTGACGCATTTTCTGTAGCTGTTTCCCACGCTTACACAATCTGCGTCAATCTAGAGTCCGCCTACAAAATTGGCGTCAGCACAATAATTTGCTGACGCATTTCCGGGATGATCTTTGATTTTCTGACACATTTGATTGCAACACTTTTCTCACATCCAACAATTCATCATTTATTTGTCGCCCTGGCAAATTGCCGTGTATCTTTTCTTCCAATTTTTTATCATCCCGCTCAACAACTCTTTTTTTTGTGTAATAAACATTATATAATACTAATTGGAGTGAGAGAAAAATGAGTGGGAGACGAAAAATTCGGGGATTTTTGGAGCAAAACTGGAAAATTTCGGGTCAAGGTGATCTAGATTGACGCATTTTCAAAAGCCTGCAAAATTTGCGTCAAGGAGATCTAGGTTGACACATGTTTTGTAGGCTGGGAAGTTTTGGGTCATGGAAATCTAGATTGACGCATATTTTGTAGGCTGAGAAGTTGACACAATTTTTGTGAGTTACAGAATCATTGCTCATATTAAATCTAAACATGAGCAATGCATTTATTTTTGAAAACTAAAAAAATGGGGGTTTTTCTAGGCGTCAAACAGAATTTTATAACATGAGCAATGCTCCTTCAGAAAAAGCGCTAGCAAAGTTATAGATTGACGCAATTTTTGTAAGGGTCAAATCATTGCTCATATTAGAAATTTGAAAATCTAAACATGAGCAATGAATTATTTTTCGAAAACAAAAAAAATAGGGATTTTTCTAGACGTCACTCATTGCTCATATCAGAATTTTATAACATGAGCAATGCTCCTTCAGAAAAAGCGCTAGCAAAATTATGGATTGACGCAATTTTTGTAAGCGTCAAATCATTGCTCATATTAGAAATTCAAAAATCCAAACATGAGCAATGCATTATTTTCGAAAATAAAAAAAAATGGGGGTTTTTAGGCGTCAAATCATTGCTCATGTTAGAATTGTATAACATGAGCAATGCTCCTTTAAAAAACTTTTCAGAAAGCAAAATTATAGATTGACGCAATTTTTGTGAGCAGCTACAGAATCATTGCTCATATTAAATCTAAACATGAGCAATGCATTTTTTTTTTCGAAAATATCAGAATTTTCTAACATGAGCAATGCTCCTTTCAAAAAAAATTTCAGAAAGCAAAATTATAGATTGACGCACAATTTTTGTAGACCAGAAATTTCTAACATGAGCAATGAAGATTTTCAATTTTCAGATAGAATTTCTGAGATTCTTAAAATTTATGTTTAACCTCATTTTGTGTAGAATTTCAGAAGCTTTCAGAAATTTCTAACATGAGCAATGCTCCTTTAAAAAATTATTTTTTAGGCTTCAGAAAAAGCGCTAACAAAATTATAAATTGACGCAATTTTTGTAGACCAGAAATTTCTAACATGAGCAATCCTTCAAAAATCCCAAATCTAATTTCTTCCAGGCGTCTGTTTCATGATGGTCTTCTGCTCGCTTCTCGAATACGCTGCAGTCGGCTACATTTCAAAACGTCTGAAATTGGTGCGAGCGCGACGCGAAGCCGACATGCGCACACCGTCGCCGCGACGCGACACGCTCGCGGCAGATTTGCCGCCGCCGCCAAAACGCGCCATTTCCGTGCCCGCCTATTTCAACAATCAAACGTATCGACCGTTTTATTCGTCGACAGACAGAACTAGCAATTTGTATATTCCGGAAGCGCAGAGGACCAGTATTTTTGTGGTGAGTACTATGGGGTACTGTAGATGTTTGCCACGTGGCAAGTAGAGTACTGTAATTTAGATTAGTCTTTTTGTTATGTAGAGATTTGGAAAAACAAATAATTTAGTTTAATTTTTGCCACGTGAGATTACTGTAGCTCGAAAAAATCCACAACATTTTCAAAACATTTTTTGTAGATCAAAATTCTTTCTAGGTTACTGTAGATTTTTGTAAGATTCCACGTGGCACTGTTTTTTTTTCCTTCCAAAAAAAAATTACAAGTTTCTGGAACCTGTATGTAGATCAAGAAAAAATTATTGCCACGTGGCATTTTTTTCCCCGAAAAGATTTTTGTAGATCAAAATTCTAGGTTACTGTAGAGTTTTGAGAATCCATGTGGCAAAACTACTGTAGGTCGATTTTTGCTACGTCAATTCACGTGGCCCCGTAAAATTTTTGTAGATCAAATTTTGTTGATTACACTTGGAACCTAAGATTACTGTAGGTAGATCAAAAAAAAATATGTTGCCACGTGGTATTTCAGAGTACTGTACCTTCCAGGAAGATCGCCCAATCACACCCAACGAGCTCACACCAATGCTCCACAATCGCTCCGCCTCTCAAAATTCAATTCTGATCTACACCGCCGCCGCTCCTCTACCGTACCTCCACGATGACGTCATCCTGGGACCACGTTGGCGATGGGCCCGACCATCGAATATCGACAAATACTCGAGGAGTATTTTTCCTACTGTAGGCCGGCCGCTTTTTTTTTGGCGCCAAAATGTACAGTAATCCTGTTTTTGTAGATCTTCATTCTGTTCAACTTGGGATATTGGATCTATTTTCTACAAGTTAGCCGAATTCAACAAGCCGAGAAGACAAAACATCCGATTTTATAATTTTTTTTTCATGTTTTTTGTGTTATTTTATTCTATTCTCACCACATTGCTCATGTTAGTTTTTGAATTTTTTTTTGCGCGCGCAAAAAAAAATTCAAAATTTGTAGATCAAATTTCGGCGCGCTACAGTAATCTGGGATTTCAAAATTTCTAGTCCCAGCTGAAAATTTAAAAAAATTACAGATTGTTCCTTTAAGCCTCCAAAAGTACAGTAACCTAGCCTCCAAAAATACAGTAACCTAGCCTCCAAAAATACAGTAACCTAGCCTCCAAAACTACAGTAACCTAGCCTCCAAAAATACAGTAACCTAGCCTCCTAAAATACAGTAACCTAGCCTCCAAAAATACAGTAACCTAGCCTCCAAAAATACAGTAACCTAGCCTCCAAAAATACAGTAACCTAGCCGAGAAAATTACAGTAACCTAGCCAAAAAAGATTTTTTGTAGATCATAATTTACAGTAACCTGGCCTTAGCTTAGGGTTTTCCTCACGGCATTTCAGAAGGTTTTTTCTCTGCGTCTCTCTCTCTCTCTCTCTCTCTCTCTCTCTCTCTCTCTCTCTCTCTCTCTCTCTCTCTCTCTCTCTCTCTCTCTCTCTCTCTCTGCGTCTCTCTCTCTCTCTCTCTCTCTCTCTCTCTCTCTCTCGATTCACCCTGTAAAATGCCGTGGCCTACAAGTTATCATTTTTAAATTTAAGCCCAGCCGAATTTTTGTGATCCAGGATTCTGAAAATCTTCTGAAAATCTAGTTTTTGAGAAAAAAGTTCTGAAAACCTGAAAATTAGACATTTGACATTCTGAAAAAGTCTGAATATTTTGGGATTTTGAAAATTAGGGTTTTCCGAGCGGTAGCGAGTGTAAACCGGAAGCTTCCGCGCAGCGGCACTGTCTTCCGCTTTAGCGGCCAGGTTCTGAATATTAGTTGGCCTGAGGAATTTATTAGAACTTAGCCTAACTTGACCGGACAGAATTCTGAAAATCTTTTGTGAATTCATATCAAATTTCAGAGAGTTAGCCTAACTTGAGTCAAAAATTTTTTTCCGAGCGGTAGCGAGTGTAAACCGGAAGCTTCCGCGCAGCGGCACTATCTTCCGCTTTAGCGGCCAGGTTCTGAATATTAGTTGGCCTGATTTTCTAGATTTAGGAGTTAGCCTAAAATTTTTGTGATCCAGGATTCTGAAACCCCTCTCATTTTCCAGACGGCTATCAAACAGCAGACATCGATTATTATTGGGGTAAGACGAAATTCGACGATCAGAACAAAGCGGTGGCATTCGACGCAATTCAACTTCCCCAATTCGCTCCCTCAATGTATCTAGTGAATGTGACAAATATTGCGACATCTTCTGGCAGATATGTTCGATTGGCTTTGCATGTGGTGCTCGTCAGGAATATGGGTTTTTATACGATGAATATTGTGATTCCGTCGATTTTGATTGTCACTATTTCATGGGTGAGTTTGGAATAAGGGTGGAAATGCGGTCAAAATGAGACCAAACACGGTGTAGATCAAATTTAGATGCCAAAATTTGATCTACACCATGTTTGGTGTCATTCTGACCCAAATCTCACGGCCAATCCCATTCCAGGTATCATTTTGGCTGAATCGCGAAGCCTCTCCAGCTCGTGTTGGTCTTGGTGTCACGACTGTGCTCACAATGACCACTCTTATCACCACCACAAATAATTCGATGCCGAAAGTGTCGTATGTGAAAGGATTGGATGTTTTTTTGAATTTTTGGTGAGTTGGGGTACTGTAGGTGTATTTTGGTTGGATTTTGTAGATCTACAGTAGTCCTAGATGTTTAGAAAAACCAAATCTATGTGAGATTACCGTAGATTCAGGTGGATTTTGTAGATCAAAATTTGGCACTTAACATCTACAGTAATCCTATTCAATCTAGGTGTCAAAAATTCCAAAATTTCCCCAAAACCAGGATGAGGATTACTGTAGATTTTAGTGCCAAATTTTCGGAATTTTGTAGATCATTTTTTTAAATATGAATTCTACAGTAATCCTAATCATATTTGATGTCTAGAAATTCCAAATTTAGAAGCTAAAATCATATATGATTACTGTAGATTCAGTTGGAATTTTTTTGGATTCTGTAGATCAAAATTTGCCACTTAACATCTACAGTAATCCTCAATCAATTAATTGTTCCTACAGTAATCCTAATCATATTTGATGTCTAGAAATTCCAAATTTAGAAGCTAAAATTATGTAGGATTACTGTAGATTCAGTTGGAATTTTTTGGATTTTGTAGATCACTTTTTTTAATAAGAAATCTACAGTATCCTAGTCATATTTGCTATCAAAAAACGTGAAATTTTAATCTCAAAATCATGTAGGATTACTGTAGATTCAGTTGGAATTTTTTTTTGGATTTTGTAGATCAATTAATTTTCTACAGTATCCTAATCATATTTGCTATCAAAAAACGTGGAATTTTTATCTCAAAATCATCTAGGATTACTGTAGATTCAGTTGGATTTTTTTTGGATTTTGTAGATCATTTTTTTAAATATGAATTCTACAGTATCCTATTCAATCTAGGTGTCAAAAATTCTAAATTCAAGCTTTAAAATCATTCAGGATTACTGTAGATTTTAGTGCCAAATTTTCGGAATTTTGTAGATCACGAGAAATCTACAGTAATCCTGATCATATTTGGTGTCAAAAAACGTGGAATTTTCTGTAGATCACCAATTTTTCCAGTTTCGTGATGGTTTTCGCGTCGCTCCTCGAATACGCCATCGTTTCCTACATGAATAAGCGACTGGTTTTGAGACGCGAGAAACGTCGCAAAGCCGCCGAACAACAACAACGCAACGAGGTTCCGATGTTCCACGCGAGTCCCAAATCGGGCGGCCCCAATAATAATGTGAGTCTCTTTGTTTTTTGGGTGACCATTGCTCATTTTAGTCCTACGAGATGACATTGATGTCACAAAATTCGACACCGGCTAAAACTTATGTGCAGGTAGATCACACAAAAAAAAATTTGAAAATGTTGTAATTGCGGTGCTTCGTAGTTTGTGTTATTTGATGAGTAGCTAGCAAAAAAAAAGCCACGTGGCAAAATGATAAAAAAATGATACTGTAGAAAGATTTTTGATCTACATCCACGTGGCACAAAGAAAACTGTAGATCAAAATTTTGAAAAAAATCCACATGGCAAAATTTACCTTTCAAAAAATCTAGAAACATCCTCGAGCTACAGTACTCCAGAAATCCACGTGTCAAAAAAAAAATTACTGTAGATCAAATGTTCCACGGAAAATGGCCAATATACTGTACTTTTGATCTACAGTACCCCAAATCCACGTGGCACAAAGAATACTGTAGATCAAAATCCACGTGCCAAAATTTATCTTTTTAAAAAATTGTGGATCAAAATTTATTTCAAAAAATTTGAGCTACAGTACTCCAGAAATTCCACGTGTCAAAAAGATTACGGTAGCTCAAATTTCCCACTGAAAATGGCCAATATACTGTACTTTTGATCTACAGTACCCCAAATCCACGTGGCACAAAAAATTACGGTAGCTCAAAATTTTGAAAAAAAAATCCACGTGGCAAAATTTATCTTTTTAAAAATTGTAGATCAAAACTTATTTTCAAAAAATCTGTACTACAGTACTCCAGAAATGCCACGTGGCACAAAAAAATTACGGTAGATCAAATTTTCCTTTGAAAATGACCAATATACTGTACTTTTGATCTACAGTACTACAAACCCACGTGGCACAAAAAATACTGTAGATCATAATTTTGAAAAAAAATTCCACGTGGCAAAATTTATCCTTTGAAAAATTGTAGATCAAAATTTATTTCAAAAAATTTGAACTACAGTACTCCAGAAATGCCACGTGTCAAGAAAATTACTGTCTACAGTATCCCCAAGAATATTCCACGTGGCACTAAAACCTCCCAGACTACTGTAGATCACAAATTCCAAAAAATGAAGATACTGTAGATCAAGTTCAGCTTCTCTTTTCTACAGTACCCATCTAAATTTTTCGCGCCCAAAAATCCAAAACTGTAGCAGAATTTCCTGAGTTGTTGTACTATTTTCAGTGTTTCGAACCAGCTTCCTCCTATTTTCAGCCCCAAAAATCCTCCAATTCATTCCAGGCTGATCTCTACTTTGCCGGCCACAATTCCTCCATGAATCCGCTGATGGAAATTCCCGAAAATTGCGATTGTCGCACAATTCCCATGATGCAACACCCGCGATTGGTGACAACTGACGGTGCAGGACACAACACACTGTGGCCTGCCCCGTTTGCCAAACCCAAAAAAGCCTCCAAAACGTGTTGTCAACGATGGACGCCGGCGAAAATCGACAAATTGAGCAGATATTGTTTTCCGTTGGCGTTTTCGGTTTTTAATAGTGCGTTCTGGGCGGGCAAATACAGTAACCTAGCCTCCAAAAAATACAGTAACCTGGCCTCCAAAAATACAGTAACCTATGGATCAATTCATCTGAAGAAAAAATGAATTTCGCGACATTTTTTGTCGCGAAATTGCAATTCGTGAAACGACACGAAATAGACACAAAAATAAAGGAGAAATATTGAAGGGACACGTAATCCCTGCGAGACCCAACACACGAAAAAAGAATTTCCTCTTTTATTTCAATAATTTCGTGTCGTTTCGCGAATTGCAATTTCGCGACAAAAAATGTCGCGAAATTCATTTTTTCTTCAGATGAATTGATCCACTAGCCTCCAAAAATACAGTAAGCTAGCCTTCAAAAATACAGTAACCTAGCCAAAAAAGATTTTTTGTAGATCATAATTTACAGAGTAACCTGGCCTTAGCTTTGGGTTTTCCTCACGGCATTTCAGAAATTTTTTTCTCTGCGTCTCTCTCTCTCTCTCTCTCTCTCTCTCTCTCTCTCTCTCTCTCTCTCTTTTGTGATCCAGGATTCTGCAAAATCTTCTGAAAATCTAGAAAAAAGTTCTGAAAACCTGAAAATTGGACATTTGAGATTCTGAAAAAGTCTGAATATTTTGGGATTTTGAAAATTAGGGTTTTCCGAGCGGTAGCGAGTGTAAACCGCAAGCTTCCGCGCAGCGGCACTGTCTTCCGCTTCAGCGGCCAGGTTCTGAATATTAGTTGGCCCTGATTTTCTAGATTTAGGAATTTATTAGAAATTAGCCTAAAATTTTTGTGATACAGGATTCTGAAAATCTTCTGAAAATCTAGTTTTTCAGAGATCTTCCGGCCAGGTTCTGCCAACTTCCTAAATATTAGTTGACCTAATTTTCTAGATTTAGGAATTTATTAGAACTTAGCCTAACTTGACCGAACAGAATTCTGAAAATCTTTTGTGAATTCAGATCAAATTTCAGAGAGTTAGCCTAACTTGAGGTCAAGTTTCGAGCGGTAGCGAGTGTAAACCGGAAGCTTCCGCGCAGCGGCACTATCTTCCGCTTTAGCGGCCACGCCTTCACCTGGGCATGATTTTGAGCCTAAAATTTCATCTCATTCTGATTTCCAGCGGTCCAGCTTCCGAGTAACTCGGAAGCTGGAGCGGAAGCTGGAACCTCTAACTTCCCAGAATCTAGAAGTTAGCCTAACTTCAACCTATTATTTTTTTTCTTGCAGTTGTATATTGGATCTCGATGAAATACCTCAGTCTTCACGCGGCCGATGATCTCGACAATCGTGAACGTTGGCAAATCATCCAAAAATAATTAATTAATTAATTTTTTGTGCACCACAATTTTCGCTCCCCCTCCCTCACAAATCTTTCACTTTCCTCCTTTCCTTTCCTTTCCTAAACTACACTATAGTTTCTTCTGTCCAAAAATCAATCGATAATTTCTCATTTTTCCGTCCAGCACGCCTCGAAACTTTTTTCCAGAGACACCCGATTTCAGCTAACTCTTTTTTGGCATGGTGTGCAGTGTGTGATATATCACTTCTTCTTCTTCTTCTTCATTTTTTGCATGTGTACATATTTTTTTTTGGAGCTACAGTACTCCTGGAGTACTGTAGCTGATCTAGGAACTTTTTTGTCACTGTCATGGGTATTTTTTTAAAATGTATTTTTTTTTGTTTTTTTTTGCAGAAAAAATTCAAATCATGAAATTGTTTTGAAAATTATCGATTTTTTCAAGCTAGGAGGGTTTTTGGAGAATGCTACAGTAATCTTAGGGCTGAAAACCCTACAGTAATCCTGGTAGATCAGGGATTACTGTAGAGCACATTTGATTTTTGTAGATCAGCAAAAAAACCTATAGTAATCCTGGTAGATCAGGGATTACTGTAGGTCAATTTTCCCGCCGAAATTTCACATTTTTGAGGAAAAATTCTACAGTAACCCTGGTGGATTACTGTAGGTTAACTATCAGAAAAAACATCTACAGTAACCGAGATGAGATTTGGATTTCTGTAGATCACATTTTCGGCCCGAAAACCAATTTGATCTACAGTAACCGCTGAATTACTGTAGGTCAATTTTCACGCTTTTGAAGAAAAATTCTACAGTAACCCTGGTGGATTACTGTAGATCAATTTCCAGAACAAATTTCTGTAGATCACATTTTTGGCCCCGGAAACCAATTTGATCTACAGTAACCTCTCTCAAATTACTGTAGATCAATTTTTGGCGCCAAAAAGTCCTCCAAATACCCTCCAAAATTTGAGGTCAAATATTTTTTTTATATTTTTTTTGTATTTTTTATGTACCGATTTTTTTATTGCTCACCCCAAAAAAAAAAAAAAAAAAAAAAAAAAAAAAAAAAAAAAAAATTCAGATGGTCACTCGATGAACGACGTGGAATACAATTGGTGCGGCCTATCGCGGCGGCCGAATTGCACAGATTCGGTCCGGGCCGATTCGGTCGAGTTGGCCAGCTACAAGTTTGTCGAGATTTGTAAGAGGCGCACGGTGGCCGTGACGTCATCAGGTGAGTTTTGGGCTTAGAATGTTCCTTAGGCTTAGGATGTTCCTTAGGCTTAGGATGTTTCTTAAGCTTAGGATGTTCCTTAGGCTTAGGATGTTCCTTAGGCTTAGGATGTTTCTTAAGCTTAGGATGTTCCTTAGGCTTAGGATGTTCCTTAGGCTTAGGATGTTCCCTTTAGGCTTAGGCTTAGGCTAATGTTTCAGGTTAGGCTTAGAATGTTCCTTAGGCTTGGGGTGTTTCTTAGGCTTAGGATGTTCCTTAGGCTTAGGATGTTCCTTAGGCTTAGGATGTTTCTTAGGCTTAGATTGTTCCTTAGGCTTAGAATGTTCCTTAGGCTTGGGGTGTTTCTTAGGCTTAGGATGTTCCTTAGGCTTAGGATGTTCTTTAGGCTTAGGAAGTTCCTTAGGCTTAGCATGTTCCTTAGGCTTAGGATGTTCCTTAGGCTTAGGATGTTCCTTAGGCTTAGGATGTTCCTTAGGCTTAGGATGTTCCTTAGGCTTAGAATGTTCCTTAGGCTTATGATGTTTCTTAGGCTTAGGATGTTCCTTAGGCTTAGGATGTTCCTTAGGCTTAGAATGTTCCTTAGGCTTAGGATGTTCCTTAGGCTTAGGATGTTCCTTAGGCTTAGGATGTTCCTTAGGCTTAGGATGTTCCTTGGGCTTAGAATGTTCCTTAGGCTTAGGCTTAAGCTAGGCTTTAGGCTTAGGCTTAAGCTAGAACCCTAAGCCTGAATCCAAAGCCTAACTCATCTGAAGCCCCCTATAATTCCACGTGGCAAATCCAAACAATTTTTTTCAGGCTCATATTCGAGATTGGCTGTGATTTTTGTACTGGATCGACAATGCGGCTTCTATTTTCTGCAAATTTTCTTCCCGGCTAGTTTGGTCGTGGTTTTGTCGTGGGTGAGTGAGCTCAAGCGGAGCAGGGATAAGCTGCTCAAACTTCCCCACAATTTCCAGATCTCATTCTGGATCTCCCGCGACTCTGCGCCCTCTCGAACGCTCATCGGAACAATGACAATCCTCACCGAAACCCATCTAATGACCGGCACAAATCGTCGTCTTCCCCCAGTTGGTTATGTCAAAGCCGTCGATATTTTTCTAGGATTCTGCTATCTTTCAGTGGTTTTGGCTCTGATTGAATATGCGTGTGTTGCATATTCGAAGAAGAAAAATGAGGATCGAAGGAGGAAGGAGAAGAAGACGGAGCACAAGCCAGCTCCACCTACACCTGATATTCTGCACGATGTGAGATTGGCTGAATGTACGTGTAATGCGGCGCCAACTTCGATTATTGCAGTGATCAAGCAGCCGAATTCGTTTTGTGTTAGACATAGTCATGTGGATATTTTTAGTCGGATTATGTTTCCGGTTGTGGTGAGTGCTTATCAAAAAAAAAAAAAAAATTTTAAATTGGTGTGTGCAAACACTACGACGCACTATTGCGTACATGAAGCTTCGTGGGTGGTCTATCGCTTGAGCAGCCAAGTTACCCTAACTGTGTAGACCGCAAGCTTCCGCGTCAGCGGCCACGTCATAGCAATCCGCGTGGCCGCTGACGCGGAAGCTTGCGGTCTACACTCGCTCCGCTCGAATCCATTTTTCATTTTATTTTCAAAAAAATATATATAAATTGGTGTGTGCAAACACTACGACGCACCTTTGCGTACACAATAGCTTCGTGGGTGGTCTTGGTCAACCAGAATAGCTGTCTATCGCTTGAGCAGCCAAGTTACCCTAACTAGGAGTCGAGCGAAGCGAGTGTAGACCGCAAGCTTCCGCGTCAGCGGCCACGCGGATTGCTATGACGTGGCCGCTGACGCGGAAGCTTGCGGTCTACACTCGCTCCTCTCGAATCCATTTCTCATTTTCCAGTTCACCCTATTCAACATAATTTATTGGACAACTTTGCTTTACCAAGCCCGTCGTCTACCGTATATCAGTGAACACGAAGAAATTCGATGCTGAATTTTCCAAAAACCCTGAAATCCTTGCTCAACTCCCTGATTTATCTACCTGTTTAATTTTATTTAATTTTTGAAAATAAATGTTTTTTCATTTAAAAAAAATAATTATGGAAGAGAAAACCAAAGCGGGTTTCTAGGCCAATACAAAAAATTAATCTCAATTTTCCAAAACATGTGGTGGTGCAATAGTTCCTTTGGGCTCCCATTCAAGATTTTGAACATTTTCAGAATTCGGAAAGAGACTGCAGTTGACGAAAATATTAAAGCAGAAGCAGAGAAGAGCAAGAAGGAAAAGCTGAAATTTTCTAGATCAAATTTTGTGATTTGGAACTAGGAACTCACCAAAACCTTCATTTTCAGCCAGGAAAAAATTTCAGACTGAAAATATTTGAGGAAGAAACAGTTGTTGAAAGGTCATATGACTCTGCAAAAATTTGTGTAAAATTTTTTTTTGGAAAGCGAAAAGAAAATTAAAAACGTGACCCAATTTTTTTTGCGCTGACGTGTTCCAAATTCAAATTCAATCTTCCCCCAAATCTCTCCGGTATTTTCTAATTCTTAAAATAGTAATAACTTGTATTCCAATAATTTTTAATATTATTTCTGGAATTCTCATATTTTCATTTATTTATATCGATGCACATGTTATGATTGGACTAATATTCAGTTGGATTTTCAAAAATCAGTTCTGAAATTTTCAGATAGAAAATTTGATCTTGATTTCTTGACATAATAAAGGGTTTTTGTAGAGTTTGTTTTGCATTGCAGTTTGGAAAAACAAAACTTTTATTGAGTTTTCAAAATTTGAAAATTAACATTCATCTGAATCATCTAAATTTCACGACATCAGAAAATTGTTTTTCGCATATTTGAGCTTTAGTGTTCACAGGTTCAAAATAATAGAATTTAAAAAATTAGTTTTGAAGATTATTACTATTTTATTGAATGAACACAGACAAGATGTAAAAATCAAGATGTCGAATTAGTCAAATTATCTCTTTGTTACAAAAAATTAGAACAATTATTTTTTATTCAATTAAAAATATAAAAACGTGATCCAATTTTTTTGTTGTGACGTGTTCCAAATTCCATTTCAGTCTTCCCCCAAATCTCTTCGGTATTTTCCAATAAATTCGATAATGAAAGTGAGAAACAGTTTTTTGCTTAAAATAGCAATAACTTGTATTCCAATCATTTGTAATATTATTTCTGGAATTCTCATATTTTCATTCATTATTATCGATGCACAAAATAATATTGATGAAAATGTTATGAGAACATTAGTGAATAAGAGTCTAACTGCCGAAGAAAAACTCAATAAATCGATTAGGACAATGCAATATGGAAAGAATTTACGCAACCATGTTGCAGAAATAAAGTTCAGCAGATTCGCGGATAGTTGTTTGAGTTATAATATGGTGTCTTCTCATGAGGTAACAATTTGAGTTTTTGTATTTGTAAAACTAGATTGATAAAAATTTGAAACATGTAATTCCAGTTTGCATTGACGTGTCCTCCAAAGAAAAAACAATTTTGTGAGTGGTTGGTGGAAAATCAAAAACAATGTTTTGTAATTGCAAACGAAGAGGAAACCAAAACAGTTTGTGAGGATATTGAAGCAATTTATCCTATTATCATAGCTCAAGTAGCATTCATAAAGGCTGAATGTGATTCTATTGAAGCTTTTTGGAAATCTACTATCAACAAAAAAATGGAAAGCGAAATGATTTCGTACGAAAAAACTCAAGCGTATCATGATAGTTTATTGGTAAGAACATCAATCATAATGATGTAGGTTCATGTTTCAGATGTTTAATGAAAAAATAATAATTCCAATGAGAAACACGTTGGCACAAATACCCACAACACTTCAAAACAACCACATTCAAACAGTAAACACAATTGATTCATGGAGATTATCGATTAGTGTAAATTATGGAATCATTATCACAATTTCGATTATCTTCAGTGTTTCTGAAATTTGCTATTTGTTGTTTGTTTTGAAAAAGAAGAAATGACGCACACTCGTTGCTTTTTATGAATTTGATAACATTAGCAATTATATGTGATTTGATAATGTTTGTTATTCTTGTTGTCTTTGGGATCGTGCACGCTTTAGGAATTTATCCCAGCTGTGACTCAATATCTATGCCAAATTTGCCGGATTTCATTTTCAAACAAATTGAAGGAACAAGTTTTAAGTTAGTAAGCTTATTTCGAACAAAAGTGTATATTTAGAATTTTCCAAAAACAGGAACAAGTTTTTTTAGTGTTGAAAATCACATGTTTTTCCTATCCACTTTTTACAGAGTCCATCTCGCACAATGTTCTTCTTCCAAGACATTTTACGATTCATATCAAGTGTTCCTAAATTCCACGGAAATGCTTGATGGGTATGAGATGTACAAAAAAGAAGTTGAAACATACATTAAAAGTGTTATCAAATTGAGTCCACACATTAATTGGGAAATAAAAAATAACAGGACGAAAAGTTTCAGAAAAGTTATTGGAAGATTACTGGAAAGTCCACGGTATAAATGTATGCCACAAGTGAATCCAGATTTTTATTCCTTTATCGTGGACCTTGATACACATTTGGGAACAAATCTTGACTCCAATGATTTGAAACTTCTGGAGAAAAGAATTGTAGAACTCGCAATAAGTTATATTAGGAACATTATTATCAACATGCAAGTAAACTTCGACCGGATAAATGAAAGGCTAACAGATTCCGATTTCGACTGCGAATATTTGCAAATATCCGAATACCAAAATCTCAATTCTCAAATTTGTGATCGTTTTTCGAATTACAAATCATTCATTAGTCCATTTGCATATTGTCTTATGATTATTTGCTGTGTTTCAATTTTTGCGGCTCATTTTGCTAATTCAAAAATCTTGGAAAAAGAGGAGAAACATCGACAAATTGAGATTGCGGAGAAGAAAAAGGTGAGTCCGAGAGAAATACACGAAAATGCAACGGCATTGCGGAGTATCGTTGTTTTACTTTTATTCTTATAGCTAGAGCAAGGGAAGAAAGGCGGCGAGGAAGATAAGTGAAGATTGGCAGTGGAGCGTAATTGTATTTTTTACTTGGAATGATTTGAATAAAGCTTTGAAGAATCATATGGGTGTTACTCATTACAGAAATTAAGGTTTTTAATATAATTATTCGTCTTCTTCTTCTTCCTCTTCAGCTTCATTCACAGTACCATCTACATAATATTCGTCCTCAACATAAACAGCTCTCAACTTTTGCTCTCCCTCATCATCAAAATCAAAAATCATTTTAACATTTTTCACAACAATCTCCACATCTGTCGCACCATTCGGGCTAGCAAACACCAATTTGAATCGTTTTGTGTTTTCCATGAGAAAATCGATAGCTTCTTCATCTTTGAGTTCGCTACCACCCTTGTGAACTATGAAAAATGGATCGAGAAGTGATTTCATCTCATCGCGAAGTCCAAGTTTGGCAGCGTGTCGGAAAGCAAATAATCTTTCTCTTCCTATTTTTCGGTCTTTTGGGTCCATTGTTCTGGTTTCAGAACCTTGAGATCCAAAGACTGTGAAGATTGTGAGGAAAATTAGAAAGATTGAAAATTTCGAAAACATTTTTTGTTTGATTTTGAGAATATTGATGTTCATCGGGTCTTTTTAAAGAAAATTTTCCGGCGTGGGAAGTAATGAAGTCTGGGAATCAGACATGATTTTCTGAACAGAAACATTGGAAGGAATGAATTTTCTGACGTGACAAAAAATTGTGAAAATTGTTTATTTATCCCAATATCAAAAAATCAAAAATTATGTGCACAAGCTGCAAGTTTTAGCGCAAAATTGTTTTCGTTGAGTATCAGTATAAAATGAATTAGTACAATAACCTCTTGCTGCCCAAGATGAACAATATTTAATATTATCAACACATGCTGTTGTTGTAGTTGAATCAGTTGTTGAATCTGTTGTTGGACATAAATTACAAGTATTTGCACAATATTGAGTTTTCAATGCTTTCGAATAAAATGGATTTGTACAAAAACCATTTGATGCCCAATATCCACATGTTGCTTGATTATCTTGACAATCTGTTGTTGCTGAACCAGATGCTGTTGATGTTGTACCACAATAACCACAACTTTGCGCACAATTTGCCTTTTTTTGAGAATATGAATAGTTTGGAGATTTACAAAAACCATTTGCTACCCAATTTGCACAACTGAACATTTATTTGTATTTATTATTCTAATTAGTTAGAGGAACTTACTTGGAAGATGCATCACTACAAGATTCAGAAAGAACAATTAGAGATGAGATGATTGCTAGACTTCTGAACATTTTCAAATATGTTGTAACTATCTCTAAAAACGTGTTCATTTTTATACCAATTTCAGGAAGTTTACTCAGCTTTCATGTCAACTTCGAAACAAAGAAAAATTCAATCATTGCTCTCAAACTTGAAAATTCATATCATAAAGTTTCAACATGCGCAAACAAGTTCACAGCTGTGTAAACTTCCTGAAATTGGTATAAAAATGAACACGTTTCTAGATAGTTATAACAAATTTGAAAATGTTCAGAAGTCTAGCAATCATCTCTTCTCTTATTGTTCTTTCTGAATCTTGTAGTGATGCATCTTCCAAGTAAGTTCCTCTAACTAATTAGAATAATAAATACAAATAAATGTTCAGTTGTGCAAATTGGGTAGCAAATGGTTTTTGTAAATCTCCAAACTATTCATATTCTCAAAAAAAGGCAAATTGTGCGCAAAGTTGTGGTTATTGTGGTACAACATCAACAGCATCTGGTTCAGCAACAACAGATTGTCAAGATAATCAAGCAACATGTGGATATTGGGCATCAAATGGTTTTTGTACAAATCCATTTTATTCGAAAGCATTGAAAACTCAATATTGTGCAAATACTTGTAATTTATGTCCAACAACAGATTCAACAACTGATTCAACTACAACAACAGCATGTGTTGATAATATTAAATATTGTTCATCTTGGGCAGCAAGAGGTTATTGTACTAATTCATTTTATACTGATACTCAACGAAAACAATTTTGCGCTAAAACTTGCAGCTTGTGCACATAATTATTGATTATTTTGGGATTAATAAACAATTTTCACGAATTAAAATCCCCACTATTCGTCACGTCATAGTAATCAGCTAGCGCCGCCGCTCTAGGAACTCACCAAAATCTTCATTTTCAGCCAAGAAAAAATAAAAAAGGAAAATCACACACGTTTGAAAAAAAAGAAAGTTGTGCAATTTTCATAACGCAGCCGACAAAAACGGTGCAACGTCTAGCAGTTTAATTACACCCAATTCATCAAAAACAAAAAACATAGCGAAAATTAGCGTATCGAGATCTGTGCGAATGACTTTATTTGGAATTTTTAGGGGTCCTGGGAAGAAAGTTAGCCTCCGCTGCGAGACCAATTCAAATTAAAAACACACGCGCCTTTGAAACCGTACCTCTTTTTTTCACAAGAAAAAAATAAAGAGTGTGGCAAACGAAGAGAGTGCGAGAGATGTGTGAGAACAAAATGTGTGCAAACACCTGTCCGCAAACACCGTTGTCGCCGCTTATCATGACTTCATTGCATGGGAAAAACGTGTGTGAAAACACAGTGAAAAATATTTAAAATCTGTCGGTGGTCGAAAATGAGAGGGGGACTAAGTTTACAATCCAGTCCCCGTATTTTCGCATCCTAGTCCTTCGTAGATCTGCTTCTGAAACTCGCGCGAGCGATCGCTGAGCATTTTCGTGACTGTTGAAGGTCAAAACTAAAAACCTCTATGTTTCCGAAAATCCATTTTTCTCCCATGTCTTTTGAACTTATATGACCTATTGAGATTTGTTTGAATTAATTATTTTATAAATCGAATAAATTCATAGAAAACGTGACCCTTCTCAGAAAAATGCATCCGGATTATTTAAAATTTTCGAAAATAGATGCATTATTATTCAAAATTCATGATGAAATATGTCATCCTTATCACATTATTTTTACCAACGTGTTTTTCATATGTTAAAACTTGTGTAAGATGCGTAAACAATGAAGTCGCAAGAGGTTTTCCACCATGTCAGGCTGATACGTATTTGTCTGAATGTAGAACAACCGAAATTTGTTGTAGTAAGTTATTGTAAATAGGATGAGATAGGAATTTAAATTTGTAAAAAGTATGACTGAATAGTTTTTTTTTATTTGAAATTTTTTTCGGCTTTTAATTTTTGTTAATTACTATTTATTCTTATTCAAACTTAATTATTTTTCAGACGTTGATGAAGTAGAATGTTTCGAGGGACACAAAGCTGTTCCCAAATATGGTAAATGTAGAAGTGATCGAATTGCAACTAAAATGTTATTCCATAATCAAGAAGTTTGTTGTTGTGAGTTATTTAATTAGGAAAACGTTGTTACCTTCTTTTTTTAAATAAAACTTCAGCTCCATCTGGTGCAAAATGTTTTGGAGGATCAATAGATGCGACTATACCACCATGCAAGTCTGATCAGTATTTACGTCGAATTGAAATAAAAAACATATTTTTATCGGACAAATTGTCACTTTGTTGTCGTAAGTAGATATTTGGGGGTTTAAAAGCAAGGAATACTTTGAATTGCAGCGGTTCCTAAACCGAATTGTCCTGGAAATGTTCGTCCGACTAAACAACCATGTAAAGCAAATCAATATTTGAAACAATTTGGAGATCAAGATGATGATATATTTTGCTGTTGTAAGTTTTTTGAATTTCAGCGATTTTTAATGATCTTAAAATATTTCAGCGCTTGATGCTGTTCAAAAATGCCCGGATGGAAGTATTCCGCATTCACCGTGTAGAGGAAACGATTACGAACATATTGTAGATGGTCACAAATTTTGTTGTGGTCAGTTTTATTTTTCAAACTAAAATTCAATCTCAAATTTCTACTTACAGAGCTTTCTGGTTTCAAATGTCCGCTCAACGATATTCCAACAAATGCACCGTGTTCAACTGAACAATTTCTTTTCAAATTTGAACAGGGACCAGAATTTTGTTGTGGTAAGTATTATTAAAAAATTGGCGAATTTGAATCAGACCAGGAACATGTCCGAATCAAAAACTGCCTGAATACCTATACACTTTGTTTCATTTCAGATGATGCAAAATGTTTGAATGAAAAACATCCAACAGATCTTCCATGTGATGCGAATCAATATGAAAAAGAGTTTAGTGCTTCCCGAAAAGTTTGTTGTGAACTTGAAGAATTGAAATGTGTAGATGGAGAAAAACCAGAAAAGCAGCCATGTGCACCGGAAAGATATTTGACTAATTTAGGAGTTGCGGAAAATGAACAAGTTTGTTGCAGTAAGTCCATCTATTTTTGCCTCAAAATATTGATTTTCATAATTTCATTATGGCCTAGCAAACCAACAAATTTCTCTTGGTTTTCTCTTCCATCTGCATAAAATATTTCCTTACAGAACTTGATGGACTGAAATGTGTTGCTGGAGAATCGCCAACAAATGAGCCGTGTAATACTGATCAATATAGAACTCTTTTGGGACATGAACATCTTTGTTGTCGTAAGTTAAGATCAACCAATTAGCTGTCTAGAACTCGTTTATTTTCAGCTATGAATGATTTGAAATGTTTGGATGGAGAGATACCACAAAAACAACCATGCACTTCTGAAACATATTTGACTAATTTAGGAGCAACTGATAATGAAGATATTTGTTGTAGTAAGTTCTTTTCCAATTCCTTTTTGAAAATCTTGATAATATTTAGAACTTGATGGATTAAAATGTGTTGCTGAAGATGTTCCAACAAATGAGCCATGCAAAGATGAACAATATAAAGATCATTTGGGATTTGCTGATGTTTGTTGTGATTTTAATCAACTCAAATGTGTTAATGATAAAGTACCAACAAGAAAACCATGTGAAGATAATCAATATGTTAGAAAATTCGGGGAAAATAATGAATTCTGTTGTGGTGAGTCTAGAAGTTAGGGGTTTTTGAAAAAAAAAAACAATAATTACAGGCACGGAAAACATGAAATGCCCAGATGGAAAAGAACTTCGAACAAAACCCAAGAATAATGAAGAAATCGGAATGGAATTGATCAATGGACAAATGGTTTATTGTGGTTGGTTTGAGATGGTCGAGAAAATGTCGGGAACTCGGCCAAACGCGCTCTAATGTTTTGAAAATTGACCGAATTCTCGACATTTCTCGGCCATATATGTTTTGTCTAGTTTTTCAATTGTAAATATAATTTCAGATGCATATTTCGAATGTCCAAATGGAATTCAATCATTTCCCGATCCTCAAACTTTCTCAAATTGTGGACAAAATGATAGTAATATCAAACTTCGTCTAAATTTTGATGAATTATTCAAAAGTGCCTATTTGTGTTGTGGTAAGAGATTGAAAATGAATTCAAATTTTAAAAAAAATATTCATTTTGCAGAGGACGTGAAAAGTTGTCAAATCACACAATCTTCTTATAAATTTGTGACAAATGAAGCAAATGAATATGGATTGACAAAATCGCTTTTGGCAAATCAGGAACTTTCTGGATATATTCATCAATTTATCAAAAATGATGGAAAACAGCAATTTCTTTGTCGTAAGCTCTCTTCTCTTCTTGAAAAATCTCCCGAAACCCGTTATTTTCAGCAATTCCAATCGGAAATATTTGGCTGGAAATCTTCAAACCTGCTGAAAATCAACAAATCCCCAAAGAATATTTGCCAGTCGATTTTATTGATATGAATCAGGAGAAAAGTTTGAGACCGTGTCAGAAAAATGTTGATTGTAAAGGTCCGAATCAATTTTGTGGGGATTATACGAGTTTTGCGGAAGAAGATGGGGCAATTTTGAAATTTTGCTATCAAAGTGAGTTAGGTTTTGAATTTCAAGGGGAAAATTTATTGTGGAGTAGTTTTTGAGCCACTTTTTGTTAAAAAACTGCTAGAAAAATTCATTTCTCATGAAAAAATCTAATTTTTTCCAGATCCACAAATGCCTGACACAAATACCTTGAAATCATTCCAAATAGCTGTTGATTCACAAGATTCTGGTCTAAAATTATGTGATTCAAATTCGGATTGTTTAAAAAATGATAGAATTTGTTGGAAAACTGATGAAAAATGGAATGGAAAAAGTGGAATTTGTATTGAAAGAAAACCAATCGCATTTATTTATTCAAGAATTTTTGAAGAAAATTCAAATTTTCAAAATCATTTTTATTTTGCGGTTGAATTGGAAAATGGGTGGAAAAATCGAGATTTATTGAAGAAATGTGTGAAAAATGAGGAATGTGATATTGAAAATGGACAATTTTGTGATAATATTATTGGAGTAAATGGAGAAAAAGATTTGGAGAATAAATATTGTTTTAAAGGTGAGATCTCATCCCTTTTTAAATAAAAAATCTAGAATTTTTTAGCTCTCAAATCACCTTCACCTCTTATAAAACCAACAATAATTCCCACAATTTCTGGACTTGTTTTATGTCAAAATTGTCAATTACCATCATTTTGTCATCAACAAAAAGACATGAAATATCTCGATGAAAAATCAATTGAAATATCGGGAATTTGTTGGAATAGTCAAAATTGTGCTGATCAACAAACTGCATTATTTTTGGAACCAAAATGTCAAAATAATGAAGATTGTCGGAAACAACAAACTGATTCGAATTGTCAAAATGGACATTGTTGTCCAGAAGGTATGAGGATTTTTTTGGGAGATTTGGGGATAAATTTGGGGCTGGACAAGCTTGGAACGCTTAAAATTCTGAAATTTAGATCCCTGACAAGGGAACCTTTTTTACTCAACACTTCAAATCATGATGAAATTTTGTCCATGGACAGCTTTTGGGGTCATAAGAACACCTTAAAAATTTTAGTCTCCCAATGGACCTCTGAACCAAGTTCTGGGCTCTCAAAAGTTCAAAAAAGGCCTAAAAATGATCATTAAAGTCATCATAGCTCCATTTCAAATTTTTTTTTTGGGAGAAATGAAGTTTCAGATATTGATCAGCATAGTCGATTACCTAAAAGTACATCAATAAAAAACTTTATTTCGAAAAATTTTGAAGTTTTTTATTTTTGGGCTGAAAATTCATGAAAATTCATATGTGCCCCTGCTCATTCTTTTTTTCAAAATCAGAAATTTTTCTGAAAATTCGATTTTATTATGCTTTTTGGGTAAATCGACCACGCTGATCATCATCTGCTACTCAGTTTTTTATAAAATTGATCGAGAATTGAGTTATGACGTGTTTTATGAGCCAATTTTGGCAATTTTCGAACTTTTGAGAGCCCAGAACTTGGTTCATAGGTCCATTGGGAGACTAAAATTTTTAGGGTGTTCTTATGACCCCAAAAGCTGTCTATGGACAAAATTTCATCAAGGTTTGAAGTGTTGAGTAAAAAAGGTTTCCTTGTGAGGGACCTAAAATTCAATTTCAGCCCCTATCATCCTGAATTTCCCTAATTTTCAGCCAAAATCTCATCAGATGGAACATTTTCCCAACCCAAACATCATTATATCACTCAAAGATCGTGCAATTCAACATACAATTTCCAAATCAATTTTCCGAATAGTTTTTGCGACCCAAAATCTCAAAAATTAGTTGTAATTGGAAAATTCTCAAAACATGGCGAAAAATTGAAATTGTCATCGAATTCCAAAAAATGCGAAAGAAATATTGATTGTGGAAATGGAGAAAATGAAGAAGTTTGTATTTTTGATGGAAAAATTGAAGAAGGAAAGTGTTATTTGAATCCAATGACTTATAAAAGTCCACCTGATGGTTTTCCAATTATGGTTGTCATTATTCCAATTATCATAATTATAATTATTTTGTCCTTAATTGGTGGTGGATATTTGTATTATAAGAAGAGAATCAACAAAGATGAGAAGAATACTGGGAAATCGAAGAAAAATGAGAAAAAATCAATCTCGACTCCAAGTTCTGCCAATACTCCTGTTTGAAAAATGTATTTATTTGAAAAATAAACTCGATTTCTGAATTAGTGTTTTTTTTAGTTCAAAGAATACAGTCAAATCAAGACTGAAATAATGAGTTTTGTTTCGAAAAATGAAGATTTGAAATTGAAGCCGATAAAGACATTTTAGAAAAATCTCTGAAATTTTACTACTTTTCATGAAATTGTCCATACAAGTCTTTGGCCTTAAACTCCAATTTCCGAGTTTTCAGGTGTTTACCAGTCAAAAAATTCACGAGTTGGAAAAGCCGTGTTTACACATTTTTTACAATTCAATCACCCACAAAAAATTTATTTAAAAAAAAGAATAATAAAAATTAATATTTAAGTACAGAGAATCCTAATAAAAAAAACAGAATTAAAGCTCATAATTGAAAATCCTAACTTAATTTATAAAAAAATGAATACTGAAATTAATTTAATAAAAACTAATATTTACAGAAAATCCTAATACAAAAAAACAGAACTAAATCTCATAATTAAAAATCCCTAGTTTAAAAAAATCAAAAAAATAATATTTACAGAAGAATACAAAATCATAATTAAAAATCCTAGTAAAAAACATAAAAATCATAATTAAAAAAGAGAAAAATAAAGAAAAAGCTAGTTGTATGGTTTGAAAGAATACAAAATCATTGTAAACATCAAGAAAACGAAGTTCAAAGGAAGATAAATGCGTCGCATATCGCTCATGAAATCGATCGAATCACACAATTTTCGAGTTCTTTTCGTGGTTATATCTTCGAATTCTCCGCAAGATTTGGAGAAATTTCCGAGGAAGGCCTGAAAATTGAGAAAATGACCATATTTTATTGCCAAAAAATCAAAAAAAACTTACATTAACACTCGAGAAATTAGTTCTGATGTATTCTTCGAAATAATTGAACTCATTGGTGATCGCGATGTAAACGTGTTCATTCAGATTTATAATATCATGAATATTATATGCGATATGTTCCATTTGGTTGATTTTCGCACTCAACATTTTATCGATCCTTTTGAGTTCTGGATGATAATTATATCCGCATTCCAAATAATTTCGAATTTCTTTCAAGAGATCAGCCATTTTGATATATTCGTTTCGATCAGTTGGAAATTTGTCATCTTGGTCGAATATTTTTCGAATGTGTGGACGGATTGTTGCACGATATTCATCAGCCATTCCAATCACTCGATACCAATCCAAATCGATTTCCAATTCGCCGAAAATTGATTTTCTATAATTATCGCATTTCAACATATTGGTTCTCAATTCCATCAAATCGCCATTAAAATTCGAATAATTTTGTTGTGGAATTTCGAAATCCAATTTGCAATCGAATGGTTTTGGATAATAATCGAGGATTCCAAGACAAACGAGAATATAAAGTGCCAAAGCCGAATAATAGGAGAGAAGTCTGATCAATGAGAAGAAACGATGCAATCTTGGGATATCTGATGTTAGTGAATGACCCATTGTCATAATGAAAACAATTATATAAACTGTTGCAAGAAGAGTTTGGGTTTCACGGCGATATTCAATTGCTTCTTTGATCTGAAAAATTGACGATTTTTATTCATTTTTCATCATTTTTTCAAAAAAACTCACCTTCAATCGATTCAACTCCATGATCTTTTCATCCGATTTCCTCAAAAATCCGCTCATTTTCTCCATGACAAATGCACTTGATTTGAAATGTCTTCCAACATTATGATTCGTGATTCGGCCAAGCTTCAATCGATCTTGTTTGAGAATTCCCTTCCAAGTTGGTCTGATTTTTTCATCAAATTTTGAATCAAGAAACTGCGGAAATTCCTTGATAAAGATTAGGGTCAACTCGCTGGCTCTTTTCAAAATCGAGGAATATTCCGATGTTCTTGTTTTGTCAGTTTGTTGATAGCATTGGTTTTCAACTGCGTGCATCAATTGTGGTAGATAATTGATCAAAAACTGGTAGTTGTTGTGGTCCTAAATATCAAAAAATTATTGATTTACAATTTCCAACTCATTTTTTCTCACCTTTTCCATCAAATCAAGCTTGAAATGCCTAAATACGATGTCTGATGTATCTGTATAATGCCAAATCAGCTTGTTCTCCATTTCTTCAAATTGAAACTCTTTCTTTCTCATTTCCTCACCGTCCATCTTGATTTTCTCATCGAAACTTATCAATCTTTCCTTCACAACATCCTGGTTTTCCTCGAAATTCTCCTTGTCAATCAGCAATAGCAGCATCGCACAACCAATCCAAAAATTTTGAATGAAGAATCCAATCGAAATCATTTTTTCAGCTCAACAAATTGCAGACTGATTCGTTGGTTGAAATCGATCGAATATGAACTGCCCAAACCGCCCATCCACGTTTTGTTTGGCAAAAAATCGTGGAAACACGTGGAACGTGAAACACGTATTTAGGTCACGTTTTTATTCAATTATTTATTTTTTTTAATTTCATCTTTTTATGCAGATGTGTTTGCACTAGGGATGGAAAAGTGGGCCCCGCTTACGTGAAAACGTGACCTAATTTTTTTGGCATCGCGAAAAAATTTCGAAAAAGTCGAAAAAATTTGAAATTTTCAAAATCATTTTTTTTCATGTTTCACCATTGATTTTTCCTCCAGTATCAATAAAAACACTATTCCAGACAAATTCTTTCAATTTCTGTCCATTTTGGCTCGAAAAACACCAGAAAACGCGAAAAAAGTGCTCGAAAAAATGCGATTTCTGCGAAAAAAAATGCGTCAGTTTGGACGTTTTTTTTGATTTTTCGCATTTTTTTTTCACTTTGGATGATGCATAAATATTTTGGATTTCAGGATGGATCAACTTCAAACGTCACTCGTAAAACCTATTTTCTTCCAAACGATGAAATGTGTGTTGTTATCGAAAATCAAGGAAAACCCACAATTTCCACATGTTTCAAAAATACTCACAGCTGGTGGGGAGTAGACCAATGGTTGACCCATGGGTGACCAATGAATTTTCACCCGCCGTTGACCAATGATGTACCAGTGGGTTAGACCCATGGTTGACCAATGACGAGTAGAAGCTACAGTCCTCCACATAATCTTAGCCTCACCCCCAAAATTTTCGAAAAATCGAAAATTTGATTTTTTTCAGAAAAAGTTGGCATAGTCAAAATATGTCAAAAGGTGATACATAAATGTACCCTACTTCGAATTTCAGATAAAAATGAGGCTGAAAAAAAAGTTGACTTTTTTGAAAAATAGGTCTTTTCACTTTCCACATAATCTTAGCCTCACCCTAAAAAATTGCTGGAATTTCAGGTTTTTGGCTTGAAATGAGTTTGGAATGAGGCTGAAAATGATAGTTAAATCAATTTCAGATAGAATTGAGCTGTAATCAATCACTATTGATTGATTAACAGTGACCGAGAGCGCTGATAGTGTGAAGACTTCCATAAAAACAAGTTTTTAGTCGAAGTTGGTCCAAAATTCGATTATTTCGAGCTTAATTTTTAGAAAATTGATAGAAAACACTTTTTTCAACATAATCTGTCAAATTCTGACCCGAATTGCAAAAAATTTTGAATTTTAGCTGATTTTTCGAAAATTTAAAAAATTTTTTGAACCAAAATTTTTGAGTTTCAGCCAAATTTCCGACATTTTTCTGAGTTTTCCAGTTGGATATTCTGGATTCTACGAAAACACGTTAATTCTGATAATTTTTCGAATTCTGACACTCAGAAATTCAAAAATGGAGTAAGAATCAGGTGAAAGACTGAAACCTGACTTTGATGAATTTTTGAAAATTTTTTAACCCAACATTGAGGAGCTTTCCTGGTTGAACATTTGGACACAAATTGTTTAATTGAAGTCAGTTATTGGTTTTTGTCAGTTTTTCAACCATTATCACACATTTAAGCTGAAATTTTCAGTAAATTACAAGAATAAACTGTTTTTCTCAAAATTGATCTGAAACTTTGGATCAGATATGACCGATATCTCACAATTTCAGAGCGCCTAATCGAAGAATAAGCTTATTTCAGATGTAAGAGATCAGTATCTTGCCTGAACCAGAATATCCAACTGGAAAACTCAGAAAAATGTCGGAAATTTGGCTGAAACTCAAAAATTTTGGTTCAAAAAATTTTTTAAATTTTCGAAAAATCAGCTAAAATTCAAAATTTTTTGCAATTCGGGTCAGAATTTGACAGATTATGTTGAAAAAAGTGTTTTCTATCAATTTTCTAAAAATTAAGCTCGAAATAATCGAATTTTGGACCAACTTCGACTAAAAACTTGTTTTTATGGAAGTCTTCACACTATCAGCGCTCTCGGTCACTGTTAATCAATCAATAGTGATTGATTACAGCTCAATTCTATCTGAAATTGATTTAACTATCATTTTCAGCCTCATTCCAAACTCATTTCAAGCCAAAAACCTGAAATTCCAGCAATTTTTTAGGGTGAGGCTAAGATTATGTGGAAAGTGAAAAAGACCTATTTTTCAAAAAAGTCAACTTTTTTTTCAGCCTCATTTTTATCTGAAATTCGAAGTAGGGTACATTTATGTATCACCTTTTGACATATTTTGACTATGCCAACTTTTTCTGAAAAAATCAAATTTTCGATTTTTCGAAAATTTTGGGGGTGAGGCTAAGATTATGTGGAGGACTGTATTTTTTTATTTAATGATAAAAAACCTTTTCGGTTTTTCACTGAAGATTACAAAATTTATCTCAAGCCTGTCAATACGTTTCCCAGAGATACCTTTATTCTCACATGCGCACGTAGCTGAAGAAAACTCGCGAAACTTTCACTTGCCAGATGAAAGCCGCCTATTTATGTTTTGACAGCAGCGGACGCTTGGCGGGTTGTGCATGCCACCACTGTTTGTGTGGGAGTGGGCGGAGCCTATCCTTTCAACGCGTTTTTTATCAAGAAAAAATAAGAAAAAATGAATTTTAAAATTTCCGAGTAATTTTGAGAGTAGGAGTGGGGGAAGGAACCAGGTTTTATGTTGGTTTCACATTGGCTTAGAAAAAACCCGAGTCCGGTCAGGTCTAAGTCAGAAACTGGGCCAAAAATCCGGGTTAGCAATGTTTTTTTTGGGAAAAAGAGAATTTATTTTCATTTTTCTACTTGAAATAACGAATGTATGGTAATTTTCATGCGAGAACAACAAGACCGCCAGGTTTTAGGCTTCAATTTTGGCCTGATTGAAAATTCATCCAGTTGGATTTAAAATGAGGCCCGAAAATATTTCCAACGTCTATTTGACGGTTATATACAACACTAAAAGCAATAATAAGCCGAAAAACATATCCCTTGTAGATTTTAAAGCGAAATTTGTATGTTCTTTGAACTTGTCAAATTTGGTCCATCATTGACCAATTTCGTGAACCGCCATTGACCCATCGTTGACCAATGAACAATTTTTGACCCATCGTTGGTCCACCATTGACTAATTTTCTCGATTGGTCAACCATGGGTCAACCATTGGTCTACTCCCCACCAGCTGTGACTGGAGGATGGCAGAAATATTTTCAAAAGTTCCCAATTACTAATACAACTCCAGATCTTCAAATTGCATCTGCTGATTTTGCGCGAAGAATTGGTCTTCAAAAGATCACTGTTAATATTGTTGATTCAACTGGAAAATATGATGCGGAAAAATATGGAAGTGCTAATAACGACGCGGAATATTATCAAAATATGATTGCACTTCTTTTGAAGGATCTTTCCGGATGATTGATTTGTTTTTGAATCAAAGTTTTGTTATAGTTATTTGTATTTTTTTCTTGAAATTTTGTCATTTTCTGTAATAAACTTGTTTATTTTGTTTCGTAAAATGATTTGAAGTGAGTTTTTCAAAAAAAAAAAATTAAAAAAGCTTTCAGGTTAATTAATTAAAGAATTAATAATAAATCTTCATACATTCCTCATATTTTTGCATAAAATCGTTTGAAAAACAAGCAACGTTTTGCGAATTCTCAAAATCCATCAAAAATCCAACAATTTCCGATTGACAAATTCCATAAATTTCCGAATTTCGGCTAACTTTTTTGATTATTTCATAAATATTGAATTTTGCGCAAATGTTTTTGAAGTCTTTTGTTGTCTCTTTATTCTCCTCGCTGATTTCAAGCATTGTTTTCAATTTTTGAACTTCCGCTGATAATTCTTCATTTTTATTCGCTCTCGTTTTTCCCAATAATTTTTCATTTTCCAATTCGATTTTCAATTTTTTCACATTTTCATTGGATTCTCTTGTTGTCTGGCGAACCTCTTTGTATAGTTTTTCTCTTTCAATTCGCAAATCTTCACGTTGCCTGAAAATATTATTTTTATAGATTTTCGAAGAACAATTTCTCCAATTTTAGGCATTTATCAGGATTTTTGGAGTTGGTTCAAAAGAACTTTTTGAAGGGGAAACTTACTGTTTTAATTCAATTTGTAATTGTTCAATTTTCAAATCCTTATTTCCAACATCCTCTTTAATTTTCTGAATTTCCTCTCGATATTTCATCTTATTTTCCCCAATCAAATTCTTCAAAATCATCAAATCCTCATCTTTTTGTCGAATACTATTCAATTTTTCCACATTTTCCTTCTCAAAATATTCCAATTTCTGCAAATATTCCATCGTTTCTTTCTCAATATTCTGACATTTTTCACAATTTTCAATGATTTTTGTCTGTGTCACATATTTCACTTTGACTTCTTCTCTCGTTTTTTTCACCGCTTCTTTTTGAATTATCTTCTTTTTTCGTTTGAACATCTCTTTTTCGTCGATTTTTTGGAATTCGAGTTCACAATTTGGATCTTTTTCGAATTCCGCTTTCAAAGTTGGCAAAATCTGAAAGTTTTTTAAAATAGTCAGAAAAGATATATTCCAACTCACTTGACACAACTTGATTTTTTGACCTGGATCAAAATGTTTTCCAAACGATTTTTCAAACAATTCCCATAATTTCTCAATTGGTTCAAATTGCTCATCGCAAACTTGCTCGACAACTTTTGGCAGGAAACTTTTGATTTTTTCGATATTCGATTTTTCGGGAATATGTTTTCGTTTTTGAGGTCCATACATTGCCAATGGATCATTATCATCGAAAAGATAGTGTTTTTCGATGAAAGCTGCAAAATTAGATAATGTTATTTTGAAACAGTATATTGGTTTTTATTGGTGGAAAATTTGAATGTTCAAAATTTTGTGCTCTAAATTTATTATATACAGCAGGCTTGTGCGGAAACGGAAAACGCTTTTTCCGATTTTCCGACTTTTTGGGAAAATTTCGGAAAAAATGCGAGTCGGAAAATTTTCCGGCCGAAAAATTCGGAAAACTTTTGGTCGGAAAATTTTTCCGACGAATATTTTCGGAAAAAATTATTTTCCGAAAATTTTCCGAGACTAATAATTTTCCGAAAAAGTGAAAAAATAGGTGATTTTCAGGAATTTTTTCTAATTTTATCAAAAAATAATTTTGGTAATTGTGAAAAATATAGGAATTTGTTAGTAATATTTAACTAAAGTGACAAAATATCGTGAAAACTGCCGAATTTGTTAAAACTACTTTAACAAAACTCAAAACCCAACAAATAAGCCTATTATTTTTTCATTGAAATTTTTTCCGAAATTTTCCGATTTTCCGAAAAATTGAGTCGGAAAAAACAGTCGGAAAACTTTTTTCCGAAAATAAAAAGTCGGAAAATAACTTCGGAAAACTATTTCCGACCGGATGGATTCGGAAAAACACGGTTTTCCGAAATTTTCCGAAAACCTATTTTCCGCACAAGCCTGATATACAGCCCTTTAAGATAAAAATAATTGAAAAATGAGAATGTCAAGGTTAGCATGAGCAATGCTGGAAAACTCATTTCTCTCAGAAAAATAAAAAAAATATTCAATTTAAAATGAGCAATGCTCAAAAAAATCTATATTTTCCTCAGAAAAAAAAAATTTAAAAAAAAAGAGTAATGCTCGAAAAATTATTTTTCACAGCAAAGTTTGGAGCAATTCTCGAAAAATTTCCCATTTTTCCCCGAAAAATCCCAAAAGTCTCACGATTCTCATCCAAGTTCGTTCCATTCGAATTAATAAAATGCGCTTGCTCAATACAAAAATCGAACAAAAACAAATCACAAGGATCTTCAATGTTATTTCCCTGATAAAAATCCTCAAACTCTTGCATATTCGCAATTCTCAACGTTCCCATTGATACCGTAACCGCTTTCATCAGAATTCTCTTCATCTCCGGATGTTCTTTCGCACAAAAACAAATGATCCAATGCAAGAGCATCTCATATTTTTGAAAAACCAATTCCAATCGATTTGATAAATTTGGAGGGCAATTCATACATTTGAGAAGTTGATTTAAATGTTTATTCGAAATTTGAAGATCGTATGATTTCCCGTGCATCCAACTTAATGGAGTTTTCTGCATAACATGCGAATATTTCACATTTTCAACAGATTCCTCCACCTTTTCAGCTAGATTATATCCTTTTCCAATTTTTTGCATCTCAAATAAAATTAATTGAGATTGTTGTGCTCGTTGAATTGTTTCACGTGTTATATTTATATTTAAATCATACTTCAACCAAAAAATATCACATGCACCGAATTGAAAAATCAAATAATGCGCTTGAACCTGATGATAAACCCATCTTCGATCAGGTGATTGAATCTTCAATGCATCATATCCCATTCGCAATGGTAATTCTACGAGATTTTTCGCATAATCAAAATCTGGTATCAAACAGAACTGCGATTTATTGATTTTCAGAACTTCCAAACATGTTTCGAATAATTTAACCGAAATTGTACCAAACTCCATCATTTTCCACTTATCTTCCCATTTTTTCAATTGTCTTTCGATACTTTCATCCAGCTTTTTTTCATCATTCAAAACAATTTGAAAAGCTTCCAAAACTTCCTCGCTAAACAAATGCCACTCTTTTTGATCTTCAATTCTCATTTCACACATTGTTCTCAAATAAATTCGTCGCTTTGCTGAACTGTTGAGTGAAATTGATATACGATCTGAAATTAACTTATTAGTTGAAAATGCTGAAGACGATCCAGTTGTCAACAACGCTTGTGAGCACTTCCCTGGAGCTTCAAAGCTTCCTTCCTCGTGAACTTTGGAGCCCCCAAAAATGCTCACAAGGCTTTGGATCGTTTTCAGAACCCTTTTCACTTTCCTTGTTTATAATTCTTCAAACATTTCATTTCTTCGAAACATTTCCAGAAATATTCCTTGACTTCTATACAAAATTCACATCTGAGTTCCTGCATAAGACGATGAAATTCATAAGGATAATCGTTTAATTGAAAATCTTTTTTCCAAAAAAAATTGCCAGTTTTCTTCTTATTCTGATTGTCTTCCACTTGAATATTCAATTTCATTTTCTGACAGAAATCTTCAACTTCGTATTGTTGCAAATAAAAAACTTTCATTTCCTTCGATTTCTTCGCTTTTTTATATTCAACTTCATAGATCAACTCGAAAATTTTGCGATATTTCGGATATTTTTCCAATGATTCTTCAAGAACAAGTTTCAAACAATAATCATTGTCATAAATGATCAAACCACTGGGAAGAGCCAGAAAATAATTGAATTCTCGCAAAAATTCGAAATATTTCACAAAAATTTGTTCGAAATATACATTCTGCAAAACATTCGGATCATCTGAGTGTAAATAAGTCTTCGGATTATACATATTTTGTATTAATTGAATTCCAGCATAGGGAATTCCAGGATTTTTTTGTTGAAAGAAGAACTTGGGAATCTGCAAAACCTCTAATTTATTATTCCAATAATTGATTTCAAATCCTTACTTTCGCTGACAATTTGATGAAACCTAGAATTCTCTTATTGCTATGAAAATTAAGAATATTCCGCTTTTTGAACGGAGGATCACCTAATCCTAGAGCATTCGTTTCCAATTGAGTAATATCTTGATTCAAGTCTTTCCAAAATGGTGAAACTTTATCCAATTCTTTTTTGACGTCTTCGAGTGTTGAGCATTGGAAGTTGCATGGAATTTCGTATTTTTTCTGAAATTTATGGAGCTTATCTCATTTAGAAGGGAATTATAGCGGAGCAAAGAAAATGAGCTCCGACCGACTCAAGCTCTCATCATCTTGATGTAATTCTCTTCTAAGATTCCCCATCTTCAATTAATTCCAGTGACTTCTAACAAACCTCTTTCGGAACAAATTTTGACAATTCCTCATACAATTTTCTAACAATTTCATCCATTTTCAAAGTTGCGATAAAATAGATCTCTTGAATTTTGATATCAAAAACATCATGCATTTCCATCCAACCATTAACTTTATAAAAATCTCTAGCTGGAACAGAATCAAACCATCTTAAATCCAATGTCAAACATTGAAGAATCTCATTGAATGTTTCCAATGCCAGTTTGCAGTGTTTTCCAGAAATTGTCATTATCGGAATATTCCAATTTGTGCTTGTTTTTTGAATTTTCACACGAATTATCTGAAGAAATATATATAATTTAAAATTATGAAAAAAAAACAAACTTTGAAATTCTCAATTTTCTCCAATAAATCTGGAAGATTCTTCTTCGTCACTGTCAAAATCATATCCTCTTTTCTCCTCGAATAACTTGATAAATTAACCCCTTTTTTAACCGCATAATATTCCAAGTCATCCATCAGAATCCATCCTTCATCCTCATCATCTGAATAAAAAATTCTCAAAATCGATGATGTTCTATTTTTCGGCGAAAATATGTGGGGATTCTTTTCGATGGTGAATTTCAAGAAACTTGAAAACATCGCGCATTCCTCGTATAATGTTTTGTAGAACATTGATTTGCTGCGAATCGGATAACGCTGAAAACAGGTGATTATCAGGAATTCAAGAAAATATCTATCTTACTTTGCTCAGGTCAATTAGATAATCCCGAAGCTCTTTCAATAATTCTTCATCGTTTTGAACATCGAAAAACTTTGAAAGAATGTATCCAACTTCATCAACACTGTATTTTGTTAATCGAAAATCATCATTTTTCTGATGAGATTCTCTAGCAAAGTCTTCATAATTTTTATTGAAATCTTGCAGAAATTTCTTCAAATCTTCTCCTTCAATGTGTTCATTACAGTTCCAAAGTTTTCGATAAATTCGATTTCCATGTGATTTTAGGATTAATAAAAGTGCAGGTTTATCCCTCATTGTTTCCTGTTTCAAAAATCGATAGATTATTAAAGGCGCATCCAATTTCGAATAATATTCACGAAAATTCGCTCCAATTCCATAATAAATTCCATTTGTATTTCCCAGAAATAAACTGGCAGCTTCACATGTTTTCAAAATTTCTTCAAGATCTTTCAATAAACAATCAGCTGGTCCATAAAAATCCAGACGTCCATTTGAATGATTTATCAAATGTTTCAAAGTTTCCAGCGGGTCGAAAGTTGACGGTTGTTTTGAAATATAGGCCTTATTTTCTTCGCTGAGCATTCCTTTCATCACATATTTTTCAAGTGTTGTTTTTAACAACTTCGGCGTCCATTCAATGGCTTCCATTCTGTTTGAGCTTCTGAAATTCATAAATTTAAATTATTCCATTGATTCATCAAAAAAAGAAACAAAAATGACACTTCATGAATTCACAAAGACAGATTTGTAAAAAAAAAATTTTCGAGAAAAATTTTGCGGTTGGGTGAAAAATTTTGAAAATGACAAAAAATACACACCCGCTCAAACAATGAAAAAATTAGCAAAATGCTGTTCTCATTGGCGTACCAATTTTAGTTACCGTAGAGGTCGTTATATGAAAAACTAAAAATACCATTAGAATCAGCGTCTCAAGATCTACATTAAACTATGTTACTCATATTTCTAGGGGTCCTGCGAAGAAAGTTACGATTTGCGTCGAGACCACGCGGTTAAATAAATACGTGTCCCTTTAATCTGCAACGTAAATCAATGAAATAGTTGGCGTACCAATTTTCGTTAGGAAAACAGGCGTTAGAGAAAAAATGAAAAATATCACGAGATTCAGCGTGTCGAGATCTACATTAAACCATAAGATTCATAATTCCTAGGAGCCCACGAAGGCCAGCTTTTCGAGACCCAATAAATTAATAAATGTATGTTTCTTTGAACGAACAAAACAGTGTGAATTCTCGAGAGACGCAGAGACGCGGTGTTTGCACACTTTTCGATTGCGTACTACAGTAGAAAAACAGTCATTTCTCGTTTCAGCGGGGTGTGAATAAAATAAAAAATGAAGACGCACGAGAAAAGTAGCGAGACCCATGAAGATGTTTTTGTGTGCCTTTGAATACGGTAATAATTTATTCAACATTTTTCAAATTTTCCGAATGCAAAATTTGCAAATGCTCCTTATTGTGTTTTTATTCGCGTCTGCCAATTCTCAAGTAACAACAAAAACTCTTCTATCAACGCTGAAACATCCACCAAAAACCGTCAACAAACGATCAATTTTGGAGAATCATGATAAATTAGATGATTTTCACAACAATTACAACGAGGGAAATGTAAGATTGGCGTATGTGACACCGGTAAGAAATTTTTGAAAAAAAATGATTGCTCATGCTAATAAATTCCAGTGGAACAACCATGGTTATAATTTGGCAAAACAAACAGCCCACAAACTTTCTCACATTTCACCAGTTTGGCTGCAAGCAAAACCCAATTGTAAAATTGAAGGAATACATGACATCGACAGAAATTGGATAAATGATTTACGAGTCAAAAACGAGAAGATCAAAATTGTGCCTCGAATCATTTTCGAAGGTTGGAATCGTCAAGAAATGCAAAAATTATTAGATTCACCCAGAAAATGCGCGCAAAAACTAGCCGATTTCTACAATCGAAATGAATTTGATGGCGCTGTTATTGAAATATTCCTACAATCTTTGATGACAATCCAAAGTCTTCAAGCAAAAGTATACATCATTGAAGCGATGGAAGATGTGTCAAAGGTCTTCAAAAAATCAAATCTTGAAGTTATTTATACTGTTCCAGCACCATTAGACTATAAAAATCAGCCAAATCAACTTATTGAACCAATTGAATTCGAAAAAATGATTGGATTTTCGGATTATGTGCAAGTTATGACGTATGATTATCGATCTGATACAATCAGCGGAGTTGCACCATATAATTGGGTGGAGAATAATTTGAATTATTTGGGAAATGGAGAAAATCTGTTGTTGGGAATCAATTTTTATGGCTATGAATTTACAAAAGAAGGTGTTGATGCGATAAAAGGAAAAAGGTTTTTGTTAGATTTAGAAAAACCTTCTGAATAGAAAAATTTTCCAGATTCTTGGAAGCTCTTGCTGAAAAATCAAGCAAATACACTTTCGACGAATCCGTAATGGAGCACAAATTGGTCACATCAAAATCGACCATTTATTATCCATCTTTATCTTCTTTGGAACTTCGAATCAATTTAGCACGTCGTGGCGGTATTGCGATTTGGGATTATGGACAAGGTCTCGATTATTTTATTGATTTGATTTAGGGGAAAATAATAATGTTAGAATTTTAAAAATCAGTCGAGGTTTATGGGCCTATGCAAAATAATATTTTGTAATAAAAAAACATATTTTTTCTATGCAGAAAAACGTCGAAAAAACAAAATATACAGTTTACTATTTTTGAGTAGAGACAATGTGAAATTGAGAGAGTGCAGACAGACAAATTGATTTTTCGCACAAAAAATACAAAAAACTGTCTGCACTCTCTCAATTTCACATTGTCCCTACTCAAAAATAGTAAACTGTATATTTTGTTTTTTCGACGTTTTTCTGCATAGGAAAAATATGTTTTTTTATTACAAAATATTATTCTGCATAGGCCCATTAATTAAATTGTTTTTTATCGTGACAACCTTCAAGGATGGAAAATACACGGCCTTTCAAAAATAGGGAAAATTGCAATTCGAGAGAGACACAGAGAAAGAAACACAAAACCCTCCTGTAGAAATACGGAACACCAAATTCATTTGCAGTACGGCTGCTCGTTGCGAGACCAAGCGCGGGAAACATGATTTTCAAATTTTTTTGAATTCAAAATCGTTTGCCGCGCCTGGTTTCGAAACGATAGATCACATTTTTTTTGAATTTCATGTTTTGGATTTCTTTTTGAAGATTTTTTCTCGTTTTCTCTGTGTCTCTCTCGATTTACCGTGAAATAAATCACAGAAATCTCATTTTTACTCAAAATTTATTGATTTACACATTTCTAATCGACTTCTTTCATATGTTTCCACAAATCTGAAGCATCGAATTTCTTCTTCCCATTTTTCGGTGTTCCATCAGACGAATTATTATGTCCAGAAAATACTTCACGATAATTCTCCTCCCAATCATACGAATCTTTCATTGTTTTTCCACCCATCATGTCAAAAATCAAAGATTGAAGCGCTGAATAATCGGGATCATCCATCGGGGAAAGACTGAAGATTGCGCGGCAAAATAGGGAATAATGTGGTCCGCAAAGGGCGAGATATGGAGAACTTGAAGAATGCTGAAAAAAATTTTTTCCCCCACAAAAAGGAGCAAAAAAGTGCTCACAAATTCTTCCTTCGCTTCTTTCAATTCATCCACTGCCACTAATTTCCAAGGCAGATTCATGAGCAATAATTCAACTCCAGAATATGCCATCGAAACCAAATCATCCGCAGGACTTTGCTCTTTTTTATCATGAACACGTGGCGAAACATATCTCAAAGTTCCCCGAAATCCCGGTCGATATCTCTGTTTTCGCCAACTTCCATCGTCATTTTTGTATCGGCGCACTAAACCATAATCAACCAATTTCAAAACATGCCGTGTTTGTTGACTTATTCCAAAACACATATTCGCTGGTTTTATATCACGGTGAATATAACCAAGGGAATGAGTATCGCGTAGAGCAGCTATTCCTTGAAGAATTATGCGAGAAACTGTTGAAGGAGAGAGACGTTTCACTGGACTTTTCTTTTTCAAATCACCAATGTTTGGACCAAGTAGTTGCATTGCTAAATAGAAATTATTGATTTTTTTTAGCACAACTTATTGTGGAATTTTTAAAAATGTGGCATGTCCCTCGTAAATATTTCGAGAAATAATGAATGTATTATCGCGCTCCACCGAAATAAACACGCAACGCAGACCGCGCCGCGCCACAACATACACAAATAGGGGAACGATTCAAATTCCTTCCCTTTTTTGTGTGTTTTGTGTTTTGTGGCGCGGCGCGGTCTGCGTTGCGTGTTTATTTCGGTGGAGCGCGTGGTATTATCGAAAATCTCAGCAGTACCACGCGCTCCACCGAAATAAACACGCAACGCAGACCGCGTCGCGCCACAACATACACAAATAGGGGAACGATTCAAATTCCTTCCCTTTTTTGTGTGTGTTGTGACGCGGCGCGGTCTGCGTTGCGTGTTTATTTCGGTAGAGCGCGTGGTACCGATGAGATTTTCGATAATAGGTGTGTGCGAGCGGTCGCGATGCGGTCGAAAATAAATCAATATCGCCCATTTTTTCCTCGATAATGTGGTTTTTTTTTCACAAAACGGTTATTTTTTGCCTAAATAAATTGACCTTATTCATTTTCAATGCATTAATTTCAGTTTTCAGTCTGAAAACCCTATAATATTCAATTTTGTTTAAAAATGGGAATATTTTCACCTATTTTGCTGAAAAAATAATAAATAACAACAGCGAAACTTTGAAAATGAATAACTTCAATTTAATTACGCAAAAAATAACCGTTTTGTGTAAAAAACAGCATTTTCGAGGAAAAAATGATTTCGACCGCATCGCGACCGCTCGCACACACCGACATTCATTAATTTTCGAAATATTCACGAGCGACTGATTATTGATTTTTAGTGTTTTCGGGCATGTAGAATTTAGCCTAACTTACCAATAAAATTCATAATATCGGTATGTCCAGATCCAATCATAATAGGAACATGTGGTCTTCCTTGCAATCTATACAAAATCTTTTGCTCCAACAACATTCTCTTCGTCAAATTGCCCTTTCTAATTTTCGGCTCCGTTTTAATCACCAACTCATCGCCATTCGTAATATCCTGCGCATAATAAATTTGTCCATAACCGCCTCTTCCAATCAGTCCCAAAATATGATATCTTTCTCGAAAAACCTCGTTGAATTTCAGCATTTCTTTGCCATTCTTCTCCTTCAGATTTGGCACATATTTTTTGACAGCTGGAACTATATAACCACCCTCCAAGATTACAAATTCATCTTTATTCATCTCTTTCTTTTGCAAAATGTCCATATTACGAATTTTCTTGAAAATATTTAGAGAATCGAAGATGACCGGCTTTTATAGCGGGTTTGAAATTGGGGTGACGAAACTGGAACACGTTCGAGATTCCCATATTTTTCAGATTTTTTTTTGGACCAACAAAAAAAAATAGAAATGGGATGACGTGGCAAAATTTTCCAGGTTTTCACGTTTTCACGCAAAAATTGTTTTATTACAGAAATTTTCACCGTATTTTTTTCGGATGAGTTTGAAAAATCATGAAGATGGAAAAAAAAAGTAAAATTGTATTTCAAACAAATAACAGAACAAAAAAAAACTATTTAACAAGATTTTCAAAATTTAAATCCGATTGTTGAATGCACTCAAAGTGTTACATCCCATACAACTCGAATTATCGCAAAATACAGTAGTCATTGAATGAGCAGGTGGCGATGGAATTGGCTCAATCTGAAAGAAATCGATTTTCTTTTGTTGAAAACTCATATGAGGAAAACTTACGATAGCAGTTTTGATGATTGGTTTTTTTGCTGAGAAAATATGGCGTGATGAAAAACTCAATTTCATTCGATCAAATCCAACAATTCGAAATCGTCCATCTTTTCGAATTTTGTCAATTTCACGCGGAAATTGAAATTCTCCAATTTTCAATTTTTCATCAAATCGGCATTCAAGAATATTACAAGGTTCATCGCAAAATTTGACTGACATTCGCATCACATTATTTGGGCCCGCATTCTTCAAACATCTCAATTTTCCCGTGTCCATTTCAATAAACCAGTCTTCTTTTTCACCATCTAGATGAAAAATGTGACGTGCTCTTCGAAATTGTGTGCCGTCTTCCTCAAATTCCTCCAAAAATATGATGCAATTCTTCTTTTGCCATTGATCTCGCTGTTGATTTGGTTTCACATTGAAAATTTTCAATTGACGTTCCCAATATTTGCTGAATTGTCTAACATATTCTGGGGATGTTGGGAGAAGTGCATACAAATAATTGTCGATGGTCGAAAATAATATTGAAATTATAGGTTGACATCCAACTCGAAGATTCTGGAAAAAAAAGTTAAGATTTAAGCTTTGCAATTTCTAGAAGTCCGAGTGAAAGAAGTCGATAAAAAAACAAACTCTTGGCTCAATTTGATCACTCAGCGATTCGAATGAAATTGTCAACCAACGCGAAAATGCAACCGTCCTCAATCTTGAAGGAATTTCAAAATTCTCATCGATATTGTAAATTTCATGACAACTTTTACACCATTCACTTCGACCCATTGAAAATCGATCATTTTCTTCGCGAATTTTCAAACTTGGATATCTAATATTGGGTGCTGAATTACTTCTAAATCTTCTTCCATTTTGTTGATTTACAGAATTCAACCATTTTTCAGTCACATTTGATTGATTTGTTTGGAGGTTTTGCAAATGTTCGGTGAATTCCGTGCGATTCAGAGAAGTCTGCAAGATTTTTTATTTTCATATTTTCAAGTGAGAAGTTTCCTTACATTTTCAGCGAAGTCAAAGGCATAAAATGGTTTTCGAGGCAATTCTCCTAATCGACTTCCATTTCCATTGAAAAAATGAAGATTATTCGTGAATTTATTGTCGCATTTTGAATAATTTTCTTGGCTGATTCGATATTTCAGCAGTTTATTCTTGTTTTTTGATTCTTCAATAGCGCTTTCCAATCGCTTTTCATGTCTTGCAGTTTGTCGAACTTGTCGTTTATCCGTCAGCCGTAATTGTCCTAAAAATGATTTTAATTAGAGAAAAACTAAAATTACGTGTAACTCACTTCCTTCCATATATTTTGCAATATATTCTTCACATCCTTCTATGCTTTCAATGAAAGGAAGCATGGTTTTAGGGGAAAGAAAGAAGAAAACAATTTTTTTTTCCTAAAAAAAAACAAAAATAAAAATTCAAGGCGCACGAGAAATGTGGCGAGACCCACGGTATTTTTTGTGCGCCTTTAAACTGGTTACGGTCACTTTTTTTTCAATTTCCAGGCCATGTCTAAAATTCACGTTCTCATTTCGAAAACTAGACATTTCTGACATCAAGTACAAATATTTTCAAACTCAAAAAACGAGCAAAAACATGCATTTCGGAAATTAGTCACTCGAAACTACAAATTTCAAAATTTAACTTAATTAATTAATAACAAACCCATTTGTTCATTTTCATTTTTCATTTCCTCATGAATTCTACAATTTTTATAACCTGCTCGATTTGTATTACGGTAGGTCTAAGGTTTTTTAGAAAACAATTAATTTTCAAAAATCAAAAACAGATTTTTATCTTCGGCGTTTCTACAAATGCCAAAGTTATTCAAATTCTATTGAATGGTAAAGCTGAAAAAACATCTTTCAATATTTTATGTATTTTGAAAGCGGCTCTCAATGCTATTATTGTCATTTTTGGTTTACCATTGACATTTTTCAATGTGCTTCTGTAAGGAAACTAAATAAATTTTTCTCCCTCCAGATAAAAAATCTAACTTTAGTGGCGAGCCTTTGATTTCTGAATCTTGGGATACAATTTGCTTCATGTTCAGTTTGAATTTCACAATTTGCAATAATTTATGCAATGTTTTGACAGCTTTTAATCGATTTTGCGCGATTTATTTTCCAACAAAATATGACAATTATTTCAATAATTCACGAACAATTTATCTAATTATTATAATTTTGATAATTGCACATATTAAAATAATCTACGATTCCTATAATTATCTTGGTAAGTTGAATAACTAATTAATTCAAGAAATTCGCAATATTTCTCTGACCCCTGAAATAATTACAGATCTCCAATGTTATTTCGAATTCAATCTTGAACATTTATATTGGTTTTTACCTGATCATTGCTCACAAGTCTCTTCATATCTATTAATTGTATATGAAATTATGTACGCTCTAATAATTCTCTTCGATTTCTCATGTTTCATCGCTCTTTATAGCTTTTTCAAAAACAAAAATGATCAAAAAACAAGAATGAAAAATAATGTGCTTTTATTATTCCAAACTTTTTGTCAAGATACGCTAGCTTTTCTTAACATGATTATCGTATTTAAAATATCGTAAGTTACTAATTTATTTAACTAATTAATTAAAGAAATCTAATTAGTTCCAGGAAATTCAATGATTCAGCGATTTGGAGATTTACAACTGGAATTATTGCATGGGTTGTGATTTATGGATTTGATGGAGTTATTATGATTATTTTTATTAAGAAGTTGATTAGAAGATTGGAAAATCCTAGTAATATTGTGAAAGTTAGCCATATTCATTCAATTAAAAGTGGATCTGATCACTAAAAAAAATAATAAAGTTTTTCAAAATCTCGAAGACTGTGCTCTTGTTTGAAAAATCATTGAAGTCGGCTCGAGGCTCATTTTCTGCGGCTCTTTTTTTCCACAAAACAATTGCCAGAATATTTTTTCGCAATTTCGAACTCAAAATCAATAGAGTCCATGGTGAATTCATTGTAATTATATCATAGGAAATATCCACACATCGATAAATCAATAATGCGATTGTTGAATATCTTTCAGTTGGCGAATAGATGTACAATGACATTAGGATCTGGAAAAAAGCGGGGGAAATCACTTTTTCATCAACATTTGATGTGTTTCTAAAGAAAACGCGCGTAGCGCAGTGGTAGAGCGTTTTGCTGGCGAGTGAGATACCCAAGTTCGACACTCGATGCGAACATTTTTTTTAATTTTCTCACCAAAGACACCAATGCAAAAGTCTGTGAAAGCAGCGAGACAAACGAGAAAACCAACATATTTTTCTCGCCACTCGAAACCCGTTGCGCCATCAAAAACAGTCGAAAAAAGCAGGAAAAATTCAAAATCGCCGAAACAATTGTAGAGAATCCCATAAAATATTCGAGAAAAAGCCAGATGTTTTGAGTGTTGTATTCAGCAAAAGCACTATAGCTGTCACTTGAATTCGAATACACAAAATAGGCATTTTTGGTGAAAATTGGATAGGTGAAATAGAATGGGAGGAGGAAAAGAGCCGGGAAAACGAAGGGAAGCCAACGATTCCAGTGCTGAAAATATATGTTTTCAAAATTCAAAAATTTTCCCACCTCTTCCGCTCTTCGCATCAAAAAAATCAACGTAAATCGATTCACCGAAATCACAATCACCAAAACATTTTGCAAAAACATGCCATTCAATAAAAGTGCAATAAGACAGGCCAGCAATAAATTGCCACGTGGCGTTTTCGAATCCTCCTCGTCCACTTTGAAAAACCAGGAAAATAGGCAGTTTTGACATGTGGCAGCCGCTAGGCGATTCACAAAAATCGAACAGAAAAATGTCAAAAAATTGATGAGAAATCCGAAAATGTAGATTTTGAAAAACGAGGAAGCAAACTCTTTGCGCCACTTTCGTAAAATTATGAAAATTGTCAAAAAATAGAGGAAAAATGACGAAGTTGAATAGCATATCGTGTAAAATACGGTGAAACTCATATTTTTGATCTATGATTCCAGTTTTTGATGAGATGAGGAAAGAAAAAACCTTGTTTTTCCGTTTTTTCTCTGTGAGAAAAAGTTTGACGAAAAAACCAAAAAAACATTATCAAGAGAAAATTGGAGGTGTTCGAGGAAAGAACTTTTTCGCCAAAAAACTAAGAAAAAAAAACTTGTTTAAAAGAAGTTCTGCTGTTTAGATAGCGTTGTTGAACAGCGGCGCCAATCTTCGTTTCGCGCATCTTTGCGGCGAAGGCGCATTTATTTTAGGCTAAAAACGCATTTTTTGCTTGTAAAAAAAAGCAATATTCCACGGTTTGCTGAAATTCCAGCCTCATCCAGTATGCCGTGACACATCTAAAATCGACTGAAACTGACAAAACACCACAAATCACGAACACTGGGCGAAAAAAAAGAAAACTGAAAAAAAACTAGAAAATTTTGAACGGGCGCGCGGGTTACTGTAGCTGTGTGTCTTACTGTTCGCTGCGAGACCTGTTTATAAATTTTACATTTTCAAATTTTTGTTTTTTTTTCTGCTTTTTCTTTTTTTTTCGGTTTTTCATTTTGAAACCTCTCAATATCAAACTTTTCATGGTTAAAATTAATTTTGAGAATTTTTAGGCTATGAGAAGTCTTATTTTAAACAATTTTTAGGTCTTGTAGTTTTCATTTTCTCATTGTTAGCCAAATAACCCTCAAATTGTTTTTTTTTTTCAGAAAATGGAAATCACTAATGAAAATAACACACAACAAGAGATTATTCCTGTACAATATTCTTTAGAGGAACGAGTCCAATTACTCGAGTTACGTATGGAAGAACTTGTGGAAGCCAAAAATTATATGAACATGGTGAGAAGTTTCTGGAAGTTGATTTATAAATAATAAAATGAAGTGTTTTCAGATGTTGAAAGGTACAACCGAAGCACAACATCGAAATAATACTCTTTTGGATGAATTAAGCGATGGGCAGAAGAAGATGATGAAGAATATCAAGAATATCACACATTCTGTGAGATTTAAAGGTGAGCTTCGACTTTTTAGTTGAAAATATTGAATTTTTTCATTTTTCAGACCAACCCGTCGTTGAGAAACATGTATATGACCAAGATGCGGGAATTGCGCCAACTGCAACACAAAAAGAAAAAGATAAGAAGAAATCTGGAAGCAAAGTGACTGCGAAGAAGCCAAAAACAGTTCCAACTAGAAGAAGTGTAAGAGGTTTTGATATTTTCAAAAACAAATTGATGTTTTTCAGCCCCGCTTGCTCGCAAAGCAGAAATAAATCAACTCATGAAGTTTTTACGGTATGATTTTATCAATTTTTAACTTTTTAATAAATCCTGTTGAAACTCAGAGATTTTTCGATGAAAAATGCGAAAAATTAAGAAAAAATCATGTTCGAGTTGCTGTATGTGTGACTGAAATTGGCGCTGAAAATTCAAAATTTGAATCAATCTTCCCATATTCAATACCCACCTCTAGAAACCACCGAACTTCCCGGAAGTGGCAAAATCTTCCCGGATCTTCCCAATATTCTCAAAGAATATTGACGACTTTTCGTGCTAAAAATAAGCAATGTCCATGGGGAATTAATTGTAATTAGATCATAGGTTATATCAACTAATTGATAAATTAATGTAGACCATGGATTATCTTGAGTTTGTGTGTTCGCATAAAGCATCATAATTAATAGCATTGAAAATGCGACAGTTTGAATGATAAATGAGACAACAGAAATTGTCAGCAAATTCTTCTCGGCGCTCGAAATTCGTTTTTTCATCGATATCAATTTCAAAAAAGCTGGAACAATTAAAAATCGCTGAAATCCCCGTGGAAAACCCCATAAAATAAATAATTGTATAAAACATTGCTCCAGTATTTGCAGTACTTGACGAAACATAACAATCCGTTTTTTCCACATAAATATAAAACGCCGTGTTATTTTGAGTTAAAATTGGATAGGTTATTGAAAATGGGATGATTGGAGTTAGAAGAAATATGAGGGGAAGAAGACGTTTCCATATTTCTTCGTTATTTTTAATTAGCATAATTACAGTGAATCTGTTGATTGAGATAATTATAACTAGACAATATTGAAGGAACATTCCATTGAAGAGAAGAGTTTGGAAAATTGAAAGGGGATACCAGGATTGATTGGTTTTTGAGTGATTTTTGTAGATTGAAGAGAGAAAACAATCTTTGCAAACATTTGAAGCGATTCGATTGACGAATAATGAACTTAGGAATGTTACCAGGTTCTGGAAGAGTTAGTTAGGCTAAGCTGGAATTTTTGAAACTTACTATGAAAAATCCGAAGACATAAAGTCTGAAAAAAGAGCTGCTGAACTCTTTCCAGAATTTGAAAATCATATAAATCGTGAAAGAATACAAAATAAATGATAGAACAATATAAATTGTTGTGTAAATCGCTTTAAACCAATCCATCGCCGAAGCTAAAACCATGACTTTTTTCTTTTTTTTTGGGAACAGAGAATATTAGGCTAACTTAAGAAGCTTGAGAAAAAGTTCCTTGTTTTTAATCGGATTCATGGGAATGTTTTTATGAGCGAGAAACGAAGAAAAAATATGATTTTTTGGGCCAGACCAAAAATTTTCTCGACCTTTCTGAAAATAACTTTGTAGCTGTATAGATTTCTGCAAAAAGTCTGGAGCAAAGTTCGAAAAAAATCGTGATTTTTCTAGAAAAATCTGAAAATTTCATGAATTTTCGAGCTCTAATTAGTCAAAGTAAACCAAAAACTAATTATTTTTTTTTGATTTTTTAAAAAATTCAAAAATATTTTTTTGAAAAACAAAAACAAAAAATGTGATTTTTTGACGTAGAATACAAAATTTTCGGGGGAAATTGATTCTTTTTTTTTCGGATAATTATAACTCTTCTGGAATTCTTATTCCTACCTAATTATAATCTTTGAAAAACACGAAGAAAATTCAAAAATCGAATTTTGGCGGCCAATTTTGAACTTTTTTGGAAGAAGTGACGAAAAAATGACGCAAATTAAAATTTTAAATGTCGAACAATTAATTGTCATCCCAAAATTTGAACAAAATTAAAGATCTGCATCAAAATTTCAAAAGTGACTAATTTTTGGTGCTAAAAATTTTGCCACGTGGATTTTCAGCCACAGAAAAAATTCAGATTCAAGTTTTTGAGCAAATACTGAAAATCAACGAAGCGAAAATTTCCAAAAATAAAAAATTAGGCCTACGAAAACTAGAGAAATTATCGAAAATCTCATCGGTACCCCGCGCTCCACCGAAATAAACACGCAACGCAGACCGCGCCACAACACACAAAAGGGAGGGAATTTGAATCGTTCCCCTTTTTGTGTTTTGTAGCGCGGTGCGGTCTGCGTTGCGTGTGGAGCGCGTGGTACCGATGAGATTTTCGATAATAAGTTTGAATTTTTTGAACTTTTTCCCGACACATGGATTCAAATTATGTTTATTTCAAAGTAAAACTGAATTTCAAGAAAAACTTTCTAAAAAAAATCTTTATTCAAGTAATCGTCATAGTATGTCCAATTTTCGAAACAAAAACCGAATTTTTCGAATTCGCCGCATTTTTGGCGCCAAAAATTCGCATTAAATATTTTCTGGATTTTTGACTGAAAATAATCAGAGTCCAGGGAGCATTCAAAGTTATCAAATCGTATGTGAAGTCCAAAGTTTGATAGATTATTTTTGATCTTGTGGAATCTGAATTCTCCGGTGTGATGTAAATTGCCAATAAGATCTGTGAGAAAAATTATTTTTGTGGGGGAAAATTTGGCGCGAAAAACTTACAAAATTAATAAGGGCCATACTTTGTATAATAAAATATACAAAACTGATGAAAAGCATATTTTTCTCCCCATTTTTCGCCGCATTCGAATTTTGCACTTGCATTTTCTTCAACCGACAAAAACTAACAAAATTCAAAATCGCTGAAATTATTGTGCTGAAAAACATGAAAACCACAACATATCCGAAGATTTCGTCGCGATTTGCTAAAGTTGTTGCCAAATATGAATCGGATGTTTGAACATATTGAAAATATGCGATATTTGTGAAAATTGGATGAGTTATGATAAGTGGGAAAAATGGGAGGATTAGGAAAATAATTGGGAGAATACGGGTGTTCCAAATCTGAAAAAAAGAGTCATTTTCAAATTGCCGGTTTTGCACACAAAAAACGCTAGGATCAAAACACTGACGCGTTTGGGGTTAGCGCATATTTCGTTGTTTTCAGATTTTTCTGCAAACTGAAACTAGGGTTTCCTATATTTTTCCAACATAAGTTTCAGAATTTCATAATGATCTTGTTAGCATGCTTGAAAAGTTTGATAATTCAGCAATTTTTGACGTCATGAATGTTTACAGCGTAGTCGAATTAGTCTATCCCCCAAAAACTGACCTGTTCAATATTTTTAAACATAAAAATAATAGAAAATCGATTAATTGATATAATAATAATCATAGAATATTGTATAAACATACAATTAATTAATAAAGTATAAATTGTTGGAAGCGGATAATTTCCTGGATTTTCTACACTTTGATTTTTGAACCAAGATGAAAATAAACAATCATTTTTACAAGTTGAAGATGCGATTCGACTCAAAAATAATGAAGTTATGTAATCTGTTGTGTTCTGAAAAAAAGAAAAAATCGTTCGCTGGTAGGGGGATCGAACTCTGGTGTTGTGAATGGTAGGCAAAAATGTATACCACTGGACCATCGGGGGTTTTTTGACGTGAAAATTTGAACCGTGTTTTGGTTTTTGCGCTCAATGTTTTTTTTAATTAACAAAAAAAAATGTTCTGGGAATTTCTATTTTGATTTTTGCGCCGAGGAAATTTGAATTTTTGAAAATTGCACGTTTCGCCGCAAAAAATATTATTGCCACGTGAAGAAAAATTTGAATCTCAAAAAAATTTTCGGGTCCCCCCAAAAAACTCACCACAAAAAAATTGAAAAGATAAATTCTGAAAAACGAGCTGCTGAACTCTTTCCAAAATTTGAAAATCATAAAAATCGTCAAAAAATATAGCAAAAATGAGGCCGAAACATAGACTATACTGTAGGCTATTTGAAAATTGTTCATTTCTGGCTGAAAAATCTGAAAAAAACTTGGTTTTTCTGATCTTTTTTGTGCTGCTACTGAAAAAAAACACAGCTGGAAAATAGATTTTTGAGAAAAATTAATCAGTATGAGAAAAAAAACATTTCGGGCTGAAAAAATAAGAAAATTGAGTTAAGGTTCCAAAAAAGCTCGAAAAAAATCTGAAAAAATCCGCAACCAGGCGGAAAAATTAATCAAAACTAATAATAAAAAATTGCCTACGAATATCACACTTCACAGAAAATTGGACAAAATCAAATCAAAAGTTCAAATGTGCGTCAGAAAATAATCATTCCCGGAAATTCGGAACTTGAGCAAAGAACCAATTTATTGAACAATTTTCGACACAAAAACCGACGATTTTTTACCAATTTCAGATTTTTTGTGCGAAAACGTTGTGATGTACTTTCTGGATTTTTGACTGAAAATAATTAGGACTAGTCCAGGGAGCATTCAAAGTTATTAAATCGTAGCAAATATCCAAAGTTTGATAAATTATTTTGCTATGCCAGGAATTTGTGTTTGTTGGATTAATAAAAACCATCAAAAATACCTGAAAAACCCATTTTTGCTTTTAAAAAATACAATGAAAACACTTACAAAATTCAATAATGCTAAACTTTGTATCACAAAATATACAAAACTGATGAAAAGCATATTTTTCTCCCCATTTTTTGCAGAACTTTGCACTTGCATTTTCTTAAGCCGACAGAAACTCAAAAAATTCAAAATTGCTGAAATTATTGTGCTGAAAAACATATAAATCACGACATATTCGAAGATTTGAGTTCGATTTGCCAAAGTTACTGCAAAATATGAATCGGATGCTTCAATATATTGAAAATATGCGATATTTGTGAAAATTGGATGAGTTATGATAAGTGGGAAAAATGGGAGGATTAGGAAAATAATTGGGAGAATACGGGTGTTCCAAATCTGCAAAAAGGGTCATTTTCAAATTGCCGGTTATGCACACAAAACACGCTAGGATCAAAACACTGACGCGTTTGGGGTTGGCGCATATTTCGTTGTTTTCAGATGTTTTTTCTGCAAACTACACGCGGTTTCAACCCGAAAATCAGCAATTTTTGACGTCATGAATGTTTACAGCGTAGTCGAATTAGTCTATCCCCCAAAAACTGACCTGTTCAATATTTTTAAACATAAAAATAATAGAAAATCGATTAATTGATATAATAATAATCATAGAATATTGTATAAACATACAATTAATTAATAAAGTATAAATTGTTGGAAGCGGATAATTTCCTGGATTTTCTACACTTTGATTTTTGTACCAAGATGAAAATAAACAATCATTTTTACAAGTTGAAGATGCGATTCCGCTGACTAGAAGTTTAGCGATATAATCTGTGATGTTCTGAAAAGTCATAATTTTTTCCACGTGGAATTTTCGGCACCCAAAAAAAGAACTCACAATGAAAAAATTGAAAACATAAATTCTGAAAAACGAGGTGTTGAACTCTTTCCAAAATTTGAGAATCACAAAAATCGTCAAAAAATATAGCACAAATGAGATTGTAACATAAACTACAGTGTAGGCAATTTGAAAATTGTTCATTTTTGTTAGTTAGTTGGTTTTGTGATTGATTCAAAAACTAATCAGAACAGAATTAATTTAGCATGAGAAAAAAAAAAATGAAAAAAAAATTGCGGAAATCATATTTTCCTTGGATTTTCAAAGAAATTGCCTAATTTAATCGAGCAGAGCACAAAATACCTGAATTTTCATTGCGCTAAAAAATGTAATTCAAAAATTGTCCTGATTTCGTTGATGTGTTGAGATGTGATGAAGTAGAAGTGCTGAAAAACAGGGGATTTTTTCGCTGCCACGTGGATTTTCGCTCACCCGCAACAACCGAAACATTAAGTGACGTCACATTCGTCGCGTCATTTCTCGCACCGCGAATCGCGACAACCGTGTCGCACATCTCCAGCACTTTCGCCCCAATTCCCCTTCCCTCATCGCCCAAAACCAATCCAATGTTTTGCGACGCGGGTCGCCAATTTTCCAGCGATTTTGTCGCGATTCCCAAATTTCCAGCGGCTCGCGGATCGCAAGTCGCGACAATTTCGCCGCCTTGCGATTTGATTTTGTGGCGAAACGCGTCGAATGTCGCGAGTTTTTCGATGGGAAGATGTTCGAGAGCTCCGCACGATGATTTGCTCATTGAGGGAGTGATGCATTTTGGGCTGCAAAAAGGTACTTATTTTTGCCACGTGGATTTTTTTCACTTTAGGAAATTGGCTTATTTTCACACTAAACTTGATATTGTTGAATTGAAAAATGTGGCAGAGGAAAAGCTAGTCCCTCTTAAATCTTTCGAAAATCAATGAATGTCGGTGTGTGCGCGCGCGGTCGCGATGCGGTCGAAATAAAATCAATTTTTTCAAATTTTTCCTCGAAAATGCTGTTTTTTCACAAAGAACGGTCATTTTTTGGGTAACTAAATTGAAGTTATTCATTTTCAAAGTTTCGCTGTTGTGAAAATGAATAACTTCAATTTAATTACCCAAAAAATGGCAGTTTTTTGTGAAAAAACAGCATTTTCGAGGAAAAAATGAAAAAAATTGATTTTATTTCGACCGCATCGCGACCGCGCGCGCACACACCAACATTCATTAATTTTCGAAATATTTAAGAGGGACTAGCGTTTCCTCTGCCACGTGTATTTTTCATTTCGGCGCGAAATTCAAATTTTCCTCAAAAAAGAGCTTATACTTATGTGATATCAAAATGCTCCAAATTTTCGTGCCACAAAAGCTACAGTAATCATTTTTGGACCCTACCGTACCCCCTCCGGTTAGCATAACTGATACCATCGGCTCCAAAATACCAAGCACTTCTCGAAATCGCTCCAATATTTCCCGGATCCAACACATTATCAATAAAAATCGATAATTTTTTGGATTCGTAGGCGGTGAATTCGAGGCGCGAGACATCTAGGCAAATTCCCTGGAAAAATTTGAATTTTTTTGACACGTGGATATTTTGGCGCGAAAATTTGGAGCATTTTGACACCAAACATGACATGCTTGGATTTTTGTGAAACTCAAATTTGAATTTCTGGCGCGAAAATTTTAAAATTCAAATTTTTCTCAAAAGTAGCTCATATCTGGTGTCAAAATGCTCCAAATTTTCGCGCCAAAAATCTACAGTATCAATTTTTCGCCCCAAATTTCCCTCACGTCTCCTAAAACCCACATTATGCAACTGAAATTCAGTCAATCGATCCAATTGATCATCCGAAACGAGATTTTGTTGAATTTTTCGATTTTCCAAATTCCTCAAAATCTCGGCAATTTTCCAATCATTTTCAGCGCGCGAAATTATCGATTTTTTCAAAAAACATCTGAAAATTTCGCGTTTTTCAGCTCGAATTGCTTCTAGAATCGGATGAAACCCGAAAAGGGTCTCGCCACGAATTTGGGGTACTGTAATCTTTTTCGCCGCGTATTTTTCGACCGTTTTTCCGGCGAGTTTCGCTTTTCGGAATATTAGATTTGGCTTGGGATGTGACATCTGCAAAAATTTGAATTGTAGGTTTTCGGCGCTAAAAAATATTCCAAGAATTATATCAAAAAACCCTTTTTCTTTCAAAATTCCACAAGCAAAGCAAAATTTATTCAAAAAAATGCAAAAAATTCAATCAATATTCTGAAAAGCTTTCAAAGTTTCAGCCGAAATTTTGAGAATTTCGAGCAATTCCAAAATTTTCGCCGGATTCGTTTCATTTTCCAATTTTCCGGCGGCCCATTCGATTTTCGACGAAATTGTGGATTTCGCTGCTTTCAGGGGCTTTTTCGGGCCATTTTTCGGCTTCTCCTCCACATAATCATCATAATCCACGTAGGAAGCGTAGTTTCGAGGAACATTTTCGAACTTTGAAGTTGTAGGCTTTTCTGGGGCCTGATCTTGGGCTTTGGCTTCAGATTTTGGAGGTTTTCGGATGAGTGAAGAGGAATGTGGAGCGGATTCGAGATCTTCAGCGTCTGCAAAAACATTTGGATTTTTTTTCTGGGGGTACTGTAGGTTTTGGCGCGAAAATTTGACGCATTTTGACACCAAACATGACCTATTTGGAATATTTTTTTTAATTTAGGGTGCTCTAGATTTTAAAGCCAATTTTTGAAGTTCAAGATTCAGAAAACAGCGAATTTTCTCCTCTATTATCGAAAATCGCGTCGGTTTAACGCGCTCCACCGAAATAAACACGCAACGCAGACCGCGTCGCGCCACAACACACACAAAAAAGGGAGGGAATTTGAATCGTTCCCTTATTTGTGTGTGTTGTGGCGCGACGCGGTCTGCGTTGCGTGTTTATTTCGGTGGAGCGCGTGGAACCGATTCGATAATAAAATCCAGCCTTACCCAACGGAATCTCCTGAATTCTGCTCATCGATCCATTTTGCTCTTTCCGCTTGTATTCATCATAAAGTTGACAAGTCACACATTGCTGCACGCCATTTCGACACTCCATTATGATTCCACTACAACTTTGACAATATTGATCCAACATTGTGTGGCCCTGCAAGAAAAAAGTTTTTGAAAAATCATTTTTTCGCGGGGGGGGGGCGGGCGGGAAAATACCGTACCTTCAACAACAATTCTCCCATTCGTTTCGAGATCTCATCTCGAATTTTTTCGCGAACTTCAGCTTCTTGTTCATGCGTCAAAATGTTGCCGTTTGTTCGAGAAACCATTTCGGCAATTGTTTTGGTGGGCTGCAAAAAAAAAATCGATTTTTCTCGCGTGAAAACGTGTGCCACGTCATCAAAAAATCGCTATAAAAGCCGCGCTTTGGCCACAAAAATCTCATATAATTTCGCAGAATTTCAGGTGTTTTTCCAGAAGTGTACATATTTTATTGGGGCAGTTAGTTTATTATCCGACTTCTTTGTTTTGGCTTTCGCTTTGGCTTTAGCAGCTATATATATATCCGAAATGTATATTTATTGATTTATTTTTAGGCGGTGAAGAAATGAAATGAAGAAGAAGAAGAAGCATATTGCGCCAAATCTTGTGAATAATTTTCTTGTGAATAAATTTTTTTCGTGAAATTTCGTGACTTTTTGGGGTTTTTGGAAATTCCAGCACTTTTCAGCTGAAATTCTGTAATTTTAGCTGATTCAAATTTCGCCACGTGGAAATTCAAATTCTCACATTTTTCGGCGGTGCTCTATCGTACCAACTTTGCTTTTCCTCGACGTTCTTCTGATTTTTGTTTGCCTTGGTCCCAAATTTCTTATGGACCATACAAAAATCCTGAAATTCTTCCTCAAAATCTGAAAATGAAAATCTGGAAATTCAGGTAAAGTTATCAGATTCCTACTGAATTTTCTAGGGAAAAAATGTGAAAAAATCTGTACATTTATGTATAATTCACAAAAAAACACATTGAGCAACAGAAAAAATCGAAAAACATTATTCACAGGCAAAAATAGGGCAAAATTTACAAAAACAACAGGAATTATGGGTAAACTCTGAAAATTTCAGGGAAAAGGGGTTAAATCTTGAATTTTCGAGCGGAAAATCCAAAAATTCTCAAAATTTTTCGCCAAAAAAACATTTGTCACGTGAAAACGTGTGCCACGTCATCAAAAAGCGCTATAAAAGCCCGCGTTTTGGCTTCATAAATCTCATATAATTTCGCAGAATTTCAGGTTTTTTCAGAAAACAAATCGAATCAAAATCTCCTTGTTCCAAAGAGAGACCTTTTGATGTCGATGTAGTTTTTCCAGTTAGTGTTGCAGTTTTTGTTGCAGTCGTAGAAATATGTGTTCTATTTACTGAAGATGTTTATTTATTGATTTAATTTTAGGTGGTCAAAGAAGTGTAGTCGAATAAAAATGGCCTATTCAGTAGAGAAAACCCCCCAATCTTGTAAATAATTTTCTTGTGAATAAAAATTTTATTTTGTGGTTTTTTTGGGCGTTTTCTAGGCTCTTTGATGACGTAGCAACATTTTTCGTAACACTAAAAATCATTTTTCAGCGCGAAATTCAAATATCCTTGGTCCAAAATTCCTGTTCATCAGCCAATTCCAATAATTGATCATAACCTTCTCGTTGTGTATTTCCATCAGCATTGAACGAAAATCGATGATAACTTCCATCTTCGCAAATCACAGCCAAACTTTGCAGCGATTTCGAGGTGGCTTTTGTGAAACCGCATGCCAAGACTTTAGGAGCCAGGGAGACTTTGGCGATATTTGTATTGCCTTTGATGCCAACGTGTCGGAGAACTTGACGTTTGGCGGAGGAATCTTCTGGAAATTTGGGAGGTTTTCAGGTGAAAATTCATGAAAAATCGATAATTTTAGACCAGAAATTGCTGAAAAATGCAATTTTCTGTTTGAAACGTGATGGCAAAAGCGCCCCATTCTTTAAAATTCGAACATTTCTGTGAATTTTGTCGGAAAAATCGTGAAAATCATCGAATTTATTGGAATTCCTATGAGAAATGTGAGTTTTTTAGGGAAATTAGATGAAATTATAGATTTTGTTGTAAATCTCAACGTTTTTAATGAAAATTGAGGTTTCTTGTGGTTTTTAAGGTATTTTAGGCTAGAACCGCATTTCTTTAACTAATAGTTTTCATGAAAAAATCACTAACCAGAATCTCTAATCCCAAAAACATGAATAGTTCCTTTATCACTGGAAACCGCCAAAAAAGTGGAGCAAGATGAAAAAGACAAGCAATGCAAAGTTGCTTGCACATTTCCTCTTCTCAATTCAGTCAAAGCTCTTTGAGTTCTCGTCTCAAAAACTCGAATAATTGTTCCTTTAACACTTCCAGTTGCCAAAAGTGTTCCCTGATTATTAATAGCCAATTGACAAATTTCCGATTCATGCGCATCGATTGAAGTTGGAGATAAACTTTCGAATTCGGTCAAACTGTTGAGATTCATTAATCTCACACTTCCCATTTTGAAACCAGGAAAAGCTAGATGTTGCCCGGTTAAATCATCAACACTCATTGAAGCCAATCCAGTTGGATTTAGTCGAATTTCTTCAGCGCGGATCAATTTACTTTTATTGGGAAATGAGAAAATGTGTATTTTCTTTGCTTGCACGATGACTAATCTTGTTGAAGACATCAAAACATTGAGAATTGGACCGCCTGGAACTGTATATTCTAGCACTATTTCTTGTCGTTTATCGTCCCATACAAATGCGGTATTTGAGGGGTATTTGGTGTGTTTTCCGGCGCCGACGAAGCAAATTAGGTTGGATCGATGGAGAATGCTGGAGATTCGAGCATTTCCAGTGTCTGCAAAAATACATTGCTTTTATTCAAAACTTGGAAATAAACATTTTGTAAATTCATTTTCATTTCAAAAAAATAAAAAAAAAATATTAGCACCGTACTCCTGTTTGAAGGCGCAGCACACAAAAACATGGGTCTCGCCGCGACACAAAGCTTTTTTGCCTGCGCCTTTTGCACAGTATTATTTTTTCCAATCAATTTTAAAATCTTACATTCAGGATCAATACTTTTGAGCAAAACCAGAGGTTCTGTATTGAAAACCTTGACTCCACGACTACTTGATATCACAAAAGCATCCTGTTGTGCATTCATCACAGCATGGTTGATTTTCGACGTGGATTCCATCTAGAAAAATGATTTTTAAGTTAGGTTAAAACGACGCTAGAAGCAAATGTCACGAGAAGTGCAAACACCGCCAGAAATGAAGAAATTGCGCGTCAAATGGTGTGTTTTAAAGTGTGCAATAGTGTTTGCACTTATTTTTTGCCTTGCCTTTCCCAGAGAGCCCCTTTTGTTTTTGTTTTCGTACACATGCAAATTTTTCAGCAGCTATACTAGAAATACTAGAAATAGTACTTACACTTCTATTTTTAGCGAACTTTTCTGTCGTGAAAATGCAAAAAAAAAAAAATTTTTGAAGAAAAAAAAAAGAATACGGTTTTCAAAGGCACACAAACAGAAATGTTTCAGCGCTTTGAGACCCACTGATTCTCCCTGTGCGTCTTGAATATTGCCTACGGTGTATAGAAAATTATTTTTTTCTCGCATTTCCGCGGAACACACGTTTTTCCCATGCAATGAAGAGTCATGGTAAGCAGTGACAACGGTGTTTGCGGACATGTGTTTGCACACATTTTGTTCTCACACATCTCTCGCACTCTCTCGTTTGCCGCGCTCTCTATTTTTCATTTTGAAAAAAAGAGGTACGGTATCAAAGGCGCATGTGTTTTTAATTTCGATTGGTCTCGCAGCGGAGGCTAACTTTCTTCCCAGGACCCCTAAAAATTCCAAACAAAGTCATTCGCACAGATTTCGATACGCTGATTTTCGCTATGTTTTTTGTTTTTGATGAAGTGGGGGTAATTACACCGCTAGGCGTTGCACCGTTTTTGTCGGATGCGCGATGAAAATTGCACAACTTAGTCATCCTCAAGAGGATGTGCACCACAAATGCGCCATCTTGTAAAAGATTGACGTATTTTGTGTGTGTGTGCGCTCTCCACGTGCATTTCAAAATAATTTAGTTTCGTTTTTGTGTTTTTCTAGGGTTTTTCGTTGTTTTCACAGGGAATTCTCGGAATTCTCTGTGTTAAGTAATTAACTCATCTTTTGTTATTATTGATACACTTCCTCGTGAAGTTGTATCTGTATTTTCATTGTTTATTTTGGTCAAAAACATAAAGTTTGGCCTAAAATCCGTGTTTTGTTATTTTTCCTTGCTAGTGGTTTAAATCCACTGTCATCTTTGAAGTCAACCTCCTTGCAATATCAAGCAAAGGAGAACCGGGAGGTGCAACTTGGGGGCCGAACCAACCACAACCCCAAATTCATTCAACTTCGTGTATTCGTCGATTTTTTTTGATTTTTGAACACGTTCCTAGTGATCCTTTCCTAGTTTCAGGACTGGAGTTAAGGAATTGTTCGATTGTCAAAAGGATATTGGATATTTTGGACTAGTGGAGAATTCGACATCGAAAATGGCTGCGGCAAGTGAAACTATGCAACACATTGGATCAGTGAGCAGTGGATTGGAAGATTCAACGGGGCACGAAGAAGATATTGGTATGATGTTTGATGAGAAAGCAGCGGATTGGATTATGATTGCACAAGAAGCTCGAGAAGATGCAAAGAAGTTGAAATTGAGTGAAAGACAAGCGGATGTCGTATTGAATCCGTTAATGAAGAAAGTCGAACAACGAGTAGAGGATTTGCGCGGGATGGTCAAGGAAAAGTGGGCGCAAATGCCGAATCGGGATGAGTGGAGATGTTTGCGATATTTGAGAAGAGGAAATAAGACCAATGTGAAGAAATTGGCACAATTGATGGAGAAAGGAACCGAGTTGGTTATTTGGGAAAGAGAAAATGGTGAGAAACTTGAAAACATTGAGAAAAAGGTCAATGAAGAAAGACAAACGTTTATTTTGCAGGTTGATGAATTGAATGGAAAGTTGAAGAATAATGAGGAAGAGATTTGGAAGAAAAACGAGAAATTGAAGAGATATGAGCAGAAATTCGAAGAGATGATGGTATTGATGAAACAAAAAGATGAATTGATGATGAAGATGAAAATGGAAAATGAGAAGAAGAGAGAATTATCACCAACGCCGAGTGTGCGAATGATAAATTTATGGTGGTGTTTTGTTGAAAATTGAAGAATGGCGAAATGCATTGGCGGAGGCGCAAGTTGATATGGCGGATGGGTTCGATATAGCCAAAGGTGCTGCGATGGAAGAAGATTGGTCGGAAAATGCAGATGCGATTTTCACACCGTTGGTGAAAAAAGTTAATGCATTGGCGGAAGTATTTCGTGCAGTGTTGGTGGACTGGGAATTGAGTGCGCAACCGAATGAAGAAGATGCCAGAATTGTGCGATATTTGAAGCGATGTGGTGCAACCGATGTTGAAAAAGTTGCAGCAGCATTTGAGAAAGTTGCGGAAAGTGGTAATTGGAAAGATAAATATGAGAAAATCAAAGAAAAATTATTGTTGCAGATGAAATCGTTGAAAGTTGAATTGGATTCTTCAAAGATGTTGGTGGCAGAGAAATCGGAGAAGATTCAAGAATTGGAAAGATTATTGAAAGCTGCTGGTGAGAAAAAACGTAGATATTTTTCTCCAACTCCAAGTTTGCAGGTTCGAAACTTCTTGTCGAGTGCTGATGTTGATTCAGATGATTATGAACTTGATTTTGAAGCGGATGATGTTGAAAGTGTAGATTATGAGGGTTGCATATCGCCAAAGTATATTGAGCATATTCAAATGTTGAAGCGAAACAAACTGGGCATATATGCTTCTTCCAAACAACATCCAATCGATCAAGGTTTTTAATTGTTATTTTGTCATAGGTTCCGTGGCGGCACCTCTTGAGGGGGAAGTCATCCTCAAGAGGATGTGCACCACAAATGCGCCATCTTGTAAAAGATTGACGTATTTTGTGTGTGTGTGCGCTCTCCACGTGCATTTCAAAATAATTTAGTTTCGTTTTTGTGTTTTTCTAGGGTTTTTCGTTGTTTTCACAGGGAATTCTCGGAATTCTCTGTGTTAAGTAATTAACTCATCTTTTGTTATTATTGATACACTTCCTCGTGAAGTTGTATCTGTATTTTCATTGTTTATTTTGGTCAAAAACATAAAGTTTGGCCTAAAATCCGTGTTTTGTTATTTTTCCTTGCTAGTGGTTTAAATCCACTGTCATCTTTGAAGTCAACCTCCTTGCAATATCAAGCAAAGGAGAACCGGGAGGTGCAACTACTTTCTTATTTTTCAAACGTGTGTGTCCGAGAAAGAAATCTGATAAATTATTATACATTCCGTGCGCAAATAATTAGAAATTCAATTCATGATTCAGCTGCTCAAAAGTCCAAGTATTTTCTAATTATTATAATAATCTTTCCCCTTTGTGACTAATGCCTTCCAAGAAAATTGGACTCAAAAGTGCGTGCTATTTTATTTTTTTTGCTGCTCGTGACCACTCATTTTCTCTACGTCTCTCGCTCTCTAAACCCCGCCTTTTCCAGCTTTTTCTCCTTCTTGAAATAAAGTATTTCCTTTCATTTTCCCCCTATATAAGAGTATTTGGTCTCAAAAAATGTCATTTTTCAGGTGAAAATGAGTGCGAAACACGAGGAAGAGGAGGGCAAAAAGATCAAGGTTCAAATTCGCGAAAAGGATTTGTTATGTATAAATGGATGTGGGTTTTATGGCACACCGCAATGGGAAAATCGATGTTCGAAGTGTTGGCGAGCACATCAGATTGTGCTGAAAAGATCGCAGGATTTTGCCAAAAATCGGTGAGTTTTGGGGGAATTTTTGCTATAAAATATGTCAAATTTGGTCTCAAAATATCCAGAATTCTCCCATTTTCTCTGAAAATTCTATTTTCAGAACTCTTCTGAGCTTCGATCAATTCCAAGAACGTCGAAAATCCACAACCGAAGGTCGAACTTTGAGCATCAAAAAAATATTCAAAAGTCAAACTTTATTACCCTCTTCTTCAGGTAAACTAGACTCTAGTTTAATTAATCAATCGATATATTTTTCCAGACGCTTCTCCAACTTCAAATTCACCAAACACAACGCCAACCAGGTAATTTTTGAGTTTTCAAATGAAAAAAAAAGAAATTACATATATTTTTACATAAAAACAAAACATAAACAAGTTTTTTTTCGTCTGAAAAGAGAAGCAATGAATTCTCAGAATCTAAGTAGATGTTTTTTTTTGTTTTTCAGATGAAAAACAGAAAATTTGGTCAGAAAAAGTGCAAAGTTCGTTTCCTTTTTGAGTCATAAACGAAATTTGCACTTTTAGGACTTTTTTCGAGGAAGGAAAGAGAAAAGGGGATTTTTGGAGTGGAAAAAATTTGAATTTGATTTAGGAGAACGGGGTACTGTGGGGTTTTGGCGGGAAAATTTTTTGAAATTTAATAGGAGCCACGAATTCAACCTAAAAACAGAATTTTCATTTGGGAAATGCAAATGCGCTCCATCGAAACCACCCCGAAAAATTGAAAATTTCAAAAAATCTTGTCTAAAAATCATCAAATCATTAGAAAATGCAAACGCGCTCCATCGAAATCACCCCGGAAAATGTAAAAATTCAAAAAATGATTGAAAACCTCTCAAAAATTCAAAATCCTAATTAAATGTGCAAATGCGCTCCATCGAAATCACCCCGGAAAATGTAACAATTCAAAAAAATCTTCATCAAATCATTAGAAAATGAAAACGCGCTCCATTGAAAACTCTTCAAAAATTCAAATTCCCACTTAAATGTGCAAACGCGCTCCATCGAAATCACCCCGGAAAATGTGAAAATTCAAAAAAAATTCTTGTCTAAAAATCATCAAATCATTAGAAAATGCAAACGCGCTCCATCGAAACCACCCAAAATCTTTCAAAAATTCAAATGTTTTTGCAGATCCCGCGACATTTCGCCCGATTCCAAAGCGGCTCGCGAAAATCTCACTGATTTTCTGATTCGCGAACTTCCCACCTCAATAGTTCAAGAAATAACACGACAAGTCAAATATGCGGTGAATAAAATCAAAGAATTACGTGTGAATCCGGATGATATGAGTGAATTGGTTCAGGGATTCTATCAATATTTGAATGATAAACTGAATTCTTCCGCGTTTTTTGCGCAGGAAGGTAAGTACGGTTTTTACGTGGATTTTTTTAAGCCTGACAAAAAATCTCAATTTTCTCTTCTTTCAGCCTGTAAAATCACAATTCAAGAAGTGATGGATGAAGTGGAGAAGTATATCTGTACCTGTTGTTATTCATATTTATTTTGTGCAAGTTCGGATGAAGAAGTCGCTGATGTTTCACTTCAAGATCGAATTCGAAGTTTGCATTGGGTTACGGCCGGATTTTTGGAGACCAAACTAGATTTCAAGAAACAGGCGGTGAGTATTTTTTCGCTCCAAGACCTATGTCCCTTTAATAAAATTTTTCCCCTTTAGGTTCGCGATAAACTCGATGAAGCTATCGCTGAGTTAATCGAAATCAACGCCAAAAAATCCACCTCCGAAAAACTCGAGCACCTCGTCAAATCATCCAATCTAATCTTCCGCGCACTTTCCGAAAGTTCCGCATCGAATTCCGCCGATGAATTCCTCCCAGTAATGATATTCGCGCTACTTCGCGGAAATCCACCGCTCATTCAATCCAACGTCAAATTCATCTCTCGATTCTCCACACCGAATCGTGTGATGTCGGGTGAAACTGCCTATTTTTTCACGCATTTATCGTGTGCACTGCAATTTGTACAGGAAATGAATCATGAAAGTTTGCGCATGGAAAAAACGGAATTTGAAGCGTATACGAGTGGACAATTGGCACCGCCACTTTCGGCTATTAATTGCGCTTGTAATCAGGTAAATTTGCGATTTTTTGGTGAAAAATGAGGATTTTTGGACTGTTTTAAGCTAAAAATCATGAAAATTCGTCTAGATGGCCTAGAAAACCAATCATCTGGATTTCTAGGCCATGCTCGAATTTTTGTGGAAAATTATCAATTTTTTGATGAAAATTGGGATTTTCACGATGAAAACTCGACCGAAAATTGGCTAGAAAAACTGGATGGCCTAGAAAACCAATCATCTGGATTTCTAGGCCATGCTCAAATTTTCATTGAAAATTATCAATTTTTTTATGAAAATTGGGATTTTCACTATGAAAATTTGACCAAAAATGGTTCAGAAAACCTGGATGGCCTAGAAAACCAATCATCTGAATTTCTAGGCCATGCTCGAATTTTCCTTGAAAATTATCAATTTTTTGATGAAAATTGGGATTTTTCCACTGGAAGTTTGACCAAAAATGGTTTAGAAAACCTGGATGGCCTAGAAAACCAATAATCTGGATCAGGCCTGTGCCGGAAATTTTCCGAATTTTCCGGATTTCCGGATTTTCCGGTTTTTTCACGGAAAAATTAATTTTTCGGTTTTCCGGAAAATTTGGTCGGAAATTCCGGAAAATGATTTTTAATAGCAATATCTTCAATATTGCCTAAATTTCGAGAAATTTTCTCAGTTTGTGATACAAAAAAAAGATTTTTGAAAATTTTTTTCCAATTTTTCTGAATTTTACGACTTTTTGAACGTGAAAAGTCCTGAAATAGAAGAATTGTATCTAAAAATACAATTTAGGGCCAACATAGTGCTGAAATTTCAAATTTTCAGACTTTGAAAAATTTTCCGAATTTTCCGGATTTTCCGGTTCAACAAATCCGGAAATTTTCCGACTTTCCGTTTTCCGGGTTTCGATTTTCCGGCACAGGCCTGATCTGGATTTCTAGGCCATGCTCGAATTTTCGGTGAAAATTATCGAATTTTTTGATGAAAATTGGGATTTTTCCACTGGAAGTTTGACCAAAAATGGTTTAGAAAACCTGGATGGCCTAGAAAACCAATCATCTGGATTTCTAGGCCATGCTCAAATTTTCATTGAAAATTATCAATTTTTTTATGAAAATTGGGATTTTCACTATGAAAATTTGACCAAAAATGGTTCAGAAAACCTGGATGGCCTAGAAAACCAATCATCTGAATTTCTAGGCCATGCTCGAATTTTCCTTGAAAATTATCAATTTTTTGATGAAAATTGGGATTTTTCCACTGGAAGTTTGACCAAAAATGGTTTAGAAAACCTGGATGGCCTAGAAAACCAATCATGTGGATTTCTAGGCCCTGCTCAATTTTTCCTTGAAAATTATTAATTTTATGATGAAAAAATGAGGATTTTTGGACTGTTTTAAGCTAAAAATCATGAAAATTCGTCTAGATGGCCTAGAAAACCAATCATCTGGTTTTCTAGGCCATGCTCAAATTTTCCTTGAAAATTATCGATTTTTCATCAATTTTTCAACATTTTTTCACCATTTTCATCAAAAATTTCACGATTTTCAGGCAATTTTCACCATCGAAGGAGCTTTGGACTCGGTAACCGCTCTGAAAAACGAACAAACCTCGTTGCTCTCCAAAATTCAGCAACTGGAAAGACGCGTCGAGACGTAAGCACCTAATTTAGGCCTCAAAAGATCCATAAAAAATTTTACAGGGAGGTCGCCAGTCTAACCACCGATTTCTCCACAAAAATGTCAATTTTGCCCAGCAAAAAATATCTGGATTTACGAGCCGAGATTTTGCGCGAAGAGCAAATGACACAGGATTTGATCGCCTCGTTTTCGAGACAATCTTCGGATTCTGGGATTTCTTCTGGAACTCTGGAAAATCGCGCAGAATAGGCCTTTTTTGGTCTACAAAAGCCCACTTATGCTCTTTTTAGGCTCAACCTTGTACATTAGCTTGTTTTTATCCAATTTTTTAAAAAAATACCCGCCAAAAATTCCACTATATTTTTTCACGGGTTCTTTTTTTGCCCCATTTCCACGTGTCCTGGTTTTATTTTTTTTTGTTGGTCCCGCCCTACCGATTTTCGACCGCCATTTCTATTCGAAACGAAATTTGGAAACCGAAAAAATGTTGGGCGAAGCGATCATTTTAGCCGGTGTCATTTTTGCGTTGTTGATGGTCCATAAACAAGATATTGCGAAGGTGAGGACTAGAAATACATATATGGACTAGGGATTTGGATTTCTAGGCCATCACTCTAGATTTTTGGTAAAATATATTATCGAAAATCTCATCGGTACCACGTGCTCCACACGCAATGCAGACCGCGTCGCGCCACAACACACACACAAAAAAGGGAGGGAATTTGAATGTGTTGTGGCGCGGCGCGGTCTGCGTTGCGTGTGGAGCGCGTGATACCGATGAGATTTTCGATGATATATGTTTTCCAGTACAGTACATGATCACAATTCCCTAAAATTGCAGAACTCATGAGTTATGACGTGGCAAAGATCGTAAATTTTGAAAATCCGCGATTTTAGAAGTTGAAAACTAGCTTCAAAAATGATTTTCAGACAAATTTAATAGCACAGGGTGGTTCCGAACAGCCATATGATATTAAATTTGCATGAAAATTATTTTTGAAGCTAGTTTTCGGCTTCTAAAATCCCGGATTTTCGAAATTTCCGAACTTTGCCACGTCATAACTCATGAGTTCTGCAATTTTTTTGGGAATTCTGATCATGTACTGTACTAGAAAACATATATTTTATCAAAAATCTACCCCCGGCGGACTAGTTTTCGCCTGACCTAACATCCCAAATAATTTCCTCTTCCAGGGTGGTGATGGTATCCCCTTCATTGGTCATTATTTGGACGAAATCGATGATTTCCTCAAAAGACTGCAACAACAAAATCGTCGTCGAAACATTAATGATTCGGAAATGAAGACTGCTCGCAGTCTCAGCGGACAGGAAAAATTTGAACCAATTGAACGTGAGTTTGGAGACTGGGAAGCCTGAAAACCGGTCTGGGAGTGATTTTTAGGCCTGGAAGTTCCCCCAAAAAATCCAAATTTTTGCAGCCCGAACTCGATCCTCGACACGCAATCGACACCATCGCAAACATCGCTCAAAAAATGAAAATGATCATTAATTCGTGGCTAATTAATTAATTAATTAGCCCCCTCCCGCCTTTGCCTCGCCTCGCTGTAAATTTGCATTTCTTTTTTCTCGTCATGCTGTATAAAGATTGCCTTTTTTGTGAAGTTTTCTTGAATTTTTTGATGGTTTTATACCTATTTTTATCGATTTTTTGGCCCTGCGCCTTTGAAAATCTTCGCAGGACCTGTTTAAAGGGATTTTTGATAAAATTTGGGTTATGCGCCTTTAAAAAGTCTTGGAAATCCCATGGAGAAGGTTATGTACCTTTAAAAATCCATTCAGGACCCAAAAACATGAGGAATTCTTTCAAAGAACCTGTAATTTCCAGAAATGCTGCGAAATTTCACGCGAGCCTCCTCAAGTCTAATTCGAGCTGGAACTGCTGCCGAAAACCTATCAGCCGAGCAAATCTGGCAACGACGCTCCAAATTACGCGTGCCCAAATTGCAAAAAGACGAGCAGCTCTCATCGAAAGTCTATTTTGCTGCGAAAGAATGGGAATTGGACAAAAAAGCGAATCGAGATGAAGGAGAAGTGGATCCGTTGAAAAATTATGGAATGACACCCGAGAAATGGAGATATTATAATACTGTGAGTGGAATTTTTGGGCGGGAATTTGGGGAATTTGAAAATTCAAAAATCAATTTTCTTCAGATTGTCTGGCCACCAAACTACACTGTACCCGAAACCGGTCTCCCGAAAACCAAAGAAGTATTTTATTGTCAAGAAAATATGCATTTTTCGCCGAAAAGAATGTGGACGGCTTGTCAATTAATTTGGAAAATGAATGTGGATGAAGCGCTGACACAATTGGATTTGCAACAATTAAAAGTGAGCGATTTTGAGCCGAAAATGGTGAAAAACTGATAATTTTCGACCATGACCTAGAAAACCATTTGGAAAACTAGTCCCCCATTTCATTTCTTTTTCCAGTCGTGCACAATGTTGGCTGAAACTCTACGAAAAGCCAAACAACAAGCGGCCGATGAATTCCACATTGAATTTCCGAGTCAAATGTATGTGGCTGACGCATTTCCGGTGCAATCGAATATTGTCAAAGGTACGGTGGCATTTTTGGCGGGAAAATTGGGGAAATTTCGGGAAAACTGAGCGAATTTTAAAATTTCATATATTTTCGGGTCTAATTTTCTCAAAATTCAGGCTGAAAAATTCTAAAAACTATTATTATTTGATCAAAAATAATCAAAATTTCCCGAATTTTCAGCTGATTTGCTTAAAATTCACCTAGAAATCCCAAATTTCTCTCCAAAAATCCCAAATTTAATTACAGGTGCCCGCCGTCACGCTCACGAAGATTGGAACACAATTCGCTATCGTTATATCAACATTTTTGTGCGTCTCGAATCTGGCCCGCCGCCAAATTTCAAACAAAGATTCGCGCCAAAATCCGGATTCGATCATATGGAGAATTATTACGATTATTTGAGATCCAGACAAATTAAGTACAGTATCTAGAGGGATACTGTAGGTTTTTTTCTAGTTTAGAAGTTTCTTTGTTATATTATTTTTTGTTATGAAAAATTGATTTGAAAAAAAACTGTGCCAGCCTTGCAGAATTAGGCCACGCCCACTTTTTGACCATGGAAAAAATGAATTATTTCAAAATCTCAATAATTTATGGTCAATAATATTGACTCAATATTCAACAGGATTCAATAAAAAGTTAAAAATTTCGATAAAATAACAGGAAAATTATAAAACTATACCGTTAAAAAAGTATTCGTGAGTTGATTTTATTTCTTGTTTTGATTTGCACGCAAGCGGGGCTGAAAAAACATCAATTTTTTGAAAATTTCAAAACCTCGCATGACTTACACTTCTTCTAATGGTCTCCATAACTGTTTTTGGCTTCTTTCCAATCACTTGTTCCCCACGTTTTCTTATGCTTCCAGATTTCTTCTTATCTTTTTCATTTCTACTTGGTGTTTGTGTTGGAGTGGAGTGAATTATCGCATCTTGATCATATACATGTTGCTCGACGATGGGTTGGTCTGAAAAATGAAAAAAAATCAATATTTTCAACTAAAAAGTCGAAGAGCTCACCTCCAAATGTCACAGAATGTTTGAAATTCTTCATCATCTTCACCTGCACATCGCCGAATTCATCCAAACGAGTATTGATTTGATTTTGTCCTTCGGTTGCACCTTTCACCATCTGAAAACCTTTCATTTAAGAAAAAAACCACTCCCAAAAACAGTTGAACTCACCATCATCAGAATGATGTTTTTTTCCTCAGCTCGTTGCAAATTGTATTCGAGAAGTTCGACTCGTTCCAATAGAGTGATTCGCACAGGAATAGCAAGTTGTTGTTCGTTATTTTTATTAGTGATTTCCATTTTCTGCAAAAAAAAACCTATTTTTAGCTTTATTCGGCCAAAAATTAAGCAAATACGAAGGAAAAGCACTGAAACTTGTTGAAAATAGCGTTCTTTAATTTTAAAAATTGATTTAAATCATGAAAACTTTGATTTTCAGAGGTTTTCAGATGAAAAACAGTGAAAAAAGAAAAAAAAAACGAAAAAATTTTTCGAAAATGTGTTGCTGGGTCTCGCGGCGACACACAACTACAGTACCCCGCGCGCAATTCAAATTTTATTTTTGGGAAAGGAAAAATTATTTTATTTATTATTGGAAAAAAACCGGTTTTGTTGGAAAAAACATCAAAATTCAATCAGAAGTTAGAAGATTTGCATATTTTTTTGGTTTTTCTGCTTCAACACTGCATTTCACGATGTCAGGAGTTGAATAACCTGAAAAATGGTGATAATTTAAAAAAAAAAGTTCTATAATAGGCTACCTTGCGACGAAAAATGCCTTCTCTGCTCATTTTGAATCGGCACCGTCGCCGACATTCTTCCCTTTTGCAGCGAAATCGCCATACTTCGCATTTTATCGGGGAAAAGTTGGGAGTATTCATAGTTTTCGCGTTTACATTCGACGTTCGGAATCCAACGGAACACATAGCGAAAACCGATTCGAAAACGTTCGTTGGAAAAACAATAAATTATTGGATTAAAGGCGCATGACGACATTGCGACCCAATAGATCAATAAATACGTGTTGACACTTCCTTCCATCTGAAATTTTGGTTTATTGAATGTCAGGGACTAGTTTTCAAGGCAGATTCCTAGGCCACCAAAACCCACCATGCTCGTATGATAAATATGATAGGGTAGCCAGCAAATCATAAAAGCCAAAACCATCAACGCCAACATTTTGATCGCCTTACTTTTCGCCCGATTATGACAACTTTGTTTGGAGCACTTGTTGTCTGCAGTGGGCTCGTTGGATTCGCGCAAAGTTAGCGCAATTTTGGCGAATGTTGTGGATAGGACGAGAAGGGGAATTGCGTATTGAATCACGAAGAGCATTGTATCCATGCTGGAAATTTTTTATCCCTTTTTCATTTTCAGCCACGTGTTTTTCGTGTTTTTTTAGAAAAAATTTGGAAAAAAACCCTGAAAATAATCCTAATCCCTCTGAAAAAGACAAAAAAAGAATTTTTCTCGAAAAACCCAAATCAAAAATCCAATTCCTGTTCTAATTATAAATTTTCCAAGGACTCGAATAGGAAAAACATCCTATTAGTTAGCGGAAACTCACAGACGTCCTCCATTTGACCGAGCCAAATGGAGCATTTGAAGTGCACCCGTTGAGCAATCATAGATATACGCTTGTTCGACCTGAAATTCGAAAATTTGAGCGAAAAATTGAGTTAGGATAAGTGGTAGAGGAGAAAAGGGGCTTTAAAATGAATATTAAAAAAATTCAGAGGATTTCAAAATTTCAGAGTTAGCCTAACTTGTAGAGGCTTCAAAGCCCACTTAAAGATACTTATGATAACTAGGATTACAGTTCAAAATTTGAAGTTTAAAGGGAGGTATCGTACCACGACCATTTACTCCTTCAATAGAAAATAGCCCCTCGGGTCAGACGAGAGACGACGGGAGTCTGATGACGTCATCTGAGACAGAGAAAGACATCGCTTCGAGATATTTTTGAGAAAATATGTGTCCCTTTGAAAAAATACCGTATTTTGTTTCAAGGAACACATGTTTTATTGAAAATATCTCGAAGCGAAATTAATTTTTGGGATATTTTTGCAAAATACTCTCGCGTCTGACTTAACGGGCGCCTTGTATGGTCGTGCGTACTTCAGAGTCATCTTGTATTATCGAATCGGTACCACGCGCTCCACACGCAACGCAGACCGCGCCGCGCCACACAAAAAGGGAGGGAATTTGAATCGTTTCCTTATTTGTGTGTGTTGTGGCGCGACGCGGTCTGCGTTGCGTATTTATTTCGGTGGAGCGCGTGGAACCGATGAGATTTTCGATAAGGTGAAAATGATGCTTCTAGATAATTCCAGAAACTCTATGCTAGCTCATCTTAGAGCTCTTGAAATTCTCTACAAAATGAACCCAAACACCCTTAAGGTTCTTAAGCTAAAATTACAGTAATCCTACTCCCCCGCCCAATCCACATAGATTCCAAAAATTAATGTGTTTTCTGATTTCTGAAAAATTTAATGCTAATCCCCTAATTAGTTAACATTATCATTTTCGTAGACAAGTTTTTTTTCAAAAAAAAAAAAAAAAAAAAAAACTAACATGAGCATCCCATGCAAAAGGCAGTGCAGTTGCTGTCGAAATCAACCAAATCACCGAAATCGCAATCAGACTTCTTCTCCGCGAAAGCGGCCGTTTTCTCAATGGTCGAGTCACAGCCAAACAACGATCATAACTCAAACACATCATTGAGCACACCGAAACTGTTGTTGGAGCGATGCCGAAAAATGTGGTGATGGCGAATGTGTTGCCGAACCTGGAGGAAAAATGCAGATGAAAATTGGCTACAAAATGAGTATAAATATGGGTGTTTTAGCTGGAATATGCATGAAATTCTCTACAAATTGAGCTGAAACTTGAATATTTTCTGAAATTTGGGTGTGGCTGAAAATCTAGCTGAAAATTGGCTACAAAATGAGTATAAACATGGGTGTTTTAGCTGGAATTTCTGAAAATTTCATTTTTTTTTGTAGCCCTTGAAATTTCTCACCAATTCAGCTGAAACTTGAATATTTTCTGAAATATTTTGATGGCTGAAAATCCAGCTGAAAATTGGCTACAAAATGAGTATAAACATGGGTATTTTGAGCATAATTCTGAAAATTTCTAAAAATTTTAAAAATGGATTTTGTAGCCCTAGAAATTCTGTACAAATTGAGCTGAAACTTTAGAATTTTCTGAAATTTTTTTATGGCTGAAAATCCAGCTTCCACGGGATTTCAAAAATCTGAAAATATCTCATTCACTTTTTTTTTCTGAAATTTGAGATTTGTGCTGAAATTCAGGCTCAAATATGATTAGAGCATTTTCTACATTTTCAGATCCCTAAACTCCACTAGATTTCAAAAATCTGAAAATTATCTGAAAATATCAATATTTGTACTTATTTTGTAGGGAATTTCAAGGGCTATAAAAATTTTTTTCTGAAAATTTCGAAATTTTGCTGAAAATTCAGGACAAACAATATTTTCAGATCCCCAAACTCCCCTAGATTTCAAAAATCTGAAAATATCTCTGAAAATAATATTCGTACTCATTTTGTAGGGATTTTCAAGGGCTACAAATATTTCTATCTATATTTCATTTTTTTTTGAAAATATCGAAATAATTTTCTAAATCCCCTGAAAATTCAAAATTTCCAGTTCACCCCGTGTATTTCTCGAAATTTGCACGATCTTTGGCTCTCTCGCCTAACTAATTGTTAGTTTCCGTTTGTTTTCAACGTCGACCTTCAAACAACACAAAAAGAGACATTTCTAATTCCCAATTTGCTTGCTGAAAATGCTGAAAACCCACCACCAATCATAGTACAAATTGTATGGCCACGAAGTTCCGACGTTGAAAAGTGCATTGAGCAAATCGGCAAAAGCCATGTTGAAAAGAAAGAAATTGAAACCATGATGCATCACTTTGTGTCGATAAATTATCCACAAAACCACCGAATTTCCGATCACGGCCACCAAAATCAACAGGAGAAATGCGGTGATGATAAAGATTTGAGTGAGCCTGGAAGAATTGGTGAGGATAGCTCAGTCGGTTAGAGTTTTGTGTTGGTTGCGAGACCTGGGTTCGATCCCTGGTGCGCGCGGGTTTTTTCGCTATGACGTGGCAAAACTGATTATTCATATATACATTTTGAAAAAAAAAGTGTAACACAATAAAAATTGATGAGATTGTTCTTTTTTTTTAACAAAAGAGTTGAAAAAGTTTGTTCTTTGATGTTAACGTCGAAAAATTTGAATTTATGCTTTGGCCCTGAAATTAGTCATTTATTTTTCAAAACAAACAAATTTGGGCTTCTCAAATTTCATTTTTTCATTGAAAATAGCGATATTAAAAACGAAATTGACGCAATCGCAAAATATGTTCGCTTAGCTCAGGCGGTTAGATGTTCGCTTTTAGAATTTGAGGTCATGGTTCGAGCCCGGGTGCGCGCAAAAGTTTTTTTTTTCAAACTCACACACTGGGCAGTTCGCCAAACTCGGTGCTCAAATAGACACTCGAAGTCACCGGAAATTCCAGACTCGCATTCTGATGACCGGAGCAACGCGCTTCACCGTGCTCCAAAATCGGCTCCATGTTTTATTGAGCTGAAAACGAAAATTTCAGATAAAAAATATTTGAGAGAGAGCACAAAAAATCTGCTCGCTGGAAAAAAACACCTAGTGAAATATTAATGCGCTTCTGTGTATCTGTGTGTTTTTTTCAGAGGAAAAAAAAACACACGAAATTTTCAGGGCACAGATTTGTGGGCGTGGCCTAATTTTGAGCCGCAAAAAATTTGAGAATTGCTTAAAAATTCAAGAAAATAAGAGCAGACAGAGGAAAACAAGAGAAAATTTTAATGAGCATAGATTAGGGGCGGAGCTTCATTTTTTTTGAATGAAAATGAGATTTTTTTGAAAAAGGCGGGGTTTTGGCGGGAAGAAAAATTGACACGTGGATTTTTGGGGTCAAAAATTTTGCGACGTGGATTTGCAGCGTCAAATATTATCGAAAATCTCATCGCTACCACGCGCTCCACCGAAATAAACACGCAACGCGGACCGCGCCGCACCACAACACACACACAAAAACGGGAACGATTCAAATTCCCTCCCTTTTTTGTGTGTGTTGTGGCGCGACGCGGTCTGCGTTGCGTGTTTATTTCGGTGGAGCGCGTTAGTCAGGAGCTACGGTAATTTTTGGCGCCAAAAATGCTCCAAAAATAAAAGATACTCTTCTAGTTTTTGAGCATCTTCCCAATCAAACCGCAAAAAAGTGTGGGTGCAATAATTCTATTTCCTTATGACGAAAAAGCGAATCGAGAAACTCGGAAATAAACTTTTTTTTTTTTTGTTTTGTTTCGTGTGTTTCGAGCACTTTTTTGCCTAAGGGCAACTATTAGCAGAAAAAAAACGAAGAGGATTTTTTTTACGAAAAAATTTTAAAATTTTCATTTTTTTTCAAGACAAAAATTTTCAGAGACAAAAAAACTGGAAAAATTTTCTCTCTCTCCCATAAAACTGCGCATAAATGCCTTTGCAATTTCAGTAGAATAAAAAAATAATTGAAAATAAAAATAAATATAAAATTGAATTTTGGACGGAAATTGTGTTTTTGTCCCGAGATATCGGGCTATGACGTGGCAAAATCTGGAAATCTTTCGGAATTTTCAGCCCCTAATTAGGTCCCAAAAATCTCGGATATCTGAGATATTTTTTTTTCTCAAGGAAGTGTCGCAACATTTTTTCTCAAAAACAAAACTATAGTTAGTCCAAATCACAAACTACACACATGGAATTTCCCTAAAAAATAAGGAAATGCACTTGTCACGGCATTTTGTTTTTGGGATTTGTGAGATGAATCAGAAAATGAAGAAAAAGTTGTCATTTTGTAGTACTTGAGCCGACAAAAAAAACAAGCAAGTTATGACGCAGTTTTTTTTTGAGCTGGAATTTCAGCCAGAATTTGAGATTTTCAGAAAATTTGAATTCATGGATTTTGTAGCTCTTGAAATTTTCTACAAAATGAGTATAAATTTTATTTTCAGAATTTTTCTGAAATGTTTTTTCAACGTGGATTTTCAGCAAAAATCTCAAAAAGTGAATACGTGCATTTTGTAGCTTATGAAAAGCGGAACAGGAAAATTCGCGAAAATTAGGTTAGCTGAAAATATTTGTACTAAATTTTCAGCCTTTCTGAAAATTTCAGAAAATGTTGGTTAATAGACCTTGAAACTGGGTACAAAGAGCAAAAATTTGTCTGAAATTTTTTTTGACTGAAAATCGCTGAAACATGAATAATAGCTTAATCATTGAAGTTTGGAAAAAATTTTAGATCAGAAATTTTATTTTCGAATTTTCGTGACAAAATTTCAAATTTTGTGCATTTCGTAGCTCTTTTTTTTAACACAAAAAATTCGCTTCCCAAAAATTAGGAAAATTATTCGAGCATAACGTTTTTTGCTTGAATTTGTCACGGTGTTTCAAATAGAAAAAATTGAATTTTCAGCTAAAATCTAGAATTTTCTTAAAATATTCATTTTGTAGCACTTCAAAATAAGTACAAATATAAATATTTCAAAATTATTTTGCCCCAATTTTCAGCCATAATCTAGAATTTTTTTTTCAAAAAATCTGCAAGAAAAAATCAGAACGAAATTCAAGCATCACAAATAAAGTGTCTATAATTAATTTCAGTCAAAATAATTACAAATCTCTCAAAATTTTCTACAAAAACTTTTTTTCTGCAAAAAAAACCGCTCAAAAATTCATTGAACAAGGTCTAATCGCAGGAAACTATCAAAAAAAGAACATTTTTATTTATTGTATCCCAGTTTTTTCAGTTTTTCCTGGAGAAAAAGAGCACAAAGAGGAAAAATGTGCTCAGATTTTTGATTTTCTGGAGAAAAATGTGAAAATTCTGAGAACAAAGAAATTTTCAGCGCATCAAAAACGCTTTGTGCCAAATTAAACTAATTTCATTCTTGGGCCCAAATTTCCTGACCTACAGTAATCTAGAGCTGAAAATCCACGTGGCAAAAATTCCAAAGTGTTGTGTTTTTGGGACCAAAAAGTGGTAGTGGCGAAAAAAATGTGTGAAAAAAATAGGAGGATCGTGTTACCCTATTTTTACGATCGGAAAAAGAAAAACAAGTTTTGGTGCACACCTGACGAGACGTGTCCAAAATGGACACTGTACATTTTTTTCAAAAGTCACACTGCATTTTTTTTCGAAAAATAACTTTGTTTCCTTTTCACCAACATTTAACCTGGGGAAATAAATGCGCATTTAGTTCAGTGGTAGGCCATTTTGCTAGTGTTCAGAAGGCCCAGGTTCGAATCTTCATTCGAACTAATTTTTTTTTATTTTTGCTCAACTTCAAAAACAACTTCAGCTTGCTAATCTTTCGAAGTTTCTCGGTGAAAATCAACTCAGCAGACTTTGTTTTAGTGTAGTAACACAATGTGCAGTGTGGAATTTACGTGACTGCTTAGCAAACCATAGTGTCACTGAAATTTTAAAAAAATTGACTTTCTATGGAAAAACTTCAAATTCCACACTGCACATGGGTAAATTCGAAAACTACGCTTAAAAATACACCAACTTTCTGAATATACCAACCCTTGATATGTGCTCGGAAAAAAATGCCGTCCGATTCTTTGTAATGTCCATATTTACCATTGAAATGGACACTCCAAAATAACAGCGAAATAGGGCATTTCCACACTGCACTCATGGTGTTCCACACTACCTATGACCTTAGAAATCTATTGGAAAAAAATCAACCATATCCGTTAAGCCTAAGCTTAGTTATCCTAACTTCAAATTTTGAGCAACGTTGCAACGCATTCGTTTGAAAACAGTTTCCTTTTCACCAACATTTTCCCCTCGGGAGAAAAGAGAGATGTGGCCGAGAGGATAGCATTTTAGACTGGCGAGCATGAGACCAGGGTTCGAATCCTCCTGCCGGCGGAGTTTTTTTTTTCGAAAAACTTAAAAATTTCACGCTGCACATTTTTTTTTTGAAAAAAATTTTCACACTGCACAAAAAATTTGGGACACTCTCTCGTCAGGTGTGTTTTGGTGCCACGTGGAATTCAAAAAATCCAACCAAACTACAGAAAAATCTCGAAAATGTTGCCTAGAAAATTGCATTTCCGCTCCGCGGAAACCTCTCGAAAAAAGGGTATTTATGTAAATTGGACTCGAGGATGCGGAAGTTTTTTTGGTGTCAAAAATAGAAGAAAATTGGCAGTTTTAGCGCGAAAATTTGATCTACAGTAGCCTCAAAACTAGATACAGTAGAATTTCCAAAAATCCGGAAAAACCTTTTTTCGGCCGTTCCAAAAAAAAACTAATTTCGTTAAACAGACGAGGTTCCACTTTGCAAATGAATAAAAAAAAAATTTTCGATTTTTTTTTTGAAAAAAAAAAATTTCTAAGCCATTTTCAAAATTAAAATTGAATTTTTTTTAGAAGAAAATACTTTGAAAAAAAATATCAAAAAAGAGCAACAAAAAAGTTTGTCATTTTGAATGACTGACTTTTTGACACACGGTGCTCTTTTTCACACTTTTTCTCATTTTGCGGTCGGCGGGTTTAATGAAAAAAAAGAGAAAGATGATCAAAAATCGAGTCAAGAAAGTCTAAGAAAAGAATGTGGAATGAAAAAAAGAAGAAGAAGAAACGACGTAATTCAGGAATGAAAAACGAGGTGACTTTTGGTTTGGTGCGGAACAAAAAGTGACGAAGAAAGAGAAAGATAGGGATGGTTTTCTGTATTGTGAAACTGAAAACGGAATGAATCTCTCAACTAGAAAATATTTTTGAACGTCAGAAAAAATAAGAGATGGAGCGAAAAGGTAGATCAAAAATGGATAAAATTTAATTCTCATTTTTTCTAGTTGAGAGATTCATTCTGTTTTCACAATAGATTCTTTGGCGCGAACATTTGATCTACCTAGCATTAAAACAGGCTAGGATACTGTACTACAACTTTCGACGCGTGGAATTAATACGTGAAATCTGGAGCAACATTTTTTGTAGATCTACAAACTACAGTAGTTCCGGTCAGAAATTAAAGTATTAAAATCTATTCCCTAATCTAGTACAATAACTTAAAAACTATCATTTGAAGCCACAATGAACTACAGTACATTTTTTCAAAAATCAAACTACGAAAAAATTCCACTTTTTTCCCAACAACAAAAAAATTCGAAAATTTTCGGCGAACTTTTGCCCGTTTTTTTGTTGGCCAATCCTTTTGCCTAATCATATTTCAGTTCCTTTATTCAAATCACAAAAGGATGCTGCAACACACGAAAAATAACTTTTTTTCTCAAAAATTTTTTTTTGAAAAACGAAACTTTTTGTTTTTTGTTTCAAATTGGATTTGTTAGACTTTTTGTGTTGCGAGCTCAAAAAACAGAGCCAAAATTTATTTATTTATTTTTTGGAGGGGGAAATCTGGAAAAAAAAAGAAATACTTGAGACTGAAAATGAGAATGAGAGAAGAAATGAGAAGGGTGGGAAACGAAACAAATTTTTGGATAAATATAAACAATTTTTGTTATGTCTTTCCTTTTTGGACTAAAAAAAGTGGAAAAGTTTTAGGAAGTGCAAGGCTCTTTTTGGTGCCACGTGGCAATGTTTATTCAAGGCTAAAGAACTTTTTTTCAATGTGAGAATGTGATTCTCCCGGAATTTTTTAATTACGCAAATAGCGTCAGATTAAAGGAGCCACGTGGGAAAATGATGTCATTACTTACTCTAATTGCAAAAACTGCAAAAGACTTTGGTTCGAAAATTCCACGTGGCGATGTAATTTTTAGCAGAATTTTTCTAATTTTTGAAAAAAATCGTCAATTCTTTTTGTTGAAATGCCACGTGGCAATATAAAGTTTGAAAAATCGTGGAAACTACCTTAAGCCTAAATCTATAAGTAAATCTAATTTCTGAGATCAAAAATTCTGAATTGCGTAATCAAAACTTAGAGCCACAAATCACATTTTCGATGCGCGTCAAAAAATAACGAAACCAAGTGACTCATCTATAATAAATGCGACGGACCAAAAATAGCGCAATCACGCTCCACTGCAACTGTGCACTTTCAAAGCCTAATCTAATCTAACAAGTCCTAAGCCTTAATAATTCACAATAATTTTTGATTCCCCAAATTTTTTTCAATCAAAAAAAAAATGTTGCCATAAACACAAAAACCAATTTATTTCTCGTTTTAAATATATTCAAAAATCAAATAAATATGTTATTTTTCAAAATGTGATTTTTCCTCATCTACTTGACGCGTCAGAACAACTTCGGACCATTTATTTTCTTCCAAATCGAATGTAGTCATAGGACGCTTTTTTAGCTGGTGGTGAACTTCTTCCAAATCGAACAAAATCGTAGTCACGTTTCACTGCAAAAATCTATATAGTTAGGAGAACTCAACCAAAAAACAACATACTTTTCTGGCGATCCGCCAAAAATCGCTGAAAAACATCTTCAACGGCAGCCTCATTGCTGATTTGACGACACTCCGCGTTGACGCATGCTTCGCAATTCAGGCTTGATATCAAAATAGCGACGGCGAAAAACAAGGCAGTGATGTACATTTTAATATTGTAGAACCCTGGAAAAAATCGTATAAGCTGAAGGTTGGCTGAAAAACTTCTGAAATAAAATATCGGAATTGAGAGAAAAATATATAGAGAAAGCACCTGAAATTTTTCAGCTGCTCTCTGAAAAAACGAGCCTACCCCCGCCCTCGAAACTACGGTAGATTGGTGATTAGATTTAGCGCTACGTAAAAAGGGTAAATAATAAGTTGATATATATGTATAAATATATCATTGTAAAATCCCATTATTTTTCATGGTTATTGACTAGAAAAAATGTGTGCTTTTAGGTGGAATTGCGGGCGGTGGAAAATACCTTTTTTTTTGGGCAATTTGATTTCGGTTTGACGTGAGAGAAACAGCTGAAACCCTATGAAATTTCCCTGAAAATATCATATTTGTCATAAGTCAGCAAAACGGCTGAAAAAAATAACGAAAACACGAAAAAAAAAATTTTCAAAAACGAAAAAAAGAGAAAAATTAGTTAGGTTGGTTTGCGCGGCAATAATTGTCTTTTCCAATGTTCCGAAAAGAATTTTGAAGATCTTCAAGAGCGCCTTGAGATCAGCGCACGCAATTTCTCAAGTTATCAAAACCAAAAAGTTTCATTTCTCCTTCTTCTACTAATCAAATAACACAATTTACCACAACATTTTCACATCGAAAACCTCGCGCGCCTTATGACGTGGATTCTCGTTGCATTCCACGTGTAATCGACCATCGACTCGTAGGAAGAAGCAACTACGGCAACGCAATTTGAGACGAGATTTCACCTGAAAAACACGGGATTTTGAAAAAATCGGGACGTTCCTGAAAATCCCAAAATCCCACCTTAAATCCGGCAACTTCTTGTGAAATCGGTGTTTGCGCTTTGAGAAATCCTCGCAAAATCGAGTTTCCCTGCATCATTGTCCTTGAAATCACCCCAGACATGCTGAAAACTCGAAATTTTCTCCTGAAATCAGAAACACAAAAAAAAAAGAAAAACGTTTTCAAGTTGTCCGAGAGAAGTACACAGATGTGCGGGCTGGGGGACGAGGAAACCAAACTCGGCCAGGATGGGTTTTTCCCGACTGAAATTTGGATTTGAGCTGGAATTCCGGGGAAACGAGAATAACACGGTATTTTACAATGAAGAGGATTGGAAAGACAAGTTTTTCTCTCTGCGTCTCCATGTTAGATTGAAAAAATAAAAGAAAATTGGCAAAAAAAAGGTTTGAAATTGAATTTGGGGAACACGTTGTTTCTGGGGAGGGCTTGAGATTTTGAGCGGTTTTTTCTTGAATTTGGATTTTTCTACGAGAAACATGAGAATTTCAGACTGAAAATTTGAAAAATTTCAATTTCCCACACCAAAATCCCTCATTTTTTGCCAGAAAAAGGACACATGTCATGTGAGATTAGGCGAGTTGAAATTTGATAAATAAGTCCTAGGCAATATAATATATATCCTGAGGGCCTCTATCTCAATTTCTTCTTCTTCTTCTTTTTTTTCTCACATTTTTCTCCTGAATCTCAGTTTTCTGTGGAACAACGTATTTTACACACCTTTTCATTTTATTTTTTCTCTGTCTGTGTCTCTCATTTCCGCACACTCTCTCCGCTTTTTGGCAACAATCCAATTAGTTTTTATTCAGCCAAAAAATATCAAACCAAAAGAATTTTTTTTCGGAGTCAAAAAACTTTTTTGAAAAAAAGTTTTTTTGGGGGGAAAATATATGTATAAATATTTTTTTGCTCCGGAAAAAACAAGCTTTGATGAGTTGTTTTTTGAAAAAATGACTTTTGAAATTTCAAAAATTTTGGGTGAAATTCAGAATTTCATTTTAAAAAATTCAGATTTGAAAATTTCTGAAGAAAATTTTTTCCATCCAATTTTTGTGCTAAATTTTCAGCTTCCAAATTTTTCTTGAAAAAGTTTTGAATTTTCGCGCTGAAACTAGATTTTGCCACGTTATAACTTTTAAAAATCTCTTTTTTTTCTTCAAATTTTTCATGATCTCAAAAATGTTAGGCTAATATTTCCCCAAAATTTGAAATTTTGTTCTAAAATTTGTCACTTAGCTTTAATTTTGCTAATTTTTAGCTCCAAAAATGTCCTAAATTTGCCACGTCATAGCTCAAACTTCCAGATCCCCCAATTCCCCTCCCCTCCAAAAAAAAATGCACCCGGGATGATGATTACCGCGCAAATCCTCCCGCTTCTCCTAATTTCTCTGCCCAAATTTTCCACGTCTCAACAAAACACATGTCCGCTGGGTTGTTTGTGTGATGAGGAAAAACAGCAGGTAGGACACGAGAAAAATGATGAGATTTTGACAAATGACTCGAAATTTGATACATATTTTTGTGAGAGAAGGGCGAAATTTGAGAAAAATTACAATAATTTCTAGGTGATTTGTGATGGTCCCACCGTAGTCAATCTACCCGATCGTATCCCATCCGGTTTCGATGTTCTGATCTACCGAAACACATCAATTCGAGCAATCGCAAAGAACTCATTTCGAAAAATGGACAAGTTAGCCGAAGTTCATTTTGAAAACAACAACTTCCTAAGCACCATCGAAAAAATGGCTTTTAAGGGGATGAAACGGCTGAAAATGCTGAAATTCTCGAATTGTCGCGAGTTGACTGAAATTCAGAAGAACTCGTTTTCGGGCATTGGGAATCAGGCGGGATTGAGGATTTTGTTCGAGTTCACGCCGATTCGACGCGTTGAGCCGAATGCTTTTAGGTGAGCGCGAAAATTTCGCATTTTTCACGTGTTCTGAACAAAAAATCTCGGTTCGCTGTTTAAAGGGACATGCTTTAATTTTCCACCAAAATCTCAAAAACGGCTGCATCAAATGAAAATCTGAGTACACCATCTTTATCGCCGTGAAAAACAGCATGGAAATAAGCTTTGGTGGAGCGAACGGGTTCGTGGCGAGACCAATTTCGAAAAATAGCGCGCAAAATGGAGAGACGCGAGACATTTTTGTGCATTTTCGCGTCACCGTGTTTGCACAAGTCAATACAGTATACCAACCGCGAACCGAGGGCCAAAAAATACGTGTTTTTGAGACCCTACATGCTTTTTTGGTTTCAAAAATCGCAAAATTTCATGAATTCATGCTTTTTTATAGCAAAAATCTCAAAATTTTCTTGCAGAAACGCTCAAAACATCCGCGAACTCGCAATCTCTGGCGAAGAGCTGGCACTATCTCGCTACAGTCTAGCCAACATAAATCAACTCGACTTCCTCACAATTTCCGGTGTTGTTCTCATTGAACCTGAGATTTTCACAAATTCCACACGATTTCATTCGATTCATATCAAAAATTCGAATTTCGACGTGCCGCCCAATTGTTTTAGCTCACTTTCGCACACGAGTTTGGTGAGTTTGACGAAATTTTGGAAGAAAATTTAAATCCAAAGGTTTTTGCAGCTGCTCATCGAGCAAAGTCGCATAAATTCAATAGCTCCTGATGGATTTTCGGGGCTATCCACAATCCAAATCATCGAGCTGCACGCGAATCAAATCGGCACGATTTCTGCACGCGCTTTTGCCAATGTTGAGAATTTGGGCGAGTTGAAGATTCTTCGAAACACTATAACTGAACTCGACACTTCTGAAGCGATTTTTTCGCAAGCGCTGAAAACCAGAGTCGAGGAGAATACACTGGATTGTGGTTGTGGTTTGAAGTGGATGAATAGTGTGCAGGTAGGGCCGGAAAATGAAAATAAAAATTCAAAAAACAATTTTCGCGGGTGCACTGGCGCGCACTTTCCTCCCCCGCCAAACGTATTTTTTTCGAAATCGATTTATTTTTTTTTATTTTTCAAGGAAATTTCGGACATCAATTTTTGCGGCACAACCGGCTCATTTCGCTCAATCCGCTCATTCATCAAATCCAAATGTTTGATACCTCCAAAAACACAGCATTATATTTCGAATACGGGTTTCCCATCTTTTTCAAATTGTCTTTTATTGATCTTTGTGATATTGTTTAATCTAAAAATTTAATAAAAGTTTTCTTGTCTTTCAAAAACGTTTTTATCAGTTTTCCAGCCAGATAAAAGCTTTACTGTACTTTGCACGTTTTCAAAAAAAAGTGTGTGCATTTGTGCGTCGCGGTGTTTGCAGACGAACGGGTTGTGAATTGATTTTTTCGTTGGTTTTTTTGTTTGTCACAAGTTTTTGAGCACATTTTTTCTGGATTTCAGCAAAAATGGAGAAAGACGAAGATTTGGAAGCGAATGCCACCGAATCGCAGCAACTTTTGCAGCGAAATGAATCTTTTGATGAGGTGAGAGAGAGAGAAATAAAATAAATATTCATTTTATAATCAAATCAACAATTTTGATGGGGAAAAATTGAAATTATTGATTTTTTGTCCTTTTTTCTAGACCGATATGGTAATGGTTCTGGAAAACGATCAACTAATAATGGAGAATCGAAATCATACAAGTCTTCAAAGTCCACTTCGAAGTATCACCGATGTTTTGCGAGAAGCCGAAAATATCATAACCGACGGACCATTACAACAAGCAACAACTCTAGAACATCAAAATGTTCTCATGGATCAAGTTGACGTGGAATTCCTTCCAAAAACATCGGGGAATTCTGAAGGACAACCTTTTGAGATCATTGTTCGACATTCGAAAGTTGTCGAGCAACCGACGTCGAATTTTAATTTGGAAGAGCATTCGAAACGGGTCCCGATACGATTGACTACGGTAGTTGAGGGAATTGAAGCGGTTGGAAATGAGCAACAAGATGATGTGCCTTCAACATCGAATACGGTTTCCACGTGGAAGAAGGGGCATAGAAGAGCGTGGAGTATGCCGAATGCGAAGGGCGAGAAAATGACATTGGCTGTGATTCATGATAATCATGAGGTGAGCGGAAAAATTGTGGTTTTGTGAATTCTGGGACGAAAAATCAGGTGTTTTATATTGAAAGAGGGTTTTCTGGCTAAAAATCCTGGTTTTCAATATGGAAATTTGAAATAAATAAGATTTTTAAGGTCCTGATACGAAAAACCCGGCTTTTTCAACTTCTGAGACAAAAAACTATGCATTTTCTATTGAAAAATTGAGTTTTTAGGCCCCAGAGCAGGTTTTCTGAGTCTCATGGCTAAAAACCCTGGTTTTCAATATGGAAATTTGAAGTAAATAAGATTTTTAAGGTCCTGACACGAAAAAACTTGCTTTTTCAACTGTTGGGACAAAAAACTATGAATTTTCTATTGAAAAATTGAGTTTTAAAGTCCTGAAGCGAAAATACCTTGATTTTTGCCAATTTTTTCGGTCCTGAAGCGAAAACCTTGAATTTTAACCCGAAAATGTGACGAAAACATGATTTTGATGGTCCTGACACGAAAAAACTTGCTTTTTCGGGTCCTAGACCGAAACTTCTGAATTTTACATTGAAAATCTCAAGAGTTTCTGGTCCTGAAGCGAAAATACCTTGTTTTTTGCCAATTTTTTCGGTCCTGAAGCGAAAACCTTGAATTTTAACCCGAAAATGTGACGAAAACATGATTTTGATGGTCCTGACACGAAAAAACTTGCTTTTTCGGGTCCTAGACCGAAACTTCTGAATTTTACATTGAAAATCTCAAGAGTTTCTGGTCCTGAAGCGAAAATACCTTGTTTTTTGCCAATTTTTTCGGTCCTGAAGCGAAAACCTTGAATTTTAACCCGAAAATGTGACGAAAACATGATTTTGATGGTCCTGACACGAAAAAACTTGCTTTTTCGGGTCCTAGACCGAAACTTCTGAATTTTACATTGAAAATCTCAAGAGTTTCTGGTCCTGAAGCGAAAATACCTTGTTTTTTGCCAATTTTTTCGGTCCTGAAGCGAAAACCTTGAATTTTAACCCGAAAATGTGACGAAAACATGATTTTGATGGTCCTGACACGAAAAAACTTGCTTTTTCGGGTCCTAGACCGAAACTTCTGAATTTTACATTGAAAATCTCAAGAGTTTCTGGTCCTGAAGCGAAAATACCTTGATTTTTGCCAATTTTTTCGGTCCTGAAGCGAAAATCTTGGGTTTTAACCCGAAAATGTGACGAAAACATGATTTTGATGATCCTGGAGCGAAAAATAGAACTTTTTAGATCCCGCCGCAAAAATCTCCCAATTTCGTAGTTTTCAAATTTTTCGAAATGAAAAAATCCTGGCACGTGAAAAAAAAAATGAATTTTCACGTCAAACAACGTGGTGACCCTCTAATTTTTGAATTTTTTTTCATTTTCGGAAAATTTTTCGAGCAAATCATGTTTATGGATGAGCCGGTGAGAAATATCAGGATTTTTCGCTTCAGGACCCGAATTTTTGGAAAATTTAAACTTCTAAAGTTTATTTTCTTAAAATTTTGATTAAAAAATGATGTAAAATCAGAAAAATTTCACTAAAAATGGGAAAATTCTAATTTTTCTCTTTCAGGAAGGCGGAAATCAACATCGTCGTCGAATTGTCAAATATCGTCTCCACCCAAATCGTCAAGAAACCCACGCCGAAAACCAGCCAAGTTCCTCGAACTCCACCTCAAATCCCCCCATCAAATTGCTCCGTTTCAAAGATCAAATCAATTTAGCATCGGATGACGAGGAAAATGATGAATTGGAAGTGGAGATCAATGAAGAAGAGGTGATTATTCCGAATGAGAGTGGAGATGGTGCACGCAGTGTTATCAAGAGGTTTTGGGAGGCGAGATGGAAGGCGACGAATTTTGAGACGTTGCCTGAGTGGCTGCAGGATAATGAATATTTGAGGACTGGACACAGACCGCCGTTGCCAAGTTTTTCGAGGTGAGAGAGGTTTTTGAGCGGAAAGTATGAAAATTTTCTGGAAAATGAGTGAAAATTCGATGAAAAACACATATTTTTAGGTCCAGAAATGAAATTTGAGCCTGTTCTCATAAAAATTGAAAGTTTTTTTTTTGATTTTTTAAAAGTTTTCAAATTTTCAACGGAATTTTCAAGTTTTTGAGCAAAAAATGTAGAAAATGATCCAAAATTCAATGAAAAACACATATTTTTAGGTCTAGAAATGAAATTTGAGCCTGTTCTCATTAAAATTTTCAAAATTTCAGTGCCAAATTTGAATACTGTAGCTAAAGTTTGATATGAGCAATGCTGATTTTTCTGATTTTCAATTAAAAACTAACAAAAATTTAATTTTGGATTAATATGAGTATTAAAAAACTCTGGATTTTGAAAAATATGACGATTTAACATGAGCAATGTCTGGAAAATGCCTTTAGTGTTATTTTTTCCAGTGAAAATTTGGAATTTTAAATTGTAATCTGAGCAATGCCTACTCTCTTTTTTCTAAAGAAAAATATTGAAAATCTACAAAATTGCTAGAAATTTTTGATTTTCAACCTAAAAATAGTAAAAAATTCAATTTTGGATTAATATGAGCAATGTACAAAAAATCAGGATATGTGAATTTCTTGAATTTTAATCTGAGCAATCCAATTTTCCAGCTGCTTCAAATCAATATTCGCTTTGCACACCGAAACCGGAAATATCTGGACCCATATGTATGGTTGTGTTGCATTCATCGGCGTCGGTATCTGGTTCCTAACTCGACCCGAAACCCAAATGCAATTCATGGAAAAATTCATCTACTCATTCTTCTTCATCGGCGCCGTCGTCTGTCTGGGAATGTCATTTTTGTTTCACACAGTCGCGTGTCATTCTGTCGAAATGGCCAAATTGTTCAGCAAATTGGATTATACTGGAATAACTCTGCTGATTGTTGGCTCGTTTGTTCCGTGGATCTACTTTGCTTTCTATTGTCGACCGCAACCGATGATTATTTACAATGTCATGATTATTACGTTGGGAATGGCGGCGATGGTTGTATCGCTTTGGGATAAATTTGCTGAACCCAAGTTTAGGTGAGGTTTTGGATCGAAATTTGGAGCATTTTGAACCTAAATTTGGGTATCCTAGCTGAAAATTTGATTTTTTTGGAAATTTTATGAAAAATGAGGATTTTACGCTTCTCACCACGAAATTTAGAGCATTTCAAATGCAAATTTGCCATGTTCCTTTAAATGTTGGTCTTCCCACAAAATTCTCTTCATTTTGAACCTAAATTTGACTAGTTCACATGAAAATTGAAGATTTTCCGCTCCCTATGACATTTTAAATAAGATTTTGGGTCTCACCACGAAATTTAGAGCATTTTGAGCCTAAATTTGGGTATCCTCGCTGAAAATTAGATTTTTTTCGAAATTTTTTGAAAAATGAGATGATTTTGGGTCTCACCACGAAAATTAGAGCATTTTGAGCCTAAATTTGGGTATCCTCGCTGAAAATTAGATTTTTTTCGAAATTTTATGAAAAATGAGATGATTTTGGGTCCAACCACGAAATTTAGAGCATTTTGAGCCTAAATTTGGGTATCCTCGCTGAAAATTAGATTTTTTTTCGAAATTTTTTGAAAAATGAGATGATTTTGGGTCTCACCACGAAATTTAGAGCATTTTTGAGCCTAAATTTGGGTATCCTCGCTGAAAATTAGATTTTTTTCGAAATTTTATGAAAAATGAGATGATTTTGGGTCCCACCACGAAATTTAGAGCATTTTGAGCCTAAATTTGGGTATCCTCGCTGAAAATTAGATTTTTTTCGAAATTTTATGAAAAATGAGATGATTTTGGGTCCAACCACGAAATTTAGAGCATTTTGAGCCTAAATTTGGGTATCCTCGCTGAAAATTAGATTTTTTTCGAAATTTTATGAAAAATGAGATGATTTTGGGTCCCACCACGAAATTTAGAGCATTTCAAATGCAAATTTGCCATGGTCCTTTAAATTTTGGCCTTGCCACGAAATTATCTTCTTTTTGAACCTAAATTTGACTATTTCACATGAAAATTGAAGATTTTCTCGACATTTTGTGAAAAGTAAAGAATTTTTCTTATTTTCCACTAGATTTTTTAATTCGCCACGAAATTCTGGTCATTTTTGCACGTGAAAAATACGTTTCATAAAAATATCAAATTTCAAGATGTTGTTTTCAAATTTGATTCGACTGTTCAAAACATTTCTCCAGATGTCTAGCCAAAAATAAATCATTCCTAGACCTGAATTTTCACCCAAACATATTTTATTCCAGACCTGTCCGCGCCGCTGTTTTCATCGCCATGGGTTTGTCTGCAATTGTTCCAGCCATCCATCTTTTCATCTCCGATGGAATTCGATTTATGTTAGATGAGGCACAATTGGCATGGTTATTGTTGATGGGAGGATTGTATATTGGAGGAGCCGCGCTGTATGCGACACGGGTTCCTGAACGATGTTTCCCCGGAAAATGTGATATTTGGGTAGGGGATTTTGGGAGGAAGATGTGGGGGAAATGGGGATTTTTCTTATAATCTTGTTCGAGAGAAGTACACAGAATTTTCTTAATTTTCAGTAGAAATTTCAGGAATTTTTAGAAAATTCTAGATTCTAGACCTTAAAAGATCGTCATTTCAAATAAAAATTTATAAGAAATAAGCCACGCCCATTTTTGCAACCCCCGCGCACACTTTCAGTTTTTTTTCCAGTTCCAATCTCATCAACTATTCCACACATGTGTTGTCATAGCCGCATTTGTTCATTATCACGCAATAACACAAGTTGGAATGCACAAAATGATGAATGGCTCATGTTCGGAACAATTACTAACAAGATATGGAAAAGAGACGAATCCATCGTGGTTGGGAACATTGTTAGGATTAGATGAGGATCCGAGTGTCAGAAGCTGGACACCGCAATAATTTGACTTTACTAATTTTGATTGAGCTACGGGTGAGTTTTTTGAGGGGGATTTTGATCTGAAATTGGATTTTGAAGCATTTTGAGGCCGAAAACCGGAAAATTGGGCGAATTTGAAGCATTTTGAGCTCAAAAATGACAATTTTCGGGAAATTTGAACATTTTTCAATATAATTATGATGAAAGTCTGAACATTTTGAATTTGGGAGCATTTTGAGCCGCAAAACTTGAAATTTGATGGAATTTGAATTTTTCGACCTGAAATGAGGCATTTTAAGCTCAAAAATGACATTTTTCACTAAATTTGAAGCATTTTGAGTGTAATTTTGATGCGGATTTGAAAATTTTAAATTTTGACCTGAATTTCAACCTAGAATTAATTTTTGAAATTCTGAAAATCCATTTTTTTCAGATTTAAATGTGATACACGCAATCTTCTCATTTTTCTTTAATGTATTTTTAATTGCTAATTTTTTCTCGAATTTCAGTCGAGTTTTCTACTTATTTTTTTTTTGAATAAAAATTTTTCGATTTTTTTTCCCATATTTTTTTGTCATTTTTTCCTCCGGTTATAATCGTTCCGGTTTTATCGTATTTTTGTTTTTGGTTTTTTTGTGGGGGAAAATTTGAGCTAATTTTGGGGCAGAAATTGGGATTTTTTACTGAAAATTGAAGGAAATTCTGAAATTTTAACTCAAAAAATTCAAATTTTGTCACAAAGGATTTTTGGTGCTAAAAATTATAGAAATGCTGTGAAAACTTTAATTTTCATTAGGATTTCTGGAAAAAATCTGAAATTCTAGAATTTTCCCACCAAAAATCCACGTCATATCACTTTTTGCGTCACACAAAATTTTTTTTCGCCCCCCAAAAAACAACTTTTTGGCCCCGCCCACTTTTTTCCCATTCTTCTTTTTCCAAAAAAAATAGTATCCATTTTTTTTCTGCGAAAAAAACAGCATATTTTTGGCCGCTGGCCAATCAGCTTTTTTTTGGCTCTTTTTTTGTGCTCGAAAGAAAAAACAACGTATTTTTGACTTTTTTGTTTTTTCTGGAGAAATTTTTTGAAGTTTTGCTGAAAATCTGAAATTCCCGGGGAAAAAATTGACTATGAATTTTCAGAAAATCTAGAGAAATACTGAAATTTTGTAGTTTTTCTATGAAAAATTGTTTTTTTTCGGGAAAATTTCCCATTAAAATTGAAAAATTCTCCAGATAAATATCGGATTTCATCCATCCAAAAAACTAGTTTTTTTTCTTTTTCAAAAAAAAAAATTCAATTTTTTTCAAAATAAAAAAAATTATCGATTTTTTCTCTGTTTGTTCAGCTTTTTCGTAAACTTGTGACAAACAAAACACTTGTTCCTATTTGGTGCCAAAAAATGCCATTTTTCTCTGAAAATTCTCGATTTTCTTGTTTTTTTTTGTATCATCAAATCAAATACAAAAAATCCGATTTTCTTATCAAAAAAAAAAATAGGAAAAACCAGTTTTTGTCTGGAAGAAGATCTAATTTGATTTGGCCAATTTATAGTGATCTTTGGGTCTAATTTTGAAGTCTAGGGATGAAAATTCGAGAATTTTTTGAATTTTGGGTCTAATTTTGAAGTCTAGACTTAAAAATAGCTTATTTTCATCTGGAACTGGGTATTTTGGCTGAAAATTCATGAATTTTTGGATTTTTCAAGGAATTTGGATAAGCCTAGGCTTGAAATTTAACCGAAAATAAATTTTCCAGCTCAAAATCCCTGAAATTGGGCCTAGGCTTATGAGATATCCCTGAATCCCAAATTTTCTGAAAAATTCAAAAATTCTAGAATTTTTCAGTTTTTTTCTGAAAATTCAAGCCTAATTTCAGACCTAGGCTTATGATATGAGATATCTCTGAATCCCAAATTTTCTGAAAAATTCAAAAATTCTAGAATTTTTCAATTTTTTCTGAAAATCTAAGCCTAATTTCAGACCTAGGCTTATGATATGAGATATCTCCGAATCCCAAATTCGCTGAAAAATTCAAAAATTCCAGAATTTTTCAGTTTTCTCTGAAAATCTAAGCCTAATTTCAAGCCTAGGCTTATGATATGAGATATCTCTGAATCCCAAATTTTCTGAAAAATTCAAAAATTCAAGAATTTTTCAGTTTTTTTCTGAAAATCTAAGCCTAATTTCAGACCTAGGCTTATGATATGAGATATCTCCGAATCCCAAATTCTCTGAAAAATTCAAAAATTCTAGAATTTTTCAGTTTTTTCTGAAAATCCACGTCTAAATCTTGCTAGACCACAGAATTTCATGTTTTTCCCACAAAATTCTGCAAAAAACAACAACAACACCTCATTATGATGGAAAAAATGGGCAAAAAGTTGTATTTTTTCCTCCTCCTCAGCTTCTTCTTCAGCTTCTTCTTCTTCAATTTCCATTCATTTTCAGCAGCTTCTTCATGTCAAAAATGGAGAAGAAAAATTCGGAAATAGTATGGGAAATGAGGAGAGAGCAGAGAGAAGTTGGAAGGGGAAAAAGACGACATTTCTTCGTTTTTTTTGTTGTCAATTTGATTATTTTCTTGAAGAAGAAGCTTTTTTCCTGCTCCTTTTTTTGCTTCTTGAAGGAAGATTTTTTGCTTGAATGGGTTTTTTTCGCGCCAAAAAATCCGGGATTTTTTGGTCAAAAAATCCGGGAAAATGGGGAATTTCAGAGATTTTCTGGAAATTTTGGCTGAAAATTTGGGGAAACCTGAGATTTTGAGCAAAGGATTTTCAGCCGATTTTAAAAAGTATTTCTTGCCACGTGGATTTTTGGCTGTGAAAAATTCGGTTCAAAATTTTGAAGTTTATTTTTCGGCGCGAAATTTTGCTCTGCCACGTGGCGCTAATTTTTTCGCGCGAAAAAAAATCTTTGATTCTCATTTGACATGACAGAATCCCTCTTTTTTTCCACACTCAAAATTAATTCAATTTTTTTCCTGCCAGTAATGCACTTGACATTTTCAGTCGACACATTTTTCAGCAAAAAAAATTTTTTTTTTTGCTGAAAATAATTTTTTACTAGAATTTTCAGTTCGGTCTGAAATTCTGAGAATAAGGCATTAGATCTCGCTAATTCCCAAATTTTCGAATTTTTTTGAAATTTAAATTTTCGTTGAATTTCAGGCGGACAATTTCAATGAAAAATTCAAAAATTCCTGAATTCAACTAAAAATTTATGTTCAAACTTCAGACTCAGAAGTTTTAGTTCAAAAATTTTCATAATTAGGTCCACTAGGCTCATTTGATTTCCCTAAATCCCAAATTTCATTTTAAAAAATCTGAAAAATTTCAGAATGTCATATATTTTTGGCTAAAACTTTCAATAAAATTCAGAAATTCTGAAATTCTCAGGATTTACTCAAAAAATTCTGAAAATTAGTATTTTTCAAGCCAAATTTTCTTCTAGAATTCAGCAAAACCCCTTTTTTTGCAAAAAAAAATAATTCTCGCTTTCAAACCTAGAATTATTCATTTTCCTATTTTTGTTTTTTTGTCTGGAAATTTCGAGAATTACAGAAATTATAGGTTTTACTTCCATTTTTCCTCTTTTCTCCTTCTTCACCAAAAAAAAACGAAAAAAATGCGAAAAAAATCCATTTTTTTGATAAATGATGGCTTTTTCGGCAGTCTTCTTCGTTTTTTTTTCTTCGCCCATCGAAAAAATTGGCGAAAAAAATGCATTACCTTCTTTTTTTTTCGTCAATTTTTTGTTGTTGAGCGACAAAAAAAGAAAAAGAGAAGTAATTTCCGGTTTTCTGGGGGCTGGAAATCGATTTTTTTTATTTTTGGATGATTATTTTTGGCGCCAAAAATTATTCAAAAATTTTTTTTGAATGAATTTTTGCGAATTTTGAAAAATTTATTGAATTTTCGAATTTTTGCTTAAAAACTATGCGAAATTTGAAGAAATTTTGAATAACATTTTGAATATTCTCTAAATTTTTGCTCTATTTTCCACAGTTTCTCCTCAAATCCTAAAAATCCCCAAATTTTCCAGCTCAAAAAATGTCAGCTGAATCATCAGCCTCAAATTCCACCGCAATGGACGATGTGCAATTAAATGCCGAAGGCAAGATCGTGTGTTTAGATGATCCGGCCGAATTTCTGAAACGAAAACCGAAAAAGAGCATATTGAAAATGAAACAAGACTCTAGTTTGGAGAAACAAGATGGGCGCGCGCATTTTGATGAAATGAACATTTTGGCAACTTATCATCCAGCTGATAAGGATTATGGAACGATGAAGGTAGGAGAGGGGGGAATTTGAGCATAGAAAGAAGGTCTTGGGACGATTTTTATTGCTGAAATTCAAAAAATTCATGAAATTTAGCCCAAAACAAGTTTTCTGGCTGTTTTTGAGATCAAAATTTGAAAAAATTATGTTTTTTTCATCAAGAAATGTCTTAACACAATTTTGTAAGACCACATTTGGTCTCGCAACGAAAAATCATGCCACGTGGACTTTTTAGCGCCAATTTTCGGATTTTTAAACCTAAAATAGGTCTCAACACGATTCCCAAGCCACGTGGAATTTTTATCTCTAACATTTTTGAATTTCAAGTCTCAAAAAGCAAAATTTTTGATTTTTGAACAAAAGTAGTTTCTCACATCCTCATTTTTGGCGCCAAATTCAAACAATTTTCAAAAAATTCAGGAAATTTAGCCCAAAACAAGCTTTCTGGCTATTTTTGAGATCAAAATTGGTCTCGCAACGAAAAATCATGCCACGTGGAATTTTCGGCTCCAATTTTCGGATTTTTAAACCTAAAATAGGTCTCAACACGATTTCTCCCAAGCCACGTGGAATTTTTATCTCTAACATTTTTGAATTTCAAGTCTCAAAAAGCAAAATTTTTGATTTTTGAACAAAAGTAGTTTCTCACATCCTCATTTTTGGCGCCAAATTCAAACAATTTTCAAAAAATTCATGAAATCTAGCCCAAAACAAGTTTTCTGGCTATTTTTGGGGTCAAAATTGGTCTCGCAACGAAAAATTATGCATCCTGGACTTTTTAGCGCCGATTTTCGGATTTTTAAACCTAAAATTGGTCTCAACACGATTTCCCAAGCCACGTGGAATTTTTATGGCGCCAAATTCAAATTTACAGATCGATGAGCCAAAAACACCGTATCACATTCAATCGGACGGCGAAATGACAGATAATGATGAGGTGAGCGCTTTTTTCAGCTCTCACAGGATTTTCAGACGTATGTTTTTTACAGGGAGCCCTCGGAGTTCCGGCAAATCGACCGCGTCGAGTTTCACTAGGAACAGCTGTCGATCCGGAACAAGTTGCGCAAGGATTGCAAAATTCGGGTGAAACGGTAGGCATTTTTGAATTTTGCAGCAAAAAAAAAACAACTGAAAATTTTCAGCATTCTCGACCACTCTCGTCTGCTGATAGTGATAGTGAAGATGATACGGAATTGACCGAGGAACAAAAAGGTTGGCATTTTTTTTCTAGAAATATGCCACGTGGCAATCAAAAATCAAAAAATTTCCAGCTCACAAACGAGACTTCGAAAAGAAACGCCGAGCTCATTATAACGAAGGTGCCGCCCTGAAAATGCATTTGGACGACGAAGAAGAGGAGGAGGAAAAAATGCAGGACTAGAAGATGTTCCTTTAAAGTACTTCACAAAAACATTATTGATTGATTTATATTTAATATTTTTTTTTTGATCTTCCCTATTTTTGTATGTGTGTGAATAAATACGAATTTTTGTCAATGGCTACATTGTAGTCCCAAGACGTTCTTTGTCACTATTTGTTGACTACAATTTGCAATTTTTCATATCTTTCGTTTTTCATGTGTTCCGCAGAAAAGAAAAAAATGATGACAAAAAAAAGTGTTTTTGGGAGTATTTATTGAAAGTTTTCCGATGATTTTTGCAACATTTTCTTGCTTTTCCGTAATTTTTCTGCATTTTTTCAAAAAAAAAAAATGAAAATTCCTCCACCGTAACCCTATTTCAAGGCGCAGTGTGTATTTTGTATGGTCTCGCCACGTCTACAGTAGTTTTTTCAAAGGCGCATCATTTTTTCTTCTTTTTTTTTTAAAAAAACTTTTTTTTCAGAATGGCGTTGGCTGGAAAAATTGCGATTGTTACAGGAGCTTCGCGAGGAATCGGTGAGTTAGCCTAAATAATAATGTTTGCCACGTGGAATATATCTGTAATTATTTCAGGTCGAGGAATCGCTTTGCAATTAGGAGAAGCTGGAGCCACAGTCTATATAACAGGTCGTGCACCAGCGCAAAGCCTGAATAGTCAAGTTGGCCTGAATGGTCTCGAAGCGACGGCGCAAGAAATAACATCGCGTGGCGGGAAAGGAATCGCGAAATTTGTGGATCATGGAAATATGGAAGAAGTGGAGAATTTTTTCAAAATTGTTGAGCAAGAACAGGCGGGAAAATTGGACATTTTGGTGAATAATGCGTATCAAGGAGTTCAGGCAATTTCCGATGGAATGGGAAAACCATTCTACGAATTGGACCCCTATATCTGGGATACAATCAATAATGTCGGCTTGAGAAATCACTATTTCTGTTCGGTTTACGCTTCGCGAATCATGGTTGCTCGGAATGAGCCCGGTTTGATTGTCAACGTTTCGTCGGGCGGTGGTTTGCGCTATTTGTTCAATGTGGCTTATGGAGTTGGAAAACAGGCTTTGGATCGATTATCGGCGGATATGGCTATGGAATTGAGAGTGAGTAGTGAGATGAATTGAAAATAAGAAAAAATGCGGCCTGAATATGTGAAAAAATGCGAAAACGGGTCCTTTTTCACCCAATTTTCATATATTGTGAAATTAAAAATAGATGGCAGAAAATAAATAAAGAAACGTGAAAATTTTCAGCAAACCCATGTCGTTGGGGGCGTTGCGGTCACGCGATGTGTGTTTCATTTTTGAAAATTTGCTCAGAAAATGGAAAAAATTTATAAAATTCTGAAAATGAAACACGTAGCGCGTGACCGCAACGCCCCCAACGACATGGGTTCTCTGAAAATGTTCACGTTTCTTTATTTATTTTCTGCCATCTATTTTTAATTTGACAATACCATTGGTGTTCTGGGCTAAAACTTAGAAAGGAAGTGCATAGGTGTTGAACTTTTGATGAAACATATCGAAATATACCAAATCGCCCATGCTGATCACGAATCCGAAGTCAAAAATTGCCACAAATGCCTGTGAGCACTTTTCTGGAGCTCCAAAGTTGAATAGAATTGAATTTTGGGTTTTGCCCATTTTCACCTTGTTGCTGGGTGGAAAATCAATTTTTATAAGGTTGTTCACCACATTCGAAAACCTAACAGTTTTCTCAAAAAATATGAAAAAACCAGCTAAAAACTGCTATTTTTAAGAAAGTATTGACATAAACACACCCTTTTCAAAGTTTTTTTAAAAATAGCAGTTTTCAACTGATTTTTCATATTTTTGAAAACGCTGATAGGTTTTCGAATATGGTGAATAACCTTATAAAAATTGATTTTCCACCCAGGAACATGGTGAAAATGGGCGAAACCCAAAATTCAATTCTATTTAACTTTGGACCTTCAGAAAAGTGCTCACAGGCATTTGTGGCAATTTTTGACTTCGGATTCGTGATCAGCATGGTCGATTTGGTATATTTCGATATGTTTCATCAAAAGCTCAAAACCTGATCCTATGCACTTCCCTTGTTAGCCGAAAATCCACAATCTTTCATTTATTTTTTCTCAGAAAAAGAACATTTGCTGTGTTTCGATTTGGCCAGGAGCAGTTCGCACCGAATTGGTCACCGCCATGTTTTCGGATTTGCAAAAGAAATCGCCAAATGCTCATTTGTTTGCGGCTGGTGAAACTGTTGAATATCCAGGTAGGACTAGAGCCCAAATCCCAAAACCCTTTCCGTTTCAGGCAAAGCAGTCGTCGCGCTCGCTTCAGACTCCCGTCGAATGTCTCAAACTGGAAAAATTCTGATCACCGAAGATTTGGGAAATCATTATGGTTTTGTCGATATCGACGGCTTAACTCCACCGAATTTGCGATCTGTCAGCTTCATTTTGGATCATTTGGGATGGGCAACAACGGCGAAATGGATTCCGAGATGGGTTAAATTGCCTGGATGGGCGATTTGGGCTGGAACAAGTCGATTGTAAGGGGATGAAATGTATATTTATTGTTTTTTGAATGATTTTGCAAGATAAACTTTGAGCTATGACGTGGCTTGGTTCATCACGTGGAATACACGTCAAACCTACAATCAAAAATGCGCTTACTAGCTACAAAAATGTGTGTAGTTCAAAAAATTGCATTTTTATGTCTATAATTACTGCTTTGACATTTATTTTTTTCTTTTTCTTCATTTTTCCAACTTACATTCATCTAGATACTCATATTTCTGCTGAAAAAATGGTGGCGTTTGACTACCCTCATCCTTCCGAAGATGAACCACTTTTCATCGAATGCTCTTCGAGTTTCAACAATTATAGGGAAGTGGGAAAATACGTGATTCAATTGATGTATTTGGTGCCGGGTATTTGGCTGCATTCGATGATTTTATTGAGCAGGTTTGGGATTAAACGAGACGAGTTTCGCAATAATTCGTTTGGTGTTATTTTTATGGTCAATTCGATTGTGGTACGTGAATATTTCCTAAGCACACCACGCCCAGGGTGAGGCATATGCACGGCGCCAATAAAAATTTACGGAAATTCACCTCGCCAATTTGAGATTTTCTGGAAAAACAACAAATTTTTGCTTGTTTTTCCGTTAAAAAGTGGTATTTTTCAGTCGAAAAGGTTGTTTTCACCTCGCCAAAAATTTCAAAACCCACACCGCCAATTTTCAAAGTTATTTTGCACGAAGCTGGGCGTGGTATGTTCCTAATACGCATAAGTCCTTAATAATTTCCAGAGTCTTCTTGAACTTCTCATCCATACTTTCATCTATCGTCCCTTGATATTTATTCCTCCACTTTGCCCAATTTTCACTCCAATTCTTGCTTATCCTTCATTCATTTGGAAATTTATCATGGTTCTACAAAACCATCTAAAAGCTGCCAAATCGATGACTCAAATATTCATGAGTTTAAATCGAATGACTTGTGCTCTTTGGCCGATCAAATATGATTCTATTTGGAGTTCGAATCGGGTGAAATTAGTTGTATTTCTGATAATTGTAATGCCAGTTGGCGCGACTTTTAACTTAATAGTATCTCGAGTTACGATCCAACCAATTTATGGAGGGTTTACCAATAATTATATCAGAACTATCCCGTGGGCTAGTCTACCCTTCCAACATCTAGTCTTCATTATAACCGCATTATTTTCCACAATCATTTGCACAAGTATCGCAGTCTATGCATTGCTCATGTTACCAAATCGAGTTAAAGGAGCAGAAAGATCACTTTGCATCGCTGCAATTATATTTTCAATTGGTTTTATCTGCGCTGCCAGTGCTCAAGCTGCATTTGTTTTCTGCGATTCATGTTATGGCGATTTTCTGTTTATGGTTCATTTTTGGTGCATCGATTTTCTCGATATATCCCAACCTGTTGTGACACTTTCCTTGAGCAAAGAGCTTAGAAGAAAAATCTTTGGCTCCCAAGTTGTTGTTCTTCAAAGTGGATCCTAAAGTTTTATTTGGTTCGTACTCTGATGAATAAAACGGTGTGAAATTAAAGTTTTGTTGAGTTTTTTTTACAACACCCAGAACATCATTGATGTTCCAAAGATCAAAAAATTCAGAGTCAATCTTCCACGTAGAAACGCAAATTCTTGAAACTTACGCACACATCACGTTTAATCATACCTTCCGATCTTGCAAGATCACTGAGACCAACATCTCTGATCTTCAGTTTAGCAGCTTCTCACGTGCACTTCGCAACCACTAATCAAAACATTTCTCATTTCCTATTGAAACGTGTTTAGTTTAGCTTTTAGCTTTCTGATCTCTATAATTACGCCTTACACACCTCCTTTTTGATTTTTTCGTACTTTCTTCTCACTTATCTTAAGTACTACATTCATTTCCTCTATCTATTTCTTCCACAAATATGGTATCTTATGAATGGTGTCCCGCTCCTCCCGAAAATGTTCCAGTTTCCATTAAATGCGATTCAAGTTTCAACAATTTTAGGGAGGTGGGAAAATATGTGATTCAATTAGTGTACTTGGTGCCGGGCATTTGGATGCATTTCATGATTTTGTGGAGCAGGTTTGGGATTCAACAAAACAATAATTCGTTTGGTATTATTTTCATGGTCAATTCGATTGTGGTGTGTGCATATTTCTTAAGACGCAATAAGTTCTCCTTAATTTCCAGAGTCTTCTTGAACTTCTCATCCACACTTTTATCTATCGTCCCTTGATATTTATCCCTCCACTTTGCCCAATTTTTACTCCAATTCTCGCATATCCTTCAATTATTTGGAAATTTATCATGGTTCTACAAAACCATCTAAAAGCGGCCAAATCAATGACCCAAATTTTCATGAGTTTAAATCGAATGACTTGTGCTCTTTGGCCGATCGAATATAATACAATATGGACTAAGAATCGTCTAAAATTAGTTGTATTTTTGATAATTGTAATGCCAGTTGGCACAACTTTCAATTTGATATTATCAAGAATCACAATACAACCAATTTATGGAGGATTCACCAATAATTATATCAAGACAATTTCTTGGGCAATTCTACCATTCCAACATTTTATATTGATCCTTATTGCATTATTTTTCACAATCATTTGCACAAGTATTGCAATTTATGCATTGCTCATGTTACCAAATCGTGTTAAAGATGCAGAACGAGCATTGTGTATTGCTGCAATTGTATTTTCAATTGGTTTTATCTGCGCGGCCATCGCGCAAGCTATGATGGTTTTTTGCTCGAATGGTCTATTTGGAGCATGTTATGGCGATCTTCTGTTTATGGTTCATTTTTGGTGCATTGATTTTCTTGATCTTATTCAACCTATAGTCACACTTTTTTTGAGCAAAGAATTGCGAAGACAAATCTTTGGCACCAAGGCTGTTGTTTTTCAAATTGGAACTTCTTGATTTTTTGGTGTAGTACGAATTTTCTTTTTTATCTTCACCCATTATCTGAGTTTGTCGAATACATATTTTGAAAGCAGTAATTATAAAGATGAAAGTGCAATAAGTCTAAACTACACACTTCAGTTTCAAATGAGAATAGTTTTGATTAAAGGTTTTAAAGTGCACGTGGAAAATAGCTAAACTCACGAAAAGTACATACACAAGTTTGCTCTATCGTAATTTGTGTTTTTCTCGAAAAATTTTTACCTTACAATTAAAATTGTGCATTTCTAATAATAGGGTTAGGACCATTATAATTTGTTGAAAATGAAATAATGACGTCAAATTTCGGATACCCCGATTTCACCTAGCCAAATCAACTATTTCTTGTGCCGATATCCAAGGAAGTCCACGATTTGCTGGAAGGACGGGGCCCAGCGAATGTCAAGTTTTCCGGTAAAGTTTTACTGGGGTCTTCCGGTGTACTTTATTCGACACTACCACTTTAATCTTCTAACAACAATTTTTTGCGATAATTGGGACCAAAGTCTAATAAGTGCTTTATGGTCTTTAGTTCATCATTGTTCCAAAGTGTCCCAAAATTAGCACATTTCGATGTCTATAATTATGTCGTTCACACCTCCTTTTCAAATTTTTCGTTATTTTTCCCTCTTAAATTTCTCATCTCCACTGCCATTTCTTCTTCTTCGTCTTAACCTATGGTTTTGGCTCATCCCCCTCTTCCCTCCAAAAATGGGTCATTTTTCATCGAATGCGATTCGAGTTACGACACTTTTAGGGAGGTCGGAAAATACGTGCTTCAATTGATGTATTTGGTGCCGGGCATATGGCTTCATTCGAGGATTCTGTTGAGCAGGTTTGGTATTGAACGAGACGATTTTCGCAACAATTCGTTTGGTGTCATTTTTATGGTCAACTCGGTTGTGGTACGTTTCATAGGCTTCGTATCGCGCGATTGCAATGTTCAGCACACTTTGATGCCGATTCTTACACGTTGGCTAATATATGCAAAAAGTTTCACTTATGTGGAAGTAATCCACATAAGTGACGTGGATTTTTTCGACCTAGAGAACAATTTTTTCCAGAGTCTTCTTGAACTTCTCATCCACACTTTCATCTATCGTCCTTCAATATTTATTCCTCCACTTTGCCCAATTTTCACTCCAATCCTCGCTTATCCTTCAATTATTTGGAAATTCATTATGATTCTACAAAATCATCTAAAAGCTGCTAAATCAATGACTCAAATTTTCATGAGTTTTAATAGAATGACTTGTGCTCTTTGGCCGATCGAATATAATTCAATATGGACTAATAATCGTGTAAAATCAGTTGTATTTCTGATAATTGTAATGCCAGTTGGCACAACTTTCAATTTGATATTATCAAGAATCACATTACAACCAATTTATGGAGGATTCATCACTAATTACGTTAGAACTATCTCGTGGGCTAGTCTACCATTTCAACATCTAGTATTCATTATAACTGCATTATCTTCTACAGTTATTTGCACAAGTATCGCGATTTATGCATTGCTTATGTTACCAAATCGAGTTAAAGGAGCAGAAAGATCACTTTGCATTGCTGCAATTATATTTTCGATTGGTTTTATCGGCGCGGCCGGTGCACAAGCTGCAATCGCTTTTTGCCCGCTTTGTCTCGACTCATCTTATGGTGATTTTCTATACATGGTTCATTTTTGGTGCATAGATTTTCTTGACATTTCTCAACCTGTGGTTACATACTTTTTGAGCAAAGAATTCAGAAGACAAATATTTCGGACTAAAGTTGTTGTTCTACACAGTGGATTTTAAAAATTGCTTTGCTCGTACTCTGTTCAATTTTTTTTTTGCAAAATGTCATATGTACTATGCTATAATTTGTTTTTTGTCTACGATCTTTCAAGTTTGAGTTTTTCCTTCAAATAAATGTTTTTCAAAAATAGAACATTCATCTCGGAATAAATAAGGGGGAAAAGGTCCCCACAGTGAGTTGACCCAATAATCTAGGGATAACTAGGACCAAAGCCTGTACTTCACAATCTTCAGTTTATCAGTGTCCTGAAGTGTGCTTAGTTTAACATTCAACATTTTGATGTCTATAATTATGCTTTTCACACCTCCTTTTCAAGTTTTTTCGTTATTTACTTATTTTAAATTCATATCCACTGCTATTCCTACTTTCTCCTCTAACAAAACATGGTGTTAAGTAACCCCTCTCCTCCTTCCGAAAATGGGTCATTTTTCATCGAATGCGATTCGAGTTACAACAATTTCATAGAAGTGGGAAAATACGTGCTTCAATTGCTGTACTTGTTACCGGGAATTCTACTGCATGCGAGAATTCTATTGAGCAGGTTTGGTATTGATCGAGACGATTCTCGCAGCAATTCGTTTGGTGTTATTTTCATGGTCAATTCGATTGTGGTGCGTACATATTTTATTAATTAATTTAAGTTCTCATTAACTTCCAGAGTATTCTTGAACTTCTCATCCACACTTTCATCTATCGTCCCTTGATATTTATTCCTCCACTTTGCCCAATTTTCACTCCAATTCTCGCATATCCTTCATTTATTTGGAAATTTATCATGGTTCTACAAAACCATCTAAAAGCTGCTAAATCAATGACCCAAATTTTCATGAGTTCAAATCGAATGACTTGTGCTCTTTGGCCGATCAAATATGATTCAATTTGGACTAAAAATCGTGTAAAATTAGTTGTATTTTTGATAATTGTGTTACCAGTTGGCGCAACTTTTAACTTAATCGTATCTCGAATAACAATACAACCAATCTATGGTGGATTTACCAATAATTATATCAGAACTATCCCGTGGGCTAGTCTACCATTCCAACATTTCATTATCATCATAATTGCCTTATCTTTCACAATCATTTGCACAAGTATTGCAGTTTATGCATTGCTCATGTTACCAAATCGAGTTAAAGGAGCAGAAAGGTCACTTTGCATTGCTGCAATTATATTTTCAATTGGTTTCATCGGCGCGGCCGGTGCTCAAGCTGCAATTGTCTTTTGCACTTCGTGTTTCGGCGATCTTCTATTCATGTTTCATTTTTGGTGCATCGATTTTCTTGATATTTGCCAACCAGTTGTGACACTTTTCTTAAGCAAAGAATTTCGAAGAAATATATTTCGCTCCAAAGTTGTTGTTCTTCAAAGTGGATCTAATCATCTGGTCGTACTTTGACGAGTTCTTTTTTTTGCAAAAACTTTTACTATCCTATAATTTTCTTTTTTTTTTGTCTACGATCTTCATTCGAGTTTTTTTCAAACAAGTACAAGTATGTCTAACAACTTGTCTGATGACGATCCCAGATTCATAACATGCGATTTGAATTATGATGTTTCTATCGAATTTTTGAAATATGTTGTTCAAGCGGTCTATCTTTTTGGAGCAGCAATTCTGCATATTTTCATTCTGCGCACGATTTTATGGAAGAGACCGGATGAATTTAGAAATAACTCATTTTATAGCCTCTATGCGGCCGATTCGATTGTGGTGAGTACAAGTAAAAATCTCCTTTCAACGGCCCCCAACCCCATAAATATTCCAGAGTCTAACAATGCTACTCCTCGATGGTTTCATCAATCGTCCTTTCATATTTATCCCCCCACTTTGCCCAATCTTCGCCCCAATTTTAGCATATCCTACACTTTTTTGGAAATCTGTAGTAGTTATTGGAAATTATATGAAAGCAGCCAAATCCATGACTCAAATATTTATGAGTTTAAATCGAATGACTTGTGCACTTTGGCCATTGAAATATATCACAATTTGGGAAAACCGTGTAAAATATGCTCTATTGATAATCTTCATTGCTCCGATTGGCGCAATTTTCAATCTTGTTGTCTCCAGAATCATCATTGCTAGTATCTACGGAGGTTTCAGCAATACCTACATCAGAAAAATCTCGTGGGCTAGTCTACCCTTCCAACATCTAGTCTTCATTTTAACTGCCTTATCTTTCACAATCATTTGCACAAGTATCGCGATTTATGCATTGCTCATGTTACCAAATCGAGTTAAAGGAGCAGAACGATCACTATGCATTGCTAATATCATATTTTCAATTGGTTTTATATGTGCAGCCGGTGCCCAAGCAGCTATAGTTTTCTGCACAGCGTGCTTGAGCAATCTTCTCTTTATGATTCATTTTTGGTGCATCGATTTTCTCAATGTCAGTTCTCCAATCGTTATGCTAATTGTTGGAAGAGATCTTAGAAGAAAAGTGTTTGAATTAGGTGTTACAAAGGTCACATCAGTTAGAAATAGTTTAAGAAATAGTCTATAATTATTAGTAGCCTGTTATTATAAGATAATTTTGGATTGGATAAACCTTGTCTTATTATTTTTTGAAATAAAAATAAATATTGATTGTTTCTGGTTTATTTCGCTGATTCGAAGTTAGATTTACAGAAAATCTCAGTGTCTCCAACGAAGTCTGAGGGCCAAGGGCTCAAATAAAACGAAAACCCCATAATTTCCTCGTAACCACTGATTAGTCTCAAGAAAAGATTTGGAAAAAAACACGTCTCCACCCTTTTTCTTAAACTCGCGCAGCTCAAAAACCCCATTCATATAAGTAGCTCGTAACATATTCTGAAATGGCAATTATGTCGGCCAATTTTTCGGAAGACGGACCAAATTTCATAACATGCGATTTGAGTTTTGATACAACTATCGAAGTTTTCAAATATCTTGTGCAAGCTATTTATCTTTTTGGAGCCGCAATTTTGCATATTTTGATCTTGCGTACGATTTTATGGAAGAGACGGGAGGAGTTCAAGAATAATTCATTTTATAGCCTTTATGTGGCGGATTCCATTGTGGTGAGTCTCCTTTCATGAAAGTGTGATACTCAATCCCATAAATATTCCAGAGTCTAACAATGCTACTCCTCGATGGTTTCATCAATCGTCCTTTCATATTTATCCCACCACTTTGCCCAATCTTCGCCCCAATTTTAGCATATCCCACATTTTTTTGGAAATCTGTTATGGTTATAGGAAATTATATGAAAGCAGCCAAATCAATGACTCAAATATTTATGAGTTTAAATAGAATGACTTGCGCACTTTGGCCATTGAAATATATCACAATTTGGGAAAATCGCGTCAAATATGCTCTAGTGATAATCTTCATTGCTCCGATTGGCGCAATTTTCAATCTTGTTGTTTCGAGAATATTGATTGGTAGTATATATGGGGGATTCAGTAATAACTATATCAGAAAAATATCTTGGGCAAATCTGCCATTTCAACATTTGGTATTTATCACAATCGCAATATTTTTCACAGTTATTTGCACAAGTATCGCGATTTATGCATTGCTCATGTTACCAAATCGAGTTAAAGGAGCAGAAAGGTCACTTTGCATCGTTAATATCATATTTTCAGTCGGTTTTTGTTGCGCGGCAAGTTCACAAGCCGCAATTGTATTCTGTACACCGTGCCTTGGTCATCTTCTATTCATGATTCATTTTTGGTGCATCGATTTTTTGAATGTTAGCTCGCCGTTGTTAATGATTATTGTGAGCAAACATTTTCGAGAAAAGGTGTTTACTAATAAAGGAAGGACAAGGGTTGGATCATTGCGAGGGAGTAATTAATTGATAAAATGTGTTTTGTTATGGGAAATAAATTTATTTTGATTACGAACCTAGCGAGTGTAAATCGCAATTTTCATCGAAGCACGTCAAGTTCAGAACTTGTTTTATCCTTCCTTGTTCCCCAAAATACCTTATTTATCCGAACGAACAAATAGTAGAACTAATCACCTGCTCACAAACATCACATTTCGGCCGCCAATTTTTTTCGTAATAAAAAAGAATCAAACTTTTTTTATTACCCACCTCCCCTTATTATTAACTCTATAGTATCACATATATATTTTCGAAAATGACTGATTTCGACAAAACCATGGTGTTTGAGTGCAATTTGATGACATACGATTCTCAAATCGAAATTCTCAAATACATTCTTCAATTCAGTTATCTATTTCCCGGTGCTATTTTAATAATTTATATGTTATTTGTGATAACTATCAAATGTAGAGCGAGTTATTTGGATAATTGTTATCATTGGATTTTTGTTTTCGAGTTAGTTACAGTAAGTTGAGGAGAATTTAGAAATTCAAAAATCGCGCAAGATTGCCTAAAATCCCTTCACATTTCCAGAGTCTATACCTGATAATTCACGACATCCTTTTCGGCCGCCTAACCATTTACATATCTCCTCTTTGTCCAATCCTTGCCCCATATTTCTACAATTATTCATTCCTCCTCAAATTCTCGATGGTTTCAATAAACTATGTCCGCGCCTCAAAATCAGTTTCTCAAATATTTCTAACCCTAAATCGAATGACTTGCGTTCTATTCCCTGTCCATCATCAAAAACATTGGGGAAATTCCATGAAAATTGTGATGATTGTGAATATATGTTTACCATTCGGCGCGATTTGGAGTCTGATGTTGAGTCGGGTTTACGCTTCGGCGAATTATGGGGGATTCTCGTCGAATTATGTGAGAGCTGTTGAATGGGTGAGTTTTTGAGCGGAAGACTCACTCTGCTCGAAGCTTCAAGGCCAAGTTTCAACATACATACAACCTACAATTATATATGTACATGCCAATTTCAGCTGTTTTATAAGATCACCAACAAAGTTTCGAATATCAGAAAAAAACGTGACTGTAGCTAGCTTCCGTGTCACGTAATTTACTATGACGTGGCAAATTGTAAAGGTCCAGACTACCCATATTCCAGGCCAGTCTATCCCGTCTCCAATCAATCTACCTAACAATCTCTCTAATCTTCGCAATTTCCACCTCATTCGCAACATTCTACGGTCTAACAACACTTTCAAAACGAATCAAACACATCGAAACAACCCTATGTGTTGTCACATTTTTCAGGTAAAGAGATCGCGGACCAAATTTCAGAAAACTTTCCATTTTCCAGTACCACCGCGTTCCTCTTCGCCGCAATAATCCAATACATTTGGGTGTTTTGCACGGCGTGTTCAAGAGAATATCCAAGTATTTATGGTGTCCAATTTTTGAGTTATGACGTGTTAACGATTGGAACTCCGATAGTTATGATAATTGTCAACGAAAAATTGAGATTAGACATGTTTCCGTGGATTTTTCGGAAAAGTTTGCGGATTTCGATAGTTGGGCAAAGTTCCGGGTCGAGGAAATGAAGAATTTGAGAAAAAACGGCGACCAGGCCTCAAGCCCTTAGAGATCAAGCCCTAAACTCTCTTCAGCCCAACCAAAAAAACCCACCAAAAACCATTCATTTCTTAACTACATTACTAGTTGCTGTAACTCCTCCTCCTCCTCCTCCAACAGCCGTCGGCGGTTTGATTTTCTGCTTCTTCATAACACCAGGCACAAATCCAATCGAAACCTTCGGATCCATTCGATTCTTGCGATTGTATTGAATCAATTGTTTGGCGGCAACAAATTTCATAGTCGGCGTATTTGCGGAGTGTTGTTGTTGTTGTATTTGTTGAAATGCGATTGCTGTCTGATTATCATCTCCCTCTTCCTGTTCTTTTCTTGTTTTCATATTATTCATTTGACTCAACGATCGAATTGTGTTGCTCATTGTTTGTTTTTCCAATAAATTGCATCGCGTGATTGCATTGTTTCCATTGTATGAAATGGATCCAAATCCGAGCTGCAAAATCAAAATCAGACTCGAAAATCTCATCGGTACCACGCGCTCCACCGAAATAAATACGCAACGCAGACCGCGCCGCGCCACAACACACACAAAAAAGGGAGGGAATTTGAATCGTTCTCTTTTTTGTGTGTTGTGGCGCGACGCGGTATGCGTTGCGTGTGGAGCGCGTGGTAGCGATGAGATTTTCGATAATATGAAAAAAAACCTTACGGTTCGGGTATCGAATCAGCCATTTGCCAAGTTCCATCCGCCAATTTTCTCATCGCAAAACTGATGACACAGTGTTTGGGTGGCGGTGGTTTTTCCTCGCGAAGACACCAAAACGGGCGGCCTTTCACAAATAATTGACCGTTGTTATCCGAATTTCCGTCGATCGGTTTTTCCGGTGGAATACCGTAGTCTTCAGGGCAACCGTATTCAGCGCGGACATCCGGGATTTTTTGGGCGGCTGATTCGGGGGGACTGCAAATTGAATTTGGGGATTTTCAGACGGGAATGAGCCAGAGATTAAGCCCACACGCGCTCCACCGAAATAAACACGCAACGCAGACCGCGTCGCGGCACAACACACACACAATTAAAGGAAACGATTCAAATTCCCTCCCTTTTTGTGTGTTGTGGCGCGACGCGGTCTGCGTTGCGTGTTTATTTCGGTGAGATTTTCGATAACAGTCCCAAAAAACATAAATTTTTCCCGTCAAAACCCTGCCACGTGGCAAAAATCAATACTCACGCAATGAAAGAATCATCAGATCTTTCCAATTTACTTCCACCATTAGCTGTCAAATTTTTGGCGCGATTAAAAATCGATTTGAAAAATCCCTCGTTCGACGGCTTCTCCTTCTTATTTTGCACATTCTGAGCGATGGGATTTGTTGTATTTTTTGTTGTCGCCAGATTCGGAGCTGGATTTTGCGATTTTTTCGTCGGAGCTGCTGGATTTTGTGCAACCGGATGCTGATCTTTTCGACGTTTCGTTTTTTCCTGCTCCGCACTTTTTTTCTGCTTTTTTCGTGTGCTCGCATCTTTTCCCTTTTTCTGTCCAGTTGTTGCAGCACTTCCTTTTTTCTCCTTGTCTTTTCCCTGGAATTTCAGACGTTTTCAGCCGAAAAATCATGATTTTCAGCCGAAAAACTCACATCTTCATCGGAATTTTGTATTTTTCGCGCACTTGCTCTTTTTCCAGCCACCAATACATTATTGTGCAGTGATTTCTCCTCTTTTTTCGCCGTTTTTTTGCCAATCTTTTTGCTTCCCTCTTTTTTCGGCTTCTTTTTTTCTTTCTGAAAAAAAAGGTGAAATTACATCTGCAAGTCTCGCACAGTTTTTTTTTCAACGCGCTCCACCGAAATAAACACGCAACGCAGACCGCGCCGCGCCGCAACACACACAAAAAAAGGAGGGAATTTGAATCGTTCCCCTATTTGTGTGTATTGTGGCGCGACGCGGTCTGCGTTGCATGTGGAGCGCGTGATCACGTTTTTTGTTGCTGAACAAAAAATCTCGGTTCGCCATTTAAAGGGACATGCTTTAATTTTCCACCAAAATCTCAAAAACGGCTGCATCAAATGAAAATCTGAGTACACCATCTTCATCGCCGTGAATAACTGCATGGAAATAATCTTTGGTGGAGCGGACGGGTGCCGTTTTAGCGTTTCGGGGTTCGTGGCGAGACCAATTTCGAAAAATAGCGCGCAACATGGAGAGACGCGAGACATTTTTGTGCATTTTCGCGTCACCGTCTTTGCACAAGTCAATACAGTATACCCCGCGAACCAAGGGCCAAAAATACCAGAATACCCCATCATATTTGGTATCAAAATGTTCCAAATTCAAATATTCACCTCAGGCGATGCGTCATCATCACCACAAACCACACCAACAGCATTATTTTCATCCTGAACAATTTCAGCAACAACATCCGCCTTCACTTTCTTCTTCTTCTTTTTCTTCTCAATTTTCTTCTCTTTTTTCTCGCCATCTTCAGTTTTATCCGCATCCGGCGCCGATTTTTCGTCCAAATTGTTATTGTCATCCTCTTTTCGATCGGTTTTGATGACAATCGGTTCGGCTGCCTGCACTTCAACAATCGGCTCATCGATTACCACTGCTTCCTGGTTTGGAGTCGGCTCCATCACCGGATCCATCGCCGATTTTTCTCGTGATGGCTTTTTTTGCGCGCGAAGCGCTGGAGTACATTTTTGCTCATCGACGCTGCGAAAATTCGAGATTTTTGAGGAAAATTACTGCTGAAACTCACTCATCATTGCTGTTATTATTTTTATTTTTCTGCTCCGAATACATATTTTCTATTTCCAACAAAATACAAAATAGCCAACATTTAGCCTTGATTTGATTTGGCGTGGTTTCGATGTCACGTTGAAAATAATTTTTTTTTCGAAAAAACAATTTGATGACAAAAAAAAAGATAATCTTCGAGACCCACCATGCAAACATATCGCGCCTTTGAAGAAACTACGGTTTTCTATGCATTTTCAAAATCGCTTCGAGACCCAACTCTTCTTGAAAACCATGCGCCTTGAACAGTACCCCCCCCCCCAAAAAACATTCAAAATTTTGCGCAAAACCGGAAAAATGTGGTCTCTAGAAACTTTTGAAGCGATAGTTGGCAAACCAAGACCTAGAAGTGTGAGTTCCACGAACTTTCCTGTAAATTTTGAGTTTAAATATTTTCAGAGAAGCTCAGTACATTTCGAAAATGAGATTTTGAACGCGAAGCCAACTATATTCAAGGATACAAATAATATCAATTTCATCACCAAAATAGACGCACTCCTTTTATACGTCAAAAACAGTAAGAATATTCACGATGTCAAAGATATCAGAACAATCGTCACAAAACTTCGTCAAAAATACAAGGATGGTCTTGAATTTATCAAAGAAAGTGTTTTTTTGAAAAATATTTTCAACGAAGTCGGGAAACATCGGAACGATTATGGAAAAATCTCGATTTCTTCGCTGGAAAAAGTTTTTGGATTGAAGAGTGGCCCAAATTATTGGTTTAATGGAAGAGATGCGGTTGTGAGAGTTTTTAATGATAAAGATTGTGAAACGGAGAAGTTTTTGATGGCGAAAGAAGTTGAAATGGCTTGTCAAATTGTGATGAAGAAGCTATCGATAAAAGTTTCTCAAAGAGGTATATTGTCGCTCGTAAATATTTCGAAAATTAATGAATGTTGGTGTGTGCGCGCGGTCGCGATGCGGTCGAAATAAAATCAATATCGCCCAATTTTTTCCTCGAAAATGTTGTTTTTCATCACAAAAAACGGAAGTCATTAATTTTCAAAGTTTCGTTGTTGTTATTTATCATTTTTTCAGCAAAATAGGTTTTTCAGACTGAAAACTGAAATGTATGCAATGAAAATGAATAACGTTAATTTAATTACGCAAAAATAACTGTTTTGTGTAAAAAAACAGTTTTTTCGAGGAAAAAAAGAAAAAAATCGGCGATATTGATTTTGTTTCGACCGCATCGCGACCGCGCGCGCACACACCGACATTCATTGATTTTCATTTCCACAATACTCCGATTTTTCAGGATTGCTGCCAACTGAAACCCGAGTCGATCGAATCCTCGGCATTATCCAAGTAATTTCCTATGATTTCTTCCTACAAACCCTGGCACTTCTTCAACTTCCTCTCCAACAATTCCACATAATTCACCAGGATTTATCAAGTTTTCCTCCTCCCCAAAAAAATCCAATCATCTCTCCGTATGCAACCAGCTGTTTATTAGCAAAACACGCATTTTTCCGAGTTTTTCAAGCGATTTCAATGGAAATGCGTATTTTTCAAAGACTCGAAAATGCAATGTTTTCGAAAGTTTTTCAATGGTTCGCAAGATTCCACGACACTTTTAATGATTTGAAAACACGTCAATATTTTATTGAAATTTCGAGTATTCAGAAAATCATTGAGGGAGCGGAAATTCTTGAAGAATACGCAAAAAATCACGCGGAAGGTATGAAAAATCCAAATTTTCCGATAAAAATTCTCATTTTTTGCAGAAATTAAAAAAGATCGAAATTTTGAATATGATGAAGTTATCGAAACTCTCCTCAAAACTTCGCCTGAAAATTTGGAACTTTTTTTCAAAATTTTTGCAAGATCAATTCTCACCGAGACTTATGAATCCTTTCAAATCCACGAGATTTATCACAAATCAATTCGCTGTGCTTTTCTAAAAATGAACCCGAGATATTTCAATTTTGTCACCAAACATAATCCAACCAAGAAATATATGGAAAATATAAGTCCGATGAGATTCGATGAATATTTGCAACATTTTTATAATTTGGACATTATGAAATGCTCTCAAGATGCTGTTCAACGTGTTTTTGATAATGATAATCTTCGATTATTTTCAATTTTGGAAAATCGATCGATAATTCATCCAACAGTGTATCCTGGTTTTGCTGGAACAACTATGGTTTTTGTGTATTTGGAAGATTATGAGATAAAAGAGTATACTGTAGTCGAGTATTATAAGCATTTGTGAGTTTTTTTGGGGTGAAAGAAAAATTCTAAAAATCGCTATTTCCAGCTTCAACATCACAATTCCATCTGATATGATCTGCGTCTATGATATAATGAAAGCATCAATCGCTGATAAAGATCAAGATATATACCATGTAAATATACCAAGTTACAACAAAACAATATATCCAATTCCTCTAAATCAAATGTATGTTCAACAACATCCCGTGCCGGTTTTTCAAATATCTTTTTAATTTTCCTACTTTATGTTTTTTGTATCTAATAATTTGTCATAAAACTTCACTAATAGTACCATTTTTCATCCAAAAAAAATTCCGATAATAATTTTAAATTTGATAGAAAAGAAATAGAAAAGAGATCAGATCCTACACATTTAAAAAGAAAAACCAAATCAATGAGAAAATCTAAAAAAAAATAATGGAAAAAGGGGAAAATTTAGAGCAACTTTTTGATTTCGAGTCCAAGTTTGGCTGGAGAATCAGTCACAACAACGTTGGCATTTCGAAGAGCTTCGATTTTGTCGCCAGCGGTTCCTGGAAATTTTTAAAATGACCTAGAATTTTGAAATTTGGTTTTCTAGGCTGCGGAGAGAGAAGGATACATATTTGAATGATTTTTCGTAAATCAAAACTTTGACAAAAAAGATTTCAACTCAAAAACTTAACCAGGTATTAGTGAAAATAACTCGAAATTCATAATTTTCAAGAAACGTATTTTTTCGGGGGAAAAAATAAGAATAAAATTCAACATTCTGATGGGATTTTCGACCAAATTTTGTGTTTTCAAAAGTGAAAAATTCTCAAAATTTTGCAGATTTCAGCCCCAAATCCCAAATTTTCAGCCCCCAAAAATCCCAACCTTTTCCTCCAGCAATAATCGCTCCAGCGTGTCCCATTCGTCTTCCTGGCGGCGCTGTTAATCCGGCAATAAACGAGACAACCGGCTTCGCGTTCGGTCCACTGTTTCGTGAGCGCAAAAATTCGGCGGCTTGCTCTTCGGCTTGTCCACCAATTTCACCAATCAAAATGATACCTGAGAGGGAAAATTGTGCGAATTTCGAAGTTTCTGGGTGAATTTTGAAGAAAAACTAATAATTACAGAGGTTCTTTTTTTGAAAAGTTAAATTTCAACAAAATTCGGATTTCTAGATACAAAAATCTCCAAATTTTCAACTGAAATTTCAAAATTATCAGAAATTCATCATTTTTAAGCACAAATCGAGTTTCGAGCTGAAAATCAAGATTTTGAGATCGATTTTGTAAACAATTTCATTATAATTTTTCAAATTTTAAAATTTTCGCTAAAAACTTCAAGATGGCTAGAATAAACTATCAGAAATAATGGTTTTCAAGTTGTAGATGAGTTTTGATTTAAAAATTGGAATTTTTGTTAGAAAATATCTCAAAAATCAATTTTCCATCATTTTCTAAAATAAATCTGAAAACTTTGTGAATTTTCAACCAGAAATTCATGATTTCTAGCTCAAAAAATCGCCATTTTCCTCCCAAAAATCCCGGTCTCACCTTTAGTCTCTTCATCAGCCAAAAACACTTCCAAACAATCGATAAAATTGGTTCCATTGAATGGATCTCCTCCAATTCCAATACAACGAGTTTGGCCAAGTCCGACTTTTGTTGTTTGATGAACTGCTTCATAGGTCAACGTTCCAGAGCGCGAAACGATTCCTGAAACAGGGGAAAACTTCGAATTTTCTCAATTTTTTTTCTGAATTCTACAGGTCAAAACTCACCAATACATCCTTTTTGATGAATATGTCCTGGCATAATTCCAATTTTACATTCTCCCGATGCAATTATTCCCGGACAATTTGGTCCCAACAATCGAGATTTGTCTGCAAATTTTTCAGATTTTGTGAAAATTCAATTCTAGAGGTCACCAACTTTGTTTCAAAATGCGATTTTTCACTCGAACCATGTCTTGTTGTGGAATTCCTTCAGTGATGGCAACAATAAGTCCAATCTGGAAGAAAATAATTGAATTTTGTGATTTTTGAAGTTTTCTATAAGTTTCAAAATTCTGCAATTTACCCGAAAATTCAAAATTTCGCTCAATTTTGAATTTTCAAAGAAAAATTGAATTTTCACAGAAATTTTTCAGAATTTTCATTGAAAACATGATTTTTGGTTCAAAAATCATAAATTTCAGCTCAAAATCCATCAATTTTCCTCGAAAATTCAAAATTTCGTTCAATTTTCAAAAAAAATTGAATTTTCACAGAAATTTATCAGAATTTTAATTGAAAACATGATTCATTAATTTTTTGTTCGAAAATCACAAATTTCAGGTCAAAATTCTGCAATTTTCCTCGAAAACTCAAAAATTTTGCTCAATTTTCAAAGAAAAATTGAATTTTCGCAAAAATTTATCAGAATTTTAATTGAAAACCTGATTTATTAAATTTTTTGTTCAAAAATCACAAATTTCTGCTCAAAATTCTGCAATTTTCTCCGAAAATTCAAAATTTCGCTCAATTTTCAAAGAAAAATTGAATCTTCGCAAAAATTTATCAGAATTTTAAATGAAAACATGATTTATTAAATTTTTTGTTCAAAAATCACAAATTTCAGCTCAAAATTCTGCAATTTTCCTCGAAAACTCAAAAATTTCGCTCAATTTTCAAAGAAAAATTGAATTTCCGCAGAAATTTATCAGAATTTAAATTGAAAACATGATTTATTAATTTTTTTTTCAAAAATCGTAAATTTCAGCTCAAAATTCTGCAATTTTCCTCAAAAATTCAAAATTTCACTCAATTTTCAGAAAAAAATTTAGTTTTCGCAGAAATTTTTCAGAATTTTCATTGAAAACCTGATTTATTAAATTTTTTGTTCAAAAATCATAAATTTCAGCTCAAAATTCTGCAATTTACCCGAAAATTCAAAATTTCGCTCAATTTTCAAAAAATAAATTGAATTTTCACAGAAATTTATCAGAATTTTAATTGAAAACTTGATTTATTAAAATTTTTATTCAAAAATCATGAATTTCAGCTCAAAACTCTGCAATTTTCCCCAAAAATTCAAAATTTCGCTCAATTTTCAAAAAAATTGAACTTTTCGCAGAAATTTATCAGAATTTTAATTGAAAACATGATTTATTAAATTTTTTGTTCAAAAATCACAAATTTCAGCTCAAAATTCTGCAATTTTCCCCAAAAATTCAAAATTTCACTCAATTTTCAAAAAAAAAATGAAATTTTCGCAGAAACTTATCGGAATTTTAATTGAAAACCTGATTTATTAAATTTTTTGTTCAAAAATCATAAATTTCAGCTCAAAATTCTGCAATTTTCCTAGAAAACTCAAAACTTCGCTAAATTTTTGAAGAAAAATTGAATTTTCGCAGAAATTTATCAGAATTTTAATTGAAAACATGATTTTTTTTTAAAAATTTTTGTTCAAAAATAAAAAATTTCAGCTCAAAATCCATCAATTTTCCTCGAAAATTCAAAATTTCACTCAATTTTCAAAAAAAATTGAATTTTCGCAGAAATTTATCAGAATTTTGATTGAAAACATGATTTATTAATTTTTTGTTCAAAAATCACAAATTTCAGCTCAAAATTCTGCAATTTTCCCGAAAATTCAAAATTTCACTCAATTTTCCAAAAAAAATTGAATTTTCGCAGAATTTTAATTGAAAACATGATTTATTAAATTTTTTTGTTCAAAAATCACAAATTTTAGCTCAAAATTCTGCAATTTTCCTGGAAAATTCAAAATTTAGCTCAATTCTAATGAAAAATTGAATTTTCGCAGAAATGTATTGATTTTTTTCAAGAATCACAAATTTCAGCTCAAAATTCATCAATTTTCCTCGAAAAATCAAAATTTCGCTCAACTTTCAGAGAAAAATTGAATTTTCGCAGAAATTTATTAATTTTTCTTAAAAAATCATAAATTTCAGCTCAAAATCCATCAATTTTCCTCGAAAAATCATGAACCTGGCTCAAATTTTCTGAAAATTCCATTTTTCCTCCCAAAATCCTCTCACCTCCGCATCAATAGCCTCATTAATAGCTCTCGCAGCTCCAGCAGCTGGCACATAAATAACAGTCGCATCAGCTCCAGTTTTTTCTTTCGCCTCTCCAACTGACCCGAAAACCGGTAGGCCTAAATGGGTTTGTCCGGCCTGAAATTATAGTTTTTTTTTGTTTCTCTGGTTTTTTTTTTTTGAGAGAACTCACTTTATTTGGCGAAACTCCACCAACAACTCGAGTGTTATATTCAATCATTTGTTTGCCATGAAATGTTCCTTGTTTTCCAGTGAAACCCTGCAAAAATTGGGATTTTTTTTTAGAGAAAATCAACATTTCTTCGAAATTCTATAGAAAAAGCTGAGAAATTTCATGTTTTCAAAAATTTTCTGTGAAAAAAGAATCTTTTTATTTGTGATTTCCAAAGTTCAAAAATCTCAAAAGCTTCTAATTTTCAGATAAAAAATATTCAGATTTCAACAATTTCAGATTTTTCTGTAGAAGAATGCTTTTGTAATTTTCAAAGCCCACCAAGAATTTCACCAACCTGAATAATAACTTTTGTGTCTCTTCCAATCAACAAATTCTTCCTTGTATCATTATACAAATTTCGTGTTCCAATGTGTTTTACGACTTGACGAGCTGACGAAACCAGTGACATTTTCTGGAAAAAAATGTTTTTTTTTCAGGAAAAAATATGAGATGGCGAAAAAACTACGTGAGTACGGAGAGATAAATATTGTAGCCTCTAAAATCTCTAGTCTAACTAGAAAAATTGAAAAATCGTCCAACTACGTAATAAATATTTAAAGGAACATGGATTTCCTATCACCTTCGTTTCGAGACCCACTATTTTTCAAATCTCATCGAAAATTCGTGATTTCCTTGATGCAACCTGTTCAAACAAAATTTTCAGAATTTTTTTTTTCAGAAAAAATCTGTAGCCTAAACATACATGGCACTGCTCTCAAATCTGTGAGGGGGAGATCATGACATTTGGAAAAAATTTTCGAGGGGGGGGATCATGACATTACATACAAAAACCTAAATTTTTTCAAAGTGAAATCGGTACGCTAGAAAAAAGTTGGGTTTTTGCATGTGGTCATTTTTGACTTATTTTTTCAGGTTCGGTAATTTGGAAACTAGTTCTTTAGGAATATCGAATGTAGAGAACGAGCGAAGAGGTCAACGGATATCTTTCATCGGCTAATTATTCTTATTTTATTTCTAAAATTCTCAATTATATTTTTCTATATCCTTCTAAAATAAAAAATGCGTTTATTGTAGTAAGTTCATCTCAGAAATTTTTACAAATTTTTCTGAACAATTACATAATAATAATAATCATATCCAATGCGTTATTTATTTGATAATCAAATTGAAATCCAAAAATATTGAATTACAAAACAAAAGAAAAAAATGAATTCCACCGAGAATTCGATCCAAAAACCCTCTGATTATTAGGCGCGATCTCTACCGACTTGACCACGAGGCTACTTATTTTCACACGTTTATTTTTAAGTGATAAATAAGGGATAGAAGGAGAGAAAATGAAAAAGAGAAGGAGAAGCGGAAAAAAATCATAAAATTTTTGAAAAATTCCCATTTTTATCGAATTTCGCCGATTTTGTTATATGTTTCGACTGTATAAGTAACTTAAGGATGGTAGAAAGGAATGTCTGTCGAAATTATCTTAAAAGAAGGCTTATTTCTTGAGATATGATCCCCCCAAAATGACATAGCAAAACGGCTTCGATTTTGGGGGGATCATATCTCAAGAAATAAACCATCTTTTTAGATAATTTCGACAGACATTCCTTTCTACCATCCTTAAGTTACTTATACAATCGAAACATATAACAAAATCGGCGAAATTCGATAAAAAATGGGAATTTTTCAAAAATTTTATGATTTTTTTCCGCTTCTCCTTCTCTTTTTCATTTTCTCTCCCCCTTCTATCCCTTATTTATCACTTAAAAATAAACGTGTGAAAATAAGTAGCCTCGTGGTCAAGTCGGTAGAGATCGCGCCTAATAATCAGAGGGTTTTTGGATCGAATTCTCGGTGGAATTCATTTTTTTTCTTTTGTTTTGTAATTCAATATTTTTGGATTTCAATTTGATTATCAAATAAATAACGCATTGGATATGATTATTATTATTATGTAATTGTTCAGAAAAATTTGTAAAAATTTCTGAGATGAACTTACTACAATAAACGCATTTTTTATTTTAGAAGGATATAGAAAAATATAATTGAGAATTTTAGAAATAAAATAAGAAATAAGAAAAAATAAGAAACAATGGATGATATCCGTCGAATTCTTCGTCCTTTCTCTACATCCGATATTAAAAGCGCTAGTTTCCAAATTATCGAACCTGAAAGAATATGTCAAAAATGAAACCCCCCCCCTCTCCTGGATATTTTTCATTTTTTTCACCATTTATTTTTTCAAATTTTTGACAAAAAAAATTGAGGGGGATCATGACATTTCAAAATTTTGGGGAGGGGGGGATCATTACATGGAGGGTCTGTTGGGCAAAGATGCCATGTATGAGCCTAAAATCAACGAAACAATGGGGAACACTGAATTAGCACGTATTTAGCTTGGTTTTTTGGTATTTATTTTGTGAGATCTACATATGTTTCTGGAATATTTAAAGGTACTTCTATATGTTTCCAATATCGCTGCAGGACCCATAGCGTTCGAAACCTATGCACCTTTGAAAATAACTTCAACTTGAAGTTGAAGTTTTTACACCAGACCAAAAAACCAAGTGCTAATTCATTGTTCTCACAATTTCTTGTTGATTCAAAACTACATTTTTTCCCTCCCTCTCAGAAAAAAATCAACAAAATCTGCAAATTTTGTTTGATCAGGTTGCATCAGGAAAATCACGAATGCTCAATCAAAGATTAAATATTCGCAGTTTGCACAAAGACCACGAAAAACCATTGTTTCTTTAAAAAGTATGGTTCACAACGGGAAACAGTGAATTTCAAGCGGAAATTTGAAGCTAACTATAAAAACCGTGAAAACTAGACTTTCGGACGAAAAACCAAATTTACACCGAAAATCTCTTATTTCCAAAATTTTTTTTTAGAAAACTTTGTTTTTTGGGGAGAGAAAATGCATTAGTGTAATCGAATAACTAGTTTTTCTCCAAATTTGAAAAAAAAATCGTGAAGAATTTCTATCGAGATTCCGTATTTTCAAAATTGTTGAATCTGGCCAGATTTTTCGGATGAGGAAAAATTTCGAATTTTGGAGCTCAATTCAGATTTCTTTTCTATGGCCCTTTTGCGGCCTTTTTTCGAACTTTAACAACTTCAAACAAGATCTAGGCTTTTCTAGCTTCAAGTCACAAAATCCACATATTTTGTGTCCTAATGTGATGTTGGTCATTAGAACAAAAAACTCTGTGCTTCGATTTCAATACGCCTAAGCCTTGTAACATCTATTTGCACATCTGCACAAATTTCAATGGATCAAAAAAATTCGACGAAAAAATCATTCTTCTTCAAAAAATGTCGGAAAAACGATTGGATTTACAAGGAATTCGAGGGCTGGCGATTTTGGCCGTTTTGGGCTTTCATTTTTATCCCGAACTATTTCCGAACGGATATTTGGGAGTTGATCAGTGAGTTTTGAAATCAAAATGGTGACGAAAAGGTTTTCAGTCTCAGAAGATGAAATTCTAAACTTTCATCTTCGGAAAAATCATTGAATCTGATTTCGACCACCATTTTCAGATTCTTCGTCCTCTCCGGTTTCCTAATGTGTATGCTCCTCACAAAATCGCAAAACCTTCCAACTCCCGAATTTTTCACCAATTTCTACACCCGTCGCTTCAAAAGAACCCTGCCACTCTACCAACTATGCATATTTTTCTCTCTTATTTTCCTAATCACAATATTTCCCGAAGCCGCAATTTCGCAAAACGAAAAATCGGCCAAAAAAGCAATGCTTTTCATCTCAAACCGCCTCAAATCAGATCAGGAGAACTACTTCGAAATGTTATCGATTGCAATCGATATTTTCACACATACTTGGTCACTTTCTGTCGAAATTCAATTCTATTTCTTGGCTCCAATAATATTCCTGCTCCCTGAGCATTTATACACATTTTCGTTGATTTCAGTGGGAAGTTTCATCTATTTTCATCATTTGCCAACAAATTTCGCGTTTTTGAGTGTTTTTGCGAGAATTTGGCAATTTATGACAGGTTAGAACTATAAGTTTGCCACGCCATAAAAAATTTCCAAAGAAAAACGGAATCTGAGAAACCTGAAACCAAGATTCACTATATTTTCAGGCATGCTTGCCTTCACTCTCGATAGAAACTGGAACACGGCATACCAGCAGCTTAGTCTCCAACAAGAAGATTGTGAATGTCTACTACAGGACGAAGAAGAAAGTCTGGAAGAAACTCCAATATTCCAAAAATCCAGTCTAAACTTGCTCACAAAAATAATCACTACAATCCTCCTTTTCTCAATTTTCTACTTCGAAATCTTGCCAGAACTTTTGATGCGACCAATCGTCACATTTCTAACCGGAATATTATTACTTATCTCATCTGGAGAAGATGCAGTGCTTTCCAACAAAGTTTTAGTATATCTGGGAGATATTTCGTATAGTTTATATTTGATACATTGGCCGATAGTTGCTTATTGGAAAATGACCGGGGAGGGAAATCAAAATGAACTTGCGATGTATTTGATGTTAACTGTGGGGATGGGAATCGTAATGTTTCACACATTCGAAACCTGGTACACTGGAAAAGCATCGAATTGGACGGTTTTCGTAGTGGTGGTATTATTGAGTTTAGGGAATTTGGCTGTTTTGAATCGAGATGAGCTAATTTTCGAATCACAGGTACTCCTAGACTGATTTCCACCGATAAATCAAATAACTTCAGGTCTACACGAGAGATGGAATATTAGCGAATATGACACTTGCTGATGCGATAAGATTTAACAAAGATTGGTCAGTTCATGACGACGACAATCTCCTACACCCAACCTGCGATTATGAATTCACTAAACCTTTAGGTTGGTGCAATCAAACTGGTCTCTCTCCTAGAAATAAATATCGAATCATGATAATTGGCAATAGTTGGGCGGCTAATCAGGGACAATTAATTTATGATGAATGCAAAGATAAAGCAAAAATTATATTACAAGGCTCGGCTTATGGTTGTGAGCCATTTTATCCGTCGAAAAATGATACGAAGTGTAAGAAGAATTTTACGTATTTTGAGGAGAGGGTTAGAGAATTTGAGCCGGATTATGCTTTTCATTTGACAAGGTGGGTGCCATTTACGAATGGAAGAGGGAGATTTTCTAGTGGGAAAACTACATAGATTTTTCAAAAATAAATATCCAATTTTCTACGAAACTAAAGTTCACTGTAGAAGTTAACCTAAGTCCCCGGATTTCAGACACATATCATACGGTGAAGAATTTTCGGGAAATTACCAAACCGACCAGGTTTATCAGACGATGTTGAAACAAATGAAAATAATGACGAAATATATCAAACGAAAATTTTTTATACTTGATGCAATTCCGTGGATTGTAGAAGGGCAAGTTCGAAAAATCACAGATTATATCAAGAAAAATGTGTCTTTCGTTGAAATTGATGTGAGTTTTTTACTTATTCTTCATATTTCATCAGAAGAAAATTTTCTAGAAAAAATACACAAATTTCACGAATTTTGTGTTTGCACGTGAAAGATACGCTCAACTTTTCAAAGATTGCGGGAACAAATGTGAACGAATTGATTATATCGAAGAATTCTACCGAAATGACACTGGAACTTATCGGTTTTTTGACGATCGAGGATTTAGTTATATGACAAGTGCGAATCATTTGTCACCTCATGGTTTGGAAAAAATTCGACATGTTTTTACGGAAATTTGTGATAAACTATGAAAAATAGAAAATTTGTTGTTTAGGTTTATGAAATTCACGTGAATAAAACATTGAAAAACATGATCTTTGCAAAAAAAATTGCATCAGTATGTTATGTGCAAAACAGAAAATAGAGTAAACAAAAACAAACAAAAAATCGATGAAAAAACATCTTTCTCTCTGTCTCGTTCGCTTTTCCTCGTAAAATAGTGGAAAATGAACGCTATAAGTTCAAAAAGTCAAACATCTTTCTTTTAGGCAGACAAGAGTTGTTTGCAGGAAGCAAAAGATAAGGAAAAGTGGGTGGAGAGAGAGAGAAAATGGGGAAAATCGTGGAATTTGAAAATACTTATCAATCAAATAAACTTGTAATTTGACTAGAATGCTACAAGCTGATAAGAAAAATGTGGCCGTTTAGGAAGACTTTGACCCCTAAATGTTTTGAAGAACGAAAACTCTCACAAATAAAACATTCTGCAATAAAACCCCTGTGGATTCGATAGAAACATTGATTCTCTATCGTTTTAGCCTAAATTCAACAAGCAATTCACACTATAACACCAGTTATAACTAACGTTAGCAAGCCTGTAAACTTCGAAACAAAAAAAAAATAAATTCGAAAGTGAAATATTGATTGAAATCCCGTGAACGCTGCAAGACCCAACAGAAAAAACGTGTGTGCCTTTGAAAAATCTATTAGAAGTACGGTGTGTTTTTTGAAAAAAATATTTTTATTTTTTCGTTTATTTTTTTCTTTTTTCTTCCCTTTCAAACCAAAATGCTAATTCATCGCCAACGAAAATAAAATGAATTTGATTGTCCAATAATAGCAAAGAAAAATCGATCAATTTAGTCCGGGAAAACATTCATTTTTCACCACCTCCCAACACATTTTTCTTGTAAATTCTATTTTTCAAAAAATACATACATTTCTCCTCTCCTTTTCCGAAACAAAAATGTACTACCAACACAAGGTGAGTTTCGATAAAATCTCTCAACGACACAATAAATCAATATTTATATAATAATAATAATATAACTGCGCGATGAATGAATGACCAAACAATTTTACGCTTTTTCCATTTTATTTTATTTTTTATTCAATTTATTCAACAAAAAAAGTTGCTACTCTCAAAAATGATGAAAAAGAAATAACCTAGATTTTTCGGCGACCATTGGGGCGCATTTTCTCACTTATTACAACTCAGATTTTTCTAAATAAATAAGTTTCGCAATTACATCTGATTATAGGGTCGCCTTCACTGGATGGAGGACTATAAGTACCTCTTTAAGGTTGTACTTGTGGGAAATGCGGGAGTTGGGAAGACGTGTTTGGTGCGAAAATTCACCCAAGGCATATTTCCGCCGGGACAAAGTGCAACGATTGGTGTTGATTTTATGATTAAAACTGTGAAAGTAGGAAATGATAAAATAAAAGTGAGTTGCGTTGGGAAAAATTGGCACTCACCTCTAATTTTCCAGCCACTTTCCAAGTCCAAAATCTCGAAAAATGACTAGAAATTCAGGGAAATTTTGGCGTAAACTTTTTCGCGTGACCCATTTTTATTTCATTTCGTAAAATGTTGAATTTGGGAAATGGCAGGAAAAACCCCCAGCGTCTTGTGAGCTATGACGTGGATCCCAATTTTCCAGCTACAAATCTGGGACACGGCAGGTCAGGAGCGTTTTCGCTCCATCACTCAAAGCTACTATCGAAGTGCTCATGCAATAGTTTTGGTCTATGACGTGTCGTGTCAACCATCATTTGATTGTCTGCCAGAATGGTTGGGTGAAATTGAGAGTTATGCGAATCGGAGGGTGCTCAAAATTCTTGTTGGTAGGTATTTTGAGGTGGAAATTTTGATGAAAAATATCGAAATATACCAAATTGACCATGCTGATCAGGAATCCGAAGTCAAAAATTGCCACAAATGCCTGTGAGCACTTTTCTGGAGCTGCAAAGTTAGAATTGAGTTTTGGGTTTCACCTATTTTCACCTTGTTCCTGGGTGGAAAATCAATTTTTATAAGGTTGTTCACCATATTCGAAAACCTATCAGCGTTTTCAAAAAATATGAAAAACCAGCTGAAAACTGTAATTTTTAAGAAATCCCTGAAAATACACACAAAGTTTTCTGTGCATTTTTTAAATTTACAGTTTTCAGCTGCAATTTGATATTTTTCAAAAAACTAAAAAGCTGATATGTTTTCGAATATGGTGAACAACCTTATTCATGTTAGAAAAATTGATTTTCCACCCAGGAACATGGTGAAAATGGGTGAAACCCAAAACTCAATTCAATTTTTGGAGCTCCAGAAAAGTGCTCACAGGCATTTGTGGCAATTTTTGACTTTGGATTCGTGATCAGCATGGTCGATTTGGTATATTTCGATATGTTTCATCAAAATTTCAACAATGAGCCTGTAATGTCCACGTGGCAAAAGTTCTGAAAACAAAAATAGTATTTTATACCACAACTCATGGTGGTTTCCAGCTCAAAATCTCCATTTTCAGGCAACAAAGTCGATAAAGGTGATGAACGTGAAGTTCCCGAAAGAATTGGCAAAGATTTTTCGGATGTGAACAGTTTCGACTATTTTTTGGAGACTTCTGCGTTGGACGCAACGAATGTTGATCAATTATTTGAACAAGTTGCGACTAGATTGACTAATGATATGAAAGCCACGGATGAAAGGTGAGTTTTTAGGGTTTTTTGGGAGGTTTCCAGCTGAAAATGAAAATTTTAGTGTAATTTTTTGAATTTGAAGCTCTAGGAGCTCAAATTTTCCTAGAAAAGAGCTCTGAAATCTCATAAAAATAGATAGTTCAATAGAGCGCATTTGTTTTTTTTTTCAAAAAGATAAAGAAATTGAAATTTTAGCTCTAGAAGCCTGAATTTTCAGTTTAAAATTTGAGATATCAATAAAAAATCGAATATAAAAATTTTCGGACACGTGGATTGCCAGCTCAAAATTCTGACAGAAAATTTTCAAAAAATCAATAATTTGGAAATCTGCCACGTGGATTTTCAGACTTCACCAATATCGCTCCGATGCCAACACATCTTCAGGCCAAAATGGCCAGATTCGACTACTGGACCGCGCTCAAAATCAAATCAATTCATGTTGTGGGTCTAGACAATAGGGCCTGAAGCCCCCTTTTTTTCTGACATTTCGGGCTTTTCCCTTATTCTATAATCTCACAAACGTGTTTTCATAATAATTTCGCATTTTTCAGTATTTCCTGTGATATATAAGTATTTTTGCTAGTCTTCTAATTTGTTTTGTACATTTTTTTGTGGAACCCGGGATTTTATTGCATTTTTTTAAAAAATATTTAATGAAAATTTAAGAAGCTAGACAAAATTTCGGGGGAAAACGTGGATTTTGTTCGTTGATTTCTTATCTGTAGGCTATAAATTAGAGAGAGAGAGAGAGAGCGCAGAGAAAACGAGAAGGTTTTTCTTATCAATTTTTTTGTGGTCGATCATCAAAAACAGTGGAAAAAATGCATCGAACAGCAGTGGTCAAGGAAATGAGTAAAAAGTAGGTTTTTGATTGATTTTCAGCCAAACTGGAATTATTTTTTTGCAGAGTTGCGAAGACTGTCGCCGCCCGACATACACAATATAGTCATGCGAAGACTGGTGGATTTTCACAAGATGGTCCGCAATTACACAATCCTTATAGGTTGGTTTGAAAAAATCCACGTTGCTTGAATTTCGGCGCGAAAAAAATGTCAAAATTCAAATTTGCCCCCAGAAATCTAGATTTGAAAATCCTAATTTTCTGCCACGTGGATTTTTTGTACTGAAAAATCTGAAATTTCAACATTTTTTGCCAAACCTATTCAAAAAACTTATAGCCAAATAATGAAAACAGAACATTTTGAAGCTTAAAATCCACGTGGCAAATTTTATTGTGAAATTTTGAATTCGTCTATTATCGAAAATCTCATCGCTACCACGCGCTCCACCGAAATAAACACGCAACGCAGACCGCGTCGCGCCACAACACACAAAAAGGGGAACGATTCAAATTCCCTCCCTTTTTAGTGTGTGTGTTGTGGCGCGACGCGGTCTGCGTTGCGTGTTTATTTCGGTGGAGCGCGTGGTACCGATGAGATTTTCGATAATATTGTTCTGCAAAATTGAATGCCACGTGGATTTTAAAAAAATTGAATTCTGTATTTTGAATTTTTTACTGAAATTTAAAATTTTTCCACGTGGCAAACCTATTCAAATAATCTTTGTTTATAGCCAAATAATGAAAAACAGAAGCTAAAAATCCACGTGGAACCTCATTTTTTGCACCAAAACCCAAATTCCTCATTCCAGAGACGATCCAATCCTCGACAAAGCTCTCCGTCGTCTTCTCCCCCAAAAATCCTACGAAAAAGTGGCTCAAGATCTAAATCGCTTTGGCGATCGAATCACCCAAGAAATCGATAATCTCGGAAGACGAGCCGATTTGGAGCCACCAAAATTGGAGCAACAAAATGCGTGGGGAAAACGTGTGGATCATTTGCAAGTCTGCCCAGAATGGTATCGATTGAAGGAGATTTGTGCGGAAGAAGGTGTGATTTCGATTGGATATGATGAAAATAGTGATGCATTTGAGAGACGAATTCATCAGGTTGCGAAATTATTCCTTTTTTCACCGGCTTCTGGCTTGGTTTCTTGCCCAATGGCTATGACTGATGGAGCTGTAAAGACTTTGACTTCGCTCAAATTATACGGGAAAAATCGATTGGCTACTGAAGCTATTGATAGATTGAGAGAAAGGGATCCGAAAAAAGTGAGTTTTGTGCAGAAAAACCAAGATTTTTGGTTAAAAATGAGCTATTTTTGATGGAAAACCACACATATTCATAGTTGGACAATGACATTTCCAGGTTTTTTAAGCGAATGAGTTGAAATATTGGGTTTTAATTTTATTCATATGATAGAATGGTCTAAGACGAACAGAATGATATAAATTTTGATGAATTTACGTTATCCTTAAGTGATTTAACGGCTTATCGACTAAATATCGACTAAACGTCGCTAAATCACTTATGGATAACGTAAATTCATCAAAATTTACATCATTCTGTTCGTCTTAGACCATTCTATCATATGAATAACATTAAAATTCAATATTTTAACTCACTTGCTTAAAAAACCTGGAAATGTCATTTAGTCGATGTGTTTCACCTAAAAGTTCGATAGTTCGATAGAGCGCACTTGCTTTTTTCCCCAAAAAACTCATTTTTCTAGGCTTGGACCAGTGGACAATGGATGACTGAGAAAAAAGGAGGAAGTGATGTGGCTGGAGGATGTGATACTTATGCAACTCATATTGAGGGAGATACCGTAAGTTGCGCTAAAATTCGACTATTTCATCAGAAATCCCTTAGTACAAACTTCATGGCTACAAATGGTTCAGTTCGGCAGTAGACGCAGATGTTGCGCTAACTCTTGCGAGAGTTGTGGATACGGATGGAAATTCGGTAGAGGGAACACGAGGACTTTCGCTGTTTTTGTTGAAATTGAGAGATGATGAGGGGAATTTGAATGGAATTCAGATGGTCCGCCTCAAAAATAAACTTGGCACCAAACAACTTCCAACCGGTGAACTATTACTTGATGGTGTAATTGCTGAAAGAATTGGTGAACCTGGACGAGGAGTTGCTGGAATATCGAATATGCTGAATATTACCAGAATTCACAACGCTGTCGCTTCAATCGGATATATGAGACGGATTATTTCATTGGCTAGAGATTATTCGACAAAAAGAGTCGTTTTCGGACAAGTTCAGGCAAAATGGCCACTTCACACTTCAACAATTGCAAAAATGGAAGTTGAAACCAGAGGATGTATGTTGCTTTTATTGGAATCTGCGAGATTATTGGGATTATCGGTGAGTCCGATCGACATTTTCACGGTTTTTAAGGAAATGAGTTGAAATATTGGGTTCTAATGTTATTCATATGATAGAATGGTCGAAGAGGAACAGAATGATATAAATTTTGATGAGTTTATGTAATCCATAAGGGATTTAGCGATTTTTAGTCGATAAGCCGCTAAATCACTTATGGATAACGTAAAGTCATCAAAATTTATATCATTCTGTTCGTCTTCGACCATTCTATCATATGAATAACATTAGAACCCAATATTTCAACTCATTTGCTTGAAAAACCTGAAAATGTCATTTAGAGCTCTAAATCTAGATCAAACCCCAAATTTCCTACAGGAAGCCAATAAATCTACACCCACTGAACTCTCGCTTCTCCGCCTTATCACACCAATCGTCAAATTATACGCTGGAAAACAGGCGGTGCCTTTGGTCTCCGAAGGAATTGAATGTTTTGGTGGTCAGGGATATATGGAGGATACTGGTTTACCGGGAATTTTAAGAGATGCGCAAGTCACACCGATTTGGGAAGGAACTACAAATGTTTTGAGTTTGGATGTGCTTCGCGTTTTTTCGGGAAAAGATAATGTGTTGTTGGATTTTGCGAAAAGAATCGAGGAATTGCTTGGAAAACAAGCGAAATCTCAGAAGCTGCAAGAATCTTCGAAGAAAATTCGCGAAGCTTTGAAGGAATTGCAGGTTTTATTGGTGAAAGCCAGCGATTCTGCGTTGAATAGCTCGGCGAGAATTGACAATGTTGCGAGGAGTATTGCGTTTGCGATTGCGAGAATTTATTCGGGAGCTTTGTTGGTGGAACATGCGGCGGATGAAAGTGTGGCGAATGATGCGGATGTGGAGGTCGCGTATAGGTAAGAAAACTTGAATCCAACCCGAATTTTAAAATTTCATTTCAAAATTTTCAGATGGTGCTGCGAACAGCCATTAATTGATCTACGCTGGGAATGGTTTTCAACAGAACGTGTCGCTGCTGATCGATCGATTGTTTTCGATTCTTTTGTTGGAGCCAGTAAATTGTGATTTTATTTTATGTAAATACTTGGAAATAGCTAAATTTTATGTGAAAAATGAAGAATTTGAAGATTTTTTAATGGAAAACTCGAGTTTTAGACCCTTTCGATATTTTTGTTGATTTTCAAGAATTACTTTTTTTCAATTCTAGCGGAACTTGATTTTAAAGCTGAAAAAAATAACATGGATTACTGTAGGTCGCGTTGTGTGCAAACACAGACCATGTTGCATTTTATTTGCCGCGCATGTTTTTTTGTTTTTTTTCTGTTTTTTCCCCTTTCAACGCGTTTAAACGGCAATACTTCATTGAGAAACAAATTGTCAAAAGATATGTTTACATATTAAAATCCGATTTCCAAAACGGAGTGAGCTATAATTTGGGGTAGTACGATTAATCGATTGTTCGTTGAACTTTCGATGAAGCACCGAAACAATCGTGAGCCCAGTAGATCTTTCGCAATTTGAGAATTGCAAGATTTTTGTAACATTTCTTGTTTCTTCCTCTTCATATTTGTAATCGAAAAATCGAAATATTCCATCTCTCCACATTTCTTTCGATCCGTTAAATCGCGTTCTGTTCGAAATTTCTTCATTGCTAATATGAAGTTCCGCTCTTTTTCCGTGGGTTATTTTGAAAAAACAATCGATAATTGGCTGTGTCAAAAATGGTAAATTCTGATGAAGAGTTAATTGAAAACAGTTATATGTGTCTTTAATACTCGAAATAATTTTCACCACTTCTTCCTCCTTCAATTCCCAATCAAAACATTTAAAGTCTTGAAGATTTTCAATGAATTCTATGTTTTTACAAAAATTGTCCAGAGATTTTTCGCCTTTCGCAATACTATAAACCTCAAATTTCCAGACATTTCTCAAAAATTCTCGAAATTTCGTGGAACTTTCGAGAACGTTCGATGATCTGTAGGTTATTGTGAAAGGTCGAATCCAGTTTAGTTGAACATCTTCGTAAATTCGATGATAATTTGGATAATAATAGGGGTATTCCAGGGTTCGAAATGTTGCTGACAAATCGTTTCGGCAGAATGAGAAACGGTTGTTGTCAATATTCATCTCGAATGGCCGAATTGAGCTGAAAATAGCATATTTTAGGTTTGAGAAATGGTTTTGCTAATTGAAATTAGTCAATCAGTTGTTTTTTTGAATTTTTGTACGAAAACTACTTTTAAAAATATTGCGTGACCTAATTTTTCTCTCATTTCTCATAAATGAAAGAATAGTTTTGGTGAGTAATTACTACGGGCTTTTTTGGCCCCTAAACTTAGCCTGGTCCCATTCTAGTCCCAAATCCCTACCTTTTCGTCTTCGGCAATTCATCTATATAATCTTTGAAAGACGGTAGAACTCTTCTCATTTTCACTATTTCATAAGTTTCCAAATATTGGAAAATTAGCTCTATAATACGAATCGGCAAATCATCGAAATTGAACTGAAATTAATTAAATTATGGTTAAAAATTTATTATAGGATAGTTAGAATAACTTACCGTAGTTTCATCTTCAGGATCCCGATCTCTTAAAGCCATTGTTCCAGATGCGCTAGGTTCCATCGAGAAATCCAGTTAGACTAAATAAAAAAACCTACACCCTTTTTTGTTTGGTTGATATGAATCTAGTTAGCGTGGCTTGGTGTTTTGGCACCATAATTTGAGCGGACAGGTATTAGAAGAGGTGTAATTATGCTCCAATGAGAAAAATTGTTGTTTGGCTTGACATTTCTCATGTTTAATTGTTATTATATAGCAAAAAAAAACAAATAAAAATGCAGTTCAAGTTTGTAATTTTTATTGAAACAAATTATATTTACACTGTAAAATCCGATTTCCAAAACGGAGTGAGATGAACCCCGACATTTTGCGAACAATCGATTGATAGTTGAATTTTTGATGAAGAACCGATATAATCGCTTCTGCAGTGGATCTTTTGCAATTTGGAAAATTCAATGTTTTTCTATTGTCTCCAACTTCTTCTTCTTCGTATCTATAGTCGAAGAATCGAAATAGTCCATCTCTCCACATGTCTTCCGGTCCTTCAAATTGGGTTCCTCTGGGATTTTCAGTTCCAATGTAGAGAACCGTTTTTTTGCCGTAACTTATATTGAAAAATTCATCGATAATTGGTTTCGTCAAAAATGGTAGATTTTGATGAAGAGTTAGTTCGAAATCACTACTGGTTTTCAAACTTGAAAGTATTTTCACCAATTCTTCCTCCTTCAATGTTTCATCATAACATGCAAAGTCTTGAAGATTTTCCATGAATTCCATGTTCTTACAAAAGTTTTCCACACACTTTTCGCCTTTTGTAATACTAAAAACACTAAATTTCCAGACATTTTTCAAAAATTCTCGAAATTTTGCGGAACTTTCGAGAACATTTGATGATTCATAGGTAACTGTATAAGGTCGAATCCAATTCAGTTGAACATCTTCGTAAATTTGATAGTATTTCATAGGAGTTAAAGGATAATCTAAGGTTCGAAATCTTGGCGAAAGATCCTTTCGGCTGAATGTAAATTCGTTATTGTGAATAAATGTTTGAAATGGACGAATCGAACTGAAACATAATACTTTAAATCTGCTAGAAATAGAATTTTTCATCATAAAAATTCCGAAAAAAAATTCGTGACCTAATTTCAGTTTTGACGTGGATTTTTCCATTAGGAACCTCATTTCTCATAAATCAAAGAATAGTTTTTGGTGAGTTATAATCTCCGGCCTTTTTTGGCCCCAAATCCTTACCTTTTTCTTCTTCGGTAATCTATCCACATAATCTTTAAAAGCCGGTAGAACTCTTCTCATTTTCACTATTTCGTAGGTCTCCAAATATTCGAAAATTAGCTCTATAATACGAACTGGCAAATCATTGAACTGAAATTAATTTTCTGTTAGAAATTGATTATAAGATAGTTAGAATAACTTACCGTAGTTTTATCATCAGGATCTCGATCTGTTAAAGCCACTGTTCCAGACCCGCTAGGTTCCATCGAGAAATCCAGTTAGACTAAATCGAAAAACCTACACCCTTTTTTGTTTGGTTGATATTGATCTGGTCAGCGTGGCTTGGTGTTTTGGCACCATATTTTAGGCGGACAGGTGTTGAAATAGGTGTAATTTTGCTCCAATGAGAAAAATTGTTGTTTGGCTTGGCATTTCTCATGTTTATTTGTTCGGAGATCCGGAAATTTCAGTATTTCATAAGACAACTGGTTTTGTTGCAATTTGAAAAATTGGGAAATAGTTTCTTAACATATTTTTCTGATGATTTTGTCACGTCATAGCCCTTTTTCAAATTTCTAGACGAAAATCGATCGTGTCAAACTCCAAAGTCCGAATAGAGTACATCCAAGAAAAGAAAATGTTACACATTTTCCCTTCCACTCTCTCCATTTTCCCCACTATTTCCTTCCCAATTTTTCTTCGACGTTCTTGCTGCTGAAAAAAAGCAAATCACACACACACACTCACTCATGATGATGATTTTGCCCGTGGAGCGCGTTTTCTTACTTCCCATTTTCGATATTTTATCGACCAGCCCAATATATTTCGGCTTTTAATTTTAGGTGGAGAACTCGGGGAGAGCAGCTAACCTCTCATTATTTTTTGTTTTGCATGAGAGGTGCAGAAAAATCGATAATTAAAAGTGCTTCTGCATTTAAATTTTTTTTGTCGTGATGATGAGATGGTAGTTTTTGGTTTTTCTCCAAGATTTTCTCCTTTTCCGTGAAATTTCATCCAGAAAATTTGTATTTTTTTCGGGGGAACAATGTTTTTAAAAATTAGCAATATTTCGTCATAAGTTTTGTTGCAAGAAATGTCCCTAGACATTGCTCATGTTAAGCTCTTGAAGTATCAAATTCAAAGATTTTTGATCAAATTTCTGGTTTATCCTCTTTTCGACCGATTGTTGTACAAAGTTATAGCAAAATTGTTCAAAAATCAAGGTATACTCTTTTCGTACACCAAATCTTTGTTAGTTTTTGATCAAAACTCTTGGTTCTGAGCTCATGTCCAACCGATTCTTGGACATAATTCGTCAAAAATCGAATCCAACCAAATTTGACTATTTTTGATCAATAAATCTGCAACTTCGCTCCATCTGTCTATTTTTCGAATTTTGGGAAGTTTGGTGTTGAAAGGACGCCAAACAGATGTTGTTTCATTTCATTTATATTTTTATTTGTTTACCAAAAAGACCGTTGATTTAGTCTAACTCTTCAATATCTTTAGTTGAAGTTAGGCTAATTCAAGTAAGCTTTTCCGTCTGAAAATCTCATTTTTTTCGGTATGGGAACTCCAAGCACATCTCGAAAACCCGATGCGGTTCAAGTTTGGAACGATCTGAGCAACGGTCTGAATTCGGCCTATAATCGAGAGCATATTTCGTCGCAGGATTATATGCAACTCTATTCGTGAGTAGTATTTTCTAGTTTGAACTAGTTAAAAATCTTTGTCTTCAGAAGCGTCTACAATTATTGTACATCAATTACACTTGGCGCCAATTCGACACGTCGTCCAGAAACGCGAAATGTGCCAACACCGGGTCGCGCCAATCAAGAGGACACCAGTTTCATGGGACACGAATTGTATCAGAAATTGAAGAACTACGTGACGGACTATGTGTTGAAAGTCAGAGAGCGTGGAGTTGATCTAACTGGCGAATCGCTGCTCAGTTTTTACACCACCGAATGGGAGAATTTTCGCTTTTCGTCAAGAGTGATGAACGGGATTTTTGCCTATTTGAATCGGCATTGGATCAAAAGAGAGTTGGATGAGGGACATGAGGATATATACATGATTTATACGGTAGGTTGGAAAATTGGTGCTAACATTAGGGCTGATTCACGAAAAGCCAAAAAATGTCGAAAAAACATTAGTTTTTCCAGTTTTTCAGCCAAAAATGATGACAAATCAATATTTTTCAAGCTTCTGGAGTAATTTCTGATTAAAATTGACCTTGGAATTCACTTTACAGAAGGTTTTGCTGATAAAGTAAAATAAAAAAATTTAAAATTTAGATGAATTTCGGGTTCTCGAAGCTTATTTTCATCAAAAATTACTCCAGAAGCTTGAAAAATATTGATTTGTCATCATTTTTGGCTGAAAAATTCGAAAAACTAATGTTTTTTCGACATTTTTTGATTTTTCGATGTTGAAAAAAACATTTTTCAATTTTTCCAGCTTGCTTTGATGATTTGGAAAGAGCACATGTTTGGTGGAATGAAGGATAAAGTGATTGACGCGGTTTTGGAATTGATTAAAAAAGAGCGAAATGGCGATATTATTAGAACTGCGTATATTTCGGGTGTTGTTGAGTGCTTGGGTGAGTTTTGATGGGAAAATTGGTGAAAATGGCGAAAAAAATGGTGAAATTTGGTGTAGAATTGCATTTTTCGGTCAATCAAACCCTTAAAAAGCTTCAATTTTTCCAGTCGAACTTGGAATCGATGAATATGATGCAGCAGAATCAGCCGGAGCCACCGCCGCTTCTGCAGCACAAAATGGTGCTCCGCGTCGAAACGCCGACCGCGCAAAATTGTCGGTCTACAAAACCGAATTCGAGAAACGTTTCCTCGAAGCCACTCACGATTTCTATAAACTCGAATCGGCGAATTTCCTCCAAGAAGAGGGAAATATCACCGAATACATGTTGAAAGTCGAAAAACGACTACAAGAAGAGGACAATCGTTGCCAATTGTATCTGAACTCGGCCACTTCGGCACCGCTTGCCGCTTGTTGTGAAGAAGTTCTGATTGCGAGCCGTCTAGAAGTTTTCCAGAACGAGTTTGGCGGTCTGTTGGAGAAGAATCGAGACGAGGATCTGGCACGAATGTTCAAATTGTGTGATCGAGTTGCGAATGGATTGGATCAGTTGAGAATTGGTTTGGAGAAGCATATTACCAAAGAGGGACATGAGGCATTGGCAAGAATTGCTGATGGAAATGCGATGGTAAGGGATTTTGGGGTTTGGGAGCCAAAAACCCGGATTTTCTGGGACTTTTGGGAAGAAAAGTGTGGAAAATCATGATTTTCACCGTTTTTTGAGCCGGAAATCCTTATTTTCAGCTGAAATTCAAGATTTTTGGTCGAATTCGACCTAGAAATGTCTAAAATTGTGATTTTAAGCTGAAATTCAAGATTTTTGGTCAAATTTGGCCTTAAAAATTTGAAAATTGTGATTTTCAGCGTTTTTTGAGTCGGAAATCCTTACTCAGAGAAAAACTTGTGAATTGAGGCATTTTCGAAAAATTTGGCTCAATTTCTGTTTTTAGCCGGGAATCCTTATTTTTAGCTGAAATTCTAGATTTTTGGTCGAATTCGACTTAGAAGTGTTTAAAATTGTGATTTTCACCGTTTTTTGAGCCTGAATTCTTTATTTTTAGCTGAAATTCAAGATTTTCAGTGGAATTCTACCTAGAAATGTTTAAAATCATGGGTTTCAGCGTCTTTTGAGCCGGGAATCCTTATTTTTAGCTGAAATTCAAGATTTTCAGTCTAATTCGACCTAGAAATGTTTAAAATCATGGGTTTCAGCGTCTTTTGAGCCGGGAATCCTTATTTTTAGCTGAAATTCAAGATTTTCAGTCTAATTCGACCTAGAAATGTTTAAAATTGTGATTTTCACCGTTTTTTGAGCCGAAAATCCTTATTTTCAGCTGAAATTCAAGATTTTCAGTCGAATTCGACCTAGAAATGTTTGAAATTGTGATTTTAGGAATTTTTTGAGCCGGAAATCTTTGTTTTCAGCTTAAATTCAAGATTTTTGATCCAATTCGACTTAGAAATGCTGAAATTCAAGGTTTTCACCGTTTTTGTTAGCCGGAAATCCTTATTTTTAGCTGAAATTTAAGATTTTTGGTCGAATTCGACTTAGAGATGTTTAAAATTGTGATTTTCAGCTTTTTTGAGCCTGAAATCTTTATTTTCAGCTGAAATTCAAGATTTTTGGTCAATTCGACTTAGAAGTGTTTGAAATTGTGATTTTCAGCGTTTTTTTTTCAGCATGAAATCTTTATTTTTAGCTGAAATTCAAGATTTTTAGTCAAACTTGGCCTGAAACGTTTTTCCAGGGCTTGAAATGCTGAAAATCATGGTTTTCAGCTGAAATTCTAGATTTTAAGTCAAAGAAAAATTGATAATTTGGGATTTTATCATTTTTTTGAGCTGAAAATCAGGAAATTTCGATTTTATTGAAAAAATATCTTGACAATTTTTTCCCCGAATTTTTTATGTTTCAAAAGTTATTGAAATGTTTATACGTTTTTTTCAAGACGTTCAAGCGAACATAGCATTTTCAAAATAATTATACAGTTAAAAAAACGCATTACTCATGTTAGAAAGTTATTTTTTCAGGATCCACGTGTCTACGTCAACACTCTTCTCGAAGTTCATCAAAGATATCTAAAATTGGTTCAACAAGCATTTGGCAATGATCCAGGATTTATGCAAGCTTTGGACAAAGCCGCCACGTCATTCATGAATAAAAATGAGGTGACGAAAAAAGCGCCGGCGTCACAACAAAATAGCAAATCTGCTGAATTACTGGCCAGATATTGTGATCAATTATTGAAGAAATCATCAAAAATGCCGGATGAAAATGAGCTGGAAGAGTTGTTGAACAAGATTATGATCATTTTCAAATATATTGATGACAAGGATGTGTTCTCCAAACATTATACCAAGTTTTTCAGCAAAAGGTGGGTGGTTTTTTATCTGGAAATGGTGAAAATCGGATTTTTCACTTGGTTGCTCATATTAAACTCAAAAATTAAAAATAGAAGTTTTTCTTGAAACATTAACATTACTAATTTTCAAAAATAACCATGAAAATTAGAAGAAAATTTTATCGAAAAGTTTCGCATTGCTCATATTAGGGTATCTGGAAATGCTAAAAATCGGATTTTTCACTAAATTTCAGGTTGAAAATATGAAATTTTGCTATTTTTCACCTAGAAAAATTGTAGCATTGCTCATGTTAATGAATTCTCGAAAAATTTAGTTGAAAAAATTTTCGAATTTTAAAATTTTATTGAAAAGTTTCGCATTGCTCATATTAGGATATCTCACAGAAAATCGATTTTTCGATTTTTTCTATCATTGCTCATATTAAAGCTCATATTAAAATTTTCCAGACTTATCAATGAAATGTCGGCATCGGATGAAGCTGAAGCGAATTTTATTCAAAAATTGAAAAGTTCGTGCGGATATGAGTATACGTCAAGATTGTCGAAAATGGTCAACGATACACAAGTCAGCAAAGATTTGGCGTCGGAATTCAAAGAAAGTTTGAGTGGAGACAAAAAATCGAAAATGGGACTAGAGTTTAATATTTTGGTGTTGAGGTGAGTCTGAAAATTCAGAAATTTTCAGATCTGAAAAATTTTAACCCATATTTTTGCAGCTCCGGATCGTGGCCCCAATTTCCAACTGCAACTCTCAATCTTCCAAATCGACTTTCTTCAAGCATCGAATATTTTGCCGAATTCTACAATGCGAAATTCAACGGCCGTCGTTTGACTTGGGTCTATTCACAATCGAGAGGAGAATTGACAACTCATTGTTTTAGCAAAAAATATGTGTTCACTGTGAGTTTTTTGGGCAATTTTTGGAGAATTTTGAGCGTAAAATCGATAAATTTCAAGATTTTTGAACTAAAAATTAAGTTTTTTTTAATCATTTTCCCTGCAAATCAATATTTTTACAGTCTACAACAGCTCAAATGGCAATGCTTTTATTATTTAATGAACAAGATTCGTATACAGTTGGACAATTGATTGAAGCGACTGCTTTGGACTCGAAAAGTGTTCCGCAAATTGTGGCGTCGCTTATTAAGGTATGACCTAGTTTTGGGCCGAAAATTGGGATTTTTGACCGGTTTTCTAACGAGAAAATCTGATTTTTCAAAAAATTTGCATTTTCTCCCGAAAAATCCTGGAATTTTTACGTTTCAAGAATATTTGAAAAGTATTTTTTTTTAGAAATCGATAGTAATAATATGAAATTTTTATAGAACGACGTTCTCAAATCGGACAAAGAAATCACTGGCGAAGAAGTGAGCCCAGATACAGTAATCTCACTAAATCAAGAATACTCGAATAAAAAAGTGCGTGTGGATTTGTCGAAAATGACGATCAAACAAGACACGAATCGCGAAAATGAGGTGGTTCAGAAAAATGTGGAAGAAGACCGCAAAAATGTGATATCGGCGTGTATTGTGAGAATAATGAAGACGAGAAAAGAATTGAAACATCAAGCGTTGATGACTGAGGTGAGTTGGGGGAAAATATGCTTTGTAGACTTGGAAAAATCTGAAAATTTGAGCTAAAATTGCACAATTTCCACCAAAATTAACCCTAAATGTTGAATTTTTCAGGTCATCCAACAATTGTCGAACCGTTTCAAGCCAAAAATCGATATGATCAAAAGAAGTATTGGTTCAATGATTGAAAAAGAATATATTGCGAGATCAAAAGATCAGAATGATTTATACGTGTACATTTCCTAATTAACTTCTTTTTCCCCTTGCTCCCTATCTCCATGTTTCTCTTTTTCAAAATGTTTTGTTTTATTTTTAGCGCCACAAGTTGAGCCACCCAAAAAAGCCCCTACAGGTTTCTTTTCTTTTCTGTCCACGAAAATTCTTTTTATTCAAAAAAATTAATTTTTTATTTGGTTTCCTCATAATTTTTCTTCTGTTTTGTGTACATCTTTTTTTTTGGAAATGAATTTTACACAAGATTTTGGAAATTGCACTGGATTTTATGAGAAAACGAAATTAATAAATTTCAAAATTTCTTGAAACGTAAAATATTCGGGAAAAATGGAGGGAATTTTCGAGAGAAAATTCCAGATTTTTACATTTCGACAAATTTTACGAGAAAATGCAGAATTTTTTACGCACGGTATTTCACCTAATTCACCCGAACATAACCTAAATAATTTTCTATAATTATTTTTCTCTGCGTCTCTTCTCCCTCTTCTCTCTCTCTCTCTCTCTCCAAAGTTCACCAGATGCTTTTCTCTGCACCCTCCTCAATTTTCACACTATTTCCCCACGATTTCTGGTGACACAGAGCTTCTTCTTCTTTTTTTCTTCATTTTGCCACGATGTTCCAATTTGAAATGAAAATGCTCATAATATATTTTCTCTGCGTCTCTCAAATCTCCACACTATTTCCGGGTGCTGAACCCGACGAGGGAGACACTCGCCACATTTATCCGATTATTTATATTGGTTTGGGTCTCGACACGCACGCACATTCGATACCGTACATTTTTGGATGGCTGGAGAATTTGGAATATCCCAAGAATCGTGTGATTTTGGAGATTTTTGTGGGGAATCGCGGCGAGGATTCGACGATTCATCAGACGAAATGGTGAGGATTTGAAACTATTGTCTAGTTTCATTTTGGAGCTCTTGAAATTCTCTAAAAAATGATGTATAGCAACCCAGATTTACTCAAAAATTAGCACTAAAAACCCCCTAAACAGTCCCAAAAAAAATAAAAGTAAAACAACGACACTCCGCTTGCGCGTTGTTTAATTTTCACAGACTGTTTGAACGAGCGGAGTGTCGTTGTTTTATTTTTATTTTTTTTCTGTTTTTTTCTTTTTCCAGCGAAATTCAACGAATTTTCGATTTCAGGTGGATTGACAACACAAAACAACACTTCAAAAATGTGCAAATCCACGAAGAAATCGACGAAAACACTGAAAATTGGCTGGAAATCGCTCTCCGCACAGCGCGTCTCAAAAAAGCTGAAAAATGTCTGCTTTTGACTGGAGACACTGTTCCAACTGAGACGAATATTCTGAAAGTGGGTGATTTTCAGCGAAATTATCAATTTGTTTGAATATATATTTTCAGTCTATTTTCAATGAGAAAAAACATGTTGTGGTGGTTCCGGTTTTTCAATCAATCGATGGATCTTCGAATTTATACGCAGATTTGACAGAAAGTTTGGATTTGAGGAAAAATGTTCGAGAAGAGGTAAGTAGATCAATTTTTGGCGCGATATCTGACCTAAAATCGATTTTTTGCAGATTTCAACTTTCGCTCTACCCTTGGCTATTAATTTAGGCCAAATGGACTCTTCTTATCTCACCTTTGACTCTCAAAATTTGCCATTTTTCGATGGTCCTAATGATTCTGGCTATGTTTTCTTAAAATCCGCAGAAAATATGAAAATCGCGATTTGGGCGGATAATCAAAAGGATTATGGGATTTTTGTGAATCCAGAGATTGAGGAATTGGAAGATAGAAGAATGATGGTGAGGAAAATAGAAAATTAGCAAATACGCTCTATTGATAAATATTTTGCAGATTCGTTATCATCTCGCTGATCTTTTGGCTGATGATAAGCCGATTCCACCGATTTCAAGATCCGTTAGACCGTGGGTTCCAGAAAAATCGAATTTAGGATTTGATAGGTATTTTTAAATACCCTTCCCCCTTTAATTAATTAAAAAATCAATAATTTTCCAGAATTTATTTGATAAACTTGAAGCGACGAAGTGAAAGATTAGAAAGAATGCAAAAAATCTTTGAAATTCTGGGCATCGAATTCCAGATTCTAGAAGCTGTAGATGGACAAAATCTGGAAAATATCGCGGAAAAATACCAAATCCTTGATGGTTATTTGGATCCCATCAAGAATCGGCCGATGAAAAACGGCGAAATCGGATGCTTTTTGAGCCATTTTCGAATTTGGCGTGAAATTCTGGAGGAAAAATTGGAGAAGGTTGTGGTTTTTGAGGATGATTTGAGGTTTTCGGCAGGGGGATTGAAGAGAATTCGAGAGGTTTTGATGGATTTGGAAGCATCGAGGAGAATTTGGGATTTGATTTATTTGGGAAGAAAAAAGCAATCAGATAAGGTAAAGAATTCTGGACTTTTTTGATGTCTATGTTCCTTTAAAAACCACAGTTTTCCATATAAAACCCAAATTTTAAAGGGACATTTCACGTATTTTTTTTGGCCCTCGGTTCGCGGTTGGTATACTGTATTGACTTGTGCAAACACGGTGACGCACAAATGCACAAAAATCTCTCGCGTCTCTCCATTTTGCGCGCTATTTTTCGAAATTGGTCCCGCCACGAACCCCGAAACGCTAAAACGGCACCCGTCCGCTCCACCAAAGCTTATTTCCATGCAGTTTTTCACGGCGATAAAGATGGTGTACTCAGATTTTCATTTGGTGCAGCCGTTTTTGATATTTTGGTGGAAAATTAAAGCATGTCCCTTTAAACAGCGAACCGAGATTTTTTGTTCAGCAACAAAATACGTGATTTATTTACAAACAAAAATCTTTTTCTTTCATAAAAATATCCCTCTCTTTTTCTCCCATAAAAGGATGTGCACTTTCGCGTCGCCGTGTTTGCACAAAAAAATTCATAGATTTATTTTTCCCTTTTTCTTTCCAGCAAGAACTATGGATTCCTCAACACCGCCATCTAAGTTCAGTCGAATATTCCTATTGGACCCTCGGATATATGCTATCCCAAGAAGGCGCCAGAAAATTATTGACACCAAATCCACTCACAAAAATCGTGCCGGTTGATGAATATCTTCCAATAATGTTCGATAAACATCCAAATTCCGATTGGTCTTCGAATTTCGCGCCAAGAAACTTGGAAGCCTTCACTCTTTATCCGCTCGTGGTTTCACCACAAAAATATACAAATGAAGTGGGATATATTTCGGATACCGAAGATTCGTTGATCATTTCGGAAGCGAATTTACAACGTGACCCAGAAAACCACGGGGAATTATGAATTTTTTAATATTTATTTTTGTTATTTTTCATTGTTCTAAATGATTTCTTCATATTTTAATAACAATTTTTGGTTGAAAAATGTATGTTTTGAATAAACGGGGTTTTTGATAGCATTTTTTTGGTTTTTTTTGAAAGGAAAATGGTATAGTCCAGGATTTTCTGTATTTTTTTTATTTTTGGGGTTCAAAAAAAACCAGCTCTTTACTCAAATCCCGTTTCCAGTTCCGTCAACTTGAATATCGCCTCCTAGAAAATATGGGATGCGTTTTATCGCAAGTCGACATAGCCGGTCAAGGTTTACGCATCAAAATTGTCAAAGAAATCGCCAAAGGTGGATTTGGTGAAGTGTTGTTGGGTGAAGATGTTGATGGTGGCGATAAATATGCTATCAAGAAAATATTGGCGAATTCTGATGAGGATGAGATGCGGATTGAGAATGAGGTGGGTTTTCAGGGGTTTTTGCGGTTTAAAATTCAAGTTTACCAAGTTTACAGTCGTGGCAACCTTTCAAAAACCCCCAGAAACCAGTAAAAATCACGCGAAAACGAAAAAAAGCGAAAAAATAAAAGTAAAACAACGACACTCCGCTTGCGCGTTGTTTAATTTTCACGGGCTGTTTGGACGAGCGGAGTGTCGTTGTTTTTTTTTTTTGCAAAATCCACGCACGTATTTTTTTGGCCCTCGGTTCGCGGTTGGTATACTGTATTGACTTGTGCAAACACGGTGACGCACAAATGCACAAAAATGTCTCGCGTCTCTCCATTTTGCGCGCTATTTTTCGAAATTGGTCTCGCCACGAACCCCGAAACGCTAAAACGGCACTCGTCCGCTCCACCAAAGCTTATTCCCATGCAGTTTTTCACGGCGATAAAGATGGTGTACTTAGATTTTCATTTGATGCAGCCGTTCTTGAGATTTTGGTGGAAAATTAACGCATGTCCCTTTAAACGGCGAAACGAGATTTTTGTTCAGCAACAAAATACGTGCAATTAAAATTTTCCAGGCAAAACTTCATCGACTGTTCGAAAACTCAGAAACTATCGTCCAATTAATAGCTCACATTCAAAACCCGCCAAAAATCGAAAATTACTTGATTTTCCCATTTTTCCCGCATGGAACTATACACGATGAACTAGAAAAGCGAAAAGAGAAAGGATTGTATTTGGAAGAGGAGCAAATATTGAGATATTTTGAAAGTGCGTGTAGAGCAACTCAGGAGATTCATTCGAAAGAATATGCGCATCGAGATTTGAAAACGGCGAATTTTTTGATTTCCATGGATCGGAGGACGCTGGTTTTGACGGATTTTGGATCGGCGGCAAGGTTTGGGGGATTTTTCGTGGAAAATATTATTTTCTTATACTTTCAGAGTTCCAATTTCAATCGAAAATTCGAAAGATCATAATCGATTAATCGATGAAAGTGCCGAACTTTGTAGTATGCCATATCGAGCGCCAGAATTATTTTCATGTGATATCGGAACACAAATCACAAATTCAATTGATATTTGGAGTCTTGGCTGTTGTTTATACGCATTTCTCTATTTCCAATCGCCATTTGATTCGATTTATGAAAAAGGTGGAAGTATTGCATTAGCAACACAAAGTCCACATAAAATTGAATATTCTGGAAAATTTAGCGAGAAATTAATTGGGCTAATTAAAAGTATGCTTGTTTCGCCACCCGAAGATCGACCGAAAATCGAGGAGATTTTGGAGAAAACTAGGAATTTGGGAAAGGAATTGATTAATGCTGTGAATGTGTGATAAAATATTTATTAATTTTCAAGCACAGTCTTGGGATTTGGCGCGAGTTACTATAAATTCGCCGGAGTTTTTTTGGGCTTCGAATTGAGTTAGCATAACTGTGGAGCCTCGCATTCTCATAGTGTATTTCAGCGATTTTCCATCGTTTTCGAAATCCGCATTTTCGATGACGAGAGAGGATTCTGAAAGGATAAAAATAGAGAATTAGGCTAAGTTAGGCTTCTCACCTTCCTCTCCTTCTTCTTCATTTTCAAAATTCGCCAAAATCTGCTGAATCACCTCATTTTTCGTCACATTTTTCGAAAAACAATCGATAAACACAAAATTGTCATCAATGATTTTGTTCAATTCATCGTGTTTCTTCAATTTTCCAAAATTGTAGATTTTTTCGGCTAGTTTTTGAGCCACTTCTTCTGCTGATTTTGAGGAGTTAGCCGAAATTGAGAAAATATTGATGAAAAGTAGGCAAATCGGGAGATTCATTGTGAAAAATTGATGGGGAAATTTGATAGTTTTGTTTATAAAAATAAAAAACGTTTATTTTGGTCTCACAGACGAAATAACGTGAAAAGTGTGGTGTAAATGCGGAGTATCGTTGTTAATGTTTTTTTAGTATGTGTAATTTAAACTTGCAAAAAACGTTTACACAGTGTATTATCGAAAATTTCATCGGTACAACGCGCTCCACACGCAACGCAGACCGCGCCGCGCCACAACACACACAAAAAAGGGAGGGTGTGTGTTTTGGCGCGATGCGGTCTGCGTTGCGGGTTTATTTCGGTGGAGCGCGCGTGGTAGCGATGAGATTTTCAATGGTAGATCAAAAATATTTTTATTATCTACTTCCAACTATTTTTTCTGTTGTGAATTTGCCACGTCATAACTGGTTTTTTATAGAAAATTTTTCAGGAACTTTCAGACAATTTTGGCGAAGCTCTACAGTATTCTTAAGAACTTTTTGATCCCCCTTGACACCTATCCCCTTCTCCAAATTATCTCCTTTGGTCAAATAAAGAAGAAGATATAACCAAATATAGTCATCCATCAAGAAAGAATAAAAGGGTGCCTTTTTGGCTTCCCGCAAAAGTGGGTAAATATCAAATCAAATATAAGAAGGAGGAGCAAAAAAGGGAGGCGAAGGCGATAAATATATCAAATCAGGTCGTGATATGTGTGTCCAAATTGTATACACAAACATATTGGATCCAAATTGTTTGGAGCTCATTTTGGAGCAATTTGGCATTTTTGTTTTGTTTGGGTTAGAGCTTAAGCTTAAGCTTAAAATTATGAAAGTTGGGTTAAGAAATTGTTAAGGGATATTTTACGGTAAATTGTAAGCTTAACATTTTTCTGTGGATTTTTAATGCAAGATAATTCTGATTTTTAAGCATCAGCTTTTTTTTTTTCGAAAAAAAAAATTTTTTTCCAGATCACCATGTCACCATTTCCACCATTTCTACTTCTCTTTATGCTTCTTCATCTCCAAATTTCCAAAATCAAAGGTTCCGAAGAGTGTCTAGATCGTCCTTGTGTAGAATGTCGACATTTTTCGAAACCCGATGATTCTTGCCTACATCACGGAACTCAGCCCTACTTATTTTGTGATCTGCAGACCAAGTGAGTTAGCCTAAATTTTGAGCTTTTTCAAACGGAGCATCGTTTTTGCTTTCAAAATTTCACAAACGATGCTCCCCGTTGACATCTCTATAAAATAAAATTTGCCAGCCTAATCCAAAAATCGTCCACCAACTTCCTCGAATGTGCTCAAAATCGCTGGATGCTTCGCGAATGTGTCAGCGGAACTTTGTACGAGCCCGGAAAAGGCTGTGTGGATCCGACGATTCAACCGTTTGCTCAGGGATTTTCGGTTTCGGGAAGCGGCCGAGTCGGCGATGTTTGTCAATATAACACTGATTGTTTGGGAGTGAGTTTTTCAGGATGAGCTTTGATCTCTATGTAACTCCAAAAAATTTCAGGGAATGTACTGCGCAACCGGTTTGTGCACCTGTCTCAGCACCTATATCCTGCGAGAATCCTACTGCTATGAAAGTGAGTTGTGAGAATCCCACCCCAACCCCTTCAACCTCTCTGATTTCCCAGAAGTCAACCCCAACCAACCCGGCTGTACCTACGACGTGCAATGTGAATCAGTCTGGCCCGGTTCGAAGTGTCGTATGGATTCCTCAATCGGAACTTGTCGATGTCCCGAAGAAACGCACGTGGCACGTGAAACCCGCGATGGTTGGGTGTGCATCTCGCTCAAGGATCAATCATCCGGCGGAACAGCTCCCCTATACTTCGTGTGTCCTCTGCCAGAAGGTGCTGGCTTCAAGATCTCGCTGAATGATCCAAGTCCAGCGATGGGTGCCTTTCCAGTCGGTTGCACAGTCGGCTCTTCGGCCACCATCGAACCGGTTCAAGGTTTACACGGTGGCGGTGCTTGCAATTGGCCGAGTGATGGTGAATACATTGGTGATATTTACGATTGTATTCACACGTCGCCCCACATACTTCTCGCTGAAAAATTCCCGCAGAGTAATTACGCGGCCACCGCAGATGGTGTGTGTTGCCCGAGTCGAGCTCTAGCCTGCATCCAACCGCAACTCACCGGTCCAAATCCTTCCGAACCTAGGTGGTGGTATAATTCAGTTACGGGAACTTGTCAACAATTTATGTGGGATGCGCAAGCTTCGGAGGCCAAGTTTCATTCGCCGAATAATTTCAAGACTATTCAGCATTGTGAATCGTATTGTAGAGATAGTGAGTTTGGGGCTGACATGAGCAATATGAAAAAGAGTAATATGAGCAATCCTTGACTCTAAATGACCCGAGGAATACCAATACCTCTGGGGGTACTATGAGCAATGCCTCTGGAGCATTGCTAAAATGAGCAACAGCTCTTTGACACAAAAACCTTACCCACGACCATACAAGGCGCCCGTTGAGTCAGACGCGAGACGACGAGAGTATTTTGCAAAAAAAAATATACCGAAAATGAATTTCGCTTCGAGATATTTTCAATAAAACATGTGTTCCTTGAAACAAAATACGGTATTTTTTCAAAGGGACACATATTTTCTCAAAAATATCTCGAAGCGATGTCTTTCTCTGTCCCAGATGACGTCATCAGACTCCCGTCGTCTCTCGTCTGACCCGAGGGGCAATTTTCTATTGGAGTAAATGGTCGTGCCTAGGCATCATTAATATGAGCAATATCTGAAAATTTTAATTTCCAGCTTGTCAACGTGGATCTCCACAATACTCAACCGAAGCCACCGTACACTCGGAACGTCCAATAACCTCCTGCGCCGCCTCGATTTCCTGTGCCAACGATTTCCAATGCACAGCCATCGGCAGTCAACATCTCTGCTGTCCAACCCCGGGCTCAGTTTGTTCAGCTCGCGGTGGTCGACCGTTCGATATTCAACCACGCAACTCGATCTATCATCAAGGATTCCTGGTTCACACTGGCAAAGAGAGTATTCGATTCTATTATGATCCGGGAACCGGACGATGTCACGATTTTGTATACAAAGGATCGGGTGGAAATTTCAACAACTTTTTGTCGAAACACGAGTGTGAGATGTATTGCGCAAGGTTGCAGTGTGAACGCGGTTCGCCGCTGAGAATTGGCGAGGAATCGCAGAGGTGTCAGAATAATGGACAATGCCCATCGTCGCACGAATGTAAAGCCGATCAAGGAGTTTGTTGTCCAAGGAAACGTGAGTTAGGGGAACTCTGGGGGAAGAAAATATGAATAAGCAGATCAAATCCTAATCTCGAAATTTATAGAAACTATTTGCGCGCAACCACTTCGAATTGGAGACTGCACGGAAAACGTGAAACGCTACTATTACAATGCAAAAACCCGGCAATGTCAAATGTTTGAATACACGGGATGTCAGGGAAATGACAATAATTTCGAATCGATTATGGATTGTCAGAATTTTTGCAAAAACGCGATACGTGAGTCCTAAATACTAATAAAGCCTGATTTTTGAAAAAGTTCGAAGAGAGGTCAGAAATTAAAATCCCAATTTCTCCAAGTACGGTATTCCTCTGCGTCACTAACACCGTTTCGAGACCACCACATTGGGCAGAGAAACCAAGTCAAATACGACCATTTACTCCAATAGAAAATTGCCCCTCGGGTCAGACGAGAGACGACGGGAGTCTGATGACGTCATCTGGGACAGAGAAAGACATCGCTTCGAGATATTTTTGAGAAAATATGTGTCCCTTTGAAAAAATACCGTACTTTGTTTCAAGGAACATGTGTTTTATTGAAAATATCTCGAAGCGAAATTCATTTTCGGGATATTTTTGCAAAATACTCTCGCGTCTGACTCAACGGGCGCGCCTTGTATGGTCGTGCAAAGACGAACATATGGGTCTCGAAGCGACTGGCAGAAACACCGTACTTGGGAGGAATGACATTTGAATTTTCAGGCTCCGTTTTATGCCAAATTTTTTTACTAGGAAAAAATCTCAACCCTACAAAATTTTCAGCCGAGCCAAAATGCATCCAAGGTCAAGCCTACAAAGACATGTTCGGTAACTTTGTGACCTGTTCAAATGGTATGGGATGCCCGGCAAATTACGAATGCTATTTCGACGGTTCACAATGGGGATGTTGTCCGACCAAATCATTCACCTGTTCTCTCAATCCTGATGCCGGTATTCAATGTGGCGCGGGTAGCACTTTCAAATATTACTATAATGCTCAAACCCAAAATTGCGAATCATTCCAATACAACGGCTGCGACGGGAATTCCAACAATTTTGCGAATCGCGATGCCTGCGAGTCATATTGTAGTGTGGGAGGATGTCCGAATGGTGGGACACCTCTTCGAGATCACTCTGGTATGGTTATGGTATGCGCGTCTACTAGTAATTCGATGAGTGGAAGTGGGACTGGACAATGTCCAGAGTCTCACGAATGCATTCCAGTTCTTGTCGGTAACTCGATGATCAATCGATGTTGTCCGACTCGCGCTTATATGTGCGGACTTCCACCTCAACAAGGTACACAATGCGGTGCAAATTATGTGCAAAGATTCTATTTCAATATTGTTACCGGCGCGTGCACCTCCTTCCAATTCGGAGGATGTGACGGGAATGCCAACAACTTCCTAAACATCCAACAATGTCGAAATTTCTGTATGAGTAATTCATGTCCCGCTGGCAATGTGGCATACGTGGATCCCAACTCACAAATGCCGATTAATTGCAACGAGGCGTTGAACAACAGTTGTCCGCCAGGATACACATGCACATTCAATCCACTGATAAATAACCATGTTTGTTGTGGAGCCACCGATTCGGGAGTTTGTCCGGATGCCGAAAAGGCGTTTATTGATACGATTGATATGTCGGCGCGGGAATGTTTGATCAATATTGAGCAATCGTGTCCAGCCAATTATTTGTGTCGATTTAATATGCAGAAGAATAAGTATTATTGTTGTTCGAGTATTTCGGGAAGTGAGTTTGGGAAAAGGGGGGCTAGAAAATCAATATTGACACTGATAACATCAGAGCTGTGGACTTCAAACCAAGAGTATAACTCTCATATTCGAAGCCTAGGCTGGCCTAGAAAACCAAACTCGAGAGTAGTGGATTTCGTTAAAGAACCTTAACATAGAGCCTACATCATTATGGCCTAGAAATTAGATGTCTAATAAAATCCTAGGCCAACTTAGGATACAGTCGAGTCATAGATCTAGATTCGGTTTCACCTTCATCTAATGCCCATTTCCCACTAATATTTATGTCTTCCAGAAACCTGTCCCACCGGCAAATTCCTCCACAAAGACATCCGCACCCAACAAGCAATCCGCTGCACAATCGGTCGAAATGATCAATGTCCCGAAGGCTTCACCTGCCAATCCTATCTCGCCGAAGCTTTCCAAGGCTTCTGCTGCACCGCGCAAGCAGTCTGTCCAGACAACGCCGATTATCTCATCGATGATCAATCCCAGCAACCAAGAGCATGTACAATGGGAACATTTGTAGCGTGTCCGAATGGCTATGCTTGCAAATCGCAAACTGGATCATCCGATGGTTTTTGTTGTAAATCTTCTGGCTTAGCTGGATCGTCTACTGGTTTACCTCCTTCGATCACAGATGGTTGTCCTCCAGGCAATTTTGTGTATCTAGTAGCTGGTGAGATCGCCCAATGTGACCCGTTCAACCCACCAAATGCACCGTGTCCAAATGGATTTACCTGCCAATGGTCATTGTCTAATCAACGATATCAATGTTGCGGAAGTAACCCTGCTCCAATCCCAACTCGTCCTTCCGACGGTTGTCCGAATGCGCAAGTCGCATATCGAGGCGACGCGGAAAGTGTGCGAGTCTGCAGTGCAGGCGCAGCAAACTGCCCCGTCGGCTACTTCTGTCAATTCTCCAGCGCCAACAATCAATTCCAATGTTGTGGTGTTGGCGGCGGTTGTCCGGCAGACAGTGTAGCGTTCGTCGGAATGTCGGGAGAGCCCGAGAAATGCGTGGTAGGCCAATCGAACTGTCCAAAAGGTTTCGGATGTCAAAAATCGGCCGACGGTGTGAGCCATGTTTGCTGCACAGTGAAAAAAGTGGCCTGCGAGCCGGAAGAGATTGTGATCGATGGAACTTGTTATCCACAAGTCGGGCCTGGTGCAGCCTGTCTAGCCAATGAGCAATGCACAAACGGAGCGACTTGCAACAAAGAGGAGGGGAAATGTGATTGTCGCGCGCCTCTGAAACTTGTCGGCGGTTTTTGTCGCGAGGAAATCGAGTGCTCAGATCGACAAGTTCTCCACAATGGGTTGTGCCATAATCGCGCGGAACTCGGTGAATCTTGTCTAACTGTCAAGCAATGCCCAGAAGATAGTGGATGTGGCGAAGGAATTTGTGAGTGTAGAAAAGGATTTGTTGAGAAAGGTGGAAGATGTGTAACGAGGAAGGAAGAGAAGGAGAGGAAATCGACAACACATTCGAGTTCGACATCTAAAGCAACTTCGAAGAGTGGATTTACGAAAAGTGCATCGACTAAAGGCAGTAGTAAAGGTTAGTAGATTAGGGTTAGAGAAATGGGAAGGAAAAATATCGACTTCCAGAATAAGGTCAGAAAATTAATATCGGTTTTCAAGCCCGATTTTCAGCCAATTTTGAATCTAGAAATTAGTTAAGCTTAGGCTCATTTTGTAGAGAATTTCAGATTTTGTCTGGAAATCGCGTTTAAAAAAATAAAAATTGTCTGACAAAACCAGATTTCCAGAAAAGGTAAGTCCCACCCACAAAAACCTTCTTTCTTCATCTTCTTCTTCTAAAAATCTAGCATGTCAAAAACAATTTACAGCACCACCAACAGGAGGTGCAATAACTTGCGGGAAACCCGGTTGGTTACCTCTCTATGATTTGGAGAATAGCGATCGACCAAGGCATTGTAGTCCGATTGGAAAGGCGTGTCCAAAGGGTTACGAATGTCAAATCAATAATCGAAGAACACAATATCTTTGTTGCGCTTTGGATAAAGCATTTTCAACAACCAAGGGAACTTCTATGGGGTCTTCGACAAGGAAAATGGAGGCTTCTAGTTCTACTACACAAGGTAAACGGGATTGATTGCTCATGTTATGTGCTTTTTTTCAAACTAACGTTTTCGTTGCAGAAATTCAGTCATTGTTAGAAATGACGAATATGATTTTTTTTTTGAAGAAATTTTTTTTAAATATCACGTGAAAATTAATAATTTTTAGATGAACCTTTAACTAAAGTTTCCGAGCTATGACGTGGCAAATAACCGTTTCCAACTAACCAATCAAAAAGTAAACGCCCTTCCAAGTAAAATCCTGAACTACACAGCTCTTCAGAAATGTTCTGTCCCTACAAAAAACCCCCTTCTTTTTTGCAGTTTGCCCATCTAACCGTACTCCATATCTTCTGAATGGTGTTCCGCAAAAATGTACGGCTTCACGTTGTCCGACGGGATACGAATGCACCTACGCCGGCTCCGGCTCCTATCATTGTTGTTCGCACGTGCCAGCTAGACGTTAGTGCTTTACTTCTTTCAAAAAAAGAATTTTTTTCGCTCCCAAAACTTATTCTCTTAGTTTCAGCTCCCATCACTTCCACTTCCCAACTCGAAGAAAAATGTCCACGTGGCAATCCGTTGATCTATCCGTCAACAAGCTCGCCGGTCCTCTGCCAACCGGGCAAACGTGGTTGTCCGGTGGGTTTTGGATGTGTGCCGAGTCAAGTGTCATCGAATCATATTTGTTGTCCGTCACGGCATTCTGATCGGCCGGCCGAGAAGTTCGGATTGGGTTCGTATAGTTATAATCATCGCGGTGGACCGCCGGCTGCTGTGAATCCGTGCGAAGGTTATATGGTGTTGGTGACGAGATTGGTGAATGGGAGAATTGAGAAGAGATGTGGTGAGTTGGATAGGGACGGGTTATCATTAGAGCGCATCTGAAAATTAAAAAAATGTTTTTCAAAAATAGCAAATGCGCTCTAATCGAGATGAGCCAGGAATTTTAAATTTGAAGAAAAACAACTCAAAATCCCATTCGAGCACATTAGCCTTCTCACATTTGAAAAAAAAATTGAAAATTGTCAGTTACCGTACTACATTCTCAATAGAGCGCGCTTGATGATTGTTCTTCAAAAATGTTGTTTTCTCTCAAAACAGCAAATGCGCTCTAATTGAAATAAGCGCATTTCACCAGGAATTTTGAATTTCAAGAAAAAAAACTCAAAATCTCATTCGAGCACATTAGCCTTCTCACATTTGAAAAAAAATATTTTAAAAATTGTCAGTTACCATACTACCTACATTCTCAATAGAGCGCACTTGAATATTATTCTTTAAAAATGTGTGTTTTTCTCTCAAAGTAGCAAATGCGCTCCAATCAAAAAACGTGTTTTCTTCTCAGATTCAAAAAGTTTGAAACACTCGAGAAGAAATTATTTTGAAAATTTTCGGTTAACCATATTTTTATCAGTAGAGCGCGTTTCCATCCCACGTTGTTTTTTTTTTCAAAACCCAATTTTTGCAGAGCGAAGTTGTCCTTTCCCACAAATCCCAATCGGTGGTGTGTGTTACGAAATGAAGAAGAAGCCCTGAATTTGATCTACCCAAATATATTCTATACATTATCCCCGTCGTGACCAGTGTCCACACAAAAATACACACGATGTGTCAAAAGTCACAGTAGTCTCCATATAATATTTGCACTACTACACAGATATATTTTGACATGTTTTTGACATATCTCAACTCCCGCCTTTTATTTTTATCTTCTTCCCCATATTAGTAGTGTTTATCTCCTTGATTTCGATGATTTTGTGCTACTATAATTTATTTTTGTTGATATTTTTGAGTTATTATGTTTCATGTGCAGGTTCGTTTTTATTTTTTGTGATCATGATTATTTTTTTTATTATCAATATGCTTGACAGTTAGTTGAGTTTAGTAGGTACTGTGTGACCAATGAATTTATTTTATGTTATTTTTGAAACGTTTCTAGGGTTCAAGTTACTAGAACTCCAAAAAATAATTTTTTTTTTCCTATAATTTTTAAATTTGAATTCAGTTCCAGAAGAACCAATCCGTCTGAAACGTCAGACTGGAAGTGGTCGAGTTGGCGATGCGTGCGCCTTTAACACAGATTGTCTAGCCGGAATGTTTTGTAATGGTGGACTGTGCTCCTGTCTAACCACTTATATTGCCGCAGAAGGATATTGTTATCAGAGTGGGTTTTGACTCTAATATGAGCAATGCCTCATTTCTCCCATTTCAGAGATTGATCCCGGTCAACCGGGATGTGTTTACAATGAGCAATGTGCTTCTGTCTGGCCTGACGCGTTTTGTGATACTTCTGCAGGTGTTGGAACTTGTAGATGTGGAGAGAACAAAGTTGAAAGAGCTACCAGAGATGGACATGTTTGTCTAGATGTTCTGGACGCCAATCATAATACTCTTGCTATTACTTGCCCACTTCCTGAGGGAGCTGGATATACAAGTGCACTTTCCGATCCGAAACATCCGAGACAAAGTGATGGACCTGGGCCAGTTCTGTGCAATACGGATTCGACGACAACGACACAAACATCGGAAGAGACGATCGGTGATGGAAATTCGGCATGTCTTTTTCCATCGAATGGTCAATTCATCGCTGATCAATATGATTGTGTTGAATTCGTCTCGATGTTAGACTTGACATCTAGTGGATACAGTGAAAAAGCAAATGGTATCTGCTGCCCGAATCGTGCATTCACCTGTGTTCAACCAACTGCAACTGGTCCGAATCCAACAGAACCGAGATGGTGGTATAATTCGATTACTGGAATGTGCCAGCAATTTTTGTGGGATCCAACGGCGGCGGGACCCGGAGAACATTCTCCAAATAATTTTAGAACTGTTGAGCATTGTGAAAGCTTCTGTAGAGATAGTAGGTTATACCAAAAATTTATTCAAAACAATTTAAAAAAAAAAAAAATTTTCAGCTTGCTCTCGAGGAGCTCCCGAATATGTGCAACGCTCCTCCTTTCTCGAGCAAACCCCAATCACCGGATGTTCCCAAACTTCTGCCTGCTCCTTCAACTTCGAGTGCAAATCCGCCGGCTCCACTCAATGGTGTTGTCCATCAGTCGCCGCAGTCTGCGGACCAATCGGTGGTCGCCCATTGGATCCATCGGTTTCATCAAGAGGCACAGTTTATCACGCCGGAGTGGAGAAGCAAGGCACTTCCACTTCTACCCGCTTCTTCTATGATCCAAGTTCAGGAAAATGCAGTCCGTTCACTTATTTGGGTGCTGGTGGGAATTACAACAATTTCCTGTCGCGTATTGATTGTGAATTGTATTGTGCGCGACTTCAGTGTGATCGAGGAAATCCACTGAGAATTGGAGATGTTACACAGTCGTGTACATCGAATAATGATTGTCCATCTTCTCACGAATGTAAAATGGATCAAGCGGTGTGTTGTCCAAGAATGCGTGAGTTTTTCGGGTGAATCGCAGAATAGGCCCCCACCTCAAAGTAAGCCCCCACCAACAAGTAAAAGTCCCCATCGATTCCCCACTCAATGGAAATGGGGACCTAAAATGATTATGTGGGGACTTATTTTTGGATGGGGACCTATCAGGCCTGTGCCGGAAAATCAAAACCCGGAAAACGGAAAGTCGGAAAATTTCCGGATTTTTTGAACCGGAAATCCGGAAAATTCGGAAAATTTTTCAAAGTCTGAAATATCGATTTCCAGCCTTAAGTTGGCACTAAAACTTATTTTTATCTACAATTCTTCTATTCACAGGTAATTTAGTAACTATTTGAGACGTCTTACGTTCAAAAAATAGTAAAATTTGAAAAATTGAAAAAAAAATTTCCGCAAATTTCATTTTTTCTATCATAAACTGAGAAAATTTTCCAAAATTTAGGCGATTTTGAAAATATTACTACTAGAGATCATTTCCGGATTTTCCGAGCACATTTTCCGGAAAACCGGAAAATTGATTTTTCCGTGAAAAAACCGGAAAATCCGGAAATTCGGAAAATTTCCGGCACAGGCCTGGGACCTATATTGGGATGGGACTTATATTTGTATGTGGGGGCCTATTTTCATATAATTTTAATAGAGTTGGGGGCTTTTATTTCGATCATAGGGTATTTCGGAAAAAAAGGTCCCCACCACTATCATTTTGAGCCCCCACGTGTCAACTCAATTTTAGGTCCCCACCAACAAGATTTCTGACTATAAAAAGGTGGGAACCTATAATATGTCTGACTAGTGGGGGCTTAAAATGACATTGGTGGGGGCCTGTTCTACGATTCATCCAGTTTTTCTTATAAGGGACCTCATCATACCCAATTTTTTTTCAGAAACCATCTGTACCCAACCTCTTCGAGTTGGAAACTGTGATCGATCAGTTCGCCGATATTGGTATTCAGCCGCAACTCGAGAATGTCAATCTTTCGAATACACTGGATGTCAGGGGAACGACAATAACTTCGAGACACTGGTAGATTGTCAGACTTTTTGCAGAAATGCAGCGCGTAAGTTATGACGTGGCAAGGCTACTTCAAGATCTAGATTTCTCTAAATCATCTTGAATTTTCAGCCGAGCCTCGCTGCCCTCAAGGTCAAGCCTACAAAGACAACCAAGGCAAATTTGTACAATGCTCCGCCAATCGTCAATCCTCCTCGTGTCCCGCGAACTACGAATGCTACTTCGACGGAAACATGCACGGATGTTGTCCCACAAAAGCATTTACCTGTAGCCTAGCCCCATCTCCTGGAAAAACTTGTGGACCTGGTGTCTCCTTCAAATACCACTACAACTCCCAAACCCAAGAATGCGAGTCTTTCGAATATTTGGGATGTGACGGAAATTCGAATACCTTCGCTTCCCGCGCAGAATGTGAAAATTACTGTGGCGTTGGTGGATGTACGAATGGTGGATCTCCGTTGAGAGATAGCAACGGTGCACTTCAATCCTGTTCAGAGCGAGATGGCGGATGTCCATCATCTCATGAATGTCAAGGTGTTAGCCTAAACGCAGATATGGTCTCCTACAGGTGTTGTCCAACAAAAAGTGAGTTTCACTGCGAGCTATGACGTGGATTATGTTTTTTTTTCCAGCCTACATCTGTGGTCTTCCACCACAACAAGGTTCATCTCTCTGTGCCGGTGGTCTCACAGTCGTAACTCGCTATTATTTCAACATTGTAACTCGCAAATGCTCTCCCTTCGTCTACAATGGTTGTGATGGAAATCCGAACAATTTTGCCTCACTCAATCAATGCAATAATTTCTGTATGGCTTCGGCTTGTAATGCGGGAGATGTTGTGTATTTGAATCCGAATACAGCTTTGCCGATTTCGTGTAACGATGAATTACAGAACAATTGTCCGAAAAACTTTCAAGTTAGCTAAGATCTTTAACTTCAAATTCTACTAGTGTTTTTTTTCAGTGTATCTACGATGGTTTGACAGATCAAAGTGTTTGTTGTGGAGCTACAGACATGGGAGTATGTCCAGAAAATGAGAAGGCTTATCTGAACGCTATGGATGGAACAGTTCGAGAATGTTTGATAAATGAGCATAATTCGTGTCCGAAGGATTATCTTTGTCGATTCAACGCCATTAAAAATCGCTATTTTTGCTGTGGAAGTTTGACGAAGCGAAGTAAGCTCTACCCTGATCCCTTCAGATTTTTAAAAAAAAATTTTCCTCAGATTATTGCCCAGTCGGTCGTGCACCCTACAAAGAGCAGACGAGTCTCCAACCGATGCGTTGCACAATGCACGCGGCCACTTCCGCATGTCCCGATGGTTTTCAATGTCTCAGCGATTTGAAAGACGCACTTCAGGGCTATTGCTGCTCGGTGTCAGAGATCTGTCCACATCGTGAGGAATATTATATTGATGAGAATTCGGGAATGCCGAGAAGTTGTACGATTGGACATTTTGTGACGTGTCCGGCCGGATTTCAGTGTATGGCACCTTTCGACGGAAGCATGGGATATTGTTGCAAGTAAGTCGACGGGATTTCTTGTAGATAGTGCTGGGTTCAATTTTTCCAGAGGCGAACAACAAATCACCGCTTCCGATGGTTGTCCACCCGGCGAAATTGTTTACATGGAGCGCAACGAAGTCGTCGCTTGCGATCCCTTCAACCCACAAAACCAGGGATGTCCCACAACTTTCTCGTGTCAATGGTCGATTCGAACACAACGATATCAATGTTGTGGAAGTGATCCGCTACCAACTCCGATGGAAAGTGAGTTTTCTATTATTATTATTATATTGCTCGGCTCTATCACAATATATGGGACCCATGGAAATATATGGGTCCGTAAAAACATATAAGGGTCCCTCAGAAATATAAGGGTACGTGAATTTTTTTATGGGTCCCAAAAAAATATAAGGGTCCGTTATTTTTTTTTGAGGGTCCATTAAAAAAAAGTATTTTTTCTAATTTCAATTATTTATTTTTGGTGATTTTTTGTAATTTTTTCACATTTTTTTAGCCAGTCAATATTTTTCTAGGGGGTTTACTAAGCCTAAGCCTAAAATAATAGAGAAATTTTGAATCCTCTGGTAACTCTATTTTCGGCTTTTCAGCTTCATAATTAGGCTTAGGCTTAGTAAACCCCCGAAAATACAAAGAATCGTCAAAAAATCAAGAAAAATACAACAAAACAGTTGAAAATTTAAAAAACCACGCATTTTTCCTCCAAAAATCAAAAAAATCAGACCTATGAAAAAAATCACGGACCTTTAAAAAAATTTACGGACCCTTTTATTTTTTTGCGACCCATAAAAAAATTCACGGACCTTTATATTTCTGAGGGACCCTGATATGTTTTTACGGACCCCTATATTTTTTACGGACCCATATATTTCCATGGGACCCATATATTGCGATAGAGCCTATTGCTCATGTTAATTTTGAATCTGAGGTTCATCTTTATAAAGAAAAAAATTTCTAGACGATGGCTGTCCTGCTCGTCAAATCGCCTTCACCGATCCGGACACCAAAAAACCAAAAGTCTGCACATCTGCCACAAATTCTTGCCCATCCGGCTACTTCTGCCAATTCTCCAATCAAAACAAACAATTCCAATGTTGCGGAATGCCTAGTGATTGTCCAGTTTTAATGGTCGCCTTCATCGGAATATCCGGTGAAGCCCAGGCTTGTTCAATGAACGGCGGTCAGGCGTGTCCGGATGGTTTTTCGTGTGTTCAAGGCAAAAGTGGATTTGAATTGTGTTGCGCGGGTGGAGAGAGTGAGTTAATTTTAAATTTTTTTTTTTGAATTTTTAAATTTTTAAAATGTAGCTTGTGACGCCTCTCAAATCTCGGTAAATGGTGTCTGCATGTCTCGAATTATAATTGGTGAGGCTTGCGAAGATTCGCTTCAATGTATTGGTGGAAGTTTGTGTGCTGTTGGGAAATGTCGATGTCCCACGGGAACCGATGAGCAGAATCAACAATGTGTTGAGGGGACACGGGCGGCGCCAAAGGAGGTTCCAGTGTTGAGTGAGTGGGTGGTCCTATGACGTGGCAATTAAAGGCAGTTTGACAATTATTCCGGTTTTCCTCAAAGCTTAGTGTCAAAAATAGTAGTTTATTATGAAACGAACCAGTGAAAAAATTCCGAAATCATGAAAGTTAATACGAGCTGAGAAAATCCTGTGTTTTCAAAATTTCAAATTGCCCCCACGTCCAGCGGATTTGTGTGTGTGCAAACACCGCGACGCACTATTGCACAGGACTTCACAATATTTCATCTCTATCTTTTGTTTGGTTCAAGTTTGGCCCGGTTAAAGTCAGAGGCTTCGTGGGTGGTCTCCGTCAACCGGAATAGCTGTCTGACCGCCTTTAAAAATTGAATTTCATTTCACAAAAATCACAATTTTTACTTTTCAAAAGGATTATCCTTTTGAGAAGCCAAATTTCTCAAGAAGCCTTTTTTTTCAAAATCTAATCCTTAACATGAGCAATATTTTTCTAGAATGCTCCGATAAACAAATCAAAATCAACGACGAATGTTTACCAATCGTAACCCTCGGTCGATCTTGCGTTCATACCGCGCAATGTCAAGGACTCGGTCAATGTATCGAAGGTGTTTGCGATTGCGACGAAAATTCGACACGCCGCGCAAATCGCTGTGAAAAGGTCATCAAGCAAATTCAACCACCACAAACATCTACAGTATCATCGAATAGGGTTACTGTGGCATCAGTGCCCGCTCTTCAAATGCCAGTGATTAATGAGGGAATCTGCCCGGCTCCTCGAGTCCCATATTTGTCGAATGGTATAGCTAGAGCATGTTTGAGTGGGCAACCGTGTCCTGTTGGATTCACATGTTTGTGGAGCCCACAGGCTAAGAATTATTTCTGTTGTGCTGCGAACAAAGTCACGATGAAAACCAATGGTGAGTCCTAGAGATCTTCAAAATCCTAAAATTTTTAATCTCCAGTTCTCAAAGATGTTTGTGATGGTGGAGAAGCGCTGATCTTCCCGGCCACTAAAACTCCCGTAATTTGCACAAGATTCACCTCATGTCCCCCTGGTTATTTCTGCCGAAAATCCCCGAAAACTCGACAAACCTATTGCTGTAAAAAACGACAACCAATGAATATGCAAAGTTATATTATACAGGTAAAATATTAGCCCAACTTGATAAGAGAATTGATAAGAGAATTAGCCTAACTTGAATATTTGTTCCAGATAAAGACTATCAACACTACAAAGAAGCCACAACCTGCTCAAAGTCCTCAAATTTTCATGCATCCTGGACGACGAGTCCAAGCTTCAAAAAGCTCAAACAAAAAATCCGGCAAGAAAACCTGTGAAAAATGTGAAGCCTATGAAAAGCGCCGCTCAAAAGCGGGTGTGTCCCCCGAATCAGGTGTTGCTAGAAGTTGAAGTTAATCGTAAAATCATTCAAAGATGTCGTAAGTCACTTTTTCAAGTTAAAAATTCAAATAAAATCCATAAAAATTTCAGAGTCTTCATGTCCTTTATCAATGCAAAATGTGGATGGAGTTTGTAGAATAAATCGACTCAGAAAATCGAATAATTCATAAAAATCGCCAAGTTTTTTTGGTGTAAAAAATAAAATAAATCATTCCAAATAATAAAAAGTTTCATATCATTCCATATTGGTATTTTCCAACTTGTATCCTGGAATTGGGCTAACTCCTCGATCCACAACATCTGTATAAGCTGGAGGTTGATCAGGATACCTGAAATTGTTTTTTTTTAAGGAAAAGCTCAAAGAGTTAGGATAACTTACGACATAATCGAGTTGTCTGAGATGACAAATGGGCTTGTCGGAACTGTCAAACTGTTTCGCATTATCAATGGATTATATTGAAGTGGGCTCGAGTCATGGAGCGATTCCTGAAAATCAATTTTATAAATTTTTTCACCTTTTTCTAACAAGGTCCCAAAAAAAGTGTCAAGTTACCCCCTTCCGAAGACAAAAACGATTAAAAATGCATGTGCATCCATCCAAAACTTGCACACAAACATATATTTTTCGCCACTTTTTCTTCCCACTTTTCTCCCCCCCCCCAAAAAAAACATGAGCTCTACAATTTGCAAATCCGATTTCCTACAACAATTCGACAAAATCGCCGCGCTCAAAATCAAATCCGAGCAAGAACTTCGCGGCGAATTCAAGAAGATCAAGGAGATTTTGGCGAACGCGGGGGAGGATTGGAAGAAGCGGATAGAGGTTTTGAAGAGGGTTCAGGGATTTGTGAAGGGTTCGGAGGATTTTGGAGCGAGGAGGAGTGTGTTTTTGAACGCGTTGAGCCAGTTGAATTATACTTTGCCGGCGGCGGTAAGGGATTTGAGGTCGCAAATTGTGAAGGAAGCGGCAATTACGACGAGGTAGGTCAAATAGTTGTGCGGTGGAACCGCACTTCCGGTGACTGTAGTGGGCGTGGTCTGTACTCACAGCAAAAAAAAGTTTTTTTTTCCGTGTGGTACGGTTGACAACAGCCACAATTTCACGTGAGAGAAAACGAGAGAGTAAAAAAGCGAAAGAGACGCGAGACGAAAAAGGGATAAGGAAAACTCCGCGCATTTTTTAAAAATTTCCGTAGCTATTTAGTGTTTGAATATTTTTAATAACTTTTTCCACTAACTTCTATATTTCTAGTCTGATCCTTCAAAAATTCGGTGCAGAAATGCAAACCCTTGCCGAAGACGTCCTTATGGCTGCAATGTCCCAAGTCCCAGTCACCACCAAAATCATGTCAACCTCAGCTATGATTCTCTCCGAATTCGTCGTCGAAAATTGTCAAACTCGACAAATCTTCAACATCTTGGCCACATTTTCCAGCTCCAAGGATAAAGTTCAGCGAAGGCAGTTGGCCTATCTTCTCGGTGTGATATTGAGAACTTGGGCTAACTCGAAACCTGTTCCTCGAAGGCAGTTGTGCGATTTGGTGAGGTTGGCGATTTGCGACGCGGATCCGGAGACAAGACAGAATGGACGGAAATGTTTTGCACTGTTGGGTGAGACACCAGAGGCTGATGAGATATTTCGAGATGTTGATCGAAGTCATCAGAAATTATTGAGGTTTGAGAAACCTTTTAATTTTAATTCCCTTGAATTTCTTTGAATTTCAGACCAGATGAAGTTGTGATGTCTCGAAGTGTTAGTGTAACTAGCGTCAAATCCGAGACCTCCAAGCCTCGAAAGAAATCCACAGATCGAATGTCGGTGTCTAGTACGACCCTCCGATCGATGACGCCAGTCTTGCACGCTTCGACAACATCAATTGTGAATCAGAAACCAATTCAGATCTCTAAACGAAGAACCTCTTCGGTAGAAGCACCAAAAACCCTGCAAGACATTCTGAAGCTCTGCCAGAATTCTTCTGGAAAAGATCGAGGAATCGAACTTCTCGATCAATATTTGGTATCTCACGAGCTCTCTCGAATCGAGATCAATAGCATCGGAAGTGTTCTGAATCGTCTTCTAGATAGCATTCAGAATCCCACACTTTTCGATATTTTCACATATTTCATCATAAAATATCACCAAGTTCTACCAGCGGATTGGCTGAAATTAATCCTCGGAAATATATTTATGAGAAAAATCGGAGCAGATTCGAGAATTCTGCGGAATCTCAATTCTAGCATTGAAGTTATCATTGAAACTTTTGATGGCGATTTTCAATTGGGAATTGTTTGCGAGATGATTTATGAGCCCTTCAGGCCTATGATAGGAAAAGTGAGTGTGGATTTTTCATTTCAGAAATCAGAAGACCACTGTTACAGGTCAAAATCGTGCTTCTTTGCTATTTCAATGATTTGGTGACTTCTCGCGGAGACTCGCTAAACCTACAAGCTCCCCAAGTTTTTCGAGCAATCCAAAAACTTTCCGAATGGATGAAAAGCTCGCCAGAGCTTGAGAAACATGTTCGCCGGATTTTTGTGATTCTCGAAGAGGAGCCCCAAGAAGCTATAGAAAATCCGATAGACATTCTGGTATCTCAAAACTCTCTCGAATCCCTGGCAACATTGCTAGATCTAATATCGATCGGAAATTTCGAGCCGGGTGAAAAAACATACGCCAAGCTTTTGTTGAATATTTTCAAAACTATTGAGAATTCTGGAGCGGCGGAGGAGGAGAGATTACTGGCTTTGAGGGTGTTGACAAAGCTGTGCACACTTCAAGCATCAAAACTTTTCTATTCTTCGGAGATTGTGGTTTGTAAGGTTTTGGATTTCGCCGCGGATAGTTCGAAAGAAAGGAATCAAGATACCATTGATGAATGCTTGAAAGGTTAGGCTTGAGAAAATAATTAAATTAAAAATTTAAAAATTTAAAAAAAATTTAGTGCTCGCCACCCATCTCCCCCGCCAAAAAATCCTCAACATCACCAAAATATTCCTAAAAAACCGTGCCAACGTGGATCGTGTGAACGCGGTAATCCGAATGATTTCGAAAATGGTCGAAGATGTTCGAATCGATGAGATCTCTCAAATAATGGATGAGATAATGGGTAGTGTTGTGAGAGCGTACGGCTCAAAATCATCGTTGATTCGACGGAATGTGATATTTTGTATTGTTACGATGGTAAATCGAACCGGTGAGGATGTGATGAAAGAATATTTGGAGAAACTTCCAAAGAGTATGGTGAGTGAAGGAATTCAGGTTAATATGTATGAGCAATATTTTACAGCAAACTTTGATACAAATCTATGTGAATCGCACAATCTCAGCGAGTTTGGGAAACTGCGGTCCGCCACCAAAAAAATAACCCCCAACTTACCGGAGAAATCGGGCGAGATGAGGTAGAGATTAGATCATCACTTGACCAACCAATTGAAGAAGTTAATGGTGAAACCGATGAAAAACTTTTGTTTGTATTGTTATTTGCAGTGTCACGTGAATAAAGAAGATAGGCGAATTTCGCGAAACATGCTCCCAAAAATATCAAAATCCATGAGAGGAGATAGGGGAGAAGCAATAAGAGGATGCTTCTGAAAAAAATCTTGTAAAAATCCTAGGAAACTTTTCCTAACTTACTGTTTACTAGCAATTGAGATGAATATAATATTTTCAACGATGATCAAAATTGCAAAAAATATCGCGATCACCGCGATGAACACAAAAATATTACGATAGGGACGGAATTTTCGAATCACTCCAGGCGTCAAATATTCGTGAATTTCGATGCACATTGAGATAGTTTGGGGAGGAAAATTGAAGAAGAATAACAAAAAATGAATCGGATGAGAAGCCAGTTTTGTAGCTATAGGGTTTCTTGGCTGATGACAAAAATGGGTGTGTTCTAGAAGATCACTTGATTCCATTTGGATGATTAAATGTGTTTTAGGATCTCTAAAATAACCCGTTTATTATAACATCCAATACCAAATAAGTGTTTACAAGCTTAAAACAAAATTGCATAAAAATCTAAATATGTAAATATGAGAGAAAAAAAACAAATAGGTATATCTTATTCCAAATCATTTGAGCAATCGTTCTTGTTGTTCACTACCAGTTGTAAGATCGAGTGTTTGTGCGTGTCGTAATCTGGGATGATGTCTAGTTGTGGTTAAATGATGGGTAGATGTTGATGGCATATCGATATCATGAGTGTCTAGAGATGATCCACTGGTTAGATGTTTTTGTCGGCGAGTGGAGAGCGCTTTGTAGCGAGCCAAATGGTTTTCGAGCATTTCGATACGTTTCAATAGTTTGGTTTCAGTGCTTGAGTGTTCGGCGATTAATCGAGCCATTCTGAAAAGTAGATACTTGCTCTGAACGTCACAATCAACCTTCCAATCTCTCACCTCGTCTGCAAAACCTTCACCGAACCATTCAAATTCTCCGCAATCTCCTCAACCGATTGCTGCTCTTCCGGCGCATTCTCATCCAACAAATTATCCTTTCGCAAAATCTCACGTCCTTTCGTGAGCAGCGATTTTCGAGCTTCCGGATATTCGCGAAGTGCATTCCAAAGATCATTCTTGTTGAGAACGAAAAGATCAGTGTAGCCGACTGATCTGACATTTGCCGTACGTCGATTTCCGTTTTTACTTCCGGCAATGTTCAGGATACTCAACTCTCCGAAAACAGAACCTTCTTGAAGGGTGGCAAACACCTGGAAAACGTATTGCTCATACTAGATTTACAGTACCTCGATATAATTAGGCTTGGAAGATTAATCGTTTTGTTCATGAAAGGTTTCAATAGATTTTTGATGCTATTTTTGATTTCAGAGTGGAGAATGTGATGAGTGTTTGAATTAGTTTAGAGAAAGACATCGCTTCAAGATATTTTTGAGAAAATATGTGTCCCTTTGAAAAAATACCGTATTTTGTTTCAAGGAACACATGTTTTATTGAAAATATCTCGAAGCGAAATTCATTTTCGAGATATTTTTGCAAAATACTCTCGTCGTCTCGCGTCTGACTCAACGGACGCCTTGTATGGTCGTGACGTGGCAAAACTTCTAACCTGTATTCCATCCTCTGCCACAACTTGCAATCTTCCCCTCTTCACAATATACATTTCTCTTCCAATATCTCCTTTTCGACAAATATAATCACCCGGTGAGAAAACTTGCAACTGCAATTTCAGCACCAATTCTGCAAGCAATCCAGCCTCACAATCTTGGAAAATTCGAACTTTTCGAAGTGTCTCGAAATGCACTTGCATAGCAATTTCAGCTTGTAATTTATCGGGGAGAACCTAAAAAATTGTTTTAGCTGAAAACTGTTCGATGAAAATCCGGACCTTTAAAACTTGTTGATCGCTAAGACTCTGCTTGTTCGCCCAAAGATAATCAAACCACTTGATAACTCGCATTTCTAGTTGCTTGCTAACTTTTCGTAACTCCATGTATTGCTTGATTCCGTCCATTTTATTTTGAAACTCTGTTCTCGCGGCGCTCATATTTGAAATCATACTTCCGACATTACCGACAATTGTAGCGAAGATCAAAACTCCACACATTAAATCAAGAGTGACGAAGACGAATTCAATATTTCGAACAGGACTCGGAACCTCACCAATAGTAGTCAGAATAAGAGTGGACCAGTAAAAACTATAAACATACCGGCGGAGCAAGGTATCCGTAACATCGCTGAAAAAGAAAGTAAATTGAGTTATGACGTGTCAACTTACTCAGGAAGACTTTGTTTGTTTAGATGCCCATAAACCCAGTTATCAGTTCCTAATCCAATAAATTCAGAGATCCAAAAATAAAGGCAAGCATTCCAATGAATAATAATCACAATATAACAAACAACCACCAAAACTCGAAAAGCATTCGGAATCGAAGATCGAGTTTCAGTTCTTTCTAGAAACTCCTTGACTCTTGCGACTCGCAATAATCGATTCGCTCGAATCAGCGGAATACCCTTCCATATCGTGAAAACCGGAAATGGCCAACCTAGTAGATAATCCAATGGGATCAACGTGATAATATCGATTTTGAATTCACGACTCGCAAAATACCGCTTATGAATCTTCTCGATGTCACGCTCTACTAAACCTTGTTCTAGAAAACCCATTCTTGAATTCAAGAAGCAATCAATCGCATAAATGATATCCACAAAAACATCACAGATGAACCAACCAAGTCGAATATTCCAGTGTTTTGCCCAACCATTGTCTTCGTACGGTTTGAGAGTTGGCATAGCCTGGTAACATTAGATTAATGAATTTTTCATTTAATCTGAGCAATAGTCTGCTCAAAGAATCCTAATTTTTCTCCAATTGTAAAAAGCTCACCTTCATATTAGTCAACATTTCATAAGAGCATTCTAGAGTAATACTCGAATTAACTGTCGAATTGGAGCAAAGTGAAACACTTGTTGGACCATTCAAATCTTTGAAAACCTGTCTAGCAATAATAAAAAGAAGATTATAAATATAACCAGCCGTTATGAAACAGGTCCAATAATAAAACATATCTGTAGATGGATCTATTGTAAAATTCGCGATCCGATGTTTCAATTTTTGAAAACATCCCATATTTACTTCAGCTTCTGCAAGAGTTGGAGCTGCTCCAGGAGCCGCTCCATTATTCACACCGTGTTTTGCCATGAAGTTATTCTGCACAGCGGTTTGGTCTTGAGCACCTTCATCGTTATGCACCCGGTTTCGTCGTTTGAATATTCTTTTGAGAAGACTGGGACGGGTTGGAGTGGTAGATGAAGTGGTGGGAATAGGTAAGGCTGCGGGTGTGGGATCCAAGGCGGGAGTGGGAGCTGTGCCATTGGGTGCCGGAGGATCCGGTTCAGTGGTAGACATCTATAAGCAAAGGGATTTCAAGGAACTTCCTTTCAAGAGACATGAATCAAGTGTAAATCCAAAAAAAAAATAGATAAAAAGGATAAAAAATTCTCACAATATTTTAAATGATTAATTTTTATAAATCGCGGAAAAAATTACATCTAGAAAACCTAATATCAAAAATTCCATAATTTCCAGGATTCCCCCAAAAATCAGTCAGAGCCTCACAAAAACCCCCAGACGACCAGAGTTCGAAAAATCAAGAGACGCAGAGAAGAAAATCTGACAAAAATCACCTAGATACCCAGAGCAAAACAATGATTTCAAACTTTCCGCTTTCTGAATTTGATAATACGCTTCATTAGGGAAAATCAGAGGAATCAAAAAAACGAGAAATAAATTTTGTGGAAGACAATTTTTATGCGAATTTCCTGAACGTCACACTGATTCATTTTCAGCACAAAATCAGAAAAACTCTGAAAATCAGTCAACCTAAATCAAAAAAAAACGAAAAAGAAAAAGAAAAAAGGTGAGGGAGGAAGGCTAGAAGGAGTGGAAAAAACGATGAATATGATGATTATATGGTGTGAATATATACATATTATAAATATATTCATCTTTTCTCTAATTCTCCCCTCGAATTTCGGTCACTAATAGCAACCATCAAAAAATGATGAAGCTTCCTCTTCTTCTTGTCAAAAAGCTCATTAGTATCTCTAGATAACCAGGAAAACGAGAAAGATATGTGTATATCTCGATGTAGAGAGTGCGCGCAGACAGCTAGAGAATACTGTAATCCTTGGAGCAAAGTACTGAGAAGGAAGAGGGAAATGAGTAAGTATTATATACGAAAAAAATGGAAAATATTTTTTTTTGGAGTGGAGATAATCTTCTTTTTGAATAGAATAGAAAGCTGAAAAGTGATGTTATATGATAAAAAATTTGCAGTTTGACACGGAAAAATTGAAAAAAAAAACAATAAAAAATGAAAAAAAAAACATTTTCGAACTTTGAAATTAGCGAACTCAGTTTCAGCTCAATTCACAGCTGAAGATTTTCTTTCTCGTGCCTCGTAAGATCCCAAAAATTGAATTCTAGTCCCCATCTAACCTTGGCCTAGAAATCCAAACCACAAATTCTAGTCCAAGATTTGTCCAGTATTTTATCTTGTGTCTTGTATGACCTAACACCCCAAAAATTGAATTCTATTCCCCGTGTTCAAAAAAGTCAAATCACAAAACTTGCTCAAAAATGCATACGTGGCCTAGAAACCCAGACCCCAAATCCTAGTCCTTCCAAAACTTCCATTTTTCATTGTCAGTTTCGAAATACCCCGTTTTTGCAACCCAAAAACCTTCACTTACCTCAAAAATCAATCCTGAATCTTGCTCAAATCATAAAACATCTCATGCATCAAATTCACACAAACGCGCTCCATCGTACAATTCGAAAAAGTTGTGTGGATCTTCTTCACCCAAAATCTCGTAGCGTCAGCCGATTTTCGACAAAATGCGTTGAACCTTTATCTGAAAAAAGATTTTTTTCAACTTATAACAATTTTTCGCTTACTAGTTTCGCAATGATTTTTTTTGCAATAAAAATGCACAAAAATTGAATATTTGCATTTCCTGTGGTTTTTATACCATTTTTTTAAAAGAAAAACGTGACCTAATTTTTTTGGGCAACGTGTACTTATTTAAAATCACCAAATGCTTCTCACTTCCCATTTCTCATTTGAAAGAAAAAATGGAATGTCTAGCCGTTTTCAACACAATCGTCAGCAATTGTATCAAAAAATTCGGGGGAATCAAGCATGATAAAATTGCGATGAAATGGTTGAGCCGCATGTTTCTCGCGGTTTTCTTGGTCCTTTTAGCCGTATTTCTCTACGATGTTTGCTTCAAAATCATACCTTATGAGATCAAACACGCTCCATCGTATTTCTCGATCTTCTGGCGAATGGTTTTGGTGATTTATTTGACGTATACGGTCCTTTTTCATTATTTTCAATGCATGTTGAAGGAGCCGATTGTTGTTCCGAAATTCGAGGGACAACGGAGAAGAATCTGCAAACTTTGTAATGTGGTGAAATGCAAATTGACTCATCATTGCTCAAATTGTGAAAAGTGAGTGAAAAAAAAACAAAAAATAAAAATTTTTAAATGTTTTGTCAGTGGAGCGACATTGCATCTTTACTTTCTTTTTTCGTGTTTTCTCGTTTTCTCCACTAAATTACCAATTTCCCAGATGTATCTACAAAATGGATCATCATTGCCCATGGATTGGTCAATGTGTTGGTGCTCATAATCAAGTAAACTTCATCAGTTTTCTAATATTCATGTCAATTGGCTGCATCGCATTTTTCACATTGGGCGCCACTTTTTGGACAAATCATTTTCAAGTTATCAGCGAGCGTGGGATTGTTAGAACTCTTTTGGATTGTGATCAATCGGTTCCCAGTGTTGTCAAGTTCAATCCATTTGTTTTTATGTTTGTTTGTGAGAAAAATCGTGAGTTTTACTGAAAAAATTTTATTTCTGTGTGAAAAATTCGAAATTTTCAGATTTTGGATTCGAAGTCACGGTTTTGGCGATGACAATGTTGTTCGTGTTCGCAACAACTTTCATTTTTTCGCTAATTCAAGTCAAAAAAATTTGTCTTGAACAATTTTTCGTGAAAGATACGTTGGAAAAATCGGAAAGATTAACCCTCGAATTACTCGTTTTTCGCTGGCGACGATATTTTGGACTTCGAGATGAAGAATCGTTTTTGACAGCTTTTTTGGTTCCAAATAATCGAGAACCTTTTCAATATTATGAGTTATAATAACTTGTTCAAGAATTCTTTTTTGTGTTTTGTTTGTTTCAAATAAAAGTTTTTTGAGATCGAAAAATTCGTCATATTCTCTAATTTGATTAAATTCTTTTAAAAATGAAAAGGAGAAAAAATGGGCGGTGCTTTATTTTTCGATAAAATCTTTCCACGTCTTTCGGAATTTTTTTCATTTTTTATCTTGTTTCGGTGTTACACCTGCTTTGAAGCAGACATTTTTTGATTTTTGAAGAATTTCAGGTTGAAAATAGCGTTTTCCATTAGTTTTTTGGTATTTTCACCCCAATTTTCATCAAAAATTCAAAATTTTCTATTTTTCAAGTTTTTTAGCAAAAAAAAATCGATTTTCATGAAATTTTCGACTGGAAACATTTGATTTTCATGAAATTCAACATTTTTCCACCAATTTTTGCCTAAAATTCGCCGAATTTCCCCGAAAAACGCTAAAAATCATGATGATTTTCACCGAAAATTTCCAATTTCTCCCATTTTTGGTGTTTGCACACACCAAACATTTTATTTGACGCGCAAGTGTTGGCATTTATTTTTTCTCTTTTTTTCGGGTCTCCACCAACTTTCAAGCTGAAAATGAGGATTCTTCTTCTATTTTTATTATTTTCGGGATTCTTGGCAGCAAATGATGTTGATATTCAAGTAAGTTGATCACATTTTCCACCCAATTAACTCTAATCAATTAAATTCTTTCAAGAAAGACGTTGATACGGTTGACATTGGAAAAAATGATGAGAATGAAATAATCAATCATGAAGGTACTGGGAAAACTGGCGGAAGCAGCAACAAAAAGGACATTTCATTTTATCACGGATTTTTGGCGTCATTTTCAGTGATTGTTGTGTCGGAACTCGGTGATAAAACATGGTTTATTGCTGTGATTATGTCGATGAGACATTCGAGATTGACTGTATTCTCAGGGGCTATGGGAGCGTTGGCTTTGATGACTGTTTTGTCAGGTAGGCCTGGTTTTTCGGGGGGAAATCGTAAGGTTTTAAGAGGGAAACGTGAGTTTTCTGAAAATCATCCATTTTTTCTCGAAATCCTCATGTTCTTTCAAAAATTCTGGTTTTTTGCCTGGTTTTGATGAAATTGCATAATTTTTCCAATAAAAATCAAATCAAAATCATAATTTTTATGACAAAAAATGTCGCCTGATCAAATAACAAAAGAAAAAATATGAAAAAAAGAACAAAGGGGGTTAGAAAATCAGGGAAAATAGGGAAAAATCATGAATTTCTACCAAAAACCACCTAAAAACCTGAAAATTCACCAATTTCCACCAAAACCCTTCTAATTTTCAGCATGTCTTGGATGGGTTACTCAAGTCATTCCACGAGCTGTTACCTATTATCTCTCAACAGCTCTTTTCGCACTTTTTGGTCTGAAAATGTTGCATGAAGGTTGGAATATGTCACCGAATGAAGGACAAGAAGTTTTGGAAGAAGCACAGGCTGATGTGGCGAAAAGAGAGAATGAGTTGGATGCGAGCAAATTTGAGGTGATGGAAGCTGGTGGAGCTGTTCCAGCGTGAGTTTTTTTGAGCGTTTTGAGATGAAAATCGTGGAATTTGGAGAATTTTGAGGGTAAAACCATTAATTTTTATGAAAAATTCGAATTTTTATTGCAAAAAAGACTTTTTTTTTTCTCAATTTTCAATAAAAATCTGCCAAATTTCAATCAAAAACTCGTTTTTTTGCAGAAGTGAAACGCGAAAAATGGTCCTCTTCACATCTCGAATTTTCATCGAAGCGTTCACTTTGACATTTGTCGCCGAATGGGGAGATCGATCACAATTAACTACGATTATTTTGGGAGCCAGAGAAAATATTGGTGAGATCGGGGAATTTTCAAGGGAAAATGGAAAATTTGATGAAAAACCGTGAATTTTGAGCTAAAAATCAAGGATTTTGGATGAAAATAAGCTTTCAAAATCAAAATTTACCATTTTTTGCAGCTGGTGTTATTGGTGGTGGAATTATCGGACATGCCTTGTGCACCGGAATCGCTGTGATTGGTGGAAAAATTGTGGCGCAAAGGATATCTGTTAGAACTGGTGAGTGCTTCTTGGTGGCCTAGAAAACCCAAGCTAAAATTTCTAGTCCCCCTGAAAACTAGAGGTCTAGAAAATCGTGTTCTCGTCCCTCATGGCCTAGAAAACCAAACTTTCAAATCCTAGTCCCCCTGGAAACTAGAGAAATTCTATATGGTCTAGCATCCTCTCAATTTTGGCCTAGAAAACCAAACCTTCAAATTCTAGTCCCCCCTGGAAACTAGAGAAATTCTATATGGTTTAGCATCCTCTCAATTTTGGCCTAGAAAACCAAACCTTCAAATTCTAGTCCCCCTGGAAACTAGAGAAATTCTATATGGTTTAGCATCCTCTCAATTGTGGCCTAGAAAACCAAACCTTCAAATTCTAGTCCCCCTGGAAACTAGAGTTCTAGGAAATCGTGTTCTAGTCCCCCATGGCCTAGAAAACCAAACCTTCAAATTCTAGTCCCCCTGGAAACTAGAGAAATTCTATATGGTCTAGCATCCTCTCAATTTTGACCTAGAAAACCAAACCTTCAAATCCCCCCCTGGAAACTAGAGAAATTCTATATGGTCTAGCATCCTCTCAATTTTGGCCTAGAAACCCCAACCTTCAAATCCTAGTCCCCCTGGAAACTAGAGAAATTCTATATGGTCTAGCATCCTCTCAATTTTGGCCTAGAAAACCAAACCTTCAAATTCTAGTCCCCCTGGAAACTAGAGAAATTCTATATGGTCTAGCATCCTCTCAATTTTGGCCTAGAAAACCAAACCTTCAAATCCTAGTCCCCCTGAAAACTAGAGAAATTCTATATGGTCTAGCATCCTCTCAATTTAGGCCTAGAAAACCAAACCTTCAAATTCTAGTCCCCTTGAAAACTAGAGGTCTAGAAAATCGTGTTCTAGTCCCCCATGGCCTAGAAAACCAAACCTAGTCCCCTTCTTCAAAAATCGGGTTTTATTTTCCAGTCACATTAATTGGCGGTGTCGTTTTCCTCCTCTTCGCCCTTTCTGCTCTTTTCATCAATGATATCGAATCAGCCGCCGAGGCGTAAGTCATTAATTAATTAGCCTAATTAATTAATTAATTCCCAATTATTGTGATTCATTTTTATGTTTTATTTATGTAGCATAACCTTTTTATTTTCTTTTTTTCTCAAAACACGTGTATTTTCGAGACTTTTTCTATCGCTTTGTGTTTTTTCAGATTGTTTTAATTATGAAATTACGTAGAAATTGAAGTTTTGGCGGCTAAAAATCCAAAATTTTTGCGCCAAAAAATCTAGAATTTTCTCTATCGCTTCTATTTTTTATGTGTGTTTTTTCCAGATTTTTCATAAAAAAATAAATTTTGCAGAGATTTATTTGGAAGTTCTTCAAATTCCAGTCTCACCTCCTCGAATTCCAGCTTCGAATTGAGCGATTTGCTGAATTTGGAGGAAAAAGCTAGATGGAATTCGACGATTATTGAATTCTGAAAATCCAAATCAATAAAATGTTTATCTCAACGATCTGATCGATTAATTAACTTAATTAGCAAATCGTCTAATTGCCATAGGTCGAAAAATTGAATTTTTTGATGCGATTCAAGACATTCCATACCAACAGCCTGCAAAATTTTAATTATGGTTTCTAATTAGCTCAAAAACTTTCAAACTCACAAAAACATTGCTCATCATAAGCACCAGATTCCCTGTCCGCTGAGCAGTTTCTTCTTTTGATAGGCCTAAACTTTGGTAGTGGAGGGAGAGAGCCTGAAAAAAAAAATTTTTTTTTTTTGAATTCAGAATTTTTGGCGGGAAAATTCCCACCTTCAACATCAAATCCATGTGTGAATGCATGAATTTTTTGAGCGATTTCGAAATGTCTGATGAAGCTGAGGCTTTGAAGGAGACGAGCGCTTTCAGGAAAACGAATTCGACGAAACTTAAATTTGAGGCACGCATTGCTGATATTATTTCATTTATTGTTCGCTCCATTAAAGGGCGGTACAGTCTGAAAAATAAATATTTATTGATTTTTTGCAGTGGAGCGCATTTGCTTTGATTTTTGATTTAAATTTTATTTAAAACTGTTTTGGTTTAGCTGTTTGAAAATCATTTTATTTCATTTTTCATTTATTTTTGCAGTGGAGCGCGTTTGCAATTTTTAATTATCAATTGATTGGTTCAAATTTTGTTTCGAATCCTTTTTCTCTTCAAAAAATCGGATAAGTTGTTTGAAAATCATTTTATTTAATATTTATTGATTTTTCGCAGTGGAGCGCATTTGCTTTTTTTTTCAAAAAATCAGTATTTATTGATTTTTTGCAGTGGAGCGCATTTGCTTGAAACTTTTTCAAAAAATCAGTATTTATTGATTATTTGCAGTGGAGCGCATTTGCCTTTTTTTATTTGAAACTTTTTCAAAAAATCAGTATTTATTGGTTTTTTGCAGTGGAGCGCATTTGCTTTTTTTTAAATTTGAAACTTTTTCAAAAAATCAGTATTTATTGATTTTTCGCAGTGGAGCGCACTTGCTTTTTTTTATTTGAAACTTTTTCAAAAAATCAGTATTTATTGATTTTTTGCAGTGGAGCGCATTTGCTTGAAACTTTTTCAAAAAACCAGTATTTATTGATTTTTTGCATTGGAGCGCATTTGCTTTTTTTCAAAAAATCACTATTTATTGATTTTTTGCAGTAGAGCGCATTTGCTTTTTTTCAAAAAATCAGTATTTATTGATTATTTGCAGTGGAGCGCACTTAACCACGTGTTTTTTTGGCGCTAAATTCAAACCTACTTTTTCTTGAGCTCCGATTTAATACAAGAATCTTCATCTTCCCAACCAGTCTGATCATTTTCATCAATTCCAACATACATTGCATTAAACATCACGTATTTTGTGGGGAAACCTGGGGAAAAAATGAGTTAGACTACGGTAGCTTTAAAGGAACATGAGCAATCAAAATCTCACCCAATCGATAGGTCAAATAAGAGGGATCCAATACAGTATGATACAGTACACATCGTCTTAAGAAAATAAATCGATCAGATGTGTCCAACATTTGAAAATGGCGCCAACCTCGCAACCATTCATAAATCAATAAAATTTGCGGGCGAATTTGTTTTTGAATTCCAGAAAATGTGAGAGGACGAAGATCGGAACAGGTGAAAGGCTGCAAATAACGGGGAGTACTGTAGGAATACTGTAGCTACAGTAAACTTACAATATCATTCAAATTATCATTAGTCAATAAATCTGAAATACTCGAATGTGCACAGTATAACATTCTGCGTCTCTCATTGAATAATCTCTCTTCCCTCAATAAATCGTCCAAAAGTTGTTCGGCCTCAAAACAATCATTGCGAATCGCCAAATTCGGCGAAATTTCCTCGGAAATCGAACTCGAATAACTCTGAGCGTAGTGAATTTCCGGATCTTGAAGTTGAGTTTGAAAAAATTGATGTAGAGTCTTGGAAAAGGTTCAGCGAAACTGGAATTTGTGAAGGTGGGGGAGGTGATGGATTTGAGATGGTGGAAGTTGTTGAGGAGATGTGTTTGATCTCGTGGTAGAGCATTTTTCGACGACCTGCGTTGCAGTCGCGTCGCGGTTGAACTGCGCTTCTGGAAAAAACGGGAGGTTTTTTGATCTACCAAGCTACAGTATCTAGTTTTTGAGATTTGGATTATTGTATTTCGAAAATGCCACGTGCCAAAAAAATTTGAATTCAAAAAATTGATGCCAAAAATCCACGTGGAAAAAAATTTAAACTCAATTTTTTCGCGCCTAGAAATCCACGTGGCCAAAATTCAATTTCAAAATTTTTCGCGCCTAGAAATCCACGTGGCAAATTTAGATTTGAAAAAAAACGTGGCAAAATTCAATTTCAAAATGAAAATCCACGTGAAAAAATTTAAACTCAATTTTTTTGCGCCTAAAAATTCCACGTGGAAAAATTCAAATTCAAATTCAAATTCATCGCGCTTAGAAATTCACGTGGCAAATTTTGAGTTCAAATATTTAGCGCCAAAAAATCATGTAACCAAAATTAAGAAATTGAACTGAAAAATGTTGCGCAGAAAATTCCACGTGGAAAAATTCAAATTCAAATTTTTCGCGCCTAGAAATCCACGTGGCGAAATTCAAATTCAAATTTTTCGCGCCTAGAACTCCACGTGGAAAAATTCATATTCAAAATTTTCGCCCCCAGAACTCCACGTGGAAAAATTTGAATTCAAAATTTTCGCGCCAAAAAATCCACGTGGCAAATATTGATTTGAAAAAACGTGGCAAAATTCAATTTTTCAAAATGAAAATCAACGTGAAAAATTCAAATTCAAGATTTTCGCGCCGAAAAACCCACGTGACCGAAATTGAAAAATTGAACTGAAAAATTTTAAGCAGAAAATTCCACGTGGAAAAATTCAAATTCAAATTTTTCCCGCGCTAAAAAATTCCACGTGGAAAAATTTGAATTTAAATTTTTCGCGCCTAGAAATTCCACGTGGCAAATTTTGATTTTAAAAAAACGTGTCAAAATTTAATTTGGAAATGAAAAAATTCCACGTGGAAAATTCAAATTCAAATTTTTCGCGCTAAAAATTCCACGTGGCAAATTTTTCGCCGATCTACAGTACTCACCTATCCATTCCCATCTGAACACATTTGTGATATCGACAAGCTCGACAAATTACACGCATTGCTGAAAAATTTAAATTATTTATAAATCACAAGGTCCCGGATCGAATCCCGGTGAGAGCTTTTATTTTTTTTTTTGAATCTTAAGGCCCCAAAAACTCACTATAATTAACCCTACAAATCGATTGTTGAGCACATTGAAAATTGCGATTCAGCGTGACAGTTCTGCGAAAAAATGCGGCACACGCTGAGCAACTTGGAGCATTAAAATGATAGCCATTCGAGGGAGCACCACAAACTGCACATTCTTTGGCGGAGTTCAGAATTGATGATGTGTTTGTGGTGGTTTCCGGTGAACACATTGACCAATCTGAAAGGTAGATCAAAATTTGAATTTTCAAATTTTCCCGCCAAAAATCCGGTTATCAAAAATCAATAAAAATTTAGTTTGACACAATCACAAAAAAAAATAAAATAAAACAAAAATTTTTTGTTGATAAAACTCTTTTTGAATACTGATAAACTTTGAACCCAGGTAAACCTTTCTGAGGGATTACTGTAGGTACAGTACCCCCGGGGGTACTGTAGAAAAACCTACCGTACACCATAGTGTTGTTGCTGAAATACGGTGAATCCATGATTTTTCTGGAAAATTTTTGAGTTACAAAGTACAAAAGTGTCATGTGGTTCTTCTTATCAACAAAAAAACCACGTGGCAAAAAATGAGAAAATAATTGAATTTTTTAAGAATCTGGGTTACTGTACCTCCCTTTAAACCGAAAAAAATGGAATTTTCAAATCGAAATTCTAGATTACTGTACCTCCCTTTAAACCGAAAAATATGAAATTTTCAAATTGAAACCCTAGATTACTGTACCTCCCTTTAATTACATTTTTTCAAACTAAAAAAACAACAAAATAGATTACTGTACCTCCCTTTGAAAACCAAAATCAAAAAAAAACAAAAAAAAATTATTCAATTTTTTATCATGTGTTTTTTTTCAAAAAAAAAAAATGAATAACAAAAAAAAAGTAAGGAAAATATTATTCAAAAATATTAAAAATATGAAAATTTTTTGAGGAAAACAAATGAAAAAACGTGGAAAAGTGCAAAAAATGAGTGTTTTCATTCGATTGTTGATGAAGACGAAGAAGATGACTTCATTTTATCAATCTGAAATTGAATTGAGCATTTTTAAAGGGACATGGCGAGGAAATTATTGATTTTTTTGTGGAAAAATTGGTTTAGATTACTGTACCTCCCTTTAAGAATGAATAAAAAAAAATGAAAATTTCCAGATTGAAATTCTGGGTTACTGTACCTCCCTTTAAGAATCAAAAAATAAATGGAATTTTTGGAATTTAAATGTTAAATTTCAAATTGAAAACCAAGAGTACTGTAGCTCCCTTTAAGAAATTTCGGCCCAATTTTTGACCTATTTTTATCCCTTTGAATAAAAATGAATTTTTAAAGGGACATGGCGAGAAAATTATTGATTTTTTGTGGAAAATTTGGTTTGGATTACTGTACCTCCCTTTAAGAATGAATAAAAAAAAGGAAAATTTCCAAATCGAAATTCTGGGTTACTGTACCTCCCTTTGAGAAAAAAATAAAATTTTATATCAAAAAAAAAAATATAACTGTATCTCCCTTCAAAAATAAAAACATTTAATTTTCAAATTGAAGTCCTAGGTTACTGTACCTCCCTTTAAAAACGTTCTAAGTTGCATTTTTAAAGGGACATGATAAAAATTATCGATTTTTTCGAAAATTCAAATTTTGTTTCAATAAAAATTGAGTCAGCAATGTTGTTTTGCACTAAAAGTTCAACTTGGAATTTTTTTAAAAATTAGAAAAAAAAAATATTTAAAAATATAGGGAATTTTTCAAAAAAATCATCTCTAGGTTCAGAAAAACCTGCGAATTTTCCGAAAATTTGCATTTCAAAAATGAGAATTTCAAGTTTTTCAGTAGAAGTATCCAACAAAATCCCCAAAAAATTAGAAAAATAAAAAGTTTTGAGTTGAAAAATGATTTAAAAAATTGTTGTATGGACAGAAATATTCAAATATTGGTACAAAAAATCGAATTTTCAAAAAAATTTTCAGAAAAACCAATTTTTTTCAGTAGAAACTCAAAAGGTTCCCCAAAATTCCCCACTCACCTCCACAATTTTCTGCTGTAACTGCACTAATGAATCCATAGCCGACGGATCATTTGCCAAAATAAAAGATCGAATTGTGTCCAATGCAAATGTGACTTCCGGTGATGGAACTCGCAGTGCACAACTTCGAACAATATTTGAAATCGTTGAATTTTCATTGGAAAATTTTTCATGCGGCATTTTGAAATCCTCCTCTTTTCTGATCGGCAAATTATTGGGCATGAAATTATTGTGGACAGGTTCATCTGCAAAAAAAACTCACTCAAAACTCAAAAAAAAACAGGAAAAACTCACTCAAATCTGCTGTGAGTGCTGCATTTCCAAAAGCTTCTAGGAATTGAGAGGCTGTCATTTCTTCACTTATAAAATTTGAATTTTGGGGAAGTTGGGAGGTGCTGGTGGAATTGAGGCTTGGAATTGAGAGATTGAGGTTTAGATGCGATTGATTCTGGAAAAAATTAAAATTGGCTGGAAACTCTTATATTTGATTCGAAAAAACTATTTTTCGGACCCAGTTTCATATGTCAAACATTTGCAGGCAAGAAAAAACAACAGCGCATGGCAGAGTGGTTAGCGAGCTGGTCTTTGAAATTTTAGGTTTCGGGTTCGGTCCCGGCCCGCGGCAAAAATTTTTTTCAAAATTTTTTTTTTCCTCACCTGCTTATCAATCAAATCAACCTGCTGATTAATATTCTCAATCATCGTGCTCGACATATCCATACTCTCCCCATTTATCAAATCATTCTCATAACAAACCGGATCCCCCGTCATTGTTCTCAAATCAATTTTATGTCGCCGCTTGAAAGCATCCAGCCAACCTTCGGAACCTCGAAATGATTCGAGACCCAAAACATTTGCATATCGCATCGCTTGCTCTTTCAACATTTTTCCATTTAGTTTGATTCCGGATTCTCGACAATCTTCGAAATATTTCCAAACAAGTTTGTTGAGATTCACATAATGAGTTCGGCGGATTTTATTTCGCGCTTTGAGTCCAACGTAACTCTCCATTTCTTTCCATTTTTGATATTTTTCCATTTTTTTTGCTGGAAGAAAAATGTATTAAAAAGGTTTATTATTGGTCCGAAATTTGAGATTTTGAAAATTTTCTTTAAAAAATCGATTTTTCCCAAAGCATACCATTAATTTGGGACAAAAAACAACAAAAACAATAAGAAAATGTGATATGACGCGACTTTTTGAAAAGTAGGGAGAGAGAGATTCTCTCTCTCTCTATTTTCAGAGAGAGACGCAGACAATCTCTCTCTCTCTCTCTCTCTTTATTGATCAGAGAGAGAGAGAGAGAGAGAGAGAAAAAGATCACCCCACAAAAATTCTCTCTCTCTCTCTTTTTACTATTTATACATAGATATGTATGTATTATTGTTTTCAAAAAAGAAAGAGAGAGAGAGAGACCTGTTTTTGGAAAAAAAGAAGAAATGAGCAAATGTACTTCTTTTTTTTTTGGTTGAAGGAAAAAATTTGGGATGTTTTTTTTGGAAAAGTGTTGGAAATATACGAATTTCATGTAATTGCGATGATTTTCCTGGGAGAATTATTGAAATTACTATTGTTTTTCTTTACAGCGAGCCTTAAGGCCTTTTACAAACAGAAAATGAAAAAAATAAAAAAATAATTTTCAAAAATCCTCCTCGAGAACTACACAAAACAGAAAATCGCGGTGGGACTCGAATGAAAAAAGATGTGCACCTTTGAAGTACTGTTTTTTTCAAAATTACCTGAAAACATCTTCAATTTTCAGCCAAAAACCGCGTGTTCCACATATATTTGCCACGTCATCAATGCCCTCATATAAAACGACAAATCCGCCACAAAATCGCTCATTTTTCATAGACTAAAAACTAAAAGATAAGAACGAAATATAAGTGTAAAAAATGAAAAAAGCAGAGGAAAAAGAGGAAAGACGAAAAGCGCGGGAGCAGGACAAGAATTTTGTGGAGTATCGAAAAGATCAGATTTTGCGCGATATCAGGCCCACGAATAAGGGTTTCAATATGAAAAAGTTTGATGAGGTGAGCGAAAATCGAAGCCGAGCCAAATGAAAAATCAATAAAAATCAAAATTTTCCAGTCATTCCCCGAAAAACGTCGTCCAGCTCGTCAAAATACTCAAATGGAGTTCGGCGAACTCATGCACAAATATTTGACTCTTCGACCCGACGGCCGATTTGCCACGTGGCAAGGAAAACTGAAGACCAAAAAGAGTTTGGCGCAAGGGAAGGCGGACGCGTTGAAGAAGGTGGTGACGGGCGGGAAGAATGCGGGTGGCAAGGATCAGTCGAAACGAGCGCAGAAGAATTATAATAAGGCGTTGCAGAATAATTTGAGATTGGTCGATGAGGTTGAAGAGGATGGTAAGGGAAATGGGGGAAATTTGGCGGGAATTCGACAAATTTTGATGAAAAATCGCAGTTTTTCACACCAAAAATCAAAATTTCTCGATATTTTGGTATGCATCAGACTATTATCGAAAATCTCATCGGTACCACGCGCTCCACCGAAATAAACACGCAACGCAGACCGCGCCGCGCCACAACACACACGAAAAAGGGAGGGAATTTGAATCGTTCCCTCATTTGTGTGTGTTGTGGCGCGACGCGGTCTGCGTTGCGTGTTTATTTCGGTGGAGCGCGTGGGACCGATGAGATTTTCGATAATATGTTGCTCATATTAGTTCCAAATTTGACACTAATATGAGCAATCTATATTCGAAAGCATCAAAAATATCGATTTTTACGAGAAATGAGCTTTTTCTGTTAGAAAATTTGTGATTTTTATGAAAAATTGCAAATTTTCATTGAAAATTATAGTTTTCTATGCTCAATTCTCGTAAAAATCGCAGTTTTTCATACCAAAAATCAAAATTTCTCAATATTTTGATATGCATCAGACTACACACAAAAATTGAACATATGTTGCTCATATTAGCTCCAAATTTGACACTAATATGAGCAATCTAGCTAAATAACATCCAAATTTTATAGAAAAAATTGCATTTTTTACAAAAAAATCTGCAATTTTTGAGCAAATCTCGCAATTTTTCCCCAAAAATCGCAAATTTTCAGACGTTGATCAGAAGAGATTGAAAGAGGCCGCCGAATTTTTGTGCAAAGACGATGTTGAGGCGAAGAATAAATATTTGCTGAATGCCATCGTCGACAACAAACCGTTTTGGCTGATTGGAGATCCGTGGGTTTTTCCAGGCTTTGGGAAATTTGGATTCTTCTCGAAATTCTGAGCATTTTGATATCAGAAACTTGATGCTGTACTTCAAAAATTCGAAAAATCTATCTCATTTCAGCCTAGTTCCCGAAGAAGAGGAAGAGGAAGAAGTTGTGGACGCAAAAATGTTGTCGGAATTTATGGCCAAACGATTGCCGGTCAAATCGAATCCCAGCGAGCGAAAATCATTTCACACGTGGGGACCGACACCACAACTTTGGAATGAGTTGAAGTTTTTTAATGACAAGTTAGTCCAATTTTTCTGCGAGTAGGAAAAATCTAATCTATTTTTTCAAATTCTAGAAAACTGGTGATTGGCAATACTTTGGAATCAATCACTGCTTCGAGAGCTCGCGATAATCCTGACAGGTGAGCAAAAAAATGGCCGAACTTTTGAGGTGGCCGAGGATAGTCGGGAACTCGACCGCCCATTTTCGAAGCATTAGAGCGCACTTGTTTCTTTGGCCGAATTCCCGACATTTCTCGGCCACGCGTCTATTTTTGCAGAAAGAACAACTTCACAAAAGCCGAAGTGACTTGGAATCCCAAAACAAAACTTGTTGATTATGTGATGGATTCGATTCCCATTGAGAAAACCGCGATTTATGGAGGAGCTCTGGGCGATTTTACAAGGAAAAAAGGAGCGGCTGAATGATAAAATGAAAATTGTATTGTAACAAAAACAAAAAAAATCAACAAAAATTAAAAACAACAAATTATTCTTCACATTGATCAATTTCTCCAAAATCCTCTTCCTCTTCTTCTTTAAAACTAGTTCGATTATTCACGCGATTCCTGCAAAAATTCCACAAATTTTCAGCATTTTTCACTGAAAAAAAAAACCAACTTTTCAACAATTCCCGAATATGTTCCGTGCAATTGACAAAGTGAACTTTTGATCTTCATCGCCGAATATTTGACCATGATTCGATCATTTTCAGCGACACCATCGGCTGAAATTTGTAGATTTTTCTAAATTATTTTCCAAATCGCTCACCAACAGCGTGCTCATTTTGAGCCAAATGAACAGTCACCAAATTCATCACAACCGCCACGATGAAACCATTTTGCACCAATTTTACAACCGCTTCATATTCATCGTGTAGTTTTGGGCTGGAAAAATGGAGATTTTGAAGTTAACATGAGCAATGCCTCAAAATTGGCCGGAAATCCCAAATTTTGAGTGAAAAATTCGGGGCTGTTTAAGTTCACATGAGCAATGGATCAAAAATTCACAATTTCTGTTCAAAAAATTAGAATTTTTCTCAAAATGATTTTCAAAATTTCCACGTCATAGGTCACGTTTCAAAATAAACAAAATACATTTTCTAATAAATTTTTTGAAAAAAGTTTTCCCTGTAATTTTTCAAAACATTTTTCAAATAATAGATTTTGTGCCACAGATTCAGGCACAATATGAGTTATGACGTGGCAAAGCTAGAAAACCTTTTTTTTCAAAATTTTCAAACATTGCCACGTCATAACTCATTTTTTTCAAATTTTCAGCCAAAAAAAACCCACGTAAATACGACTTGTTCAATCAAAACATCCTGATGATAAACCATTTGATCAGCAATGACACGTGGCGGTGAAACAATTTTAATATCACCAACAGCCACAACAATACCATTTGCCCTGAAGAAAAACTTTTTTAAAGGTTTTTTTAGGGCTGATTCACGAAAAGTCAAAAAACGTCGAAAAAACATTAGTTTTTCGAGTTTTTCAGCCAAAAATGATGACAAATCAATATTTTTCAAACTTCTGGAGGGATTTCTGATGAAAATTGACCTTGGAATTCACTTTCCAGAAGGTTTTGCTAATTTTTTCGAAAAAAATTCATAAAATAAAGCAAAATAGGGTTCTCGAAGCTTATTTTCATCAGAAATCACTCCAGAAGCTCGAAAAATATTGATTTGTCATCATTTTTGGCTGAAAAACTCGAAAAACTAATGTTTTTTCGACTTTTCGTGAATTGATCTTTCGATGTTAAAAAAAACATTTTTTTCGTTCGTGAATCAGCCCTTTTCAAAATGTCCACCTACTCCTTCTTATATTTCCCAACAGTATTCCTGGCAATAAATTCAATTGCAGTTCTCGCCGCTTTTTTGTCAGTCAAATGATATGGAAGTGAAATGTGCTTCAATAATTGTTTCCTAACAATTCCACCGCCTTTTCCTTTTCCCCGATTCGTTTCGGTTAATTTGAGCGCTTGTTCGAATGTCAATTCGCAATTTTCGACAAAATCCATTTTCTTATTCTTCTTGTTGGTGATATTTACTCCTTGTGTGGCGACTCGATATTTTTCGGATTTTTCCCGATTTTCCCCATCGTTCAACTTGATTCTCTTGGTTTTTTGGGAGATTTCTGCTTCTTCTTTTTCGACTGTTTTCAATTTTCGTTTTCCCATCTGAAAATTATCAAATTTCAAAAAAGTTTTTAACGTTGATTATCAGATATTTTAACAGGTTTCAAACCAAAAATAAATAAAATAAAAACAAAAACATTTTTCAAATATTCAATTTTTATTCAATTCAAAAATGAAATGGTATATTTGGCCACATTTGAGGTGTTGATTTGGCGTATTCCTGGAAAAAAAACACAATTTACTCAAAATCTCCCCTTGGAAACCCTACATTCTCAAAATTCAGCTCTAAAACCGTTTCCATCGCCAGAATCTGATCACTTTTCGCGCTTCCATATAGATTTTGAGCAGTTTTTCGTCTTTCAATAGTTGCCGCTTGTTCGTCAACCGGTTTTGCAGATTTTTTCGCGCGTCCTCGGATTTTTATCTTCTCCACATTTACATATTCATCATCTTGATCTTGAAGCCACGATTTGTCCGAATTTTGCAGAGCTTTTCGTTTTTCATCACGTTCTTTTCTATGCGCCAATGTTTTCTCGAAAAACTCCTTCATTTCTTCACTCATCTCTTCTTCTTCCTCCAAATTTTCCTCAATTTTCTCTGGTTTCACCTCAAAAATCTCTTCCAAATTCCACACATTTTGCTTTTTCTCCTCTTTCCTTCCGAGTTTCCTGTTCTTCAATTTTTTCTCTTTTCCCACTTCATAACTCGTCGACGGCTTCGCCAAACATTCCGCTTTTTTCGAATTTATCAAATGTTGTTGCCTCCATTTTTGACACGCTTCATAGTGTTGCCAATAGGCGCGAAATAGCGGATTCTGTGCCCATGAAACTTGCTCATAAAATGACATGCTGAAAAACAGGTGAATAGGTGAAGTTTGGGGGAAACAATAAAAAATGAGAAAAAAATAAAAGTAGAAATGGAAGTGCGCTCCACCGCACAAACTGTGTCAACACTTCGACGCGCAAATGCACACAAAAATTTTATTTTTATTTTTTTGGGGGCGGGGCTCTTATTTTGAACTCGAAAATCGTATTTTAAGAGTTATCCGAGAAAATTCGAAGCTTTAGATTGTCTCTGGCATAATTTGGATTGTTTTTACATCATAGGTTTCACGCAAAAATAACGAAAAGATTTGAAAAATTCATAAATTTTAGTTTACGAACCCGAAATTCAGTTTCAAGGATTTCGTCTAACAAAGCAGTTTAAAATAAAAGTTTATTACAATAAATAGTATAAATAGGATTAGCAAATAAATAAATAAATAAAGAGTTCTAAACTCATTGCTATAATAAATTATTATTCTTAAACTCTCGATACAGTTCGCATTTCAATCTCTTCTTCCTCATTTTTCCTAGTTGTTGACAATTTTTGCATCTCTTCCGATGATCCCTCCTCAGTTTCATTAGACAATTCCATATTTTCAAAACATCCCTCCTCGCCAAAAGTCACCAAAATCGCTGGTAAAAACAAGACCGCGTGAATTGTGCTAATCGTCGCGATTCCAAAGAAAATATATCCGAAATAGATTTTCAAAATCGGCGAGACCGCGAAGCAAAGGCAGATTGCAGTTAGAATAAGGGATGGCATGATTCCCAATAATATCTGAAATTTTAAGATTTCTTGATTTGAAATCGGCCGGTCGATATATAATGTTAGCTACACAGGTGCTGGGAGCCTGACCAAAAATTGGTGCATTTTTGACCAAAAAAAATTTAGTCAAAATTCGGCCATTTTTTGACCAATTTTCGATCAATTTACTGTTTTGGCCAAAAATTGACCAAAATTTGGTCAAAAAATTGGTCAGAAATTGGCCAAAAATTGACCAAAATCACCGATTGACCAATATTTGGTCAATTTTTGACCAAAAAACGAATTGGTGCATTTTTGGTCAAAAATTGGTCAACCTCCCACCACCAGTGTAAGCTCACCGTTGCTCCACTAGTCGCAATTGTATCCAAAGATCTTTCATATTTCGATTCCTTTTCCGATTTATAAAACGCATAGAGAACTTGAATCACAAATTCCGTCGTTATTCCGAGGCTCTGAAAGTAGACAATCAATTGAGTTTCTGATTTTTGCCCTAGTTATTCGAAGTCCTACGATTTAATCACTCACCATTGTCAAATTAGTCGCTGATATCATATTGATCTCAATTCCCAAATAATACATCAACGAAATCATATACAAAAACGATGAAATAAGTGTAATAGTTGTGGAAAGAGCTCCAATAAATCCAACGAGCCAAACAGTTGCTCCAAGAACCATCATAAATACAAAAACAGCTAATGTGATCAAATTCGCACTAATCGTTGAGTATTGATCATAATGAATGAAAAATGAGGAATATGCTCGAACTTTGACACTTCCAATGTTGATCACGATTTGAAGTTGTCGAGCGATATCTTGAGCGTATTGCATGGCATCTAAAAATATTACAAGTTAATTAATTAATCTGCTGGTTAATTAGAACTTACTATACATTTCTCCAGAATCAGTCAAGTTCAGCTTCTTGAAAAATGTCATGAAGTGTGTTGATGTTATACGATTCTCACTATCCCTCTTGATGGCAACTCGCGCAGTCGCATAACCACTGCAAAAATTTCGATTTTTCACATCGCCTAAATGACATTTTCATGGTTTTCAAGCAAGTGAGTTTGGGTTTTAATGTTATTCATATGATAGAATGGTCTAAAACGAACAGAATGATATAAATTTTGATGACTTTATGTTATCCATAAGTGATTTAGCGGCTTATCGACTAAATATCTATTAAACGTCGCTAAATCACTTACGGATAACGTAAACTCATCAAAATTCATATGATTCTGTTTGTCTTCGACCATTCTATCATATGAATAACATTAGAACCCAATATTTCAACTCACTTCCTTAAAAAACCTGAAAATGTCGATTTAGTCGATATTTCTTACCCATGTGCACATTCAACACCCGGTTTCGTGTCCAAGAATCGGTTGAAAAACTTGTTGAAGGGTTCTTCCAGTAGATTTCCATGACTATCAGTTGTATTTGAGTTGACACATGGTTTACAATCCAATGAATTCGATAGCGGGGAACCTAAACGTTAAAGTTAGGGGACCTTTCATATTTTTGAAAACTCACAAAATTGTCCATTGCTGTTCATTCGACAACATCTTCCTCTCGAATCAATGTATTGCAAAAACGAATCAACCCAATTATAAACATCTCCCGCCAAATACGATTGCGTGTTTTCCGTTTCGGGATTCGTCAACGCACTTAATATATTCCCAACCGAATCATCATTGCATCCCGATGTTGTGCAAAACTTCTTGTAAATCGAATAGTCTTTCCAATCAACTTCCCCTTCAACAATAAAAAATACGGGCGGTCCGTTATTCAAATATTGATTGAGGTTCTCGAAATGTTTGGATAGATAACTGCTCTTCGAAAATGCCACAGTTTGATCGAATCCATAAGTTGCTCTTGAACTTGTAACACTTGCCAATACAAAGAATATAAAAAATATCACCAAAGTCAAATATCTGACCCATTTTCTCATCAAAAACACCGATATTCTTCTAGTTATCGATTCCTTATTCGATTTTTTCTTCACTTTCTCATACAATTCATCCATGACTTCTTGACTAATTCGATAAGGCGGATAAATTTCACATTTTCCTCGAATTTCGCGAATCGCATCGAATTGAAAATATGGAATTAGGATGAGTAGATAGAAGATGGTATCGATAAAAATCGCCAGACTCGCATATCTCGCAAATGTTTCGATGATTGGCATTTTCTCTCCGATGACTGGGAAACCACCAGAAATGAAAAAGCATAATGAGCAAATAATTGAGCTTGAAACTGTCATCGGAACTGTTTTGTTGAGACTTTTGATGATATTTTCGCGAATTTTATCATGGCTCATTTCAGAGTTTCTGAAAGTAATTAGGATAATCTGGGAAATTCATGTTAAAACCATATACTAACCCATAATATCCCAATTCCGCTTGAAAATTCCTGACTGTAATACAACATCTATTGATTCCCATGCAGAAATTGATGAAAAACAATACAACAATCGCATTGTCTGTCGCATGCGATCCCCAATACGAATGAACACCGATTGAGCTACAAAATTTCCATCCACAACTTTTTTATCGGGAAAACTCACCACCACGAGCTAACCACATTCAAAAGCACCGACAAGAGCACCATAAATAGTTTGGTGTGCAAAAAAATCGATAAAATCGATTCTTCCGGTTTATGGTATCTTGTCAATGTTAGGATGATGTAGATCAAAACTGAGAAGCACGCAAAAATCGACACCCATTTATCTTGACCAGCTTCCGCCAGAATTTCATTCTGAAATAGTTTTTTTAGGGCTGATTCACGAAAGAAAAAAATGTTTTTTTAACATCGAAAGATCAATTCACGAAAAGTCAAAAAATGTCGAAAAAACATTAGTTTTTCGAGTTTTTCAGCCAAAAATGATGACAAATCGAGATTTTTTCAGCTTCTGGAGTAATTTCTGATTAAAATTGACCTTGGAATTCACTTTCCAGAAATTATTGCTAATTAAAATAAAATTTTGATGAATTTCGAAAAAATTCATAATATAAAGCAAAATAGGGTTCTCCTAGCTTATTTTCATCAGAAATTACTCCAGAAGCTTGAAAAATATTGATTTGTCATCATTTTCGGCTGAAAAACTCGAAAAACTAATGTTTTTTCGACATTTTTTGACTTTTCGTGAATTGTTTCGTTCACGAATCAGCCCTTTTCTGAAAACCTACATCAATCGAAGATTCTGCCATAAATGAAAAACTGGCATTATTAAAGTTCGTCGTTTTCATCAATTCGATAAAACCTTTCTCCCAGATTTTTGATTTTTGATTATCAATTGTTGGAATCGTCACAATCATCGCTTTCGATTGATAGTACTGAAAACACCGTTTTTTTTGTCGAACCTTCCAAAGTTTGGAGGGTCCAAACTCACCCAATTCGCCACCTTTTCCTCTTCTCCCGTATTTCCAAACACTAAATGCGACTGAATCGGCCCACCAAAATCACCAAAACACGACATATTCGCCTGTGTTCGCAGCCAGAGCGGTTCCGGTAGGCACGTTTCCAAGTGCAGAATATATAAATCTTCTTTGTCCGGAAAATCGCTATAGTCATCGTCGTCTTGATTTCGAAGACTATAATCAATCGAGATATTCATGAAATTCGCCTTATTATTTTTGAAATAATTCGTCGGTGATATAATTGCGCATTCTCCGCCCAATGGTCGATAGCAAATATCAGCCAAACTAACATTTTCGAATTTCTTGTGTTTTAGCTCATTGATAAAATCAAACAATTCATACCAAAATGGTCGATTATAAATAATCGGTCCGTTATCGGATTCGAATATGATTTGTTGATAGCGATGAATACTTTCCGGAAAATTTCGGGCGAATTTCGATTTTTCTGCTCGCGCCTGCGAATCCATTGGTGATAATTGATCGGTTGTGTATTGGAGTTTTCGAAAATGCACAATTCCCAAAAAGGCAGACGAGTGCTATCAAAACTCCAACAATTACACATAGAAATGGGTGACTTATCACAAATTCAGTGTATTCTCCAACCATTCGATGACAGAATTTACGAAATGTTACGAATACCTAGAAAATTTAGGATAAATTTTCGAAAAAAGTCACAGTATCCTATTATTTCCTGCCTAATTTGATGGGAAAAATAAAAAAATTATATATTGTCAACATACATCAGTATCCCCGGATTTTCGTCCGGAGGGGGTCTGGCTAACTTTGGAAAAAAGGGGTGGGGACCGGCTAACTTTTTGAAAAAATAACAATTTACACCCCAAAAACCAAGTTTTTTTCTCTTTTTTTGAGGGGGTCTGGCTAATTTTTGTATTTTCACATTCCGGGGGTGGCTAATTTTGAGGCGCTGACCGGGAGAAACTGATGTATGATTGTCAAAGTTGAAAAATGTGGCAGCCGTAAAAAATGAAAAACAGTGCAGAGCTGAATGAATGACAAAGTCATTATTTCGTCAGTCGCGTGCGGCTGTGCGTCGCGGTCGAAAAACAAAAAGGTAAAGGTAGATCCGTATTCGAGCGCCTATTAGGACACTGCGGATCAGACGATTCGGACACGGAGTACGGGTGGTGTACGTCTATAGGCCATTGGGGAATTTAAGTCACCCTGTTGCCACAGGGGACCGATTTACCTTGCGTAGCGAACTACTACCCACTTACGACTGGGTGGATCGAGGAGGAGCGGGCACCGGGGATCGAACCCGTGACCCTGAGATCGCCAGCAGCCAACCACTACCACTGAGCTACCTCACCCCCATCAATTATTTATTTTTTCCTTTGTTTTTCGGCCGCGACGCACAGCCGCACGCGACTGACGAAGTAATGACTTCGTCATTCATTCAGCTCTGCACTGTTTTTCATGTTTTACGGCTGCCACATTTTTCAAATAACTATTTTCCCTTATTGTCTAGACAAAATTAAAATCGTATAGTAAGATTTTTAAAAAATAATTTTGTGGGAAAACAACTCACTTGAGGTAAAAGTAATCGAATAATAGTGATAACTCCAACAAGAAACAAAAACCTAAAACCATTCGGCCAGGTCATAACAATTGTATAAATGCGTGCAATCGTTAGAATCTCATTAGCCTCTTCTGGATAATTTGTTAGATTCAATTTGATTTTTTTGACATTGCAGTCATTTATTCCACAAACACTTTGATCTGACGAAACCGGTTCGTCACATTTCCAACTTTTCCAATTTGAATCTCGATTTACCATTTTGAAGTCGGTGTACATTGGAATAACATACATTAAGTTCATAGTTCCCATAAATTCCAGCCAATTTCTCAAACTTATTGGTTGTTTTGATGATATTGACATCATTTTCAACGCTGGTTTTTTCGCATCCGTTCCAAGTTTAACATCTTTGCATGAATCAAACATTCGATTCGCAAAATTCTCATCTAATTCATATTGCACTTTGAACACCGAGTTATTCGGTCCGATTTCTAGAATTTTCAGAAATTTTGATTGATTTGGTGAACATGTGAATTGACACCAAATATTTGCAAAGTTTGTGAAACAACTTGGACATTTTCCAATAAGCGGGGAGGATTTTCGAAGTTGAGCTATGACTCGATGAAATTGCTCAACCGTACAACAAACTGCCGCCGTACCATCTGAAAAAGTGGAGTTTTGTGCTCAATTCTTGACTGAGTAGTGAAATTGGCTCACCATTTTTAACGAGATTCGGGCACATTTCCTGCATCACCTTCATCTCTTCAGGAAAATTTGTCTTGTCAAAAACGTGCGGCTCACGATTTTCTGTAATTATCGATTTTTTAGAAGTGTACTTATTATGGAAAATCTCAGCGCTCCACCGAAATAAACACGCAACGCAGACCGCGTCGCGCCACAACACACACACAAATAAGTGAATGATTCAAGTTCCCTCCCTTTTTTGTGTGTATTTTGGCGCGGCGCGGTCTGCGTTGCGTGTTTATTTCGGTAGAGCGCGTGGTACCGATGAGTTTCTAAAAATTACCTGTATCATTTAGCACGCACGGTGTTACATTGTCCTCATCATAATGATGACATTCTCCGCGAATCAAACAAACTCCATCGGAAATCCAATTTTCTGCCGAAACATTTCCGATAAATAATAATAATGAAGCAAGTTGCACCAAATACGAATACGAATACACCATTTGAGGCGAAAATATATAGAGAGAGACTGTTTTTTGACTAGACAAAAATGTGAAATGAGCAAAATTGACGTGGAATTGTTGTTTTTTTTTGGCGCCACGCGCGCGCTAATTTTTGTGTGAACATTTTTTTAGTTTTTTTTTTTGAGAAAAAAATTTTTGAGGAGTATTTAGGCGAAAACAGTAATGTTTTTAACATCGAAAGATCAATTCACGAAAAGTCAAAAAAATGTCGAAAAAACATTAGTTTTTCGAGTTTTTCAGCCAAAAATGATGACAAATCGATTTTTCAAGCTTCTGGAGTAATTTCTGATGAAAATTGACCTTGGAATTAACTTTCCAGAAGTTTTTGCTAATTTTTCGTTTCGAAAAAATCCAAAAATAAAACAAAATAGGGTTCTCCTAGCTTATTTTCATCAGAAATTACTCCAGAAGCTTGAAAAATATTGATTTGTCATCATTTTTGGCTGAAAAACTCGAAAAACTAATGTTTTTTCGACATTTTTTGACTTTTCGTGAATTGATCTTTCGATGTTAAAAAAAACATTTTTTTTCCGTTCGTGAATCAGCCCTAAAAGTACTGTAATTTTCAAAAAAAAAAATTTATTCAAGTAAAAAATGTCTAATAGTTGAAAATGGTCAATTTCGAGCCAGGAGAGATGGAAATCTGCAAATTTTTTATATTTTTGTTTTGAAAAATTTCTGGAAAATAACAATTTTCCAAAGAAAAAAACCAACTTTTCGAATAGTCTCGTTATAAATGATAGTTTTGGAAGTTACGTGAAGTTCAACAGCTTCGCCGAATTTCTTCATATCCGCCATGAAAATATTGACCACCGAGTCTTCGAAAATCACCGGTTCTTCGTTGATTCTGCAAAAAAAAATGTTGTTTAGTTTTTGGAACCCTGTATTAAAAAAAACGCACTCTTTTCTCTCAATTTCTCCATTTTTTTCGCCCAGAATCCGAATTTTCGAACTTTTCGTATACAAAATCACATCACTTCCCTCAACAATTAATTTATCGATGAATGGCGCGAAAATTGGCTCTTTGAAAAAACACTGTAGTTTTGTGAAACATTTTGCAGTTGATAAAAGTAGTGGAGTCCAGCCATAAAGAATTTCCATTTTTAAGCGGTCTTCGGGAATTTCACGGTGTTTTTGGGTGCGAAACACTATTATTGGACCGTAGGAAAGAATCTGTAACCTTTGAAGTTATTATCGAAAATCTCATCGGTACCACGCGCTCCACACGCAACGCAGACCGCGTCGCGCCACAAAACACAAATAAGAGAACGATTCAAATTCCCTCCCTTTTTTGTGTGTGTGTTGTGGCGCGGCGCGGTCTGCGTTGCGTTACAGTACCTCATCTCCACAAGTTGGCATATTATTCGAAATTTCCAAATCGCGCATATTTTTTGCTTCCCTTTTTCGAATTTTCTAGTAATCTAAAAATGAGTGAACCTTTTTTCGAAAAATTATTTTGGGCCTTTTTTTCAAAAAAAAAAAAAAAAAAAAAACAATGTCACGTGAATTTAGAATTTTTGCTACTTAAAAATCTTGTTAACAAAATTTTATTGCAAAATTTTCAGATATCAAAAAATTAGAAGAGCCATAAGAATCGCGCAAATTCCAAAATTGTTCAACGACACTCCGAAATTACACTGATCTTTTGCACAACAATATCGATCGACACATCCTTTTCCGGCATATTCGATGGCCGATTTTTTGCACGTTTTACTTCGCTCTATTATGCAGCCTGGAAGAATTTTGGGGATTTTTGAGGTATTTTTTCAAAGGCGCATACAGTAATTATTTTTAAAAATTCCAGATTTTTTAAAGGCTCATACAGTAATCCTAGGCTCAACCTGCGTATCTAACTCGAAAAATCTTCTGTTGATTTTCTTCATTCAAATTTTCCTCGAGTTAGATCTGCAGGTTCTACCGTACTCTAAATCCACGTGGAAGTAGATCGAAGACAACTAATTTTGTGGGTTACTGTAGTTTTTTTCGCACTTCCAGATTTTTTAAAGGCTCATACAGTAATCCTAGGCTCAACCTGCGTATCTAACTCGAAAAATCTTCTGTTGATTTTCTTCATTCAAATTTTCCTCGAGTTAGATCTGCAGGTTCTACCGTACTCTAAATCCACGTGGAAGTAGATCGAAGACAACTAATTTTGTGGGTTACTGTAGTTTTTTTCGCACATGAAATTTTTTTTGGTTTTTTTTCAATTCAAAAAAAAATCCACGTGGATCCCGAAATTTTGGGCTAAAAGTATTTTTGGCGCCAAAATTCAAAATTTAAATTTTTTTCAAAAAATAAAAATCCTTTTTTAGGACAAGAATTACTGTAGCTCAAAGTTTACTGTGCAGAAATTACTGTACTTTTTTAATTCTAAATTTTTCAGAGCAGAAAAAATCCTGAATAAATTAATTTTTTCTCGAAAAAAAAAAATCAATACCTGTTTCATATGAGCAACTTCTAACAGTATGCGCAGTTTCCGATTGATTTTTTTGATTACTGTAAAATGAGAAGCTTGTCTTCTGACATACACTTCCAGTCGGACAAGTTATCAATTCCCAATTTTTCGAAGTTTTTGAATAAGTATCACAATCTGAGCCAACACAATTCCAACATTGGATACTGTAGATTGGAACTGCAAAAAACCTTGGGTACGGTATTAATTTTGCGAGCTTAAAATTACCTATGAAACTTAAAATCAATAAAATTGGCAGCATTTTTTTTTCTGTTTTAACTCAAAAAAAAATCCGAAAAAATAAATTTTTTTCGCAATTTCCGTTTTCATTTTTTTTTTCAAATTTCCGTTCGCGCGCAAATTTTGCCACGTTTGTTCCACCAAAAAATGCGGGGGAAAACAAAGATTCTTCTTAGTTTAAAAAATATCACTCTGCCTGCCCGCACTCTCCTCATTTCGCACACTCTCTCGCCGCCAAGGTTTTCAGTTCTTTTTTTGATCCCTCTGCTTTTCTTCTTCAGCATGTGTTATTATTTTTGTTTGTCATTTCAAGATTTTCTTCCTTGGAACGCTTTTTTGAGCTTTTTGATCTATCTTTTGCTGAAAATCCACGTGGATTTTCAGAATTTAAAAAAAATTTCGAGCCAAAACAGATTTTTTCTCTGAAAATCCACGTGGATTCCCATAAATTTGTCGATTTTTTTTAATTTTCAAAAAAAAAAGTGGATTTTTTGAATTCAAAAAATTTGGCGCCAAAAACCTACAGTAACCCAGACACATTTTAGGGCTTTTGCGCCACGTGGCGAAACTCACCAGATTACTGTAGTTCATGATCAAAAAAGTATACTGTATGTGTGTGTGTGTGTTCCTTTAAAAATCCCCTTATTTTATGCGTGAGAGTACTGTAGATCGTATTGGGACCTGAATATTTGGGGGTTACTGTAGCCACAATAGATCAAAATTCTTTGCAAAAGCCTAGTTGTGATCGGATACTGTATGTACCTTTAAAAAATCGAAATTTTGGTCTGAAAATACGGTAGATGGGATTTAATTTTTTCAAATATTTGAAAATTAATTTAAAAATGGGATTACTGTATGCGCCTTTAAAATAAAATATTCTATTTGTGAATTGCAATTTTGTGACAATATTTTTGATAGGATTACTATGCTCCTTTAAAAGTACCAAAATCAAGTTTAAAAATACGGTAGATGTTCCTTTAAGGATTACTGTTATTTAATTTGATTGTGAAAAATTGTGGGATTACTGTATGCACCTTTAAAATAAAAAGTACTATTTGTGCTGAAAAATTTTTCACACCATTTTTTTTCTAGCACCACATGTGACATTCCACTTCCCACGCACTTTTCCACCTATAAAAAAATAAAAGTGTTTATTTTTTTTATTTGTTGGGATAACAGATATCTTTCTTCTTCTTCTTCATTTTTTGTTTTGAAAAGATCATTCACCAAATTTTTTTTTTGAAATTTTTGAAACAAAACATAGAAAATTGTCCAATTTTACAAAAAATGTTACATTTTGATAGGTTAAGTCACTTGAAAACCAATATCACTGCAAGACAAAAAAAATCCAAAGTACAATATTTGTTTTGGTCCAGCCAGCTAACCCAAAAATAAATAAAAACTCCTTGCGAAAATCTTCATTTCAAAAAAATCTTGAGATTTGTTCACCGCAAAAATTTCTCTGAAAAACAGTATTTACTATTTTTTTAATTCTATGACACCAAGTTTATCGATTATTTTTGAAAATGAGAGTGAAAATGAAAAATTGGCGGATGTTGGACATCGATTTCATTCGGATCCTGTTAGGTTTGCATTTAGAGGTTTTTTGTGGCGAAAATTATTTAAAGGTGCATACAGTAATCCTTAAAGGAACATCTACCGTATTTTTAAACTTGATTTTGGTATTTTTAAAGGCGCATACAGTAATCCTATCAAAATAAGGTCACAAATAGAATATTTTATTTTAAAGGTGCATACAGTAATCCCACAATTTTTCACGATCAAATTAAAGAACATTGATCCTTGAAGGAACATCTACCGTATTTTTAAACTTGACTTTGGTATTTTTAAAGGAGCATACAGTAATCCTATCAAAAATATGGTCACAAATAGAATATTTTATTTTAAAGGTGCGTACAGTAATCCCACAATTTTTCACAATCAAATTGAAGAACATCTACCGTATTTTTTTTTGTATTTTTAAAGGCGCCTACAGTAATCCTAAAAATATGTCTTTTTCGCCGTAAAAACACTTGCAGGCTACAGTACCCAAGGCTTTCTAGGCCCCGCAAAAAAAATTCTAAAAATTTTTTTTTGCAGAGCAAACGCAGTTTCAGCAGCTCGCCGGCTGCTCGACGATTCACGTGGAAAATCGTGGGAAGAATTGGCGCGAAAATACACACTTGGTCTAGAAGCTGCACCGTGTGTTGAAAGGTACCGTTTTGAATCCCATTTCTCATCAGAAAAATCACAATTGCTCAGATTAACCGCTGAAGAATTGGAACAGAGTTTGGACACAATGCCCGAATACAAAAATTATCGTTTCAATCGCAGTCGATCTGTTGATCTTAGTCAAATTTCCAGGTGAGAGTCATTTTCAGCATGAGAAGCTGAAAATTTCTGAACTCGGCTGAAAATCCACGTCATTTTGAGTCCAAATATAGTCATGTTTAGATTCAAAATGACGTGGATTTCATGAGAAATTTCAAAATTCTAGTTTCAGAACCATTTTCAGCATGAAAATCTGAAAATTTTGAATCTAAACTTGGCTGAAAATCCACGTCATTTTGAGTCCAAACATAGTCATATTTATAGTCAAAATGACGTGGATTTTATGGAAAATTTCAAAATTTCTATTGCAGAATCATTTTCAGCAGGAAAATCTGAAAATTTTAAGCTTAAACTTTTTCTGAGCCCAAATATAGTGATGTTTAGATTCAAAATGACGTGGATTCCACGGAAAATCTAAAAATTTCAATTGCAGAATCATTTTCAGCTTGAGAATCTGAAAATTTTGAATCTAAACTTTTTCTGAGCCCAAATATAGTCATGTTTAGATTCAAAATGACGTGGATTTCACGGAAAATCACAAAATTTCAATTGCAGAATCATTTTCAGCATGAAATTCTGAAAATTTTGAATCTAAACTTGGCTGAAAATCCACGTCATTTTGAGCCCAAATATAGTCATGTTTAGATTCAAAATGACGTGGATTTTATGGAAAATCTCAAAATTTCAATTGCAGAATCATTTTCAGCAGGAAAATCTGAAAATTTTGAATCTAAACTTTATCTAAGCCCAAATATAGTCATGTTCAGATTCAAAATGACGTGGAAAATTTTCAGAATCATTTTCAGCCTGAAAATATCCAAATCTAGATTCAAAATGATCCAATTTCCATGAAAAACCTCGAAAATTTACAGAGAAAAGTACCTATCAAGATGGTCACGCGAAAACACGCCAGTCGAAAACAGCAAACGATACGAATCGCATGTTCGGCGAAGTTATACGCCGGTTCGCGAAATATCCTCATATTCAAATATTCTCGAAACAAATCCGTCAAGATCACATCGTTCACCATTGGCTACTGTAACTGCACCATATCACACGAATATTCATTATCGATCCGAAATTGAGCCATTCCGAAAATATGATGTTTATGGATTGCGAACATGGAGTTATCCCATTTATAAGTTTGTTTTTTTTTCTGTGCATTTTTTCGTCACGGTGTTTGCAGAATCGTGAAAATCCACGTTTTTTGAGTCTAAACATAGTCATGCTTAGGCTCAAAATGACGCGGAATTCTTAAAAATCGAGTTTCAGATTGACTTTCAGCATAGAAATCTGAAATTTTTGAAAATATGATAGAAGAAACCGATCGATTGAAAAAAATCGGGGGAAAAATATCAGAAATTTTTGAAACGTATTTTTTCGGGCATCAGTTTTTGAGAAATTCTAGCTGAAAATGCCTGAAAATCGATTTTTCAAGTGTTTGAGCATCAAAACAAATTTTCAGCAATAAATTTTTGCAGATGAAAAAAATCTGGAACTGTTCCCGAACTTTTCAAAGAAATATAGTCATGTTTAGATTCAAAATGACGTGGATTTTATGGAAAATCTTGAAATTTCAATTTCAGAATCATTTTCAGCATGAAAATCTGAAAATTTTGAATCTGAACTTGGCTAAAAATCCACGTCATTTTGAGTCCAAATATAGTGATGTTTAGATTCAAAATGACGTGGATTTCAAGGAAAATCTCGAAATTTCAATTTCAGAATCATTTTCAGCATGGAAATCTGAAAATTTTGAATCTAAACTTGGCTGAAAATCCACGTTTTTTTGAGTATAACCATAGTCATGTTTAGGTTCAAAATGACGTGGATTTTATGGAAAATCTCGAAAATTCATTTTCAAATTCACTTTCAGCATGAAAATCTGAAAATTTTGAGTCTGAACTTGGCTGAAAATCCACGTTATTTTGAGTATAACCATAGTCATGTTTAGATTCAAAATGACGTGAATTTCATGGGAAATCTCGGAATTTCAATTTCAGAATCATTTTCAGCTCAAAAATCTGAAAATTTTGAGTAAATATAACCATATCCATGTTTAGATTCAAAATGACGTGAATTTTACGAAGATTCTGGAATTCCCACTCAAAAATCTTTTGCAGATACGTGAATGGTGTAAACCGCGATTCGGATTACCGTCGTCCATACTCCTTCGATCGTTCCTATGCAAATACACCAGTCTACACACCTCCCCAATTATCAGCCGAATCTCGTCCAATCACAACTCGTCGCGGTTATTCCGGCTACTCATATCTAGCCAATGAGACCAATTTCGATGTCTCATCTCGCCCAAAAAGCCTCTCTTCTTATATGTATAATAACAAATATTTGGGAACTTGTTCGGCTCCCTGGTATTGGTCTTATCACGGCAATTCATCACTTCGACATTTTAACAGCTATCGACCACATAATTGGACAAGTACAACTGCAACTTGGTCGAAATATTATTGATTTTTGATATTGATTGGGGCGAAAATGCTTTTTGTTAGGGGAACGAATCCTTGATTGATTAAAACTGCCAAAAAACGATCGATTTTTTTCTGTAATAATGTTGGTGCTATAAATAATTTCAGTTTTTTTTTTGAAAAAAAATTTGAAATACGATTTTTGGAGCCAAAATCGGGTTTTCGCGCCATTTTTGCCACGTGGCATGTTTTTTTGGCGAGAATTCAAAAATTTTCATGAAAATTTGAATTTTGAGCATTTTTGTGCTCTCAAATATTTTGGCGCGAAATTTCAAATTTCAAACATTCAATTTTGTGAGGGAAAAAATTTGAAATACGATTTTTTGGAGCCAAAATCGGGTTTTCGCGCCAATTTTGCCACGTGGCATGTTTTTGGCGCGAAAGCAGGCATTTTAAGCAAAATTTCGAAATTCAAAAATTCAATTTTTTTTTCAAAAAATTTGAAATAAGATTTTTAGCGCATGTTTTTGCCACGTGGCATGTTTTTGGCGGGAAAACAAGAATTATCATGAAAATTTGAATTTTGAGCATTTTTGTGCTCTCAAATTTTTTGGCGCGAAATTTCAAATTTCAAACATTCAATTTTCTGGGGGAAAAATTTGAAATGACATTTTTGGAGCCAAAATCGGGTTTTCGCGCCATTTTTGCCACGTGGCATGTTTTTGGCGCGAAAGCAGGCATTTTAAGAAAAATTTCAGGAAAATTTCGATTTTTGAAAAAAAATTTGAAATACGATTTTTTGGAGCCAAAATCGGGTTTTCGCGCCATTTTTGCCACGTGGCATGTTTTTGGCGCGAAAGCGGACATTTTAAGCAAAATTTCGAAATTCAAAAATTCAATTTTTTTTCAAAAAATTTGAAAAAAGATTTTTCGCGCCATTTTTGCCACGTGGCATGTTTTTTTGGCGAGAATTCAAAAATTTTCATGAAAATTTGAATTTTGAGCATTTTTGTGCTCTCAAATTTTTTGGCGCGAAATTTCAAATTTCAAACATTCAATTTTCTGGGGGAAAAATTTTGAAATAAGATTTTTGGAGCCAAAATCGGGGTTTCGCGCCATTTTTGTCACGTGGCATGTTTTTGGCGGGAAAACAAGAATTTTAAGCATGAGATTTCTTGGTGCCTATTTTTGCCACGTGGAATTTCAACGAAAATTCGTATTTTTCCAAACATTTTTGTGTTCTTAAATTTTCCCAAATTCGATCGATTGCAAAAAAAATCGGTCAAAAATATCAGAAATTTTTGAAACGTATTTTTCCGAGCACAAATTTTTTGTTTCAATTTTGGAGAAAATCATGATTTTCAGCGCATTTTCAATAAAAACTTGGAAATTTTATTGTTTTCTAACCACATTCAATTTCGGTTGTTCATCAACAATTAATTGAAAAACATCAGGTCGACTATAATGTCCACAAACATCCAAATCCATTTTCCCCAGTGGAATTTCCGCTAAATCAATATCCGTAAATCGAATAGTTTCTTGACTAAAATCCGGTTCGATGAGAACATTTCCAAGTGGATCAATAGCACAAGATCCCCCTCGAATCATAATTTTCTGCTCGCCATGTTCTAATCTCAATTTATGATTCGCTGGATAATCGGAGCTCGTCAAAAATTGACAAGCTGACACCACAAAACATCTTCCCTCCAGTGCGATAGTCCTCATTGTTGACAGCCAAACATCTCGATCATCCACCGTTGGCGCCAAATAGATCTCAATTTGTTGATTGTACATATGCACACGGAACAGGGGCATATAATTCTCCCAACATATTCCGGCACCAATTCGGCCGACCGGAGTGTTGTGCACTTTCATTGTTGAGCCATCGCCTTGTCCCCAAACACATCGCTCCAAAGCGGTTGGCATTAATTTGCGATGTTTTCCGAGATAACCGTGAGTTGGGGAGAAGAAGAATACTGAACAATATAATGTGCCGCCTTCTTTTTCGACAACTCCAATTACTAGATGAATATTGTATTTGCATGATAAAATTGTGAGGAAATCATTGTCTTCGCCGTATTCTTCGATTGCATTTTCGAAATATCTGGAAAAGGGATTTCGTAAGTTAGAATCAACATGTTTTCAGCGAAAAACCATGATAAAAAGTTAATTTGATCAAAAAATGAGGAAAAAAATGTTTTTCAAATGACCGCGGTGTCGATTTACGAGAAACATTTTATTTGACGCGCATTTATTTTTATTTTTTTTTTGCGAAAATCACGCTATTTTTGGCCGTCCAAATCGAGAGAGTGGCGCAGAGAAAAAGACGCTCATTTCTCGACACGAACAAAAATATTTTGGTAATACTACTGTAACTATTGTTTCGCGTGTGTCTTTTTCACGCGTTTCTCGAAACGAACAAACAAAAATACCATAAAACTACTGTACTTAAAGGGAGTTTTCGCGTCTGTGTCATCTCTCTCGATTCGGACGCTCTTCTTCTTTTTTAAAATAGCGTGAAATGTTTGACTCACGTATTTTTTTGGCACTCGGTTCGCGGTTGGTATACTGTATTGACTTGTGCAAACACGGTGACGCACAAATGCACAAAAATCTCTCGCGTCTCTCCATTTTGCGCGCTATTTTTCGAAATTGGTCTCGCCACGAACCCCGAAACGCTAAAACGGCACCCGTTCGCTCCACCAAAGCTTATTTCCATGCAGTTTTTCACGGCGATAAAGATGGTGTACTCAGATTTTGATTTGATGCAGCCGTTTTTGAGATTTTGGTGAAAATTAAAGCATGTCCCTTTAAACAGCGAACCGAGATTTTTTGTTCAGCAACAAAATACGTGGATTTTGACTTGAAAAAAACCAGGTTTTCATGGTACTGAGTCAAAATTTTGTGATATTTTCAAAATACATGTATTGTGCACAAACCTCTTGAATTCTTCCCTTCCTTCCATAGTTCGTGTACCCATCACAATTCCAAAATCATTCCATTTTGGATAGCCGCCAATGAACGCTTCTGAAAATTTGAAATATTTTCAAATTTTACCCCCAAAAAATAGAAAATACCTGGAAAAAGCACAAGATCCGCCTTATTTTTCGCCGCTTCTTCCACATATTTCTCGACTTTTTCGAAAGTCGCCTTCTTATCGAAGAGCACAGTTCCAGCCTGAACAACAGCGATTTTTGGCATTTTTCCGATCTTCTTTGGGTGATTTTTTGATGGTTATATACTTGGAAAATGATGACAAAAATAGATAAAATGATAATTGTCACGTTATCAGCGAAAAATCATGATAAAAAGTTAATTTGATCAAGAAATGAAAAAAAATATTTTTCAAATGGCCGCGGTGTAGATTTACGAGAAACATTTTATTTGACGCGCATTTATTTTTTTTTTGCCGAAATTTATTTTTTCTCCTTCCTTTCCCATTGTTTTTGCAAAAAATAAAAACGGTTTTTCAGAATGATAGCAGCAGATGGAGAAGCAGAAGAAGAAGGCTTTTACAGTTATTCAAGTCAAGATTCTCGAGAATTATCGGAAGATGATTTAGAAAAACTGAAAAAGCAGACAACTGTGAACGATTTCAAGAAAAATAAACTGGAAATAGAAGCAAGACGAAATTGGGATAAATTCTATCATCGAAACAAGGACAATTTTTTCAAGGATAGAAATTGGAGCAGCGAAGATTTGAAGATAATTTGCCCGGATTTGAATTTCGCAACTTCAAGCATCGCATATCTCGAAGCTGGTTGTGGAGTTGGAAATATGCTTTTTCCATTGGTCTCAGAGCTTCCGAATCTAAAACTTTTTGCTTTTGATTTCTCTGCAAATGCTGTGAAATTGCTTGAAAAACGAGCAGAGGAGCTGAAATTGGAAGTGGAGACATCAGTTATTGATTTATCTTTGGAAAATGTTCAAAATCCATTTTCTCAACAAGTTGATTTGGCCACTTTGATTTTTGTATTATCAGCAATTCATCCAGAAAAGCACAAAATTGCTGCGGAGAATATGAGAAATTTTGTGAAGGTATCTAAAAAGATTTTCTTTTTTTTTTCTAAATTAAATTTTCAGATGAGCGGTTCAATAGTTGTTCGAGATTATGGAATAAATGACCATGCAATGATCAGATTTGGGCGAGAATCTCGAATTTCCGATCGATTTTATGTGCGACAAGATGGAACACGTGCGTATTATTTCGATTTGGAAGAATTATCAAAAATCTTTGAGAATTGCGGATTTCGTTGTGAATCGAAAGAATATCTTCATAGGCTAACTATAAATCATAAAAAAGGATTGAAAGTTCCGAGGATATTTGTGCAGGCGAGATTTGTTAGAGAAAAATGATTGTTTTTGTTGAATAAAAAAAGTTTGTTGAGTTTCTTTTAACTTTATCGATTGAATTTTCTATGAGAAAGACATTTTAACCTTTTTTTTGAGGTTATATTGAAGAAAATGTTCAAAAAAGATAAAATTGTATTGCAAACAAATAACAGAAACTATTTGACAAGATTTTCAAAAATCGGATTTTTAAATGCGCTCCAAGTGTTACATCCCATACAACTCGAATTATCGCAAAATACTGTAGTCATTAAAGGAGCAGGTGGTGTGGGAATGGGATTGATCTGAAGAAAAAGTTTCACAATTATTTTTCCAAGTTATTTTTTTCAAAATTAAAAAAAAAACACTCACAATCACGTATTTTGTTGCTGAACAAAAAATCTCGGTTCGCTGTTTAAAGGGACATGCTTTAATTTTCCACCAAAATCTCAAGAACGGCTGCATCAAATGAAAATCTGAGTACACCATCTTTATCGCCGTGAAAAACTGCATGGAAATAAGCTTTGGTGGAGCGAACGGGTGCCGTTTTAGCGTTTCGGGGTTCGTGGCGAGACCAATTTCGAAAAATAGCGCGCAAAATGGAGAGACGCGAGACATTTTTGTGCATTTGTGCGTCACCGTGTTTGCACAAGTCAATACAGTATACCAACCGCGAACCGAGGGCCAAAAAAACACTCACAATTGCAGTTTTAATTTTCGATCTTTCCGTCGTCTGTAAAACAAATGATGGCAAATTTCGTCTTCTCAATCGATCAAATCCAACAATATTCAATGTCCGATTCTTTCGTATTTTTTCGATTTCGCGCGAAATCTCACTCGCCCCCATTTTCGCAAAATTCTCAAATCGACATTCCATAATATTACACGAATGTACACATTGATAAGCTGGCATTCTCATCACATTATTCGGTCCCGCATTCTTCAAACATCTCAAATTCCCGGTATCCATCTCAATAAACCAATCCTCATTCTCATTTTCTAATCCATAAATATGACGTGCTCTTCGAAATTGTGTTCCATCTTCCTCAAATTGCTCCAAAAATAAAATCACATTTTTCCTTTCCCATTGTTCTCGCCCTTGATTTGGTTTAATTGTGAACAATTTCACTTTTTTCGCCCAAAATTTACTGAAATTTCGAAGATCTGCGGGGCAAGAAGGGAGAATTGCGTAAAAATATCTGTCACTGGTGGAGAATAAAATTGAGCAAATTGATTGCCATCCAGGTCGAAGATGCTGTAAAATATCTTGGCTATTATTTTTTCAAAAAAAAAAAAAACAAAAATACTCTTGGTTCAACATGATCAATCAACGAATCAATTTCAATTGTTAATTCCCGCCAAAACGCCGATGTTCGCAATTTTTCCGGAATCTCGAAATGTTCATCAATATTAAAGATTTCGAAACTTCTTTTGCTCCACGTATTCCAATTCGGTTTATATCTATTGTTTTCTGTCGGATTTTTCGGACTTGTCAATTTTAGATTTGGCATCGAATGACTTCTTTGGGGTTTTGAGAATTGTCTAGCAGATTTCAACCATTTTTCATCAATGTTTGTGTGATTTACTTCAAGATTTTGCAAATGTTCAGTGAATTCTGTGCGATTTCGTGAAGTCTGCAATGATTTCGGATTATAGTTCTTCACACTTAGATTTAAAAAAAAACTTACATTTTCAGCAAAATCCAAAGCATAAAATGGTTTTCGAGGCAATTCTCCCAATCGACTTCCATTTCCATTGAAAAAATGAAGATTATTTGTGAATCTGTTGTCGCATTTTGAAGATTCCACAACATATTCGCAAATTATTCGATTTTTCAGCAATGTTTCTGAACTCTCAATAGCTTTTTCCAATCGTTTTTCATGTTTTTCTGTTTGTCGAACTTGTCGTTTGTCTGTCACTCGCAAATTTCCTGAAAATAGGTTCTACTTCTGAATTCACAAAAATTCAAACTCACTTCCTTCCATATATTTTGCGATGTATTCTTCACAGCCTTCTAAACTTTCAATGAATGGAGGATCAAACATTTTTTTGCCGATAAAATTTAAAAATGAAAAGTTTTCGAAAAAAAAAGAAAATAAAAAATCAAGGCACACAAGAAACGCTACGAGACCCGCTAAATTTGTATGTGCGCCTTTGAATGAGGTACTGTATTCTTATCGATTTTTTCCACGTATTTTTTTGGCCCTCGGTTCGCGGTTGGTATACTGTATTGACTTGTGCAAACACGGTGACGCACAAATGCACAAAAATGTCTCGCGTCAACATTTTCCAAAGATAAATCAATAACTGATGTTTCCACTTCCAAATTCAGTTCCTCAGCTCGTTTTTCAAGCAATTTCACAGCATTTGCAGAGAAATCAAAAGCAAAAAGTTTTAGATTTGGAAGCTCTGAGACGAGTGGAAAAAGCATATTTCCAACTCCACAACCAGCTTCAAGATATGCGATGCTTGAAGTTGCGAAATTCAAATCCGGGCAAATTATCTTCAAATCTTCGCTGCTCCAATTTCTATCCTTGAAAAAATTGTCCTTGTTTCGATGATAGAATTTATCCCAATTTCGTCTTGCTTCTATTTCCAGTTTATTTTTCTTGAAATCGTTCACAGTTGTCTGCTTTTTCAGTTTTTCTAAATCATCTTCCGATGATTCTCGAGAATCCTGACTTGAATAACTGTAAAAACCTTCTGCTTCTTCTCCATCTGCTGCTATCATTCTGAAAAAGCGTTTTTGCAAAAACAATGGGAAAGGAAGAAGAAAAAATAAATTTCCACGTATTTTTTTGGCACTCGGTTCGCGGTTGGTATACTGTATTGACTTGTGCAAACACGGTGACGCTCAAATGCACAAAAATGTCTCGCGTCTCTCCATTTTGCGCGCTATTTTTCGAAATTGGTCTCGCCACGAACCCCGAAACGCTAAAACGGCACCCGTTCGCTCCACCAAAGCTTATTTCCATGCAGTTTTTCACGGCGATAAAGATGGTGTACTCAGATTTTGATTTGATGCAGCCGTTCTTAAGATTTTGGTGGAAAATTAAAGCATGTCCTTTTAAACAGCGAACCGAGATTTTTAGTTCAGCAACAAAATACGTGTTTCAAAAATAAATTTTTATATTTTTTTCAAGTGAAAAAAAAACAAACGTGTTGCCCTAATTTCCCGCTATAAAAGCTCAGGTTCCACGAAAAATGATTCATTTTACGAAGGAACTGAACAAGTCATTTTTATTTATCACAAGAAATATCGAGAGAGCAGAAAAACTAGAAAATGGCCTCGAAAAATGTAAATAATAATGGACTTGTTGATGCTGGAATATCCGAAATGTTGAACAAACCAAATGAGCCCGCATTCAAACTTGGTATCACAATTAACAAAGTCGTTTTCAAATGCAAAAATGACAAAAAACCTGTGAATGTTCCGCTGGTTTTATTTAACAATACAAATGATATCATTAGTTATAAGGTTGGTTATTTTAAATAGGTTTTTGGTGAAATTTCTTAAAATCAGTTTTATCTAATTCCAGGTTCGCTGCACCTCCGCTGATATTTTCCGTGTTCAACCACCGCTTGGAATCATCAAACCAAATTCCAATGTTGATATCACAATTTGGTATCAAAATCAAGTTAAACCGGATGCAATTCAACAAAAACATTATTTCGCATTTTATCATACAAAAGGTGATGGAAGAACTGTTAAGGAAATTTGGGCAAATGCCAAAATTGAGGGAGTTCGACGAATTCCAGCTACTTTTGAAGCGATTCCTTGATTGAATGAAGTTTTTCGAGATTTTGGGAATCGAATTCTTCCACAACCACAAAACTATCATCCTTTATTGGAAATTTAACAACATAACATAACAAATCATTTTTCAACAGCTCCAGCTTCTCTGAAAAGTTCCAATAACTTATCGGAATTTTTTCTGGTAAATGTCAAAGTTGAGAATTTGTAGTGATTTGAATTAAGCTTGAGATTATTGATGACGTCATCGAGAAGAATTGCAGACATTGTTGTGCTCGCTGGAGCATCGTATTTCAAGCTGAATAAGAAAATAAGAACAATTTTTCTAGTTAGGTTAACTTACTTGATGAAATGAACATGCAAATGATAGAAAGATGGTTGATAGTGAAAATATGCTTTGACTTGATCTTTTCGAAGTCCATATTTCAGATTGATAGCTTCCAGGCTTTTTTCTCTAATATTTTCCAACATTTTAACATCAGAACCCGTTAAATCTCGAACACTTTTAACATTGTGTCTATGAATAATCGCCAAAACGTAGAGATTTTCAATGGTTTTTCCATCCCATTTGATGTCTTGCATAAGCATGAATCCATTTTTCTTGTCCGAATCTTCGAAAACGATTTTATCAACTTCGGATTTCTTTTCAAGGCAATTGTAGACCCAATTGAGATTGAGTTGGTATTTTTCGATGTATGGTTTGGTGATATTTTCGTAGTTTTCGGCGGTTTCACGGATCACAAACTTCTCTTCTTGACGATATTTTGCAATAAGTCGTTCGTTTGCAGGATAAATCAATTGGGATTTCAGAACTGAAATGCAAAGATTTTCCACTCTTCTTCATTCCCCAATTCACTTACGATTCAATTTCGAGTCAACAGCAATCGAATAAGATCCGAAAATATCATTCTTCGAGATTTCGGTCAAATCCGCAGTCTTCAACCATTTTCCAATTGTCTTCGCGTCTTCTGAGAATGGTGTTTTATCGGCCAGCAAAATTCCAGTCTCTTCTCCATTTGACAAAAGCAAAAAGATGTTCTGAAAGGTTTCTTTGATTACTTACTTAATGAATTAAGTTTTCTCTGGAAATTTGGAATGAATACCTTATGTGACGCATCGCATCCAAGAACTTCTTCGAATTTCGCACCAGCGAGCCATTCTTGAGCTGCACAATTCGTCATTTTTGTGGGCAAAATGTGAATTTGAAAAACAGCATCATTATTTTATGGCCGTGGAAGAGAAAACCAAATCATGCTGCGGAGTTCTCTCGGACGATTTTTCTTTTTTTTTTGTTTCGTTTGTTTCGCGCGCGCGCGCCTTAAGGCCCTTTCCACGAAAAACTCAAATTTTCAGGTTTATGGATGAGGTCACAATTGTTGTGTTAGACAAGAAGAAAAATGTGCGAAAAAACCTGTCGCTAAAAGTTGGAAATGAGGAAAAAATCGATGATTTGCTGCAAAACGTGGGAAAATTGACGGCAATCCCAAAAGATGAGCTGGAAGTGTTGTTTTGCGGGAAAATGTTGGGACGGGCGACAAAGATTCGGGATTTACAATTAACTCCTGCCACGTAAGCCAATTTTCGAGACTTTTCTTAAGAAATCATTACATTTTTGCAGACAACTAACATTATTGCGACCTGAAGTTTGTTCATCTCAAAAACCAGAAAACCCCGAGTCTTCCACAACTGTAAATTCATCATTCTATGTATTTTGTAAAAAATGCGACAGTGTAAAACGCGCCAAACTTCGTGTATACTGTGAAAATTGTCAAGGAACATCAATTCTAGTCAAAAACGAACCGCAAAATTGGGCAGACGTGTTGAAAACCAAGCGAATACGTGTGGAATGTAGCTCTGAAACTTGTGTGCAAGAAATATACGCAAACTTCCGATTCAAATGCGTCGATTGTAATGAAATATGCGCAGCATTGACACATGCGCGAGGAAATTGGCAAAAATCCGAATGCTGTATTTGTTCGGATGAGAATATTCTGGTTATTGATTTGGGATGCAATCATTTAACGTGTTTGGAATGTTTTAAATTGTATTTAGAAGAGAATTTGGAGAATTTCAATTTCAAATTGAAACCTCCACATGGATTTACGATAACTTGCCCATACACCGATTGTAATAGTGAGTTTTTGACAAAAAATTGTGAAAAATTCTCGAAAAATCTTTTTTTCTTCAGGAGTTGTTCAAGATGTCCATCATTTCTATCTGATGGGAAAATCGAAATATCAAGAATATCAAAAACGGGCAACCGAGAAGCTGATTCTTCAAAGTGATGAAGGTGTAACGTGCCCGAATCCTGATTGTGGTCAGAGCTTTTTTTGGGAACCCTATGATGATGATGGCAAATCACAGTGTCCTGATTGCTATTTTACGTTTTGCAGGTAAATTTTAGGACCTCTGAGCTAAGTTTTGGGCTCTCAAAAGTTCAAAAATTTCCAAAATTGGCTTATAAAAGTTATCAGAGAAAAAAGTTTCAGATATTGTCAGAAAATTTTTTGATTTTGGAAAAAATCGGGGCGCGAATTTTTATGAATTTTCAGCAGGGCTGATTCACGAAGGAAAAAATTGTTAAAAATGATTTTTTAACATCGAAAGATCAATTCACAATTAGTTTTTCGAGTTTTTCAGCCAAAAATGATGACAAATCGATATTTTTCGAGCTTCTGGAGGGATTTCTGATGAAAATAAGCCTATTTTGCTTTATTTTATGAATTTTTCGAAATTCATCAAAATTTAAAATTTTTTATTTCACGAAAAATCAGCAAAACCTTCTGGAAAGTCAATTTTCATCAGAAATTACTCCAGAAGCTTGAAAAATATTGATTTGTCATCATTTTTGGCTGAAAAACTCGAAAAACTAATGTTTTTTCGACATTTTTTGACTTTTCGTGTTGTTTTATTGTTATTAAATCTATCTGAAACTTTTTTCTCCCAAAAATTATTTTGAAATGTAGCTATGATAACTTTTGAGAGCCCAAAACTTGGCTCAGAGGTCAAAAACCCCTGAAAATCCCAAATTTTCCCAGAAAAATGCAACGAAAGAGATTGCGTTTGCCACAAAACTGATGATTTGACACGAAATACAATTGAAGCAACCACTAGAAAATGCCCAAATTGTCAATGTTCAACTGAAAGAAATGGCGGATGTTCACATATTCATTGCACAAATTGTGGCTATGATTGGTGCTTTAAATGTGTTAAAGAATGGACTGAAAATTGTCAATGGGATCATTGGTTTTGATTGAAAAAATTCTCGAAATTTGCTCAATTTATGTGCCTTTGTAAATATTATAAATATTAGGTTTTTAAATATTTTTTTTTTAATTTTTCAGTGTAAATTCACTATATTTATATCTTTATCTTTATATTTTCAGATTTTTTTTTTTCAAAATCCCAATTTCCAGAAATGTCCGGAGGTCATCCTGGAGGATATAATCCTCATAATAATCAGCAGATTTATCAGCAACAACAAATGATGAGACAACAACAGCAAAATTATCAAATGTTGCAAAATCCGCAGGTTTTGTTTGATCTACCCGGGAGATTTTGGGGGTTTTTCAAGAGGGGGGGGGGGGGAAAATATTGATTTTTTGGGGTAAATTAGGATTTTTTATATTTAAGCTTTTTTAAGCTGAAATTTTATGTTTTTCATGAATTTTTGGCTAATTTAGGTTCAAAATCAAAACCGGTAGATTTTTTGGCTTAAAAATTGTGGAAAATCCAAATTTTGAGCTGAAAATTCATGTTTTTCATGAATTTTAAGCTAATAATTTTCATATTTATATGAAAAATCCAATTTTTAATTTTGAAAATGTGATTTCTTTCAAAATTCTATGGAAACCCCATTTTCGAGCTGAAATTTCACGATTTTCATGAATTTTAAGCTAATTATTCAATTAAATTTGTGATTTTCAGCTAATTCGAGTTTATAGTTGAACCTGGACGATTTTTGTCTTAAAATTTATAGAAAATTCAAATTTTAAGCTGAAATTTCACGATTTTCATGAATTTTAGGCTAATTATTCAATTTAAGTTGTGATTTCCAGCTAATTTAAGTTTATAATCAAAATCGGGAGATTTTTTGGCTTAAAATTTCTAGAAAATCCAATTTTTGAGCTGAAATTTCATGTTTTTCATGAATTTTAAGCGAATTATTTTCATATTTATATGAAAAATCCAATTTTTAATTTTGAAAATGTGATTTCTTTCAAAATGCTATGGAAACTCCATTTTTGAGCTAAAATTCACGGTTTTCATGAATTTTAAGCTAGTTATTCAATTAAATTTGTGATTTTCAGCTAATTAAAGTTTATAATCAAAACCGGGAGATTTTTGGCTTAAAAATTGTAGAAAATCCAATTTTTAAGCTGAAATTTCATGTTTTTCATGAATTTTAAGCTAATTATTCAATTAAATTTGTGATTTTCAGCTAATTCGAGTTTATAGTTGAACCTGGACGATTTTTGTCTTAAAATTTATAGAAAATTCAAATTTTAAGCTGAAATTTCACGATTTTCATGAATTTTAGGCTAATTATTCAATTTAAGTTGTGATTTCCAGCTAATTTAAGTTTATAATCAAAATCGGGAGATTTTTTGGCTTAAAAATTGTAGAAAATCCAATTTTTAAGCTGAAATTTCATGTTTTTCATGAATTTTAGACTAATTATTCAATTAAATTTGTGATTTTCAGCCAAGTCGAGTTCATAGTTGAACCTGGACGATTTTTGTCTTAAAAATTGTGGAAAATTCAATTTTTAAGCTGAAACTTGGGATTTTTCATGAATTTTAAGCTAATAATTTTCGTATTTATATAAAAAATCCAATTTTTAATTAAAATTTTGTGATTTCTTTCAAAATTCTATGGAAACCCCATTTTCGAGCTGAAAATTCACGGTTTTTATGAATTTTAAGCTAATTCTTCAATTAAATTTGTGATTTTCAGCTAATTAAAGTTTATAATCAAAACCGGGAGAATTTTTGTCTTAAAAATTGTGGAAAATCCAATTTTTAAGCTGAAACATGGGATTTTTCATGAATTTTAAGCTAATTATTCAATTAAATTTGTGATTTTCAGCTAATTTAAGTTTATAATCAAAATCGGGAGATTTTTTGGCTTAAAAATTGTGGGAAATTCAAATTTCAAGCTGAAATTTAATGTTTCAACCTCAAATCGATTTTCTAGCCTCTAAATTATCTGAAAATCTCCATTTTCCAGCTAATGCAAGCTCAAAATCAATCCTCCGCCCACAATTCTCCCCGATCCGCCACACCAAATCAACTTCAACAACTTCAACAACACTCTCGAGTCGGCTCACCAGCTCAACCCAATTTCAACAATCTCAATCAGCAACCGCACGGCTCACCGTCGAATTTGGCGTTTTCGAATTCGAATTTAGCGCAAGTTCAAGATGTGCATTCGAAACCGGCGACACCACAAATGATGCATTCGGCACTTTCGGCTGGACATTTGACGAATATGAATGTGGGTTTTAAAGTTTTCACATTTTCAGCCAAAAAATTCGGAATTTCCTGAACATTTTGAACCTAAATTTTAAGCCAAAATTTCTCAAATTTGGGAATTTTTTTCTGATGTTTGGTTGGAATTTCAGAATTTCTTGAATTTTTGAAATCCTATTTTTCGCGCTAACATTGTTCAAATCTGGAATTTCAGCTTTCAATTTGTAACAATTCTGAAATTTTGAACCTAAATTTTAAGCCTAGAAAACTTGAAATTAGCATTTTTTTTTCTAGAAAAGTTTTAGTTTTCTGGAAATTTTTAACCCAAATCTTTTTCAGCCAAAATTTCTCAAATCTGGAATTTTTATTCTGATGTTTGGCTGGAATTTCAGAATTTTCTGAATTTTTGAAAACCAATTTTTATCTACCTTTTTAATAAAATCCCGGTTGGGTGGTGTCTCGATGGAAGCAGGATTTTTCAATGGGGTCCCCCCTGTTCTCATTTTTCAAATGTCGCAATTTTGGACATTTCCCATTTTTTCCGAAAATCATACCTTCGCGAACGTCAAAAAGGATCCGATCCTGGACCTTCTGAACAAAAAACACGTGATCTAACCACTTGACCATTTCTGACACAAGAAATGACCATTAATTCGCTTAGAAATGCTCGAAGAAAAATTTTTGACGTGAGAAAAAATATTTGTTTTAAAAAAGGAGACTGTTACGCCTGGGAGCTGAAAGCTCCTATCCTAAAAAAATCTAGTTTTCTGGAAATTTTCAACCCAAATTTTTTAACCCAAAATTTCTCAAATCTGGAATTTCAGCTTTCAATTTGTAGCTGAAAAATTCTGAAATTTTTGAACCTAAATTTTCAGAAAATTTTGAAAAAACTCACAGCTTTAAACCGAAATAAAATTCTTTAAAAAAATCAAGTTTCAGTACTAAAAATCCACGTGGCATTTTTTCAAAAATTTCCTGAATTTTTGAAAACCAATTTTTTTTCCTAAAAAACTTGAAATTAGCATTTTTTTTTCTAGAAAAGTTTTAGTTTTCTGGAAATTTTTAACCCCAATTTTTTTCAGCCAAAATTTCTCAAATTGGGAATTTTTTATTCTGATGTTTGGCTGGAATTTCAGAATTTCCTGAATTTTTGAAAACCAATTTTTATCTTGAAAAATTTGAAATTAGCATATTTCTTTTCTAGAAAAAATCTAGCTAAAATTCTTCAAATCTGAAATTTCAGCTTCAATTTGTAGCTGAACAATTCTGAAATTTTGAACCTAAATTTTCCAGAAAAAAATTTCCAAATCTGAAATTGTTATTTCTAGAAAAGTTCTAGTTTTCTGGAAATTTTTAACCCAAATTTTTTTCAACCCAAAATTTCTCAAATCTGGAATTTCAGCTTCAATTTGTAGCTGAAAAATTCTGAAATTTTTGAACCTAAATTTTCCATCCAAAAATTTCCAAATCTGGAAATTTTATTTCTAAAAAATCTAGTTTTCTGGAAATTTCGAAGCCCAAAATTTTCCAGCCAAAAATTTCGAAATCTGGAATTTCAGCTTCAGTTTGCAGCTGAAAAATTCTGAAATTTCAATTTTTAGAGCAAAAAAATCCACGTGGCATTTTTTTTTCAAAAAATAAAAAATTAATCCAATTTTTTTGACCGGAAATTCGTTTAGCCGAGCTTTTTTGAGCAGCAATTTTTAATTTTTTACATCAAAAAATTACGATTCTGAAAAGTTTTTTAACCAGAAAATTGAATTTTTAATTTTTTTCAAGTTTCCTTATTTTTTTTCTGCCAAAAGTAATTATAGACTTTTCGAATTTTCTAGAAAAATCCCTGTTTATCCGCTTATTCAAAAAAAATTCTAGAATTTCTCATTTTTCAGCCAATGTCAGTGCCACTTGCTGCAATTTCTCGACCCGCTTCCGTTGCTCCACCACAATCTCTTCCCGCAAATATTCTAATCAATAATCCGGGCTCAATTCAACAACCCGGATCGATTCAAAGGCCTGGAAGTGTTATTCCGCCGGGAAGTATTCATGGTCCGGGAAGTGTTCAGGCTCATGGTCCGGGCTCTATTCAAGCCCCCGGAAGTGTTCATGGCCCGGGAAGTATTCAGGCTCATGGTCCGGGAAGTGTTCAGGCCCACGGACCTTCAAGTGTGCACGGCCCGGGCTCTATCCAACCACCTGGAAGTCTTCATGCCCCCGGATCTCAACACAATCTCAATCTATCATCGCATGGCCCATCTTCAGTAGCCCCCCCAGGTTCAGTAGCCGGGCCTGGAAGTGTTATGGGAGGACCGGCGAGTGTTCAACCGGCCGCGCCCGCCCCGACAACATCGCAAACACCCGCAAAACCGACGGAAGAACAATTGAGACAGGTTATGGATCCGGTTGTGTTGCTGAGAACGCTGATTGCCACCGATTTGAGGGCGAGTATTGTGGTGAGTGAGATTTTGGGGGGGTCATTTTGCCACGTGGCATTTTTGGCACCAAAAATTTGAATTTTGATTCTCAAAATGTTTTTCAATAGTTTTCAGCTTAAAATTGTTAAAAATCGTTAAAAAAAAGTGAAAAATCCTATATTTCGCTATAAAAAGCAAGTGCGCTCTACTGAAATATTTGAGGATTTTTGAAAAATTGAACTTTCCCTGTGAAAAATGAGATTTTCTAGAAAATATCAAGTTCGCTCTACTGAAATATTAGATTTTCTGAAGAATTTTTGAAAAAAACACAGTTTTCATTGTATAAAATGAAGTAGAACTTGATTTTCTTGTTTACAAATTCGAAAACTTCAATTTTTGATTGAAAATATCAAGTTCGCTCTACTGAAATCTAGGATTTTCTCTAGAAATTTTGAAAAAATACAGTTTTCACTGTGAAAAATGAAGGAGAACTTGATTTTCTAGGTTGAAAATGATGAAAATTCAAAATTTCCATTCAAAATTTCAAGTGCGCTCTACTGAAATATCTGGGGAATTTTGAATTTTGTTTGAAAAATTCAAATTTAACACTTGAAAATCTGTTTTTTATTCCAAAAATCACAAAATTCTAGATTTTCAGCCTAAAAATAGTGCAAAATCCCCAAATTTTTGCAGGAAGTAAATCGTAGGTGCGCAAATCTTTTGAAAAATCAACGCGAAGATTCAGAAGAGCACGAAGATGGTCTTCTCGAACAATACAAACGAGCATATAATGATTTTTTGGCGATTTGCGACGATATCGATCGAATTTTGACAACGATTCTAGAATCCAATAAACAAGTGGGAAAATTGGAAAAAGTATTGGGAGATGGCGGGAAAAAGGGAGCGGGAAAACCAGCAACTGGACAAGCTGGAACTGATCATTCGGCTGGATTAATGAATTGTGTTAATCAATTTATCGAAAGTACTGCCGAAGTTCAACGAATGTTTGATAGTACAATTGGAAGTGTGACTGGATCGATGGAAAAAATTAGAAGACGTCAGAAAAAATTTGAGGAAGGTCAAAGACCTTGAATGTATTTTTGAATGAAAATTTTTGAAAAATTTGAATAATTTTCAGCTGAAAACTTTCTTCAGACCTAAAAATAAAAATAAAAAATTCTGGAAATCAAAACTTTGCAGAAGTGGCATTTTTGGGGCCAAAAACTAGAATTATGAATAATTTTCAGCTGAAAAATCTCATTTGTCAAGCAAAATTTGAATTTTTCACGTTTTTTTAAAATTAAATACTGAAACTAAATCTTAGGCTGAAGCTTTGGCTGAATCTTCTACAGTAACCTGAAATCTACAGTCCCAGCTTAAATCCTGTGCTAAAAAAATAGTAGATCAGACGATTTTTTTTAACACCGGGGGTCCCATGCATATTTTTGGCGCCAAAAAATTGCAGAAACATCCCATTTTCAACTCAAAAAATTCAACATTTTTTGAAAAATCCAAATAAAATTTCTCTCGAAATTCAGGAGAATTGCTTTATTTTCTTGAATATTCTGAATAAATCTGAAATTATTGCGATTTCGCTTCATCAAAAATGTTTTTTTTTTGAAAATTTACATTAAGAAACTGAAATTTCTGGTTGAACCCTAGAAAAATAGAATGAAATTCTGAAAATTGGGATTTTCCTGACTTTCTTTTGAATATCAGAAGTTCCACGTGAAAATTTTAAGCTTAAAATCTTGAAATATCCCACTTGTCACATAAAAATTGAACTTTTCATAGAAAATGTTTTTAATAAATTGAAAATCTTTGAAAAGTTCTCAATTTCTCTCAAGAATCTCTTCTGAATGTTTTCCTCAAATTCTAATCTTATCAGAAGTTCCACGTGGCATTTTTTTGGGGTCAAAAACTAGAATTTTGCAAAATTTTCAGCTTAAAATCTTGGAAAACCATAAATTCCTCTCAAAATTCAGGAGAATTGCAATTTTTAGTCATAAATAGGTAGATTTTTGAAAAAATCTGGAAAAAATCCCTTTGTTACGCTGAACTTTTTCCAGAAACTCTAAACTTGGAAGAAGGATTTTTTTTGATTGAAAATCGGAAGTGGGATTTTGAATAATTTTCTCGGTTCAAAAAAATATCTTAAATTTTATTTCCTTAAACTTCAAAAAATCAAAAATCATTGCGATTTCGCTTCTCTTTCTCTCTTTCTCAACGCGGCTTTTCTCGTTCCAAAACTCATATTTGTCAAAATCTTATCCCGAATAAATTCCGGAATCAAATCCATCACTTCAAGTTGAAGTTGATGTGAAATATAGCCAGTTGTGTCGGCCGCATTTCCAATTGTGTTCAGGGCGGATTTGACGAATTGTTCACCATTTGGTGTGAAGAATGATGTCTTTTTGACTTTGCTCATTTTGGTGGCAACCATCATTGGGGCGATTGTTTGAATTGTGATTCCGTGAGATTCGTATTCTTTGCGAAGGATTCCAGACAGCCATGAGACGTATTTCTGGAAAGATTTCAGGCTTTCCTGGCTCAAAAATTCCTCCTGAAAAAATCGGGCATAGGTTCCCCATGCGCGGGCACTCAAAACTCCCAAATTCCCGCGCATTTTCCCATCTCGAAATATGAAAATATCCACTTTTTCGAGATGTTTTGGAAAATGTGAAGGAATAGGGGAGAATTGGGTGCCGGCATTTTTCAATTTCAGTTTTTATCATAGAAAATTTGAGATATTTTGAAAAAAAAACAGCCAAAACAGTATGTTTTGTCTAGAAATTTTAGGCTCAAAAATTCCTCCTGAAAAAATTGGGCATAGGTTCCCCATGCGCGGGCACCCAAAACTTCCCGATTCCCGCGCATTTTCCCATCGCGAAATATGGAAATATCCACTTTTTCGAGATGTTTTTGAAAATGTGAAGGAATCGGGGAGAATTGGGTACCGGCATTTTTCAATTTCAGTTTTCATCATAGAAAATTTGAGATATTTTGAAAAAAAAAACAGCCAAAAATGTATTTTGTCTAAAAATTCTAGGCTCAAAAATTCCTCCTGAAAAAATTGGGCATAGGTTCCCCATGCGCGGGTACCCAAAACTCCCCGATTCCCGCGCATTTTCCCATCGCGAAATATGGAAATATCCACTTTTTCGAGATGTTTTTGAAAATGTGAAGGAATCGGGGAGAATTGGGTACCGGCATTTTTCAATTTCAGTTTTCATCATAGAAAATTTGAGATATTTTGAAAAAATCACCTTTGTAGCCGAATAAACAGCCAAAAATGTATTTTGTCTAAAAATTCTAGGCTCAAAAATTCCTCCTGAAAAAAATTGGGCATAGGTTCCCCATGCGCGGGTACCCAAAACTCCCCGATTCCCGCGCATTTTCCCATCCCGAAATATGGAAATATCCACTTTTTCGAGATGTTTTTGAAAATGTGAAGGAATCGGGGAGAATTGGGTGCCGGCATTTTTCAATTTCAGTTTTCATCATAGAAAATTTGAGATATTTTGAAAAAATCACTTTTGTAGCCGAATAAACAGCCCAGAGTGTATTTTTTTCTAAAAATTCTAGGCTCAAAAATTCCTCCTGAAAAAATTGGGCATAGGTTCCCCATGCGCGGGCACCTAAAACTCCCAGATTCCCGCGCATTTTCCCATCTCGAAATATGGAAATATCCACTTTTTCGAGATGTTTTTGAAAAATGTGAAGGAATCGGGGAGAATTGGGTGCCGGCATTTTTCAATTTCAGTTTTCATCATAGAAAATTTGAGATATTTTGAAAAAATCACCTTTTTAGCTGAATAAACAGTGTATTTTTGTCTAGAAATTCTAGGCTCAAAAATTCCTCCTGAAAAAATTGGGCATAGGTTCCCCATGCGCGGGCACTCAAAACTCCCAGATTCCCGCGCATTTTCCCATCTCGAAATATGGAAATATCCACTTTTTCGAGATGTTTTGGAAAATGTGAAGGAATAGGGGAGAATTGGGTACCGGCATTTTTTCTCAATTCCTTTGCTCACCTTTGTAGCCGAATAAACAGCCCAAAGGGTCATTTGATTAGCTCCAGCAGATGAGCCAACATTTACGATAACTCCAGCTTTTCGTTCAACCATTTGTGGCAAAATTCCAGCGGAGAGCTGAAAAAAAAAGAGATTTTTAGTCAAAAATCCGCCGAAAACCCACCAAAGTTGGTGGCAATGTATTAATTGTTGTGATATTAGCCAATCTCTCGATTCCTCCATCAACTTTGTGCAAAACTTCTGGATATTCATAGCTCAATCCAACATTATTGATCAGAACTCCGATTTCAACCTGGTTCAATTCGGCCAACAAATCTTGATATCCGGAAACAGCGGCATTTGTGAAATCGTAGGAATATGTGCGGATTTCAATGTTCTGAATAGAAAAAAAAGGGATTATTCAGGAATTTCAGAATTTTTTGCTGAGTGAAAATCCCAAAAATTCACCTGATACTTCTCCAAAATCTCCTTCTTTGTCTCATCCAATTTCGACTGTGTTCTTGAAACCAAAAAAACGTTGAATCCTCTTCGAGCCAATTCGAAAGCATAGGCTTTTCCAATTCCATCAGTGGCTCCAGTTACAACTGCAAAAATATTGGGATTTCCCCCCAAAAACCATCTTATTTTCTCTTGTTCCATGGTTTTTGTGTTATCAAAAAAACGGCTACAAAGAACTCTGATAAGAGAAAAAAAGTTTCTAATCAGCAAAAATTTTTTTTGAAATCGTGATTTTTTTTGCTGATCAGAGAACTCGAAAATTGTGCAAAAAATGTGGAAAAAACACCTTTTCTATTAAAATTTTCGTGAATTTTCACTTTTTTAATGAAAAACCCGGTAAAAATCAACATTTTCTCTGAATTTCAACTAGAAAATTCATATTTTTCAAATTCGGTATCAAAAAATGCAAATTTTCGTCATTTTCTTCCAATTTACACTTAAAATTGAGGATTTTTCATAAAACTTTCAAATTTCATAATAAAAATGCTCAATTTTATTACGTTCGGTACCAAAACCCTTTAGAAACTCAATTTTCTTCCAATTTACAATCAAAATACATGATTTTCACCAAAAACCTTCAGAATTTCCGATTCTTTTCAAATTTGGACTCAAAATCTGAGATTTTTCATGAAAAATTCAAATTTGGACTCAAAATTCCTCATTTTTCCCCAAAACTTCAGAATTCCCCATTTCCCGCTCCCAAAAACCTCACTCACCCGCCCATCCAGCTCCCGCTCTTTTCTTCAAATCAATCGGCGAAAAGAGCACATAGGGTCCAACAATGTTCCAAATCGATGTCAAAAGTCGATAGGCGACCGCAAAAATGGCCAAATATCCGGCCGAGACCAGAGCACATTGACAACCCATTACTACTGTAGGCTGCTCAAAATTACTATTTGTCGACATTTTTGAAAGAGAAATGAGCAAAAAAATGACAAAATGCGATAAAAAATACGTGGGAAACGTGGCAATTTCACGTGAAAATTCAAAAAAATACAAAAATATTCATCTTTGGCGAGTATTCAAATAAATAAATAAATGAAAAAAATGAATTTTCGAGAACGGAGACAATAAAAAAGAAGTGGAAAGGTTATAAGACAGTTTTTTATCACACCATTTTAGGAATGGTATGATAACGGATGGAAAATCTCTCAAAAAACGAGAGAAATAGTGGGGGGAAAAGGGGTAGAAGATACAAAAAAATGGGCAGAGAACAGGTGTAAAATTAATCGACATCCATGTCGTCCAAATCTGGACGATTACGTTTTGCTTCAGGTTCTTTGGTGGTGGTGTCTTCTGGAAAAATTTGATTTTGAATATGGGAAAATGGTGGTTTTCTGGGGATTCATGCAAAACTTTCACAAAATTTAGCTAATGGTTTCAGATTTTTTTCAAAGAGAAATATGGTGTTTTCTGCTTTTAAATTCAAATTTCGATCCAGGAAAATTTAGAAATATCAGAAAAATCTCAATTTTTCTCTCAAACATGAGCCTGTTATTATTTCTGTCTGAAAATCAGCTCTGAAACTCAGATTTTGAAGCTGAACATCTAGAATTTTTC